GAAAGATATACGCCAGTCTCTTGCCAAGAGGTACCTACAAGATAGTCGAAACGTCGTCGTTGATGTGTATACTGTATGCAGCAGCGCGCACAATAGAGTTTTGTGGCAGCAGGAGTAAACTTCTTCAACCACAAATTGAGCATCGTGTCTCTCCAGCATGTTACTGTATGCAGGTGTGGCGTGCCAGCATAACGTCCTCTCACTGTGATTTCTGGTTAGTGTGTGTCCGGAGTCGACCTGAAAGAGGCAATGTTTTCGATTTGTATGAGCAGATAAGAGTTTGTGTCAAGCCACAAGCGAGAAAAACAGTTGATCGATCAGAAGCATGAGCTGGGTTCCGGACAAACCATGCAAGTGCAGAGGTCGTGAAGATTTGGACGAGCACGGAGCGGCTGACTGCCCGTCAGCCAACAGATTCACCAAAAGCTTGAGAACTCGTGTTTGCCCATTCAACAAGTTCTTCATGTGCTTTTTTCCCCACCTATTTTGTTCGTGTGCTCTCCGGATATTAGAGCTTGATTGTCGAGTGCTTCGCCCCACGTATACGCATGAAGGAATGCTTACTGCTCTGTATGCTACAAAGTCAACTGTCAAATAAGTTGTGCTCTACAGCCCTAGCCTTGATGGTGCCGCTGGTACTTGGGTATATTTGGCTCGTATATTGTGGGACTCGGATAGCTCAAGGGGCAAAGCATCACCAAAAGCGGCTGGACCAAATCAAAATGTCATGGTTAGGCGCATCTGAGTTTCTCTTGAAGTCATGGATTATCCTTGCATTGCTTTCTGATCGAACAGCCTGCCCGCGTTTGTGACCCACTAACTCAAAAAGGTACTCCTGGCGCTGGGAATCGACGAAAGCAGTTTAGTGCGATCGTATAAACGTTACAACATTGTGCCGTCTCATTTCTTGGCCACGGCATTCGAGCTGAGATGAAGCAAGCGACACACAAGGCCAGATCAGCGACCGCTGGGCACGAGGCGTATCGATCAGAGGGTTTATTGAGGTGGCGAAATCTTCATGGTAAGCCTGAATCAGGTACTATACAATTCATTGAGTGAAGGGCCTTCACTGAATAGATATTATCTTATTTCGTTAAAACCTTCAAGTATTCGACAGGAGCGCCCCGGGTATCTTGTAGAACAACCGAACGCCGTAAATGCCTGAGAGCATCAATGCAGCCTTGAAAGCAATGCATGCTCAATATTCTGTAGTCGTATCGTCTCACCATCTTCTCTTCCCATCGTCCGAGTATCAAGAATCGAGCTTATTGTACTAAACTCGAAACGTGCATCCGGCTATCTCTGATGCATCCGCCTGGCGAAGGCGGAACATCCTTGCATTTAGTGAAACCAGCTGAGCTCGTGTGGTGCGTGCTCGAATAGGAATGCGAAAGTCCGGTGTTGCTGTATGGAGCTAATGTTGTGACATCTGTTTCCAATGACGATAACGCTATTTGACCTCGTAGTCCTTGGTAGTCATGAATACCACTCCCTTCGTGATTCCAAGATGGTGGAACGCTCAGGCGTGGTGAGGCTACTGTTTTGGGTGATATTGAGTATGTGGATTGTGCATCTGACATCAAGGATGGGGCTTGTTTGCTCGAAATACTGTAAGCAAACTCACTAACAGCAGGCGATATGCAAGGCTTGCCGAAAGTAACCGCATAGCGGGCATCGGTCTGCGTGCTCGCTATCGGCGGCAGACGCAATGGAGGTAGACGTGATGAGGATACCTCGCTGTAGTGTGGAGGAAAATACGAGTTGTGGTTGTCGTGAGTCGACTGTGCTGAGGTATAACTTTTGCTGGAATGCCCTAGAAACAGATCCGATCTGATCGGACTGTGTCTTCCAGAGGTCTGTGGCAGGAAAGACGGAGGCTGCAATGTCCTGTGTTCCTGTGATAGCCATAGTGGGTCTTGACGTTCTGATAATTGTGCATGAACCGGGCTGTTCGCCTCTGCTTGAAAATCGTAGGCGTGCCTGTGAGGCTTGTAGGCTGCTGCTGAGTGAAGACGATTGCCGCTGTTCTTGACGCTGTTGTGATTGTGGGCAGGAGACCGTTTTCTCCTGTTCATACTGCCATTCCACCAGTTCTTCACAGCATTGTCGCTGCGGTTACCAAGCCGTCTAGCAATCTCAGCCCATCGCTTGCCCATCTCGTTGACCATCTGCTCAATCATCTCCCCTTCTTGAGCTGTAATCGGTTCATGATTGAGACTAGGTTTCAGGTTCTGATGGTAGCGTTCACGGCATTGCTTGGGTGACCGATGTTGAAGTTGTTGAGATATCCTCACCCAATTATTCGGCCCTGGTGTTTGTACAAGTGCAATTAATGCATTGTCTTCCTCTGGCAGCCATGGCCCACGTCGAGCCAGGCGAGTCATTCTGGATTGTCGGGAATTTCCAGAAGTACGCAGGTCTGCACTGGGATGAGAGTCGCGACTATGCAATGCGTGGTAAAACCAAATGTCGCAAAAGCCGATGGTTGAGTTGAACGTCGAGTATAACTGTACTTGGCCAGATCCGACAAGCGGATTTGGAATCCGTAGTGCTTTTCGAGATGGAGGGTGAGTGAGCGTGTCGATGACGATATGATTCCTGGTTCAACGTCCTATTTGCTGTGAACAGCCGCCGCAACAGGTCTTGTGAAAGATCTAATCTCAGGCAAGGTCGCGTGTTCAACAGAAAACAAAAGTCAAGATTAAAGACTAGAAAGTCGGTACATCAATGGTAGCCAGCAATTAAGGAGGGTCGTCAAAAGGTCACTGGTGTGTCAACCAATAGTAGGTGGACAAGTAGAGATTTTCCTGCTACCGGATTCCGTGCAGTACTTCCTAGACATGAGGAGGTGATCGGCTGAACAAAGATGCGTTGGAGGACAAGTATGTCAAGCAGACGACGGTCGAGAAAGGTCTTGCTCCATAGTCGTTAAGGAGAGCAGCGGGACGAGCATACACATACCTGAGCGTGGTCGAAGTCTACCTCAGTTGATGGTATTGATTGGACCCATCGCGGTGGATGCGAGAAGCAGCTTGTCAAAGCAAAGACCAGGTTGACCCTTCCCAAGCAAAGCGAACCAGTGAGCGCGAAGGTTGAGCTAGAAAACATGCAGGCAACGCTGTCAGTCGTCGAGAGTGAGGGTGCAGGCCGATGCTAACGGTGCGTGGCGCCGCCATAGAGTTCGCTGCAAATCCGCGAACCGCAGGAGCATTGAGTTGGCGATAAACGGCATCTAATTGCAGTGGAGCGATGAGTCGTGCAGCTTTAAGATTCATGGCTCGATCTTACCGACAGGCATTAATCCCTGCAAGGTCTGGTTGCCTCTTCTCTCGGACTGCCAAGCCCTGTGCTTGACAAATCAACCACAGTGAATGCTGTAGATCCTGGTTGAATTATGTCCGTCATGATTTTGCTAGTTCTGGGGTATATACAATCCCTTACAGTCGCTACACATATGCCACACGAGCCCTTGTTCCTCCTTCCATCTGCTAGTAAATTTGGCAATCGCTTGAATTTGCTTCATTACGTCGATATGCCGGAGACGTCGTCAGCCGACAATGTGGAGCAGACAAGCCGTTGTGCTGGTAACTTTCAGCTTTTGGTGGATCAAGCAATGTCTTGACATCAAAAACTTCGCTTGTCAGTAAAATCTTGCAGATCAACTGCCAAGGTTAACGTATCAGGAACCAAATTCGGCCCTGGGGTTAGGGACTGTGTCAACAAGCGGGATTGACTTGGATTGTTCAACTACACGGAACAAAGCAGTTTACCTTAGGGTTTGTTTCTCAGAATATTCGTGGTCGTAACTGCCATAACCGTCCCAATCCGAACTTGCATCTGCATGATCTCGGTAGCACCTGGATACCAGGCGTAAATGCAGCGTCGAGGGTGATAAAACACTTCCTGCTGAGAGAAGTATGGTACAGTCGGCTCTGCCTACAGTCGTCAGACCTCATTGGCTCAAATATGTGTTTCACGTCAAACGTGCCTTCCAGAGGCTTGTTCCGTGGTGGGACTCGAGGTTGAACCAGTTATTCTGCCTGAGAAACAGGTGGGGACCGTTAATGCATCTCCAAACAGGGAGATCGTGGCGGCTCGACTTGCCACACTCTCCGCTGCAGCTAGACTTGTTGGGTAACGAGCTAAGGCCTCGAAGAGTCCAATGCGGTAGGCATCACCTTGTGATGACTGCTGATAAGCTCGTGGGCGTTCTGCTTGATCCGTTGCTCGGCTTGCATTCGCAACGTCTTGCTTCTTGCTAATAACGCTGGTTACCCTATACTTTTTTCGACTGAAAGCATCCGAAATTGGCGTCTCTAGATCCTGATGAGGTCAAACACCAATCTGAGTGATGGCTTCTGCAGCACTAGTAAGCGTTGAGAAGAAACCCGATAAGGATATTATCTCATGCAGAGGAAAAACAAGACTTCTTAGTTCAGACAAGCTCCTGACTGGGCTAGAGGACTGACCTTGTACTCCGTCGGTGTAGCTTTTTGCTTACCGAATGCGCGAATACTGTAATTGCCAAAATTCCCAAATTTGTTCTTGTCTCCGGAAAGAGCGTTGAAAGATGCAGCCACGGGTGGCTTCTGGCACAACAGAACCTTAATAGACAATGAACAAACGAGTTCCCGTACCACACAAGTCACCTATGTGGACTAGTACAACGTTCAACAGCTCGTCTGCATTGAGACCTGGCGTCAACTCACATGCGCGGTTTGTTTAGTCGAGAGCTCAGATCGCCGGTGGCTCGCTGGCATACACGAGAAAAGGTAATAACCCGTCAAACACTATTTCGTGGTGTATTCAACAGGTAGGAAGTCAGGGCACCGGCAAATGCCGTCGCTGCTCAATGTCGCAGTTGTATACATGACTATTGACGCGAGTCAGACTTGGCTCGTACCTCCCGAGCAAGATTCTATTTCCCGCGCACGGCTCCTTTTCCTGTCACGGCATCTCTAGGTTGATCCCACTAGACAGAGCCGATAGAATGAAACCATTTACAACCAGATATCGCCTCCTTCCCCTGCTTCCCAAGCAGTCCATGCCTTCCAGTAACCCATCTCGAGATCGCTAACCCACCGCTTAGTATCAAATAGCCGACTTGTCCATCGACCTTCCCAAAGCATCCGCCTTAACTCCAAAAGCCGACCGTGACCTTGCCCTGAATATTCATAGTTATCTGTGTCAACATAACGCAAGTTCGACGCTAATTGAATAGCGCGATCCTCATACTCCTTCTCTGATCCTACCAAAAGATCCCGTCGGCCTTCATCACCCTCTGGCCCTTCTGGCAATGCACTAGCCACAATACTGCTTGCCATTCGTGAACACATCTTGTGGTCCCAACGAGCCCATGTGACAATTGGTGTTCCTGACCAGATAACATCTGCTGCTGTGGTGTGAGCATTGCACTCAGGTGTGTCCAGAAAGAGATCAACAACTGAAGCTCGTGTGATGTGCAGCCCCTTGGGTGCAACATCTGTGAAAAGAATTCGGGATGCTGTCTCTGGTCCTGCCCATTCTTGCGCATAATGCCTCAGATTCTGCTCTCCAACGTCAGGAAAACGCAGCAGCCACAATACCGTGTTTGGCACAGCGCTCAGAATCCGTAAATACAACCGAAATGTAGTCGGATCAATCTTGTATAACTGGTTGAAATTGCCTAATATCACAGCATTTTCGGGAAGAGATGGAAATAGCTCTTTGCGTAGCTTCCATCTTCGTCGCTGTTCCTCAGTCCATGCCTGGTCTCGTTCGCACTCGTCATGAAGTCGTGGCGGCCCGTGTTTCGCATCTGGTGCACTCTGCTTGTGGTCAACGCAAAAGAAAGATGACCTCGAGAAGATGATGTTCTCGGCATAAATCCAATCATCCAAGTCCTCTGCTTGAGATCGCGGGTTCAGTTTATCTTCCACATCCACGTTGTATCTGGAAGGTGCCAAAGTCTGTTGTGGAACCGAGATCTCGTCCGCATAGACATAGTCACACCATTCTGCACCCAACGTGCCAGCAAATCCCATGAATGACATGTGAATCGGTGCAGGTCGCGCCGCAAAGAGCTCGTTCTTCGCTCCACGTGTATAGCCGTTGAGGTTTACCAAGATATGAATACCGTCCTCGACGATTTGGTTGACGAGTCGCTCTACACTCCATGTCGATGCATCTCGGAATACAGGAGCTTCACGTTCAATCTGCTGACGATGTATCGAGCCATCGGATGCTGTTGTTGCATAACAATGAGCACGTATTTTTCTGGGGTTGTGTAACCCAAAGATAGACTGCATGAGATGAGCCAAAGGGTGGTTGTTAAAGTCTGAGCTGACATAACCCACATTCAAGCAGGGATTCGGTGGTGCAGGAGGCGGGTATACCGTTCGGGGTAACCATGAAGATCTCATAGTCGACACCGAGATTCTTAGTGCGTTACGCTGTGAAATCTGTCGAACTTGTCTCGCTGAGAGAGGTGTTGTGAAGGTATGGAATGGCAGGACTGTCGGCGCACTCGGTACTGGCACAGCGACTGGCAGGGTAGGTCGTGTATACCGTCTTGAAGGATATTCTCTTTTGTGCTTGTATCGATCCTGGTACCACTGCCAACCAATATACTTGATGGCACGTTCAAGCAACCGGACAACTCGAGAGCCTTCCCACTTCCTGCCTGCCCATGCTTGCAAGCTCTGTTGGATATGACGATACGTTTGCATCTGTCTTTCTTGAGGTAAATTGCTCTTGATGAGGGTCAACTGGTTGCAGATGAGCTCAATCACATCCGATTTCAGGATCCCAACACCCCAGGACTCTCCGTCGCGAAGCTGGCGATCCACTATCTCAACTACCTTGTGCATCCATCCAGATCCTTTGCGACCTTCATACATCATTCCACGCTCGTCAACGTGGATTCTATCGCGTAGACCACCATCTGCATACACACCACCACGACCATACCAGTCACAAACAGAATTCAGAGCCGTCGCAAGACCACATACGGCTTCGGCGAAGTCAGGATTCGCCTGTACTGCACGTTTGTAGTATTTGATCGCATCAGCAATTCTGCCTTGGTCCTTGACAGCATTGGCGAGGTTAGCCAGCGCTATGTCGAAGGTTCCATCACAGCTGACAGCCGTCTCATACATTTTGATAGCAGCTTGCAGTTCTCCGAGGTCTTTCAGAAGACTTCCAAGGTTCGTGTACAAATGTGCGTGCTTGCCGTCCAGGTTGAGGCCGTAATTGTAGTATGCAAGTGCTAGAGCCACACCACTCCCAGGTGAGACGCCGGTGTAGTTGAAAACACAGTTCTGTGTGTGTTGAGGTGTGACCTGCACGACCGATGCTGTCTGCACACCAGCGAGCAGTATACCAACATTGTTAGCAGTGGATGGACTAGGTTGCAGCGACAAGGACAAATAGTACAAGGCCAAGATTTCCCTCGTTCCAGGATTCGCAGCATTCTTACCCGCTGTTTGCGAGCACAAGCCGTCTTGGTAGATCTTGGCTAGGGAAAGCAACGAATTGCTCGATGTTGATATGGCAGCCTTTAGTGCTACGTTCGATGGAACATGCTCGAGACCAGGCAATTCACCAGACGGAGGAAACATTCGTTGTGAGATTGTCTGTGCGCGATCGGGTGTGAGGAGGATAGGCTCTTTACTCTCTGCTACTCTCGCCGCTGTGTACGGATCCACGGACGAAACGCAGGCTTGAAGTATTCTTTCTATCAAACCGCGGACACCACCTTTCCTCTCACCAGTCGCTATCAATATGGCGTCCTCGAAGGCTGATGCCGCAGCTCGGTTATCGCCAAGAGAGTAGAGCATATTACCTTTTGCGTGAATCAAGGCCAGGAGACGTCCATTGTCGGCGACAGGTACAGCATAGCCGAAGGCACCGAGTCCCTGGGGATGCTCAGATGCGGTTGACGATTTGCTGTACCGCCTACCGGTATCGAAATCGTAGTACGGGACATCGGTCGACCCTATGGTTGTGCTAGATGCTCGGCTTTGATCGTCACTATCGTCCTCGATATGCGAATCAGGTCCAGCAATGCTTTGTGCATGGACTGGTAATTTCAAGCGTGACTCGACGTATTCTATGATATCCACAGCATCTCTCGTTCTATGGCTGCTAACATACAGACCGACAAGGTGCTCAACTGCTTCGAAATAGCTCGGACGAAGCTTAATGGCAGCGGTCCATTGATTGGCGGCTTCGTCTCGTCGTCCAAGGGCTAGTAATGTCGCGGCAAGATTTGATATTGCTTCGACATGGTTCGAGTCCAACTTGACAACTTTCTGATACCACTTCAGTGCTTGGGTATAGTTTCCGATGCCATATGCCAAACAACCAGCCAGAAGCATACCATCTGTCCATGAAACCTCGGAATCTCGACATATGGCCTCGATGGTATCAAGCGCAGCTGCGGCATTGTCAATGTGTTGTTGGGTGCTCATCAAGGCGCCAGTCATCACGTTGAATCGTTCCTGGAAACTCAAGGACGTATCAACTGGATTTCCAACAAGAGAACTGTAATCATTGTTTGATTGAAACGACCCTGGACCACCAGCTGCTGAGTCTGTCTTCCGGCGAGTCATTCGTATCGCCGTTTGAGGACGATCAGAAGCCTCAATCGACATGGGTTGGTAGCTCTCCCCACCAGCATGCATTTTGTATGAGCCTTGGTTGCCATTCTTTAAGTTGAGAGATCTTGTGAAATGGGATTGCGCTCGTTGAGGTGGTCGAGGAAAGATCGCTGGTTTCACCACTGTTCGAGATTGTCCCAATTGATTTGTGTGTTGTCTTCCTAATTTCGAATCTCGCTGTATATTAGCAAGCAGGTCGATGTATATACGATATGCCCATGAGAATGCCTGATCTCGTTGTGCGATCAGCTCTGATGCTGCGGTGGCGTGAAGTGTACCGTCGCCTCGTTGGTTTTGTGGCTTGAATGGCACCTGTTCAGATATGCTGAATTGACCTTCCTCAGTAGTCGGACGGTCGTGGTAACTTGTACCAGCGACAAGCGCATCTGAGATTCTGTCCTGGAAGGATAGGTAAGGGACATAACCGTCACGAGGTGGTAATGACTGCAAGGATCGAACACCTTGTACTGTACCCTGAGCGAATTGCTGTGCATTCAGAGCAGGACCGTGCGTCCATATTGGCTCCAGATTGACTTGATTGACTTGATTGACTTGATGTGGTCTGGAATTCTGACTGAGATCTCGGCTATGTCGCCAGTGAAAGAAGCGGTCGTTGCGCACGGGTGCAGGTCGATATGGGCTGAAAGTTCCATCCGGCCAGTATGGACCATAATACTGTTGGCCTGCAGAGGCGGTCGGACCAAAAGAAGACTGTAGGTTCGATGGCATAACAGTCGGTACTTTTGACCAAGTATTGCGAGAAGTTTGTTGTTCACTGGCATAAGGAGTACTTTGCAGAAGAACTGAATCAGCACTGTATGGGGGCATCCATGCCTGATCATATTGCGAATTCGTCAAACTTTGAGAGCCTCTTGCTGGTAGTACGTTTCGATCACCTCGATGGTGTAGACTAGGTGTGTCGTTGTACGATGTGTTTCTCGAGCCATCTGGCAATCTTGAATCGTGGTTCGAGGGGGAAAGTGATAGCAACACATGTTTAGGAGCTGGTAGGTGAATTCGGCCATCAATATTAGTGAAGTCTAATTCCTCTAATTGGCGACCATGCGGTATCTTCCTCCGCCTCAAAAATTCGTGTTGTGCGTACGTTAAACCAGTATTGTAGGAGCCAACGCTTCGCGCATAGGGTCGTGGCAGGGGCAGCTGCTCCGTCCAAGTGCTTGGGTCGATCGCGGGTTGGACGTGATTTTCCTGCCTTTGGTATTGACGAGAGGCCATGGGGTTGTGTAGGATGGGTTGAGCGAGCATGACTTGTTGTACCTTATCTCCTCTTTCTGATGCCCAGCAATCGCTGGACCAAACAAATTTCGCTATGCACCGTAAAAAGGAACTGGTCCGAAGCAAACGAGTGGTGCTGTTGCGCTTGAATAATCAAGGCTCACACGCACGCATCGTATTGACATAGTGTTTGGCTGGAGATTATCGGCATTCACTTTCACAACACTGCCTTGGAGATGAAGATGTATTCGTTTTCACTTTTCTACGTCGCAGGCTGCTCCCAGCCTCGGACGATCCGCCTGGTCTGTGCTTTTAGCAACTGGACCTATCGTAAGCAGAATCGGAATCAGCATGAGACCCCGTTTCCTGTGTTTCAGAGGCTCGTCGGGTCGATCACATGTAAGATAGTGAGATATAGCTAAAGTACTGGTTCGATAGATGGAGACAGCGGTCGTGTTATCGATGTTCAAAGCAAGACGTTCGCAGGGCTTCCAAGAGGACCGCTCGCTGAACTGGCTATTCAGGCGGTTTAGGATCGAAAGTCGAGGTTCGATCAGAGAATGGAAATGTAATCGGAAGTTGGGTGTCGTGTTTACTACAAGATGGCAGGCTTGTGACAATCTGGGAACAGTAGAAGAACATCTTCACGGCCATGATCATGACGGTGCAGAGCGATTTGTATCAATATGCATGGATACGAAGTCAGTGGAATCAGTAGGGCCTTGCGCTGGGGCAGGTCGTCTTGGACGCAGGCGTCGGTGTTTAGTGGCTTGCTAGCAGCGATGTGTCACGAACGTTGCGCTCCACAACGCAACCTCAAGCGGAAGAGCTTGATCAACGTTGGTCGACTATGGCTGCCGCTAGTGTCCATAGTGGATGGCGCCCTTGCCGCCGTCACAGAATTGTAACCAGGACCCGTGCCTATCCCAAGCCATAGTCGCCTATCGCTGCAGCCTTTTCAACATCGTCTAGGCTGTCAGTGCGCCACGTTTAGCGACACTCAGCTGTAAAAGCAACTAATAGCAATCTTTGTTTGCTATGCTTGCATCGCGTGCATCTTGCATTGGCTTCTTCAGGTTGTCGGAATCCTAGCAGAAGCTTGCCACGATACGATCGTTCTGAAACAGTAGTAAGCAACAACCTCAGTTCCGTGGTCAGCATGAAAACACACGGTTTTTCTTCGAAATTCGTATGTACCACTGCTATATGCACCTCCAACAGGGATGTTGGCAAATAACTGCGGAAGAGGATGTGGATTGACCTGAAAAGATGGTAGATCTTTGAAACCATCATTTTAGCATACATGGAGTCCCCACAAACAAAATGGTGTGACCAGTGAAGTGTGTTTTATTTAGGGCAGTATTGCAACGAGGAATCATGCTCGCTTGAGCCAAGAGTTTGGGTAGGTTAGTTGCATACTCGTTAATGCATCTAAGCATCACAGCACCTATCTTGTGGCACATCGTTATATAATACACGCCTTCACATATCCGTCTGTCAAACTGCAAGAGCGATGGATCATGTACCAAGCAGCTCCTTGTGCAACTCGATCAACGTTGGAAGCTCTGCAAGTTGTACAAATAGTCCCCAGCTGCATGGTTGGTACGACTCTATCCTGTTTGATATTTTCGTGCCAATGCGGCTGCGTGCTCAACTGACGGCAATCGTCTATCGTAGCAATCGACAACGCTTCCATCTATCGCTTCAACAATGGTATGTAGACACAAATTATGGACCACTACGCCCACGTTTCGTGTGAAACAAGGACATCGAGGTGAGTAGAGTGCCGTAAGTTCATTCTATCTTCCTTTGCGCAAAATAGGCCTTCAGCTTAAGTGTATTCCTGTGTTGTGAACAGCAGGAGTGATGAAGGCCAGAGTGTTGGCAAGGTGTGTGGGGTAACGAATACAGACAAAGGAGAACACCGCAGGCTTTGAGAAGTATTGATGGTTCAGTGGGTATCATTGTGTCACTCATGTTCCTCATTAACCGTGGTCATATCCTGAAACAGAACTTGCAGTTCATCGATTTCTGAACAGTCATCGCTCGTACAGATCTATGATCTATTCTTCTGGGACTGTGACGTGTAAGCAGATGTATTCAGCAACCATTTTTTGCTAAACCTACCATCAATATTGCCCTCCTTGATATCGTCGCTGATATCTTTGGGACTTCGGCCATCGACCTGGCATCCAACGCTGAACGCAGTGCCGAGAATTTCAAGTACAGTACCTTTCAGTTCCTTGGCTAGGGACTTGTTCGCACCACGCATGGTTCGAGCAATCTCAATTATTTCATCGAGGGGAATTGACTTGGAATGCTTGATGTTCTTCTCCTTCTTTCGATCCCTTGGAGGTTCCTTGAGAGCTCTGATAACGAGGGAGGAAGCGGATGGGACGACAGAGACGGCAGCTTGTCGGTTTTGAATCGTGAGCTTGACAGTCACTCGTAGACCTTTCCAGTCTCCAGTTGCTTTGGCGATGTCTTCACCAACTTTCTTTGGTGATAGACCAAGAGGACCGATCTTGGGAGCTAGAGTAGCTGAGGCACCGACCTCACCACCTGTGGCTCGCAGGTGACTATGATGGTCAGTCAAAGAAAGTTGTATTTTGCTGGGCTAACTTACATGATCTTGATCTCATTGGGGTCTAGCTTTGGAGCTGCACAAACATATTAGCCGCCTGGTCGACACATCTCAAGTAGACGATACTTACGCATGGCGGATGCGAAAGGTAGTCTGCCTGTCTTGAGGATTGAAAGTGCTAAGTAGAAGAAATACGGAGAGACCGCGCAAGGTCGAGCCTACATAAATTTGCGAAATCACACGCCAAGCTAGACTAGCCTTTTTGGGACGCGATGCTTTAATCAGTCACGTGAATACTGGCAGTACTGGTACGACCATCATCCTGCCAGCATGCTTGTGCCTTTTCACGTGCTAAATCGTGTTTGTGGGGAATACTTCAGACCGAGGGATCGAGGACTTTTGCGATGTAACAAGCAGGGCTTTGACAGAAGAATGGCGATACTTTGACAGGAGGAATGACGATCTGAATGCTTCCCTACCCTATTCATTGCATGTGCTCAGTGCATGATATTCAACCTGTCGATCTACCAGTGCTTATCTATTGCGCAACGAAGCGCCGGATGTCGTAGCGCTCGTGATTGTTCAAGCATGCCAGTCAATCAGGTAGGACTTGATAGACCATCGTAGTGGGCCGTTGTCTAGCTCGATCCTGACACAGCAAGTCTGGTAAAGTTAGCATGTATTCTGCAATACGATCGTGAGATTATTGGAACTTACTTCATGAGATGGTCCATGAACGTTTGCAATGAAACATCGTCAGTAAATATCGTCTGGGCGGTTTGCGACACGCCACCGTAGCCGCCAGTCGCATGAGTAGTCGACGGGTTGAGCTTCGACAGTAAAAATCGAGCTTGCGAACCACCAGCGTCACAGATGATAAATCTTGGAAGTGGAAACCTGTCCTGAACCAGTTCTCTTGCATCCTCTTTCGGGGCATCGAGCACAGCCTTAAAGTTCTCATAACCAGCTTGATCTTGGTAACCTGCTTTTCTCCATTCTGCCATCGTTTCACCATGGAAGATCAAGATTTGGAAAAAGGTATCCAGAAGCAATATCGTGTTCGGCTGAATGGATGCCGAATCCAGTAGGACTGGTACACTGCCTTCTTGATCTAAGCTGTATGAATCAAGTGTAGGCTGTATCATGATCAAGGAATCACCAACATATTCGTGATTCAGAACGTGTCGGTAGAATGCTGTCTCGTCGGGAGAATTATTGAAAACTTGCAAGAACTGCGATCGTCGAAGATGGAACATGAACTGAGGATAAAGGGTAAAGTTCTTGTCGAGCCTGAAAGAAGTTGGGTCATCTTTGCGATAGTCGGCGAATCTCGAGCAGAGTCTGATTAGCATTCTGTCAACCCAACGCAGCACATCCGGGCCATCATCGACCTCAGCTTTGAACACTGCAATGCGTGCCATGAGTACTGCAGCTGCTTCCTGGTCGAAAGATTGTGCTAGAGCAGGATCGCCAGCTGGTCCACTGAGATTTCGAGCAACCGTCGTGACTCTTAGGTGATACTGGCCCGAGGAGTGTTGATAGTAGGTCAAAAATTGCATCATGCCACGCTGAGTGCCTTGCTGGACCGGTACTGGTCCTCCTTGATTGGCGATCTCAAAGTAGACACCATAACTAGCTGTGGGATCTATACCACACATTTTCCATGCAGAGGTATTACCAATGCCGCATTCGGTCTCCCCAACGGCGCTTGATTTCTTGTTCAGTGACACTGCATGGCCAATGAGGCCGGTCACTTTGAGCTCTTTCGTGGTCACAACCTCGAGAGAAGCATTGAAACCCATGAGCAGGTTGTCATTCTCATCCTTCTCAAACACCCGAATGAACGATTGCTTGAACTGTGAAGAGGTAAAGCTATCTGTAAGGATCATATGCCCTCCAGTGGAATTGGCCAAGCTTTTCATCTCAAGTAAGCCAACCTGGTCCAGACAACCAGCGAAAATATCGATAACGTGTCCGTTATGAGCTGTACGTTTGGACAAAGTGTCGTAGAACTTTGCTGCTTTTTTGAAATATTTCACGTTGTCTCTGTCGATATCGTGGTGCGAACGGATTGGTTCTCGAAGCTCTGGGCCAACAACCATACCAGGACCTTCTGTAGCTGGACCACCAGCAAACAGCATGATGCGTGCACCGGCATTTTGGAAGGAGGTCTCCAACAAGCCAACGGCAACACTCAAGGCTACGCCAGTTGACCTAAGGGCTCTCCTGTCGTTGGCTACTGGCCAAGGATCTTTCTGCATTTGTTCGAGCGCATTGGTAATTTGAAATTCAGCTTGTTGAACTGGTAGCAGGAACCGTGCAGCAGGTCCCATAGGAGGTGGTGGCCGTCCTTGCTGTGGTGGCATATTTGGTCGCAAGCCTGGCGCAGCTAAACCCAGCATTTCTTGTACCTGCTTCGCAGGGTAGTCCTTGCTGCCTCTGAAGACATATGATTTTGAGCACTCAGTGTAGCCAATCTCATGAACTGCTACATTGGTGCCAAAGGTAACCAGACCAACAAGCGCATTTGCAGGTAACAGTGATAGACTCATAACCAAGGTCTCTTTTAGCGCTTGCAGGCTGTCCTCTTCTTGACAAGTGTCTACCACATAGACAAATATTGGAGGAGCTGGGGCTGGACGAGGTAACCTGTATTCGACAGTTGTATTCATGCTGTGCATCTCTGGTGGTACGTTCTCGGCGGAAATATCAGCATAATGGCGTGGGAGGGCATTTCGCTGCAGGCAAAAAGGACAGATCCAGATCTTCGCTCGTACATCGACATTACAGAAAGGATTGAGGACAGCCTTGCAAGGTGCTCTGCACACGACTGGGTCATACTGAAGCAGTTGATTGCTGAGTGGCTTGAGAGGAGTCAAACATGCGCCTACAGGAACCACAAGGCGAGATGCTTCCTGTTATCTTGTCAGCCATGAGTAGAGGGTTAACGGCCGATGGAGATATACCATGCGCGTGCTTGGGAAAGTGTTCCAACTCAATCTCACCCCATCTCTATCCTCAATCTCCGCCCACTGATCTTTCAGAGCCTCGTACTGCCCTTGATCCATGATGGTAGATTGTGCGGTGACAGTTGTGGTGGCACTAGGTAAGGATTAGACGAGAAAGAGCACTACCATCAGTTGTGTCATGACTAGAGGAAGAAAGCGTGACGATGTGAACACTTTAATGAATTGAAGATCGAAACAAATATCTGGCCCTTCCGTGCACATGCAGGTCCCGGATACCACTTGAAGGTCCTCCGTCAGAGGTAACGGGAACCTGTGGCACTTGCCAAGCCTGAGTGGCCGACCATTCAAACGCGAATCTCGATTTGTTTCTTGAAGCTCTTTCTCTCTTCTTCCACAGTCAACGCTGACGATAAACGCATTACTTTACGGCAGTCTCGAGCAAATTAATTTTGAGTACTGTTTTCGCGTCTAGCGAAGATTAGTCCAAGCACTACCTCTGGCTGGGCATCTGGGCCTTAGAGATCATCATGGTCTCGATGAGATCTGGAAAATCAACAGTCGAGGTTACAAAATGATATTGTCTACGAAAACATGTCGCCCAAGAATTCCTAGTGTGCACGGTATCATCAGATATGTACAAGGATGTTCAGCTTAGCCTTCTCTCTATTTCAGCATATATTTGTGGTGATATTTCATCGCTGCTGTTGCCATGCACATCAACCACCATGTTTGGTTCTCTTTCTCGATAAAAATTCAGCAGAGGCGCGCTCGTCTCTTCAAATGTTGACAACCGCTTTCGCCAAGTGGATTCTTTATCGTCTTCTCTCTGTACTAGTGCTTCTCCAGTAGCATCGTCTTTACCAGGTACTTTTGGATCGTTGAAGCCAACATTGTAAACTCTACCGGAAGGTAGATGGGTCCATCTATTTGCCATCCTCTGCACTATGATTTCGGCTGGTGTGACTAGGTGGAAGACTAGATTCATGGGTAATAGATGAGCCAGTGCTTGCGCCTGTGTTGCTGTACGTGGGAATCCATCGAGTAGGAACGAGCAATCGGGGTCGTTAGATGGTTGCACTGCTGAAGCTGACCCATTGTTTTTGCCCAATGCTGCAAGTATCTCTTCATTAGAGCGATCCGTTGTTATCCAATCTCGTTTTGTAAGCTCCGTCAGGATGAGATTGAGTATAAGGGGATCTGGCACAAGCTTGCCGGCTCGCATGAACGATTCTGCTTGCTGCCCTACAAGAGCATTAGTGCAATCTATACTCTGTGTACACTGAACACACCAAGTGTTGTCTTGTTCTTCACATGGTCCCTCAACAGATCTCCTGTTGCGATTGAAGACAATTGAGGATACCTCTTGATCAACCTCTCACTCTGTGTCCCTTTTCCAACTCCTGGAGCACCAACAAGAATTACGCGTGCGGCTTTGCTCAACCTCTTCACAGTGGTAGATACTGCCATAGCTTGTGTTGCTACGCAGACAGTATCATGCGCTAGTGCTCGAAGCACGGTATGCTGAGCTCGTGCTCTACGTGCCCATGGTGACCAGAGAAAGATTAGAAATTACTAAGAAGAAGTCTATCAAAATAGACAACGACAGACTAAAGGTGAGAAGCCTGTACGATCCATGGGCCGTAGAGTGCTCTGGCATAGACACAGTGAAGCCTCGACCTTTCCCCAAATCTAGGATCGGCGCAGTTCGAGCTCCAGTTGTGAAAACAGCCGATCAACCGAGCAAGCTTTCCCGAAAGCTTGCCTGGACTCCTGAGCCAGCCAAGATTCCTGTGGTCTGCGAGTCAATATCAAGTGCTCAAGCATCGAGTGTTCTATAGCCTCCCACCAAGAAGGACATGAGATGTCCTTCTCTCCAACTTGTGGTGCTACTCGAAAAGACATGATTCTGACTAAGCCAGTACAAAAAGAGCCAGGAGACCATGATAAGACTCGTGTCGCCTCGAGCTTGACATATCGCATATATGGGTGAACTTAATTTCGCGGAAGTGCATGTTGAGAAGACCTGTTAAAGCTGACTTTCTTGCCGCGAGATGTCTAAGCCGCACACACTATCCTTCCTTTGTTTCATCCTGCGTTGTGCAAGGCTTTCGATATAGTGCTATCACAGTAGCAGTAACGAACGCGTGGCAGTCTTTGTCGGCACGACTTTGGTCCGACAATTGTGCTACATAAGTTCTGAAATTGCGCGACCACCCACACTCGTACGTGTATATGACTGAGGCCTGAAGCAGATGACTGCCGTCTGCTGCATTAACCATCTATTCGCATAGTCTGTCTCTTAGCTAACTAAGTCCTATTTCAAAATCTTCTGAAAGACACCCGCGGCTAGTGAGTGAGGACGCACGCTCGTACCACGTTGACAACCATTTCCGAACCCTAGTGCCATCTGCAAGTCTGACTAAAGGAAGTCAATATGTCGTGCAATGGAGAATGCTTCTCTGGAGCCTTGATGGCCGATTACAGGCCGCAAGGAAACATAGAGACCATTCATGGTCGTGAGACTTACGTCGCTCGTCCACCTAACGGCAGCAATCCGAAAGGCATTGTAATCATCATCCCAGACGCGTTTGGGTTGCCATTTCCTAACAACAAAAACCTAGCTGACAGATATGCCAAAGACGGAAACTTTCTCGTCTATCTTCCTGACTTTATGGACGGCCGATCGGCACCTGTCTGGATGCTGAATGTATTCCCTCAGGTCATGTCTACTGCAACAATCTGGGACTGGATAGTCAAGCCATACTACATCGCCCAAGCCATGTATGGTATGGTTCCCTTCCTGTACTTCAACAGCTTTGGAAATTCCATGCCAAAAATCGTGTCATTCTTTGAAGCAGTCAGGGACAATGAGGCCACATCCCAAAACCTACCCATAGGTTGTGCGGGATTCTGTTGGGGCGGCCTCTTCACATTCCATCTAGCGTCAGGACAATACACGTCTGCAAAGTCAGGCAAAGTACTCTGCGATGCACACTTCACTGCACACGCAAGCAACGTCAAAGTACCAGACGATGCGAAGAAAGTCACTCTTCCGTTGAGCGTAGCTCAGGCAACTGAGGACATGGTCATGACGCTCGAGCAAGCACGACAAGTTGAGGCGATCTTGCGGGAGAAGGCAGAGAAGCAAGGGCTGAAACATTCTGAGGTCGTCTACTACGAAGGTGCAAATCACGGATTTGGTGTACGGGCAGATCAGGTCTGGGGCAACGAAAAGACAAAGGAGCATGCCGATGGGTCCATCAAGCAGGCAATCGATTTTTACAACCGAGTATTTCAGGACTGGACAGCTCAATGAGGTTCTTGCTGGTCTTGGCTGAATCATGGTGTTGATCTTTTCGGCACTGGAACAGCATGTGGAACGATGAAATGGAGGAAATAGACCTCTCTGCTGGCGAAATAATCGACCAGTTTTGTCCAAAAATCGTTTTTGGCTTTATTTACGCTAAGGGACCACTTCTGTGCCTGCTGACTCTAGCTACCCCAGCCAGCCTTGTGAGCTACTTGCTGCTTAACCATCTTACTGACGTCCCCTGTGTGTTCAATCCAGAACGGGGCCTTCTGCGCTGATGGCAGTCCTATCTCCGACTCTTTGCGAACGCAGAAGATGAGCGCCGGAGGGTCAAACGAACTCGGGAGGATGTGCCTCATAACGCTGCCAATTGTTCCGACTCCTTGACCGAGAAGGCAATGGAGCGTCGCTTGGTTTGCAATGACCAGAAGGGGCAGAGTGCAGATTCTAGGTCGTGTTGGACCTTAGTATAGTGCTGGTGAAGCAGTCCTTGTCTGTCGATAGGCAAAATTGTCCAAATACCAGCTTAGCACTGTTTTGTCGTCGTCACTACCATGTCTTCCAGCATTCTCGTCGACGCGGACATTTTCCGAGAGCACATCCGATCACCATTATACCACGGGTTCGAGTGATGCTGAGGAAGGGTAGTTGATCTGCCCATCCGATGTTCTTCCATTAACCTAGACTGTGGCATATTATCCGTTCCTCACTTCCTTCTTACCCATACCTCACGGATTTGCGCAGGTAATGTTCCGTTCTCGTTGCCGTCGTCAGTCTCTTTTCGTGGCTCTCTAACCTCCACTTCCCAAACACCTAGTTTGTACATCCCACGGTCACTTTCTCCGGTATGTAGATCGAACGACCACCCGTGTTTCGGACACGTAATACCCGCGCTGAGCACTATGCCAAAATCTTCAATGTCGTGTATAGTTCCTCGTGAGAGTGGGTATGAGCGATGAGGACACGAGTGATCAACGGCATGGTATTTGCCTCGGTATTGAAAAACGAGAACTTGTTCTTGGAGGGCTACTGATTGCAGGGCATCGTCATGACTCAGCTCTATTGGGATGGAACCTGAATCGGGTATCTGCAAGATCTTATAACTTGGTCCTTGCGCTGTTTTGAGGTCGTCTTGGCTGCAAGACCGTAGGTCGGAAAGTTTGTGTTTTCGGCTCACCTCTGATAATATTGAGGATCGTATATCAGGGAAGGAGGTGGTGAGACCTGCGAAGAGCCATGTCCCATTAGTCTTAGGGTCATTACTCGACATCATGGAAACCAGTTTATGTTGTGGAAGACTCTTGGCATGTACGATCCTTATTTACAGATTTTGCGGTCGAGTTAAAGATTGTTCCAGACATCCTCATAGTGTAAACAGGGAAGACTAGCAGGGATATCTGCGTGCACTGTAGGATACTCGATAAGTTGATCGTTTCAATGAAAACGGAGTTGCATTCCAAATCCGCAAACGGAATAAATATGCAGATTCGCGAGAACTGATAGTCACGTGAGACGCTCCTTCTCTATCCCCTCGTGCCACAAGAAAACCACTATCGGGCACCTACAAGGGCATCAAGGGTATCATTTGCTAATTGGCTCCTCAAGGCCAACAAGAAGGCTGAAATTCCAGTCAAGTGCACCATGCGTCGACCTATTCCGCCAGCATGAAGACATTTATCATGTCATTTCATGCTCCATTCATGTCATGTCGTCGTGCTCATGCTGCCATTGTTTTTTGCTTATATTCAACTCCAAGTCGAGTGCGCCTCTACCTGCTTAAGGCAATATCGTCAATTCGGAGGATCATCTTTACCGTCTCACTAGCCAGTTCAATCGCACTTGTGCATACCAGTAGAGGCTGTAATACCCGCTCACTGCCGTCTCCTGCCACACCTCCACCTCTTATACTGACAAATGCGCCCTTCTCACCTTTTTCGTGCCGACTTCGCAACTCCGTCACCACTTTGATGGCATTAAGACCAGCGTTTTCTGCCAGCGTCGTGGGTATAACTTCCATTGCATCTGCAAAAGCCTTGTAACATATTGACTCTGTACCAGATAGAGATCTTGAAAGTTTGGAGAGGTGATTGGCAACTTCGATTTCTGGTGCACCACCACCTACTATCAGCGCACGCTTTTTGACCAGACATCTAATAACACATAGTGCATCATGTAGAGATCTTTCAGCCTCGTCAAGTACGAGCGTGTTTGCCCCTCGCGCCACAATGGAAACTGTGTTGTTCACGGGCGAACCAGCAGTAGGCTTGGGCAAATTGATACCAGTAATCTTGACCCATCTAGCTCCTGAGTTCGACACTTCCTCAACAAGATCTGCGCTGCCAAGTTTATCCTCGGTAAAAGAATCGATGTTGGCTATTGGCTTGCATCCAGTACTCTTACACAGAAATTCCACTTCCTCTCTTTCGATATCCTTGATCGCTAAAATCTTGAGTCGCTGTAAGAAGTTTAAAGACATCTCGTTGACTGCGTCTCGTAATATGCTCTTCTGTATCAACAGCACATTGCACTTCGCCTTCTTAATCTTCTGCACCATATTTAGGAGGTATTGTCTTTCTTCTTTCAATATCTTGTCCATTTGTCGGTAGTCATTGACGACAATCTGGTTTTCCATGTCTGGTTTCGGCGGGGATAACTGAAATTGGATGATTGCTATCCGTGCTTTCTCGATACGTGTAGGTCCGCCAGCAGACTTGATTACTGGTTGATTCAGAACAAGGCCATTGACCATCTCTGTATCCTCAATGGTACCACCCACCTTTTTCACGATCCGAATGTTTCGTAGGTCGACGTTAGTGCTGGTCTTAGGATCAATGACACGGAGCACGGCATCGACACTCATCGGGGCCAGTAGGTCTCGGTGATGACCAACTATTTTCGAGGATAAACTAGTTTCAGCCAGTTGAAGCAAGCTCGTTCGATCCGAGAGGTCGATCTTCATGCTCATGCCCTCTAAAACCTTCACGGCTTCTGCTGCGGCACGCTGAAATGATTCACTGATTACTGTAGGGTGTATGCCTTTCTGTAGGAGTCTGTCTGCCGCTCCGAGGAGAGCTCCAGCTATAATGACCACAGAAGTTGTCCCGTCTCCTGCTTCAATATCCTGTGCGTTCGAGAGGTTCGTCATCATCTTTGCGGTAGGGTGCATTACTGCCATGGATTTGAGCATCGTGTTTCCATCGTTCGTGATCAGGTTTTCTCCTTTGCCGTTCTGAATCATTTTGTCCATTCCTCGAGGCCCAAGACTGGTACGCACTGCTTCTGATACTGCTCTCGCAGCGAGAATATTTGCACTTCTTACAGCCACTGTACGAGTTAGCATACATGTTTGCGCTTGCCTACAGCCATGAGGCAGCCTGCAGAGTAGATTGACTTACTGGGCTTCTCTTTGTCTTTGAAGACGCCATTGCCAAAAGAGCCTTGAATACCTAAAGCAGCAGCCATGGTGAAACTCTTGTTGCAAAGGTATAGGGCAAGACTTCAACGAGGACTGAGCTTGTCAGGTTGTCAAGTCCCGCGCAACATTGCTATTCAATATCGAAATACAGCCACGAAAATCTGTCCGAGGTTCAGCCGAGTGGAAAGTGCATCGTAGACTATTCACGTGCCGGAACAGGAACCTCGATTCAGGTAGTAATCACAGAGCTTAGACACGAAGGCAAGATGACAGAGCGAACACAAAGGTGATATAGTTAGCTGAATGTTCTAGGTAGTCTTAGATATTGGTTTGCGAAGGATTGGTAACATATCGCTTTACATGCTTTGGTATTTGCTTTGACTGAACTAGGCTGCCAGGCATTAGTGACGGCATTGCGACAGTCCGCAGTTGCCTCGTCTTCAGTCGATCGCGCTTTCCACGAGGTTCGTGTTGTTCACAACTCTTTAATATACACCTTGACCAGATTTCGTGTACCATTGACTGTCAATCGAACTTATTCAGCCTTACGCCACATTCACACAACTACCTGCTGTACTTCGCAAAAAAGATCGACCCCCGACACTCGATCAGTAACCAAGGCGCAACCATGGTTAGTGTTCAAGTAATCAAATCGTTCGACCGCTAACTCATGCATTCAGCCGAGTGCAAAAGGAGCCAGCTGGGAGAAGTACCAGAAAGAATTTCGTGACGACGAAGAGCCCGAAAAGAAGATCACACCCTTGACAGATGAGGACATCCAAGTGCTCAAGACATATGGAGCAGCACCATATGCGGCAGCGCTCAAGTCAATCGAAAAGCAGATTAAAGACAAGCAGCAAAGTATTAGCGAGAAATTGGGGATTAAGGAGTCAGATACTGGATTAGCATTGCCCCATCTATGGTAAGTGCTACGAACATTGCGGTTGTTATAGAATTCATGAGCTAACATTGGCCAGGGATATCGCAGGTAGATTACACGATGCCACAGCTTGAGAGACATTGACTAACTTTGACCAGCCGATAGACAACGTATGAGCGAAGAGCAGCCTCTCCAGGTCGCACGATGCACCAAGATCATTCAGGATGAGAAGGATAGTGAGAAGAGCAAATATGTAATCAACGTCAAGCAGATCGCCAAGTTTGTCGTCAATCTTGGTGAGCGAGTAAGTCCTACAGATATCGAGGAGGGCATGAGAGTCGGTGTCGACCGTCAAAAGTACTCGATCATGCTCCCACTACCGCCGAAGATCGATCCTAGCGTAACAATGATGACGGTCGAAGACAAGCCAGATGTCACGTATGGTGATGTAGGTGGTTGCAAAGAGCAGATCGAGAAGTTGAGGGAGGTCGTCGAAATGCCGTTGCTATCTCCAGAACGATTCGTTAGCTTAGGTATCGATCCGCCTAAGGGAGCACTTTTGTATGGACCACCAGGAACAGGGAAGACACTTTGCGCCAGAGCTGTCGCAAACAGAACAGACGCCACTTTCATTCGTGTCATTGGTTCCGAGCTTGTCCAGAAATATGTAGGAGAAGGCGCAAGAATGGTTCGAGAATTGTTTGAAATGGCACGGACGAAAAAGGCCTGCATTATTTTCTTCGACGAGATCGATGCTATCGGTGGTGCACGATTTGATGATGGTGCAGGTGGTGATAACGAAGTGCAGAGAACCATGTTGGAGTTGATCACACAACTTGATGGCTTCGATTCGAGGGGTAACATTAAGGTCATGTTCGCAACCAATAGGCCCAGCACACTTGACCCAGCCTTGATGAGACCAGGTCGGATTGATAGGAAGATTGAATTCAGCTTACCGGATCTGGATGGTCGAGCCAACATTCTCCGAATTCACGCTAAGAGTATGTCAGTGGAAAGGGACATCAGATGGGAGCTTATCTCCAGGTTATGTCCCAACGCAACTGGTGCTGAATTGAGATCGGTAGCGACGGAAGCAGGTATGTTTGCTATAAGAGCAAGGAGGAAGGTTGCCACTGAGAAGGACTTCCTGGCAGCTGTTGACAAGGTCATCAAAGGCAACTTGAAGTTTAACTCTACTGCTACATATATGCAGTACAACTGAGGAATGAAAGGATACTGTGTTTTAGCGAAGCATATCTGCATGATTTGGCGGATGGTGTCTATGGTCGGTATGACCAGATGTACAACATAATTACATCTTTCTTCAAACAATGCTCACCTGCTGATGCCTTCCTCTTTTGTGATATGATCACCTGCTGAACCGCATCATACACTTCTACATGTCTTGATCGGGAATTGCGTATTTTGTGCCACATGAGAGATAGGTAAACGCTATAAGGGACACTTGCATGTTGACCAGAATCAGCATACCCAATTGGTCAGCACGCGGAGAAAGACCAAGCACGAATACCATAATTGAAATGCAGTATATTGCCAGTAGTCTACTCATTACTACAATTTTGTTCCAGGCGCGAAAGGTATCCAAGCAGTGAATGGCACAAACCCATGTTAGCAGATGCTGACCCAAAGTATCTCGATATTCACAGGAACAAATACGGGCGTCCTCCCCGTACCTCTAAATTTCCGAGGCATGGCTTCGAGTCAACCTCTCGCTCTTCTTTCTCCTTGATGCAGTCTAGATTGACAATATCGTACTAAAATTGTTAGGGACGTCTCCTTTACTTGTGATTCTTTTGTTTCTATTATGTTCAGTTTACACTTCGTTTGTAATTGGTTTAAATTCTGTTCGACTTTGGTTCGTGATTGTTTTATACTTAACGATGGTACCGCCGGTATCTATCTGCTCTCGGGCTGGTCCCTCTGCTAGCTCTCGTGGCCGAAGCTCTAGATCGTAGTAAGCCTTGGACAAATCAATCTGCAGGAGCTCAGCCTTGATTTCCTGATAGTTATCCTTTGGGAAATCCATCTTAGCCCAATTCGAGATACATGTCTCGAATAGGACGTTGTTGAGTGCATCGTCCCGGTCATCTATCGAAGTAGGAGTTAGCGTCTTCCAGCCGCTCCTCATCTGCTTTTTGTGATGCTTTTTCCCTACCACCTTTCGTAAGGGGTGGCTATAAGTCAGCACTATCGGTAGCCCAAAGAACTCCTCATATGCCGGATCGCATTGCTGTTAAATGGGTTCGAGATACAAAGTTTCACAAATGCTAACCTGCTTGAAATCTTTATTGCAAAGGTACCATACACTGTACTGCCGCTCTATGAAGAATGACCAGCTAGCTGACTAACTCCAGTCTCGAGGCGTCGTCACACTAAAGGGCCTGGTCTAGTGCAGCTGTCCGAGGCATGTGGGCGAGAAGTCTTTGGTTCATCCTCAATTGAGTCCACACTCTCAGATAGCCGTCGACACTTTCAGAACATCGATCCTTGTCAACACATTCAGCCGTATCGTCCTTAAGTGGTGACCGTTTCAGGTATTTGTACAGCTTCGTCTCCACGCCGGGCGATAATTCTGGGGGCACTGCCGACCGCCACATTTCCGTCTTTCTTTGGAATTGGCCCTCGTTGCATTGCTGAGATAGGCGAGCAGCCTGACTGTAGGGTGATGCTTTCGAGCAGCGAAAAACGTCGTCCATATCTTGTAAGAATTTAGACAAAACCTGCTGGCGCTCTACTCCATCCAACTTGCAAAAGTCGGAAACCAGTATGAGCATGGCAGGAATGTTAGTGTGCTTGAAGTGATTCGGCCATCGAGCCACTGGAGCGACGTCGTCTGGTGTGTGAATCCGATATTCGTCGTCGTATATGGCGTATGGAAATACCGCATCGATACTGACCCAAAACAGATCTGCACGTTTAGCAAATCTGGGCTCGGGGAGACACGACCGTAATCAACCAGTATATGCATCAACAAGCTATACGATATGATTCATTGAAAATCCCTGGTACAGTACCTACCTGGCTCTTATCAGTGACTGTAGCAGGGAGCTCGAGACTTTTGCTTAAGTTTAGAGGTTGACGCTTCTGCATTTGTGGTCCGAGTGCTCTTGGTTTATCGAGCACGGCTTACTGATGCTGCTTAAGCAGGGACGTCACGGTATTGATTTAACACTTTAAGAGAGCGGTGCAGGTTGTTAGGGTTTGCCTGCTAGATGGTCATTAGTGCGTATGACGACGGGGTGAAGGGCGAGCCGTAGGTCGATAGGCGGAATAAAGTTACTGTCTGAATCACATTGACAGTAGGTCGTGCTTTATAATCGGCTGTCCGGAGGTGAGGGTAGTTTAAACCTAGTTCGATTGTAGTTCAATCGTAGTGTGATTGTAGTGTAAGGGTAGTTCAATCGTAGTTCAAGTTAAGTTAGAACTTTAGGTGAGTAATTCGGGAGAGGAAAGCTTTTAGAACTCTTTGATTCAGGAGACATAAGAAGGTTCCGGAATGTTTGGCAACTGTTTGTAAGTGACTGTATTCTGTCGCCAAGAAAGCTACGAAAGCTTCTTGTGTCGACAGGTGTCAGGGTGTCACGAGTGAAGGCGGAGCGTTATTATTTCGTTTTTGTGTCCACCTCTTGTCGCACCTTATACTGCCAAAGATGCTTCTATCATAACCATAGACTCTCCCAAAAGCTCATCATGGACGCGAACGACACAAGCACCTTCAAAGCCATCTTTGACAAAGCATACCACCTCACTGAAGTAGGGAGATTTATCGAAGCCGATGGATTATGCCTTCAGCTCCTGCAAGAGCCTACCTTACCTCTACTATACCGTGCTGGATGCAACCTCTTACTGTCGTTTGGTGAAGACCGTCCTGTCAAGCACGCTTTGGTACGTTGATATCCCAGTCGTTCCCGATACGAAAACCCAAGCTTGTGGTACATGGCTAAGGAAACTGCGCGAAACGACGAAACGTAACCACAAGGAGACAGATTACTTACGAAGTCAGCAAGCTGTGAAATGGTACCAGATAATGTACAACGGGGTTCGCGATGACCCAAAGGATGGTCCTCATCACCGAAGACTATTGGAACAAGCTCTAGATGCCCTCTGTGACGCCGAAGAACGAGTCACAGAGGCCGAGGATGCAGAGGAAGAGGAGCGCATGCGCCAGAACGAGGACGAGGTTGAGGACGAGGAGCCACATTCTGAGGAACACCATGATGAGGAGGGTGTGATGGAGGAAAGCCAAGAGGAGCAAGACGATATTGACTCAGAGATGGGCTTCTTGAAGTCTTGATAGTGGCGTCACCATCAGTGAGCCACAACATGCATAATCGCCCAATGCTACCAACTCACGGTAGCTACAGCATGAAGCCCGTCCAAAGGCCAGACAACTCATATTGAAGACTTGAGTCAGGAGGCCAAGAGGACAACCCTGACGGCGACCTGGAGGAGGAGCCGAATGGTCATAGAGAGGTGCATCATGGAAGAGAATTTCTGCACGAAGGGTAAAGCTTCATCGATCGGATGGTACCGAAGAGACCGAAATGAATGGTTGCAAGCTGTGTACCCTTCAGTAGGCTGGCGTACTCCCGAGTAGTACAGTCAGATGGAATGAGAATACAAGTAATCGAGTTGCTGGCCTCTAGTGTCAATTTCACGACGTACCATGGTTTTTGAGCGTACTGTGATCGATATATTGAGTAGTTTACAGCGTACTCCTCGAGTTGTTTCCAGAATCAGCAATTGCCTCGGCGTGATTGGTTCAGCGCCACTGGAGCCGATCTAGCTTCGTGTGCGCATCATTTACCTATTAACCTCGTAGATGTGGCCATTGCATGTACATTCTGCTTCACTCTCCTCTCTACTCTGCAATTTCTCTTACGTCGCGCCCTCACGATGAGTTCAATGGCGTTCCGCAGCAGTCTGAGACCTGTTAGCAAGGTACGAGAGCTACACCCTGGACAAGCAGCCCACATCCGATGCACACAAGGTCCTGACAACGCGCAGTTTTCACAGAGTCTACGACAGACTCACAGGCCGTTCTCCTCGACACAGAGAGCAGCGAAGATATTCACGAATGGCACGAATCCCCTAAGAGCAAAAGAGGCACAGGTGAGAAAGTTGTGAACTTAGCTCTTGACTTTGGCTAACGTCCATACAGGGCTTCATATCGAGCAAGCAAGTAACTCTACACCTTATCCTGCACCTCTACTAACATCTCTCGAGATATCCCGTTATCGATCACGAATACGACGCCCTGGTTGTTGGCGCTGGGGGTGCTGGTCTCAGAGCAGCTTTCGGTCTGGCAGAAGCTGGATTCAACACAGCATGTATATCTAAGCTGTTCCCCACCAGATCACATACAGTCGCTGCACAGGGAGGAATTAATGCAGCCCTCGGAAAGTCAGTAATATGGTCGAGAAGATTGGACTGGGCTGGGCTAACAGCATCACAGTATGCACGAGGATGACTGGAGGTGGCACATGTACGATACTGTAAAAGGATCAGACTGGCTAGGCGACCAGGATGCTATCCATTATATGACCCGAGAAGCCCCTCAATCGATCATCGAGCTCGAAGGTTACGGATGTCCATTCTCCAGAACTGAAGATGGCAAGATATATCAAAGAGCATTTGGTGGTCAGGTAAGCAGGCAGGACAGTTTACAAGCATGTCTGGGTAACTAACAACGTCGGCAGAGTCAGAAATACGGAAAAGGTGGCCAGGCCTACAGATGTTGTGCCGCCGCCGATCGCACGGGTCACGCTCTACTACACACTCTTTATGGTCAATCATTACGGCACAACACAAACTACTTCATCGAATACTTCGCTCTCGACCTCATTATGGAAGACGGGAAGTGCAAGGGTGTTGTTGCTTACAACCAGGAGGACGGTACACTCCACAGATTCCGAGCACACCACACTGTTCTAGCCACAGGAGGCTACGGTCGAGCTTACTTCTCCTGCACATCCGCTCATACGTGTACTGGTGATGGTATGGCCATGGTTGCTCGAGCCGGTCTACCCAACCAAGATCTCGAATTTGTTCAGTTTCATCCAACCGGTATCTACGGTGCTGGTTGCTTGATTACTGAAGGTTCTCGAGGCGAGGGAGGCTATCTACTCAACTCTGAAGGTGAACGGTTCATGGAGAGATACGCCCCAACCGCCAAGGATCTTGCTTCTCGAGATGTTGTATCTCGATCAATGACCATGGAGATTAGGGAAGGCCGTGGTGTAGGTCCAGACAAGGATCACATCTACCTACAGCTTAGCCACTTGCCAGCCGAGGTCCTCCATGAGCGACTACCAGGAATTTCGGAAACCGCCTCGATTTTCGCTGGTGTTGATGTTACGAAGCAACCCATACCAGTTCTTCCAACTGTACACTACAATATGGGTGGAATTCCCTGTAAATTTTCGGGCGAAGTCCTTCGAATCAACGACAAGGGTGAGGATGAGGTAGTACCAGGCCTCTTTGCATGTGGAGAGGCAGCCTGCGTCTCCGTACACGGAGCCAACAGACTTGGTGCTAATTCTCTGCTCGATCTCGTTGTCTTTGGTCGTGCCGTATCCCACACTATCCGAGACAACTTTTCTCCCAACAAACCTCATCCAGAGATAGCCCCTGATGCTGGCAAGGAAGCCATTGACACACTCGACATGGTAAGAAACTCAGACGGCAAGAAGTCAACGTCCGAGATTCGAGCAGCAATGCAGAAAGTCATGCAAACCGACGTGTCTGTCTTCAGAACACAAGAATCCTTGGATGAGGGTGTCAAACGTATCAATGAAGTTGATAAACAATTCGCAGATGTGGGTATTAAGGACAGAAGCATGATCTGGAACTCCGACCTAGTCGAAACGCTTGAGCTTCGAAATCTGCTTACATGCGCCACTCAAACCGCAGCCGCAGCAGCCAACAGAAAGGAGTCAAGAGGTGCTCACGCACGTGAAGATTACCCAGAACGAGACGACGAGAACTGGATGAAGCACACACTGACCTGGCAAAAGGACGCACACGGCCCCGTTGATCTTGGCTACAGAAGGGTCATCGGACACACTCTAGATGAGAACGAGTGCAAGGCTGTACCTCCATTCAAGAGAACTTATTAAAGCAAAAGAGGGCAGGTCGTTATGTGACAAAGATTTTACAGCTACGAGCTAAAAGGGGGATTTCTATGTCTCCCCAGCGCTTTCAGGCGCTCACTGTGGGAGTTTTGCATTATACTAGCGAAGCGCTTGTGTATAGGTAGGAAATTACATTGTGTATGTTCATGAATAAGTTTTCTTATCTTCAGTTTGTTAGAGTGATGAAGAGGTCAACCTTCACAGTATGGTTTTTTCCCCAGCAAACCTCGCGTGCTATGATGGTTTATGTGCACTACGACTACAACCTGAAGCCCTTCAGCCACATCACATTACGCACTACTGTCTTCCACCACTGACTGGCCGTGCCCGAAGAAGCTGGACTGCTACAATTGACTATGGGGAGGGCAATATCCTTTGTTGTTACTACTACGTGAGCCTCGTCATACCTGCCCAATGTGATGACAGGCGCTCGGCCCACTAAAGAACATGAGTTTCGGCACTAACTGCGGTGGCGGAAGGAGTGGTAGGAAACTTATCATCGTATTGGCAAGGTGAAACGAGGTCCACACAATCAGCGACACTACCTTCCAGTTACAGCCGATCGAGCCTCAGTCGTCGCTATACTGAGATAACAATCGGCGAGATATTCGTTTGCGACAACGTTCGTGTTGGAAATAAAGTTTACAAAATTGACTTGCTAGATGCGCTGAGGTACATATTCATAGACCTACGTATCGAGTTTGGCAACAGGCTCTGGGCTTTTACCAGGCGAATAGGCTTTGACTTTTCTCATTCGCATAGTTATACAACGACATTCCTTCGACAAACAGAACCGAAGTACGTTGGAGACTCTGCTCCCGAGACCCAAGAGCTGAAGAGATAATCAAAGTGCCAATGCGTCACCTCAATACCGGCAAACGCGCTCGAGGAGGACTTTCTCTTCTAATCATAATCTCTTAAAATCACAATCTGTTCATAATCACAAGCTCTTCTCTCTCCTGGGGCCTGTCCCGTTCAGGCACGCTATCCTCCTTCCTCCTAATAATTATCTCATCCCGCGAAATCGAGTCCTTGCGCGGTGGAGGTACACGGGGCTGGCGACTCACTTCAGCTCCATCACCTGGCACGTCCTTGTTCGCACGCAGTTTTCTGGTGTGCTCGAATAGTTCATCCTGTAGTTCGTGGTCGATGTATTTCTTGATAATGAGATACCGGTCATCTGTATCGTCGTACACCCATGGTAATCGATACTCGTCCAGAGTTGCTGGCGATAGGTAGCGGGTTTGTACCTTGATATAGGTTGGTCGTGCAGCGTCAAATCCGCCGGGTAACAGTGCTTGCGTTTGGTATGGCAGATCTTCATAATAAGAATCGTCACTTTCATTTCCCTTGTAGGAGGGTCGTGCTCGACGCTTGGACGCGCGCCGATGGGCTTTGGAACTCGAATCATGGCTCGATCGGGTCTCTTCATCGAAACGCACGACACCTTCCTCCTCGACTATAACCTCATCTCTCACCACGCCGTCCTCTGGTTCCGTCGAATCTTTTGATTCGTTACTCGCGAGACTGCTGCGTGGCTGTTCTGGGCTTGTACCATTTTCAGTCGAGTCAGTGTGGTCGGCTGCCAGGTTAGATGTTGCACGTTGTGAAGATGCTTGCTCGACTGCGGGAGGGTCAGAGCCAACGGGGACCGTTGAGGTTTTCACACCATATCTATCCGCGTTCTGGGCAGTTGTGTGCTCATCGAGCTCAACCCGTTTTCTCTCGCGAAAAGCTTTAATTTCTTCTTCCTTGTCTTGGTGCATCTGAAGCAGTTTGTCACACACTTCTAGAGGAAGGCCTTGATCCCAGAACAATGTTTGCACTTGCGCTTCGAACTCGCGGTCTTTCGTAAGACATGCTGTCTGGATTTTGCTCTCGCGTTCCTTCCGTTGACCCTCTACGTCGAGTTGTGCCTTCAAAATCCGTTCCTCTTTCGCCTTCCTCTCTAGTTCCTCGCTAAGAGCTTGGTCTTTTGCGGTCCTCTGTGATGTACTGCTCTGCTTTTCACGCTGCTGAGCCTTGGAACTTGGATTCTGCTTGGGCAGAGCAGTTGCTGACTTCTCATTGACGTGAGGAGTTTCGACGACAGCAGGCGACACGTCCTTTTTTGGATGGCTTTCACGCCGTTTCTGAGTCTTTGTTATGATCTCGTCGATCAGTGTGGCATTCAGAGCTTTTGTGACAACGATAAAGTTTTCGTCCTGGAAGAGTCAGCCTACAAGCTCCAAGAACCTTCGTCTGGCAGTAATACCTCATCAAAGAATTTATATCCGAGATCAAAGAGGACCTTCGTATCTACAAGTCTCTTGGGAAACCGCGTCTTTCCCTTCTTAGGATATGAGCTATCATCTGACGTCCTTACTCGTTTTTGTGCTTTTCGTCGCTGTCTAGATGTACTCCGTATATCATCATCAACGTCAGACTCACTAATCAGATCTGTGCGTCTTCTCCCTGTGTATCGCACTGCTCCTCTTCGTCTATTATCATAGTTTATGACCGGTACTATACGCGATCGCGGTGGTGGTGGCGGTGGATAAGGTGATGTGTAATCGCGATAGGAAGGCCGATCGAATGTCTCTGCAGGATCGACGTGACTGGCGATAGTCTCGACTGTCCGTCTCGAGAAATCATTCCCTCTTACAGTGGATTCTTGCCTCAACATTCTCAACTCTAATGCTGTCCTGTCGTTTTTGTTAGCTCGAAAATCAAGCAATTTGACAAGCAATTAGTGGTCGGGGTAGGCATGATCTCAGCCTTCTGACATCACTTACAAGGATTTCGGAATCAGAATGTATTCGTAGTCCAGAGGGTCTGTTGTCCATGTTATCTCGAATCTGTCCAGTACACTCGGGTGGATATCGTTGCGGCTGATTCGCATGCTCAAGTTCTGAGTAGTATCCGATGGTCTTGATTTTCTCCATGTCTGTCGTAGCTCAGGAATATCAACACGATCAGGATCAGGTTCAGCAAAATTGGTGATCATATGTCGCTGGTGGTAAATCGAAGGATGTGAAGGGTCACCACTTGGTGGACGGTTCAGGTTGGCAGCCTTCACGACTGCCACGCTCTCGGACCTATGAGGTTCATTCCTGTCAGCAACTTGGTGTTGATCATCTTGAGTGTCTGTATATCGGTCAGTCTTAACGCATGCTTGGGTGGTGGTATGAGTCTTACGATGTGGGTCATGTATTGCACTGCTACGAGCATCGACAATCTTTTTACTCGACGCCTGGCTATCGATGTCCATCTCTCGTCTTGTCAGATCTCTCTCCCGTCTTTCCAAATCTCGCTCGTTTTTTGCCAAATCTCTTTCGTGTCTTGCCAGATCTCTCTCACGTTGTAATAACTCAATTTGCCTATTCCTATGCTCTTCAAAGTCTAGGCGATTGAGGTCTTCTTTCTCCGATGATTTCGAAGGCACCACCGCAGGTCTGGTGTCTTCGTGATTGTTCAGCAATTCTTGCCGTGGAGGTGCAGTTCGTGCAAGAACAGTCGCTGTGCGTGCCGCCCTCTGGTGCGCTTTACGCTGCACGAAGTCCGTTTGATCTTCATGATTCTCGTCCTCATGTTGTCTCAATCTTTGTCGTCTTGACTGATCTGTTGTAGCAGCAGTACGACGATTTCCTTCCATGGCAGGTATTGACGGCGTCGGCCTATGCGATGCAGATTCTGGCACGATGTCAAGCTCCACGATGTCGTCTGGTATATTTGTCGACGGTCTACCATCATCTGAAACATCATCTTCCATGTAGGGCTTCCGAGCATTATCAATGGCCATGCTCTCAGCAGCAGCATTCGATGACTGACCCGGTGATCGCTCAGGCTCGTCAGCACGACCATCCTCGCTCTGAACAGACACTTCCTCATGTTCCATATTGGCACGTCCGTCGTTGTGAGAGGATATCAAATTGCTGGTGTGGCCGTCTTGATTGTTTTGAGCAGGCATGGACGGCGTCTGCATCGTCTTCATTCGACGCTGTATGCTCGAGAATATTGGCGCAAGCGGCAGACAGAATACTTCTTGGTCTTCGTCAGATGCGGCCACGATCATAGCGCAGGCTCTGCCCTGCTCATCAACAACCCATGAGCCGCAATCGCCAGGTGCTGTAACCTTTTATTAGCAACAGACATGTAACTTAACAAACCACCTACCACTACGTAAACTTGCACTCCAAACAATGCTCAAGTTGTCAGAACCCGGAAGTAACATCAATGATTGCATGCTGAATTTGGTCTTTGCACGCGGAGAAACACCTGTGACTGCTGTTACCTGCCCAGTATATAAGTCTTGCGCAATACTCTCAACGAGTTGTGATTGGCCACCGCTATCTATATAGTGGTTGGGAGTCTTGAAGGCCGGATTCTCAATGGGTATCAATGCCCAGTCTTCCTGCTGATTAAGGATAACGTTTGAGGACTCGCTGTTAAGTAAAGTTGCTGCTGTAGTTGGTTGATTGGGCACAGACAGATCGTCGGGGTCGATATAATCTGCGTTTTGCACATGGACATCGCGTATGTGACGACTTAAGCTTCGCTTGTTTTTGGTATCCTGTATAGTACTGCCTGCAGAACGTGAGTTACTCGACACAGGATCCAGATCACTGTCCTCCTCAAGCGAGCTTAACTCTTCGCTGGACATTGTAAAGTCCATTGGAGCCGACCGCTCATCGTCGGTGAAGGCATGTGCTGTGGTCAATGCATAGTAGACACCGTCCAAGAGTATTGCACCACCAATCGTAGAAGTCTTGTAGGTTGTGACGTCTACTGTATCGCGAGGCCGGAAAACAATAACGGCTTGCGCACCGCAGATACTGGAGCTGACTGGATGTCTCGCATCTGGAGTGGTGCTCGGAGCAGAACCCCAATCGCTTCTTAGGCGTAAGTCGACTTCTCGATAAGATATATCAAAATTTCCAAGGAGCAGTTCCATACCATACTGCTTCATACCCTCCAAAATCTCTGATGCTTTCTTGGCAGCTTTCTTGTTCTGACATTCAACGACGATGGTGGGCTTGAGTGTGCTGACATCTGGACTCTCCCCAACAAGATATAGCACTAGATTGATCGGCTTTTCAATGGACTTCACTGATTTGTCGTTCCACACTAATTTTCTGAAATTCTTCGATCCGGTGACTTTCCTGATCTCTGAAGAGTCTTCTTGCCATGTTCGGAATAATGGTTTATCAATGGCTAGTCGATATGCCTTGGAAGAGGAGTGTGGGAGACAGCGTGGATTGTCATATATAATGCTTGCCTTCCTCTCACTAAACGACGAAGCTGACCACTCTTGAAAGAAACTCGACATAATCAATTCCCTGTTGACATGCTACAGAGGAATGAGATAGTACATCGCTGTCGAGTCTCAGCCTGAGCTCGAAGCTTAACGCGAAAGTACAGGGTTTGGCGTTCATGCACGCTAGCTCAGCCCGAGGCGTTCTCGCCAAACTCGAGTCTTCTCCCAGCCACAACCGACAGGGGAAGGCCATGACTGGGACTATTGTAGCATGTTCAGCTGCCTAGAACCGGGACTTGTAAGTGCTTTCCATTGTTTGTTGCAGCTCTGCGTTTGTGCCTGTACTATAGGTCTCACTTTTATAGAACCGGCATGACCAAGCTTTCCGACCGGCGTAGGCGCCGACGGCTAAAGCCTCACCGAAAGGTCGACAACAACGTGTGCCGCGAGCTCCTCAGAGAGGTCTGGCAACTCGATTGGCAGTTTACACCGAAGTATGCGGGCGTGCCGCCGAATTCATACCTTGGGCACTGGGAAGATTGCATAGTCGCTGCCGGGGATGACCCAACGTTATCTCTTGAAGAGCACGTTGTGGCCATAAGCTTGACTCGCATTATTAAGGACAGCTTGGACAAGCAACTCGACGAGATACAGAACGACTTCCGTTCAAATTATCCTGTACAGTTAACAAGCCAACTGTCGGACGAGCAGGTGCAGACGGCGGTGTCTTTCGCAACTTCCCTGTGGTTACACATCTCACTGGATTTTTCCTCTCCAAGCCTTACGTTTAAACAAGCAGTTCGAAACTGTGTACCAGAGAAGACAGATCCGAAGTATATAACAGGCGAGTTGTCTCACGACTTTTGCGCCAAGCATCTTTCAAGGAAAACTGGTATCAGCATTGACTGGACTGACAAGATTGAGGAGCATCTGACGTCTGATGAATCTTCAATCAAGGTTTTCAGAAGCTATTCTATGCTTCTAGCTGTACAACGTCAACCTCAGAGGTAATTACTAAGGTGACGAGGTGAATTGCATGCTAAAGATACACAGTGACCCCTTCCCTCCAGGGTTTGTAAATGAAACGATTCAAACACTGTATCTTCTGTTCCGACCATTGGAGCATGCACGTTGGAACATCAAGCGCATGGAAAAACATCAGGACATCGACCTGGAATTTGCCATAAGTGAATGGCAGGAGAAGGAATTGAAGGAGTATCCGTACTGGCACCATCATCTGGCCGCGATTCAGAAGTTGTACGACAGGAAAAGGCCAACGACCCTTAGACAGTGGTTTTTCGATCGGCGAGATCGCACACAATGGGCGACTTTCTGGGTGGCTTTCGTTGTCTTTGTGCTGACGGTTATCTTTGGCATCATTTCGAGTGTCACGTCAATCCTCCAGGTATATGCTGCATATCATCCTCTCTGAATAGTGCTCGCAAAACTGTCGGATTGGCACGACGACACGGTTTGCAGTAATACTCGAGACTATGACGTTCCATAATCTCGTGCAACATATCTCTGAAGGGGTATCGTGTCCTGTGACTCTGTAGATAGTAGACCACATTAGAAGGAGGCACACTATCCTGAAATGAGATAGTAGCACCTCGACCGATGTTTAGGTGGGAGAAAGCTTGACTGCACTGCCTACAACACCTTTCCAGCTCAGTCGTAAATCTTTTGGGGGCTAAAAGCTGCTCGATCTCGCAATGTAGACGCGTCGGAGGCTCAGCTGTCGAGAAAAGGTCATGCTCCATCCGTAATCTTTAGGAGGTCTTGGTCATTTTGTCAGAGCAAGTCACTACGATTCATCATGTCGCGATATCGACGTGTCGACTGGGATTCTCCACTGGACGACCGCTATAGCGAGCATCAGATCACGTTTGAAGAGCCATCACGACGATCATTTCCAGTGCGCATCCGTCGTCGAGACAGCTCTGAAAGCTCATCAATATATTCAGACACTTCATCAATCCACAGTGGTTTTCGCGAACCGGAAGCGGATGAGTCTGACAATGTCGAAATTAAGAGAACGAGCGAGACAGCGGATGGAGTGAGCAGTGCCCAAGCGCGACCTCCGCAAGTTCGGGAGCGACAAACCGTGATCAACGAAAAGTGGTACACTGCAGAAGCTGCGCAGACACTGCCCTTCGCAGCTCCGTTTACTGGCGATGGAAACCTGCATTCGGCAGAGCATCTGGCTCGAAAAGACGGTGGAAATAGCCATGCCAGGTACAGGATTGGTAGCGCAGGACAAGGCCTCGGGCGAGAAGCAGAGGAGCATGAGGCGGCGGCAATGAAACGCCTGGCAAATTCAGCAAGTGAAGCCTCAGCCAAGCTGGAAGATGAAGTGACACGTTTCACAATCGAGAAGGACCTGGAGTTCGAGAATGCCGTTAGACGATTATTTTGGTCTTCTGGCATCCCTCGAGAAGTATGTGACGAGGTTCTGGATAGTCATCGGAAGAAGCAACAAGTAAAGCGGAGGATACGCGGTGAGGGCAGTTTGCTACCTAATGCCAAATCTAGTTTCCGCGATGAAACATTATCTGCAACAAGTATGAGCGACAAGAACACAGACAGTGATGCCAGTGAAGCATCTACAGTGAAACAAGCCTCTCATAGAGGCCGGGCAAGGCAGCGCGCACATGAGGAAAGAGTCCTTACGCGGAAATTGGCTCGTGTTGACTTGGATGATACTTACAGACACAAAGTCGATGTTCCACCAGAAGCGCATTCCATTTTCATTGCAGGTCCATCAGGACATGTAGAGTTTCGTGCGGCTAATGGAACTTTGCAACACATTGAGCAATGGCAACCACACGAGGATGAAAACCCTATACACTTGACGGACGCTCCCTCATCAGCACCCAGTTCTCAGGCTATAGAGCGGAAGAAATACGATCGGAAAACTAATTCAGAGGTCAAAGGAGAGCTGATTGTGGAGATGCTAGAAAGCATACGGCGGAAACTGGATGCTGCGCCTCTGCTGCAACTAACTGGCGACAAGCGGGAAGCTACAGTTGAGTCTCTGCTCGTACCTAACGAAGTCGATAGTGGTGTAGAGCAGGAAGATAAAAAGCCGCTCGAATACAAAAACAGCACCAATGCAAAGAAGCGTAAGCCAAAACATTGGAAGGGCAAAATGCGTGCAACTGCACCACAAAAGGAGGTGGTAACTACTGCATAGAAAGGTCCATGCTATTCGTCCTGTCGCTTGTCGGCACCAAGTCGTCCTGTGCACATTTACTCGAGGTCTTTGAAGGCCTGGAATCTGTTCCATGTGTTTCTCTGTGGTGTTTCATTCTCTTCATCATCTGAGCTGATATCAATGATCTCGACTGCCGTACTCTTACTTCTGGTACGTGCTGACACGTGGGTCCGACTTCCTCTTTTGCTGTGTTTTCTTTCTTGCCCGAGTAGTCTTCTTTCGTGTTTGATCGACTGTTTTTCCTTTCGGGTCAGTGGTTTCCCTTGTTTGGGCATATGTATGTATCCCATTGGCGAGGGAACCAGTGTTTCGACGTCGGAATCAGGTTTCGCTGCTTGGCCTGCCAGCTTATCAGCTAGGTCATTGCCCACGACGCCCTGATGGCCTTTCACTAACGTATGTTAGTCTCCCTTACACGAATGAGTCAATCTTCTTCCCTACCCCACTGTATGGTCAGGGGTATTCCCGAATCAACCAAGCTTTTGGCTCTTTCTTTAAGCCTTGCTAGTTCGACGTGTCTGGTCCATTTGTCTCTTCTTTCTTGGTTGACGACATGGAAGTCACGAATCTTTTTGAGGACCTGTTGGGCATCACTATAGATTACCACTGCAGAGACAGTGTCTTCCTCAGCTGTCTGTTGTCGTACCATTTTGTTCGCGATCTTGAGTGCTTCCGCGATTGCAAAGAACTCGCCTTCATAGCTGTTGAAGATCCCCTCGAGTGCATACGCCTGAGATGTCCACTGTCTACTGAAGTGTTGTGCCTTCCAGCAAACAGCAATGCCAACGCGATCGCCTCGTTGTGATGCATCCGTCCAGAACACCAGTTTGTTCGTAAGATCGATGGTATCGTACTCAGCGTTTGCTACTACCAGGGCGGCTGTTTGACTTTCGCTGATTACAGTTGACCCAGCAAAGGGTTGATCTAGTATCGATTGCAGGACAGCTTTCCGTGTATTGTTGGCGAACACAAACTCGTTACCATCACTTGCGTGTTCGACCTCGTCAACGTCGTGAGAATCCATCCTTTTGGGTTGAAATGAGCGTGGTCAGGAAATGGAAGGAGTGGCTCGAGCGCAGAGCAAAGGTTGAGCCGCGATGGAGGCATGTAAGGTTATTGACAGTGATTGTCTTGTTGTGACCTAGAAGTATGCCTTATAGTGCTTGCTTCCTACCATACCAGCTAACACCCTACCTAAAAACAAGTCTTGGCACACTTCTCTCGGCCCAGATCTACGGATCGACTTCGACAGCGTCTTGTCCATCCTCGAGATTAGGCCATAGAAGTCCTTGGGCTGGGGATTTCTACAATGGGTTCTTGGACTGATGGTGAGGCTAGCAAGCATACTGAAGATCAGGAACTCTAACTCCAAGAATGTGAAAAATGCCGTTGCGACCTGCATTTCGTAGTTACAGACAGGCGATTTTCGCAACCACATCAGGATGACATCAGCTCCAAGATCAAAGTGCCAGTGCTTCTCGAAATTGGGCCTCATCTTGCCACATATCTACACTACCGTTGGTGATAAATCGTCTTTGTTCGCTCATCTTGCTACAGTATGGCCGAAGAAGAAGAAGTTGTCATAGCACCCACGGGCACATATAAGATTAACGGCTCGGCGCGTGCGGATGAGCAGGTAGTCAAGGCTTGGGGTGGGTTCAAGCACATCTTCACATGGAGTGATGGACCGTATGTCGCTCTTTCACAATTGCTCTGATATAACTGACAGGTAGTCTGCGACAGAAACGCACACTATCCACCACATTCGCATTCAGGACTTACTACCCATTTGATTCGTCGTGGTGAGCTTACTATCGCCTATCCTGACGAAGACCCAAAACGCGAGAACAAACAAACATATGGGGTTGGAGCCCGGCTCGATGTTCCAGCAGGGAAGCTACACGAGGTGTGGATGGGTAGTGATGGTTGTCAGTACGTGATTGGGGAGTAATTAAAGGGATGCCTACTTTACCTTATAACACAACCTTCGGCTGATAAGGCTTCCCCGATGCTTGGCCTCGAAACATCCCCCGCGCTTCGGTCAGCTTTCTTGGCGGTTACGATGTGAACAAAATAGGAAAGCGTCGATTTGATGGTAGATCAGTACAGCTTATCCTCGCGTGAGTGTGGTCTTGTCCACGTGTTACCGGGAAGATTTCACAAGTTTGCGACTCGTCTGCGAACCCTAACATCAGCGGTCAACGCGACTCGGAAGTATCAGGTCTCAATAATAGAACATAGGACATACGAGATACGCACGAGGGCAGATAAAATTGGTATACTGCCAATTTCTTCTACTCCGTTAGCTTGGAAGATGCCGAATTTCAGCCTTTTAGTGTCGCCGCGGGTCGCGGAACCGATATTCAGGGACTGGAAAACGGTTGAGGCGGATTTAGCTCAACTTCTAGAGATGGGAGTTTGTCACACCGCCGCCTGGTTTCTAAGCACTGGCAGCCTCATCTGTAGAGTCCGTCCTCCGTAAACTTTATGTTTCGTATGGAGAGATAAACTGCTTGCCTTCAACTTCAAAAAGGACGGTACAAAGGACCTCTGCGAGGCGAGTCATGCTCAACCTTAAAAATCCGGCTGGGTCGTCACATGAGAGCTTTTTGGCAACGTCCATGCTCACCGCTGTGGAATTCGGGAAGAGATGCTAGTGGTCGAGCCCCACTGCTCGCAGCTGTGATTATCGTGACCCGGGAGCTAAACCCCAAATCTGCAGGGTTCCTGCAGCTCAACTGCGCCGGACCACAAAAAAAGTCCCAGCTACCCGTCCAAGGGAATGGTGGTCTCCGGAGTTGACGTTGCTAGATACTGTAGCAACAGTATATTGTTGGTATCAGCACGCTGTCCGTCAATCCAAGTAGGTGAGATACGATAACATCTTCACAACACAAGCAGTTGCAGCCCCACTTCCTACTGTTGCTTTTCGCGCTTTGCTCTCGACTCCGGTCCATCCCATTATTTCACTCTCCGAAACGTGGTAGCCGACTGCTTCAGGCACACGGACCGCCTTGTAAGCTAGCTGTCAATATATGTTTGCTTCTTCTCTGGCTCTTTGTAGGTCGCCTTTCATGCTTAAGAAAGGTCCTGTACTCCTGTCTACCTTGAGATCATCTCTTACATTCACATCTACCACTTCCCCCGGATCAATGGCCAGCACTACAGCTACACAGAACGGCATAGCCCAGCATTCTGCCAACTATGGTAGCATTGTTACTCACCATCCCAAGAAGCAGAAGGGCATTACCAACCCACTGTCCCACGTACCTAACCCAGTCGCACACTACGACACCACAATCTCCAAGCCAGTCCGCAAATACCTAGGCACATACGGCCTCTTCCCTCCCGAACCAGACACATACGAGATACAGAAGAAGCGTTGTCTAGCTCAACTACGTTCCAAGCAAACAAACATTGGCAAATTCATATATCTTTCGCAGCTGAGACATGCCAATGTACATCTCTTCTACAGAATCCTTACGGACCACTTTACAGAGATTACCCCTCTAGTATACACCCCAGTGGTTGGTGAAGCCTGTCAAAGATGGTCAGAAATATACATGCAGCCAGAGGGTATGTACCTGAGTTACATAGACAAAGGAAACATCGCAAACGTGTTGAAGAACTGGCCACAAGAGCACGTTGAGATTACAGTTGTGACCGATGGCTCTCGCATCCTCGGTCTAGGAGACCTTGGCATCAATGGCATGGGCATCCCTATTGGTAAGCTCGCATTATATACTGGTTGTGCAGGTATTCGTCCAGAAGGCACTCTACCACTCACAATTGACCTTGGTACAAGCAACAAGGCGTTCAGAGAAGACCCCATGTACCTAGGAAGTAGAAGGGACAAAGTTTCTCCAGAAGAGGAGATGGAGTTCTTGGACGAGCTGATGGTGGCTTTGAAGGACAGATGGCCAGATATCGTCATTCAGTTCGAAGATTGGAAGAACCCCTTTCCGTCACTTCAGCGATACAGAAACGACTATGCCATGTTCAACGACGACATCCAGGGCACAGGCGCTGTAATTATGGGTGGAATGATTGGCGCTGTACAGCAATCTGGCGTTGCGGCGAAGGACCACAGAGCCGTCTTCCTCGGTGCTGGTTCAGCTGGTGTTGGTGTCGCTCAACAGATTGTCGACTATTTCGTACATGAAGGCATGACTGAAGATGATGCCAAGAAGTGTTTCTGGCTGGTGGATAGTAAAGGTCTGGTAACCCTGGATCGTGGCGACAAACTTGCTGAACACAAGGTCTACTTCGCCAGAGATGATAACAACGGTCAGCAACTCAAATCTCTAGACGAGGTTGTTGACTACGTCAAGCCAACAATCATTATGGGTCTAAGCACGATTGGTGGTGCTTTCACTCCAGAAATCCTGCAGAAAATGGCAAAGCTGAACAACCGACCTATCATCTTCCCACTTTCCAATCCAGTATCCAAATCAGAATGCACTTTCGAGGAGGCAATCGTCAACACTGACGGTCGCTGCCTCTTTGCTTCTGGCTCACCATTCTACCCATACGAATACAAGGGAAAGACCTACCACCCTGGACAAGGAAATAACATGTATGTTTTCCCGGGCATCGGTCTTGGCACCATCCTCTGCAAAGCTATCAAAGTCACGTCCGGCATGATCTATGCATCTGGTGAAGCTCTACCGACCATGATCACAGAGGAGGAAAAGGAGCGAGCATTGCTCTATGCTGAAATTACTCGCATTCGAGATGTCTCTGCTCGTGTAGCAGTCTATGTCATCCGGGCTGCTCAGAAGGACAACGTTGACAGATTACATTCCCTCCGGGATATGACGGACGAGCAACTCGAAGAATGGGTCATTGAGAAGATGTATGATCCCCACAAAGCTATTGAGGATATTGAGGACGAGCTCGACAGTCTGGCCAAAGACCTAGCACATACCAGGAGCTTGAGCCAGGACAAAAAACAGTTGAAGCTGTAACGTCCAGGAGTCGAACATCGGGTTTGGTTTGTGAAATAGAAATAGGGACGTGGATATACACAGCAGTAGGTATGGGTAATCACGGAAAGCGGTGGACTTGAGACTGTAGTGATACTACTGTAGAACGCAGGTCCGGTGTGAGACCTTATGTTCTATACGTTGCGTGAGGCCAAGCTAGGCAGGACACAATTGTCTTGCTACGATGCAGCGCCTTTCTCCGGTTAGATTGATGCTTCAAGGAACCTGAACATGTTGATATTTGTGCCTGGTCTCACAATTCGAGACCGTTTGAGTTGAAAGTATGTTGTGATACGAAGAATCCACCCAGGCTCTGACGGTTCGAAATGTACTTCCTGCATTCTGACCACTGATCCTCAAAAGCTATTGTGATTAAATTGACCAATACTGGCGTTGAGCATGAAATCTACAGTCACCACTCCAGCCTTCTCTATGCCCCAGACATTTCAAGAGGCATGGAGTCTGAAAAGCTCACTATCAGCGACGATGATCTGAAAGGTTGCTCGTATCTCAAGAACGACCCGAAGAATGATTCTCTTTGTGTCGGTAACGAGGTAGATGACTTGATGCGTAGCATTCTATTTATGATCGCCTGAGAGAGTACACCGCGATACCAATCAACCACGTTAGAGCAGACTCGAATCTTTCCTTACTCTACTCGACTAGTAGCATGCCTCTGGTTTATGGTTAGAATAGTTCAATCAGATGCAACATTTCGGCCATAACGGTCGCTGCTCGCTTTTAAAATCCTTTTTGACACCGAAAGTCCGGCTGTTCGGCGCCGTCGAACAGCTTCACACTTCACACAACTTAACGCTTCACACAACTTACACGGTCTATATCTTTATCTATTGAAGTAAAGCCGATAGATGTCTGCCTGCCTTGTCGGTCCTGAACGCAGGACGTCTCTCGGCCGAAGTGAGCTTCACGGATATCAAAAGCAGAGTACATAAAAGGCATCCCAGCTTCCACGAGCGCCTTCGCAGAGAGGACCAAATGTTGAGCAGTATATACTAGCAGCTGAAGCGCTGAACAAGAGCAGGAATTGACCTAGCTCTACCTCGAAAAATACGAAACATCTCAGTTTCTTGGGACTTCTGGCAGAAGCACAAACCAACGAAGCTGATAATCTACACTCAGGCAGCATGTTCAAGCCAGCCTCAATGCGAACTTTGAGGGTCTCTTCCTGGGGAAGCGAGATACCGCCAACAGTGTCGAGCGTACCGGAACCTCCAATACCTCCAGCAGGCTCAACAAGGATTCGAATCTTGGCCTCAGCTCTTACAAACCTGGTTCGTTCTCAGGCAAATGGTACACATTACTCGATGACCAATGTGCCACTGCCGTACGTCCCTGGCATCGACGCTACTGGTTTCACGCCTGGCAACAAGCTCGTGTATGTGAACCTGTTCCACAACAAGCCAATTGGTGGTGGATTTGCAGAGTATGTCAGTGCAGTCGATCGTGCCATCACACCGATTACAATTTCAGCAGATGCTTCGGATGCAGATGTTAGGGACGCGGGTATCAAGGTTGCAAGTTTGATGAACCCAGCTATGAGTTCGTGGATGGCGCTGAAGTATCGTGCTCGTGTTGACGACTTCAGTTCAGCCTCGACCTCTTTCACCGTTCTCATACTTGGCGTGACGAGCACTTCGGGACGTATTGCAGCTCTGTTCGCCAGACACCTAGGCGCAAAATCTGTCATTGGTGTCGCACGGAACTCTGTTGAGCTCGAGGGGCTGAAAAATGCAGGCACGATCGACCAAGCTATCATCCTGAACAAAGAAGATGTCAGCCAAACAGATTTCACCATCTTGAGCAAGAGTGTCGACAATTATCCATTGATTGTGCTTGATTATATCTATGGTCCCGTGGCTTTAGCGACTCTCAGTGCTCTTCCTCGTTCTGCAAATCAGGCTGAGAACCTAGAGATTCGATATGTTCATGTTGGTACACTAGGACGGCAAACAGAATTTGCACTTCCTGGTGTGTTGTTAAGGAGTAAGAACATCACGATCAGTGGTGCCGGGCCTGGGAGCTGGAGCATGGCAGCCTATGCGAAGGAGACGCCAGATCTTGTGAAGGCCATTTCGGAAGTGATTCCTTCTGAAGGCTGGGAGGTTGAATATGGAATCGTAGAACGCAAGCTAGAGGATGTGGAAGCCGCTTGGGCAGATGAGCAGAGCAGAACAGTCTTCGTGATGGTCTAATGGCCATATCGTAAGTCTGGGATTATGTGTGGCTGCGTACCTGCAAATCTAGACTTGATCTTCACATGCTTATGATTCAGCTCATTGGTATTAGTAGTAGTTGCCAGGTACTGTGGTCAAATGCGACTGTCGCGTGCCATTACTTTAAGCAGCGTCTAGTCGCGTCATCCTGTGCAGCTCTGAGTCAATTCAGGAAGTATCCCGTGTCTTTACCACACGAATTTTGACGGTTCGTGGGTACGACGTGTTCTCTTGACAAGGACTAAGAAAATATCTGTACACAAAACAAGAAAGCTCACAGGAGGAGGAGCCATCGTCGTCACAGACTTCCAGCTCATCCCTGCTCGCCGGCGTTGTGTACCCGTTTGTTATTTAGTCCGGCTGTTCAAGCGCTGGAAGTCGATGCCGGCGTCTGCAGATACTCCGCAGTTCATGAAACTTGCACGTCATGGGTATTGCTCTAGACCAAGCTGCAGCAGTTCTTTTGCACCTGCCACGAGCAATAAGTGCTAGCCATAGCTAACGTCGAAACTTTCTCTGCTTGCTATTGTCCAAAGTAGTCATTCGTTGTATCCATCGTTTCTCCCCAAGTTGCCATGGAGGCCATAACCAGTTGTTGCGGCCTGCGTCGCAAGAATCGAGATGCAGACACAGAACCTCTGCTTCCTCGATATGAGGACGATACTGTGATGCAGAAGAGGTTACATCAGAAGCTTCATACTTATCAGATGCTAAGAGCTCTCACAAAGGGTTACATGCCATCTACTGAACAAGCTATTGTCAATCTTCGTACGCTACTGGCTTCGGACGTTCTCAATCCGAACAACAAAGACTTGAGCGAGTCTGGCAGACAGCTTGTGAGGCAGTGCCGTAATTGGTTGAAGGTCTTCATTGAATTGCTACGAAACAAGAACGACAGGGACCAGATACAGGACTTGATTTGGTACCTAACAAAGTCCCGTATCTCCATCGACGTCAACGATATCTCTCACCAAGCATCGAAAGTGCAAGCGCGAGCCAATGCCCAAGCCACTTATGACAGTTTCAAAACTGTAGGCAGCCTACTCCTCACGAACTCGGACTTCAGGCTCTTCCTCGACGACCTCTCTACCATTGGTAGACAAGTGCTATCGGATACCGCATTTTCGCTCTCGAATGCAGCTGAAGAGACCGGGAAGAAGCTTGAACTATCGGAAGCAGAGCAACAGCAAATCTCAGGGCCTGGAAAAGATGAGACAGCAGTGGCCAAGAAAGACGAAGAGGCACAAGATGGCTCCGCCGAAACTGCAAAAGTAGTAGCAGACGAGGCTACTAAAGTGGCTAAAGACGCAGCTGTGAGTGCGAGAGATAACCTCAGAGGCGACAAGGCCGATACTCTTTTGTATCGTATCAAGCAGACTGTGGTAAACTTGAGAAAGCGCACCGACTACAACGAGTCAGTCTCGACTATTGCAAAGCTCATCCAGCGCTATGCCCAGATATATTCTAAAGTGGCCGAGGCGACATTGGACACTGCAGCTGATGACATCGATACCAACCCAGCTCTTGACAGGGCTATTCGTAATTTCTGGGACCTACTAAGTACATTCGGTGATAAGGCAGCGTGGGAGCAAGTCGAATCAGACTTCAAAAAACTCATGTCACATTCGAAGTCAGACCCACAATTCGAGAAGTTCATGACTGACGTTGGTAATATGGTTCAGAAAATGCTCACTGACCCAGAATTTTTCGATAATGTTCAGGGCAAGATCGACGAACTCAAGGAGAAATCGAGCCAGTTGAACAAGGAGACCGGGTTCAAAGACGACTTTGAACAATTCTTCGCATCAAGTCAAAATGCTGTTCGCACGTTGGTTGACGACAAGGATGTGTCCCAAATGTTTATTACAACCAAACGAGTATACGAGACTCTGTCTCCACCAGGAGCACTCACCAATCCAGCTCTGATCAGTGACACCATCAATATCTTCTTACCACTCTTGATCCGGATGATTCAGTACGTGCCAATTCCTCGTCTAGAGGTCTCGATCCCGGAGATGGACCTCTTGTTGGAGAATCTCATCCTTGAACCTGGCCGCACAGTCAACTCAACGTCCTTCTTGCCTTACCGACTATTCGTTTCTACCAAGAACGACCTTGAGCTTAGAAAAGCACACTCCAAGAAAGTCGTTACAAAGACCAAGTCCTTGATGAGCGTCTCAATCAACGGACTGTCGTTGTGTGCGCAAGATCTAGGCTTCTGGCTTCGTGGTCATGCTGGGTTGTTCCGTTTTGCAGACGAAGGTATCGCCAGCTTCTACCTCGATGAACGCGGTATTGATATCACAATCGAACTCGAGATTGGGCGAGAAAAGCTTGAACAGATTTTGACCTTGAAGGGTGTGCGTGTACATATCCACAAGCTCGATTACACGCTGAGAAAGAGCAAGCTGAGTTGGCTAGGCTGGCTCTTTAAGCCTTTGATCAAGCAGATGGTCCGAAGAGCACTTGAAAAAACACTTGCGGAGCAAATTGCGGATTTCCTGCATGCAGCCAACAGAGAGCTGCTCTATGCTCGAGAAAGACTGCGAGCTACACGTATCGCTGATCCTCAAGACGTTATGACGTTCTTCAGGGCTGTGATGGCCAGACTCACACCCGAGGAGGATCCTGACGTCTACACTCGTGTTGGAGTCGACTCTCCCAGCAAAGGGGTCTTCAAGAACGTCTACGCTCCCGGCAGTATTGTCAAGACATGGCATGAAGAGGCATTGCGGGCTGAGGAGCATGTTGAAGAGAACGAAGAGTATGGTGGTGGATGGCGCAATGCTATCTTCGATGTACAGGTTGCTTGAGATTGTGCTCACGAGGTATAACATACGCGGAATGGAATGCGTGAAACACGGGCAGGCTGTATCTTCTCTTTCTTCGATCTGGGCGTCCTCAATTAGACCATCTCGGGCGGTATTGGCTCCAAAGGTCTTGGCGTACTGTCAGGTCTGGAAGCGTCTAATAGTAGCACAAACAATAGCTTTTTTGATGAATAGTCTACAGTGGCATGTTAGCAAAATCTACTTCTTTGCGAAGTATACACGGTCGTAGTTGTCACACTGGTAGAAATCCCTCGTCAATGCGGAGGACTTTTAATGCTTGCTTAGACAGCTGAACGCCGTTGGAACGTGACCGCGGCGAGGCTGATTGAATGCTCCACGCGCCACGAATCTTGTCTTGCATAACTCTTTGAGTCCTATTCTTCTCTCAAGTAGGTAGATCGTAACGGTTGAGGTCTCGACCAAACACCATGGACCATTTATGAATATGTTGTTTAGAATGTCTCGTTCTCTCTACCACAACATATTCTCGCAAGGTTTTCCGTCGCTCTTTACTTGCACAGCATCCGGTTAGCACCTGCCAAACTCACAGTCAGCGCGTCTTCTGGACCTCGAGCTTGCTTGTTCTGCTCTGCACCACGACTTTTCAGGTGGTTTATCGAGCACCTCTAGGTGTTGTCGTTCGCTGCCCATATTCCGTACAGGTCCGGCAAACATTGCTGTTTCCAGATTGCCCATTTACGCGTTGGACTACACAAACTCAACCTGTTCATGCCACACGACATTCAGTTCCGACTCGCTTCTGTGAATTTACGGTATGCCTCCATCCAAGAAGACGGAGATGGCATTTATGGGCATGATGGAGAAATTCTTCGAAAGTCATTCCCAGTGTGACTGCCCTGACTGTCGAGCTTCTACGAGGAGGTTACAGAAACTAGCCGCCAAAGCTGCCGACAAACGAGTCGACAAGGAGAACGTCTCGCCGTCGCCGTCCATGAGCAACTCGAAACCGGATGCTGACGGGCACTACTGTCCTGATCATAAACCACCACCACCCTTGAAAAAATCAACCAAGGACAAGGACAAGGACAAAGAGAAGTCGCTCAACTCTTCCGCCGCTGCACAATCAAATCGAGCCGATAAGGTTAATAGTCTTCTCAAGGCCGACTCAAACGATGCTGTATTTTCAGTCTTCAAATCGATCCCCACTACAGCAGACGAGACCAAACTGGCAACTTCAATACAGGTTGCAACTAAGGAGTGCAAAACGTTTGCTGAGAGCAAAGCCAAAATCATCTCGTACTGCCACGATGACAGCGTGGATTTGGATGCAGTGTTCGGCTTGTTGGCCAAAGTTCGTCAAGAAAGAGGAATTCTTACTTCTGCTATTATCAAGTCTAACTCTGAAAGGGAGAAATACCTTGGGGCAATACATGAAGTTGATGAGCTGATGGTGATGCTGAGAGATGTTGCCAAAGATGGAAAGAGTACAGGTTCGGAAGGCATGCGTAATGGGCTGGGCAATATGATCTACAAGATCCATGAGTTAGCTACGAACCCTTCCTCGCTTTACGATGAGCTCATGGAGCTGCGAGAAGACTTCTACGACCTACAGGCTGACTATGAGGAGCAAAGAGACAAATTTCTGGACATTGAGTCGTGCCACGAAAAGCTGCATGAAGACAAGAAGAGATTACAAGAAGATCTTGCATGGGAGAAACGAGATCACCTCGAGACAAGGAAGAGAGTCAGCGCCATAAGCGGAACTCAAAATCAGATCCATCAGACCCGTGACAACCTCGAAAAGGTTCGAGACGAAAACACAGAATTGAGAAAGGAACTCGAGAAACTCACTGGCGAACTCGCAAAGATCAATGCCTTGAAGCACGAAAACACACAGCTGAAGAAGAAGTTGGCTGTAGCAGAAGCCATCAAGCCTGAGGCAGAAGTAGAGCAAAAGCTGCCAGATACAACGACGTCAGGCAAGAAGAAACGTAGCAAGAAGCTCGGCAACGATACAAATCCTACAGACGACGCCACGACTGCAAACTCGAATGTCGACAATGCGCACAAGACAGACTCAGACCACAAAAAGGAAATTAAAGCTCTGCAGCAAGCAAAGGCTGAAACACAAAGCCACCTCGACAACGCTCAGACGGGTCTCAGGCAGTTGGAAGCACTACTTAAAAAGGCAGAAGTAGCAAAGACAAAGGCTTTAGAGCGTCAACAGATCGAACAAGCCACAGCACAGAACTGGAAGGAGATGAGTGATGGTCACTTGGAAGAGAGCAATCGCTTGAAACAGCAACTGGACGACTCCATGACTCATGCTGCCACCTTGCAAGAAACCGTGCACCGGCTAGAGCAGAGTGTTTCCAATGTCAAAGACCAGCTAACAGCACAGTCGCAAAAGAGGTCGTCAAGCCCGAGTGTGCAATCGCAGACTTCAACTACTTCAAGATCCGATCACGAGAGCCTTCGAATGTTGCGAAAACTACGAGGTGAAACGGCACAGCTCGTACAAGATTTAGATAGCGCAAAGAGCTACCCCGGAGATCCCTGGAACGTGGTTGAATGTACACGAAACATGGTTGCTGCCATTGATCATGACCTCGAAAGCATACTAATCACCTCACGAGACTCTGATATGCCCAGCGCGATGTCGGACTTATATTTGCCATATCTGCGCAACGATACAGGACTACCGTCTCCCATAGGTCCATCCCGAACCAGAGATCCGACTCCACCGCTCTCGATACCCAGAGGCCGAAATCCGCCTTCGTCTTACCATCGACCGTTGTTGCCGCCAGGTCTAGCCGATCCCAATTTAGGTCGAGCATCACCAGCCCCAGTGCACCTTCCATCGCCAATTGGTACTGGCCGGCCAATGAAAGGTCAGACACCATCTCCCACACCAGCTTCAGCAAAGACAGTCGCATTCACTACACCTAGCTCTGCTGTTCTGGGTAATGGTGCTGCCGGAGTTGATTGGAGCATATGGACAAAGAGATGATATCCGCGACTAGACTTTCGTTCGATGAAAAGAGAGGAAGCAATGGTTACAATCAACCAAATTTAGGCCTCGTTATTCGGACATACGTGTTCTACTGTCATAGCTGTTCCTGTCGAAAGGTTCCATCTGTAACGATACTCGTCAACGACCATATGAACGACGTCCGTCACAGGTCGAATAACTTGTGGTTCATGGCTTAGTATATTGTGGCAAAGTAGAAAGTTTTTCGTACGGCATTACATTGTGATATGAACTTTCAGCTTAGTCAAACTAGCTCAAACTGGTAGCTCGGCATACTACTATGTCGATCTAACTAGCATGCACATCACTATAGACAAGGTTTCTGCTTTTGATCTGCTCGTTTCCTTCCATACACAAGCGAGAGTGGCTGTTCTCCATGTCAGACTTGACATAGATACGTGTACTGTATTGCCTCCCATATTCCTCCCTGCTACGACTAGCAGAGTGACAGTGAGGTAGTAGAGCGACTCATGCACATGATGCCAGTTCACGTCGACTTGTGCCTAGCTTGTTCCAACCAACGGTAAGGACGCGAAATGCTGGTGGTCAAATTGACACAAAGACTTTAGTCAATGGCATTGTCTTCTTGTAACTTTGAAATTGAATGTCTGGTCATATCGACCATCTTGACTATGCCACAGACAATGTGTCGGCCATTGTCATGCTCCGTCTTTTATTGTGAGCTCTTTGCTGAACAACAGAGAGATGATCGTATATTGACACCAGATCCTGGATTGTAAGCTTGCAGAAGAGTATCCTCGACCGTACATAAAAATGCCTTCCTTCTCCCGCTGAGAGTTCTGCCAGATCAAGACTACCAAAGAACAACAGAGCACGTATACAAACTTACCAGTATAATACCGTACAACAAACGGACAGATCACAAACCAGCAGCTGAATACAACCCTTACCTTATCTCATCTCACACATCACACATATATATCTCCCCCAACAACAACAAATAACAATCATGGGCTGCGTAATGTCCCGCCCAGATCCCACCTACCACCTCCACGCCAACATCCGCCACCGAGCTCGCCGCCGAGGACCCGGTTCCAGCGACTTCCGGCAGCGTGGAGTGCGCCATCGGTCGCGCAACTACGATCGGCCGCGCCGGGTAGAGCGCGTCCGTGACCGGCAGGATAACGCATGGGAGGCGGAGGAGGAAGATCGGATTTGGGAGCTGGGGATTACACCGCGCGTTGGACATGATAGTCGGCCGGGATGGGTGCCTCCTTGGTGATGGGTGCTTGGTGAAGCAGGGGTGCTGTAGGTATGTTTGACAAGTAGGCTGACAGTATAGATGTATATCATTGCTTTTGATGGAATGGAGATATAGTAATTGAAATTTAAGAATACAGCACAGTTTTCGTTTTGGTTTTCCTAATTTCAGGGTCATTTCTTGCTCGGACCGCACTTGCCGTTGACGTTGCTAAATCTGCCTGGGTTTTGAGAAGATATCGTCCTCGTCGTTCACATTCGCAGTCACTCATGCCTTCGTATTATCACTATACTGTGGCTGTGACCAAGGCTTCAGGAGCCTCAGAGTTCTGAAGCGATACAAATCTGAATGCCTGAGACACAGTGATTGGTACCCAACAGAAAACACTGCTTAAAAGACAGGAATAGTAGCATATTGTGCATGACGGTCTTCATATTCCGCGCGACCCATAAGGAAAAGTCTACCGTTATCTCGGTCGAATTCGTCACGCGACCAAGATCTCTTCTTGATGTATAAGCCACACCTTGAACAAAATCGATAGGTAAAAACTTGAAATTCCACAATGATACTGCCGGGATCCGCGTATTTTTATGCATCGTACAGGAATGTACATTGTGGCACACAAGTCACACCAGTGCAGGGAGGCGCGGCTGGGATACCGCCAAGCGAAAATCTTTCATTTGCGGTCGGAGCCTCACTTTACTTGGCGAACTCAGCACCCAATAACCTTTCCACACCTGCGGCTTTCACCTGTTTAGAGTTGAAGCGATGTTTTACTTTGTACTTGTTGGAGCAGACAAGCACTGATCTGCGTCATGTTCACGACGTGGCTCGGTTTTTTTTATCCTTTAACTAGGATTTTATGCAAGGGTTGGTCGTGTGCTTCTCGTATGTCCGTAGGATCTCACGGGTTTTGAGAGCCGCAGGTGCGATGCGTCGACTCCCCTGGTATCCGTGATTGACAACGATCATCATCATCTTTCTGTTTAGCAGGCGTCCTTGATTCTCGTTGTCTTGCTTTGACTGCTTTCTAGTACCTGCTTTTGCCTTGTAACCCTCACACGACCCAAGCTTTTCATTACAGCCTTGTTTGTTCGCAACACCCTTGTAGCAGCGTTTGTTGGGTGCCTGACCTGCTACTTCGTCATATCGACTGGTCCAACGATCACCGAAACACCACAAGACGAACCTTCCTCAGTCATCCCGATATAGTCTATTGTAATAGTCCACCACTTGGTCAGCGCTGGTCGCGTGACCGTCCCATCTCGCTCCTAGCCAACACTACCCCTTCCGAGACAAGCCGACGCAGCGGTATATGATCGTCTCGCTGTGAGATCATGACAATTGGGGTGATCGATATGGCCCTGAGCAACAACACAGCCGCAGCACAACCACCAGAATGGAAGAGCAAAGGGATGTTTCAGATGCCTGACTGGGCTGAACCAGTAGTAAGCCACCAAATCTTTCCAAGAAGAGACCACAGACGAACTAACTCCTTGCTAGATCGTCCTTACTATCCTCTGCACGTCCATGTTCATGACCCGTCGGAAAGGATTCAGCATATTTGGCAGCAAGCATGGTTATCAAGCCTTACCTCTCGATCGTGGCGAGTTCGACTCTGACAGCGCCCGTTCCTCTGACGATCTCCTCTACTATGATGTCGACAATGAGAATGACGCCCAAGATCCGATTGCGTCTTTGAAACAGCTTCCGAAAAAGAGAGATTTGTGGTTTGGGCTGAAACTGTATACTCCTAATTCTTCGAGATTCGCCAACCATATACACTCTCGGATCCTGCAGAAATTCCCTTTCCTGATCGAAATGTTCTACTGGATAATAACATATCTTTTTTATCGAATGACGAAAGTCGTCAGCGCGGCTATATTTCACCAAGACAAAATCTGGGGTGTCGCACAACAGAATGCGCTCCGTATACTCTGGTTTGAACATGACAGTCCTTTTGCGTGGATGTTTCCAGTCAAGGAGCATGATGTGCAGCATTGGTTCATGGATGGACATCAGGCAGGCTTGACCTTTTTGAATCGGGCGTATGCGCTGATACATATTCCAGGAACTGTTGGGTGAGTGAACATGCAATCCCTAACAAAATGAGCCAAATACTAACCTTGTCAGCTTTATCGCATGGTACTATTACATCGCACCGAATCACAGCATTTTCGCCATTGCTCGACGAACACTCACCTTAACGAATCTTTTTGCTTTCATTACATTTACTTTTTTCCCAACCATGCCACCTCGCCTATTACCGAAAGAGTACGGCTTTCTTGATACTGTTCGACATGACAATGCCGAGAGTATTTGGATGAGGGGTGATGTTGTCAACTCGCTCGCTGCTATGCCTAGCATGCATTTCGGTAAGTTCTCATCAGCCACTGCAACGAAACTCGGCTGACATTGACTCTCTAGGCTACGCATTTTGCATAGGCTGCACCATGATTTTCCACTCTGGAGTTTTCCGTCGTACTCTCATCAAAGGCGAAGTCCGCAAATCTTTACCTTGGAAGGCGTTCTATATCTTCATTGCCATCGGATATCCAGCGATGGTCTTATCAGCGATTGTGGCCACAGCCAACCATTACTGGCTCGATGCTATGATGGCTGTAGTGGTTGCGAGTCTGGCATATTTATGTAATCGTGTGTTCTTAATTCTGTTGCCATTGGAGGACTATTTGATTTGGGCGTTGAGATTAGAAAAGCCGATACCGAGCACTGGGGAGCGATTTCATGCTAGGGGTGGGAATTTGTGATACCCAATAGAAGGAGGACTGCTACTTATGAGAATGGTAGCTATTAGAATATACTTTCGCATATAAAATCATAGCTATACTATATGTACGGCTGATCTTGAAGTTCAGATGTGCAGTTCTATAGGACGTCATAGCATATCATGATCTCGTTCCAAATTCATCACGATTCTGGTAATCGTGACAAGTTTACTGTCTATTGTGTTTCGGTCTTGGAACAGGTCTCTTAGTGTCAAGTCCAGATCTGTAGAAGACTTTGAGTCCTGAAATACTGTAGTCAAAGCACAACCCCACTCACTCGTTTACTTCCCAAAACCATCCACCCACCATGGCACCAAACAGCTACTCCCTAGCAACTCGCCTCCCTCTCCCTCTAGCCACGAACAACAACCTCACCATCCCAGCCATCCACCTAGGCGTCTACCTAATGTCCAGCCGCGAAGCCTCCCGCGCCGTACGAGCCGCCCTCTCCTCCGGCTACCGCGCCATCGATTCCGCCCAAATGTACCGCAACGAACGCGACTGCGGCAAAGCAATCAGCGACTGGCTCGGCGACAGCTCACTCAACACCGCAGGTCTACGCAGGGAAGACATCTTCTTCACATCGAAACTCGCGAGTAATTCGACCGACTACGATACGGTGCGAAACTCGATTCGGCAGAGTATCAAGACTTGTGGCTTGGGGTATATTGATCTTTTCCTGTTGCATTCGCCGTATGGTGGGAAGCAGGCGAGGTTGACGAGTTGGAGGGCGGTGGAGGATGCCGTTGCGGACGGGGAGATCAAGATTGGCGGAGTGAGTAATTTTGGGGTCAAGCATCTTGAGGAACTTGTTGCGTCGAAGCCGCGGACTTTGCCGGCTGTGAATCAGATTGAGGTGCATCCGTTTAATACGAGGACGGGTATTACGGAGTTTTGTCAGAGTAAGGGGATCGTTGTTGAGGCGTATGCGCCGTTGGCGAGGGCGTTGAGGATGAAACATCCTGTTATTGCGGAGCTTTCGAGGAAGTATTCTTGTACTCCTGCGCAATTGATGGTGAGGTGGTCGCTTCAGCATGGATTTGTGCCGCTGCCGAAGAGTGTGAGTGAGGAGAGGATCAGGGCGAATGGACGAGTTGAGTCCTTCGAGATTGAAGGTGGTGACATGCAGAAGATGGATGGATTGGATGAGTATCTGGTTACAGATTGGGATCCCGTAGATGCACCATAGTTGAGGTGTCATCAGATCGTGGAATGTATTTTCTGTTTGAGGTGAAATACCACGCAAGGCTCTTTCAGCGCTCCAAGCCCTGTCCAGCTCTACGAGCTTCCATCTCTTCCTTCTTTGCTCTGCGTTCCCTCAACATTTCGATCTTGGCTTCAAAGGTTCTCCTCTGCCTATTCAGCAAAGCTTTACGATCGTCCAACAATGCAATCTGTTTAGCGATTTCAAGCGACCGTCGACGAGATATTGCACCATTGATCTGTGTACTATTCTGCGGCGTTGTCGATGCTTGAAGCTTCTCGGGGGTGGATAGGACTGGTGCCGCACTTGATTCAAGCTCTTTTTGCGCGAATTTCTCTGGCTCAGCCAAAAGTCCTTGCGCAGCGTCGGCAATTTTCTTGCGCTCGTCGACCTCTTGCTTCGTACTTTTCAGTTGCGCACCCAGGATAGCACAAGACGCAACCAGAACAGAGACTGCAACTGCTCGGACTAAGAATTTGCGCCGTCGTATTAGAGATTGGAGGTATGACTCCTGTGCTGCTGCTTGAGTGTCTACAGCTGGTGTTGATGGAGTCGAGTTCGGTACACTGCTGGGTCGTGGGATGCGAGGACGAATGCGAGCGATAGGTGGGGGAGGTCGAGGGGATGAGATGGGCATTGTGGTTGTTGTAGCTACCGTAGATCCATTGAGATTTGTATGAGTGCTTGAGCTCCTAAAGCATCAGCAGAAGCTCAGCAATATTATTTTGAAGCACTGGAAGAACTGTATCAAATCAGTTTTAGAGATCGACATTGTCCTGAGTTGTTCTCCGATATGCAGCCTTTCCACTCACATGCTTCCGCGACGAGGCTGTACAAGGGACAAGGAACACGGAGACACAATACGCAGCGACGACGAGATCATTGTATGCCACTTTCAAGTTCTGCTTGATGCACGTTTCCATGTAAGGTAGCTCAAGAACCCATCTGCTACAGCTACCATGGCAGACGAGCCAGGCGCCCTCAACTGGCGACTAAGCGCACATCCCATCACCCTCCTCTGCTTCCTAGGCTTTCGAATAGGTACGTCTACACCCAAACACCCAACAACAACAACAACAGTGTCTACCCTCGTCGCGCAACCACCAAACAGTAGACCAACGTCCTTCTCTAACCCTCACCAGGCTCCCTCCTCCTCTACCTCTTCGGCGTCCTCTTCATCCGCTCCTTTATCCTCGTCTTCATCTTCACCCTCCTCCTCCTCTCCATCGACTTCTACTACCTCAAGAACATTGCCGGCCGCCGCCTCGTCGGCCTCCGCTGGTGGAACGAAGTCAACACCACAACCGGCGACAGCAAATGGGTCTTTGAGTCCGCTGCCGCAGAACGTCAGCCAAATCCTACAGACAAGCGGTTCTTCTGGTTGAGCATGTATGTTGTGCCGGCGTGTTGGGTGGGGTTGGCGATATTGGCGATTTTGAGGCTGCAGAATTTTATTTGGTTGGTTACGAATGGTGAGTTGAGGATAAAAGCTACGAGCTACAATCTTTTAGGCTGGGTGGGCACATTCCGGTTTAGAGGTCAAGAAAGCTAACGACTCTCTTTCTAGTCATTGCATTAATCCTCACAATCACGAATACCGTTGCCTTTTCACGATGCGACAAGTTCAGTCAAGCGAGCAGTTTTGCAGGAAGTGCGTTCTCAGCAATGCCGGGGAATGTTGCAGGCCGCTTAGCTTCCAACATGATGGGGCGGTTCTTCAAATAAAGAGGTCGAGTCAGAAGTTGTCAGTTTTATCAACACATCTAGACCATGGGCTGAATCAATGTGATCAATTTTCAGGTGGAAAAGTGAGTATGGAGAATGAGTACTATTCTCAATTTTGAGATGCTTTACGTCTTGCCTGTTCTCTGGTGCAGTCAGGTCTGTCCTTTTGATCTGTACCCATCATCACGTCTTATGGCAAGGTGTGTGGAGTGGCTCTGCAAGTCGAGCATTGTTCACAACCTGGTCACTTCCAGAGATCCATTTGAGGTCTTCTTTCTTGTTGTCCCATGACAGACCGCGTACGCTGTTTTGCTTCAATCGCAAGTCCAGTGAGCCCCAGATGACAAGGGCTGTCTCTCTAAACTCGTCTGCGCCTCTGCTAGCTAACAGCTACGGTCATTTCTGCTATTACACGACAGGTCTGTTTCAAGAGGTCGACGTTGGCCCACAGGCACTTCTCCGAGTGTACAATCGTCATATATTGCGACACCGTCTATTGTCTCAGATCAAACGCAATCAGTGAGCGAGTTCCCGATATGTGACATACATTGATTTGGGAGGTCTATCATGGCATTATCCAACCTGCCAAGCTTCGCAAGCTTCCCGCGTAGTCCTTGGCTTTCGTAGTATCTCGCCTATAACGTGAACAAGTCGACGGATCGTCTAGCTGTACAGGCGCTCGAAAGCGAAGAATCTTTATAGACAAAGGAATGCTTTGTAATCTCCAGTCCTGCCGAACCAGACTCTTTCATCCCAGTCATCAACACCTTCGTGGCCCGGCACGACGTGATGCGGAGAGCCTAGCCACAATCCGCTCCACAAGCCTGCCTCTAAACGCGGAGAAGCGAGCCATTCGCAGCTACCAGCAACTCCGTGGCAAATCATCTCATGCAAGTCTATGACCCCTGTACCGAAACTAACTCTCAGTCACGAGGTAAATCATGTCCACTGTCGTTTGACATCGTGCGTTGCTTGCACCACCGATTTCAATGAAGATTGAAACATGCGGGTCAGGAACTTCTCGCTACCCACCATGACGGCGACTCCAGAGCCGACGTTTGACGAAAGGTACCTCAACGAGGCCTTTGCTGTCCTTGACACTGCAGAGTCCCGTGAGACTAGCAAGGATTCTAACCGTGCTACAGTCGACGATTTAGAGCAACATACACACAACATTACCAGGTCGAGACTTCTCGATGATTGTGAAAATGCGATCGCAAATTTGCCGCTGAATGTTGTAGACTTCTTGCTAGGTGTTTTCGATCAGATCTGTGACTCTTTCCTGCCTGCACCACTGTGGCAAGCACCAAGTACGCCAAGTAAGAAATCACAGAGCGAGCGCAAAGATCAAGATGTGGTTCTGCGAAGCTTGAAGATCGTCTCGGCTGCTAGACTAGCGCTGGCAAGCCATTCAAGTTCTAAGGATCAACAGCTGAAAGTGAAAGTGGAAAGACTGTGTCGCGCAGCGAGCAGGTATCTCGATAGTGTGCCACAATATGATAGGCTGGAGGATATCGAAGCACTACTACTTCTAGCCGAGCTCGAGTACGGCCACAACCAGAATGCTGCTGCTAGAACAAGGCTGGAAAACGTCGTTACCGCTCTGACTGAATCAACCCGAATGCGCTCGGGTCTGATATTTGGTCAGAGTGTAGTACTGGTTAGGAGGCGTAATGCTTTGCGGACTGCCATGATGATGTTGCACTGGTACTTCCACGAAATTCCAACTCCTCTGCAGGATCTGAGGGTTGAGCCACGTCCCGAAGATGACGAGACACCTGCAAGTACAGAGGAGTTATTTGTGACATCCCAGCTAAGACTGGCTTCGCTTCATCACCGACTCAGGAGTTTTCTTGATGCTCAGCCGTCGGTCGACGAAAAGACATGGGAAGTTTGTGAGCAAGCATCAAGTGCGTGGTATGATGACTTGAGAAGTCAGTCAAAAGTCCTCGATAGCTTGACAGATGATGCACCAGTCAATTATTTTGTCTTTCATCAGCAATACCTCACAACAAGAATATTGCTGTCGAGGTCGCACGAACGGCTATACAAGAGGCGGTCTGGCGTCAAGTCTCTTTCTGCCCAGCGAGAGCTTTGGACTTGTCCAGCCAGTGCCAAAAATGACGCAGTCAGGATCGCTTCCAGTCTGAGGAATTATGGTCAGAAGCATCGCTTCAGGGAGGCTCCGTTGAGCTTCGTTAACCATATTAGTGCTGCGGCTGATGTTGTCCTGAGCGCAACAGAAGCTGCCAGCGGCGAGGACGATCGTAATGCTTACTTGCACGTATCGAGCTTTCTCCTGGGAGTACTCAAGTACATGGCTGAGGTGCATGTCAGAGCTGGAACTTTGGTAGAAGCGGTTCAGGAACGTATGAACAGTGTAATTCAACATGGTCTGACAAGATCGAACTCGATAGCCGCACCTTTTGAGGGCACTTCGACATACGCGAATGACAGTCATTTGTGGCAGTGGACTCGGTATAATGTCGCTGAAGAATTTGCACATGGTGCAGTGTCATCGGAACCTGAGCGACCACATAGTGTGATTGGACTGTTGCAGACTTCCCCTCAAGGGAAGACGAGGTGGCCATTGGCCAGACAGGCGTCGGTTCCTACAAGGCTATCACCACATCCCGAGGTTTCTGTCGAGGACTTGATTACACCAAAAACTTCATACCATACGACGAGGGAGGACAGTTCGACGATTGGACTAGAGGACGAAGAGGAAGTGATTGGAAACGCGACCTAAACCACATCAATGCTGATTTCTGAGATCTCTGTAAAATGTCAGCTTCACTCTTCAGACCACATAACGAACCTCTAGATCAGCTCCTGATCTTCAAAGATAGTGGATAGATGGTTGCGGCCGACAATACTCACTCGAGATACTGCCGCTCTCGTCTGACATAAATTTGGTTTCAAAGTTATACATGTACATACATGGCGAAGGAGGGCGTCTGGATTGATGCAAGACATCTTGACAATCCGACACACAGGCAGTCTGGAGTACGGGTCACCGATGCTGTGAATCAATAGATGAGAAGTACAGGGGATTTTTGTCAGTCGATAGGTAAACCAGGCAGTAACGAGCGTTATGAATGAGCACAAGGTAATTATAGCAGGAATAGTTTTGGTATATAGTCAAATAAGCCGTAATAAGTGTATAATTGAATGACCAAAAATAGGAAGTCACGTCCCACGAGATGAAGTGTACGGCTGTATCTGCATACTCAACTTTGTGTTTATGTACTCTTGTCACCATGTGAATCTACAAATAAAGAATACCTGGGCTATGTAGCTAGCTGTATCACGTACCAACCGTCGACCTCTTGTCCCTGCAAGGTTACTTGGACCACGTCGCCCCTTCTGTCCCAATCACAAAATAAATACTCAACTGGCAGCGTGCCAGGAGGAGTTGTACATCGCTCTACAGCGTGCGATGCGGTGTGTCTGTTCATTAAATGTGACACCTTCGATCTATACCTGAACACCTGAGTCTGCAACATTGGATGTTCATACATCAATCATTTCACATTACCAACAAATGAAATGTGGCCAAAGCGAGCCCAAATCTCAGGTCAGGCTCTCGACCTTGGATTTCGCTCACTCTCAGTCGTTGTCACCGGGCAAGCCCAACTTCCTCATCCATCACCAATGGGTCTCTGTCGAGTGTCGGTACTATGCCGCTTTCTATTCGGGGAGGCCTTGATGGGATCTTGGTCAGTGGCGCAGTATTCGAGTTCTCGGTCGTGTCGTTTTCAATATTGGGTTCTAGCTGTGGCTGCTCCGTTGAGTCTAAAGGTGTGACAATTTGTTGTGATGGCTTGCTGTCATCATCTTCGCTAGTAACAGTGTACTCGACTGTGCGTCCGTTCTGTGACTCATCCTCATGCATACGAGGTGTCGAGTGTGTCGTTCGCTCTCCTCTTGCTTCATCCTCATGCACCGAGCTTTGCTGGCTCGCTTGCCGACTACTTCCTTCCTTATCTTCAGTAACAACAGGCAACATTGTGCCCGCCCTTGTTGCACTCTCGGCAGTCAGCAGCGTCCGATCCGGCTTTTCTGCTTCACTCGCTAACCGTCCTTTCCGGTCATCTGTCTGTTTGTCGGCCGACTTCTCCGCAGCTTCCAGCGTTTTCTCCACTTCCACATTGTTCCGCGGACTGTGTGGTGTAAAAGAGTGATCGACCTGACCGTCTACATTTGAATGTGCTCGGGATCTGTGTCCTGGTGGAATATGATGGTGGTGTAGGACGTTATGTGCGTCGATCTCTGTGGATTGGTGACCTTGTTGCTCAGCACGTCTTTCAGCTTCCTCCTTAGTCGTCATAATGCCTGTCATAAAATTCAAGAAACGCTCTCCATAAGGTTGTGGAGGGATAGGGCTGATTTGGTGTCGATTGTCTTTGAGACCTTTCCAGAAATGTTCTCCACGTTTGATAAAGCCGTACTACACAATCAGTATTTTGCACACAAGGATGAAGCAGAACACTTACATGAGTTAGGCAGTCTATGACACCAAGATAATAGACTGTTTCTCCTGGGCGTCCATCTTCATGTGTCGCGCGGATGCCACCATCGTCGCTGTAAAAGATTCGATTGTGCCTTTGATCACCAGCAGACAGATACTCCGGCATCTTGGCCGCCGTCAAGCCCATCGGCATTGGTTTCTCTTTCTTGAGTGTCTCTCGCAGCTCCTTCGCTTTTCTAGCATTTTCTAACCTACTAGGAGTTCGCATCAAGTGAGCAGGCAAGTCTTCCGTATCTTTCTCACCTCCAGGCTGGAAGACCTTCAGAGTTTTCTCGCGCACATTTGCATCGTTGCCAGTTTCTAGGTCGTGAATGCCGACCAGGAGAGAATAATCCATAATTTTTAGTCTCTGCAATAGCCTGACATCTCGCTGTAGTTGCTCGATAAATATCTCGCGTAAGCGTTGATCAAATTCTAGATGCATATCTCGACGAAGCCAGTTCAAGTCCTTAAGGGTTGCTCGAGGATTTGTCTCCAAAGTCTCTTCTTTCAGATCCCGACCAACGGTTGAACCTTTCAGGTCGTAAGTCTGGTGGATATCTCGATGTGGCGGGAAGAGGTTGTTCATCACCACAAAATGAATTTTGCGACCGTAGGCGACTTTCACGCGATGCAGACCATAGAATTGACTGATCAGGGTATTCGGATTATCGCGGACGTGTTGATAATAGTCTTTCAGGATCTTTCGTAATAGCTTGTGCTCGGCATGATGTATTGTTTTGATGATATACTTGTAGTCCCTCGAAAAGTAGAAGAACGAACCTGATTTCCCAGGACTTCCGAGCTCTGACAAGATGTACTTACTCGTCAAACTCATAAGATAGTCCGCCGGGTCCAGGCCAAAGATAGCGCGCAGATGTCGGAAGACCCAAGGACTATAGTCCTTGAATTTGAAGTCGTACTTTGCACTCGGTGTCAGTTCACTGCCTGTAACATCAAAACTCATCTTGTGCTGAGTGCCAAAGTCGGCGTCGGTAAGATCGCGGTCCATCTTTGCATTCGTGCGAGAAACAGTAAATCGGATACCAGTTAACATATTGTAAGCGGTCACCCAATTCATATGACCTTCCTCAACTCTCTTGCCGACTATCACCCTGTCATCGTCCTCCTCTTGACGTTTGCGACGACTGGCACGCTTCTGTTTGATGGCTTCAGTCCACCGTGCTGCATCCTCATCTGGTGGCACTTCGTCTAAGTGTGCGTCAGAGGCACCGCGCGTGGTCCTCCTCACCATGCCTAGTGATGCTCTACGTCTGCGAACAGTATTGCCATCGTGGTCTCGTGTAGGAGAGAAGCGTCCAGAACTCGCCAGGACCTCTTCCGAGGGACCGGAGGTATATGAAAAGTCTCTTGAAGGGCGGGCTGCAGTTGGAGCGACCTGTGGGATGTTCAAAGTGTGCCTCTGAGTCAATCTCTGAGAGTCTGGAAGTTTCGAAGGTTCTAGCTGTGGTTCCTCCGCTGAAGGGATCGGGGTCATGATGGGTGGTTGGGATGACAGCTGTGTAGACGTGCGAGCGTGGGAGCGAAAGGATGAGGCCTCACCATCATCCAACTCAGAGTCATTCTGTGTGGCCAGACTCTGAGTTCGTGTCGAAAGCTCGGGAGCAGGAGTATGTAATGTGCCCTTCATTCGTTGTGGCTCAGCTGCATTCTCAACATTGGACAGTCTGGAGACCTGTTCGGGCGATGTGCTGTACCTGCCAAACTGCTCGCTAGCTCTGGGTGTTTTAGTGGATGGGTTGCTGCTGGTCAAAGACGGTGGTCTATCTTTCCCAGGCTTCAAGTTTCCGTTCATCAGAGAGTTTTGACTTCCGCTCCTCAGATTCTTGATCTGCTCCAGTCTGTGGCCTGGCAAGCCCGTCTCAACGTCTGTGCCATTGGTGTATGCGAACACTCCTGAGATTGTCTTATCGTTGGACTTGCGGGAAAGGTCAAAAGATGAATTGGTGCTGTTCGGTAGGACTGATAGAGGTGCCTCAGCCGACAGGCCCGGCATGACAACAACTTGTACAAACTACCCTGCACGATTCCTTCTATATCAAAACCATCATCTGAGACAGTCTGAGGAGCATAACTGAGGCGCTCGTTTGCTTCGATGCGTCGTTTAGGAACTAGTGCCTTGTCGTGGTTAGGCGGCCGGTAGATCGGAAGTAGGGAGAGGTATCTGGGCTAAGGACGTCGCTGTCTATAATGCTATGGTGTTTGCACGGTATATGTTTCGACTACCTAGAATGGGGGACGTCGAATGCGCGGGCAAGACTGATGAATAGCATGGAAGCACCTGAACGGGAGGTCCCAGACGTTGCCAAGGTTAGCGCCAATCTCCCGATCCTGGCGCAGTCTTACTTGCGACAACAGCAAAACTTCGGAATAACTTCTATTCAGTGCAGTTGAGTTATTGGACTACCAAGGGAAGATGAAAAAGTTCTGCAGAATGCAACTCTTCATTACTATGGTGCACAGAGCTGGCTGTCTGCGACTACCTACTCCTTTTCACTCTGCAAAGATTTACTGGTTCTTGAGCCTCTGACGTAGATCCTTCCACGCCTTCTAGGCGTAGATAATCATAAATTCAGCCTCGTGATGGACGAAATGGGCGTCCGCCTCAACCATGAGCTATCGTTGACAGTGCGATCAATTCTTCGTGAACCACAGGTCAGCTTGCTCATTCTTCTTCTCTACCACACATACAGTGTTACGTCGCTGCTAGATGATAGGATTGGTTACTGTAGCATCCAGCATGATTCTTGAAATTTGTCGTGGCTTGTCGTTCCCCAACTATGGAGGTGTTACCGGCAGGAGCCCATTTCTGTTTCTCAACTCACACTTGTTTCATTGATTGGGCTTGATCTTGTGCCGACAGCTTTGACTTAGGTACTCTTCACATTTCCCTCGAGATCGCCGAAGCACGGCTAAGTTTCAGAACCATAAAGGTCATATCTTCTGCAACCCTTGCGCGTCAGTCTCACATTCCAAGTAAGCGAAGCTCGACGTATAAGCACTATGTTTTCGTCTTCTTGCTCAGCGCTGGTATGTCTTGTTCCTTAGAGTTCAGTCTTAGGTGGCTCCGCATAATCCGACCACGCTGCGGAATCACTGTCCACTCCTGACAACGGATCAGTGCTGTGATGGTGGCTGACGAGAATCTCTGACATCCGGATTGTGCCTCCTTAGAGCAAGTCGAAATCATCCAGCTTGTCCCTGTACTGGAGAACCTGTCTCTGGACCTTCGAGCCATCGACCCATGTGATGAAATCTTCCATTCCTCGACTGACCAGGAAAGCAGGATCAGTGACCACATCTGTTCCAACACGAACGTGACCTTGCTCGATAAATTTGTGTGCAGTTCTGACATGTTCCAGCATGCCGCTTCTGACCATGATTATACCCAGTCGTCTTCGACAAAACGCACTAACAGTAACATCCTTTTCGACCGCGCTCAGTCCTGCGCCCTGTTCACGTGATTGTTTCACGATGCCCATCTGCCATAGCTTCTCGAGGAGGATAGATTCTTGTTCTTTTCGGTAAGGGTCAGAAGGATCGAGGTTGGAGAGCATATGAGCCAGTTTCCTGAGCTTTCCTGCTAAACCATTGTACTTGTCGTAGTCGAGAGGTTCTGTGAGATGATATCGTCTGCGAACATCGGCTGCACGGTGCGATGGTCCATCGGATTTGTAGGTAATAAGGTCAACCTTTCTCAGCAATTTCTGCTCGTGGTGCTTGAGCTTGCGCACCATTCTAAGAGGTTGTGTGACAGTATCTGGAGTTTGTTCCTACTCGGTACGGATGCGCTCTTGAGCGGCAATGTGTAGTATGGCTACATGTGCAGAACACGCAGTAAGATTCGATCATGCACCTAGTGTGGTGCAGGAAAAAAAGTTACTAGGGTGGGGTGCGGCGGAAGCAGCCCTGTGAGACCCACTGATTGGCCTCCACACCCACGTGTTTGCTGACCACGACAACATGTATACCTTGCATCGAGTGGAAAGTCTTCAGAGGCACGTCCTAGCCACGGCTGCGGAGAGAGAAGTGATTGGTCTATGATTGTCTGGTAGGGTTGGTATTTGTGAACACCTTCAGTCACAATTGGGAACCTGAAAATCGTATTGTCGAGGGCCTACGTGATCTCCTTGCCATTTTTATTTAATGGTTAGGTTAGGAGGTGGAAGTCAATGTAGGCTGCGTGCAATCTTTTGACGGCGCTGAGTATCTCCATAACGTTCGGATACACAGAAAATTCAGACAACCTGGAATTTCTGTCCACAGTACATTCGCGACGACTCACCTGTCCTGAGCACTCCGATTCTAAATCAGCAAAGTGAAAACTTAGGAGTTCCCATCTCTCTGGTCGGTCCCATGATCTAGCTGCTGGTCTTGACCACATCTTCATAACCTGTGCAGCAGGGACAAGAAGGTACCAAGACGAAAACGACGAATTTGCGAACACGACATGCGTTCCCGGAGGACTCTTTCGTGTGGAATGTTTGGTGTGCTACTAATATCCATATTGGATTCAAGTTAATGCGGTCCAAGTGGTTGCCAAGTTTAGGCATGTGGGTGGCCCCAAAGCCTAGCCCGGAGCACCATGCGGGAGGGAGAGCTGCAAGCCCGTGGATGACGCGTTCCTGCTCCATCAAGGCTTGATCGGACTCGTGTTGCGTATTGTTACTCCGTAGTAGACCATATGACGCCAGATTGTGAACATTTCAGCAAACATGACAAGCAGTCGTACTGCAAGCATGTATGATATAGACATTAACATGGCGAGATAGCCCGTCACTATTCTCAACTTCATTGCTTGTTAATCTGGCAATATGACTTCTTCAGGCATCTCATCAGGCGCACTCAACGCCAATATGCAAAATGGGAACATGCCAGGACAGGGACAGCCAGTAGTCATGGACGGGGCTCCTTTGAAACCCTCCATTACTCGGTGGGAAACTGCACGGGAGGGAGACGATCAGGCCGTTGAGAATGTGTCTCCTCCAATGGGACAGTTGCTCACTGGCAAGCAAGAGCACTACCTGAAGCGAGAGCTCGTCTCTATGGAAGTCTTTGCTGAGATACAAGAGCTCAACACACCGACAGCATTGCAAAGATTTGGTGCACCCTTCAGATCGCCTTTAGGAGAAGTCTCCCCAGTCGATTCCGAACTACCCATACTGCGTTACATCTTCGTCCACCATGTTCGCAATTTCCCCTTCCTTGACAAAGCCAAGGAGAAAGAGTTCTGGCAAGACAAGGTACAAATCTTTCTCGAGTCTTTCGCAAGTAAATATATTTCATCCTCGGAAGACAGATTGGAGGAGACCAAAAGACGGAAGCTAGCAAAGAAGGCCCACAAGTTGGTCGAGCTGATGATGGTTTCCGGCATACCCACTGCCTCTGGTTATGAGGAGCGTATCAAGTTCGCAGAGATGGAAGTAGTAGACAGAGGTGCCAACGAGCAGGGGTTGATCGCCAATATGCCAGAGGGTAACTACATCAATGGCTGGGACATCAATGTTGCAGGTGTCAGGACTACATCTGTCAAGCGTAGGGTGCGATACCATCAGCATTCTGAATTTCTCATCCGTGTCAAAAAGCCTGATCAGCCAGAGTACTATATCGGCAGGAGATTTGGAGAATTTGCTGCCATGCACAAGCAGTTGCGAACCGAAATGCCTGGCAAAGTACTTCCACCTCTGCCACGCAAGAACAAGTCAAGCACGTTTGCGACTCTGGGCGGAGACGATGACAGTGACGCATCTTCGGTATCTTCTGTCTCTACCATGGACACTACGCACACCGAAGGCCACTCGTCGTCGAGGAATCTGCTTTCCCACCGACGCTTCAAGTCCGGTTCCAGTAGGCGGAGTATTGGCGATCTATCGTCAGGAGCATCGCCTCGTGGTAGCTCCGCGAGCAGCCGTGCCCCAAGTCCAGCACCAATACGCCTGCATCGGGAGGACCAGCGAGTTTCCCTGAGAGCTTTCCTGAGAACAATGCTTCAGAATCCTTACATCGCCGATTCGAGAGCGATAAAAGACTTCCTAAACGCAAGACCTATCAAGCTCAACGAGGAAGAACTTCAAGATGTCGAAAATCGTAAAGAGATGGATGCAAGACGCCTAGAGGAACAGCAGCAATTCTACGACATCGCCCGAAAACGTGCTGCGGAGCTCGATGTGTACATGGAAAAGTTTCGAAGGAGTATTGTCGAGGCAAACGGACTCTCAAAATTATTCGCAGAGATTCGACAGAAAGACAAGATACAAGATCTCAGCCCTGAATATCAGAAATTCGCGGAGTGGCTACGAATAGAGATTGCAGCCACCATCTACCACCTTTTCCTTGCGGAAGACAACTCGCCAGAACTTTTCGCACAAGCAAAACAGATACATTCATTGCTGCCCTACACAGTCATGAAGAACGTCATCCGCATTGCAAATCCTGCAGCTGTCATGTCAGGGGTTCTGGACCTTTTCTTGGCCCAACCTTTTGGCACGAGATCATTGCTCCAGAGGATATTTTCCACGACACTACACAATGGTATTCGTACTCAGCAGAAGTCCGTGGATGCTGTCGCTTCAACTGTAGGCGAGTCTATCTTTGTCCAAAAGTTGCAATCGTTCGTCGATGCTCCAGAGGACATCAAGAATGAAATCCGGGCAGAAGCAGAGAGCGAGACTGTCGACTCAGTGGTTGTGATATTACGGTCAGACCACTTCGAGCCCCCACTAACTCCACCTCAGATTCAGAAGATATTCAATGCTTACGTTGCTTGGAACAGCGCGGTCGAGAACGTCGATGTCGAACTCAAACAGGGAGCGGAGGAATTCTCCAAATTGAAGCAATTACTGAAGCTCATGACAAGGAAACGGGACAAGCAGATGATGGCGCAGATGATAGAGGAGCCGACTACCTTGCAGCTGTTCCGAGACCTATTCACTGTCTTTTACGAACCTCTTGTCAGAGTGTATAAGTCAGCAAATGTTTATAACAGCATTACAGACTTTGCTCAGTTCGCGGATGATGCGATCAAAACCGTGGAAACAGCACAACGGCAGGATGTGTCGGCGGACCCAAACCAGACAGTGCAATCATTCATTGATTTGTGCCAGCGACACGAACACAATTTCTACAAATTCGTGCATGAAGTGCATGTTCATGACAATGGGCTCTTCGGCGCGCTCATGGGCTGGATCGAAGAGATTCTCGATTTCCTGCGGAAGGGTCCGAAAGGTGGCAAGCTCGATATGAATGCCATATTCCGTGGAGCGCTTGACATGAGACAAGTTGACAAGGAAGCATGCATTACCGAAATCGACTCATTGATTGCATGGCAGGAAGCAAGAAAGAAATGGCACTCGGACAAGACCAGACAAAAGATGGCTGCCGAGGGCAACAACCCGACGACCATACCAGGAGTTGCTTCCTTCAAGAGCAGCGATTTTGGATTGCATGAAGTAAGTCCAGAGTGTATTATCAAGTTCGATGCTAATAGCCTACAGGCTGACCTTGCCGAGCTCAACATGGATGACGATGAAGACATGGACAGTGAAGAGGAAGAAGCCGAAGACGACCTTGACCCCATTGCCGCTGAACGAAGACGACGCAGCAGACAGCAGGATCGCTTACGGCGTAGTGCTGGGGAGCCGGAGAAGCCTCCTATACAAGAAATACTGAAAATGCAGCCTGCCTTCCTGGCTATGCTGAGGACTGTGCTGGCCGACTGAGTGGAGTCAGCCCTATCGCATCAGAGTGCTAACGTATCGAGAAAATTCGTGTGCATGCGCTGCAAGGCATAGCAGGTCTCTTAGCTCCAGGTATGTATGCTAAAGGCGAAATTATGCCCGACAACGAATGAAACGAACAGCATACTGTTGATTTTGCTAGTCGAGCCAATTGCAACAAGATTGCGTTGATGAATAGTGTGATTGGCCGCCTTTTTGGAACTCAAATTGGGGGATGAGCACAGCCCTGAAGAGTTCACATATCTGGAAGTTTTCAGGAATCCTCAAGCAACGATGCGGCAGCATTCGGTGCCGATCGTGCAGCGCTCGTATTTGGCGTTCCGGGATTGCTCAGCTCAGCTGACAGGCATTTGATCGGGCAGAGAAGCATAGCATTGCATGTGTCCAGGGCCGACGAAAGCTGCATGCGAAGCCTACACCCCGCAAAAGCGGGCACTTCGAGCATATCATTGTTATTCGAACGTGCTCAACAACACCTACTAACTCGAAATATCTATCGGTCAGCGGATGACTATACGCGATCCACGTAGCAGTGTATATGACTGCATGAAGCATTGTGAGTATGAATAGACTCTGCCTCGTACTTTAGAGATTATGAGCTCTCATGGATTGGGTAGGCGTACTCGGAACGGCTCAAAACGACCTAGAGGGCCGATCGTGACGAGGATGGATAGAGACCAGCCTGTTCAGCGCGACATAACAACCGTGATTGGACAACACCGTCAAACGCTAGCCTCAAGCTCGCTTCAATTGTTCTTTTCGGGATCTAAGGTTATCTGCCTAGCCTACATCGCAATCACTGCGAGCAAGTGTATTCTCCTCTCAAAGGATGGAAGCCACGGTCGATTTAGTCTCAGTAATTTCTCGAGCACTTTCCACCTATTGTGGCTGAGGTGACTAAAGCTGGACTCTCCTGTGCAGATGCAGAAACACACAGTGAGATGTCACAGTCGTATGTGTTCTGGGGCAAGCACCTCTTTCGGTTTAGCTCGAATCGGCACACTTACTTCCTCGTGGCTCCAACTTAAACCTAAGCGTCGCAATTAGGCCCGCACTTGCTTCATCTCATCATGTCATAGCGTGCCAGATGGCAAGTTGGTTTGAGCTTTCCCACTTTTCCTTCGCTCATATTATTGCTGGCAAATCATCTCTTTTCTCCTCCTTCTTCTCCTTCCGCCAATCACCTTCCTATCGCATTTCTTGTACGCTCACTGGTCGTCGCTTTTGTCTCAGACAACCATTCACGTCGTCTACCACAACATCAGATCCCGGCACCACGTTCCTGGCGTGCTTCACCGACTATCCTCAGTGGTTCATAGCCGCACGACGAACGCTCTGTCTTGCATCAAGACCACAGACGTGCGCGTGCCACCAAGAGCTCAACGTCGACTCGTTTCCATCACACCAGACGCGCATAAACAGCCGCACTGATTATTGCAACCGCCTACTGGAAGCGATCGCCGACGTGCTGTAGGCGCTCTGCTCAGGAACGACTCCTCGAGCTTACGAACTGTTTTCTCATCACAACTGATTTACGAAGCTTGCCAAGCACGACGCTATTTCACGTGTGCAAGACGGTCAAGCAACTTCCTCGCAACCCAGCTTCACATTATATTTGTGACAAACATTACGCAGAATCGCCGAGTGAACAGCAACACAATCCTGTCGCATCGCTACTAACTGTCGTCATTACGCGTTGGACAAATATAGTATTTCGGTGCTGCCATTGCCCTTGTCAAGAACCAGGTTAGTGCATTTTGCCAGCACATCTCTGCATGTCCATGCCAATGACTGCCACTTTGCTGGCGTCCACCCAACCTGTCTTCCAATGATACTCTGCCTACACCGCACCAGCCCAAACTAATACATATACTCAATACTCCAGGTTTCAGTAATCGAATCACACTGTCTTGACGCGTTTCTTGACATCTGAGAGGCTCATTCTATTGTCTCCATCAGAAGCATTGCCTTCAGGCTTGCAAGAACCAACGCAAGCTCTAACCACCAGCCTCGAGTCTAGTCTCAGCTTCAACGACTCAAGGCATCACTACCGCGCCACAAACAGTCGATCACGGTCTGCCCGCGAGTGACAACGCATCACTGCACTGCAGCCCAAAACAAGGCAAACAGTTCGGCCTCAATCTCGTCACAAGACATTGGCGCTGTGAAAGTCCACCTTGATATTGTCCTCTGAGAAGCACCATATCAGATCCTTCTAACTTGGTCAAGACTCAATGTAAGTTATCCAGTCCTGTATTCTTGCCAGACATTGGTGCCCACTCATGGTCCAGTGACCAGTCGTTTATGCAGCACGTACTAATACTCGGGGCCAGTTTCACGCCTCGCTCACTAGATCCTCGAATCAGCTTCGTCAAAGTCTCAGTATACTTATCGATCACAGAGGCGCGTCCCGAACCACTCTGTCGAACTCTGTCCTACGACTCGTCCATCCTGCAGGTACCTCGACTTCTGCAATTGTTCCATTCCTGCGCGTCAAGCTATTTCACCAGACGAAGATCTCGCGACGTCGTTGCCCTTCATGATGCAGGCGTACTCCCAATATCCACCGCACGATGCGCATAACCCGCACTTGGGTGGTGGTTATCAGACATCACCTCAAAGTACCAATACTGGATCTCTAACTTCACCTTCTGGCCAGTCACACTTGCATCAACAAAACACACAGGCTTCGCCAATACTGCCTTCACAAAGCCAACACCAATACCAGGCGCCAGGATCAATGGGCTACCCACAATACGGAGTTGGTAATATGTATCAGAATCCGGGCATTTCTACTTCAGCGGCAGCAGCTATGGCGACAGCTGCAGCCTCAGGTACGTCAGAGAGCTACATTGGCATACTCCAGCTAACACACGCAGGGCAAGGAATTCCTCAGATGTCCGCTGGCATGCCTCAAGGGCCCAACATGAATCAACAAAGGCGCATGAGTCAAGTCACTAGTCCGCACGGTCAAATGTCGCAGCCAGTCATGAACAGCATGGCCCGCCAGTCAGTGCAACCCCCGATGCAGCCTCCACAGCAGCCTGTACAAGCCCCACAAGAAGAAATCCCAACAAGTGGCCAAGAGGAGGCACCCTTATATGTCAACGCGAAGCAGTTCCATCGCATACTGAAGCGCAGAGTGGCACGACAGAAGCTTGAAGAACAATTACGTCTTACTTCGAAAGGGCGGAAGCCGTATCTTCATGAGTCACGACACAACCATGCCATGAGACGACCTCGTGGTCCTGGTGGTCGTTTCTTGACTGCGGACGAGGTTGCCGCCATGGACAAGGAAAAGGGCGGCGAAAATGGGTCGCCGGAGAACACAAAACTCGATACTCCCGTGAGCGGGACGAAACGCAAAGCTGCATCAAACCACAGTGAAGCGCCTGTCAAAAAGTCGAAGGTGTCGAGCGAGAGCGCCGAGGATGACGAGGACGATGGTGATGGCGAGGAAGACTAGACGTCTATTTTCTTTCGATGCGACGAAGACGCTCTGCTTAAGGAATTTGTTTCTTCCCTCTGGTCGCGACGAAGTCTTCTTGGTTATGCTCTAAGCTTGAAGGTGGCTCTTTGATTTACTACACGCGTTTTTGTTTTTTGAAGTATTCAGCAAGCGTTGCCGTTTTGAAGTTCAGAAGAGCAGGTACACACCAATGGAATGACGAATGAATTAACGGCTCAATACCACACAATAACACAACAAATACACATACTCTACTTAATCAACAACATGTTTGCACATGAGAGGGATGGATGGATGGACTGCAGGGAAGCATTAGGGACACCATGACGGATTATAGGACGACGGCGACGACAAAGACTTATCAGTTTAATTCTGTGAAGGACCGTATATGCATGCTGGACTTGCTGGGACTTTGCCGTTTGAGCACGGGCAGCAAGTAAGAGGTGCGAAATAGACGCCGATGACGGCGTCGTCAGGACAAGAGGGGAGGAAAGAATGCCCCGAATATACCGAGCTTATGTTGTCCCTCGTTCATGGTCCACTTGGGCACGTACACCTCAAACACACTTTCTCTCTGTGTCACAGTTGGAAAGATAGGACGGAAGACACGAACTGGCTCGCGCCAATAAATCTGACGAATCTCCTTACTTGAACCCTTTTTTCTCTTCTTTTGCCTCTTCGAATCGTGTTTTCTCACCAACTCTGGATTCATCTGAGGTCGGAGGCGGCAGCAGCAGCAGATAAATTGTTGGAAAAACAGCACAGTGGGCAGGGCAGCGCAGGAAAAGACAGATGAGAGATGAGGAGAGAAGACAAGGGGTGGAGAGTACGTATGTTTTACGGATTGAGATACCCATAGCGAAGGGAAAAAAATCCATGTTTACGATGCAAATTAGTTCGGAACCATGAAGTGTCGTTGTTTCGTTGTTCCTTCTCGACATTGATGGGTGTGTGTTCTCTCCAGCTCGGGCTACATACCCAATGTATCACCGATCGTTATGGTGGATGAGGTTGACCCAAGCACGTTTGAAGTCCCTCAAACGGCAGGATATTGTTGAATCTTGGCTTTCGATATGCGGCATGTTCTGCTTGTCGCGGTCGTGTGTAGTTCAACGGATATGTATATCGCCGCAAGTGAGTGAGAGACTTACCATACCCGTGGACTGCTGTAAAGATGCACAGGATTCAACTCCTCAACGTATTGATGTTTGTTTTAGGTGTTTGTGAACCGCGAGGCTCAGTTATTGACACACTGCCTTGGTGTTTTCCGGTGGGTGTTTGATAATTTTTGTTTTGGTAGGTAGGGCTTCTGGAGCCAAGGGACGAAAATTCGAGGGTGAGAAAGAGGTATAAGAGAGGAAAATCTATGGTCACTCCAGGCCTCCTAAAACATGTTCGTCAAGTATCTTTTCGTGCATGAAAACAAGGCTGGTGACACATAGCAGTTGCATGTGGTTCTGTACTTCACCCCTGGATCAGCGAGTGAGAGGGCGACACTTGTACTGTGAAGTGAAGTTTTAGACAACTTCGTTTCATTCAGTGGCTGTGCTGAGGTTGCGGGACAGAGCATGTCAGTCCCATTGTTGGAAGTGTTTAGAACAACTATCGTGTTATCAGTAAGATTCGTTGGCGGCTTATAGAATAGATGAATGACCACCTCTGCTGTGCAGTCAGTACCCGCATCAACATGCGAATGAAGCAGTATTCTGAGCGTTTTCGCAAATTCGACCAATTTGCGTTCGCTTGCCTTGTCAGCTGTATCCCATTATTGTACAAGCTTAAGTAGATCAGTACCCTGTATATACAAGGCAATTGCTGCTTGCCCGCGCTTGGACAAATTCTTCAGCATGCAAAGACCAGGGTGGACTTGAAGCAACATGCCTACTTGCTGCGTTCCTTTTCATGGGCTGAGCGTATCCCGTCTTCTGCTTCACTCAACCACATTCCCTATGCAAAACGTTGAGAGAATTCCCGCTATAGAAAGTGCTTGTCATTCTCGTCGTTGTCGGATACTTCCTCACTTCTCGTCCGCAGCCATCTTCGTCAGATATGCTTCCAGGTCAAAGTTCTTGTCATCTGGATCCGAAATTACTGTACTCAAAGTTAGCACTTCGACCATGTGGTCTGCATCACTCCAACATACCATCACCACTTTTTGTGAAAGGTTGTGGATTCTGCTTCTTCTTCCATTCAAGCTTGGCCTTTTGTATCAAGTCCTCCTTGTTCTTCCATTCTTTTTGAACATGTGCTTCCTGGCTTCGTGCCGTGACTGTTCTCTGGTGCGAAAAGCCGTAAAATATGCCTGCTACCAGCGCCGACCACCGGAGTACCTGTATGTGGTCAGTCAATGATCGATCACCGAGCACTCTGTCGTGCGCAAATGTCGGGAGGTATGGTGTGCTCACGTTGACTCCTTGCGATGTAGACATTTTCGAGACAGGTGTAAAGAGCGCGAAACGTGACAGTCTTCGTAAGACGTCGAAGTCCAGGAATGTACGAAGAAGGCAGGAGAGCAGCTATGAAGTCGTAGACGAGGTGTAGCTGTGGTATACGTTGGCTGTTGAGCTATCTCGTGAGCTTCGCATTGCCCAAGAAAAGCTTCCGAGCGAGGAAGGAGCAACGCAGGTACCGCACGTGATCTGGCGATCCATCAATTCGCGGTCGGAGCGATGAACAGTACTGCGTGGTCAGTCCCCTCCGTATTGTCTTCGATTCGTTCTTTGTGTCGTAGCAACGATGTCGTCCTCTTTGCAGTCGCGGAAGGAGGAGCTGCTTGCTAAAAAAGCTCGGCTGGCCGAGCTGAAGCGGCAGCGTGAGTTACGGGAGGAACGTTTCAGCGCCGGACGCCAGAGTATTGGTGGTGAGGTGTGTACGTACCACACTCTAATTGACTGAACACCTACTGACGTCGTCCAGTCCTCACCTAGAAGGACTGTGGAGGACAGACGGTCCGAGATCGATAACATCGTCTCCAGCCTCATTGATCGTCAGAGAGATTCTACGTCGTCGCCGAGCAGAAGTCGACCAAGTTCGTTCTATGGCGAAGCTACGCCTCAAAATGGCGAACAGATTGCACCACAGAAGTCTACAATGGTCTCAAGTTCTACCCAAACTGCAGTGGCTGAGTCTGGGGATATTGTACGGGAAGTGGTCTTAACTCCCCCTCTACAAAAGCCAGCACCAGAATATATTACCTACACGAAGGGCACTCAAACAGATCCTGTGACGGACATTGGGGTCAACACGGAGGACGACTTCGAGCCGGAGATCGATGCGCGGTCGAGAAGGAGATCAAGCAGAAAGCAAAAAGAGATAGACGAGGAGATCAGAACGAACCTGCGGAGAGAGATCGAGGAAGAGCTGAGGGCTACTCAGAACGGTCCCGCAAATATAGCGCCTTCTGCTACAGTACGGTTTCCGCTTCGTCAGTTGAACGCGAACGAGCTCAATGCTGTTACGTCGTCCAATGACTTTCAAGCCTTCGTTGAACGCTCCTCCAAGGTGATTGAGCGAGCCCTGGATGAAGAATATGACCTGCTTGCAGACTACACTCGAGCTGCGGCTGTGGATACAGAAGAGGATTATGCGAACAAGTCTTCACAATCACTACGAGAAGTATTACAGTTGTACTCAGCCAACCATTCCAAGAGGCGTGTTGTAACGGACCTACATTTCTCTCCTCATTTTCCTGAACTGCTCTTAACCTCATACACAAAGAACGCTGCTGCCCCGAACGAGCCGAACGGGCTGGTTCTGTTGTGGAACTCTCACGCACCGAGCAGACCAGAATACACCTTTAACGCAACTAGCGATGTGCTCACCGCGCGCTTCTCTCCTTTTCATCCCAACCTCATTATAGGTGGCTGCTACAGTGGTCAGGTTTGTATCTGGGATACACGCTCTTCACACAGAGATGGTCAACCAGAACGACGTACGCCCCCAGCAGGAACCACAAGTCTAGGACACACTCATCCGATATATGCACTAAATGTAGTCGGTACCCCAAATGCACACAACATTCTCACCGCCGACACGGATGGGACTGTCTGTTCTTGGAGCGTCGACATGCTGAGCCAGCCACAAGAATACCTTGCACTCTCAACACCTTCTTCCGCCGGTACAATGACGGACGATTTGGCGCCAAAATCCATGTCTTTTCCAACAGCAGATCCGACGTCTTTCCTTGTCGGCAGCGAAGAAGGCACGATTTACGGATGTCACCGTTACGACCGCGCTGGTGCCAAAGCTGGAGTTGACAGTCGTGTGGCATATAGGGGTCATACAGCACCGATTATGTCGACTCATTACCATCCGGAGCGTGGCCCTGTGGATTTAGGTGATCTAATGCTGAGCTCTTCCGCAGATTGGACGGTCAAGCTCTGGCGTACTCGAGCAGCTGCAGCTCCAGGATCCGCTATCAAGACACATCAGGTGCTGAATACCGATACAGGTGCTGCTCGGGGAATGAACGACTCAACATCAACTGCAGAAGCAATCCCACCTATCCTTGACCTGTCGATGGAAGACATTGTTTACGATGCCAAGTGGTCACCCAACAAACCTTCTGTCTTCGCCGCGGTGACGGGTGCAGGCGATCTTGAAGTGTTCGACCTGCTCTCAGATATTGAAGTACCTGTTGTGAAAGCAACACCAAGCAAAACGAGACTGCCAAACAACGGACTTGTCCTACCATTCAAGGGCTTGAACAAATTAGCCTGGGAGGAAAGACATGGTAAGCAGATTGCCGTGGGTGGTCTTGATGGTGTTGTGAGCTTGTTCGAGGTAGGACGAGGATTATGGTGTGGGCCTGGAGAAGCTGATGCTAGAGAATGGCAGAGAATGAAACAGCTCATGGGCAAACTGGAACCGTGATAGCGTTGCTCTCTTTGATTTGGGCGTTATGTGTCCGTCTAGTCAGACATTGCAAGAGCGTGGTGTTATATTAAATACCTTTTTGTGCTTTGTTTTGAAAAAAGATACCCTGGGCGCATGGTCGTCACTACGGAGAGTGCATTACGAAGGCTGATTAGCACAAATACTATGTACAGCAGATTATCAGAAGGACGTGGTGTTGTTGAATGTGGTCGATTACTTCCTCACTCTCTACAGTACCCCCACTCTGCTGCAAAGCCTGTGGTTGTCTCATGAGCAGATATCTGAAACAAAACACGATCACTCGAGGCAGCTCGTTCGACCGAAGCTGCCGATTGTGAGTAGGAACGAATCAGGAAGGTGCGAACCACAGACGCGTGACTTTCATACAGGTCAGCAGGTGGTGTACTGATGATCGCATCTCGCAAACCGTTTCCGGAGCTCGACTGATTGGTTTGTTTGAATCTTTAACAAACGAGCTCGTTAAGCTATAAGATCTTCAGGTTCAAAATAATATGCCAAGCTTGGCGTATTCTTGCGAGAGACCAACAACTTTCCGGTCACAAACTTGACGATCTATGGTTTTGCACAACGTCCATCGCCAATCTTCGAGGCAGCAACCAGCTCGCTGATGATTTTTGACCAATCATGAATTGTACAAGGTTCACGGTAGTGGTAGAAGTCAATCGAGCAAGTCCTCAGGACATGAAACTGGCTACTAACTCATGGCAACCCACATTCAAAAAGGCCACTTGGTGAGTGTCTTCCGGCTGTCCGTGCTAGACGGCACAACGAGTGGCTTCGAGCTTGGCTGATCCAAGTCTAATAAATGCTTGATTATTCGAAACTAGCTCTGTGACTCGTTGTTGCGCCTCCGCAACCTCAATCTATTCCGAGCGCCTGGGGTTCGCATCACTGCTATGCCTTAGCCCCGAGCTTCTTTGATCAGTTATCCTAGTCAATCGTCCGCTAGTCTTGTGATCTCAGAGACAAGAGCTCAAGCCCAACACCAGCCATTCTTGCACGATGATATTGAGCGTCACGTCGCACACAGACGTGGCCGAGGCATACCAAGGCAAACGACAATTTGGATTCGTCATGACTACGGGACCAAAAAGGAATGAAAACAAACAGATCTCCAACCCCAGCTTTCCCCGCAGAGAAATGGCCATGAAAGCGTGAGCTTGTTCCAAGATTGATTTCCACCATTGGATTGGAGCTCATCTCAGCACAGGTGAACCCGAGGCTTATTGCTTGCGTTAAGCCGTCCTCGACATCGTGCAGCTTAAACTTCTACTAGCTCAAACGATTATGACTGGGCAGTCGTCGATCGACCTCGAGATGCGCGGAACTTTTCCTAGATTGCATGCCAAGGGATCCATTAGACCAAGCTGGAAATGCTAGGACCTGAATGTCCACTGGCTCACCTGAGTCGGTTCAGCGGGCTCCCCTCTCAAGGCAAGGAAGCTCTCAGCTACAACTGATTTGGATCAGGGTGTTAACACAAATAAGACTTGCCGTCTGTCACTATCTCTTCGCCCTCGCCTCTCTTCCTCAGCCTGTTGAGTCCTGCCTTTGATTCCCCGTCGTTCTTTGAAACAATTCTCGATTCAGCTCTTCAGTCTCGCAAATCACCATGTCGGCACCGATGGCAGATGTTGAGAAGGACCATCATCGTGATGGCACTGCTCTGAATGGCACGAGAGGCTACGATTTGCACCACGACGTTCATGATGAAGACACCGCACTTCGTCGATTGAGGACAGCGGGCAGTCTCTCCATCTCGCCAGAGCTGTTCGAGAAGATATACCTGTCTCCCAAGAACCAGGTCTCAAACAACATCCGATCGACATTTGGTAACCCAACACCACTGTAAGTGAACCTGCAAGCTGTTCATGGGCACATCTGACTTTGCAGTGCTCTTTCTGGATTCTTGTTGTCACTCACTCCTCTGTCGAACATTTTGATGGGATGGCAAGGATCCGGTGGTCTCGGTGCTGCTACTATGTAAGTTATTGTAGCTGATAACAGAATTGTCCTAATTGGCATAGTGGTACCTACTTCTTCTTCGGTGGTCTCCTCATGATCCTCGGCTCGCTCCTCGAATTCGTCCTGGGAAACACATTTCCATTCGTGGTCTTCGGCTCCTTCGGCGCTTTTTGGTTGACGTTCGGTGCTACACTCACACCTTACTACAATGCCTCGATTGCCTACCTACCAGACGACCCAGCAGCTTCTGCCGCCGATCCAGTGTTCCAGAGCTCATTCGCTTTCTTCCAAGTCTACATGGGTGTGCTCTGCTTCATCTACTTGATCATCTCGGTCCGAACGAACATCGTGTTCTTCCTCATCTTCCTCCTCCTTGTACCAGCATTCGGCTGCCTAGCTGGCTTTTTCTTCACTCACGGCACACTTCCAGTCCTGCTAGTTGCAGCCGGTGCCTTGACCTTCGTCATCTGCTTGTTGGGCTGGTATCTGTTCTTCGTGCAGCTCCTAGCCGCCGTTGACTTCCCACTCAACCTGCCAGTTGGCGACTTGTCGAGATTGGTCAAGGGCGCCAGCGAGCGCAAGACCCAATAAATGACCTGCTGTCGATGAATATAGCCATGTGGGCAGTCCTTTTTGGAAACACTACACTCGAAAATACTTATATATACACCTTGATACCCCGAAGGAGCGTGGAAGATGAGCTAAAGAGAAAAATGGCGCATACAAGAAAGTGTTGCATATGTCTTGTGCGAGGACAAATTTGTGTTCAGCCGACCTGCGAAAAAGCATTGTCGGATTGTACGATAGCTCATGACCACTCACGATCAAATAATAATTTCTGTCCTACTCGTTGTCAGACTTCGTGCAACTCTGCTCCGAGCACGTCGTCCTCACACTTTCAGCCTGGCTAGTCGAGCAGCTGCCAGTGTCTGCTAACTACCCACTCTATCGATACGTACGTTTCTTCCTCTAGAGCGTTATCTGCAGCATCCATCCATTACTGAAAGCCTGACTTCTTCCATCCCTGCCAACTCCTCTTTGCTTTGGGCGTCTTTGCCAAGAATGATACCGTACCCAGCCATTGCTGGAACACTCGTTATCGATCTAGTGTGTCGTCGAGCTTCGAGCAAACTATGTAGCGCAAGCTCATCTGTAAGGGCTACTACTATCCGAAGCGTACTTGATGGTGAGCAAGGTCTAGGGACGTCATTGATGACAGCTCTTTTGCCTATGGGTAGCACGTGGTGGCACACACTCTCTTCGTGTTTTGGGAATTTACTCTACAAAGCAGCTGCAGTCACGATGCCATGCATGTAATATCCTCATCACTTTCGAGTTACAGTGCTCTAGCAGCAGCTCCATCACTATTGCAGTCACATTGATTACTGCTAGCAAGATTTAGATTCGCAGGAATTGACACTTCTCAAAGTGGAGGAAGTCCTACACTTAACCAAAACTCTCACGGCTCGCACTCTGATTCCAGACTCAAATCTCGTCCATCTCATGCAAGGCTTCAGGTCCTGCTTCCTGATTTGCTAATAGCATAGCGTCCCTTTAGACCATGTGCAGAGGCTGAAACCTCACCGCTCGACATCCGCCATGTCTCAAGGACGATCATTCTGCCAATGTCCGTACGACCGAATACTCGGACAATTCCCGTCACAGCTCAGGAACGTGCGCTAGAGACGCCCCCTTGTTTGTTGTGCTATGATCGGAACGATCGAGCTTGTTGAGATTGCATGTCGTGGTCAAGACTTCTTGTTTCCCCAGCCTGGGGTGTATCTCCGATGAAGGCAAAGCCTGCAATTCAGCCTCCCATGCCACAAATCCAATTATAATCCTATGAATGAACAAGCCCGGAGCTATTGAATCGCTTGTAAACAGGCTTTGGTCCGTGGTCAACAGTTGTCAAACCTACCACAAACACATCCTCTTTGACGCTGGGCAAATTGGATGCTAGATTGGGGTTCAATCCTTCTGGCGCTTCCAGCGCACACTCTGTGCTTAGTTCCTGCCATGATCACTTCATGCTCTCACTTTTGAGCATACAGGACAATACTAACGTGTTAGACACTCTTGCGATCGATTTTGATTAAGCACAGAACCACCGATCTTTGTTTCAGTTTCGATAAAGAGCAATCATGAACAAATGAGACTTGCTTAGTAGAACAGATTGTGGATGAAGGCCTTGCTTTGCATCAAACCTGCAGTCTGTCACCCTTGAGCTGATACACTCAGCGATCAAACAAATGGCTCGGGGCGTTTCAGTCGTGTCTCTCAACCTGCACGTTTCTGTCCACGTGATGCACGACGGCAGGATAGCATCAAGACTCTTTGGCCGAAAGTAACTCACTTAACTGTGCTATTTGCTCGACCTTTGACCCGTGATGAGGATTGTGGCGGGTACAGCATGTTGTCACAGAAAGAGCTTCGCATGTATATGAGGTGATCTATACAATACCACAGCGGTCAGAGGAAGACTGAGTACAGTTGCTGTCTGGCAACACCGCTATATGCAGGGGTGAGTCAGACCACCACTGAGTGAAAGAGAGCTACCTCCCTGCTACCTGGCCTCACGACTATACGAGCCAGGGGAACGCAGTCGACGACTGAAGCAAGCCAGTCAGTCTTGCTTGAACTAGATTGTGAAGATGGCCACATATCGCACTTCAGTGAACGTTCTCGATACGGAAGCAGAGGCTGCTACTGACTTTCCAGAGTAGCAGGTCGTGGCTGACATGATCCACAAATTGCATTCAGTATAAACGACGATTGTCGGCCGAAGATCTCCATTACACCCCGCATGACTGACGGAGCGATGCAGAGAGATTGGAGAAGCAACAGTTGAGTATGCGTTGTGAACAATCAGCTCAAAGGACCGTTGAGCACGGCCTTCTACCGAGCACATGAGACTTTCAAGCTCGACTGTGTTTTCATACTTTTCGTACAGTGTCTGCGCTAATTCGTCGTGATCATGGCCGGAAGCACTCAGCAAGTCCAAACCAAGGGAATTTACCATGGCCTACCAGTCTACGATCCGAGTGTCAAGGGACTGACCGCGATCATTACTGGCGCCAATGGCATAAGCGGGCATTATATGCTGCGGGTGCTATCCCAATCTCCTGAACGTTGGTCCAAGATATACTGTCTTTCGCGGCGACCACCGTATATTCCTGGTGGACTACCAAGCAATGCAGAGCACATTGCGGTCGACTTCTTAAAGTCACCTTCGGAGATAGCTTCTGTGCTGAAAGACAAGGGTGTCAAAGCTGACTACATCTTCTTCTTTACCTATTTACAGCCGCCTCCTGCTGAAGGTAAAGGTCTCTGGAGTGATGCCCAGGAAATGGTTCGTGTCAATTCTGCGCTGCTTGACAACTTTCTTGGCGCCTTGAAGGAGGCAGATATCACACCTCAAAGGTTTATGTTGCAGACTGGCGCAAAGAATTATGGCGTACATCAGGGTCCTACTAAGGCACCTCAGGAAGAGATAGACCCGCGAGTCGAGATTCCAGGTGAGCCGAACTTTTACTATCCACAGGAGGACTCTGTTTGGAAATATTGTAAGGAAACTGGAGCAAGCTGGAACGTTTGTATGCCTGGACCAATTCTTGGAGGTGTGCCTGGTGCAGCAATGAACTTAGCTTTCCCACTGGCGGTATATGCTGCTGTGACCAGGGAGCTAGGTGAAAAGCTAAAGTGGCCGGGCGACGACAAAGCTTACCAGGTCAACTGCAGTATGAGCAGTGCTATGATGAACGGTGAGGCAATCCAGGCGCATAACTATCCATGCTGACCAGAACAGCATATCTCGAGGAATGGGCGGTACTAACCGACCAGGCAAAGGATCAGAAGTTCAATGCCTTCGATGGTGGTGCGTTTGCCTGGGAAGGATTCTGGCCAAGGTTGGCAGGTTGGTATGGCATCGAGCCTGAGGGCCCAAAAGACGACGCCGAGTACAGCGCAACTTCCACAGCACATAATCCAAGAGGTTATGGCGGCAAGGGCACGGTAAGACGGACCTTCACGCTCGCTTCCTGGGCCAAGCAAGAGAAGGTCAAGAAAGCTTGGAGTAAACTCGCCGAACAGCATGATCTTACCCAGAAGGAGCTCGTCGATGTCGACAGGATATTTGGCTTTGCCGACGGTAGCTTGTGTCGAGCCGGCGCGTTGCTTTTCAGGTAAGTTGGACCACTTTGTCTGTGGTATTGCGACAACAAGCTGATGACTTTAGTTCGGATAAAGCTCGAAAGATGGGGTGGCATGGATTCGTTGATGTGAATGAGAGCTTGCTGGCTGTCTTCGATGACTTGGCGAGGATTAAGATGATTCCGCCAGTACCCAAGGAGAGGCTGCAATTCATGTAGTTGTTCTATTCGATAAGAGTTTCGTCTCACATAAGCATCGGCTCGACTATGATGCATGTATTTCCCCATGATTGTGTTTGTCGTAGTGAGATTCCCGCAACTATCTTGTGGTATCGCAGTATCCTCGATCTCTTCGGCGTATGGCTATACGCATTGGTAGTGAAAATCTACCATGTCAAGACTGGCTTGATCGTGCCTCCAGCATGCATCTCGTGTCTGGCCTGCTCAAAGTCTTCCGCTTTGAAGAATTTCTCGAGTTTCTCAAGTGGTAACTTGCCCTCACGGTACCACTTGATCAGCATGGGAATACTCTTCGACGCAACGGCGTCTCCTTGGATGGTGCCAACAAGCTGAACTCCATCTCGCATATGTTCTGGCAAGCCCACAGTGACTGACGTTCCTGGCCCTTGATTCGCAAGTTGGACAACACGACCGAGCCTGTCGACAGAGGCCAAGGCTGCCTGGAGCAGGGAGGGAACGCCAGTAGTATCCACAATTCCTGTAGGTCCAAATGGAGCTTCTTCGCCTGCTCTTTCTGGATCAAATGGCTCCAGACCACGGATGGCGCTGGTTAGTTGTTCTTTTAAAAGGCCTTTGCTACTGATGGTATGGCTTGCACCAAGTTCTTGCGCAAGCTGTAGCCTGTTTGGTAGGATGTCGACAGCAATGATCGTCTTCACTCCCAATGCGCTGGCAGCCATCACGGCACTAAGCCCGACTCCGCCCAATCCAAACACAGCGATGCTATCCATTGCTGGATCGGGTTTGATCATATTCACAACTGCACAAGCACCCGTCTGTATTCCGCAGCCCAAAGGTGCGAATATTTTCAGCTCCGCCTCACTCTCGATCAATGTCTTGACGGGCACTACAGAACTCTCCTTGACCAAGGCAATGCTCGAAAAACTTGAGTGACCGAAGTAACTGGCTTTGATGACTCTCTTCTTTCCAAATCCGTCATCCTCAAGCCTCTCGTGTTCACCTTCTCCATCTGCTAGAGCAAAGTTCTGATCCTGACCTTGGATGGTAAGCGGTATTTGATCTCTGCAATGCGCTGGATGTCCTGTCTTGCACATATGGCAGCGTTTGCAGTAGGCGAAGGATGTCAATACTGGATCACCGCCTGCCAATTCTTCTGAGCACTGAGGGCCTTTGCGTAAGATATAGCCGGCTCCTTCGTGTCCAAGTATACGAGGGTAGATCCCGCCCACGTTGGATATGTCAGTGTGACATATACCTACAGCGACCATTTTGACGAGAAGCTCGTTGGGACCAGGTTCCCTGCAGAGCACATTCTGTAGTCGCCAGTCTTGGTCTGTGTAGGTCACGATTGCCTTAGCAGGAATTGTGTACGAAGACATCTTTTATGTGGTGAACAGGCTAGGAAAGAAAACAAGGACGTATTGAGGAATGTTAGGGAACACAATTGGGCAATGTTTCGAGATGATGGCGGGAGTTCGTAAACGTGGAAGTAGACCCACCCAGGAGGTAACTGCCGTTATTTTTAAGTTCTCGGAGCAGGAGCATGTTGTCACATTTTCTGTTCCTTCCATTTGATCTACACGTCCACTTGCGAGTTGCGAAGCTCAAAGTTAGCCGATGTAAGCAGCACGAGCACAAAAACTCAACACAGCGCTTAAGCACGCAAGGTGAATAGGCAGACAAATTGTGAGAATTTTGATAATCTTTGGTATTTTCGACCAGGCGTGGTGTACATTGTTTTGTGTTCAATGCGCCGTTGTGCAGAGAGAAATACCCATGCCAGGGAATCTGCCTATTGATTCGCGGGGCGCCGTTGTCTTTCTTGACGTGGCATGCCGTCTCGTGTTCTTGTCCTATTTTTTCGACTATCTTCTAAATATTTACGCTGGGTCGCATGCGTTTCCTGCCTCGTGCAGGGGTGGAACCGGCGCCAGTATCATCCGCTCTTTGCGCAGCCCTCTTCTCCCTGCTATCCAATACCAAGGTAAGAACATCGAAACCGAACTGTGGGAATTCGAGACACATGGACTTGAATTCGGCCTCTGCCTCATGACGCAGAACATGAGATCTAGTGGCCCAGAACGCGGCGACAGGTTTCCTGATGGTAGTGTCCTCGGGCGAGCTGTGGCTGTAGACATATCTGGCATAAGCAATTTCGCCAACAGCACTACTGTTGATCCGGTGAATCTTTGAGTGCGCAAGTGATTGTAGTTCCGGCAATCCAAGCTTTTCAGCCAGAGTGTAGACGCGCGCGTGCTTCAGCAACTGATCACCTGTGTTGTCGATGGCTGGCGCAGAAGGATCGTGTTCGAGGCCATCAGGTTGGTTGGCAAGTCTGCGTGGGAAATACTCGCCAGTATACTGGTACTGCAGGAAGCAGCCCATAGCATCGAGGTCTTCATCTGGCATGTCAATTTCCGTCTCCTCGGACGCCAGTCGCTCGTTGAAATAGGGAGACATGGTAAGAATGGCTCTGTGCGCCGAGATGGCAGACGAATCACCACCAATATTGAGCTGAATCATGGGTGATCGCAAATAGTCAAGGAATCGTGTTTGTGGATTAGCGATCAGTGGCTTCGCGTCGTCTTCTGGATCTTGTATGGGAGGAACATTCGGCTCGTCGTCATTATCGTCAACTTCGACTGGATTTTCTTCTGCGCCCTCCATCTCAATGTCTGCCTCTGGCAGCGTTGACTCAGGGTCAGCCATTGTAAAGCGTCAACAGAGCTCGGAAACAACAACAGATGTCACGAAAGCGAATGTGAGGAGGAAAGCAGAATAGCGAATGTAACGCGCAGAGCGACTGCGACTGCGATGTGTGATTGCGACAGCATGGTGAGTCTACACTGTCTAACAGAACCTGAGGCTGAGAGACTCCAAGAGGTTAGAGCTTCAAATCAGTTCATGCTCTAATCTGCGACACAAAATTGTCCATATCAGCAAGCCGGTACAGGTACCAGCCAATCATGTAGCTTCAAACACGAAACGTGACGGGAACTAGCAGAGCGCCTTTTCTGGTTCCTGTCGCAAGTCTCGGAAAACTGTCTCGAGAATATCTCTACCTGAAATGCCAGCATATACTGTCGCTCAGGAGGTGAATCTAAAGAACCCTCCTATTGTTCAAAGAGTATGCAAGGCTTCCAAAACACGGATTATTGCCTAAATTGAATCAGAGGTTGGTCAACGTAGGGTACTACTGGCTTTCTAGCTACTGATATTCCTTCCATGCTTCAGAAATCTTGCTCTGAACATCTAATTGCGAATGAGAATGTCCTGACTTGGACTGAAATTGTGCCTGTCTAACAATCTGCTTCGACCAGTAGCTGTATCCGGCCCTCGCGCCGACGAACAGCTCAAAGAACAAGAGCGTGCACGGCGTGATGGCGCTCTAATGAAACAAGTACAGAGACATGCGAGCACAAGCACAACGTAATATGAGAAGTTCTCAGATGCCAGTCTTGTACTGTCTCGCTCGGAGCTACATGCGGTCTCGTTCCTCTGGACGTGATCGCGGATTCATTGTGCTGATGAAGCATTGTTACCTGAAACTTGACTCTGTTGTACCAATTTGGTGTCGCCTGAAGGGGAGCCATTGAGCGTAAATGGAGCCTAAGCCGCCTACTTGTATCAGTTGATCCCAGGCCTGCTGCATGTTGACATCTCACCAACAGAACCAATACCAAGAACACAGTCACTAACAATGTACTCACCACCTTCCAACAACGATGCGCAACACGCCGATCACGAAACCTCCCTGGAACGAGTCCGGAACAATCGAGCTTTCCGATCACTTCAGTACATATCCCTATCACAAATGCCACGGGACAGCCTCTGCAGAATTTGCCTCGAGGACTTCAAGAACAACGAGGCCTTGCTCTTACATGTTCTTTGCAAAACTTCCTTCCATGCCGATTGTCTTCTGAATTGGCTGGAGGAGAAGTCTACATGTCCTCAATGTCGAGCAATCATGAAGGGTGTCCCTACTTCTAGCTCTAAAGATCCCACACACCGATGACCTCCTGATGCTGATGATCCTGGTGCAGGTGTAGGTACCACTGGCAACAATGATCAACAACATGCTGACCAGTATGAGTCTACCGCTCGTGGCCCAGCTGATGCAGATAGCGATGGCGAGCTTGTGACGATAGGTTTCATACACTGAGCGAGGGTACGAAACGCTGATGTGCGAGTCTACACAACTGAATGGCTCTTGACGAAGAGGGTGGATCTACATCATATAGATACTTAAATGATTGGAATGTTTTTAGACCGAATTGCTGGATATGTTAAATCTGCACAAGTGCAACTCAGATTAAGCACTGCAATTAAGTTTATTGCTTGTGATGCTAGTCGCTAGTGATTTCCTCTTGGCAAGACCCAAAGAAGTAGTTCATTGCACTCGTCCTCCCGTAGCCGATTGGGTCATGGCCAACACACTTACTTCTTTGTAGTCGAGTCCAGAAGCCGGTCACGCTGAAAACTTCTTTATATTGCAATCACAGTGCCATTCGTCCGCTGGGAGAAAGACAGGCCGTGTTGGGAATATTGCGTCTCTCCAGACTTTGGAAGGAGCCGCGATGACAATTTGACAGGACACGCAACCACGACCAGCAGCTACCCAATCCGAACACTGCGGTACTCTCTTACTACAGTGCGTCAAGCAAAACCACACGTTCTCCAAAACTCTAGCACGTGGACCTGAACACGCTCTTATCTCTCACAATCACACGTTCTAGTTGGTCTTCAAAAGCTCGAGATATCTCGTGGCAGGATGTGGACAATGCAGCGGTAAGGCGGATGGCTTACCACCCGAGAACAGTAGCCTACAGTCGCCCATCCTCTTTGTCAGTTGCTGAACAAGCTTAATTTGCAGAAGCGTGGTGTTGCACAGCCTCTGCAAGACTTACTTCTACACCAGTGCGTACCTTCAAGCACGCCCTGCAGTACTCGTGATGCTTGACTAACATGCAATCTGAGTGGCTGTTCCCACTAGCCATCATAACTGCAGGAGGAACACTCCTGAGGAAAGTACACGCAACTGTGAGCAAGAACAACCGTGGCAGCCAAATAACCACCATGTTTGTGACAGCCAGTCCCTTCGGCAAGCCATTCTTCGCAAATGACATAGATTGGGTTCAAACTTGAGCTGACTCGAAATCGAGGCCATCCAAGCTCAATCCAGTATAGTCTATCACCCAACACATGGTTGATGCCAATGTGTTTGAGGGATTTATGGCATGGATACTCCTGACCTATGTTGTGCAGACTGCTGAACTTCGGAAGCCTCGACCATGACCAACCTGCGTCACGGGCCACATGCTATCAGATTTCCAGACATAAACACCATTATCACGGCTCTAGACGCAGCTGTGTGCTTTCAAAATTCTTGTTGTATATTCCTTTTCCTCTGCGTATGTCCGATTGTCTATCAGATAGCTCAATCAACTGTTTGTCATGGCCACAATTAAGATCGCAGAAGGAATACATTCGAAACACGCTCATACCACTGCCATTGACGACGAAGACGACGTCGACCAGATCAAACTCGCGGCAAGAAGAAGCCAAGATGATGGTATCTACAACATCAGATCTCGGGCCCGAGCCCGAGATCATTCATTGAGAAGGACTTCAAGCTTTCTCTCGACTGATGAGGATTCCGGATTGAGTAAAGATGGCGATCTGAGAACAGCTCAAGTCTTCCGTGGCAAGACGTTGCTATGGCTTGCTTATCAGTCAGTAGGTGTGATATATGGAGATATTGGCACGAGTCCACTCTATGTCTACTCTTCCACATTCACCGAGCCTCCTAGCAAATCAGACCTTCTAGGTGTTCTTTCCCTCATCTTGTGGTCTTTAATTATGATGGTTACAGTCAAATACGTTCTCATCATCCTGTTCGCTGACAACGATGGTGAAGGAGGTACTTTCAGCACATATGCCCTCCTGAGCCGATACATGAACATCACGAATCGCGATCCTAGGGAAGCCTCACTTGTCCGAATGAGGCGGTGGGCTTCAAGTGACCTTGAGAGTGCTGGGCGCAAGATGCGCAGAGGTCTGGAAACTAGCAGATTCCTGCGTGGCACACTCCAAGTCATGGGAGTGCTCGCGGTATCCATGGTCATTGCCGATGGTGTTCTCACACCAGCTCAATCCGTGCTTGGTGCTGTGCAAGGGATCAAAGTCGTGGACCCTACGCTTTCGAAAGGAACCATCATTGGTGTCACTGACGCCATTCTCATCCTCCTGTTCTTAGTACAGCCTCTTGGCATCACAAAGATCACTTACCTCTTTGCACCGATCGTTCTAGTCTGGCTTGCAATGAACTCGGTCTACGGCATCTATAATTTAGTGAATTATGACACTAGTGTGTTCAGGGCTTTCAACCCGGGCTACGCCTTTGAATTTCTGATCCACCATAAAGAACGAGGATGGAGACAGCTTGGTGGTGTGTTGCTGGCCTTCACCGGGGTTGAAGCGTTGTTTGCCGATTTAGGTGCCTTCACTGCACAGGCTGTTCGTATCAGCTGGCTCTGTTACTGTTTGCCCTGCCTGTTCCTAGCATACATTGGTGAGTACATCAACGACCCCTGCTATCTATCTCTTCTCACACTAAGTTCCACGCAGGCCAAGCTGCATACATCAGTGTGCATCCTGAAGCTTACGACAATCCATTCTTCAAAGCCGCACCACCGGGAACGATCTATCCGTCGCTGGTAGTCGCTATTCTTGCCGCCATCGTTGCTTCACAGGCAATCATAACTGCAACTTTTCAGTTGCTTGCGCAGGTCATGAAGCTATCTTACTTCCCACAACTAAAGGTCGTTCATACATCGAAAATATTCCACGGTCAATTGTATATCCCTCTAGCGAATTGGCTCCTCATGCTCGGGACGGTTCTGGTGGCGTCAGTATACAACAACACAACTCGCCTTGGTAACGCTTACGGCGTGTGTGTCATGTTCGTAACCTTCTTCGATACATGTATGGTCACCTTGGTCGCTATCAACGTCTGGAGGTTCAGCCCATGGCTCGTTGCTCTACCGTGGCTAGTCATCGCGTGCATGGATGGCACGTTCCTCTCAAGTGTACTGACAAAAGTGCCTGAAGGTGCTTGGTTAACACTCCTCATATCCTTCTGCATAACAGCCGTCTTCCTAGTCTGGAGATATGGCAAGGAGCTACAATGGTCCGCAGAAGCAGAAGATCGACTACCAACCTCGCACTTCGTGAAGCAAAATGCAGACCGAGAGCTCACTCTGACTCACAAGTTCGGTGCAATACCAGTAAGCACAATCCGAGGCTTCGGCATGTTCTTCGACAAGGCCGGAGAGACAAGTCCAATCGTCTTCAGCAACTTCGCCACGAAATTGACGGCACTACCTGAGATCATGGTTTTCTTCCACCTTCGTGCGCTGGAGTCACCCTCAGTTGCCTTCGAAGACCGATACACGATATCTCGCCTATCAATCCCCCATTGCTACCGATTAGTCGTGCGATACGGCTACAATGACGAAGTCGTCACTCCCGATCTAGCCGCGAACTGTCACGAGCAACTGAAGCAGTACCTCCTCAAACAGCAGCACGAGCGACGACCATCCATCGCACGACCCATTAACGGCGCCGACGAGAAATCGCCAATGTCAACACTACAAGACAACAACAATGATTTACACCACAAAATCCGCGACGAGAGAATAGTCGATGAGCTGGCAATACTAGATCGCGCTCACAACCACAAAGTACTGTATGTGGTCGGTAAGGAGCAGATGAAGATCAAGCAGGGCACGAATGTGGCCAAGAGGGCTTTGCTTGAGATATTCCTGTGGATGCGGGAGAATTCGAGGAATAAGATGGCGAATCTCAATATTGATACCGATAAGCTTGTTGAGATTGGCTTTTTGAAGCAGATATGATGATGTCTGGTAACGAGATACAGTAGTGAGGCGGGTTTGCTCGAACAGATGGGAGGTGTGCCTTTATTCGCGTACATAGATGTAGGGATTGGCACGAGATTAGAGTCACCATGATCTTTGAGCACAGGAAGGCAGGGGGTTTGGGTTATCTCACTCATCCAAGAAGTGGTAGGATTCGTGGAGCATATTGTTCTACCAATTGTGAAGAGCACAGTAACCTTTTATGCTATACTGCACTTCACATCAGAGACTCGACTACAAGTGCACTTGCACCCCCACCACCATTGCAGATACCAACACAACCGATCTTGCCCTTCTTTTCCCTCAACACGCCAAGCAAAGTGCTTACTATTCGTGCTCCTGAAGCACCTAGAGGATGGCCTAGTGCCACGGCACCACCATGAACGTTGACATTGTCAGACGTAAGGCCCAACAGCTTCATGTTGGCCAGCGCGACAACGGAGAATGCTTCGTTAATCTCGAACGCATCGACTTGACTCTGCTCGATGCCGGCGTGCTTGAGTGCTTTTGGAATCGCTAGAGCTGGAGCAGTAGTAAATTTACTTGGCTGTTGAGCTGCGTCGCCCCAGCCGAGGATTTTAGCAATAGGCTTGAGACCAAGCTCCTTGACCTTCTCTTCGGACATGAGCACAAGAGCGGCACCACCATCACTGAGTGGTGAGGCATTTGGTGCGGTTACAGTGCCACCGTTTGGAATGAATGCTGGACGACTTGCCTTCAGTTTCTCGATGTTGAGATTCTTTGGCTCTTCGTCTTTGCTGATCGTTGTGCCTGGCTTGCCTCTGGCGCCTGGTATTTCGACCGGGACAATCTCCCAATCAAAGACACCCTTCTCGTTGGCCGCCTTGGCTCTTTGGTATGATTGTATGGCATAATCGTCTTGCTGTTCTCGGTTGAAGTCGTGATCTCTTGCGCACTCCTCACCCTGGAGACCCATGTGCTCTTGCTTTCCGTAGGCGTCTGTGAGACCGTCTTTTAGCATGCCGTCGACCAGAGTCTGGTTGCCGAATTTGGCACCCGTTCGCATGTTTGGGAGGTAGTGAGGGCAATTCGACATAGATTCAGCGCCGCCAGCCACGACAATGTCTGCATTGCCGGTCATAATGGTCTGGGCTCCCAAAACGATAGCCTTGACACTAGAGGCACACACTTTGTTGATGGTCGTGCATACCGTCGAGTCTCCGAGGCCAGCGCCGAGCGCACACTGTCTGGCAGGGTTTTGACCAATGCTGCCAATGATGTTAGTTCTTACCAGGCACAACGAGTGTAGTGGCCTCACTTTGCGGACAGGACATTTCCAAAGAAGACTTCCTCAACATCCTGAGGCTGAATACCAGCTCGTTCTACTGCAGCCTTGATAGCATGTGAACCAAGCTGCGGTGCAGTCAACGATGCAAGACCACCTAGGAAGCAGCCCACTGGCGTTCTGGCAACAGATACGATGTAAACTGTGGGTAGACCTTTCGCCGACTTGACCCCGTTGGCTGTCATGTTTGTTTTAGTTTCTGCGTTTCAGTTCAGTGACTTGAGGAACACAATAGTTGTTGAACACAGAGTCGAGACGGTCAGTATAATTGTTGACTGCTGAGTCGTCCAAATTTCTCCAAAAATATGCAGGTACGAACAATTCTCCCCACCACGCCAGACGGCACCAAAGTTTCTGTGTTCCGAGCATGATTGGCCTTGAATCCACTTGCCTAAACTGCCTGGAAGTCCTGCCTTTGTAAATAAGTCAGCTTACTTAACACGAAAGAACAATCCGGAAGTGAGTAAAATAGAACGATTTTGATGCGTGTTGAATGAGCATACGTTCTTATGCTCAAAGTAATTTCATCGCTACCGCCGAACCATGAATGCCTGGGAGTCTTCTGCTTAGTTGAGAAGAGCTGCATTCTATGCATATATGAGACATTTCAGTGGCTTCATTCACCGTAATCTTCTGGACGGACCAGTTCGTAGACGGTGCAGAGTGGTACCGAAGAACAACTGTCTCGAGAAGGTCGCGTCTGAGTATTGTGAAAGTCCTTGCCATGACTACGAAGCCAAGTGATAGACCATGCTGGTCACTAGAAAGTCGCTCGTGCTCACGCGAGGAGAACGCGTATGCAGTTGGAGCTCCAATCTACCTTCCAGCAGAACGGCTTTTTTCCGTCTACGTGCCGCAGCCGCAAACTCGACTGGCGTGCAACATGTTCCTGTTTGACATATTCACGTTTCGCAAAATGGCATCCAAACGTGTTTGTAACGCGACTGCAAGCTTATGCCGTACAGTATGCCATCCACATCCGCATAGACAGCTCGTCTCTGCCCGCTCATATCAACTGCAGCTAAATCTGCAATCAATCCTCAGACCACAGTCATTGGCCTTCTCGACATCTCCTAGTTATCTAAAGAAGTCTTCAGCGAACAAAAAGTCCTCCAAAAAATCGCCGGATGTTGGTCCACCTGATGTAGAAGAGCATGTACCCGATAACCAGGCTACAAAGGAGAGGGATGCTGATATCGACCCATATGATTTCAGTCAACTTGAGGCGGGTATTGCATCCGCGATAGCTAGACTGAAAGATGCTTTGACCAAAACAAGAGATGCTGGCCGCGTCACACCAGACATGATAGAGGCTCTCCCCGTCGAACTCAATTTGAAACATCCTGATCAATCAAAACCTAAAGGAAAGGGAGAGCATCCACACCATGAACGAACCAAGCTTGGAGACATTGCATCAGTAGTGCCAAAAGGTGGTCGTATGCTACAAGTCTTTGCTGCAGAGGAAGGCCATGTGAAGCCACTCACCTCCGCAATCATGGCCTCCGATCATTCTCTGACTCCCGAGGTTGACAAGAACAACTCCCTGCTCATTCTTGTGCCTGTACCACCTGCTACCTCGGAGACTCGAGCTCAAGCTGCTGCAGAAGCAAAGAAGTGCTTCGACAAGGCCAGTTTGGAAGTCAGAAATGCAAGAGGAGATGCACAGAAGAGGCATCGGAAAATGGAGCTAAACAAGCTGGTCATCAGAGATGAGTTGGCCAAGGCTCACAAAGGAATGGAAGAGATCGCCCGAAAAGGCCAAGAAGAGGTCAAGAAAGTCTATGAAAATGCCTTGAAGGCTTTGCAGCAATAGTTCCTGCATCCGCAGATGGCAACAGCTGCAGTATGATCACGGCAATCTATTCCTGCACCTCCTTGTAAAGTACAAGGAAGCTTCCTTGCAAAAAGAATCTGACAATCTTCCGCGGCCAAGATCCTACAATCGAATAGAACTACGATATCTGCTCATGAATTCAAACTCTGTGCACCTACATCGTTAGACGCATGGAGCGGGACGATCTTGACTCAAGAGGGCGACGAGCTCCGTCAACGACGAGGCAGAGTGCACGTGGCAGATGCATGGAAGGCTAGTAGTTCTGCAGGAGCTAAAAACAACCATGACTTGCACTTTCAGTGCAATCGAGTCGCTTTGATTCGTGGAACAGAGTGCTGTATAAACGGATGGCCAGAGGATCCTTCTAAGCCGCGCCTGTTCCAAACGATGTAAAGCCAATGCAGTCAGTCTCCACCATCCCATTGAGTATCGTCTGCCATGAAGGACGACCCTCATCCTGTGACAAGCCACCTGCTGCGTACATCCTGCAGTACAAGTGCGGCAGGCAGGCGAACCCACGAATGACCTGATCAGCATACCTGCCATTCCTCCTCTCCACCATGTTCTGGCAACATCATCTACTAATGCAAGAGACTTCCTGATCAAGTGAACGCGAGGATACAGATCTGGAATCCGCGCTAAAGGCATTGTCCGTCAGAAATACCACTGAAAGAGCGTGGTGACCGAACTTTACTATACACTATCTGGACTGCCGCCGCGCTCCTCAATCTCAGCTTACAGATACCAATCCTTGTTCGTCGTGGAGTCTTCTCCAACCACGTTTATCTGCATGTGCAGTTGCAAATTGGACTTGCCGTTCGAGCATGAGGTCCCTGTCGTAGGGCACAGATGCTCCATCTCAATATCGTTCCTCGTAAAGCGAACTCCAATGCTTATCAGGCAGGCCAATGACATATCAGAAACGACCCTAACCATGTCATCATAGTTTACCAAAGTCCTGGGGAACATCTGCCACGTGGTTTTCGTATTCAGGAGTTGCTCCCCGGCTCAAGCGCCCGGACCCGCTTCTCTCTTGGCGGTCTCCTTGATTTGATCATTGAGCCGACCTTTTTCACCATCTTTCGTGTCTGATGAAAACCAATCTCTTATCACCAACGACATACCAGCTCTATTAAGGCTTACCGCACGCTTTCGGCGCTCCCCTCAGACTGTTGTTACGCTCTTGGCCTTCGACACTTATGTAGGAAGCTGAAACACGAAATTTATGCCCCCAGTTAGCTAACAATCTTGGCTGCGGTGGCTTGCAGAAGCTTGCTTAAGTCAGTGATTTCGATCATTCTAGCGCATTTTGTGATCAGCAGTAAATTGCGCTATGCCTCGTGGCAGAGGAGTAACTAATCGTTGTTTGAAACGCGAGGATGTGGACCGCTAGGCTAACGAAAGGACAACCGGTGTTGGATATCGTTGTCAAAGTGACATAGGTCAGAGAATGAAGAACCTGCAACTCTAATACCATTTTGTCTGAACCTCTTGATGCGCAATTGGGGCCGAACCATAGTGTTGCTATAAGATCAAATCAGGATGACTGGGCCATAGGTTGGGCATATTGTCAACTCCTGAGATTCGCCAGCAGTAAGTAGCAGACACCTGAGCCAACTCCTCATCGTTCCATTTGAAGAGATGTCAACCACAAGAGACCGAGCATCTAATCGTTACGAACAGGAGCATACTAGCTCTGCCATTGTCCAGGATCTGACGAGCCAGACACATGATGAAGCTTCTTTACTCTTTGCTGGAACACAATTCGACCACAATGAGGTTGGCCCTGCAACTTCTGACCTTCTGCATGCTCACGGGTCCAATACTGGCACAAGAAGTGCGCAGCAGTCAGACATACTCCTACTCATCCTTATCATCTTGTCGGCACCTACCACCGAGGAATTTAACTTCGAAACTAGGGCTGGTTTGCAATGACAATACAAGTACAACATTACACATCCGGCATTGTCAGGCAGGATTTATACCATCGGAAAGGACACGCACTACAATAGCAACGATACCGGATCATCTTTCGAGCGCTGAAAAGGCAAGCACGACTCGCATGCCTAAACCTCACAAGCCTCGAGACGATGCAACTGTTACAACTCCGGATACTACTGGCCGCGTAGCCAGACAAAAATCAGATATGCATCTAAAAAGAAGAAACAGCTCGTCAACCATTACAGTCACGCAAACAGTGTCGATTACCGTTATACCATCATCAACATTACACAGTACGGCAGACACTACGAGAGATGGAAGCACAACCGCTGTCTCAAGTGTTCTTACCACGACTCCATCTTCACCCAAGCTTTCAATCACAGCCCGGAATGCTATCATTGGTGTGACCATTGTTGCAATACTTACCGCAATTGCTACCATTATTGGCTGCCTCCTGTTACGTCGGCGCAGGCCAGTTCATACAGGCCAAGCTCTTCAGTTTGAGCTGGAGTCGCCGTTGAGTCTGACGCCCTTACACGGCAGGGTAGAACTTTCCGAGCTTCCGTCACACAAAGAGGATGCGAATCGCGAGCACGACACAACACGCGGCAGACAAGCTCGGACCATTGAACTGGCTTCGTGGAAGCAGACGCCCTGGACCGGAGAACCTAGCATAAAGTCGTCCGTCAAAGGCAAGTCACTCGAGGGGAAATCATGGTATCATCATGACCCAACATAGGCCATGAGTCAGTCAACAGAATGTTTCTTTTATTTCCAAACCTGACAGCGACATCCCAGCTCAAATAGAATCTGTATAATATCAATGCCTGTAATGTATTTAGCATATTATGTCCATGTAGAATATACCTGTCGTACGCAATATACCTGGATGCGAAGTTCCAATGAAATGATTACTGGTGTGCTGAAGCTATGCTTGTCTGTGTACTTGCTACCACTCTATCCTTCGAATCAGACACCTAGCCCAAATTGACATTACTGACAGATAGGCATATAGAAGCTGCATGTCTCGTTACAACGTGTCCAAGTAAAATTCTGGAAATATGGCTCATCTGGCTCCCACTGGCCGCCCTGGGTATCTATCAACAGTGTTCGAGCTCGCACAACGCCGTATACCAAAATACCTAACTTGCTATCCCTCTTTCCGAGCTAATTATGAACAAGATGAAACGGGTGGCCATTGTTGCTGATGAAAGCACAACGCCGCATGGCAACAAAAGTCCCATCAGGCAGGATACCACTGTCCTCAGAATTACTGAGATAGATCATCAGCGCTGAAGGACAATCTCGGCTTTGAGGCTCTTACTTCCGTATGAGATGCGCGGAGCGATCATTGAAGGCTTTGATACACTCTCGATAGATGATGGAGCTGCCGTCGGGTAGGAGGTGAAGCTGCTGGCCTTGAATGGGATGAGCCCCTGGTCGGGGTGTAAATTGAGCCTGGCTGAGACAGGAGGAGGTTGTTGTGGTCTTTTGAGAGTCCATGGGGCAAGTTGAGAGGATGGTAGCCGTGGTTGGGTGTAACTTAGGCTGAGGAGACATGTGCTTGAAAATAGCTTGTGTGGGGGATTAATTAAATTAACTTGAGGTTGGGATTAAAAGGTCGATTTGAACTGTGTGGTTAGGAAAATTGGGATGAAAAAGACCGGAATCTATAGGGTTTTATGTGAGCTTCGACGTGTCCTACCTGTGTGATGGCCTCAAGCCACATCCATTTCAGCCATTACTGTGACACTGTCATATTGAGGGCACGTATTTCACTGTACCTCTTTCCTGACTATGCAGTTATAAGTCACCTCACAAGGTGTCCAGGGCACCCGTCATACAGTATGTAGTACTTTTCAACACCTCTGTGCCTCTTGCCTCGATTCCGACCACTGATCGGCAGGGCCTGGATGTCAACAATAACCGTATTGGAAGTAATTGTCACGCAGTTGATAGTGACACCATTCAGTTGTACTGGTACAGTAAGGTCACAGCCGGCTGGGGCTTGGAACAAGAATGCGCTCGTGCCTGAGATGCCTGGAAACTGGTGCCTAGGCACTGTGAGGTCATGCCTGAATAATCGACCCTGCCAAGGAGTGCTGGGGTTTTGTCGCGTTGCCATGTTGATGCGGGGCCTGCGCTTTATTAGTTCGCGTGGAAAACAATTTCCTCCACAGTCTTTGTGCAAGAACAACCTCGCCAGTGTATCACAAACACAACTGATCCACAAACGTATAAGGTTGCTCCCGCTCCCTACTTTACATCTTCTCCCTCTGTACAATATGAGCAGCTTCTCGCTGGCAGGCAAAGGCCTGAAACTGGATACAAAGGAGGATATTCAGAAACACATTCAACCACTTAGCGACAACGACAAGATAACAAGTATAGATCTCAGTGGCAATACCCTGGGTGTAGGAGCTTGCGAAGCACTGGCTCCTGTGCTCAAGTCTAAGTCAACCCTAGAATTCGCAGACCTACACGATATATTTACCCAAAGATTAGTCGACGAGATTCCGCCTGCCCTCGATTACCTATTGACAGCTTTACTCGAGTGTCCGAACCTTCATACGATCGACCTGAGTGACAATGCATTCGGACTCAAGACAAAGGACCCCCTCGTCGACTTCCTCAGCAAGCACACTCCTCTACGACACCTAATACTGAACAACAATGGCATGGGCCCAATTGCTGGCACGAGTATAGCAGAGGCATTGACACAGCTAGCAAAGCGAAAGGAAGAAGTTCGGCGCTCAGGCAAAGAGGTTCCAGACCTAGAGAGTATTGTGTGTGGTCGAAACAGACTCGAGAATGGCAGCATGGAAGCCTGGGCACAAGCATACTCTGCTCACAATAAGATGAAGAGTGTGAAGATGACGCAGAATGGTATACGGCCAGAAGGCATCGTCGAGCTGATTAAGAACGGTCTATCGAAGTGCAAGAGCTTGGAAGTCTTTGACCTGCAGGACAACACCTTCACATTCAGAGGTGCAACCGCTCTGGCTTCTGCAATTCAGAAATGGCCACAATTGAAAGAGCTTGGTGTTGGTGACGATCTGCTGGGTGGACGTGGCTCGATCAAGGTCTTTGAAGTTCTTGCCAAAGGTCAAAACAAGAACGTCGAAGTACTTAGACTCGACTTCAACGATATCACTCCTGCTGGCGTTGCTTCACTGCTCACCGCCGCACAAGATGGTCTACCTAGCTTACGAAGAGTTGAGATCAATGGCAACAAGTTCGAAGAGGACGACGCATCTATTGAGAAGCTCTCTGCTCTGCTGGAAGAGCGAAAGGACGAGAAGGGCACAGACAATGACCCAGAAGATCACTGGGGTATCGGCGAATTAGACGAACTGGAAGGTGAAGCAGAAGATGACGAGGAAGAAGATGAAGAAGATCTTGCCGACGAAGATGAAGAGGAAGAAGAGAAGAACGCCGAACAAGTACACAAGCGAGCTGTGGGAGTAGAGACCTTAAAAGCTGATGAAAAGGCCGAAAATGCAGACGTGGGTCAAAAGAAAGATAAGGATGTGGACGATCTGGCTGATCTCTTGGACAAAACAAAGGTATAGGATACCTGGAACAACTGCTGCGTCTCTTGAGGTGACGCAGCACAGCCGACCTTTTCAAAGAATATAGAGAGGCAAGAGATTAGCTGAAAGATTAGCGTAGCGAGAGCGATACCCACGGCATTCATACACAAGCGGCCTTCGAATCTAGTTCTGAATCGAAGTCATAGAGAAAAGGAAACACTCTTCAATGCATAAAAAAGTCTTTCCAGCTAAGTCTCGAAGACGAGTCAGATCCCAAAGACCCTGTACGAGGTGTGAAACTGCGTCCACAAGATGTAAAGCATATATAATCTCAGAACGCGTCTGCTTTTGCCCATTTTTTCCATCGCCAACCCGACACCAACCATGCCACCGTCCGTTGATCGTGCTCAATGCTGCCAGAAGACACTCAAAAGTTCACCCATACACCTCCAATGCCACCCATATGCCTCATCGCTTGCCATAACCCAATCACCATCTCATTAAATGCTCACCGTCGACTCGACCTCCTCGAACTCCTCACGCTACTAATCTGACTAACACTATCACTCGGCTCAACCTCATCCCTCGGCACATTCAACTTCCTACTATCCTCAAGTTTCCCTACCACACTCTTCGTCAAAGCGCTCTGTCTATCCTTCTCGATCATCCGACCAATTACCGTTTTGTTCGCTTTGGAATGTGTGGACTGATAGTCGGATGGTGAGGCGCTGATTGTGGTTCCGGCACGAGAGGGTGGGAGAGGGGTGTTTTCGGGTTTGATGACGGTGCTGGTTTTGCTTGGTGCACGGGATGGTGCTGTTGTTGGAGCTTTTGAGACGTGAGATGGAGCGGTGGTGGAGGGTGTAGGTTTGATGGGTTTCACGGTTGTGGCTTCGCTTTGGGAGGTGGTACTTGGAGTTTTGGATACAATGCTTGATCTTCTGCTGATGTGGGATTTCGCTCGACTTCTTAGGTCTTCGTCGCTAGCGTGTCTGCTGCTACTGCTTCTGCGTGAGGCTTTACTCTCGCCTGAAACGGAGTTGGAGCGGAGGATGGAGCTGATTCGACTTCTTGAGCGTGATCGGCCAGATGCTCGGCTGTGGTTGTCGGTTTCGGCCATGGTGATTGCGGTTGGTGCACGGTAGGAATTTGGTGGTGCGCCGAGCATGCGGGTGCTGCTTTTGGCGGCCTGGCTGGCTCGACTTTGGCTTGCGAAGCTCTTGACGTCGATGTTGCTTAGGCTGGATCTCCGTCGTGGACGGTGGCTGGTTGTATAGTCGGACAAACGCTCGTCGTTGTTTTGCATTGTGATGTATCGCTGGCTGCCTATACGGCTTGGCTCGTGTTGCGAGAAGCCATATGCACTTGGTGGAGCTTCGATGGCGTACGGGTGATTGGCTGGGCTGCGTGCGTACTCGTGGTAGTAATACATTCTGTTCTCGCCATCCGCGAAGCTGGGCTCTGTGAAGGTCCGCGCAATATTTGGTCTTGGTGCTGCGGTCGATATCGCTTCGGGCTTTTTGCCTGATTCAGTGGCTTTAGTGTATGCATAGTGCAGGGCTGCACCAGCGGCTACGCCCAGCAGTGTGCCGACAATGGTGTCACTAGGCTTGTGACTGTTTGGATCTGATAGATTGGAGGACGGACGAATGTTCGGTGCCGAGTTTGACGAATCAAGAGCTGGACGAACGTGGTTAACGAGCTCTTGCGCTAGGTTTATCGCGCCTCGAGTTTCAGACAATATAGAAGTGACAACTTCGCCTGTAGGCATCGTGTGCGTCACTGTTTGTGCTTGATCAGGCTGGGCAGAAACGTACTGGCCGCTGGACTGGGGCGGTGCTCGAGCAATAGACGTCGGTGCTCGAGAGGAATGGCTCGCAGCACGAGAGACTTGAGTTGGAGCAGCGGTGTGCGCCTTGGAAACGTGAGAGGCGGTTTTAGAGACTGAACTGGCAGCTGCAGGGATTGTGGTTGGTGCCCCTGATACTGCTTTCAATACATGCGAAGGCGCCACGCTCCGAGCCTCGCTCGGCGCTTGTTTAGCAGTTGAGGCTCGGGATGCCACTGTTGACGCTTTTGCCGACGGCACAGGCTTGGACTTGACAGATGACACACTAGATACGCTACTTGGTCGACTACCATAACCTTCGTCGATCAGGTCTGGTCGATGAACGGCTTCGATGCTGTTACCGTCAAAATCGATCACGGCTGCACTAAAGTAGCCAGTTGCTGGATCTCGGAGTGCAGGTTCACCATGACACCTGCCGCCAGCCTTGAGTGCTGCGATGAAGAAGTCTTTTACTGTGCTTTGGGAAGTGGCCGGAAAGGCTACATGAGCCGCACCTGCTGGCACTCCTGGTGTCTCTTGAGAAATCCAGAAGTCGGGAGGAGAGTCTTTCAGACCAAACCCGATAGTATTATCGATACGCCCTCTGTATACATATTCTAGAGGTTGAAGGGTCGAAAGAAAGAACGAGGTTGAGGTGGACAAATGTTTAACTGTAAGCGTGATTGACGATGGCATCGTAGTGAAGAAACAAAGTCCGGGACTATGCAGGTGATCTGGACTAGCAGGTACACCACAATCTGCAGACTGGGACTGCTTTGGTGTGCTAGTGTAGACTTGAAGGTCGGTTGGTCGTAACGCCTCGAAACAACAACTGAAATGATGTTAATATAGCGATGTAGTGCGGACCTCAGGTTCTGTGCCACGATGTAGACAAACTGCAAGTCGGTTTGCGAATAGATTTGACGATTCGAGGTAATTCGAGTTCTGTAAAGGGCACAGAAGATTGGAAGCAGTTCCTTGAATGAAGAGCGAACGGCTGAGAAGTTATTAGCGTGAATAGACCCTAGGTCAGCATCGAAACCTAAAGCCCTGCAAGGATATTAGCATGTCTTTAGGTCGTCAGTAAACCGAAATCTTCGTCATAAAGGCTGAGTGGTCTTGTGCTGTGGCAGACAGGCACAGGCTCAGGGCACACAACCTCGTAGAGGAGACCAGACTCCACCACGGGACAATGAGGCATAATGCTCGGCCAGAAAAGGACGAAGCTGGGAGTCATGACAGGTCAAAAAGCAACAAAATGCAAGCTGCCACGTTGAAATATCTTGAGGAAAGCCAACAAGGGCGATTCCAGTGGAGAAGCAACGACAAAGCGATGTCAGAATCGGGTAGATGTTGGAGTTTGGTGGGTGCTGATCAGCGCAAAGATGGGCGGTTCGGAGCGATTCGCTTACGGAAGATTGGGCTCAAACACATGGTTTCGCCTCACAAAATGCCTAGCTTTTTCTGCACCATATTCCGACAGTTTGGCGGCTTTGCAACGTGAAAACTCGCGCGAAAAGAGGTATTGTGCGTGTAAAAGCAAGTCGCTTTTGACTTCAAATATTCTGCTGCAAGATTACAGATTTTGTGCAACAAAGGTTGTTCGATCCTGAACTGAAGCTGCAGTACAGTACATCATATCAACCAATCAAAACTTTTTCAACATGGTGCCAAATTTCTATTGGTGGATTTTCTCAACCTGCATTTGAATTATTGGTACTGTCAGTCCAGGTACTCATGGAGATTACCAAGCTGGCGATTTTGCTTGACATAATACGATTTAGGTAGACGAGAGCTTGTTGAATGTATTGCTCAGGCACAAACACCTGACGGCAAGTTGGTTGGCCGTGTCCCGACAGCGACTGGAAGAAACACGGGTCTCGATGACCTTCGAGAAGAGCCAGATCAGCGATAATGCCTCGAGCATGTCAGATCCTGTGTGCCTTGTTGAAAAACAGTCCAAAAGATCTAGACAGTACCCGGCAAGCCAGAGAAGGCTCAAGCGAAGAGGCATGATGTTATGATCGTAGCCCTTGCTGAAGAGTGTTGGAGACAACATAAGAAAGCTGCGTGTATAGATTAGCACAGCCTGTGACCTAGATGACGTTCCAAGCATCCTCAGCAGCGTGGCAGAACTTGCTGCATGCGACACTGGCGCTTAAACTGTAGTTGCTGATTGAGATGGACTCATCCTTGAATGCGTCGGCAAAGTCATCTTTGCCTTTGGCCATCGCACCAACAAAGACACAAATGCTTTCTTTGGGACCAAGTGTTTCCATGTAGTCTCTTACTCGGACGACTTCGGCGTCGAAACTGAGCGTTACTTTCCTGCAGTTAGGAGGCAGATGGTCTGTGATAGGATTCTTTATGACCTTGAGCAGCTTCTCCTGTGAATTAACAGATCTGATGGACAACTTGTGAAGCAGTTGTACCATAAGACCAGCAAATCGCTTAAAAGTTCGTGGTATCCGAACAGTTGGCGAAACCTCGATCAGAACTCCTTTAGCTGTGTGAATGTAAATTTGTAGTCTTCCTGCTTTGTTGATGGGTGAATCGAGGAGGGTCAATAGGCATTGATGGGTAATATCAGGACGAGCATCACTGATGTCTCTACCCATCTTCCGCATGACTCCAATGTGCTCATCACTGTTCAGTAATGAGAACTTTTCATCTTTTCCCCCAGATTTGCCTGTATGGGCGGCCTTGTAGGTTTCCAGGCTCGCGTTTGAGAGTACCACGATTAATCTCTGTGTGTCTTTGTCGGTGGACGAGATAGGCACGTGCTGTTCAGCAACCATCCGGGGCAGTTCTGGAGCAGGTAGTGACTGCGCTCCTGTGGTTGAAGTTAGTGATTGAGACCTCAACTGAATGGGCGCATACTTGATCTTTTCCTTTTGAGCGATGATACTGCGTTAGTCGACATGGTAGCACGAACAAAAATATTACAGCCTCGAAAGTAAGATGGACATGAAAAACACGTCCGAGCTTTTCGTGCTTGATTGGTAAATTTTTGTCTCGGTTGGGGACGTGGGGTTGTTCAGGCTGATAGGCAGCTCTATGTCGCGAAGGAATTGTAGATACGCAAGTCCTGCTTTTGCTTATACGATCTTCCCCGTTCTGTTGAACCACAATTGGCGCTGGTTATAGATAAATGTCGGTCATCGATGGATCAAACCTGCTTTTTCATGACTCGCAGGCTGTGCGGACGACAAATGCGAGATTTCCTATAGACACTATCACGATGTCGCTCCATTCCTCCTCAAGCCTGAGCCTGTCTCTGTTGTCCTTTGCTCCAAGTTTACTCTGCCTCGTTTTACCCTAATCCAGCAATGGCTACAAAAAGTACCGAGCAATATGTCAACATTCGGGAAGTCCCTGGCAGGGGCGAAGGTGTCTTTGCGAAGCGCAATTTGACCCCAGCTGACAGGATTTATGGTGTGACTAACATTCCACTTTCTACCATTAGCAGTTCACAGCTGGCGAAATTCTGCTATCATTGCATAGCTGGCTCGCGCACTCCAGAAGATGCATGGTCTTTCTTTGGTCAGTATCGGGACGCAGATCTCAAGATATGTTCCGATTGCAAGGTGGCACGCTTTTGTGGTGAACAATGTCAAAGACAGGCATGGAAGAAATACCACAAGTATGAGTGCAAAATTTTCGTCAAGTTATATCCCAAGATCTTGCCTGAAAGTGTAAGAGCTATCGTTCGTCTAGCGCTACAGCACAAGCACGACCTGCTCCCTCAAGGTACTTGGCTAGCCACTCTACGTCTCGTATCTCATTACAAAGAGTTCGAGAGGGCAGAGGGCAATGACCTAATGAACCTCATGCTAATGGCAAAAGCGGCTGCTGAATATTCGAAAGCTGCAGATGAGAATACATTCTTACTTCTCCTTTGCATTCTCAAGACTAATGCAATCACTTTACAAACAGCTTACAACGATCCGATAGGACTCCTCCTAGATCCTTTCCTTGCGACCATGAATCACAGTTGCGATGCTAACGTCTATCTCCATCGGCCGACCTACACGAACAATACTGGGTGGCTGCAACGAAAGCAAACAGCTCAAGTGGCGCTCGAAATCATGCCATTACGCAACATCGTGGAAGGAGAAGAGCTGACCATTTCCTACATCGACTTCCAGAGACATGTATCCGAACGTCAATCCGAGCTACAGAAGAACTACTTCTTCACTTGCACCTGCGCGAAATGTGTCTCAGACATATCAGTCGACACACAGCTACGAGAATCCGATCCCAAATTTGCGAGTCTACAAGCTCACTGGCGTGCTCGAGCTAACGAGCACATTAAGAAGTCAACGAACACGTTCCTGGCTCCTGAACCACTCTCGAAAACAACCAGTACTCTGACAGACATCGCAAATGCCATGGAGAAGCACCCCAATTTCTCGCCCACAATAGATCCCTACAATAGAGTGATACAAGAGTTGAAACTCCTATACATGTCCGAAAGTAAAGCTTGCGACTTGGCTCTAACCCACGCCCTCAAACAACATCTCATCATCGGTCCGCAACTCTACAGCAGTCCCATCCACCCAACTCGCATCGTGAACGCATTATACGTCCTACACATTCTCGCTCTACTAGACGAAACTTTCCAACCAAACCACGATCACGGACTAGCCATCGAACGCCAGCGAAAGGAAGTTGAGAAACGAGGTCTTAGTAGACAGAGTTTTCGATACTGGCGGGTCCGGATCTGTGTTGAGATGAAAAAGCCGCTCATGGACAGTGTTGCACAAGACCTGGAGCAGTGTTTTGCGATGGAAGAGGCGAGTATTGGTCCGAGTGATCGAGATGCACTTGAGTATATGCTCACTAGTGAGTCAATTAAGACGAAGGCAGAGGAGGATATGCGGAGATTATTGGGAGTGGAGCAGCAGAGGTGGGAAGATGTCAAAAGACATTGGATTATGTAGGGCTGGATTACTGCGGCAATGACGAGGGTTGGTATTGACTGGCCAGGGAACATGGCTACGGACCATTCATGCAAACTATTTCGCGATGGCAGAACAGTCCGTAGCCATTTTTGCTTGCAGATGACTTTTTCCTATTCTGAAAAGAGTGAGATCTAGCAAGGGGACGATATCAACAAGTAGCATGTCATCGCTGAGATGGATTCATCGGGCTCTACAAAGGCACATTCGTGCGCAGCGCCTATGGTAATCACCGTCCGCGTCAGCAATGGATGTGGCGTCGATCGCGGTATCGTAGTCATTTCCAGAATCCCGCCTGTGGCTTTCGTGGCGTTTGCGTACAGTACAGTACTTGTATGCCTTGCACTCTGCCTTATCGTCCGGACTATTGGCAAAAGGTATCCGTCTAACAATCTTCAACTAGAATCGAAGCCAAAGAGATGATTTGTTGCATACCAGCCTCAGAGAAAAAGACAGCCACCTAAGTCGGCCTGACCGAACCTCAATTTGATCTGTTCTACACAGAAACCATAAGGAGGTCTTGAGCAGTTCCATGCTCTTCTCCCAAACACCAACGCTATGCTGTTTGATCTATCAAGAGTCTCGTGTCTTCGTCTATTTCTTCGTTGCTCCAGTCAACGTATTGCTCACTGTACTGATCATTCATAGGATCCGTGATAGAATTCGCTTCACTTGCACCATGCACGCCCATCCGAGCTCAAGTGTCTTCCACCATCTCTCAGGCATCTAGCCTCTTGCACTCCTCAGCGAATATCCCTGTCCTTGAAACTGACCACTGCCGCTGGACACATCAACCAGGCTGCTGATATCCATGGCTCCCGACGCGGTCTGCTTTCCTTTGTTCTGAGCCTGCTTGACTTCTAACCCACCGTTGATAGCGTTGAGTCTAAGTAACTTGATTCGTGCTTCATTGATGAAGTTGTCGACTGTATCGAGTGCCTGCTGCTGCATGACTGCTCGAGGTGATTCTTCATATGCAATGAGCACCATTCTTTCGAGATCGATACGTGCCTGTAATGCATCTGATTCTATCATCTGTATGAGTTCCTGGACGAAGGGTGTTATAGTGCCTGTGCTGCTCTGTTGTCCATTTGTCGTTGAAGTAGAGCTGGTTCCGAACATCTTCTCCATGCTTTTCAAGGTTACCCTGCTGAATGGTTGGAAGTATTGCACGATGCTCTTAGTTCGGATCTTGGTGTAGATTAGTCCCAGTTGCTCTTGAAGGTAGATGTCTAGCAGATAATCGACTCGATAGGACTCTAGAGTCTCCAGGCACTGGCTGTATTTACTGGCGCAGAAACTGTTGATAGCTCGTCGGATGTGTGGCTCGAGCTCCAAGAAGGATCGAAAGTTGGCATTGTCAAGCACCTTGTTCTGCAATTCACTGCGGCTCATACTTGCAAGTGCACAGAGTCCTCCGTACACCGCGACATCGTTTGCGCTGATGACATCGTTGTAGTTATCTCCTAGTGCTGCGAAGTCCACATCCAGGAAGAAGTTGGCCGCTTCTTTGTAGTCGCCTAGACTCATGTACTGCAGTCCCTGAGCAGCAAAGATCTTAGGCTGGTTCTTTGCTGATTCTTCAGGTTTCATCTGTTGTAACGCTCGAATCTTCGCGACCTGTGACTGCACGCCGAGCCAGTTCCTCTGTTCTATGTTGACAGCTATCGTGCGAAAGGCGGTAGTGGCAATGTGTCCAGGTCCTGTGCAGTAGTCGCGCATACGATTGAAGGATTTGAGGGCATTAGGCAGATCGCCGGTACTGTGGTTGTGCACTCCCAGTTCTTCACTGCCCATCTAAAAACTGTCAGCCTTTTTTCGATATCATGGAGCAAAGCACATACACGGATGCTCTCCCGAATAAGGTTGTTCTTGTATTGCTTCAGCTCATTTTCTAATCTCTTAGATTCCGCGGCATTCTGCTTCTCTTGGTTCGATAACCACTTCTTATCCATGAGTTCTTGAACATTTTGTCCCGTGATTGTAGCAAGCAGCTGAACTGCATCTTGGTATTGATTGACATCTGAGCCTTTCTTGGCTTCCGCAACTGCTAGGCGAGCAGCTTCTTCTTGGAGGGCCGTCGAGCAGGAAGCGATGAGGTAGAGTCTGCGGAAAACTGTCCTACCTAGAGCCCGTCAATATCTCGAAATATTAGTATCTCATAAAGATCCTACCTTTGTAATTGGCAATATATGATTGTAGATCGAACTTGGGTGCCTCTGCGGAGTGTTGGTCAGGCTCATGCTCACTTTGACTAGCACACTGCATCTCAGCTCACCTGAAACAGTAACGTGGTAGGTTGGCTTGATATGTGTCACATGCTGATCCTCAGACATTGCGATGTCTACAAAGTCCACGGTCTTCACAGCTGAATTGATGCCTTTGTTGCTGAACCGTGACTGTCTCCAAAACTCGCCCGCCATGGTCGATCCGGGCCTGCAGCTTAGCAGCCTTAAGGGCTTGGCTTGCGTAATTGGTGTTAGAGTGTGGTTAGTAGGCACAGCCTCGGGAGCCTGCAGGCAGCCTAGAAACACACTGCAGTCTGTCGTCTATAGGGTCTTTGTGTAATTGGGGGATAGGACGTAAGGACTGGCGGTTAATTATGTGGCCTATGATAGGCGAGCGACAGGAAGAGAACCGTCTCGAGTGTGATTTGGTTTGGAGTTGAAGCCCATGATCAAGTCACTCAGTGAGTCAGTGAAAGTGACGGAGATCAGCCAAATAGCAATGAATGAAACGGTTGTGAAACATTGGATCTTATCAGTAGATTCGGAACGTTATACGTTCACATCTCTGCAATCGCTAATACTATGAACACTTTTTTGCCAGCTATGTGTTGCCGAAGTAGTCCTTCTCTTGTTGGCCATAATATACAGGTAATAGAGGCCTGGGGTATCGAAAACAATCGCTCAAAAGCCTCACTGGGCTACACATTATAGTCTCATAAACATTCGTCGCTCGAAATACATACGGGTGGTCGATAATCGTCAACATCGTCAAGATGCTTTGCTTGGTGACAGTGGTCTTCGCTTCAAGAAGAACAAGTAGTCATGGACACTACTGCCAAGAGTCCTTGAACTCCTGCAGGAAGTCGTTCTCTGGAATCCAGGGTCCCTTCTCTTCAGTGGTGGCGTCGTGAAAAGCATTGGAGCGCTTCAGGGTCTCAATGTCGAGGTCGGTCACATAGCTGCTGCCGTTTCGCAGTGGCAAGCGTACCTCGAATTCGTTGTGCATCATCATATCGTCCTTGAGCAACCTTCTTTGGCCGTCATAGACACATACGACACGCTTCTTCATGTTCATCCTGTCAGTGGCCATACCCCAGGATGGTGGGTAGAACTTTCTGCGCTTTCGGCTCTTGCCGATGATCGAGCCACCACCCTTGGACCAAGTTAGGCCCTTCTTTGAGGTCTTCTTTGAGATGTTGCCGCCGATGATCGCTCGATTAGAAGTCACTTTAGAGACTTTGATGGCACCCCGGCCGGGTCGCTCATTGAATTCGAGTTCGTCTTCTTCTTCTTCCTCGTCGTCATCGGCTTCTTCCTCATCCTCGTCTAGATCCTCAAGACTCTGGCTGCTATCCTCCCTCTTGATGTTGTTACGCTCAAAAGTGGCTTGGACATCTGGATCATCTGTGAGCTCTCCTAGCCGATGAGCATTAACAGCCTCGATAGGATCTTCTTGTTGTACCATCTTCAAAACACAATCGTCCAAGTGCTCGTAGAATTCCTGAGCGTTGTTGAAAGAAGCGCCGCAGGTTGAGCATTTGCCGGTGGCATCAGCACAATAGCTGGACAGCTTGATACTCGACTTGCTTGGACTTCTTTTCCTGCTGTTTGGTGGCGCCTGCTCCACTCCGTGCACTGTTGTCAGGTGTCGCTTAAACACATCGGCACGGTTAAAGCTCTTCTCAGCGGCCGAACCAGATCCCGGGCAGAATCCGCAAACCATGGTACCTCGATAATGAGTCAAAGTGTGTCTGTTCTTGTCATACTTACGAGCGAAGCCCTTCACGTGGTATTCGCAGCTCAAGATAGGACACTTCTCTGGCCTCACCCTTTCGTGCGTCAACATATGAGCTTTCAAGTCCTTGAAAGCTCTGCCACAATCGGGATATGGGCACCTCGTCTTCTCCCGGTCCTCGTCGAACGAGTGCACAGACTGAGGAGATGCACATGATCTTACAGATGCAATTGATTGTCTTCGCAAGACAACGTTGGATGTGCTAAAATTGTCAACGGTCATTGGTTGACTGAAGGAGTGGTAGCTGTTTGAGGAGGCTGGAGAAGCAGCAGGTGAACATGGTGATGCTACTTGATTCGCTGGATAGGTTGCATAGCTGCTTGACAATGTGTTGGGCAGCAGGCCTGAATCTGAAAATGATGTTAGCCTAAGGTCCACTCGGTCGTAATGCTGCAAATTGTGAAAACAGAAACATGCTTATCAAGTTGGGGCGGAGAGCATGGAGGAAGACGAACAAGAAGCATCGGTGGGTGGTAAGAAGTTACCAATAAGATGAGAAAAGAAATTGTACTGAGAATCGTAGTCAAGTACTGGCGTGTTGGAACACGAAGAGAGAGAGGGTGAACAACAAAGATTGTATGAAATGGGAGCTGGTTCTGGTTGCATTGGGAACATGGTTCTTCTGGTATGAGGCGAAGTCACTCTGGGATATGCTGAAGCTGGAATGGTAGGAGGCTTGAAGAGTTGTTTGTCTTGTATCTCACAGGGTCGAGCATCCTGGCCGGCGGCGTCGAGCCTGCGTTTGGGCATTGTGAATACAGCTTCGGAAAAGATATCAATCGGGCTTGGTGATGACACAAGAGGCTCAATTGGAAGGCTCCCCTGAACATGCATCGTCGACGATCTTTGAGCGAAAACAGTAAGATCTGCAGACTTACCAACGAAAGACGCTGCCAACTTGGCATCCTGACCGATGGTGGCTTCGTGATCGAAGTGTGATGCATCATAACCAAAGATTGTGTCGTCGCAAAGAATTGCTGGGCCACCCATGTAATTCTCATACATGCTGGGGGCGGGTACAGGTAGGGTATGACTTAGGTATGGCGATCCCACAGTTGATGATGACGCACTGGGTATGGAGGGTGCTGAAGCAGCATATAGTAGTGAAGGAGCTGCTTCTGGGTGTATCTGCTGCAAGCTACCTTGCGACATTGATCTGATCATATCGTGTTTGTTTTCTTGTCGTTCAGTGCTGAAAATGTCGGTACTGAAAGGCATGGACTCATATGAGAAGTCCGTTATGCTGGACATGTAGTCTTCTTCCTTGGCCTCGGAGTCGAATGCAAAGTGCTGCTGGAAAGCATGGTGGTATGGTTCATAAAGAAGCATCTTGATAATTGTGATCGGCAAGGCTATCTGAGTTGCGAGTCTTGCTTAAGTGTATGCCGCTGATTCTCCTGAAATGTTCACCAGGCAGAAGTCGCTTCCGTTTTGAGACCAGTGAACACGAGATGACAGAACCAGTAGAGGTCTAGACTCCTTGACTGGAAACAGGAGTCAATGAGGCTGGCTGGGAGTGGTCGATCAGTGCCTCTTACAGTAAGGTCGAGTCGGGATTGGGAACGGATATATGTTGCCTGCACAAACGGTACGAAGAGAAGACTGTCTCAAGAGAGGAAGTGATCGGCGGCCTCGGGTTGGAAGAGGTCGTGTTGGCCAGTTTCAAATAGTAATGAGTCGAGACAAGTCTTGGAGGAGGCGAAAACGAATCATTTAAGTATATGGTCTTGACTTGCTCATCTAAGCACCGTTTGCGCTCAGAAAATCTTTAGTTTCTGACCAGATGGAGTTGGCTTCGACTCTGCCCTACATTTCGCGCTATGAGTTAGCTTGCATGACCAGGGTTGGGACACGCTTGAAAGTCAAATACTAGCTGTATTGTCGATTACAGGCCTGTCAGGTTTCATTTTGATCTCCATTACTGTTCGGAGTCAGCGTTAGTGCCGTGTCTAACCAGTCCGTGGGCTGTGCATGGAATTCTTCTCACGTTATTCAGCATGTTGTCATACAAATATGCCTGTCCTGTAAATTCAGAAATCCAGTCTCGTACAAGCTTCAGATCAATGTGACCATATCTCGTGGCTATCTGCGTCATACCAGTATCTGGGTGGACTGCAAGCACGCAGAGAAAGGAGCATATAGCCCCTGTCACCAAGACAAGTATTGGAGGGGCATATCCAGTCATGGTTGCTGTACTAAAACGATTGCATCCAATCCTTTCGCATTTTGTATCTCATCGCATTTCTTGGTGGAAGCGATCTCCTGTGGCAGCCGCGAACCAGGAACATAACCTTCCTAGGCAAGTTCAAGCAGACTCCTAGCTAAGAACGGAAGTCGTGTGATATGCACCACGTGGGAGGTATGGATTCATGGACAGAATACGGTTTGATCCTAGACCTTGAAGGGCAGCGGCAACAGAGCTCGAGTAGAGCTGCTAAAAAGAGAAGGTTCGTCTGCGGTTCGAAACAATGATAGCCAATCATACGGATATGGATGTGGTTGTGCACAGTTGTGTGCATCTCTCCACATCCGAATCTAGAGAAAAGCTGCATTAGTGTGCGGTGAGCGTGGTATAAGCAAAAGTCCCGTTCTTTGCTCCATGCTGTTTGAAGTAACCTCGTCATTTCAAGTCCTTAACGAGGAGTGTACCTGAATGCTTGACCTAATTGGGATGTGGGTGACATTTGATTCGGCGCTGGATAAATCGGTCAGCTAGTTCTCGGGTGGATATGATGTGGCTTGAAGAGATCCGATGAGAATCTTTTGATTCGTCCAAGAAGTGGCAGTACAGCTGGTATCAGTATTGATTGGTTAAATGTTGTGGCTTGTGTTATTTTTACACCGCTTGAGGCTCAGTATGCAGAGTTCGAGCTTGTGGCACATTACACCATCTTTGCTGCATGGCGGTGTCGCAGTTGCATGCCATGCAGAGGTGATGTAACGATCATGCAGCACAACCATTTAGCACTTGATGAATTCATTATTAGGTGTGGTGTCTGCTCTTGTAGATGACGTCAATGTCTGCTGTGGACCACCGGAACATACTCAGGTTGTGGGGAGCAAATCTATACTGAAGAATTTCCTTGTTCTTGTATCGAGGTAGCGACTCTCAGCACCGGAAGCTTTGACCTGTTTCTCAAGGGTTTTGAGCCGGAGCCTCATTACGATCAAGCAGGGAAACGCCATGAAGGAGCGACCCTGGCGTTTCCCTTTCGGTATGTTGATCATTATAGCATGCCACTTATACGTGCTAGTACAGTTATTGGCCTCGAATGCAGGACTCGTATCGCGGTACAACCTGCCATCGTCTCATGAACTTTGTTTGCAGTCATCGCGACCGTTGTCGGTTGTGGTGGGTTCAGATCGGTAACGTGCTCCATACCACATGGTTGAAAAGTAAGCAAGCTTCTTAGCTTCAGATACCCTCGCCACGTCCTGCCTCCTGGATAATGTGCTTGACAACAATCTCGCCAAGGAGATACCAATCACTGTCGAAACTCTAAGGCACTTCTTGCCGGAAAAAGTAAACGCACATACTGTATGGCAAGCTAAGACTATGCCCCGCAGGACCATTGCCAATAATCGAATGATTTCCTCGTCAGGAACTTCTTTGACACAAAAGACTATGATGTCCGCAATGGGCAAGACACATGGAAGAGGTTCGCATGCCCAGCGTTCTGGAAGATTATAAGGTTAGAGGCTTCCGTAACCACGGGACCAACAAATAGCTTCCCATTGAGTCTCATCGAGGCGAAGAAGCGTGCACTATGCTCACAAAGATGTTTGTCTAGAGCTAGGACTTACCGATCGAGCTTGTCACCAAACTCTATTGTGCAGCAGTCGTGGCCATTCATGACAGGAACTAGCGGGTGCTCATGGATACAGAGGCTCCGGGTTCCAGGCAAAGACGCCCCTCTTTGCACTGCAGTGCTTTTTGAGGGGTGTGATCTTGACCGCCAGCAACATTGGTGGCGCTCAAAAAGAGAGCTGACGTTAGAAGCACTACAATCAAATGCAGACTAGCCTAAGCGCCCAGTGGCCTTAAGCGAGGTCTTTTCCCGACGTTATTCGAAGCCTCCAATGATTCACTTTACATTTGAAGCTAGGAGATCAGACCACGATCCTCAACTTCTCAAATGGTGATCCATGCACCGGTGAAGACTCGCATGTATCCCTGCATCTCCTCCACTCGATCCTGCATGTGTCCTCAATGGAACAGACTTCGCGAAATTGTTGCCGTCTATCACACACACTGGAAGACGAGCCTTGTCCACAATGCAAGAGTGTGCACAAAGAGAAGACGCCGCATTGGTGAAGTCTCTGCTCCTGCATGGCAATGCAATCAGAACCGAAAGACTATCTATCTCATGACCGCTTTGGTCCAAGCACCCTGTCTAACTTTACATGCGTGTTGTTCTGACCGGATACGTGATGTGTCTAAGTACCTGCTGGACGAGCTCAGGTTCTTCACGAAGTCGTGCAAAGTCATCCTCGGATTTTACCATCATAGTGCCTGCGAGAACTGTCCCATTCACGAAGACGATGCCGTCGCTTGTTCCGGTAATTACTCCAGCCTCTGCCTTGCGAGGCAGAATCGCCATTATCTCGGTCGTCATTGCAAGATTGTAGCTAAAGGCAGACCCCTTGTCTGGGCTCATACTAATTTTGTCAATATTGCTCAGATCACAGCCCGCGTTAATGGTAGCAAATGCGGCCTTCATGAGCAGCATGTACTTTTCAGAGAGAGCACGTCCGTCCATGCCAATTCCGAGTTTGGTGGCGAAATGTATAAACGGTAAGTTCGGGTTATGCAGTAATGGTAGACCGTCGTGAGCTGGAAAGGTCATGGAATCGCACAACAATCCCCACCCAGCTTCGTCGTCGCTGATCATGTTCTCGACTGGAAGGAATTGCAGATGACGATGTGGCTGGCTTGCTCCAGAGTGCTCGCCGGAATTGAAGAACGCGAACAGAGCACGTCGAGAGTCATCCTCGATGTCTTCCTGCCACGATCGTAGGCAGGCGTAGGTGGCGTACAGATCATCTTCCTCGAGCAAGTCACTCTGCGGCTTATTATGTTTTGTGGCTGCAATAAAGTGGTTCTCAATCACGGGATACTTGTTCAGTACAAGATTGTGTGAGTGGTCTTGTGGTGGGATTCGCTCTATCAGCAGCCCAGGTGCTGGGTCTTCGAACGGGTCAAATTTCTTTGCTGTCTGTTCATGTTGTGTTTGTTTTGGTTTCGATTTGAGCGCAGGGCAATACCTCAATTGTATCTGCACAATCAATATGTTTGCGTCAATGGCAGGTACTTGAACTCACTGTAATGTCTAATTCTTTGCTATGTATAACGGACAGCTGTGTCTCAGAGAAGAGTAGATCCTGGTTTGCTCTTGCTCGAACGAACTTTCCGTTCACGATCGTCCTCAGGGGTTCTGTCAACCCTAGCAAAATCGGCTGTCGCGTAGACTGTACCATGCTAGACCATCGACAGTTGCGGGCCAGAATCGCCAACGCAGCAAATTTTGCGCTATTGATGGTCAAGCTGTATTTGTCTACAGGAACAATTGTTGTCTAATGAGAAAGACGTGGTTCTAAGAGCAGTGTCAAGAGGATATGCGAAGCCACCTTACAAGACACTCGCTTGGGTGTAAAGGTACAGCCAATTGCTTGCTTGTTACTCAAGCGGTCTAGATGGCGTTTGCTACCGAACAAAGGGACTAACAGTAGAGATGTCAGCATCGTAGATTTGTAGTCTGGGATGACAATGTAAATTTAAATTTAACCACGACACATCGATGGACTCGTCAACTTTCCGTTGAGGACATGCTGTCGAGCGTGGACCTGCGGCAACTTTGCCGTGGCCTCGTGTAGTACTGGTCACTTGGCATGGTGTCAGACATTGCGACCGACTTCCTGGTTCTAGAGTGTCTACTATTGTTGCAGTGTTTCATCATATCAGCTGCGATTCAAAGAGGCGAAGAATTGTCGAAGCGCTGACGGCGCCGGAATTCTTGAAGCTGCGCACCCAGACCACCTCATTTCTCAGAGCATCTGTGCGGCACTACATGCGAGCTGCCTCAATGCGAACAGAAGCCAATTGAGTATACCTCCGCATCCAGGTTTCATACACGACAACAAAAGAGTCAAGACAGCTTCACACGTTGAAGCTGCTTCCAGATGTCACTGATGCAAGGACCCGAGCCGCTCGCCGAACCGTGGCCCCATCTGTGTCGTGACACTCCTGACCATGCGCACGACGCTCTAGTATCTTTCACTTACCAGAATTGAAATAGGAGCAGGAAGCTCTCAAACTCTATTTAGACTGCATACCATTCAGATCACCATTCCGCATGGTATCGTGAATGAATCGCAAATGAGATCAAGCCTTGCCATATTATCACAGTGGTTAGTATAGGAACCGTTGCACGGTCGGGAAGCTTCCACGTTTGCCATATGGTAGAGAGCAATCTTCAAAGAAATCTGCACGTGGCTTCCATGTCCTTGTCATATCTCCTCATTGGTAAAAAATGCTTCTCGTCGTCAGACCGCAACACAGGACAGTCATGAAACAGATACAACGAGAGCATTTGAGGCCAGATCGCTGAATTATTACAGATGGTGGGAGTTGAAAAGAGTTTCATGCTGTCCCGTCGATGGCTAGCATGATGGGCCTGTGGCTGTTCTCGTTGCTCTTCTGATTTCAGCATCGGCATGATGCGCATCCATTCTACTCCCGTTCTACAAATCGTCCCGTAGGCCAAGTCTCAGTTAAGTTCGTCTTGAATCGCTAACGGATTGAACAGGTGTTTCTCTTCCCCAGATCTATTGTTTGAGGCCAATTGGTAGCGTTTGGGACGAACGACCATCTTCTCCTGTCAGAATATGTTCTTGCCCTGAGGAGCGAGATTGGCACTGTACCACCAGCTCGTTAGCAGCCGTCATCCGGGGCAAGCAGAGTTTGCGAGCGCTTTACGAACAGCGATATTGGTTTGATCTGGATCTGACAGAGCTTCTTAAACAACGCCAGCAATATGAACGCCCGCTGTACAACTTCAAATCTATCCTGTCTCGTTCTACGTCATTGCTTGTAGGTACAGAAGAAGTATTGCAGTACGCAATAGGAGGTCCTTCCGAGCTGCGGCTGATTCATACAACTGCGCACTCAAAGACTATTCTGAAACACAATGCAACAACTTTACTGCAAGAGAAGCCAAAGTGACCTCGTCTCTCCAACTGACAGCCGTTACAAGCCAGACGTCAATATCACCACTGTTTTCCGTAGCAACGCACCGAAAGGTGCAGGAAAAGTCGAACCCAGTACACACTTTGGCAGGCGTGGTTGTATGGGCAACATCGCTGCCATGCCTCACGCATATCACCAAGGACGCGTTGGTAAACCGACGTTTGAAACAGTGACGAGGAGTCATGGGCCGCACTGTCAATATCAACTATGCGGCTGTGCTCGTTGTCCTTCTTTACCATATCTAAACTCGCCGTTCGATCCTTCTTCTACAAACCAGCTGTGTCTTTCTACGGCAACCAACCTAGCCAACAATATACCTTCAGACTACCTCACCCCGCAGACAGGACTTGCACAAACAAGCGAGCAAGATATTGCGTCGATGCAATACGATTTTCCACACCCGTTTGCTTCCAGTGGTCAAAGCACAATGGAAGTACTTAGTACAAACGGCGCTCATGTAGCCAATTCAGACATTGCTAGTCGAACATCGATTACACCACAACAATCGTATGTCAGCACACCAGCTACTGTTTTGTCCATCTCACAGAAGTCCAATAGTATCAGACATGAATCGGGCCTGGACACCCCTCCGTCGGCGCACAATGGGTACGAAGGATACCAATTGAACAATGAGTACATGTCGCCTCTCCAAAACGAGCAGAGGAACCACAACAAAGACGGACATGTCGACCCCGAGCTTGTCGAAGAACACTTGTCGAATTACAACAACGATCATGTTGATTACACACAAGATGTAGATTTTGGAACTACGCAAGAGCAGACAGGGGACACAGCCTTCGGTTCAGAGACATATTATGGGACCGAGATCACAACGCAACAAGAGGCCTTCGACGATTTACAGCAATTTCCCCATGAGAACAGCTATCTTTCGCTGGATGAGCAATATGTGCCGGCAGAAGTGCCTACCACAGTTGGAAAGAGGGCAGACACAGCTTTCGCCTATGACCTCTTCAGCCTTCCAGGATCTGGTCATGGCTATGGTCTCAGAACCTACCAAGAAGGCAACGACTATCTGGTTCAGTCCCAACAAGGCGTTTACGGAAATATGCAGCCAACGCCAGGGTCAGCATATGGTAGCGCTTACGACAATGTTGACTTCAATCGGCCGTCAGCATATCCAAACATGTTCGCCGGCCACGGAATGCATCTGGGTACCCTTCCATCGAATATCTCTCCTGTTGCAGACGGTTCTCCAGCTCGTCAGAATGGTAGCAATCGAGCGCGGGCCCGCAACAACGACGATATGGATTCCAAACTTCTCCAGTGGCGTGGTGAAGGCAAGAGCTACAGAGAGATACGGGATCTGGGTAACTGGGGCTTGGAGGAATCGACTCTGCGAGGTCGTTACCGCACCCTGATCAAGTCGAAAGAGCAGAGACTGAGGAAACCCAACTGGCCTGATACAGCGGTAAGTGCAACCACACCTCTCATCCGTTCAAGAGCTAACAAAGAATCTAGATCAGTGCCATGTTCGAAGCAGTCGAACTTTTCGTCCCCGCCTCAGCGACCAAGCTGAATGGTAAGGAGGCCGCAGCCAAGATTCCGTGGAAGAAAGTGGCCGAATGGATGAGAGATAACCGAGGATGTTATCTGTATGGCAACGCAACTGTAAAGAAGAAGTATGTCGAAGAAACGGCGAAGCGGAAGCAAGTACGGCGACGGACCATGGTGTAACTGGCTATCAATATGGTGCAATATACAAGGAGCTTGAGCTAATAGCTGGGCTATAGTTTTCTGAGATTTGTCATGTTGTCTGTTGGTCTAGGTCTGGAGTGGTTACTATGATACCCAACGAAGCATTGCTAGTATGTCCGAATATCTTTGTGGGCGAGTCTGATAAGCTGAGCAATATGATACATCATTTCGCACGGAGTATGTGCTCCGCTCACTGTAATTGACTGAACTGACTCTACAAATCAATTATTGCTCAGATACAGAAAAGCTCTTGAGAATGACGGCAGCCACAAATCGTGACACCAAGACAACTATCGTTGAAACTGAATGTAGTCAGCTAGATTCGAGTGATTGCAGCTTTTGAAATACTAGCAGATTTATAGGTACTGGAGAAGCTCTTGAGCTCTGAAAGAACACACGTGATGAGGGAACGAAAGAGGAACGTTCAGGGAGCTACATGTATCTGAAGGGACGCTCGTACTACTATGAGGAGAAGCCGAATGCACACGTATTCGAGATTTGGTGACTGGTCGCTGCTGTCTCAATGGGGGCTTCTCTTTCGTCGCGCGCGCAAAACGAATAGACGCGGTTTGACGCGTCTTAGGCATCAACAAAAATCTACAGGCATCTATGAGGTATCGACATCATGCTTGCGCCCGTTCCATCTTGCGGCAACTGTGATTGCTGTCATTTGGCTAGATGCAGTGTTGTTCAGAGCAACCTGTCAACAAGACAGATACAATCAAGCTAATGGCGTCCTCAAAGCTTCAAGCTGCCCTCACGAACGCAGCAAATTCGAACGACAAATCAGCCGCTTACAGCCAGATTTTGAATGAGGTGACAACCTCGACCTACAGTAGCAGCGACGAGCAAGCGGACAATCTCATTCTTTACTTCAACTCACTATCTTCTTCTTCCTTGGGCATAATCAGTACCAAACCACTTCTCACATCTCTGATCCAGTCACTCCATTCCGCTCCAGCTCAGGTCAAAATCAAAGTTGGTGGACACATCGCAGAGAACCTCCAGAGCCAGACCGCATCTTTCGAAGAGCAGAATGCAAATGTGCGAGAAGTTCTAGCACAGGGATACGAAGCTGAAGAAGAGTGGTCAAAAGCTGCAGAAGCTCTTCAAGGCATACAACTAGATTCCACCCAGAGAAGTGTAACAGATCTTGTCAAGGTATCGACCTGGATCCGGATAGTGAGATGCTATCTAGAGGACGAAGATACGGTCAAGGCCGAGTCTGCGTTGAACAGAATCAAGAACCACACTCCAGCATTACAAGTCTTGCAGGAACATCCAGATCTGCACTTGCACTTTCAGCTTGCGCAAGCACGAATACTTGATTCACGCCGAGACTTCCTCAATGCCTCTGCTGAGTACCTCAATGTATCATTCAACAGATCAGTTGCCGAGGACGACCGATTACAAGCATTATCTGCCGCAATCAAGACTGCCGTTCTAGCACCTGCCGGTCCTCAGCGAACACGAACACTTGGAAGATTGTACAAGGATGAGCGGTCAATGGACACACAAGAGTACGGCATATTGGAAAAGATGTTCCTCGATCGACTGTTGTCTGCTCAGGAAGTGGATACCTTTGCCGCCTCTCTGGCAGAACATCAGCTGGCACTGACCGCAGACGGCAGTACTGTGCTGAGCAAGGCTGTTACTGAACACAATCTTCTTGCTGCTAGCAAGCTGTATGACAATATCTCAACCAGTTCATTAGCGGAAATCCTTGGCCTGAAAGACTCAAAAGACGGTACAGCCGCTGAAAGAGCCGAAGACTACGCTGCACGAATGATTGAGCAAGGTCGACTAAGAGCTGAGATCGATCAAATTGACTTGGTCATTCATTTTGAAGCAGTTCCAGGTCTTTCCTTGACTGGTGCGACTCGAGACTTGAGACTGTGGGACTTGGGGGTTCAGGGGCTCGTTGAAGATGTTGAGAGATATGCAGCTGCTATTGGCGAGGAATTTCCGGTAAGCATTCTCGCCAAGGAGCATATGCAGCTATACTAACCACCTCGCAGAACCTGGCTGCTCAAGGTATGGTCAATGGCTAAGGATGTACTCTGACAGGGTTGGCGAAACGAAGCACATAACATTCAGTCCAACAAAGTGCTTCGCCATAGGTAACATGACATGAATTATTGAGCTATGAGACCACGACATGATGAATTTCAGACTCTGACAGCTGGCCTAATACGTCGCTTGGCTGGCAGTTGAGCATCATCAGTTCATTGCTGGCTCATCCTCTATGGCGATAGAATGTCTAAGCTGCCTCGGTGCCGCAACAATAGCGGATCCAAGGCATGAGCCACAGCCGTCTGGTTTACGGCGGACTCGCGAGACATATCGACGGTGGGCAAACACGCAAGCAAAACGGAAGTCCGTTCTCGAAGGTAGGACAGCAGCAAAATAGCAAATTGCCATATGAAAGACGAGTAAGTACATACGCCAGCACCCATTGGTCCGTCAAAGTGGAAGATTAGGCTTGGCATGGTGTCAATCGACAACTTCCCGAAAAACTGCTTTTGCGGGGTGAGCGTCATTTGGAAGCTACTCCCCCACAGTCTGGCCCTTGCAAAGTCTTCGATGGTTTCATTGGACGAATCAAATGCTTGCAGTTGCTGTCTTACGAACATGCTGATGCTAGCCGTAGTTGAGATCCGAGACTTTCATAGCCGGCCGCCAGACTGGCCCGCATGAACGAGTGACCACCGTTCGTCGCTGCTTCGTGATGCTGCTTGACCTGGAGATAGGTGCTTGTCAGCTTATAAGACACTGAAGATCTGATTCTTGTGAGGTCGCTCCTTACATGTTGAAGAGTCGCATGTTCCCAGCATATTGACACCTCACTCCGTCGCAACCATCATTTGCTATTAGCCCATCACAAGAACACTGACGGAAATACCTGAATCGCGAGCAGACCACGGACGTTCAACCGAGCACTTTATTGGGCATCACTGACACAGGCACGCCTGTGAGACTACATTACTAGGTGCCCTTCCGTTGCATACCCGGATCCCTTCAAGATGACAGTGATATCCTATCTACTATCACCTTACGCTCTCCTTCTTCTGCCGATACTTTACTAGTAAGGAACCTCGACGTCGCACTTATGTGGAGATAGGCACCAATCAAGCCGGCTTAACAAGCTAACCCGTGACAGTGTCTTGCCGTATCTCAGAAACCCTAGCTTAGCAAAATGTCCAGCGCCATTCCCAGCACAGTTTACGAATTTATGGTTGATGTGGCAAGTTCGCCACGGCAGGAGATACATGGCAGTGGACGAATGCCACAAGAACTATGGAAAGGTTGTGAGGATTCAGCCAAACCATGTTAGTATTGCAGACGACAGTGCCATCAACATTATATATGGTCATGGTAACGGCTTTTTGAAAGCGTAAGTCGCACCATGAAGAAGCAATATGTGCTTGCTGATGCGTTTTTAGTGAGTACTACGATGCCTTTGTCTCCATCCGACGAGGTCTTTTCAATGTTCGAGATCGAGCAGAGCATACACGAAAGCGGAAGATTGTTTCGCACACGTTCAGTGCTAAGTCAATTGGTCAATTCGAACAATACATACACGCCAACCTCGAGTTGTTTCTGAGGAAGTGGATGCAGAAGTCCCAGGAAGCCAAGGCTACTGGTGGTTATGCTTCGCTTGATTCGTTGACTTGGTTCAACTACCTCGCTTTCGACATCATAGGAGATCTAGCTTTCGGAGCACCTTTTGGTATGCTCGAGAAGGAAAGAGACATGTAAGCCGCCCTAAAACCTGTACCAGCTATTCTTGGAGAACAAACACAGACTTGGGTGATGAGGATGACCAAGCTGACTTGCGAAACAGGGCAGAGATTCGATCTTCACCTGATGCACCAGCGAAGACTGCACCTGCTATAGAGGTGCTTAATCGTAGAGGCGAGGTTAGCGGGTAAGTTACGAACCACCACGTTGATATGCTTCTACTAATCGTCACAGCGCTCTAGGTTGTTATCCGCAACTTAAGCCTTACGCCAAATACCTGCCAGATCCATTCTTTAGCCGTGGTGTCGAGGCTGTACAAAACCTGGCTGGAATTGCGATAGCCCGAGTGAAGGACCGATTGGACAACCCTTCGGATCGTGTCGACCTTCTAGCTCGATTGATGCAGGGCAAAGATGCTAAGGGCGAACCACTCGACCGTGAAGAACTTACCGCTGAAGCCCTGACACAGCTCATTGCGGGAAGTGATACAACCAGCAATACCTCATGCGCAATCTTGTACTACATCCTCCGTACGCCACATGTTCTGCCCAAATTACAGAAAGAACTCGACGCAGCAGATATTCCGCTCGGAAGCGTTCCCAATTACGAAGCAGTAAAAGACCTACCGTATGTCGACGCTGTCATCAATGAGACCATGCGAATCCACTCAACGAGTTCACTTGGTCTGCCACGTCTCGTTCCTGCCATGTCTCCCGAAAACCCAAATCCCAAGCCAATTGAAATCCTAGGCTACACTTTCCCTCCAGGGACTGCTCTAAGTGTGCCATCCTACACGATTCACCACAGCAAGGAGATCTGGGGCAAGGACGCCGACGAGTTTGTGCCAGAGCGGTGGCAGAAGGACCGAATCACAGAGCGGCAAAAGGAAGCATTCATCCCCTTCTCCTACGGCCCAAGAGCATGTGTGGGACGAAACGTGGCCGAGATGGAGTTGAAGTGTATTGTTGGCACAGTGTTCCGGAATTTCGAGTTCAGAGACGAAGACGACAGTCCTGTTCTAGAGACACGAGAAGGATTTCTCAGGGTAAGTGATACTGCGACCTACGTTTCGGAGTAAATAGCTAACTGTCGCAGAAACCACTTCATTTCAACGTTGCTGTAAAGAAGCGTGAACAGTAAGCAGGCTTGTCGATCGTTGGGAAGATGCGAGCCTATCGCTAGGATGTTCGTTGTGGTACGCCCCTCGAGCATAGCAACATGAAAGACCTTGTGGGACTCGCATGGGTGAGGTTCGAGTCAGGGCAGACCAAATTGAAGTGGTCGCGTCAATCGTAGTGTCAACTCGGCTGTGACCATGGATTGTATGATATTAATTTGTACAGAAGGGCTACATGAAGTCAGAGCAGACGTACAAGAAGAATGTCTCACGAAGCAGTCAAAATTGATGTTGATGATGTGATTGATGTTGTTCACCCTCAACAGCTGGTCTCGTGCCTCTTAATCCGTGCTTTCACGGCGTAACCTCGGTAGATTGTCTGAACAAAAAGTTCACGAGCATGTCCCAGAAAAGCAGCGATTCACACGCAAATTGTCCCAGGTCTTGCCGCTAGGAGTATTACTGTCGCGACGGTTATTCCAACTAGAAAGCAGCACCAGGCTTGCGTGCAGTCAATTCACTCTTTTCACGACAGCAGACTCACGCTTTCACCCAGTGAATATGGACGACCTCTACGATGAGTTTGGCAACTATATTGGCGAAGCTGTCGAGTCCGAAGCAGAGAGTGAACGGGACGACGACACTGGACCTTCCTATGTCTACGATGAGGACTCAGAAGAGGAGCAACCTGTCCACGATGAGCAGGCTCTCATGGAAGTAGATGGCACAGCCTCCAATGCAGTCGTTCTTCACGAAGACAAGCAGTATTACCCGACAGCACAGCAATTATACGGCGAAGACGTCGAAACTCTAGTACAAGAAGAAGATGCGCAGCCACTGAGTGTTCCAATCATCAAACCAGTCGAGCAGAAGAAGTTTCAAGTTCAAGAGGCAGACCTACCACCAGTATACTACTCGAGGGAGTTTATGAGCGATCTATTGAGTTTTCCAGAAGGTATACGGAACATTGCGATTGCAGGACATTTACATCATGGCAAGACTGCGTTTGTGGATATGTTGGTGCAGCAGACACACGACTTGCAGGGAAGATTGGACAAGAGAACAGGCAAGAAACGAGATTTGCAGTTGAGGTACACGGACACACACTTCCTGGAGCGCGAACGAGGGCTGAGCATCAAGAGTGCACCGATCAGTTTGGTCATGCAAGGTACAAGAGGAAAGAGCCATATGCTGAACCTGATCGACACGCCTGGTCATGTCAACTTCGTGGATGAGGTCGCATGCAGCATGCGCCTGGTCGATGGTGTTGCAATCGTGGTCGATGTTGTGGAAGGGGTTCAGATCAATACTGAGCAGGTCATCAAGCATGCTGCAAGGGAAGATCTCCCGATGGTTCTGATCATCAACAAGGTGGACCGACTAATGCTCGAGTTGAAGCTACCACCCACAGATGCATATTTCAAGCTACGGCATGTTATAGAACAGGTTAACTCGGTGATCGAGGGTGTGCTAGGCAAAGCCGGGGAAAAGAGACGATTATCGCCAGAAAAGGGCAATGTGGCGTTCGCATGTGCTGATATGGATTGGGTATTTACTCTAAGCTCGTTCGCGAGACAGTACTCAGAAAAGTTCTCAAAACTGGATTCATCTGAGTTTGCAAAGAGACTTTGGGGTGATATCTTTTATAACCCACGCTCGAGGAAGTTCTCACGAAAAGCTGTTGAAGAGGGTGCGAAGAGGTCATTCGTGCACTGGGTACTGGAGCCAACCTACAAGTTGTACTCACATACAATATCAGAAAGCCCTGAAGACTTGGCAGACACGTTAGCCACGCTGGACATAATCTTGAAACCGAGCCAGCTCAAAGAGGATGCGAAGACGCTACTCAAGTTGACTTGTGCACAATTCTTTGGCGATGCAAGTCCTTTTGTGGATATGGTTGTGCAGCACATTCCGTCACCTATCGAAGGTGCACAGCGCAACCTCGAACGATACTATACTGGACCGACAGATACGTCGACTGCCACGGCGATGAGCAAATGCGACCCTGATGGTCCGTTAGTCGTGCAAATTACCAAGCTATACAACAACGTGGATGCCTCCGGCTTCAATGCGTTTGGCCGTATCATGTCTGGCACAGCATATCCTGATACTGAAGTCCAAGTGCTAGGCGAGACCTATAGTCTCGACGACCCTGAAGATGCCACGAAAGGCACCATCTCTGACGTTCAAATAGCTTGCTCGCGGTATAGTATACGTGTGTCGGGCTTGCCTGCAGGCAACCTGGTTCTACTCTCCGGCATATCCAATTCAATAAGCAAGACTGCGACGGTTGTACCAGTGTCGATGCCGGACAATGAGGACCCATATATTTTCCGACCAGTACGCCACTTTACCGAGTCTGTCATGAAGGTCGCGGTAGAGCCCATCAATCCGTCCGAGCTGCCAAAGATGTTGGAGGGCCTACGGAAGATCAGCAGGTCGTATCCTTTGGTGACGACCAAGGTTGAAGAGTCCGGCGAGCATGTAGTTCTAGGTACAGGAGAGCTGTATATGGATTGTGTATTGCATGATCTGAGGACGTTGTATGCTGAAATGGACATCAAGGTCTCCGATCCAGTCACCCGATTTTGCGAAACGGTCACCGAGACGTCAGCAATCATGTGCTATGCTATCACTCAAAATAAGATGAACAGGGTCTATATGGTTGCTGAACCGCTTGACGATGGCATTGCAGAAGACATCGAAGCAGGCAAAGTATCAATGGTACGCCAGCCAATTCGCGAAGTAGCAAAGTTCTTTCAAGACAACTACGACTGGGATGTGCTCGCTGCACGAAGCATCTGGGCTTTTGGTCCAGAAGAGCAGTCACCCAACGTTCTGGTTGATGATACTGTGCCTTCGACAACAGACAAGAAGCTACTCAAGAATGTCAAGGAGAGCATCAAGCAAGGTTTCAGCTGGGCAACACGTGAAGGCCCGCTTGGCGAGGAACCAGTACGAAATGTCAAATTCAGAATTACAAAGGTTGAGCTAGCAGAAGAAGGCGTACGTCGTGGTGCAGGGCAAATTATTCCCGCTGCACGAAGAGCCGTCTATTCCAGCTTCCTAACCGCGCAGCCACGACTCATGGAACCAGTCTATGCTGTGCATATGCTTGGACCTGCTGATGCTGTACCTGCTTTGTACACTGTCCTGACTAAGAGACGTGGACACGTCTTGACTGATGGACCAGTAGCTGGAACTCCACTCTACGCAGCCAAGGCGTTGATCCCAGTGATCGACAGTTTTGGTTTCGAGACAGACCTGCGTATTCATACACAAGGTGCGGCCAGCGTCAGTCTGGTTTTTGAGAAATGGGACGTTGTACCTGGCGATCCACTTGACAAGACTATCAAATTGAGACCATTAGAAATGGCCGGACCACAACAGGCTGCCAGAGATTTCATGCTTAAGACAAGAAGGCGCAAAGGTCTTGCAGAGGATGTGAGTATACAGAAGGTGCTTGAACCCGAGTTGTGGAAGGGGTTGCAAGAAAGTGGTATGCTTGACTGAGAGAGTGTGTACATATTAGAGCTGGGCCAGTCACGCTTGGCATACAGTCTCAGATGTAAGTTCAAGCACAAAACGCTTCGTGCCACGCAACATACAGGTATCATATCAACACCATTCATTGTTGGGCACGATGCAGACTTGGAAAGCTGCTCAATCACATCAGCGTTGATCAATATGCGTCGAAGTTCGACTGCCTTATAGCAGCCTGCAGTTTGGGTCAGCTTCCCTGCGCTCGATGCTTGCTGTTGATTATCAGACAATCCAGGTCTTCAGCTTGAAAGCTGGTAAAGTCATGGACTCCTCCCGCTATGGAGCTACTGCGTTCTAGGCCGAGTTCGAGTTCGAGGCTGTCTATCTTCTCAGCGCGTTAAGCTCTTCCTAACGGAGGCCAATGTATGTCCTTAGCCTTATGATCAGATGAAGGACTTCGACTTGAAGCCAGTCGGTCTGTGTTTTGCTTCCGTTTACCACAACCAGAAGAAGCATAATGGATTTGGTGGTCAAAGCGAGAGTAGGACTGGAGGCCAGATCACGGAGCAATATACCGATAGAAGAGGGCAACGTCGTCCTTTCGAGGTGAGGTTAGTGTTCAATCATGGCACAACCTTATGATCTTGGAGCTCAGTTCAGCCTGTTTAGACGGACGTGAAATGACTTCAGAATTGTCTGAAGCGGCTCGCCAGGACGCGTCAGCGTCAATTTTTGGACAGAAGGAACCACAACATGATAGCGGCGATGAGGAGTCGCTAAGTGGAATGGTGAGAGCTATGTGTCCCAGAAGTGCAGTAATTGCAGACCATGATCTAGAAATTGTAGATATCTATGGTATAGGTCCCTAGCTCGGACATTCGATCAGTTCTCTTGCCACTCAATTTTCAGATTCTGGTTCTTGAACACTTGTGGTTAATGAATTCGCTTGTCGACTTGTTCAAATTCTCGTATTACTAAAGTAAATCTAGTAGAATTCAAGTAAATGGTTCTCGCGTGAAGGCACTACACTGACTGTGGAGTTTGCGTGCATGCCGACTGCCAATTTCGGAGTTCAGTTTATGCAATTGTCTGTTAATCCTCTTCATCCATCCATTCCTAGCTCACTTTCAAGATGCGAGGCATAGCGCAAGCGTTGGCCTGCAGAAGCTTGATATGTGACGTTCAGTGCCTTCGTGCTGCCGGTAGCACACGAACACTACCATTCACGCGCAAAGCCGCAGTCATAGCACGATCGATATACACCAGTTCCCGTGCAGTAAGATACGGATTTAGGAGCAACGCAGAGGCTAGAGGACAAATTCGCGAGCAGCAGGGACAGTCTTCATGGCAGAGGTCTAGCTTTCAGGCTTCTGGACATTCACAAATCGATGGGTCCTCTGGGTTTCTACCTGTTCCGTTTGTGACGGAGCAGCTGGCTGGTGCACATCATTCGACAGATTTGTTCTCGAGGTTGCTCAAGGAAAGAATTGTCGCTGTTTATGGCAAGCAAACACCTCATCCGAAACCAATGATCGGTGGCTAATGAGATGAACAGGACCTGTAGAAGATCGTATGGCCGCCACGATCACAGCCTCTCTACTTTTCCTCGAGTCTGAATCTGACGCTCCTATCAGCCTTTATATCAACTCTCCTGGTGGCAGCGTATCTGCTGGACTAAGCATATACGATACTATGCAATATATTACTCCTCCTGTGTCGACCATCGTCCTTGGACAAGCGGCCTCCATGGGCTCATTGCTGGCAGCCGCAGGCACGCCTGGCAAGCGCTACGCTCTTCCTCACGCCACGATCATGATGCACCAACCTTCTGGTGGGTATTCTGGTACAAGCGCGGACATTCAGATACATGCGAAAGAGATTCTAAGAATACGCAACCAATTGAATGGCATATACAGGCGGCACCTGAATGACAAAACGGTGGCGGACAGAAGAGGCAGAGAGATCTCGCTTGAGGAGATTGAGCGTTTGATGGACAGAGACTACTTCATGGTAAGTTCACATGCGAATTGATCTTCCTTTCAACCTGCAGCAGGCTAACGTGGTACAGAGTGCCGAAGAAGCGAAACAGCTCGGGGTTGTTGATGAAGTACTGGAAAGCAGGAAGAAACCCACGCAAGATCAAAACAAACAGGATTGAACAACATCAGGACACGCAGGCGGCTACATTGCACCTCTGTATCAGTGTACAATCTGCCGCTTGAGTAGCTGTACAGCAGTCTGACCACGCTTGCAGAGGATCGCATATACCGCGTCCCGTGGTACCTTCCCTACGGTCTTGGTGGCTATACCCATATCATCAGAGTTCAGCACGTGTGGGCAGAGCTGGACTGCCTCAGACGACGAGAAGAAACAACGAGCTTGGGTTGGGATGAGCAACATCATACTGGGAGGATCCACTCCGGTCAAATCCGTTCCGATTGGATGGCTGAAGTTGGACAACCAACACATCTTCGACTTCCATCTTTCGCCATCGACCTTCCGCATCGCACCTGCCATTGGCATTGAATTCGAAAGTGTGGCGTGTGGTCATCGGCAAAATTCGTCACAACAACTTCGGTTTTCTTCTCCCTCGTCTTAGCCAGTCATGGCCTCTAACAACATCAACCACAATCTTACGGAAGAAGAGCTGCGAGAAATAGCTACTCTTGCTATAGCAGCTAAGAGAAAGGCATACTGCCCCTACTCTAACTTTCGTGTCGGCGCCTGCATCCTCGTCGAGAAGCAACCAGGTCTTTCCACCACTGTATATCAAGGCTCGAATGTTGAGGTTGCCAGCACTCCAGTCGGTACCTGCGCTGAAAGATGTGCGATTGCACCGCTAGTTGCCAGTATAGACAGGCCAGACTTGCCGAGAGTACGAGCATTAGCCGTTAGTACTGATATTTGGCCTCCCGCTAGCCCTTGTGGCATGTGTCGGTATGTCTGTGCTTTCTCTCTTATGACTTTTATACTCAATCGCTTCTTCACGTTTCTTTTCATGACACGTGATAAAAATCTATTGAATGCAAACTCACACTTCGAAACAGGCAAATGATTCGAGAGTTCTGCGAACTAGATACGCCAATATATATGTATGGACGTAGTAAAGAACAGGGCCAAGAATATCCTTCCGATATCACCAATGACCGAGAACTTGAGATTTGCGGGAAGCCAGTCATGATGACAATCGGACAGCTGTTACCGATGTCTTTTGGGCCGAATGACATGGACAAGCGGACGTAAGAAGTGAGCGACCTGATGGTGGAGAGTGGCGTCTGTCGCTTTGGTCGTATTGTAGGGCTCGAATGGGCACCATGGCTCGGAATGCTTTCACCCTGGATCCTGTGCTCCTTGCCACAGCAACCTGCTCGAAACAGTCACGTCTCTGCCAATCGATCCAGCATCCCACTTCCTTGGTCTTCTTCGAACGAAGGTCGATCCCTGCGAATTTGTCTTTCATAAAAGATAATTTGTTTCCCTTTACGTTGTTCCAGTTCGGCGACTTTGATGGCAAATCCCACTGTCAGCAGGTATTTCGAGGGCTCTCTCCTGACTACATATCGCGCGACTTCGAGCAGATAACTTGACGCTTGGAAGAGGTCCGACAGATTACGGGTGAGGTTGGGGTCAAACGAGATGTGCTGGATGATTCGGCAGATAATTTCTGGTGGGAGTTGTGTGAGCTGGAAAGGCATTGTCGTCAAGCAGTTCGAGAAAGCGTTCCGGGAGGACAGTTCAGGTCTGGCTCGAGGGTGCTTGCAGTCTTATTACTTCGTTTTGGGTTTCATGAAACGTGCACGATAGTGGCTGTGCTCGCTGTCTGCCTTGTGCACCATTGTGCGTTGCTGGACATAGTGACTCACCTTAGTCCCTGACGTGAGCGTTGTGATACATCAAGCGTGCCGCTACTACACCTATAGTGGCCGTGATTGGCGGTAATGCTCGCGCGCGCACCTCCAGTCTGTGCAACTTCTGAAATCATTAAATTCGCACCTTCGTGTTGCTTGCTTTCTTTCCTGCACCGAACTTCCCTAGCGCCGACCCAGGTACTAGTATGGTCCTCTCCTCGCCCTATCGGACATGTCAGTGTTCGACCTACGACGAGAGCATGTAAGAAACGGCTGCCCAGAAACCCATGATCTTGGAACCCTGGTAGCTGTGATGTGATTGCGCCGAACGGACGATATTCCCGACCACGGTTTACCACGATTGGAGCTTCTTATGCACGGTGAAGACCAGCGGCACCTGCCACATGGATATGCAAAGTATGATGCAATATCTTTATGCGTGTTTACAAGTCCCTCGTTACAGGATACCACATCTGAGCTTTCTCGTTTCTTTCTCTTTCCCATTGACTTGCTAGACAAACAAGTACGCAAAGAGAACACCAAACCTCACGATATGTCAGGCATTAACTCAGGAAACGCGCTCGACGCTGGAGCTTCTGCGTACTGGCTGCCCTTCATGTCTGTAGGACATGACGACTGACCTTGACTAGTGCTACCAAAAACACCGAATTCTCTGATGGCATTCACGAGGATGTCTCATCAGACCTAACTCGTGAGCATGGACCTGGTGGAAAGAAACAACCATGGCCAGTAAGCAGTGGCAAGCCCGGTGGTGTTGGCATGCTTGACCAACTCGGAGGCACAACTGGCAAACTCGGTAACGACGCAAGCATACAAAGTGGCAGCTCGTTTGCTGCTGGTGCATCATCTGCTACGAAGGACACAGAATTGACCAGTGGCATTCACGAGGATTCTGCTAGAGGTATCGAGAGTGTCAAGGGTGCTTCGAACATGTTCTTCCCGTCATCCACCTCGTCCTCAGGATCAGGTTCAGGAACAGGCTCAAATATTCTGTCCAACATCAAGGACGAAGCCAACGCAGCCAAAGAGAATATCTCTGCCGCATCCAATCAAAACATGACCTCTACTTCTAACACGAGTGGTGGTTTGCTAGGAGGACTAAAGGATAAGATTGGCGGAGTCTTCGGCTCAGCTACCCACACTGGTACTGATAGCCCAATGGCGGCCGGTGCTTCATCAGCCACAAAAGACACAGATTTGTCCGATGGTATTTACGAGGAGGGAACCAATGCAATTGAGAGTGTAAGAGGCGCAACAGCCAGGAGGAGCACGTGAGATGTCATGATGTCGCTGAAGGGAATTGTCCCAGTCTCCACGCTGTATTGCTAGAAGTCTAGTGCTGGGACGATTCTGTATCTGTTACAAAAGCATCTTCATTCTCAACTACGTTCCAGATAACTCTTCGTGACAGGCAAGAAATGAATGTTGACCACGCGTCAGTGCATCACGTGCTTCCATAAAACACGGGGACTATCACTAACCAACCTTCACTATAAAAATCCATACTACTTTCAATACATGGTGATACTCCAATACGTGTATGAGGTAAACTGCCAAGCGACTTCCGCAATCGACTATAGTACTACCTTGTCGCCCCTTTTGATAAAAACTGGACATAGCGTTGTCCTTCAGCCTCCAGCCTCCAGCCTTCTTCTCCAACCAAATACCCATCATTCATGTCATCATTGGATCCTTTCATTCCAGAAAATTACTGTCCATTGGGATGAGCACTATCCGGATCATCCTTCTGACTCTCAATAGCCTCCGCCAAAACCTTTTTCGCCTCCTCTATCTCATTTTCGTCCGTGCCAGAATCAAGTTGGGCTTGAAGTTTCTCCCTAGAGTTTGCGATTCGTTCTCGGAGGGAGGGGAAGACTGCTTTTGTTTCTTCGAGTGCTCTTTTCTTTGGGAAGGAGGCAGGGTCAGTACGGTTGGTCCATGTTGGGAAGACTTGGGAAGTTTCCGAACTCATCAAGGGTCTATGGTTCAAAGGTAAGGCGTGTCGTCTCGTACGTTGTAGAGTGTCCCTCGTAATCGCACGCCAAGACAGTGGGTCAGAGGATAAAAGAAGCACTTACCTCTTGCTTTAATATGTACTCCCGGTTCCCGTCAGTATCGTCAGTCTGCTTCTCGAGATCTGCTATACGCTTCTGTTGAGACACGAGCTCTTTATGATATGATGCTTCTTCCTTGACTAAACGTTGTAGCGCTGACGTAGCGATCTGAAGTTGAGAAGGTGGCATATCTGGATGTGAGTGATTTGAGACGCTATCGAATGGATGGGAGCGTGGATGTCTTCGAGGAATGAGTCAGAGACAATGCCTAATGTGGTTGTGATTGACAGAATTGAATGCGAACATATAGGCAAGTGCAAGTGATGAGTTGATAGGCCTCAGAAGTGAGGTGCCTGGAACTTCAGGCAACCAGAAATACCCCAGTCACGCCGCTGTTCTCTTCGAAGGAACACAGCAAGTACTACTCTACTAACTATCCACCGAGCCAAGCATCCTCAATTCTGATGGTCAGCAAATCAGGACATGATTGTAGTGCAACGATTTTTGAGCAGTCTGTGACTCGGCTCGCCCAACGCTAATACCTTCCAGCCGGCTCTATAATCATTCCTCGTTATCTCGTAATCGAGTTCATCTGACACAGTTCGACTCCTCCTCTGCCTTTCACATAGATCGCGATATCTTGTATATAATCACGCTACACTAGATATAATCGCTTGAGCCAAACCAGCCTCCTCAGCTCGTACTGAGATTTTCACCGTCAATCCACTCTTGGCAAATGCCATCTTCACCAGTCCGGCTACTCTACCTCCTTTAATAGACTTGCCATAAAGCTTCAGTGTATGCGTGGCATTCGAGAGCACGACGTCGGTTCCTTCCAGGGGCTGCATCGATAGAGTCGAGGCTAACTGTTCTGTCGCGTCTGAATCACAGTTAGTAGCTGCCTGACTGAACGTTGCCTGGAACTTACCTGTTAGGCTCTTAATGTTCGATAGTGCCAGAGTCTCGCTGGCTTCCTCTCCGTTAGCACCTGTGCCTTCCCAAATATGGTCGAAATTGCCAGCAAAGGCAGGCACAATGTAGTCGGCGCCGGTCAGCTCGACGCCCTCAATCTCGTATTCATCGTCGTATCCGCTGTCTTCTGCTTCGCCAGTAGTTGGATCGATTTCCTTGCTTGTAAACTTCAATGCATTGGTGAAGCTGGTGACTGGGAAGCTTTCTTCACCACCTGCCTTTTTGAAAGCCACGTATACAACGCCTGGCTCATTGGTCTTCAAGACAGGCGCGGGAATGACGAAATCGTCTTCCAATTCCGCTTCTTCATCTTGTGGCGCGGCCGATACTACCACGTTTTCTAGCACCGTCGCTTCCAGAGTGTTCTTGATGTCGTATTGCAAAACGATATTGTCCTTGAAAACGTGTTTGACAGCGGATACCACATACTCTGTTTCACTCTCGGTAAGCTCGACCGGAGCACTGGATTTGAGTACAGGACCATAAGCTTTTAGTTCGGGAATGTTCGAAAATATCTCGGTATACTTCTGAGCAGCGTTTGTGGCATTCGAGACTGCTTCGGAAGCACCGTTCATCTTTGGCTTTTCTGGTCCAGTAGTGGGTGCCTTGAGTGTAGGTGTAGCTGTTGTGAGCTTCTTAGTGCGCTCTTCTGCCAGAGCTTGTTCGTGTGAGACGACTGGTACGGATGAGATGTCGAAGGCCTTGCTGAAGACTGATTTGTCGTCGGATGTGACATACATGACGAGCTTGTGCTCAAACGTCGACAAGGAGAACATGGAATCGTTCTTGATGAACCTTTCAGCGACGTCATCTTCCTCCTTCATCAATCTCAAGTTAAGAGCAGCACGGTCTCTGACCTCGTCGTCCGTATCGTCCAAGCATCTAGTCAGTAGCACTGTCACACTCTTCTTAACTTCCGGATCTTTCTGACCGACACCAAACTTAGCAAGTGCTGTAACTGCTGCAGCTCGAACCAGCGCGTTCTCTAGAACAACTCGGTTGTAGATATATCGGATGTACTTTGTAGGGTTCGGCGTCTTCGGGCCTTCTACACCAATCAAATGCAATATTCTGACGGCCAATTTCGTAAACTCGCAATCCTCAATAAACTCACAAAGATGTGATAACGTCTCTTCCTTGCTTCCTGGCACGAATTTGATGAGATCGAACATGCTCTCCACAACGGCTCGCTTGAACTCGTAGCCACCTTCATCACGTAGAATGCCACTCAAGAAGGTAAGCATACCAGCTTGTTTGCTGGGAAATTTCAAGCATAACGTTCGAATTGCTTCTACAATTGTGATTTTGAACTCGTCCGTGATCTCAGACATGAAGCTCGATATCTGCTTCATTAATCTATCCACGCTCGCCTCGTTACCTGTCTTGAGTAGTGTAGTGATAGCAAAGGTTGCGACTGATCGATTGGCATTGGAGATGAGAGCCTCGATATCCTGATTTGCAGGATTTACGGCATTTGGCTTGAAAGAAGCAAGCTGGTGTAATAATCGAATAGCAGCAAATTTCGTGACTGCTCTAGGAGAGGTGAGGAAGAGTTGCAAGATATGCACGACCTGGGCAGCTTCGGCATCAGTCACGTCGCGCATGTCAATAATAGCTTTGGCAGCCTCGAAGTTGACCATCTCACTCTTGTGCCTCAACCAGCTATCAAGCATTTGCATCATAAGTTTTCGTAGACTCGGATCCTCTTCTGCTAGTCTGGCTGCCAGCCTTACCAGCATCATGACACCAGCGGGACTCTTAACAGCACCTGCAGCTCCATACTGCTGCACCATCTTGACAAGCGCCATACGGTCATGCGAGCGCATCTGGTAGAGTAAGCCAATAGCATGATACTGGTTCATGTAATTTGTGCTCGCAGCTAAGGAATGAGAAGAGGTTGTAGAAAAGCCCAAGAAGCCACCTGATTTGGATGAGGCCGCAGCCTCCTGTGTTTCGCTCTGCCATCTGCGTACAACGTCTCGAGCGATAGGGAGGAGGTGATAAGAGGAGACCAGAGCTGCAGAGGATACAGAAGGTGATTTGTCGACTATGGCAGTCTTGATCATTCTTTCAATACTCTGGACGGTTGTAGCATCTATTATCCTGACCAATGCTCTTACTGAGTTAGCCTTGTAGACAACCTCGCTGCCCACTGTCATGTCTTTCATAATGATACTGGTCGACATTATAATGTCCTCTGCTGAGCTGGAAAGTTCTTTTAGGATCAGATACATCATCTGGCGCAGTGAAGGATCCTTGTTTTGAAATAGTTTGGAAATGCCAAAGAACAGTGTGGTGGCTTCGTTGGTAGGAAACTTCTCGCCATTGAAGATGAGCATTGCGATCTTGGTGAGTTGGGCTCGACATCTTCGAGGCGATATAGGTGAAGAGTTGAATATTCTTGCTGGACAACAATCAGTACTCGCACTCGACTATGGGTGCGCTGACAGGCATACCATCCTGAAAGACAATCGTCCGGTCTAATTTGAAGCCGGACGGCTCGGCGTCCTCGTCCTTCTTTGCGTAACTCATTTTGTACAAGATTTGCTCAGGACGAGGGATTTCGAGTGCTATTTTAGAGTAACCAGGTGTGGTAAACGAGGGAGGAAGCGGTGATGCAGTCGGGTCAGCATGTGCAATTCCGTATGATCATCGCAAGCACAGTGGGAGAGTAAGAGAGTGACGGTCGGGAAACGAGGTAAGAAGTGCCTTGAGCATACAGTGGTCGACGTTGACCAGATTCCCTACAGTCCCGTCAACTCGACGTGCATAGGTGTTCACGCCCAAGCATCATTCCCCTTGTGAATTGTTTGGTGTGCTGTGGCTTGCCGAAGTCCAAGCCACACGTGGCGCCCATTACCACATTCACGCTCAAGGCGTTCTTCAACCATCCACTCATCAGACAGGCACCTACGTTAATAATCACAGACTCGTTCTCTTCATCTGATGAAACCCACAACTACAGAACCGGTGCAACTCGCCCACAAAACATTTTAACCACCACCATGAATCAGATGCCAGATATACCAGTCCAGGTGCCCATAGATAACCCTAATGCTGACACAGAGTGGAACGATATACTACGTAAACATGGCATTATCCCCGGAAAGCCAAAAGATCCAGAGCCAGTCATACAAGAAGCTCTCCTGGAAGCTCATCAAAGAGCGCACGAAAACCGACTAGAGGACAAAGATCTCGACGAGTTGGCAGCACTTGAAGATGACGAGGACGAGGCATTTCTTGAACAGTATCGTCAGAAGCGTATGGCTGAAATCAACGCCCTCGCCAAAGCAAGCAAGTTCGGAAGTGTCTATCCATTGCAGAAGGTCGACTTTACCAGAGAAGTGACGGAAGCTTCACAACAAGCCTATGTGTTTGTGTTCTTGTCAAGCTCTACGGACAGTAATGTCGAGTCAAGAGTACTCGGCGAACTGTGGAGAGAGGTGGCACAGAAATATGGGGATGTGAAGTTCTGCCAGATACGTGCGGACATGTGTATTGAAGGATATCCCGAAAGAAATTGCCCCACAATTCTGGTGTACAAGGATGGAGATATTAGGCGCCAAATTGTGACACTAAGAGAATTACAGGGGGTCAGAACGAAATCCGAAGACTTGGAGAGAGTGCTTGTACAGGTTGGTGCGGTAAGAGAGGGAGACACGAGGCTGAAGAAGCGTGACGAAGATGAGGAAGAGACACAAGGCAGACATAACGGTCTAGGTCGGACGAAGCAAGCGACCAATGCTGATGATGACGACGAATGGGATTAGACGAGTACCAAAAACAAAATGTTTGTCCTGTGCCAAGCGACGCTTTTTCCGAGCACGACCTGAGTTGAACGAGCAGGAGACAAGAATATTGCAAGATATCAAATCTTGCTAGACCTAGGTTTGATGGCCTGGGATCGATAGATAGATTCATGACCCCGGTTTGCTCTGCAGCCATGCCAATAGACGTGGTAATAGAAGGACACAGGGCTGAGCATCGTTGTCTGGCCCCAAAGCCGAAGAACCAGAGGAACGCGTCCACAGTCAGGATGCTGAGATGTGCGTCGGAAAGATCAATCAACCATTCCGAGGAGGTCGGCGATCATGTCAGCAGCCACCTAGTCACGATCATGACAGAACGAGACCGCTCCCAGAGTGCAGAACAACTCAACTAATCACAATCTTCTAACTTGTGTCGGGCAGATGCGACCTATGGCCACAATATATATGCGTTACTGGCCTCTTCTTTCTTACCAGCCAATAACCCACCTACAAATATCTATACAGTACTTACGAACAGGTAGGACAAGCGACAGGCTGCAGTCCTCGTCTTCAACAGCAGTCACGATCCATGGTGTGGTGCAATCAAATACCCTGAACAGCTCGACGGCACGAAGGAAGCCTGTTGTATGGTCGCATTGAGTCTAGGGTGGAATCTACTTGGTTCAAGTTGTAAGGGGAACATGCGTATTGCTGAGTCATTCCGGCCCCGTTGTAATATCCAATAGGTATCCCAATCTTGAGTAGACAAGTATCGTTGAACTACTGGGCAGGAAGTATAGGCCTGGATTCAGCTGAATTGGAAAACTTCTTGATGTCTTTGTGGGCTTCGCTTCGTTGATGGCCATGTCCGTTGCAGCTGCAGCTCAACCTGAATTTGTCTAGCATTGTAATTTATGGTTTTCAGGGTAATTTTGGTTGGGTAGCTGCAGTCGCGATGATAAGTTCCGGAATCATTGGTGCCAGGTCGCTCTGCTCACTGACTTTCAGGAGCAAAAGACCAGGGTCGACATTGCTGGCCATTCATATCTACGCGTAACTTCCTTAGGCGTCCAAGTTTTGCTAGAAGCTACGAGTACAACGAACGTGTGGTCTCAAGCTCTGCACCTATACCATGTTCCTCCACGAATAAGCGCGAAGTCGTATGGTCGAGACTTCACACTTCTTCTGACTTGTTTTCTACTAGGTGCCCGTCTCTCCAGCATTTCCCAACGTCGTGATACGATCGTCTTCATATCTTCACAACCTGCTAACGCTCTTTGACTTACGCTGAAGACGGATCTGTGGCCAAGCTTGCGTTGACTGATACATAACTTGTCATACACATCGGAGACAACCTTCAGCGTCGATCACTCGATAGGCAGTGTCTGCTTCGTCTTCAAAGTCCTACCCGAGAGAGCACATTGCTAAAGCCAATCGAGGCGGCCTCCCATATAGCTGGCGTACCCTTCTACTAACACAATATACAAAGCTATGCATTTCCTACTGCGGTGACGGAAACAAACGTTCACATCCTCGGGGGTTCTAGATGTCTCGGCCTTACGATCCAACGAATATGGATACAGGTGTTGACTTCACATACTTTAGCTCGGCACCTGTACCTGTTTCGTACTATGGTCTCCCACCAACGCCTCAAAGCAACACGCCTCGCGGCGACGACTTCAAGAGCTATCAGAGTAATGTTCGTTCCCTCATACGGACTCGTGAAGGAGTGCAGGTGCTGACTGTTTTAGGATCCCTTTGATCCTGCCTTTGCAGCTGCCTTTCAGCATAACTTCCAATATGATCCTTCACAGTTTGTTACTCAACCCCACCATACGCATCATCAAATAGCCAGCATCACGCCGGCTATCCAGTCGATGCAACAAAGGCCCCCGTTGATATCACTCCCGACGGATCAGTCCTACGATCAATTCGACGATACTGCCATGAGCCCTACCGATCCTACAGGACTCCAACGCAGCAGTAGCGAAGAGAAGGATAATCTTACACCGCAGCAAAACAAGCGAAAGGCACAGAATAGGGCTGCGTAAGTCACCTTGATCTATTCACACGCTGCATTGCTTATGCGACACGCAGGCAACGGGCTTTCCGGGAGAGGAAAGAGAAACGTGTTAAAGATTTAGAAGCACGGAATACGACTCTACAACACCAATACATTACCCTGCAGACTGAGCTTGAACGTCTTCGAAGAGAATTGACTCGTGCAACTACCGAAAATGAGATTCTTCGAGCTACCTCTGGCTCATCGTCTAATGGTCCAGCGCCGTTCCTTCTTGACAAAGATAGAGACGATTTGGATTCTGTTGTGCCAGGGCCTCTGGGATACACACCAACCGATTATTCTTCTAAGCTGCGGACCACCAAAGAGAGTACTACGGACTGGGTACCAAATGCAAAGTGGGCACAGTTTGGGGTACCCATCGCCGACCCCATCGATGAGGAGAATGGAGAACCACTCTACACAGCTGGCCAGACCTGGGACTACATTCAACGACATGAGCTGTTCAAGAAAGGCCTTGTCGACGTAGGCGATGTTTGTGAGCGGCTAAAGAAAGCTGCAAGATGTGGTAACGGTCATGGCCCCGTCTTTCTAGAAGGTGACATTCGAAAAGCCATTCAGGAGAGTGCTGTTGCTGGTGGTAGAGATGAACTAATTTAATGCAGCGCGCTCAAACAACAGCTTCCAGACCAATACCACCCGACGCATTATGCTCGGCAAGCCGCTCCAAAGAAATCTCTATCCAGTCCATCTTTTCAACAGGGTCACCCCGACGTCTCGCGGCAGACTTCGCAGTCGCAGTACGAAGCAAAAGAGACTCTATGCCAAGCTTGATCGACCAGGACGCGTCGCGGGTTTGTGTGGAACCATCCAGCTCCACTATAGTGGTTACTAATCATGCAGGGTTTTGTGGGAACTTCACCTGTCCGACTCAACCCTGGAAGTCAAAACGTGTCAGAGCTTGCGCAATGTGTTACACCCATCAGCAAATAGACCTGCAACTCTCACAACCAATCTGTTGAGGAGACCAATTCTCTGGTGTTCAGCAAACGGGTTAGTCATCAGTGCCGCTAGTGCTAATGAGTGCAACCGCTTGCAAAAGCCTCGTTTCGAAGTATAGCCAACGAATGAGGTCCAGAGCCATAAACGACCGGAAGCTTTGTTCCAGCATACACGGTCTATCTACAAAGAGAATGCAACCTCCGGTCGCGATCCTGTGTCGGTTCATTTGCTACACGATGGTGAAAGCCCACGCCTTACTCTAGCTTCTTCTACGGGGATTTCGGGTTAGGTGTTTCTCCCGCAGCTCACATAACGACTACACTTGCCTCTCTTCGTTTCAGTGTACAGCCAAAATCACAGACTCTGTCGCCTCTAAACATCAACGAGCTGTGCAAACAATTTATGCAGAGCAGACTTCGTTGATGAATACGTAGCATCACCGTGGTGTCAACCGCGAAGAAATGGTCTCCCGCTCTTGGCAATCGCCAGACCTCAAGTTGGTTACGCAGTGTACGATGCGAGCGTTATTTCAGCAGGATGCTGACACAGCCTGGCAGCGTTCGATGCTTAAGCCTTGTTGCTTGCCTTCAGATCTTGTCAAGGCCTATGAGCTAGTACTTTAGCTTCGTGTTTTGAAGCAAATGTGCTCAAGAACACAGCATTGTCAAATTTACAAGGATACACATGTTATACCAGAAACAGCACGATGTTCGTGCATAAAAAGCACACGACAATATGTAAGACGTACCATTGAAAACGCGGGCCGATGTTGACGTCTGTCAACGCTACAGCGTTTTCTGAGCTAGCCGCAGTCGTGACTACATGATAGATACAGGTCGATCCGCAACGCGCTCCAAATCTGCGTTTACTTGGCTTTGGACACAGACTGTCTGGCGAAGATGAATCTGTGCTCCTTGCATGCATAAGATTCTCCATCGGGTTGCAGGAGACTTGAATCGACTTACTTTCGTGAACAAACGATCCACGAGTTTGCATTAAACGATTCCCCAAGACCATAGAGAGAGCACGAAACAGACCTTCGGCGTCTGATGACCCGATGCCGAGACAAAGTATTACGTGATCGAGAACTTGCCCTCTTCGATTAGCTAACGCTTCTCCACTAAAGCATAGCCACAAGCTGTACGGTTCAGCGGACTGACCAATACGTAAGGATCACATCTTCGGTCAGTCGACTGAGCATCCAAGAATTGATACAGTTTCGATACTCTACAGCGTACGTCCTGCTCCTCGGCTAATCCTACGTAACCATACGAATACGCCTGCTCACATTGTGCTAACATCTTGACGACCTGCTATTGATACGCTGTTGACATGCTGCTGACACGCTATCAATACGCTTGTCGTTCTTGGGTCAAAAGGCATGCGCCTTGGTTAGTCACATCGACACTGGAAACATAGACATCGTCCAGTCAAGGCTTGCGAGGAGAACACAGCTCGAGAGGGACAGACCAAGAACAACAGACGATGCGTCAGAAACTCCCCACCGTCTACGCATCGTCGATAACACCACTTTCCAGGGCGCTGAGATTATTTTCGTAAGCGGATGGAGCATGTTCATGAAACATAGTCCTTCCAAACCTCACCTCATTGAATCTTCCCTCAACGTCTCGAACCCATTTGAACTGAATTCGTGTTGCAGGACGTCCGACTGGCGTATATTGCCTCGACTGCTCAGCACCTGTGATCGTGGTCTCATCAGGATCACGATCAAACACTCGAGTGCTTTCGAGGATGAATATTTCTCCAGGAGCGTAGAGCTTCTCGGTCGTCATCACTTTTCTCATGCCGCAAAGCTGTTTCCACATCCATGTATCTTCTCCTATTCTGTCGCCAGCAACATTGTATGGTGGTGGTGGCCCAAGTGGTGGCTGTGCGTAATCTGCCGAACACCAGGATTGTGCTGTCTTCCTCACTCGTTCTGAGATTCGTTCTCTTATCAGTTGATATGCGCCGGTCAGGTCTTTACCCAGGAGGGCGGCAATGGCACGAAAGTCGTGTAATGTACCTAGCGACAAACAAGGGACGATGTCATTCGCATTGACCACCGAAGTGATCAATCCACGAGTCGCAATCCGAAGACTAGATGAGACAGCCGCTGGAGAACCAAAGGCATAGACGTGGATTGGTCGACCAGCTGGCAATTGAATTGGTGGGATATCTCGTGACGAGGAGGTATGTGGCCTCGAAGGTAGCAGTCTTGGTTTAGTCGCTGTCACGAACGCAGGGCTGTCCAACTCGCCAAGGACATGTTTTGTAGGTTCGGACAGCATGATAGCCAGAACTGCTGCTACTGCTCCACCCAAACTGTGACCAACAAAGACAAGTCCAAATTCTGGATATTCTTCTAAATATTGTTTCAGGGTAGCCATGATATGGTTGCCGTTGCTGCTGTCCATGAGCCGACGTGCTGATTCTCTGATGCCACGATGGACTTTGTAGGGCTGTCCCTGCCAGTAGATATCAGTGTAATCGCAAGCCATATCAGTCAGCAAGTCCTCAAAGCCCAACGTACCACGACACGTTAGCACAATAGCCTTGGCCTCGAGATCGATGGCAACAAAATGTATCAGAGGTGACCAACCATCGGACCATGTATACTCCAGGCCTTGCACATCAATAAAGGAAGACTTGATAATAGTCTCAGGTGGTAGACCTGTATATTCTGAGAATGCCGAATGTTCCGGATGGACAATCAAATCCTTCTTGTGCGAAGGGGTGTGCGACCTTGTGTACATGCCCATAAATGATAGAAATTGCTCTCCGTACGCAGCAGAGGCAAAGCGTACAAAGCGTCTCAACGTCAGGATGAGATGAGAGCTTGGGAACTGACCAGGCACCTTGCCATCCTTTGCCAGTGCCATCAGCATTTTATCGTTTTCAAATATCGACCTCCGCGGTATGGGAACTCTGGGAGCAAGCACCAACGTCTCGTCCTTTTTGTCTTTCGCTCCTACTGACACCAAACCGTGTGCAAAGGAGTTAGTGCGCCTGTGGTGTCGCCCAGAATCTCCATTCGCATGGCGGAGTGAGAATTCGGTCTGTGATTGTGTCTCTCTGATCGAGTTAGAAGCTTTGAGATGTGCGCGTGACATTGTTGGCGAAGGAGGCCTGCTCTCATTCGAATGTATGGAGTATGAATCAACCTCAGAATATGTAGATGAGCGTCGCTTCTCGTGCACAGTAAAGTAAGTTGAACCATGATTCTCACTCGCGGCAGGTGTTGTCCATTTTGGACTTACCATGGGCGTTGTTGCCTGCGAGGAGGGTAGATCAAACACCGGCTTGCGTGGTACTTCCTTATTGCTGGTCAATGGCCTCAATGTTTGTGAAAGTGAAAATGCGGTACCACTTCCTGAGTTGCTCCTCGCTCTCGAAGGCCCTGATATCATTCTGTTCAAGGTAGCCGATGATTGTGGTGGACTCAAGGATTTAAGTGCTTTCTTCCAGACTCCTGACCTGTCGTTTCTGTCAGCCCTACTGCCATCAACGGATTTTCCTCTGCGACTGGACGATTGTGGAAGTTTGCTAGGTCGTGGTGTTTGTGAGTGGTTAATTTCAGGCGTGGCTCCCCTTGTTTTCTTCCGAACAGCTACAGGAGTAGAAAGAGTTGACGCAGCAGTAGCTCTGTTGGGTATCTGTCTGCTGCGCATTTCCACAGAAGTCGTTTCACCACTACTTGAGCCTTGTCCTTCGGCAACATCAGGTGAATCGGAAGAGTTGGTATTGCTTGCTGTTGGTGTGCTATCGTCCTCATTCGTGGCATCGGAGGCTATATTTACAAGCGATTTTGAACCATCATATTTGTTGACGTCTGCTTTGGATTGTGCCTTCGAGACAGTGCGAAAGGTGATTATTTGACCCTGTGGACTCTGTTCGAAGTTAGGACGTTCAGAGACCATCACCATACCAGGTGGGGCTTCCACGTTAGCAGTTTCTGAGCCATGTATCTCGACCTGCACTGTCTTTACCAGCATTGTATCTGTGGTAATAGTGGCTCTTGTGCCTTGCGGAAGCTGTTCCATGATGCGCTGCCTGATTTGCTCATCGGTAAGTGGCATCTCATCATGAGTGTCAAGAGCTCCGGGGTTAATGAAAGTCTCTTCTCCAATTTGTCCAGCAATGACAGTGAAATCATCTCCGGACTCCTCTTGAGTTGGCGACTGAACAATAGAGGTCGAGGTAGCAACAATAGCATCCGATCGTCGTGTTCCGATCACATCGGCGCGAAAACCCTGGTCGTTGATGACGATATCCCAGACAGTCGCTTCACCACCAGTAGCCCTCCATTCCAGCTCTGTTTGCCTTCTAGCATTACGCTGCAAGAACAAAAAGCTTGCGACTGTTGTCAACAAATTGAATGTGGAGATATCATAGTAACTGCCATCTGGCTGTGGTTTGTACAGTTCTCTTTTTAGTAAAGTAACAATTGCAGCTACAGCCCTGGAGGTTTCAGTAGATCCGAAAAGAGCATTGAGAAAGTGTAAACCAATCAGGGCAGTATCTGAGGTCCAGTACATGGCAGTCTCAGCCAGGTAAAACGTCGAGGCTGCTATAATGGAGGCAGCAGACATTCTGGTGTGCATTCTTGTGAGCCACTTTTCTACGAGAGATTCAGCCTCTTCTTGCCTCATCACCAAGTCGGCACGAGAGTTCACTTCTCTTCCTGCGGCTCGAAGGACGGCCTCGCATATGGTCTGATTCAGGCCAATAAGCCCATGAGTGGCTTTCTTGCCAGCAATTAAACCCCATTTCCCTGCCACAACTCCTGCTCTTATTGTCACGGTGGCTGCGCCAGTGCTAGCTGATATTCCGTTTGCAATGGTTCGCCAGAGAAGTGTTGGACCCTCGGCAGGTCTTTCGAGTGCTTCATATCTGTGCTGCTCGTACTCCAAGAGTGCTTGCGATTGTGATGCATCCAGCTCATCCTCATTTGCCTCAGTCATGGTCATATGCCGTGTGGGAGGAGGTTGAGGAGGATGTAGGCACGAGTTACTACCACAAACAGGCGGTGTATGAGCATCGGGGCATAGATGCCGTCCATGAAGTCGAGAGAAAACAACTGAAAGAAGAGAAAATGATCACATGCTCGAATCAGTTGACGCGCATGACCTCGACCAGCGTCGCTGCAGGAACCCGTACTGGCAGTAGTCGACTACTTGTTCCTGATGGTGTGGATGCGTACTATAAACGCAGGTTCGTATGAAGGTCGACTATCCTCATACTCGAAAGATGGTGGGAAGGCACGACCCAATAGGCGCTTGAACAATGACGTTGTGCGAGAAGTCACAGGTTAGGAGGGCGCCAGGATTTCAGAGAAAGATATTCTGGCATGTGAAATCTGGCTTTTCTTGGAATCTTGGTACCAAATGATATATACGTACCAGATTATGCAACGTCTTCAAACCCCAAGTCGCTCAATTCAGATTCGCACGATGCTCGCGTCTTCTACGGTGGTCTCTCGCAACGACTTCCTAACACGGTCCGGCATACCCAGCCGACGTCTCTTCATTATCAACAGGAGGACGTCAGGTCTTTTCTCAAGTCGACTCTCACGATTTCATTGCGTGTCACGCCTGTCAGATAAGGCTGTCATGCCGAAGCGACCACTAATCCAAGTCGATTGCACGACCTCTAATTGGTATACAAAGGCACCTACTCTCGCTCAACACTCGTGCTATCTGCTACTTGCCTCAACATCTTTCTCTCCTGCCTTACTCGCCTGTCGCTGCCTCTTCAACTCCATCTGTTCTTGCCTGATCCTCTCTTGCTCTTCCACCCCTGTCTTTGTCTTCTCATGCTCACGACTCAACTCCACCTTTGTAATGAACAAGCTTACAACGATAAGCAGTGCAGCAAAAGCGACATAGAATATCCACATCGTACTCAATGAGTCTGCATAAGCTTGGTTCAAGACTTGTCGCTGCTCGGGCGACAATCTCTGCAGTTCGTCGATTGTTGACCCGAAGCTCGATCCAGCAAATTGACCAGCAAGCTCCGGCCCTAACGATCGTTCGATTTGTGGCTGCCGCTTCGTCAATTCGTTCTGAAACACTACTCCACCAAGCACAACCGACATACTGGTTGCGATGTTTCGAACGAATCCATATGTCGCGGTGCCCACAGCTGCATCGTATCCTTTAAGATGACTCTGCAATGCTATAAGTGGGGCCTGGAACAGTGGTCCTGTTCCGAGTCCTGCGACTACCTGGTAGAGAATTACCTTGACCCAGCTTCTGTGCGCAGGCAGATCTATCAACAGACCCGAACCAATGCAAAGAACAACACCCGATACCCAGATGATCTCCTGATACCGACCTGTCTTCTTGATAGTAATGCCAGTTGCAATCGACGTGATTGACAAGGGGATCACCAGTGCGAATAGTGCCGCTCCTGAGACAATTGGTGACAACCCCATGACGGTCTGGAAGTAAAGTGGCAAATAATATGACTGTGCGATAAATATGAATCCGAAGAGGTAGCATACGCCATATGCTGCCATGTTTGAGGTGTCTCTAAATAATCTTAGTGGCATAATGGGATATTTCGCAAGCTTCCACTCCGCAACGAAGAAAAGCCCGATCATGACCACACCAAAGATGATGAGGCACAGCACAAAAGCACTAGCCCAAGGTTGAGCTACGCCGGCACTCTCAAGGCCGTATAAGAAGCTGATGACACCTCCGACGATCAGGAGACCACCAATCCAGTCTACCGCCTTGATGCCGTCCAGGAATTTGGTCTTGGGAGTCTCAAGCTTTAGGTAGAAGACAAGTAACAACAAGCTGATGCCGTCCAGTGGTAGGTTGATCCAGAAGCACCATCTCCAGCTCACTGCTTCAGTCAATGCACCTCCAACGATGGGCCCGACACCAGAAGCCACAGCCCAGGTCAAACCGACGAAGGCATACCACTTTGGCCTCTCCCTCATCGAAAACAGATCTGATATTATAATGTTCACCAAGATTATCAGACCTCCAGACGCAAGACCTTGTACGACTCGAGCCACAATGAGCATTCCAATACTTTTCGACAGAGCAGCGACCAACGAACCGACCATGAAGATGACATTGGCAAGGATTAACATCGGTTTCCTTCCCCAAATATCGCTGAACTTCCCCCAGAGAGGCGTCGCGCTTGCATTGGCGAGGAGGTAAGCGGAACCGACCCATGTATACCCAGCGCTCGAGGCTCGGAAATCCTGTGCTATCGTAGGCAACGCCGTGGTAATGATTGTGACATCCAGAGCACTTAAGAAGAGGGCCATGCATAAGGAGAACATGATCATGCCTATTCTGAACTTGGAGAACCCTTCCGCCCTCGACGTCTGCCTGGCCAGTTCAGGTCTCTTTGACTTCTCGCCTGGCGCATCATCTGAAGTTGGACTTGTTGGTGACCTTTCTGGGGATAGGGAATCTTCCTTCGAGGATGTCGATGAGCTAATTGATGCATGTGCTTGGTGATTTGGTGCTTGTGCAGTTACGTCCTCGTTGAAGCCGGCTGCAGCACTTGTGGCTGGATCAGTCGACACAGCTGTTGTGTCAGTCGTAGCCTGTGTGGAATCGTGTAGTCGTGATGAGCCATGGTGAGAGTCGACATATTCAGCTCTGTCAAGCTCTTGTCGCTGAGCTGCGGTCGCCATGTTTGAATATCAATAAAGTGAACTATACAGACATAAAAAGCAACAGTCTGATAGGCGAGTGGTCGCCTCTTCGGGTTTCCAACAGTATGCTCGTACAACAAAGATATGCAACCAAAAAAATATTGACAATGATACCAGACGAGCTATGTGCGATGAGCTGAGACGAAAGCTATAAACAATCACGTTGTTGATAAAACGGTGACAGCTAGCATTGAAATGGTCATTGGCGAGAGAGAGCAATCGCCTTCGATGACTACTATAGATGCTCTTATTATGGTTTGGAATTTGTTCGTACACAGACCGTAAGAGGCGATCGATGACGGATGCGATGTTTTGGGCGCTACCTCGTATACGGAAGGTCTTCACGACCAAAGGCGCGATCGCTTCCAACAGCGGCGTCGCGTGATTGCTAATTAATATGTCTATGCTTCGCAACTGAGTAAAAACTCTTTACACATCACAAGAAGCTGAGCATCGTTGCACTGTACGAAGTTCTGATTCAGATACTGTAGCTTACAATCCCATGGCTGCAGGCATGCCCACCACACGAAGTCTTGAATGTGGAGGTCCGATGTGCTTAGCGATCTTGCTTAATTAGCCTTTCGGCGATTGGAGATCTTAGATCGGACCCGAAATACTGTGCTGTGTCTCCGTGTCAAGCTGCATCAGAGCAATGGCAACCAGCCACTGACTTTGCATACCAATCACATCGCGTGGCCTGTGTTACAGCTGATGCATGTATCGTGTCTTGTTAACAGCAGTAGCTCAAGAAATAGAAGCTCGACTCCGCGCCGTGGCCGTTAACCCATTCCAATCTTCTTCCAGGCCCCAATGGCCATCCACTTCAGACCTCTGCTCGACCCATCGACCGAGCGAACCGTCGTGCATAGGCTGACCGCTCATAGTGATCGATGGCCCTTTACCAGGTATACACCACTGAAGAGGCATTGAGGCTGTCAGCTTGGCCGAGAGACCGTACAAGGTGAGCCAGATATGCGAGAGTACTTCCGCATAACACCATACTCGAATATCAAGGAACAGTTCCCCTCCTGCCTCACGGCAGCCGTCGATAGTCGCACGAGAGTCGTATCCTACACGACCTCTTTCGATAGTCTTGATCATGTAAGACCAAAACTGTATAAACTCGTCTGCTGTCCAAGGCGTGTGTTCGGCTGGTTGTTTCGCGGGATACACAACTTTTAATAAAGCGGCATCTCGTTCAGGTGTTGTGGCGTCGGCGTCTGTTTGACCTTCTTGTCGCATCATGAACCTCCGCTCGCTCCATTGCGAACCTGTCAGTGGAGCACGTCGTACTTTAGCGACCGTGGAGATATCTGCGATCCTGATCAACAATTTCCAGTACCCGCGCTCACCATTACGAATGGACTGCGGTGCTTGGCAAGGTCGAAAGTGATTGAGCAGGTCGTGTTGTTTTGCTAACTCGAGCAGGTAATCAGGTATGAAAGATCTGAATTGTCCGTTGGTATTTGTATTTGTGGTCTGGCATTTGATTCTTCTTGGCAATTTTCTTATTGTGTCAAATTGGCGTTGAAGAGAAGGAGTCACGTCCTCGCTGGCGTCTGACTCTTCCGTCCAGCGTACAGGCGAGCTTATAGGACCGAGGACATCGCGCCTTGTCACGTCTTGTCCTTCGGGGTCATCTGTAAGATTGATAGTGGGTGATGGGTTTGGCATTGATCGACGTGCCAATGGGCTGCTTGTATCTAGATACTGCATAGGATCTGAACTGATTCCAGTACTGGCCGCCGAAGTCATTGACTGGCCGTGGTGGTTGGTGTTTGTATATGTTGTTCTCTGATCTTTGCTCCCCTTCGACCCAGAGGCTAAAGTACCCATATTCAATTCATGAGAACGTATAGAAGTCTGTGACAATACCTCGATCACAACTTGCTCGTCCTCTACAAGCCTTGCCTCGTTAGTATTAGACGTTACTCGCTGCTGAATTGCAGTGAAGTTATTATGCTCCAGAATGTCACTGTCTACAAATGGAAGTGGCCTAACCTCGATACTTTCACTGTTAGTAAAAGCTTTATCGACAAACGATGTATCTTCGACAAAATCTGGAGGAAAAGAGTTTGATATGCAAGGGGCTGACGATGACGAAGCTTCCGAAAGTGACCGACGAGGCTTCGGACTCGTCGTAACTGGCACCAAAACTGTTGGCGCGGGTGCGGTCCATGGACGAGGTATTTCACTTGATTCCTTGCTGGTCCTTAGGTAGCCTGGAATAGGATTTCTGAAAGCAGGATTCAAACCTTTCCTTGTTCGGGGGAATGAAGTACGCTTTGTTCGCTTCGCTGCGAGCATGTCGGTATCAACTTCCAGCTCAAGCATACGCTTTGCTGACGCAGAGTCGTGTGTGTCACTTGTGTCACGCAAAAATGTGCTTTCCACAGGAGAATCTCGAGACTGCACACGTTTGATTTGCTCTCTTGGTGTTGTTGCAGTTGGCTCGGATTGAGTATCAACTATGCCATGTTCGCTTGTGTGATCGATACTGTCTGAAACTGCCAATCGTCTTCTTGGCCTGAAGCGAGCCACTCCTTCTGCAACACGTTTCCAATGTGCGTCGTCCCTAACCATACTAGGAGCTGCGATATGTACCCTGAGTTCGAATTTATGCATGCTAGGGGAAGAGCTGTTGACGATAAATACACGGGCAGAGTGATTGCATTCATGATGGCGGTGTTCTGTCAGAGCGAGACGTCACAGTGTAACAGTGTCCAGTCGTTGGCAAGAGCAACAATGAGGAGAGAAAGTCATGCAGTGTCAGAGATCCATCTTCGCTGATGCAGGATCGGGTAAGTTCTCCGAATACTAAAGTGGCTCACTACTGCCACAACTATGGCGCATGAACCGTGCATGATTGGCTATCGCCAAGACAAGAAAGAGTAACATTCCAAATAGTTGCTTAATCCTACATATGGCAATCGTCGATTGATACCGTCAATTACCTGATAGTCATCGATATGAGTAAGCCCCAAGTTCGTAGGACTCAGCTTCTCATGTTCCTGTGCCGCTAAGCGAGGCGTGCAAAATGTAGTAAATTCTTTCTGGTGGTCTTGCATCCTTCACCACATTTCTGCATCTCCTTTGCGTATCGGACCTTCGAGTCACCATCATAGAGACTATTGAGCTGTGTTCCTCCAAGCTGTACAGACCACGCAACGGTCTCGGTGTCAGCATTTCCATTTCAGTCAAGAAGGTGCAGACGTGAATGTCAGGTCCGCGACGACCATGAGAACTACCCACAGCAAACCCGAATTCTGAACAGGAATCGAACCTATGTGTACTTGATCAGCAAGTCAAATTTGACGGGTTTCCAGTGCACATTTTCTGTCTGGCGACGGCATAAGTATCGACTTTGTATCGCGCGAACCGCACCACGTTCAACCAAGAGGTGAAGAAGTGCTGATGCCGAGCTGCTTCAGAGATGGCTGAACTCCTGGAGCAAAGAATCTTCAAATCCAGAAGTCGGTCTGTTTGTTAAGCAGAAAGTGTGGTAACAGGCAAGCAGATTTCAGTGCTCTGTTTGAACTTCTATTTGCTTTAATCTGACAATTCCTAGATGATGAATCAATGGGTTGTCGTCCTTGTACGTGCAGATTCTTGCACGATGATCTTTGGTCTTGCCAACTGGGGAACTCGAAAGGTTATAACACAGCACGAACGGCAAGTGCGCAATCCCCGCCAAATTCGGCCAAATTCTGGCAATTGTGGCGCCGAGTCTAGACTGTCCAAAGAAGAAAAATAGCATTTTTTCCAGCTTGCTTGAGCTTCAGTGGAGAGACAGACTATTGCATATGATGAGATGCTTACTGTGCACCACCGCAGGCACTAACTCTGGATACAAGGACGCGAATATGTATGCATAATCGGAGTCCAACATCCGCCATTCAGCTATTGGCTATGACGGAACTCATCCTCGGTCAGGCTGCAAGAGTATTGCTCAATGCGATGGTAGTCGACAAAAGAACGACACGCGTCGCGAATCGTAGGTTATTTTGAGACAATATGTTTGCGCCAGGTCTATCTACTACGTGATGATTTTCAGGACCGTCCGCTCTACCGACAGCCTGGACAAGTGATATTGGCAGGCGCGGTCGAATCAGATTACTCGAGGCCAAGGCGTGGTCTCCACAGTTCCACCCTGTACTTGACTTGCGTTTTCAAACGTTACCAGGACGATGTGCATCGCCGTCCGTTCCTACAACACAGCCCCAACCATACTCAGATTTCTCATTGACGACACTTAGCCGGAAGACAGGTGAACCTAGCTGGCTGAACGTGTTGACTCTGACGTCCCGCTGTGGCTGGTGACAAGAAGCCATACCCACTGGTGGAGGCACGCATCCCGCATCCTGGCAAGTTGAGCTGCTATACTGAACTACAAATTGCTCTTCAGCTCAGCTGAATCACAAGCCGTAAGCTTCGCACCGATCAAGAAGATAGCACTTCGTCCGTCTCGACGCTGTGCGGCTGTCCGTCTTTGTGCGCTCCATCTTGAGTTGGCCCATTCAGGCAAATTATTCACAAGTATCTCGTATAGTGTGACAGCGGCATTGCGACAACCCGCCTGTCAGATCGCCAAGCGTGCAAGACAGTTTTTAATCGTTATCTACGCCATCTCTATCGAAGTCGAAAATCCAGGGACAACGTTACAGTGGGACGATCTTCCGCATCCTGTACAACGACGACGTGATATCCTGGTTGCCAGTCGAGAGCTTCCGATTGTGCTAGGCAGCTCCCGAAGCTTGCAGTGCTTGTGCACCACAGCGACGTCAAGGCATACCTTGTTCACCCTGACCTCGACTTTCGCAAGTTGCAGTCTTCTGGGATCGACCCTGCCTTTACGTGAGACCAGACATTCACTGGCTGTGTAGTTTCTACAACCAACTTCGACGACTGCTGTCACTTCCAAATCATGGACTCTCGTTCAGGCACTGGCTCTTTGTCAGGCAACAATGTTCCAACCTCTCCCGAGTCGCTGGAGGGTCGGACGAGTACTGATCAATCAGTTCCGTCTGGTTCTGAACAGTATGGTAAGTGCTGAATTCGCCCGAACCCGCGGGAACAGTTGCACGCTATTGTCGATTTAGGGGTACACATCCTGCAAGGTCGAGCGTCCACTTATTGCACAATCTGTACCGGATGGATTACTGCGTACACGCTTAGCGCTCCCCCTCTGCTCCCATCCCCTTAGCTCATCTCGAGCAGAACTCCGACTCGACCAAATTCTTCTGCTATACATTATATCAAATCGATCAGTTCTGTGTTGCAGTTATGCTAATGAATATACTACCAGGAGACGGATCACCAATGGAAGGCAAAGGACCAGGCTTTCCCAACATGAACTTTCTACGTACTTTTGCGAACCCTATGCAGAAGAAGGTTACAAGAGATGGCCAACCGGCCAAACGACGAGGTCCAAAACCAGACAGTAAACCCGCACAGACGCGCAGGCAAGAGCTCAATCGACAAGCGCAAAGGCACGATCGCCACCAATGACGGAGTGACATCTGACTGACACGATACAGGACGCACCGCGAACGAAAGGAGCAGTATATCAAAGCTCTTGAGATAGAGATCGCACGACTTCGTGAGGCATTCGTCTCAGAGAGCACGACCGTACAGAGCCACTTCAGGCATACAGAAATTATGCTTAGGGAAACCCAGCAGGAGAACATGCTGCTTCGTGAAATCCTGAATTCTCGAGGCGTTGCTTTCGAGGTCGAGCTGCAGCAACGAAAGAATGCGATCGCAATGGGGGGTGGACCTTCGCATGGCGCGCGAGGCATAAGTCCCAGCTACTCGATCGCTCATTCGGGAAGTCCTTATGGCACTGCTATACCACCTACAGCTCCTCCGTCACAGTCTGGTCTAGGGGATTTCAATCCAGCTGGATACACTAACGGTGCCCACAATATCATGTCAGGACACTCACCCACTGCACCAAACAACAGTTCTCCGGGCACCACACACCACAGTCACTCGCCACCTGAGATGCAGGAAGTAGGAGGTTCGCACGATATTGCCATCACAGATGCACCCGGCATTTTCGAAAAGGAACCTCAACTTGGCATAGACTTTATCCTTGCGTAAGTGGCGTCGGTCATATCTTGTCGGTATATGCTAATAGAGATCTAGTCTAGAAGAGACATGTCGCGATCATAGCGAGTACCTCGTCCGGCGGTCGATGAACTCGCCTAATGACCCGGATGAAGCATTGTTCTCTGGCCACGCATTGATGGCATCTGTTCCACCACCTAGCCACATCGACAGAACACCACCTCAGAAAGGAGGATTACAGCCTACGTATCCTCATCAAGCACCGCAAGCCTCAATACACGCACTGCAGACGCTCTTGAATCTCAGCAGAGTTATCAAATCAGAAGGTTATGTTGAAGGTGGACAAGTCACCCCTATCATGGCTCTCCAGTCTCTGAGGGGTCATTACAACTATCATTCCTTAACAAGAGACGATGTGGTTGGCATGATTGACGCGATCAGGAACAAAGTAAGATGTTACGGTTTCGGCGCAGTGATGGAGGACTTCGAGTTACGAGACGCTCTTGCTACCATATTTGCAACTAAACCTGAGGCTTATGAGTCTTTCGGTAACGATATGACTAGCGAGATTGAGGAGATGTATTCTTGAAAGGAGATGCATAATGGATGTCTAGTAGTATAGCAATACGACCATTGCTTCAGCTAGAAGCTGAAGTCAGCAAATATATGATCTACTCATGCCTTGAAGAGTGCTGATACCCTCGATTAGTTATCTGTTTGCACTGTCCAGCTAGCCGGTGAGATCAAGGATCTTTCACGGAGACTCAATTCGCAATACGCGGAGGTCCTACACTCGGACTTCGCTATCGCCCAGACCATCACAATCAATGGTCAGCTGGTCGCTTTGAGATATATACTGAGCGTGAGATTGATGCAGTCGGTCACTGTCTGTAATGTTGCACTACTTTCGAGTGTACCGCGACCAGGACTTTATCTCAATCAGATAGTCGTCCAGGTTGTTGGCAAGAATGTGCAATTCATTGTAGGTCTGTACACAGATATCAATATTGTCGCTCCAAAGAGTAAGTTCGGGCCTGAATAGCAGCACGTCCCTGTCGAAAAATCGTCCAGGTACGCTGGCGTAGGAGTATCCACCGAAGCGGTCGCTTTTTCTGACGGGCAGGAACATCCCTAATCTTGATCACATGACTCGTAGCTTTTGACATCCGACAATTCAAGCTCACAGGGAATGACAGCACAATTTGAACCACGACTCTCCACTCCTTCACGCTCCTTTCCTCAGACTACCGCCGCTGTGAACAAGTCCAACTATTCGGCAAGATGCAGGCAACAAGAATAGTCCGGCCAGCTCTGACTGCTGCGCGACGAACAGCTCCTCGTACCGCGATCCGAACATATGCAGCTCCAGCCGCTACTGACACGAAGCCTCCTGTAGCCGTATTTGGGCTTGATGGGACATACGCAAATGCCTTGGTATGCTCGAAGTTCCCTACTCCATCATTGCAGGTCTACTTGTGTCCGGGAGGAATAAAAGAGGAGGAGTTCCTAGAGAAGCTCCGCAGCTAATACGTGATTTTTGTGTAGTATACTGCAGCTGCCAAACAATCCGCCCTCGACCCGACCTCGAAGGCCATGTCTTCACTGAGCCAGATCTTGAAATCTGACCGCAAGCTGCAGGGCATTCTTTCGGCCCCAACTCTCTCTGACAGCGACAAATCTCAGATCGTTGCTGAACTCGAGAAGCACACCGGCGGACAAGACAAGAGCAATACAGTCAAGAACTTTCTGCAAGCTCTTGCAGAGAACAACCGATTGTCTATACTAGAGGGTGTGTGTGAGAAGTTTGGTACTCTGATGAGTGCAGCCAAGGGAGAGATGGAACTGACTATCACCACTGCTCAGGTATGGACCTATTGCGAAGTCACGAAATTTCAAGAAACTGATTTAGAAATGCAGGATCTTGACAACAAACTGCTGAAACGTCTACAAAGTGCCGTCGAGAAATCCGAATACAGCCAGGGCAAGAAACTGAAGGTCACTACGAAGGTCAACCCAGAAATCATTGGGGGTATCGTTGTCGAGATTGGTGAGAGAACGATCGACTACAGTGTCGCGGGCAAGGTGAGCAGGTTGAACAAGATGCTTACTGAGGCTGTATAAGCACAATTCTACATTTGGCGTCGGAACCGCAAGCGAAACACAATCGTGTAAATATCTAGAAGAGCCGATTAAAAGGGACGACCCGTTTAGAGGTATTTCCTTACCTAGTGTTTTTTGACGTTGGGAAGACTGCTTCGACTTTTCTTACTTGTTTAAGCTATCGAACATGCTTACCACCACAGAAACTCCAACAACCATAAAGAGATGAATTGTGAGCATTACACGAAACAAACGTACTGAGCTTACGATACGTGCTTGGCTGGAGTTTAACTTGTACAGCAGGTACTGATCTGACTGACTCGACCCTCCCTTTTGCTTAAAGAACGAAATACTGCTCTCCCAAAGAGGTGCGCTTTTCCCTCAACTCGACCTGATTGTGGTGTACTCTAAGTCTATGTCTGCCAAAACATCAATATCGTACAAGTGGAATAGACACTGCGTTGTATACATTGGGACAACTGCCCAACGACGACCCGTCACATTACAAAGCCGTCACACGAGGACATCCACTGATTCCTTCTAAAGCCACGACTTGAAAAACCAGTCTTTGACATCTTCCTCAACACTCAGCTTCAAGCCCCGAACACTAATGCTCTCATATATAGTTGCAGTCACTTCTCTCGCCTGCTTATGCCATGGACCTCTGCCTCCCTAGACGGCGTCCTCTCTGCTACGCCAGAGACCTAGGTCGGACTTTTTGTTAGCAATATCTCCAACCGAGGATAGCCCTAGCTAATCAAAAACTTGCCAGGCACAACACAAGCTTTACTCACAAGTCGCTAGATTCCGTCTCTCCAGGTCGGGCACCCCGAACCAGTACTTCAAAGATCCACCACTAGCAGTGGCCTCTCTGTGGCTCTCTTTGTCGAGTCTGAACAGTAAGTCGTCGTCTATGCCTTCTTTGAGCTTGCTTCTGAACTCGACGGCGTAGAATTCGGTCTTGGTCCAGTTGTGGTTCTGCTCTGAGCAGAGATGTTTGAGCTTGTTAAAGACGATGGGCCAGTTGAGAGCTTTGTGGTAAGGGGTTGTTGCGTAGTTGGGAGTTGCCGTGGAGAGCAGGGCAAGTGTTTGGGCGAGGAGCTGGTTTTGAAGGTCAAGTGTTGTGAGGTTGAGTTGGTGGCTTGGTTCGGTGTAGGGTGAGACTATGAGCCAGGGATAGTATGAGGATGGCGAATGTGGTGGCCGCTCGTGTGGTTGGGCTGGATACGAGGTGCGTGGATTGGAGATGGAAGCTTTCTCGATGTTGACAGCAACGCTTCCTTCATGTCCGTGTTCTTCGACCACGCTCGGAGGATTGAGGTCGAGATCTATAGCTTCGATGCTCGTTATGGAGGCGAGAGGAATACTCTTCTGGTCCAGGTTGGTAAGAACTGTCATCGGCGGCTGCTCCGGTAGTGATCTAGGAGTGGTCATTTTGCTAGAGGATCAGGAGATATGATACTCAGGACGAAGAAAGGGTCTGTGTAGTGGTAATTGTCGAGTCTATTTTATTGTCAATACCTATGTCTACCTAGCGAAAAGTGGCCCTTCGTTGTTCGATCAGATCTACGGGATGTCGCCATAGCACGCGATATTGAGTGATCAGGATCTGTGCTGACAAGCCAGTGATCCTATATTACATCGCCTTCAACCTCGACCATGCGGTTGTGCTGGAGTGTGTTTTCGTTTCGTGAGACCATTGAGTAAGCGCGTTCGATGTTGAGATCCTCACTTGCTCTGCTCGCCGAGAGTTTGGATTCTACCTAACAGATTATGGTAACGCAGTCCTATAAAGGCTACGATGTCCCCAGCGGAAGGCTGCATTTTTTCGTTCTATGTTTTGGATGCCCTTTTTGATTTGACTTCACATATCGTTTGTCTTTGTTCTATTGCCCTTTGTGTCGCTGCAGGCCAATGCATGAAGCCACAAGGCATGGATCTGCCCGGGAGGTATCTCCGAATCTCGTGTTTCATATTGGTACTTCTAGCTTGGACTAGCTACGTAGGCTCTACGATACCTGGCCAGATACATTCCTGCATATCAGCTCAAAAAATGTTAAATTCATCTCCATCAACATGCAGGTAATACCCTTCGCCGCTCCATCTTCATCTTCTCGTAGGCGAACAGTGAACCGCAAGTAACGCTGACGTGTGTGTACGGCCAACAACGTTCAATGAGACCTGTTGTACAATGTATTGCTGTAGTAGCACAGATATGAGATTTCGAGTGGGTGATGTTTATTCCCATTTTTTGGGCTTTCCAAGAAATTGCCGCTTCTCTTTATGTACTAATCAAGAATTTCTCATTATTCAGGCACCATCAGGCATGCCAGTGCGTTTTTGATGGGTAGCTAGTGCCGGAAGTGTCGAGCCCTGTACCGGCAACTTTCTTCCGCAGCTGGCGCTTACTGATTACGGTCTCCACATCGGCAGATGTGCGGGGCATTGCGTCGACGATCAAAAAAGTCAGTTGCGGTCAAAAGATTCTGGTTGTTCCTGCAAAACAAGTTGAACATTTCGAAACTATCTATCCTTTGAACAAACCAGGTCATTTCACGTATACTAATCCACAAAATAAGTCGTCAACATGGGTTCCGCTCCAGCACAAAAGTTCAAGGTGGCCGACATCTCGTTGGCTGCCTTCGGTCGACGAGAGATCGAGCTCGCAGAAATTGAGATGCCAGGTCTGATGGCCATTCGAACGAAGTACGGATCCGATCAGCCTCTTGCAGGAGCCAGAATCGCAGGTTGCCTGCACATGACCATCCAGACCGCTGTTCTCATTGAGACACTGAAAGCCCTTGGTGCTGAGGTAACATGGTCAAGCTGCAATATTTTCTCGACACAAGACCACGCCGCTGCAGCCATTGCTGCAGGAGGCACACCAGTCTTTGCTTGGAAGGGTGAAACCGAGGAAGAGTACGAGTGGTGTCTGGAACAACAACTGCTAGCATTTCCATCCGGCCAGTCACTCAACCTCATCCTTGACGATGGTGGTGACCTGACCGCTCTTGTACACAAGAAATACCCAGATATGCTCAAGGACTGCTACGGCGTGTCCGAGGAGACTACAACTGGTGTCCACCATCTGTACAGAATGTTGAAGGGTAAGGGTCTACTTGTGCCAGCCATCAACGTAAACGACTCAGTTACCAAGAGTAAATTCGATAACTTCTACGGCTGCCGAGAGTCTCTCATTGACGGTATCAAGCGAGCAACCGATGTTATGATTGCTGGCAAGATTTCCGTCGTTGCTGGTTTCGGTGATGTTGGCAAGGGTTGCGCCCAAGCTCTTCACGGCATGGGTTCGAGAGTGTTAGTCACCGAGGTCGATCCCATCAATGCTTTGCAGGCTGCCATGCAGGGCTACGAGGTTGTCACCATGGAAGATGCTGCTCCCATTGCTCAAATATTCGTTACTACTACTGGTTGCCGAGACATCATCGTTGGCAAGCACTTTGAGCAGATGCGAAACGATGCCATCGTCTGCAACATTGGCCACTTCGACATTGAGATCGATGTCGCGTGGTTGAAGAAGAACGCCGTCAAGGTGCAGAACATCAAGCCACAAGTCGACCGTTATTCGATGGCCAGTGGACGGAATATCATCCTGCTTGCCGAAGGTCGCTTGGTCAACCTGGGATGTGCTACTGGTCACTCGTCTTTCGTCATGTCTTGCTCCTTCTCTAACCAAGTCCTGGCTCAGATCATGTTGTACAAGGCTGCGGACGAGAAGTTTGGCGCGAAGTACCCAGAATTCGGCAAGGTCGGCAAGCGTGATGTCGGTGTTTATGTACTGCCTAAGATTCTCGATGAACAGGTTGCTCTGCTTCATCTTGAGCATGTTAACGTCAAGCTGACCAAGTTCACACCAACCCAGGCCGAGTATATGGGACTGGAGATCGAAGGTCCATTCAAGAGCGATATCTACCGATACTAGACGTCGTTCTAAGTGAGATCTATTTAATCAGGCGTTCTTGGGGTATAAACATGCATTTGCTCAACGCGAAATGTTTGGAAGAGAGTTCAGGACCCAAATGGTTCTGGTCAATGGACAGGTATGACTCAACGATGTAATGATATATTAGACGTGGAAGGCACCAACGAGCAAGCAGGCAAATCCCTGGCACAGCTGCCAGGTGTTGCATTTCAGTCATCCTTCAACGGATGGCGAGCCAAGATAGCTTCATCAGCGACTTGAGCTTCGTAGATTAGATACCCAAAATACGAAAAGCATTATTGATGGCACGACAACTACCAGAGTCGCAAGAGAAACTGACTGGTAACCTTACCATGAAAGTGTTTCCTCGAACAAACAGAATGTGAATTAGGCCATGGTAACTGCCATTTGGCTTCCGTCCTAGCCTCCGACAATGAACAGCTTGGGCAGCTGTAGTGCGACCAAAATTCGAGATCCGTACAACTCGTTAGTGCCACAAGGAGCACGTCAGTTTCTGGTTGGTATTGATGTTCTTGTCGAGTGTAATGATAGTCGTCGTCGTCGTAGGTCGAACACAGATAGCTCTCAGATTGCCGAGTCTTGGTGTCCATGCATGAGCTCTAGCGGCTTGTTTTGCTGGAGCAGCTAGTGTCAATTACGTGAACCGTGTCTCGATTCTTGCGCAGCCCAGATCAAACAACACCATCAATAATCGATCTACTTGTTATGTTTCATTGATATTTCGAGACTGACTGTGGTATCCGTCGTTTAGTTCTTTGTTTGTCGACACAATCGAGACTTCGGTTGACAGGACGTAGCCGGGAAGTCACCAATCGTATACTATCAAATCCACTCCAACCGATCGATCGTCAACACGACCCGATACTTGTTCTCAGCCACAACTATTCCTCCAGAACTTCGGCGTCGGCACGAGCTGCACATAGCCGCGTCAACAAGTCTGACATAGCTCTCTTTTCTACCTCCCTCTATGTGGAAGAGACGTAAAGAAAGAATCCCAAACCTTCCCGAGTCACTATCCACCGGTCCTCCGCCAAGGACAAAGACGTGGTCTTAGAACACTGTCATTCGACCCGATTCCTATTCTTGACCTCTGTCGCTAGATGGCAGATGGTCCCTACAGGTTCCATCAGCCAGGTGGTGGACCCTTCTATCCTGCACACCATACCAGCCGAAACCATAACCGGGCTACCTCTCCTCCAGGCCGTCGTCCTTTCGCGCACGATACCCCTTCGCCCTCGAGATCGCCTGGGAATGCTGCCATGGTTCACAACTTTGGAGTTTACAACCAAAATGGGTTCCAGCAACAGCATATGATGAATGGTGGGCAGAACCATCAGAGGTTCAACGGCTTGCATATTCCGAAACAGCAGCAGGCCTATCACCAAAGTCAGCATCACAATGCCCAGCAACAGATTGGACATATTGGGCATCAACATAACGTTTCTGGCGGTACCTATCAGTCCGCGACGCCGAACCTCCACACTTATGGACAAGATCATCTACAAAACGGTAATCGAGATGACGGGCCAGAGGACGAGTACAATGGCAATGAACATTGGCAGGAACAACAGCGTTTGTATGACGAGTGCCGGGAAATGTGTGATGGGCACCATAGAGCGAGAACCTATGCCCAACAGTCGAAGAGCTCAACATTTGGCGGACCACTTGGCGCTGCAGCAGATGACGCTACGGTAGAAGACAAAGTACGTGCGGCGACAGCTCAATCGCAGACTCGACAAGCATGGACCGAGCTGGACCTCGGTGGACAAGGGTTAAGAGCACTGTCATCCAACCTATACCAATATTCCTTCTTGACCAGACTCGATATTCCTCACAATGCGCTGAGAGAACTTCCTGCGGCACTAGGCCAGCTGAAAACACTTGAGTACCTCGACGTATCTTTCAACAATCTTGTATCCTTGCCCGACGAGATTGGCATGCTCACCAATCTCAAGACGCTTCTGTTATGTGGAAACAATCACCTGGCTGGGCTACCTTACTCCCTAGGCTATCTCTACAAGCTTGAGACAATAGCAGTTATGGATATCATCCTCACTGAGGATGCCAAACAAGCCCTACTCAATGGGGGTACAAAGGCGCTAATTAATTATCTACTGGAGACCATGCCCGACGATTGTATGTTCCTTCCCTTGCGCTTGTCGATATTTCTTGCTAACTAATTCCTAGATGTCGAACCACCGAGTGAGCGAGAATGGCACCAACTCGACGAAGTGATTGACACAGATGCCGACACCTTCAAGACTGTAACCTACAACATCCTTTGTGAACGATACGCGTCGAAGCAAAAGTATGGCTATGTTGCTGAAAGGTCGCTGAATTGGCACACAAGGAGACAACTGGTCTTGGATGAACTCGCCGGGTTGGATGCGGATGTGGTATGCCTGCAAGAGCTGGACCGTAACTCGTACGATGAGTTCTTCCGCAAAGAACTGAGCAACCTAGGCTACAAAGCCTACTACGCGCAGAAGAGCAGGGCCGAAACCATCGGAGAGAATGCAAAGTTCGTTGATGGTTGCGGCACATTCTGGAAAGACAAGAACTACGTATTACTCGACACGCAACATTTGGTTCTGGGCAGACGAGCCGTGGATAGACCAGGTGCAAAGGCATCAGCGGACATGCTGAACAGAGTATGGCAGAGAGACGACATTGCCACTGTGGTCTTCCTGGAGAACAGATTTACTGGATCAAGGTTGATCGTAGCCAATTCACACGTTTACTGGGATCCGGCTTTCAAGGACGTCAAACTCATTCAAGTGGCTGTCCTGATGGAGGAGCTTAACAAGCTGGCGGAAAAGTATGCAAAATATCCTCCTGCGAACAACAAGAAGCCTTCCTGGCAAGACGACGACGATGATCAACGAGAACCTGCACCTTCGCTAGAATATTCCAGTGGCTCCCAGATACCGACCGTTGTCTGTGGTGATTTCAATTCGGGTCCTGGGTCGCCTGTATATGATCTGTTCACGAAACGTATACTGGATGCTAACCATAACGACTTCAAAGGTCGCTCGTATGGCTCATTCTCGACAGATGGTATGAGCCATATCTTTACCTTGAAGTCGACGAACTCGCTTATGGAACAGCCGTTCATCACCAACTACACTCCTGACTTTGTTGATGAACTAGACCACATCTTCTATTCCAGCAACTCTTTGAGACCAATAGGTGCGTTAGGAGCGGTCGATCCAGAATACCTCAAGCGTGTACCCGGATTCCCCAACCAACATTTCCCATCAGATCATTTGGCGCTGATGGCGGAGTTCAAAGTTGAGAAACAACGTAACCCGCAAAAGGTCGAGGCAGATTTCGGGCCTAGCTCTCGAAGGAATTAGCCAAGTGTTTCCAGATATTTATGGCAGGAAAAGCAAGGCGAGGATAAGGAATCTATGACCACACAAGAATTTTGACTAGCAACCTCAATCACTGAATCAATACGGTGGCACGGATGTATGTGGACGGGGGCTCATGTTTCGAATGTTGAGAATTAAGGCTGGAGCATAAGGTAGCAGTTGCTGTTTACTGGTAGGACTAGATCTCAGGACTGATGCAATTTTGCTCGAGAAAGCAGATGCTCAAAGCGAACTATTTTGGACATTCTGGCTTGCTCGTCGAAGCACACCATCAGCATCACAATGAGACATATTTTCTCCTTTCGTGCAAGTTATAAGTACCTATTGCTGAAGTAGACTCAAGAGCCTACAGTGAACTTTGCTCTTTTCGTAGCCCGCAGCCAAGGTTTAGTGCCTGGGCCATGGATGCAGAAGCCCACCAATGCCAATTCGCTCGCTGATGCCTGGCGCTTTCAGATGCTTGATTCACCCACTCTTTCTCGATTTTCACATGTTCTTTCGACATGCAAGATGCGACACACTGGCTGCCACTGACATATGATCATGCCGTAGTTTTGAAGCTTGTAAATCGAATCCCGGCTCTGACAACGTTGTCGCAGATTCAAAGCGGTCGTGACGAGACCTTAAAGGACTCTGGTCTTGTCCCTCCAAGCAGACAGCAAGAAATCGAGCGCACCCCAACGGATCTGGCTTTGATTCAACCCAGTGATTTTTGAAATACTCGACCTGCTCAACCCAAACACATCGACGCCTACACCACGCCCATAGCCTTCTCTGATACATACTATTACTGTCACCAATCTCTCTAATATTGTACGAACCTTGTGTGACTGATAGTTTCGCAACATCCACATCCTAAGTCGTTGGTTATCTCAGCATCGTTGCGGATTCAAGTGAGGAGGGGCCCACGAGGCCGTGCTCTCGGACTCGAAAGTGTCGGTGCTGATCAGGAAAAGAGGCAAATGTTGGCTACTAATATGGGCTCGCATGGACATTTGCCTTTTGGCTGTACGAACGGTAGCGCGATTTCTTATTCCCAGCACAGGCTAATCGGCGCAGATGACCCCAACGGCGTCCAGGGCATAGGCTTGCCTTCTGGGTTCATACCACCCGGACAACCGCTGCTGAGCGAACAAGAGAACGATCAGATGCAGGAGTTCTTCTCTGCTTTCGACGGCGACGGTCAAGCGCGTGCTCGCCAGCCTATGCCTGGACATTTTCAAGAGAACATGGCTCATTTGCAGCAGCTACAAATGCCTCAGCAGTATGTCGGGCACGAATCATACGTGAGGTCGCCACAGGCTATGGACTGGCATGCCCAGGCTATGAGAAACTTCACGTTCAACCAACAGATGCTTCCTATGTCCACTATGCATACACCCACTTCGCCCTACACGAATGGTCAGCATATTTATCCGCACACACATCAAACCATGCCAGGTTTCACGGCTGATTGGCAACAGCAATTTCCACACCATGCACCCCAGGCAACAAGAGCGGGTATGCATTTCGGTTCTGACCCAAGCTTTATCAGTCAAGGACCTTTTGTCGCTCCTGACGGTGCTACAGAGCCCGAGATGTCCTTCATTGATTCGGCGGTGTATCGAGTCAACTCGGCTTCCAATACAAATCCAAACTCGCGAGCAGCAAGTAATCCTGGCAGCAACGCCAACACAGAGCCTTCAAGTCCCGTTGCGACAAAGAAACGGAAGCTGAACAACGTCTTCAACTCTGATGCGCTAAGAATGACCTCAATGAGTGTTCCTGCTTCGACTGGGTATGCGACGAAAGCCTCACCACCAGCTTCGCATTCTCGTCGCAAATCACGACAATCATTTGTAAAGCACGAACAACCACCAACTCCTCTCTCCAAGACACCCACTGTGCATGAAGATGAAGTACAGGAGGAAGACGCAGAATACGACGAGGACGAAGACGAGCAGGAGCAGAAACAATCGGCGTCACCACCAGCACCTTGGCCATCGTCCAAAGCACGACCATTACACAAGCCTGCACTTCCATCCAAACCAACGAAATCACGAAAGAAGTCGGCTTCAGCTGCCAGCCCTGCCAAGCCATCCAAGCCTAGGAGGCAATCCTCGTCCGTGACTGCCGCATCACGTACTCCTCTTACAGCCGAGCAGAAAAAAGCAAATCATACCAACTCTGAACAAAGACGGCGGGATGCTACAGCCAAGGCATACGCTGAATTGTATGATCTTGTACCAGAGCTGGATGAAATGGGCAAACAGAGCACAATGAAGAAGCTCGAAGTTGTGGTTGAAAAGGTTCGTACTGTCAAGCAACAGCTCGAGTTTCTGCGGGAGATGACTGGTCGTGATCCAATTACAGGACGACTCAATGCAGGTCAGATTGCTGCGAATCCTTATGCAGGCGGTACCACGCATCTGAGTGGCTGGTCATAGGAGACCATGAATTCTCTACCGTGCTGCTGTCTAGACGAGTGAAGACTCTGATATGCCACTAGCGACTGGATAAATATGCTGAACATAGTGAAATCATTTGAGCAGGATTGACCAGCGCATAAAGACTAGGGGACTAATCCCCTGGCTATCCGCGCAAAAGACAAAATGTCCCAACCACCTCTCAGTAAACTTCTCGAGGTCACCAAGTCACCCAAAATGCTTACAACTACCATCATACCACATCACGCGTCTCGATAGCGTACCAGCCAAGCGAACAAACCCATTAATTTAGCAATACTCCAGAATCACAATCACAATCACAATCACAGCACAGCACAGCACAGCACAGCATAAAACACATAATCAATTTGATATTATTAAAAGATACCCCAAATTCAGCTCTTTCTCAAGCGAGGATAAGTTCAAGGAGTATGTAAAAATGGGAAATGGGACCCGGCCCGGGGGGAAAATCATCAGTTTGCGGTGTACAGAAAGAATTCTTCAGATACGGACGGCTATATTTAGAAGTCAACGTGTAATACTCGTTAAATCATGACCGTAGGGACACTCATTGTTGTGTTCTAGATAAGCTCCTGAAGAAGACCTGTTTCGCCTTGCTTATTTACTACTCTCTAATTAGTTTATCGTAGCTACAGCCGTGTGCATGCTTCTTTCTCTCCTACCGATATACCGTATATTGAGCATGTTATAACAACACCAGTCCCTCATCATCTATGCCGCACCTTGATACTTTCCCATAACATCGCTCAGCTTCATCCTTGGTTTACTCTCAACTTCATCATGCCGACTAATACCTTTACCCAAATACACAGTGTCGCCCCCACCATACCAAAGCGCACCTTTTCTGAAATCGAGGCCTTGCTCCTCTCCTACTATCCATTCACCGCCTGGTTTGATCGTCTCGACCAAGTCTTCGTTTTGCTGTTTTTGTGTTTGTGCGTCTGTGTCTGTACCTGGTGTTGTGTCGGTTACTGCATCGGTTGTTGTGCGCTTGAGCGGCTGTAGTTGTGGCCAATACTCCTCTTCGAGCCAGTGGTTGATCGTTTCGATTTCACGGATTAGTCTCTGTCTCTTTTCGAGGTCGATACCGGAGTGAGCGTCGAGCGGGTCTTCGTTCTCCGTGGCAAATGGATTGGGAGAGTTGAAGCGGGCGATGGTCAGGTGAGCGCTTGGGACGACGTAACGGCTTCCGACTCTTACGCCTGCGTCTGTGATGAGAGCCCAGAGGTCGTGGCGGAGATGCTGGTAGGTGTAATTGTCGTCTCGAGGGCGGTAGGGCACGGGAAGAGCCTCGTTGGCAGCTGGAACGAATGAGAGTGCTAGTGCTGCGGCGTCAAAGCTGAGCATTGGCTTGATTAACCTTGCTCCTTTTCCAGGTTGGGCAGGAAGATCTGCGATGGCTTCGTGGCGGTCGTCATTTTGTAGCCGTTCAGCTAATGCCTCAACTTCAGGAGGGGTAAGTGAATGCGTGGCTTCCAGGGCTGTCATGTGCAGTTTTAGTAAGGGCATTAGCCAGAGGTCCGGAACAACGTGTTTTAGTTTCTGCTGGACGAGCTGTATCAGTGAGCGTACTTTCTGTGGCGGTCGAGCCCAGAAGACGAGGCAGTTTCTCGGGTCTGTAAAGTTAGGATCACGGAGACCTTCTGGGCCCTCGAGCTTGGTCAAAATTGGATCGAGTTTCCAGCCATCAAAGTCAGAGGATAGTATTTTCTCCTTCTGTTGAGCATTGCGAGCTGTACGGTGGGTGTGGTAACGTGCTTGGATCGTGGCCTGTGAGGCAGTAGGGTCAGTTCTGAGGCGTGGTAATGCTAGGTCAAAAGCAGAGACTAGGCGGTCTTCCATACTGGATCATTGTGACATGCCCCTATCAACACGTCGTAGGGGTTAGAGGATCCAGAAACAGCTGGCGTTGATGCGCCGGAAAAGTCTTCGTAGCCGATATTGGCCATGAGTGCTGTGTAGTCCTTGTCTGTGCCAACCGCGACTTGTATCAGGAATAAATTGCAACTTAGTGTGTAAGAACGATAGGTTTAACAGGACCGGTCGTATGTTGTGGGTTGAACGAATACTGGTCCTGATGGATGAAGTTATGATCAGAGAGATTTCAATTTGGTAAGAGCAATTCGATAAGAGGGATGAATGCTGAACTTGAAAAAAGGTACTTCGTTCTATCTATGTCGCCAAGTAGCGAAGTTCACCTGAAATAACCCTCGCCGTCGGCATTAGCAAGCACGGTCACATCCTCGTGTTACACAAACAGAAAACAAATGCAACGATGTACTTGATGCGCCCAGCGACATAACTTTTTGCAGATTGCTTACCACCCGGCTGGACAATCTCAGGCAGCTGGAGCGACATCTCTTTGAGACAGAGGCAGCTTTGCCGACGGTATTATTCTTGGCGTTTTAGCTGTTTCGGGCAAGGCGTGATCTCCGAGCACAAACTGCGCAGCCAAGACTCATGATCGAAAGGCAAGACATTCACTAAACCTCTGTATTGAACGCATAATCACAGAGAGTGACCAGACACAACCGGCAAAATGGTAAGAAGTCCTTTTCCCTTGCAGGCAACCTCACAGAAGCATCGAAAGAGAAGGTGACGGGACATGGAGGAGAAACAGTGACTGAACAAACATGATCATCACTTGAGGACACCCGAGTCGAGAATGTGACTAAGTGCAAGGAAATGGGCTGGAACAAGAGCTAGCAGAAATGCGACAACTTCCGCTCAGAGGAAACCAAAGAGTTCCGGCTTGAAAAGACGAAGTTTCGGAGGAGAGCACTTTGACAGAAAGAGCAACGACTGACATGGCTCCTCTCTAGGTTAACGTTCCAAAGACACGAAAGACCTACTGCAAGGGCAAGGCCTGCAAGAAACACACACAGCACAAAGTCACACAGTACAAGGCCGGAAAGGTATGAAGTGTTTAACATCTAACACACCACCTCTATCCCCACCATCAACGATATACTCACCCCCACCACCAACAACGAACACCCATACTGACCCATCCATACTAGGCCTCCCTCTTCGCTCAAGGAAAGCGCCGATACGACCGCAAACAGTCCGGTTACGGTGGTCAGACCAAACCAGTCTTCCACAAGAAGGCAAAGACTACCAAGAAGGTCGTGTTAAGACTGGAGTGCGTGAGCTGCAAGACCAAGTCGCAGTTGTCGCTGAAGCGATGCAAGCACTTTGAGTTGGGTGGCGACAAGAAGACTAAGGGTGCTGCGCTTGTTTTCTAGACTGGTCGTATACGCTCAGTGGTGTGGCAGACGAGGCACGACATCGATTTGCGAAGGACGCATTTGCACTGCGTCAGTGACGGCTCTTGAGGGGACGAAACACTGCAGTCTACCTGGAGATGCAAGAAAAGGACATGAAAATGGCTTCACATTTCGAATTGTGTATAGATACGGCAAGAGTCGCATGTGGAGAGATCCTGCTACACCACATGCTCTCTTAGCAGCCATTTCAAACGTGGAAAGAGATATGTCCATTAGTGCATGGCAATCTCTACAAGATGTCCAACATGGGAAACAGGGCGTCGTACTCAGTTTGTACCTGTTGATACATCCATTCCGTCTATTTGCACAAAATCACTTTTCCATGTGTGGACAAATATAGTCTAATCCTCTCTGAGCACTCTCGCTCCTTTTCTAGCGCCACCTGCTTTGCGCTTCTTCTTGTGACCCTTCTCGAATGCTACTGCGCTCTGGTGGTCTCGCCCAACGTTATCCAAGGGCTTCACCTTGTATATCCTGATGATCCAGTTCTCACTGGTAAATGCTTCCTCCAACGTACTAAGCTCAGGTGATTGAGCGGGCACACGACTACCTCTGACTCTGTCTTGAGCCTGCCCTGCTGGGAATAGAGCATTGTAATTGTAATAAGACATCTTGTACCTGAATCGAAATGTTAGCATGGCGCAGGAAGTGCAAGGCAAGCGCGACTTACATCAATGAGTTCTTCATGGTTGGTGTTGCTTCATCGTCAACACGATATTCACCTCTTGCAGTGAAAAAGTCTCGTTCTCGAACCTCTTCTGGCCAAATACCTTCTGCGATCCTGACCATCCACAAGAACTTGTTGATATCGTCACCACTATATCCTAGCAGGCCACCAAAGACGACGAGCACATAGTCGACGTCATGCTGGCGCAGAATAGGATAGCTAACTTCTTCGCGTGAGCTCATAGCCTTGCCCACCGTGGCAATGTGGGTGTTATTCCACGTGTTGTTATCAACGAGTGTAGGTCGATCAGCCATGCCACCAATCTGATAACCATAATCCCACCAGGACATGATCCGAGCGTCTTGCGGTGTGTTTTGACGTAACCAGTAGTAAGCCTCGCGATAATCATCGATGATGTGCTGGGAACCATCAGGCAACCGGGACGCCAGAACAACGGATGGTGAGGAATAAGCATTCGAGGTTACCCAAGTACAATGGGCAACGAACAGCAGGAGGAAGGATGTGGTCATAGCTGTAACAACACCCTTGCTAACGTTGGAGTAGATGCCTATAAGCTTGTCTCTGGTTGATCTTAGAGTTGGTGCGACTTTGCTTACTTTGCTGTCAGCTGATCCATTGGTGGACGAAGTTGCGGAGCTGTCCTCGGAAGGACTCTCAATTTGTGTATAGGTGTTTATCACATGAGACAAAGCTAGAGCTGCTGCAACACAGACAACTGGTGTCAGAGTAAGCATTAACCGAACCATGACGCCGGCGAAATAGCTAGCGAGAACAGCGTAAATTACAACGAAAACGTGTTCGTCTTTGAGTTTAAGAAAGCACATGTAGACACCTGCTGGGAATACCCAGATAAGGAGGTTGAGGTCGAAGTAGAAGTTTGGCCATGCGGTCGGTTGGTGTTCGGAAACGGAGGCGATGATTGGAATATGAATCTTAGCGTATCCAGTATCGTACAGCGAGTAGAAACGACCACTCCATGGCGCAATAATACCAAACCTTTCCAGGGCAATCAGACCTGAAACTCCCACGACGAGAACAGTGCCGCCCAGAGCTAGAACGAGAGTTTGAAACTGCTTGGCTGGGAGCTGACTTCGCAAATAGCCAACGAAACCGACCAGGTTGAGAAGACCAAATACGCCTAGCGCGGCCATATGGTCACTGCTCCTGATAGGCAAGAAACCCACGAAGGGAACCTGCATGCTGGCGAGAGTTCCCAAGGCGTACCAGGTTGTATAGCTGATATACAGCCTCGAGCTGTATCTGCCCATCAGAATCAGGACAAAGACATGTAGCGGTATCAAGTTTGTGATGAACACATAACCACCCCAAGCTGAAACCATGTAGCCGTAGAACAGTGCGGCCAGAGCACCCCACATGACTGAACCAATCTTTACAGCCTTGATCCAGAGATAGAAAGTGAAGACGAGAAGGAAGATGGCAATAGCCTCGTTGTCGTAGCTGCCAGCCACTGAACGAGAGATATAGCCTGGAGTGATGCCCATAAAAGCTGCTGCTAACAGACCTGCTGAAGGTGATGCGGACATCTCAGAGGTGAGAAGGTACATGGCTAGTGCAGTCAGGCCTGAGAAACCAGGTGCGAGGAGGACACAGATGTTTCGAATATCGACGGGTATCGAGAGGAATCGCAGGATATGATATATGACGCCGGAGGTAACCATCAGACCTGGGTAGAGAGTACCACCCGTAACTCTTCCAAGAGGATGCCATGTTCCTACAATTCAACCACCATTAGCCACTGCTTCCTTGTATGCTCTTCCTGTGTACGTACGATCGTCGAACCAATCCCAGAAACTGTAGAACCCATGCTTGACAAGATACTTTGTTGCTCGAAAATTGAACCAAGGATCGACTGGACAGGGTCAGCTGTAATTCCTCACTAAGGCGAAACCTGGTCGACGAAGTGTCGTGGAAGTGGTGGTGGACGCTCGAAAACATACACTCGTGGATGATACTTTCAAATCCTGTTCCCGATTAGTCTGTCAATCTTCGATCTCGGTAGGAAGTCTCGTACGTATAACACTGAAAAGACGAGCAGAAACAGCAGCGGCCGCTATAGTACACAATATGATTATGCGCAGGAGACCTCTGGTGCTTTTGCTCGTCGAACCCTCCATATAAGGATTGCCAGAGGTATGTGTGGCCGTCATGGCAGCTACATACAACGACAGGTTTTACCAAGGAAATAAGCAGGAGATAGTAGCAAAGATACTGCTGTCACTTCACGACTTCGACGAAGTTGATGCCGCATATAGTCTCTCCGCAACATTTGGCTCTCTCACGAAGTGAACACGCTGGTGCCAACTACATACTGCCGTATTCAGCCGCGCCATAGGATGTACGTGGGCAACTTTGACTTCAATGTACCGCTCGTGCCTCGCCGCAAGCACATGCTCACCGTGCTTGCAACAACTTGAAGGTGAGCAGTTGAGTCTACTTATATGAAACACTCTACGATGCGTGGAAGTTCGGTAAGTCAAACAACGGGCAGCTCACAGTATCAAGATGTCTGCGGACTATAAATACCTGGAGACCACTTCCTCAAAGGCCGGCCCAGCTGGTTTTGGCAACAAAGTCAATCTCTTGCGTGGCTGACTTTGAGGCTTTGCTTATCCGTTTCTTGATTTGCAGGCCTGTGCTTGCCTTGATGAGACCGATCATCCTCAGCTCAGTCAATGTCCGATAGAACTGTGCCATTGTTGCTCTCGATACAGTATCTTCGCCTTCGAGGACAGGTGTATTATTTGAGTCCTTGACAGGTTCGAAACGGGATCTGAAGGCGTCGAAAAGATCCCGTACATTGATGATTGTAGGCGCCTCCTGCAGCAGATTGAACAGGATACATGCCGGGGGCATATGTCCACCATGTGTAACCTTACGACTGTTTTGTTCTTCGTCCTCAGCTGCTTCAGCTTGGTCTCGAGCTCCACGCGCAGAGCAGCACTCGCAGCCGAGGTAGTCCCCTGGTTTGAGCAATGCTCGCTCGAGCGCCGTACGTGGCTGGGGCTCTAAAGTCTGCCTGATGCGGATTGCACGAGTCGACAAGATGAAGGCTTCATGTAGAAGCACGGAGGAGACGTCGAATGAAGCCTGCTGTAATGTCGAAGTAAGTATGACCCATACCCTTTCCAAAATCGAATCTGTTTGCGTCGAACCATTGGTGACCAATTTCGATGTCTTCGTGGTCTTCGCGGGTTTGTTGTGCGCCCTTTGATGTGCTGGAAGACTATCTTGAGTTTCGCCACCATTGACAGCAGCTGCACCGTCTCTGTATGGCAATGTTGGTCTTTCGCATTCTTCAATCGCTTGATTGAGGTCTGGAGTGACTGTGGTTGCGATCTGCTTCATTCTTAGAATCTTTAAGGCTCTTAGCAGCTTTTCGAGTGTTGTGGATTTAATGCAGCTTTCCAGCTCGTCGTAGACAGCACAGTCACTGAGATCATGCATAGTGTGATACAGCTGAGCTTCGACTTCGAGCTTCGGCCTTCGCAGACTGGAATGCTGTGGACTGAGAGCATCGTATAAATCTGCAAGAAAAGAAATTAGAGAGACTGCGGAACTATATTTAATTGACATCGCAGAGACCTCTTTCATGACTTCCTGAATGAGGTACTTGTCGTCCTCCAACAACGCCCGTACTCTAGCGTTCGCCGATTCATCTGTCTTTGCTAACAAGTCATCACAATGAGATTGGAAGGAATCGGTTCTCCGAGCTGCTCTCGCTATATATCGAGTCTCTTCTTCTGCAAGCAATACCTCTCCTCCGTGACAGAAGATAGAGATGGGGTTGACCAGAAAGTGCGACAAGTAGATAACTTTGAGAACTCTACTGAGCGATTGTGCTGAGAAACCCTGACTTTGTTCCAAATCATTCAGAGTGGATATTATGTTCGGACCTAGAAGTGGATGTTGTGTATCGGAATGAGGTTGTTGCAGTAATCGCAAGATGTCGCTATGAAGACTGGCATGCGGCGCGAAATTGAAAGATCTTGCTCGTATCAACTTGAGGCAAGTCTTGGACAGCCGACTCTCAAAGAGTTCTTTCGTGCTTGTGATGCCTAGGGCCAGAACGAACGGTATTCTTCCTAGCCAGAAACGAAGTGTAGACACCAGCTCGTTTAGTACTTGAGCGTCGAATGTCTCGACGTTTGCTAGAGAAACAACGACCTGAGAGAGCTCATTGTTGGTACAGAATTGCTGAAGGAGCTCCAAGTCAAAATTCAAAGGAAGCAGGCGTTTGTGCTTGGTTAAGAAATCGGTATACGCATCATTGCCACTGTACTCGCTGATCGAGAGTTTGATAACGTTCTTCAGCGCGGTTTGCAGATTCGGGCATTGGCTTGACTGAAGGTTGACGACAAGTTTTTGTGTACGAAACTCCGCATCGTGGTGACCATACACCTCGGTGGTGAGTGCGCTCAAGACTGCATTATAGTGTGTCGCATCGAGTCCCGTGAGCAGAAGCGCAGTCGGTAAACGTTCTGTGTTACTCTGAAGCGAGACACTGGCAAGGAAAGCGGAAAGCTGTTTCAGACTCTTACGGTCCACGTTGTTGTCCCTAAAATGGACTGCTTGTCGAGTCCAAATTTCCTCGAACAGTCGCTGACGTGTTGCAGCAAGTCTTTCGGAGTCATTCTCTGTAGACAGCTTGAGACAATTGGCTGGTGTTGTTGACGCATTCAGCCTTCGTTTCTTGCTTGGACGCTCGTTTGAACCGGCATGGTGTTTGTAGCCGAACCGATAGATATAACATGCCTGGCAAGCATAAGTAGCAAGAACTAATAGCAAGTACACAACTTTACCTGATACGAAGAATCTTCAAAGGCCTCTTCCTCAATATTGCCATCAAGCTCGGCCTCGTCCATGAGTAGTGATATGAAAGAAAGGAGACGCGTCGTGGGACGCGTTAATTAGAGTACACATCCGATATTTGCCCGAAGGTCTCGATCTTTGGCAGGCTCGATGGCGAGGTGGAAGAGAGTCCCCTTAATTACAATTCACCAAAAAATATTGCTGCCGGCACTGAAATTGACCTATGCAAGGAATATGTCGTCTGTCCAGAAGATGGCACCAACAATTCTGCCACTCACCCGCATTCGGGCCACATCAGAAATGCCTGCAATCATTTATACCAAGTCGTCAAATTCGACAAGCTCGTAGATTGCCGCCGCAGCGTAGCAACCGATCACGACTCGTTGCACCTTCGGCGGGAGGTTATCTGGAGTCTGACGACACAAGTCTACTCTCTCCGACTCAATTGTTCACCAAAGATCGCGATGATCTCGTCGTTCGAGAATTTGAGCAGCTTGGATCGGATAAATCCACACAGAAACGCATCGATGCAACTGACGGGGTCGGAGACGAAGCTGAAGAGATATGGAACGAATTACAGGATGTGGAGAGACAACTTGAGATCGCGCAACAAGGGCCATTCGGTCCACAAAGTCCCTTCATGATGCAATTGGATCCAGAGGACAGGGAACGCTTCAAGAAGGTGCTCGAGGAAGAAGGCTACAAACCAGACGACGAGGAAGATGCATTAGACTTAGCAGAGATCGATCGGATGTTGGAGGAAGATGATGCAGAAGCGAACGAGTCGGAAGGACTGGCAGTTACCCTCCATATCCCCCGAGCCCATCAGAGTCTGGTAAATCACTTCAACACAGCCTTGAAAGAAGCAAACGAGAATGGAGATGACGTTCATAAGAGTCTAAGTCTGTGGAAGTGGTATCTTCGCTGCCAACAGAAAGTTCCTGGCTTCTCTCGTATCATATCTGAAAGTGTCTGGGACTTTCTGTGGAAATCTCAAAGAGCGATAGAAGCACGACCTCAACACCTCGTGTTACTTGGTCGAGACATGCTTGCAGCTGGAGAGTCACTGCCACTCGAGCGTAAGCTCCAATATCTGGAAGCACTGCAAGCGTGTGAACAAACTGCAGAGGCTATTACTACTTGGGAGGCCATGCATGAAGAGCTGAACTCAAACTGTTCGATAGACTTTCTGACCAGATTCTACACCACGGGTATACGCTTACACGCTGTTGTTCACCGACCACAGAGAGCCTGGAATGTTGCTACGAAAGCGCTGCGTAAAGGTGTGAAACCTGGGATTCTGACGGAGGTTGTATCCGCTTGGGCTCAAAGCAAGACATCTGATTCCGCGACAAAAGCATGGGTGGTATATCTCAAGATGCGGTATTTGCTCGAGGACAAGATGGACGCGCAGCTATATGACGAAGTTAGCAATTCCCTGCTTGACACGAAACATAGTTCAATGGCTGCGAGTGTCTTCAAGGATATGATCATGCACCATCGTGGTCTTGGGAAGAACACCTTGCGCCACTACCAGCGTGCAGTTGGTCAGATACCTAAGGACAGTGATCCTGCCGATTTTGAAAAAGCGGTCAACCAGGTTTCGCTGAACGTGCTCCTGTTCCTGCCAAAGGAATTTCAGAATAAGTTCTTCTTTGCTTCTTGGATCAAAAGATTACTTGGGCAAGAACGAATAGAGGCTGCGGCAGAAGTAGTAGATCTCATGTACGAACGGAAAATCAAGCCAGATGCTCTTCACCTTAATGGTATTATCGGAGCATGGCTTCGAGATGGCAGCCCTCGGTCAGTTGAAAGAGCAGAAAGACTGGCACGAGAAATGATTCAGGTAAGAATCAACCAAGCCACTACGCACACGGAAAACATGACCTTGTCACAATCCGGGTCACTGATTCGCAAGACCACGGCTCAACACGGACAAGATACATGGAAGAGACCCAACAATCTGTCACGTCCCGTCCCGGCGGCCAATCTAGAGACATTTTCACTTCTGTTCAACTTCTACGAGGAAGGACGACAATGGCAGAACTTCCAACAATTGAGGGAGACCATGACAGGGCCTGCTCAGCTCAAGCCCAATACTTTCATTGTCAACAGGTGGCTTGCAGCTGAGCTTCATACTCGTGCGTACGACAGGTTCTGGAAGCTCTACAAGTCACTCCAAGGGGTATTGTCACCGAACGTGGAGACTTTTCAGTTAGCATGGCAAACGAGTGCTACACAAATGCAGGCGTTCAAGCCCAAGCCACAACGTCTAAGCTCTTCATGGGGTGACGAGTCTAGCCACAAGGCGATTTTTGCTAGCATGATGGACTGGGCGCAACGCCTCAATGCTCGAAAAACGCAGGCAGCGAAATTTGACTTCGTTGGCAGCCAGTTCTACTTTGAGATTGTCCGGTCATTCTGTCACCAGCTAGACCTTGCAGCAGTCGTATGCGCACTGCAAGGCTTGTATCGAACCTTTGGTGCGACACCAGACGACGCTTCGGTACAGCTCATCACCGGACAAGTTGCTCGTATCTTGCCAAGGACCGCTGCAAGTTCTACAGGACTCGGCCGCAGAAGACGGCTGGCTGGCCACAGTACTCCAGAGCAGAATACTCTAAAAAGCATAGCCGAGATCATCGAGACATTGGAGGCCGACAAGAAGCAAGAGACTGCTAAGCAAGCCGGGATAGATCTGTCGGATCTTGAGAACCCCGAGTCCGCGACATACAAAAAGATACGGTTGGATGTGATGACTGACTTTCTTGTGATGAGCATGCACAAGACAAGGGCCGAAGGGGATGTGAACACGGTCAAGCAGAGATTAGCTCAAGTGGGCGAGTCGATGCACGTAGACGTGGACCACGTGAACGACATTCATTCGCCAAACTTGAGCCATTCACCGAAAGAGTAATGGTCAGGCGATATGGCGGCGGTGTTGGCGTTTTGCCGCTTTCCACAGAAGATGTAGAAAGTTACGAGTTTGCAGATGAAAGAATCATATGCAAGCGCTAATTCATTTCTCAATTGAATGACACATAATCATATCAAACTTCCACTCCGAAGCCAGAGTCATTCTTTAGTCCATATCGAATAACTTCATTTCTTCCCTTTCTTCTTCTTGGCCTTCCCAGTTCCACCACTTGTGCCTGCGGTAACTCCTCCGTCTGGAGGTGGTGTAGGATATGGCAAGTCTGAAGAATTGTCTTTCTCTACCATGACTGCGTCCTCATCACTTCCCTCAGTAACGGCAGCAGTCTTGGGCTGAGTCTTCTCTGATGTCGTAGTGGTAGTGGCCTTGTCGCTTTGTGATGCAGCACCTTCCAGCTCCAACCGACTCTGTTCCTTGACTTTCTCCCAAGCCTCCTTCTCCTCTGCAAGTGTACTTCGCTTCTCCTCGATCTTCTGCTTCGTCATCCGATTCACGACAATCTCATTAGCAGACTGGAAGATCGTCTGTCCCCAACCCTGAGCAAGCGCATTCGCTTCAGCCTGCACATCTTTGAGTTCCGCCTCTAATTCCTGCTCTGCTCTTAGCAGGCGCTGCCATATGTCGTCTCCCACGACGCCTCTCTGAAGTAACGTGTTCAGTGGCCCTTTGCGGGTCTGAATTTCGCGTATTCTCAAGATATCTTCGCATGCGCGTTCTTGTAGAGCGGCCATCAGTACGGAGTTTGGCACGGTCTTGAGATCAGCTTGTGTGTCGGTTTGGTGTAGTAGGGTAAGATACACATTGCGGGCGGTGTGTATTGGAAAATATGGCTGTAGATTTAGTTTTGAGCTCTGTTGACGCCGACGGTAGAGAGTACTGAATGTTGCGAGACTGCCGACTAGGATTGTGAGGTAGATGATAGGTATGAGAAGGGAGTAGAACGTTTGAAGCGTAGGACGCTGCATGTTGAGGTAGGGTCGCAAATGTGGTGATTGTGATCATGCGTTTTGTACTAGGTTTGCGTGCGCTCGAAACCTGCTGGGCATACAGTGGTATGTGGTAATCCTGCAAGGAGGAAGTTGCACTACTGGTGTTCAACGTGAAACTTGTCCTCTGCCCTTTCCCTCTCTTTCCCTTATCGATAAGCTTTCGCCAAGATTTCGGATTTGGCGCCAAAAGTTTTTGAAAGAGCCGAAGATCTGCAGGTGCGACCAGTACCAGTAGTGTTTGCCTCGAAAGCACCTTCTTTCTGCTCACCCTGGCTTGAGCACACTATGGCGCCGTCGCAGCTGAAGCAGCTAAAGGCATCATTACGCGAGGGTGGTATTCTAGGTCCTCAGAAATCAAAGAAGCAGCTTAAGAGCAACAATAAAGATGCTGCCGTCCGCCTTCGACGAAATGCTGCTCTCGAGGGAATTAGAGAGCGCTTCAATCCGTTCGAAGTCAAAGCCCCTTCCCGAACACCAAAGTTCGATATTTCGAGCAACAAGCCAGTGAAGCGAACTATTGAGCGGCCAGGTGTTACACGTGGACTAGGAGAGGAAAGAAGACGAGAAACTCTGCTGAAGGAGATGCAGAGTCGGAATAAAGTGGGTGGCATGCGCGACCGACGTTTTGGAGAGGACGATCCTACAATGACTCCAGAGCAGAAGGCTGCTGAAAGATTTGCTAGGCAGGCTTTAAGAGGTAGCAGAAAGAATGACATGTTCAACCTGGAAGAGGACGAGGACACAGAGTTGTCTTTGACCCATGGTGGCCGTGCATTGGATTTTGGTGATGATGCACCAATGTTAAAGGATGACTACGACGAGGATGAAGATGAGTCAGATGTTGAGGACTTCAATGCCGTGGACGATCGACCAAGAAAGAGACTGCGACTAGATGGGGATGAGGACATGGCCGAAGATGGAAATGACAACGATGTGCCGCAAAGGAAAAAGTCCAAGAACGAGGTCATGCAGGAGGTTATAGCCAAATCAAAGGCTTATAAGGCTGCTAGACAAGCTCAAAAGGAGGACGACGATGATTTGCGTGCTGAGCTTGATCAAGGGCTCGGTGATCTGTTTGCCGCTTTACAGGGGAAGAACTCGAATACGAAGCATCAACTACCAAGTCCTCCTACAACTGATTCCGAGCCATCAATTGATCCTGGTCGTGCAGCCATGCTAGCCGGAAAATCGAGAGAGGAGGCAGAGAAAGAGTACGAAAAGAACATCAGACAGATGAAGCTTGACGCAAGGTCGAAACCAAGTACTAGAACGAAGACTGAAGAGGAGAAGGCTGCTGAAGAGAAGGCTCGTCTAGAGGAGCTCGAGAGAAATCGTTTACGGAGAATGAGAGGTGAAGCTGAATCGACCGACGATGAAGACGACGACGATGATGAAGCTGGTGCTGACCTCACGAACGACGACCAAGACGATGCTGAGATGTTCGGCCTAGCACAGCCTCAACCGAGATATATACCACAGCTCGAGGTTGAGGACGAGGATCAGTTTGTCATGGACGACATCATCGCAAGTGATTCAGAGGCTGATCTAGCGAGTGATTTCGAAGGCAGTGAGTCTTCTGCTTTACAGGAACCAGTCGACGATGGAGACGATGATTTCATCAACGGTCTTGTTCTGCCTCCAAAGCCGACCATACAATCCAATGTACCAGCTGCAAGAACTGGTAATGATACCAAAGAATTGCCCTTCACATTCAGTTGTCCGCAAGATGTCGAGCAAATAAGATCAGAGACAAAAGGCATCTCAGCCGAGAGCTTGCCCACAGCGGTTCAGCGCATACGAGCTTTATATCACAAAGGTTTAGCAAAGGAGAACACAGAAAAGCTGGGCAAGTTTGCTCAAGCATTAGTTTCGTGGGTTGTCGATCTGGTTGATGGAAAGTGCGAACAAAGTCCTTCAATGCAAGTCATCGAACAGCTTATCCGACACGTACACTCCATGGCCAAAGCCCAGCCACTCGAGGTGGCAGCTGGCTTTCGTCAGCACTTCCGACGCTTACTAGAGGACAATCGAACCTTCACACCTGGTGATCTAGTCCTGCTGACTGCCGTTGCTACTATCTTCCCAACTTCTGACCAGTGGCACTCCGTGGTCACACCGGCTGCCCTCCTCGTGGGCAGATTCCTCGCTCAATCACCTTTGGAGACTTTGACAGACTTGGCGACTGGGACATATGTATGCTCGATCGCACTCCGTTATCAGGCAAAATCAGAGCGGTATGTCCCCGAAGCCGTTGTCTTCATGTGCAAAGCCATTTCCTTGCTTGCACCTGTTGAGGGATCTGCTGCCGTACCAAAGGAGACGCCTACTATACAGCATAGTACTGCTTGCCGCATCGCACGTCGAGAGCCAACACCACCAGCTGAAAAGTTGGATTTCAACGATCTTCGTGCTCTATCCTCTGGTAAAAAGCCTCCTAGATCCACGATCACTCCAGAGTCCCTTCTTCTCATACTACTCAAGCTCAGCATACCAGTGGTCGACTACTACACCTCCAAATCCGCATTTCCGGAACTCATCTCACCACTCAACCATCTTGTTGCTGTCAGACTCAGCCATCCTAAGAACCTCGCTCTTCTCCACAAGTCAACCCAGAGCGCCGTCGCATCGCTGTCCGCCTCATTCAACACAGCCATCGAGCTCGCCATATCTACTCGCAAGCCTCTGTACTTGCATGCTCACCGTCCCCTGGCGATCAAGTCCGCGTATCCTCTATTCAGTGACAACTACAATCCGGAACGTAGACAACGTGATCCTGACGAAGAGCGTGCCGAACTCAACAAGCTTAAGAATGAGCATAAGAAGGAACGCAAGGGCGCCATGCGTGAGCTGCGAAAGGACGCGAACTTCATGGCCAGGGAGCAGCTTAGAGAGAAGAAGGCGAAGGATGAAGCCTATGACAAGAAATTTAAGAGATTGGTTGCTGAGATTCAGGGTGAAGAAGGCCGAGAGGCCAAGGAATATGAACGTGAGAAGGCCAAGAGGAAAGGTAGATTTTGAGCTGGTGCTGGGCAGATTGTGTAGTATTCCTGGAAGCTGTGGCCGTAAGACCCTTGAATCCACACCTTGTTCTTTTCGCTGCTATCCATTTTTGGTCCTGTTGTTTCGTGCCTGCTATGATGTCTGCTACACGAGGCAATGCTCACTCAATCGGAGCAGTACGAGTGCGTAGCACTCTCTCCACACCCGCTCCTGGTTCCCCTGTTTTCCGGGAGTCTTCAGAAGAACCTACCAGGTTGTGCGTCGTAACTTCCCCAGATGAGAGCTCTCCAAATCCAAATGAAGCTGTCCGTACGGGCCCTCCCACACATCTTCAAGCCAAGGTAATAGTGTACCATTATGACCAACAAACGAAACAGTATAGTTTCCAGCTCCCGAGCATCCTGAATTGTGTGTGCACAACACCATCGTCGTTCACCGTATAACCTATTTTCTCCGAACCGCCACCAATAACCAAGCTTTCTCCATACCGTGCCAAGGACAATAGTTTCCGACCCTTGCTTTGTGCTCTATATGTATCCTTTTTCTTCTTACTTCACCTCCTCTCTTGGTTCTTGATCTCGGAGGCCGATTTCAATGTTATACGAAGCATACGTATCATCGTGACCTCGATTTCTTGACGGATAAAGTGTTCCGCGGGGTGTGTTGAGTGGGATCAGGATTTCGGAGCGGCTGAGGAGTGAATTGGATACCGTGGCAGATTTGACTTGAGTTCTGCTGCAAGTAAGTAGGCTGGTTCGCTAAAGCAACCAAACTTTGTTCCGGATGCTTGGTCTGACAGGCTCGGAATGCTTCGCTTGCTTGTAGTTTCTGTGCGCAACGTTAGCGTGGTGAATTGCTTCCGATCAGACGTGGAATCAATGCTGCACTCGACTGCTCTGCGACAAGTCATTGACACACGCAGAATCCCATGGTCTTCTTTTGGTAGGTAATTAACGAATTTATATTCGTTCTCGTTGTTATAGCAATTTCTATTGTATTCGCCGAAACCTTGTCCTGTACATAGGTACGTACCTTCCCAACCGAACGACCCAAAATTCCAGTATGCTTATCAATGTCTCCCCACCTCTGCTTCCTCTTCAGCCGCACGTCTCCTGTCCCTTATGGCTTTTTGACGCATTACCCAACAGGCCGCAGGGAAAAGTAGTGTGCTCACAAATACCCAAGCAAAGAGTACGCCGAAATTCAAGTCCAGTTCGTCCTTTGTACCAAATACTAACGCCTTACTTCCTCGTACGATGTGTCGTAGTGGCCACGCGTAACCCCACCTGTAGAAGTCGCTGGCGAGTTCCAGAGCGTAGAAGCCTGTTGATACATTCGTGATGACCCAGAATATCAAGAACAACGCCGAATAGGGTAATGGTGAGAGATAACTTAGAAGCATAGCCATGTTTTCACAAGCCAGGCCCAAAGCCGCCATGCCGACAAAATTGAGCATCCAATAGACGATCCAGGTTGCACGACCAAAAGGATTTGCGTTGAGGATAGGTTCTGTATTGCTCCATCCATGGTTGACATCCAATGCAGATCCTACTGGTGGTGTATTCGAGAACGGTATCAGGAAAGCCAGCGAGACCAAGCTATATGCAAGTGAGAGAAAGAAGTAGGCCACCATTGTTGCACACCAACGATAGATGATGAGTTGGACAAATTTTAGTGGTGGATGAGGTGCGGCTGGGTTTGGAAGGACAAATTTCATGTGAGTCGGGATGAAGAATGTGAAGCTGAAGAAAGCGATGATGATGAGGTATATCAGCCCAATAGTTATTGTCGGTATAGCAGCTGGTGGATCGAAAGGACGAAGGTTGAGCATGGTGAAGCTGATTCCGGGACTGACTGCTTGTGGTGCTCTCGAGTATGTCGCTACGTCCAAGGAACTGTTGGCAAATACAGTTCGAGCCCAATATGAGCCGAAGTTGGTGGTGATTGCAAGAGCCAAACTATCTAGCACCGGTACGATGTGAAAGTTGTAGGACTCAACGTCACGGGCTTGAATGTACACGATCGATGCAGCCCCACGAGGGTCGTAGGATGTATTTCCTGTTGCAACTGCCTCCTGCAGCAAGGCGGTGGCGTTGGAGTTGATGATGATAGCAGCCCAAATGTCTTCGTTGTGAACAGCGAGGCGTACATTTGTCGGATCGTTGTTGTACTCGGCAGGATCGCGGAACTCGAAGCCCAGGTGATCAGGACGAGAGGCCATTTCTGCTTCGCAGGCTTGGCGTATAAAAGGCCCGACGATAGGAGTATAGTCTTGGTAAGGCGCTACACCTTCAAAGCTAACCACAGCGACGGTGACATTTGGCATGTTTTTCTTGACATTGAAGATAACACCCCAGTAGATCGATAATATGCCTATTACAGCGACACACAATATCAAAAGCGTTCTGGAATATTTCAAAAACACCTTCTTACGTGTATGTGACAAGTCATGGTGCCAGAAACCGACCGGCGCTGGTGGTGTAGGCTTTGCTTTCTCTTCATCTGTACTTTGTACTTTCGCGGTATGATGATACAAGAGAGGGGAGTGTGGCCGTTGGCTCTCTTCCGTAAAGCGTCGTGCTACTTGGCGGCCATCTACTGTGTTGAGAACTTGAAAAAGATCTTTGACAGCTTGGTCGTTAAATCCCTGGCTATAGGAAACTGCTTTTGGTCGTTCAACATAGTCATCGTAACCTGGAGGTGTGGGTGTCGTTATTGAAACAGTGCCGTCTTCGTCTTCGACAGCAGTAGAGCTTGTACTCGTACTTTGAGTCGTACTGTGAGTCGTACTCTGATTGTATGTGCTGTGCCGACGGAACATGCTGTGGTTGCAGAATAATGTAAGCGATCAGCAGCAGCTTTATGAAGTCACAAGCCAATTCGATAGCAGTTTCATTCTCAAAAACTGCAGTGAGGTTGTGTTGTGACGGACAATACTGGAGAACATTCCTTGCTCCGGAGAGCGGTATTCGAACACCGACACCGACAGGGTGTAAGTGGCTGTCTGGTATATCATCAGCACCAGAGTAGTCCTCTTTGCCGCTGACCAGGTTCCATGATACAGCTGCAGTAGAAATGGATGATCCTAACCGTGCTGGGTGATGAACTAGTTCATTTCCGCTCTTGGCGCGCAATGTCATTCGTTCAAACCTTCTATAGAGGATCGTGACGCAGGAAGGCTACAAGTTCCAACTCAAACCAGCCAGGCACATCATGCCTTTATTGCATGGTTCGGACCAGGTCTCAGGCAGTCTCCTTCACGTAGGACTCCCAACCAGTATGTGGCGCGCTCCATCTGTGTGAATCATGACCACATTGCCTGGACGCCTGGCAAGGCATAAGATCGGTCTGACAAAGGGGTCGTTGATGGACGTGCAAGCGTGTACGATCAACAAGGACGTGCCCCTACGAGCGAGCAAGATCGCCAGCACAACAATCCCTATGCCGAGTTCAGCAGTAGGTCTCAGCGTTGACCTCGCACAGCACCTGTGACTCGTGTCAGACACTGGAGTGGACAAACCTTTGAGTACGATCTAGACACCGGGATATGGTTGTTACTGGCCAACTCCAGGGTATCGTCGGACTATGTGATCATCACGCATAATGAAGTCGACGGAAAGTTTAACATAAGGTTTAGCGGATATGTATCGATCATGCTGGTTCAACTGGGTCGGCGTACCGGTGAAGCTTCACCGTCCAATGCATTGTTGCTTCGATAATCAAGGTACAGGATGTTGATAACACGCGCGCATCCAGATGGAAAGACCGGAGTGTTTGTTATCGCAACCCTGATGGTGAGACTGAATTGTATGCAGAAAACTTGTAGTTGCGAAAGCGGCCACATTGCTCGAGTAACACTAGTCCAGGTTGAAGTGATGATCCTTCCAGGATGGCGGGGGATTCTCGATTACCTCCGCTTTCAGCTGAACGATCGTCCAATGTCAGAGTCGAAGAATATTACGTTGACAATTAACCTTTTCACTGACACGCATCTCCTCAAGCAGGGTTCGCACTTGACTGGATGAAAAACACACTTCCTATCGTCCTTGTCCTTTCTTCAACTTATTTCTGGCCAAAACGTCGTTGTTAGGCGATCAGTCCACTCTTTTGCATCAACCACTCAGAGAATCGGACACAGCAGGGTCCGAGATAGGCTTGTGCTGATCGGCTTTACGAATCAAAACTTTAACATAGTGTGACCATGTACTGGTTGTTGGTTTGAAGCATATATGTCGCTAAACATTGATTCGCAAGGACCTTCTCCCAGGACGAGGTAATTTCTTTATGATAGCCTTGCTTCTCTGGTAGAGCGAGTGTTTTCTGGGGTAGGACGTCCTGCAGGAACAGAGATCGACAATATGTGGTGGATAAGGCCCCAGAATAGCTTAATAAGTCTTGTAGGCTTGGTGCTTTTGCGTGTCGTTAATCGAGATATAGTCAGCTGGATTCACCTCCCAGATTCAGCAATCCAGGATGTATAGCGTGTATGTTCGGTATCGTATAGGCAACGGCGAGGCAATGCGCGGACATCTGACTCCAAATGAGCCGCAAAAATGTCATGTCGTGCAATTCTGAGAGGCTCAAGATATTTCTAATCGCTAAAAAATGATGTTCAGGAGTTCTGTTCTGTAACCAGTTAGTTTCTGGTTATGCCATGGCTTCGTGGACTAAGCACGTACCCTGGCGAGAGTCGAACTCGCGACTTTCGCATATCTCAATGAGTATACGATACTGATTGAATATAAGAACGACACGCTAACCCTATTGGAAATAGTTAATTTCCATGATTGACTGCAGTGAGAAGCATAAACACTCACACTGCGTCACAGGAACCTTTCAGGCCTATCGAGGGTTGACCACTCGACTGTGAAATTTGACAAATTTTCACATGTTTTTGAGAAGCAAATAATAAGTAGGCATTTTCAAAGTCACGTGAGTAAGTATGTAGACAATGAAGATCGCTCCGATCGTGGGGATGTCCATTAAATTTCCAGGTCTGTGGTGAAGAGCAGTCGTTCGAAGCACGGAATCTGTACTACGTGCAGGCGCAGCGGAAGAGGTCAGAAATTCGAAAGTAGTAACGAAGGGTCTCGCTCGGACGCACCTGCGAAAGTCGAAATCGAGCTCTTGCTTGGCAGAAAACTAAACACGGCAGGTGCACAGCTTGCGCCTGGCTTAATCGTGGTCCTTGCCTACGAGATTGCCCCTATAGAGATGAGGAGGAAGTGGTCACGATGGCATCCACTGCAGGAGAAGACGAAGATGACTACCTCAACATGACATTCGACGAGCACGAGAAAGCCTCGAAGAAGGAAACACTAACCCAGAGGAAGAAGCGATTGGCCCGCGAAGCAGAAGAAAGAGGAAGACCTAAATCAAAGGCACAGATCGCTGAAGAAGAACGCGCAAAACGCGAAGCAGCTTTGAACAATGCGAATGTTGATCAAAGTAGCAAGGCTTTCAAGATGATGGCAGCACTAGGATACAAACCAGGTAGCGCGCTTGGAAAAGTGGCTCCTGGTGGCAACGTTACTTCAGACAAGAGACTACTTGAGCCGATTGCCGTTGATATGAAAGAGGACAGAAGTGGTATTGGCGCAGACTCGGAAAAGAAACGAAAGTTTCGTGAAGAGGTCGAAAGACAAGCAAACTCTGAGAAACGTCAAAAAGTAGACGCAGAAGAGTTCCGTATACGCCAGCAACAAGAACGAGAAGAAAAGCACCAGGAGGGACAATTCTATGGCGCTATGAAAGTTGCCGAACGACTTGAAGATGAAGAGCTGGCCGACGAGAGGTCACTCCAGCCACGGACGAGCCGTCTTCTGGGTAGCTATAATGTCCTCTGGCGTGGCCTTATCAAGCAGCGCATGCTCGGCGAAAGAGACCGGCGTATGCGACACGATATGACCCAGTCTCTATCCAGATTACCGACCTATGACGATCCGGACGAGGAAAGAGAGGATCAGATTGCACTTAGTCGCAAAGACCTTGTTGAGGAGGCTGATATTGAGCTCGACCAGGAAGATAAAGAGCTTGAGGAATTCGAGGCTTTGCCGATTGATGAGAAACTGCAGAAGCTTGTATTATACCTTCGAGAGCACTGGCACTACTGCTTTTGGTGCAAGTACAGGTATCCCGACGATGCCATGGAAGGCTGTCCGGGTGTATCTGAGGAAGAGCATGACTGAACAGGCACAGTCTCGATGCTTCGGAAAGATGCGATGGAAACATATACGCGAAAGAAAAGCTACAATGGTTCACTACCGCCGCGCGGCCAGCCTCAATCGCCTGCCACAGAGTCCTGCACGATGTTCTTCAGGTGAGTCCAGCCTGTGAAAAAGACAACGGTGAAACCCTGCAAGTGTATCAGCTTCAAAGGATTTTGTGGCTGCTTGACCAATACTGAACTGTTGTGACTGATAATGCTAAGCCCAAAGGTAGGTCTGTCTTTCAGCTTTCGTTCGCATTCACAAGTTGAGAGGATCGATGAAATTGAATGCATCTATCATGATCTAGATTGACTACCTATGCTATGCAGCCTCCTTGCGCCGAAAATCATGCATTCGTTCCACAACTCCTGCCCAAATTCGTGGGTATATGTCTCATGCCTCTCGAAACTCCTCGTTCAATGTCTCAGCAAATCGTCTTACTGCCTCAGCAATCTTGTCATGAGGAGCTGCTGCAAACGTCATGCGGAAGTAGATAGTTGTATCAATATCTACCTCCTTTGCATTCTCTCCATTGTGCTCCTCGCCATTTGTCTGTCCATTCGTGACAGTGTTCTCGACAGCAGAAGCATCTTTCTCTGCCAAGAACCAACTACCTCTAGCAACCACCACATTGTTTCTCTTAGCTGCGTGCTCGAAGATCTCACCCTCCAGCTCGATCAGCAAAGCTCGCTTATCAGCCTCGGTTTGCAGACCACTCGATCTCTCTTTCCAGACAGGATGCTTTGACCCATCGACACGTAGCCACTGGAACATACCAGCAATAGGCGCATCGAACTGAACAATATCCTTTGGCAGGTACTCCTCGCAGGCAGAAACAATGCCATCTCTTCGAGCGCTGTACTCATGACGGAGTGTCTGCAACCACTGTAGGAAACCTTTGTGGCCCCATTCTTCCTCCAGCAATTTATACAGTGCGACCATGGAGAAACCACTGGGGTTTTGTGCCGAGTACTCTGAAGCGCGCACGAATCGCTCGAGTAAATCTGCGGGACCTGTCACCCAGCCAGTTCGGGAGCCTGGTGCGATGATCTTGGAGAACGAGTCCAGTCGCAACACGTTGCCGCTTGTGGACAGAGCAAGGTAGGACGGGACAAGAGAGTCGATGAACGCGCTCAACTCTTCTGTTGTGGATTTCTTCGTGCTGCCATTCGTACCATCATTGTGCTGTCGTGCCTTGCTTGAGTACTCCTCCATCTGCAGGAAGTAGTATGGTTCATCCTCAATAACAAAAACATCATACTTGTCACAGACTGCCAGAATATCCTTTCTCCTCTGCTCATCCTGCGTAGCACCAGTCGGATTCTGACCCGTAGGAATAGTATACATAACCTTCGGCCTCTTCGCACCACCATACTTCGTCGTACCGAAGCAAGCGCCTGAATCCCAATTGCCAAGTACATGCTCCAGATCTTTAGCACATAGACCCTTCGAGTCCATCTTAATGCCAACGGGTACCAGACCAATCGGCAACGCAGTCTCAATAGCACTGCTGAACGAATATTCCTCGAAGATCACCGCGTCACCTCTCTCGCACAACATTCGCAGCGCTATATCCAGAGCACTAGTATTGCCCTGTGTCAAGCAAATTTCCCAATTCGAGTAAGGGGGATGATGTACGATCTCGGTGTGTTCCGTCAGATATCGCAGTAGTTGAGGTGGACCCATACTTTGTCCATAGTTTAGTGCGATGTTGAGGTCGATGGACGATTTGCCCTCCGTAACATCGTGCTTTCTACTCTTTATCGTGGTTGTTTGTCGAGAGTTGAATTCAGGCGCTGTAGGGATGTCGAATGACAGTTCTTCGAAGGGGAAATACTCTGAACTTGGTAGACCACCACATAAGCTGATAGTACCCGGTGTCAGGTACTTCATTGCTCCTTTCAATGAGCTGGATTTTCGAGCTTTAGCTTCTCGTGATAAGTGCGAGTTGTAGAAACTTTTGCTGGCTTTAGGTTTGGACTTGGCGCCGGGGGATTTGAACATGTCTGCTGAGGAGAATAGAGCTACTCCTGTCACGAGTGGAGTGGAGGACTCTCTGTGAGGCAAGACATCGTCGTGGCGAAATCGAGTCACTGTCGGTTGTAGTTGGGTGATTGGATCGGGTACCGCAGTGGCGGTTGTATCGGTCGTAGCCTCTATCTGTGCTTTTGTCTTGCTGGGCGATGTTCTGAAGACTGGAGCTTCTTCTGCATGAGGCGCCATGATGAGAGCTCCTCTACGGCTCAGGTGCCTTCTCAGATACTTCTGCCCTGACTAACTCAACGTTTTGGTCGAAAGTAAGTCTGGTCGATTCTTCTGGTCGTTGAGGACAGGTAGTGGTACTGAATGCTACCTCAGACGAATTGATGTTTGCTCTTCGTGTTTGTAATCCTCGTTTATGGTTGTGTCTCAGAACGAGCGGGTGTATTGGTATATGACTGAAGGTTCACTTGGCAAGCAGGTACTGTTGGGACAACCTCACTTCTTATTCAAACTGCCAACACGTTCCGTAAGAATAAATATGACATAGGCTTGGTGGCCAGGGAAAACTTCTTGGGCAGGGATACGAAAAAATAACGAAAGGCTTGATCGTGAGTGAAGAGAACACCTGATCAGGTACAAACCCACTCGATGAGGTCGCAATCGAGCTGTTATGTAAAGATCTTGACTATCAGTGCTGGAAAATTGATAGCGCTTGTTCGGTGCGGATAGATAAGGGTTGTGTCGGAAAACCGCGTTCAGTTTGTTGTTTTCACACGATTTGGAAAATTGACTTCGCGCTAATCAGGATTAGTGCTTGAGGGAAGGAATGAGCACGTGGTTTTTGATCTTGTCATGACAAGGCGTGCATTGGTCAATGTGCAGTGTGTGCGGAACTGGAGCGTGGCCCGTCCGAGCGCATCGAGGCCAAGAAAGATTAGTTCAGTGCTGCAAACAAGTCAGAGAGAGATAGTAAAGGAACGTACTGTTGACCATTGAAGATATACTCAATATTGGTGCGGGAAACGATGTTCAAACTGTTGTCTATTCGGAGTCGCTTCCGGCACTGGACATATAGTCCACTCATGACTGTACATTTGAATGACAAGTTGGCAACTGACCATGACCTCCCACAATACTCTCACATATTCCCACTGCTCTTACCAGCGTTCGCCATCCACTATACCGGTTGTGCTGTGGGCAGCTCTGAAGCCTTTAAGTCTTTTTGAAATCCATGAAGTTATCCATCCCTTTCATACAAGATCGAATCCAGAGGTAAAAGTATATCAAGTTGAGCATCACAGCCCAATTGACTTTGTTGCAAATCGAGCCGGTCATTCTTTCGTGGCCGTCGTGATCCCCGGCCTAATATCCATCTCCACCAATGCCATTATGCCCAGGTGCCAGACCAGTATAATATGCACCAGTCGCGTCTTGATCACCAGTATCCAACCCTTGTGTGGGACTAGTCGTGTTCTGTTGGTTGCCGACGAATGTTCCAGTAGTAGTATTGCTGGAAGCACCGCCTACAGGTCCACCACTAGGAAAGCCTCCAGAGCTCGTAGGTCTATTCTGGTTGTCGGTACGGGAGGATTGAGTCTATAAGTTGTCAAATTGATGGATGGTAGATACGAAGCGAATTCGAACAAACCTCGCGATACTTGGAGAGATAGATCTTCAAGGCCTCAGCATAATTCTCAAATCCAAGAGATGTCATGGCAAAGAGAATATCTTCGCCATTAACCGTCTTTCGCTTCTCCTGCTGACATTTCTCGGACGCTGTGTGACATCAGCAAACGCTTTGGTCTCTGGAGACTTTGAGAATACTCACCTTCGCTAGTGATAAAGCTGATAAATTCGCTGACGCATTCTTGCATGCACTCTTTGGCTTCTTTGGCTATTTTCGCATTGTCTGGTAGTGCAGTTTTCATGATTCTGGCAACTGGAGCAAAGTTACGGATGTTAGCATCTGAAGCTGCATGTTGACTTTGATGACTATGGAAGTGAGTGCCGTTCTTGGATGAGGAGGACTCCGTAGGCGAGAAGTCAGAGGACATGATTTGAGCATCAGGCTTCTTGAATTTGGTTCTTAGTGGTCGAGGTACCGCAAGGACGAATCACGCGCGTGTGTATGCAAGTCGTGGCTGGAAAGAGCAGAACGGTCGACGAATAAGCGCATTTGACCTGTCGGCGTAGCTGCGTGCGTGCAGAGTCGCACGTAGACCTGTACATCTGTACGCTTCTGCTGGTGGCCGTTGTGTTTCCCACATACCACAACACGCGCGACAGTGTCACGCAAGGTACAAAAAATCAGGATTTGAGGAGGATGGGGTAACACATAGGGGGGAGAGGAAACCAACCATTTGCTATCGGAAGCCATCTGTCCTGCTCTTTCACTTCAAAGTCTCCAAGGCCTCCTCCGTGTGCTTCGTCTTGTCTGGACATATCACCTTCGTCTTCACCAGATTGATTCTGTTCGACATCAGTGTCCTTGGGTGGAGAGGTCGCCATCATGTATATCTGGGTAGCTGCAGCAGTATCCGGGACTAGGCGAAGATTTCTATCTACCACGTCACAATGGAGCGATTCGGTAGGCTGACCTCCTGACAGTGGTCCTGCGGTCCGCGTCACGTAGTCTATTACTGGGTGTCTTTGGTTCTCGAGATGAGCCCACTCGATGCCTAAAGCGACTAGCTGAGGCGAAATGGTGAGGCAGGGCAAGGATAGGGCAGATCAGTCGAGTCAGTGACCGTGTTTTGCAGGCGGTGAAGGCGTGAGCTGGATCTGTGATCAAGTTAAGACCACGCTTGCTATGCACGATAGATCAAGCGAGTCCACTGGGATATATGCAGCAGGAATTTACTGGTATGCAAGCAGATTGGTGGTTTCTTCCTTGTAAGACTGTGCTATAGGGTGATCGCGACAAGTCCAGCTTGATTTGGTATCGTCTAGCCGTGTGGCGTACACTCTAATGGTGTCTTTTAGTCGCGTGAAGCAGGTGTGATCTGGGAGGAAGTAGCTCCAGCAGGCGCATGCGCGTAGACGGCTAGGAGCTGAGCCCACGCAGTGCTTGCTTCGTTGTGAAAAGGTGATCGGACGTCTGAACAGTGGCAGGAGACACAAAGGTGGGTGCCCAAGATGAAGCGCAAGAGAAGGAAGAACGAAGGCCGCCGTGGGAGGGGAGCAAGCATGGAGGCACAAGCTGCATGTTAGTGCCCATGCTTTACTAGTTATAGCCGAGCCGATGCGTGCTCCGGTTACTAGTGAATTAGTGCCCAGGACAGCCTGAAGGACTTTGGCAGCGGTATTGTGGTAGAAAGAGACAAAGCTCTCTGTTGAGCTCGTCGTCACCGTCACGAAAGTGACTGAATTGTTTGGTCTTGCTTTAAGTAATTTCCTTCTATTGGTCTGCTTCGTGCCACTCAACAAGCTCTCATTCGGTGATCGTTGATCTTTTTGCCTATTGGCTACACTTTCTGATAGTAATAAAGTTGAGGACCACGCACAGTCTACAGGTGTCGCGACGGCTCTTCTCTCCAGCCGAATCCTTCATCACGACTATTTCAAGGCCTTCGAACAATTACAGCCTACGTATCGATTTGATTTCATTCAGTGCCAGCGTTCGACCAGGTTGTCACACACTGAAACTAACAAACTGCTTGACCTGACTAACAATCTGCCTCTTGCTTTCCCCCTACGTCTGTCTCTGAGCAGTGCATCAAATACTGGCGATTGCATGGTAAGCATTGACAAGCAGAGAAAACTTCGGAATGGTTCATCGCTCGATCACATGAGATTGGTTTCATGCGATTGAGCCTGTCGAGAACAGCCAATAGAGTCGTCCAAGGGATGTGTGCTTCACCTATTGGGCAGTACTGCACATTCGGTAAGAGGTTGCATAACAAGCGTCTTGCCATGCATTTGACGCGAACGAGCCAGCAACAGATTGTAAGTGGAACAAACGCGACAGAAACATGAAATGCTGAAAATCAGCTATTCTATACTCCTGATTGATCTGAAAGTGCCGTTGCCTGGAGACAGCCGTAAGGCGAGCGAAGAAATGACAACATATATCAGGCCTCTGTTTGAAGAAAAAAAAAAAAGACGGCGTTGTACCAGGAATGCCTCATGTTTTGGGTATCCCTGCATCAGCAAAACAGCCGTTGGGCTAAAGAACAAGCATGTACCAGATCTATCGTGTTCGTGCAATTTACACGATACTGGACAAGTCCGACGTTGTTGACAAGGGAACGACAACCGAGATGTGGATGCAGCTTGATCTAGGGACGGGTTTGCGACTATCCAGGTTGTGCTCTTGCAGGACTGTTTGACGGACAGCTTCAGTCGTGCCCCAATATGCCACAGCGACCCAACACAGGCACGCACAACAGGTCTCAATAACATCTACTGTATCAATAGAGACCATGTTGGGTGTAACACATTCAACGCTTCGCTAATGATACATCTTTCTTCCTTTCGAGCCTTGTGTGCTCGTCAGAAGGCCTAATGCTCAGTTACATCTTCAGCGTCCACTGCGTCAGCTGCAACTTCTTCGTAATCCTTTTCCAATGCTGCAAGGTCTTCTCGTGCTTCGCTAAGCTCGCCTTCTTCCATACCTTCACCCACGTACCAGTGAACAAAGGCTCGCTTGGCATACATTAGGTCGAACTTGTGACCAAGTCGAGACCACGCCTCAGCGATGGCAGTAGTATTTGATAGTACACTGACCGACCGTGATTGCTGAGCGAGCTCCGAGTTGGGCATAGTGAGAGGTGGCTGAAGGTTGATGCCAACCTTGAAGCCTGTAGGGCACCACTCAACAAAACTAACTGTGCTTTTGGCTTTCATGGCAGCTATAGCAGCATTACAATCCCGAGGGATAACGTCGCCTCTGTAGAGTAGAGCAACAGCCATGTACTTAGCTTTTCGAGGATCGCAGACGACCATTTGACTGCCTGGTTCGAAGCACTGAGCAGTAAGCTCAGCTACTCTGAAGCTTTCGTGGGAGGCTTTTCGCCTGGAAACGACAGGAGCGAAGCTAATCAGAGGATAGTGAATACGCGGAAATGGGACAAGGTTGGTCTGAAACTCGGCCAAATCAATGTTCAAGGCTCCCTGGAATCGTAGACTGGCTGTGACTGACGACACCACCTGGGAGATAAGTCGGTTGAGGTGCTCAAAATCAGGTCGGGGAACGTCGAGTTTGCGTTTGCAAATATCGTAGACAGCCTCGTTGTCGACTAGGAACGTGCAATCGGCGTGCTCGATCGTCGAATGTGTCGCGAGGACGGCATTGTACGGCTCTACCACCGAGGAAGAGACTTGAGGTGCAGGATAAACTGCGAACTCAAGTTTCGACTTCTTGCCATACTCAATCGAGAGACGCTCCAACAGTAGAGACCCAAATCCTGAGCCTGTGCCACCGCCGAATGAATGAAAGACTAGGAAGCCTTGGAGTGAGTTCGAGTTGTCTGCAAGGTCTTAGTATGTAGCAGAACCAACGATGAGATGTTTTACCTGCAACTCTTCTGACCCTTTCCAGCACATCCTCTACCAGTTCTTTACCAACAGTATAGTGACCTCTTGCATAGTTATTCGCAGCGTCTTCTTTGCCCTTTACCATCAACTCTGGGTGGAAGAGTTGGCGGTATTTCCCAGAACGTATTTCGTCTAGTGGCGCTGGGTCCAGATCGACGAAGATAGAGCGTGGGACGAATTTGTCGCCTCGTGTTTCGGTAAAGAAGGTATCTCGCGAGCCAGTATCAGTCACCTGTGAGTCGGGATCGGGCTTTCCATCATATCCAAGCCCATGCTCCAGGCAGTATAATTCCCAAGCTGCATTTCCCAGTTGGACGCCCGCCTGTCCAACGTGTATGTGCACTACCTAGAATTGCGAATTAGCCTCGACGATGGTCCCAGGGTATAGTATAGATGCATTGTGAGTTGACAGTGGCGCAATCACGGAAACATCATGCAGAGACAGAGATGATGGCAGAGTCCACAGCGGCTGTCAAGGATGATAGAGCCAGGGCTACAGGGGACTTGAGGTCTGTATTGACATTTGGGCACGGATGTGGTGTAGCATACCTCACCTCGTGCCATGTTGCAGAAGTTGAGTGCAATACTCAATACACTGACTTATGGCGACAGCTAACGTTTGAACTGATCATTGCTCATCACATGCGAGCCTTTCCAAAGGTATCAGAGCGCTGGTTCTGCACATCAGGCAGGTATCAATATTATGCCGTCGAATATTCTTGCAGCCTGGAATCCTCCAAAGTCAGCAGCCTGAGGTCGGTCGGTCCGGTAGTTGACCGTTTCGCTGTGCGGAGAGCGACTTGAAAACACTTTTGAAACTTGACAACCAACTACCTTGCAACTACACCTGTGTTTTGGCACACAATCGCGATGCGAACCAGAAGTAAGCACCAATGAACACATGAGGCTAATAGTAATGTGCATACATGTTGGCCGAAGTTCGAACAGCACCGTGTTCTGCAAGATGATTGCATTAAAATGATGGCGGGTATTCTAACTCCAATAAGTACTAGGTCACTACCATGTTCCTGGATCAAATTCTTTGACGATCTTAATAAATGTCTTCGTTCCTCAATATCCGATGGATCAGGTACCTGACTTGAGTGTTTGATCAGTGCTCCCTATAGGAAATAGAACACGTCACGGTAACTCGGAAAAAGCTGTCCTCGCCTGCGCCGCCGACTGGAAACTCTTAATTCTCAACGAGAATCCTTATCACTGATGCAGACTCCTTCAGACTATCCGGAAAATGTATAGATTGACACCTCAAGACTTTTCCATCCTCAGAGCTGCCGTTAGCAAAATGTTGTTTCGGATACCAGCTTTGCATGTGACAAATTCAAGGGACGCTCTTGAAACCGTCTGCAGAAGAGCACTTTGTCAACCTCATTGGCCGACTATAATAAAATGCTACGAAGGTCTTGGTACCTGCATAGGAGGCGTGCGTGACGGAACGCCACAAGGCCTGCTCGGCGAACATTCGTTCTCCACTCAACTCCAACAAGGATCTGCCAAGCTGACATGATCTTTCAAGATCAGCATGCTGAAACGAATGCTTCTTGGCCAGGTGAGATTAGACAGAATCACTGGCCACACAGTCAAAGCAATACGATTGTACTCTGACATTTTTACAATCCAGAAGTTTTAGGGGTGCAGATAATGGGCCGTGAGCTGCCGAAGAGACTTCACGGCTCAGTGACGTAGCATTCAAGCACCTGCCGTTGTGGTAAGGTCCATGAGTGTTGCTGGTGTAGTAAATACTACAATGCACTCCTCGGACGGCATTTAGGGGAAGAGACCTCGACGGCTTCTCTGCTACGAATGACTTTGTGCTACAAAGAAGAGGAAGAGTAAAGATAATGTTGGTCCCAACAGTGGCTGTAACGTCCAGTAGCGTCACGTCTCCACTTGAACTTGAAGTGTGATCGCCATTTTTTACCCCATCGGCGACTGCCATACAAAGTGTACCACAGTACTCTTCCACTGCACGCTTTTCAATAGCACTCTTCAAACATTTCTCTCGTTACCTATTCATGTATTCTTACGCCACTGTGTTGTGATTTTGTATTGAAACAGACCCGGCATTCAGGGAGGCATTTCCCAGACGATCGTTAGCAACGCAAATTGAAATATATGCCGCAGGCTGGCAAAGATTTCTGACTTCGTCCGACACGTCCGTACACGAAAACGCCATAACCCAACATGGCTACGCCTAACAATGAGAAAGAGCGACCTGAAGTCGGGCCAAAAAGAAGATCGAGCGACGAGGAACAGACAGTATTTGGCTCTGGCGAAGCCCTTCGCCAGGAAGGCTCGCTCCCGGCTCAAGAGCTACATGAAAGGCTCAGATTTGAAAAGCAGAAGGATGAGGGAGCTAATTACCTCGAACGCTTCGACTCCCACGACCACGATCACAATCCGAGTGCCTCGCGTGTCAGGGAAGAAATAACAAAATTGGACGACGAGATTGCTTTAGAAAAAGCAGAGAAGATCGTTTCACAGCAGATGGGTCAAGGTGAAGAGATCGAGGCTCATTTACACCGCTCCAGGCCTAGGAAGCTTGAGCCCGTGGATGATTTCGATGCTGCAACAAATCCTGTACACGAGGGCACGAAAGTATACAAACCTCCGGAAAGACCGACCACCAAAATTGCTGAATTCTTCAAATATATCCATGGTTCAAGTTTTATTGTACGGTGGTTTGTCTACATCGTTCCTGTATTCCTACTGCTAATCATTCCTGTTTTGATGGGGGCTTTTCTACCTGCTGGTCAGGCTGCTGCTGTCGGAGATGTTGAGCTTCTCTGGTTTGGTGTTTGGTTGGAAACTATCTGGCTAACGTTATGGGCTGGTCGATTGCTGGCTAAATGCATTCCTTATCCATTAGGACTCATCTCAAGTCTGTTCACCAACAATGCAAAGAAGTGGCGAGACATGGGCAAGGCTTTGGAAGTACCAGCTACTCTCTTCTTCTGGTGGCTAGGTGTTCTTGTTTCTTTCCTACCAACCATGAAGAACCACCACACCAATGGCGACAAGAGTACGAGGCCATGGGAGACGTCACTCAACAAGGTGATCGTTGCAGTATTCGTTGGCATGACCTGTAATTTCCTCGAGAAGATCATCATCCAGCTCATTGCCATTTCGTTCCATCTTCGAACCTACGCCGATCGAATTGATATCAACAAGTTTCAAATTGGGAGTTTGACAAAGCTATATGTCTACTCAAAGGCTCAGATCGCTATGGAAGACGCGGAATTTGAGGAAAAAGCACCACCCTCTGGCACAATGACTCCTGGTGTCATGGCCGGTCAAGCCAGAGATGCTATCAATAAAGCCGTGGCTAAAGTGGGCGATGTTGCTGGTACAGTTGCTGGCGATTTCACTGGTAAGAAGGTTACCAAGAGTGGCCATCCTTCGCAGGTCGTCCTGACTTTATTGAACACGACAGCTGGCTCGCAGATATTGGCCCGACGTTTGTATCGCACATTTGTGCGGGACGATTTTGAGACTGTCTTTAGTGGAGATCTCAAACCTGCCTTCGACAACGATGACGAAGCTGATGCTGCATTCAGCATGTTTGATAAGGACATGAATGGTGACATATCGATGGAAGAGTTGGAAGCGGTCTGTGTGGAGATTGGAAGAGAACGCAAAGCCATTACTGCTTCGCTCAAAGACCTCGACAGCGTTGTCAGTAAACTCGACGATGTGTTCCTCTTCATCGTGGTCGTCATCTTCATCCTGGTCCTGATCTCGCTCCTGTCAACTTCCGCTGCTGGCGCGCTCACCTCCGCAGGATCAACTGTCTTGGCCCTTTCTTGGCTGTTCGCTGCCACTGCGCAGGAATTTTTGCAATCTATCATCTTCGTCTTTGTCAAGCATCCTTTCGATGTGGGCGACAGAATCTCTATCTATGGTAATACGGGGTCTCAACTGAAAGGAGATGACTATTTCGTAAAAGAGATCGCTCTTCTGTATACCGAATTCAAGAAGATGGAAGGACAGATCGTCCAGGCGCCTAATTCCTACCTCAACACGCTCTTTATCCTGAACATGCGCAGATCTGGAGGTCTTGCCGAAGCTGTTCCTATCGTTATCCGTTTCGGTACGACGATAGAGCAGATCGATGCATTGAGACAAGCTCTTACTGAGTTCGTTCTATCTGAAAAGAGGGAATATCAGGGAAAGATTTTGACTGAGCTTCGGGAAGTCACCGAGGCCTATTCCCTGACACTCAACGTTGTCTTCTTCTACAAGTCCAATTGGCAGAACGAGTTGTTGCGTCTTCAGCGCCGAAACAAGTTTATCTGTGCTTTGATGATGGCCATGCAGAGTATCGGCATCGAAGGTCCGCGTCGCAACAACGCCGGTTGGCGTAATGATATTCCGATGTTCCTGCAAGGTTACGGTGCACCTCCGCCAAACTACACCACGACGAATACTGATGGTGGTAACCCTGCTCAAGCGACTGAAGCTCCTGGCATCTCGCAGCCTCTCTCCCACAATTCTATTCTTAAGCACTCAGCAACCACTGGTCGACCTCGTGGTTCATCCATAACTCACATGGCAAAACATGTCGATTTCTCTTTGGGCATGAAGAACATGTCAACCGCAGAGTTCATGGGCGAAGATGATGACTATAGATCCCCGTCACGCTTTCGAGAGATCATCCGCGAGGCCAATGAAGGGAACGACGAAAGGAGACGGAAGGAGCATGAAAAGGACATAGCTGTAGCACGTACTTCGTCACGTGAGCTACCAAGAGTCTCGAACGATAGCAACCCACAAATGTCTGGTGGCATATTTCGACGCAGCACAACCCTTTCGACACGGCCTCGAGGAGATAGCATTAGCAGCCAAATCACACACCGCAACCGGTTCCTCAGCCGACTAGGACATGCCGGGCGAAGTATAGAGGTGCCAAGAGACTCACTTGCTGAGGAAGGTCATGCCGGACCAGCTACACTCGATCCACGAAGTGGCAAAGTCTCAAACCAGGCAGTACGACTCGATTCCAGGACGTCCGCAGAACTGAGCCAAGCCTTCCCTCCCGCGTCTGTCGAGCCGACCATCAGTCGAGATTTTGAACTGAGACGGTTGGAGAGCAAGAAACAGTGAAGTCGGATCAATATATAAAAACTGTTTCCATACATTCGAAATGGAGTGTTAACATAAGACCATTTGCTGTCATACTTTCAAATTTGAAACAAAAAGCAGCGGGGCAGGCTTGAACTGAATATTAGCGGGCGATTTGAGATTCGAAGATAGATCTTTATAGAGCTTACGAAACCCCTACGACGTTGTCGTCACTGAAATGACTATGCAGAGCATATACTGCAACTTTATACATCTGTTTCCACCGAGGGTTACAATGGTACAATCATATATCCTTGTCAGATCTTTCGAAACTGGTTTTTCTGTCCCTTATCAGGCTGTGTCTTTCTAAATTCACGAGACATTCTAATTTCTGTTGCCCGAAGCAAGTATGAGTGCTAAAATGCAGTTCTGTATTCTCTACATGTCACTAGATCATTGCTAATCGATGCAAGCTATTCAATCTGTATACCCAGTCTCTAATATCTCTTGGTATTTCTGAGAAGAGGTTCCAACTCTGCACAAAAATACCGCGGAGATCCGTAGATGGACAACATGCTACCAGCCGAAGTACACAGTCAACAGCCCGTTGGCTCCTATAGCCAAGAACTTGTAATGTTGCAACACCTCTTGTCGTCAACAGCGAGAAAAGATATAAAGCCAAGCTGTTTTAGTCATCAGTTACCTGATTGCGAGGGACTGATACCCAGATCATACTTGTTGGATACAAGTATTCCTAAGCCTCAACAAGCAGTCTCTCCTTCTCATCAGCCGCAGCCTCAGTATCAACAACTTTTCGCACAGCCATCTTCCTCGCAGCGCGCTGCTCAGCCTTGAACTGCACGGCACTACCCATAAGAAGCCCAAAGTTGACCTGAATGGGCAGGACAAGAACAAGATACTCCACAGGCTTAACTCGAGCGAGATCGTAGCCCTCAAGGACGGTGAACATCGCTTTTCCACACACGATGCTGGTGATGACGCCGAGGAGTAGGATCGCTCGAATGGCCCAGTTCTTCTTGCTGTTTAGGGAGGCGGATCGTGGTGTCTTTGTGGTGGAATCGACGGGGCGGGCATCGACGTAGATGAAGGTGCTGATGACGTGGTAGATGTGTTGGAGGAGGCTCATGCCGACGACGGCGGGGAGGAGGACGCCATTGAGCTTGTCGAGGATAGAGATGACTTTGCTCATGGTTTCGCTTTCTTCGTCAGATGTGCTGGTTGGGACCCACCACTGGGGGAGACGTTAGTAAAGTTTCTAGGTATAAGCCGTAATGATGGGTAGGGTAGACGTACAGAGAAGAATGGTTCCCAAACCATAGCGAACAGGCACATGTACAACCAAGCCAGGAAACACCCGACATTGTAGGAGATCTGTAAAACGTAAGCATCCGGTCTTTTCGAACAGATTCAACTCGTCAACATACACCATAATCTTCAGCTCCAGCAGCCTGTGTGCCGTGCTTCCCACCATAAACCATGTTCCCAACTCCAGCTCGTAGGATCTCAATCATAGCCATGAAGAACACAATGGTTCGTGTCTGCTTTCGGAGCATTCGAAGGTGTTGACGGCGAACAGCTCGCCATGTGTACATTTTGACGCCATCCTCAGTAGTGACTGTCTCTTGCAGAGCGGCTGCGAATCGGTTCGGGCAAGGCATGGTTGCGGTCGTGGTGGCGGTTTGATAGTGAACAGGCGTTTCTGAATGAGGTTGGAACCGTAGACGATGTGAGTCAAGTCTCATAGGAGCGTCTTCAAAGAAGTCAGAGAGTGAACACTTTTGGCTGGAAAGAGTAGAAGCTGATAGTGGTAAGATAGAAGAGGTGGTTCAAGGCGCACTGCACGCCCACGTCACGAGATTCAGATTAGGTCGTGCCGCAATTACGCCTTAGGCAGCCCTCCAATGCTTGTGGCACTAAAACAATAGGACGGCACGACAACGCAAGCACAGTCTTTGAACAGCTCACAGTATTGATGAGTGTTTGAACGATATTTGCTATCTACATCAGGCGCTGGCCTGGTCACTACACACGATCCGCAGCGAAATCCAACACGTCGCAATCGTCCTCGAAGAACCCTTCTTGTGTGGGCTCACCAGGATTTGTGCTATTATCATCCTGTGCTGTGACACCACGTTTGATTTTCTTTCTGCGTGTGGTACTGACAACATGATCTTCATCACTTACGCCGATTGATATAGTAGTCTCACGATGAATGACAGAGTCTGCTACCTCGTCGTTCTGGCTGTGTGGAGGGTTGATGTTGAGCCTCAACTGTGCAATTTCGTCCCCAAACACCCATGACTCTGTAGCACTTGACTTCGTCTTCTTTGAGTTCTTCGTTGACCTCGTATCGTGCTCGCTAGGTGCGAAAATGGATATAGTAACTCTTTGATCCGAATGGAATGGTTGGAAAGGCGCATTCGTGTCGATCTCGGCGAATGAAAGAGGATGTACCGTTCCCGCATCCGTTCCTTGAACGTTCGGAAGATGAAAGTAACTTGCAACAACGTTACGAACATCATCTCTTGAAGATCGTCCACCAAGGACTGGCAATTTGATGCTCACAGCTCTTCGAGCATCAAATACTGTTGCTTCCACCTGTCGTGCATCTCGAGGCTTGCTCTTACGAACCTGATAGTACCTCACTCCATTCTCCCCTAAGAGGGCAAGACCCCAGTTAGACACTCTGCGGGTCCAGATCAGACGATTCGCAACGACATCCTTCTCTGACTTGATGTGTAGCCTGCTCTCTCCTGCGTGATGAATTCTGCTCACTGTTTCCGTGGCTGCGCCAAGTGACTTACTAAGTCCCGTGGCAACGGCTTTCGAACCTCTAGCTCCGGTAGCTGCCGCGATGCCAAAACCTGCCTGCCCTATCCCTGAAAATCCACCACTTGTACTTGGAGTTCTACCTCGAAGGTTGGCTAAGATAGGCTGTGTTCGTCCTGCGAAACTCTTGGCTGAAGCAAAGAAACCGCCTGCAGGTGCTGGGTCATGAGAGGTTTCTGGCACTGCATTCGGTGGAGCTGAAGTTGGTCGACTCTTCCTCGGTCGGCGTGGCGGTGGCCATCGTAAGGCGGAAGCTGGAATATCGAACAGGTGAATCGTCTTGTTCTTCGTTACCACAGCCAAGCGTGACAGAGTAGGTAATTCCCACACCACCTCGACGATAACGGAGCCGCTTAGTCGATCAAAACGAGCGAGTTGCCTTACATGGGGAGTCACATTCACGTTGTCTCTTTCCAGATCTGGCGTTAGTACTCGACTATGTTTCATCTCCAAAAGGTCCCACACATATTGATAGTCTCCTTTACGGCTAGCAGTCAATAACATAAGTCCATGAGGTGCAAATGACAAGAAGCTACAGCCGTTCGGCGGTCGGAATGTAGCTGTTGGCGTTGCTGCATTGGACTTTCGAGCGGAGCTTTCGCTCATAGCTTTCAGGTCGATCACGGAGACTAGGTCGGGATCTCGTGTATGCGCTTGAGCGTCAGCATGGGTAGGCGGAAAATGGCCATATGAAGTTTGAGCAGTCTGCGGCACATTGCCATAAGTGTTGTAGAAGGGAGGAGTCGTGGGAACGTCCTCCTTTTTCCAGTAGTTTTGCCATGCCTGCGCACCCTGTTCACCCAACCATTTGCCTGCCTTCATCATCTCCTGAGCTACACCACGAGCGACCCGTCCGAGTAAAGTATCCGCATCGGGTGAATCAACATCGCAGTTGACAGTTGGTCGGTTTCCAGCGCCCAGAGTCTCCAGGCCAGCCTGCCGTCCAGTAAATATACACTCGCCGAGGATGAAGCCAGCACTCGGAGGGGTGGAGGCAGGAGGACATATTGCCAACCAACGACCAGAAAGAGCTAGGATCGGTACACTCTCGTCTGGCTTGACTTGCAGTAACTTTGAGTTGGTGGCTTCGGAAATGGTAGGTCGAGTGTGGGAAGAACCCCTTGGCTGCTCGCGTGGTTGTATAGTGGTCCAGAACTTTCTTAGACATTCGAATGTAGGTTCTTCCTCATGGCTAAGTGCACTAAAGACGAAAAGCTCGCCTGATCTGCCGGAAGAAACAGCCAGGTAATTGCCGTCGGCCTTGAGGCAGATGTGATTGACAGGATGATCGTTTGCATGAAATTGACCAGGTATGCTAGGATGTATGGTGTACGATGGAGTATGCAGCAGATCCAGCACATGACGTTGGTAGCGTAGAGAGTAAACAGAAACTGTATATCTGTACTGCGGATTGCCTCCTTCAGCAGGTTCAAGGTGCATAAAAGTAACGGCAAGTAGTGGCCTCAAGGCTGCGAAAGGATCTGGTCGGGACGTCCAGGAGAGGAGCTCTGCATCAGCAGGAGTGCCCGGCAGATCTGTGAGAGTGCCGACCTCGTCAACCGTCGTGCCATCATATGAGCATATCTGGAGGGTTCGATTGTAGCCTGTTATGATGCCTTGCTTAATCGAGTTACCGAGCTTTGGCAGACTTACGAAACGTGTAAAGAGGGGATCCTGCTTGGTGATGTTCTCGTCAGGCTTTGGTAGGCCAAGATCTATGTCATATGGTCCGTAGAAATGGGGTTGCGGAAGATGAGGAGCAGGAGGAGAGCCATATGCAGCTGAGGGTGGTCTAGCGTATCTCGGCAAAGGTGTTCCACCAAAGCTGACTGGTCTAGCACTATGCTGCGGAGGTGAGACTGGTGGAGTGCGAGTCTTGAATGATTTGCGATTCGAAAAGCCAGGCTCTACTGGAGGAGTATTTCCAGCGCTCGATATGGCAACCGAGTTGGGGCTTCGACCGTATAGGTCATCTGGAATTCCAACATCGCTTGGTGGTGTATATTGATCAGACACCTTCTCTGTAGCAGCAAGGTCTTCCCTGATGTTGACTGGTTTACTCTTGGAATGGGACGGCAGACTGATTTGGTGAAGGAGAGTGTGTTGCCTGCGAGGCGAAGGTGCCGGGTTTTCAAAGGCTAGCTCTTCGGTTGGTTCTGGGAGCAACTCTTCAGCTGGCGAAGGTTGGTAGCGTGCATTCTTGTGTTGTTTCCTGCCCTGCTTCCTTGGCTTCACTTCTCGTTCTGGTTCCGGTTCCGGCTCTTGCACTGGCTCTGGTTGTAAATCGTCTCGGTGGAAGTCGAAGTTAAGATCGGCAGGATCAGGGAAGTCGGGGAGATCGTCGAAAACAGGTTGCTGATGCTGATGATTCTTCCTTCGTGGCATTCAAATCTGCTTGTCTGGAATGTGGTATGGGAAGGTGATAGCTTGTTGTGCTAGGTGTAGCTTACGTAGTTGTATACTGTTTGCCTAGGCAGGTAGGAAGGAAACAATCACCCCGCGTTGCTACGACACGTCGATGCGGCTTGTTCTTGGTTCTGATCTTCGTAGCAATCAGTGCTTGTAATGTTTGTTAGTAAAGAGTGAAGGATTAGAGCATGAGTGTATCGATTGTCACATTCACAAAGGAGTCAGCCGCTCAGGAAACGAACATGACTGTTCTAGGTCAGGCAAGTCAATCAAGGTCACCTGGTAGCGGCCTCCCACGACCCGCTACGAACCTGAAGACGATCTCCAATTTCACTAGCGCGACGTGCCTGGAACGTGCACGATTTACAGGAACCGGTGACGGCGAACATCGTTCCTGCCGCCCGTGGAGTGATCGCACCTGCTTCTGCACGTCCACCAAACTGACGACTGCCGAGCCTCAGGTTTCCTGTTTGTATAAGGCATTGTGTTTACGGTCGATCTAGTGTTACAAGAGCTGTGATTCAAGAGCCATATATTCCCTATCTTCCTCGTGGTGCAATGATCGAAGGACGTGCATACCATCTGCATTATCGGACCAAGGTTGAGCTTTTAAGAGGAACAGGGCTCATTCAATCCAGCATCTTACGTCGCGAATACCTGTCCACATGTGTTTCGAGCTAAAATTATGCTGCAACTCGTGGTTATGAAGCACCAGAGGCTACCAGGAGACATTCGAGCTTCTGACCTGCAACTCAAATAGACTGGTATGGCTGAGCAAACACCTTCTCTTTTGCTTTTCCCAACCTCTTTGCATAGGCTCCACCGCCATATTGATCTTCTTTTCGAGCGAGAACAAACGCAATAACACCAATTTTGTACAGAATTACAAGCCACTCATTTGGACTTCTTTGCAGCGGCAGCCCTTGCCTTGGCTGCCTTTTTCCTGTTGCTCTTGATCATAACCATACCCAAGAACGACCCTACCACAGCTGAACCAAGCAGGGTCAGGATAACTGGCACTCGAACGGCCCAGACTCGAGGAGGAAAGAGGCTCTGTAATGGATGGTCATCGTCCACAAACGGCTGCACGTCTAGTCAGCATCCTGCACGGTCTCTCATTCCTCTGTTATCATACCATAAATAACGTCCATAGAGTGTAGTAAGAAAAGACTGTGGTCGCTACTATGAGCATAGCCATGCCTATGATCTTGTCTAACTGAAAAGGGGCATAGATTAGCATTACCCTCTCCTTCCAATACATCTTATTCTTACCATCTTTGCTGTCGCCCGACCAGAGTGATAATATTCGTGTTCCTGCTTTTCGGCGTATTTGTGACCCTACTGTCGACGTTGGCGCAAAAACATATCCCTGGCGTGCAACTGTGTTTAGGACAGAAAAGCGCATGCGAGCGTGTTCGTGTCCATGCCAGAAATTGCCGAATTTTAGGCGGCGGGCAACCACGTTGGAACGGCAAACTTTTAGCCTACCGATGAGGCAGCCTGCTGCGCTACTGTACAATCAACTTTTCGAATCCTGACCATCACATTGACCTTAATATCTCTGGCTTGTAGGGTTTGCAGAGTTCGAAGAAGCATGCACTAGTCTTTTAATCAGGACTACCATCCAGTATGTCCACGGCTATGCTGTCTTCGGCAGTACGTCTGCCAACACCACCACCTGGCGGATCCTACTCACCTCGCCCGTCAAACCCGAGGAAAAGATCACCTCCTTCGCGTTCGCCCTCCCCTAAGCGCAGAAGATCACCACCTGCCACAGATGGCCGTAACGGAGCAAGGAATCTGGACGCGAACAGAGAGCCAGATGAGAGGGAGCGTATGCTACAAGAACGATTTCGCGCAAGAGAGAAGGAAGACGCAAGGCGGAAACCCATGACCGAAGAGGAGAAGCAAGCTGCTGCAAAGGCCGAGTACGAAAAGTTGTTAAATATGCGCTCTGGTGGTACCTATATTCCTCCTGCTCGGTTGCGCGCGCTGCAATCCCAAATCACCGACAAGACTAGTAAAGAGTACCAGCGTATGGCCTGGGAGGCTTTGAAAAAGTCTATCAATGGTCTGATCAACAAAGTCAACGTGTCGAATATCAAGCATATTGTGCCCGAACTATTTGGTGAGAATTTGGTCCGGGGTCGTGGCTTGTTTTGCAGAAGTATCATGAAAGCACAGGCAGCATCTCTGCCTTTTACGTCCATCTATGCTGCCATGGTTGCTATCGTCAATACCAAGCTACCACAAGTCGGTGAACTGCTACTCAACAGGCTAGTCATGCAGTTCCGAAAAGCGTTCCGCCGGAACGACAAGGCTGTTTGTCTATCTTCTACCACATTCTTGGCCCACCTCTGCAACCAACAGGTCGCCCATGCAAGTATCATCGCTCAAATACTCCTCCTCCTATTACACAAGCCTACTGATGACTCAGTTGAGATTTCTGTTGGTCTGACCAGAGAGGTTGGCCAATTTTTGGAGGAGATGGAGCAGCCGATCGCTTTGGCTGTTTTTGACCAATTTCGCAGCATTCTACACGAAGCCGACATTGACAAGCGAACGCAGTACATGATCGAGGTTTTGTTTCAGGTACGGAAAGACAAATACAAGGACAATCCCTCCATTCGAGAAGAACTAGATTTGGTCGAGGAAGAGGATCAGATCACACACAGACTCGACATCGATGCTGAGATCAGTGTCGAGGATGGTCTCAACATCTTCAAATTCGATCCAGAGTATGAGCAGCACGAAGACGCCTACAAGAAACTAAAAGCTGAAATACTTGGTGAGGGAAGTGACGAGGAGTATGAGAGCGGCTCTGAGGATGACAGCTCTGATGATGAGGAGGCAGAGAAGGATCGTGCTGTGGAGATCAAGGATCAGACCAATACTGACCTCGTCAATCTACGCCGAACCATCTATCTCACAATCATGTCCAGCTTAGACTTTGAAGAAGCATCTCACAAGTTAATGAAGGTTCAGCTGCCACAAGGTCTGGAGCACGAGCTGCCATCCATGATCATCGAGTGCTGCTCTCAGGAGAAGACGTACTCGAAGTTCTTTGGTCTTGTTGGTGAACGATTTGCCAAGCTCAATCGTATGTGGACCGATCTCTTCGAACAAGCTTTCGCCAAGTACTACGACACTATTCATCGGTATGAGACAAACAAATTGCGAAATATAGCACGCTTCTTTGGCCACCTTCTGGCCTCAGATGCTATCGGCTGGCACGTCTTCTCTGTTGTCCACTTGAACGAGGACGAAACAACCTCAAGCAGTCGTATCTTTATCAAGATCTTATTCCAGGATCTAGCAGAAGCTATGGGCATACCTTCACTTCACAAGCGCATGAAGGACGACATTCTGCGACCAAGCTATGCTGACCTCTTCCCTATGGATCCAACCAATCCTCGGAACACAAGATTCTCCATCAACTATTTCACCAGTATTGGTATGGGTGCATTGACAGAAGAAATGCGAGAACATCTCAAGAACTTGCCAAAACCTGCCCCACCACCTGTGTTGCCAGAGGCAAATAGATCTCGTTCGGAAAGTGTTTCCAGCTACTCTAGCTACTCCAGTTATTCGAGCTACTCGAGCAGATCTGGTTCCCGTTCGCGAAGCCCACCAAGACGGAGCATCGAAAATGGACAAGGCCGTGGCAGGAACTCGGCACGTAGTGCTTCGCGATCTCGTTCACCACCACGACGTGCAGCACGAGACAGAGGCTTCAGCACATCACTTTCGAGATCACCCTCACGAAGGAGGTCACCACCTAAACGAAGTGCTAGGCACCGATCACCAACACGTTCTGTGTCACCGCCACCAAAGCGTGGTCGTCAGCCTTTGTCTAAGCGAAGAAATCGCAGTCCGACAAGGTCAATCTCACAGTCTTCGATTTCACGTTCTCGTTCTCCACCAAAGCGCTCAGCTCCTCTACGTCGTAAAGCAGATACAGGGGCACGCGAACGATCCAGATCCCCTCCACCTAAATCTCGCTCGACCAAAGACTCTTATAGACCAACAGATGTTCAGCGGAGATCTTTATCACGATCACCCTCTCGCTCAATATCTCCTCCTGGTCGTAAGACCACAAAACGCTCACTATCTCGCTCAATTACGCCGGCTAATGGTCAAGGCCGTGTTCGACCTCGCGTAAGAGGTAGAAGTTACTCAAGCTCTCGCTCGCCTTCACGAAGCGTGACTCCTCCACGTTCTCTCCCGAAGCGAACTGCTCGTCCTGCCCGCCGTAACTCGAGCTCTGTTTCGGATCGAGCCAGAAGCCGGAGCCTTTCACCTTCACCGTCGAGATCACGCCCAGCTGAAGCGACGAAGTCGCAAAGACAGAAGACAGGGAGATATGAGCGTTCACTAAGCCACGACAGGAAGAGAACAAGAAGGAGTTCCAGCTACGAGGCTCGTGGTCTGAAGGAGCAGGGTGCAAAGTTGGAGGCCGCGAGCGGAAGGCGTGCCAAGGCTAGTGATTTTTTGTGAAGGCAAGAACAAACTCTACGTGCTGACGCAGCTAAACTGGACTCGAAACATATGTAGTCAGGAATTTGCGATTGTGCACATCAATGATGTCAGTGCTTGCTTCTCGGCAAGTGCAGGTTATGCCAGACTTCATGAATCTCCAGTCACTGCATGTCAATAGATCATTTTCCTGCAAAGTTTGACCTTGGGCGAGCACTTTTCTTCATTGACATGGTTCAGCTTCACTCTTTACTGGAGCCTACAGCTCTTCTTTCACGTGTCAAGAGTCAGCATCTTCTAGATACCTGAACACAATACAGCCACAAGCCCTTCCGTTCGATATCCAATATCCGTTCACTACCTCGACCGTCCTCACAGCTAAACAACCACTTGTTGAGCCGACCACTCCAATAGGTGGTAAACCCATCGCCAACTCATATAGTTAATCAGCTGCAGTACCAGCTTACCATGTCGCCTTCTTCGTACTTTCCGTTTCTTCAGCTCCCGAAGGAGCTTTAAGTCGAAGTCTTCAAACGATTTTTCCCTCCCAACTTCGACTGTCATGTCCTGACCCGCCACTATGAGGCTGAACCATACCGCGAGCAAGAGATTTTACAATCTGCAGGCTACAATGATGAGATATGTCTTCTCTGACATCTCCAGATCTTCGTAAACAAGCTCAATGTGCCCTGCTCGCTTGTTTTGGTGGGGAAGCTGTCTTCTTCATAGACATTGACACTTTCGTTTGCGTGCCGCTGCGGGATTGTTTCGAGAGTGAGGGCAATTCTACAATTCTAAAGTCCCTACCACCAGGGCGTGTCAGGGTTATCAATCTCGAGAATTGTGCTTGGATGGATCACGATCTCAGGGATGAGGACCTTCAGCTGTACGAATTGTTCGACGAGCACTGGTCGAGACTTGCCAAAATACTACCCACTAGCAAAAAGCTGTCAAGTTTGGAGGAGGTCAGGATTGGTATAGAGAGAAATCGAAGATATCATCGAGAGAGGAGAAGGAAGAGCTATCAGGACTTTATTGATGGCAGGAGGGAATGTTATACTGAGAGCATGGCTTGCTGATACGTTGTTAAAGAAGCAGCCTAGCGATCTTGATCGGATGAAAAGACTTGGTGGCAAAAGTATTGCTTTCGAGATTGGCGTGTTATGGATTGTGGGTTCCAGCGTGGACAATCAACAATATCTGCGTGTGGTTTTCAGGATCGAAAATTCTAGCAAGGTACATGTGGCGCGCAGGACGGTCACGCTACGTGAATATGGTAGAACGGTTGGAGAGATGACGAGCAGCGATGACTCGGTAGCTGCTTGAGACCACTACTCTCACTATGCAAGAGTCGATCGCACGGGACAAGTTGCGCAGTTTGCTGGTAATCTGTATGGGACTTCCACAAGTATGAGTGATAAGGATCATACTACTCTCGGGTGGGGTTGGTGGCACTGGACTAGAGGCAGAGGAGAGGATCCGACTCCCTCTCAGCAATCACGACGTACCTTTTAAAGTGAGGGACAATACAAGAAGGGCTTTTTGACGCTATGGCGATGCAAGTAGAGAGTGCCCACACAACGATATATACACGTACTCCAAGGACGAACCAACAGTCATTTCTTCAGCAGCACTGAATAGAAGCAGAATATACAGATCATACATACATTCACAAAAAGTTCTCATTACATGCCCACTGAATCAGTACTACCAGGTGATGCTAAAGTAGTATCAACGCCAGCGAATGCATGAATTGCAACGCTATCAACCCATCAGTACTGTACTGCACTGCATCACAACACTAACATGCTCACTCACACGAAAAGAACACACATCTAATCACCGCCTCCATTCACAGCCTGAGTTTACTAAACTCGGTATAGCCTCCCTGCAAATCTACTGTATTCGAAAAATGTCTATCTGCATCACTGCGTTCTTTCTTCTCGCTCTTCTTTTTTACAAAGCTTAGCTACACACCCACTCATCTCAAGAACTCGCTTTCGGCCGACCAAACGGCAAGCCCATAAAACTCTTCCCCTCCGGCACCCTTATCTTGCCAAAGTTGTTATCAATATCCAGAATGACCTTCAATGCATTCCGACTCCTCAAGTACGACAGTGGCGCCGTATCTTCCCTCAGTCCCACAGAAGGCTCCATTCGTCCCGCGGCTGCTTTCTGCGCCTCGCTCTTCTCGCTGCCGGGCAGAGGTAACAGACCAGAAAGGACTTCGTACGCTGCAAGAGTGAAGCCGAATTGTGGAGATGATCGGAGGATACGAGCGGGCCCACCTTTCCAGAACGCTTTGAAGCCTTCTTGAGCGTAGATTTTGCGGGCAGCGTCGACGAGACCGTTGTATGTGGCTTCGCCTTTGCGGGCTTCGACTTGGAGACGGGTCTTGATGACGTCGCAGGGGGTGGTGAGGTAGGCGGCTGGCATGCCGGCTATGGCGCCTGCTGTGAGGAGTTGGACGACACCGAGCTTTTTCTGGGGTGATTCGCCGAAGAAGTCTTTTTTGAGATGGGCGTAGGTGGGGAAGTAGATTGCTGAGAAGGGACCGTCTCGTAGGAGGCAGGCGGAGGCGCCTTTGTATAGGCCGACGACACCTAGGTTGCGGACGATCCACATGGCTGATCTTCTGGGTACGGCGTCGCTGCGCTTGGCTAGTTCGCCTTGGATTTGTAGTCTGATCTTTACGATCTCGAGAGGGTTTGTGAAGACGACTTGACAGAAACCTGCGGTACCACCGGCTATGATTTCGGATGATAGTTGTATCGAGTTGCTCTTTTTGTCTGTGAGTGCGCCTCTTACGAGATCGTTGACAGTCAGTTTGATGGCCTTTTCTGGCGCAACGCCGACAAGTTGAGGTAGGACACCCGCATAGAGACCCTTGAAACCTTCATTGCGAACAATCTTGCGGAAACAATCGATAGAGTTGTCGTACATTCGCTGGCCAGGAGCAGAACTTCTTTGATTCTGCATACGTGTTTTGACTAGATCGATAGGGTAGACCATGAAAGCTCCGAATGCGCCTGCAACAGCACCCAGTGCAAAGTGATGCGCTGATTCTAGTACACTATGCAGGAAGCCACCAGTCTTCTGGACAGCTTTTGCCGCAGCTCCTCGGGCTGATTCAAGTCTCTCACCTACGTCTTGCCAGCTCGCGTCCAAGACTTTTTCGAACGAACCGAGTTCCAGTCGGGTGGATTCATTGTCCAGACCGGCAAAGTGAAAGAGGATATCGGCTTCCATAGGTGTGTATTGAACGAATCTTGTTATCCGGGCAGCTTCAGCCAGGAAGTCTGTTCTGCTGATCTTGCCATCGGATGATTTCGAGGTCGCATTTCGTACGATGAGGTCGATCAAATCCATCTCACGCATTATATTTGTAAAAGCTCTCACATTGGCATATGAGATCTTGGAGGCTGCTCCGATATTGCAGAGGGTTGGCAAGTTGTCCAAGATGTGATCAGAGAGCTTGTGACCTGAGCTAGAACGGATGATCTTTTCGAAGGCAGCAGCATCGATATAGCCGTCGTTATCTGTGTCGTATGCCTTGAAAGCTTGCCGTATTCTCTCACCGACCAAGCCTCGCATCATCTGTGCAAATTGTGGGTAGGTCAAAACATGTCTGTTCTTCGCACTACCAATGTACAGTGTTGCCCATTCGGACTCCCAGTCGAAGGGTAGAGACTCGGAACCCTTGTGTGCTTCTACTATCTTTTTAAGCTCATCAATATCGACCATACCATTGCCATCAACGTCGAATAATCGGAAGGGGGCTTCGTAGTCAGCGTCTGGTTTCGTGATGAGGTTTTCGTAGGCGTGGAAGTCCTGCATTGAAAGCTTCCCTCGTTTGTGAACATCGGCGACACTGAAGAGGAGACCATATTGGACTCGTGCTATCTTGTGCTGCAAAGTGTTAGCAGGCTAGTGATGGCAAGGTGAATGGTTGTAACTCACGTAATCTTCCTCTGGAGGTGCTATCGCATTAACGAAATCTTCCTGGGACATCAACAGCTCTCCGTTCTCTTCTAGTGATGCATGCTGCAGGAACCTCGCTCTCGATTCCTGTGAGACTCCTTCTGGTGCTTCTGTCCCTATCAATGTCTCTTTCAACGACTCTTTGATTTGCTCTGCTTTCGCCGGCACCGCCGTCGCCATTGTGGAGGAGTTTTATCGATGTATAGTATAGACAGCAGGTAGGAGTGTCGCAGAAAACGATAGATCGATGGATCGACGGACAAAAACGCGGAAGACGCGTGGGTGAAGATCGATCAAAAAATTATTAGGCTTGAGAATGGTTGATGATTCCACCGAAATTACGTCCACCTGGGCTAGATGCAAAGCAGGGAGGAACAAGAAGACTCGAGCAGAAGTGAAAACGTGCTAACACAATTGATCGTGGTGATGACAAGGTGAATGCTGAAGCTGTCAGATCCGGGGTAAGTTTGGGGAGATTTGATTCCGGATCAAGGGACTTTCGAGCAACGTCGCCAGGCCGGCCGATGGATCTCGCTGTCGCCGCGCCTCGTGATTTTTGGTAGCCTTCTAGTAGCCAACTTTTTCGAGAAAAGCTTCGACGCTAATGTTGGCCAAGTTGAGTTTAGTCAGGTACCGCGAACTGATAGCTGGATTGGGACGCGCTTCCGACAGATCCCGCTTATCGCGAGCATATTCCCATTGGTCCGCCCACTACGAGAATAGGCCAGGGAATACAGCTCCTTTCACTTAGGCGGTCAGTGCCAGTGGTAAGGACGTGCGGAGCTGTCTCGATCTTGTGTACAGAATGGAGACTTAAGCCGAACCTGACTGTGTTTGAACTCAAAGTGAATTATATTTCGAGTGATTGTGCTTGTCTGAAAATGGTACACCACAATCATACTGAATGGCAAAACGAATTGAAAGGTACAGTAAGTGCACCAAATACTCAATAACTCCTACTCTCATCTTGCCGGTACCGCAAAAAGCATTAGATGTATGCCAAATATACACGCTGGTGTGTTGATTCGTAACGGTCGTGAAAGTGCAGCTTCAACCCCCTGATTTATCCCCAGACTCTCAGTTGTGGTAGTTTCGATAGTATGCCTCAGGACCTGGCCCATAATCTGCCATGGTAGTGTGGTAGCTCTCTCGTGTTGCATAGCTGTGTGTAGGGATATGTAGTAGGCTATGGTCTGCTTGTAGATCACCACCGAGGCCACTATCGTTGGTCGGTTCGCCTTCGTCATACGAGTTATCTTGACCATCATCGCTTATGCTTCGATTCGACCTATGAGACGCTGCCAGAGATACACGCTTCTTATGGCCATACGGTGTCTTTCCAAGCATTTGTTTGAGACCTAGTCCAAAGCACTGTTCTCCTGGTCAGCTTGATACAATGTGTTCTTGGAGCCTAGTCGCCTACCAGCTTCTCCAAGTCTTCCCATTTGCATCCAGTCCTTTCCGCCAGTAACATCCACATCTCCTTGCGAAGATTGTCCTTCTGGTATGCACTCCGGATTTGCTGGACTTGCTCTGGTGGCCAGCGTGATGGATCTTGTCTTTCCTGGATCACCCTTGAGAATCGTTTCCTGCAAGCGTTGCCAGACTTTTTCCCCTGGAAGAATTGCTCCGAGATCTGTTCCCATTTCATCCGTTTGTGGTTCTCCACCAGAATCTCATCCATCAGAGGTGTCCATGGATTGTTCCCAACTGGTGTGTCCGGACGTGAAGCCTCTATCGGCGCAATTGATATCCTTGTAGATTGAACAGGCAGTGCTCCTGATATTGGTGTCGGCATTGGATTGTACTGTGCTTGGTATACTTGTTGCTGATAATGGTTGTATTGCTGATGTTGCTGAGCATCCAAGTGATAGTAATGTGCTTGCTGGGTAGTATCCCAGCCCATGGTTGGTGCGGGCGCTGTTGATACTGCTATTGCCATATTGTGCACCTGACTAATAGAACTGACCCTCCGGTTCGGGTAAGGTACAGCGTGTTGCACAGCAGACGCAGACCTTGTTGTCGACCGTCTCGCCCTGGGCATACCAAATGTTCGTAACTTCGAAAACGAGGCCGTATAGAGGCCTCTATCGATTCAAGTTTCGTGCGATGTTGTATATATTAGAGCTCATTAGCTCCCGAGGATGTTGTTGAGAGAGTAGAGGCAGTGGATGTTAGGGCTGTTGTCCTGTGTATTGGTTCACACCTCCTACTTTTCTCAAACTCCCTTCGGAACTGGATGGAATGCGTAGAATATAACGTATCTTGATCCCGTCGTGCTAACATTGCGCTTGAACCTCAAACACGCTTGTATAGTCAACGGCGTCAACTTCATAACAGAAACAGGTCTGGGACACGCGAGAAGCACTATGAAGCACGAACTTAGTGCCAAACATCCTGCAAGGGTGTTTTCTGAAGCCGCTGTGAGGGCGTTTACACTATTACCATGTGGGTAGTGCCAGAGAAAGGTGGCTCTTCCACTCGAGCCAGTCTAGCGATTGGTTGATTGTGCCATCGGCGTTAATTTGGAACATACTTCAACAGCCGCGGTGGATTTGGCGAGCATGAGGCTCTAAACTGTAATGGAAACCCTAGAACAGGAAATAGTCGTGAGCAGTGGTGCTGTGCGGATTGATGTGACTGCCGGCGGCACATGCGTGCTAGTGGACACGGTCCGCTCCATCTGCTAAGCGTTTCGTTTCGAGAGATCATCCGAATGCTTTCTCAGGCACACACGATTCAAATTCATGATCACGAGTATTTGATCGGTCTGTTAATCAGATACCCAGGCTGTCCTTGCTTCCCACTTCAGGGAAGCACACATATCGACGCGTTCTACAGTATTGAACTTCCACTCTTACAACAGGTTGTTTTGCTCACCGAGTTAAAACCGCACATCGTATGTTGAGATTTAGCGAAACGACGTCATGCTGCTCATCGCTGGAGTGGACAGTAGCAGGGGCTTGTCGAGGTTGTCAAATCTGAAACACAGGTAGACGCCCAATAGGCGCTTTTCTGCACAAGGGGCCAAATTTAGATTGACGGCGTCAAGATGCATTTGCACGTTCCAAATACTATCTTGTAGAGAAGGGTCTACTGGACGTGGATTCTCTCACTGCTAGCTCACGGAGTCATTGAGCATCGATGGTGCATGAGAAGGTAAGTACTTGTAGGATGAAGAACATATGTTCGTAGTTGAGATCCTGATCTGGAGCAGCAGCGACCGGCACATTCCGGTTCGTCGAACTCCAAAAAATGGAGTCTATCCGCCTCGCTCCTGCCGGTAGTAGAGCTCTTGGTCACTCCTCGATGTAGAATAGTTGTACCTGTTGCCGTTCGACGGAAAGAGACTATTCACGTCGACGCAGAGCACTAATCTGTCTTTTCCCTTGGTCCGAAGTAAAGATCGCTACAAAGGTCGGCATTTCAGTCAGCAATATCCTGTGCCGGTAGTCCATGCAGACTATCACTTGTAGTGATTCCGACGCTACGACAATACATGGCAACAACTTCTTGCTGGCAGCGTAGTGGCACGATCAAAGACAACTTTTTAGTAGCATCGATATTCATTAGGATATCTACACATCTCAACTTCTCACTGGAGAAGGAGCTAGTCATCAAGTCGTCACAAGTCATCAGCATTCGTAGAGCAGTCCTTCCTAGGCACAAGAGCAACGAGCCCGTTCAGTCTCTTCGCTGCCATCTTCTTTCTTCCCTCGTCATCTTCGTGTAACCACCATAGTAATCTGGCTCCTCTATTGGAGAAACGTGGTGCACAACAGGTGTTTCCGAGAATGACAATTGTCGCTGTTGCTGTTGTCGCGCAGCTGCTGATTGAGTCTTCTTCAAAATGCTGCGCTTGGTGCCATTGTTCGAGTACATGTATGTTGGCTGTTGTGACATGCTCGCAAACCCTCTTTGGTTGAGCTTGGTGTTGCGAGATGTGGGACTTAGTGGAAGAGGTGATAGTGGTGACCTCAATGGCGATCTAAGAGGTGCTAGAGGTGTGATTGGAGACTTCAGTGATAGGACTGGTCTGGATTGTTGTGTAGCAACAGGAGCGATGCTGATGGAGAGCTTTGGCTTAACGGCTCTTGAGGCAAGCATTTTGACTGATTTGTGTGATATGTAGATGTTCAACTAAGAGATCCTGAATATGAAAATTGATGCTTTGGTGAAATGACCTTGATCAACAAGGACGTGTAGCTTTCCACGGGAAGAGACTTGCTCTTGTTGTATATGCTGGAAGAGAGCTGTTGGATACTGGTAAGTCGAATTTGATATACTGATTGGCCTGCCAAAAAGTATGCTTAATTGACCGTAAATAGAAACGAGCAAATTCGAAACAGAGGGATGCCAGATGAGAAGCAAGAGAATGGGTCAGAGAAGCGTCTATATAATTTTGGTACAGTAACGAGCAGCGAAACAATGAGGAGGGTGGATGGCATTCAGGTACAAGTGGAGCATTGTGCTTCATGGTCGCCAGAAATGGTCACCACATCAGACCCCACTATGTCGACAAGAGCCAGTCAGTAGAGCTTTGCAACCGCGACACAGAACGAATCACCTTGTATTGACCAATCAATCCACGAGACTCTTCGGAGGGAACATGCATTGCATCAAGCAGTCTGCAAGCTTTCTGTGTGATATTGACGTTCAAAACCCTATCACGGAATATGGTTCGGCAAAGTCTCGTGCCCATACTAGTATATCGCAGAAGCTTTCAATACCTACGTTTGCACGATCAGTTCAGAACGTCTGGTACATAAGTAGATATCTTGTGTCTCTCAGCTGCAGCTCAATTGATTCTTGCAATAGCGAGAGACCAAGCATCTGAAGGAGAGTAGAGTTGAGTGTAGAGCCCCGGTAGCAATCGCCAAGTATGGCCGTCGATCAACGTGACAAGCTTCATAGCGTGCAGTGGGTAGATCACATCGGGTTGCTTTCTGGTATCACAACAGCTGACATCAAGGAATTGGTTCGCTTCATTCAGTCACCTTGTGATATCAGTTCTGTATAAACTCTGCATGTGCAGAGTGACAGCTGTGCTTTTGCAGTACGGGATATTGACTTGGTAACCTGCTCGCGTATGTAATGGCAATGGTATTGCACGTTAATGCCGGAAAGTGGTGCTAAGACCGTGTTGGTCAAAAAGTAGCCACGTCGAGTGACCAACAGTATGGTGTGCTCAGCGACAAACTTGACGATCCTCAAGACCTGATGGTAAAGGTCGCTAGTACAAACCTCGGTCAAGCCCTTTCCGTGTTGTGGTGATACGTCACACAGTATCGCATTTTAACATGTCAAAGCAGTTGTATTGTAAGTAGAAGCAAGCTTAGCATTTCGTCGACGAAAGCTCTCGACCCTGTGAAGGCGAAGGATTAGCAATTCAACAGAGAAAATTCACATACCTTGACCTGTTTGCTTAGCTCCGCAACAGCAATAGATGCTCTGGTGACATAGACTGACAAATGAACTCCTGCGTTATGCGAAATGGTGTGTACTGAAACAGAGTCATGGCGAAATCGTCAATTCAAGCTGATAATCAGGTCGAGCTACTGGCGACAAGTTATTGACAAGCAGGCGATGCGTTGTGTTTATGGTATCTCTGAAGACTGAGAGCAAGTCGATATAGTGCATACGAGATCAGTCGAAGTCGGAAGCTGATAATGTGACTTTTGATGCCGGAAGGGCGTGCTACTGATTTGAAACATGGAAATGCTGAGAACAACCATGCCAGTGGTGGGCATGCTGGCCCAACCATCTTCTGAAAGCTGCACCTGAGCCGCGTGACTGGGTCGAATACACGAAGAAAGTACTGCATGTCCTGAAATACGAACCGTGCTTGCCGACCTTTCCTGCGGTCATCGTATGCGCCGAATATTATTGTTCTTTCCAGGATGTGAAAAAGCCGATACCACCGAGAACGAGATTGGGAATACAGAACCGAAGAAGACCCTTCCAACTTTGAGACCTGTGAGAGTCGACGACCATCACAGTGAGACCGAGACGGGAGAAAGTGCAATGGATGCCTACCTCCCGGCATATCGATCTTCGCGAGGAGCAGCATAGTCGCGGCCACCCCCGTAAGACTCTCGCGGAGCCTCGTCTCGTGCAGGTGGTGCGCCACCACCGTAGCTTCGATCGCGGTCCTCTCGTCGTTCGTAGTAACCGCCTCCTCGTCGATCACGTCCTGCGCCATAGTCGTCGCGTCTGCTGCTGCTTTCGTATCGGTCAATTCGGCCGCCACCACCACTGTAGTTGTCGTCTCCTCTTTCGCGTCGGCCGCCATAGCCACCACCACCGTAGCCTCGTCGATCGTAGCCGTCGTAGTCACCACCTCGAGGAGGACCGCGACCTTCATCACGTCGACCACCGTAGCCACCTCGTCGATCATCGTAACGATCTCGGTAGCCACCGCCAGGTGGGCCTCGTCTACCACCGCTGCCACCAAAGTCTCCTGCGTATGGGTTAGTAACCAGTTACCGAGGAATAAGGACTTCACTCACCTCGCTTTGGAGGACCGAAGTATTTGCCTGGAGTAGGCGATCTAGGTTTGCCACGACGCGCCTTCTCGATGCTCAGAGTTCGACCTTCGATTTGAGCGCCTTGAAGACCTTCTTTCGCGGCATCGGCTTGGTCAGGAAGAACCATCTTGACGAATCCAAAGCCACGAGACTCCTTGGTGTGTGGATCCAACATGATCGAGCAGCTCTCAACCTCACCATACTTGTCGAACAGAGCAGTTACATCCTGCTCACTGAGTCTAGGATGAATGCCAGTCACGAAAAGATTTGTGCCTGTGTTGACTGCAGCCTTTTCTTCCTCTTCTTCCATTCTAGTGTCGCTTGGGGGAGGTGGACTGCGTTTTGTTAGGTTTGACTTGAGACAGCTTGCTTGGTAACCTACGGAGCACGACCATTGGGTGATCGATCTCGGGGTCGATCATCACGCTCACCTCGAGGAGATGCCGAACGATCGCGTCGCTCGTAGCCTCGTCCCTCTGATGTGAAGTCAGCCAGGTTGAACAGCGAAACACGTGAAGTCATCGTACCATCATAACCACCGCTTGTATCCTCGAAGTCAGCCATTACGTTTGACGTGGAATTGATGTGCTAAGGGGTGAATTTTCTTTGTTGCGACCTGTCAAGTCAAAGTCTGTGACTGGAGGTATGTGTCGCAGTGAGCCGTAACTTTAGTTACCTATCGAGTAGGGAAACAAAGAAGGTGATGAAATTCGAAGTAATCGGGATGCAGCAAGTTCGAGAGTGCTGTAAAGTTAGAAGAAGGAAGTTTGTCTATCAATCAGGCTGAAGTTGCTGCATTCCGGGACACGAAACTAAGTGAACCACAAACAACCTAGCGCCCCTTCCGGCTTCCGCGTCCTCGCTAAACAGTAGGCAAGATTCAGGCAAGTTAGCCGTGCAGCAGGCAGGCATTCTCTTATCGAGCACTGCACGATTGATCTTAGTTTTGAAAACCATAGGCTCTTCGGAGAATTGTTTGCTATGCAGTGCCTGGTCACTATGGTGCAATCGAGGAGAGGGCATGTAACGAAAGGACGCTCTTGATAGGTCAAGGAAGAACCAAAACTTGAATGGACAGTCTGTTGATCGTCCATGGATAAAAACGTCTATGTGACCCGGACATGCGACTTTCACATCACTCCTCCTCCAAGAACAATATTTTGGACTAGCTGAACTGATCGCATTCTGGAAGCACGCTGGTCAGTGGTCGAATCATCTATTGTAGACTCGAAGCCATAGTTGGTCGAGCAGAATCCATTGACTCAGCATCTACATCCCACACCAAATTTTGACGACCAACGAGCTCAATATGCTTCGTGAACTGAACAACCTAGACAATCATTGTTCTGCCTAGATCCTTTACAAGCGCAGAGTGCTTCAGGCGTACCAAACACATGTGCAAGAAGACTGCGTCACTTTCGCTGGTGGGCTGTTTGATCGCAAAGCCAATGCAAAGACCGACTCTTATGCCTGCTGACCTCGACTAGGGAGACTTCTGTCACGGATAGTAAGTCATCTTTGTCAGATTCACAAGCTTGAAACTCCGCAGAATCGTGACACTAGTACCAGGAACGAAAGTGAGAACGCAAAAGACGAAGAAAGGTAGGATTGATGGTGATATTATCCCACAGTTAACGAGCTAGGCCCGCCACATGGGAAGGATGCTCGGCGGGTGCCGAGGAACGACCAATCCATAAAATCGAGCACAGAATGATACAGATCGACTTGAATAATGTGCCGATGAACGGGCCTCTATATGTATGCTTGGTCGAAGCCAGCACAGCGGTTCACAAGCATGTCAATAATACAATCCTTCACTATCGGGTTAGCCCAACAAATAATGACGTCTGGTGATATCCAGCTCGAGGAGGATCGCCAGGTATTCCTTCTGCTCGCGTCTATCGCCGCGCCCTAGTCGTTCTAGTGGTTGTGCTTTTGCGCTTCTTTCCACTTCCAGTTCTACCCTTCCTCCAGCCCTTCCCAAGTCCTGCGCTATTGCTGATTCCGTTCATGCTGTCAGCCGCGACCCCACCAGTTTTGGTAATCACCTCGTCCGTGTTCTCACGTACGAGGTCCTGCAAATCTCCTTCATCCATGTCGCTAAGCTCTTCACTGAGGTCACGAAGGACGTCCTTGCCAATCCATCGCTCTTCGTTGACTGTGGTACCCCATGGGTCAAAAGCTTCGACATACCAAGGAATACCCCCATGAACAAGGGGATTGTTTGCGCTGTTGCCTTTAGTGCTGATTGGAGGAGTGGGTGGCTGTACTGTTTCACCATCTGCTTGAATCGTGCCTGTAACAAGCGCAGTATCTTGCTTGATGTGACCATTAGTCGAAGCTGGTGGTGTGTGCACGACAATGCCGTTGGGCTTCAGTAGGCCACTATGGCCAGTAGGTTCTGCCGCTGTGGCTGCCGTATGCTCTACATGCTGTTCCACTTCCATACCCGAGTCATCGTAGTTCTCGATAGAATCCATAGGGATGTCCTGAAGCTCATTCTTACCCATTGCTGTGGCATCTGCCATGTCAATGTCCTGGTCAGGCGTGGCATCGCCAGTATCAACACGCACAGTACTGTCAAGGCCGTCCATGAGCGCTACCCTCCGCGAGAAAAGAAGATCATCCATCTCTTTCATTTGTTGCTCGAAAGGTCTTCCAAGCAGTTCTGACTCCTTTCTAAGAGCAGCTGAAAGAAGAGGATAGGCAGCCTTGATTATACGACGAGCCAAAGTTCGTCGCTCACGCTGCTCAGGATCGTCGAGTTGTGTGGTCGGCCTTTGTCGCAGTGCTTGCTCATTAGACATATCAGAAGCATCAAAACCGACATCATCCTCGAAGATCTTGGCGAAGTCCGTAAAGAAAGTACTGACAGCACTGTAGTGGCGGTTCTTGATACGCAGCCGTAATTGGGACAGCGCCTCACCATAGACACCTCTATCCAGAAATGAAGCTTTGTCGACCACAGGTACCAGAAGTGCACCGATAGGAAAGTAGATGGTATCAACAACTTGTTGTAATAGTCGAGCTTCTTCCAGCTTTTGTTCCTCTCGCTTCATGACTTGGTCACAGATAGCTCTGATACGCTCAAGATCTTTGGCAAGTAGCTCAGCAAATTCGATACGGCGTTCAAGCCTGGCACGGCCAGCAGCACCCATAGCCCTATAGTCTCGTCGTGTGACTTCGAAAGAGCTGAAAGTTTCCATCTGCAATTGCAGTCGTTTGAGCAAGGCAGCACCCCTACGTGCTTCTCGCTTCAATGTCCAATACTTGCAGATTTCGGTGACATACTGGTTCCGCTTATGGACTCCAAGTTTCTGCAAAGACTCCTCGATTGTTTTTAGTATGACCTCCGGAATCACAGGTGCACCGGAAGGTAGACGCCATATACTCTTGGCCTTCGTACCTTTCTTATTAGTCAAGGTCAATCGTGGTCCTTGTTCAGCGTTAAAGCTACTAGTGGTATCGGTCATAGCAAGAGCAGATGATTTGCTGTCGGCCCAGATCTGGCCAGCGAAATGATGCCTGAAATATCTTACCGCCTTCTCGAACGCCCTGTCGGTCCGGTGTTCGGCTTTCCAGTCGGCAGGTGAATGCTTGTGACAATATGCCCGAAGCTGTGTTGAATCCATCAAGGTGTTTTGACCACCACCAAGCTTCATCTTCAGATAGAGTCCCGCTTGTCGAGCACAAGTCAAGTGAAATGGCTCGTAGCAACGTGCGTCACTACATTGCACACTGGCACCCATATTCTGCTTGCAAATGTAACAGCTGAGCTTCCATCTACTGTTTGGCACTTTCTCCACGTCTGTGATTGGCTCCATCAATGACGGGTTGCCAATGGTGACCTCTGGAATCCATGTAGCACAAAGCAAGTGTGCCCACTTTGAGTTGTTCGTCTGCTTAAAGGCACCGCCCTCGTTCGGACAAAAGATGCAACTTGGCCGAGCATTCCCAACCAATTGGCACTTTCTACAGAGCCATTGACCTTCGGGAATGTATGGCACGCCATAACACTCTTGATGTACCGCAAGATCACAACCATCGCAAAATACTATTGCGTTAGCATTTTCACAATCGCCATCGTCGCAAATAGCACATTTACTATCTGGCTCAGCGTCAGGTCCAGGTTCGCCGTTGACTGCAGCGGCTGAGCTTGAACGTGGTCTTTGTGTCTGGGGTGCCTTTGGGTTTGGCTTCGGGATTCGCTTTTCGAGTGCGTGCCACTCTTTCTCGACCTTGGTCATAGTAATCTCAAAGACAGCGGGCTTGATAGGATGTACACCTTCCTCTACCCTCAGCTTGTTCAAGGCGTCCAGCCATCTTACATCTTGTTCATCCATATCATATTCGACTCTTCCGACACCATTTCCGCCAATAGCAGAATTGCCTTCGCTGTGAACCAGGTCTGGCATGAGGTCCAAGTCTTCATCTGCGGAACCTTCCATTTGTCTGATCATGTGTTCAGGTCTGATGAACACTTCACTCTCCTGATATCCGACATTGGCCATATGAGGCGTCACAAAGTTATCAGCTTGAAACTCCTTGCCATCGTACTGGGCAAATGGGTCAAGTATTCGATAGGAGGGTCTGGGTAAAGTCAATCTCTCTCTAGGGTTCGGTCCTGGTGGAGGTACGAATTTGGGAGCCTCTGGTGTAAGCAGGGATTGCAACATAGACGACTGAGTGCGTAAAGGACGTCCAGGTCTTTTCTTCGAAGGAGTGCTTTCTCCAGCCTGGCCATATTCACCAATACCATCATCCACCTGGCTTTTTGTGTCAGGCACTACAAAGCCATCCACTTCCTTAGAGGGGACGATCGCGAAGGTTGACTCCAGATCCAGATCAGGATGATATTCCTCCCAACCTCTTTCCTCCCTCGGCTTGTAGCCATCGCTGTGTGTTGCGGCGGCAGCAGCGGCAGCGGTTGTATAGCGGGGCCTGCCAGTCGATCTATGTGATCTTGTCGTGCGTGGAGCAGGTCGCGCACTGGCAGTCTTTCTACTGGTTGTCTCACCGCGCCTTCTTGCCGTTCTTGGTTTTCGAGACTCATTCCTCTCACGAGGAGTTACGAAGATATCCTCACCCTCAAGATCTATGCGTCTGCCTCCTCCTCCTCGTCCACCTGGTATCCATCTTGTTCTTTGAGTGTTACTCCTGGAGGTGCGCAATCGTTTAGTGGGGGGCTCATCGTCCGAATCAAGGTCTGGCTTTAAGGTCATAGGCGTTGCCGGACTGTCGAGTTTCTTGATAGGCGATCGCTGTGGTCGACTTCGTGCCTGGGCGGCTCTAAGCAATACCATGATATGCTGTAGCGCGGATTGTGTTCAGAAACGCGCGTAGTGTGTCCGTGGATTAGCGCGGCTGAGGGAGAAATGATTGTGGTTTCTGCCGTAGTCGCGCAGCATGAGTACGCATTGGTTCAGTCAATGATCGTTCGCGAGAAAGATGGTGCGTTTGCGCCTGACAAAGGATGGCGCATACAGTGATAATGTTCAAGTTGTAGTGAAGGCTCCTTGTCTGAGCCCGTTTAATTAAGGTTGATCCACCAGCCTGCGAAGGAGCCGCTTACATAAGAAGAGGATCGTGCCTGCCTACTCCACACAGGTTCGGTCGAACTGCTCCTGCGGTCGAGCCAATCTGGCTGCCCTAGATCAAACAGCGATCTGCACCAGCGGCGAAAGTAGCATCTTTAAATATTTGTTTGCATTTTTACTAGAATGAGCGTAGAGTAAGTCCTTTTCTGCACAAAGCTACCACGACACAGAGGATCTACCAGCTCCTTAAATTGCAACACCTTCTCTTTCAACCCGACACTATGATAGGTACTAACACCAGTGCCACCAGCAGTCAACATAAACGCAACTCAAACCAGTCACGCCCAAATGTAGCGCAGCCAAACCCTAGCAATAAGAAGAATAGTAGCAACAAACAAAACCAGATTCAGAATCAATCTCCACAGAATTCCAAGCAGAACCAGAACCAGAACCAGCAGCTGAGCAAGTCAGCAGCACCTGCCGCGGCGCCACCCCCCAAGACCAAGTCACCTCCACCTCCTGCAGAATTAGAACCGCATGTGTCCCTAGAAGGGTTTAATGGCGATCAGATCGATGTGCTCTTAAATGGCGGTGAAGAAAATGTAGCAGAACACTACAAGATGGAAAAGCCACCAACCAACAAACAGGCAGCATGGGCACAGAAACGTGAGTAGTTCAGCAGCGACAACACTAGCTCGGAATATACTAACACACTGCAGCTGGAAACATGGCTACAGGCAAGGACTTTTGGAATGAGCTTCGCAAGCAGGTAGCGACCTTGCAAAAAGGTGAGAGTACCAATAAGGGTGGCTGAAGGACATTTTTGTGTTTCTCACCTGTTTTACTACTGTACATTCTGGCAGCACAAAGCAAAGCATTCCAGGCGTTTTATGAGCATCAGATACCCCTTGTATTAGGCTGGTCGTTTCGTGGCTGGCAACTGGGCATGCATTTCCAGCAAGTATAGACACGATTTAAGAAATGGACATGGCCTCTTCACATTGTGATATCAGGTCGTCAAATCTGGATTCAGAACTTCCACGACTCCTCTGCTACAAGCTCTCTTCTGACCATACCTGTGCTATTCTGACCAACAGAAGTTCCATTGGCCTGTATCGCACCACTACCCCAAGTACCGTTCAGCATACGAACCTGTGCATTGATACTCACGCCAGAGTTCAGGTTGCCACTTCTCAGAACGACAGTATCAAGCAATGCTTCAGAATAATACACCGCCGTCGCACTCCTTTCTCCCTCCAGCGCAAACACTTCAATTATGCTGCGATCCACAACCACTTGGAAGTCAAGGGTATTGTTCAAAACCAACGCTGTCGAGAACCGGTTTGTGTTGTATACGTTGTCCCAGCCACTGATACCTCCGCGGTCAAGCCACATCGTCGAATCTCCAGCAACAAAGATACCGCCAGTGATAGACTCCCGCGACCCGCTTGAGGATATGGTAAAGTTTATGCTGGCCGTGTTGCTGAGACCTGTAAGGTTGAGGCCTGTGACGTTCACGTCAAGCATGAATGCGCCACTTCCACCGCTCACGTCGGCGAATAATGTGCCGTTAGCGCCAAGGTTGGTTGTTGAAGCAGTGCTTTCGCTACTCCTTAGTCGAGCAAGATCATACGGCAGACTGACAAGAGTATATCCTTGGTTTCTCGCACCCTGTCTGAGGTAATTGGTCCTCGGCAACGACATCGTACTCTGCCATCCCTCCGCCGGACCAGTAGGCACAAGATTGCAGTACTGCCAGTTACTCGCCCAAGCTATACTGATAGCTTCCGTACCAGTGCCATAAAAGAACTGACTAGCATAGTTGTCCTTGCCCCAATCCGCGATTCGTGCCGCAGCATCCACCGCCGTGAAATGAGTACCATTGAAGCTTCCAGGGAAGTACTCTCCTATCGACCCACCAAGGGGAGCTCCAGGGTTGATCGAGAGATACATAAGCCACATCGTTTCATTACTGCCATAGACCTGCATCTCGACAAGATTAGGACATTCGTATTGTGTACCTAGTAATCCGTGATAGGAGAAATTGCTTGCATGAGACCAGGAAGTGAGGTTTGGAGACGTGTAGATGGCTAGAACGAATTCTTGGGAGAAAGCAACGACCATGACCCAGTGGTCTTCGTACCAGAAGACCTTGGGGTCTCGGAATTGAGCGCTGCCGGCTGAGAGGACGGGATTGCCGGCGTATTTGGTGAAGGTGTATCCGTTATCGTATGAATAGGCAATGTCTTGGACTTGCTGTTGTGGTCCAGCCAGAGTATAGATTGCTACAACACCATTTGTCTGATTTGGGAAGAAGCCGGAGGTATTGTTTGGGTCTGTCACCGCACTTCCACTGAAGATATAGGCGGTTGAGTTGTCGGGAGCTAGGGCAATAGGTTGATTCTCCCAGGTATATAGATCGGTGGATGTGGCATGACCCCAGTGTTGGTTACCTGCTATGGTAGCTGAAGGGTTGTATTGGTAGTATAGGTGATATGTGCCTTCCGCATCCAAAAACATGCCATTCGGATCATTCATAAATCCTTGGGGTGGTGAAAAGTGAAGCTGTGGTCGATAGTGCCCGCTATAGTCGCCCGATATAGCTGTTCCTGCTGGCAGGAGACTGCTGCTAGTCATTGATGTCGATTGCGCATAGGCTCGAGCAGCGATGCTGCTGAGCAGCAGCACAAGGTTCAAGTACATACTGAGAGTGCTGACTAGAACAGTATCCTACCTGTCCACGAAGCTTTCTCTTGCCCAGCAGTTCACGAGATTATATATCCAGGATTTCGTGAGCTGGACGATGCAAAGCTGCTCGTGATGACCACTTTCATCGATCAGGATGGGACGATGTTACATTGACTGTGAGAATTACCTTTACATGCTCTCGTGGAGCTCGGATGTGCTGATGTCAAGGCACATCTGCTCAGAACTTTGCATACAGCAATCATATTGCCAAGTACACATGCTATTTCATGTAGTACTCAGCCGCTTCTTGGGGAGTCTATGCCTTGGCATGGCCGCTGATCTTCACACGAAGGTATCTTACGAAGCACTAAACATCGAGAAGGGCCGAATACTGACGAGAAGCTTGGCATTTTGCCTACGGAATCTTGCGGGGAAGCTCAACTAATCCTTGTATTGGAAGATCATTACGCGTATAGGGTGGTGGATGTGGTTGGAAGGATAATTGGATTAACGGTACCGTAAGTCCTACTCCCCGAAGTTGTCACAGCAGTCTATGTTCTACTTCGTGAAACATACCGCTCGAATGTGCTACAGAAGGAGAGTGAGTTAGGAAAGGACACGTACACAAGATCTCCTTGGAATAATGCCGAGTTTGGGAGATCGTTCTATTGTCACTGACTGCCTGTCCGACACCACGAATATTCTGAACGTATCCCTCGACCGCAAAACTACTTCCTGTCTTGCAAAGACTTCCTGATCACCGCTTCCTGAAGATGCACTATCTTGCCTATCTTGTTTGGACTGTCCCCTCGCGTCTGTATTTGTGGCGCTCGACTTCTGTCCGGAGATGTCTCATGCTTCGTGTTGATATTTCTGTATACCTGGCAATTGACTTGCTTATGCGACCATGGTGCTGGCTGTGGCGCTCTCGTACTTCCATGTTGGCTGGAGGACACCGACCGTCTTGTAATATCTGCTCAATCGGTGGATTCTTGACTCGATCAGAATAAGTCTGAACTTGGAATCCTTGTCCTTTCGGTTTCGCTCAAGGTGCTTGCGGACAGCAACAGCCTAATAGAACGATTAACAACATGCTATGTTATGTGCTCAAAACCCAATCTTACCTTCTTGATCAACATGTAGAGGTCCTCTGGAATTTCTGGTGCGAGGCCTAAATAGTCACTCTGTCAGTCACTGTGGACCAGAACAGAGGCATAGTTGTATCTCTTCTTCGCGAAGATGTAAAAGAATGCTTGGGAGCAGAAACTTAGTCTGCACTCCATCTCTTGTTTTTCATCCTGCTAGAAGTGGTTCGTGGCTGCGCATACCATTTGACTTGAGGATTCGTAGAATCTTGTTACCAGTGACGACCTTGACCTGGGCGACACCATGGCTATCACGGAGGACTACACCAATCTGAGATGGAGTAGCACCCTTTCGTGCAAGCTTGCAGATGTTGTCAACGACGGTATCGGGGGTGGATTTGAACCATGTTGGGACTTGTCGAGAGTATGGAACGGCGGAGGCGCTGATACCCTTTCCCTTGGAATGAAGACGACCCATGGCGACGGTTGTATGATAATGCTAAGTCGTCTCAAAATTCGTCCGCGATTTGCTCTTTGGAGGTTCAAAATCTTAGCGCCTTCCTCGAACTGTGTGCCAAGCTTAATTCCACGAGGCAACTACGCCGAGAAAACTTCGCGCTAAAGAAAACAAAAATCTTGTCGAATTTCATCCCTCAAGTTCATCTCTCCTGCATATCATCCACCTGATTGCATCCTCGCCAAAGCTGCGCGCTGCAGGAGAAGCTATGCGCTAAAAGCAACGACGTGGTTTCGTTTCTATTAAGAGTCCACATCAATCTTGACAATGCATGGTCAATTCCATCTTCCCAGCTACCTCTTCTGGAGCATGAGGATGTCCTGACCATCTCCTCCTGCGGTCTTCAGGTGTTCCGCAAACTTCTGGAGTGTTGCTAATGTACTGTCTCGAGTTACAGTATACCCGTTGGTAAGTCATACGGCCTGTGGTATTCCTGCAACTCTCCCATACCTTACCTTCAATGATGAACACCTACGAATTAATTTCAATACTTCTGGTACCTCTTGTTTTAGCAGGCGCTGCGGCGTCTGGATGAACTCAATGGACTTCTGATCTTCGTTACCTATCTCATATCCACAACAGCTTTTGACATTGCAGGACGCTAACGTCATGACTAGACAAACGAGTACGCTTCCGGGAATTTAAACGTTGAACGGGCTCATCCGTAGGAGCTTCCCCTGCTTGCGGCAACGGTCGTGGAGGTCCCCCTGTGGCATGTAGCTTTTCCAGTCCTAGCTGTGTGACACCGGAACATTGATGCATGTCCCGGGATCAGCTTCCATGCAACACATGGTGTTGCCTCAAATTCGACATTTAGGTAAGTCACTACGTCTTCAAGCGCAATGCAAAATGGGCGAGGGTGTCGAAGATGACATGCGCCGGCATCTTATGTGTCAATCAATACGATAGTCACGGGAGACACAACTCTAATGTCCCTGCCGTACCAATAGTCGTGCTTTTGACGGGCGTACTCAGGCCCCGACAAAGCCAGGAATTAAAACCGTGGCGTGAACATTATGGATTTGCCTCGTGCTAGTCGTAGTATCGTGATATCGCTTGCGAAAATGCAAACTTATGGCCTCCTGAAAATGTCTGTGTTCAAGATTGCCCAGACGCTCCTCTCGAGCTCAATTCTTCTGCCTCCTGTTACCCCGTGAAGCATCTCTCCATCTTCAACTTCTTTACAAGAATTAATCGCCTTGACCTGCAAGGCTGTAAGATATGCTGACATAGGAAATCTCGAAGAGTAAAGCCTTCCCCGTATATCTCAGGCGAGTCGAATGTGTATGCGTCTTCGCTTTGAACGCTAGAAATTTGTTTCAACACCTCCTACTGAGTTTAACCCTCCCAACTTTCGTGCGGTTCTATACTCGTGAATCGTGAAACGTAGATCCTCCTTACGCTGCTGCTTCATCTCATAGTCTCGTGATCGTGTAGAACATCTCTGCGTATCTCCCTCCTCTCCTCATGTTGTGAGTCCTGGCTCCGAATGGCCTGGTTCGAGTGTTTCGCTTCCAGGTTGTGTAGGCCTACTTACAGATGATCCAGCGCTTCCTCTGTCGCGATGACTCAACAGCAGTCGGTCCGAAGGGCTTTCTGCTAGATTAGATTCTGGTTCCTGTTCCACCTCCTGTTGATACGGTTCAACGCCAGCACTGAACACTGCAGATGGTGATTCTTCACGGGTCTGCCTCCTTCTGCGCCTCCCACTACTTGTCTCCTCTACTGGTTCTAGTAGCGTTGTGGTAGGTGTCTGTAGAAGCGGTGTCGTCCTTTCATCTTCCTTTGACGCCGTTGATTCTGGCGCAAGTGACGTTCTCATTCTTTTCACCGGTCTTTTCTTTGGCACGTAGACTTTGCCTTCCGCAGCAAACTTGCGATCGCGCTCCTCCACATCTTGCTTAGTTGGTCGTCCTCTCTTCCTTGGTGGATCTGATATTGGTCCTTCGCCAACTGCCACGCGGTAGAATGCAGGAGATTCCCCATTTGTTACAGGCGGGTTAGGCGATTCTGTACTTCGTAGGAGAGGCCGTGGCGCTATTGAACGAGGCTGGGCGTAATTGTGGTCGTGAGAAAATGATCTTCCTAGTGAAGTTGCTGGCGCGGGTGCTAAGGTTGGATAGGTCGTGGTATTGTATGATCGTGATGGTCCTGCTCGCTCTAGATATTGCTTCTTCATATCCTCAAAAGCGTTCTGACAAGCGCGTACGCTTCGACCTAATGCTTGAGAATTAATACTCTGCTTATGCCATCTTGCGCCGTGCTTGAGAGCTAACACGTGGGCAAGGCTTACCCTTGGGAAGAGCAATATCTAGCCATGGTGGTTCCCGTGGCAGTTCTACGAATATACATTGTAGTAAAGACATTGGCACGTCCTGAACCATTGGGTGTATGATATTTACTAGAAGCTCAATCTGCGCAATTGTCAGTGAGGTAAGAGCAAAGACGACAAGGACAAGGATTGTACCTTCTCAGCGACCGTGAACGGATCATTTGCGCCATAGGCAGACATGGACAACAGGCGCAAAGACCTGAACTGGCTTGACGGGTCGCTGTACTGAGGACTTCCAACCTCCGATGCGCTCGAGAGGGGTACACCAAAGGATTCATTAGCTGATTAAGATGATCAGTATTCAGAAAACATAGATAAAGAGTGACCGGAAACAAAACAAAAAAGTCATGCAAGGAATATAGGTAAGGCAAGTTCAGAAAAAGTCAGATGAGCTCTCTCAGCCAGCGCAGGACTTGAGGCCTGTTCTTGAGCAATGAGGCACTCAGTATTGAGCTAGTGGCATAAATTCAAGCAGCCGATAGGGGCGGAGGATATTGAAAAGAATTCAGAATTCAGTTTATCGGCTAGTGGATCAGAACTCGAAATGTTGAAGCAGAAGAACATGCCTCAAGTTCAATTTCTCGTAAACAGGATGGTTTCGTGGAAGTGACCACTTTCTGCTGGCTGAAATTGCGACTGCATCATCATACAGAGCAAGAGCGACTCAAGCCTGCAAGAGGTGCATACGCCGTCGTCGAAGGTGTATTGGAACAGCGAAACAAGCCGAGCAACGGAACATACCTTGGTCCATGCTTATCGCTTTTTGGCTTAGATCGTTATGCAAGCCATGCTGCAGCTTGAAAGACTCAGGCATGGCTTCTCCACACTCATCTTCGCATCCGGTGCACCTTGATTTGGGGCGTCTGACTTTCTGTTTGCTGTCGAAAACATTCTCGATTGACCCTGAGACGACTATACTTGGATGTATAGACAATTGATCCAATCATCGTTACGAACGACAAGGGTCTGCTCATACGCATTCGAAAATGCTGAATGGTTCGGGTTGGCGCGCCATTGGCGGGTCGGATCCATCTATGCCTCTGCCGTGGGTCGAATCAGCGATCAAGATCGACTCAAGCATATTGTGACCATGCGTGGTGCCGTCTTTGTCACTTCTGTCGGCATCCAGAAAGACCGTTGAGACTGTAGAAGATCGTCTATACGCAACATGAATCCGTCAGCCTTGTGTGTTGTGAATATCAGGTATGGGTTTTATGCAAAAGAACGTTGATATCGCACGTCGCACAGGCTGGAGGTAGCCTTCGGCGCTGAGACATGTGCTGAGACATGGCCGACTGGTGAAACTTCCCAGAGAATGATAACGACATCGAGGATCGTACGGCACATACAGAAGGACTGACTTGACCTTGCTTTTATATCCAGACTGTATACTATGCTCTTCTACTGACCGCTTCTTCAAATGATGGGTACCCAACTACTTTTTCCGCGTCATCGGGCAGTTTTGCGTCTTGCATGAAGCGAAAATAGGTGCCACGTCGCAAGCTAAGTATCTACCCGTCGCTATTATAAACTTCACCAATCTTCTGCTGCTATGGGTATAAAGAAGCCTTTACTACCACTCGAGCATGATCCATTCTTGTCATCATCCTGCAGCTCTGTACTGGAAGTGAGGCGGAGATTCAATGGCTACGACCACAATGAGACCATTTCTGCTATCAAGCATACATGGCGAATAGCAACGTTAGTGAAGTAGAACGTGGAAGGTTAAACATACTGCAACGTCTCCGACGATAAAGCCGGATAGTACCATAGTCCAGAGTATTCATCTCTAGCAATATAATCCCTGGCCAGTCAGCATCGTCTGCCACTCTCAGATCGTAAGAACAATCTTAGCTATTGATCACCCTTGCATTGAACCTCAGACAGCAACCGAACAAAGTAGCAGAAAAGTTCTCTCGGCAGGTCATCTCAACAAAGAGCAATCTTTCTACACACCTTACAGGTGGCCTGCTGTCGGATCACGACTGTACAGCAGCAGGAGCAACAGGTTCCAACTCTCTACACATGCCCAAGCAGCCCTGACCGAGAACAAGTCATTAAAACAAGATAAGTAAGTACCACGTCTTGAGAACAGCGGACCCGTTACGTGTAGCGAAAGTATCAGATATTGTCTTTTTGGCAAGTCAAGGATCAGTCTGTACTTAGAAACAGGTCACCCTTCGGGCGGATCTGGGGTTGATTCGTTCGACTGATATAGATTTCAGTCTCTGTATCGAGACAACCGTCTCAGAGCTAGACGAAAAGCTGGTATTGAGATGGTGGAAAGAGTGTTTACAGAACTTGAAATCCGACCTTATGATCAAACACTTCTTTAACAATAGGCTAACGTGAGTAGGGGTGGATGTGCTATTGCGTCGGGACCTTATTAGGTTTGATGGTGCCGGAAACACGCCCGCGTTTCTAGAAAACGTGTCGCAAATTGTCGCGATTGCAGTTCGAGTATTCGTCGCGCCTTTGTAATTGATCTCGGGTATTGAATATGGCACAAGCAGCACAAGCAACTCCAACGGTCAGAGCCAATCTAGGCGGCTCGACTAATACTGTCAACCTACGAGACTGGCTGAATACCAGACTTAGCCCGTTCCTGAAGCAGGCGATCATTAAATCATTAGAGTCCGAGTAAGCAGTTCCTTGTGTGCTGTATTTGTGCAACATTCTAACGACCTTGCTACCAGAGCTGAATATCCTCTACAATGGCTCGGCGAACAGCTGATTTTGCAGTCTATCACCTTCGAAGGTAACCCGGACTCGACAAATATCAGAGAACGATTCTTGTATAAGCACGAGCCGGACGCAAGACAATCACAAACTGCAGCATCCTCGACTTCTGACGACACCGCAAATGCAAATACTGTCACACAGCCTCCAGAGGCCTCGTCAGTCGATGTTCAACCCTCTGTCACGGAACAACCACCACCACAAGACACTCGTACAGACGCTCTAGCTGCAAGCACAGTTGCAAGTAACGTAGACCAGATTGAGCCAGAGAGTACCACAGTCAATGGTGCTGCTCAAGCAGAAGGCACAGATTACAGCAAAGACGCAGAGATGTCAAATGCGCCCTGAAAATATCGAAGTGACTATATACGCGTAAATACACTACACAACGCAAGAGTTAAACGCAAATGCAAGTCAGAGATGGGCTCTGTACAGCGTATACGCGCTACGGAGTTGCATTAACTTGTTCCCAACCTGGAACAGTTGTGATGTTGTTCTCAGCAGCTGAATCCATACTCCACTTCCTTAGAGAGCCGATGTCTAGCTTACTGCGAAAGCCTGCCTCATACATTTCCATACCACACCAGGCAATCATCGCAGCATTATCTGTACAAAGCCAGGGAGGTGGAAATAAGAGCTCAACACGACTGTATCCTCGGATGTCAAGCATACTTCTGAGGAAGTATCTCAAGAACGAATTAGCTGCAACGCCACCACTTACAACCAAGGTTGTCACATCTTGACCCGAACGTTGCAATGTCTCAAGACCCACGATGGTACGACTAGCAAGATGCTCAAAGGCAGTTCCAAGAGCAGTCCGCGCGAACTGCAGTCTCTCCTCTTCTGAAATCAAACCACCAGTTTCTTGCTGGCGCAATCTAAAGAGCTTCTCAATACCAGTAGCGATGCTAGTAAAGCTGAAAGCCAGTTCTTTTGTGTCAGCCAGAGGTGCTTGTACCTGCCAGCCGTGGACGTTGCTCGGCTTATCGATCTCTTGCGCTCTACGTCGTGGTACTGGCCAACTCGAATAGCTTCTAGGATCCGAGAACGCATAGTTCGACAGATCTCTGGCAAATGCTGTATCCGTTGCATGCATTTTCACACTATCCGGCAGAAGTATCCTCCCACATTTGTCAAGTGCATCTCCAATCGCAATATCCCTGGTAGTGGCCATGACTTCGTGGTCCGTTAGTCCTTTCGAGTGTAGAAGCATGGTGTGTCCACCACTAACCAACAGAGTTAGAAAGGGGAACTTGGGTCTGGCTTCGTTACCAGCCTTCTCACCATTCATCGCGTGGACTAAACGAGGAGTGAGCGCATGTGCTTGCATGTGATGGACACCCATCAACGGTACTCGCCAGGCAATCGCTAACCCTTTTGCTGTATCCAGCCCACAATTCAGATTCGACCTCATTCCTGGACCACGTGTAACACTGACAAAATCAGGCACTTTCTGCCCACCAGCTCCTTCCATTGCCTTGCTGCATGTTGTAGATTGCCTAGATGCAGGCAATGCTTCGACAGCTCTCGCAATGAGCTTCGCGAGATTTGTCTGATGACTTTCCAATGCCTCAAGCGGGTGAATGCCTCCTAGACCTGTGTTCGGCGCTGTGATTTTCTCGTTGAATAGAAGTCTCGCCGATGCACGGCCATAGACACCTTCTTTTGTGTCTTCACTGCCAGGGGATATGCCATTTTCAAAACGATCGAGAGGCGAATCTTTCTCTAGGATCGCTACTGCTGTATCATCACATGATGTTTCGATGGCGAGAGTCACTAGGTTGCAACATGATTGGAAACCTCGAAGCGACCAGGTATGTCTCGGATTCTGGAAAGCGCGTGTTAGGCCAAATCGAGCATGAAGCATATGTAACGAGCGTGATGACTTCTAGCCAAAAATCTAACCCTTCGATATCACAAGATTCAAGTTTGTCGTCCTCGGGACAAGAGTCTCATGGTAGCTTTTCAAATGGGGAAACTTCGGTAGAAACTTGACTTGGTGTGTCCTGCTGTATGCAATATGTAATAGCTCGATATATTTTATAGAGACAGCTACCAAATACCTTGCTAGATACAGTCAAAGCTGTGCAATATTGTTTCCTACCAGTAGATCTGATATGGCAGGCTGGAAGTGTCCGGCACCTGCTCCAGCACACTCACTACTGATGGCAGAGACTGGGTGACGGGCTGACAAGCAAAACTGCCTTCACCTTCACCTTGACCAGATCATCCAATAGCCCAACCTCGCCCTTTGTCTCTTCGATTGTGCATGAAGAAGGTGACATCGAAGTGTCTCCACTCTACCTTCGGCGTCCATGATTTTCCAGAGCAAACCTTTCACAATGCTCTCAAGAAACGACCACGTTACGACTGTCTCTCATCTCGAATGTGGATCCCCCTGCTTGGTCTTCCTCTACGAGAAAAAGGTCTCAGACCGCAATAGTAAATTCCTGTAATTTTCGCCAGATATATCGATCTGAGTCATCGCCGATCATGGCCGAGCGGTGCCCGGGATTCAATGACAAGAATTCCGCTGAACAATGTCCAACACTTTACGAGCAACCATTCATTCACCACCCTTACCCAGCCTCCTCGGCTCCACACTTCTTGAGGACCATGGAGTCCTGCTTCCCAGCCACCTATCACGATGTGTGAGAAGGGACACTCTCCAGTGCCAGTAGATGGTCAAATAGGCCCGCCTTCGCTCTTTCGAGACGGTGTTGTTCTCATATTGCTTCCTTCGTCGTTTTCGCACTTCCTAATATCACTGTTCTTTTCCGTTCTGCTGGCCAGAACCTGTCAGTTGGTCATTTTGATATTCGATTATCGAAAGCGCTTGTGTACTTCTGTAAGTTGGAAGCTGGCACGATGAAGAACACCTGCAGAGGAAGACAGCTAACTCTGAACCCAGATTCTAAGCATCTTAAAATGCAAATACAAGTTCCCGACAACTCCTTCGCCATGGCTGCTGGTCAGCCTATCTCTAACGACACAGTGACTCTCAAAGAGCTCGACCTACGATGCACAACCTTTGATTGTCCTCCTCTGAGCTTCGACCTTGAAGAGCTCATATCTGAGAACACTCCATCGACACCACCACTCACTGCTACTCAACAATTCTTCGACTTTGACAACTTCCTCAACCTTGAAGCGAAAGATCGACCTACAGTAGGTGGCAAGTCGTACTGGCCTGGTCAAAATGATCTGCCGAGTCCTATTGACCTCGAGGCATCTTCAATAGAGGAGGGTCAATTTGTGTCGCTGGAAGAAGATGATAGCATCATCGAGAGTGAATACACGCCTGAGGACGAAGTAGATGAGTCTGGATCAGACACTGGCTCGATAGACCTGCTCCAGAACACATCCACAGATCATCACATATCCAAGGGTGGAAAACGTCTATCGTCATTCACGTCAGAGGAGGAGGAAGAGGAAGAAGTCAACGAGTCAGAGGCTGAACCTGATATGATGATTGAGGAGGAAGCTGAAGATAAGAATTCTTATCACGTCCCAATCGGCGGCAAGCATCCGTCTGACAACCAGGATCAGTACAGCACGGAATACTCTAAGGATTATGTCACAGCATGTGCTCAATACGGCGATGCTATCCTTCGGATTGAGCGGCCAGCTTAGAAAGTTGGTTACAAGCGACTATCCAATAATCCAGTCAAGGCTACCAAGACCATTTCGAAAGCAGGCAAACCTCTGGGTATTCACAAGAAACCCATCCCTGCAAACATCAGCAAGTGGATTCGCAATAACGTCTCACTGGTTTTGAGCTACTTGCAAGCCCTTGACGATGGCAAAGAAGCAGACTTCGACGGGGAGAAGTACAAAGTCGATGTCAAGATTACCAAGACTCAATTCTCACCTCTAACCGAGTTCGATCCAGAGACCCTGCAACCAACTCAGAGCAACACCCTCAACGTTATCAAGGACTCCTCTTTATCACGCACAACCTGGTCCGGCCGCACCGCCACAAAAGGTCTCCTCTCCTCCTCCTCCCCCTCCAACAAAGAAAACCACCCCAACCCCCACCTCCCTACCAACCCCGACGAACTCCAAGACTTCGTCGAACCAGACTTCGACCTAGCCTACAGCATCGACCACACAACCACAAACCCTGACACCAAACATCGTCTCGCGGTCCCCTACCCAGCCCCACAATCCCTCCTCAACGCCTCCAAACGAAAATACGCCGACAACGTCCGCGAATCACACCGTCTCGCTGCCCAGGGCGTCCCAGAGAAACAGCGGCGTATCCCATGGACGATCTTCGAGGACGACCAGGTGATCAAGCATATGCTTGAGATTAAAGACGATCCGACGGTCCCCAAGACAGAAGCACGATTTGAGGAGGTTGCGAGGCGAATGGAGAATGATGGGTTGGAGCCACGGTCTAAGACTGCGGTCAAGAATATGTGGTGTCGGGTTGGGAGGGGTCGGTCCGGATACGATGAGAGGAAGGGGGTGAGACGGGATGCGCGGTTTGCGGTCAATCACTGGAAGGCTGCGGCTGATAGTCCTCGGAAGCGGACGGGTAAGGTTAAGGGTGGGAAGAAGGTTGTCAAGGTTGTTGACTCTGATGAGGAGTAAGGGGGTACGTGGTTGGGAAGTTTTTCGTGGATTGAAGGTTTGTGGTTGATGTTGTTGGCTTTGTGTTACTTTGATCTTTTGAGTTTGGTTGTTGTATGTTAGCGACCGTTGCCGCCGAGCGAAGGCGGCACGATGCTTGTGGTGAGGCATGCTCTTAATCTCTTTGCCCCTTGCCTACTTAGGCTGTCGGAGAGGGAGTTGGGCAGAAATCATCAAAGTATGAGCCATACAGAAGTCAATGAATATTACTGCTCTGTAATCTATCTCATTCAGGTCTCGTCTCCCTCGCAGCAGCATGGCACAATTCTACTTCAATACCAGCATTGAGCAATACGCTAATCCACAGCCTTTGAGTATCACTCAACCGATCATTCTCGCTCTTCACCTCCGAAAACATCACCTTTCCGCTGCCATTCTCCTCTTTCTTCCACAAGAATAGGTCTGGCACGCCTCCGCCCCTCGCTCCATATTCCTGAGCCAGCACACGCATTACAACGCCTAGCTTACCCTGCCCGTCAGCAGTGAAGCAATACACAATTTCAAGTAGATCGTCGAGCTCATACTCCTCCCAACGCACGCCAATGACACAGATTTTCTGCTCTCGATACTCGTCCCACACCCGCTGTAGGATTCGTGCTGCTCGACCAGGTTCGGCAAGCTCGTTAATGCGACTGTTGATCTCGCTAATTCGTGCAGAGTAAAATGCGTCGGTATGGAGGTCCAAAGGACATGTTTGGTAAGCTGTTTGGAAGACGTTGGGCACATAGACGTCGAACATGATGTCGTAGAATAGGAGGCCAAATAGACAGCGGAGGATACCACCTTCGCTGTGGTAGCCTTTGTAGCCTAAGACATGACGATAGTGGCTGAGGCAGAGAGCTTCAACGGAGACGTACTCGTTAGTGTCGAGCTCGTCGAGCCATGTTGTCTTGCCACCACCTCTTCTCGTGTTTGTTGGTGTAGCGGCACGCTGTTCTTGTTCCTGCCCTTTGGTTCTTTCGCGCGATTGTGAGCGACCATTACTATCTTTTCGCTGCAGGGAAGCCCTGCGAGCAGGCGTCTCTTCACGTTCTAAAGGAACTATTTGGAAGCCTTCGACAGTTCGTTCACGAGCCTTGCTGAGCCCTACATGACTGAACTCATGCTGTTCACGCTTGGGTATTTTGAGTTGTTTTTCGAGTTTCGTGATTCGTTTCTGTAGGTCGTAGTGGTAGATGATATGACATTCGTTGTCCTCCAGTCCTTGCTCACACGTCCTCAACGAAACTCGCTTCCAGAACTTCTTGTTGGCTTCTTCGCTGCGACCTTCAGCGTCACTTAAAGCGTACATATAGTGCTCTTCGAGAAGAGCTTTCCGTTGATACCATGCTCCTCTTCGTGATGCATGGAACAAATATTGTCCGAGGAGCTCAGTCAGCAGTTCGTGCTCTCTTTTGTGCTCTCTCAGGCGTGCCAACGGCCATAAGCCCTTGTGCACGATGCGTGTGTATACCCATGCTGGGCTGAATCTACGCAAGTAGGCTCCTTCTCCTGTTTCGTACACTCGGTCCTCCTTTTCCTGCTCTTTTGCTAGCAGAACTCTCCAGCGTGGATACACTGCCTCGAATATGCTACGTACAGCATCTACCTGTTTGTGCACAGGCAGATGGCTAAATTCTATCACGTTATCGACACGAAACTGTGTCCGGAGACTTGCCTCAAATTCGAGAAGAAGACTTCGGGACTCAAAGATATTGGCAGACCTGCTGACGATATAGTTCGGAAAGTTACGACGCGAAATCTTAGCAAGAAGGAGCGTGGTCAACGACTTTTCGGTCCATTCTGTGCTTCGATAGAAGACCAAGTGAACACGTTCGAACAGCTTGAGTGGTAGAAGTGATAAGCGTATACATTTGCCAGTCTGATCAAGAATCTTCTTGGTGTAATGTGCATCTCTGTTGTACTTGGATATAGGTGTATGAGTACCACTTGTTGACGTCTCGTCTTCATCTTCTGCTTGTGAATCCTTATTGAACTCGTTGCTGTTGATAGACTCTTCCGTCTCAGAACGTTTGAGAAAGCCCAGGCCTGCTTGCTTTCCACTCGTCTTGCGCAGGTTCTGCAACAATTCACGTTTGTTCTTTCCTTGGACCTTGGCTTCCTTCGCCAGGACTTTCAGCTCATCGAGCAGAAGCAAGCTACTAGCCTCGTCGAGGGTGTTGATATGTTCCTCACTACATTCAGCGAACTGGAAACTTGTCCCTAGAGGCATAGCGTCCTCTGGTAGGACAGCCTCTCCAGGAAATGGCTTGACTTCTTCCTCAACTTTGGGTAATTTGCGATTTAGCTGCAATTCTGCCACCACACTGTCCATATCGGTAATATCGTCATAGTAACCTAGTCGCCCTATACGATGCCAAGCAGCAGTCTTGCGTAAGAACAATCGTACGTACAGATATTGTGCCTCATAGCCTAGGTCTCTCCAGATAGAGAAGACCGTGTTCTCAGCTTCGTCAAATAAATGACTCTCTTCTTTGAGGACTGTTTCCAGAGCGAGATTGAAGGCATCCACATAGATAGAACTCCTGCCTCTGATCCACGATCTATTTTCGAGTCGAGTGTGTAAGTTCTCCGAGTCATCTTGAGCTTCGCCAGCCTTGTACGCTTCATAAGCTTCAATGGCCTCCTTGTCAGTCTGAACAGGAGGAAGAGCCGTCTCTAATTGAGTTTGTACGGGCAATCTTTCGTCAGATACATCTTGTTCCAGCTCATTCTCATTCTCGTGGTCTTCATAAACTCGTTTATCTCTACGAGGCGATCGTAATGGTGAGTTGCCGTAGAGACTTTTTGCGTCTTTGGAAGGAGTTTGTAATAGCGTTTCGATCTTCCTACGTTTTGCTATGGGACTAGGAAAGTCATCGTCATCGTCTCGATTGTCATTGTATCTCGTCGAAGCAGGATGCGGAATCTTCTTGGTAGTGCTTTGCATCACAACATTGTTGCTGTTAACTATCACATTGTGGGTGGATAGAGACTTCTCTTCCAACACCATGCCTGGTCGTCCACGATCCTGTCTACATCGACTTCGCGTTATGGATAGAGGAGAGCGTAGACAAAGGACTACTGGCTGCACGACTCGTGTTCGCAACGGATGGTACGCGCCGTCACGGGATGTGATATCATCTCTGAAGCCGCCAAAATTCATAGTCGACCTTCGCGAGGGACACGTATTGCCTCGACCAAACTATACGAGATCGACCGCGGTCATCCAAGCATCAACTACGACGACTTATACTCGAGTAGCTCAGGAGGACACCGATTGTCCTATCTACATCAGCGATCGAATTACATGGACAGAGCAAGTGTGGAACCTTCATCATCGTCATCTAGGCGGAGCACAATACGACTGAATGCGCGAGTTGAGCAAGGAATCTACACAGGCTGATAAAATACAGTCTACTCGTACCAGAGCAATCCACAGCTTTCCCCCTTTCATTGCAGGGTTATAACAAGTACCCTAGCCACGTACCTTCTGCTGGTTGCACCATACTGGCCTCGAAGTTATTCCAGTCAGCCAGCGAGAAGTTCCAATCCTGATTTTCGAACATTGAAGCGTCGATAGGTAAATTCGAATTTGTGAGCCACGAGCCTCCCTGTGTATCAAAGCCAGTTTGCGCATTCGAAATTGGCATGTAAGCATTGTTAACTCCCTGTTGTCGGTGTCGGAATTGGTTTGACGCGGCTCCAAGTCCTGTTGTGCCCACCCCTAATCCACGTGAAGGTATTTCAGTCTTATCTAAAGCCTGAGGATTATTTGGAAATCCTTGTTCTTCGGCGAACTTGTCCACACTATTTTTGACGGTGTACATCCCGTGTTCCACATCCATAGATCTTTCGTAGTCGGCAGGTAAGGTGCCCGATATTCGGTATTGGTGCCAAAGCTTCAGTTTCTGAAAGGCCTGATGGAACAACGTCGGTGGTGCGGAAGCAGGACTCTGACTGGCGACGATACTCAACTTGCTCACAATAGAATCAAGGTATACATCGACATTTAAGTCTGGCAGGAAGATATCAGCGTATTTCGACTCCGTTGCTCGTAACACGCCATCAAGACGTATCATGGCCACCGCACAATACGCGGTCCAGACCATAGACAAGCAAGGGAGTTGGCGGAATGCGGATGGAGAGAACATGTTTGTGAAAGTGTCAAAGATCTGCTTCATAGCAACCACACATTTCGAAATGCTTTCACAGTGGAGTGGTGTAACAAAATCATTGGTTGCTCGCTGGTCTTCAGCTTCACCAGGACGGTTTGTAGGTGGTCTGAAATCATCAATATTGTGGTCGGTGTGTAGTGCTATCTCATGGGCATAAAGTGAGATGGTGGCTCCGGTCAGGCTATGCAACCCTGGGGTCATATATGCTTTTGAAGCCTTTTCCCAGTCATCAATACGTTGTTCGAACACTTTCAAGGCGTATTGCGTTGAAGAATCCTCAACTCTTATCACAGAAGCAGGATCAGTCATGTGAAAGGAGCGAGCCACATCTTCCATGATCGCAGCTGCTTTGACGAGGCAGCAAAGCGTCTTGTCCAGTGGCTGTGCTGCTGGCGATTCCTCCAAGAATGCGAGACATTCTTGTAGGTACGGTGTACTATGAATCATGGCAGGATGTCGAAGTATGGTTGAGACGCACATTCCACACCAGTAACATGCTACCCATGTCCTTCGTAACTCTGCTTGCTCGACTGGATCCTTAGTGAGAGGTGTTTTCAATCGCTTGCTGAGACCCAGATCGTGTGCCATGACAATTGCGCTGTGAATGTACTGATTGAAGCCAATATCCTTAGCAAGTTTGTGCTTGCCTGCCCACGTTGTGGTGACGAGAAGTGCTTGAACGAGATCAACTGAGCGTGCGAACAGGAAGAAAACACGATGTGAAAACTGTCTGGCTGACTCCTCCATCAGCTCGGCATGAATTTCGGGCACAACGGTAATACACCCAGCAGTCAGAATGGCAAGGAAGAGCATAGGTCGTGATCGTCGCACAGATGCTGCTGTTGTGCCGGGCGGAAATGCTATCAGTGGGAATTGCGGATTGAGTTCGTTGTTGAATTTGTCAAAGATTCGGTCGGCAACAGCGAAGCTAACTATGCCACGGTCGATCACATCTTCATAATCTGCATCATCAGTTTTGACCTGAGGTAGCAAAGGTGCCGGAGTTGCAGATTTTGGGAAGAGCGCAAAGTTGGCTCTCTCTTCAGGACTATCCTTAAATGACTCTTTGGCGCTTTGATTTCCATCAGCCACTATAGGCGAAGGTTGAGGTGTTGGACCAGGTTGGGATTTGGCAAGTAGTGATTGGGTCAGGGCGTTGATTTTCTTCTCGAGTTCAGCGACTTTGTGAGCAGTTTTTTGTCGCTTTCGAGCTGGTCCAGGCATAATACATTCTCTATTCACCTTGGAGCAGGCTAAACAGGCGTCTTGACCTTCCACTGGGTTACAACGAATTTTCATGTTCCGACATGCCTGACATGCGCGCGAACGCTTTTTACGCCTTTCTGGTCTCTGGACGCCATCAGGAGAAGTCCCGTCGATATCGTCAGCGCTGTCTCCAGAAAAGTCCTGTTCCCCAGAAGCTTGAGCTGCAGCTTGTAATAATTCAGCCGAAATATCACGATGTTGACTCTCCAACATCGAACTCTGGTGCAAACTTGGCATCTTTTACGCAACGGAGGATTGTGATCACGAGGAAGTCGCGTCAAGTACAACGAAGATCGCGAAAATCCTCGGTTCAGCTTGACGTGAAATCGTATATCAGGTTGTGACGATAGAAACTCAACACGCTTCATGTTGGAATTGAGTGGAACGGCATTTACCGTACTACCGTGGCGAGGCATGTAGGTATGAATCATCAACCGCTTAGATAAGTATTTAAGTGGCGAAAGATCGACTCAGCCACTGGGCACTAGCCACTGGTTGTATAGAATACGAAGGGCAGGAGCTGTTCGTAGTTATCAGGCCATCTTTTAACAAACATGATGAAGGCTTTCAGGTTGTAGATTCGTCGTCAGTTAATCAGATTGCCTTACAGTTCAGTTCGAATAATCGCCAGGTACCAGCGACCATTTATGTAATACGAAGCTGAACCAACGTTGTCGGCCATCTTCATCGTACGAATATCTTATGGTGCAGTGTAACACGGCACGTTGCTGAAGCGGCCATGCACAGAACACGATCAGTGAAAGACTGCCACGTTCTGCACAATTCTGTCACGTTCTGGGTATATAAGTTCACAACTAGCAGAGACTGGTCGATTGCAGGCATGAAGTGAACCAGGTCGCAGCTGCTCGACTTGAAGCTCATTTCAAACAAGCGTTCGGTTATGAGACGTCATTTGGAAGGAGCTAGGCGTTCAACAGCCAATGATGCAGGTTCAATCGTGATAATAAGAAGCACTAACCTGCCACGCTTTCCCAGCTTGGACCAGGCCACAGATCTGGGACTCGGACAAGACTCGAGGGTTCTGCAGTTTGCGCCACCTTGATTGTCGATTGCATAGCCGCTTCATATTCAACCACACTTCTTGCCTTGTCTTTGCTACCTGATCCTACATCTCTCACTTTCGACCACACTCACCAAGTGGCTCTGACATCCTCCATCAAGCCTAATCTATCCAACCTTTTCTGGTCGGCGACGTCTACTCTCTGAACCTCCCAGGACATCAGATCAATTCTACCATGCCCCCCAGCTATTCGTTATCAAAGAGACAAACTGTCAGTCCCTATTATGGCGATGACGGCTGGTGGTACTACAGTGAGACGGCCTTCATCATCAAATGGGTCATTACTGCCCTGATTGTCGTTGGCCTTCTCGCATTCTTCGCTGGAGGATACTGGCATGTTCAGAGAAGGTTGAAGAAGAACCTGGCTCCAAAGCGATATCACAAGGTATGTATTGCAGAACCATGTTTCAATTCAGTCAACTAACATCAAACAGTGGATGGTTGGACGTCGACAACGAGCCCTCTACCCACACCTCTTTCCCACAAATCGACGAGTTTACTACCACCAAGCACCATATGGTCATTCCCCAGCCATGCCAATGCATAGCTATGGTCCAGCACCACCTGCATACGGCGAGCATGACTACGTCCCTCCATATGCCCCTCCACAGGGAGCCTCAAAGGTCAATCCGGACCAGAACTTCGAGCAGGTACCACTGTCAGGCCCTTCACAGCCGACTGCTAGTGCCGCCACGTATCGGTAGAATACGAAACTTTAATGAATTCTACGAGCGGGAGTTATCGTACAAGAGCGAAGCAAGGCGTTTTGGCAACTTTACGAATGGATGCAAGCGTATGTGGTCTTTGTGGCCTGGACATGGGAAGTGGATTACCTGCATATTTGACGATTACGCACACCGTCTGGTGGTATGGTCATGTCTGACGAAATGAACCAGCAAATGTTGAAAATCTGGTGCACGGCCACGAACCATTGTGACATCGTATGATATATGTTTGTATGGTTTGCGAGGTTCTGCAAATATCTTTCATTGCATGGTGCTTTAGAGGCACAACTTGAGCCAAGGCCTTGCTGAATCTAATCCAAGTCCATTTCATCGTCGTTGCCGTGGTTCTCTGATTCGTCGTAGTGTTCCACGTTCGGACGAGGCACAGGAGCCAAATGCTGTGCAGTAATTGTAGCAAGTTCTCTTTCTTCCGCCAGCTTCTCCCGTACTCTACGGCGTGCATCCAGGATCGTCTTTCGTACAGCATCGTCCTCTTCCGGCACACTGATACTGATTGGATCTCGGTATAGTATCATCTGCATATTCGCAGCAGGATCGTTGGCTGCTGTATTGGGCCGTAAGAGATGGTCTGGAAGTTTGATGTAGTCCTTGGTTTGCCCAGCGAAACGAATACCATTGTCGTACTTCTGCCTAGCCTCTTCAGCTTCAATCTCGGCCACTTCAGCATCAAGGTCATGCACCCAGACTCTGTCCGGAGTCTCATCGACCGGCATGAAGTCGTCCTCATTTGATCTATCGTTATGGACATAAGAGTTGTGCCGACTCTGCTGGGCGCTACGGGCACTCAACGACGCTTCGGACGGACTGGCATCACGGTAGGACAGTCCTACAGGAACGAAATCCTGAGTAAGCTGTACAGTTGCGCGCTTGGAGTCTGGACTTGTCTTCAGCACATGATCCGTCAGACTTCTAGACGACTTACTCAAGCGCAACTTCTTCAGCGAGTGCGAGATTGCACTGTTGGTCTCTAGCTCGTCATCTTCTTGAGTTGACGCCTTGCGTTTGTAGCCGTGGGGAATCGACTTGGGCGACACAGGAGGAGAGTATTGATTGTAGTAGTAGTGGTCTCCCGCAGGTACAGTGGTCATTTGCTGGTGCTAGATCTGATTCTGTACGGTAAATCACAACTTGTCTTCTTCTACTATCTTCGCTTCATCATTCTTGACCAGTTCGCGCACTTTGCGACAGGATCTTGTAAATGTGCTGCGTTGTACTCGCTAGCCGAATCACACGGAAGCAGACAGAACGACTGAGACTCGATTGATGCGTTGCGGAGGTTGGAGTTCCAGTCGTTCCTCGAGCGCGTCCAGCTTGTCCCTCGCCGCGATTGTCCCGCAGCACACGACCTGTTATTGGCGGCCCTTGAGTCACCTCAAGCACAATACAAAAAAGTTGACCACCACCTCTGCGACAATTGCCACACGCTCTTTACGATTTCAGCACCGCCTGTCTCGTCCTGACCGCGCGTATAGAGTCCCACATATTGGCCAAATCCTTACGAGGATGGCCTCTACCACCACCGAGCCTCCTCAATGGAGTGCTCAGAAGGTCAGAGATGCTTTCCTGAATTACTTTAAAGCACGAGAGCATACGTTTGTCAAGTCCTCCCCAGTCGTGCCACTGTCAGATCCAACTCTTCTCTTCACCAATGCTGGCATGAACCAGTTCAAACCTATCTTCCTAGGTACCGTCGACCCCTCTTCCAAAGAAGGTCAATACAAACGAGCCGTCAATACTCAGAAATGTATACGAGCTGGAGGCAAGCACAACGATCTGGACGATGTCGGTAAAGACAGCTATCACCATACTTTCTTTGAGATGTTGGGTAATTGGTCGTTCGGAGACTACTTCAAGAAAGAGGCTATACAATGGTCCTGGGAGCTGCTTACGAAAGAGTTCGGTCTCGATCCTGATCGCCTCTACGTAACCTACTTCGAGGGCAGCGAGGCAGGCGGGCTCGAGCCAGACCTTGAGGCGAAAGAGATATGGAAGTCTGTAGGTGTGCCGGAAGATCACATCCTACCAGGTAACATGAAGGATAACTTCTGGGAGATGGGTGATCAAGGTCCATGCGGTCCATGTTCAGAAATTCACTACGACAGAATAGGTGGTAGAAATGCTGCTCATCTAGTCAACCAGGATGATCCTATGGTCATCGAGGTATGGAACAACGTGTTTATCCAGTATAATAGAGAACCAGATAAGAGCCTGAGATCACTCCCTGCTAAGCACGTCGATACCGGTATGGGCTTCGAAAGACTCGTTTCGATATTGCAAGACAAATATTCAAACTACGACACGGACGTATTTACGCCGCTCTTCGCACGCATACAGGAAATTACTGGTACTCGACCTTACACTGGCAAATTCGGAGCTGAGGACGAAGACGGTGTTGATACTGCCTATCGTGTCATCGCCGATCATGTCAGAACCCTCACCTTTGCCATCAGCGATGGTGGTATTCCAAACAATGAGGGAAGAGGTTACGTTGTGCGCCGAGTGTTAAGAAGAGGTGCCCGATATGCCAGGAAATACATGAAGGTCGAAATAGGCGATTTCTTCTCCAAGATTGTGCCTACTTTGGTCGACCAGATGGGTGGCATGTTCCCCGAGATCGTTCGCAAGCAGGAAGAAGTCAAGGAGATTCTGAATGAGGAGGAACTTTCGTTTGCCAAGACGTTAGATCGAGGCGAGAAGCAATTCGAAGATTATGCTGGAAAAGTCAACTCCTCAGACAAGAAACTGCATGGGGCGGATGTCTGGCGGTTATACGACACCTTCGGTTTCCCTGTTGATTTGACGAGATTAATGGCTGAGGAAAGAGGTCTGACTATCGATGACAACGAATTCGAAGAAGCACGACTAAAAGCCAAAGAAGCAAGCAAAGGCGAGAAGAAGGCTGCTGCTGATCTGGTAAAGCTTGATGTACACAACCTGAGCGAGCTCGAGGTGATGCCAGGAGTGACAAAGACGGACGATCACTACAAATATGGCCGAGAGAATGTGTCGGACGCGAAGATACAAGCTATTTTTCATGCGAAGAAATTTTACGAAGACACAAAAGACATTCCAGATGGCGATCAGATAGGTATCATCGTGGACAAGACATGCTTATATGCTGAACAAGGTGGTCAAGAAAACGACACTGGTCGAATCGTTATCGACGGCGTTGCCGAGATGGCAGTTGAAAACGTTCAACTATACGCAGGATATGTCTTACATACAGGTTATATGAAGTACGGTCGCTTCACACGAGGCGACGTTGTAACGACAGAATACGAAGAGGATCGAAGAGGCCCAATACGAAGCAATCACACTGGCACTCACGTTCTCAACTTCGCGCTCAGAGAAGTATTAGGAGATGGTGTCGATCAGAAAGGATCATTAGTTGCACAAGAAAAGCTGCGATTCGATTTCAGCCACAAACAAGCAGTGACTGACACCGAACTTGCTACTATTGAAGAGCTGTCGACTGAGTACATACGGCAGAATAGCACCGTATACGCCCAAGACGTACCGCTATCTATCGCACGAGAAATTGAAGGACTACGTGCGGTGTTTGGCGAAACATACCCTGATCCTGTCCGCGTCGTATCTGTTGGTGTCGAGGTAGACGATATCTTGAAGAACGTTAAGGACCCGGCCTGGCGAAAGGTCAGCATTGAGTTCTGTGGTGGTACTCATGTCAAGACAACTGCAGACATCAAAGATCTAGTCATATTAGAAGAGAGTGGCATTGCCAAAGGTATTCGCAGAATGATCGCAGTGACTGGCAATGATGCACATGAAGTGCAAAGAGTTGCTGACGAATTCAGCGAGCGATTGGACCGTCTCGAGAAGATGCCATACAGCCCAGATAAAGAGCAGCAGTCAAAGACCATCAATGTCGAACTCAATAACCTTGTAATCTCCGCCATTCGAAAGACAAAATTACGCAAGCAGATGGAGAAGATCATAAGAGAAAATCTCGACCATCAGAAAAAGAAGCAGAACGAGGAAAAGAAGAAGGGCCTCGATGTATTGGATTCGTACTTGGCCGAACAGAAAAACGCCACGGGTGGTGTCGTCCGACTGCCTCTAGGAGGTGGTTCTAAAGCATTCAACGAAGTGTTGAAGGAGATTAGCAAAAAGCAGAAAGATAAGACTCTGTACATCTTTGCTTCTGAGGACGATGGAAGTGGTAGGGTGCAGCACGCGTGTGTCGTTGGTCCTGTAAGTCAGAAGCTATTATCAAATCAGCAGAGCTAACACTGTTTAGGATGGAGCGAAGGCCGGTATTAATGCGAAGGACTGGTCAGACTCGGTGATTGGCATCGTCGGTGGTAAGGCTGGTGTCAAAGGTACGACTGCACAAGGTAATGGGACTGAGATCACCAAGGTCGACGAGGCACTGAAAGCTGCTACCGAATATCTAGAGAAGTTCAAAATATGACACAATCGAATTACTACCTAGCCCCATTACCTGGTCGTTGCTGTTTCGAGCAACAGAGGACGGAGGAGGTAAGCAATACAAGCCCAAATTTTCTGTCGAGCCCCCAAATGCGTGAACGAAGGCGACTTTCTCTTGATACACTCGAATTGTCGACAAAGTATATACGCATGGCTGCTGTCGATCGCGGAAATGAGTTTCAACAGGCACACCAAGAGGACGGTGGGTGACAGAGTGGCGCATTTTGCGCATAGTTTCCGGTCCCAGACATCTGACTTGCAAGCACGTCAATGCAGGAGAGGCTGGAGGATATCAGTGCTTCCAGAGGCGATCTCTGGTTTTGCTCAAACGTGAGCTAGCCCTGACACGCGCAGCACAGCTTGTATAGATACAGGTATGTCGATCTAGCACTGATCGTCTTGATCATCAAGAATCCGCTGAAAGGACCTACATTACTCATCGTGGAAGGGCGGGCACCAGAAATGCATACCTGGGCATCTACTCACGATCTCTGTTTCTATACTTGTGAGATTAATACCGTAATTCTTAACCTTCAGCAGTTTCAATGTCAGCCTCCAAAGTCTGATCAATGTCAATGATCACATGAAGCTCTCAAAAAGAGGTACTAATAACGGAAGCTGAACTCGAGACAAATTCACTTCCACGTGGCTGCCACACAGGCCCCTAGCGCCACATTCCTTCTACATGTGATTCGTAGTCTGACACAAATAAGGCCACCTAGCATGGTTCGGTGCATGTTCCATCGAGCTTCGCGGAGGTCTATTTTGCTGCAGGAGAGTTATGGCTTGCTTAAATTGAGTTGTAGCTTCCCACCAGTGCTTACCAAACGGCTTGTTTGGGCTATTTTCTTAGCTAATATCCACGTTAGCAGTGCGTCGCGTGTTTTCCTCTCCATGTGCGATTGTGTTTCATCGTCACCCATTGTGCCGGGAGGCGCACTTCAACTCACGATCGAGACCTTTAGATCCCTTGTGACGAAAGACGAACGACCCACTGTCAAATTCCAGAAGCTATCTCTACTTGAAAGAAGTCCGACTTGTATTGTCTGTGCTTGATTATTCAGGACGTTATTCCAGTTCAATAAACTTCTGTAGAACACTGATTTCTCCTCCGTCGATCTGCTCTTTAGTCTCTTTTAGCTTCGACACTTCTCCTCCTTCAAACGCAGATCCTACCTCCGCTGTGTCATCAGGCGTCACTAGATTTCTCCTGTGCCACACCTGAACGTACCTAGGTCACCCGAATCATCTCATTTATCACCATCACAAACAAATACAGTTGGTTGACGTCCCTGTTTGTCGGTCAAGAAAACTGCGGAGTACATCTGGAATCAACTGCAATATCGAAATTGTAAGGTGCCTCATACACAGTGTTGACGTCGAAGCAACTTGATCGTCGCATCCTTCAATTCCAATAGATTTCGAACTCAAGCACCACCCTTCACGATGCCTCGCATCTCTCTCGACTCCGAGCGACCTATCATGGCCCCGAGTGTATGCTTTTTACCACCCTCCATTCGCCAATCCATTTGCATACTGACTCATCCATAGACAATATCCTCAAAACGCGCTTCCACACGTTTCAGCACATACAGCGCCTCCCCATCATTCAACAGCATCTCAACCGCGACGATAGAAACCGGCATGGCCGAAATCAAACAACTATCACAGGGCCTCGAAAGGCTAGCGAACAAACCTCTCAGTGAACAGAGATTCGTCCCGAGCGAACAAAAGCAAGATAACATGAGCAAAGTCAGCTTGGGTGCGAAGGTCGAACGAGCGTTGAGCAGGCGCATGACGAACCAGGACTACGTCAGGAAGGAGAAGTTGTCGGAGAAGAGTGGTTTGGTTGCTATTAGCGAGAAGGCGTGACTGGAGCAGCAGTCGCTTGCAGAACGACCTCTTCAGGATCGAGGACGAAGACGGACGATTATCATTGCGAATCATTCGAACGATTTCTCGCACTAAGTGTGTCGGCCCACGACGTATCTCTCAATTCCTCATCGACTTCCACTTTTTGAACGACGTACACTACGACAGGATACCCAAGGTGAACGAACACCAGCGTCGTGGTGGCTGTTGGAAGCAGAAGAGCTTGGTGGTGGGAAATGAACAGTACCAGAACAGCGGCAGCTGGTCTATGCATTTGATTGGAGTTCTAATTTGTGGTTTGTGGTTGATTGGTATTATTACTATGTCGAAAGAGACGACACGATACACCTTTGCAGAGGGTTTGTACTATATGATTCCCCAGTATCCTAGCTATACCTTCCACCCAATCTGTTTTCCTTTACAGCTAATCTGACATTGCATAGAGTTCTGTGCTGAACTTGTTTTGGTTGCTGTGAGGAGGCTGACCATGATATAGCGGAAGCCGATATCGACACAGTCACTTTTTGCCTTAAGAGGCTCACGTCGTACTGATGGTTCGACTTAGATGTCATTGGCCCAAGCAGCAAAATTCAGGCCAGAATCCATCCTGCGTATCTGTTTGACGCTGTGAACATAACCACCTTAAGATATTAGTGTTGCTGATTATCGACATGAAGGACCAGGTTCCGCTGTCCTTCTTGCTAGCAATACCTGCTTGGGCCTGTTCGAGCTGGTGTACAGCTGAGTTGACTGAATACTTCTCTCAGGAGTGGATATTCAACTTGTAAAGACCTCTAGAATGACCCTCCCCACTCCTGCTCCTTTGACATCGAGTACAGTCTCCAGTCTGCCATTGTGACTTCTTATAGTATCTTCGAACTCGGCGACTCCTCCACCAACGCCAAAGTATACCTTCTTTGCAGCTATCAGGGCTCGTATTCTCTGGCTGTCTCCGTCATCATGAGGGGTCAGGAGCTCGAGCACCATCTGAGAGAAGATGTCAAGCGAGGCTGGAGAATAGATTGTCTCACTCGCAAGGAGTAAGGTGTGATTGGTGGTGGTGTGCAGCTCGCCGTTCGTGTGATTCGAGTGTAGCAGGTTTGTGAACCCGTCTCCCCAGCCTCCGGAAATGAAGTCGACCTGGATGTTTGCATCGACCAATGTCTGTAAGGTCTTTCTCACGAGGTCAGGTTTAATCTCTAAATCCTCTTCCTCTGCTAATGTGCCTTGTTCTGTCTCACCTTCAGACGATAGCACAGTAGTCAAAAAGACATTGACAGCCGTACATAACCTCAGCACATCTTCATTGTAGTCACATAACGTGAACCTCACTTTGCTCCATTGACACCTGTCATCGCACCTTGACTGCCTGTATCTCAGGGCTTTCTGTAGTAACGCAAGACTTGGAATGGCACTCCCAGCCCCAAGTTCGATGATATGTCTATGCACATCGCCAACAATACCAACATCTCCGAAAGTACAGCTCACATAGCCGGCGAGATCAACAGCACACTCCCAGGTCTTGAAACCACCTTCGTAGACGCCTGTGCTCAGATCACCCGTCTGTAAACCTTCCAGGAGACTTTCTGCCGTGATCTGGTCACCCTTCCTATCATGTGCGGTAGGATCAGACTCGAACATCAATTGTTGTCGTATGTCGAATAATGCTCGTCTTGGTATCCTTGCACCATGACCTGCTGCTTGGGTTCCGCCATCGCCTGGTTGTATTTGAGAGGCAGGAACATCATGCCAGTTGTATGATATCTGATCTGGCAACGATTCTAGCAGTTCTGTAAGTGTATGGCGTTTTGGAGAGATCGAGGTCTGAGATGAATCTATGTTTGTGTTTTCAAGCTTTGCAGCAATATCTGTGGTTGTAGATTCACAACCATCCTGATCGTCTATGTCTTCGCCGGAGAAGGAAAAGGAGAACGACATCGTTACGATCTAGTCTGTGCTGGGGTCATGAGTGAAGAAGTACTCGGCACTGATTGAATGGGACAAGGAGGCGAATTTTCTGCTAGATCAAGGCTGTTGTTGGCTGGACATGTCAAAACCATGACACAGGCTGGATGAATATTTCTGTAACCTGAATTTGACGGGCCACATGTCTGTCATTCGACACGAGCTGTATCGATGGTGCAGCCCAGAGGAGATTGATACTCACCGTGATCGTTTATGTGAGAATGAAGAAAAATCACGAGGTGAGAGTCAGTAAGACACTCTCAGCAACAGCAAGTTCTGGTGTGCTATCTTATTGCCCTAAGAATAGTATATAACCGGATTCGGCCCAGACTCAAGAACTGCTAAAGTCTTGAGGATCGCAAGTGACCACCAGCGCCTTTCGCTAAAGTACAACACTTTGAAAAGGAATATATAACAATGGTGTGAGTTGTCTCGAAGCAGGCTTATTTGTGCTTCTTAGCCAAAGCCGCCAATTTCTGCTTCCTCTCCAGCTTCTCCTTCTTCAATCTCTGCTCTAGTGCCAACTCTCGAGCATCTTCATCTCTTGCAATCTTCTCTGCCATACGTTCCTCTTCCTCAAGTTCGTCAAACCCACCACCTTCCATGGCGTCTGATGCATCGGAACCATAATCGTCTTCATCCTCATCGTCATAGCCATAATCTCCTTCGTCTTCCTCATCTGTACCGAGGTAGTCATCGTTTCGACTTGGCTTCTTACGACGAATCTCGTCTACTGGCCGCTTGGCTGCCTGGCCCATCGTACCTTTGTACACCGCTGGTCCATGCAGTGGTGGCTGCGGCTTCTTCGGCTGTTTTGGAATGTCTTTCTCAACCTTCTTCACGGGACTACCAATTCGATATCGAGATTCAGACTTTCCAGTTGTACCGGCTTTTGACAGTGGTAAACCTGGCTTGCTTTTGTCCTGGTCCTCTTTCTTCCTCTCAGCCAACTTTTCGTTTAGCTTAGATGGCTTGACTTTGTCCGTTGCCTTGTGATGGATCATTCCGATCTGACTTGGCGTCTTTGTCTGTTGTGCCTCTTTCGCTCTCGCTAACAGATCAGCGTACGAACCTCTCGGGGCCGGTTTTGCTAAAGGCTTTGCGGTGGTTTGTGGTGCAATAGAGGACGGCAAGCCATTTGAAGGAGGTTTTGATGTGATGGGAGACCTAGTTTCGGATCCGTTCGGTTTAGTGGTTTTCTGGCCATTGTCAGAATTTGTCTGCAACAAAGGCTTCTGCAATTTTACAGGTCGTTCAGTAGAAATATCTTCAGCTTTCCTCTTTAAACCACCGCCCTGTTGAGACGATGTAATGCCAGCTGTTCCTTTGTAGACCGGCTTGGCATTCGGTGCTCCGGATGGTGTAGAAGGCGCACTCTTCGAAAGTAAGGACAATGGAGCATTCGTGCTCGCTGGTCTCGAAGAAGGTCTGATAGGCGGCGCAGGAGCTTTGTCGCCACCAATCGTGTTGACGAGATCGCCGAGGAAACTCATATTGGAGGCAAATGTTGGGAAGAGAAGAACGGTGAGTCCGGGTGGCTGAGATTGGAATCGATCGACCTATTTGAATCTCGTCGTTTGTTGATGCATAGTTATTAGTAAATTCAGAAGGCACAAACGCCCCCCGTGAACACTACGAGATACAGAAGAGAAGAAACATTCGCGCACGAACAGATTGCAAGCACCTACTTATAGCAGTAAGAGCCGATAGGAAAGAAAGAAAGCACTGACATGAGGTCGCTGGAAACAGCCAAAGCGGGCGCGAGCAGTTTGCTCCGATGAGTTGTTGCCGGCTTCTGTCAACGAAATATGGCGCAAGCCGGCCTGTGTGACGTGGTGGGATGGATGATTTTCAAGATTTGGCAGCGTCGAGCGGCAACTTTATTAGAGAACCGTCACCCACAGATCTTTTTCAAAAGTGCCAGACACCATCCAACAACACGGCACTGTATTTGCCATGGCGATCGTGGGGATCGTTTGTGTCGAACAAGGCTTTGCTCAGTGACAGGTTACAGCAGACAGATTCGATGTTGTTGGGAGGTTTAGGAGCATTACTCACATAGGCTGACTGATGCTTTCATATAAACATGCAGGAATAACAGGGCGTTCTCAGTACGAGAAGACACAAACATAAAGACACGAAGAGTAAGGGACATGCACATGTGCTCGAATGGCCCCGTTTTCAGGAGTACCTGTACGAGCAAGAAAACCACTTGATGATCTCCTAGATACCTTTCTCTGCTCCAGCCCACAGTCATCCCACAAGCATTTAAGGACCTGTTTGACGCGTCCTGCATGGACTGGTAGAAGGACTGCTGATAGATTGAGAAAATTGTTCGCATTGAAGTCATGAGTACCTTCGTAAAAAATCATCCTGCTCGGACTGCCATTCTGACCACTTTCGCTTCATGCAGCCAGGCCCTCTCCTTGAAGTAGACCGAAGAATGAAGCCGAGGACGCAATCTAAATGCGGATGGGAAGATAGGACCACAGTAATCTGTCGCAGATTGCACAAGACCATGATCTCAAAACCGTGCCATATTTCAGAACGTGGAGCGAACAGCTTAGTCGAAGAGACCGAAACCCATATCTTCGTCGGATTCCTCCTTCTCTTCTTCCTTTGCTTCCTCCTTAGCCTCCTCAGCTGGAGCAGCACCACCAGCGGCAGCGGCGGCGCCACCAGCAGCAGCACCACCACCCGAACCACCAGTTGGGACGGATGCGAGCTTAGTAGAGCCTTCGGCGATCAGCTATGACCGGTGTCAGTATATCTTTTTGCACATTCAAAATCCTCATTTCATACCTCGTTGATGTCCTTGCCTTCGAGCTCAGACAAAAGCTTCTCTAGTCTCTCATCATCTGCGTCAATACCGACAGAGGAGAGGACACCCTTGACATCGTCGGCGGACGGGCTGGTGTTACCAGCGAGGCCGAGAAGAAGATATGCTGCGAGGTGCTTCATTTTGAGTTTATCTGTACTTATTAGTATTCAGTGCCTGCCTCGATTTGCGCAACAACTGACAGTAATTTCGAGGTGGTCGAACAAGAGAACAATCAATTTAAGCGACGGGCGCAGACTGGTCTTCAATGTTCAGATATGCGTGTGTGTCAAAATCTTGTGGAAGTCGCAGCCCGAGCACTTCCCACGAGTGATTCGATGTGGGCAGAAATCTTGGCGCTCCGAGTCAAAAGCGGCTTAGCACGAAATTGCTTGGCGAAGCAGTTGCCGTCCACATTGCTCGATTGACGTTCTGTCCGACTTGACCAACTTCGACCACACATAGCAATCAAGATGGCCGACGAAAACTACGTGAGCACTATCGCAGTGGTTAGGAATGCGCGAATACTGATAGAATTGATAGAACGCCGAGGAGGCTGCCGAGATCAAGAAGAGAAGAGCATTCAGAAAATTCTCATACAGAGGAATCGACCTTGACCAGTACGTCGCATTACATTTCAGCACTGTCGGCAAGACGTCCAACTAAACACTCACAGGCTCCTGGATATCCCATCGAATGAACTCCTTACCATTCTCCATGCTCGTGCACGAAGGCGATTCAACCGTGGTCTCAAGCGACGTCCTATGGGTCTGATCAAGAAACTCCGAAAGGCCAAACAAGAGGCCAAGCCCAACGAGAAGCCAGACCTTGTCAAGACACATCTTCGAGACATGATCATTGTTCCAGAGATGATCGGCTCAGTTGTTGGCGTCTACTCCGGCAAAGAGTTCAACCAGGTCGAAATTAAGCCTGAAATGGTTGGGTTCTACCTTGGTGAATTCTCGATCTCATACAAGCCTGTCAAGCACGGTCGACCTGGTATTGGTGCCACTCACTCCTCTCGGTTCATTCCTCTCAAGTAAATTATGTGTTTGGAATGCGGAATCATGAAGACGACGTTACTGGCGAACACACACTCTTGACACGACGCATCAAGTTGATGTTAGGTTGAGGACTACAAGTATACCTGACTGCAAAGGATCCCGTTAGTGGGAAGTAGAAGAGATGCTACAGATAGCACGCCCCAGTATTTACACTGGTCGATGAGAGAATGACAAGAACGAGTTCAAACCTGATCAATACCCGGTGCTCATTAGAGCCAAACGGGGTGCCCAAGATCATCATACCAGCCTCTACTAGGCTGCGCAGAGATTTTTGCTGTGCACGTTTCGTCGTTGTCGTCGCTTGACCGGAGCATGTAGTTCGTCGTAGGTCTTGATATCTTCCGTGCTTATCTTGTACAGCTAGGTTGGTGGTTCAACGAGTATGCCGTAAGTTAGTCGAAGCATATCCGGTAATTCTCACCTTGGGTGTTCGCCTTGATACTCAAGTGTGCTCGAATTACATGGCAAGGGCAATGTCATGATACGAGAAAACGACTGAGAGAGACAATAGTGGCAGCAGGACGCTGATACACGTAATGTGATTGTACAACCTGGAACTTCTCGAATTCTAGCTACCAAAGCGAAACTCAGCACCAGCATAATTCCACAATGCCCTCAGGAAACCCTGATACTCAACCCTTGTCCTCGATCTTCCACTCACGTCTCCACCACTATCACCAACGCAAAAGATCTCTGTCAATCTTATCTGCCACGGAGGATATCCGTCGAGCTTGATGACTGGTGCAAAGACAATGAGTAAATCTGGCTCCGAGGGGAGGTATGTGTCGTCGTGCTTGACACCATTGGTCTTCTTGTGTCCGTGTGTGCGTTGTGGGTTGCTAGATGGAGCAGGAGCGCTGGTACTTGCACTGATTTCGGTATCGATGAGATCGACTGTGATGTCCTTCGGTCGCAACTTATGTGCTTGAGCCATCTCGGTGAGTGTGCGGGTTAAGTCAACGAGAGTTTCTCTACCGTCGGATTCTGAGAGGAGTAGAAGACTCAAATTGAGATTGGTGTTTGTGGTACCATTGATTTGTGGAGATGGTAAAGGAGACAGAGACGGGTAGTTGGGTGCGAAGACTTGTAGAACAGGTGTTGATGGGGGTGCGCCGAAGTATAGGACGAGTTTCTGCTGCACTATTTCCTGAACAGCAGACATGTATTGCTTGAGGACTCCTGTCTTTTCGTAGACGCTGAGCAGTGGTATGCCAGCAGCGGTCGACCAGGCTGCAAGCTCTGCGACATCATCCAGCAGTGTTTCTAGTCCATCATCAGATCTAGCGTCGTACCTGAGTATTACTGAGAGATGTTCTGGCAGCCGACTGAGCCCTTTGAGATCTTTTTGAATGTATGCCGGCGTCCGATGGTGGTAGTGCCGGATCGCAATAAATTTCTGGAAGAGTGCGGAAACGATCTGCCGCACACGTATGAAAATACCGAAGAGGAGCTGTATGATTAGGTATATGGCGAGGTGTAATCTTTGCTTGAGGTATGGTCGAAGTCGTCTACTGCGTCGTTGTTTGCGCTTCTGGTCACGAACCTGCTCACGGGCCGAGCTTGAACGCAGTTCTGAAGGTCTTGGAAGATATCTTTCTAGCAGCTCCCTTCGCTCGTCGACCGACATAGTCTGCCCTCTAGAGTCAACATCTTGACGGTAGAACCTTGTATCGTCCTGATTGAATGGCATGTCTTGTAGAGCTTGCTGGTGAGCAGAACGATTGGAGATTCGATCGAACTACGTGTTAGCAGGTTTCGAGACTGGCAATATCAGAGAGCTCATTATATGAATAACTTCAATACTAGTCGATCAGCTTGTGTAATGTATACGTGTAGGTCCGTAATTGCGTGGCATGTGGCACGGTCGACGAGGATCGACTTCAAAGCCACGCGACAGGACGACGTACGCCAAGAATTGACGTGTATCTATGTCCCGTGGTGACAGACCTTCTACTCGAGCTTTCACTGGGATCCTCTGACAGAGAAGTGTATTCGCACTCGGAGCAAGTCATTGACGCGTCTAAAAAGGACATGTCAAACCTACAGGCTGTACTTGAACACGCACAGATGAATGACTTACTTGCGCACCTTCAGCTGAAATTCTTGTACGAAAGGGCCGCCTCGGAGTCCTCAGCATCGGTGAATCAAGGGGAAGAGTGAAAATAGTAGCACAAGCTGATACTTTGACGGAAGTGAAGGAAAGAGCATCAGGTTTACTGGCTAGTGCTTGAAAGGTTGTATGGGTGGCTAGGCCACCATCTCCGTCACTTCGATGGACTCACGCACAAGCTCAACTATCCATCACTTTCAGCAGACAGGTAGGAACTGGTATTGCCGATGGTTGCAGCCGTCTCTTTCTTCTTGCACCAGCTCGATGCCTCCGTAAACAGGATGTACCATGAAGTGACAGATCGGAAGTGTTTGCCTTGGAAACAACTTACTATTTCCTTTCCACAGAGCAGCCGGTGCAAGTGAAGGTACAACCAGTACTTGACAAATCCTGCGTCTAAGCTTGCTTTTCAAACTACTTTACTGCCACAGACATGTACACTCGGTATCCATTCTATTATCCTGTAGGTACATCCTATTACGATTATCCTCAATCGGTCTATTATCAAGGCAGGATATTCTCGAGGTAAGTCGCTCGTCTTTCCCTGTGCATTCCTCGTGTACCAGCCACTGAAAGAATCTTTCCTGATGTCTTCGTACATGTGGATCGAGCGTGGTTCTGATGGTCGTCCTTACTACGTAATGAGGAAGCCTGCTGTACCGTCGCTTCGTCAGAAAATCGCTGAAGCTTTTCGTGAACTCAGACAACGACCTCAAGTACCGACCACCAAACCCGCAAGCGCTCCTTCTTCACCTCAACTGCCACCTGCGCCTGCCAATACTCCTGCTTTGCACTCTAGTGCAAATAATAAGGAGCCCAAATCAAGCCTCAAGCAGAAACCGCAAGCACACCCTGAGATGGCACGTAGCAAGACACCCATTCCGACCACCAATGCACCAAATCATGCCAATTTTCAGGGTCAATTCAGTCCACATCATCACCTCCCATTCGTCCCTCCGTTCTCTCCTCCACCAATTCACCACGAGAACATTCCAGGTGCAGCACAGAACCCGCTCTCTTCAGCAGTTGTGCCGCACTACAACACACCTCATCCGAGGATGTATCCATACGTCCCAGCGGGTACTCAGGCTCTAAGTGCACATGGACCGGCGCAGCACATGAATATGCCTGCTATGCATCACGGAGGACCCAACACAATTTCCCAAGCCTCTCAGCCTCCCAACATGTTCGCCCCAGTCCCTCACGGACAGAATTTGGTCAATCCTCTTCATCTCAACGCAGACAATCCGAGACACAAGTGCAGCAATTGCGGTCGCTCCCGGTCCGCTCGATATTATTGGAAGCATCAACTCACACCGGGCGGGCTTCCTGGTCCGAGCATATGCCGAAGATGTCGAAAGGAGGTAACAGACAGCGAAGGTGAGAGCACAGATAGCTACAGAGAAAGGGATACCAGAAGTCGTTCTCGAGCGCGAAGCCAATTTAGATCATCATCACGTGCGAGAAGCCAGCGGCCGAGATCGAGAGCACGCTCTTCTAGTCGACCGAACTACCGCAACGTTGACTTTGACTACTATGCTACACAAAGATCTGAGGATACCAGTTCGGAGAGCGACATCTCTGAGCCACGAATTCCACGAAGACGAAAGAGTCGGACATATAGAAGTCGACAGCCGAGTGTGGAAGTTGTAAGATATGTTGATCAGCCTTCTCAGTCACAAGCAAGAAGACGAAAGAGAATTGTCTATGTTGAAGATCATCGACTCCACGATGACACATCGGGTGAGGAAGATGAACTTGAAGTTCGCTATGTCGATACAGCACCCAGGTATGCAAACCTGACGAAATTTGTGATCCTCTACTGACCTGTATAGGCTGAGAATGGTGACTAGCAGACCAGCAACAATGCCCCGAGGCTCGCTCACTCGTCAAAGCTCAAATCCAGATTTACCATCAGTAGAGATGATCGAGCATCGCATGCACAGGAATGATATCCCACGATCTGGTTCGAAGAGACGTGTCTTGTCCTCTTCAAGGTTCAGCTCTCGTAATCCATATCGCCACATCCGTTCTGATTCCAAGCATCGGGGCAATGACTACCACGAGTCAAGAGAAGCAGAACACTACTATGAACCAAGGACGGAGGAGGCGGCACGACGTCGTATGTACCACGAACGTCGTAGCAGAAGTCAAAGTCGGGGTCGTCGCCGCTTCAGTATAGATGAGGGTATGTTTGAATTGTTCTCGCGCGTACATTGCTGACGGAGTTGCATAGGTGCTGAATCAGGTCGGAACAGCCAACACATGCCAGCTGCTCCAAGTCCGCCAGTGAACCATACGCGTCGACCTTCTGCTCCAGCATACGTCACGAGCAGTTCGGACGGAAGCGCTCCAGAGCTGCATAATCGACGAGCCGAGCCATCATCGAAACGATCAAAGAACAAGCTTTTGTCCCGTGAAGTACCATCTAGTACTGAAGAAGTGCCTGCAGATGACTACGATTGGTATGATGCAAATGGGATGAGAGTTCGAGTCCGCGAGATATAACTTGCGGGGCGCGAACACCATAGACAACGTACTAGCTGTGTTAGCTGCATGAACAAGGATGCAGATGGGGCCGCTCTGTCACTTTGTGAGACTCAGACAGGAGAGGAGCGTCTGAAAGAGACAAAGGGACTGCCGTTTTAGAATACCTGGAAAGGCAACGAGCAACAATGTTCAGGATCCAGGTCGGTCAGGACCGACTCGTGCAAAGTACTCCACGAGCGCGCTATTGATTATGTTTAAGCGTTGGCATGGGACTGGGTCAGACAGCACACGGGCGGGCAGCTGACTGCCACATGGTCTATGTATCTATACATCCGATACTGCTTTTCACAGAGTGCTGCTTGTGCCGTTCAGGTTAACAAGTACGGAGAAGCTCGTTGTTTCTTTCAGCATACGTTGTCCATTCAGAAATCGACTGACTGAGACACAGACTTTCCTTCTACATGCACCACAAATTTCTGAGTTTAATTCGACGAGCCCAAGCCACGAATGTGCACCAGAAAGTATATCGGCAAGGGGCCAAAGGCACAAAACCCTGCCCAAAACGTGCCCCCAGATTTGGGGCCTTTGTGGAAAGGCGTAGTTCCTAGCCACGTCTCGATCAGGCAAAGACCATGAAGATCGTTGCCTGTACTGAATTTGAGATGAGAGAGTTCTCGAGTCTGCCTTCTGGATGTCCTGGCTTTCATGCCTCCACAGTCGCTTATCCTGTTGGACATCACTTCAGCCCCTCTCTTCGTTAAAGCACGACTCTAGCCAATCCTCAAAGACGAACCACACTGATACCAGACCCTGAAAGTCCTTTGCAAAAGTACATGATTGAGCCGAACACTTTCGTTAATTTTGCGACTAGCAGATCGACGGCGCCTGGAAGGATCACTGATTGGATCAGCCGTCGCTTGGTTGTGATGGAAATCGACTATTGATGCCTGACGAACTTAAACTTTCTTGCCGGCTTCTACGCAGCCTATCACAGTGAATATCGAACGCCAGTACACATTGGCTTCGCTTGCACCTGCTAGTCTTGCCTGATCATCAACCCCATGTTCTGGAAACGATCTTTTGACCGCTAAACTACACCAGGTGCACAACAGGACCGTCATTTGTACTGTGTGCTTTTGTCGCGGTACATCAAAGCGCCTCCAACTTTTATCCAAGATTTATTGTACATTCATACTAACTCTTTTCTGTCACAAGAAATCAGCCCCGGGCAGGGTCACTTGGGAACTTGACGCTCAACGAAATCACCACTATCTTCCTTCAACCAACCTGAAGTTCGTGTACTAATGCATGCAAGCAAGGGCTCCGTCGTAAGCTTGTCGCGGCCACGAAAGTATATTTGATCGAGACCATACGGACGGGAGTTTCCCTCTTCGCTAGTTCGTGCCGTGCGTCCCAAGCCATGCCGCTTACCAACGTCCTTGAGATCCACATGCCTTGCTCGAGGCATGTGGACGACACCGGTTAAGACTGGACCTGGTCTAGTTCACATGTACCTAATCGGAAGGCGAGTTGACCGACTAGTCTCACCAAATCAGCAATTGATATCTTGCGATCCTCCTCAGACTTTCTCAATCGAGCAGCTTCCTCCCTACAATGGTCTAGGGCCAGTGTATGGCCTTCAATCGAAATATAACTAACGCTGCAATTAGACAATGTATTCGAGATAAGCATGTCCGAGACTAAACGTTTTTATATCCCCATGATGGGGTCTGGCCCCTGCAGTGTGCAGATTTGGCTCTCGAGTTTGCCTAAACTCAAGGATATGCGGGACAAGTCTCCACCGATCTAGTGTAGGCCGTTGGTCCTTGAAAACCATTCACTAGTCTTGAGGTACGTACTAGAGGAGGAGATCATGCCATATTTGTGCCTTGAGCACCACAAGCTTCAGATATACCAACCTCGCCCACCTCCATCTGTGATTGAACTTTACTTCTTCATACGCTCTCGTCAACAATCTGCTATATGTGAACAACTCTCAACCTTCATCAGGACGTCCCACTGAATGAGCCACCAACACTATCCAAATATGGATCATAGCTACACAGTCGCTGCAGCTCAATATTGGACATACGATCCGCGTTCCGAAATTAACGGCTATTACCAGGGAGCAAACCATCATGACACCTGGATGCCACTGACTTCTTTATCTGCGGAGCCTGAACATGGACTATATCGCTCTATGCCATACATTCCATTGACCAAGCCGGTATTCTGTGCCGATATGGAAACATCAGGAGAATATTCAAGGCTTTTCCAACCCAACCAGGTTGACCACTATAGCTCTTCGATTGATTCTCGTAGCAGCAGTCCCTCGGATATATCCAGTTCGAACCAGAATATGTTCTGTACTAACTATGTAAACAACTCAATACGTTACCTAGCAGGTCCTGTCAATCTTATAGATGGCCATATCCCCAACAGCCACGTGGAAACTAGCACGCACCATGCGCCATGGCCTACTCTCCCGGAACGATTGACCAGTTTCTCCGCTCATGCCACGATGCCGTCTTTGCTGTCAACTCACAACTTGACATTAAAGCAAGTCGAGTTTGACCAGCATAACGATCGTGCAAGCAAGGATGAGTTTGATCAGGATATCGTCACCATGCATACGCCCTCACTGCTTCAGAACCCCCTACCTCAGGAACTGGAAACATTCGAAGCATCAACATCATCCACTCCAGGTTCTGTTAGTGATGAGACTACATTCTCAGAGCAAGAGTTGTCAAGAGACTCTGCATTGAACTCTGACGAGGAAGAAGATCTGATCATCGTTGATCGGCAGAGCGACTCTGACTATACAAGCAAAGCTACGCGACGAAGAAGAACCAGCAGCACAGGAACACGAACCACGAAGCCTGCTAGTTGCAGAAGACGCGGGTCCAGCATCTTGGACAGCAATTCCCGAGTCCGTAAACGCAAAATCTCGACAACTACAACTGCTTCCAACCACACTCGTCGGCCATCCAGACCAAAGGCCAAGCCCAAAGGGCCAGCACTCCTTCAGAAACCTGGGTCAAGCGTTCCTGCCATCAGCAAATCTGAACGTAGCTTCCCCTGCGCTTTCCACAATTTCGGATGTCCTGCAGAATTTCCAAATAAAAACGAATGGAAACGTCATGTTGCCTGTCAGCATCTACAGCTTGGCTTCTATCGATGTGACTTGGATGACTGCGATCCTAATAACAACAACAGCAAGTTCCGAGCACGCAACAACCACAGACCCAAGCACGACGAAGAAATAATCAAGATCTACAACGACTTCAATAGGAAGGATTTGTTCACTCAACACTGCAGACGCATGCACGGACCTACTCGAAACCCAGCACTCTGCTCCAATGCACCAACCAAGAAAGGCGGCGAACTGAAGCCAACCAAAGAAGACGAAGCCGATTTCGAGAAAGAGATGATAAATATCAGAAGTCGTTGCTGGCAAGTCAGACGCAAAGCTCCTGCTCGCAGTAATTGCGGCTTCTGTTCTAAGGTGTTCGACGCCATTTACTACACTTCCAACACCGGTGGTACACATGATCAAGGGCCTGAAGAGAAAGCATGGGAGGAGAGGCTAGAGCATCTCGGAAGACACTACGAGAAAGAGCCCTTGAGGAAAGAACAAGAAGAAATTGACGATGACCTCGTTGCTTGGGGTCTCAGGAATGGTGTATTGAGAAGGCTCGACGACGGGCGAGCTTGGTTAACGACTGCAGACGTGCCTGACTTGTACACAAGTTCTGTACAAGGGGCAGAAGAAGATCACAAGAGGAAGGCACGTCGACAGTCAAGTCGCACGGTTGTTGTGCAGAGGGCACTAGCCGTGAAGAAGGAAGAAGCTAGTGACGACGATGCAGACGGTGAGGACGAGTGATGGATAGCTTGTCGATCTTGTGTTTTGTGGTTGGCCAAACTTACGCTTATGGGCTTTCCCGGGGAATATTTGCAAGGCAAACTGGTAATTACGAGGCAGTGAAGGAAAGGCGTTGACACAATATTTTGCATTTTCAGTACCCAAAGATACCCCCTAGCTCTAATGATGATGATGATACGTGCCGATCATCCTACTTTCCAAGAGATATTAATCGTTCCCAACAAATACAAATTCCCTCGTAGGTTCGTGCACACTTCGCTACGTATTTCGCGTGAGCTTGTCTACCAATCATTGGCTTGGGGCCACGTTTTGCCTTGCAAATACTACCCAAGGCAAGACGCCCTCGCCTGTCTGTCCAGTGGATATAACAACGTGTCAGTACACCACTGGCACCACTGGCCAAAGATTTGGGGGTTCGATAACACCACCATTCCGGATACGCTAGACGTAAACTACCAGGACCAAGCAGAATGCAGTTTTTGAACAACTGAGTATCGTGCGCCTTCCCCTCGGGGCGGATGTGGGCTAAAGGGGCCATATCCATGTCAATCGCAACGAGCTGGGGCCAAACTCAAAAGTGTGTATTATGCCTGACGACGATACACGAACGAGAGACATCCTCATAATTTACGAGGTTTGCTATAGTTGGTTCGTACAGGTTCATCAGAAGCTCAGAACCCCAAGTTCTGCCTGATGAGATTGTCAGTGGTTCTGGACGAAGATACGGTGGTCTATCATGGTAAGTAGTGGCTCGACTAGATCGTGTGGATAAGTAGCACTTTCCGTGCCTTTGGTTGCTATGGAGATAGGAGATTCTACTGCATGGCCAGCAGAGTTGTGGACATCTGAATCGACAGATGAGCCTTGATCATATTGTGGGAATTTCACTTGCTTTTTTTTTTTAGACAACTCTCACTAGCAGCTCACTGGTCAAGCGCCTGTGCATGGCCTGGATTGGTGGAGGAGATATGTCGTAGCTAGTCCCTCAGCGAACCCGCCAGAGCTGAGTCTGCCATGTGTTCACAGTATCAAGAAACAGAGCCGCCGAGGAAAGTGAACGCGGTTTACCATGCTCTAACAATAGCATACCATCGAATTCGCAGGAGATCGCGTAAAGGCGAGTCGCGAGCTGCATGGCTGGGATGGATCAAAGGATTGTTCGTCACTAGTATCGGCGAAACCGAGTTTTTCCTCACACAAGTACAGCTTACACTCTACTGAGTAGGGTCAACACTAGCTGTCTCTGTGAGAGATTCTTGGCGGGAAACCAGCCATCGGTATTGCTGTTTGGTTTTCCGCGAAGGACCCTCTCGTGTATATCCTGGGCATATACTCACCGGTCATGGAGTGTGAATGCGTGGCCTGGTTCTGTCGATTGCTATCACGAGCAATCTGCTGTAGGAATACCTCATTTTCATGTGCGAAGAGATAATGAAGGTTGCACAAGAATTGGAGGTGCATGGGTGCTGGCAAATATGCCGGTCCAGCTCTTCTGTCACAAAGCCTGGAGACAGTTTAGTGCTTGGACATGCTTAAATAGTGTTTGTGACAGACAGTTCGGTAGCTGTTGGGATGGCCAATCTAGGCTGTCCACGCCTCTTCAGGTATAGATCGCCGGTTTTCTCGTGATGCTATCGCTTTCTGGAACAACCGAGACCTGGTCGCGACCTGAGTCTTAATACATTAGCATGCTGATCGTCGAAGTCAACAATAGGGAGCACATGTGCTGGGAGGGTAGAAGCGGATAGAGCTTTGACCAGGAGTACAGCTTTCGCAGATAGGGACGCTGAACAGATGGCCAGATAGGCCCTCTGCTATGCCTGGCCTGTGATGGAAGCTCGACGATTGTTGTGCGAGAACAAGCCCCAGCTTTCAGCTATCAACAGATTAAGCCACAGGGAAATGTACTAATCCGTAATTGGTCGAGTGCCCTGACGCATCCCTGCTGCCGTCTTCTGTATTCGGTATCCTTGCATAATGTGGCTTCGGCTAAACCTGCTAGGCACGCGCACAAGCTTGAAGCAATAGAACGAAAGTATAGATCCATGTGCTGTAAAATGTTCATTGGATGTAATCGTATCCAGACCCTCTATCGTGGAGGTCTCGGACCGATGATCTGCCTCCTGGCACCACTCGCACCTAGACCAGGCCCACCACGATTCTGACTATCACCCCCAATATAGCCATACTGGTGAACATCCCAAGTCTGACCAGGCGCACTACCTTCTTGGATGTCTCTTGCCGCTGTCTGAGTCTGCTTCTGACTCTCCTCCCATTCCCTCTGCCTTTCACGTTCGCGCTCCATCTCCCGTTCCAGTAAGCTCTTGCTTGCCCAGCCACCTGCACGAGTACTATGTTGTGATGCTAGTCTCCTTGCGTTCTCAGCATCGATCTCGGCAGTGGTGCCATGTGACGCCTCGTTGGGAGTGTGCTGGCTAGCTTGCGTAGGCGCTGGTGCAGGGTTGGTGGTGAGAAAACGTGACGTACGGGTAGTGTTCGGTGCGTAGGTAGATGGATCTGGTAATGGTCGAGCTGGCTCGGCGGGCTGAGGTCGTGGTGGTTTGGGAGGTAGACTGTGCTCTGCAGCTATTGAAGAGTATTCCTTGTGCGCATTACGAAGGTAGTCTCGTTCAGATGCGTCCCAGTCGTCTTCATGGGCTGTCTGCACGTTGTTGGAAGGTCTTGTTGGCAGTGCTGGACGTTGCTGTGGATCCGGCTCATCATCGACCTTCACGGTTGAGGGATCTAGTGAAATATGCTCTTGCGGTCGTCTCTCATGCGTGGTCGTAGCCTGTTGCTGTCTGAGTCCTTCGAGCTCCCGTTCCAGATCAGCAATTCTGCGCTGTTCAGCTGATAGTTGAGGTTCCAATCTTTTAGGTAGAGCGGGTTGAGGTTTCTGCGTGGCATGGTACTGGCTAAGAAATTGACCATTAAGGCGCGCGTCACTTGTCGTTCTTTGACGATTCCTCGAGGCAGAGAGACGCTCCTCAGCCTCCTGGTCTTTCCTCGCCTGTTCTTCTCGTAGCCCTCGTGATTCTTCCTGCTGTTGAGCAAGTTCTTCCTCCCTACGCAGCCGATTTGTTTCCTCTTGCCATTTCCTCTCCTCTTCTTCCTTGGCTTGCGCCTCTTCAGCTTCTTGCTGCGCTCTTAGACGTGCCTCGTTATCTCTCAACTGTTGCTTCTCTTGCTCAAGTTTTTCGCGAAGGCGCTTCTCCTTCTCGACTAAGGAAGGTACTTCTGGCGCTGTACTCGTAATCTGGCGTCTACCTCCATACACAACACCCAGCTTGCCTTGGTCAGGTCCGGCGAAGCTACCATATTGAACCGTATTCCAAGCTGGAGCGGTATTGTTTCTGTCACTTTCCGTACTCCAGCTACTGATTGACCCTCCCGTAGCTAACCCGCCTCTTGATAGACTGGCGCTTTTGGTAGGGCTCGTTCGGCCCGAACTTGCATAGGCGGCCTTGTTCAATGGATTGAATGTGGTTGCAGGCGAAGTTTTTGTCTTCGGAGCATTGGTCGTGTATCCCACTACCTTGGGAGAATATGGGCTTGAGCCAGGTCCAGTCGATTCTGGGCTCAATGCGCCTCCTTTGCTCTTTGCACCTATCGTGGTCGGAAAGTTGGTAGGATTGACTTGATTGGCTCTCCGGCTAAAAGCAGCGATACACTGTAACACTTGAGCGGGATCCTTCTTGTCGTAAAGATCAACTGTCAAGAAACGATCATGCGCGGGCAAATTGAGAGGTGGCATCTCGCAGGCTTTGAGAAAATGGCTGATATTTTCCATTTGCACGAAGGGCATGTTCGAGGCCTTGTACTTGATATTAGGCGAGACTGCCAGGTTGATCAACTTGCATAAAGCGACACCATCCCGCAGTGCTTCCATAAGATCACCTGGCGCAAGTCTTTCGCCGAGAGTATTCTCAATCCATCCTCGTATCTCATTTGCAGCGCCAGGGGTGTAGCGATCCAGACGCAATTTGCGCATGTCCTGGTCCAGGCTCGACACGGATGCCATGTCTATGTCTGGAACTGCGGTTCCAATATGTACAGACCACCACAGGGTAGCGAGTAGGAGGCCTATGGTTTTGATGCGAAGAAAGTCATCAGATTTGAACAGTAAAGACGGTGACGTATCTGGGTTGTTGGTACAAGACAATCCTCTGCTCGCAGGGTTAGGCACAGCGTTTCTGAGGTCTGAATGTGCAGTATGAGGGCGCGGTCGCATCGCTCGAAATATACGGCTGCAACGTCATTTTCTGGGGCTCATCAAGCTAATCTAACATAGTTACCGCTGTGCACGTGCGAGACATCGAGTGGAGCAGCCTTATGGCCTGAACACCTTCTACTTACTACGTCTCAAAGGTCAGCATTAAGCAAATCTAGGAAATGCAAGTCTTTTGGGTATATTTACAGATTGTATTAGCGAGCTAGGGTGCTAGTGTGATCTCACGCCCTATTCGGACAGGTTGAACTTACAACACGTCATATTCTAATGCAAGAGACGGGAAATCAACCATGAAAGACCTGTCGCTCTCGTCGTTTGAGAAGGGTCCCGAAAGCATTCCCGGTAGCAGAGCCCCATGTAGGGCTACCATACCCGAAGTTGTTCTCTCCCGTCTTCTTCTGCCTCCAGGGCACGCCTCTTCGTGGTTCTTCTGTCGCTACACATGCTCTCCTTGCTGGCGATGATATCTGGCTTGACCGAAAGCAAGAATTTGAATTTTCGGCACCGTTCACCTGCTGTTGTCTGCGGAACAGAGGACGCCAGGGCTGGGATGTTGTATTCTGCGAGACTGGGCTTTCAGAAGTACACGGCGGAATTTGTGACTCGAAGGACCTCCCTTGGTTTGACTCAACCACTAGATCCTGATCGGCGGTTAGCTCGACCATCGTGTTAGCCTGGATACTTTGGTCAGGAGAACGATCCTTACATTGGGATGGCACACTGTCTGTGTAAGTCCGTGGCTCGTTCGAGGCGTCCTCTTCGAGCCTTGCTGTCCTTCTCGCAGCATACCGGTCAATCTGTGCTCGGAGCGCTCGCATACTCTTCTCGTATGCCTCTTCCTGAGTGATACGATATTCATACCATTGCCGAACCACACGGATCATTCTCTTCACAGCTTCTTTGTCAGCGATGACCTCCCGACCTACCATCTCGGACTGATAGATTTGGTTCAGAAAGAGGCGCATTGACTCATCAATTTTGCTTCTGTCGAGCAAGCCGAGTCCTTGCAGGAACCGGTCTGTCAGTTCTTGGTCACATAGATTATTGTATGCCACAAGATCTTGCTCCGTCCATGCATCGATATTTGAGTGAGGTAGTAGGGAGGAGGCCAGAGAGTCGAGAGAGTTCAAAGGTTGTCCACCTGCTATGAACAGGTGTTCTTTTGAAAGATGTGCGACCAGATAGCCTTGTTGTCTGGTATACACGGCGTAGAGACGGTATGCAAGTGATCCTTGCATATAGGAGTAACATACTCCATGTCGGTGGCTCGGCGTGCTTGGCGGTTTCTTGCGGCTAGATACGGTATCAGAAGAGATTGAACTAGCGTGGGTGGGTGTTGAGTATGTTGTGGATGTAGTGAAGCATGGGGACGAGCGAAGATAGCCTGGTAATATATCTGATGCGGTCCAGTTTTTCTGCATGTCTCTAGAATGTCTCTGGAGCCTTGAAGTCGCAGACACACGACACAATGCAGTATGTTGTCTTGTCTCACACAACGTCACTCAGCTAGCTTTCTTTCGTCTTGCTTTGTGTGCCATTGTTCAAGTGACGGCAGGATGTACGCGATGGCTAGTGAAGCTCAGCCTTTGAATGCTATCGTCGTCCATGTTCAGTATAGGTGGAGTTCTTCTAGCAGTATCATACATACTGCTAGCCGTTGCCTAGAGGAACGGAACGGAAAGCCATATCAGAAATCGATGATTATTGATAGCTCAATTTGTGTCACGATACCTATACGTTAGTCAATCATGTGCCAAGTGATCAATTCAAAATGATACTTACGATGGAAATATCAGTCGCAAACATTAAGGTCACCTCGGTTCATTGCTGTATTTAGTTCAGGCGAGTCGTCGCCTTTTTCCAATGTCCATCAAGTGAGTAGACGAGCCAGCTATCGTCTTCAAGGCGTTTCATCTCACCTACAAAGGGTGCTGTGACTGAGCTCTTCTCAACAGGGTCTTGTAGAGCGCTGTTGAGCTTTTTGAGCAAGGCTCGACCGCGTACAGTTGTCCGGTATCGACATGTCGAACAATGTCGATCTCGCTCGGCAGAATGCCAGGTCGATAGCAAAGGTTGCGTCGTGGTAAGATCTGGATCAGTAGGCACAATCATCGGTGAATCTAAATGTCCGCCATTGGAGCCAACATCAGAGTCTTCGATTACCATTGTGTGCCGCGCAGTCGAGTCCGGTGTGCCACGGCCGATCTCATACCATTGCATAGCTAGTGGAACAAATGGTACAGCCGCAGCGCGTGGTCCGACACCAGAAACATTATATTTGGTTTCTGTCGTGCGGACAATCCGGTCTTGTCGTTGTGTGGTCCTCAGAACCCGCGGTACACGCAGTGCCTTCGAGGCATGGGCTACAGTCTTGGTTGACGCTGGTTCGAAATCTTCTGGCATTTTATCAGTCCGTGGTAAGCAGCCATCCGTATAAGATTTAGTATAGAGGTTTGGATACCTGTTCCAGCCTGACTTGTACTGATAGCCATGTACAGCGTCCTGCCTCATCAGCTGCTCCCATCTACATCGATTTTCGAACTCGATCAACTCTATCGAAGTCCAATGCTTAGCTTCCATAGGGTCAAAAGCAACGCAAAAGTAGTTCTTAGTGGACTCCAAAGGTTCAGACTTCTCCCAGGCATTCTTCTCGATGCACTCGAGTGTATATTTGTGATACTCTTGTACATTCCTAACACGCTCTTCCATAGACAGTATTGTTGCTGATTTCTGTGAGCTAGCGAACCCAGCGGACGTCATTTGCGTGCTGCCACTCTTTTGAGACGGACTCCTCAACGATTCTGTATCTGTGAATCGTAGACTTTGCGAGAAGGCAGACATGGTAGCTCGATGCATATTTTTTCCCCGTTGTATGACCTGAAGTTTCTCGACTATCACGATGTCAAGCTTGGTCATAAATTAACAGTTCCGCTTCATATAGGTAGACTATCTGATGTCCGGGCCACCACACGACGGAAGTGCTCAATGACAATGTCCATGTTTGAGGAGAGCAGACAAAACATATCGATAACATTGTTCTGGAGAGCACCCGTTGTTGAAGTCACAATGCAAACAAAGAAGCATCGTATGCCTTGTACTCGTTTGCCAACCCATGCTGAGACGTCAGAGCATCATTTCGCAGAAAGCGGCAGAAGCAATCGAGGGCAATGGACGTTTACCACAGTAGTCATTGCAAGCCCATCCAGTGGTAGACAGACGGTGATCATTCAAGAAGACGTGGTCTTTCCATAAATGAACCATGGGTTAGCCATCTAAGCACTAGCTATGCCAAGAATCGCCGCCTCTGACTGAGAGGGGAAGATCAAAGCTAAGAGTCTTTGCCATTTCTTGTCCTGAAATACCAGTCGAAGTTTCTCATGTTCTTTGCGTCGAGACCAAATTCTGTCTCATGTCTCTCGCCAATCGGCCATCGAAATTTTCCAGCTCCTTGCATACCTTTGACCAAAAACCAGAAATCGACTGGAAATGCGCTCTGACCTTCGCCATCCTCTCTTGACTTGTCTCGGAGCTCTTTAGGGGCAGATTTTGGATCACTCAGGATCTTTCTTTGGTCATCGTAGTTATATTTCTCTATCTTGACTTGTTTACCAGTATACTTCTCTAACAGCTTCGCAATTTGGGAGTGAGAGATGCTATCGCTGACGACATTGATAGATCTATTTCTTGAGGCTTCTGGCTTGCATAGGGTGACAACCAGGAACTCTGCAAAGTCAGCCAAATGAGTGAAGTCGGCCGTTGCATCCTGGTCGCCTGCGACATGGAGAATGTAGTTGTCCTTGACATCGCTTGGTGATTGTGTCCATGGACACCATATAGGTTCACGGTCTTGGTTATAGTAGTCGCCACAACCTTTCAAATATCAGCTTAGAGCAGTCTTGGCCCAGCTTGTCAATGGTTCATGGTGGACGCCGGTACGTTTCGGGGTAGGTACTCACCGATCAAGGTGTACGATATCTTACCGTCAAAAACTGCCGGATGCTTGATCATGTCTTCGTTGGCATTCGCTTTCATGTTCCATAACTACTCGGTTAGTGGTCCGTGAAGGTAGCAAGTGTTTGACTTACTGGATGCACCCATCCTGATCCATCATTCTGTGTGTAGACATGATGCATGCCATATTCACTCGGATAGATTCTTTTGACTCCAGCATCAACAGCAGCTTCCAATATTAGCTTTTGTGATTCCAATGCTTTGCCATTGAGTGCGCTGACGATAACATCAACGCCTTTTAGTTGATCAGCTAGTTCGGACTGGGATATTTGCATCAGATCGACTGGCTTGACTTCTATTGTGGTGTCTTTGTTGGACTTTGAAAGATTGAGTGCTTCTCTGGGTGAAGGCGTGTCGGGTTGAGTGAAGGCTAGGACTTTGAACGACTGTTGCCGACAATCTACCAGACTTTGTAAGATGAACGACCCGATCTGTCCATTAGAACCAAACAGAGCCACTGTGTCAAATTTATGGCCAGACTCCGGAGACTCAGTAAGTGGGATGATGTTACTGGATGCGTCTGCCATTGTGGTGGTTATGTCAGTCATAAGGGAGACGTGTTATTGTGACAAGATGCTGCTGTCAGACTTAATTATATCATATATATATATATATATATGTACTACCTTTCGGTGCTTTGGTACCCAGTCACTACATGCCAGTTCATGACCACATGATCTGCTGATAGGCCGCCTGGCATGCTAGACTGAACGAAATTTCGTCATATCGAGAACCGTTCGCATATCCGTGCACTCGGCACCGGGAGTCGGATTTGTGCATAGATTGACCAAGAGAAGCAGACCCACGTGCTATGAGGAAGCTTGAGATTGACCTGACGGTACAATTTGCGCCAAATTCTTGCTGGTGAACGCTCGTGGTGAATGGAATATGGAATGGCTGGTCTTGGGACGTCACTTGTCACGTGAAAGATGTGCTAGCTTCAACCTCAGGCTCTCCCTTTGAACAGCAATCCTCTCCCAACAAATCTTGCATAACGACTGCACCTCATTCTTGAGCTCAATCGTCTACTTGGAGTTAGCTCACCTTCTTTACTCACCTGAATTGTGCCCGATTGTTAGCTGGTTAGCTTGGACAGGACACCTTGGAAGTGAACAAAGGTATTGCAAATGATGGGCTAATGCGTCAGCTGAAGGCAGAAGTTAACGAAGAGAGAACGAAAATTCAACCTGAAGCTTACACTAAAGTGTTTCTCAGCAAGAGAATTCGTCAACGCACGAGAGCTCGACACAGCAAACATGTCTACCATTTTGCATGAGCCTGTACAGTGCTCTGGTGAGCCAGTCTACTGATACCGTGATCGTGCTTCAAGTTCAGAACAATCGCTTAGCGCCGAGATACAACGGGTATGCTCTAGCCAGGCAGAATCGTTTCTGGCATAGCATCCGAGTACGCATCGATAACACGAAAATGTACTGCAGCCTGAACGCCCTAGGTTGACTTGAGACATCGAGACCGGTACAACACTTACTATGTCACTTAAGAAGTGTTTGTTCGGCACGTTCGGACCGAGAGCCGGCACACAAATGCACATACCGCAATTAATCTACATATTATTATCCAAAGAATTCACTTTCAAGAATCAGACTAATGGTCGAACGGTCTCATGGCTCAACAGGAAACTCGGAAGACTCGGGTTGGTCAAGTCATCAGGGTATGCCTTAGGGCTCGGATATCACAACTTATGGGGAAACCTTTGAGTTGCTGGGTATTCGCCACCCCTTCGGATAACCCCTGGTGCACTACCCAAACTGTTGGCAATGAGTTTGTATCATCGTGAGTCTGATTCTCCTCTCCTCTCCTCAGCGGATCCGCCGTCACACCAGCTTTTTCCTCCTTTTGCCTTCTCCTGCCTTTTTTTGTGGGATTCTACGTGCTTGCTTGTTGAAGTCGACCTTTGTCTAGATAGTTCCTTCGCTTCATCACAAAGGGGTGTAAGAATGCTACAATGCCGTTGACGCGTTGTTCTTCGTGTTCGAAGGATTGACACTCGATGTATTTACCAACACATCAGGGGTTCCAATGGATTGCTTCATCTAACAGCGGCACTCGGATAGCGAGGGTACTCTGCTGTGACTCCTGGTTAGTCAGTATATTGAAAAGGAACTATGACATCTATCAGAGGGAGTTGACGGCAATCATCAGATTTACCACAAATACAAGGAGAAAAGACATCAACAGAACGTATGGACCACAAACTGCTAATCTCCTTCTTGAATAGCGATGCCTGCAAGGACGTATCCTACATCAGGCGCTTTGACGTGCGCGCTATCAAGACGACAAAGATGCATCGAGGAAACACATAACCACGTCTAGTGTGGAGATCAACGCACATTGATCAGGAAGACTGATTACAACATGGCAGCATCCGGATGCCCTGGACAGGGTCACTCAATCCATCTGTCTACCTATCCTTAGCATCCACTACTGTATAGCAGAAGGTTTGCCACCACGGCTGCAACAAAAACACAATTTCGCACCCTGTGCTCAGGAAATCCTGCACGATCAATTCTTCTCAGCAACTAATCGTGTCTGTAGTGTATGCCGCAGACCAAACCCATAATTTCCGTCATTCCTGAAGTTGATACGCTCTGGCCATGCTTAAACAGCAGGGAAGAGTTCAGCGTCAAACAAGGTTCTTCTGACACTGCTACCACTCTGCACACTTTCGTCCAACTTTCGTTTCTTCTTTTCCGAGGTCTCACCGTGATTGAATCTTAGCACAAAGCTGAACGCAACTTCGTGCTCTCGTCGGTTGCCGTGATCAAGATTCCCCCCTACCCAATCAAACCAGATCCGGCGACTGGTGATGGGCTTCGGTGCGTGACCATGTATAGCTATTTCGAACAACTGAAACCCGTCGCTGTCAGGGTAAGTATTCAGCAGGGCTCTCGCCTTTCGATGAAACATGCCGATCATATCCAGGACTTTGTCGACATAACGTGCCGAGTATCCTGTCAAAGCCAAGGTGGTAGCTGGCCGCCAGAGTGCCTGCTCGCCAGCAAGGTTTTCGAAGATTGCGACATGAACATCGACAACTTTCTCAGACAGGGCCAGGTGAGGCCAATTAGGATTTAACCTCCGCTGACGTTGTATTTCTGCAACAATTCTGTCCTCGCTTTATTTGATCTGTTTTGCAATCTTTTCCGTGATATTAGCCTGAGCTTGAGCAAGTGTTTTGATATCCTCCAAACATCTATTGACATCGCTCTTCATGCTTGAAACGGCTTTGATGTTTTCCACAGCCTCAGAGATGTCAGATGTCACGTTGCTCTGGCGCTCGTCTTCGGCTCTGATTGCAATCAGCTCTTCCTCGCAAGTCGTTAGCTCGTCTTTCAAACCTGCAAGCTCTGGTGCAAGTTCCTTCGCAAATCCTTGTATATATTGTGCAAGTCCTTGACCCATAGTAGATAGCCAATTTGCCATATCGCTCATTTTGTTGTTCGTCGCCGCATTCTGTTGAGTGAAGAGATGATCTGTGGCCCCAAGGATGCAAGAGAGTAATGTCTGCGCATCTGTTGGGAGACTTCCAGCCCCTCTCAAGAAAGGCAATGCGTCGTACGCAATATTGGTTTGTGATATCGCATGATCTTCGGTCGGGGTCATGCGCTGGGTCGGCATTTCGAGTTGCTGACCTGATGCTTGCACAGAGGCAGGATTGGGTCGGCATACTTCTTCGACACTTTCAGCTGCTGGGAGCATTTCGACCTCCACAGGTATTGCCGTAGCCTTATTTTCCATCTCGACATCGTCAATCTCCATATCGGCTGTAGTGAAGGATCCCAGGTCATTGTTGCTAAGGGACGGCCTCGAAGTGATTTGTCTGAGGTTGTTCCAGGGCAGGACTAGGCTTAGAGTCGGGATTGTTTTGAGCAAATGGTATCAGGACTTCTTTAGTGTCAGCCTCTCTTTCTTTCTTGATAAATCTAGGTCGCGCAGGTCGAGACTTCTTAGTATTTCTTGCAGTGTTTTTGGATGACTGTTCTTGTTAGCATGTTTCTCGATTAGCAAAAAGCTCGAACGATAACGTACGAAGTGGGAAGGCACAGCGAAGCTTGCCGCCGAGATGTTAGAAAAGGTGTTAGCCATGGTGTTCATGTTATTGGACTGCATAAAGGCCTGCACAGGAGGACATTGTAAGGAGGTCTCATAGAGCGTGCTAGGACTAGAGAAATTACTGTTCCCGAAAACATCGTCTTCATGATATCGTGTTTTTGGCTTTTCGGTCTCTTGTTGCGCTGTCCAATGGTCTTGGCAAGCTTCATGTTCCATAGTGACTGGCGACGCAGCAGGGCCGCTCGGAGCCTGGGTTCCTGAGGGCTCTGCGGTTATGTCGATATCATCCTCATCATCTGTATTGTCTTGACCGTCATCAGTATTGTTGACGGCTGCGCTCGCGGCTATGTCGTAGGATCGCTTTCGACTAGGTTGGTTCGCGGCAGTCTGTTATCATTAGCAGCAAGTAGTTGGTTAATTTTACAAATGTACTGCAGAGTTGGGAACTCTATCGATCGAGGAAACGTTCGGGCCTGAGCCATCGTTATCGCCAAATCCTGACGGAAGGAAATCAGTCTCGTTGTCAGCCATCTCTTCTTGGTAACCATGTAAGTAGAAGGGTTGAAGGTTAACAACGATCGAGTTAGCAGTAGCGAAGAGATAAGTTGAAGGAATGAGCTGGGGCTTGAAAATTGTGGCCGGTTGTAAGTGACTGCCTGAGTGACAATGAAAGTGAAGGTGCAGAACTTTTGATCAGACTTTTTCACCAGTGATACCATGTTCTTCCTCTTACAGTCCCGACCAAGAATTTCTCACGATAACCATCCAACCCACTACCGGGAGGACAACGCCGACTGCTACATATTCATACACCAAAGCTCATGAGACATAGTTCTCTGGCAAGAAGGACCCTCCAGCTATTATCAAATTCATGTTAGTCATGCCCACATACTTTACAGGTGTCTTCTTCGTAAGAAAGGCTGAGATCTGATCGGCCGATACAGAAGGACCTTTTCCTTTCTTCTTCGTGTTCGCTGTCGATACTGTCACAGCGTTACTAGTAGTGGTGCCGTCTGGCTTCGCTCCATCACCTGGTTTAGCCACGGAACCCTCCTTGGCAGGTAGATTGACATCCCATACTCTAACCGTTTGATCAGCTCCTCCGGATACAAGGACAGTAGACTCAACGCTCCAGGATAGAGACCAGATACCACCTTTGCTGTGTCCTCTTAGTTGTTTGAGTAGTTTTCCAGGCCCCAGATCCCACAGTAAGATATTGCCCCCTTCATCAGCACTGGCCAGTAATTTACCATTTCTACTGCAAGCTAGAGCAGTGATTGGTGAAGTATGACCTGTGAACATTCGTACAGCTTGGCCACTTGCGACTGACCACATGCGCACAGTTTTGTCGCAGCTAGCAGTGAAGACGTAGGCTGTATTAGGATGCCATGCGACAACATCAACATCCTCATCGTGACCAACGAAGAATCTTCGAGGCGAGACTTTGCTTGTGATCCAAAGTCGAGCGGTCTTGTCCATACCTGAAGACACAAAATAAGTACCCAAGGGAGAGAATTTGACATCCCAGACTGGTCCGACATGACCTCTGTAAACGACCATGCATTGCCACATAGTCAAGTTCCATAGGCGAATAGTGCCATCTGCGGATGAAGACAGTAACCATTGTGGTCTTGTCTCAGCTTGCTGATGTGGTGGTTGTACGGTTGAAGGTGCGAAAGATAGGCCATAGACAGGTCCTGCATGGCCAATTAAGCGTTTTGAGTTCACAGGCTTACCTGTACCATCAACACCAATTTGAGTTCCTTCCATTGACCATATTCTGATATATGACATGTCGGTACCTGCTGCAACAAGACTATTGTCGCCAGAAAATTCGAGGCATGTGATATGGTCTTTGGTGTTGTGAAAGGTGTACATGACACAACTTAGACCAGGTCCAACTCCACCAGTTCTACCTTCAAGTTTGAGACGATCTCGATTTTCCCGGATTTTCTGCACTTCCATGGCTACATCTCGAGCCGTGGAGATTGGGTAAGGGATTTCGGTTCGGTTTGGTCCTTCGTCTTCATCCTCCTGCTTGATGTTGACTTTCCCGTGGATGTCAAGAAGTGAAGGTTCAGCTGCTGGATCTTGAAGATCGAGTTCTTTCAGGTCCCCTCTTAGATCTTCTTCCAGTTCTGGTTCCATAGGTAATTTACCAAGCTTCAGATTAGCCAGACTATTACCCTCCTTAGGGTCCGTCGAGATGATAGCACTTCCAGCTTTGTGACCGGGTATACCTTCATCCTCGACTACTTGGTCTTCTTGATCACGACGTAGGATGGCTTCAAACGAGAATTTATCATCCGCTGCTCGAGCCATCTGTCGAATATCCATGTGTTTCTCGATGACTTGGATGAATAGTTTGTACCATGATGTCTGCAGACTTTCCAGGAATTGCATGAGATATTGAAAACTGGCATGCGTGATCGGTAACCGATATCGATTCTGTTTGTATATCCTTGCAATACTGCTGTCTTCCTGATGCTCAGGAAGTAATGTGTGCTCAAGTCTGCGTAGATCATGTTCGTGAACTGACTTGAATTGTTCTTGATACTTGTTCCAGAATGCACGAGCCTCTTTGGTATAGAATTGGTCGACTAGATTAAGGAAAAAGTAGACGAAGAATGGCCATAATAATTTTTGCACTTCTGGTTTGTAAAGCTCCAATGCATCTCTAGTCCACTGATCTAGGCGAGCATATGCTTCCAGATATTTTGGAGGACCAGTATCTTTTGGTCGCGGTTCCGCATCGGCAGGTATTGCCTGATTCGAGGACTCTGCTCGAAGAACGGCTTCTGCTCTGGTATAACCTTTTTTGTTGAGATAGTCTATCACCTATTGAAAGTCAAGTTAGCGATGATCGGTATTGACGCGAGCTTCCACGAACAAGTTGATTAGTACATTCAGGAGCAGGTGGCGCACGTCGTGTAGGTTGAGTAGTCATCCCATGGCGGTCTCGCGTAGGACGAGCAGATAGAGTTGGAGGACTAGGCTGGGAGCCTGACATGTTTGCTGATTTAGGACAACAGGATGTGATTATGATGGGAAGACTTGTGGAGTGGCTGGAGAGGATGGTGGTATTATCGCAATAAGCAGCATGTATGCACCTGATACTTCCGCCTTCGAGGTCTTACTCTGACCTCACCCGAACCATCGACCTCGACCACAAAGCAAACGGCAAGTGACATGACACAACGTGGCTGAAATGGGTACTCACAATTTGGTTGAGATTTTGCTGCGTCAATGGAGGGTTTGTACTTGTTGTACTGGCCGTCGTGTTAGATGTGCCAGCGACGGGTCCAACACCATTGACCACTGCTGCTGTCGTTGGTGTTGGCAGTGGGCCATTTGGTCCTGTGCTCGCACTCCTTGTCCCTGCAGGGCTGGCAGGAGGTATGTTCGTCGACATGGTTTATACCACTACATTCTTCCACGAGAATTCGGTAACACGATGCCCCTTATGTCTAGGTGTGTCTGAATGTGTTGGCTTGTAGGTAGAATCGCGTCTAATATGGATTGATGGAGGAGCAAGAACAACTTCAAACGATGAAGTCGCGACCAGACCGTCAAGTACTACCGAAGAAGCCCCGACGCGACTTAATCTTTGCCGCTCCTGCCGATCTGCATCTTGCCCACAACGGTATCTTCCACACAAGTCAACCGCGACCACTGCTCCTCTTGCAACTCGCGAAAGGATCACGTCCCGTCCATATCTTCATCTGAACCATGTCAAATATAGCAAATAGTCAACACGCGGAGTTTGTAGAGGTCAAACCTGAAGAGCGAATCAAAGAACTCAATGACATTGACCACGATATTGCGAAGATCCTTCGAAGCGCTTCAAAAGCTATAGGCCTGCTCTCTAATGAGGATCACGGCACTATCAACCCGAAGCTGGAGGATGTCAAGACTGAATTTGAGGCCAACGTTCGCGAGTATTACGCTACACTAGCCAGCACATCTGTACGGCTGCGACGACAAGTACATGCATTGGAAGAGGCTGGCTTGATTGCTGAAGGTACCAAGTTTGATGCAAATCGTGCTAAGCTGATGGACGAGAATATGTCCAGTCGACGTGGTGGTGGAGGACCACTAGACAACAGTTGGCTCAATGCTCGAGCTAAGGACTCTACAGGTCAAGCACTCAAAGAAGAATCGTTGAGGGACATGAAGCAGTTCTTGAAGCACAGCAATATTGACGTGGAAGGCAGATCTCCTGGAACAATGCAGGTTGACACAGAGACGTGAGGATTTGGTTTTCAGGATTGATTCGAACCATATCTGACAACGACAACCAAGGTCTGCTACCACAGGTGGGTATAGGATGACCAATCGCAGATTCTGTGTTCAGGAGCGACTCTCAAAAAGCACGCCTGCTTATGCCGACGAGTCTTCTACAAGGTTCCTGTACTTTTCCCTCCTCTTTCGAGAAAGACTTCGTTACAAGACGTTACGCAAGGTCTCAGAAAACACAATCTTGGGACGAAACGAACTTGAAGGTGGAATGCAAGAATACTCAAGCAAATTGGCCGACCTCTCAACCACAATCTTGTCAAGCATACGAAATAGACAACGTGGCTTGACGTTCAGAATGTTCCATCGAGTCCGCATTAGCAGTAGAAGCAACCAGTCCCTACTTATGGCTCAGAGTCTTTGCCTCGTCCTTGATGCCCAGTACAAGGACGAATTTTGATGCATTGAGGACTATCGAACGCGGTTGCCCGACTCATGTCATTGCGAGACAGAGAAGGTCTGGAACGAGATTTTATTGGAAATATGCGGACAACGATGTGATCGGAATTTGTGAATGAACTCGACGAGAAGGCAATCCTGAGAAGAGATGTGAATGCTACCGGGACGCCTGACGAGGTAGAAGTCGCAAGACACAAGATACTGAAAGATGTAGGCTATAACAGAGTCAGCTTCACAGGCCATTCATCATGATAGGAACAGAATCTCAAAGCGTATGCCTCATCCAGTGTGGTCGACCTGCCGAGGATCTGCCGGCGCATTTTCATAGATCCAGGTAAATTCAGGTAAATCGTAAAACTCGCAGAACCCCATTTGCATAGCTCGCACGCAGCACAACACCATGGAAGTCATACGAGAAGCCCCACGGATGGGCGGGTTCGTCCCGTTGGCTGAATTCCAATCTGTCACACCCGAGACGTTCTCCCAGCCAGTCCTCCACTACTACAGCGATAGATGCAAAGTGATAGTCCTTGAGGACGAATTACAGCATGCGCCAGCTATTGCTGAACTGATCACGAAGGCTTCACAACCAGTACATAGTAACGAGGCAGAGAGCGAGAATACGAATGGTACACAGGCAGCGCAAAAGACGGTAGAAGATATTGACGTCTGGGTTACTTCTGAGTATCTCTCCCAAACGCTCCTCCTCGTCCTTATACTGATATAGTGGTCCAGAAAGCTCTTCCTATACTCAAAATCTCACGAAATAGGACTTACCATACCCTACCCAACAATCTCCATCCACGCGACACAAAGCTACCCAGCCCCGAGTCCTGAGGAACCAGCCTCTCAAGCTCTCTACATGCAACTCATCCCATCTCTTCCAGACAATTCAGCCGAAGACGACGACCCTCCAGATACCGTTTCCCTAACCATCATACCTACGGCCGCAGCTCCTCCGCCCTCAACCGCACCCACAGCCAACGAAGACGACGCTATAACTTCTGAAAACGAACCACAACTCACACCAGTCCAGGCACTGTACAAGGCGCTCAGCGACTGCTCAGATTTACATCCAGACCCAGCTCAAGATGAGGATATGGACGAATCGGGCATGAGTAGGCTGATTCCTGCTGGGCTGGCTATACCCGGGACAACAGATGGGAGTATGCCACCAGCTATGCCGGGAAGTGGTGGCTGGATCACTGCTGAGAATATGCATGAGTTTGTGGATGAGGAGGGGAACTGGATTGGTGGCGATGATGAGGAGCAGGAAGATGCTCAAGACCTGGGCCCTGGCGCAGGTACTGTAAGATCTCGACCCGACGGTGATGCTCAAGACGGTCAAGATGAGGAGACGAAATGGCAGCGAACATCATGAGGTAATGCAACTGTACAGATATGCGAAATGAAGTTACGAAGAGTATAGACAAAATGTCATCAAAAGTAGGTATTCAACACAACACGCGCAAGACACGGTAAGTGACCCGGTCGACTTCAGCTGTTGTCGCACTACTCTTTGCCTCAGCAACGTTATGTCTCCCTCGATGATCTATCTCTACTTCCAAACAGGCATGATCTGATCCAGACTAGCGCCAGCCTCTGCATCTGCCAGAAACACAATCCCGCTTGACATTGGCCTTGCAGTCACTGCTACAGCTGCTCCGGGTGAAGAGCTCGTGGATGAGCTCGAAATGACCTCACTCAATGGTGTACCAATTTCCGCATCCGCAGCAGATGTAACCACGCTCTTTGTGGGTGATGGTGTGACGGGTGCTGCAGGCTGAAGTTCTGTTGTGGCGTTGTAAGCTTGGACTGGTAGTGTACGGATGGGTTGGACATCGACCTCTGCGTTGTAAGCTTGAATTGGGAGTGAGGTTGGAACGGTACGTTCTGGTAGGGTAGACGCGAGAGGTGCGTCTTTCTGCTGTGACCAGAAGGATCTGATTGACTGAAGAGCACGATCCATGGCTATGTCTGACCAGGAAGAGGAGATGATCTTGCTATAGGTCAATATCGCTCGTTAGACTCGAGTAGAGGTAAACACATAGATGGAAGTACAAGATCATTTTCAAAGACCTTCGGGAGGACACCAGTTCTATACCAATCTCTTCCGTATCATCATGTTCTTCTATTCACGAACTCCTGGGTAAAAGGAATTACCTTTTCAGGTCCTGTCGTACTCGTCCGTTCGTCCTTGGTCGCGTCAAGTCTTGCAGATCAGACGTTTTCATGTATCCTCGTGTCACGCTTACACTGAGGAGGGTACCAGGAGCCCGCTTGTCCGTCGGCCTGAAAGGTTATGCTCTTGAATTGGACAGGCCTGTTGACAGGCAACAGAACGTCGTTGGTGTCATGTGTTTTTATTTTTGATGTTTCGATTAGCCAGTCGAATTATGCCGTTGTCGTCCAGGAGGACGCCCGTGATCACGGCAACTATTGTTGTATCAGCCTCCGGTCATCGATCGAAATTGGACAATTCACTTGTTGCCTTGCTGAAGACGGGAGAGAAAAGCACGAAGAAAAGAAACAATGATCTTGGAATATTATCTTGTGTTGAGGACAATGATCAAAACTATCTAGCTTTTCCATGCCCATCATTGACAAAGCGTGTCACATCATGTTTCACGCATGAAATTCATATTCTCATAACACATGCTATGCTCGAAATTCTATCATGTTTGCCGTCCATGAACGCCAGCGCCTGATATCTTGAAATGCAAAAAGGCAAATGTCTGTAAGATCGACCAATTTAGTCAACCTCCTCGACAGTTGGACCATCATCATTTCGAGAACCAGCTCCTTGTGGGAAACCACCAGGCGCAGCGCCGCCCATGTTTGGCATGCCGCTTGGATCGCCGCCAGCACCGTACATCTTCATCATGATTGGGTTAGCTACACCTTCAAGCTCCTTCTGCTGAGACTCGTACTCCTCCTTGGTGGCTTGCTGATTTTCATCGACCCAGTTGATTGTCTCAGTGATCTTGGCGTTGAGCTTCTCCTTGTCATCAGCACCAATCTTCTCATCGACCTTGGAGTCGGAGAGAGTGTTCTTGAGTGAGTAGGCATATGACTCAAGACCGTTCTTGGCAGAGATACGACCAGATTCTGCCTCATCTTCAGCCTTGTACTTCTCGGCCTCAGCCAACATGCGTTCGATGTCCTCCTTGGACAGACGACCCTTGTCATTGGTGATGACAATCTTGTTGGTCTTACCAGTTCCCTTCTCAAGAGCAGAGACGTTCATGATACCATTGGCATCAAGATCGAAAGTGACCTCAATTTGTGGGACACCACGAGGTGCTGGTGGAATACCGGAAAGTTCAAACTTGCCGAGCAGGTTGTTATCCTTAGTTCGGGCACGCTCACCCTCGAAGACCTGGATAAGCACACCTGGCTGGTTGTCAGAGAAAGTCGAGAAGGTCTCTGACTTCTTGGTTGGGATAGTGGTGTTTCGCTTGATCAATGGGGTCATGACACCACCGGCAGTCTCGATACCGAGGGACAATGGGGCCACGTCAAGAAGCAAGATCTCGTTCGTGGACTTGGATGAGGTATCACCGGACAGGATGGCAGCCTGGACGGCAGCACCGTAGGCAACAGCCTCATCTGGGTTAATGGACTTGTTTGGCTCCTTGCCATTGAAGAAGTCGGAAACAAGCTTCTGGACTCGTGGGATACGGGTGGAACCACCGACCAAGACGATCTCGTGGACTGAGGACTTGTCAATCTTAGCATCTCGAAGGACACGCTCGACTGGCTCCATGGTTGATCGGAAAAGGTCCTGGCACAACTCCTCGAATCTGGCTCGGGTGATGGATGTGTAGAAGTCAACACCCTCATACAAAGAGTCGATTTCGATGGATGTCTGGGCGGATGAGGAAAGGGTTCGCTTGGCACGCTCGCAAGCGGTTCGAAGTCGTCGCAAAGCCCGGGCATTTGAGCTCAAATCCTGATTAAGGTTAGCAGGTGTCGACGATGATTCTGGAAGTGTACTTACTTTCTTATGCTTTCTCTTGAACTCTGAGACGAAGTGGTTGACAAGACGATTATCGAAGTCTTCACCACCTAAATGAGTGTCGCCAGCAGTGGACTTAACTTCGAAGATGCCCTCCTCGATCGTCAACAATGACACATCAAACGTGCCACCACCTAGATCGAATATTAGGACGTTGCGCTCGCCTTCGGTCTTCTTGTCGAGACCATAAGCGATAGCAGCAGCGGTGGGCTCGTTGATGATTCGCAGAACGTTGAGACCGGCGATGAGGCCAGCATCCTTGGTGGCTTGTCTCTGTGAGTCGTTGAAGTATGCTGGGACCGTGACGACAGCGTTATTGACGGTGCCACCGAGGTATGATTCTGCTGTTTCTCTCATCTTGGTGAGGACCATCGATGAAATTTCTTCTGGTGTGAATGTCTTCTCTTCACCCTTGAACTCAACAGAGATGATCGGCTTGCCACCCTTATCGATGACCTTGAAGGGGAAGTGCTTCATGTCGGCCTGAACCTCAGCGTCGGCGAACTTACGACCTATTAGTCGCTTGGCGTCGAAGACTGTGTTGTGTGGGTTCATGGCGACTTGGTTCTTTGCAGAGTCACCAATGAGTCGCTCTGTGTCTGTGAAGGCAACGAATGATGGTGTGGTTCGGTTGCCCTGGTCATTGGCAATGATTTCAATTCGATCATCTCTATAGATACCAACGCAGGAATACGTTGTACCCAAATCGATACCGATAGCTGGTGCCATTTTGTCTGTGTAGAAGGGAGTAAAGGTGTATGTCTGTTATTTAGTCGAAGAGCTGTTTGAGAATTGCTCAATCGAAGTATGTGTGTTAGGATGAGAGGTTGCAAAGAATCGTTGGTGTTGTAGTAAAATTAATACGTTCTGCTGCGGCGGAGCGTTTGAAAGTTCTGATGCGATGGAAGGTTCTAGCAGCGTCTAAACAACCAGGGTCGAGGCGACTCGCAACGGCTGCAAACAACCAGAATTGCCCAGACCTTTCACGAAAATCTACAGTGTTCTATCTAGCCATGCAGTTTGCTCTCTCCCGATTTCCACACGCAACTGCCCTACGTACCTGTTGTTGACCACGTTGAATGTTCCTTCCATTGTTGACTGTGTATAGAAAAAAAGAACGATATGATGTCACAGCGATAGGCGGGAACTTTAGTGCCCGCAGAAAATCAGGCAACACTCTCATATTGACTGGTTTTCGAGTGCTTTCTCTGATTACAAACGGCAATATTCACGAGCCTCTGTGAAAGTGCCCGCTATTGCCTCCTCAAAAGACCCGTTGTTGCCTGAAGTTGGAATTATTGCCTGGCAAAAGAGCGCACGAGTTTTTGGCCATCGAGCAGGGTACTTTTGTACGTCGGTATATTCAGCCTACTCGACAACCTTGGCTATCTGGCAACGGGCACAGACCATCAACTACTTCAGATCGTTCCCTACTTGGCTGAGCGGCACTTTGCGGCGCAAGGTATGATTAAGCCAACTCTACAAACTTCAAGCTGTGTTCTGAAGCCTATTTTGGATGCATCATGGTATTATAGGCCATTTCGTACTGAAGAGATATTAGCATCTGGATGTTTCTGAACAAGATGAGCATATACTCACATCCTCGTCTGTCTGACAGACCAGCGTCTTTTTTGTGTTGTGCTCTCCGATCGTGACAATGGTGCCCTCCTCGAGGTGCTCATTCTTCTGATCGTTAACAGTGAATCCCAGACAAGACACTTTCTCGATCACCATTTTTCTGAGCATTGCGCTCTTTTCACCTATCCCACCAGCAAAGACGATAGCATCTACATCTCCTCCCAGCTTGACATAGTAATTGCCAACGAAACCAATAATTCGGTCAATGAAGATATCGAGAGCAAGCTGGCTCTCCTGCGATGCATCCGACTTCGCTATTTCTGCAAAATTGCTGGTGCCCGCCACAGCTTTCCAGCCCGACTTTTTGTTGAGAATCTCTTCAGCGGTACTGATATGTAAGTCTTTGGTCGAACTCGGACTCAATTTACTAGCCTCTGAGGTATAGTGAAAGATAAGGGCAGGATCGACATCACCACTTCTTGTTCCTCCTGGCAAACCTGATACAGGCGTGAGACCCATTGTAGTATCTATGCTCTTGCCTTTTCTTATCGCGCATGCTGATGCACCACTTCCTAGATGTAGCGCGATTATACTGGTGTCCTCCTTGGGCTTGCCGAGATGTCCTGCGACCGTTCTTAGGATGTAGGAATACGAGAGGCCATGGAAACCATATTTTCGAAGTCCCTTCTCTTTGGCAACCTTCTGATCGATCATATATGATTTCACATGCTCTGGCATCGTATGATGGAAGGCTGAATCGAAGCATGCGACGTTCGTTACATTAGGTAGATGTTCGTGGCATGCTAGCATTAGGTCGACTGCAGATTTGTTGTGCCTGGTACTGCTTAGCACAATCTTGCGCCTTGAAGGTCAACATACAAGGGAGCCAGGTCTTCCAGAGCTTCAATCTTGTCGAACGTCTCCTTCGTAATTAGCTGATCTTCATGAAAGTCACCACCTTGCACCACACGATGGCAGGCATATCTGATATCATCCTTGCTCTGTACTTCTTTCAGACTACCGTCATTAAGAAAAGCATTCAGCACACGCTCGAAAGCGGTTTTGTGATCTTTGATGTTGTCCACATCCTGTTTGTCTTGTGTTGCTGAAGATGTATACTTGAGCTGCGCTGGTTGCGAATTGATACTGGAGACCTCGGCTTTGGCTAAGCTTTTGAGCTGTTTCTCCTTTCCGTAAGCGTACAAGGTCGTCTTCAATGAAGAACTACCCGCATTAATCGATAATATAACTGTTGACATTTTGAACGCGCTTACAAGACCGTCCTTTCCAACTTCTTGACCTCTATTTCTTCCTCATTATCTTGGATGTGATATCACACCATGCGGTACGCGTTTACCAGGAACAGGAATAGCATGCCGACTTCCGCCAACAGGTGACGTCGGTTGCTGAAACTGACAATCTCTATTCAACGAAATTGCCATGTGCTGAGGTAAGAAACTGCTCAGGTCCAATGACAGGAATATCCGGATGCACTTTTGCCTTTGGGGCAGGAGTCCCTGCTTTGAGGTTCCTAGCCTGCCGAAAAAGTTATGTGGACTGATGTCGAGCTACGCGTGGTGAAACGTCATGCCATAATATTTCCGTTACAGGCCGTACCACTTGTCTCGTGTTCAAGTAGGTTCATATCAATAAAACTCATACAGAAACTTCCCTCTTTACTCTGTACACCTAATTACAGACATTCGCTCTTCAAGCAACCTCAATCATGCCTGGCGAAGTTATTGACAGACCTAATCCACAGCCTCTCCCATCTCATATCCCTGAAGATGTGGCCGAGAAACTTCTTGTCAAACTCGACAAGCCCAAGCTCGACGAGAAGACGAATCAAGCTCTACAGAAGTTTCGACGCGCTGCTAACTACATCGCTGCAGCCATGATCTTCCTGAAAGACAATACACTAGTCCAAAGAGATCTATCGTTCGAAGACATCAAGCCTCGTCTGCTCGGACATTGGGGAACATGCCCGGGCCTTACTCTGGTATACTCACATCTAAACTTTCTGATCAAGAAACACGATCTGGATATGCTCTATGTTGTTGGCCCAGGGCATGGTGCACCTTCAATTCTAGCAAACTTGTGGCTTGAAGATTCACTCTCGAAATTCTACCCAGAATGCTCCAGAGATGCAAAAGGTCTGGCAACCCTCATCAAAGGATTCAGTGTAACAGGCGGATTCCCCAGCCATATCAATGCAGAAACTCCGGGTGCCATTCATGAGGGTGGAGAACTTGGTTACGCCTTGTCTGTATCCTTCGGCGCAGTAATGGACAATCCAGATCTCATTGTGGCCTGCGTTGTTGGTGATGGTGAGTCTGAGACAGGACCTACAGCCACCGCATGGCACAGCTACAAATACATTGATCCAGCCGAATCTGGTGCAGTACTTCCCATCGTCCACGTGAATGGTTTCAAGATTAGCGAGCGTACCATCTACGGATGCATGGACGACAAGGAGATGGCAACCCTGTTCACTGGATACGGATACCAGCCTAGAATTGTCGACGACCTCGAAGACATCGACGCTGATCTGAACAACTCCATGGAGTGGGCGATTAGCGAGATCAAGCGCATTCAGCAGGCTGCTCGTAGTGGAAAGCCTATCCTCAAACCACGCTGGCCAGTACTGATAATGCGAACCCCCAAGGGCTGGTCAGGTCCAAAGAAGGTCAAAGGAGAGTTCGTTGAGGGCTCTTTCAGAGCTCATCAAGTACCTCTTGCAGCTGCAAAGTCAGACCCTGACGAACTAAAACAACTCCAAGAATGGCTGACCTCCTACAAGCCTGAAGAGCTTTTCGATTCAGAGGGACGTCCATTGCCAGAAATCCTCGACATCATTCCAGTCAAGGAGGAACGCCGACTTGGTCAAAAAGCAGAATCATACAAGGGCTACCAACCACTCAAGAAAATTGACTGGCGACAACATACTGTCAAGAAGGGGTCATCGGAATCTAGTATGGCACGAGTAGGCCATCTTCTTGAATCTGTCGTCAAGGATAACCCAAAGACTTTCCGAGTCTTCTCACCCGATGAATTCGAATCGAACAAGCTCAGCAAAGTGTTCGACAGCACGAATCGAAATTTCCAATGGGACGAGTTCAGTAATGCCAGAGGTGGTCGTGTCATCGAGACACTATCAGAGCACCAATGTCAAGGCTTTATGCAAGGATACACTCTTACAGGTCGATCAGCTCTCTTCCCCTCCTACGAGTCCTTCCTAGGTATCGTCCACACAATGATGGTCCAATACGGCAAATTCATCAAAATGGCCAGAGAGACAAAATGGCACGGCGACATTGGCTCAATCAACTACCTCGAAACATCCACCTGGACACGACAAGAACACAATGGTTTCTCCCACCAAAACCCCTCCTTCATCGGCGCCGTCCTAAACTTGAAACCAACCGCAGCCCGAGTCTACCTGCCACCCGACGCAAACTGCTTTGTATCAACCATGGCTCACTGCCTCCAATCAAAGAACTACGTCAATCTCATGGTCGGCTCCAAACAACCCTCAGCTGTCTTCCTCTCCGCAGACGAAGCCGAAAACCACTGTCGCGCCGGCGCCAGTACCTGGCCCACCTACTCCACCGAAGGCGGCCTCGACCCGGACGTCGTTCTAGTCGGCATCGGCGCCGAACTCACCTTCGAAGTCATTGCGGCCGCCGCTCTGCTCCGAAGTAAAGCTCCATCCCTCCGCGTCCGAGTGGTCAACGTAACAGACCTCATGATCCTCGAAGAACAATCCGCACACCCGCACGGCCTAACCAAAGAAGCATTTGAGTCACTCTTCACCGAAGACCGTCCCGTCCACTTCAACTACCACGGCTACGTATCAGAGATTCGCGGTCTCCTCTTCGGCCGACCGAATCTCGGTCGTGTAACGATCGAATGCTACAGGGAAGAAGGCAGCACGACTACACCGTTCGATATGCTGCTGCGCAACCACGTCAGTCGGTATCACGTGGCGGTGGCGGCGATCAAGGGCGCGGCGAAGAGGAATTCGCAGGTTCAGATGAGGCTGCATGAGTTGGTGAGTGAGTTTGAGGGGGAGATTAAGAAGACACAGGAGTACATTGCGAGGGAAAAGACGGACCCGGAATATTTGAATGATGTGGGGAAGTTGAAGGTTGATACTTCTTCTATGTCGGAGGGTTGAGCTTAATGTGGATGGATTTGTAATCTAGAATTTGTTACTCATTTACCTTTGTTCGGTTGGGATGGCACTGGAGAGGTTATCGTCGTCACAGACAAATTGCAATCGACTTAAGCTAGACGAGGAATTATGGCACGAGGCGTTGGTAGCAAACAGTAATCGAGGACGAATGCAATTCTCCTTCAAGATGATATATTTGGCGAGCAGCTTATTTCGTATATTTAACTCCTAGGCACTTGTGATCTGTATCTATCTGTTCTGAGGTGAGCACTTGTGCTGCTTTCCTCAAATAGTATAGATGGCGTCTGGTATTCTTGCTCGCTAGTACATCTTCCTAGCTGCTGGTCGTTGCAGCGAACCAAGCATCTTTATACCCCTTCTGGCACCCAGCCGCAAAGCCTTTGGCAAAGTCCTTGCTCCAAACCTTCTTCTTCTCAAATTCATAACCATAAAAGCTATATCCACGATCGACGGCCGCCTGAAAGCCGTAATCGTATCCTTTGGCATAGCCTTCACCATAGCAGACATCGCAGCCTTTGCAGGTAGCTGGATGAGCAGTCTCAAAATGAGCATTCACGAGTCTATTGGTGGAGGATGGAGCAGTATGACCGAGTGCGGTGGGGATGGTAGCTGTTTCTGCTCCTCTGGCTGTCCGTTCGTAGAGAGGGCCTTTGTTTACCACCTCTTGCTTGTTGGTGGTTCTATCTGATTGCGTCGGCTTTCGCTCTTTGGAAGCGCTATCCTCCTTGCGGGTTTCTTCTTGTGCAGCAGTGCTTCTGATTTCACCAATCCCAGCCTCTGACGTCTCTGCTGGAATTGGGCGAGCATAGCTTGGGAAGATTCCGTCAACCAATAGGACGGTTCCACAAGCGACGATGAGGGGAGCAGCCATGAGGAGATTGTCTCGGAGAGGCTGGATTTTCAAGAAGAAATCATGGCCGTGGAAGGCTCGCATTCGGATAATGGGCAATGTGGTGTGAGGGATCGCATTGATTTGTGGCCGAAGGAGTCTTCGCGTAGCAGTCGAGATGAATGTCGAGGCCGCCATATTGTTAGTGGCTAGCTGATAAGTGCTCGTGGTATGGTCACAGATCGGAGAAGTGGTTGTTGAGTGTAGAAATACGTCGATATATTTGAGTTGATCAGGGACGAAGTTGATGTGTAGCAACAAGTGGAAGGCGCAAGACAAGAAAGTCTAGATAGTCGATGCGGCGCAAGCGTTCGTGCAGACGGTAAACACTGGTTCGTTCGACCTATTTAGTGTGATCTTGTTCACGATCACTTCGCCACGAATTTTAGATATTCAACCTTCACTTCTCTGATGTGTTCAGACAATGCCCTATAAATTCCACCAGATACCAACTACCCACCGCAGCAAAATCGCTAATGCTTCGTGTGAATCTTTGTATGGTTATCCAGCCTCAATCGAACGCTGACCTGCTTGCTCACACGTGAGCAAACGAACCTCAGATAGTGGTCATTGTCACTTCGTTCGCACTGTTCCGGGACCTCCGCTTCTATCCTGACAACGACGTCTCTGCCATACGCTGCGTGTCAGATTATGTGAGCCTGTCAGGAGCTGCAAGAGACAATCTGAAGGCATAACTCGTGGAGGTTAGATCTATGCCTCGTATCGTAAGTTCTGCTCGCCGCAAGGACTCTCCCTCGCACGCCTGGTGACACCGTATGACTCAGTCAAAACTCAGCTCAGCTTGGTTTGCGGCCAGATATAGAACTCGCCGTGCCCTTCTTGCTCCAAGCTCTCTTAATCCAGTTCTGCATCGGTATGACACTCCATCTAGCAAACCACGGCGCACCCCAAACACTAATCATGAGTCTAAACGGCAAGAAAGCCTTCACCACTGCATAAGCCGTAGCAAACTCAACCACAAGTCTCGTTCCACCCTCCCCTCTATCAAACCACTTCCCAACCATATCTTTTCGTGTACTTCTCTTCTCAACCTCTTCCGCACGACCTTCTTCAGCAACATCCCTCGCCTGCTGTGCATCCGAAGAACTAATCCATCCTTTCCGTCTAAAGTAGTTTCCGAACAGCGTGACGCCCTTCAGTACCCATTCTCCTTCCGCAAAGAAAGGTGGCAGCCATTGGTAGTAGTGAAACGCGCCGGCTAGTCCAAAGAGCGGAATGACAGCGGTGAGCTCATGAAGAAGGAGGAACGCCGTGATGTGAGTCAATGGAGCATTTTTGAGGACTTGTAGACGCGTTCGAAGGAACTTCGTGGGTGTTCGTGCGATCACTCTATCGAATCGCGATTGAGATGATGCCGTGCTTGATGCAGAAGGTGGCTGTGTCGATTGTGGTCTTACACCACGTACATGAGCGACGCGTCGCCATGCGGTTGATAGTCGATTCATATCATGTTCTAAACTCCAGCAGCGCCTCGGAGATTCGCTCTTTTGAAAGCTAGCTACGTATTCGGGTACAGAACATCATGAAGTGAACCAATCCAACGTCGCTGTGAGACCATACGGTAGCATGCGGGAACCCATGTGGCAGTTTGTGCCTCGGCTCCACAGGAGGAAGAAGTGAATGTCTGCTATCTACTGGACGATCACGATCTACATGTTAGACATGGAGAGGACGATTAGAAATGCGACGGGGTGGTATATTCAGCCCTAGGAGACTGCAATTTTTGGCTTACTCTTGGGTTGAGTCTCGATGAAACACTATCTCTGGGAATTTTGACCATGGCTCCCTCAATTCCAACTCTTTCGAAAGTCGAGAAGTCAGCGACAGCTTCAGAGATAGCTCACTTCAAGACAGTACCTCTTGCAAAAGCCACGCTTGATGACCATGCCTTCAAACCTATCTATATCTCTCGATCTTTAACGCCTGACGGGCTAGGACACACACTAATGGCTGATACCTGGAACACACCGGCAACAATAGCTCATCTACTCTCCTTGTACCGGCCGAGCTCTAGTTGCAATAGCGACGTTCGAGCTGAAGTCCGTCGCTTCTATGACTTCGGGTCCGGATTGAACGCTCATTCCGGCCTCCTCCATGGTGGTGTACTTTCATGCATTCTTGACAGTACCATGTCAAACATGGCGGGCTTGGCGGCGCGAGAACTACCGACGGAGGCGAAATCAATGATGATCTTCACTGTACAGCTCAATGTGAAGTACGAGAAGCCCGTCAAGACGCCAGCAGCAGTAATGGTGAAAGCTTGGATCAAGAGTATTGATGAGAAAGGGAAGAAATTCTGGGTCGAAGCATGTGTTGTCAGTGGTGAGTCAGGTAAAGTCTCGCACGCCAAAGCGGAAGGATTATGGTTGAGGTCTTCGACCGAGAAGTTGTGAGCTGTGAGGTGATTCAGTTACGTCGCTGTCGATTTCGCATTGTCCAGGTAAACACGACGTTTGCGAACCTGATATCAATCGAAATACAGTCAGGGTCGTCCACCTCGCATTGGAGCTGCTCTCAAAGGAACACAATCACTTGCCGCAGAGAGCATTTCGGGCTTATTGACAACCCTGCCTAGTATTTATCAGCCAGTCTGTCACGATTAGGTCATCGTTGGCCACATTTCTAGTCCTTGCCACGTCACACCTTCTGCTTGTGGAATATAGGCCTCTTCGCAATGCTCGAAGACTACTCTCGGTAGTTGAGATGTGTACAGCTCGTCGTGCTTGTCACTCAGTGCCTCGAGAAGGTTTCCGACAGCTCCATCACTGTGCAAGACGTTCCACGGATGAGTACATTGCGCTTCTTTGCATGTCTTCAGTACTAGCAGAAGAGCATCGAGCCTGGCTACGACATTGTCCAGGGTGAAGTGTCTCTCTTGCTGAGATGTACTAAAGTTCAGCAATGAGTCTGGAATGATCTCAGAGCTGAGCAGGTTTTTCAATGCATATGGGTCAGCACGCAGATCGTACAACTCATGTTCATTCGTACACCACACAACATACAACAGGTTATACATGTCGTCTGTTGAGATGACCCGCAACGCTTTGTAGGTGTGATTCGGGTAAAGCACTGTACCATATCTGCCCTCTGGCATGATGATACCCCACATCTCCACGTTGACATGTTCTGCACTTTGGTTGAGGTCCCTTGCTTGATATGTCGGAGGAAGAACAAGTGGACCATGCTCGTGGTTGAGACTAGTCTTCTTGTCGCTACCAGTCTCAAGGCCTCGAAAGTAGTGAAAGACCATAGACTGTCCATCTAGCCCATACCTGGGCACAGAGATGCTTGGGTCAATTCCTGCTAGGCTCAGAAAAGTTGCAGCTAGATCGACGTGCGAGCTGACTTTGTTCTCAATCCTGCCCCTAAGCACTTCTGGCCCTCGCACAACCATAGGAACATTGATATCGGTTTCGTAGGCACATTGCTTGCCTGGTTGCAATCTGTGTTGACCGATGTGATATCCGTTGTCTGTCGAGTAGACAATATACGTTTCTTGTAAGATGCCCGCAAACTCAAGCTTGAGTATTATTCGTGGTATGATCTCGTCGACAGCTTGTAGTGCTCGCAATCGTTGCCTATAGAAGTGGTCATTAAAGTCAATGTTGGTCTGATTCTGTTGTGGAAGGTCTTTGAGCCAAGATGCTGTATTAGGCTCGTCTGGGTTGAAATCGGGTGTCCTAGGTACGGTCACATCAGCGAAGAGGTGCTTGTGCCGCTCAGCAGGAATGGGCGGTGTCTGGACAGCTGTCGTCTCTGTGTACTTTCCGCCATGTCCGCCACTGAGATCATGGTTAATATGAACGTTACTGTGTGGGGCTGTCGGAGCAATAGTAAGAAAGAACGGACGACCACTACCATCCTTATGATAGCGCTCTACTATAGCACCGTCCAGGAAGTCGAGAGCCTTGTCGGCAATCACGTCCGTAACGTATCTGCCCTCATAGCTGGAAGGTTCTTCGTGAACCAAAGGCCTATTCCATTTTTCAATATTACGCTGCATGGTAGCATTCAAATACTCGTAAGTGTAAGGATCGAGTAGAAAATCCGAGCCGTTCCAGCCCTTCGGGTAGGGCTTGTTGTAACTGGTCGTACTGTGAGCATTAAAAAGCTTACCTACATAGTATGTGTCGTAGCCAGCATTTTGAAGCCACAAAGGTAGATAGGCTTCGTTGAAACCTTGTGAGACAAACTTTGGGTACCCTCCATGAGGTGGGTTGACATCAGTAACGTTTGTGTTATGAGCATGTTTCCCTGTCCAGAGAGAAACTCTGCTGGGACAGCACAAGGCTACTGTACAGTAGTGATGGCTGAAAGTAGTGCCTTCCTTCACCAAATACTGTTGCAGATGTGGCATATAGTCCAGTGATGACATATGAAGGTCTTGATCATCAGTCAAGATGAATATGATGTTGGGTTGTCGTGGTCCGCGATGCTCCTTTGAGCTCGGCAAGTCATCTTGGCTGTCGAGGATCTGCTGAACAGGTTCCGCCAGGGTTGCAGTTGCAAAGAAGAATAGCAGGCTCACGAAGCAAGAGGTCGCCCACCAAGCTGAGGCATTTGATGTCCTCATCATATTGTTCTCGTGCTACTCGTTGTGTGAAGAAGGTCAGAGGGTCAACAAGGTGAAAGCGGAGCAGAAGTGTTGGGGCATGTTTATGTCAGCAGGACGCCAAGATATGCCGGAGCATACTAGCATCTAGGCATATCGATGCACGACGGGCAGATCCAGTTGTGTGCGATACTAGGAGAACACCTACCTGACCGGAGTGTCTCGATTCTGTCAATAGTAAGTGGCAAGCTGTGATACGAGGCTCTCGGTTAATCAGTTCATGCACCAAAGCACTCCGGCTCACTTCTCGCAGCAACTAGTCCCTTGACAGACTGTCCAGGTCGGCCCACTCGAGAGCATTGAGGCACCTGCTCTGGCTTAGAGTGATTCACAGCCGCAGAACGAGACAGAAACCTGGGGACAATTGATGGACTTGAGACCGAAGAACGCTGACAAGGAGGGACAGTATTTGCTACCACTTCACCTCGTCCGTCTATTCTCATGGTATCTTTTGCAATGCGAACTTGCTAGGCAAGGACTCTCTGTGGAAGAGTGAACCGAGGCATTTTGAGTATGAAGACCGTGGTATAGCTGGTTGATCAAATTCAGGGGAGCTCTTTGTCGTTCTTCACTGGATCAGCTAGGCGTGTTCCTTTGAAAGTGCTGTAATATGTCTGCTACGATAACGCGGATCGCGTCTTCAGCACTGTTGGTGCTGTTTTACTGCAGGTTCGGAGTTTCTGTGCATATGCAAAGCTCCTCAGGATATATACATCTCTTCTGGCGAATGTTCTGATCTTGCAGAGGAACGCTGTTTGCTATGTTTGCCCTCAGGCAGTTTCCCCACGTGTTTTCTTAGATGGGGTGATCTCCTACTCTTACCTGACAGGCTCGTGTCAGAATCAAGGACCTATCAAGCAGCAGACGCAATACACACGACGATATGCATGTGCTCCACGTACTTGCACAGCCGACGAGAATGAGGGTGCTCTGCTTGATGTTCAGCTTCGCAGCTAGCTGCATTGTTGGGCTTCGGGACGCCGTCCTCGAGTGACCTTGCACCCAGGTTAACGAACGGTCCAGGTATTCTGCTGTGTACGCCTGCTAGCATATCAGCGATGCTTTTATCGAATCAGCTTCGTATAGATGTTGGGCTGGTGTGATACTCCACTACCACGCCTCCGCAAGTGTTGTCGTGAATGGTTAGCTGGCACTCCAAGATAACTTACAAGCTACGCTTAAGCATCGGTTCATGCATGCTGCAAAGATTCCATGGAATAGCTTGTTCGACTGACACTGCTATCAAAAAGATTGGCGAGGCACAGATTACGCGTCTTTGGCTTGGCGACCTCGGTCTCAGCTGTGAAGGGATATGAGTTGTAAACAAGTCAACTAGGACTGCGATGGTCGGTCGTACCTGCTCTCGTATAAGGAAGTGAAACGCGCTAGGTTGTTCCACGTCATATCTCTGTGTTTGCTACTGTTTACAACCATTTATAAACTGATGAACCCAGTCTGGTTGACCTGACAAATTTCAGATCCAAATTTATTACGTTTCGTCCCTGAATTGACTTCAACCTCCAACTTTATCACTGAAGCACTGTAAAGATGTCGTTCATGAAGAGCCTGAAAGGACTGGCCGATGATTTCAAGGGAATGATGAGCGACAAGGACAAAGACAAGGAGAAACAGCATGCTGGCGAGACGCACAATACTACTTGTACATCTTCATGACCCGATCATATACTAAACTAACCGAACCAGATAAGGACGGTAGCTATGGTGCCTCAGATTCATACCACCAAGGACAGTATGCCGGACAGCACTCATCGAATCCATCCCAACCACAATATGGCGGTCCACCACCTTCTCAAGGCTACGGTCCGCCTGCAGCTGAACCTGGCCTTCCTCCAGGCTGGATCAAGCAGTGGGATCAGAACAGTCAGAGATACTATTACCTTCAGCAAGCCACTGGTCGATCTCAATGGGAGCCTCCATCCATGTCTTACATGTCGATGGACCAGAGTCGAGGTTATGGAGCTCCAGCTGGACAGACCTATCCTCCCCATGGTTATGGTCAAGGATTTTCACAGCACGGACAGGGTTACCCGGCCCCAGGTGGTCTTGCTCACTCTGGTGGTCACGGCTATCCTCCTGGAGCTACTGGAAGTGGTGAGAAGAGCAACAAAGGTGCTTTACTTGCTGCTGGAGCTGGTGGCTTGGCCGTTGGTGGTCTCGCGGGAGCAGCGCTCGCTGGTGACGACAGCGACGATGGTATGTTTAATTACTTCTTACGTAGCCCGGGAGGCATTCTAACAGCTCTCTAGAACATCGTCAGTCAGCTCCAGCAGGATATGGAGCTGCGCCATCAGGTTATGGCTATGGTGCTCCACCGCCAATGACGGATGCACAAGCTCTTGAACACAATTCCGATGTTTCTTCGTCGCGCCGTGAATCACTAGAGGAAGCTCGAAAGGAGTACGAACAGGCACAACAAGAGGCAGCTGATTCAGACGCTTCAAGCAGTGACCACGAAGAGGCCCGAGAAGCTAGAGAGGAGTACCAAGAGGAAATTGAGGAGGCCCAGGAGGAAGCATACGACGACTGAGAATGCAACAAGGAAGAGCAGAAGTCGTCTGTCACGAATGGAAACCTCAACAGCTTCTGAAGAACAGCTGACAGGTGAGACTTTACGCATGAAGTGCTGCCTGCTATCTTGAGCTTCCATTTCCTGTCTTAAATAGCCGACACTGACATAGTAATGCTCAAACGGCAAGAAGCTAGCTGCAGCATTAGTTCAGGACAGTTTCCAAATATTGCAACAATGATATTCAAAACAGTAGTCGAGAGGAGGAAATCGTGAATTCTTCGTTATAACTGCATTGCAGAGCTTTTCATGACCGTGTTTTGTGCCATATACTGAATTGTTGACCAATATCTACGCCTTCTCGTAGATCCAGTCGAACTGGGCACTCTTGTATTTCGCAATCTCGTCCTCCTTGAACCACAGAGCGATCTCCTTCTTGGCAGACTCAACACCATCCGAACCGTGGCAGACATTTCGGCCGACATCGATAGCATAGTCACCTCGGATGGTACCCGGAGCCGAGGCCAGAGGGTTGGTGGCACCAAGGATAGCTCGGCCAGTCTTGCAGGCATCTCGACCTTCCCAGACCATGGCGAAGATTGGGCCGGAAAGCATGTCTAGGAATGTCGTTAGTAGACAGGATTACACAACCATGGACGACTCACAGGATACAAGACCTGTGAAGAATGGTTTCTCCTTCAAGTCTTCGTAGTGCGTCTCGAGATGCTCCTTGCTTGGGCTGACCATCTTGGCAGCAACCATCTTGTAGCCTCGCTTCTCGAATCGTGAGATGATATCTCCAATAAGTCCTCGCTGGACGCCATCTGGCTTGACAGCAATGAAACTGAGGAGATCAGTAAAAGGGTCGAGATCGAGACTCTTGTAGGCTCACGTTTGTTCTGTAGACATCTTGCTGGCTTGTGATTTCGGAAGTTCTTCTCTGTAACGAATTGGATATATCTTGGAGATCCAGAAAAATCGCAGTCTCAAAAAATGTTTCGAGGCGGTATGAAAAGCAGTGGGGAAGCACAAGCCTGGAGGGGCACTTTCAGGGACCACGCGCCTATCGTCCCTTCCTGCAGGTCCCTGGTCTAGCGTACCTTCCCGATCGAGACGTACTTTCCACTACAGATGAGGATTGCCGTCCACAACGGGTTGTGGTAACGACGGCATCGGCAAATCATCTGGCACCCGCGTATCGGCATGTGGTTAGCCAAAAGGACAACTTTCGTGAACAAATATACTGGAAATATACTACAGGCAGGAGCTGAAGAGCCTGCCTCAGAGTAGATTCAACAAAAACATGGCACGAGGATCGAGGCGGCAGCACTCATGGCTGTTCCTGTGCTTGTGCTTCCTCCTTCTGGCCATCGTTGTGCCCACAGGTATACGCGATTCGAGACTATAGGAAACAGAGCTGACACTGAGCAGTCACGGGCGTGAAACACCATGATTTCAAGAGGTGTGATCAGTCTGGCTTTTGCAAAAGAAATCGTGCTCTTGCGGACGAAACAAGTACACAGGGTAGACAAGGCTCACCTTACCGACTCGACCCTAACACGATACGAATGAAGAATGGCCAGATCGAAGGTACCATTCTGAAGACCACCTCCGAGAAGGAGAAGATTAAACTCCCACTTGTTGTGACTTTTCTGGATTCTGGTAGTACGAGAATACAGGTTGATGAGGAGAAGAGGCAGAAGGGTGACATTGAGCTTCGACATGGCAGCAAAGTTCGTAAAGAGAGATACAATGAGGCTGCAGGTTGGAGTTTGACAGGAGCTGGTCTCCAGCCTCAAAAGCTGAGCAAGTTTGACAAAGGAGACAAGTCTACGACGGTGACCTGGGGCTCCTCCAACCAATTCTCAGTTATCATCACATATGCTCCTTTCGGCATCGAGCTCTTCGCCAACGACAAGAAGCAGGTAGTACTGAATGAGAGAGGATTCTTTAACTTCGAGCACTGGAGGCCGAAGGTTGAGAAGCCTGTGACTGAGGAGGGCAAGGATGAGGACAAGAAAGTCGAGCCTTTAGTACCACAGGAAGACGAGAGCACCTGGTGGGAAGAAACCTTTGGCGGAAACACCGACACAAAACCAAGAGGGCCTGAAAGTATTTCTATGGACATCTCTTTTCCAGGTTTCTCGCACGTTTACGGCCTTCCTGAACATGCTGGACCACTATCCCTCAAGCAGACCAGGGGCAGAGAGAGTAACTACGACCAGCCATATCGATTTTTCAATGCTGATGTGTTTGAGTACGAATTGGATAATCCAATGACATTGTACGGAGCAATACCTTTTATGCAGGCTCACAACAAGGACTTTACAGTGGGCGTGTTTTGGCTTAATGCTGCCGAGACATGGGTCGATATTGTGAAGACTCAGCAAGGTACGACGATGGGTCTAGGAGGTCATACTGATACTCAAACACATTGGTTCTCTGAATCTGGCGTAATGGACATCTTCGTCATGCTCACACAATCACCCAAAGAACTGTCTAAGAAGTACGCTGAACTCACAGGCTATACTGCCATGCCACAGATGTTCGCAATAGCATATCACCAGTGCCGCTGGAACTACGTCAGCGATGAGGATGTCAAGGACGTCGATCGTAAGTTCGACAAACATAATATTCCTTACGACGTTATCTGGCTCGACCTCGAATACACAGACGACAAGCAGTACTTTGTGTGGGATCAAGACAATTTTCCGGACCCTATTGGTATGGAGAAGCAGCTCGATGAACATGAACGCAAGCTAGTGATCATTATTGACCCTCACATCAAGAACAAAGCTGGATACCAAATAGTTGAAGAGCTCAAGTCTAAGGACTTGGCGGTGAAGAACAAGGACGGCAACTTCTTCGAGGGATGGTGCTGGCCAGGATCTTCTCACTGGATAGACTGCTTCAATCCTGCTGCTAGAGAATGGTGGAAGAGTTTGTTCCCATACAACAAAATGAAAGGAGTTCAGTCGAATGTATGGATCTGGAACGATATGAATGAGCCGTCGGTCTTCAATGGCCCAGAAGTCTCAATGCCACGCGATAATGTTCATTACGGTAACTGGGAACACCGCGATGTTCACAACCTCAATGGAATGACCTTTCACAACGCGACACATCACGCACTCGTTTCCAGAGCAAAGGGCGAGAGTGTGCGACCATTCGTGCTCACACGATCTTTCTTCGCTGGTTCGCAGCGACTTGGAGCTATGTGGACAGGCGACAACCAAGCAAGCTGGCCTCATTTGGCTGCTAGTATACCGATGGTGTTGAACCAAGGTGTTGCAGGGTTTCCATTCGCAGGTGCTGACGTTGGTGGCTTCTTCGGTAATCCTTCAAAAGAACTTCAAACAAGATGGTATCAGGCTGGAGCTTTTTATCCCTTTTTCCGCGCTCATGCACACATTGACACGCGCCGCCGTGAGCCATATCTGCTTGGTGAGCCATATACCGAGATCATGGCTCAGGCTGTGAGACTACGTTACTCTCTACTACCATCTTGGTATACAGCATTTCGCGAAGCTGCAACCGAGGGCGTCCCGATTGTTCGAGCTCAGTACTACGTTCATCCTCATGACGAGGCTGGTTTCGATATTGACGATCAATTCTACATTGGATCAACAGGACTGCTCGTCAAGCCTGTTGTGACTGAGGGCGGTGAATCTGTCGACATCTACTTGGCTGACGACGAGACATATTTCGACTATAGCACATACAAAACTTATTCTGGAGCTGGGAAACGTCACTCTGTGACTGCTCCACTTGACAAGATCCCACTGCTCATGCAAGGTGGGAATATTTTTGCAAGAAAAGATCGGGCAAGACGCTCGAGCGGATTGATGAAATTCGACCCGTACACGTTGGTCGTTGTGCTTGGCCGTGATGGTCGAGCAGACGGTGAGCTCTACATTGATGATGGTGAGACATATGATTTTGAGCATGGTGGCTATATCCATCGGAATTTCACGTTTGGTGATGGCAGCTTGAAGTCGCAGGATGTCTCTTCAAGCGTCAGCACAAAAGACACCAAGAAGAAGGCGGCATATTTGAAGACGATGGATAATGTGCTGGTCGAGCGTATAATCATTGTTAATGCCCCAAAGAGCCTGGAAGGCAAGTCGGAGGTAAAAGTAACAGGTCAAAGTTCGAAATCTGGCGGAACTGCTAGCATGTCGTATCATGTCGCCAAGGACGGTAACGCTGCATGGGCTGTAATCAGGAATCCGGCAGTGAAAATTGGTGCTGACTGGAGTATTGACCTCGGGGTGAACACAGATGCCAAGGGCGAGTTGTGAAACAATTGACGAATGGCAGGATAGGACATAGACATGTAGAGAATCCGACCTTACCAGCACGTCAGATACACCTTCACAAGCTTGTATACATCGACCTTGTGCAAGCTCTGCAGCCATGAGCTCGCTACGCCAACACGTGTATTGCCTTGCTACGCTAATTGGCTTACCTAATCCAGGAACGTGAGAGATCGACAGGGCTCCAGCCAGCTCCAGTATTTGTCCATCTTGCTTTCCGGTGAGACCGCAGGCATTCAACAAGTACGTTCCAAATCACATAAAGTCGCTACGACATCCAGCTGCAGTTATGTCGACTCTTTTCACGCCGAGCATCATACCTCGGCCACGGGTATACTTCATACACGTTCCAGAAGATTACCGTCCACCATGAAAGTCACATCTTCAGCAGCTGCTTTGGCTCTATTCAGCTCGTTGACCTCAGCATCGCCAGCTAGGTCGCAAAAACGGCAGTCTCAGGGCGATCCAAATCTTGATATCTCTGCAAGTCTGCAGAATATTCTTGCCAATACGCATGGTAGTGAATTGTATACATATCCTACAGATTTGACACGAGGCATTATACCTGTAGGTCTCGAGCTCTTCGTATGGATCACTATAGCTGACATGTGCTATGGAAACCAATACATTCGCACAACGATTACTGGCGAGATGTTCCCTTCTACTCCGCTCTATCGGTCGGTTGTGTGTCAGTGGAGGCAGATGTTTTCCTCGTCAATGGCAGTCTCTACGTCGGCCACGAGCAGTCCGCCCTGACTCGAACGCGTACCTTCGACGCTCTCTATATTCAGCCCATTCTCTCAGTGTTGCAACGTGAGAATCCTGCTAGCCCATTTGTGTCGGGTCCGACCGACAACGGCGTCTTCGATACTGCTTCAAGCCAGACACTATACCTCTTTGTCGACCTCAAGACTGATGGACCTACGACATGGCCCGTCGTTGTACGTGCTCTTGAGCCGCTTCGTCGAGCAGGGTATTTGACAAGATTCAATGGAACAGCTGTCATTCCTGGTGCAGTCACTGTCATTGGAACAGGCAATACTCCTCTCAACCAGGTTCAGGGCGTCAATAATCGAGATTATTTCTTCGATGCCAATCTCGCTCTGCTATCGACCACTCAAGCTAATATCACGCGTGAGGTATCCCCAATCGCTTCAACGCAGTTCAGCCGCTATATTGGTGCCATCAACGGAACGGCGTTCAACAGCACACAACTTCAGACACTGCAAACACAATTGCAAGTCGCAAGGCAGAAGGGTATTGGTGGGCGATACTGGGACACTCCTGCTTTTCCCATTAGCAAGAGAAATGCAGTTTGGACAGAATTGGAACGTGCTGGTGCCGCGCTTCTGAACGCGGATGATTTGTTGGCTGCTGCTGGTTTCACAAGTGAATGGTAAATCTTGTTCAAGCTGGAAGCGGACAGTACATTTTCGGCAGTCCAAAGCTTTGTACTAACATCACGAGCACTTTGCAAATAAGTGTTCAGTTGTGTCAGGCTCTCTTCTCAACAAGATGCGCTTGGCTAAAAAAACACTGCAATGGTTGTGAATAGACCAGAAAGGGTTAACGCCAGCACCTGCGTCCTGGACATAGAACAACACGATCGTACCTGCATACCACGTTGTCATTTTTGCCAGAAACTGCAGTTGCTTTGCCTGGTGCGCCTTCTTCACGACACATTCTTGAAACTGCAGAACTAATGCTGCAATCATTCATGCGTATATTCAGGACGTCGATGCCAGCCTGTTAGCAATACAGCTACCAGCACAGAACTTGAATACAGGCAGGCTATTTGCAATATTACCATTCGACTTTCACGATTTTCTCCATGCGTCAACACTCATTCTGCACAAGTCTCTCATGAGACCACCTCCACTACTTGAAGAATTGCTAATTGCGCCGGACGATAGCCGCAACCAAATATCCATCGATAACGATGACGCTCAATTCTTCCTTTTTTGCTTCCTACTCATATCCGATTGGCCGATAGCGACAAAAGCTAAGGGAGCTTATTTCTCAAATTTTACCTCACAAGCCTTGACACCCCTCATCAAGCTCACTCATCGCAAGCTTAATCTTTCTTGGGACCTATCACTACAGTTCGTTTACTTTTCTCAGCCAGGGAACCTGCTACTTCAGACATAGCTGCCGATAAAAATTGCCAAATATGGCCCTGCGATTACGACCAGGGACTTACGAGAGTTTATCTCGCAGATGCTGGAGCTTCAAATGTGCGGAACACTAGCAAGCTCTGACGCAAACTGGTAGCATCATACTCTGGTTAATGACACCAATCTGAACGATGATGTTACATGCTGTGGAGGCCTCACACGACCTCCGAGGTCGCCAATAAAGCTACAGGTCGCTCTCGGATTTCATCGAGACGCCTTACTCTACTTTGAGACATTGCTGTCCTTGCAAAATCATCAGATACACGTTCAGGTTCATCCAATATGTCGAAGAAGGATCCTAATGTGAGTGTGCATGAGCTTCAGCCAGGAGTCGGCCCTTCGGGCGCCAGAACTACCTCGGTCTCACTCGAAGCTGGTCATACAATGGATATGCATAAGCGTGGGAGTGTGGTCAAAGATCAGGTTCATATGGCCGATGTTCAAACTTCGGAGAACTATGGTGTCGATATCTCAAAGGGTAATTTAAAGCGAAACTTGAAGGGAAGACACATGCAAATGATAGCTATTGGTATGTTCCTATATTACCTCTGTAGGCGCGACGTGCTAACTTACATACTCAGGTGGTGCTATCGGAGCAGGTCAGTACACTTCTTACTATTGCAAGATCAGATCCTGATGCAACCCCAGGTCTTTTCGTTGGTTCAGGTGGTGCTCTACGATCAGGTGGTCCTGCCTCACTGGTACGGCAAGCGACGGTTTGCAGGGATCTTGACTGACAGAACCAGGTCATCTGTTTCATCATTATCGGAATCATGATGATGATGGTAAGGAGTCTATCTTGAACCAGCTCAATATGCTGACGGTTACTAGATGATGCAAGCACTCTGCGAACTTGCTGTAATGTATCCAGTTAATGGTGCATTCTATGGCTACATTGTACGGTTCATGGACCCCTCTTGGGGTTTCGCTATCGGTAAGCAACCACGTTCCTTGACCTCATGACGATAGATCTGAAGCTGACTTGTCGGACTAGGCTGGGACTATGCCATTCAATGGCTCACGATCTTGCCTTTCGAGCTCACTGCAGCTAGTCTCACAATCAGGTTCTGGAATGACACCATAAACCTCGGTGGTAAGCAGATATATCCTTTTTCTCGTTCGCGGACTAACCTGGCCAGTCTGGGTTGCTGTCTTCCTGGTTGCACTTACAGCAATTCAATTCTTCGGAGTTCGAGGATATGGCGAGGTTGAGTTCGTGCTCAGTATGGTCAAAGTTCTTGCTTGTATCGGGTTTATCATCCTCGGCATTATCATCAATACTGGAGGTGTGCCAACAGACGATCGTGGTTATATCGGATTCAGATACTGGGGCAACCCAGGAGCCTTTCGCAACGGCTTCAAAGGGTTTTGTTCAGTTTTCGTGACGGCTTCCTTCGCTTTCGGTGGTACAGAACTTACTGGTCTCGCGGCGGCCGAAGCCAACGACCCGAGAAAGCAAATACCGAAGGCGACGAGACAAGTATTCTGGCGTATCTCATTGTGAGCTTTACCTCTTAACTTCTGGCCAGCCAGATTTTGCTAACAGTGACCCAGATTCTACGTTCTTAACCTATTCATCCTAGGTCTGGTCGTACCAAGTAACAGTGAGGTTCTATTGGGCTCAAGTGGCGCAAACACGAAGGCTTCTCCTTTCGTCCTTGCTATGCAGATGGCGGGTATCAAGGCTTTACCCTCAGTCTTCAACGCAGTGATTACCATTGCAGTCCTCTCAGTTGCAAATTCTGCAACATACGCCTCAACACGAACGCTCCAAGCCATGGCACTTGAAAAGATGGCACCGAAAGTTCTTGGTCTTGTTGACAAAAAGGGTCGACCTATTCCTACGATCATTTTGCAGCTCGGTTTTGGACTTCTAGCTTTCGTTAACGAGAACAAAAAGGCTGGTGGTCAACTATTCACCTGGCTGTTGGCTCTTTCAGGTCTAGCTAATTTCTTCGTCTATGGCAGTATTTGTGTCTCACACATTCGCTTCAGACAAGCCTGGGCACACAACGGTCATTCGGTCGACGAGCTACCTTATAAGGCAGCTTTTGGCGTCTACGGCAGCTATCTTGGTGTACTGCTAAATGTCATGTGCTTGATGGCATCCTTCTATGCTGCTCTATTCCCTATTGGTGGGGTACCGGACGCAGAGTCATTTTTCGAGTCATACCTTGCTGCACCTATGATTATCGGGTTGTACCTCATCTGGAAGGCATATTCATGGTTCAAATACCCGACACACCGAGCACTATATGTTCCTATCAACAAGATCGACATTTATACTGGTATGCGTGAGGGTCAGTTCGAGGTCAGTGGCAAGGACGTTCCAGCAGATCAGAGAAGAGCCAGTATTCAACTACGCAATCAACAGACTGCGGAGGAGAGGGAACAGAAGCCATTGTGGAAGAGGATCTTGCAGGCTGTATTCTAGTTCCGCGACATTCAATTGAATGATCGCGCCTGTTCGTTATGGTATTCTGGACAAGAAGCTTGTCACGATATGGCTATCTGTTTCGAGAAGCGTGAGGGGCGATGTTACTGGTCTTCGACACAATGAAACATGATGATTAATGGCTTCTACTAAGAGAGACAAGATTATTCGGTGCGTGGTTGGAAGTCATTAATCGTCAATTTTGTATGGAAGCTCCAAACATCATACAATCGAGCTGTACTTCTGGCGAACATAGCCAAGCACAATAAAAATCCTACAGCTTACTTTTCCCTCTCAATTCAGCTGCTCCTTTCCCACTCACATCCCATTCCTGACCCTTTTGCCAACCCATCCATTCCCTCAGGGCATTCTCCGCTCCATCTCCTGGTTTGATCGCTCTCCCATGATACTTCATATCAACTTCCTTCGCCGGGCTCTCTGTCAACCCTACTAAAGGCCTAAAGTCATAATCTCTCACCTCCAAATCATCAAAAGTCAACACAGGCACACAACACGCATCCGTCCCATCAAATATCTTTTCCCACTCTTCTCTCGTCCTAGTCTTGAACCGTGCTGTAAATATTAAACGCATATGCTCCCAACTCCTCTTGTCTTCCCTCCGCATATCCTTCTCGGGCACGATATCCGCCTCCGTCAAACCAAGCCCCTTCAACAACACCTCGAAGAACTGCGGCTCCAATGAACCAACAGACATGTAACGTCCTGCATCCTTACATTCGTAACAGCCGTAATACGGCGCTCCTCCGTCCAAGGTATTCGTTCCTCGTTCGCCATTCCACATAGGGTGTTTGAGGAGTAAGCGCGGGTACGTCCCCAGATAATTCACACCGTCCGCCATGTTCGCTTCAACTATCTGACCCTTTCCGCTAACACCGCGATGGATAAGCGCGAGCAACACACCCGTGAACGCGACGTGTCCACCGCCCGCGAAATCAGCAAGGACGTTTCCAGGCGGTAAGGGCGGACGACCTTTTTCGCCCAGCATGCTTAGCACACCACTCACAGCGAGGTAATTGATATCATGCCCCGCCATGTCTTTATATTTCCCATCACGCCTGAATCCCGTCAGCCGCACCACGATTAAACGTGGGTTAATCTTCTGCAGGACAGTCACAGGATCTAACCCCAGCCTTTCCAACACACCGGGTCGAAACGGATCGATGAGAACATCGGCTTTTGAGACGAGTGACAAAAGCAGGGAATGTGATGCTTTGGATTTCAGGTCTAGTGCGATGGAGGACTTGTAGGATGTTAAGAGGTCGTTTGAGGCGATGCTGCCTGGACGATCGATGCGGAGGACTGAGGCGCCGTAGCTGGAGAGGAGGAAGCCGCAGAAGGGGCCTGGTGCTAGGCCGGCGAGTTCGAGGACATGGAGGTTGGAGAGGGGGGGTGGGGAGGTCATTGTTGGTGGATGAGTCTATGAGATACTGAACAGTAACGGGTAAATGTGGGTTTATTCTGGATTGTGACGAGAGCACGCAGAGGTGCTGGAGCTTGTTCGACTACATGTTGTGATGGTCAGGATGGTGGCAGCTCGGTGAGGATGTTAGCCGGCCCAGCAAACGTACCGAGGTTTTGGAGAATCCGGGGAAGGTCTCTATATGGACTGGAGACGGTAGGTAGCGCGACATTTGCTGTAGTTGGCTTCACATCTGCTGACGATCCTTGTTACTAGAGCATCTAGCTGTCTTCGCAGATAGACTATTCATGCCTCAGCGAAGACAGCAAATTCGGACATTGAGCAGGTACGAAAGCAAGTCTAGAAGAGATGCGATAAGCTATCGATTACTACGTCATGTTAACCCCTTATTCACTGCAGTGAGATGTGATGAAGCTCGGAGGATAATTTGTAGCAATCTTATGCAGCCTGTGAATTGTATATATGAGTCTCCGAATCACTTCATCAACACTTCTTCGATCTATATTCCAGAGACGTCTATTACCAATCATGCCTCGTGCTACTCGTGCCTCAGCAAAGGCGACCACAGCAAGCGAAGCAGCCAAACCATACTCAAAGACCACCAGTACGAATACTACGCTAACTGGATCCAAGTCAAAGACACAAACCAAAGCATCTGAGAAGAGCAGACGAGGAAAAGACAGCCACTTGTACACAGATGATAATCCTTCCACAACTCTGAAAGGAACCGGTTTCAAAGACGCCGCCACAGCCAAGCACACCATTGAGCTCGTTGCTCGTCGCTCACTTCTCTACCAATTTCAGACAATCAACACCATGTATCATCGAGCTGCCCATCATCCATCCAGCGCGAAAAATACGAATATTCAAGCTGCAATGGAGATCTTTCGACATTGGCTTGACAGCACGTACGTCGAAGCTAAGAAGGCGCAGAGAGATTTTCCATTACTGAAGAAGGACGTAGTGGAGCAGTATCTTCCGTTATTGCAAGATCGAGTAGATGAACTTGGAATCGAAGTCGAATGGACGGAGAAATACGTTGATCTCCCAAAAGGAAAGCGGCTTGCGAATGTGCTGATGGACGATACGAAACCCGACAAGCGCGACCTTGCCGTCGTGAGACAAAACTTTCTGGACAAGCTCGTGGGAGACAAATTCGATGGAGCGATTCCGGACAAGAAAGATTCCAAGCTCTGGATTGAAGATGGCAAAAGAGAACCAAGTGACTTACACCTCAAGCTCATTGGTTATGGATTTAGTCCTGCAAGTGCAGACCAGCTCTCTAGGTCTTGATTCCGCTGAGAGCAGCATTCAGCTTGGTCTAAGATGTCCAGCTCGACCATTGAGTCATTCCATGTTGCAATTTGGTCACCTTTGAGACACTTCTCATCTCTTCCGACATGTCAGTCGAGCGATCTGGCAAGGAGTTGATAATACGTAAAACCAAAACTCATGGCAAAGAGTCGTTGGGAAGAAGGCATTGTGAAGTGGCTCCACGACCCAAACGCCACGCAAGGTGAACGCGGAATTCAGACTTGGATACCTGGTGATAGCATAAAACAACAAATCCGTGTCATGTCACCATGTACGTATCCTTCGACCTCGCAGCAACCTGCAAAGCTCTCAAATTGGTGAGCTGGGTTCGAAGTTCCTCGTCATAAGCAGACAACGCTGGTTTGAGTCTATGCACACCCACTTTCAGCCAACCTTGACCACCATCGCCATCGAAATCGAGTCCCCACGTCAGACCGAGCGTCGCTTTGCAATCGTCCTTTACAACTGCCTTCTCGTGTAGGAATGCAAAACCAGGCTTGAGTGTAATCTCTGCAAAGAGATCAAAGAATCCCCATGCAAATCGTCGAAGCTCGAACGGTGGACTGGACAGTGTAATGATATTGTTTTTGTAGGTGTGGTGCAAGAAGACTTTCACGTCAGCCACACATTCCGGGTTCGACGGCCGGACAAAGAAGGTCCAGTCATGTCTGTGAGGTGTGACCTCCCTGAGCTTGTGTGTATTGCCGACAAGAAGGGTCAATGTTTGATACTCCGGAAAGTTTTCGGGGCTGATCTCATGTGCTCTCCACTTCACCTGGCGATAGCTGGTAGGATAACGAAGTTGTAGGTCCCATTGCCGATCAGCATCAAAGCGGACAATTGTCGGAATGCAACAGATAGGACACATGATTTGCTTGATATCTAATGCATATTCATCGTCGGGAGCTTCATTCAGTGAGATTAGAGCAAGCTGTGTCGAGGAGATGGAAACATCCACCCATCGGATGCAGCATTGGCAGAAAGTGTGTTTACACTGCGTCGTTATAGGAGAGTCCAAGAAAGCCGTGCAGATTGGACAGAGATCGTCCTGTGCAATATCTTCACGATCTGTAGAGACCAAAAGTTTCGTCTGTTTGTTTTCCTGGTCGATCCACGACAGGAAATGTGAAAATCCAGGCTCTGCCCTCTGTATGTCGACTGTCCAACACCTCATGAGCATTAAGGCTTTCTTCTCTACATTAATAACAGCATTTAGGTTGCTTAACCAAATGAGCATACCATTACCTCTATGACCTTGGAATGTATACTCATATCCATCGCTCTCGACTTTTCGCACGATGAAGATGTGTCGTCCTGTGGACGCATCGTAAGTGACCTGATTGCAAGGTACAGGATGTCCTTTCGATACATGGGTCTTCCTGGATTTGATGCGGAGACAGAGGGATGGATTGAAAAGGAAGTCAAATCCAAAATCAAGTGACACGATGTCGGACCTCTGGTGACCCCCTTTAGTTCGTAATAGGGCAACAGAGCCGTAAGATCGTGTGAGAATATCCACTATTCCACTCAAGGAGTCATAGTGCCCAGCTGATTGTATGTGAGTTTGGGGCAATGAGTCGGACTTGACGTCGAAAACGGGACTTCTGTAAAACAAAAGTACTGGCTGGCACACGGCAGGTGGGGTGACTTGCCGACCTTGGATAATATTGACACGTTCTTTTCGCTTTTCGTCCAGGTTATCTGTCCATATCCGTGCCGATGTTCCTCTGAATATATGCCTCATATACTGGCCGTCTTGGTCCGTTTGTCTCAGAAAGATCGAAATGAAACACTTCGAACCCTGTTGAACATAGCAATCAAGCTTAGCCTCGTACACCTCTATGGAGCATGGCCGAAGAAGTACTTCCATGGATAACCCAAGGTTAGTGACCGAGAACGGTTGCTGCATGTTTGTGGTTTGATGCCAATTGATGTCGCCACAAAACTCGAAAGCGGCAGGACTTGTGGCAAGTAGACCTTCGAGACGTCGGTAGGCAACGTCGTAAATCTCAGCTCTGTCGTAGCTCGTAATGATGCCCGGCCATGCAAAGATCGAATGATCTGCAGAATATTTCATAATCTCCTCCTGCAACCGCACGAAGGCCTTCTCTCCTTCACCATAAAGCATGGGCATGTTGACGTCGAACAGGCCCATTAGAGCGTACGCCTGATCCTCGACTCTTGTGGTTTTCCTTTTAGCCGCCCAAGACATCCTCTGAGCAATACAGTAATGCCTAGGGTCCTCGCCGTAGAGAACATCGCGGGGGATCCCTGTGGTCATAGAGATATCGGTGGACAACTTGTGTTTCGTTCCCAACCTCTGCCAGTCGCGATCATAAAAGCGAACCTCACCGGGTGCGATGAGCTCTTGCAATGTCCAACCTCGTGCAAACCATTCACTGGTTGAGAAATTTGAGAGGTCGCCGTCGTCACTGGTTAGATCATTCTTTGCCGCCTCCACGTCACTCAGGTATGCATAGCATATAGTGGCATTCTGGTACCATCTATACATGGAATTGATGGCCTCTGAGAGCTCAGCACTGCTGCTCTTGTCGATACAACACGTATCGATCCAAGCAAGCGACAGTCCATCTTCTGTACAACGTTTGCAAAATTCTAGAAGTTTAGGAAAGCCCTTCTTTAGCTTGGCACACCCATTGATCACGTCTGGGTATGATACTTCTTGGTCCTGCCATCGATGTGACAGTATACCATATCTGGGTGAGAGGTGTTCGGCATATTCAACAAATTCCAAAGAATGCACTATGAGGAGGCGCATGTCTGCGAGTGGTCGTGGTTCAGTAACATTTTCTCCAAATGCGCCAGCAAAGTCAGCGCGTACCGTCTGCTCGTGGATATGTTTGATATGCACACCACCGCTGTCAGTAAATGTCGTCGCTGGCAGGTGGGGCGCCAAGCTCGATACCTCGTATTTCCCCACTATCGCATTTGGAAGATGGTCGACCTGTAGAGACGAACATTAATGGGAGTAGAAATTGAGCCTTGCAGAGTTGAGCTGTTTCATCTGTCGCATGTAAAGCGTCCGTTCATGCGCCTCGCTAACCGAAGATGAAGCATGTACCATGTTTCCGTCGTACTGTCACAAAAACGTATAGCAGCTTATTGAATTAGAATTTGCCGCCATGCAATCCAGTTCCAGCAGAGGCAGCTTCAGTGCCTGACTGTAGACCACCGACAAAGCTGGTTCCCCATATACCAACCAACCCCCACAAGCCGACTCGCCAGCCACGATATAGACCTTCGATACCTTGTCCTTTTCTCTTTCGTCTTGGGGCCTTGCCCATGAGGGCGGCTGTGCGATCAGCTTGTGATTCGGAATAACCTTCATCACGCATAATACCCCACATAGTGGGAAGGATGCCACGATAAGTTTGTGGCACAGGTACGATTGTTTTGATGGCTTTCCTTTTACTTTGACTTGTTGGTGGTGCTAGAGCTGGGCTTGTCCAAGTAGCAATCTGGGCTCTTCTTAGAACAGTTTCTAGAGGAAACTTGATCGACAGGTCAATTGCTGAACCAACAAACGTGCATATAGACCAAGGAGTGGGGTTCATGGCAGGGTCGATCCCTAGGTAGGTTTTGAGGACAAGAGGTGTCGAGGCAGCGATAAAGGCCGGGACTGTGCTGGTTAGGAAAGTGATGGGTATCAGGTGCGTAGGACATAGCCAAGAGGGCCTCAGAGTTCGAATTGTGGCTATTAGAGATCGTGGCTCTTGCGAGGAGGGAGTAAGGATCAGTCGTGTTCGTGCGGCGTCGATAGGCGCGAGTAGGAGGGCAGAGATAGCAGTGGCCGTGGTTGCAATCATGACAGTCACGAGTGGGGAGGTGGAACTGAGAATATTATTGTCAGAAATGGTAGTTGAAGTGTTCAAGACCGATTCAATATCGGCAACACCAAAAGCTGCAGCTAGAAAACTGCGAAAGAAGGTTTCGAACGTTCGAAGGAGGACGGAGTAGAGGAAGGTCGAGTTTGTACCGCGCCATATAGCTAACGCGCCACTGTTGGAGGATAGCGCCGAGAGGGCGTCCAGCAATGAATGTGGGGTTTTCAGTGATAATCTCTCAGGCGATTGTTGTGGTCTCTGGTGTTCTACTTTTTGCGGTCTGCCTCTTCTCCCACGAGTCGGTGGATAGTCGTCAGTCTCCTCAAATGGTGCGGAAGAGCTGAAGTAGTTTGGCTCATCGTCCTCCTCTTCGTCATCCAGGTAATCTTGTGGATGTGTAGCTGGATCTCTGCGATCGTGAAAGGCATCATCTGCATCAGTATCCTGAGCGACTCTTGTTTGCAGAATGAGTTTGGCAACTTCGAAAGGCTGTGCCATCACCACGCTCGTGTACTTCCATACTGCTTTGTCAAGGAGCTTCTTGGCTTGTCTTGTCACTGATGGAGATGCCTCTGGGATATATTCTGAATAGTCGAGATCAGGAAAGGAGAAGGTAGGTGATGTGCCTGCACCTGGTGGTGTAGTGGTTGCATTTGGTATGACTGTTGTCTCTCTGCCGATGGTAGGCGGCACATAGTAAGGCCGCAGTGGATTGGGCTGATATCTCGAGTCTGTCATTGTGTCATGAGCACCGATGAAGTGAAGCTGTTTGAAAGCTGCCTATACCAGATGCATGAGCTGAGTTGGTCGATTGCATCGCAACTGCCGATAACAGGTTTATGATGTCGCAGAGGCAGGTACTATTCGTGGTACGTCATTACAATTTTCCGGGGCAAGCACGTTCTATAGAATAAACATGCAATATGGAAGTGTCCACTGTATTATGGCATTATTGTTAGGGAAATTTTGATTCTGGGTCTTCAGTCTGAAGTACCCCGTCACTGCGCTCTATCAAATATCTTTGGGACTTCCTCCTTGTAATGTGCTATCCGTGGATCGTTCCAGGTCTGTATGTCTCGGTCATCAACCTGGTATTGTTCCATTCAACCTCGACGCTGGAAAGGCCACCTCTCTGTAACCTCGACTCGGCTCCTGGTATATGCGTACATCTATGAGCCTTAATCCGAGCCATGTCAGTCTGGACTGGGTAGCCGAGTGTATGTCCTTCATCGACTCGTCTCAGTGCATCTCATATGTTTACGATATCGTATGCCCTTCCGACATTGATCCGAGGACATCGCAAGCCCTTTCAGATTGGTACAATTGATCGTCTCGAGTTGTTGCAATGGATCGTCGTCGTGGATTGTTCCTGTGGACCAGTACGTTCGTTGTCTGGTGCAATGTTCCAACGACCATACAGTCATTGATTAGCGTCAGTTTTAGTTCCTCATTCATCGACACTCTTGATCTCATCTTCCTCTTCCTCTTCCACCACCAAACATATTAGCCAGTCCACCCATACCACCCATCTGGCTCATCAACTGGCTCATATCAGGCATGCCACCGCCTCCACCACCCATTTGCTGCATAGCTCTCATCATATCGGCCATATTTCCACCACCCGGCATGCCTCCTCTTCCTGCTCCACCCATAGCCTGCATCCTTTTCTGCATAGCCGCAGCTTGCTGTTTGGCATTTGGCCCTTGCATCATCTTCTGTGCTCGTTGCATGTTTGCTTTGTTCTGACCGAAGTTCTTTGCGATACCGGCCATGACACGATGTTGGGTAAGCAATTCTTCCACTTCTCGAACAGAGGTACCGGATCCGCAAGCTATTCTAGTCATTCTTGTGGGCTCGTTGATGAGAATTTTACCGTCCGATTCGAGTTCTTTGGCTGTCATACTGTCGTAAATGTAGACCATCCGTTTCAGTTTCTCGGTTCCATCTTGATCGGATAGACCGGACATCATACCGCCCAGACCTGGAATCATACCCGCCACTTTGGATAGAGGACCCATTTTCATAATATTCGAGATCTGCTCCTTCATATCCCCTAGAGTGAAGATTCCTTCTGCTAAATGTTTTTGCGTCTCTTTCATGGACGCCGAGTCGCGAGTAATAGACTGAATGTGATCTATCAGGCCAGTCATATCGCCGTAGCCTAATAGTTTCGAAATAAATGCCTTCGGCTCGAAGCGCTCGAGATCCATCATGTGTTCACCCGTACCGAGGAAGATGATTGGAGTATGTGTAGCAGCAACGGCAGAGATGGCACCACCTCCAGCAGCACCACCATCAGTCTTTGTGATGATGATGGCTCCAAAATCGGCAGTGTCCTTGAATGCCTTGGATTGTGACTCGACAGCTTGACCTATTGTGCCGTCGAGTACCATGATAGTTTGGTCCGGTTTAATGGCAGATTGTACCTGAACCATCTCTTTAAACAGATCGGCTTCTTGTTGATGACGACCTGACGTATCGACAATGATTATCTCGAATTTTTCTTTCTTGAACAGGGCCACACCTTCTGCTGCAACCACAGCAGGATCGGTCTGTGTTAAAGAGCCGTAATAAGGAATTTTAGCCTTTGTTGCATTTTGTTTGAGTTGATCGTAAGCACCTGCTCGAAAGGTGTCCGCACAGACTAAACATGCTTTGAAACCTCTTGTGTGATAGTATCGAGCCAATTTTGTACAGGTGGTGGTTTTGCCTGCACCTTGCAGACCGACGAACATGATAACATTGCTCTTGTTCTTCTTGGGTGTGTATGGATTAGAATGAGGGTCGACTAGGTGCACTAAATGATCGTAGACAGCCTGTTGTATTAATCGTCGTTTCTGGTTGTTGTTGATATTTGGTGGGAGGTCCTTGAACTTGACCTGTTCACGAATTGACTTTCTCAGATTTGCAACAAGCTTGACGTTGACATCGGCAGATAGTAGAGCAGCAGCTATTTCCTTGATCATGCCATCGAATGCCTTTTCGTCGAGGTTCGGCGCACGAGACAGATCCTGCACGGCCGCATTGATGCGTCGACCCAAGTCAGAGAGCACCATGTTGTCAGGATGTCACGGATTCGCAAGATGAGGATGTGTTACCGCATTGCAGGCATGGGACAGACTCGAGGAGAGAATAAATATATCAGTCGCCAGAAAGTGACGCCGCCAGGTCGTTTGGTAGAGTGTGGGGTTAATGTACTCGCAGCGGGCAGTGGAGGCGGCTAAGCACAAACGGAGCCTTTGCAGATCCAGTCAACTTTTTTTACATGCTCATTCGGTCTCGCAACTTGCCTTTCAGGTCAAGGCAAAGTCTCGTCCATTACCAAGAATGTCGCGCACAACGCAAGTATCAGCGAAGAAGCGCAAGCTCGAAGAAGGTGTACGTGGCAAGACTAGCAAACCACAGAAGCGATTCAAGAAGCAGAAAAGATACCACAGTTCTTCGGAGGACGAAGATGAGGTTGATACTGGATTCAAGCCAGTGAACCTGGTGGACTCGGACGGAGAGCAACCGGCGAAGAAGAGAGTAGCGAAGCCTAGAAAAAAACCATCAGCACAGAAGAAGCCCTTGGAAAACGTAAGGCAGAACCAGCAATCAACACCAGAGCCAGAAGAGAAGTCAGAATCTAGCTCTAGCGAAGATGAAAATCACGATGAGCCGGAGGACGAAGAGCAACCGCTGGAACAGCTAGTGGAAGAAGAGGAAGCATCAGTGTCAGAGAGCAGAGACAGCAGCGACGACGAGGACGATTCTGAGTCGGAAGCAGACTCTAATGCACTATCCACAACCCGCAAGTCTAAACCAAGGTCCAAAAGGAACGACCCTGACGCCTTTGCGACGTCCATCTCCAAGATCTTGTCCACCAAGCTTTCCGCCTCATCTCGGGCCGACCCTGTATTGTCTCGATCTATGGAAGCTGCAAAAGCCCGAGCTGCAGCTTCTAGTGGGAAACTTGATGCTAAGGCTCAGGCTCGTCTCCGGGCAGAGAAGCTGACGGCACTTCAAAGGGGAAGGACGACGGACGTGCTTGGTATTGAACGAGGAATCGCTGGTGAAGTCGCAGAGAAGGAGAAGCAATTAAGAAAGATTGGTACGAAGGGTGTAATTCAGCTGTTCAATGCCTTCAGAGCTGCTCATGATAGGGCTGAGGAGGCACGGAAGGAAGAGAGGCGGAAGGGGACAGTTGGTATGGGCGAGAGGCAAAGGAAGGTCAATGAAGTATCAAAGGAGAGTTTTCTTGAGTTGATAGGTGGGAAGAAGAAGGCAACCGAAGCGACTTGATGGACGTATATATACAACTTGACCCGACTTTTATACTAATGATGCTTTGGATTCACACCACCAAAATCGCTGGCTTGCATGTTCCTTGTCATTGCAGGTAGCTTAACCTCTAGTCCGTCCAGTGCTGGGGTCATCTTGACTTGACAGCCCAGCCGACTCGTCTCTGTCAACCCGAAAGCGAGGTCCAACATGTCGTTTTCATCGTCGTCCGGCTCAGGTATAGCATCGTATTTGTCTGGGTCGCTAATGATTATATGACATGTCGAGCAAGCACACGAGCCACCGCATGCGCCTATAGTACATTAGCATGCCATCAACCTTTCGCGAGGTAATGCTCACCTTCCATCTCCAGGTCATTAGCCTGCGCTATGTCGAGCAAATTGTCCCCCTCGGATACCTCAAAGTTGTACTTTTCGCCATCTTTGTCTATAAATGTAACGTGTATCCTACAGACACATCAGCCTCTGACTAGCAAAGAAGTCTACTTGGTTGAGCATACTCTTCTCCCGGTTTGGGTGGATCGAGGTGACCATGCCGCTGTATCGAGTTACTCGAGAACTTCCTCCTCGAAAGCTCTAGAGCTAGTATCTGCTGTCGTATAGCAGCCTTGCGTTGCCGTATTTGAGCTTCATGCTGCCGACAAGCAAGTAACGAGAAACATCGAGGCGACTTTGATATCAGAGGTATTGATGGCTGTGTCGTTCTGTACAATGCTGTCTTTAGCACGGCTGTATTTCGTGACATGTTCGACTTGCGGTGTATTGAGCTTTCGTAGATGATGCTGGTGGTCTTCTGCAAGGATGGTAGTCACTGTCCAAAAAGTTTCTCGTGACGAAATCGGAAAGTACGACCTGCACCTGCAGCTTGGAGAAGCCATTCAGACTCCTTCCATTGTAATGACACGAAATACTTCCCTCATTGGCCGAATTGGAGGCTTCTCACTCTCAATCTTTTCCAGAGCATCTTTGTCTGTCGCATCACTCAACTCTACTTCTCCTCATTCTTTTACAGAGGTTTCGTCGCATCCATCGTCATGGCGTACCCAGGTGGTTTCGCTGGCATGCCTGGCCAACAGCAGGATACCGGCATGTCTGAACAAGATCAGAGAATGGTGAAGATGGTATACCTCTCGCGTCGTCCAGCACCAATTGGACACTGTGACTAACACACCCAGGTCACATCAGGAATGGAATCATGTCTGGTCAAGTCCATCATGGCAGGAGGCGCAGGTTTTGCCCTAGGTGGTGTGTTTGGCCTCTTCATGGCATCTGTATGTCTATCCTCCGATTTGACTTCCTACAAGTCTTCAGAACAAGTATATCTAACATTCGGCTCTTCTAGATGAACTACGATACCCCCCTTACTCCTCAAGGCGCCGAACTCACCAAACTCCCTATGCGCGAACAATTACGTCGAGGTTTCAAAGACATGGGCACCAGGTCATGGTCATCTGCAAAGAATTTTGGCAAGATCGGTTTCCTGTACAGTATTTGCGAATGCACGGTTGAAGGCTTCAGGGCCAAGAATGACCTATACAACAGTGCTGCGGGCGGTCTAGCTGCAGGTGCTATCCTAGCAAGAAACGCCGGGCCTCAGGCTATGCTGCTTGGTGGCGCTGGATTTGCTGCTTTCTCAACCGGAATCGACTACTATATGCGACTTCCAGAATCAGATTAAGAGTAATTTTGGAAGATCGAGCAACAAAAGAGATATGGCTAATTAAATGCTGGTTGGCACAGCGCACTTGATACGGTGGACTTGATGCACAGCTGGAGCAAAGCTACATACTAAACTTGGCGGCAATTTGACGGATGATACTCCTCTCGGTCTCACGAATCATGTCCTTCTGAGAAGAGAGAATCGAGGCAAACGGGCTTGGAAAGAAACATTCACAATACCGCGCCACCTGTCGACATCACTGGCCACAGCTCACTATGATTGCCAGTATCAGACATCCCCCCTCCGAGTTCCGAGCAGAATGACGGATGACATACTGTCCACTAGGTATGGTACGACGGAAGTTATATGGACATACTGCTAGCCGCTGGGCTGATTGACAGAAACACTTCGGGAAAAGAAGAATCTCCCATCTCAACTCAATTGGTATAAGCCAGAGCTAGCCGCAAGAATAGGATCAGAGTCCTGCCTACGAGAGGAGCGCTGCGTGAAGAGATCAGAAGGACAGGCACGGTATCAATCAGGCGACGCGTTACGGACCACACGTGAATAAAACATAAGGAAGGACGAGTTGATTATGCTTGGCATATATCATAGAAGGCCAACATTAGAGGTGCGAGGATGCCACTTAGCTGTCGTCGACCAGGATCGGTAAGCGGCTGCGTTTCGAGAATATCTCTTCGCAGCTAAGGCAGAGAGACTGGAAAGAAGTAGAGTACTAGAAGCAGGAAGGACACGCCACAAAACGAGGGGCACTCGATATACCGATTCCTTCATCATCCGTTCGTTCACTCATTCTATCTATCGCAGAGCGCGGACTCTGCTGTCCATCGCGCGACCCAGCTATATCGATCTGTAGCCTCTTTCACCTAGACTCCAGACAGGAGAAAACAACCCTGCAAACAATGAAACCGAACCAATGGCATGCCAAATCACAGAGGTATCATGCTTGCTCAACTCACAAAGAACTTTCCACACCACACTTACTGCACTTGACTGACAATATCGTTCGCTTTGCTGAGACTTTCAATCATGCTGGTCACCTCTTTCCTCCTTCGGACAGTATAGTCACTCTCCTTCAGCAAGTCATCCAATTCTGCTGCACGATATAGTTGCTCAAGCAAATGCCGCTGCATCTCATCCTTTGTAGATTGTACCAGCTTGAGCATGATCGCTTTCGGTACCATGTCGATCATTGTGCGTCGGACGATGTTGAAGTAGCTGTTGATCAAGAGCTTAATCACTTCAACTTCCTGGTTCTCGCGTTCCGAAAGTGTACCTGATGCTTTTAGTGTAGCTGGTGGTGGTTCCATAGCTGCCATCTTCTTCTTGTTCTTGGACGCAAAGAAGCTGCCAAAAAACCCAGAGTTGCCGGCATCGGTGCCGTCAGTAGGTAGAGATGGTGAGCCTGCTCGTGGTGGAATAGATGGTGGGAGAGGTTTGCCTGTCTTTGGGTCGACCTGAGTTGGCTTGGCTGCGTTGTGGCGATCATTGACCATAGCCATCGCTCGATGTCCATTCAGGAAATCCGGATGACCAGTGTTAATATAATTCGCCTCCATGGCAACGAGGTCTCTCACCAGGAAATTGGTAGGATCCATCGACCGTCTGAAGAAGGCGATTACCACGGTATGGAACTTCTCCTTCAGCTGAGGATATCTCCTGAAGAAAGGCTTGGCCAGCAACTGTGTGAGGATTCGGACCAGTTCGTCGAAGACCAGAGCGACGCATTTCAACGAAGGATCTTCCAATCGCTTGATCTGCTGCTTCACGATAAGTTCGAAAGCTGCTGTCCCAACAAATAGTGCTGGTGACGATCCAGAAGAGTTGTAGAGAATGGTTCGGATGTCAATGTCTTTGACCTGCTCAAATGGATCTATAGCCTTGACACCATTTGAGTAGAGTTCGTGGAAAACAAAGGATATTCGGGCACCACCAGACAATTCCATACTCGAAAGTTCCGGACTTTGTCCATCCAATATTGTCCTGTACTCATTTGAGAATTCTGTGATAATGTTGAGAACGATATTGGCACTATTTCCGAGTATATCACCAGCTCCCAGCTGTTCCAGTTCTTGATGATATTTTTGAAGTGAGGTGCTAATTCTCGTTTTGATATCGGGCAGTGTTTGCTTGATGTGCATCATCAGGATTAAATTCAGCTTGCGAGCCAGGTATGGAGTACCGCAGTATGAAGCCTTGTTTCGGTATGCTGAATGGTTCTCGAAGAACTCCCTTTCGGCCTTCAAAGCCAGATCTATCCTCTTCTTGTTCTCGATATCTCTTTGACCTCTGTTGACCACAGGGACGTAGCCCAGTCGTAAAGGAATGATTCGACCAGCAAGAATGTCCACAACGTCAGTGCCTTGGTCCATCAAATCAATCTTGGTAAGCACACCGATCGTTCTCTGTCCCTCAGGATCGACCTCTCTTGCCAATTTCAAGCCATCTGAGTTAGCCAAATCCACGTTCGCAGCAGTAACAGCCAAAATAATCGCATTTGGTTTCTGTATCTGCTTAAGAACCATATCTCGAATCTGTCGTTCGATGTCTCGTGGTTGATCTCCGACTGGGACTTTTGTCAAACCTGGCAAATCGACGAGAGTAAGAGTAAGGACATTGGGCGAGTATATTCGTAGGTTTATTGGAGCAGGAGAGATACCAACGTTTCGTCCAGCTTTAGCCTCTGTTTCTTTGACAATCTCATCCCTAATCTTGCCAAAGTCGTAGAACTTTTGACCAGGAATGTGTAGAAACTCTCCCCACTCGTTCACGTTTGCCTGACTGTCCCCTGCGAGTTCCTTCTCGTCGACTCCATTGGTTTGTAGTTTTTCCGGAGAGGGTCTATTGATGAGCTGAAGGACGAGAGGACGTCGAGTGACAATACCAGAGCCACGAGGTAGGAAATCCCGCCCAACGATGTTTTCCAACACTGAACTCTTACCGCTGGATTGAGAACCAACGACAACAATCTGAGGAAGATCTATAGGGTTTTGTACCTATCGAGCCAGTTAGTGTTGAACCATTTCGTACAGCCCAATGCAGACATACCCCAACAGTCGCAAACACATCTTGCAGCCTGTTGACGAGCGAAATAAGTTGAGGGTCGTTCACATTGATCCTAGTTTGGTCAGTATCACTTTCTGGAGAGAATTGCAGTAGACTCACGCGTGGCCCGCCGGCAGTGCCGCCATGGTTGGGCAGCGATGAGTATATCACTGGCGATATGCAAGCCTAGAGAGGAAGTTTTGGTGAGGTCGTCGTCGTCTGTAAGGATTTGAGTAGTCTCAAGTGTGAATAGTTCGTTGCAGTGGTGGCAGGAATGGTCAGTGTAGGTGCTGTCGATGCACAGAATGTAGAGTGGACCTGGCTTTCTGCTGCGGCAGGAGCGTCACAGGTTGGTCTTCCTACTTCGGAAATTCTTGGCAAGAGGTGATCGAAGCCGTGATGCGACGACAACTGTCTGGGAACAAGGGGAAAGAAGTAGAACCTCAATATTTGAGTACCGCTATATGTAACAACGAGCAGTATCTCATGTCTTCCGCGTATTCATGTTATGCTCCACCAGGTGGTTGTCAATTGTGAGAAACGCTGTCGCCTGTTTGGACTTGCGCGTCACACACCATAGCCTCTCACGTGGCAAATCAATGATCGAGCCTGAGCAAATACGAGGTAATTGTGTCGATTTGAACAATGATAACGTGCTTTCTAAGTAAGTGATGATGTCTCTGCGCTTCGCCATAGCCATGGCTAATCAGATATCTACATGATCTTAAATGCTGCCTTTCAGAAGGACTCCGTACGCGACATATCCAATTCTATGCCAAATGCTACCTTCCCTGTATGCCGTATGCGCCAGTCTCGAATGCTTCAAAGATTGCTTGTTGAACGCAGAGCACTTGTCCTCCCAAGATCTGGATGCCGTATGCGTGGATCGAATATCATGCTTGAATCATCTGATACAGCGTTCGACCATATCCTCACCTTTCGATCATCACCACCTGAAGCAAACATACCTGCGTCTCGGGGATTCCATGAAATGCTTGTAACACAAAGCTCACTCTTCGAGCCCTTGCCGTGACCTCGTAGTGTCTCGATTAGTGCCAGGTTCTCTTTGTGCCAGATGTAGATGGCTCCATCTAACCATAGTCAGCTTCTGTCCTAATACGAATGGTTCGTGCTTGACATACCTTTGCTACCACTCACCACGAAGTTCTCCGCGGCACCACCAAAGGCATTTCGTATTATATTCTTGCCCTGACTCAGTCCCTTGAACTTGCGGACTGGATATCTATTCTCGATATCGATCAATTGAACTTCGCCTTCCGCGATATTCACAAGTATTGTTCGATTATCTCGACTTGGTGTGATACAGGTTATTTTGGACGAGAGTTTCATTCGGAACTCTTCTCGATAGGTATTCATGTCGTAGACAACAAGAAGTGAATCCATGTCGTTGCATACTGTTGTTGGTTAGTGCTATACCAAGGAAAGTGGAATGTCTACACTCACATAATCTTCGGCCGTCAGGCGTGATAGCCACGTCTGCAACACGGAACTCACCACTCCAGGTATGGATTGGCTTTGTGAGGTCTGATGCAGACAGAGACCACAAGCACATTTTCGTATCTCTATCATGGCAGCATGTTACCAATGACAAGGAATCTGGCAACCATGCACCAGATGTGATAGGTCTTCGTTCGCTGTTGTTGTGCTCAACTGTCATGATCAGCTTCCCTGATAGAGCATCCCATACACGTGCTCGAGGTTCCTCTGCAGCGGTCAGGAGTTTTTTACTGTCTGGACTCCAGGCTAGGTGAGTTATTGGCGCGTCGTGCTGTTGGAGTTTCTGGACAACCCTGAAATTGACAGCATCGTAAATGATACACATACGATCCTCTCCTGCTGTAGCCAGCCATTTGCCGTCTGGTGAGAAGGACACGCAATAGACCTCGCCCACATGTTCTTCCAAGATCATCCAGGTTTTGGTTGGGAAGTCTTCCTGACTGCACATGTGGTCTGAGTATAATGATGGTGCTACTGCAGTATTGTGATACAGACATTGGTTGATCTGAGCAGATTTAACTTGATCTAGCAGTTCAGCCAGTCTGTGATCTCGAATCATCACGGATGGTGCTATCGATCGGGTTAGTTCTTCGAGCAGACTTTGCCTTGCCTCCTCTGGATCTTCCGGCCAATGTAGTTGTGTTTCGAGTTCTTGCTGGGTACACATGAGTAACCCTGATAGTGTATGTAATTGGTATGTGTCGAAGTGTAAGGGGGTCAGCTCTTCGCGAAGGACTTTCAAGGCAGAAAGTAGATCCCTAGACACGAGGAGCTCGAGAAACTTCTGCTGTCGGATAGCGAAAAGCATCTGCCTCTTGTTGGCGTTTCCTGCTAGAATCAAACTCTGACCAGTATTTCCTGACATGCCACCACCTTCGCTATGCGGAGAGCTGGTCAATATCCGTTCTGCATCTGGCCAGTGCCCGGATAGAATGGCGGACCTGAAAGCTGCAACTTCATTGCTCTCCAGTTCATAACCACTTTCCGCAGATAGTGTACTTGCAGAAGTTTCGTACCCCATATCTTTCAGTCCTTGAATTAATATCCGTGTCAGCTCTTCTCTGTTATGACCACGGTATGTTGGGTTGCGAGGAATTCTCCTCTTTGATGTGCCATTCTTCAAATTCTGGCCCGAACCATTAATTGCCGTTGAGTGACCATTTACTGGGAAGCTAGTCTTTCGGGGAGGAAGAAAAGATGGATTATTTGAGTATCCATTAGAAACGATGTTCCTATTGGCCTCGTCTGGTCGCATAATGGGGGACTTGATACGCCTGCGCTTTGAATGGTGACGGGCCTGAGCAGGATTGCTCGACTCGTCTTGATGGGATGAGCTCTCAGACGAAGGAGTGGAAGATCTTCTTCTCCTTCGTGATATTCTTCCAAGCTCTTGATCCAGCGGATGGGCCGCAGAGGTCACTTGATCGTAATATCTTGTTTCGTTGGGTAGGGAAGAGGTTTCAGTGTTCAGAGAAGGTGTGGACGTCGATATGAGTGGGTCGGCGGAATTGACGGGATCTGGGTGATTTGGCTGTTGAGATGCCAGTTCTAGAAGGCGGCGAAGCCGCCAGCACTGATGGAGGACAACTTGAAGACGAACGGCACAACGCAACGCAAAGCGAAGCTTTTGCTTGTTCGTTCAGCGGCTCCGATTGCTGGGAACTAATGATGGTGGTCGCCGATCGTATTGCAGCCGAATATTAATGTCTGATAAGACGTTAGACTACTGCTCGTTGAAGCAGTTGGTATCTTGTTGGATACTATGAGGTTGAGGGCCTAGCTGTGGCTGAATATCGATCTTTGCGTTTACAGAAATGTCTTGAACCGGACAAGAGCTTATTATGAGACTGTTGTATAGAGGTGATGCAGGAAGCAGCTGGAATACAGTCGAGCAATAGATAATGAAGCACATAAGTCGAGGTAAGACGTCCACCGGTACACCTCTTGGGCCGGCCGAAGGCGTGACTTGTTCAATGATGTCCTCTGCTGCAACTCCGAATTCGTGCATCATTTGGACCAGGATGGCTAGTGCTTTTTAAACATCCCACCACTGCCAACCCTTCTGGCTCAAGCCTTCCTTTCTGGTACTTGGACTGTTGGTCGCTCTTTCTCCCTGACCAGAGATTGTGATGATTTCCTTCGCATTCAAGTCGTGTATCTTGCGACTGGAGTATCAATACAGAGCATAGACTGAGGTACAACGTTTGACATGCAATCAACGGAATTTCGGAGTGATTATCAGTTTGTCTTGTGATACACCCGGTTTGAAACGTGGCACGAGTTTTTGTTGATGCCTAATCACAAGATAAAAGCAACATCTTCCAGTGGATCTACAAGTTGGCGCTTCGACCTATCCATCTCGAGGACATGTGAGCGCACGCACTTGAAGTCTTGACTACAAAGGAGGGTGTTCACCCGCACTGGCTCTTTCACATCTGGATACTGCAGTATTTTAGAACTGAATTTCCAAGAGTGTATTAATATGCCTCTCTGTCAGTCTTATAGCTTGAACCAAGTTGTGGAAAATGGTTGCAAAAGAGCTACCACTGTACCTACAGGAGTAAATCGAGTTGGTCACTTACTCGGCTCGTGTGTAGAAATACTCCTTGTCGTATTGTAGTGGATATATGCAACGAGCATTACCTGGTAGTTGATCAGCAATAACCCGTATAGCACGTGTTTTGGAAGGTCAAAGTTCGATAGGCAAGTGAAGCAGCCACCCGGGCGGAGCTTGTATTTGCACCTGCCTATCTGCATAGCTCCTGCCGTCATACTACGATACGGATCTAGCTTCTTGAATGAGCCGCATAGGAATTACCACCCATACACATCCTCGTCGTCCTCGCCTTGAAAAAAGATCCAGCTCGAGTCTACTTGAGGTTATCACCAAAAAGTCCATTGACCAGATATCAGATCTAAATTACGTAGCGGCCCACCTTGCTGCCCTTGACGAAGGCGTTGACGACTCTCGTTATCCCGAGCATTCTTCCTTTGCTTTTCCGCAGCCACTCAATACACCACATTCGAGAAGACGCACTATCAGACTCACGATGCCTTCAAAGGAGAGTGGTGTAGGCGAGAAGGTGCGTTCCTAGCTCTTCAGATTCTTTCATAGCTGACTGGTCAATAGCAAAATGGCGCAGTCTTCTCTGTGTCCGGCCCTGTGATCGTCGCCGAGAACATGATCGGTGTGGCCATGTACGAACTCTGCAAAGTCGGTAGTGATGAGCTTGTTGGTGAAGTCATTCGGATAGAAGCAGACAGAGCCACTATTCAGGTCTACGAAGAGACAGGTAGGAAATGAGTCTGCCACGGGCCTGAATAAAGCTAACTTGTTCGTAGCTGGTGTCACCGTCGGTGATCCCGTCACTCGAACTGGCAAACCTCTATCCGTCGAATTGGGCCCTGGTCTGATGGAAACAATCTACGACGGTATTCAGCGACCACTAGCTAAGATTGCTGGAAAGACAGACAGTATCTACATTCCCAGAGGTATCGCTGTACCTGCTCTAGACAGGGAAAAGAAGTGGAAGTTCAATCCAACTGTCAAGGAAGGTGATCATGTCTCTGGTGGTGATATCTGGGGCAAAGTTGAAGAGAACAGCCTGCTCAATGAACACAGAATCATGATGCCTCCACGAGCACGAGGAACAGTCAAGAAGATCGCAAGCAAAGGCGAGTATACTGTTGCAGAGCCATTGCTGACCGTTGAGTTCAACGGTGAAGAGAAGGAATATCCAATGATGCAAACGTGGCCTGTCCGTGTCCCAAGGCCCGTCAGTGAGCGCCTGCGAGCAGATGCTCCATTTATTGTTGGTCAACGTGTGCTGGACGCTCTTTTCCCATCAGTCCAAGGAGGCACTGTCTGTATCCCAGGCGCTTTCGGTTGTGGAAAGACTGTCATTTCTCAGTCTGTCTCGAAATTCTCAAACAGTGATATCATTGTCTACGTTGGAGTAAGTTGCTCAGCTCCTGGTCTCAACTAGCTAACCTCTTGACAGTGCGGTGAACGTGGAAACGAAATGGCTGAAGTCTTGATGGACTTCCCAGAGCTTTCTATCACTATCGACGGTCGGAAAGAGCCTATCATGAAGAGAACCTGCCTCATTGCCAATACATCCAACATGCCTGTCGCAGCTCGAGAAGCCTCCATCTACACTGGTATCACTGTCGCCGAATATTTTCGAGACCAAGGGAAGGCCGTTGCTATGATGGCTGATTCTTCTTCTCGATGGGCAGAAGCTCTACGAGAGATTTCTGGTCGTCTTGGTGAAATGCCTGCTGATCAAGGTTTCCCTGCATACCTTGGTGCCAAGCTTGCTTCCTTCTACGAACGTGCTGGGTCCTCCACCGCGCTAGGTTCGCCTGAACGTGCGGGAAGTGTCTCAATTGTCGGCGCTGTATCCCCTCCTGGTGGTGATTTCTCCGATCCCGTCACTTCCTCTACACTCAACATTGTTCAGGTCTTCTGGGGTCTCGACAAGAAACTTGCTCAAAGAAAACATTTCCCATCCATCAACACGTCTTTGTCGTACAGCAAGTACGCAACAGTGCTTGACGAATTTTACCAAAAGGATCATCCAGAGTTCCCCAAGTTGCGAGACAGCATCAAAGCATTGCTCACAAACTCCGAAGAACTCGATCAGGTTGTCCAGTTGGTTGGCAAGTCTGCCCTTGGTGACAGCGACAAGATTGTTCTGGATGTCGCGGCTATGTTGAAGGACGATTTCTTGCAGCAAAACGGTTACAGCGACTATGACCAATTCTGCCCGTTATGGAAGACCGAGTACATGATGAAGGCATTCATGCAGTATCATGATGAATCACAAAAAGCAGTTCAGGGTGGTCTTGGCTGGGCAAAGATTCGAGAATCCACGTCGGAGATCCAACATGGTCTTCGAAGCATGAAGTTCGAGCTTCCTGACAACGAGGAGGAGGTTTCGAAGAAGTACGATCAACTGTTGCAGCGTATGAGCGAAAAGTTTGCAAGCGTTGCCGATGATTAGATGTACAAAATTGGCATTGTACTTTGCTGAAGGTTATGCTTTCGGATTGGCTGTAGACGTGTAGCAGGCGTAGGAATGTCATAGGTAGCAAATGATATACAGTTTCCGAACTCGGGGGCAGGTCTTAGACTCGTCCCTCTCGGACTCGTTCCATTGGGACAATCTCGATAAATGGCTGCTTCGAGCAACTCAGCACGAATTACACAATGCGGAGAGCTTCGGAACTATCTACCATGTCGATGTTTCCAACCCATGTCAAATACGTGACTCCGAGTTCGAGACACAAGATCGAGAAAGTCTCTTTCATCACCCCTCACATATGATTGCGGAGTTGGATATTTGATAGCCTTCTGTCACGCAACAGAGTTTGATTATGACATCGTGAAGCCTGGATCGGACTATTAGGATAGCCCTCGCTCACTCATGAAACATAAAGCGTTTATAATCGTGTAAATCTCAAAGCTGAATACCAAATACCACACAAGAGCAACTACTCCTACATCCACTACATACACCAAACCACCCACCCACCACAATCTCGCCAAAATGTCCACCACAAAAGTAACCACCTCCCTCCCCTCCTCCATGACAGCCGTCCAAGTCGTCGAATTCCACAAACCCTGGAAAATCAACACTGTCCCCACCCCCAACGAACTCGGCGATTACGATATCCTCGTCAAGACCGCCGTGGCGTCTCTCTGCCACACAGACAGCATGGTGTTGGACGGGGTGTTCCCAAATGCCAAGTTGCCACAGACGGGGTCTCATGAGGGGACTGGAACGGTGGTGGAGGTTGGTAAGAAGGTTGAGAATTTTAAGAAGGGGGATAGAGTTATGAGCGGGATTCCGAGGGAGCAGTGTGGGAGTTGTAGGGATTGTAAAGGTATGTTATGTATGATGGGAAATGATTGGATTGTACTATAGTGTTTGGGAGGAGGGATTTGTGGCTGATGTTTCTTTGTGGGAGTATAGGACCGAACGATTGGCATCAGTATTGCGCGAATGCCAAGGGTATGATCGGTGTTTTTGGAGCGGACGGGTAAGCACGACGATCTATATCTCGCGAGAGGTATTCTTGCTGATAGATCCCAGCGCCTTCGCAGACTACCACGTCTCAGACTCCCGCACGAGCTGTCTAGTACCGGACTCCGTATCATTAACCGACGCAGCGCCTCTAGCCTGTGCAGGTGTAACCATCTACCGCGCCATCATCGTCTCCGAAGCCAAGAAAGGAGACTGGCTCGCCATGGTCGGTGCTGGTGGTGGTCTCGGCCACCTCGGAATCCAAATGGCAAAAGCTCAAGGAATCAAGGTAATAGCAATTGATGCCAGAGACGAAGCTCTTGAATTATGCAAGAAGGCGGGAGCGGAACACGTCTTCGATGCAAGAAAAGGCAAGGATGAGGTCGTCAAGCAGATTCAGGAATTGACGGGTGGTGATGGCGCTGATGCGACTATCAATTTATCTGAGCATGAGACGGCGGCACCGTTGGCTTGTGCGGTGACGAAAATGCATGGGAATATGATTCAGATATCTCAGCCGGCGATTGTGAGTATTCCGTTTGCAGAGTTGGTCTTTAGAGACGTGAGAGTCAAGGGATCTTTGGTTGCTGGTCAGGATCAGAGTCAGGCTATGTTGGATTTGGTAGGGAAGGCAGGCATCAAGGTTGAGACGAACATTTTCAATGGGCTGAATGAAGTTCCAAAAATGATTGACTTGGCACATTCGGGCAAGATGAAGGGCAAGGCTGTCTGTGCGGTTGATAAGAGTCAGGTCTAACCATCACGTTTCTGAGGACAGAACTTTCAGCCACGTGCTGGCATTTAGAAACTGATCCGGATCTTTTCTGGCATCATTATTTTTGTATCATAAGCATGCTTTCTTCTTTACCTAGCCATTCCGCTGCCTCAAAAGATCGACGAGCTGCCTAGAGACGCATTCAGTTGCTCAGATCGACACTACCGACCATAGACAGTCTTCCACAGGGTATTCAAATATGCAATACCCTCAGCCCGCCAAGAATCCTTCTCAGGACGACTAGTAGTGTTTGCATCGAAAAAGTAGTCATATCCTACACCACCTCCAGACACCACATCATAAGCTGGCCATTGCTGATAGCCCTGAAGTCCATGACCATTTGGATTCCCGTCGTGTACGAAGCTCGCCCACATCCTGCTCATCAAGCTGCTAAGGTCAACATAACTCTGCGGTTGTCCTTGAAAGGGATTAAAAGCATATCCCAAGCCCTGGAGGTTGTTGAACACAAATGCCACTTCCTGAAAATGTACTGAGCCAGTCAGATTCGGCAATGGATATGGAATGGCGTTGAAGCGATAACAATATGCGGAAACGTTCTGCATGGCCCACGACTGACATTGAAGTCTTCGTGCGGCGTGGAATGCCAGGTCCCCACCAAAAGCGACAGCGCGACGGAACTGAAAGCCGTATGTGCTGTTGTATTGATAGTCTAGTGGCACACTGTAGAGGACGTCACTGGCAGCTGGAAGATTGGGATATACAGCCTGGAGAATAGCCACTGTGCTCGCATTCAATGGTCTTGTCCTGCCTGTGTTTGTAAGATAGGTTGCGAAAGCACTATCGTTGTTGATGCCACGAGGACCGAAGCTGGCTCCCTCATCTGTGTTTGCGCCACTGAGCAAGGGGACTTTGATGAAGTTGCCGTTGTTGAGCTGATCGTATTGTGAGCCTTGGATCAGAGTACCGTCCTGGTATGGGTAGAAACCATAGCTACGGGTGATATTGATAGCTGCGTTCAGTCTATCGAAAGGAGCGGCTCGGAGACAGGACAATGTATCTGCACTACCACTGCATCCTGCCGCTGTGGTGATGTTGTTGTAGATTGCTTGGCCGTCACTGACATTGTAATTTTGCGATCCAAGAAGAATTGAATTGCCTGATTCGCAGATGGCTCCGCTGAAGAGCTTGTCATCACGACCACCATAGGCGATGAGATGAATGCCAACACTTCCGGCACCAGCTGATTCTCCCCATATTGTCACCTTGGTAGGGTCTCCACCAAATGCTGCTATATTCTCCTGGATCCAGTACAAAGCTTGACGTTGATCTTGCATTCCAATATTTGTTATGCCGGCAGATCGTACTTCTTGCGAGTCGATGAAGCCCCATGCACTCAGTCTATATGGTATAGAGACTGCAATGATGGGTTTGCCGATATCGACTGAGTTCTGAACGATGAAGCTGAGATTATATCGGCGATCAGTAGCTCCTCCCATAATATATCCACCGCCGTGCTTTGTGAATGTTAGTGCTCGTTCCAGCCTGGTGATTGGCACTTCTTACAATCCATACAGCTACTGGTAGCTTCTGGCCAGCGGATCCTGCTGGTCTGACCACGTTCAGTGCTAAGCAGTCCTCGCTAACTTCGTAGCCAATTTGATCTCCCTAAGAAGACGTTAGCTATTTCTCTCCTTGATCTGGTGGTGTATCGTTACTCCATATCCAACACATTCAGGATAATATGCCGTGGCCTGCCTAGGCTCACTCCATGTCGTGTTGAGTGGTTGGGGAAATCGGAACCTCAAATCGCCTACTGGAGGCTGTACGAAGGGAATCCCAAGAAATAGATCCTGGTTATAGGTTGGCTGATACAAGCCAGTGTAGGTACCATTTCTGACAGCAACACTTGGAGCTCCAGAAGATTGTCGGGCAGACAGTCCCAGGCAAGACGGCAGAAACAGAGTAAGAAGGGCTAGCATCGTGACGCTTGTAGCGAATGAAAGCAGAATAGGATCTGCTGAAGAGCAGTATTCATCTTATGTACCTGTGCTAGGATCCTACAGGTCCCAATCGATCCCGTACCATGACCAGTAGAATCGGCACAAAGCCTCGGAATCTGGCAAAGCAATAGCCTTTGGAGGTATTATCTCGCTGTCCGCTTCAATGTTCCTCCAGAGGAAACCCCAGCCATGAGCTTGAGCTGCAGATTACCTTGCGGGGAGAGGCCGCTATCGTTCAGAAAGGAAAGGTACGCGGGAAGCGAAGTCGATCACTCCGACAAGCTTCGAGCTTATTTCCCCGAAGTTTACACGACCATGGATGTTGAACATGAATCGATATCCTTGGATTCTCGAGTTGTGCATGAGCTCGGCAGTTGACAACGAGGCGGGGATGGAACCAAGACCGGAAGGTCGTCATCTGATGAGAAATGTCCACATTTGCGCATGGCCGAAGTATACCCTCGGAGCATGATTATGGCAGTCTTAGCCAGCTGGTATTACACAAGTACAAACACGTGGACTTATTAGAACTGGCTTTGTTGTAGCTTGAGATTGTGAGCGAACGAATCCCATGAACTCAGGATGTCCTCCAATCAGAATTGCTGCATCGTTCGGGTCATGGTGCATCGAAGCGTGTCAACCATACAGCCTAGTACAAGGTGACAGTAGAGGGCTGGCTACGAAGTGTGATGGACCGCAACATCGATTCGTTCTCTTGTAGGTCTAGGAGACTGTGTACCTTTCATCTCACCAGTATATCATAGTCTCCAGCCTTGGACGATATTCGAATGTCGTCGGATGCCTGACCAGCTCTGCGACGTATCAGCTCAAATATGATCAGTCCTGCACTCGTGCTCGGAAGCTGACGAAACGTGTTGAAAACAAAGCCACGGTAGACCCATCTGATGATATTTCCTCGAGTTTCTTTCTTCGCCGCATCCATGCATTGTTGCCAGGTTTCCTGATAGGCTCGATAGTAAACACGCATCATACGCCACCTCGGTTGACCTTGGAGTCGCGACGATTGACGAAACTGTTTTGCTTGAGTATCCAATTCTTCGAGATGGTTCCAGTGTTCCACTTGAACATGATGCAATGGATAGATGACTGTTGATTGAGCTACAGAAGCACTTAGGCCTGCCAGAAAGAGAAACGTAGGCTCGATAGCGTAATGGGGCTTGATAGTCTGTACAAAGCGGTCACGATCACTGTATGCGGAGTTAGATCGAGGTCTCAGTCCGCTCTCGTGTGGCCGTTTTCTGGCAAGTGTAGTAACCATTTCTGGATGTAAGGAACCATAATACCAGTGGACAAAGTTATGGTATCCTTGTGATTTGATCCACTCGAAAGTGCTGAAGAAGGTAGCTGAACCAAAGCTGTCTTTTAGAAAGGACAACCCATAGCCAGCAAAAATTCCTCTTGTCCCGACCTCTCGTATTTTCTCCCTGCCAAATGTCCACATACTTTGAGGTGAGTTCCCGAGTTTGCCATTGGTAGCAGGGTCATGTCGTTCGTAACGTACTTGAATGGCGTCCAGTGGAGCAGCTATGATAGACTGTATGCTTCCAGCAAGAAATCCAGCTGTAGCAGTTTCTGCAAAAGAAGGAGGGGGATAAACTCGCTTGTGGTGTTTACTGCTCTCTTCATGCAGACGACCTAAGATTTGTAGGTAGCTTGTGTATAGGACAGCACCCACGCTGACATTGGCTATCAGAGGAGGTAGGATTTGCTCAGGTATAACCCTCCAGCCATAGTAGCGGATTGCTGAAGCAATAACGCCTGGAGTGGTGGAACGTAACCAGCTGAGTCTACGTGACAGAGCGTCGTTGGCTACGGCTGCATTCTGCTGCTGGAGGTTTCTAGCATAAGCCAGGTAGTCAACTCGTGTTCGGAAGAAGGCCTTTACAGGAGCTCGAAAGTAGAAGGCTATTGCCTGGGCGGTAAACGCTCTTACACCAGCTGCCTGGATTCCATGTGCCGCATCATCTCGAGGAGCTTTTCGTGGTCTGGACGTGTTCACTGGCAGAACCTGTAAGAGTTAGCAAGTTTGTAGGAGGGGCTATCTGTTTGACGGGCAGCAGGAGAGCCTCGAGATTAGCTTCAACAACTTACTCCGGAATAGATTCCCTCAAAGTCTGTTGGGTCATCGTCAACACGGTCAAGGGACATTTCCTTTCGTTCTAGAGTCCATCCCGAGCATGCTTGTTTGAACGCTTCGAGGTGCTGTGCTGCGCTTGCAAGATGGACCACTTCCAAGCCGCAGATGAGCGCCGGCACTGGTAGTCGCGATGGGTCAGCACGCTAGACCAAATAGAGCGACGCGCCTGAACAGAGCGCGACCCTCACAGCCAGGAAGGAGCGAGTTGCAAGTAGACAGGAACGATATTGTCGTAAGATGGTTTCCTACCACAGAATAGAAGGTCGAACAGCAATTCCTAGCTGCACGACGTTGCCCATACTCTTCTGAGACCCTTCGCTTTTGATTCTCGTGCCCCACATTATCAGATCCTTTAAGCTTTGCAGATTGTGGACTAGAAGTGCTCCAGCATGATGCTGCATCCTTTGTGCGAATTCGGCAATTCTATACACAAACTTGCGTGCTCGACGAAGGCGTTAATGATTGAAGGATTTCAGGGAGTTTGGAATACGATCTTGATATAAACTGACCAAGACATATTGATATACATCGTCGATCACTGACATTCGCTTTTCCCAGTCTCCAATCCTCTATTCTGTGTCACCAAGTTCTTCTTCGCCTCTCGCACTCATCCTGAGCCAAATATCTGTGCCAGACAGCTTAACTGTGGTAGGACTTCAACTTGCTGACAGCCAGACGATATGATTTCACAACAGCTGCCTCGTCCACCGGACGACAAGCTCACCACTCTTCTGGCACATTTGCCCCCGTCCTCGACCTATTTCTCACTCGAGTTCTTCCCTCCTAAAACTCAAGCTGGCTTCACGAATTTGCAGGCCAGATTGGCTCGTATGACCACGGCCTTCAGACCTCTCTTCGTTACCGTGACATGGGGTGCAGGAGGAAGTACTGCGACTAAATCATTGGAGCTAGCAGAAATATGTCAGAGGCAACTTGGTGTACCGACCGTTCTCCACCTCACTTGTACAAACATGAATCAGAAGCTGATAGACGAGGCTTTGGATGAGTGCCGGAGCGCAGGAATCCGAAACATACTGGCGCTGCGGGGTGACCCTCCACGAGAAGAATACAAAGATCCAGTCACAGAATCGAGTCCGAAGCAAATACAGGCTAAAGAGGAGGAATTTGTATGGGCTATAGATCTTATCCAGTATATTCGAAAAAAGCACGGCAACTATTTCTGTATAGGAGTGGCTGGGTACCCCGAGGGACATGCAGATGAATCACATCCTGAAGCTGAGAAGCAGAGCGTCGAGCATGATCTACCCTACCTGGCGCAGAAGACAAAAGCAGGAGCCGACTTTATCATGACCCAGCTGACATACGACGCCGATGCATACCGAGCCTACGAACACCGTTTGCGCAATTACGTTGACACCGAGAAGAACGAGAAGATTTTCAGAGATATTCCAATCATACCTGGTCTCATGCCTATACAGAGTTATCAGATTATCAAGCGGATAACGAAGCTCAGTCATGCAAAACTGCCTCAGGATATTGCGGCCCGAATAGAGGCTGTCAAGAATGACGATGATGCCGTGAAAAAGGTGGGTGTGGATATTTTGAGTGAGATTGTCGAGAAGATACGAGCCATGCCACAACCCGACGATCTTCCTCGAGGTCTCCATTTTTACACCTTGAATCTAGAAAAGAGCGTTGCATTCATACTCGAGAAATGCCATCTTCTTCCTTCCGCAAACGAACCAGACACGAGCTCATCCGAAGATAGCGATACACCTTCAGAGGAAAGTGACGTAGCAGTCGAGGGCACTGATAAGGTTAATGGCCACAACCCTGAGCAAAGGACAATGAAGCAGTTCAAGAGAAGAGCGTCAAGTGTGAATGCTCAGCCACACAACCGCGTAATAGTTGGGATGTCGAGGACGAAATCATCAGGTAACACATTAGAAGAAAGAGATGCTGATGCTCCATCTATCACAGTGAGGCATGCAACAGATGACGCTGGTGCTGGCATTCCAGCTTCCAAGCAGACTCGTGCTCAGAAGTTGATGATCAGCGAAGGACAAGGATCCTTAGGTCGTGAAGCTACGTGGGATGACTTTCCGAACGGTCGTTGGGGTCCTTCTCATTCTCCTGCTTTTGGTGAGATTGATGGATATGGTCCCAGTTTGAAGGTCGGCCCAATTACTGCTCGCAGATTGTGGGGTCATCCCAATTCAAAGGAAGATATTACAACGTTGTTCCGGAAGCACGTCACAGGCGAGCTACATGCAGTCCCTTGGTCAGACGATATCGATTCTGATGGTCCGTCAGTCACAGGCGAGGGTGCACTAAGAGCAGAAACAGACTGTATCAGACAGGAGCTCCTCGCAATGATTGAGAAGAAGGGCTATTGGACTCTTGCATCGCAGCCTGCAGTCGATGGTGTCAGAAGTGATGATCCGGTCTTCGGCTGGGGACCTAAAGGTGAAGGATTTGTGTTTCAAAAAGCATTTGTTGAGTTCTTTTGTCCAAGTGATAGATGGGAAAGCCTACGTCAAAGACTGATTGACGCATCCGAGTTTGATGTTAGCTGGATGAAGGTTGATGCCGAAGGTAACTTCGAGAGCACAGATACTGTGTCAGATGTCCAGAAGGATGGCCCTAGCTCTAAGCAGACACCTGGAACTTCTGGAGTCAACACAGTGACATGGGGAGTGTTCCGTGGAAAAGAGATCGTGACACCTACAATTATCGAGGCCGAGAGTTTCCGAGCTTGGGGTGAAGAAGCTTTCAGTATCTGGAGGGAATGGAGGGTGTGTTTTCCAAGAGGAAGTGAGCACGAAAAATGCTTAGAAAAATGCAGAAAAGATGTAGTGCTTGTCAACGTGGTTGGTCAGAAGTATATTGGGGAGGACGGTCGGTCGCTGTGGAAGCTATTACTCGAGGATTGATTTGATGTTCAATCACTTCGATACACAATCAGACCCGAGTAAATCTGCCGCGACCCGCTACCAACCAGCACCTTTCCTGAGCAACCTCGATTCTTGGTGATAGTTGCCTGTATCTATTGAATGAGTGTCTCGATGCAGTTGAGGACGTAGTAGAGCTATAGCGTGCTCGATGTACTCCCTTGAGCTCTCAAACTGAGCAGTATGTCCGCGCTGGGATGTGCTATCCTGGTATCCCACCGGCGTCCGGGGTAACCACCTTCCCCACAAATTCCATGCAGTGTGTCATCAATGACAGGCGTTAGAAAGGCAGGTGCAATGAACAAAATCGAAATGTAACCTTGCACAACGAATGTGTCGATCTACAGTGCCAACAGAGTTTAAGTGATATGAGCATATGATCACTGTTGGCCTTGCACGTAGTGCTACAAGATGGACTATTCTCATTCTTGTTGCATACTTCTGCATTCCAAGTATTCTGAAATTCGCTAACCTAGCAGCCACTATGTTGTCCTCGCTGTTCTTTACCACAGTGGCAAGCATATTTGGTTTGGTATTGAGCCAGTCAATCTATGGCTCAGACAATGCAACGTTCACGAACCCGATTCTACAGAAGTATGGCGCTGACCCATGGGTCGTGCGAAATGGCGACGACTACTTGATGACTTATACGACCAACGACAATATCACAATTCTCAGAAGCAGAACCCTCACGTCTGTTGCTTCTTACACAATTCGTTCATCTGGCTGATTCGTGATAGTGATTGGAACTCAGCCGATGTAAAGCTCGCCTTTAAGGCACCAGAAAATACATCTTACACATTCAGTAACTGGGCACCCGAACTTCACTATTACGAGGCGTTTCAAAAATGGTACATTATTTATACTGCCGACGTCGACCCAGACAGTCCATCGCCGCAGCAAGACATGCTCTGTGATTTCAATTGTCCAGGTAAGTGCTTAGCAACCGTGCTGCCTATGGAAACTGACTGTGCCTAGCTGTCAATCATCGAATGTTCGTGCTGGAGAGTTCTGGACCGGATCCCTGGACAAGCGAGTTCACAATGAAAGCAGAACTGAACACTTATGATCAATTTGCCATTGACGGTACCTATTTCCAGTACGACAACAAGCTCTACCACATCTACAGCTGTTGGTACGACTACGATAGTCAACCATTCATCCGAAGCTGGCCTGCCATGCTATGCATTACGCAGAGTAAGTTGACTGCTGGCTAGATCATATTCGCTGTCAAAATTCATCTCTAACCTCGTTCAGTGTCTGATCCTTGGACCGTTTCTTCTCCTCAATCCGAACGCCTCATCATCTCCAAACCTGAACAACCCTGGGAAAAGACACCATATGGTCGCACAGTCAATGACAGACTCTCGTCGAATGAGGGCCCACAGCAACTGATCAATCCCAATACCAAACAGAATTTTGTCATCTACAGTGCTGCTCGCAGTGATAACCGCAATGTAAGTGTTTGCGCTCGAAGAGGGCGTCTTTTCCTAATCGAGACACATCTCACTAACATTCCACAGTACTGCCTCGGCCTCATCGAACTCACCGGCACAAACCCAATGGACATCAACTCCTGGACCAAGAACAACGCCAGCTGCGTCTTCTACGAAAATGATGCAGAACAAGTATACGGCGTCGGTCACGCCAGCTTCGTGCAGAGCCCGGACGATAGTCAATGGTGGATTGTCTACCACGGTATGCGAGACTATCTTGTAGGATGGTCAGCTAGACAAATTCGAGCACAGCAATTTACGTGGGACGAGAAGACTGGATGGCCGGTGTTCCCGAGACCTGGCATTGGACCGTATCCTGTTCCGAGCGGGCAGTAGGTATGCTCGTTTTGGAGGTGGAGTAGGCGATGTCATTAAGGTATTGAAGTCGAGGGTGTTACAAGCATTAGCAGGTTTACATGCTCTATGAGAGGATCCTGATGAGCCGCGCGCAGTATGCTAGCATAGCTGATCACTCAAGATATAGATGTGGAGTACCAAGAATATGCGCTACAACTGGACCTGGTTGGAACTGCTTGGGCTGGATGAATGGATCAAGGTTCAGCAGCAGAACGCCGTCATACATAGCCATTATCGAATGGTATAGTCCTAACGTCATGCCAGACGTCCATCGTTAGGTCGTGCTTGTCCAATATCGTCGTAGCTACCAAGCATCCGTACTCTATATCCCGCGAAATTGTGCCATCTTACACACTCCCCACTATTACTACCATCCTGCCATCAACGAAACCGATCAGGCGACTTCGGCGGAACAGGCGGCACATGCGCATACCTCTCCATCCCATCATCCCAACCACCTCCTCTCCTACTCGGTCCAGCTTCACCACTCGCATCCCCTAGGTGGACATCCGTCCATACCTCATTGCCGTTGTCATTACCACTACCGTTTTGGATATGAGCTTCGGAAACCTTGGTATTCTGATTTGAATAACTGCCAAAGCTGCTCTCGCTCCTCGCAGCAGCTTCTTCTCTGAGCAGTTTCTCGCGTTGCGCGCGGATCATGTCGCGTAGTGTCGGTTTCTGCGTGTGGTCGGGGTTGGTTGGCGATATTGGGATATTGGCAGGTCCGCGGATATGGCCGCCTGTAAGGATGCCTGGTGTAGATTGCTGTGCACCTGGGGACGTCGGGCCTGCAGCTAGAGAATTTGATGGAGCTGGTACATGTTCTAATGCATTGAGCGACGGCTTGCTATGCATAGGCCTGAGCGGCGTGGAAGGACCTGCTGTTTCCACGGAAGAGCGATATGCGGGAGGAGCACTGCCCGTAGGGCTCAGCAATGGCACATTTGGAACTTGCTTGCTTTCTATGTCCTTAAGAGGAACATCTCCTATGTTTCCGCTCCTTGATGTGCCTCTGTAGTGCTCGATCATATCTTGTCGCAGCCACTCGTCTCTTTCAGCTGCGGTTTGTTCTTCGCTTTTCTTGGAGGTTGTCTTGTCATTGCCGTCCCAAGTATTCTTCCGTCTATACATATACTCTCTTTGTCGATCTCTGATGCCCTTGTTCCGCTCTCGTCTGGCGCGCCATGCCGCAACAAAAGGCAAGTTTGCGATCCAACGCGCAGTCGCTCGGAACGGACAGTACTTATCGGTCTTAGCGTAATGCCCAGGACAGTAGCGACGATATAGGAGGAAAGTGCCCATGAAGGACAGCGGAACCAAGACGATGATGATGATCAGGAGGAGGAGTAGTGGCGGGCCGTGACCTGCATGGTGTTGTGACGGAGTCGCTGGTGAAGGAGTACCTGTTGTTAGAGTAGCTGTTGATGACGTGCTTGTATGCGAGGTCACTATAGATATTAGAAATGATGAAGTCGGTAGCGTGGCGGCTGTGGTTAGGGGAGATGAAACGAGGAGGGAAGTCTGAGAAGGGTGTTCTGTGGTGAATGTTGTCCTTGTGCCTGGTAGCGTCACGGTGATCGTGGGTGGACGCGTAGCTGTGGATTGGGTAAATATACTCGCATACCCGGAACTTGTCGTTAATACTGGGATTCGTGTTGGGGTCTAAGAATCATGAAAGTCAGTATCGTACCTGAAGATGTTGTATTTCTCGATGAGCTAGGAGTGAGAAAGCTGGCGACCATTGGTGGGATCAAAGTCTTTGTGATTTAACTAGTCCATATCGTGACTGTGCTGGTTGTAGTCATCGAAACCACTTCATTACTAGACGAGCAATGGCAACCACCAGGACCATCTATTATGTAAGAGGATGTACCGCAATACGTGCTGCAAATCATCGTCATATCAGGTGGATGTAGGCTTGTACTTGTAGCCATGATATGGTTGGTCGATATTTCAGCAAGATGTCGTGAATGAAGGCGCGCCTAACAGTGATGTGGAGGAACAAGAAGTAGCCATCGCAGCGTTTGACCTGATTCATGTCGCAGGTAGTGGCGATAGCGTTTGCAACAGGCGCAAGACGACACTTTGACTCAACAATCAACTACTTGTGTGGCTGAAAGTGAGGTCAAATCTGACTGACAAGAGCATGTAAACGCGTCTGAGAAAATTCGGCATGTCTCTATACTGCAAGATCCGTTGGAGTAGGCAGGAAAAGTGCGCGCTGGTTGATCGATGGTGGGCTCGACCCCGTATGCAGGAGTGCATCGTCGATGCAGGTACCTTCGACAATGATGTAGCCAGAGAAGACGTCGTCATCGCAATATTCTCCAGAAGTCCGTGCAAAAGGCAGCAGGAGGTTGGAGATGGGGAGCAGAACGTTTCAGACTTACCAGTGAACTAGTTGAACCTGAGGATGAAGTTGACATGGTCACAAATATGGTAACAGTAGAGCGAGCGTCTAAGTAAATCGCCGGCTCCGGTATCGAGCTGGTAGCACCCTTGTCGAATGGTGGGATGAGCATAGTAGAAGACACAGTTATTATGCTGGTCACGAAAAAGCTGGTCGTAGTTTCGATGATATCAGGCCTAAGCTGGAGGGTGCTTTGTTGGGATGCCGATGCTGTCTTTTCGCTTGAGGTTGGAGATGTATCGCTTGATGGTGAGTAACCTGTACCAGTCGTTGTGCGTATGGTAGTGGTCTTTGTCTCTTTGGAAATCGATGCTGGATTGTTGAGAGAACTTACAGACTGAATTCCTGAAAGCATTGTCTATAATTCCAAAGGTCAGTAGCCAACAGCTGGCGTCAGTGATGTGGAGATCTCAAGGTGACGACTTGCCTCGGTATGCAACGTCGTGACAGGGGCAGTGTCCTGCGCCATCGTGGCAGAATGGATATTCGTGGTGACAGAGGCGCTTGTAGGCGGACCATCTTCTTTGCTTATGGTATCCGATGGCTGTGACCCAGGTTCGGAGGGAGATGAGGGAATCGATAGCGAATCGTGCAAGGCAGGTGTTGGAGACTCCGTAGTGGTCGTACACCAGGGCATGTTTGATATATCTGATTTAAGGTAGGTGAGTTGACTGCCATCATTGTAAGAAGGACAGGGTCGTGGTAAGCGGAAATGTGTAGAGTTGACCTGGCTAGCAGACAACGTAGGTCCCGCCGTCAGGCCTCTCGACGTGTTGTTGAACGTCAGCATGCTGGTGAAGCTGTCAGCTGTATTGCCTATATAGTCCTAATGCTTTCGAGCCTCGTCATGGGTAACAGCACTGTGTAGAGGGAGTCACTTGTGGATTGTTTGAGCTCATCTGAGAGCGTTTGCACTGCGCGGCCCCAAAGATAGAGGATTGTTTCAGCTAATCACAATATTTCTTTGCACTAGATCGTTCTCCAGGACCCTACAGTGCAGGTCAGCTCTTGAAGGACAGGATTCACTCATTTGTAAGGTGCAGCTCAGGATGCAGTGAAGACCAGACAGGACGATCGTGAGATATAGATCACTTCATTACGTAGCGTTATGGTTGCCCAATATACCAAACCATGCGCCGGCAAAAAATGATTCAGTCTAGAATGCACCTCTGCTTGCGCCTGAACGCCAGAAAGTCAGGACTTGGTATGGGTGCTTTAGCTGAATCTGTGTGGCCCACCAATAGGTGTTCTGGTGTACGAAGATCCTGTTTCTTTGAAGTTGTGAAAATGCATAGCGAGATCGAAAGCTGTAATCTAGCAGCAGCCACCAGCAGACCCGCTCTGCACACCTTGTCCTTGACCGACCTGAACTGTTGGCTTGTTGTTGACGGTTGTTGTTCCCATGCGCTCCTTGATTTGACGGGCCATTGTTAAGAAGGCTTGCTCGACGTTGGAGGCGTTCTTGGCCGAAGTCTCTAAGAATGGGATTCCAAGACTATCCGCGAATTCCTGGATTCAGTTAGCATCAGCAGCTAAGTCTTTCTATCCGTACACACCTTCGCCACAGTATATTCGACCACCTTCTTGTCTGACATATCGCTCTTATTTCCTACTAGTAGCTTGTTGACGCCCTCAGTCGCATAGCGGTCAATCTCTTGGAGCCATTGCTTGACGTTGTTGAAGGAATCCATATCTGTAACATCGTATACAACACAGATGCCGTGGGCGCCTCGGTAGTACGAAGAAGTGATAGTTCGGAATCGTTCTTGACCGGCAGTATCCCACTATAGAACGTTAGCCATCCATCGAGAGTTTACCAGGATTTGAGCAACACATACGATCTGCAACTTCACTGTCTTGCCATCAAGTTCGATTGTTCTGATTTTCTATTCAAGAGATGAGTATGACTGTCTGAGTAGTAGGACAATGACGTACGAAATCAACACCAATGGTCGAGATGTAGGACTCGGTGTAGGTGTCGTCGGCAAACCGCAACAACAAGCAGGACTTTCCGACACCAGAATCACCGATAAGCAGAAGCTTGAAGAGGTAATCATATCTGGGTGCCCGTGTCAGCCAAATCCAGGTAATGAGTGTCTATCAGTCGCGGGTGGATTTGCACGCCGCAGTTGATCTTTGGAAGGCAAGACTCTATAACCTCGACGTTAGTCAACGTTCCTTTGAGTGGCATATTCCAGACAACTAACCACTCTGGCTGCATTTTGATAAGTGAATTCGCGTAGACGAGAGATTACGTAGGGAGCGGTCGGCTTATGTATGATCAACGTGTAGAACGGGAATGTTTGAGAATTGCGATTGTTTCGAACAGGCGAGAAGAGGGATGAAGCAATATAGACGAGTGACGCTGACGACGACGTTCATCAACGGGCACCGTTTATTCGCAGGCTGAGGCACAACAGGGCAGGAGCCGACTTTCACGTGCCAGGGGTGGATACCTAATTGCCAAACAGCCAATGAAGTGGTTGACTCGTGCAGGGTACGAACAGCTGATAAGGTCAAAAGTATCCTCCTTATAAGTACTGACCATATCATTTGATCTACATAGAAGTACCTACTACGACAACAGACATGCTACAGAGATTTATTCCTCGACCTCACGCATAGCCGTTTGCTTCCAACCACTCCAGCAAAGCAGCGTGATCTCTTTCCTTGTATCGTGCGTTTGCCTCAATGTTGTCTGAAGCTTGCGCCAGACTCCGATCGAATCCAGAAACGTCCTTGTCCTTGAAGAAAGCTTGAATTTGTTGGTCAATTTCACGATCTGAGAACTGGTTCAAGCCTGTCTTGATCCATCTATCCAGAACGACTGTGGCACTGCTTCGAACTTTTTGCATCTTGCCATCCCACTCCTGCTGCAGGAACTTCCAAATCTCTCCTCTAGTGTCGTTGTTTGCAGCTACCGCCATTGGTCCATTGTGACAGTCCTGGACGGGTACTTCGTCTGAGAGTACAAAGTTGAGTAAATCTTGTGCCAAGGAAGAGTCTTTGGTTCTGCCCATGGCAACCAGGCAGACTTCTTTACCATCCACAGATTGAGTGACCCGGTACTCATTCTTGATCGCCTCGTACTCATCTTTGCCTCCATTAGCAACGACCATGTTGAAGACGGTAGAACGAAGGTTCTGGTTGATTGCCTTGGAATCACCTGCCTTCCACGACTCAAATTTCTGCTTTCCAGTTTTGATAGTTCCTTCATGGCCAGCTCCTGAAGCCATTGCCAACAATAGCTTACGTAATTGTCCTGTCAAGAAGTCTTCATCTGCTGGAAACTCCCAACCAATCTTCTCAACAGCAGGCGTGCTGAGTTTCAATGTGAACTTCTTGAGACCATCGGCTATTTTCTTGCTCTCGGAGAAAACTGCCCTTACTTTTGCCAGAGACATTTGGATCTGTGACCAGACAACGTAATCCTGCTCTTGCTGGAAGCCTTCGACAAACGATAAGAGCGCCGTAGTGGTTGCATCACCAGAAATTGCAAGGGCAGCAGCATCGCCAATTACACCGACCTTGTCCTCAACCGATAGTTTGTCTCGCGCGGCTGCAAGCTTTGTAAGTCTTTGCGGTGGATAGTTCGTGCGATAGAAGCCAGTCTGATCAGCGTTGATCTTGTAAAATGCATCATCCACATCTCGTATAGTATCCTGCTTTTGCTGAAGTTCACTGTGAACCACTTTTGCCGGCTCACCCGTCTTCAGGCCGACAGGAACCCACCATAAAGTCTCATCCTCTTCAGCCTTGGCATTACCCGACTTGATGAAGCGTGATTGTCTGATCGAGATCTGACCTGGCTCCTCTGCTATGGTGACGACTGGGAAGCCAATCTTTCTGATCCAAGGGTCCATGAATGTCTTGACATCTTGTCCAGATGCACCACTCAAAGCTAGCCAAAGGTCGTCCGTTGTTGCGTTGCCATATGAATGTGCCTTCAGATAGTTGCTTACGCCCTTGAGGAAGATTTCGACCGTCAAGTGGTTGCTCAGCATACGAATGACAGAACTTCCCTTCAGGTATGAGATCGTGTCGAAGATCTGATCGATGTCGAGAGCACTCTTGACAGGAACTTCGATAGGATGGGAGGATCGTAGAGAGTCTAGACTCAATGCTGTTTGATATCCTTCAGCCTAAAATCTCGTTAACCAAAGAACATTGATATACCTTTTGTCATTTTACGTACCACAAAAGTACTCCAGACTTTCCATTCAGGATGAATGTGATCAACCGCAAGCCATCCCACCCAGGTGGCGAAGCCTTCATTCAGCCAGAGCTCACTCCACCAGTCCATTGTGACGAGGTTTCCAAACCATTGGTGAGCCAGTTCGTGTGCTACTACATATGCCACTCGTTGCTTGTAACGAGCATCTGACTTCTCTTCGTCGAATAGCACAGCGGTCGTGCGGTAAGTCACGAGACCCCAATTCTCCATGGCTCCCATAGCGAATTCGTGTACAGCCAGGAGATCGGACTTGGGTAGAGGATATTCAATATCGAAGATGTCCGAGAAGTAGTCAACTGTCTTGTGAGCATGCTCCAATGCAAACTTGCCCTGATTCTCCAGTCCTCGGGTTGTATAGACTCTGACTGGCATGTTCTTCCCGTTGTACTTTCTCTCCGTGAATGCTTCCACATAGGTAAAGTCACCTACAGCCCAGGCGTATAGATATGTGCTCATCACAGGGGATTTGTCAAAGGAGACCCTTTTCAATCCTGGTTTGCTTCCCTTGGATGTTGACTTTTCTGGCATGTTACTCAGGGCTACCAGATCTTCGGGAATCTCAACCTCGAACTCAAAGGACGCCTTTAGATTGGGCTCGTCGAAGCAAGGGAAAGCTCTTCGTGCATCACAGGCTTCAAATTGTGTACTGAACATGTAATGGTGCTTATCGTCCTTAGGAGTACCTTTAGCAGCCTCTACTGTTGGCTGATATCTAGCTCGATAGAATCCTGCCATTTTGTCGTTCATGGTGCCTTGGAATCTGATCGAGATTGTGGTGTTCCCCTTGTTAAGCTTGCTTGGTAGCTTGATGGTAGCTCGTTGGTTCTTCTCATCGTAGGTAACATCTTGTACATCTTCACCATTGTCAACGGAAGCACTCGATATCTGTATATCTTTCACGTTGAGGGTGATCTCATCGGTCTCCTTTTGAACTTTGGACGTAATCTGAACAATTCCATCATATCTCCAATCACCAGAAAACTGTAAATTCGAAAGCGAAAGGTTGTAGTTTAGTGGTTTGATGTCGGCAGGCAAGATGTCCCGGTTGTTAGCCATATTTGCTTGTCGTTCAAAGGAACAGTTTCTCACTTGAATACTGATTCTCAGAAATGATGCTGAAAGTGGAGGGGATTGTCGAGGGGTTACAAAAGTCGAATGTCTCGGGAAACTTGAAGTGATAGGACCAGCCCTTAAGGAATGCAGAAATGTGAGTCTAAGCTTGACCATCGAACAGAGCGAGGCAGAATAGCAGTGTATCTATCTCTATCGCTGTTGATCCGTTTGATGCGTTGAATGTATGAATTACTAATAAGCTGCTTATCGGATGCCTCTTCACTGAGTTTTCGGGCAGGCGCGATGGTTGAATTATAGGCTGCTTTAGGCGTCAGGATTTTGTTCTAAGCTCCTTCCAGGCCTCGTGTGGGAAGGAACGAGGCAAGTCGCGCCTGACTCCACGCTCAACCAATCCCCACACGCCTTCTTGGTCTCCAAATCGATAGGCTGCCTCATTCCTCGTCAATTTCCAAGTATACTTCCTTCTTTTTTTTGGGATGTCAAGTAGGAGGAACAACCTCAGTAATGGGGCTGACAGAGATGGTGTCGCAGACAGGGAGGACGATGCTCAGGCCGGTGAGCAGGACTTCGGCATTCAAAGGACATGGGAAGATATAGAAGAGATCGAGTAAGAGTCGTGGTCATCATAGTCTACAAGGATGTCGATCTAATTGTGATAGTGGAAACCTCATCGTTACGGGAATCTCGGAAGCAGAGAAGAGGAAGAGGTACGAAATAACAGGTCATTAGAGAAACCGTGAGTTGACAATGGTTCAGACTGCTGAAGGATACTACACCATTACAACGAGGTATCATTCGTCACCTTATCCTCATCCTCGACTTGTCGCTCTCTACGAACGAGAAGGATCTACGGCCGACTCGATACCATTTGACCCTGCTGAACACAAAAGCCTTTATTCGGGAATACTTTGAGCAGAATCCTATATCACAACTGGGCATAATAGCCATGCGAAATGGTGTGGCCGAACCTATCAGTGATATGTCAGGCAATCCTACCGAGCACATCAAAGCAGTCGATAAACAGAGAGAACCAGCGAATGCAAGTGGTCAGCCGTCTCTCGAGAATGCTTTGGAGATGGCAAGGGCTGCGCTGTTTCATGCACCGAGCCATGGCACCCGAGAAATCCTTCTGATAATGAGCGCCCTGCACAGCGTTGACCCAGGAGATGTACACAAGACAATTGACAGTCTAGTCGCGGACAAGATCAATGCTAAAGTAATCGGTCTCGCGGCTCAGGTGGCTATCTGTCGAGAACTGGTCAGTAAAACAAATGGCGGGGATATCAGTGGTTACAACATCGTCCTTCATGAAGCACACTTCAAAGAATTGATGATGACTGTTACAACTCCTCCTGCAACATATGACCAAGCACAAAGCGCTTCAAGCCTACTGATGATGGGCTTTCCTTCACGAACGGTAGACCAACACGCCTCACTATGCGCTTGTCACTCACGGCCCTGCAGGGAGGGATATCTTTGCTCAAGATGCAACACCAAAGTTTGTGGTCTTCCATCTGAATGTCCGGCTTGTGGACTCACTTTGATCTTGTCAACACATCTTGCGCGCTCTTACCACCATCTCTTCCCACTCAGGAACTGGACTGAGGTCCCGTGGTCAGAAGCGTACAGAAGTACAGAGTGTTTCGCCTGTCAGCGACAATTTCCATCAGCACCCTCCTCAGAGATGTGGCTTGACAAAACTGGCAAAGAAGCTGTAAATAGTAGCAGATACCAGTGCATCGAATGCCATCATCACTTCTGCATCGAGTGTGACCTGTTCGCACATGAGATTGTCCACAACTGTCCTGGTTGTCAGAGTGGTGGTTCCGAGGCTGGGCTAATGGGCGAGACTCAGATGGAGCATCATGTCAATGGAGCAGGAGACAACAGCACAATGGACATTGACAGATGATGCTACACATCTATTGGCATTCCCAGCCTTGTTAACCCGACCAAGTCGAGGTCTCCAAGATACCATCATGCAGCGCGAGTATGACATCAATCCAAGCATTACACTACGAAGCAGTCGTTCCGCAGCGATACACCCGCCGCAACAAGTGGTTACCAATTAGGCATTGTCTGTACTCATCAGAGGGTGGCTCTAGCGCGTCGCAACATTGATTGAAGCCGGCATCCTACTCATCATCCTCTCTCTCTGCTGGCCAAAGCGCCCACAATGCAACAACGACTAATTTCAACACAACCGCGGTCCAGAGCGCACCAGTAATGCCAATTCCTGTCCTAGACCACGTACCACCTATGATGGCTCCTACGAGAAGGAGAAGCGGTGCACCTATTCTCCGATTTCTTTCAGCATTCTCTGTCAAACCAGCAAAGAGCTTCGCATCCATGAACAAATCGCAATATATGCTGGTAAGCACTACACTTGTGAGGCTGTTGAAGTTGAGGGCCCTGCTCACAACGGCCTGTCCAGCACTTTGAAATGCCACCAATCCGATCGGCAATACAACATGCCAATGCACTTTCTTAGAGCTGGTTGGGTTCGTCTCCCTCGGTGTCAAGCTGACTATGAGCGCTGCAGCTACCACGAAAAGTGTCTGAATCAACACCGAAGCAATCAGAACCCATCTTTTTCGAACTGAAAATGCTCGATGAAACCGCGCGAAGCAAAATGATCCTGCACAGAATGCCAATATCGACGTTCCTGACTTGATCCATCTTGTCGACTGGGTCGGGTTTGCCAGGCCAAGACCAACATATACCGTGTTACCGGTTTGCATTGATACGAAACTTCCCCACACTGCCGTTGCTGTACTGTCAAGTAATCCAGTCGTGATATAGCTGAAGAGCAGGACGAGATCAGCCCGCCTTCTGCTTACGTTGACGTGAGCATATTCTCGTAATCCACGGCCTTGATTGTCGTTTCTCTTGGGCAGCAGAGCATCTTGTTCTGTTGCACGTGCTGGTGGCACGTTCGAATTGATGATGTTACTACCTGTTCCGTAGCTCCTGTTGTTACTCATTCTCGCGATCACTTACACGGAAAGAAAGGAGAAAGTCAACAATACAGCATCTACAGCTGAGATAGCAAGCTTGGCAAGATTGCCTAGCACGAGATCTCAAGCTCGGCAACGAATTGCATGGTGGAGAGTTCTCAGCTGCATAACGTTCAAGCGGATATCCCGGATTGCTGGCAAAACGTTGTGCCGAGCAGCATATTCTGACGTATTTTGCTACGGGGTACTCCAAAAACAAACCTTCCTCCTCCACCTTGCGACTCAGGCCAATGACACTGTCGCAAATGGCTAAGCTATTCGCCAGAAGATCTACTCGCTAGCGGCTTGATTACTCAGGTACCTCATAAAAGACTTCGAGGTACTCCGGATGACATTGAGGACTCGTCCTTCGTGCTGCTTCATCGATACGCCAGCTGATCATCGTCCATCGCTATGAAGTTCTTCCAAGCATCGGCGATATGCCTCCTCACACTGTCAGGGCTCGTTGACGCTCGTGTAACACCATACTGGAGCAAGCAGCATTTGCTTGGCAAGCCCGAGGCAGCTGTCAAAGCTCACGATCCATATAGCCCAAAGTATCGAGATAAGTATGATCGCAAGGTCGACTCTGAGGGTGAAGGTCTAGATCCTCTACCATACAGAAATGGTGATGGTACTTCTGTTCTCGGACCATGGAACAGAGCTCGAAGCAGGCAGAATCCAGATCTTGTTAGACCTCCATCTACAGATCATGGCGCCCTCCAGAACATGAGATGGAGTTTTGCGGACAGCCACATCAGGATCGAAGTCAGTCAAGTCGCTGCATTCTGATTGCTGCTAACACTATTCAGGAAGGAGGATGGACTCGTCAAACCACAATCCGAGAATTGCCTACCAGCATTGAGCTCGCAGGCGTGAACATGCGTCTCGACGAAGGTGTTATTCGAGAACTTCACTGGCACATGCAAGCCGAATGGGCATACGTACTCGAGGGCAAAGTACGCATTACCGCGCTTGATCTTGAGGGAGGGAACGCCATCGAGGAGCTGGAGAAGGGCGACCTGTGGTACTTCCCACCTGGCCATCCGCACTCCCTCCAAGGACTGGCACCAAACGGCACAGAGTTTCTCCTGATCTTCGACGATGGACACTTTTCTGAGGATTCCACTTTCCTCCTCACAGACTGGCTTGCTCATACCCCAAAGTCAGTTCTGGCTGAGAACTTTCGAATAGCTCCGGAAGTGTTCGAGACAATCCCCAAGTCAGAGAAGTACATTTTCCAAGGCTCAATGCCAGGTCCAATCGAAAAGGAGCGTCCACAAGGTTCAGCCAAAAATGGCATCAAGAAGTCCAAATTGCAATTTACACACAAGCTGCTGGCTCAGGAGCCTAAAAACACGACTGGCGGTACCGTTCGCATCGCTGATTCCAAGACAACTTTCCCGATTTCCAAGACTGTTGCTGCAGCCCACTTGACCCTGAATCCTGGTGCTATGAGAGAAATGCACTGGCATCCAACAGCAGACGAGTGGTCCTTCTTCATCAAAGGTCGAGCTCGAGTGACCATCTTCGCTTCTGAGGGCAATGCACGGACTTTCGACTATGGTCCGGGTGATGTCGGTATTGTGCCGAAGAACATGGGTCACTTCATCGAGAATCTAAGCGATGATGAAGAGGTTGAAGTGCTTGAGATCTTCAGGGCTGATGAGTTCCTGGACTTCAGTCTCTTTGACTGGATGGCATCAACGCCAAGACGTATGGTCGCCGAGCATCTGTTCCAAGGTGACAAGGAGAGGCAGGAGAAGTTCTTGAATGCTCTGGAGAAGGGTGTAGAGGAGGTCGGCGCTAAGGATCCGATCAGATACGTACCGAAGGACGGATATACGGGAGATGACGAGCTACAGGAGGAGTTATAGACAAGAAGTGTATACGGTCATACAATAGGTCTACACAATGATAATAAGTGTAAGGATACATATTTGATTTCTGTAGAGAACCAATGGCCTGCTTTTTCAGAATGCCAACACCACTTACTTGCACTCGTCTGAGAATGTCAACCTTTGACCTCGTGTTCCCCTCTCGGTATGCTGATGGGCACTAACTCGAGCTTTTTGCTTGGCATAATTTGCCTGGATCCCAGATGAGGAATGGTTGATACTCCACAACTATGAGTCTTGCAGAAACGAAAACACGCGACTTCCCACCTTTCACGCGTTCAGTATAGACACGGATTGCGGAGCACTTGCTCTACAGTATTTGCTTCAAGTTTGGTATGACTCATACACACCATCTGATTCGTAAATTGACTGATCGTTGCTCAATTGACCTGCCAGGCACCATCGGGAGACCCACTTCAGAAAGTTCTTTTGGATGCTATATTCAATCCAGTTTCGTAGATTTCCTACCATTCTCTATATCATAGTTTTTCTTTCCAAAGTCTTCGCCTGTCCATCGTTCTTGCGACACAGTTCCCTCGACCTCTATTTGCCCGAGCATACGACGTCAACCGCTTTTTATGCCAGGAAAGCTTCTCATAACACTATATCACTAATCTGTCAATGGCTGCTTCAACACAAGTTCAACCTGGCTTCTTGAAGTCCAGCTTTCCAGTCTTTATCCCAGAGCACCCTGCGTTGACTATGGGCAATACTGACTTCGAGGCATTCGTCCGAGATGTCAAAAAGTTGCACTCTAACACGGATACCACATCAGAAGCTTACCAATCAGGACAACAGTCCACCAATCTTGAAGATCAAAACACTACCCCGTCGACTGGTCCCATGACACCTGAAGAAGTGCAGCGTGCTTTGGATAACATGGATCTCGAGCCGCGAAGAGATGTCCCCAATAGTCAGGAAGGACCCGAAACTCACCCTTTCATACAAGGACTTCAGGGTGTGCATCGAGAAAGATCTCGCAGCATGAATAAGATGATGCTGACAGCGAACAATGACCTTGCCTATCGCTTAACAAAGAACCCACTCGTGGATCTGTTCTATGAGCTCGAAGAGTTTGCCTGTGGTAAGCATTTGAGTCAGTTGCTTGGAGCCGCCTGGAGACAAGACCCTTTATCTACGCTCAAGATCATCTTCAATGCAAGATCGATTCACATCGGCAAGCGCTCACGAAACACGGCCTACAGATGTTTCGGCTGGCTTGCCCAGAATCACCCAGTCACCCTATTGATGAATCTCCGATGGCTTACACGACCGATCATTGAGAAGAAAACAGGAGATAAGAAAGAAGAGGAGGATGATCTGGTGATAATTGAGAAACATGACGACCCTACCGCTTTCGATATCGACAATGGAGTTGCCCATGGATACTGGAAAGATCTGCTCAATCTCGTCGTCTTCTCTGTCAACGATTCATTGAATGTCGACATTGACCCCGAACACTTGTTGAATATAAAGAACGGACAGAGGTCCACTAAGATTTGGGATGCAGCCAAAGCCAAGGAAGCAAGACAGCAGCAAAGGACCGATCGCCACACTGCTGCACTTCAGGCTTTCGACACCCAGTCTCTCCATAGAGCTTTACATCTGACAGTTGCACGTCTATTCGCCGAGCAATTGCAAGCTGATCTTGTCTTGCTGCATACTGGAGACAAGCAGTTAATGAGACGGATCTCACTTTGCTCAAAGTGGACACCGTCATCCAATCTTTCTCATGACAAGCACACATTCATGGTTTCCTCAATTGCAGAAATACTTCATCCTCAGACTGAGTTCAAAGACGTCACTGATAGAGAGATCTACCTCCGACATGCCCGAGAAGCATATCGAAAGGAAGTGTCAGCTTTACGTAAAGTCTTGGAAGTGGTGGAGAGAGACATCTCGGCTGAGAAGTTCGAGAACATCAAGTACGAACATGTCCCCTCAGTTGCTATGAATCAATACGCATCGTTATTTGCACGCAAAGATACAGATCGCTTCAATTCATACATTACCAATGTGGCAGAAGGCAAGCAGAACATATCAGGTGCTACACTCCTCCCTTCCAAGCTCATTAGTGCAGTACGCACAGGTCAGTTCGGACATCCTCCTAGGAGAACAAGGAAAGGCGCAAAGCGTGGTGCAAAGCTCATGGTTAATGACAAGCTAAGTGAGATGGGTGCGAAGGTTCTTGACGGACAATGGAACTCCCTCGTCAAGCGTGTCAAGGAGTCGGGCAAACTTGAAAACAGCATGGCAGTTTGCGATGTGAGTGGAAGCATGTCTTCTCCTCGTTTCCCTGACGGCACCACACCCATGGACTCGAGTATTGGTTTGTCACTCTTGCTTGCCGAAATTACTGCGCCGCCATTTGGAGGTACATTCATCACGTTCGCCTCCGATCCGACTGTAGAGAAAGTGGAAGGCAAAACATTACAGGAGAAGGTACGTAATCTCGAAAGTGCACATTGGGGATACAGTACCGATTTCGTGGCTGTGTTTCAGAGATTGATACTGCCTATGGCCCGAGAGCACAAGGTCAAACAAGAGGACATGGTCAAACAGGTCTTCGTGTTCAGTGATATGCATTTCAACTCAGCAGCAGGTCGAACAGATGAATGGACGACCAGTTACGAACGTATCAAGACGGAATTTGAGTTGTATGGGTATCAGATGCCACAACTGATTTTCTGGAACCTGGCAGGCGGTCGAGCAAGTCTAACTGGACATGGTGACCCAACAGCTCCAAAACCTGTGGCTGCCGATCAGGAGGGCACTTCTTTGGTTAGTGGTTATAGTCAAGGTATGCTCAAGGTCTTCCTTGACAATGGTGCATTTGAAGATCCAGAGGCTGAAGAGGAGATTGTGCAGGAGGAGGTAGAAGAGGACGGAAACGATGAGGCTACTGTACAGGTCAAGAAGAAGCAGAAGGTCGATCCTATGAGTACTGTTCGAAAAGCAATTTCGCACAAGGCGTACTCCATGTTGAAGGTAGTGGATTGATTTGGCAGAATGGAGTTTGCAGTATTGTTGCGTTTAGCGTTTCTTGACGACTTACGATGATACCCATAGTATGTATTTGGTTTGAAGGTGAAAAGCATCATAGAGACACACCTTATACAACAAGAATGTTGCCTTTACAATGGCCTTTTGACGTACTACAGTGAACTGTACTAGATTCGGCAAACTCGTCATTGGAACAGCAAGAATTACAAGCACATGGAGACTAACAAGATGTATTTCGTAACGACTCCCAATCCGCACAGATTGTGCATATATACCAACCCCAACGCCGCATGTCTCGTAAGTACTTTTGTTACATGTAGTCGTGACCTGAAAACTCCCTTCCCTCTCCTACTCCATCCCGTTGACGATCCATTACTAAAAGCAGAAAACACGTCCCAAAATCCACATCAATCTCAACACCCTGACTTCGTATAAAGAACGACACCCCCAGCTCACGAACACTCCCACTCCCCCCAAACACACCACCTCGCACTCCGATCCGCCAGCACCAACCCCCTCCACACTCCCCTCTCCGTGACCTTCAAATGACACTCCCACACACTCCCCACCACAACCCCATCAACCTCTTGCGCAGCTTTATTCTGCGGACACCCTTCGCTCCGTGTAAAGCGTATGATGCGTCCTGAAGGGGCCTGGAGACTTAGTTTTGCGTATTTTTCTTTGATTTTGACGCCGTTGGGGAGGAGGGAGGGGTTGCTGTAGTCTGAGCCTTGGGTGGAACCACTGCCTGCGGCACTGCTTGTCATGCTCATTGCGCTGGAGGGGCGGATGAGGGGGTTGGGGGATGTTGGGCGAGGGAAGTCGAAGCCGTCACGTTCACTGGTGGGTGTACCGTTTACGGTGGCGGGGTGCTGGCGGACGTAGAAGACATATTTCTCACCGCGGTCGAGACGATAGCATTGCGGTTGGATGACGTAAATGTCTTGTCGGGTAGCGTGTGGTGTAGGGTGTCGTCGGACGAATTCGTAGGCTGGGTTTTCGCCTTGGTGGTGTAGTGGTAGGGCAAAGGCGAGGGGGTGCACGATTTCTTTGGCGCTGTGCATTAGGCCTTTTTTGCCGGCGTAGATTTTGAGGGTGCCGGATTGTTCGTCGCCTGGAAGGAGGGCTTTGATGATGTATCGTTTTTGGAAGACGTCTGGGTTGGAGGAGGTGCGGTACCACGTTGGTTGGGAGAGGGCACGAACACGAGTGATGGTGTCGGGGTCTTCGTAGAGATCACCTTCATTGTCGCGTGCGTATGCTTGGGCTTCAACTTCGGCGAAGACCTCGGTGTCGACGGGAGTATTGACTGTGATTGTTGACATTTCTAGACCTTCCATGTGGGTAAGTGAGGTGTCGTAGGCATGTACCATGATACCGAGACGGAAGAATGGGGGACATGCAGCTGGTAATGCAAGCAACGTGTCTGGGCTGATTGCAGGAACAAGATATTGCTGACTTGGCTCAAGAGGTACGTGGGTCCAGCAAAGTTCTGATGGTTTGGCAAGGAAATAGAACGGCTCGGCGATAGTTTGACTGATGTTCGAGTAAAGAGAACGTTGAGGATTAGTGGGACTTGCTAGGCTTGAATCTAGGAGCCGCCATTCACCATCAATGAGGACTGAATTCCAGTAGTGGTTGCATTTGCTCGGAGTTGCAGCGTCAATATCCAGCGATTCGCCAGGTCGCTTCAGATAGCCGTGAATCGTTTCTGAAGGTAGACCTACAGCACGACACATTTCCATGACCACTGCAGCAACTTCTCGACTGCTACCTGACTTCTGTAATATTACTCGTCGAGTGTCGACCATCTGTTCTCGAGCACCGAAAGGACCTTCGATGTCTGCGGACCAGGTTAATCTTTCGGCGCACCATATGAAGATAGCTCGAACACGTTGAGCGTCAGTCCTGTATGGCCGACATACATATCCCGTAGCCAAAGACGCAGCAGTGATACTGCTCGGTAGAGAAGTGACGAACCTTGCTGCTTTGTCGACCTGCGTGAAACTTGGATTACTTAGTGCAAATGGATGGTAGACTGGTCCACCATCGACGTCCTCGTCTCCCTGAACGGTCTCGTAAAGCTCATCGACAGGACATATGACAGGCTCATTAAGCATCTGACATCTCTCTGCTCGCTCTTGCCGTTCAGAAGGTCCAGGCGTGTTTGATCTATTCACGTCTCTTCTCGTCCTTAACCAATCTGCACCAGCACCCATATCCATGCCCATCTCTCGAGCTGCATCACTTCCATAATATCCAGACGAGGTCGCGCTCTTGTGCCTGTCACCTTTGGTTGGTGAATGCATGCCACCAGCTATACTGGTCACACCATTGTTGTAGGAATGTTTGGTTGGCGAGCTAGCTGTGCTATCGCCGCCATTCGGAGCAATGGTGCTTCTTGCACTGGCAAAGCTGGTTTTCACTGTCTCGTTCAGCTTTTTGAACAGACCTGTCTTCTTGGCCTTTGGTGTGCTAAACGCGATGCTACCTGCAGACGATACAGGCCGATCCTCGAAGCCTACAGCAGATCTTGCACCTGCCCTGGGATCGTGACTCTGGTGGTACGAATATCCTGTATTTGGTGTCTTCGGTCTTTCTGATCGTATCCCATTGCTTGTTGTCGGCCTAGCAGTGATAGCTGCTGGTTCGTAATCATTGAAGCCATTTCTTTTCCGCGCAAGACTGCCAGCGCTTGTTGCACTGAAGCCACCAGCAGAATACCCACTGAATATGCTTTGACTAGTCTTACTGCTCGCGTTCGATGGATATGAGGCAAGACTACCCACACCACTGCTCGAGTTTGTAGAATTAGTCTTTGTGGTATATGTCCGATCGAGGCCGCTTGTCAGATCGTAGGTAGATTTAGGTCTTCGCAAAGATAATCTTCGACCCACTGTAGCTGCGTTCCAAGGGTTTTGCTTTGGTGGTGGTGGCGGAGGTCGATCGTCGGGGTCCAAGGAGGCTTCTCTGTGTCTCGCTCTTTCTTCTAATTGCCGCTCCATTCGCTGTACATATGTTTCTAGATGTGGTGGACCATCGACATACCTATCAGGACTGTTGTGCCTACTGCTGTATTTTTCCCTCGCCTCTTCAGAATATGTACTGCTCCCTGCGGCGAGACCCAAAGAGGTCAAAGGACGCAGACCTGGTCGGGGTTGGGCTTGTCTGAAATCATCAAATGCTTCGGGCGACCAAGGATTTGAGATTTGTCGTTCCATAGCCTCGTGCTGAACACTCATTCCCTCCAAAGAAGACATAACATCCTCCATTGCATCTCTGATCATGGGAGGAGTATGACCTTGGAAGGATGCGATATTGGGTGAAGGAGTTCTCGACATTGTAGGATAGCTCTGATTCATCTCGTATGGAGACGGAGCTGGGGAGACAGCTCTAGAGATATGCCCATTCATTACACCAGAACGATGCGGTGGAGGGGCAGGTGGTGGTGGTGAACCAAGTTCTTCTGGTGGGAGAGGTGAATGCGATCTGGTGTTCGTTCTTGGTGTCTGCTGCCATAGGACCGTAGAAGGAGGATTCACAGGCTCGTATGCTTGAGGCTGTACTACATTCTTTAAAGGAGACGCCTTTGCTCTTGCTGCCTCTCCAGGTCCGACAGCAGTTTTGTAGCCCTGAAATGGCTTCCTCTTCTTTATCTGCTCTTTCTTGCGCTCCAGATTCTCGATGGAATTCTTACAACCGCTATCTGTTCGTGCTGGCATTGGACTGACAGATCGACTGACCGGTACAAAGTCTTCACCTAGTACAGTCACAAAGTTTGAGGGAAACACTCCTATGTGTCTCGGATCCCGTCGCAACCTGCCCATCCACCATGATCCATCTCCTGCGTTGAGACATTCTATCAGGTCACCTTCCACGAACCCCAAATCTTTGCTAGTTTCTCCTCCCCAGGAATATACTGCGCGACACCAGCAGGGGAATCTCGTAGGTAGTGCTGCCATTTGTGGGTGATCGCAAGACCCAGTAAACGAATGGTTGGGCGCTTTGGCGCAGTTGTTATTTGAAGTAGCACGAAGGCAGCATTACTTCAGGTGGCAGTGTGGACTTGTTCCGAGTCTATTAACATAGCATCGACGTGAGTTTGAAGTTACTGAGAGCTATTTGCTATCTGGTTCGGTTCGCGATCAGTCTCACAATGGCCTTGTTGACTTTCGAGATTGTTGGCGTGGCAACGACTTGCCAAGCCTCGAATATTGGGACATCATTGCAGGACTTCAGGTTATGATCCTGGACACTTAGGCTTGGGCTACTACTCTATGTGTGCAGATATGGACTATGGTGAAGAGCAAAGCTACAAACATAAATATATCGGCACCAGAGATGAGACATTGACACGAGACGGCTTCTTCGGTTCCTCAATTCTGAACCTCTCCCAATCCCAACTTCTCAATATCCTTTGCATTCACGTCCTCTTCTGGTGTCGCGATACCAGATTCGGCTTCCTCTAGCTTCCTAGCTTGCTCATCTAAACGACCATAGACTTTTCTGTTCTTCTTGGGTTCACCTCCACCAACACTCTTCATCTGGTACCCTCTAATTCTAGGTCCCTCCCCAGTAGGTCGTGGCATCTCCGGGTCATAGGCGCGAGCAAAGGCTTTTGATTGCTCCTCAAATGTCCCTTTTCGTACACTCTCTCGTATTGCTTCGAAGAAGTCCTCCATGATCGAGAAATTGTGAATTTGTAGTAGCGTCCAGGCGAGCATCTCTTTCGCACTGAGTAAATGATGTAGGTAAGCTCGGTGATGCTTAGTGCAAGTGTAGCACCCGCAGCCCTTGACCAATGGTGACACATCTGTTGCATGAGCATTATCCCAGAGATCGATGCCCAACTTCTGATCCCGAGCTTCGTATGATACGGCAAATCGGAAGTCCATCGCAATCCCATTCTCAGAGGTTTCTGTCACGAAAGGAGTAGTAACCAGATCATTTCCGAGCGCAATCACACGTAGCAATTCATGAGGATTGATTGGGTTGTTCAGACATAATCTTGGTAGATCTTCCAATGTATTTTGCAGACTTGCGGCAGTTTCAGCTGAATACGTGCTAAGTCCAGCGACTTGGCCTTTGTACTCCTCAGTTAAGTCGGACAAATAGAACGACTGTTGCTGCGGCTCCAGAGGCGGTAGCGACGCAAACAACGCTGACTCTTTATTCTCTGGCTCTACTGCCAATGTATCTCGTGTCCATGCATGTGTACGATCTGCACTCTTCTCCATGCGCTTCTGACTGACTTGCTTAGTGGTCACAATATCGGCAGGGCCAATCGTGATGTCAGGCCCCAGATCTTGTGCGCTTTGCACGTAATCATCAACATTCAGGAGCTGAAAGCCTACAGAAGTGCATATTGCGATCGAGGAGTTCGAGTTCTGATTTGGAGTCTCAATGGCAGGTATTCGCCGTGGACCAAGGATGGACAAACACTGATCGGGTAGAGCGATAAAGTCACGGAGTTTCGAGTTGGGAGGACTAGGATTCTGACGGAAAATGGGAGACTTGGAAGGGCTTCTTTCAATAACTAACCATGGTAAGCTGTGAACGAATGTCAGCTTGTGCCAGCACGGCAGAATTTGGGACTTACAGTCTTCAAGCGCGACGTAGACTGCTGACAGACGCGTCAATTTTGAGACAGTGTCTTGTGTGATATGAGGGATTACTCCTCGAGATGTAGGAATGACCAGTGACGGTGTAGAAATGGCAGATCGGCCTTGAACTGTCAGTTGACCAAGTCTCAGTCCTGCTTTTGAGTAGTCTCCATGCCGCAGCACGAAACTAAACATTTCCGGCGGCAAGCTCGGTGCACGTTCTGTGGCCATTACATGGATAAAGATATCGTCGTCGTCGAACGCGGAAGATGAGGTGGTAGATAGTAAGCGGATCGTGTCGCATGGAGAGATCAGGGAAAGGAGCGGATGGAGAATCACCACCCCGAGGGCTTGGCAGGGTAAGAGTGTGGGCTACGGCAGGAGCGACAGTGAGCTCAGTACGGGTTCCTCTCAAGCTTACGAGAACAGCTATGCCAATTTGCTGTGTATAGGTGAAATCTTCATGTGTGCCATCGATGTCAGCTACACAGAATAGCTCAGCAAAAAAGAGGGGTTTGCTGATTGTTGTCGAAGGTCTTGACCGATCCGGCAAGACGACTCAATGCGAGACATTGTGTAAAGACCTTCGAGATGAAGGCATGGATGTGAAGTACATCAAGTTCCCTGGTACACGGCCTCATATGTATTACTGAACGATTACGAGCTAATCATCTACAGATCGGACTACAGACACAGGTCAAATGATCAATGCATATCTCAAGGGGAAAGCTGAACAAAATGACGAGGCTATACATCTGTTGTTCTCTGCGAACAGATGGGAGGCTGTCAAGGCGATCCTCAACGATCTACAATCAGGGTGTACGATCATTGTTGACCGGTACTCCTTCTCCGGTGCCGTCTACTCAGCAGCAAAGGAGAACCCACACCTGTCACTAGAATGGTGCTGGAACCCTGAGGTAGGTCTTCCCAAGCCGGATCTTGTGCTGTTTCTGGATATTGCTTCTGAAGATGCAGCCAAGCGAGGAGGTTATGGTGAGGAGCGATATGAGCAGCAGGATATGCAGGTCAGAGTGCGCGCCCTCTTCAAGTCACTGTTCACGCGTTTGCCAGATCTCAATGTGAGGATAATCAACGCAGGTTCATCTCAAGACGAGGTTGCTACTCAAATACGGACGGCTTACCAGGATTTGCGGAGAGCTGATTCAGCAGCCCAAGGAGTGCCAGTACTGTCTAACCTTTCGAAGTCGTGAGAAGAACAGGAGCTTCATCCTCGCTGTCCTCGATTACCACTTCGAGCATATCTGAAATCCATTGAACTGCAGCTGATCGAGGTGAGGGCAGTTTGGCGGAACCTGGATCTTCCATGGTGACAGAGGCTGCGTCATCAACATCGCTGTCAAGGTCTGCCTCATTCATGCCCTCATCAACGTCGTCTTCTGACTCTGTCATGTCCTCGTCGTCCAGAAGCTCGGCAGCTATTGCGGCAGCACTCTTTCGTTTCTGCTTGAGCAACCTGTTAAGTTCCTTTTCGCCTCTCATACGCAGTGATAGGACACGCATAAGATCAGACCAGTCTTGGGTGGATTTGCAAGCCGGACACGTTCCAGACTTGGGCACAACAACCTCTTTGCCTTGCTTCAGCATATGAGCTGACAGACACGTTACATGGGTCAAACATGAGCATTCCTGCGTCATACAAATATTGAACAAGTCCTTGCTCGAATCGATATTCTTCTTGCAGATATTGCACCTCATTGGTGCTTTGTCATCCATCCAAGTCTTGAGCTTCAATACGACGTTCTGAAACTGAGCATAGGTCGGGTCAATTCCTTCTACTCCACCTTTGCCTATCAAATCTGCCTTTCGAGTCCTGGTAGACTGCTGCGTGGAAACGACTTTTGTATCCTCGATTTGTGGCAGGTCTAGGATAACCTTGATTGAGGAATCGAGTTGCTCATCAACGCGGTCAGTCCACAGAGTCCACTTACGATATACATCTTGGCTAAAAAATCGTACTTGAAGTGGCCATTGAGAGAAGTAGGGAGCTCGGAGCAGGAGATGCAGGTTGGACAACTTGTCTGCCAGTGATGTTCTGGGCCTTCCAGGTCGTTTACGCTTAGCACCGGTCTTTGTATTGGTCTTTTCGCGAGCTATGGGCTGTGACAGTCTGTTCTCCACTGAGATATGCTTGGTCAGATGAGCATTGTGCCAAGCCCACTCGAACTGCAGAGCTGCAATATTCGATGGGAAGCCTGCAACAATGCATACCATCTCCCATGGTCGAAGAGTGAGACGCGAGGTTCTGACAGCTCCACCTTTGGCTTTACCATTATGCTGAGAAAGACGTCGCGTGGGATGCGGGGTTGAGCCGATATAGAGACTCGAATGTCTGATGCTGGAGCGCAAGAGGTAGCAACAATAGAAGGCTGGTACTGGCTTCAGACGAACTTCCATGATGTGTCGTATGGATGTGCAACAGTCAAGGGGTCAGCGCTATCGTAGGAAGATTTGCGCAACTCGACCATATTCCGGCCACAGGTCACACAAGCTCAAACGCTTTGACGCGTATTCTTGTCTCAGCACCTCGAGGCAATCGCGAGATCACGATTTAGCGCGTCGCTGTATTTGATTGGCTGTCCAATATCGGAGAATCCACCTGAAGCTCGAATGACGGTCACAAACGATATACGAAGCTTGACTCATCTCTTGTGTGCACAATACAAGAACTATATCAGGCGAGAGTGACACGATTGTTGAGCTAGTGTAATATGCAACGGAAGACAACGGACAGTTGAAGGATGTGGTTCACGTGCCTGTTGATGCAGGTTCTTACCGAGCATACCAATTCAGAATGCGCCTAACTTGAAGATGTGGTCGTGTGAAGCGAAAACAAAACAAGAGGGATGATACAATTGATGACTCGACCATGGAATTTGTGCTGTATCTATGTACTTGTAGAGAGAAAGCTGCAGTAAGTGGCTTGGCTTGGCAACGATCGGCTGCAAGGCGAAAATGAGCTAGACCGTTCTTGCCGAAACTGCTGTTCCTTCAACTCGGAAGTCGCAACCTGCGCAGTTCAAGTTGCGGGCGGCTCTTGCTTTACTTTGAGCATTTTGATTTCCTTTGTTCTTACATCCACCATCTCCGAAGATCAAAGCTATCTACGCACATAATCTACTTTCCGCCTTGTCCGACTTCGAGCGAATGCTTTCAGTACAGTTCAGAGTCAAGGATCTGCATGTGCACGACGATTCCTGGGGTGCTCTATTCGCACTTCCCGACCATCAGCCCTGCAGCCCTTCGCTAGGCATCAAACCATAGTGAGGGTCGACACTGTCGCTATTGTCAAACGTCGCGTCTTCCTTTTTTATTTAGCGCCACACAACGTCTCATCCTCTATCTTCCGATCCTTTCGATTATTCATGAGTTGACGTTTTGTCTAATGTATTGAGGGGAAGAGTTGTCAGCCGTCATGGTGAACCCGCCTGCGATAGGAGCTGGTCAGGCTCTTAATGGTGCCAACAAGCCCCTCACCACCACAAGAGTCAATGGCAATACTCCCAATGTCGGTCCTCCCTCCATCCCATACAGCGCTCGTCGCGAACACAGAAGGCTTGACCTGCATACTGTCGAACGAAAAGGCGATCCTCTAGCTCGCGATCCTCCTCCAAGACCACGTCCGTATGGCTTAACAGAAGCACCTACCTTTCGTCCTACTGAAGCCGAATTTCGCGACCCTATGGAATATATCAGGAGTATATACGACAAGGCAAGCAAATATGGAATCTGTAAGATTGTTCCTCCGGATACCTGGGATCCTGACTTCGCTATCGATTCGGAGAAGTTTCATTTCCGTACTCGGAAGCAAGAGATAAACCTTGTGGAGGGTTCCAATAGAACAAACTTGAATTACTTGGATCAACTTGCAAAGTTCCACAAGCAGTATGGAACTCACCTCAATCGGTTCCCGAGTGTCGATAAGAGACCGCTTGATCTCTACAAGCTCAAGAAGGCCGTTGAGGTTCGTGGCGGTTTCCAGAATGTATGCAAGGACAAGAAGTGGGCTGAGATTGGACGAGACTTGGGTTATAGTGGCAAGATCATGTCGTCCTTGTCAACCTCGCTCAAGAATTCGTATCAGCGATGGCTACATCCATATGAAGAGTGGCTCAAGTATGCGAAGCCTGGTGTACATCAGCAGATGGAGTTCGAGTACAATGCTACTGCTGGTGGTTCGTCTTATTCTCCAGGTCTATCTCAAACACAATCACCCATGAATATTCCTGCGCCTTCTCAGTCAGCACCGCCAGCCTTTACTGGTGGCTCACCAACGGTTCAGGCTTCGATAGCTCTGAATGCGTCGATGGACACTCCTCGACCGCAAGCTAGCATACATTCACCTGCTTCAGCTGCCATACATCGCCCGGCATCCTCGAGTGGACCCATCGCTATGAATGGAAGTGGTTTCGCGGCTGTTAACGGTTCTGGTTTTACAGCAATAAACCACCCTTTACAGAGCTCTGTAAAGCCTGAACCACATGCGCCAGTCCCTTCAGCACCAATAGTGACCACAATCGACAATTCCAACGGATATTCGACGCATCCACCAGATTCTAGCCCCGGTCTGAGTGTCAGGAATCCATTGAAGCGTGCTCTGAGTCACGAGAGTCTCAACGGTGACGACAGCTCTGAAGGCGTCAACGGCGACGCTCATGGCAATGATAGACGACCGAAGCGATCCAAGAAAGACGTGCTAGTGCCAAATCCACCTATCCTCAGTGTACGGCCATCAACACCACAAGCCAAGGGCAAATCAACTGTACGCAGACATGGTGATAGGTGCGAGCACTGTTCGCAGTCACACGACAAGCCAAATATCCTTATCTGCGACAGCTGCGACCTTGGCTATCATCGTTACTGCGTCGATCCTCCATTAACGGTCGTTCCCGATTACGAATGGCATTGCTCTAAATGTCTTGTTGGCAGCAATGACTATGGATTCGAGGAGGGCAATATCTACTCGTTGCGATCTTTTCAAGAAAAGGCAAACAGCTTCAAGGAGAACTACTTTGCTGCACGTTTACCACCAGACCATAATGGTCAGTTACACCCTCCCACAGAAGATGAGGTTGAGCGTGAATTTTGGCGCTTGGTCGAGGACGTTACAGAGTCCGTCGAGGTCGAATATGGTGCTGACATTCACTCCACTACACACGGTAGTGGCTTTCCAACGATCGAGAAGAATCCTCTCGATCCTTACTCGCGAGATCCCTGGAACCTGAACGTAATGCCCTTCCATCCTGAGTCCCTATTTCGGCACATCAAGGGCGACATATCTGGCATGACAGTACCCTGGCTATATGTTGGAATGTGTTTCTCAACATTCTGCTGGCACAATGAAGATCATTACGCATACTCAGCAAATTACCAGCACTTTGGCGCTACTAAGACCTGGTATGGTATACCGGGATCCGACGCCCTAGCTTTCGAGGCTGCAATGCGAGAAGCTGTGCCCGAATTGTTTGAATCACAACCTGACCTGCTCTTCCAGCTTGTGACCATCTTGCCTCCGAACCAGCTTAGGAAGGCAGGAGTCAATGTCTACGCATTAGACCAACGAGCTGGCCAATTCGTCATCACATTCCCGCAAGCCTACCACGCAGGGTTCAATCACGGCTTCAATCTCAACGAAGCCGTCAACTTTGCACCAGCAGATTGGGAGCCCTTTGGTGATGAAGGTGTATTGAGGTTGCAACAGTTCAAAAAGAACCCCTGCTTCTCGCATGAAGAACTCCTCTTTACCGCTGCTGCATCAGATACTTCTATCCACACCGCGAAATGGTTGGCCCCTGCTCTTGAACGTGTTCGAGACCGTGAGCTGGCTTGTCGAGAAAAATTCACGGCTCGTCACAAGGAGATCCTACCGCACAAAGACTGCACCTTTGACACACTGGCAGAAGATGTACCTGATGATTGCGGTTTGCATATTCTGGTCCAAGATGAAAACCTTGAGGAAGAAGACTATCAGTGCAGCCATTGTAAAGCCTTCTGCTACCAGTCACAATTCCGATGTGAGAAGACCAGAAGAATAAGCTGCCTGCTACATCCAGAACTTCTCGACTGCTGCGAGGTACCACCGGAACAACGTCTTCACGATTCTCGTCACATTGTTATCATAAGACACACCAACCTTGAATTGTCGCAACTTGTCCAGAAAGTGGTGACAAAGTCAAATGTGCCAAAAGTCTGGGATACGAAGTTAGAGAGTCTACTTGATGGTGAAGCTCGACCAGCTCTAAAGGCTCTACAAAATCTGCTAGCTGAAGGCGAAAAGATAGACTACCCGCTGGAAGGATTACGAGACCTCGCTGAGTTTGTTCGAAAGTGTAACCAATGGGTCGATGAAGCGAATGTCTATGTTGCACGTAAGCAGCAGAACAGACGCAAGAATGAGAAAGCTTGGCGCCGATCTTCTACCCGGACCGGCAAGGCAGAAGAGAGAGATGCTGAGCCTCAATTGAGCCTTGATAGGATGAAGCAACTCATTGAAGATGGTGAACAGCTCGGCTTTTCAGCGCCACAGATGGAAGCACTTCAGGATAAGCTCGTTGCCATCGACGACTGGCGTGAAGGTGTCAAGCAAGTCTTCGAAGGTCGTATCAGGAAGTCTGCCGAAGAGTTGGAGAACATGCTCGATGAAGGACGAAGCTTCATGATGGGCATGGCCGAGCTGACCAATCTTGAGAAGTTGCATCAACGAGCCGAGTGGAGTGATCTCGTCGAGAAGTCAAGGGAAGACATGCACAATCAAACTCTCGATGGTTGTAGAGATCTTCTACAACGTTCGATTGACCTTGGTATCATTCAGACACATCCTCAGGTCGAATTCTTGCAAGGAATGGTCCGAAAGGGCGATCTTTGGGAGATCAAAGCCAAAGAGATCATGGCGACGGAAGACGTGCATTACCCCCAGCTCGAGGCACTTCACTCACAGGTTCAGGTACAATCCTTCCCGGTCAACAAGGAGACTTTGGCACAAATGGATGGGATCTTAGCCAAGAATCGCGAGGCCAAGCGTCAAATCATTACTCTTGTAGAGAAGAGCAGCGATCCGGACCCTAGAAAACGCCCTACCTATATCCATGTTCGTGACGTGATGAAGACCTTGGATGAACTGAACGGAAAGCCACATGGTGCTGCGGATCTCGAGAAACAGGTGAAGAAGCACGAAGACTGGATGCGAAAAGGCAAGAAACTGTTCGGCAAAGCAAATGCGCCCTTGCACATTCTGGAACAGCATATGAAGTCCGTGGAGCAGAGAAACAGCTTCTGTTTTGATCTCAATGATACTCATCGTGCACCAGTAGAGCCTGCATCACGAGAAGCAAGCCCTGGAGAAGGTCATGAAGAACGACCCGGCCTGAACGACGATGAGAAGCCGGTCTTCTGCTTATGTCGTCAACCTGAAGCTGGTCTCATGATCGAATGTGAAATCTGTCATGATTGGTATCATGCAAAATGTCTAAAGTTGGCACGTGGCAAGGTCAAGGAGACAGAGATGTTCACCTGTCCGATCTGTGATTGGCGTGTCAAGATACCTCGAGATGCGGCACGACCAAAGCTCGAGGATCTCCAAGCCTGGGCAGATGAGATACCCGGTCTTCCCTTCCAGCCAGAAGAAGAAGATCTGCTCAATCGAATCATCGACAAGGCACAATCTTTTCGGGACTTCCTATCGCAGTACACAAATGGCAACCAGCTCTGTAGGACAGCTGAGGAAATGCCTGAAATGCTGTTTTACTTGAGGAAGATAGAAGGTGCTGAGGTCTTGCTGGCATATGAGACGAACGTCTTCAGGCAAGAGCTACATAAATTCAGACCTATCGCACCAGAGCCACCACCTATCCTGGACCAGAGTTTGTCAACCAGGAAGCCTCGCCCTACTAAACAGCAGAAGCTGATGAAGGAGCATGGCGTGGTAAAGCCAGAAGATCTACCTCCGCATCTGCTAACCAAGGGCACTATGCGACGAAAGCCTACAGAGTCATATCCTACTGGCCCTCTGATGCCACGGCCACTCAATGGCTCTCCTGCAGCTGGCGGTTCTGTGGATAGTCCTGCGCAAACACTGACTCAAGATGCGGACCCGAACGTTACTCACTCTGGCCCCATCACAGCTAATCGTCTGCCAAATGGTACTGGACCTATTTTCACGAACAACTTTTCAGCTACTGGAGATGACTATGTTGAGACTACTCCTTCGCCAATGTTCAGTCCAACCAGTGATCAGCCTCATAAGTTGAGAGATGCCATGGTATCAGCTGCTATTGCCAGGAGGGTTTCAAGTGGTAGAGACGCCGACCCTTCTTTCCCACTTTTCCACAACAATGTCGATGGAGAAGATGATCTTCGAGCAGGTCTGGCTGGCACATCTACAGATGATGATATGGGTCACGAGGCACGATCCCCGGCTGAAGGAGAGTATGGTGAGTTCTTCCGAGAGATGACCAACCAGGAAGAGGACGCCGCTAGTGACGGTCCACCAGCCCTCGAGCACGAGACAAGTCAGGCTGAAGAGGCGCTTGACCTAATGAAAGCAACTGAGGATGTAAAGGACAGTGATCCTAAGGACAATGTCGGCTTAGGTCTGGTCGACCTCGACGGCAACATTGAAGAGAGCTAGAAGCCTTCAGATGAACCCTCGGTGTCCAGATTCGCAGGACGACACGAAATTTCCGATAGCGAGGATGAAGGCAAGGAGTAACTATGTAGATTAGCATGATCATTGAGGCGCAAAGATTCTGACGACAAGAGATACCCAACTATGAGTAGGAATTACTTGCATGGAAGCATTCGAGGTATTGTTAGACATGTCTGAGGTGGCCACGTGTTACAATAGGGCTAGAGGGATACTGTGAAAAAAGCAACTTCTGAACGCAACTCAACTCGTCTGTAACAATTGCAAATACATCAAAATGATCCAGCTCATATGTACTGCTCAATGTCTGAACAATATCAGAGTTCAGTCCCACGTGGATGATGCGGGTCTTATTTGCAGCAATGTAGCTTTTCGTGAATAAACTTGCAAAACCGCCACTCCGCGATCTTATCACCTTCAAAGACTGGGCGACGCTTCTTATCATCAACAACGTCGCATGCAGGACGGGGAACGTCATGAAACATCGTCGACCAAATTGGCTTATGGTCCTTTCTTACACAGTGATTTAGAAACGTGGCACGGTGAATTACCTGCATGCATGCATATGCATACATAACGTTTTTGCTGAGACGGGATGCGAGCGAAAACGGAAGCCGGAAGACGACTGCGAGGACGGAAAGACCAGACCAGGGATATAACAGTACAGTAGTTGATGTGCCATACGAGACGAACGTAGTGTTGTTTCCTGAGTCGTGTTGACCATGGAAGAAACGTGGAGTTGGAATTCTACAGAGTTCGAAGACCAACAGGAATCAATGATTTTCTTTCTCACTTTTGTCTCAGGATGAGATTTGGACGATAAACCATCGATCCTCCTATAAATGTTCTCTCTGATACGAGCCATATGTGCAAAGCCTATGCTCTTATAGCAGACGATGGACCCCTACCTACTTCCAAACCCAACAGCCTTGGTGTAACAGAATCACTTGCTTTTCCAACTAGGCAGCTTGAACGCTCAGCAATGCTTGTAAAAATCCCAATAACAAAATGATGTCGTAATCTCGTAACAGAACGGCTTTCAATAAGTCGCCCGATCTAGTCCCGTTCCCTTACGTGTCCTGCCCACCCAGAGAACCTAGATTTTCCTATCCTATCTCTTTATCTCATACAAGATCGTGTTTACATCCTCAAACCAAGACCGATAGGTGCACCTTTCTGCGGTGCCTGCGGAAATGGCGAGTATAAACCCATACCACTCCTTCTCACAGTTCTCGAAGCTCTCGATGGGATTGGAGCATGGTCCATTGGTTCGATGTAATCTTCTGCGGGCACATTGATGGTCGGTACCGGAGGAAGTGGCGCTTCCGAAGCAGAGATCTTGTTCTTGCTGCTGCCAAACTTCAACGCCTGACCTAAACTCCCGCTCCTCCGTCTGAGATTCGCGAACGACTTTTTGCGGTCCATGAGTGGCTCCGTCTCTTCGCTCAAGGAATGCATTGAAGCTGTAGCTGTTGCCGTAGGCATCGACACGGACGTGGGAGGAAGGGTTGGAACACTTATGGCACTAGCTTGACTTACAGTACGAGCAGTTTGAGGCCTCTGATGCTGCGGGATCACCTTCAGAAGAGAAGGCTCGGTCAAGGACCTTCGAGGCGAAGCCGGACGAACTTTAGGAGCGTTTGGTCTGAATTCATAGCCAGGTGATGACAAGCTCATGTTTTCGGAAGGTCGATTTTGATGAGCAGAGGGTATTGTAGGTATTGCAGGTGGAGGAGCTGAGATTGATTGTGTCTTGATGAAGTTCTTTATGCTGTTCATGCGAGAATGAGTAAACTTGCCAAGCATTGGCATGCTTGATTTCTTTTTGAGATATCCGTCCGCAGGAGACTGCTCAGAAGCGGGAAGACTTCGAAGACTTTGTGTAGATGATGGTTCGATACTGACAACACTCGCTGAGGAAGGTGTCGGAACTTCTAGTGGGTTTGCCTCTGATGTCAGGAATTCGCTGTCGCGGTGAGACTTTGGCTGAGACGGTTCTGTCTTTGTGGTTACCAATCTTGGTCTTGGAGGATTTATCATGATTGTGTTGATATTCTTGATGGAGAATTTCTGGGGACCACTTTCAGAAGCAGCAGGACTGATTACAGATATCACAGAAGGCCGACTAATTGGCATGCGGATTGCCACAGGTGTTGCGACTTCAATTGGAGAATAGTCTTCGTCCGAGTCGTCTTCGTCAGTAGATGCTGATTCACTCTCGCTTGCCTCATGTATTTTGACTGGCTCGATGAAGGTCGAGAAACGGTCATACCGGAAATCAGAAACTGTAGTCAGAGATGCCGCGAGCATGGTCGGTGCTGCGGGTTTTGATTTCGAACGCCTTCTATCCAGAACCGGTCTCTTCGATGTGGTTTCATCCTCGTCCTCTTTCTTGAGTAGTACATCCTTTGTAAAGTTTATATTCTGGAGTCTGATCTCGACGTTGGGTGAGAATGAGTTTGACGGTGTGGTTATGCTGCATTCTGAAGGTGATTCGGAGGGTGTATCAGCTGTAGAATCATTCTCTGGTGAATTCGAACGCGAGCTTTCCGAACTGGAAGCGTATATTTCGCTATATCTTATCATCCTCCTCTTACGTTCTTCCCTTTCCTCGCGCATCAGCTCTTTCTGTTTCTGGCGTTCATGCATGCGCTGCTTCCTGACCGTCGCCGAGGCCAGGCCTCTTATCTTCATTTCTTTGTCCATGATTCAGGCCGTTGATGGTTCGTGTTGAACTAGAAGGAAAGCAAGCCAAGTAGTTCAGAATAAGTCAACCTCAATCGTGGAGAAAAGAATCCGACCTGCACGAGCGGTAGCGCCGTGCATGATAGATCTGTGCTATCCTTGTCGCAGTAAGCCAGGTCAAGGGCTAGCTAGTGGCTCACTACCAGATTTCGAACAGCTGGACCCTCAACTAGCATACAGTTCACAGCTAAAATGAAACAAGAGGTCGAAGTGAGGGCGATCTCAAGCTGGGGATCTGGTGCGATCGGTGGAGGATTGGATCAGAGTTCGGAGAAATATCGAGCAAGGATAGATCGGGACGAACAATTAGTGAAATTGCAGGCTCGTTCAAGGGATGATATGAGGAGAGAGGGATACTGGAACTTAGCATAAAGTCCTCTGAGGTTCGTTAGGAGAACTTTTGCAAAGCGTGTTTCATCTTCATTAGACTCATCAACCTTTTGAGCGGTCTAGCAACTTGAAAATGCTACCATACAGCAAACCGCATATGCAGGAACCACTCACACCATTCATAGCGCCTTCCCATGCAGCTCGAGCACGTTCGTTAGCTCGTATGAATGGCGCGCTGCTGGTTTTGGCTCATGCCTTGCAATCACTTGTTAGAGAAATCAAACAGGCTAGAGAAACGCTACGTTCGTATTTCAAGGGGAGAAGGTTCAACTAAGACGGAGCTACCGAGGCCGGTAGGGATGTCACAATCTTGGTAGGGGACTTTACTAGCTTTTAACGGTAAGGAGATTCATGCCAGCTATCCATTCTCGGACAGCACGTGCTGGAGGCAGGGATGACGATCAGCATCGAGCTTCTCAGCACCACAATGGCACATTTCGTGGTGTTACCATGATCTTGTCTTGGTATATTGTTAGCATTGTTTGTTACACAGTAAATTTTCGCATTGAGAAGTGATGTTGTCGCAATCATATAACAAATTTCTCGGGCCTTGCCATTGCCGGCACGACCGAACTGAATGAGTCAGTCAAGCGCTTTTGCGAGATGCGAGCCTAGGGGATACATTTGACATAAAATACCTGCGAACAGCTAGCTCGTCTCGCTTCGCGGATCCATGAGTTGGGAAGGTATGACAAGTTACGTGTAGCAAGAAGTTGTACACGCTCAAGAAAGGGAAGAGTGAGCACAGCACATCAATTGAGACTATCTCGACCTTCTGGAAATATATATCTTTTTCCATGCTGCCACTGCACCTGGGCTCGAAGATAGTCCTGACACACCACCAATCTCGCATTCTAGCCATTACCAACACAATTCGCAGCCAATATCGATACACGCTCTTCCTTGACCTTGCTTCGACTTTCTCCACGAACTCTTTGCAGTTCTCCGTGCATTGATCTTTTTGTCTTTGACTTGAGTTAGCGAGACATTCTAGATTGACGATTGGCGCTGTTGTACTTAATATTCCACAAAAAGGCTTGTTTCGTCCCTCGCGATGTGCGTGCCTCCATTGTTCGAGCTCTGAAGTGGCTGGCCATCGTCTGGTGAGCATTTTGCTGCTTTCATCGAAGCCGATGTTTGTGCTATTGCTTCCACGAGATCCTTCATTGGGGATAGACTCATCGATGATATAGAGAGAGGGCCTGATAAATTAGTTAGTAAAAGTCACTGCCAGGCGTAGAAATGACTTACCTTTGTGCAGGAGCATCTCGTACCTCTAGTCACGTTCTGGTAGCGACGCTGGCGGAGCATCTAAGGTCGCTGGGTCTTCGTGATCGCTTCTGTGCTGTCTGGACTTGGCAGACGATCGAGATGCCTTTTTCTTTCCTTTCTTTGGAGCAGGCTTCGACTTTTTCGGGTGAATAACAAATCCACCCTGCGTCTCCATCACTGGCGCAGGCACCGTAGAAGTGTGGGTAGCTATGTCCAGTCGCGGTTCCTGCTCCTCAGGCTCAATACAGATACCGCCGACACCGTCGTTTGTCCAGGGAGGATTTTCGCTGTCGTTGTCGTCGTCTGGGTATTCGGATGTTGAAAATCGATCCAGTATGACTCCTGTTGTGAACTGCGCAATAGCAGCTTTACATTTCGGCAATCGATCTTCAGGAACAAATGTGGCCATGGTGTTTAGGCTCAGATCTAGGTCTCTGATCTTGTGGTCCTTTTCCACAATCTCTCGATACAGTAGCTCAATCAGTTGACGCTGTTCCTTGAGCTGTTCGTCCTTCTCTTCAATCTCTTGGTCCTTCTCATCAAGCTCTTGATCCTGGTCCTTAAGCTCGGAAAGTTGCTGCTCGCAAATTTCCTCCAGTTCTTCGATTTCCTTCTGTCTTCTCTTTGCAAATCCCTCTAGGTAACTTATTCTCTTTGCTGGGTCCTTGGATTGAGAACCATCCGACCCATTGTTGCTGGTGGGAGGGACTTCATCCTTTACACCTTCACTTGAGCTTGAGTTAGACAGTATTGTTTGAGGCAGGTTCGAGGATGGTGTCAGTGACTTACCCTTGGCCCGCTCCAGTTCCTTTTCGACCGATGCTCTCATTGCCGCCACAGAAAGCCCATCGACGTTGATTGGACCGAATCTCTTAGCCAGCTTGTTCAATTGGCTCCCGATACTTGAGGGAGCACCTCGCTTCGAAGATGGACCTTGAGAAGAGGCGGCAGCGATTCGTAAGGGGATCGAGGAGGAAGGATCTTGCCGTAAACCGGCACGTGCGACATCTGAAGAAGTCGAAATTGAAGGATCTTGCTGTAAACCAGCACTTGGACCTGCCGAAGCAGAAAAAGCAAAAGAAGAAGGATCATGCTGAGCAGCAGCACCAGTAACTCCCGAAGGGTTAACTCCCGAAGGAGTATAAAAAGAAGGATTTTGCTGAGCAGCAGCACAAGCTCCCGAAGGAGAAGAATCGCCTATTGGGTCATCCCCAGAGGGACGGCCCGGCCGATTGCTCATGTTGGATCTAAAAGACCCAACAGAGACTTGAAAAAACACTATTAAAATCTGTGCACATGGTCAGTACTGCTACCAGAAGCATGCACAGCGGATGAGTAGAGGAATGAATACTTACTAGCAGCGAACAAAATGTTGCTCGAGACAACAAGAGGAGGGCGAAACGTGTGTATACAACTAATGTTGTATACGATGGTGAAGATGAGAAGAGGGAGGAAGAAAAAAAGTTGAGGTGTTATTGTGTGCAGGCGCTAGCGCAAACATCGCAAAATTTTCAAGTGAAGACACAAGCCTTGTGTTAGTGAAGATTTGCGCCAACACCGCCCGCCAGACTGAGCCCGCTATGGTAGGCGGTCGGGTGCCGTGCTGTTGTCAAAGTTTGTATACAGTAAAGTGATATTGATCGGATAGTCGTCGAAGAGTCCTTGAATGCTAAATTGAGATCAGTTAGAACTAGAGAAGCACAAGAATCTCCCAATTAATACTATGAAAACAAGTTTTTCGTGCTTGTTCGGTTCGCGTTCCAGTCAGACCAATTTCTGAATCCAAACACACTTCCTTTACCTGTATTTGAGTGCGGAAGTCCGTCTGTGATATTGATTGGAAACCCCGTCCGCCATGGACGTCCCGCGGTGAAGCTGAGACGATCTAGCCGTGACTCACAATCATGAATACCTGCTTGCACATCTCTGAGCATGCCTGGGAAATTTGACCTTGTAGCACCTGGCTTGGACGTGGTCGAAGAGAGTCAACGTCGAATTGTGATGGGTTGAGTGGCGTCTAAATACCTTTACCGAAGAACTCTTCTCTAAGGCATTACATTCCACGTGAGTACAATCATGCTGCGAATTATCTCGATTCTCAGGACGTGCCACCCAAGCTTCATATGAACATCTTTGGTCTTCAGAAAGCTACCCTTCTGAATGTCGATTGGGTCAGTCGGGTCAGGTATTGCGAACGTTTCGTCCCGGATCCACCTTGATATGGTCCGTAGGGTGGAGGGTAAGGCTGCCAGCTCTTATCCGACAATGTTGGTGCCAGTCTTAAACATGTGCCACGCTCGTAAACTTAGCACGCCGGATCAATTGATAGCTGCGGCTGTGGACTTGGAAGTGTGTAAGAATGGAAGTGTTTTTGATCGTGCTGCTCGATTTTGATCATTGAACATAATATATATGTGCTTATTTCGTAGTCATACATGCACTATAGCGTTTTGGAAATATGACGATTTCTGTGCTCGTGTACGCCGTCGCTTGCAGGAGAGTTATCGAAGAAGGCGTCCAGATGTAAGAGTGTGATAGTCCAACAGAGCAGTCGCTTCTACCAACTGGGCCATAATCGTTCGGTGTCGAACCGCTTCAAATCGTCAGATGAACGCCAGTAAACGCTGATGAACAGCGGTCTGAGTGCGGTCAATTCCGCGCTACTGACTGTTCCACGTTCATTCAGTCTTGGAGACGCGATTGTACCTTGGCGGAGTGAAGGTTATGCAATTTGATGACCTAGGCCACTCAAGGTGTTACGAACCTGCCGTGCATACTGAAAAGGTCAAGATAGTCTCCAATGGATGTGTTGCGACGACAAGAGTTACTCCCTTCCTTTCCTAGTAATCTGGAAGTACACAGCTTCGTGCGAAACGTGAAATGCCAATTTCAGCCCATACTTATTATTCCACGGTCGAGCAAGGCTACCAGCTATGTACATGCCCACATCAAGTGTTAGCTGGTCATTGTCGACCTTGATGCCATGGCAGACCACAATGGACATTCACGAGATGTCCCAGACCGAGACCGGAACTCCCAGAATGTTGCGAGATCGTCGGCCACCTCGAGACCCTTTCTTAATAGCCCTTCTGCACCTCTAGCCGTCCCACCAAAAGACCAAAGTCAACTTTCCGAAAATGTGGTAGAGGAACCTACACCTACAAGGACCTCATTCGCGCTTGGGCATAGTGATCGCGACGACGAAGAGCCAGACGATGACGAAGAGTTTGAATCACATTACTCCAGACACAGTTCTCCTGCCTCATCCTCTGCAAGCACAGAGGATGACGAACCAGAAGAAGGCGACGAGCTTGGTCTCGATCCGGTACAGCGAGTGAGCTCCATGCCAGCAACTGTCAATCATCATGGTCTACATAGAAGTATACACTCCACGACATCACTTTCGAGCATGCCACCACCAATACCTCGACCACTATACCCACCCTTCTACAACAAGCCTCCTACTCCGCTCCCACCTTCGCCGAGTTTGACCTCCCTCCTGCGCCCTCCTTCTCTGCTTAATCGCAGCACAGCCTCGACTAGACCGACCTCACCTGACTCTTCAGACGTCGACGAGACACCCAACGATACAGAAGCACAAGTAGCACAGCAAGCACGCAGAGCATCTCCGGTACCGCCGACTGCGCCAAAGGTCCCGACCTACGAATATTATGGATTTGTGCTCTATCTTGCTTCTTCACTAGCATTTGTCATGTACATATTATGGGCGTACCTCCCTAGTCCGTTTCTGCACGCGCTGGGCATAACATACTATCCGGATCGATGGTGGGCGTTGGCAATACCAGCCTGGATTGTGATGTTGCTAATCTACATATACGTGGCGTTAGCTTGCTACAACGTGGAATACCTCACACTCGGTCTCGAGAGAGTGGAAACCATGGTCGATGAGGCGGGTAGTGTTGCGATTCTGGACATCAACGGGCGCATACGCAAAGGAGGAAGTAAGAGATATGTGGCAGAATTAGAGGAAAGGAAGCGCAGAGAGATGATGATGCAGACGTGGGAAAGAAGGAAGAAGGGAGGTACTGGGAGTGGTAGGAGCTCGAAGAGGAAAGCGAAGAAGGAACGTGAAAAGAACGAGGTGGATGAGTGGTATGGGTATACTGGTCAGATTACAGAGACTGGAGTTGCGTCTGGCTTGAGCTGGAGGCAAATCTGGAACGAAGGCACGGATGCTGTTTTGGATGTGCCTCTCGGCGGTGTATGTGAAGTTCTTTATGGAGATGGTAGAGACGTCTTGTAAGCCTACGAGGTTGAGAGAAAGAACTGACAATAGTTGTTCATGCTGGGCTCTGTTAGCCTCAACAGTACTTGCTGTGACCAGTTTACTGTGTTTCGCCTTGAGATACATGCGACAAGGATGCTCTAGAAATGGCCTCTACCCAGATCAAGGTAGGGCTGACATGCTGCACAGTAGCCTACCCTGATCGGAAGTCTGCTTAAAAATCACAGTATTGTCAAGCTTGATGCAGCATAGCCGGTGCTCACTAACCAGTGCTTACATCTGGGCATGCAAGGGTGAGCAGCAATCTTGCCAACTAGTTGTGTCTAATGAAGAAGAACTATCTTCGCCGAACAAGAACCACCTTTCGTATCTAGACGCGTACTTCGTGGTTAAGAGAAGATATATGGGAAACATACACAGACTCAAACGGCGACGTCATTGCTCTTCAGAACGACGCAATTCTTGTCCAGTGAACAAGCATGCGAAATTGAATGCTCAGACATGCTTATGTAGGCAAGACCCGGACAGGAAAAGCGACCTGTAAGAATTCGTTCGAGCGTTCGAATTTCCACTGTCAGCAAGAACAGCTGCAGTACCAAGCCCTGGGCATTACAGTCAAGCTGCCGCTACTGGCCTGCGGTGGACACGGCTCAAGCGTTGCCGTTCAAGTTGCTCACTAAGGTTTTAGTTCTTATCAAAGCCTGTCGGGTCAATCGCTTTGCAGAACTGAACATGTGGCTCTGAACCTCAACACTCGCGCCGACAACTATAACGACTTTACCATGTCCTGCTACTGAGCTGAACGTTAGCCGGACCTGCCGAGCTGTACTATCACACGTATACCACCGAATAGGAGCAAGTTGAACCTGAAAGAATGGCAGGCCGTAACCCACCTGCCATCACACTCAACGACTCGTCTCCCATCACGCATACGACGACGAGCACGTACACCATTGGCAGACAACGTAATCGAAGTCCAGCGACTGCAACAACTGCCAGCAACAATTTACGACCAGTGACTCCAAACAATGACAATTCCACTGAACCATTTCCCGCCCTCACGCCTGGTCCTACCACGCCTGGACTATCGCAACAGAGAAGCAATGACTACTTTACGCAGACCCCGATGCAATACCAAGTGAGAACTAGACCTATCAGTATCCGACGACTTCCTTCCGCTACCGACGTTCAACAAACTTCTCGATCACGGGCAGGTTCCGGCACGACGCGGAGGAGAAACAATACCGCGCCTTCTCGGCCAGAACTGAATGAAAATGCCACTGCCGGTCTTGCTGGTCTTCCGGGGCATTATGAGGTCGGTCCAACTGGTGGTATGGACACCATTCGTGAAGGCGAGGAGGTTCACCACGGTCGGAATCGCACCTCTGTGGATAGTGCGGATAGTCAAGTGGGGAGATCGGGAAGCAAAAGAATGCGTAGAGCGAGTAACGCTGCTCGTTCGATCCTTAGTAAATTGAGTGACGACCCAGAAGAGGACAAATTGCGTCAGGGACGGCCTCATTCTAGAAACAAACACGAGTACGAAAGTGATGTTGTTGATTATCTGGATGTGCTAGGTAAGGTCCTTCCAGCTGCCCTGGTCTCTGCTAACATGTACAGACCCTGAAGTTTCCACTCTGACCACTTTGACCAATGTCCAAAATGCCATGTTTGTACCCGACATTCCATACTTGAACAGATTCTACAACCGTCGACCAACCTATGAGCTCTCGAGAGGTCAAAGTCGTATAACAGAAGCTTCCGAGCCAGCTAGTCTACGACCACAAATCACTCGCCAAATCTCTCGCCAAATCAGTCGAAAATCAATGCCCCCCACACCTGCACCACCAGCCGTCCCCCCAAAATCGACCGAACAAGAGCGACGCATTATGGACAGAGGTAATTCCAGAACCCCAGATCCAGGCATGGACTCAACCGAATATCTTAATCGACGATTTAGCATAACGTCACAAGTCGAAGAAGACCACTTTGCTGTACTTCCTCATGGTGTAACCCTCGAGGGCTGGTCCCAAGAAGATGTTGACGCTCTAGACGACTATGTCCGGCATATGTTACATTCACGCAGAAGCAGGTTCAAACGTGGTATGAGAGGTTTTGGTAAATACGTTCGCAAACGTGAGTTCAGTTCTACTTTCCTGTAGACGGTCACTAACATTCTAAAGCGCTCGGCTTCTTCGTGACATTATACGCCTTTCTGATTACTGCCTTTGGTCTCATTTGGGTTCTGTTCCTTATCGGTTGGATATCCTTGGGGTCAAGAAAAGACTACATCGTTCACATTGTTGACAGCGTCCTTGTGGGTCTATTTGCTATCATGGGTGACGGTCTGGCTCCCTTCCGCGCTGTTGATACCTACCACATGATATATATCGCTCACTACCACCGTCTATCCTGGAAGCTCAGAAAACAAAAAGGATTACCCAAACTATCAGATCACAACGACCTACCCGAAAGACTACAAAAAGAAGTATGCGCTGATGCCGAGGCCGGACTCGATAAAGAGACAGATGCTGATTGGGAGTTTTCGGTTCTAACCGCCGAACAGCAAAAGAAGCTCGTCCACCACCAGAACAAATTCTCAAAATCACACTCGTACTACCGACCGCACGAGACCACAACCCACTTTGCCTTCCCACTAAAACTCCTCATCACCATCGTCTGTCTCCTCGACGCTCATTCCCTCCTACAAATCAGCCTCGGTGCTTTCACCTGGGGTTGGTCATACCACACACGTCCCGAATGGATTACGGCCGTCATCCTCTCCCTCTCAATCACGGTCAACATCACTGGCGGTGTCCTGATCTCAGTCGGCGACAAACGAACTCGAAAGAAGGACGTTCTCCTACGTATGGCACGACAAGGCCTCACAGAAGAAGCCATGCGAAAAGTCGAAAAACACAAACAAGCAAATGAAGAAGACACATCGCATCTACGACCGAGCATTGCTCAAGTCCACGCCATCAACGTCCAGCAAGGCGTAGTTGAGCCCGAAGGCTCAGAACCTTTTGTGACTGGAACAAACGAAGTTAAAGAGAAGTTGAAGGGATACAAGACCGACCGAGAAGATGAAAACAGTGGTGATGAGGAAGACAGTAGGAGTAGGAGTAGACACAGCAAGGATAAAAGAGATCGAGAGAAGGAGTTGACGAGTTTCTTGAGTGGTGGTGAGACGACTGAGGACTTCCGGACGCCTCTGGAGACACCAGGGAGGTTGAATTGAGATTGAGATATATAATCCTGATTCTTTTGTATAGATCACTGTGTTATTTGAGCGATTTGGACTATTGGAGATGTAGCGGTCTCCTGTGGATATCTTATGGATTCATCCAGCAGTATTTAGTGGAATCAGTATTACGAGCTCGAGATCTGAATAAATTTATCCGCCGTCTTGTGCGTCCTGCCAGTTTTTGAGATCTATCGCTATATCATCAGTTTCTACATGGATATAGCACGGTCGGCACGCCCACAAAGACTATCTATGCTCCACAAAAACCTCTTAGATGCGCAGACAAGTGTTCGCTACAATCAATGGACGTTTCCTTTATTAAGCATGCCCATCCGACGCCAAACCAGGATGCGTCTATCAAACGTATGCAGAGAGGGCAAGGGCTTCCAAGAACACACAGTTTTCCTTTAGAACCAGGGCATCCAGTTCATCTCGTCAAAGTTGCAGCTTAGACTTCTTGCGAACGAGATTAGTTGACAATAAGTTAGCAGCATCTGAACTGGTCGCCTGAGGAGCTGCTTGTGCTCCTGGCTGGTCGTTGATCTTGACCAACCCATGAGCTAGATCGTTCGTGGTTGGGTTTTCCTCACCACGTCCGTCCGATACACGTTTTCTCTTCTTCACGGCACGCAGGATATTGACCGGCGGTATGTTGACCATGTCAGATATTGTGCCGGACCCTTGTGCTGCAGCCTGATCCTCACTCGGACGATGGTCAGGTTGCAAAGGCAACTGTCCCTCAACCGAAACACCAACCTTTGAAGCTCCAGATAATTCCTTGACCTTGTCGATCCATTCTCTAGTGCTCTTTACAGCCAGTTCTATCCCAGCAAAATCTGTCTTATTGATCAAAAGATCAGAGAGCTCCAGGTATTGTTCACTAGTCAATGTGATCACATCAGCAGGTCTTCCCCTGTCAGCTAGTGAAAGACGGACGTCAGTCGACCCAATATAGCCATTGGCCACCTCGACTGGCGTTGATCTTTCTTTCTGGGAGATTACCTCGGCTGGTGGGCCATCAAGCTTACTCCGATCAAAGATGACCCAGATAAAGCCTACCAGTCGTCCAGCAGCACATTCTTGCCTATATTCCATAGTCTCCCAGAATTGCTGTAAAGTTTTTATGTCTCTCCATTGACCCTTGTCATTAACGCAAGTGTCAAGATCATCACAGTACCGAGATTTGGGATCATCTGGTAAACGTGGAATCATGCATCGTGCAGGCAATGTTTCTGAGCCAACAAGGAGATGACCAGGATACTGATTGTGCCACCTTGCTGTTCCATAGGATGTTGAACTTGGAAAGAATGAACGTGTCACCTCGGAGCGATCACAACCTGGTACAATGACGAATGCCTCCGGCCTTATTGTGCCATGCTTATACGGACCATGTTGTGTACCATTAGATGAAGTCCCACGCGTTTCGGGTTGAGCTTGACTACCTAGATCCCAGTCTTTTTGGACCAAGCCATGTAGAAGCTTACACCACCACCTGATCAGCTGCCTATCATCCAAGACATGTTTGGTTGCATTTTCCACACTTCCAGGAAACAGGTATTGGTTTTGTGACCGAGCAAATAGCGACAGAACTATTCGCTTCCTGTTCTGTCTAGAGAATTTGACCGAGTGGTCCGCACCGAGGAATCGGCCTTCACTAGTTCCATGGTTTTTGATATATAGTGGGTCTAATCCTTGCTCTGTGGTTTCCGGAGTTGTGGTTGATATATGACAAGCCACAAGCCACTCCACAAAAGTGGAAATAACGGTTTGACTGATCGGCGTCCAGCTCTGCGTAAGTGGTCTTGGTCTGGCTAAGAATCCAGTAGAATCTGCCTTGGAAACGAAAATCGTGGTGAGGCTTCTAGTCGAGAAGATGAGAACTTCAATGCCAAGAATGAACACATCATCTTGTGAATTATTGACAGACGTATCACTGTCTCCTTGGCTCACATGCTTCTGTGATACTGCCAGGAAATGTGACTCGCATGTTGTCGGTTCGTCTTGTTGTCCGGGCGGTGTTGCGTATATAGGAGGAACAGACGATGGAGGAGTGGAGATATGATAGACACGTAATTTTGTACCAACGCGTAAAGTGCTCGCTAAGAATTCGGGAAAGTTAGCGAATTGTTGCGCTGAAGATGATAGTGGTCTGGATGACATGATTTGTGCTTAGAAATAAGAAGGTCGCGTAACAGTAGCGTGGTGAATGATCATCATCCACGAGATCTGTATCCCGTGACTGGTGGTCAAGCCACGAGCTGTTCGTATAACGTTCAGCAGAAAAGCACAAGTCGAATTGAATCGAGCCAAGGATCAGACGGTCAATCTAGACCCGAACTATCCGAGATATTCGGCAAACTCGCTCGAAGCATATTTGAGCTTTCTGTGACGCGAGTCATATTCAATCCGGATAGTTTTGGTCAGGATCATTGAAACAGGGACGTGAGACTGGTCAGAAACGCCAGAAGCTCTGATACTCCATGCAATATCTCCTCGCTTCGAGACGATTGCCCGATCGGCACCACGGGAGAACATCCGTCTACCCTTTCTGGTCGACAAATATTGACTTTTTAGTGCCGGTTTACATTAAAGGCCTTGCAGTATATCCGCATGGCGGTTCTGGATCTCGCATCGAATTCCCATGTTAGTAACAATCGCCAAGCATACGCCAGCCGAGCTTCGGTTAGAAACATCAGTATTTGCAGTGGTTGCATTTAGATATTGACCCCCAGAAAGCAGGCAGCTGGTTAGATGCTGCTTAGCCTCCGACAAGACTTAGTTTGATGACGACGCTTTCTTCCCATCCATTCGTTCATGTTGTAACAGCCACAAGCGAGGTATGCTTTGAATAAATTGTAAATCTTTACAGTTCAATAGGTATATGCATGGCTGGCACACGATGAGAAAGCTTCTAGCGATGTTCCGAAAAGAAATAATTCAGCTGCCCTGGCAGTCAGACAAGACCCGAAGCAAGCTCGGCAAGAGCATCGTATATCAGTCTCGTGCTTGCCTTCATGTTGATCACTAAACCCCATATCGCACCTTCCTTGCCGTCCTTGCCGTACTGTTCTATTATACATGTCCTATACACTCAACTTACAGGGGCTCTACACCGAGCCAACACAGAGCGCAAAATAGAACTTGCTCTTCACTGATGGCAAAGACCGCACACAAGCTTGACATAACAAAGGAGGATAAACTGAGCATCTGGCTCAGAGTTGAAGAGCAGAAGCAGATGAAGGGGAACTCCTCAGCCTATATCGATCCTGTTTCCAGCGCTAGACAATCTTCAGAGCAGCAAACCAGAATGTCGTCTTCCCCATCATCATACCACGCAGGTTCAGACAGTCCTGTCAACGAGTGTGCCTTAGTCAGAAAAGGTGGGCCAGACTTAGGAGGGCTGCCATTGCCTCTGCTAACCAAGATCGTAGCCTCACAAAAAGCACAACCGCAACGGAAAGACAACTATCTTCTCGAATATCAAAACCAGCTATTAGTCCTTGAAGACCTGAATCGAAGGACGTCTCAGAAGTTCAGAAAACCACGATGACACACGTGGCGGCCTCGTGAAGCTCTTATTTCTTCCTTGAGAAAGAGTCGCGCCAGAGCACAACGTGCTTTCGGATTATCGACAGACAAGCTGTGCTGTAAGACCAGATAGACGCATCTGACGATGAACGCGGAGATGCCCGAGGGCTCATCAGGGCGGCCAGCATACTGTAATTGAACCAGCAAAGGTGATGAGATCGTTGTCCGAATTGGGAGGAATATCATATCTGGTGGAGTCTGTCACTTAAGCGAGCAAGAAATGAACAGGGGTCAATAGCTCGGTTATGCAATCCCTGTCAAATGTCGATCACTGCAGGGCTTCATGACAACAACGATTGGCTATTGTTGAATCTAGACGACCACCGGATGCTTGGTAGAACGCAGAAGGGTTGTACTTGTATGGAATAGCTGTCAGATATATTCGTAATAAAGCATTGACTGAAGATTCACATATCCTCAACCATTGTAGCATTGGCTAATTAACGTTTGAAAGTCTTTAAGCGAGGCTCCACGTCAAAGTCCCGCGAGTCGGACCTTGTTATTATGCTTCGAAGCCTGAAGCTTCAGCCACTGGTTCTCTCGTGAGACTGGACATCTGATGCTTGTGGAATATCTAAGCTGGCTTTTCCGCATAGCGAAACTCGTATGCGAACTGACCCCGTGATCATCGCAGCCAGCCTCGCTTTGACGACAGTGGTGACCACCTAGCCGAACCATGAACCTGGAAGTACCTAAAAATATGCTGCGCTCATGCCATATCAGATGAGGCTTACCATCTCGTTACGAGTTATTTCCTCAGATGTCGCTCGTTGGAAATGTAGGTAAGCGATACTACCGTGTCAACGTATCGTCCTGGCAATAATGCTTTGCATCACTTGACTGTAACTTTACCCATGACTGTTTCCTGACCACGTTCGCCATAAGTGGCTGCCGCTGTTCGTTTGACGGCATTGATCATATTTCGATCCCACTCATCTCGGGTTTTGAGGACTGTTTCGACCCAACCGAGCTGTAGGTCCCAGAAATCTCGCTTGAATGCCTCGTACACACCTGGTACGGCAGTCTTGTCACTCTCGAGCAGTTGCACAGTATAGTTGACAGCTTTCCAATTCGGCTTGATCACCTCATTGAAGACTTCAGGATTCTGTTTCTGGAAAAAGTCAAAGGCCGCCAGGACATCGTCTCGAAAACGAGCTGAGAAAGGATCCTGTCTCCTGAATTTGATGCCTTTGTTACGAGTAATCGAAGTCAAATATGTGATGAGTAAGTTGTCGGCGATTTCAGTTATGAGTATATCTCTGAGCGACGGATGCAACACTCCATGATAATCACTGATATAATCATCAAAGGTGCTGACCATCTGTTCCATGGCTCTTTCTTGATACCACTTATTGGGTACGAAAAGATCACTGGTAATGGTCCTAAAATCAACCATGAAGATCAGCTTCACGAAAGCTGCCATTGCGTGAGTTGCTAGATCGACGTAAGCATCTCGTAATGCCTCGACTTCTGTAGCAGCATTTGTGGATAGGAATCTTGACGACGGTGGAGTTTCTAGCTGTGAGAAATGATCTCTGAATCGTGTCAGATATCCAGCTTGTGCCGTAATATCATTGACCATATCCGGCGAGTCATCCACACATGCAATCTGGTCGTTTGCAATAGCGAGTAGATGTTCTTGTAAAGGTTGCATGGTCTCCATGAGTTCCGGAGTTGGGTTCTTGTACTTATCGACCTCTTCTGTAATGAGTTTCTCCCACTGTTGCTGTCTCAGCTTCAAGGCGGAACACATAGATGACATGACACCTTCAACTACATCCTCACGTCTGGAACTACCAGCCAAGTCTGTTTGCTCATGCAGCATACGCCACATATCACCAAGCGTCTTTGTTCTGAAGTGTCCTCCAATATCTTGTTCGATGGCATCAGACGTTCTTGCTATGAAGTTCTTCCGATCATTCACTTGCATCCGATCAATCCATTGTCCAAGCTTGCTTGTGATTAGGTTCCTGTATTCTCGAACCAGGTCACCTTCGCGATTGTCGAGAACGTGAGGCGTGATCTCGTCCTGTGTAATACCAAGTTTGGCCATCCTCTCGTAGTAGGGATCGATATAGTGAACCACACCGAGCATCTGAGGAGGCGTGATATCCTGAGAGTCGGCATATGATAGCAGAAATTCTCGCATCGTCTTGTGGTAGATATTGACATACATCTTCAGGATCTTCCACTTCTTAGGGAACAGTTTTTGCATACCCAACTTGACAGTATTTAAATCATTGAAGAAGAACTTGGTAAGCTTTACGAGTCTCTCAGGATCAGCTGCAAAATCTTCTTGAATGTCTTTGAACTTCTCTTGCAGTACCAGCTCGACCGCCTTCAGAAATTTCTCCTTGTAACCACGAATACTTTTTGGACCAATTATGAAGGAAGTGAACTTGCTGACAAGATCTTGGTGGTCTTTCTGCGCGTCGAGGAGGGCTCGTACTCGTTCGTCATTCTTTTCCTCGGCATTGAGGATGATAGCAAGACGGACAACCAAGCCATCATTTCCTTGCTGAACCAGAGTAAGAACATTCATGCAAATTGCTCCTATGTGAGCATCAAACAGATCAATAGCTCGCTCAAGCGGTGCGAACCAATCCTCAAGGGTATGCCTCAAGCTTTCGTCTTTGGCTCTTGTGATCTGATCTAAAGCTTCGTCGCGGAAGTCTCGCAGTTTTGTAATCTTCATGTGTGCCTCGAGCAGATTTGGCTGTACCTCTTCTTCACGCTCATCAGCCTCCAGCAGCCCCATAACCTCATTGCAATCTCTTTCGAAGCTGTCCAAGCCTGCTTGCATAGCCCTGGTAGCCTCAAAATTTCTATGCACCCGGGCTAGGTAATCGATTTGAGGGAAGTCCTTCCGTATAGCTTGTGCCTGCTCGCAGAGATCATGTATGCTCTTCATCTCTTCTTTGATCTGTTCCACCAATTTCTGACCTTCTGCCAATGTTGACATGCCATTCTGTGTTGTCTCGAGGTGTTGACTTAGACCTTCTCTCAGTCGAGCATCCACGTCTGCCTTTCTTCTTACGAGGTCTGCTTTGAGGTTGGCAAGCTTCTCAAGGTCGTCTGGTGTGCGTAGTAAGTCAGGTATGCGCGGAACGGCAATGCCGCCGTCAGCAGCGACAGCCATGGTATGAGGCGGGAGAGCTGAGGCAGTGAAGATTACTTGATATCACAGTGCATAGGCAGCATCACCTCTCCGGAGGCTGAGAGGTGCAGGACCTATGCTTCGTGATATGTGTGTTCAGGTTGGGTCAACGACTTCACGGGTCCGATACCATTTCTTGGGCTATACCGCTGGAGGTCGACGCGTCGTCGTTGCCGATCGTTGTTTGCTCAATTTGTCAACGCGTCCGTTTTCATGAGGAAGGCACGCGAGATCTGGCTTCCAATTGCGCCTTCTTCAAAATACTACAGGAAATCGTTGAGCGAGCGCAACTTGGACCAACGCAATTGGGATGTTACAGACATATTCCATGAGAACAAACTATCTTATCGATGAGTAGACTTCAAACCAGAATAAAAACACACTATTGACACATACCACTCTCACAACCAGTTCTAACACCAGATCCTGCCCTGAAAGTGCCGACAAACGACCAGCTGCGATACGAGACTGCTCAGAAATCAATCAGATGACTCCTACGACTCTGCTCATCGAGAAAGACCTTCAACTCTGCGTCACCTCCTCTTACCTCGTCAGCATACCAATATATTGTGTTTCCCTTCTTATCCCGAATATGCAGCTCAGTTGCCACATGGTCAGGACTGGCCTTTCTGGGATGGTCGACAACTACCTCACCATTTTCAGTATCCTCGGTCCTCAATTCGGTTTCTTCCTCAAGAATTATTTTCAAGCAAGTTACACGAGTCTTTAGTTTGTGATCTTTGAACCTCTGACCTGTGTTATCACGCATATCCACCGCATACATTAGTGGTGTTACCCCAAAGACATCCTGCTGTCCTGGTCGACCGACGAAACTGTATCCACTCTTCTCAAGCTGCTCCTTCTGACGAGCGTGGTTCATCAGAGTTTCAACCATCTTCAGGTCGCACCTGAAACAAGCCTCATGCAGCAAGCTATTTCCATGCCACGAAAGTCTAGCGAATTCGTCCTCCCTGAGCTCCATGCCGTGATCAAGGAGTATTTCCACAATGTCGGAATATCCTCTGGAACATGCTGAAAGGAGTGGATGCAAGCTGTCTTTGCCTGGATTGTATATACGAGCACCTTTGATCAACGCAGGCCTCCACGAAGAACCATAATGGAGTAACATCCGAACAACGTTGCTATGACCCCTTTCGATAGCCAACGATAATGGTATGAACGGATCAGTCTCGCCATACCCAGCTTTGTATGCTACCGCGTCCACATCTGCTCCCTGCTGAAGGAGAATATCTATCTCTGTCAAGGTCTCGAATTTTAGGGAGCAGAAAAAGTGCAAAGGTGAGAACCCAGCACCTGTACCCGAAAGACCCTTAGATTTGCTCTTCTCTATACTCTTCTTCAGCTCCGATTTTCGATGAACGAAGATTGCCGAATCTGGATCGTACTTTCGCATGAACTGAATGCCTTTGTCCACAGCTTTGGACGTCTTTCCATCTTTACATAGCGCAGCCACCTCATTGAATATCTGCTCCATTTCAGTTCGCGAAAGACCAGCATATATAGTTGGAATCCTCGTGAGGCTACTCCTTGTCCTCTCAGGTCCTTCGGGTCGACCCATATACTGATCGACAATATCACTGGTTGTCATCCAACGTTGCATCTGTGGTACTGGGCCATCGGAATTTGAGCTCTCCTTCCTCAAAGTCTTTTCAATAGGCCTTGCATTTGGACTCATTCGAAGCGAAGGAATATCGCGTGGCGATGTCGAGAGTTGACTCAGCTCCTCTGCTGTGGATAAAGGTGAGCTGCCTAATGAGTTGCGATTCAGTGGGACTGGTGTGGATGAGGAATTACTCTTCTCAGCTCGTTTGAACGGTGATGAGAAGAACCGTGTACGAGTTGGAAGTGTCTCGGTTGTTTGCGTCGGTTCCGCTAGGGCCAGGGATGAGCCATGAGAAGAGGTGGAGCTTAGAGTCACTGGATGGGACTCTTGCACAGGTTGAGCAGGTTGCAAGAAGCGTTCATGAGCTTTGGCTAGTGCGCCTCGACCCTTGGCTTTATACATCTCAATGACAAGCTTTACTGACTCAATCGTCTTAGGGTGTCCTGGACCTAAAAGTTCGCTGCGACCTTTCCAGGCCTGTACAGCATGAACTTCAGCATTCACAAGATCTGGCTTTTTAAGGTATACCTCTCCTAGGACATGGTTCGCAGCAAGTATTTGACCCCTGTCAGCACTGCGTTGTCCTTGCGAATAAGTTGAGGCTGCACTTGACTCAGGTACGTCCGGGCGCGACGCTGCCTGTTGTGCTAATGGCTGCAGCAGACTGATAGCTTCATCGAACTTTTGTTGCCGCGCAAGACATTCACCCAGCATCAACGCTATATCAGCTGTCGAACAAGCTAGACGAGATCCGAAGTTATTTCGCTGAGCCATGGACATTGCTTCTCGATAGTTATCCTCTGCATTTGCATAATCGCCTTGATCGACCTCAGCATGACCGTTGAACAGCAAAGTCTGCAGGAGCTGAAAGTCCAGGTCGTCACTATCGTCAATGTCATCCGCAATTCCATGACCATGTTCAGCCACGGATAGCGATTCGGATGCTAATGGCGTCGCTGTCGCAGTGTCTCCAGGAAGGTCATCTACGTACATACTAATGCTGTTGAACTTCTGTGCGGTCAATGGTGCAAAAGCAGAACCTCGACGGCCTTCGTCTATGACGGGATTATCATCGTTCGGTCTCACGCTTGCTGCTGACCTGGTACTGGCTGCGACTGATGCACTGTCTAGGAACTTCTTCGCTGTACCGATATAGGTCTCCATGTTGTCAAACCATACTCTGTCAGTTGGCGAATCTCCTGCAAGAGTTGAACCACCTAAACTACCTTTCTTCTGTGGGATTCTCAATCCTGTTGAGATACGCTCAATTCGCATAATGCCGATGCGCAAAGAATTCAATTGGTCATTGAGTTGCATCTGGTGAGCTGTCGTCATTTCCTGTTGTCGAAGTTGCATGGTCAAGGTCATCATCTGCATAGGCAATTGCAGACTTTGATTGAACATGACAATCTGCTCTCGCAGCCTGACGAGTTCGCCAGAATGCAAATTCTCCCTCAACTGCTTGAGGAAAGGACGTAAGAAATTACCAGAAGCTTGTATCTTCCTCAAGACATTGGTGATCGCATTCATGGTTCTCTCACAGTCTTGCAATGTCTTCGACATCTGCAGCCAAAGGTGTCCGCCAACATCTCGGTTCGTGATCTTTGCTGCCTCAAGCATAGAAGGTTCCCTCAAGCTGCGACTGAGACTCTCATAGGTCATTCGCAGTGTATTGACTTCGTGCACGAATGCATCTATCCTTTCGTCCACAGTACGGACCGACTCGACCCATTTGACAATCGTTACCGTGACCTGCCCGCATAGTGCGACAATCTGCAGTGAGCTCGCGAGAGCTCCAACAGCCTCCATTCTGAGCACTGTCGATCTGTTTCAATGATCAGGCTGAACGAGGTACTAGCTAGCACAATCTATGCTCGTGCAGTGCAGTGCATTGTAACAATGCGTACTGCGACAAACACAAAGACAGGACGTACCAGTTAGAAGCTCGCAACAGCAGCTGAGTGTAAACGAAAGGATTCACATCAACTATAGCCAGGCAGAACCGGCGAAGCATGTCGAGCACTACTGACCTGCATATTGGCGGGGGATGCAATGCACTGCCGAGCTCTAGGATGAAGCTGGTAAAGTGTCTCTGAGTGAGTACTTGAGCATGGTAATCGACCGAGCACAAGGCAGACACGTCCCCGCTTGTCTTTGTGAGAGACCAACGATATGTGAGCGTTTAGGCGATAGCGTGGTCAGTGGATCTTGCCATGCTCGGTTAGGTGTTTCGCAAGGCGAGTTTGGCCCGAGAACCTTGACTGTTGGATGCGGCCTGGACTTCGGGCCTACACGTGGTTTATATCATCGTGACATGCATGTGTATGAACATTGAAACGCCATGAGTCGCAATGAGTCAGCCTTGTGACAAAAAACGGGACTAAGAAGCCGACAATGCTAGGCTAGGTGATGTTCGGACATCTGAATAAAATTGGAGACGGAGACGGGCAAGAATATATTTACAAAGATTGTCACAGGACCAAGGGTCAGGAATTGACGAAGCACATTACGAAAGTGCTTATACCCATTCCCGTGGTGTCTTAAGAACCTTCATGATTTCCTGCTCCTTGCGCTCGGTTGGGTCAAGGTCTTCCTCATCGATGGGTGGCTCGACGCCCGTGCCTGAGATAGGGTGCAGGTACTCCCATCTCGCCGTCAGTGGTAAGCTCATCAGAATGCTTTCTATCCTCGCTCCGGGCCTGCTTGCAATTAATACGATATCTGGGACAAGAAAGATCAGAGACGACTTACGTGCGCAAACCAAAGCTTGTCCCTCGATCATGAACTAGGTTAAACTCAACATAGCGACCACGTCGAATCTGCTGCCAAAGTTTCTGCTCCGGCGTAAACGGCATGTCCATTCGTCTTTTGACAATGGGCAGATAGGACGGTAAGAAAGATTCAAGCCCGCTTACGCAGAACTGGAAAAGCTCTTCCTGAGGATTCTTTGCAGACGGAGCACTGCTGGCGTCGAGATCATCGAAGAATATACCACCAATACCTCTTGCTTCGTCTCGATGTGGTATCCTGAAGTAAACATCGCACCATTTCTTGAACTTTGGGTAAAAGTCCTTGTCGTGCTTGTCGCAAGCCGCCTTGAGGGTTTTGTGGAAATGTTGTCCATCCTCTTCGAAGAGGTAGCTTGGTGTGAGGTCAGTGCCTCCTCCGAACCACCAATTATGCTTGGCCGTGCCGGTCGCATTGACTGGATCGCGAGGATCGGAGGTCTCGAAATAGCGATAGTTCAGGTGGACTGTGGGAGCCATGGGGTTGTGAGGGTGTAGAACCAGAGATATGCCAGCAGCAAAGAAATTGAGCTTGTCTACGTCCGAGCCGACAAAAGACTTGTGATCGGCCCTCATCTTTTCAATGGCAGGTCGATTTAATGTACCGTAGACTACACTTGTGTTGACTCCAGCTTTTTCGAAAACATTCCCTTCCTGTAAGACACACGAGATACCACCTCCACCCTCTTTCCTGTTCCAAGCATCCCTCTTGAACTTCTTCCCGTCTATTTGTTCCAAAGCAAAGACAATTCGGTTCTGGTGTTCTTGAATCAAAGCCTCCATGCGCAAACGCATAGGAGAGTTTCTGCTGATCTTTGTTCTCCGTCTGGTCACCTCATCCACCTCAGCTAGCGTAGCAGCTGTTTGTACAGGAATCTCAGCCTCGACAGGATTGCGAATGAAACGGTCGTAGAGTAGAGCACCGGTAACTGCTAGTCCGATGATGACCTGTGCTCGTTCGTACTTCCGTTTCATCGGCTCTCGTGGTATTTCCGGCTGGGCAGCGCGAATAGGTGTTGAGGAAAGACATCGTTGCTGCGGTTGTTGGTAGGAGATCTTGGAACCGCATCTGCATCTCTTGAGCGATCGAATGGCTGGCGCAATATTTGCTGCACTCTGCCTGAGCGGCATGGCCAATGAGTGAGGACGGTAGATCGTAGCTGGGAGAGGCAGGACGCAAGGAGTATACTGAAATAGAAGCAGATTTAGTCGATCATGTTCAAAAAGCACACCACCTATTCTTGCAGGTACACATCTCGTGAGCTTCCGACCTCGAAAATCGTGGTTCACTGTGTCAAAAGCTCAACGCCCATTGGCTATGAGCTGAGAGTCGTAGCTGACTCCGAACCATGTTTGCATTGTTTGTCATTCTCTTTATACGACCACTCCCAGAAAGCACGAGCTCCTGCTTGGTCGAAGGAACTTACTCCTAAGATGCAGTCTCGTACATGTGACAAGAATGACGTGCTTAAGCCATGACAATCAAAGCACTTGCCGTTGTAGAGCACAAACGATGAGTGTGAAGTAGACAAAGGGTAGGCACGGTTCACGTGCCCAATGATGCTTATCGGTCGGCGCTTGCAGCTGCCCTAAATTCCGTTCTCGTCGCTCCTGCATCAATAATGGACTTGCAGCAATTCAAACAGTAGCCCTTACAACGCAGCGTATCACAAAACATAAACTAACAGTGGCTGTTTTGACCAGGAAATCTAGATATATCCTAAGCCGTGACGCGGCATGTGAAGCCTTGCCTGTGACTCTTAAAATTAACGATTGGTCACCTGTCGCTTGCCTGCCTTGGGACCAGCATCGCCGCACCGTCTGCGGGGTCCATTGAGTGGTTCACTTCTGACCAGTGTTGCCTTGAAACACCGCTCTTAGTGTCGACCTCACCTTCTTGCCTTCTTACTCATACATCACTTATTCCACCCTCATCGTCTACCACATAGAACGCCGATCGAGTTAGCAGTTACACCCTCAATAATCTAAACCTTCCCAATCACCGTCATCATGCGATCCAAGTTCAAGGACGAGCACAAACTAGAGAAGCGCAAGGCAGAGGCCGACCGCATTCGACAGAAATACGCTGACCGCATTCCGGTATGTCGTCGCCACTGTCCTACAATCATTGCTAACATATTTCAGGTCATTTGCGAGAAAGTCGAGAAATCTGACATCGCTACCATCGACAAGAAGAAGTATCTCGTGCCCGCAGATCTGACCGTCGGTCAATTCGTCTATGTCATCCGCAAGCGAATCAAGCTCAGCCCAGAAAAGGCCATCTTCATCTTCGTCGATGAGGTACTGCCTCCTACTGCTGCTTTAATGAGCAGTATCTACGACGAGCACAAGGATGAGGATGGATTCCTGTACATCACGTACGTATTTCCCAGTTTCCGCTTCCATCTATAACTCAGCACTAACCGTGTCTACAGATATTCCGGCGAGAATACCTTCGGCTGGGAAGAGCTGTAAACGATCGATCCTGAGCTATCCGAAACCTTGAATGAACGAATAATGGCCGAGCGTATGAAATGGTGTGACGGGAGTGGCGGAGATTCAGGCGTTCATCTTTTGGAGTATCGCTAAGCAAAGAAAGAGAGAAACCATACAATGCCCACCATCGCAAGAGCTTGAATACTTGGTTATGATTAGCTGAGAAGAAGAAGGGACAAGAGTCCTGCTTCTGAATACATTTTGAAATTGCTTCGGCTGTTCAAAGCTTGCTTTTCTCGTGTATATGTATGTTTCTGTATTTCAACGAGACCAAGAGCTTAAACCATACTGGCAATTTTGGCTGTGCAGCTGCACTATACCGAAAGAGCGCCATAGCCCAGTGCTTACTTCGCCAGCAAATGAACTACTGCAACGACAACGGTCCTAAGAATTGGACAGTTCTGCATCAGCGTGGAAACAACGAGCTTCGGACGGGTATGGTCAGGTAGTCGAAGAACTTCATCTTATCCTTATACAACTCTAAAGCTAATGCTTCCTATCTCTCTCTGTGCTAATAATGGTCGTACAATCAGATTAACTAATTATGAAGCGCTGCCCTTTCACTGACTAAGGGTCGTTCAATGCCTCACTGATACTAATTAGATCGTGCCGAATACCAAATACAATTGTCGACGACGCTGAAATCGTCCTCACGGTTCCCTCTTCTGCCGTTTCGGTCTGTGCTTCGCGATCGATTTCGGCGGCACCGTCTCATCTGCTGGCTCCTAGCTCAGCAAATTCCTTAAGCTGGGACTGGCACTAGCACCTGGCCCAGCGTTCGTTGCTCGTCCATCCTGTCCTTCTGTCTCTCGCGTTGGTTCTTCCCGGACTTGGTGTGCTGCTCTTGGTGGCTCAACGATACCTCCGGAAAGCCTGTGTCCACTTGCCCCAGGTACGGCCTTGCTATCTGATCTAGGCTGTTCCGTCATTGGTGCTCTTGGTGTAGTTTGAAGCGAGCTAGGTGGTTGCTGATATGCTCGAAGCCCGCCATATTGAACCCCGGGCGAATCACCAGGTCGAGTCTGGTAAGCAGTTGGTCCATTGGCAGGAACAAGATGTGGTGATACAGGCTGCCCGGGTGGTAAACTAGTTGGAGGCGGTCCTGCATGCGCATGGATGTATGAACCTGGTGGTGGCGGTGAATGCTGAGGCAGACCAATGGATCGTGCACGGGACGGGAAAACACTTCCAGCGTAGTGAAGAGGAGGAGGGGGAAAGGGGTACCCATAATCAGTCGATCGGTTGTATAATGAGTGGCCGTACATGGCGCTAGAAGGAGGTCCAGGAGCACCATTTCTAGGGGTTCCATTAGGCCAAGGACCAGCAGCAGGAAAGGTGTGTGGTGGTCCATGTAAGATAGGGTGTGAATGTGGAGGCTTTTCGGTAGGATGTGGCAGAGTCTGAGAAGGGTGTATGGCCGGTTGAGTTGATAGATCGTTCGCAGCAGGTGGCGGAGGCGCTTCCCGTCTTCGAAGCAGAGACGGAGATGGTGGAGGCGTCCTTTTGCTGACATGACACTTATGGCACTGTAGTAGACACTCTTCAGGCACTGTCATAGTCTCCACGTCCATTGGCTCTGGCTTTACTTGATGATTCACGTGCTGAGGCATTGTCGTGCTAGGTGCCGGCTGATACTGGTGTGGTGACGACAGACGTGCTGCATTGGTGCCGCCTACTGATGAGCCTTCTGATGATCGGCGTTGCCGCTCTCGTATCGCTTCTCTTTCACCTGCTGCTGGCAAAGTGCTCAAATTCACTTTCCACCATTTTGGACTGAATTCTGTGAGACAGCTACAGCACCTCTTCTCCGACTTGATCACTGCATCCTGTTTTGCGACACTTGGCCTTTGCTCATGTCCCTCGCCATTGGTTTGCGGCGATGCTGGTGATGGCGAGCCGACAGTTCTCCCTGTGATTGAATCGACCTGTACGTGGTGATGTGCATGACCGTTGATGTGCGATACTCGTCGAGAGATTTGATTATTGACATTGATCGTCGGCAGGTTAGATTGGAATTGAGCTGCTCGCCTCACTGTACCTGTGACCGAATTGTCAACCTGTTTGTACGTACGGACATACTCTTGAAGTGCTGTCAAGCCTGAAGGTGTTTGCTCAAGCATATTGTGCACAATGGTAGGTACTGCATGATGTGGACACCAAATCCCTGGTGCTGCAAGACCAATCTCCTGATCCAATTTCATTACCGGTACTGAATCTCTTCGACTCATTTTGACTGGAGATATATCGAAACCAAAGGTCAGGCCTTTCTGATGAGCGCAGCCAACGTGGAAGTTGTTGTTGCAGGCTGGAAACTGACATGTGACTACTGGAAAGCCAACTTCGTTGCAATACTTACACGCTGTCTCGAAGCGTTCTCGAGCAATAAAGCCAATCCCTTCAGCTGCATCAAGATTTTCTGCATCACCAAATCGAATTTCCTTGCACCAGACAGCACAATTGACGTGTATCCAGTTGTTCCAAGCAGTACGCTTGAGTGGCTCACGAGGATCGACAGGTCTACCGGCTGCGAGCTGATCTTCACGCCAACGTCGGCCAGCCTCGTTAACCATCTCACGTTCTGCTCGCTCTTTCTCTCTTTCACGGTCGGTCTTCTTCTTGTGTGAGATCTTCGGCGGTTCCATGAGTTCTTGTGGTGTTCGACGTACAGGACAAAGTACGCACTCGTAATTTGTCGATACTTGCGTGTTATGATCATTCTTGCACATATCACAATACCAAGGGCCTGATCCTACAGGAGCGTTGACTCCATAGCATGGAGCATGCACGTGTAATCTGCAGTCTCTGCACTTGAGCATCTTATGCTCAGGATGGCTCATGATATGACATACAGCACAAGGATGTTCTTTGACTCGAGGCATTTCCGGCTTGAGTGGTTCAAGCTCGGCAGGCTTCTCTGGCACAACTCTTTTCTTCTCAACGACAAGTTCGGGCGCCACGGGTACAGTCTCTGGCCTTTTCTTCTTGTTTGCTGGCTCGTCAGATTCGATCATGGAAACCGGTACTTCAATACCAGATGATATCGCGATTTGGGCAGTATTTTTGTTGATAAGATCTCCAGCAAAGTTTTGTGCTTCGATCACGATCCGCATCGTCTCCTCGTCAACTTTCCGTTTCGAGGCGCGACCACCTGAGATGACAATTTTCTTGCCTAATTCCTCGATTGACTCATATTGAGCCGCGTATCGACGCCAGAGATAAGCGCATTTACCACACAGAGCCTGAATCAGCCAACTGCTCTTGTCCTTGGTATTCTTGGAAGATGGATCTCGAGGTACCAGTGTGCCTGGCGCAGTAGCAGGAGCGCGACGCCACGTCCGGGAGGATGTTGAACTGCAATGTTTACATTTGAATCCTCGTCTGACCTTGGCAGCCTTCTCCTCGTCGAAAGCAGAGTCATCGCCATCATCGGCAACGTCTTCCAGTAGTCTAGCCCCACTGGCGTCCTTCTCGACTCGTTTGGAGTCCTTCTTGGATTTTCGGCCTTCAAAGTTACCCCAGATCTCCTTGCCTCTATCAGTCTTCTTCCACATGTAGTAGAAGCGTACAATGCGACTGTCCTTGATTGTCGAGCTTACGTGACGTGCCACCGCGTGAAGTTCGCTACCGAATTTGCTAACGCCTTCTTCGAACCGCTTGATTTCGTCTTTGGTAAGTTCTGGTAATTTCAAGTCCGTACGAGCAGTAACTTTTCGCATAGCTTCCATGGCCTTTTCGACATCATAATTGTTTTCTTGAAGCTTTTCCAAGCCCTTTGTCCTTATGTCGACATTTCCTGGCTTAAGGTTGAACCTGGGCGCTATCTCATTGTCACATCGCTGAAGGTACACATCCACAATTTCGTTGTAATCGTCTGGTCGTTCGGTAGAGTCAAGTCCTCTCTCAGTGAATTTACTAGGATCGGGCATCTTGAAGGTCAATTGTGCAGTGTATTCTTTCTTGCCCTTCAACTCTATCGGCTCATCTTGACCTCTGGCAACGTATCCAGGAGGCTCATCGAATACCCACTTAGGCCTCTTCTCACGTTTGTCGTTCTCCGATAGAGTCACAGCCTTTGAGTCTTTCTTGGTTCCACCTATTGGCTTGTACTTCTTCTTGCCCTCGGCCGCTTTGATGTACTCGATCGGTCTTCCATGCCATACTGTGATATTTGCCTGATGTCTCGGACCAAGTCTAGAGCTAGCTCGAGGATATATCCGATCATCATAATCAAGAGCATCTTCTGGTCTTGCATGAATACCAAGATATCGCCATGGCCATAGATTAGCCTGAGCAAGTTGTGCTGCTGTTGGTTGAGAATGTTCTTCAGGCCCAACACTGTTCTCTCGTGTCGTTAGGTCTGGAGGCTGACTTTCTTCCTCCTCGTCGAAACTCTCAGCTTCAGCTAAACGTGACAACTCTGTTTCACTAATAGGGGTATTTCTAGCTTCCATCTTCAGTTCCTGTGCCCTGCTACATGGTCCGCATGCCCAAGCAAAACCGCGAGCTGGTTTCTTCAACAGTGGCGGACGTACACATGACATGTGATAGGTGTTCTTGCAGACAGCGCAATCCACTGACTCGTGGTTGGCAGCAAAGTCACCACAACGCTTGCATACTTTGCTGGCGCTAGTCAAATCACGGCCACGACCGACCTCAACAAGCACAAACTTCCATCGTTCATCAAGGACTTTCTTCACACGACGTGGGACGTTGACCACTCTCGAGGTCGGAATAACTTCGTAGTATCGGTGCATGTAGCGATCATACAATTTATCGAACCAGAAGGAGTTTGGTTGCTTTCGATAGTCGTCTAGGTCGGGAATGTCTGCCAAATGTCGGATACTGCACTTGCCACGCATAGACGACAACGGGCAGGTATCTGAGTGCATTGAGGCAAAGACGACTCTTGTATCCTGAACACGACGTTGAATATCCTTAGGACGATAGAACCAGTTGACACGAACAGCTTCGACTGGGCTGTTGGAGGTGTTGTCCACGTGTAAGAATTCCATGATTCTGCCCAAGTAGTATGGATCTCCAGGCGGCTCACAGATGAAGTACATATGATCGTTGACTCCAATCGCCGTACCATCATCAGCCACAAGCTGCTGCCTATTGTTTAACCTTGCCTTGCTATTGCTAAAGCTCAACACATTCGTTTCGAGAAACTGCGGTCGGTGCGTGGCGAAGGACTTTGGGGTGGACACTGGAGGAGGAGGCGTCGATTGTGCAGCCGGCACAGTAATATTGCTGCCAGGCTGTTTCCGTTTCTTCGAAGTTGGGACAGGAGGTTGCACCGAGGTATGCGTGCCGTTAGCCAGTGCTGTCGAGGAAGATGCGGGTGCCATGGCAGCACCATTTGCGACAGCGAAACCATTGCGCGCAGGGACGACCTCCTGCGCAGGAGGAGGACCAGATGCAGCGTTCAATTTCTTAGATCCCTTCGAGTATCTGCCAGCAGCCTCTATCTCGGCATCGATTTCTTTATCGTCGGCATAGTTTGGGCGTGCACGACCGGATTTACGCGATCTGGTACCGTATGTGGCAGACAGACTCCCGATATTATCATGACCATTGATAATGTAGTGGTCAGCAGTGAGAGCCGAAGCATCAATAGGCTGCGGTTCGTGGGCAGATTGTGATGTAGCGGCTTCAGGTGCGGGAGTCAGATCACTGCTAGCTGCAGTTGGACTTGGCGCGTTTGAGGACGAAGCGCGATCGAAATCACCCAGATGGGTGGCCGACTCCGAAGCCGCACCAGCGACTGAAGTCGAAGACATGAAGCCTCAACTCACTCGATAATTTCGAATTTACGTGATGATTCTTCATTGCATGTCTAACATGAGACTTGCACACTCCCAATGATCATGGTCCCGAGGCTGGAAGTAGTCGTTGGCGCCGAATATTAGGGAAACCCGAGTCGATAGTATCTAAGAAGTGTTCAGATGTGAGGATGACCAAACTTGAGCGGCTGAGGAACGAAAAGGAAGTAATAGTAGAAGAGATGTGGTCGTGAATATCGTGAAGGGCAAGCAGGAAGAATGGAGGAAGCGAAGAATGTGGCAGTCGGACAAGATAGATGAACTAGACTGAGAAGTGGATCCCTGTTTGGTGACTGAAGGAGGGAACCACAGTTGTAGAGGCTTCTTCTCACGTGCCAGGTAGTTATAGAGATGTTGACGCGAGCTTGGCGGCACAGCAAACTAGGACATGCTGAATACTGTGCAAACAGAATCAGTTCGCGATGTTGCAAGAAGAGGAATCTGGATGGCCAGGATCGAGAAGACGAGAAAGACAATTGCGCAAAGTTGCGAGAGGACGGAACAGATCAGAGGGAAGAAGCTAAAAAGCTAAATACGTAGCGAGACCAAGCGCAAGGCCAGGAAAGCATCTGAGAGCAGAAGAGAGAGACTCGCCGTGACGGCGGTTTCCACTTCTAACGAGTTTCCATGTATGCATAGCCTGTCAGGTGCGGATGAGCTAACTCAAATGGTCCAAAGGTCAGAAGGAACGAGTTGCGCTTCAGGCTCCTGTTCTGTCAGACAAAACACGGATTATTGTTGTTGCAGGAATCGCACCACAGTTAGGGTACGACGTGTCATTCCATTATGCCCAGAAAGTGACGAGCATGAGCAGTATCGACAATAGGACGAAGTTTCAGCGGCAATGGAAGCCAAGAGAGATCAGCCGAAAGCCGTGTTCCGTTCTGTGTCTGGCTGTTCTACAAGATGGAATCAGTGAGCACCAGCGTATCGTTCTGAAGCCCATACTCTATCGAACAGAGTGAGAAAAGAAGACAGGCGGCAACAGAATGCTTGCCCCGACTTTCTTTGTTCCTAATCTTCCAGCACCGTGGTTCGCTGCGGGAGGAGATGCGGTTGCGAAGTGGATCTGAGCTTGGAAGCAAGACCTGCTTGGCGCCACGAAATCCCTGCAGCTTCTTCTTCTCACTTCCCACCTCAAATTCAACCTCACAACCGATGAACTTCCCGGCGCGATCAAGCATACAACACCAAACATAAGGCTACCATCATGTCAATTGCTCAATCGAAGTGCTTGCATTGTGGTCGTATTTGGTCTTCGATTGCCTGTTCATTGAGTCTTGAGACCTCGGAGAACAGTGCCGACAAGATTATTGACACATTCTTTCTTCTCTGCTCATCTGAACTCGTTTCCAACATTCCACGCTCTGACCAGCTTCTAGCTGACTGATGTGATTCATGCACACAATTCGCATGCCATATCGAAACTTCGATGTTCCACCCAAGTGCGCTTGTATCGCGACGAGTCTCCAAACAAAAGGCAATCGATCACTACCCACTTTCTTGTCCAGTTGACTTTATGCTGATGACAAGCTCACTATAAAGCTGTGGCTCGAGGTCACGAGCGAAAGCAGGGTAATCTTTGACGTTGTGCTTGTGGCTTGTTTTAGACTTTGCGCTTTCCCATGTAGGAAGTAGCGTCCGGTTGTTCCTGCTTCGAGTTGTCGCGTAGAGCGTTGCCACAACTTTGTGCAACTCATCACGATGAACCTTCGACTTGAGTGCTGCCTTCAATTTGAGCGACAGAAGCCTTGCCATTCGGTTGGTAAGAACTTCCAGCAACCATGATAAATCTTGGTCACTTTTGCTGTTCTGGTACTCTTGTCGCTGGGACAAACTTGTACACTTGACGCGCCTGATCTGCGAGAATTGATGGCAACACTCGGTCAACCACGAAACTTTAGATCTGCTGAACCTATTAGTCTGCATAACAATCTCGTCACTTCGGTGGACCTCACCAAACAACAGAGGTTCAAAACCAGCTCCTTGGCTGGAGGCAAACGTTCCTTCGAAGCTGTCAATAATGGTGCTGCTCATGTCCTCAATGCTCATCCTCAAGGACAGTTTAGAGCAAGCAAAATCATCAAATGTTCTCCTGACGACGTGGAAAATGTTCAGATCTATAGACCAGGTTCAACACCGAGTGTGACGCAACATCCTTTGTTATCGTTAGCACATGCGAATTACAACCTACCGTCACAATTGGTGAGAAACTTTGAGATCCTTGGTGTTCGAGCAATTTATCCATGGCAATCATCATGCTTGATGCGAAGTGGCGTTTTGACTCAATCAAAAAACCTTGTATATACGGCTCCTACAGGCGGCGGTAAATCGCTGGTGGCAGACATTGTGCTACTAAAGAAAGTCATATGTAACCCTCCAAAGAAAGGTCTCCTGATTCTTCCTTATGTCGCTCTAGTCCAAGAGAAAACAAAATGGCTGCGAAAGTTGGCAGAGGGACTTCACAAAGAGGAGCCTGACGTCCCCGGTCCCAAGCTCAGGACCAGATTGCGAGATGTGGTTGTCGCGTCGTTCTATGGCGGTAGCAGGAGCAAAGTCACCTGGTCTGACTGCGACATAGCTGTATGCACCATCGAGAAGGCCAATATGCTCATAAACACTGCTATCGAGGAAGGTATCATTGGCGATCTAGGTATCGCAGTCTGTGACGAGCTACATATGCTTGATGATGAACACCGTGGTTACATACTTGAGCTAATGCTAACCAAGCTGTTGACTTTACAATTAGATATTCAGCTCATTGGCATGAGTGCAACTCTAGCTAACCCAGAAGTTCTTGCTGGCTGGCTTGAGGCCAAATTCTTCGTCGCAAAATATAGACCAATACCAATACACGAGCACGTTGTCTACGATAATGCCATCTATCCGAATGGAATTTTGGGTGAGCCTTTGAGGACAGCAAGTCAGCTCGATACCTCCACACAAAGACTCCGACAACCAACACGCCGGATTGAGGCCTCACTTCACCAGGAGATGTCTAACCCAGTCACGAACGCAGTGGTCGCCCTGGCAGTAGAGATCGCGGAACAAGGATATGGCGCGCTAGTATTCTGTGGTAGCAGGTCATCCACTCAATCAATAGCGGTGTTGATAGCGAGATGCCTGCACCACGTGTTCGTCCCTTCTAGCATTAGCGAGTCAAGACTCGACGCGCTAACTTCGTTACAAACACTTCCAGGTGGCTTCGAAACTGCTCTGTCTGAAACAGTACCGTACGGTGTAGGTTTTCATCATGCAGGTCTGACGGCTGAGGAAAGAGACATCCTTGCGGAAGCCTACGATAATGGTACATTGAAGGTCATTGTGGCAACGTGCAGCCTCGCAGCTGGAATCAATCTGCCAGCCAGAAGGGTCATCCTCAATAGTGCCAGGATGGGTCGAGATATGGTTGGGCCTGCTATGCTACGACAAATGCGAGGTCGAGCAGGAAGAAAGGGCAAGGATGAAGTCGGAGAGACTTATCTTTGTTGTCAGAAGCTTGAGCTCGAACCTGTTGCCGAATTGTTAGAGGCTGAGCTCCCAGCAGTCGTAAGTTGCCTAACGCCAGAGAAGAGAGGTGTGACGCGGGCCATTCTAGAAGTTCTCGCAACCAGAATGATCTCGACATACGAAGGTCTCCAAGAGTATGTCCGACATTCACTTCTATGGCACACTGTTCCAAACCATAAGATGGTTCTGGACATGCTCGATGCAGCCATACTTTCTTTGCTAAAGGACAAGCTTATCGAGGTTTCTGATCTCGACACGTATCTACCTACACCGCTAGGCAGTGCTATTGTTGCCTCTGGCTTGACACCTGAAGCTGGTCTTTTCGTCCACGCTGATCTACGTCAAGCTCTAACCTCCTTCGTGATGGACAGCGAGATACACCTCTTCTACCTGTTCACGCCCATACCTCAACCTACTACAGGCATGGCCATGACACAAGACGTCAGTTGGCCAACATTTCGAAATCTTCTCGAGCAGCTTGATGACTCCTCCATTCGTGCCCTGCGTCTCATCGGCATAAACCCAGCTCTTGTCAATCGTCTTGCTAACGACGGTCTCGACAACCTACCAGAACGTAACGAGGAAGAACTCCGTACCGCAAGAGTTTACCGGCGTGTATATTCAACCTTTGCACTACGAGACATATGCAATGAGGTCCCCATAAACACAGTCTCATTAACATACAATCTCCCCCGAGGCACCATCCAAAACCTCGCACAATCATGTCATGGCTTCGCAGCTGGCATGATCAAATTCTGCCAACGCATGGCCCAACCCATTCTCCGAACACCACCACAACCCAACGACACCATCATCAGTCCAGATGCACAATTCATCGCACAAGCAGGCACACCCTTCCACGGCGCCGGCAGATCCGAACTAAGCACAAGCGAAGCAAGCGGGTTCTCCATGCTCGCCGCCGTCCTCGAACACATGCAATCACGCCTCTACGCCGGCGCAAGAGCCGACCTCCTCGAAATGGCACAGGTGACCTTCGTCAAGGGTCGCATGGCACGACTCCTGTATGAAGCAGGCTTCAAGAGCGTCAGGGCACTTAGTGAGGCTGACGCGAAGAAGGATATTCTGCCGATCATGATGCAGATCTCTGGCTGGAAGTTGAGGCAGATTGAGCGGGAGTCGAATAATATGCAGAGTGAAGAGGGCGACCCTGCTGCCGAGGGGAATGTGAACAGTAAAGAGCAGATATATGAGATGCGAAGAAAGAAACTGGAGGAGAAGATGTTGAGGAAAGCGGAGATCATGGTGCGAAGCGCTGGGTTCATCTATGAGAGGGAGGTTTTGGGGAGTGTGGATCTTGAGGGGTGAATTCTTGGTTCGGGTTTTTGGTACTGGGATTGGTCAGGTCACGTTGTGTATATGGAAAGGATAATTGCATTGGTGTCGCTGGTATTAGATTCTTGAGAAATATTCTGGTTGGTTAGATTGTATGTATCGAAGATACACCACCGTAGAAGAGTTTCAAGTCCCATGTTGCTTTTCTAATGCCTGTCCATAAGCAACCAGCGCCATTTGATGCCATGTCTTGCTGAACTCTTCACATATGCAAAGTCCTCTTAATCTATTCAGCCTCGTCTTCCTCATCGTCAATGACCCTCCTCTTCTTCCTGGCCTGTCGAGGACTTTGCCTAAGTAACTCATCATCCGGCTCACCCTCGGCATCATCATCGTCAATCTCATCCATGGTCCGCCGTTTCGGTGTACCAGCTCTCTCTTTCCTGGGCCTTTCACGAATCTGCTTGTCAGCCCTGTCCAGTTCATCGTCTTCTTCCTCTTCATCGTCGAGCAGGGAATCACCGTCTCCGTACTGTTCTGGTTCTTCATCGCTGTCGGCGACAAAGTCGTCGGCCCTGTCATATTCATCTTCTCGAGTGCGGCCACGAGGCATGGTTTCGTCTTCGTCGTCGCTGTAGATCTCACCGTGGCGGTTGACTTTGCGGCCTTTTTGCTTCTTTTTGCCTCTGGAGACGGGCATGCCCATGTCGTCTTCGAGGCCGGCTACGGATAGACCGCCGCCTGCACGACTACCGCCAAGTCCACGACCAAGCACGTTATTGCGTTTCATGGTCAGACGTTCTTCTGCGTTCTCTCTTTTTCGCTGAGCTCGGATTCGCTCTTTTTCGAATTGTTCTGCGGCTTTTCGGGCGAGTTCGGGGTCCTCCTTAAGCTCTTTCATTCTTGATAGGGGATCTTCGACCTGTGAAGCACGAAGCATGTTTCGCAGTCTGAGCTCGGATTCGTCTGCTGTACCGCCTGAAGGAGCAATCTTCATGGTCGCGTCGAGGCGGTGGACAAGTTGTAGGTCGATTACAGGTGTGCTATGGGCTGCTGCTAGGTAGGTAAGGGAGTCTTTTGAGGGATCGTAGTGTACACCAGGAGGTAACTGCTTGTTGAAGTCTTGTCGCATTGGAAGAGCGTTCACTGAGTACTGCTCAGTGGGTTTCGTAGCGAGCTGTAAAGTGAGTGAGCCATCTGACCAGCGAACAAACCGAGCTGAAGACTGTAGTTGTGACTGGTCTGCTGGGTCGTACCGCCAGAATATCGAAGACATTGCGGTTGAGAACGCAGAGGTTTGACGTTCCTTGTCACCGTCGTGTGGTCCTTCTGGCAATTTGTAGGTCTCAGGATCGAAGCATTTCTGCTCAATACCCAAGAAAGCAGGCATGTTCAACAGGTAGAACTCATCTCCTTCTGGGTAATTGATTCGAGGTACATCGCAGGCTAATATTCTGAGAGGTCTGCCCTTGTCCTTTTCATCCTCGTCTTCTTCGACTGTCGTTGCGACACGATCGTCTCGGTTCAGGTCGTCGCCAGAGTCTAATTCTTCATCGTCAAGGGCCCTTTCTGGTCTCTGTTTTTGGACCACATCTTCGTCATCATCGTCCCCGAACAGATCCGCGTCGTCATCTTCCTGAGATCCAGCGTCCTGCACTAGATCTGGTGTGTCCTCTGCCAGCAAGGAGTCCGCCTGCATGTCTGGACGAGGCTCCTCGATATCGGACATGTTTCTAATCGTGTATTGTGACGAAGAGAGATTACCACGTCCAAGTCATAGATCCACTATTGCTGAAGATGGATCTAGCTAGACACAGGCTGGAGGGGAGTGGTCAGAATGCGAATTGCAGTAATCACTTGTCCTTGGATCGCGCTGCGCGTAGGACAATCCTGCAGAATGTTGTGCAACTCCGCCAAACTTGACCGATGTTTAGGCGCAGGGGATTTGGAAAATGGATAGTCTCGATCGCGGGCCGCACCTGCATGATTTGGGCCCGAGCGACCTAAATGGGGGGTTCTGGTTTCCTTATAAGGAGGTTTCAATATGGCTATCACATGTGGCTGCTACTTGCAAACAAATTGAGGTGAAGTCAGTGAAGGTGAAGTTCAGGTGAAAGAGTGACAGCAACATCAGTGTCTGATCACATCCGCTACCATGACTTCGTTCTTTTCTACTGTGTAAGTTCCTGTCTACTCCTCGATATTGGTCTTCCTCCAGACCGACACTGCCATGACCAAGTGGACAGTCCCAGTACCTTCTCTTCTAAGACCTTTACAGCCTGCTAATACTTCTGATGGCTACAGGCGTCAAGGCTTCGGCCGTGGTAACACAAAAAGCCAGCAGAATCTACGTGAGAAAGCAGGCTACTCACCCACTTCGAATAATGCACCTCCCATGCCCGCTCTAGTCAACTCTCCCTCAATCTCGTCAACGCATAGTGCTGCGTCAGATGATGTCTACCAAGAGCAACCTAAGAAGTTTCTGAACCCGGTCTATGCAAAATGTTCAGTAAAGGGCAACTTCTTGACACTGGCTGCTCAGCCAAAGAATGTCGAATTGGGTGAATGGCTGGCACATCAGGGTAGAGAACACAATCTTTGAGAAATAGATGGTACTGACAGGGACAGTTGTGGAAATGAATAGACTGTTGACTGGCTTGATACAAGTAATTCAAGAAGTTGACACAAATACTGGTATTGCACTATGCAATGAGCATACCTGCCCAACTATGTCGGCGGGAAGGTACGTACCTACCACAAGTGAACTCTGTCTGTGCTGACCTAGAACAGACTGACTTACACCTGGCTTGAGAATGGCAGGCCTGCGAAGATTCCAGCACCGTCGTACATCGTCCGAGTTCAGAGATGGATAGTTGGCAAGATTCATGACCCAAACGTCTTCCCTACCGAGCCTCCTCCTTCGATAGCTGCCACAGCCTTTATATCCGGCGATACAAATAGCAATTCTCCTGTTCCAGGAACACCAATAGCAGCTGGTCCAACCAATTTGAGTCAGTCACAACTGTCGGGTAGGGACGACTGGGTTGGCAAAGCATCTGGTTTTCACCAAAACTTTCACAACGACACAAGGGGTATCATTAAGCAGATGTTCAGATGCTACGCTCACCTTTACCACAACCACTACGAGAACCCATACTGGCATCTGGGTAGACACCTGGAGCTGAACAGCTGTTTTGTTCACTTCATGACCGTCGCCATGTATTACGATCTTCTGCCCAAGAAGGATATGGAGCCACTGCAAGGTCTCGTCGACATCTTTATTAGTCAGGGTGTTATTCCGAAAGAAGCGGTTCAGCAGCATCAGAGTTGATCACAATGCTTTTGAGGAGTCTAGCAGCCATGGTCTGGTTCGAGGCAATTCCCAGATGGAGAGAGTATTACAGTAATGGCGCTACGTTGAACATGGTATGAGGGTATGAGGGTATGATCTGATTGAAGCATCATCTGATATTTCAGCATTTGCTCGGCGTTCTGAAGCATACGGTTGGGGACGGTCTTTCTCGTCCCGTGTTATGGAATACGGATTACAGCCAGTTCGTTGACATATATTTTCAGACGCATTGTCTCAGATTCGTCAGATGAGTCTGCTAGCCAGGAACAATGCTGAGTCTGAAAACGTGTTGCTCACAAAACCTAGTATTCAAAAAGCAGTCAAAACTATTCTCTGGGCTTTCCGACATCCCACTCTCTGACCTCACCTCGTCTAGACCACTTCACGTCGCCTGGATTACGCTCGGCACTGTCATCCGCGTTACTGAGCAACCCCTTTTCCCATTTGGATATGTCTGCTTCGCTAAACCCAGCCTCACGCATCCTGGAGCTTTGATTCTTTTGGTATCTTGCACGATCACGCAACGCTTCGAGCGCCATGTCCCAATCTTCGGCATCATTGTCATGAGCTGAGTCCAAAGAAACGTCTTGAGAAGGATCATAATTTTCTGCTAAGCGATCGTTCATGCCTGCCTTTCGACCATAGGCACCTCGTCCTCGCACTCGAACCTCGTCTTCTGGCATTGTCCTGGAAGTTAACGGGCCTTTCGCAGCATCTTCCTGACCTAGATTACGAACAGGTGGACTGAGACCTTTTGAGCGTACCTTGACATGATCTCGACCTTTGCTTCGGCTCTTGTGGACAGGCGCATCAAGTTCGGAGGCTGAAGATAGGCTCTCGTCGCTTTCATGCCGGCGTAACCTCTTCCTATATTCTTTCACTTTGGGCGACCTCGACCTTGATCTTCCCTCAGAGCTGTAGTGTGTGCGCAAGCCATTTCTATGAACGTCTTTCTCCACACGACGGTTTCCTAAGCTTTGTCTATCTTTGTCACTCCTCACACTGCTCCTCTTCTCAGATTGTACAGCCGAGATTATGTCCCTGAACATACGCTTGCCCTTTGACTTGTCACTCTCGTCTGCGCGTCTCCGCTTGCGTGGTCTGTTTCCATCATTCCCAGTAGCGTGTAAACTCTCCAGCCTCCGAGCAGCCTCAGCCTCTTCTTTTCTCTTCAGTACGGCATTGTGGTGATCTACCTCACGCACTATATGACTCAGAAAGCGAGTATTAGGCTTCGGCGCGTCGGCCGCTCTGCGTCTAGGAAGAAACGCTGAAAGTCCTTCGGAGGCATATTTGCGGGATGTCTTCTTTGCGTCTTCGGCTAGTAATTTTGCGACGTAGTCATCGTTCAGGTCGTCATCTCGTAAGGACATCTAAGGGACTTCCAGCAAACACTCTGGCAGACGAGTTGCTAGAGAGGTGTGGACATACTTGAAGAAGCACAAACGCTGGTTGTGAGGAAGGCACAGCCCACGTAGTTGTAATCAGTCGGTAAACTTCCCCACGCGAACGGATCACGCCTGCGCGTCGTGCACCGAAACCCTGATTAATTTCAGGTTCCTGGCTTGCAGGTCAGAATTTCACAAAGTTTATACATCATCTATTCAATCTACTCGAACTACCTCAACTTTATCCACAACCACCTTTCTTAGCAGTTGAGCTCGGTCGCATACACTTGGCCATCAACACAGTTCATGTCATTTTCCTCTCAACCATCGCATCGGCCTCTGGCAGGTTCGCAAAGTGCAGCGGAGGAGAATCTGATCAATCAGTCACGCGAGACTGGTGAAGTCGTTCCAAGTTCAGAGTCACAGAATGCTCGACAGATAACAAAGGGCGAGCCCACTGCTAAGCCATGGGCTCATTTTGTGGCGGGAGGGTAGGCTTACTCTCTAGGTTTTGCAAACCAGGTGGCTAACAAGTAATAGGCTCGGTGGCATGACGGCAGCGACCTTGACTTCACCTTTAGACGTCCTGAAGACCAGATTACAAGGCGACTTCTACCAAACTCAACTTAAGCAGCTACACGCTCAGCATGCTGCACCTCCTCGATCTGCCCTGATACGTGTGCCTCGAGCAGCGTTTGTCCACCTCCAAGAAACTGGTCAGATGCTAGGATCAATCTATCAGCATGAGGGCTTTCGCGCACTCTTCAAAGGTCTGGGTGCGAACTTGATTGGTGTGGTGCCGGCTCGATCTATAAACTTCTTTGTCTATGGGAATAGCAAAAGGATATTGAATCAGCAGTTCAATCCAGATAATAAGGAAGGTATATGGAGTATACATATCGCGGCAGCAGCAACAGCTGGTATCGCAACTGGAACAGCCACAAATCCAATATGGCTGGTAAAGACTCGATTACAATTAGATAAGAACAGAGCAAGCGATGACCCTACTCGAAGCAGACAATACAAGAATAGCTGGGATTGTGTGAGACAGACCGTTCGTCATGAAGGTATCCGCGGTTTATATCGCGGCCTGACAGCATCTTACCTAGGCGTCACGGAGTCGACCATGCAATGGGTTATGTACGAGCGCATGAAGCTAGGGCTAGCACGACGTGAGGCTCGAAGATTAGCAACGCCAGGTTACCAACGAACTCTCTTTGACGACGTAGAGGAATGGGCGGGAAAGTTTTCCGCTGCCGCAGGAGCCAAACTGATCGCTGCTGTTGTTACATATCCTCACGAGGTTGTGCGTACACGGTTACGGCAGGCTCCGACTGTGATCACCGACACCGGAAAGGCGACAGTAAAATACACTGGCTTAGTTCAGTGTTTCAAGCTTGTCGCCAAAGAAGAAGGAATGGCTGGTCTATACGGCGGTATGACTCCTCATCTACTACGAGCTGTACCATCTGCTGCGATTATGTTTGGCGTTTACGAGGTCTTCTTGAGGGTTTTCGGCACAACTGCATGAGTCAAGTGCTTCGGTATTACATTTCACAACAGATGTGTTATTGCATCAAATGGGCTCGTTCTGTACAATATGCTTATAGACTGGATATGGAGCGGATACCAAGGTACATTACGTATAATGATATTCATCCCTGCTCGAGGTGCTATTTGAGCTCGCTGGCAGGTACAACGGCGCTTCTACTTTGGCTCCGGAAGAGAAGTTTCATTCGAACGAGTTGAGATTTCATCTACACAGATCATCCCATGCCTCGTATTGATTCGACGAGAAGCCGGTGTTAACGATAAGTCGAGATATTGGATCGACATTGCGTCTGATCACGAATTTGAAGCGCATACAGCCGTGGTCATATCAACTTAAGTCCGAATACGTGGAGTTTGAATTCTCTCTCTTGCTGATCTCTCTAAAGTTTGTTTGTCATCAATCATCAAGTGACCCGAGTGCCGCTCTCATGTTGCCCTACGAGTGAACTATGTAGTCAGGAAATAACTTCTGAGCCCGATTGGATGCGCGACGATCACTTTTGTCGTTCTACCTTGCATGGTGCTGTGGCTGCGATGGTGAGCTGGACTACAGCGTAAGCCAGAAACTGTATTCCGCGAGAACTATGAGTAATCACCGAGCATAAAGTTGTTTGTCTTCCGCTGGATTCAGTTCATCTGGCTCAAGTTACATGCTACTTGACGACTAGCAACAAGCAATAGCCTGAACATTGGTGAGCTCAGCAACCTTTCAATCCAAGGAACAAGCACAATGACAAAAGTACTGGTTACAGGCGGCACAGGCTTTATCGCAGCACATATCATTGTCCAACTGCTGGAACGAGGCTACCATGTTGTCACGACTGTACGAAGCGACGACAAGGGGAGATCTGTCTTGAACGTTCACAATAGCACGGACGTCAAGGACAGATTGAGCTACAAGATTGTGAAGGACGTGGCTCAACCTGGTGCTTACGACGAGGCTGTGAGGTCAATTGCGAACCTCGACTTCGTGATACATGCCACATCACCAGTTGTCTTTAGTGTTGAAGATCCTGTCAGGGACATGCTTGAACCTGCAGTGAACGGCACCACAAACATACTCAAAGCTGTGAAAGCTTATGCTCCTTCCGTGAAGCGTGTGGTGTTGCTGTCGTCTTATGCAGCGATGAGGGACGATGACAGGAAGCCTCCGCCAGTTTACGATGAGTCATGGTGGAATCCAATTACCTGGGAGGAAGCTGTGCAGAACCCGAAGAAGACATACCAAGGAAGCAAAGCGCTCTCCGAAAGAGCGGCTTGGGATTTCATGAGAGACGAAAATCCATCTTTCGAACTGGTCGCAATCCATCCTTCGCGTGTTTTCGGTCCTGCAGCACCACATCTGATTAGAGGAGAGCTTGACAAAGTGAACACTACCAATATGGTCATATTAGACATGGTACAAGGCAAGATGAAGGACAAGCTCGAGCCGACGGGATTTTACAGCTGGGTTGGCGTTCGCGACGTGGCCCTTGCACATGTTCGAGCCCTAGAGGTACCAGAAGCAGCTGGTAGGAGGTTCTTCTTGATCGCTGGATACCACTCGAACAAGGAAATTGTCGAGATCATAAAGTCAATGAGCCATGAGCCATGAGCTTGCGGTAAGATTACCGGCCGACCTGGATAAATTCGAGGTTGATATACCTGGCCCAGGTGAACGATATGGATTCGATAACAAGCAGTCGAGAGAGGTGCTTGGTATCGAGTACGCGTCTCTGCAGACCACCATCAAGGAGACAGTTGAATCGTTTGTAAAGCTAGGAGCTTGATGTCACGGGGTGTCTCTGGCAGAAGCGTCAAGATGTCGTCCAGACACGTGTTGATCGAGGAAAGGTTGAGGTACATTCAGGTAAAAGCGTCTACCACAATGATCGAGGTCTTTGCCGGAGAGTGACGCGCGATATTGTCCAGTCACCACGTGATATTGGCTTGACATATTGGGCTTCGAAACAAGTACTGCCTCAAGCAGGAGGGTGGTCGCTGCTCGTGACCATATGTATGCATCGCCCGCGCTTCATTGCATAACCAAAGACTAGCTGCGGACTGTAGCCGCCATGGAGTTGTCTTCTCTGCGAGGCAAACTCACCTTGAGACTTGTGAACAGCCAAATCACCCAAGGCAGTTTGCGTGATGGCCATGTTAGAGGCCGGGCTGAGCCTGTGAATACTCGCAGAGGTCTGAGCTCAAAGTGTTAGGTGTATCGAACTGCTCTCATAGTCTCTATACAGCTCAAGAAGAACCGTATTAATTGAGAACATATTCGTCTCTGCTGCTGTCAACCCTTGTGCCAGCAATGACAGTAACTTCAGTCCTAAAAATTCAGTTCTATAAATAATGGGTCATGAGAATTGACTTCGAGTAAGCCCAGCACCAGTTTAGTAACCAAATAAGCTGCAGGTGTAAATTCATGCGTGTCTATGTTGGAAGACTTGCAGAAGTAGTGCCGTAGTTTGATGGATAGGATATCCAATGTCAGGAATGAACGTGGCAGTTTAAGGTTGAAGAAACGCCAACAATATCTGCTGGGAAGTGCTCTTTCCTTCACGTCCAATCACGACGCGTATTGCCGTGATATCATAAAATGCCGCCTTCTATGGTTGAAGAGCATTTCAAACCAGCAACTGAATTTCTGGCAGTCGCGATTCGGGCGCTTAATCACACTCGAAGCTGCCTTGTGTCGGCAAACGTTTCTCACACCTTCCGCGATCTAGTGAATTGTCTCAATATGAGGTACATCGTACAAACAAGCTCGACGAAACGAGAGAGATCAACAACATCTACCTCATATATGCCAAGGCAGTGTCGTGACCTGAAAGATGGTAGACAAGGATCATGGAAGCGCACGAAATTCCAGATCGACAATGGCACTTCTTTCCATGTGAAGGCTCAGGACTTGCTCATACGAAGTCTCCTCATATCTCAAGCCTTTCTCGTCAAGTCCACAGTGTAGCTCCGTGGAGCTTTCCCGTTCGCTCGGCTGATTTCAATAGGATCCTCTTGTGGATTGCTCCTCTACTCCGATAATGTGCCGTTTCATCCAAGGCCAAGGCCTTCTTGACAACCACCTCGAAACGCGCCTACGATAAACCCTGTTGATTGCGGAAGACAGCCCTCTGCAGCTTGAACTCCACCACTCGAACTAAGACGGCCAGTACAGGCAAGTTCCTTCTGCCTAGTACGATCTACCATGATGGATCTCAAATGGACAGCGCTTGTGGATGACCTTGTAGTCTTCACCTCTGGAAAGCCTGATGTTTCGAACTGTATACTAACGACTGACGGGTATCCCAGCGGCGTATAATTCTAATGTGTTTCGACCTCCTACGACCTCAATGGGTGGATTAAGCACAATTTCTTGTCTCTGCTGTAGCTAGGCAGTGCTTGTTAAAAGACAGGTTCTCGGTCTGGCAAGAATCGAGGACATCTTATACAATCCAACCTCGTTCTCAGTGAAGAGTGCAGATCAATATTCCTCGGTGCCAATTAGCATTAAACCTCGCAAAGAGCGTCGATCATATTTGGAAATGCTTGCTTGTCATCCTGTACTAAACTTTCCTTTAGCCGACGAGAAGGACTACCTTGATTACTACGGTCAAAACTGCCTGCCTATCCCTCAACTTACTCGCTACAAAATTGGCGCAACACCGTCCAGGCTCGCCAAACATCGTACACCTCTAGTGAATTTGCAGAATTTGTTTTCCCAGCAGCGAGACAACTCGTGGACGCACGACCATACCGAGTCACAGATGCAGCATTATACAACTACGCCTCTAGCACGGAACTGTTCTACACATACTAGCAATGAGCGAGATGAACATGAACCTGCTTCAGGTCTTGGGATCACTACCGACGAGAACGGCTTCAATGTCCCATACCACAAGCCGAGTATAGGTCAGGAATCAGAAATGGCCTTTCCACCCTCTATTCGATCAGCCACACCCCTAGTTCCACGGAATTTGTCCTCACCCTTCGATGAACAGTATTATACACCGCTCTCAGGTTTCAGTAGTTGTCATCCTGATAATACATGGAGTGGCAACGTCCCGAGCGTGTACGCAGTCACTCCTAACCATAATTTTCTACATCCTCAGGACGCCATTACACCTTCATACTACTCTGCATCTCCGATAGACTTCGACGATAGCTCACTCCATAACACTATGCAGGACGGAGACTTCAAACGACCTGTTCTCAAGTATCGCTCGAACACATCCATCGCATCTCCTCACGCAAGAAACTATTATGCAACGCCAGTATTCGATCCTTCGTCCACTCAATGGATGTCACATTATGCAAGTCCTGGGTGGGAAGAGCACTCGGATCATCCTCAAAGCTACACTCAGACACCTATGGTAACACCAGATTACTCAACATACAACGGCACTGGCCACATTACGCACACATCTCATCCACATCCCGCTACAAGATCTGTTACGACTTACCCTCTTCGCAGGAAGCCGCACTTACGTCCTAGCCTGTCAGAGAGCTGCGTTACACGCGTCTCATCTCCCGCAAGAATGCGTACAATATCGATGGCCTATCCACAACATGCACCATTTTTCGAGCAGCATATGCCCAATGGTATGGAACAGCAACTACCTCTACCTCCTCTACCTCCGAGCGTTTTGATCAACACACCTCAAATGCCCATGCACAGTGTGATATTACCGGGTACACCTCTATCAGCATATCGATCAAGTCGTAGCGTTTCGAGTACTCCGCAGAACTGCAAACTACCGAGTTCGCCACCTCCCTCAGATTTCGAGAATGCAAATGCACCGTATCTCATTCCTATTCGACAGGAGCCTGCATTCCCAGGTGACCTCTATACTCCAAGATACAAAAGACGTACAGCAAATGGCAGATGGGAAGGTTGGTGTGGGCATTGCCAGCCGGGACGCTGGTTGGATCTCAAGAACAGTAGATACTGGGAGGACAAACTACGAAACCATGGTATCTGTGCAAAGACGAAGGCTAAATTCAACGAGCCAGAAAAAATTAGGTGGGTTGCGCCTGACGGTTCAGCTTTGCCTGAGCATGGGCTGGACTTAGACAACGGCGACCCTTACCTCGACCAAAAGAAAAGAGAAGGCTTGTGTGGTGTTTGCAAGACATGGATTTCCATGGACGGCATGCGAACGAAGGCCAGATCTCGAGCAGTCGGGTGGTGGATGCACGCATACAAGGTGAGACCCCTAGAAAACAAAGCTGGCCCAATCTAACCTGACTGTTTAGTGCCACAATCACGACAAACCAACAGAAGCATCAGCGTCGGCAGGCTGAGAGAATAGTTTGTGGAAATTCGAGTTTGACGTGCTCGTTCGCGTTGAGCCCCTAGGCAAATCAACATAATGGAAGTTCTCAATACCTTGTCGCCAGATTCGCGAATCTTGCACGCATGACTTGACCAAATCTGCGAGCTATTCGATCCACAACAAGCAAGCGTGCTGTGGGCCAATTTCTGATAGGCTCGGTGAATAGCGACTTGTAACACGACACATAAGCGTCCGGGGAGAACCATGTACGCTTTTTCGCAACAGCGCATCCTGGCCCGACTCGAAGATACTTTTCTTGTACTTCGAAACTCATCGTTGCAATCTCCAAATCCTACAAAAGTTTCTGCTGAGCAAGAGGTACGTACCAGTCACACCACTGTTACGGCCCCCAACTTCAAGTCTATGCTGGAATGTGATAGCTTGATGTATCGGCAACCGATGCCGACTTATCGCCGAGTGACACCTTGTCGTGTCAAGCCAGGAGTACACCATCGGGTCAATAAGGGCCTAGCCCAGCCACAATTGTCGTATACTGTGATCCGGGATCTAGCTTCTACCATATTCGGAATGCTTCCGGATATTATGTTTTGTTCTACAAGAGACTCCTACACAATCCGCGAAGAGCTAGCTATATAGAGATATGATCACAGCATTGACAGAACTGTACTTGTGTCATGACGAAAAGCCACTTCTTAATCTGGAGTTCGCTTCGTCTCGCGCCGTATCCACATGAAATTTACCGAAAGAAAGTGGAGTCAGCTTCTTGCGTAATTCTCGTAGTACTCGTTTCGCTCTCTCGACCTCATAGTTACAGCAGAACCACCAAGCGAAGTCCTGACAAGCCTTGTTCACTTGCTTGGCGAACTCTCATCTTGTGCAAGAGAATGTCGTTGCAGCACGTAACAACCACGATCCTGCTAAAAGGGCTCACGAATGCGCATCTTTCACCTTGCATGAATTGGTTCGCCGAAGCTCGGCTAATACTTATGCACTAAAGTTTCGTCCATAGCGGAATCATTCTACATCGCATACCATGATGATTGGGCAGAAACCCCTAAGAAAGTGTCATGTCAATCGAGGATTATGTCTTGAGATGATCCAAAAAAGCTCGATCGCGGGAGGACAGATATCGAGAACGTGGATGGCATGGTACGTATCTTTGAGACGGACATTCCCGAAAGGATCTACTTGGTGTTTCATGGTAAGACAGACGATCAAGAACAATGACTGAGCATTGTGGCCACGTTCATATGGATACGATTTCGGTACTTGCCTTGTGCAAGTGTCGTATAGCTCATGGACCAGCGTATCGGGGGACATGACTCGGCACACCGACAGCGAGCTTCTAGCGTCGTACTGAGACGAGCGCTAGAAGTTTGTGGGTCTGCCCATGCCCCCTTCGGATGCCTTTCCTTCAGCCCGGTGCCACGATGTTACGAAGGTACTCGGCAGTGAGGATCTCTGAGGTAATGCAAGGCAGATTCGTGTTGGAGAGGACGACGGAAGCGCTCTTGATTACAAGGCTCATGACGGGCAGGTCCAGGGTCCTGTGGGTATGATAGATTCTGCACATGGAAGAATAACGAGGAAGAGGGCAAATACGGCACAATGGAACGAGACCTACCACTCAAGAAAAGCATTCTAGTCTTGCCGTTCTTCACCACAGCTGCGATTGTGGAGAGTGGCGGATCTTTGCCTCATACAGTCTCAGCACTTTCTCCCCCTCGTGTTTCGAATTTCCGTTGTCATTCGAGATAAGCTCAATCCTGAAAGCAGCTGCTGGTGCTGGGCTACCATGCGGATCATCGATAGCAGCCACGATTGCTATTGACTTTGGCATAGCTGCTGGATCAGCTGTATACGAGTCTAGACTGAGATTGTCAACCTGGTATGAAGGTGAAGTTCATAGGCCTCCTCGACTGAGCATCTGTCACAGAACCAAGAGCTTGTTATTGACCAAGAAGATCTCAATCCGATTGGGACGGTCAATGCCCGTGATGCTGACTCACCGCGTCGTCTCGTCCTTTCATGTGTTGATTGGGTATCTTGTGGTCTTGAGTACACGATGTTCGAAACCTGGATTACCACCTCTGATAGTCGGTCTTTCAAGGTCAAGTGGTAGCACTGCGTCAGTCGTTGGTCGCCACTGTGACTAAACTTCGCGACATTAGGCGTCCATTGTGCCCTGTTTGCTGGTCGTGAGCACGCTAGGGATAGCTACATTGTAGCGTCGGACAGCCACGTATCCCCGTATGCGTGTAGACTGTCATCTTATGCGCGATTTAAGGAAGTCATTGATAGGCCGCGTGGCTCTTCTGATAGCCAGTACCACGAAGATGAGGCTTCTCTGAGAACTGCTAGAGGAAGGCAGCCATAGTAGCTAGTGGTAGACCGAGCTTCAGATTTGTATTCGCCATAGCTTCCTCGATTGTTCGAGAGAGCTTCGACTTTATCAGCACAGTAGTAATCAAATATTGCCTATCCGAGTCTTCAATGTTGAGTGTAGCCGCAATCTTGCCTTCGTGAATGGCTGTTCTCAAAGTCAGAACATTGACTCTTCTCCTGGACTTGATGCCTTGAATGCCTGACAATGCCCGTGCTTGCAGCCTGAGGCAATATTAGCACGACGATCTCGAATTTCATGATCCAAGATTGAATGAGATACTGGTCTACAGAATCATGCAACACGGTGAGACATAAGCTCTTGTGAGCATTCTGGAGTCACGTAGTACCGTGCCCACCGTTCAAGGCGTCTTGACGCAATACCGAGTACCGCACAATACGAGAGAAGGGTGGAATAAAAATGTTGGAGACATAAATACATGATTAATACTCTTACACAGCCAATCGTCAAGCATCACGATGACAACCAACGGTAACCACGATGCCATCGACACATCGCGACCATCAGCAACATACACACCAAGCGGGCCACGACCCTACACCCTCAGCGTCGCCCTCCCAGGCTCCCTCATCCACAACGCCAAAAGCAAAGTCCTGCTCCGTACAGCTCTAGCAGGAGACATCGCACGAGCCCTAGCCGTCTTCTGCGTTGACGAAGTCGTCATCTTCGACGATGCCGATTCCAACCCCGAGGAATCGCGCAATTCACCACGGCCAGACAACACAAAGTTGACAGCAATCTCACACCCTGGACACTTCCTACAGTATATACTGAGTTACATGGAGACACCTCCATTCATGAGAAAACGGCTGTTCCCGATGCATGAGAATCTGCAGCATGCTGGTGTGCTGCCGAGTCTTGACATTCCAAGTCACCTGAGAGCTACAGAGTGGTGCGAATATCGTGAGGGTACTACGACGAGGAGCTCGAAGGAGGGGACATATGTTGATTGTGGGTTGAACGGTCGAAGACTGGTTCGTGGAGTTGAGATACCGCCTAACACCAGGGTTACGCTACGCTTAGAAAGCGAGAATGGAAACGAGGCTGAGGCTGTAGATCCCACGACGCCGAGGGTAGAAGGGGGGTATTATTGGGGTTACGACGTACGTGAGGCTGCAAGTCTGAGTGCTGTCTTTACGGAGTGTGGCTTTGAAGGTGGCTATGATTTGAGTATTGGTACTAGTGAGCGTGGAGACGAGGTTGGTGGTGTGGTTGCAGGTATTGTAGCAGATGATCAAAGAAAACACTGGACACACATGGTAGTTGTCATTGGCGGAGTTAAGGGACTTGAAGAAGCGGCAAAAAACGACGATGAGTTAGTAAGGATGGGTATCAGTAAGGGTAACGTGAAGGAGTTGTTCGATCACTGGGTCAACCTATTGCCTGGACAAGGCAGTCGGACAATCAGGACCGAGGAGGCGTTGTGGATGAGCTTGATGGCTACAAGAAGGTTGGTCGACGAGAGATGAGCCACCATCACCACGAATCGAGAACAGATTACCAATTCGCGATGATCTACAGACCCGACCAATTCAGGCTATACCCGTTGCAGCATTTTAGTCGAAACAACTGGAGCCACGATACGTTGAACACGTCGACTCTTTGATAAACGGAATCTTCAATCCCGAGCTCTTATCGTCAAGATGTGAGAGCATCTCATTCAGCCTTTGCGACCGTGCCAGTCTCAGTCACCTCCATATTACCATGAAACCGGACATTCCCTTGCTCCTCCTCAGTCAAAGGACGACCATTACGTCTAGGGCTCCTGATTTTCGGCTCAGCCTCTTCGTCATCCGACAAGTTGATGTCGAACGCTGGCTCTGCAAACGTATCGCTGACTCGACACAATTCGATCCAGTCAAGTACACTAGGCCAGCATCTGATGAGGCAGCTCTCCTCGTAATAGATTTCACCCGCAGCATATATGTTGCAGCCGAGCTTTCTTCGCCCCGTTAGAAGTGTCTCGAGTGGTCGTTGAGATAGTCGGTATGCCCGAGTACGTTTTGCGATGAAGTTGACAATCTCTTCTTTCTCGGCTATATCACCTGGCGCAGTAAGGTCGAAAGTAGAGAAGAGTTCTGAGAGCTCATGCTGAGGGTTGATGAGTGCGACGCAGTTGATCCGATTACGCCATCCCAGCCAGTTGTTCGTGAGATATTGCATCACTTCTGAGCCGACATACTCTTGACCGATGATGGAGAACTTGGCTTCCGGACAGCAGATCACAGGTTCGCCGTCATTAGTGCACAGAACGTGCTCAAAGATGTATTGGATGTGTTCCCGGAAGTTCTTGTTGCCTTCGACTCGGTTCTCGACTTCGTCGATGCGCATGGCTTCGTGGACAGCAGACGGTCTAGGTAGACATAGCCATTCTCGATCGGTCACTGGTCGTGCTCCTCTTCTGTACCAGATAAGTTGTGAGGGATTGGCGATGACTAGACCAGGTGTCTCGATGTGTTGGGATAGTGTTGCATCAGGTGTCGTGCTAGATTGACCTAGAATTGCTTTTACTAGGTTGATTACTGAACCGATATTGATGCCTTCTTGACCTAGAACTCGGTAGGCCAGTATACCCGGATCATTCTGCCGGTCAGGGAAAAGGACGATGATGTGTTTCTTGGTCGCAAGATCTTTGGAGACAAGGATAGGAACATGCTTGGTATCTCGAGTGACGTTGAGTGGTAGGGGGAGCTCTTGAAGACCAAGTTCCAGCAGTCGCTCCAGGACGATCTTTCGAGAGCAAGCTGGGATCTGTCAGAGAACAGACACGTCTCTGTACGCCTGACTTACCGTTCATAGCCTCCTTGTAGGCATCATTGACCCGTTCGCTGCGATTGATCTTGTATTGGTATCCTTGTTTCGGATTGGCTTTTTGTCGAATCAAGTCATTCTCGTTGACGAAGTAGCCAAGCTTGTCGAGGTCTGTTGGGAAGGTCGGGTCTGGAGGTAAAGTGTTTGATAGCCGTCTGAACATAATGAGGTATGGTTTCTGGGTAAGTAGGGCGTTATTCAATGGATAAGATACTAAATATTAAGGGACAAGGTCGAAGCAGAACAAGCGGACTATCTGGATTTTTAGCATATGTTATAGTTTGTTCTTTGGGCCACTTTGCATATTGTTTTTCATGTATGGTTGTGCTGAGTAGACAAGTTCATTATGATAGTGTCAACGACAAGCGTTGTGATCGTGAAAATTGTTTGCTATATAGCAACATTTGCTCACCTCCACCTCAGAAGCAAACTGACATCAATTCAGCGATATCGCGCTTAACCTATTTTGGTATGGTACCAGCCACTGAATGTGTTTTGAACATCGACCTGAACATGATCTTGAGATGCTGGTCGTCATTCTTCCTCCTAAGGTTTGAAGCTTCTGTGACCTCCAATCATGAGTTAACTTGTTCTCCTGCTCTTTCGCCAGAATTCATGTCGTCGTAGATCCAACGCACTATATCGTGTAGGAGTTGTGGAAGTGTAGATTATGGCAATCTTTAGGAAGTTCCTGTGCAGGTGTAGTTTTCCTCTATCCCTCTTTCACAGCTCGAGATCTTCGACAACTCTCAGCATTATTTTATACAATATCCGTACATTGCCACCACTACCAGCTGGCTTTCTTCACTCCAGGCAAATCTCCCGCCAGCGCATTCATTCGAAATTGAAATCTCCCCATCCTGAAAGCTCTGAACACACTTCTTGCAGTACCTCCCATCACGCATCTGTTCTGGATCTGGGTAGGTCGTGTATAAGCATGCATATTCGCCAGTTCGAGTTGAGCCTTCGTTCGCATAGCCTGAGGTAACGTCGTGTTTCGGATTACATATCTGAGGGCCTGTCTGTACGACAATCAGAGATGATCACCACGAATTGAACCGAACTTCTTACCTCTCTTCCTCAAATCGCTCGTAGACCTTCCTTCGCGTATGATCTCTGATGATACGAGCATTGACGAAACCACCTAGATCGAGCTTCTTGGCTCGGAACTGAGGCATGTTCCACTCGGTCGCTTCCTGTGTCAATGCAAGATGATGACTGAGTGAAGGTTTGACTTCTCGCAATCAACCGATCGCTCGAGGCAGGTGCGACTCATAGGTCCTCCAAAAGCAGTAAGTTTACCGACCGCTCCCCAAATTGACGAATCCCGTTGCTCTTGGCTCTTCTGTCGACTCACTTCCTTGACTCATACTACAATTACACCTCGTATACGAAACTCAACATTTCTCAAGCTCGTCCTGGGTTGGCGAGACGCTGCGATCATGTGGGAAGCCAAGAGTCAGGCACTTGTGTCAAAACATGAAAGCTTCACAGATAGGTATTGAACAGGTTGGATGTTCTTGACACTTATAAACTTCGCTTTCCCTTTCTCATTTGTCTACTGGACCATGTCCAACATCAACCCACAGTGTCCTCCACACACTCGCATTTTCGACCTACTGGTGTCCCCAGAATGCCTATTGCAAAAGCCGAAAAGTCGGAGGCCGAGCCTGAGCAGGCAAGCAAAATTATTGTGACCGCCCAGCAGAGTCGTTTTCACGAGACCGATGATTCTGCCCTCAAGGACATTGATATCAAGGATCTGACCATTAACGTTGGAAAGAAGGCCATCCTCCAGCATACGCGCCTTGTCCTCAAAGCGGGTCTTCGCTACGTGTTTGTCGGCAGGAATGGCCTAGGCAAATCAACCGTACTGAAAGCTCTGGCCGAACGACGTATTCCAGGAATTTCACCAGATATCCGTATCCTGCTTCTGGACCAGACCATGCTTGAGCAGAACCAAAAGTATATGCTCTTATCTCATGAAGCCGAAAAGAAATCCGTGTTGAGCAACGTCGTAGCGAATGACCGTGTCCGTCAGCGTCTTCTAGACGACTCTAAGAAGCTTTCAGAGGAGCTACAGCAGGATAGCACGGATTCCACCAAGCTCTCCCGAATTTATCGACAACTGGAGGTGGAGAAAGCACACAGAGACCTGGAAGCTGCTCGTCTGGTTGCCGATCACAGATCAGGAGCAAGAGGTTCAAAAGCACGTCAAGAGTTACTACAAAAAGAAGCTGCAGTTGAGCAGATGCAGAAGTTGTAAGTTCTGCTTACACTCTGGAAGCCATACTGACAATACATAGGCTATCTGAAGTATCCGAAACCTCGGACGTCAACGACGATGTCAATGCCGCAATCTCTATGCTCGAGTCCATGCAGATTGAGCTCGGGTCTATGGGTTCAGCTACAGTCGAAGCTCGAGCTCGGACTGTACTCGTTGGTCTGGGCTTTTCGGCTGAGCAGATAGATGGTCCAATGAATAAGCTCTCAGGAGGCTGGCAAACTCGAGCGGCTCTGGCTGCTGCTTTGATACAGAAGACCGATATCCTGCTATTGGACGAGCCTACCAATTTCCTCGATCTTCCAAGTGTGATCTGGCTCCAGCATTACCTCACAACCGATCTTGCTGAAGGCACTACACTCGTAGTCACAACCCACGATCGAGACTTCGCTGATGCGATTGCTGAACGCCTACTTATCCTTCGAGTCACACCACCAAGTACCCTGGAGACGTTTACAGGTACACTATCCGACTATCATATCGAGTCAAGGAAGCAATATCGTCGGATGTTGAAAATGTCAGATGCATTGAATCGACAGAAGGACCATATGAAAGCCACAATTGACAAGTCCATTGGTGCAGCGAAGAAGTCAGGAGATGACAAGAAACTTAAACAAGCCGCCTCCCGAAAGAAAAAGCTAGAGGAACGTACGGGTTTAGAGGTCAGTGCCAAGGGAGGCCGCTTCAAGCTTAATCGTGATCTCCTAGGGTATCATACCACAGCCCGGGCTGACATTGACGTACCAGAATTTGACCCGCCAGTTGTGGTTGCACCAATACCCGATCCGCCCGTTCTGCGAAACCCAGGTTCTCTGGTGAGCTTCGAAAGTGTCGATTTCACGTATAGCGGCGCCAAGAAAGCAACCTTGAACAAAATTGACCTGGTCATTCATCCTGGCTCACGTACCGCCCTAGTGGGCCTCAACGGTAGTGGCAAGAGTACACTCGTCAACATCATGACTACTGACTTTAGCTCTGCTAGTTCGTGTCCAGGCAAGCTGTCAGGTACATTGGCTCTTCACCCACAAGCACGTATTGCGCACTACACACAGCACGAGACATCACGTCTTCTTGCTCATGGCCAGGCTCATCCAGATTTGACCGCACTGGCTTATCTACAGACGTTGTATCCTTCCGTCGCAGAGCAACCACTTCGAGCATTACTCTCTGGGTTGTCGCTATCATCTCAAGCTCAAGCGAATGCCCCATTGCGAGCACTGTCTGGGGGACAGCTAGTGCGTGTTGGTCTGGCACAAGCTCTTTTGCCGACGCCACCTCATTTGCTCATCCTCGACGAACCGACTACTCACCTCGATGCTGACAGTATTGTGGCTCTGATCAGGGCCTTGAAGACATTCACAGGCGCTCTCTTGGTGGTGTCCCATGACCGTTTCTTCATTCGCTGTGTAGTCGAAGGTCAAATTGTCAATCAAGCTTCGACGGCCAATGGCGATGAGACTCAGGAAGATGATAGCGACTCTGATGACGAGAGTAATCATGTTGGCAAGGTCTATCGACTTACAAGAACAAGTGGCAGGATGATACAACTGGAAAGAGGTATGGATGAATATGAGGAAATTGTGATTAGACAGCTCGCTAAGAATGGGATCGAGGTATGAATCAGCACACCACTACTGATGAAACACATGTATCATACTCCCTAGTATTACTGATGGCGCCATCTACTCAATGTCCCATGGCTCATCCTCATTGTTCCTTATGTACGGCACAGGCGCATCTGGACCATACTTTACCTGACTGATCGTCCTCCCGTTACCCAAAAACGCCCAGATATTGTTTGGATCTTTGTATGTAATGTCATAATGCTCATATCTCGGTTGTCGCATGAACTTCAGATGGTGGAGCAGACTGCCAGGCCAAATGTACACTCGTCCATCAGGCTTGTTGTCCTTGTACCATGATTTACAATCCTCAAACCAGATAGAATGTTGTCGGTGCCATTCGTCCATATACAAGTTCAATTGTGTGGTAACATCCTCCTTCGGCACTATACACTTGATTTGATCTTCCTGCATCTTCCGACAGCACTTCAGTATATACTCAATCTGAGATTCGTGGGACGGCAGGGCACAACCCTGTCCCCAATTGCCTCTAGGCCCGTTGACCACGAAATAGCTCGGGAAGCCTGGTGCTGCTATCGAGGCGTACACATTTGGCTCTTTTTGGTCCTGCATGACTTGACCCTCGATACCAGTGATCTTGAAGTGTGGTTGGTATTGTACATAGAAACCAGTCGCACAAGCTAGAATATCTATCTCGTGGAGTGTCCCGTCCGTACTGCGTATACCTGTGGATGTGACCTCTGATATCTCCTCAAACACACAATTGACATTTGGTCGAATCAATGCCTCCAAGTATCCTTCACCAGGAGTCAAGCGCCTACATCCGGGGCTCCAATTCGGTATGAAATGCCTCTTCAGGTCCTCCCTGTTTCCCAACCTCTCGTTCATGGACTTCTGCATGAAGTCCTTAGCAGCACGATTCAGTTCACTGCCTCGGTAGAACATGTCCCAGCCACCCACGATAGCCTTTTCGACCTTGGTGACATACTCGAGATGATATTCGGGATCGTCTCGGAATTTCTGCTTCTCCTTCTCCGTGTATTGGTGCTTACCTGCTGCGGCAGGATCTTTGGCATCTGCATCAGCTTCCTTGTTGCTGATGTTGGAGCCGAATTGAGGCGCGATATATGTGCAATTTCGCATGAATACAGTGACGGAGGTAGCAGTTTCTGCAAGGCGCGGAACCATCTGTATCGAACTCGATCCAGTGCCGATGACGGCGACTCGTTTGTCTTTCCAGTCGAGATCTTGTGGCCAGTTGGCTGAATGTGCTAGTACACCTTTGAATTCGTGTAGTCCTTGGATAGCGGGCCATTTCCATTTTGTTAGTACACCTGATCCGTTGATAAGCACGTTGCATGTGTCCGTGAAGGTAGTACCGTCCTTTCTCTGAAGCTCTACCTCCCACTTGCCTGAGAGTTGATCCCAAGTTGCGCCGACGACCGCAGTGTTGAGAACCACGAAGGGCTCTAGATCATGCTTTTTGTAGAAGTTCATCATGTAGTCCTGAATCTCGGGTGCGTATGAGTAGTACCCACTCCATTCTGGATTCCGCTCAAAAGGGAAAGTGTATGTATGCGCTGGAATGTCACAAGCACCTGTCCAATTTTAGCTCGATGACTAACCGCAGTCCAACCCCATGGCTGCCTCTTGGGTGAAGGCCAACCTTGTACTCGGGAACTTACAGCCTGGGTATCGATTCTCGTACCAGGTACCTCCAATGGTGCCATTCTTCTCATAACATACAAGCTCGTAGTTCTGGAGCATCTTCTTTGCCTTGTGGGCAGCGAGAAGGCCACTGGCGCCCATACCGACGTGGATGATTCTTATGCTGTCAGGATCACACATCGGCCGTTCTGGCACGGAGAAGTTGGGTGCTTCTGCATGAGGCATGGCGGCGTTTGAGGGTTGAGTATTTCAGGTATGTTCAGTCCTGTGTGTACAATTTGACCGAACACTCGAAATGGCGGGAGGAGGTTAGGACTTATAGCCTCCTCGCGTGGTCGAGCAATGGATGATGGCTCTCGTTGCTCATGGCACAGGCTTTGCATCAATTCAATACGTTCGTTCAAGACACTTACCGAGGTCTGCATTCTCTGTAAGCTGGTAAGGTGATTCGTCTTGCTCGGCTTAGGAGGCCAAGCGTTGGAGAATGTCAGTATTCTTGACTCGTTTTTGGTTCCTCCAATTTCTCCATAGCCATGGTGGCCATTAGGCTTGAGTGCTCCAAGGTCTGCTGCACGGCTGAAGTCCTTCCGTTTGCGATGCATTCTAAGTTCGCAACACCGTAACGACGCACTAGGGTAACGACGCACTCCACCACTTTTCATCCTCTCTCTTTATCACTTTACCACACCACCATTTAGCCAATATGACGCGTAAATCCAAGCCTGCTGTCGATACTGCTGTCGCAGCTTACCGTCGAGGTAAATTTACGTCGATTCGAGCAGCTGCGCGCGCGTACAACATCGCGGAAGCCTTAGTACGCTAAAGGCTTAATGGCAGGCTAACTCGCCAGTAAGGTCATACCTACGAGCAAATCTTATCCCCTGTACAAGAGATAATGCTTATTAGATAGTCTATTAACCTTAAAGCCTACGCTTAGGCACCTACGTACGCTCAACTGCGTTCTATAGCCTCGTTAATCTCACAGACTAACGGTAGCCCAGCAGTCGTTAGCGAGAGTTAGATCGTAAACTTTAAGCGTCGCAACCCTCAGGTTCGTACTAAGCGTAGAGTCGCCTTCGATATACAACGATCGTAAGACCTTACAGAGAGCGCTATCTAGACCTAGTACGATTACCTCTCCCTTATTATATAACGTAAACATATTAAGAGACAGTATACCTAGAATATCGATAAGATTAGTAACGTATTTAGTATTATATCTAATTAACGAGTTATAGGTAGCGTAGATACAGACTTAACATTTATCCAGACAGTAAGAGAGAGGGAGTAGGTCACTATAATCGAGTGTATTAATCCTTAAGGTCGTACGCTCACCCCGTTAGTTATATTTAAGGCTAAGCACGTATAAAGTTAGTGGTTTATACCTATTTAGACCCTAGATTAGGCCTACACTTCGAGTAGTAGTGCCTTTACGATAAACGAGATTAGTATACGTTAGTTATATAAGATTTTTATACCTTAAACTACTAAAGAGTTAGCTAAGGGCGAGTAGCGCCTACTTATATTAGATAGTTATAAATCTTATATTTTAATCGACTTTATATAAGCTGCGTACCTTAATAAGGTCTAGTGCTACTATTTAATCCCCTATACCAGTTATATCTTCTAACCTCTCGATCTAGCGGTATTCTCGTCGCTTAAGCGTAAGTTTCGTACTATAATAAGTGCTAACCCGCTTATAGATAATATAGCTGTATTAAAGAAGGCGTAGTTCTTATTATACTACTAGGAGGCCCGTATAAGGGCTATAATACTTATTAACTACGCTACTAGCTTTTCTGCAGCTGGTATATAACTATTCAATCCGTTAAAGGGCCTAGGGTTAAGATTTATACCTAGTACAGTTAAGAAGTTATATAATAAGCGAGCCGTTACTCCTCCGCCTGCGATCATCGACTTAGACGTTGTTGTTACACCCTATAACCGCGCTCTTTTATCATAGGCAGTTAACATTGTCTCTCGTCGCGTTACTATCGATCGAACAGTACGCACTCTCTTTACTAAGACCCGTAAGGCTATTAACAGTCACTCTGCTAATATAGCAGCTGCTCAGCGTAAGATCTTAGCCCTTATAAAGCAGCTAGATACCTTTAAGAAGAAGCAGAAGAAGAAGCACGCTATTAACTCAAATCTATTATTTATTGGCCTACAAGATATCGAACGAGCTGCTGGAGCCCCTATTACACTAGCGATAACATTCCAGCCTTACCTATAGGGCGCAGGCAATCGTCAGCTACCTATAGAGATAGATAACATCCCCTTAGATCCATTTATAGCCCTAGCAGATAGATTTCGCAGCATTAACAACGCATAATAGCTATATCAATTTAACAGCAAAATTGAGTGGAGTGCGTCGTTACCCTAGTGCGTCGTTACGGTGTTGCGAACTTAGCCCGCGTAGCTACGTACTTGTATCATTGTCTTATCGAACAGTGTGTCTGACAATAGCCCAGAGGGACGTCGAGAAAGCGAGATTAGGGTACTGCGCAGCGTGCTAGCTTACCACGCGTGAAAAACAATAGCGTAACACAACATCAACTTGATCGCAGTCCGTGCAACCCCTGGGAGGGCTACAGCTGTAAAGCTTCACCTTTTGCTATGCATGCAGCGGCATACTCGTGACATAGGAACAACCTGAAGGCGAGACGACGCGAGTACACGGCGAAGGCGTTATGCAAATCTCCATTGCGTTCCGCTCAATCCCGAGAGCGATAGAATGTGGAGGGCGAGGCCTCACTACCATCAAAGGTGAAGGGTGTACCCTTTTCAGACGCGTTTCGTAGAATAGTCCATAGGCAGCTAGGACTTTGAGGCTGTTAACCCATGAGATTCAGATCAATTCGGAGTTGACCTCCTCGGGACAGATTTCGGATTCGGTGTCCACTTCTACTCGTTCCTACTCTTCGCAGGATCATCTCTTTTGATCATGATCTACGCCGATCCATCCGTGACGCATCCATTACCACTGGTCACGGTCTGAGGAGTTTGTTGTTTAATGACCAAATCGGTCGATAGGTTGGCGAATGATGTGTGCATCAGCTAAGCACGCCAAGTCCCTTCGCGACCAGCCGCTGAAGTTGTCGTTACATAGCTCGACACTTTCTGCGAGAACGACAAGCACCTCACGATGCACGACCCGAAGCTTGTTTGGAAAGCCTGAACTTCGGATGAGCATGAATGATGCCAATTCGGAACAGAATCTACGGAGCTGCCTTATTCAGCTTCCTTAACGCCATGGATGAATGATGACATCGAGTGGACTATATAATTGTAGTCAGAATGGCCATGGCTCCAGAGACCGTGACGCTACGCGTCTGAGTTGCAAGAAGTACCAAAGCACAGTGATCGACCACGTAACTCAGAGGTGCTGCTATCATCATGAATCCCTTAACAGTGCCAGTAGCACTTCTCTATTTTGTGCTAGCATGTCTGGCCGCTTCTCAAGCACATGGTAACACGACAGTATCGAGGCCGAACATACTGTTCATATTCACGGACGACCAAGACTTAGAACTTGGATCCTTGAACTATTTGCCCAAAATTCGAGAACGTGTACAAGATCAAGGTAAGGTACCTCGCCCACGAATTCCTCGGGACACTAACATAAGCAGGGTTCACGTTCAACAATCATTACGCTACAGTGGCGTTATGCTGCCCATCGCGAGTGGCTTTATTGCGCGGTCAGCATGCTCACAATACCAACAACACTTTCGTCCAAGCCCAAGGAGGAGGCTACGACAAGTTTAGATTGAGCGGAGAGGACCAAGACTACCTACCACAATGGCTTCGAAAAGCTGGATACCGTTCCGAGTATATTGGTAAGCTGATGAACCAGTATGGGATATACAACTACAATATCACACCGAAGGGTTGGGACCACTTCGATGGCTTGTTGGACCCATACACCTATACTTTCAACACGCCGGTCTTCTCTCAAAACGGACAGCGTCCAATATACTATGCCAATCAACACCAGACCGACGTCATCAGAGCAAAAGCCGCTGACCGACTTACCAGGTTATTAGCAAACCCAGACCAGCCATGGTACTTGCAAGTGGCACCTGTTGCACCTCATCAGCAGTTCAACGACTCCGGACGTTATCCTCCGGTACCTCTCCTTCGACACGAGAATTTGTATCCTGGTTTGACAGCTCCGAGAACACCAAATTTCAATCCTGTAGTGCAGGACAAGCCGTCATGGCTAGGAGAAATTCCGCAGATGAACGCAAGCCAGATTGCTTTCAGCGACGAGACATACAGGCGACGAGCTCAAGCTCTGGCAGGTATAGACGAGATGGTTAGCCATCTACTAGATATTCTGGCTCAAGCCGGAAAACTAGACGACACGCTCATCCTCTTCTCAAGTGACCATGGCTATCATGTCGGTCAACATCGAGTACCCGCTGGGAAAACTTTGCCGTATCGTGAGGATACCCATGTTCCATTTTTCGTGAAAGGGCCTGGAATTCCAAAAGGTAGGTCTACACGCTGGCTATTTCGTGCATACATTCTGACCTTATTTAGGACATTCTACTTTAGCACCATCCACGCACGTTGACCTTGCACCTACCATCCTTTCCTTCACTGGTTTGTCGAAGAACGAATGGCCGCCGTTCCTTGATGGACGTGACCTCACGTCTGACTGGAATGGTTCTGCTCACACGAACGCCAGCACGGAAGTCATCAACATCGAATTTTGGGGTCTTTCTGGCTCAGAAGGTGCACTGATAATTTCAAACGCTACTCGAAATACATACAAGACTATTCGGATCATTGGTCCTGATTACGGGTATCTCTACACTCGGTGGTGTACGAACGAGACAGAAATCTATGATACAGTGGTGAGTCTATCCTCTATCCCGTGATAGTGAAGCTAATCTCTATGCAGATTGACCCTTATGAGCAGAATCGAATTCAGCCCTCCGCTCAACCCAGCCTCGCGAATCGTCTCAACGGGATCCTTCTTGCTACCAAGACTTGTGTTCAGGATTCGTGTCGCGATCCTTGGAGCTATCTACACCCTGATGGAAGTGTTCATAACCTGAAAGACGCTCTGGATCCAATTCACGACCAGTATTACGCCTCACTCCCGCAAGTATCTTTCAAGGAGTGCCTCCTGTTTCAGTCACCAAGAAATGAAGAGCCTTTTTTTCCTGGCTTCGATCCGAATGCTCCATATGCATTTGCTCAACAATACAGGAACTCGACTGCCCTACTTGGGAGTCCGGCATACCCCGGGACTAATGATGCACCTGAGGCCATTCCCGAACTTGGACACTTTGGAGCAGTATATCAAGGCTTGGCAGAGATTGAGAAAGACGCGAGGGTCTTGACGGATGAGGAGCTGGCCAGTACTGGACAAGGGACGAGGAAGCGGGCTTGGCCTCTATATGGCTGAGGTTGCCAATGTGCGGGAGGATGCTCAGATGATCACTTATCCTTGATCGTGACCAGGCTTAGCGGCATCTCTGCCTCGCTCCAGATACGAATGATGCACTTAGCTGCCCTAGGTCAAACAGCGACCAGTTCTTCAATTAGCGACCTATATTTTTGGCTCATCAGAGAATACACTCGCTCAAGTTTGTTCGTTTAGCTTGGCAGCAGAGTCGGACGCCGAAAGCACATTTGTTCTATGTGGTGCCTGACAGGTCCTTGCGAGTGCTTTATGACTGCTTAGACGAACGGCAGTAGATTACTTTTCAAGTGCTGCTCATTTGCTAGGTCCTTGTCGTCGGAGACACAAGCTGCACAAGGAGCTGCACAAGGAGCTGCACAAGGAGGAGATCACTTGTGCACAGATGTCCCATAGGCACAGCCGTAATTAGCGTCCCGGCATTTGTTTCGATCTCTCCCACCTGTTTCGTGGTTCGCATACTTCATCTCACGGAAACTCTGAGCACAACCAGAAGAGTTGGAAAGCGTTTTCGCGCGTTGTTCTCATCATGACCGTTACACAAGAAACAGTCTGGCTATTGCTGAAGACGGTACGCGAGTCTGACGCCAAGTCGGCCTTGCTTCGAGCTGAGAACGAGAACCGCATTCTCAGTCAGCCACAAGCGAGGGGATTCATTGCCATTGGCCAGCGCTGCCAGTACTTCAGAGGTACTTCTCAGCTGTGACACCACTTTGAGTTCAGCACCAAAGGTTGTTCGTCTAATCCTGTGGTCGACGATACAGATGGCGGTGTTTAGTAACGCGGTCTAGATTTCAAACGTGACTATGGAAGCATGATAGCGCAACTAATCACAACTAGGTAAATAGGTACTGTGCCATCGACACTTGTGCACGAATTACAGTCCTGCGGAAACTGATGACTATCCCGACCGGGGTGGTGATATGTCGGTAGCGATCCTCATTGGATTGAAGAGCCCAGGTGTCAAGGTACATTCACCGCTGTCTGCACAGGGACTACTATTGCAGTAGGTCTTGATCGTTCTATTCATTGAAAGACGACGCGTTCCATGTGAAGGATTACTCTAGCCTCGCTACGGTATCACACAAAAATTAGCCCCAAGCATACTGAAGCATAAAAGGTGTTCAAGCACGCTGAACTTTGAAGTCCTCCTCGTTACACGTATTGATTCACACCCACTGATCAAGTCATTACACATCGTGCTCGTTGCCCAACATGCTACAGACACCATTGACCTTGAATGACGCAGACAGACTACGGAACAACGTGCAAGGCGATATCCTTGGGTTCGTTGTGCAAATCTCAGTGTTGCAGCCATGACTGACTGTAGGAAAGTGATGGCTTTCCAAAACAGGTCGAGCTCTTCTGGTTCTTCAAGATCGAACAAGCTGGTGAATTCCGAAAGAAGCTCAGTCAGCTTATCCCTCTGATTGCCAGCGTCAAGAACCAAGAAGAAGAACGACAGAGAATTAGGGAAGCGATCAAAGCCAACATTACTGCTGGCAAGGATGCCACTAGCCAGGACGCTCGGGACAAAAGCGTACCTTCAAAACTAGCTAACATAGCTTTCACCTTCACAGGTCTGAGCAAAGTGAGTAACTACATCTCGCTGCCCACGGGACGATTGCTGAAGACTTCAAGATGAATGCAGCAGGCAAGGGATTCGATCTCAACCTGAGCCCTAATGTTGGTGATGGCGCAGACTTTTTCAAAGCAGGCATGCAGAATGATGCAGTCAATGGGCTCCAAGATCCACCTACCGGTAATGGATCGACCGTGCCCTCCTGGGATAAAGCATTTCTGGACAGAAAGATCGACGGTGTCTTTCTCATTGCAGCTAATCATAAAGATCAAGCTGATCAGAAGCTGGACGAGCTGCGCAAAGTACTAGGATCGAGCGTCAGCAAAGTCATCGACATTCTAGGTAGCGCTCGTGAGGGTCAGCGCCGGAGACACGAGCAGTACGTGAAGGACGTCATGTCGCTACCCGTGCAGGGCTAACACGTTATAGCTTCGGCTTTCTTGATGGCATCTCTGAGCCAGGTATCAAGGGCTTCGACGAACTCAAGCTTGATGCAAATAGAGACGATAGGGAGGACGTGGATGACAAAGAGCTTGTTCCACCTGGCATTGTCTTGTGTAATCGTGATCAAGACCCTGTTCAAAACCGTCCTGCATGGTCGACCGATGGCAGCTTTCTAGTTTTCCGTTGGCTAGAGCAGAAGGTTCCCGAGTTCAATCAAGATTTGAAGAAGTTTGCAAAACAATTGGGAATGAACCCAGACTCACAAACCGATTGCGAGGGCATTGCGGCCAGGATCATTGGAAGGTGGCCAAGTGGTAGGACTTTACAGCCCCGCGAAATTGAGCAGCGAATACTAACGAAAGATCATAGGTGCTCTGATCAATAAGCACCCCAACGAAGATCCTATGCCTCTTTCGAAGCAGGTGAACATGACGAGGGAAGAGATTCAGAAGGCCCTGCAAGTGAATGCTCATGTTGATTTCGGAGGGCTCAGAAACACATCCCGATGTCCTCTGGGATCCCACATTCGCAAAATGAATCCTCGCGACAGGGACATTGGCCACGGTGCTCGAATCATGCGCAGAGGCATTCAGTTGTAAGCCTCATCACACTCGCGAAAGACCCCGTGTATGAAATACTGACAATGCTCCAGTGGCCCAGAAGTTGATGCTGTTAAGGAGAAGACGGTCACTGACGGCAAGGGCAAGCGAGGTCTACTGTTCGTTTGTTACCAAAGCAGTATTGACAAGGGCTTCCATTTCATCCAAAGTTGTAAGTATTCTCCACAATTTTGTCGTATGGGAGATATCTCTTGCCTAGAACCCCGGCTAACGAGCATTTGACAGTTTGGGCCAATAATTCGACATTTCCTGGTTCAGGCGCTGGCATTGATCCAATGGTAGGCCAGATGAACGAAACCGGAACATACAATATGCTGGGCATGAACAAGAACGATCCTTCCAAACCGATCTCGATTCCTAAAGTCAATCCATACGTCGTACCCCTTGGTGGCGAGTATTTCTTCACGCCCTCAATGTCTGCCCTAAGAGATACGCTAGCAGACAATTCGGCCACACCAGCACCTCAGCCAACACCTCAACCTACACCTCAACCAGGGCCTCCACCGAACAGAAAGCCAGGAGCTCCTGGCCAAACAGTCTCGATCTTCGTTGAGAGTCGCATGACAGGGGCACGGCCTTCTAAGAACGTCCCCGTCGACGCGAGAGATCGCAGTTTTGCGGAGCTGTTTGGCGGCAATGTAAGTGTAAATGTCGTTGGTGTTAATGGTTCTGCTGCGGGCAACATTGTCATAGAGGTAAGTGGTTCGGGATCGACCTTCAGGCTTGACAACAATGGCAATCCTCGTTCGCTAGGACAGGGAGGTGCTGTTGATGTGAGTCAGTGGAAGATTGCATGTTGGGTCACAGGGTGAAGTGCTGTATGTGCCTTCACGTTGCAAAGAGATAGTCGGGTTCAGTCAGAAGGATATGCTGGTTGGAAGACGTGACAGTCGTTAGCTATAAGCAAATTTCAAAACAGAGATCTCACAATACTCTTCTACACTGGTGATGGCCAAAAAGGAGTTCCAGCGCCGCTCTGCTGTTTCTGATTGGATAGTATGCGTAGACAAGCCTCGCAGTCAGCCGTATTATGGAATACGAGAAACACGACGATTTCAGACACTCTCGTGGACTTTGCTGATCGTCAAGGTTTAGAACTCTTCTTCCCTGCCACTTTCACACGTAGCCATGGCATATGGCTCTTGCTTGCTGGATTTTCACGCGTCGTTTGTGACAATCTGTCACACTACCGCAAGTCATGGGTCAAACAGCTAGCTTGAGTTTCTACAGGCATTACCTCCAATTGCCATGGAAGCAAACAACCAAAGGCAATAGTCGTGGCTCGAGAAGAACATTCAGAGTGCTCGTTTCGAGCTTGTCATGTTAGGAGATCGAACATTTGAGAACGGTAGGCTACGTATGTTGCAATCAATACGTATTCTTGGTAGGGATGTTTGCGAGGACCTTAAGGGTACTCAAAATCGCCAGGTAAGTGTTATGTCTGTCGACAATCAATATAGCGTGATTGTGCTTCTTGAAGCTCAGTGATCTCGTACACATGAAATGTTCTACGAGATTGCTATCATCGGTGCTGGACCCTGTGGACTCGCAGTCGCAGCTCGTCTTCGCGAGAAGACTCCTTCAGCTCTCTTTACAAACGACGAACATGCTCGCTATTGGAAGAAGTACAAGCAGCGACATAACAGTATCGAAAACGAGCGGAAGAAACGAAAGCCATCAACAGACAGCGGGTATGTCAGTGAGAGCCAGAATGTCCAAGCTCTGGTGCCTGAGCAACTGTCAATGATCGTACTTGATGCAGGTTCCTGCTCTTGGCTTTCCACATGGAAGCAACGTTTCAGATCTCTCGAAATTAGTCACTTGCGCAGTCCTCTATTCTTCCACTTGGACCCTCGGGACAGAGACGGCCTACTCGCATTCGCTCACGAGCACAATCGAACGGAGGAGCTTCTTGAGATTCCCAATGTGGCAGGCAAGGAATTGAGCAAGCACGAAAAGAAGAAGCAACATACTCGCAGAAGGAAGCAGGGTAAGGCACCGCACTTGAAGATCGATGGACGTGACCAGATAGACTATTTTACACCTTCCAGCAAGCTCTTTGAGGATTATTGTGAGCACATCATCGAGAAGTATAGACTTCGTAACGTTGTGCATCAGGCTGAGGTGCTCGAGATATCTTACGATGGTTCGTCAATCCGCACCAATAGTGGTTCCTTCACAATCAAGACTGGAACCAATTCTATAATTCATACTAAAATTGTGATCGTGGCAACTGGTCCTTCGACTACTCCTAGCATCCCAGGTATTCCGCGAGGACTGTGGCACAGTGGCGTGAATCACGTCTTCCACCCAGGCGGTACTGACCTCCCTCCGGCTCTGCACAGCAGAATCACAACCACTTCCGACAAAGTCACAATCATCATTATCGGAGGAGGTCTGACATCTGCACAGCTCGTTCACCTCCTCCTAAACCGCTATCACAAGCACACCAACTTGAAGCTTCACCTCCTCCTTCGTCATCCCAACCTCAAAGTCAAACCATTCGATGTGACCCTCCCCTGGGTCAGCAAGATACGCAACCACCTCATGGCCAGCTTCTACTCCGCAGATAGCGACGATGAGCGCCTCGCAATGTTACTAGAAGCACGAAACGGAGGCAGCATAACACCATACTTCGCGAAGATGCTACGGAAGCACGAGACGGAGGGTAGATTGAAGGTTCACGCTAGCACAGAGCTCAAGCTGTGTGAACAGGAGATGTGGAACACCAATACGCAGACGTGGACAAATTTACGATACCAGAACAAAACCAGCGATGGCGAAAACTTTCTAGTGCAGGATCTAACTGCCAGAGAACTACCAGACACCTCAGATCATATCATCTTCTGTACATCTTCTGCACCCTCACTGCCTCAGATACCGTTCCTGCGCAAGCTAGCTGAAAGTCATCCGATCGTAACGCTCTCTGGCCTGCCAGTACCGACCGAGGATTTAGCTTGGAGCAGTAATGTGCCCCTGTTCTTCACTGGAGCCCTTGCGGCGTTGAGGCTGGGTCCAGGCGCTGCGAATCTGATGGGAGCTCGAGTAGGCGCGGAACGGATTGCGTGGGTTGTTGAGGCGATGCTCGGGAAGCGAGGAGGAAGGGGAGGTCTTATTGACCTTTCTGGTGGTGGACGTTGGCAACGCGACGGCTCGACCAGTGAAGATAACCGGAGAGACAGTCTGGAAGATAGGAGTGATTTCACAGGAAGTTTCAGCAACCAGTATGCTGCGTTGAGTCTCAGCGATAGTCAGTAAGAAGCTGTTGTCTCGTCGAGTTCGTTCTTCAATAAGCGAATATCAATGGCATCCTCGCAAGCTGTATACCAATGTGTGAGCGGCCCGCCTCAGCATTGTACATCTGACCCAATTGTGAGAGGACTTCACTCTCCAGTTCCCGAGTCCTTCGCGTCTTGGTCGTTCTCGTCTTTGTCCTCACTCGCATCAGTTGTATCCTCCCCATCGTGCCCTTCGTCACCATCAGCTGCCTCCTCCGCTTGCCCCTCTTGTGCATCACGACATCGCGTGCGTCGACGATCACAAACAACACCATGATCTATCAATATCTGCTGCTCAAGCCGTGCACTATTGATATCGATGCCCCGTTCAATTGCCTCCACTAGAAATGCCTCTTGTTGTTCAAAGTCATGTTCGAGTTGGTGAGATCTTCGCCGGAGTCGCTCCTCTGTTTTCGCCATTTCTCGTTCCACATTTTCGATGCTTTTTTCCCTACCATCTAGGTCACGCTCTCGATTATCTAAAACCTCGCGTTGAGAGTTTAGCTCCTGCACCCGAACATGAAGAATTCGACATCTAGCGTTTAATTCATGTTCGCGACGATCGAGTTCTCTTGATGTGGCTGACCAGTCCGAAACTTGCTGGTTGGCTTGACTTAACAATATTTGTAGGTTCGCGGTTTGTCCTCTTAGGTGGATATTTTCCTCCTGGAAACGTTGGACCTTGGCATTGAAGAACGGATTGTGATCGTTGGTTTCGGCAGGAGGTGCGGGAAGGTGATGTGATGGCATCAGTAACATGGAAGGTTGACTCTGAGTTTTTGGCTGATTGATCGTGATCGGAGGAAACATCGAGGCGGACGCCGCGTGATCGGGTGGTGCTGGAGGATAAACGGCGAACGTGCGTTGATCGAGGGGATTACTAGTAGCAGGCTCAGGATCACCATTTGGAAGAGGGTCTGGGCTGCCTCTAGACATGTGACGGTGCCGCTTGGTAGCTACATTGCGGTCAGGTTCGGCAGTGCTTGCCTTGCGCTTAGCAGAAACGCGTTTGGGCAGTCGCGGAGTGTCGTCGCTCGGTCGTCGAGTGACGTCCTGATGATAAGACTGAGCTACTCCAGATACTCCAATATTGAGCTCAATTGGAGGTATTTCCAAGGCGTTTTGACTAAAAGGAATACCGCGACTCTTCTGAAGACGGGTATAAAACTTTAGTCCGGTATCCTCAGGTTTTGATGATGGGCGTCGCGGATCAGAAGACTGCTCCAAACCTACTGGAGGCTGATTGCTGCCAAAAAAATCAAAAACCGAACCTCTTCCAGTCCCTGGTTCGGACAGCCATTGCTTCCCTGTGTTCCAAGCTAAAAGCGCGGTAGTATCGTCTTGGCCGCCGCTGCGAAACAACAATGCAGGTTTCGTGGATGATATCTGGAAGTGCCGGGCGGGATTCTTCTTCTGAGAATGCCCGAGGTCAGGCTTTGACGCAGCGTATGGTACTCGGACAGATTGTTCCGAGAGTTTTGATCTACCGTTATGACTCGCACCAGAACTATTTTGGTGAGATTGATCACGGCAGACAGAATCAGTGGCTGTACTAAGAGAATTGTGAGCACGTTGTATTTGTGCATCGATGACCTCTGTTTGTGCAATGCTGTTGGTTGGTATTGTCACCGACGATGGTCGAGGCTGTGTTGGAGTAGGACCGAGGTTAATTTGTGGCTGATGTCTTACAGGTATAGCATGTCTGGCTTTGGAAACGGGAGAGCGAGCGCCTTGTGATATGGTAGATGGTAGAGCTTGAGGATTGACAGGCCGATTTGAAAATGTCGTTGCATGAGGTTGTAAAGATAGCCGAGCCCTTGCTAGAGAAGGTTGTCGGTCGGCAGCAGCGGCAGCATCTGCAAGTGCATCGCGTGCATTGAACCCTTGTAGTGCAGCTTCAGGCCGATGTTCAAAGGTGGCAGGATTAGACTGATGTGTTACTGTGGTACTTCTGGCAAGTGGAGGTTGAGCCAATGGAAACTGTCTGGAGCCATCAGCTGAATCTGCCAATCTTTCGAGAGTATTCCTGTCAGACCGATGCTGAGTTTGAGATTGAGCGAGTTGCACAATTGCATTAGTAGTGGCATCGGAGGGCGCAAATCCAGATTGGGGTGTGATGTTAGACCCTGCATTTGCGCCATGCAAACCTAGACCATGTCGATCTGCATTGGCTGAAGGTATAATAGTCCTTCCTATCGGCGTGTTAGCAGGTCTTGTAAAACGCAAAGTCATTAATGACAACTAAGTTAACGTGGCTAACCTTTCTTTTTTCCTTTCTTCTCCATATTTGCTTATCAGCTTGTAAGAAAGAATATGTCCTATCTCTCAAATTCAGCCTCGACGTTCTGATCGACCTCTGACCTGGGATTTGCAGCAGGTGAACAAAAGAAACTGAAGCAGTTTGAATGACATTTTGTAGCTCTTGCAAGGTCACTACAACAACTTGCGTCGTCGTGTTTGGTCTGTAACACTTTTAGCATTTCAATCCAAACAAAATATTGCGTCGTCTGCTTTTGCGGCTTATGGACGCAATAATGTGACTTAGTCAGTCTCGGCATTGGACAGACTGTAGGGAAGTACTGAGTGACATGACCTGTAATCAGGACAATCTAGAATTGAGCAGCATTTTGTGGAATTGAGTCCTGTTTGTGCTGTTCGACACTGTTCTCATGCGTAGCAGTCGAAGTTGACTTCTATACACTTGCACCGATGGTCGAGCATAGCAGACATCTGGGTAGTGTGGAAGTAGTGTTTCTACATCGTGATCAGACTCGTTTTCGACCACTTTCGTCATCCATCACGGTCCAAACAGGCGTCTTCTCTGGCTGTCAAGGGAACATCCTATGCTAGACTTCAGTCACGCATGGCGGCAGGACCTGCAAGCATGAGTGTGAACTTGAGGTTATTGAACTAATCGGCAGATCGAGAGAACGGAAAACGCGTCTGTGATCAAGCAGACACCTTCTGACCTCAAATAGAGGTTGTTTTCGAAGCGTATGAACATGCATAGAAGTGTGATAGTGTCGAGAAACACAAGCTTGAGGATGACAAGAGCTGTGAGGTTTGTCCATGACCCGGGATGTACTTTGGATAGTGTAGTCAAGTACGCGTCAAGTAGACGGATCACTGCAGTCACGTGACGCACATGCAGCCCTCTATGAAATCTAGTTAATAGCGAAGCTCCTTGGAAGAGTATGAAAAGTGCAGTGATCTATGTCATTGACAGGGAAGAGACTGAGACACTATCAAGTAAATCTCTTCGCTTCCAGCACGAGGCTTTCCCCCTTATGGTATGCTTTGCTAGTCAAACCATAAGGATATCTTTCCTCCATAAGTGCCGTCCACTTTTGGCCTCTTGATGCCGTATCGTTCTGCAAATCTTATCTTGTGAATTGTGTATGTAGCTTGTCACATCCTTCTGAGTTGTCACCAGACGTGAGGGTGAACAAAACTGGGTATAATCAAAGATATGACAAGCATGACCTGCCATCTCTTGAGGTAGCGAATGCTTACCAGCCAGCAGCTGGAGCGGCATTTTCACCACCAGTGGTACCTTCTCCTGCCCAGTCAGCACCAGTAGCGTTGTCTTGCCAATTAGGATCAGCAGTAGTAGCACCAGTGATACCTGGAACACCAGTGGCAGCATCAGTACCCCAATCAGCATTATCAGTGAAACCTCGATCGACGGCGCCTGGACCAGCCTCATCAGCACCTGGCTTCTGCTCCTCATCTTTAGTCTCATCAGCCTCAGGATCGCGGTAGAAGTACAGATCAACGACAACATCCCAAGCAACCTCTCGGTCAGCAATTGTACCTCGAAGTCGGAGCACTTCTCTTGCAAGCATCCACCAGATCAAACCAATAGAGTGTCTGCCCTTGTTGTTGGTTGGGATGGCGACGTCAACAAATTCTGTTGGCGAGTCGGTATCGCAGAGACCAATGACTGGGATATTGACATAAGAAGCCTCCTTAATAGCCTGAGCATCGGTTCGTGGGTCGGTGACGATGATCAATCGTGGTTCTCGGAAAGATCGGGTAATGTAGTTGGTGAAGTTACCGGGAGTGAATCGACCAGCAATAGCGACGGCACCAGTGTGAGCGGCGAACTTGAGGACGGCTCGCTGACCATATGGACGAGCAGAAATAACACAGACATCGGCTGGGTTGTCGACGGCTGCAATGATTCGGGCCGCTAGGACAATCTTCTCCCTGCGTATGTGTTAGTACTTGTCCCTCGACATGCGCTGTCTTCCTGTGGGACTTCTATTCGTAACCTACCAGGTCTTTGAAATATTGATAATGTTGATACCATCAGGTCGAGTCTTCCATAGGTATGGTTCCATGTGAACTTGCAGGTTCTTGGATCCCAGGTGGCATTGAGCCGCGAGCAGCTGCTCAATGTCCTGGGAGCTAGGGTTGAAGATAGCCGGGAGGTTCGAAGGTGCTGCCATGTTTGCGACTGTACAATATTCAGTCGTGCGACAAGTAGAAGGCGTAGGTGAAGTTATTCTTGAAGGATGTACAGAAAGTCGGCCAATGATCTTAATTTCGCAACACACATATCGAAATCTTGGCAAAGAGCTAGTCCAAGTTGAGCTTCGGCTTGTTCGGCTGAACTGCCATTCTAGAAAAGTTGCAGGTTGCAATCGCATGGTCAATCTAGCACTGGGCCATCAACTGCAATCATCATATCATAGCAGTAACTATGCCACCTCGTATACCAACAGTCTCAGCAAACGGCTATAGGTCATTCAACCTTACATCACTGCTTCAAGCTCTTCCGAGACAGTCCGACACGCTCACTCCATGTTCAGCATGTCTTTTCTCAACCACTGCATCAATACAGATGAAGAGAGGAGGAAAGAGGAAGCCCAATCAACGCCTCGATCCCTACCGTGTCGAGCAGGCTAGACAGCGCAAGGCAGCCAACATCGAGAAGCGATACAAGCTTCAAGCCGAACGAGCAGCAGCTCTAGGTGATCCAGTTCGCAGCAAGCCAACCCCTTTCCTCACATCTCTGAACCTCGTTCAAGCTACACAGCCTGGACAAGCAGCTGGTTCGCCAACTGGAGACACCTACCCGAATTACCAGCTCAATTCAAGAGAAGCCGAAGAACAGATTGCTCACAGCAAGTGGTTAACAGAGCCGTTGGAGAGTCAAGTCAACGACAAACAAGCATATGAGAAACGAGCCGCTCAGCATGAGGCACACCATCAAAACGCGACAGCGGCTATTGAAAGAATCACAAATCTGGGAAACAGCAGTAGCGGTGACAGAACGAGGTTGAACATTCAAAGATGCATAGACACATTTGGAAGACACACCACTGATACTCTATTGCCGCCAAAGCCTTCAAGTCTAGGCCCTACCAAGTCTTCTTCTACCATGTCCGAGCTTCTGGACGAACCGCTGAGCGTAGAAGAGGCAGAACGACAACGACTTCTATCCGAGCTTGCAAGCATACCAAAACGTAGTGGTCCCGACACAGGTTCCTCAGAGGTGCAAATCGCTATCCTGACCACCAAGATCAATGTGCTTGCACAGAATTTGCAGGGAGCAGACAAGCACAATAAGCGTGAGTTGAGGTTGCTGGTACACAAACGACAGAAGCTGTTGAAGTATCTCAGGAAAAAGGAAAGAGGTGGTCCAAGATGGCAGAATATTGTGGATAATCTGGGCATAAACGATGCCATGTGGAAAGGGGAGATTACTTTGGCATAATGTGCCGGACGTCTGACAGCAAGATGCACCGCTTTCCTCGTGCACGACCACTTTGGTGCAGCACAAGTCTAATCAGGCGCTTGGCAAGAAGTACAGACCATCTGCCCCTGCTGATCTTGATGTATATGTGTATAGTATCAGCATTTCACCACCTACAAGTGATGGTCTTCTTATCGAACCTGAAGTGCGGTCTAAAACTTTCCTAGAGAATGAGGACTCTACTCGATCGTCCTGGCCGGCCACCGATTTGTCAAGTCAAGTCATATCAACCAAGCATTGTCACAAGCTAGCATATTAAACAAACGAGCCTATTTTTGTCCCTAAGAGAAGTGTTTGCTGACAGGGAGGAAGCTCTTCTTGTATACGCCTACCGATGGATGGGGCGATTATTGCTGATAAAAAGGTCACCCAGGTTGCTTGATGCCGAAAGATCATTGTCATTGCGGCTAGTGACACAACACAAGGTACCACTGCGAACGTTCTCTCGAAGGGATTGTCTTGATTACGCTCAAGCAATACCTCAGCCCTGCGCCCTGCTTATCCCTCGTACCAGGATCTAGTCAAGGTTGTCGTTTACCAGCGGCGTTGAGGTCAAGCCTTCACATGGAGCCAATCGATTCATTTTCCGGCGGCTTAGCATCGAACACACTAAGCCATCAGTCGAGCTGACCATAGTACATGATGGCAAGATGTCTGATGTGTCTGCGGGCCGACTCCCCTCCATATCGCTGTCACCGCAGTCGTCCGCATATCACAGTCAGAGTCGAAGTCCCCAGCCTCGTCTCAGAGTGGTGGCAATTGCCTGTTTGTTCTCACTTGCATATCGCAAACGACCAGAATCTGCTCTCAAGACTTAAGATGACTACTAGATCCGATCTACTTTTTGTCAAATCCACCACAACATTCAACTTCAGAGACTCATCTTTACAATCCACATCCCACTATCACACAACCCTGCTTTATCCAAAGTACCAGTCCAACATGCATCCTACAAGAACCATCCTCTCTACACTCGCCCTGGCATCAAGAGCCCTCGGTGCCTCGACCTTACCTACACCTGCCACTGTCACAGCCGAAGTCTGGCCAAGCGATGTCTGGAAAGCAATATCCGACTATCCCACCCTCTGGCCGCTCGTTGCTCCCACCGTTCGCTTCCATACGAAACGACCATTGCCGTCTTCAATTCCTGCGCCACTATCGAGCACGAAGTACCAAATAGACAAAGAAGGCGACACTCCTACAACCACCATAGCAGAAGACAGCACGCCTGTGAATCTCAATGCCCGTGACCTGATTGGGAGTGTCTGTCCGGGCTTCGACACGAACAACGCGTGTGATGATGGTGTCACGAGGAGTGGTGCAGGACGTCTTTTGCCCAAGGTTGCAACCGTCGTGGCTGGGATGACGGCGCTGGAATTGTCGTTTAGTTAGGATGTGAAACAAGTCCGCATGGCTGGTGGCACGATTGAACTGCCGGTATTGAGTGGTCGGATAATCGTAACTGAAGCTGCGCTGGATATTTGGCAAACGGAATCAAGGGGTTCTGATTGAGGTTGCATCTTCGAACACTTCAGCATGAGATTGGTGGTTAGACTCAGATTAGTGTACTTGTGAGCTACCACATATCATGACATTGTACATAATGTGCACTATACTAGCTCAATCGCTTCCGCTGTCGTATAATGTTCGACCATTTCTTAGCTCCGAGTACCACCGCTTCCTTCCGATGCCACTTGCCAGATGGTCTCAAGGTGTGGAATCACAGCTCGAGAAGTCAATTAGACTCGACATTGGCATTTGTGCATTCGGTAGACAGAACGCCACATTTTCTCCTAGTATAGGAGTGGCTCCAGGCTTAGCCATGCCACTTTCATCGTCGAACACATTGTGGTACTCACTCTCAATCCTTTGGTAGAACTCATCGTAGATTTTGTCAGTCTTCATGCCATCGCGCACGATATCCACAATACCACCAAGCAGAGCAAGCAAAGTCGGAGCTTTGGTCTCCCAAGTTACGAATCGTGCAACAGCAGAGCCGTCGAGTCGAGTTGCAGCTGTACTGCCATAGACAGTCTGCATTTGTTTGCCGTCGAGCATGTTTTTGTACCACGCCAGACCATTGCTCTTGTCGAACAGAATGGTTGGCGCGACTGAATAGGGTGTAACCACATCCAGCTCTTGCTCTTTGAAAACTGCGACCGAAGGTATGCCTGCATTCTTGATAGCGTCGTACTCTAATGTTGCGTTCGAAGCGCGAATGCCAGATGTGGAGCTTGTACCGTTGAGTGCCGATGCATACATTCCTGGCACACCCATCAGCATAGAATTGCAGGTACGAACTCGTTCTCCATTCTTGAAAACACGATATATAACCGGGACGTCGAGATAGGGCAAGAAGAGAAGTTTCAGCTGTTCGTTACTGCCAAAGTAGAGACCTCTCTGAACAGTGATCGGCGTGATGTGCCGTCCAAAAATAGGGTTTCCCTCGTAGTTCACGCTGCCATACTGATGGCGTGATGCATCCACTATAGATCCAGTGTAATTGGCTGCCAGCAATTGTGGTCTTTTTGCATCCCAGAGCAGATCAGCCTCTGACTTGTTCAATGTGGAGGAAAAGTATAGGAACCAGCTCATAAGTTCTCCTTCGTAAGGGTCATTGTTGAGACATATAGGATCCTCGCAGGCATAGCGCTGACCTGATGCAAAGGGAGACAGGTCTTCTTGCAAGGTAGATATGGCACAAACTTCTCCAGCATGCTGACCTTGCATGAAGACAGTCTTTGCATTGCGGCGTGCGTAGAGAAACCATTGCATCCAGTTACCTCCGAGCTGCTGGAATTCGGATCGGTCTGAAGCTTGTAGGACATGAATCAGTGCGTAGACAGCCCAGAGCAACCGACTAGAAGAGTATTAGCACTAATGTATTGGGTTCGAGAACGCCATACCCGTTGTCTGCAGCAGAGACTTTATTACGCCAATCATAAGATGGACGTGCTATGGCAGAATTTACCTCCAGACCAGGTAGGAAACCCCCGTAACCCGGAAAGGACTGATTGAAGGCAGTATATGTGTTCAACTTGGTCGTCAAGATCGAAGCAGCAATCTCGCCAGCGTCTGTAGGGTTGGCTGGGTAGATAAAGGTCGAGGCACGGGCACTGCCATTCAGAGCAAGCGTGAGCAGCATTATGTGCCAGGCCTAGTCTTCGTTAGCAGGTCCGGGTAAAGTGATTGCGAAGGTACCTCATGTCTTGGATTGCCTCGTGTATATTCTGGTGAGAGGGTGCTTGGCAAACCAGTCTGGTACCCCAGAGCAGTATGAGAGATGACCAAGCCGGTCGAGGAGTGATAACCGATGCCATCAGTGTGGAATTGGCCATCCCAGTAAAAGATGTTGTCCTCGAAGCGAGTCGAATCTCGCATGATCTCATCTTGAGTGGAGTTTGGCGAGAATCTGCATAGTCCATGCTGAGGAGCTGCCTGCCGGACAGCAAAGCTGTGACTCAATGAGCACAGAGAAAGCAGAACGAAAAGGGCATACATGCTGAAAGGGTCGTGTGGTGCGTCGGGGTTGAAAGTTGAAGTTTTGCATTTAGCTCAATGAAAGTGAACTGCCAGTGGGAGGTCTGAGAAGTGTTATGTTTGGACAATGTGGTCGGAATGTGCATATGGCATGGTCATTGGCAGAGTCGTGCCTTGCACGGCCGTTGGACTATGTGCTTCAGCGTCAGCAGAAAGGTGCGACTTGCAACAACCGTCCACAATTCGAGTAACAGGAAAGTACACAGAAACGTGCTCTCGTTCCGTAGTAGTACATACCAAGCTTGCACGCCTGAATTCTATACATCGTGTAGGCCATGCTGCTGTATCGTTGATGACACTGCCCTCATGAGATATTGCCTGCCTTTTATACAACTTGTGTAGCGACAGTACCCACTGGCCTCTCAACATATTCCATCACACCATCGACAATACTCTTTCTCGCACCTTCGCTGCTTGGATTCTTTCCACTGAGGTATTGGAGCCACACCAAGCGGCTTATCCTTTCATCTTCAATTTGCCCAAATTTTGTCCTCACACCCTTCGGATCCTCGTACCACGCATTGAGCCTGCCCTTTGCATCTCTGGTCAATAGTAGGATCTCTCCCTTTGGTAGTTGCTTTCGTGGTGCGGCATTGAACAATGCTTTGAAATCGTTCATGCTGCTACCGAAAGACTCATCAGAAAATGATTTGTCGTTTCTACGACCGGCGAAATGCTGTGTCTTGGCTGTAACCTGTTTGAGAAAGCCGTCTTTCAAATGGCTGAAATCTGTATTTCGGGTTGGCACGATCCTGAAGACAGATCTGATATTGCCGTCCTTCAGAACTGCGTTCCAGATTTCCTCGCTCTCGTCCCCACTCATCAGCGCGTCTCTTAGCTTGCCCTTCTCTCCTGGTACCAACGTCGTGGCTACCGAGTCCTGCGTCCGGATCAAGCGCTCCTGAAGAGTGTCGATATCTGGCAATGCAACGTACATTCCTACCACGTATACTTGTATGCCCAAGAAAGAAACCGTACGTATTCCCAAGCCAACAAGACAGTACTCTTGATCCCCACGCTCCGCAGCTGCCTTGTTTCCCGAGTCCAGCTCAGACATGAATATCGACTTTGGAAATGTAGGTACACTACTCGTTCCAGTCTCTATCGTCTCGATCTCTCTCTTCTCCATTCCCTGCTCAAGCAGACCTCGTGGGATAGGCGACGAAGGCGGAGCATCATGCCTGATCAGCTTCGTCTCACTTGGCCAGAAGTAGACCGCGCCAAACATAGCCACAGTACATGCAATGATGCCGATGGTGGCCCTTCTGTTGCGCTTTCTAAGCTCTGCAAACGCGATCTTGTCCCTGTCTACTTCGTCCGGCTTAGGAAGATATCGTCGACGCAAGTCCTCCGCAGACCCGATATGTGCGATGTTTGAGGGAACATTACGTGCTCGAACTGTGCTGGACGCGAGACTGCGACTGAGTGGGTGTACGACACTGTGAGCCTGTCTGCATGAGCAGACGTGCCGCGATACGAGCGTTCTGAGCGGTGATTGCTGCATAATGTCTGTGAGATTGACTATCAAGGGTACTAAATTCGACACAACAAAGTCCTGGACAGCACGAACAACTTTGATGTAGCTGAGATCGAGAGGCATGACCGCATTATCAACTAGAGTATGTACTAGCAGTGACTGACAGGCAACTTAGCCGATGTGCTCAGTTTCGTAGTTTCGTTCGTAGACGATCAAGCGAACACAAAATGATTGCAAGAAGCATAACATGAATAGCATATCAAGTTCTAACCTAGAACTTTCTCAAGAAGAACAACCAACCACACCCATGGACACCGTGCTGGCATTGGCGGTTAAAGATTCGCTATTATATATACATTATGTCCCAAACAAGCGAGCCTATGCTCTGGTGATCTTCCAGCCCTCGTAGTCGTTGCTGATCGACTTATCGAGTGAGCTGACATACTCAACCATACCACCAGCCCTGGAAGAGATGTCAGTAACGGTGAGGATGTGATGAAGAATAATAAAAACTTACCAGTTCAGTGGCTCGACCTTGCGTCCTGGAATGTTGCTCTGGATAGAAGTTAGTATGAATTCACAATACTCGCATTGGGGTCAGTGAACATACTCCTTGATACCATGACTTGGCTCGTGGGAAGAGTGAAGCATCCCACTTCTCGTGCATGCGCTTGCACCAGTCGTCCTCGTACTCCTGTGTGGCTTCAGCACGCACGATCTTCTCATCCTGTATCTGTTTGAAGAACTTCTCCAAGAATTCAGCTTGGAATTGTGTGCAAGAAGGACCATTCGAGAAGGCAGTTGGTGCCTGTGGTCCGTACAAGAAGAACATATTAGGGAACTCAGGCATGGCAATACCCATGCTGGTTCTTGTACCGTTCTTCCAGTGGTCAGCGATTGTGCCGCCATTGATACCCTGAATATTGAGCTGGGCAAGGGAGCCAGTGACGGAGTCGAAGCCGGTAGCGAGAATGATGACATCGTACTCGACCTCACCGAGGTCTGTCTTGATCCCCTTCTCGGTGACTTCTTGCACTGGGTGCTCGTTGACATCGATGATCTTGACATGTGGCTTATCTATTGTCTCGTAGAAGTGTTGTTCCAACGATGGTCGCTTGGTACCCCATGGATGTGGTGCCTGCTCTGGTGCAAGCAGTCGCTGCTTCTCTGGGTCAGTAATTCTCTTCAGAACAGTCTTTCGCCAGAAGTTGTATGCCTCCTGGTTGGCCTTCTCGTCAAAGAGCATGTCCTTGTATGTGTTGAGCCAGAACTTGAAGCCACCTTCCTCAACCATCAACTTGTGGTAGAATGCCTCCCGTTCTTCTGGAGAATCATCAAAGGTGTTCTTCTCCAGGAAGTCGTATGTGAAACCAGCGAATGTGTGTCTTGTCTTTTCGATTTCTCGCTCGTATGTGCCGTTCTTCTTCTTCTCCTCTTCTTCCTTAGGGTCTAGTTGTCTTTGGTTCATGGGCAAGCACATGTTGGGTGTTCTTTGGAAGATGGTAAGCTGCTTGGCCTTGTCACCAATCTCTTGGGCGATTTGGATACCAGAGGCACCAGTACCGATCTGAGCGATTCTCTTGCCCTTCAAGTTGACACCATGCTGAGGCCAGACAGCGCTGTGGTAGATGTCACCCCTGAAATTTCCGAGACCCTGAATGGGTGGTGTGTATCTTCTTGAAGCAAATCCAATGCATGGGATGAACCACTTGCAGTAGATCTCGCTGCCATCAGAGCACTCAACGAGCCACATCTTGGAGGTCTCGTCGAAGACAGCGCTGTCGACATGCTTGTTGTAGGTGATGTGCTCGTTCAAGTTCCACTTCTTCTCGAGATGGTCGAAATATCTTCGTAGCTCAGGGCCGCCTGCATATCGCTCTTTGAAGGTGAAGTCCTCCCAGATTTCTGATGATCATCAGTATTAAGAGCTTACAGAATTTAGGAAACAGGCATACCTTTATCGAACATCTGGTAGATAGGGGTGTCACTGTCGACACGTGCACCTGGATAGCAATTCCAGTACCAGATACCACCAGATGCAGCACCTTTCTCGTAGATCTTGACGCTGTACCCTAGTCTCCGGACTCTGCCAACGGTTAGCATCCCCAACAGAGGCGTAAGTACCAGGTCTTACCTGTTCAATAGAGTGAAGGAGCCGAAGCCTGCTCCAACAAGCAGGATATCGACATGCTCGACCTTGCCCATCTCGTCCATGTTTGCTAGTATGCTGTTGTGCCTGGAGAGTAGAAAATCGTACTACGAGTAACAGAAGAGACTTGATAAAATCGCAAGAGCTGAGGCGAAAACAATCCCTTTCATATATTATACAAAGCGAGCTCGACCACTTTTCATGCACGGAATCAACCCCGCGCCGGACATGTCTATCGTGAAGGTCATGCTTGTTGATGTTAACCTTCAGATGTCTCCTGCATGATGAGGGGTCAAATCGGACTAACGGGTGGATCATAAGATTGTGCGAATGGAAACACAATGCAGGAATGATAGCAAGTCGAGTGAAGGGATCTGCTTTGACACCAGAAGAGAGACTTTGCACTCTATGCGTCGACCCCAAAATCAGGTTCGAGATAATGGGGACAATTTGGAATCACGAGCCAATAGGAATCTCTCTGCATACTTTGAACCAAAGTGGCGTGAACGAGCCTGGGGTATCGTGGGGAACACGTCGCCACTGTTTTTCAAGATACGACAGGCCGATTGTGGCGGTTCTTCTGGTCGTGCCCAAATGAGTGCACCTCTACGTTGTATGTTTTAAGGTAAAACACAAAAACTTAAGACAAGGCCAGACTTTGTAGTTTCGAGATGCAGCATGTATTTCGATATCATACCTAGAGTTTCGGTAAACCAGCATTCTAGAACCTCTAAATGCTGCAGGCTGAGAAGGCCTCCTCAGTAACCACTTCAAACGCCAGATTTGTGACTTCAGGGCCCTTCGGGTCAGGATATTGTTTGCTTGCTCACAACTCTCAAAGCGTTGAACGGGCTTACAAGAGTAATCAATGAATACGAACGGTCCTTGATAAAGAATCAAGGCGCTTGTGCGCCTTGAACGTCACAATGGTGGTGCAGACATATCGCGGATCCCGCTGTAGCGAACAGAGACGACATTGTCTGCGCGTGCAAGCTTTTTGTCGTTCGCGTCGACCTCGGGATAGATGACGCCACTATGTATATGAGATCACCCCGCACCCCGCGATATCGGTCCTGTAACCGCCGGCTGGGATTCATTCGCGTGTATCGACTTGACTCGACAACGCTGTGTCAATCACTACTCGAGTATCGGGAGGGCGGGCAATCGTATCGTTGCCGCTTCGATGTTGTGGGGAGCACGTCTCGGACAAAATGAATATCAGGGGTCCTGGCCATGGCTTCTGATTGTGACCCCGACCACTGCGGGACGTGGCGGAGATATCTCGCGAGACTCGGAGTGGACTCGTATCGTGCCTCTTGTTTGCCAAGTCATTCCTCCTGAAGATGTTTTAGCGAGCGCAACAACCTTTATTCGTGTGATAGGTCATCCTGGAGTAACGGGATGAGACAAACCAAAGTGTCGTAACACGTGGCCACAGTGCATGCAGCAGTGTCTCTGTTGCTCGACAATGTTGGACGAATGTGCTGATCTCCCTTACGTTGGAGGTCACGCGGCGACCACTGAAATCTTGCTTGCTCTTCATGAGCTCGTGCTTGATTCATCTCTCTCGTCCTTCTCAAATATTGCCGCTTGCCGACTAGACTCTTCGAGTCGCTCAAAAAGCCTTTCGAGAATCCATTCAGCCTCATCTTTGTCCTGAAGTAGCGGGCTATTCTGTCCAATCCAACTCCATTTGACTGTAGTGCCGGATTGCTTGTTGGTGTCTGTACTGGCTGACGTACCTTTCATGTCAGGATCTCCTTCACCTGCTGTTTGTTTCGACCCTCGGCGGTAATGACCCTTCGCTTTTGACTTTAGTACCGCTTTACGGTGCAAGGTACTGTCAGCCTCATCTTCTCCCAGGAGGCGTAAATAGAAGGTCCATTCAGCATAAGTGTACTTCTTAGGGACCTTTTGTTTCGTGTGAGCATATACTCTCGGGATCTGCGAGATCAGGAGATGACGATAATGGTGTTCAGCTGTCTATGTTAGCTATGTCGCTCTCTGCTGAAGGTCAGCTTCTGACTCACCCTGTGCTCTGCGATCATCCCTATCCATGGCATCATGCTCGCCCTCGATTTCTTCTTCACTCCATGCACCGGCCAGCCGATCCAAAATTTGAATATCGCTAGGGTCAATGTGAGTGTCTTCGGCCGACTTGAACAGTTTTATCAAACCAGGAGGCATGTTCTGCAGCCCGTCTCCTCGCGCCTCCTCATCTTCTTGTACACGATGCGTAGTGTCCTCCTCCTTCTCATGTATATTGCTGACCAGGCTCAGCTTTCCGTTAGTAATTCTATGCATGCTCTGTTTGAGACGATCACGGGTGCTACCCTCTGAACTGGGTAAAACGGAGAGCTCGCCCAGCCAGATAGTGGCATCCTTGACACCCTTGACCACAGTATCACCCATGCTGCTAATTAATATAGTCAATGTAGGCACCGCCATCAAGGACCAGAAAACAAAGAAGGGTTTGGATGCATTAGCCATCAGGAGCAGGTCTCCATATCCTATAGTCAAAATGCTGGTGTATGCAAAATATAAAGAGGCAAAGTATGTCCATTGCTGATTCTTCTCGGCCTGCCAGAATACAGCGGCGCCGACGAACCATAGTACAGCGAAGACGGTGGTGGACACGGTCAGGCCCAGATATCGTTGCTCTTTGGAGGCCATGTCCTGAACGCTTCGCATGGCTTGGAATTCAGCATGCCTTCGTTCTAGTTCCTCGATGTGATCGTCGGCGGGGTCTTTAGCAAGACCTTCGATGGCATCTTTGCCAATTCCATGGAATGTTTTTCTAGAAGGACGTCCTCGTTGCTGGATCTTGGTGACTTGTGCAATAACTCGCCTGCGAGTCTTCTCGGTCATGCGAGCAGACATCTTCTCGGCTCCTCGTTCCAGCACCATGCTTCGAATACTGGAAACAACGAGACCAATAGCGATAATGCCACCAACAGCGAATGGAAACAAGAGGCTCCTGCCAACGTGGGTCTTGGGAGTATATTCGCCTCCGATCCCGACGGTCAGCAGAGTGAAATCCATAAAGTACACCGCATCCAGGAACTTCCAGCCCTCGACCTTGCAATAGACCAGAGCACCTATTTCAAGGTAGACCAGGAAGGATATCGTTTGCAGCATAAGAGTACGCTGAGCAGGGGTCAACTCAAAGTTCTTGCTATATGCTCCTTTGTAGGCGCCCCATACAGTGACACACATAAGGTAGCTGATGATCTGATAGAGGGCCGCGGCAAAGATAGCGTAATAGAAAGCTTGAGTAAGAGCTTGGTCTTCCACACCCGGTGCGTCGAACGCGGAGGAGGACGCAAAGGAAAGGAGGCCGATCAAGAGGATAGAAGCGAACCAGAAGCCGAATATGGTGATTGGTTGTGCAACCTCGAAACGAATACGCTTGGCCATGTTGAGGAGTAACGACATATTCGCTGTCAAGGCAAAGACCAATGAGACGGAATTGACAGCGATGAGCCAGCGCGGGTCTTTCAGATCGATTCCATGTTGTTCAGTACCACCTGGAGGGACTGAGACACGCCAGTTCTCGACCAAAGCATTGACGCTGAAGGCATTTGCCATGGGGCCGAAGGTTCCTGCGATCAAAGGAAAGGCGGTCGAGGCGTACCACCATCTGGTAGGCATAGAGCGAGAGACATCCTCGCTTTCAGGCACATCAAGACCTCCCTGGTCACGTTGCGATTTGATAGTATGCTGTGCTTGAGTTGCAGCATCGGTGATGTTGTCGTCTAGACCCGGGTCGTTCATAGTTTATATCTTGCCTCCTTTTCAGTTCAATTCGAGGTTTCGCTTGGTAATTCGTTCGAAAGGCTGTGGATGTGACGGAGGCATACTGTGCTGGTGTTCTGTCAGTTGATGTCAATAGTGCAGCTCATCGTGGATGCTGGACGACAGATCAGAAGCCTAAATGTGAGGAGTGATGTAGATAGGACGACTGACAACAATCGCGATCACGCGTCTCGCCAACAAGTTCATGTGCATTTTCAAGGACCAGCACAACCAGGTTTGTAATTGGAAGCGAGGACGTCATTGACGCCACCTGTGCCGGGCAACGTAGACAACGATTTCGTTAAGTTTGCAGTTCTTCAGGTATGAATGTACTTGGAGTAACGACGAGTTCGAGAACAACTTTGTGCAGGAACGCAAAAGTTCCGTCGAGCCTGCCGAAAATATCGAGATGCTCGTTCTTGTGTGTTTTGTGCTAGCTTGGTTGAAGCTACCAACACAACACCAAGAAACGAGGTCTGTTCAACTTTAATCAAAGACACATGGAGTGTGCGCCGTCTATTGGTAGAAGATTTCGAGGCACGGACATGCGACTGCAAGTGCCTCAAGAGATTGCTTTTCGTTTCAAAATCTTTATCCGCAACCCGCATTTGAGGTACGTGAGCAGCAAAAGTGGGTAATAGAGCATAGTAATTTGCGACCCTTGCGATCGTCATCGTTTTCCAATCAGTCGAAGCTGCCTACGCACAGCACATCCTTCCTCCAGAATATGATATTGGCGACAACAAAGACTGCCCATCCTTCGATCGCAGATACTCCGATGTTCAACGGTCGGATACTGAAACCTGAACATGCTCAATCGAGATTGTGAAGTCACTCCACGTGCTTAAAACTGTTATTCCGCCAGTCGCAAGTTGTCCCACTCATGCAGGCTAGCTAGCGCAAGAACTCGCTCAAGCTTATTCGTCTAGGGTGCTCTAGGGCAAAACGTTGCCCAGCACAGCCTCTAACTTCCAGCCCTTCAGCCAGTTGCGACACCACAGTCCAGACTTGAACTTGTTTCTGTACAACCTACCTTGGTTGACATCGTCGCCAGTCACCTACTGTCTTGGCTAATCGCAACATTCTCTCTTCTCGAGGCGCGCTCTTTCACCAGCTATCGCAAACAGACATTAATCTTAACCAGAGATACGATCATTCTTTGACAATCTTTAATTTGGCTGTCCATGTCATTCCTTCGGACAGCACGAAACCTAGTCTGCGATACTGGTACTCAATTAGATTTCCCACATCTGCTATACTCAAAAACTCCAAAAGCTTCTGACCACATGGTCTAGCTACGACAGCTTTGTATGCGATGCTAAGACCAGCTACACCATTGACCATTTTGCTTTTCGCATCCTTCGTTCTTCTTCTGGTTTCAACTATTTCCACACCTATTGTAAAAGGAATTCCGATCGCACGCAACGGTGATGCCACTTATGGCGTGTTTGGTTGGTGTTGTGCAGACACAAATCAATGTTCTGGCATAGAAGTGGGATGGAGTACAGGTATTGGCTTCATACGACTGCTTGGTGCTCTGGCTGACAAGATATAGACAACATTCCTTGTCTTCCTACTGCTGGTAACAATGGCTTCTCGTTATCTGGGAACACGAGAAACTCCCTCTCTTCGCTCCTGATCGTTCATCCTGTCGCAGCCTTTTGCAACCTGGTCGCATTAGGTCTGGCTGCTGCTGCTCACCTACATTCACCTTCTCATTCAGCTCGATATCTGCTCGGCTTGCTAATCCTCCTCCTTCCGACTCTACTCGTTACTCTTCTTGCGTTCCTGGTCGATATTCTTCTGTTCGTTCCCCATCTACAATGGGGTGGCTGGATTGTGCTCGCGTCCACCATCCTGGTCGCGGCCTCTGGAATTGTAACATGTGCTATGAGAAGGACATTAGTATCAAGAAAAGCCAGGAAGAAGCGCATTGCTGAAAATGCAGAGATGAGTGGCGCAAACTTCTACGCGCGACAGGCAGAAGAATCGAGGATAGTTCCACAATCCAGTCATGAATCGAAGACACCTATGATGAATGGAGGCGGCATGGTTAACGGAGCTCCTGGGGCTGACCAGCTTCCAAACTTTGCTACATACGACACTCGGCGAAGTGAAGAACGACCTACACTCCCACCCATCACAACCCAGCCAATGCCCTCAACTACTCCGATCGATGATGGTAGGTTCTACGGGGGCCAACGATCACGATCAAACAGTAGACCAAGATCAGCTAGTAGACCTAGACCAGAAGATTTCTCCGCCCCGTTGGGTGCTGACAGACACTTTGAAGAAGTACCACCATTACCTACACCGAATAGAGGTGCATATGGCGCCCCACGAGGTCGAGGTGGCTATCCACCAAGAGGCGGAATGCCACGAGGAAATTCGAGAGGACCTCCACCATCACCATACGGCCCTGGACGAGGTGGATATCCAATTAGAGGGAGAGGTGGCCCACCGTCCGTGCCACTACCACCAGGAGTCATGATTCCAGCTGGTATGAATCGCAGACCACCTCCAGGATATGGACCACAAAGCCCTACTGAAATGGAACGTCCTTACATGCCTCCTCCTTCTCAAGGACCAGTGTATGATAGGCCAGGAGAATCAAATTTTGAACCCTCAAGTCCTTCGAATTACGGATCTGATGCCAATGCGCCTTACGGCGCCGCCTATGGTGCTCGAGCTCAGTCGCCAAGCGTAAGGCGACAGTCACCATATGGATCCCGGGCACAATCACCGGTCGGTGGCCCACCACCTCAGTCAGTACCACCACCAATGCCGCCAATGCCTAATCGATCACAATATGGACCTACAAGCTATCCAACCCCCGGTCCTATTATGGATTCAGGCATGCAAGGAATGGTAGACATGCAAAGGGCGCATCACCAGGTGCGCCAGCAACACAGTCCATCACAAGAGTAAGCTTTCCATCTTCCTCTGTATAGTCGCGTCTAACGAAGCGCAGTTACGTCCCACCACGAGCAGCTTGGTCGCAATCACCACACGCAGGTCCAAGCTCTCCCTCTCGTAGAAGACGAGTAAACTCGGGTGGAAGCGATTATGTCGAAGACGTTGATCCTAGATTCGCCGAACCACCGCCAGTTCCAATAATATCATCCCAGACGTTAGCACAACCTCCCCAGCAGCCATACATTCCAGGCGCTCTAGTCGCAGGCCGGAACCCCAACGATCCCTCTCCCGAATCCAGCTCATCTCAAATCCTCCCTCATACACAATCTTACGAAAATCTCCAGCCAGGCGCACGCAGCCCAGTAGAATCCGAAACCAGCAACTTCACCTCAATATCCCAAAGGCCTATGAATCCCAACTGGCAGCCCGGCCACGGTGGAGAGTTCAACCAATTCGCGCCACAACCCGACCGCCGGCATCAGCAGCGAAAACAAGATATCCTTTTCTCGAACAATCCCGATTTTGAGATTCCAGGTATGGGTCCACCTAGGGGAACGAGACCAGGCTACCGTGGTGGAAGAGGAGGTGGATCGGGTTACGGCCCTGGGCCGGGACCGAGGGGAGGTCCGATGAGACCGCCTCCGCCTAGTGTGCTTGAGACCATGGGTGCCGATGGTAGGTACCCAGGACCTGCTATGGGATCTCCTGTACCAGGACAAGGCAGCGGGAGTGTCAGAGAGATCTAGGAGTCTTTACGTCTGAGATGATCTTGACGAGGAACGGCGCAGAAAACAGTACGCTACTGTTCAGGCTTCGTGTCTGATCTTCATACTGAGATGGATATGACTTTGGGATTGATGTTTTGCAGAACTGAAAGATAGCAGCAATGCTGGTGACCTAGGCTGGCCGTGTACCACAGTACGCGTTGATCTGTACAGAGATTAGATAGCTTACCTCTTGGCTGGACATAGAGAGGATGACGATTAATGAAACTGTACATTGAACGATCTACCAGTATGTAGAATTTGAAAATTGAGCCATCGTTTATCGTGGTCCTCAGAAGGGCGCAACTTACAGGGACCATGCTCATCGAGTATGAAAATGTGAAGAAATCTGGCTAACCCGAATAAATATGTAGTGGAGACACCCTCACTCTTGCATGCTGGACACAAGTTGGCCGCTACACGACAAACTTCGTTGGTAGAACAAGCACTCTAGTGAGCACCATACCCGAAACCGAATGAGCACCGTGGTCGAAGGTACCGCAAAGACCGCAGACCACTGATCGGACGCACATCCATCGAAAGTCATCACAACATCTGAGGACTTCCTTCAAGACATCTTCTTAATCTCCCAGTACAGCTTAATCTTATCCCCATTGAGCTGCCGCAGTAGAGGCAGATATTCAATAGCTGGCTCCCAGTCATCCACAGACAATGGTAAGCGTTCAAAGTGGAGAGCACGACAAGGTCCAAACAAGCCGTTGTGTTGTATGACGCTCATGGATAGTTCGATGGATGTGTCAATGTATAAGTCGTGACCGTGCTTGCTGCAATAGCCTACACACTTTTCTGACGTCGTGGGCGGGGATTCGTCGACACAAGGCTGTATTTGCTGGCTTTCATGAATTTCCTGCTTTGTGTTTTCTGTCATGCGTGCACGCTTATATGGAGGCGAGCTAGGCCGACTATCGGATACGAGATGATCGCTCGTAGTATCGTTCATGCTGTCTGCTGACCGTTTATGACCAGCTATGGATCTGTGATTATGATCACGGCATAGGCATGAGTCCGTCGGTCGTTGGTGCATCTCCTCGGCGCACGGCGATACTTGCTGCGTGCCTCGAACCATAACAGCATTGTCTGCATCTCTAGCCTGCAAGGGCGGGCTGACAATGTCGACAGTATCGTGGCCCTTATCGTTCATCTGTTGTAGTTCGCTAACGGCTGATCTGTGCTCTTCCGGCCTGGTCTTCGAGAGCTGCTGACTGGGCGAGTCGTGTTCCGCACAGGGCAGGTTGCTACTGGTAGGAGCATGCATTACTACTTCTGAAGTGCCTCGAGCAGCGATGTTCGTCTGTGCGACCTCGTTCTTCTCATTCTCATCAGATGCTGCAGGCACAGCAAATAGATCGTCACGAATATTTATCGAAGTCGGAAGTTGTCCCTGTGGTCTGAAGATCGGTTGATGCCATAGAGCCTTCCTTGATGTAGCCAGACCTGAAGCCGTGTGCTTTGGCTGTCTTTGTTTCACACGTGTTGCGCCAGGTTCTTGAGCAGCAGGCAGGTCTGTTGCTTGTATAGGCTGTCTCTGGGCTATAGATATTGCGATTGATGCTGTTCTTCCGTCCCCAGACTCAGCATCCACTTGACTTTCGCCTTCATTGTGATTGCCTTGAGGTGATGCTTGCTTGTTAGGAACGTTCCTCTGTAACCTTGATACTTCCTGAGCTGCGACTGGACGCGACTCAATCAGCTCTCGAAGATTCTCAGCACGTAAAGCAAGTCTGACAAGTTTTCGCCCAAATAGCCTGAAATTTAGAGTACGTTCTCCTGTATAGGCCCTCTCGAAACGCTTGAGTATCATCTCAAAGCCGCGCTCGGTGGTGAAGTAGCCATTGATCTTGCCATCAGTACCAAACCAGGCCAGGTGATGCTGTTCTCGTCAAGGGATGTCTGAAGTTGTTTTTCCAGATATGAGAAGAAGTCCTTGCCACTACACGTAGTGCGTGGCTCAGTATCCGCAGGTCTGAGCTTAGCCATCGGCAACGAGAAAATGCTTCTTCCAACCATTGATGGGTCAACTGTAACGAGTATCTGGTCCCAGTTGACCTTCATGTCAGCTTGCTCCTCAAGACCAATACTCAGCCTGAGACAGGCCATTAGATTGGCACTGCTGCCAACATAGGATCGGGCCCGCTCGACGTAGGTACGTCTGCTCATACCACGCAGCATGTAAAGCCTGACAAGATCGTAGAATTCTGCTATTTTTGTTGGGTCCTTGATATGCCTTCTGATACGCGTAAAGAGATGAGAAATGTCCCGCAACCTTCCAGAACTAGGAGTGTCTAGAGGCCGAATTGAAGGAATTGGGCCCAGCTCGATCATGTCAGAAGGTGTATCGGACACTTCTCTGGGTCTTTGGCTAGTTTCATGGCTCTGCGGCTGCGTCTCTGTATTGTATGGTGAAATTTCAGGTGGTCTCTCTTCGTTGATGACAATTTCTGGTATCGAAACCACATCTTCCATATCAAATAGCCCTTCTATATCCTCTTCTGGCTCTGCAACTATACCTTGTGCCTGTTTGTTCCTGATCTGATTTTCAATCTCTTCCTCGATGTCGCTCATTGGCCGTCTAGCTCTTGGTGGATCGAGAGCAGTAATCTGTATGTCGTACTCATCTGCTGTAGTGTCTAGCATTCTCGCCTTTGCTCTCAGATTTTGTGAACCACACCACTCGTCTCTCAACTTGCTATTGAGCATCAAAGCCCATTGTGCATAGTCTTTCAAACGTTCATCGTCCTCCTCCCCATGTATATCCAATGACTCGAACGTAGGACGAATCCATTCTGTAACCTCGAAGAGACGATGAGGATAATCGTTGATCAAATCGCTTCGATGAGGCCATTTTTCCCGTAGTCGTCTCAGAACAATGTGTTGCTGAGCACGGTACTGCTGAGCGTCAAGCCGTAGTCTTTCCTTCCAGTAACGCTTTGTGATCGAGCTGCAGCCAGGCTTACTCACTTTGAAAGACATCATAAGTATATAAGGGAAAGGAAGTTTGGGAGACCACGGCAAATACGTCTGGTATGTATGCCATGGTAATAGCAGAAGCTGGTAATGAGATCATGAAAACTGCTGATGTGTCGGATAGGCGCCTCTAAATTCGTGCCAGGACAGTGAAGCCTGTCACTATGAATTCGATCACATGTCTGCTGTGCCCCCAGAGTGTCTATCACTGAGCTTTCACGTTGCTCGTCAACGCCTCAACCGCTTGCCAACCTGATTGAGACATTAGTGGTACTGAAAACACAGGCTGCAATGCCATCAAAATATCAAATCGGAAATCAGATGCAGGGGAAAATACCACAAGTTTTCTGACCGACTCACGGGTTTTGAAGCGGAAAGTACAAAACACCCACTATATTAGTGCAGGCAAAAGGCACAGCCGAGACAATAAGTCGAGTTAGTCTTCTCTCAGTATACCTCTTCCAAGAAAGAGTCGACTCCACGAAAGCCACAGACCTGAATGCACGCTCCTAATCTGCTTGTGATCGGTGCTGCAACAACTGATGCTATTCATGGGTATGTCTCATGTTGGATCAATGCCAGACGAAAGGTGTGGTCGTTGAGCCATCGAACGATGTCTTGGTAATGTGCTCTTCTATTGATTATTTACATTCACGATGCATGAGGACGAGCTGGACGTTCCTCTAGTACGTGCACCATTTTAACCCTGGTCACAATAGTCCTGTGCTCTGAAAGATATTGATGCCAACAGAAGTATCCGTCTGGCTGAACTTGGCAAGCGCGCTCGAGGTCTCCTTATGCGCGTTGAGCTAGACTCGATTAAGCAAGGTCCTTCACACTCCAATCAAAGATTCACACAAATACGTTGTGCCTGCACATGGTTGCTCATTCAACCATACGCCTGGTGGATGTCATTCGATTGCGAAGACACATGAGTGATGTTAGGTGATAATATCGGTCTTTCCCATTGAGCTGACGCGGAGAGTACAGGTGGCCCAGGACAAGTATGGATAAGGTAAGCCAATATCGTACAGCTCATCAGATCATCGTCGTATAAGACGGGAGAGTCTGCAGTGATACAGCCCACGACGACGCCTATCAGCAAGCAAAGATGGTCCGAAGCAGAACGCAACATGGTCGACTTGACTGCTAGAGAATGTCTCTGCAATCAACCTAATTTGTTCCCTTGAGGTACGCAAGGGCAGTCGTGAACGATGATGAAAACGTACTCCACCAGTGGTAAGCGTTGGAACAGCTTACGAAGAGGTGGTCGTCGTTGGTGAGCAACGTGGCCATGAGAACCAACGATGATGTTTGCCCTACTTGACAGCGACCAACAACGTACTGATGCACATAAAAGCGCTACATTTCCTCCGCAGAAGAACTTTTCTTCATCTTTTCCTTCCATATCAAAAGTTATACATACCGACATCAGTACTCGAAAACAACCAACACCACCTTCACGATGTCTCCCTACGGGCACATAGTTGATACTATGTGCCAAAAAGTCTGCGAGACTATTGTGGCTGTCGCATTCGCGACACGATTCGGTTACTCCTGGCCATTCGTTGCCAGACCCCAAGCATCACCATCGCGATCTCCTGAACAATTTGTCTGGGTAGATGGGAACAGACCAGCGGGACACGACCCCTGGTGCCAGGACGATTCTCCTACATCCCAAACCATGCAATCGGATAGGATCCTGGATGAGCGCACCTGTGAATGGATGTGTATAAGCGAACCCTTGTCGTCAGACCCGAGTAGCAGCGAGCCAACCACGAACTCCGCACAGCCTGACTTCGATCCCAGGCTGTCCGAGATCCAACTCGAGGATTTACGCGATGCGCTGAGGTGCATCGGTAGTGGTTGAGACAGGGGATACGCAAGAAGTGGGAAATAAAAAGGAGCACGAAGAGTTCCTCAAAAACCACAAAAAGAAAAAAGAAACAAAAAACAAGCGCGGAATCAATAGTATGCTCGCCGATGTTCCTCTCAACAAAAGATACCATGTTCAATGAGTGCGGAGGTCAGGGCCAGCACAGATAGTTCAACTCAAATTACCATGATTCAATGCAATCCTATGTTCAAAAAGCAGAACTCATCGTGATGAAACCGTCGTGTTCCTGGGCTCCACCCCATGTCCCCACCGACCCCTTCCCTATAAATCTTTCCGTAACAATAGAAGACAGATTCGTGCATAGCATGAAGCATCGCAGATCCATATACATGAGTGCGCGCCTATTTCTTAGCCTGACTACGTGTTCGCGTGCTGACTAGATCACCACCTGCTCGTGGAGCTGTCTCCTTCTTATCCTTCTTCGCTGCAGTGGTAGTGCCCTTGGGACGACCTTTAGCCTTCTTCTCAGCGTCCTGCTTGGGCTCATCCTTCTTAGTCTCCTTCTTCTCCTTAGCAGGCTCTGGAGTCTTCTTCTTATCTTTCTCCTTCTCCTCTTCCTTGGCAGGCTCAGGCGTCTTCTTCTGCTTCTTGGTAGCAGCACTGGCCTTGGCGGTCTTTCCACCCTTTCGTACTTCCTTGCCATCATGTTCTTCGTGCTTGTCGTCATCCTTTGTCTCTTCTTCTTCTTTTTCTTCCTCGTCATCAGCCTTGCGCTTCTTGTCGTCCTTGGCCTTGGACTTGGCACCGGAAGCTTTCTTGTCGATGTTTAGCTCAGAGGCCTTCTTGACGACATCGTTGCCGCTACGTTCAATGTGAACGGCTGGGTTATTGGGCTCGGCCTTCTTCTTGATCGTGTTGCCGCGCTTCGACTTGATCGCGACATCGCCCTCGGTCTTTGTCTCGGCGACTGTGCCGCCAGGCGCGCCACCTCCATAGTTCCAGCTTACTATACGCGTGTTGTCAGCAGAGCTCTCAGGAACAGGCAAGGGCGCACAGCAGACGCGTGGCAGAGCATCGAAAGTAGTAATACAGCTCGAATAGATATGATGCTAGATTCCGACACCAGCATGCGCTCTCGAACGCCGGCCAGCCTAGGACTTGCGCATAACTGAGCAAGCTCAATCACGTCCTTTCATGGGTAGGAACAGGCATTGAACTGAAGAGCAGTGCTGATGTCTCCTGGACGCGCCGGCAGCGCGCATTAAACGTACCTTTATCGCCCTTCTCTGGTGTTTCGCCGGCCATGATGAGGCTGTCTTTGGCAGGTATTTAGTAGGTGTAGAGGAAAAGTACTGCTCAGAAAATTGGATCAAGTAAGTCGCGAAGTTCACGCGACTCTGTAGACCTGAGATCTCGTGATAGGAAGCAACAGAAAGTGGTAGCGACAATCTCAGGATGTGGGAGGAGGTCGGGGCGTCGAGGACGCTGCGCAACACGGCCGTGCATAACATCATCATCTCAAACACGCTACCAAATCTCCACTAGCAACCGGGGTTAGGCACGAAGATAAGGTTGTGTGGCACCTGAAGAATCCCCCTGGTTCGCTAAGCAGTTCTAGGCGAGGGTGCCCCGGAAGAGCTTCGCGTAGAAGTTGTGCCACCCATGTCTTGCTTGTCCACTATGTTTGCATCTCCCATGTATTCGACCTTAATACCATTGTCCTTCCAAATTCTGCTTACCAACTGATCCTCAAGCTCTGTCTTTGCAGGGCTGCCGGTCCATATGTAAACATCGAGAAACATGCTGGCTAGCAGGTCTAGCATTGCTGACCATCTTCCAGACGCGAAGAGTCCTGCTTGTAACTTCATCCTCTCCAGCACTAGCACTTTGTATAACGAAAGGAATGGAGAGTGGTCTCGATGTACGTTCGTGGTCGGTTTGTATAAGAGGTACTTCGACGGCAGGCATGCTCTCTTTCTTGTATGTTCGTACCTCTATACAGATTTTCCGTTAGCTTGATAGGAGACTCATTCACCTCGGAAGGTCACCATTCCTCTTCGAGGCCAAGTGCTGAGCAAGAATAATAATGAATTGACGACCCAGTTGTTCGCCATGATGTGGTTCGACGCGTGCAACGATGGAACAATGCTTGTTCAACGATGATGCTTATATCTCAAGCCACGTCCAAGATGTGTTATAGATACTGACAGGAGGAGGCAGGTATCAGATTCGATAATTTCGAAGAAATGAATGAGGGCTGCAAGACTATGGCAAGCAACAAGATGTGGTAGGCGCGACGCGATGCGCCTTCCACGATCATTCCTAGACCTGCATCTTCACACAGCTTTCAATATGGAACCTCCTTCAGCTCGAAATCCTCAAATCGCCGATTGTAACAGTATGCGCTGCTTACGAAACAGGCTGGGACTTATCGGTCGCACGTGGAAAAGACGTGACAAATTCGCGGTTCCAAAAATTGTGTTAGGTAAGCTGTCCTGCACTAACAATTGGCGAGTGAAAGTAACAGGTTTCAGGAGAATTAGTCAATCCTCCAAGCACTTCTGACCGATCTAATACAGTCGAGCCTTGTTTCAGGCACATAGTCAAATACACGTGTTACCAGAGTCATGCAAGAAGCCGTTTGTGTTTGCTCAGAAGTCTCTTCGTACTCAAGAACAGTCGACATAATATCGCAAACACAGAGGAGAAGAGAGCGGGAAAGCTGTTCTGCAGTGTTCTTCTACTTATAACTTACGTTGGTCTTCTGCATCATGGACAGCACCACTATCGGAACCGACGACCCGTTTTCTGACACATTCTTCTCATATGTATATATGACGAACGCTGAACCTGAAGATGCCACCAGCCTGTCCGAGATTCTGGAGTCGACCTTGCAAGAATCATCGAGGACGTCCTTAACATCGGTTGAGACTTCTACAGACGAACCGTCCACCTCCGAGACAGACGCAAAGTCATCTCAATCCACTGAACGAACTTCCCCTTCAAGCGCAGACCATACTGACAGTGAGGAAAAGTCACTGTCCCGCACCAGCAGCATTGATACCACGTTACTAAGTACTACTGTAACTCTGAAGCTTATAACGACTAGCTCAGTGACTAGAACTCGTCAACCAGTCAGTCGGTCGGATCTATCAACCACGAGTACAACGATATCCTCTCCTGCCAGCATTCCAACCATCACCTCTACTGTGTCGGCCACATCCTCTCCTCCAGCAACATCTACAACAACACAACTACCAGATAATTCCACGAGCTGCCACCCCGGAACAAAATGTGCATGGCAAATGGGAGTCGGGCTGAGCTTCGGGTGTGTCGCAGTGATTGCCATAATGCTCGTGGTTTGTTTCAGATACCGCAAGTCTTTGATGATATCTCGTCAATCTTACCATGAAGGACGAATGAAACTACGATTTGGACGAAACACAACGGATGAGGACTCTGCAGGAAGCTTGAACATGACACAATTAGAATCAACAATAGCATCCTCTGCACCACCGACATATGGCCAAAAGGACGAATTGTTCTTGCCAAAGGACGTTCAGCAAGTGGTGGACAAAGTACAAGAAATGCGAAACCAAAGCATGCGTCTACCTACCAATACTTATGGATCCGTGTTGAGGAAGCCATTGACGGACTACAGAGATTTTTAGACGATAAAGAGGGTAGACGATTATTCAGAGCCCATGAGTATCTACATGTCACATACATCCTTTGTCCTTCGCAAGAAACCTAGACAACCATACCATGAACTGATCACTGAAGCAATATCACTCGATTACCACGTAGAAGCACTACTCGTTATTTTTTCGCTGTCAGGTATGCTTCACTGATACATCTGAACCAGTTCGAGTCCCTTTCAAGAGAATTGACGCTGAGCTAGATCACCCAACATGAAATTGTTCACTCACAACGTGTCACCATCAAGTCCATATCTAACCAGCATCTTCGTCCGGTGTTCCAGTCTTGTCCTCAACTATTCCAAACCACGAACACTAGATCGATACCGAAGAAATCTACCTTCGTCACCCCTACAGAAGATCTTCAATCAACACAACCACAGGATTCAATAGACTCCAACTCGACAAACACCAAGCAGGTCGATATGCAGTCGTTCTTCACCACAGCTGTGGTGCTCCTCGGTGTCCTGTTAGGCCTTGCCATCTCCTATCCTCACGCGTCCATTCCTATCATTGAGGAACCAGCTACCACCTATCTATCGGCCCTTTCTACTCGAGCTGACACCATGGTCTTCGCATTCGATACCGCCAAAGATGACCACCTCGTACTTCACGTCCCCGTGGACGGACTCAAATACCAAGTCTCCTCCCTCGACTGCTTCGACCGAGATACAGGTAACCGCGCCGGCGGATGCAGTTCCACAGCCGTGTCGTACCTCGTTCCGCTCTGGGGTTCCTCATCAGCCTGCTGCAGCATCGACTTCAACAAATGCTTGAAACTGGGGGATATTCTTGGAGGAGGCCTCACTATCGATCCGGCTCATCCCATGGATCTGAATCGCTGCCAATATTTGACGGATGGGGTTTGTGGTGCTTGGCCTGCGACCATGTTACATAATTCGTGTGAGGAAGGGACGAGATCGGGAGAGTCGGTGGCAGTAGAAAAGGACGCTTAGGCGTTGACCTAGAAAAGAGTCTTGATTGCCGACAACGATGGTACTGCCTCTCAGTGAAGGACAAATTATAGACACCCATGCAGCAAGATATCGTCAGGTCTGTGGCTATCACTCCGTCTGCGACGACATACTGCATAAGCCATTGTACACAGGAACTCTCAAACTATCTTTGGTTAGACGCGAAGCATTGGACTCAGCATTGATGGTGTTCAGCGTGTGCAACCGCGACAAACAAGCAGAGGCTAGCTCGCTTGTCACTGTTGCGGAGAGAGAAAGACTCGGTACGCTAGACTTCGTTGTACTTGACCCACAAGAATTCTGCATGATTTAGTCAGCTTCAGTCGATTTATCCCATCGTAGAAGGTGCTCCAGTTCACGCATGAAACATCAATATAGTACCTCTCAGATCAGTCACTATTGGACATTAGTATTGCTATCGTGGCAAGATCTGAGTGTCCTTGTCAATCTCGTTCTAAGTCAAAACCTTCTGACGTTCTTGTAAGACGTATCATTGCTTGGTTCGGTACGGCTAAGAAAGAAGACATGGACTGCCTTGAGCCTCTTCGGTGCTGAAACAGCCGCCAGCCACCGGGTCGAGTCGAGAGTACTTCAGAAACCTGTGGCTTGGACGTCGTCGAAAGCATCATATGAAATGTAGTCCCAATATGTAGAGTATATCAACACGTCTGCGACGAGGTATGTAGCACTCGAGCTGTGTTGAAGCAAAGAAGGTACAACAACGTCTCGTAGTTGACGCGTCGTGGCTCTTGCCTCATTTAGGTTTCGCTTGATTTCACTAGACATGCAAAAGCACACATTTGAGTTGCACAACCACGAATCTCTCGTACCGCCGTACTGGCTCACAAGATCTGGTTCATGCATTACCCCATGAGGCTCAGGAGAACTGTAACCTTGAAATTGCTTGAAGCGCGAAGAATAAGCACGGGTAAGTCTTGTTTCCCATATTGCATGGGAAATCGCAAAGATACCACACCAAAATCCCAGCTCTTGTACAAAACCTTCTATGGTCGAACATCCACTTCGAAAAGGGGGATAGAGTTTCTGGGGCAAGCTCTTAGAACTGCTCTAGCCCTTGCTAGCCTCGTCTTGGCATCGTATATGAGGTCCTTGTGCACTTCACCATGCTTGTCCAGGCTAGAGTAGTCCGGGGATACGATGCATGGCCACCTCCACGTTTCTCTCCAGTGGAGGAAAGCTACTTCGTTGCTGGTGCCCAGCCTTCCTGCTGGATCCCCAAGTTCAAGCTCGTTCTTCCGTGCGAAGCGCAATTGGTTGTTTCGACCACATGACATCCAGAAACTATGCAATATCCGCCATGACTGTGGCAATCGAGAACAGACTGTCTCCCCAGCCAAGTGCCTGATCAGGCATGAAGACAATTTTGCTGGGCTAAGTGTTCGTACTAGATATCGTACCTACTCCATCCCGGCAAATGCACCTCGCACTATTGCCATTACCTTAAGTACTCTATCCGAACATCATTGATCGTTCCATGCCTTTATCTCATGATCAGGATCTTCTCACCTGGTTATACCATCCACATTTTCTTCGAAACTGAGCTTCGAGTCGGCGCAGTCTGTTGTGTGCGACACTATGGCCGACATCAACGCTGCTGAGAAGCAGCACAACCATGCCGGTCACTCATCGACTTCCGAGACCTCAACTCACGACAAGACAGGAATTATCCATGAAGAGACAGCACACGAAGCGGCTGCACGCGGTCATCTTGCGGCTGATCAGTAAGGCGACTCAGTATCGATCGTCATACAGATAGTTAATGATGTTTTAGATATGGAAATTCCCTTGTCCACTTCGACCCTGTTGCAGAACGAAAGTTGAGGCTAAAGATTGATCTTTACATTGTCCCAACAGTCGCGTTGCTCTATCTCTTCTGCTTCATCGACAGGGCCAATATCGGTGAGCACAGCTTGTTCCTGTTACAAATCACTGCTCTAACTATTGATGTAGGCAATGCTCGTCTGGCTGGGCTTGAGCGAGATCTCAAGATGGCAGGCTATGACTATAACATGCTGCGTAAGTCCTGAAACGGACATTGCCTTGATTCTCCTTTGAGCTCCAGCAGCACGAGAAGCGAACCTGTACTGACCTTGACAGTGTCGGTCTTCTATGTGTCTTACATCGTCTTCGAAATCCCAGGCAACATGCTCTGCAAATACATCGGACCCGGCTGGTTCATTCCAGCAATCTCGCTCGCCTTCGGAATCGCCTCGTTAGGCACCGCATATGTGAACACACTTGGGCAGGCCTGTGCTGTCCGCTTCATTCTTGGCATCTTCGAGGCACCCATGCTGCCTGGTATCGCATACTATCTTTCACGATGGTACAGACGATCAGAGCTAGCCTTCAGGTTGGCCCTCTACATTGTCATGGCTCCCTTGGCTGGCGCATTCGGTGGTCTTTTGGCAAGTGGAATCTTGACTCTAGATCATGTTGCTGGGGTACGCAGATGGAGAATGATCTTCTTGGTCGAAGGAATCATCACCATTGGCATCAGCTTGATCGCTTTCCTCACACTCACTGACCGTCCTGAGACAGCACGATGGCTTACACAAGAAGAGAAGGATCTCGCTATCGCTCGCGTAAAGTCCGAGCGTATCGGTCAGACTAAGGTGCTGGACGGCATCGACACTAAGAAGACTTTACGAGGTCTCTTCTCACCTGTCACGATCTTGACTGCTTGCATCTTCCTTCTCAACAACGTCACCGTTCAAGGTCTGGCTTTCTTCGCTCCGACTATCGTGAGGACAATATATCCTCGAGATACAGTCGTGTCACAGCAGCTTCACACTGTTCCTCCCTACGTGGTCGGAGCCTTCTTCACTCTCCTCTTCCCATTCCTCGCATGGCGCTTTGATAAGCGAAACATCTTCTTCATCGTCTGTGCTCCACTAATAATGATCGGATATATTGTAAGTCTTGGTTTTCGCCACAATACATATATTTACTAACCTCACTAGATGTTCCTAGCGACAGACCGAACTCAACTCATGGTCCGCTACGGCGCAACCTTCCTCATCGCATCCGGCGCCTTCGCTTTCGGTGCCCTGACCAACAGTCAAGTATCCGCCAACCTAGTCTCAGATACCGCTCGCGCAGCAGGTATCGGCATGAACGTCATGTTCGGCAACGTCGGTGGTCTAATCTCGACATGGAGCTTCCTCCCATTTGACGGACCTAACTATCACATCGGAAACGGTCTAAACTTTGCCACGAGCACTACTTCCATGCTCCTCGCTATCGTAATCCAGTTCTACACAAAATGGGACAACAAGAAACGCGAGAGAGTCGATGTGAATGCGCGACTGGCAGGTCTGGATCCCCAGCAGGTTGAGGATCTTGATTGGAAGCATCCGGGTTTCCGATGGAGGCCATAGTCGTGGAAGAAGGAATGTGTCGATGAGCAAAATCGTACGGAGATATGTAATGAGAGAAGGTACTGAGGAAAGGAGAACTGAAGTAGGGTCATTTAGCTCTTTGAGAGCTGGAAAAAAAGAGCGAATAGTACAACGCTTCTCGCTAGCTGGTGTGCTCCTTGCAACAACAAGTCCTGTGCTTCTATGTTCGCTACTTGGCCAGCTGGACGACAACCACACTGCTCTTTCCGTTTTCGGTGTGCCTTGGCTGATGAAGGCATCGAGAAATAAATAATGTCTATCCATCACCTTCACAGACGACATTGCTGCCCGTCCACCGAAGAACACCCCCTTTCAAACGCGTCTGGCTTCTTACTGAAGAACTTCGGTCCGTCCACTGACGTCGAGCTGTAAGGTTATGTTCTACAGTCCAATCAACTCAAGATTCTAGATTACCAACCGTGAGCCGGATCTGAGCACAATCGTTCCAAAGCAGCTTCTGCAACTGATAATACGCTAAATAGTGGTACAGCAAAGTCTATTATCGCGAAAAAACGCTATCTATACAATACAGCGACGATATACAGCTCGCCTGCCTGTCGTCACTCTCAATCCTGCTTCTCCTCGTCCATCAGCCCTTTCCTAGACTGTTGCATCTTATGCGAATTCAGTGCTTCCGTCTTATACACATCCTCGTCCATGCCCTCCCACAAAATCTGTCTATTCCACAACGCCCAGATATGGTTCGCGGCAACGAAGAACCAAGTCACTACGACGCCAATACTCATGACGCTGCCTACCCACTCTATACCCGGGCTCATCAGCACTTTGCCGATCTGTATCGTCGCGATAGTGAAGCCAACGTTCGGGAAGACAAATGCCCACCAGTTGAGATGGAAGGTCATGCGTCTAAATTTGAGAAAGCAGGCCACGACGGCGATGGCGAAGAACCAGGCTGCAAGGGTGTAGATGAAGATGGACATGACGGTAGCTAGGACGCGCATGATTTGGATCGTGGTGAGTTCTTGTTGGGGGACGCCGATCGAATCGTCGGGGTAGATGTTGCTGCCGAAGTAGTTGATGTACTGTCTTGGCCAGGCGTTTGCCATGCCTAGGATGGCGAGAGAGGTGAAAGATGGTGGGCCGACGGCTATGAACATGGCTGGCCGAGCTTTCGTGGCAGGAAAGCCGAATTCGATCATGCGGTGCATATAGATTGCATACATGAGAATGCTGATGATGAAACCTAGGCCTTGCGCTGTTAGTCCTGCGACGATCATTGGGACTGCTTGGTCGGGTGGCTGATAGGATGCGCCCGTCGATGCGATAGTGCCACTGAGCATGAAAGGAAAGATAGGTAAGTCCCAGGCTGGAGTCATATCTCGAAGTTCGAGTGCCGGAGAAGTGAACAACAGAGTATATGCAAAGACAGCCCATATGAATGTCACAATGAAATAGACCCAGAACAAGGTCCGGTATGTTACGATGAGCCAGCCTGCATTGGCGACACCAATGGTACTAATCCCATATCGGGCTATGCATGCTATAATGCTAGCTGTGCTCAAAAGTGCTGTGGCAGCAAAGAGTGATTCCGTAGGATGTGTAAGGCTGTCCCATAATGTGTTGCGCCATCGGAGGAAACGATAAGATATCGCCAAGGTTACTAAGGTAAAAATGGTGAGGTCGAAGATGTAGACAACTTTGCCAATGGTATTGAGGCCGGGAAAGTTATGAGGCTGGACCGCTGGGGACAAGAGAAGGGCAATGCCGCCGGTCGACATAGGCAGGCAAAACCAAGCCCAAGTGAAATGTTCGAGTCGATCGAGCAGACGGACGTCTTTGTCATTTTGAGTGCTGACGCTGGCGCCATCCTGTTTGGCAGGCGTTCTGGACGAGGATTGGAGAGCTATTGGACTTGCTGGATGATGGTGGCTGTCTGGATCTTCCGGCATGTTGAATCCAGGTGGAGGACGTGGCTCGACTTGGAAAGTCTCAAACCTGGCCACCAAGAATCGTGGTTGGTTTCAGAAAGCTTCTCAAATCGTCTGAAGTGGGTATGATCGATTATCCAAGAGCGCTGTAATTAGAAATGGGCTTTCACAGTAAGCCTCAGCAATGATGCTTGCGGCATGCCGATGGGAAGATAGGCTCCGAGTCAGCAGTAGGTGGTTTGCAAATGTGTAGGAAGCAAAAGTACAACGCTAGCAATTTCAATACCACAGTTAAGGTTCAACGTAGAAGTCATTATCTGAATTGTGACGCCGACTTATCACCGTCGCAATCATACTGTGCAGCGGTATCAAGGTCGCGGCTGCTGAGGCATAAAACTTTTCCTAACGTCATCAAGTCAAGATTGCAGGTGGGCACCTAGTAGATTCTGACGCACGGACAATTCTACCGCAATTGCATGCCTACGTGTGGTTAATGAACCATCCCAGGCTACATGCAATAAGGCAAAATTTTTGACCTTCACCATAAAGGTCGACGTGGTGCAGTGGACAATGTACGGAGTCACGCAGGTTTTGTATCAGATTGGGCTCGAAGAGGCGTCGTTTTCGATACAGATTTTTGACATATGTCAGTCGCAGCGAGCAATATTGCTGTAGTATGGCAACCTATACATATAAAACCAATCTTATAAATACAGGACAGTTTTCTGACACTAACCCGTCGTGTACTTGTGTATCATTGTAGAAATCTCTGCTGTACAACTCTCGCAGCAGGTTCCAAGAGACATCAAGATGATGTCGACTTTGATTTCGATCTGGGCTTTCTTGTCTTCTGTCGTCCTTCCGGAGTAGACGACCCATGGAATGTCGGCCTCCACAAGCTGCTGGTTTTCTTAGTTGCCCCAAGCTCTTTGCCCAGTGATTGAGGTAAAGGTCGAGTCTGTGCAGCAACATCCAGCTCAGACAACGGCATTTCAAGCTCCTGGGCGATGGCAGCAGAACTTCCAGCACCTAAGGACCTGAATTTGTTGACGAGCCAAGGAGTCAAAGGATCTCGCGATTGGCCCTCCTCTGCCTTGCGCTGAGCTATATGTGCTTGGGCGATAACCCTTAGAGTTGACAGGTTGGGCTGCACAATAGGCATTGGCTCCAGGAACTCGTCTGCTTGAATCTCTCTACCTACCGACTGGTCCGTAGAAGTTCCGCTTGTGAGGGGCTCTTCGTCAACACTATCATCAGTCTGGGCTGAGAAGCCTTCTTGTGAAGTGGTAGCGAAGAAATTGTTTGAGAATTCCTCCTCGACGTCTCTCATTTGATTAGATTTGTTATCATTGCGTTGATCATGCTGCGTTTCGAAAGGGACACTGTCCTGGTTCTCGTTGTCCATACGAGGATCGTTATCTTCAAAACTCGGAATCGAGACTTCCAGGGAACCAGGTTCGTAGCAGAAAGACTTCCACACTGCCTGTGCATTAAGAATCCCGTTGATATCAGTATATGCCGATAGAAACACGTTGAAAGCTTTAACGGGCAACGACGCCTGGTTTCCACTCAGATATCGGTGAAAGTGTTTACGGGCCAACTGTTGCAAGACACTATTATTGCAGTAAGCGAACAGACGCAACACGTGCGATACCTGCTGCTTGAACAAGACCCGCTGACTCAGGATATAGTCGTTTCTCACACTGTCGTAGCGCCCTTCGAGTAGACTGTCCAAGATTGCAATGGCTCTTGCAAGCCGAGAACTGGTGTTGTTGACGGTATTTCCAGTGTTACCTAAACCTCCCTCCAGACGCAACACTATTGCTGCAAGGTGCATAAGATTGCTGATCGAGTAACTTCCACCTTGAATACGCTTCAATCGAAGAAGTCGAGCTTTTGCACTGTTCAGATCCATCAAGTCAATATCTGCGTCAAGCAGAGCGCGAAGCACTCGGACAGTCGGCTGCGAAAGTGTCTTTCTAGTTGCAATGACAATCCTTTGCAAGAATTCACGGCTATTGGTGAGAGATGCGAATCTGCACAAAGCAGGCGCAATACTGGTACGTCCATAGGCCGATGCAGGAATGAGTACACCATCCAGATCATCAGAAAAGAGCAACCACTCACCAAGACCAGACAACTTTGCTTCGGTGACAAGGTCGAAGAATCCTGCCAGCTTGTACAAGGGAAGTTGTGCGTGGGAATCAGCATATTCCAACCGATACTTTTTCGCTCGAGGGGAGAAGAAGTCTTTTCCACCCTCCACGTCAGGTCTCAGAAATTCAGTAATCGATCTAATCTTATTGCGATCAACGAGCTCTTGGACGTCGTTGAAAACAGAAAGTGCGTCGTGCACGGCGCTCTTCTGCACGAACCCCTCAAGGGCTTGATGCTGGATACCACTTTGCAGCAACGTATGTTCAAGAATTGATTCGAGCTGCAGGTCCTGATTTGGATCGCTCTTTTGAGAGTTCTTCTCGAAATTGTTGCGACCTGACAGATTGATCCACATCTGCAGGAGGTATGGAGTAGACGCAAAATCCAGGCCGGCAGTTTGAACGAACCTCGAGTCCAAATAGTCAAAATAACTAGATGGCAGATCGTGAGGCTCGAGGAAGGTGATCAGGCGTGATATGTGCTTGATGAGCATTTCGATGTAGGCGGTATGAGGTTCGACCTGGCTGCTAGCATTATCCAGTAATTTGTCGACCAAGGCGAGGATAACTTCAACACTGACAGTCCTTTCTGGGGTCTCAACAAATGGCTTCTCCCGACTGTAACCCTCGATTAAGCCTACAGATCCGCCATGACGAAGCTTCAGCCGTTCCCAATCAATAAGATTGTCATAGCCAGGAGACAATTGTGTAGAGCACCACCTGATGGCGAACCAGGGGTTTTCTGTTTCTTGACGGAGCATAGAAATGATGGAAGAGGCCGCAGCATCGTGACCACCATCCACACAACACCACAGAATAAGCTCGAGCCACAACTCAGGGGCAAGGGGTCTGACCTTGAGGCGGAAACGACCACCTGGCACATTCTCACCAATCTCTTTTAGGCTCAAGCCTAGATCAACAGCCGAGGCTATGGCATCATCCTGCTGATCACGCCAAGTTGCATCTGAGAGGGCGGTAAGGATGCGGGAGCATACAAGATGGAGTACAGGAGGTCGCCTTAGGTGAGAAGGCAGAGTCGAAGACTTGTACGTGTATATTGAATCCGGAATCATTCCCAGGCTGTGGAGTTGACCAAGAACAAGTAGGACGATGGACATGTAGTCCTCGGCACGCTCTTGTGTAGTATTTGCTGCACGCAAGACAAGGCCAGCCAAGCTCATCCAGATCAAGTTCATCATGTTGCGATCGGACGGGAGAATTTGACTCGAGTCGTCAAGGCTAGATTCGATACTTCTGTCCGATGTGTTCGTGTATACTGCTTTAAGCAAGGGGTTGGCAGGTCTGCGCCGTGCATCGATATCCTTGAACAGAGAGTCTGACCATACAATGTTGGATGGCAACTCTTGTGGAATATGTTTGGGATCTCGCGAAGCAATGTCTTTCAAAATGGAATTGATCAGGTGTACGAGAGCCTTCTTGCGACCGTTTTCAACCATCCACAACCACAAATGCACCCCACTGTTTGATCTTGCTTGTCTGGTGATTCGTAGGATATCCTCGAAATCGAGGTCGACCTCGCCAGGTCGTCTATCGGCATCGTGCAGCCTGAGCCGTTGTGGCAAGTATTTGTCGAGCAATGCTACCCACGAAGAAGGATCCTTCGGGCCAGATGCGACTGTCCTCGATGGGGACTTCTGTGTGTGAGTAGCTCCATGTCTACAGCTTGTGCTGAAATTCGAGGCATGCAACACAAGTCTGATTGGTAGAGTTTTCGATGAAGTTCGACCAAGGAGTGTTCTATTGGCAAGGCGCAAGGACGAAGTAGGTTGAAGACAGCGTGCTGGAGGCGATGCTATATTGAGTCCCGCGGCGCATGATAGGGCTTTTCGCATGTCACGAAGGAGACACAATCGGGAACATCTGGCTGAGTTATTGAGAGAAGGACTCCTTCAAGATAGACCAGCGCGTGCAGTTGGGGACGATCGTAGGAAGGAACGACTGCTGTGTTCTGTTGGAGGCAAGCGCGTTACTGTAAAAAAAGTCATGGAAGGCGCATCCATCGACATCATGATCCTCGTCCATGCTCGAGCTTCGGGGGCGTTGTGGGGCCCGGCTAAAACTGCGGCCTGGAAGCCTCAAAATATGCCTCCAGAGTGACGGCGATCTGCATAAACATCAACACTCACAACATGCAATTAATACATTTCTATTCACAATCGTGACAGACTTAAAGACCAAACAGATTACCGACTACAGGTTGGTCTACCGAGACAGATCATGCGACAAAGATGAGCCGACCTATAAGCCCATCAATGCTGCGGAAGACATACAGATCGATCCAGAATAGCGACGCGCCCACGCGACTCGCATAACAACGGCGCAACCATGGTTGAAAGGGACAAGGAGAATATTCCAACGACTTCACCTAGACACAAAAATGGGCGCACATTCATCCCATCACTAACCAAACCACTGGTCGACAAACACTCCGAATTCTTCAGCGACAGCTTTCTACAGAACAACTCCTCGCACTCGTCGCTAATTCCTTCACCACGACTCACAAACGCGTCTCTGTCCAAGCCAAGACGAAATGTTCGTGTACATCAGAGACCCCAGCACCGTCAGACTAAGTCCGAACTGCCACTGGCAAGCGGGGAGGATTTGAAGCGACAATATTCTAAACCTCACGTGCGCGGCCCAAGTTCCATACACAGCACTGGTCTCTCAACCCCTCCCAGATCGCGTGATGGTTCTGTAGTCTCCGTTGCTGAGAGCCCTGCCCCCGTCCTATCAAGCCCACCTCATGGGCTGACCGAGACTTACACAAGAATTGACCAAGAGGAGGATTTGGCTGCTACTGAGGGTGAGGTCTCTGACCCAGAGAGCCAACCTTCTGAGACATTGGACAACACTTCTGTTAACGCGCTGTCGCCAACCAACATGCCGTTCTTAGAAGCAATAAGATACCCTTCACAGGCACGTGCACGAACACCGACCAACGACAGACCTAGAAGCCATTGGGACAGACCTCTAAACCATGATCACACCTTGCAATCTGTTCTGTCAGATCCTACTGGTGCAGAAAGGACACAAAGGACGGGACTGAGTTTTGTGGATGAGTTCTCCGATGTAAACCTGAGAAGTGCTATGACTCCGCATTTTCAGCAGACCGTGCAAGATAGGGAGGCTCTGGAAAGGGTATGGAGGTCTAAGAAGCCAATTGCCTTTCCTAAGGCTGACAATGTACTATTGGATTCGGAAGCCGTTGCTGCATCTGTCTCTACCTTCCCACATCCACTCCCCGAACGACTAAATGCCTTCACAAAAGCTGGACGCATCAAACTCGCAAGCGACGATCAGCTACCTTTCAATCGCCAACGCGCTCTTTCCGACGTCACCGAGACAATTGACCAGCAGGCCCCGATCCAGCTCAGCCCGCAGTCCCATCAAAATTGGCGCGACAACAATTCGAAAGTACATGCCATGCCACACAATCCCAGACTGCAGCGAGCTCCCTTTTTCCCCAGAAATCACGGATTTCCAGAACGCGCCACAACCCAGGGCGACAAGGTCGAGCTGAGTGGCACTGCAAAGGCTCAAAAAGCGCGAAGTGAGTCACCCCAAGTTCCTCCTCAAACACTCCACAAGTCTCGTGCAGGCTCAGTTCTAGGTCGACTCCAGGAAGTGGGAGCCAGTGCTTCTGAACCAGACTTGACCGTGCAATCGTTGGCTACCACTGATACCTCATCTGATATCTGGGCCCAACCAAACCCTGATCGACCCATGCAATCAATTGAGCGAGACACTCGGTTTCCCAACAGACATGAAGAATATGAATCTCCCGAAAAGAGTCGTAAACTCGACTTTGATTTCACTGGTCATTCCTTTCAGGTCTCCGACAGTCCTCCAGTTCGTACTAAGAGTACAATTCCCGACTACCAACGGAATCGAGAAATCCAGGGCCTCGCTAAACGAGCTGTGACTACTAATAGGCTTAGTCAGCTCAGAGTTCGTGAGTCTCAGGAAGCCTTGAGACAGGTATCGAAATCACCCATCTCCGATGCAGGTACCGAAACTGCACCAGACAGAGACTCTACCCAAACTGGTCAGACACCGATATCCAAATCAGCCAACGGAAACATCGATCGAGTATCAAACGAGCCTTCTAGACCATCATCTTTAGAGAGATCAACGTCGCATGACATCCTGCAAAGGTTAGCAAGAGGATCTAGCAGTACTCTAAGGTCAACCACTCCATCAGAAAGTACCATTAATGGTAGCATTGTTGGCGCTGATAACAAGGACCAAAGGTATAACCTACACGATCGAGCTGATGCCTCACTTGAGAAAGCAGACAACAAACCCAATGGTCTCAAAGATGGAAGGCCTGCTACAGTGGCCACAACACCACGAGTCACAGGCGCCTGGACTGACACGATACTTCCTGATACTGTTAAGACCACAAGGCAACCCAAAAACGTGTCGCGCTATGCTCAAACGCCCCATATCAGCGCAGGTGGTTGGGTAGATACCCCAGCCCCAAACGGACAGCAACAGAAGCTAGATCCGGTGGTGGAAGATACTCAAGATGTTCCAGAAGACTTGATGAATGGCATTGTTAAGGAAAGTGCCAGTGATGAGACGATCATGCCTAAGGAAGGTCGTGATGGCGAGCCTAATCACAAGGTTGATGCTGGTGAGAGCATTGCACGGAAAGTCCTCAATGAAGCAAGAGGAAGGCATCCTCGTCCTCAAGCAGATCAAGCACTAAGTCAAGCAGACGATTCGTTAATGCTAGGCAACACCACGATACAGTCACTAGAGTATGTGCTCGATCGAGACGAAACAGACATGACGATCAGATCACAAATACCACAAACGGACACTGAAGTGCTCGGCAGACTCGGGAACAAGCTCGAAAGTCTAGCCAAGCACATTCGTGACGCCACGAAGGGAGTCACAGAGCTGGAACATCAGATCTCACATCCCATGGGAGAAGGCTCGTCCATCACGCAAGATACCGATCTCAGTACGATGTCCTCCGCATTGCACATACAAAGACCAATCTTGTATCACAAGCGAAAAGCAGACCAGCGTCTTGCAAGACCTACCAACTTCAGCTGGATCCTTCTCAGCATATTATCCTGGTACTTCTTCGAAAATCTTTTTGCAGAGCTCTATGCTCATCCGCGATATGCTAGCCAGTATACCTGGCCGGATCGACCTGAACCAGAATTCCCGTTCGTGTTACCTACTATGATATCGCGATGGAGTCGGTTAGAGATCCTTCATCCTTGGATTGTGAAGCCATTGCAGAGCGTCTTTGTGATGCTGGTTAGGATGTGTGGAATTTGGCTGGGTGTGACGGATGGGTATGTGGATGGACCTGCTGGCGCGAATATGTCGATTGGTGTACAGAGTCCTGGCTTTGTAAGTGATATAGGAGGAGGGTTTGATATGATGAATGATGAGATACTATGAAAGTACGAACAGGCACGGCTCATTGAACACAATTGAGGAGGACATACTGGTGTTGATTCAGCTTGTCTAGAATGCAATCATAGGTGATATGCAAATTACCAATGATAAACAGGAGCTCCTATCTCCCAATCTTTCGGCCTACAGCAATGCCATGTATCTGTCTCTCCTTTCTCAGAGTCCAGATCCGCCTTCTGATCGATGCTCGCATAGACTGTAAACCCATGACTTTCCAAGATCGCGAACAACCTCAACAACAAGCCCCTAGCCTTCATCACGTCGTCCCCACTGATCGCAGCCCATGGCCAGCCTCGTAACTTGACCTCCCACACCCCTTTCATCTGGTGACTTACCTTCTCCTGGATCACATCCCTAATCCCTTCATAAATCGCATCAAGCAACTCCTCCGGCGCATCCATGACCCTCAACCTATCCTTCTTCGAAAACGCCACACAGATCCAGTCCCGTGGCTTAGCAGGTGGAATCTGCTGTCGAAAGATCAAGGTATCTTTATCCCTATTCCGCTTACTCACGTCCGTACTCAAGCTCAAGACCCAGCCGGCATCGAACAGGTCCTCGAAGATAGTCCGCATGAGACGACGGGCGTGCATAGCGTCGCTGCCAGGTCCGAGCCAGGGGAGACCTTTGAGTTTTAGTTCTAGGCTGTTGTGGATGTGTCGTTGGTCTTGGATGCCTTGGGGCCATGATTTTTGAATGGCTTGGCGGACGGTGTTGGCGGCGGAGTCGGGGAATTGGAGGAGGCGGATGCGGTCGTGTTGGTGGAGGGAGAGGGAGGCGAATTTGGATTGGAAGGTTGGCGCTGGGGGTGTGGAGGCGTGGTTTTGTGGTTGGCCGTCTGCTGTCTCTGGTGAAGTTTGCTTTTCTGCTTGGTTGCTGCGTAATGACTCATCAGCTCTGTCGGGTCTGTCAACTCGTGGAGTGTATGTTGGTGGTTGTCGTTTCTCCATTGCTGCTTCACTGCTATGTCAGGGTGGAGAGTCTAGACAAGTCATTGCGAGCGGAAGTTAGCCACGGTTGAGCGATGAATGTCCACAGACAACAAGACTTGCTTGTAATGAACTTAACATATACTTAGCCATCGCCTCGAACTTTGAGTTTTGAGGTAGAGTCAGGCTGCCGCGTATTCCTTGTTAAGCGATACATTTGGTGAACACGTGGGGGTAACCAAAAGCGACCCTTCACTTTGGTGTGATTCACAGCAATCTGGGGAGGACGCCTTTAATGACCCTCACGCAGTCAACTAAAAATACTATACATATAGACCGCACCTTGTCAATGAAACTTCTCCCCGAATTTTATTGCTTATGACTCAGAATCCCGCGAATTTATACGCCCGAAGAGGTTGGATGGGAGTCTTTAAGGCGGATCAGACTTACAGATTGAATGCTATTCGAGTACGAGAAAGAAAAGACTTACAGACGTCGCAATCAGAAGAAAGCGACTGAAAAGATAAATTCCCAGAAAGATTTCTCGGCCTGGTCTGGGGCCCTTAAGTGAGAGGGTAACTACACTCATTCAGCTACTCACGAGGGCATAGATTTAGAGTAGGAGAAGTATACTGAGCGAAAAAGAATCCACGACGAGGCGATCGCTGAACATAATCGTGCTATGGAAGAGGTTGATGCTATAGCCGAAACGGCCTGGCGCCAACGACCCATCATGACTGATAATCAAGAACAAAAGCCATATCAAGATCTAAATGACTTCATCCGCGAAGCTCAGCAAAGATTCCCGTCTTTATCCTTCAGTACACACCTCTCAAGCCCGCACAGCAGCCTGCGAATTCACAGTCTGTATCGTATACTGCTTATCCCCAAGCGTCTCAGTCGTGCCATCCACCACCGGCTGTTTGGTCGCGATCTCTGTCTCCTCCTTCACGCTCTGATCCTGTGTCGTGCCAGTTTCTGTACTTGCTTTCACTTCTGCCGCTCTCTGATCAGCACGGTCTTGTCTTCGCTTTTCAGAGGCGACGAAGAGTTTGAATGCTTCGAGGGAGCCGCCCATGTTGTTCGGGTTGGTTTAGTTTGGCTGTAGATGTGTGTGTATGTAAGCGGAGATACAAGTTGCTTCAGCAGTGAGTGCGGTTTGTTCTGTCGTGATGATCTGAATCGTGAACTATGTATGCGGTGCCAAACAAGATGAGTCTTGTGTTGCGCTGCTTGTAGTACTATGAGGCGTTAATATCTGTTTTCAGAGAGAGTCGGACTTCTATCCACGTTTTTATCGTACTGGGTGTGTCTGGATCTAGGCCAATGTGGGGAAAAGCTGGGGTGTCGATCAAGATTTGTCAACCGTTCGAACGAGTAGGTTTATTCATACCATTCATCCTGAGCACTAGCAAGACAATGGTCTAAGAAAGAAGACGAAGATGTACATATGAGTCTATATCTACTTGTCTATGTCTAAAAGTTAACGTATATACCTGGAGGTCATGGTTCGTCCTTTATGGGTTGCGATGTAGCTTGTGCAAACGAACTCTTACTTCGCAGCTTGCCGCCATATCTAATGAACACAGGCGGAGCTATACAAAAGATGGTTGCAACCGCAGCCAATATCGAGACCGCGACGTTCGGTCCAAGTGCAATAAAGAAAGGCTCAGTACCCTGTGCGAATCCACAAGATATCGCTGCACGAGACATTACGACTCCCGAATATGCTGAAGCTGCATAGCTCTTATAGCTATCTGTGAGATACCCGGCGAGCACGAAGTTGATGTCGTTCAGAGCATATCCAAAGAATACCAAGCCGATCATAGAGACTAGCCAATGCGTCGATACTGTCGGCAGGATTGTCCAAGCAAAGAGCCATAGCCCAACGGCGAACACGGGCACAGCAATGGCAAACGACCACAGTTTTGCTTCAGGACAAGACTGGATTTTTTCAAGTTCCTCCTCTGATGCTGTCTTCCATCTCCAGTGGTCGTAGATCCTGGGAGTGACAGAGAGTAATAGGCCCAGAAGGATCGGTATGAAAGCCAGAGACGTGTTCGGGTCCGAAAATCCGAATTGGGCGTACACCACAGTCAAGCCCGCAGTCAACCCATAAGCTAGACCGAACACAGTTGCAGCAATCATTGCAGAAACAGAGATGATTGGTTCGAAGAAGAGCAATCTAAGTGGACGAAGTAGTGCCAGCCTGAAGAACTCTTTCCGACTAGGAAAAGTATCCACGTTTCTTGTGTTGAGTTGAGACGAATGTGTCACATGTTCTACCTCGTGGACTTTCTTGGTTAGCAGACGTGAGGCTCTTGACTCCTTCATGCCCAGAGACAGAATGGTCAATGCGAACGCTGTGATCGTTGCCACGTAAAAAGGCCACTGCCTAGACACGTTAAGTAACAAGCAAAGATCTGAAGCGGAGAACTTACCATCCTATAGTAACTAGGTATCCTGAGAGGATAGGCCCAATGCTGAGACCTGAATTCGAGACAGTTGTCCATATGAAGATTGCCCAGTTGAGTCGGAGGGGCTCCTCAAACATGTCTTCAATAATTCCTGCAGAAATTGATGGTGGAATGGCACACGCAACGCCAGTCAGGAAACGTCCGATCACAATGGCGGCTATATGCGGAGCAGCACTGATACCGCAAGCCACCGTAGCAAGCACGGAGCCGGAGATGTATATTGTTTTTCGACCGAATGATTCGGACAGTGGTGCAAAGAATACACCTCCTATTCCTTCGCCTATCAGGGTACTGGTTGTGAAGATGAGGAACCCAATCTGTTCACCAAATCCGAACTGTTCTTGTGCAACCACGGAAGCAGAGGTACCGATCGTCGTCAGAATTGTTGTAAACATTGACCATACGAGAACAACCGTCAAGGTGTACCCAGTGGGATACCATGACCAGTTCCTGGGATAATCGCGTGCGCTCGTGTTCCAATCGACATAATCACCGTTCCTCGACTCGCGTAATTCGAGACTGTGGTCTTGAAGAGCGTCTCTGAAATTGCTGCTTGCCACAGAACTCTGATAGTCGTGAGTGTCTGACGTTCGTGTGGTCGACATGGGGAAGAAGGTTAGGTTATGCGATCGAACAAGCAATATCCCTGTGGTTGTTCATCTAGGAAACCACTCGACTGGGAGTCGACCGCAAGCTCAGGGGATATCGCAGGCATGACGAGAGGTCCGTGACGTGAGATACTGCTCAACAGAAGGAAATTTCATATAACCATGGCCAATGATTCGCGGAGAACATTTGACTAGTCAAGTAGCAGTGCCTGTCTATCTGTTCTGATGTGGTAAGGGATTTTTTCTGTAGCCCAAAACATCTCGCCAAGGATCGGATCCATCTAAGAGCAGGAGAAGATTGGCTATCGTCGAGTCTCGGCTATCTGATCGAGGCGATCGGCAGCAAGGTAACTTCAACCTGCATCCTAGCAAGGCTTTCCAAGTGCTTTTTAAGCGGATGTGGTTTTGTAGTAAAGCAACGGTGAGACGTCCGTTCTTCTATACATTTGTCGCAGATGCAAACATCGCTGCTCTTTTGGCCAGACGAGGGAACTCGAGACTCGGGAATGTGAAGTGGATATCTCATCACGTAAACTGCCCAGACGGAGTACAGTCGAATCCTGGGGCGTTCATTAAGGCCTTGGCAGGTGGACGCCCGTCCATACATTCGATGCGATCGAGTAATTCCTGTTGGTCATGTACCGATGGAAAGCACGAAACCATGGGGTCTTCTCAACGTGCTATTTGATTCGAGAGGCCAACGGTTTCGTCCTTCATATACCTTCTCAGCTAGCCCAACACACCGAGAGGGTCGAGGAGCAGCGACAGCCACGACTCTGGGCAACATTACTCATCAACGTTAAGAACATAACATCTCAAGCCTCTAGGAAGAAAGCCTTCTCAGACATGTTTCCCATTCGCTGAGTCAGGCATCGCGACCCTGGCACAACCCCCACAAAGAGCCGGATATGAAATCCTGACCATGGTGACATCACGGCAGTCGAACCATGATGCCACAGCGAGCTCTAATAGCTGCTAGCAAAGCTCGAAAGCTTCAAGTTTACAGTTGCTCACTTGCTAACGCTCACAACGGAGACTTCGAGCTCTATAAAGAATACCTAGACTTAGCAGTACACAAACGGCTGGATAAACATCTAACAATATGTCCACGGCTCAGCTCTTCCGACGAATCGTCTTGAGACCAACAGGTCTACCACTACGGACTCCCACAGCTGCAATCCGTCACACCTCATTCAGATTTCCATCAGGCAAGTAGCACTATGATAGTACGTGCCTACGGGATTCTCACTAACGGGTGATCAGCGTCATTTTCGAGAAGCTATGCTTCTGGAGAACCTGGAACCACCACCAAAGGCGATGCACAAAACGCCAGTCAAGGGTTAGGCACACCGTCTCCAAAGGGTTCCGATAGTCCACAGGAAGGCGACGTCAAGTCAGCACGAGCTAACGAAGGTCGATCGCAAGAGCAAGGAGGTAGTGTTGCCCAGCCTATTTCAGGGGCCAACCAGAGCACTCAAGAAGCGGGCCAGGACGAGGAGGGCACCGAGACAATAAAGCAGGACCCCAACAAGCCAGCCGAGCAGAAAAAGGAACAGACTTTGAAGCAGGGAGATACACCTATGGATCCAGGCCAGACCAACCAGCAAAGTTCCGGACAGTTCAGCCAGAAGATGCAACAGTAGGTGAAATCTGTATTAAAAATAAATTGCACACGATAGTATTGCAGTGTACGAGTTCCAGTCGGTTCCTGTTCGCAGATGATTGTCTGCGAGACGATGTCGGCATACTCACCTCGTATGTTAGGGCTTCCACAGCACGACATGCTTCCTACGAGTTGCAAAGGCTCGGATCTGTCTGTACAGAATCTTACATTTTTCATCTACCATGCTGTTTGCTTCCATCGTAAATCACGTGAGCGTCCTCCTCAGGTCCCATGAGAATGATTGTTTATCGTTACACAAATATGCTTACTAACTACGCGTATCTAGCCTTATCGTATCTTAGACGACGAACAAACAACATCCCAATGCAGGTACGATCTTGCACACAACTTGAGCTTCGTTCATACCAGAGAGCTACATCATCGTTTCCGGAACGGAAAGTGCAACCGCAAAACTTCGCGTCACGACTTCTACGCGTATATCGCCTGCATATTAACTACCACGTAAATTCCCAGCCTCCTCTACGGTCGATGATGCGTAGATACTGAAGCTAGAACCACTTACCGACGTAAGCCTAGCGTGCGACCTGTCAGATTCAGGGACAAGCACAATCTAAGATTCATCGGTCAGCCTCACAACCTGGATCCCGGAAAGTTTGCCCTTTTGCGATGGAGTGCTCACTTTAACTTCGGGTGGACCATGCTGCAGATGTACAAGATCGTGGTTGAAGGAGTCTACGAGATCTAGCTTCAGCATGACCTCAGACCCCCTGCGTCAAGTGTTCACATGTTTGCAGGACTGACCTGACGTTGCTTCGGTGACGACAGAGAACCTTCACCATGCATCGTCCCTGACCTACGACTGACGTCAAAGTAGCGCAAATCGAGGGGAATGCATACATAAACTCAACACTTCTGCACTTTGTTCACTCTGAACAAAATCAAGACCGCATACCAAACTTAATCAGACCCAAACTCCAACACACACTTACCAATTCATCATGTCTGCCAACGACGAATTCAAGGATAGCAACGTTGTCGGTACCGAGCGACCAAACCAGCCAGACTCCGTCGACAATGACTACAAGAGCCGAACCGGACAGAGCACTATTCCTGTTGTAGGCGATGGCAGCGCAGATGCTGGTGGATACACAGACTCCAAGACAGCTGATTCAGACGCTCAACTCCAGAAGGACGAGAAGGATGCTATTGACTCGTCGAACATTATCGACAGCCGAACTCGAGGTGCTACTAAGAAGGCTGGCACATATCAGGAGCCTGGCGATACCGAAGGTCTTCCAGAAAATGACGGTACTTCCGCAGTCTCGGGTGGTAAGTCGTCTCCCTCAATATGCCTAATCAGAACTGACAGTAATTTAGGTCCCATCTAAACGAGAACCTACACAACAATGATGACACCAAGCTTGACCCAGCGGTTGAGTGAAGGAATTGAGGATATGAACGGGCGGAATGTTGTTCATAGCCAATAACAAGACGTATACTATATTATACTGCGCAAGTGTTTTCTTCATGTTTAGGTGGTACTCCTTGTGTCAGTGTACAGCACTCTATCAGTCAAACACTGGAGACATGGTGCTTTTCAAGCTGTGATATAGGTAGTATATTGGTCCTTGGTTTTACCATCCGAGATGAAACTATTCCAGGGCACTGTCGCTCTCCTGGTAGTAGTACAGAGGAACCTGTAATGCCCAGTGCTACTTGCTTAATGAACCAGCGATCACTGCGTAGGACGTTGTATGATAAGTAAAATGATTGACTCAAGGTATAGTGCCGGCACAGTCACGTGAATACGCGATCACCGTCGCGAGGAAGTAGTCACCACCCGCCAGAACACGTATCGCAGCCACTATCTGTTCAACGACCACATGGTGCTTCGCACATCTCGCACTAGCTGTCAGACTACGGCTGTAGATGTGGTCGAACGATCACTCTATTCAGATTGCCCTTCATGGCGGAATGCGCCAATACACTGTACGCTCAATGGCTTAGCGAGATGATGGAAGAGCCACGCATTGCCAATGGCAAGGCACTACCAACGTAAATCGTTCTGCGACCGCACTGGGTTCGGCTAACCACCTACATAGTTACCGAAGGGCCTTGAGAGCAATCAAGGAGTGCAAGGTTGTTATGCAGCATGCTTCTGAGGCGGAAGACCTCAATGGTATAGGCAAGAACATCTGTAGAGCGCTCGAGGAAAAACACAACAAATACTGTCTGGAGAATAACCTTCCTTTGCCTCAGAAGCATCGAAAAAGAGCCAGAAATATCATTGGAGCGGAAGATCCCGAAGCAGATATTGCAGACTCGTCTCGAGACCAGCCTCCTGCTAAGAAGCGTATAAAGAAACAATACGTTCCTAACTACCGCAGCGGAGCCTATGCATTGATGATGGCACTCAGCGAACTCGAAAAGTTTGCAGAGAAGGGCTTACCCAAGGAAGAGCTGAAACACCGTGCGCAGCCCTACACTGACGCAAGCTTTTTTGTTGCGACGGACAACACGAAGTACTACACAGCATGGAAAAGCATTGATACTTTGCTGCAGAAGGAGTACGTCTGTGTAAAAGGGCATCCTACAAAACGTTATTGCCTTACTGACGAGGGCTGGGCTGCTGCCGATCAGATGCGAATGGGCGAAGCTACACAAAACAGCACAGAGCAGGCAGGTCCATCCAAAACCAAGAACAAGAACAAACCAGTCTCGACGTCAACCTCGACATCTCAATCCAGCAAGGTGACCGCCACGACTGGAGTTGTCGATCTAAGCTCGGATTCCAAACTTGAGTCAGAAGTCCAGAATACACCGTTACCGAAACTGATACCGATTAAAGATAGCGGCCCTTCTGCAACGAAATCTGCTTCCGCTGCGACTCTCAATTCGAAGCCCATCATCCTTCAACCAGGGACTTTCGAGGTTAAGCTTTTGCTGGACACTCGAGAAATCCAAGCAAAGAAAAATCGAGACTACATAGCTGGTGAGCTTCTCAAACAGGGTATCGACGTCGAGACGCGTGCTTTGCCTCTAGGCGATGCTGTATGGGTAGCCAAAGTCAATACTGCATGCGCGCCAGCATTCCGTTTGCAGAACATCAATGATGACGATGAGGGAAGCGACGAAGTCGTCCTTGAACATGTCGTTGAGCGCAAGCGTCTTGACGATCTGCTTCATAGTCTCAAAGATGGCAGATATCACGAGCAGAAATTTCGTCTCAGGAAATCTGGCATGAGGCATGTTACTTATCTCATTGAGGACTATAGCTTGCCCTCGGAAACCCAAGCTCATTGGGCGCAATCCATAGAAAGTTCTCTGGCACAAATGCAAGTCGTTGATGATATTTTCGTCAAACGTACTGCAAAGACGGACGACAGCATTAAATACTTAGCACGCATGACGAGGTCGCTAAAGAAAATGTATGAGCACAAAGAACTTCATGTTCTGCCCTCGATGTCCTTGGATGTTGCAATGCACCACAAAACACTGCAGATCCTGCGCGAGAAATCCCCCATCAGTACATTCTGCATCACTTTCTCTGCTTTCTGCTCTCTTTGCGACAAATCTGACAGCTTGACATTACGCGATCTATATCTGAAGATGTTAATGTGCATGCGTGGTGTGACTGGCGACAAAGCGATTGAGATTCAGAAAATCTGGCCAACCCCCAATGCGTTCATTGAAGCGTATAGTGATCTCGGTCCGGATGCAGCAGCCAAAAAGAAAATGGTCAGCGATCGTCTTGCGAAGCAGATCTCGCGAAAACAAATTGGTCCAACATTGAGCGCAGGTATTGCTGAAGTTTGGGGCAAGTGAAACTACTAGTTTCGACCGACGAAGCAATTTCTCAAATCGGCAGAGCTGCATTGGTGATGTGTAGCCTCTGCAACCGAAAGCCGGGATTGTGTTTACGAGATGTCACTCCGCAGCATTACGTGGCTGCTTACTCTGCAACCACAAATCACCCATTACATTCAGCTCATACCGAAAATAGGTGAGGTGGGCTCAAGATTTGACGCGATGCACGTGTACGACTACTACAGCCATACCTTACATTATATGTGATCTCATGTCTAGACCTGTGGTTACCGAAATTATGTTGTTATCGATACCACAAGTATGGCGATGCGAATTCGACGGAAGTCGCTCCTCATAGGTATCAATTACTTTCAATCACAGCATCAATTACAGGGATGTATCAACGATGTACAGAACATGGCGGCATGGCTTGTCTCCAGAGGATACAGCTCGTCACCTCGCGACATGGTATTTCTGACTGATGAACGTCGTGGACCATACTATCCGAGCGGACGCAACATTCTCGCTGCGATGGACTGGCTGGTCAGTGATCCTGGATGTGCTCTTTTCCTGCATTATTCCGGTCATGGAGGTCAAGTTCCTGATCGATGCGGCGTTCGTCGATCTGGATTCAACGATACCATTGTTCCAGTCGACTTTGAGCAGCATGGGATGATCGACAGCAGTATACTTCATGAATACCTTGTTTCACGCCTTCCACGAAACAGTTCCCTCTTCATTCTCTTCGACTGCTGTCATTCGGGCTCAGCAATAGAGCTTCCATACGTCTACAGATCCGACGAGGACGGCAACGTCAATCTCATGGATAACCTTGACGCCGGTCTAGAACTCTGGTCCGAAGCTACCCATCTACTGCAGGGTGGCTTTACGATTGACCGTGTGGGTGAAGCGGCACAGCTGATAGGTGGAGCTAAAGACTTCTTTCGAGGTCTCAAACACCAGTTTGATGATCAAGGAGGTGACACCATTAACGGCCTAGCACCAGTCAATGATTTTGCTCAGGACTGGAGCAGAGAGGAAAAGAGTGTGTTCATGTTCAGTGGGTGCAAGGATAGCCAAACTAGCGCTGATGCATTTATCATGGGCAAACATGTCGGCGCGATGAGTTGGGCGTTCCTGGAAACAATGAAGCATGATCGTGGCTGGTCATTCTCCTTTCTACAGGTAGGTCTTTGCGCTTCGGCATTAACGAGAGTAGTGTTGACGATGGTGCAGATCCTAGAAAGCACACGCAATCTGCTTCAACAGAATTACTCTCAAATACCACAATTGTCGTGTGGGTATCCTTTCGACCTGAACAGACCTTTAGTAATATGAGGGCATGCACGGTTGCAAAGAAGGTGGCAGATATCTGTCGAAGCCTTCCCAGTTGGTGATGGTACTTAATCCTCTATACATGCTCTCTGCGACAAGTAGCGATTAAGAACTCGATGAAGGATCCGGCTCATTCAGAAAAATCAAAGACGAACATTGAAGCCTTTCATTTGTCAATCTACATACCTCTGCCACCGGTGACTTCCAACGTCTGGCCAGTGACATAGGAGAAAAGGGGACTGCAGACTGCCAAAATCGACTTCGCTGCCTCTGTAGCAGTACCCGGCCTGCCTAGTGCAATGTCAGGGTAGCTTGGCTTGCTTTCATCACCCTTCCGACTAGAAAGCTGCTTTCCTGGTATACCTAGAGCAATTCTTTCTCCTGAAGCAGTAGTTATGAAAGCGCCCTCCTCTTTGGCTGCAGTAAGTCTGCTTCTTGTTAGTGTCGATTTAACTCAAATTGCGCAGGTCTTCAACTCACCTCGTGTTGATGTGCCCGAAAGCTACAGTGTTGACTCTGACACCGAACTGTGGGCCCCACTCTTTGGCAATAGTTTTGGTTAGACCTACTACACCAGCTTTACCCATGCTGTAGTTCGCCTGGCCTGCATTGCCGTGTGTGCCAGAGGTTGAGGAGATGTTAACGATGCAGCGTGGCTCGCCGTCCTTGACTCTGAAATATGGTGCCGCTGTTCTTACGAGTCTGAATGGCGCTGTGCCGTGTACATTCAGCATCGTCTCCCATTGCTTGTCACTCATTTTGTGAATTACACCGTCCCATGTGTACCCTATTGTGATCGTCAGCTCATGGACAGAAATAGTTCGAGCACTTTTCAAGGCCACGATTTAGAGCTACATGCTGGTGGCCACTCACCTGCATTATTGACTATTATATGTATCTTTCCATTTCCAAACTCAGCCGCCTTCTTCACCAGCACATCGAAATAGCTCTTGTCCGTCACATCTCCCGGCACACTGATCGCTCGCTTGTCACCCAACTGCTTGTTGATCTCGTCGGCCACAGCATCAGACCTCTTGGAGTCGACATCGCAAACGACAACTTTGGCACCTTCATTGGCGAAAAGTCGAGCACATTCCGCACCAATACCTTGGCCGGAACCTGTGATGATCGCTAATTGGCCGGCGAGAAGACCTGTTGGCCAGTTGAGGTGTGAGGAGATCTGAGCAGCACGGTCGGAGGGAGACATGGTTCGATGAGTAAGGTATCGTATTCAGGAATGGAAGGTTCGTGTTCGGGTGACAGAAGTCAAGTAGAGGAACTCGAAACTTGAGCTCACTTGGATGTCCGTCAGCATCATTCGACTGCAGCTCGTCTGTTTGGACTGGGAGGAAAATCGTGCCTCGGTTCATTGCTCTCGTGGACGCTTGTGGTCAGTCAGCTGTCCCGTGGTCCATGGTTAGGGTGGATTCATTTGACCACAAGTGAAGCCAAGTGAGAGATTTCCAAGAGATGTGATTGACTCATGTCCATCAGGATTTCTTGCACTTTTCGCGTACTTCGTGAAGACTCAGCTAAACTTCCGTGAACGCGATTATGCTTTACTTTAAGCCGCGAGTACTCTGCTTATCGTGACGGGTCTTTAGCGGGAGGCCGTGTAATGACGTGCGTTGCTTACGTGTTAGGAACAGAGCGGTTGTTACTTATAGGAGCAATGTATCCTACCTTGCCGGACCCCTATAACTCAGTCATATGCCCTTGCTGCTGTTTCCTGTACAACAGACAATAAATCGTGTCAGCAAATTGACCATGACATCAGGAAGCCAGGACCAGAACGAACGTCCTTATTATGCTGCTTTATACGAGCACGACCTCACAGACATTCCTGAGCCTATCTCGAAGATACTTGAGGCCTATTCTGGAATACCTCATGGCGAACAAAAAGAACATATACTGAAGCTTCGTAACCGCGCTTACGAAGCCCATCCGTATCCATGTCTAGGTCGATTCCGCTTCCTTGAGCTAGATCTTTCAACACATCCGCTTTACAACGAATATGTACTTCCGCGACTAAAGGAAGGCAATGGCCAGTCCGGCCCTATATTCCTCGATTTAGGCACATGCCTTGGGCAGGACCTTCGGAAATTGATCTATGATGGCGTAAATCCGCAGCAGCTCTATGGGGCTGATCTCGTGCCTGCTTTTATCGATGCTGGCTACGAATTGTTCAAAGACAAGGGCAAATTTCCACCGGACCATTTTGTCTGTCCTGCTGATGTATTCGATATGTCGTCTGGGAACAAGCTCAGCACAATGGATGGAAAGGCTGATATCGTGCAAGCAGCAGCCGTGTTCCATCTCTTCGACATGGAGCAGCAACTCGCTGTTGCAAGACGGTGTATGAGGCTGCTGAAGAAGATGCCCGAGACACGATGCCTAGTCCTTGGAGGACAGGCTGGCAATGTCAATGCGAAAGAGAGGGTACGAGCATATGGAGCGAAACAATATTGGCATAACGAGGAAAGCTGGCGCAAGCTATGGGAGGAAATTTGTAGTGAAGAAGAGTTCAGAGACGTGGTTAAGAGAGTAGTGGTACAGGCCGAGCTTCGGGAGAGGACAATGGGTACGAGTTCAGAACGAAATGTCGAGGAGGGTTTCCGGTGGATGAACTGGCAAGTTTGGGTCGACTTCTGAGTACAGATACACATACTCAAGCAGGATTTCTCTCAACAACCACTTTCTCTGTCCATAGCTCAAGTGCTTGAACCATAGTATGTTTTTGATATCTTCTGTTAGACTTGAAGGAGTAAGCAGGGTCGGCAAACTTGCATGCGTAGCTACTGCCCTCGCGAGTCATAGACAGCTTATCTGCGATAAGCATGATTCGAAAAGAAACATTTTCTGATCGTGCTTGGTCCCTGGTCTCGTGTATTCAAATGTTCTGCAGCTCTTCTGAGCGATTGTTCAAAATTTCAAGTTCGATATAGTCCTTCCTCTCTACGGTGTCTCCAAGATGCCTCCCTACAAAAAGCGAAAGCTTAGCCACAATAGCTCGTCATCAGAAGAATCCGACCACGAAGAAGTCGCCGTTCGGGAGGACGGAGACGATGTTGGTGACCAACCATCTACCACCGAGAAAGAGGCTGAATCAAAAACATTTCAAGAGCTTGGTCTGATAGATCAACTTTGCGAAGCATGCGAGCAATTAGGATACAAGAAGCCCACACCCATCCAGGCACAATCAATACCACTTGCGCTACAAGGACGAGACATAATAGGTCTTGCGGAGACTGGTAGTGGCAAGACAGCTGCTTTTGTGCTGCCGATATTGCAAGCGCTCATGGAGAAGCAGCAGGTACTGCATTCTCTGATCCTCGCACCCACAAGAGAATTAGCCTACCAAATTGGCGAGAATATCTCTGCACTAGGAGCATTTATTGGTGTGAAAAAGGCAGTATTGGTAGGAGGTGTCGACATGATGCCACAGGCAATAGCTCTAGGAAAGAAGCCACACATAATAGTCGCGACACCAGGACGATTACTAGACCATCTCGAGAACACAAAAGGCTTCTCCCTGCGACAGCTGAAATTCCTGGTAATGGACGAGGCAGACAGGATGTTGGACTTGGATTTCGGCGCAATACTGGAGAAAATCCTAAAGAATGTACCAAAAGAAGGAAGAAGAACATTCTTGTTCTCCGCGACAATGTCAAGCAAGATCGAGTCCCTACAACGAGCCGGACTCTCGAACCCTGTACGAGTCTCGGTGTCCAGAGATAAACATCAGACGGTCGAAAAACTGAAACAGTCATTCTACCTCATCCCTCACAAACACAAGGATATTTGGCTCGTACACGTCCTGAACAAATTCGCAGGCCAAACAGGAATTATATTCACAAGGACAGTCAACGAGGCACAAAGACTTTTTATCATGCTCAAAGCACTGGGGTTTTCATCCGTGCCAATTCACGGACAGTTATCGCAGAACGCTCGCCTAGAAGCACTTAATAAGTTCCGAGCCAAGTCCAAGAACTTACTCGTTGCAACAGACGTCGCTGCTCGAGGTCTGGATATTCCTTCCATGGATCTCGTTATCAACTACGATCTCCCTGACAGCAGTAAGACATATGTCCATCGTGTCGGACGAACAGCTCGTGCAGGAAAGAGCGGTGTCGCGATTTCCATGGTCACTCAGTATGATGCTGAGCTGTGGTTGAGGATTGAGCATGCTCTTGGAAAGAAGATCGAGAATCATGACTATGATGCTGAAAAGGGAGAAGCTATGGTGTTTGCGAACAGTGTCAGTGAAGCTCAGAAGACCGCAACTTTGGAGATGAAGGATTTGCATGAGAATAGAGGCAAGAAAGGGGCGACTTTGAGGAATACCAGGGGTAAAAAGACTGTGGTTAAGAGGAGACGTGACGAGATGGACGCAGATGTGGGCTGATGTTTGAGCATTCGTGCGCCGTCAGCAATACTTTGTTCTTGTCCATCTTTTCTTCCATGTCTTACCGCCCTGAGCTTTCAATTGTGCACACCATTCTACGTTAACTGGTGTAGGCCAAGTTAGTCACCCTGTTATCGTATTCAGAGGCTTTTCTCTTAAAATCCAGGAGACATTCGAGTCAGCTTGTAGGTCATATCGTTTAGTTGTGACTTCTAACCAGTATACTTTTCGTTGGCGTCGCCTTGTCTTGGCAACGTTCTGCCGTCATCAGGTCGGATGGAGAATGAAGAAACGATTGCAACATGTGCACAGTTGCCGAAACTCTGATCTTTCGCAATCGTGCGAACCTCCGAAATTTCGTCTTGCACATGTACACAGATGGATCCAGTGTCAGGTTGTCTCTGCTGCTCGTTCGTAACAGAAACACGCATGTACAGCATTTCCCAGAGGTGACAACATGATATTCCGTGTTGTAGTACTGCTGTCAATACTGACTGCTCTTTTTCCTCTCGAAGTGCAGGCTGCCAGCCCTTGGCTGGACCAAACCTGGAATGCATTTCAGAAAAGAGGTGGTGGCTCAGCTCCCCGCCTTCCCTATGGCACCATACCCTTGAACTCGTCGCAAATTCCACAGATACTCAGCACCAGAACGGACTGGAATAAAGATACTCGCTCGATCGAGACTATACGCAACAAGCTTGCTGTGTCTGCTTTCGCTATTGATGGCAAGCAGTTTTCCGCGCTGGACCATGTCTTCACCTCAAGTGCTGTTGCAAACTACTCTGAGCCTCTTGGTATCTTGTCTGGACTTGACAACATCACTAGCACTCTAGAACAGTCGCTTAATGGTGTGAGCACTCAGCATCTGATAGGAAACCAGTTCACGTTGTTTGTGGATGAGCGCAATGCCTTCAGTGTGACGTACTTCCAGGTCACTTACTTGGGAGGAAGTGATAAGCGAAATGACACCATGTTTGCTGTCGGACAATATCAGGATAGTTGGTTCAGGAAGGACTCAAAGACTCAGGATTGGCTGATAGTCTATCGTAATGTGGTGTGAACGGTAAGTCGCCATGCGGTGGACCCAACCACTCATTTCGTGGCTAAGCACTGACTTGCGACAAAGCCCTGCAGTTAAGAGCATGTCGGTTGTCCCTCGGTGAAGAAGGACTCAGTCACAGACGAGGTCTCGTCAATCTTGACGCACTTTGGGTGTGCTGGTCGGCGAAATTATGACATTTCGTAGAACAGCGGCTCCTGCTTGATATCATAAACATTCTTGCTTCCGTCTGGTGCAGGATCTTTTACATGCAATATCCACTCGTCTAGATCACATTCCCCGACAAAGTCAATGAAGCGCCATGCCAAAACCCAGTGCAACACAAATCGGAATCCTCTTGTGGGTCCCAGCTTTTGTATCTCGAACACAGCCCTTGCCATGCCACCAGAGAAACGCTGATCAAGTGCATCCTTCATTGCATTCCGCCAGTCTCGGTGTCTTATGAGCCGCCTCATTGCATGATCGAAGTTTGTTTGATCAGCGCCAACATGGTCCCAACCGAGATCAAATTCGAATGACTTGAGAGCCGGGAAGGTGACATTGAGATTCCGAATGAAATGTGGATCGGTGCCAGCATAGTAAATTTGCTGGACCAGCCTTGTACTGCGAAGAGGAGGATGCGTCGTATCCGGTGTGAGAGTCACTTCGTACAAAGGAAAGCAACTCTCTATATCCTTGGCAGGACTCCCATCATCGTATATAGTATGTCGCTGGAAGCAGAACCGGACGAGGCCGTAGAAAATGGGAAGCGCTTCTATGTGTAGCTGCTGACAAGTAAGGAGGATGTTCAGGGGTGAGGTCGGCGGTATCGTAGTTCCTGCTTTTGTGTTTTCATGGTGGAAGGCGTCAGTGCACACGGTTCGGCCGATAAATAGCTGCTGATATATCTGTAGACGGATTTCGATGGGAAGAGCGAGAAGTGTCGATTCTTGTGAACTCATGCTTTGTACACCATGTAAGATATTGGTTTCGCGCAATTTCATGCAGCAACCAGTCTCTCGTCTGATGATCGACGGACGATATAGTGTTCCTCGAGCGATGGAGAGGATCTGGATAATGAGAGGATATCACGTTGAATTTATAGAGCACTTAGACTCGTCAGGAATTGATGGTCGGTCAGCAGAGTGCTCTTATCGAGATTACTAGAACACTTTCTACGCGGTGGACCCTGGCTCTCGAATCTTGATAGCTATACAAGAATATTGTTGGATGTTGAGTTCTGGTCAGGTACACAATCGCGCATCGCTCAGTCCCGGCCGAGAAGTCAGGCAACCACGTCCTCAATTTTAACACGATCGTTCCTTCCTCGTTCTCCTTTATCTACTCGTGCCATCTACATCACTTGGCGCTGTATATTGTTCTTCATACCTGCCGTTCGATATGCAACTTCTTGATCTTCCAACCGAACTGCTTGGCTTGATAGTCCAGCAGTACTACGATCCGTGGACTATCTATCTCAGCGAGCTCACAGTCAATCAAGACTCAAGCTGGCATTTTTGTTTCAAAGGTAATCCAGCCATAACTCTGTTTACGACATGCAAACAATTATCGTACCTGGCAATGGAGGCGGAATCAAGAGCTTTCGGCGGCACCGTTAATATCGAAGAGAATGTATCCGCAATGGGTACAACTCTTGTAGCATTCAAGGAATCTGTTAGCACTGGAAGATACTCTTGGCTTCAGACTAGACTTCGGACACTCAGATACTCGAATCCGACCATGAACCCTGCACGTTGGCGTTTCCATCCTAGGACTCCACCCGCGAGTAACCCTGGAAGCTGGCTGGACGTATACTTTCCAAAGCTGGAGCGCATCATCCTCGATTGTCGTTATCAATCCCTTTTTGCGGTGCATAACGTTCGGAACCTGCAAGCCTTTCTCACAGGTGCTGATGGACGGCTTGAAAAGCAGATCGACTATAGGCAGGCCTTTTTCTTGAGCGATGAAAGGTTTCTCTTGTGGAACATAAGAAGAGGCATTACTGTCACTGTAATCAGAGAGATGGGTGTTCGGGAGATGGATGACCGATGCCAGGCTGTTGTATGTCATCAAATTTGCACCAATGTGATTGTTCATGCTAAATACTGCACACAGGTTGTAGCTATCGACTATGTGCGTGACGAGAACTACCAATTGGTTCTCGATTGGGAGAGTTTGAAGTCAAAGACAGCTGAGATCAGAGGCTGGCCGCACAATATTCGACCGACTCTAGCTAGCCTGGAGATTTGATACCACCGTACCCATCGACTCTACTATCTCTCCTACCTCCGGTGTTGGGACACGCATGTCACTCAACACGTCTCCAGAGCTATTCAGCTTGCCAGGCGATCAACTGTGTCGTCGACAGTGGCACCACGAATCCTCAATGTATTCAGCCATTGCCTTTGCTTGAGCCAAACTTGGACGAAGAGGTGCATGGGCCATAACTAGCGATTTTTCTCCTGTACAAGGTATGCCGTGAGATTTGGTGAGCTCAGGCTTCTTCAAGCCTCAAGTCGAGCGTTAGGGGGTCTGGAAGGCTGGACTCCATCGCCGCCACGAGGTCGACCGAGATACCTCCACCATAGGGGGATACGTCCTGCGAAAATATTCCACTTTCTCAGATGCCGTTGCCTCTCAACCTTTCTCGCCGTTCACCAGGGATCGTAACGGTGAAGAGTCGGGAACAATTGTGACTGGATGAGCACCCATGCGCGAGCACCTACCTGACTCTGGAATACTCGTTCTGCTCGAATTCGAATGTGGTGTTAGAAGTCTGGATTCTGGCTGTAGCAGTGATGATTTATGAGGTTTCACGCGTTTGTCATTCTTCTTCGGGCCGTGTACAGCAGCTTGGAATCTTTGTGGAAAACTCCAGCATCTCTGCAGGCACCTCCGTATCCTACCGCACCAACTCGTCCGATGTGAGCATTCCTGCTCTTCCCTGGCTTGACTCAGAGCATATCGCAGGTTCGCATTCGAAGTTTCGAGAGCCCTCACATATTCCCTGACTTCAACAATCTCCTGAGCAGCTTCGACAAGTTCAGCCTCCACAATACCATAATTTTGCCGCCAAACTTTGACATCTTTCAGCACAGTATCCTGTGCCTTGGCCTGATTTTTGCAGACTGCTTCTAGCTCTTTGATCCTGGTGGTCAACCTCTGACGGTCATGTAACGATTCTTCGAGGCGATGGCTATACCAGATCATCTGTGCTTGTATGTCGACGGACGAGGCAGATTCCGCGCTAAATTTATCTGATTTGGTGTCTAATACCACTGAGCGACGTTCATCTTTTGCCCTTTGATCCCGAGCCGCCTCTTGAGCGGTAAACTTTGAGCTTGAAAGAGTCTGTGGTGATTCTGGTATCGTTTCGAGCTGGTCGACCTTTGTCCGTGGCCACGTATGGCGTTTGTTTGAGCCTGTTCGTCTCAACACTACCGACATGCTAAACGGTCAAAAGTAGGATATTGTGATGTAGAGCCTGCTACGTAGTCTTCAGTCAAAGACTCCTGTTTCCAACCAGGGAGAAAATAATGCAACTGAGAGCTAGGATTGAGTCTTCGACAGTTAGTCTGGGAGCACGCACAAGAAATACACGAGACAGACTACGAGGCCATCAAGGTTGATCACAATGCCTACGGTAAGTTTACACGACATCTGCGTCGGTACTGCTCACGAGTCAGGATCGATTGGGCTTGCTGTGAAGAGACCAAAACACGAGCATAACTCTCTTTGAGGAGTGAACGTCGCCGAGCTCTCGCGTTCTCTCAGGGTATGCCTAGTCATCAACAGCTTATCACATTGCTGGCATTCGACTTGAAACACGTACCCGAAGTTGAAGTGCGTGCTGTGCCATAAGGCAATCTCCACAATTGAGTCGGAGGAGACACTGGTTATCTGAAACGGCAATGCACTAAATCCCATGCCTGGACGCTAGTTTGGTAGACGCGTCGATGTGGATATGGCATCGCGGTCTATGCGACTGGCAGAATGCTCGAGCTGCACTCACCTATCATTCTTCCGACCACCCACGCTTTGTGAAGTTCTGCTCCATTGTCGAGACGTGGTGAAACTACTTCCAATGACCTGCTAGTCCACGATCGAACAAGGTCTTGTCTCTGGCTCCTGTACGACGTGTTCGTTTGAAGCTAGCAGTCAACAAACAAACACGCGTCGCAGGCAGCAAGGCAAGAATATTTGCGGAATGACGACAACTATTCCGCGCACGGAGATGATCGCAAGAAATGCAGACTGGACAAAATCTTTGGACTCAGGCGGAACTTGCTTGTGATCAGTCTTTCACACTCTTTTCCTTGTTACGTGCTTCGCATTCGCTCGGCTGGAGGAACTTGAACAGCTACACCATCGGTGAATCCTCAAGGACGAGCTGACCACAGTGGAGTGCAACCACTGTTATAACTAAATATTCACTATAGTGTGGTGTGCAGTCGTTCATGTGACTGTTATATTGCCCTTCTCTCCAACACTACCTTGTATTGGACCTTGAGTGCGAAGGATTGAGATTATTCAATCATTCCGGACATCTGGTAGTCACTAACTGTTAGTAACCTGACTTCGAAGAAGAGGACAATTCTCGAGCCAGTTTCTCATCTTTCGACTCAGCAAGATGTCTATCCAAAAAGTGACCCTAATCGGTGCCAATGGACGACTCGGACCGTCCATACTCGACGCACTTCTCAACACCTCCGACTTTGAGGCCTCGGTCTTGACACGAGCTTCATCAAAGTCAACATACCCATCTAATGTCAAGGTGCTCAAGACTGAGGACGATCTACCCTTTGACCAATTGGTAGAAGCACTTCGGGGCCAAGACGCGCTGGTGATTGCGTTTGCTGGCACTCAGAAGGACAATTCTATCAAGTTGGCCAATGCGGCGTTTGAGGCAGGTCTGAAACACATCATCCCTGCTGACTTTGGCAGCTGCGACTCTAGCGATCCGCAATCTCTAGATCTTGTTCCACTCTACATCAACAAGAAAGACGTTCGAGATCACCTTATCGAGTTGACCAAGAAGACAAGACAGGATGGTACGACTATAGCATGGACTAGTCTAATCACTGGCCACTTCTTTGACTATGGTCTGAAAAGTGGGCTGCTTAGCATTAATCTTGACAAGAAATCCTCTACAATCTTTGATAACGGCACATATCCTTTTGGAGCTACGAACCTTAGAGACATCGGGTTTTGTACAGCGCGTATCCTTCAAAATGCTAATCATCCGAGACTGAAGAACCAGATTGTCTACGTGCAAAGTTTACAAACGACACAAAACGATCTAGTTGCTGTGGTCGAGGATGTGGTTGGAGCTAAATTCCAGATTGAGAAAGTCAAGGCCGATGACTTTATCTCTGAGCACAAAGCCAAGCTCAAGCAGAATCCCGACGATCATGAGGCAACCGAGGACCTTGTAACTGTTGGAGGTATCATCAATACGAATTGGGATACAAAAGGAGATGCATATGTCAACGATCTGCTCGGTCTACAACTGAAGGAACACAGGAAGTTGGTAGAAGAAGCGTTAAGGTAGATCAAGTGCTGTCTGAGTAGGACCTTTTTTATCTTGTATTGCTTTCTGTTGTAGCTATGTATGGCTTATACAGGTTTGCAGCATTTGTTATTGTTGTCTTCTGCAACACCAACTAATCCTCGTCATGGTAAGCACACGGGCAAATCGATACATGCCGAGTGAGCTGCAAAAAATGTCGGACTGCTCGGCCATGATCGCCGACAGGTAATCATCCTCGGCTCGAATGTGAGGCTTTTCAGAGCTCCCAAACCATTGCGCGACTTCGTTATCAAGTTTCCTGTCAAGATGTTAACTTCAGAATCACAGCAGCCTTCTGTACCTTTACACGAGTTGCTGTAGTCCATGTTCGTTGGTAGAAATGTTGTACAACTACCTCGGACTGCCGTTGTCATTCGCCCAGCCAAATGCAAAATACATAGATCGGTCACGTAGACCACCGCAAGTGCTATGGAGGCCAATAAATCCTGAACTTACACCAATGTCCAGGTACAGGCAGCATATCAACGAGAAGTTTGGTCAGATGCTCAAAACATCGCACGACCTGCATAGATGGACAGTGGAAAATCCGCATGACTTTTGGATCGATCTTTACGACTATACAGAGATTATCCCACCATTACCGGCAGATATAAAATATGCTTACAACCCCAAAGCAAGGTTCAGGGACGTTCCAGTGTGGTTTGAGGGACACGAGATGAACTTCGCAGAGAATCTTTTGCTGCCTAACGTTCGACGAAATCCGCACAGCATTGCGCTGACTGGCTTGAGAGAAGGAGAACTGGACGATCCGGAGCACATTACTTGGGCTCAGCTGGCTGAAATGGTTCGTCTGACCAGAATTGCAATGCTACACCATGGTATTCGAGAGAACGACGTGATCGCGGCGCTGATGAGCAATTCAATATGGATCATTGTCTTGTTTCTGGCATCAGCATCAATTGGAGCCATCTTCACCTCTATAGCACCAGATATGGGACTATCAGGATGCTTGTCGAGACTGGCACAGGTCACTCCCAAGCTTTTCTTTGCAGATACTGACTATAGTACACGTGGCAAAAGGCTCAGCCTTTTAGAGAAGGTTAGAGACATTCTAAATGGCTTGCCGAGCAATCAAGCACAGCCTACCGTGTTCTTCGTGCCTACCACCAAGCGACCACACACGAAGCATACAATCAACCCTCCCATACCAATCACCCTAGGCGCTTCTTTAGACGCTTTTCTTGAGCCGGCTCTTGACGATGGTACTCCCCTTACTTTCACACGGTTACCTACCTCACACCCACTGGTCATCGTATACTCATCAGGCACGACAGGACCACCGAAATGCATAGTGTCTCCGCATATCTCATTGTTAAATTACCGCAAAATTGCTCACCTTCACAACTCGCTATCACCTGAAAGCATCGTGTTTCAATACAGCTCCACCTCTTGGATTCTCTGGAATGTTATGCTCGGACACTTGACAGTCGGTGCCCGCCTGATTACTTGGGATGGTAACCCTTTACATCCTAATGCTGGAACACCACTGGAAATTATCGAAAAATACAAGGCCACTTACTGGGGGACATCTCCACGTTACTTGCTTGAACTAGAACAGCAAGTGACTTCTCAGACACTCCGACGCATGTACGATCTCAGCAGCCTGAAGATGGTGACCACAACCGGTGCTCCGCTGCTACCATCACAGATGCTTTACTTTTACTCTCCGCTCTTTCCTTCTCTCAGACCTCTCACGTCGGTACATTTATCGTCGATAGCAGGTGGTACGGATATCGCATCAAGCTGGTGTGCATCAGATCCGGCTGGTCCTGTACACCTTAATGAAATGCAGATGTGGGCGTTGGGACACGATTGTGCTATCCTCAATTCCGAACCGACCAGGAAGTCAGCAAAACCTTTATGGGACCCGACAACTAAACTACACAAACCAATGCAACAACTCGAGTATTCCGAAGCTCGTGATGCTCCCGGAGAGCTAGTGTGTAGAAAGCCACTACCCAGTGCACCCAGTCAATTCTGGGGCGATGATGAACAGAAGAGTGCATACATGGACGCATACTACAACAGTTTTCCATCTGTGATAGACCCAGCGAGTGGTGAGGTCAAGGAATATCACGACATATGGGCACAGCACGACCTGACTACCTGCAATCCGATTACCCATGGACTACAGATTCTAGGACGAAGCGACACCACACTAAATCCCAGTGGCATCCGCTTTGGCAGCTCGGAAATATACCATATCATCGAGGCCCCTCCGTTCAATTCTATGATAAGTGACAGTCTTTGTGTTGGACGACGTCGCAAGCATGACAACGATGAAGTCGTTTTTCTGTTCATTATTCCTGCAAAGGGCGTCAAATTCAGCAACGATTTAGTTGCAAGAATTAAGGATGCGATACGAACGAATCTGAGTTCGCGACATGTACCCAAGTTTGTCTTCGAGGCCAAGGAGTTCCCATACACTATCAATGGTAAGAAAGTCGAAAATGTGGTGAAGAAGATCATCAGTGGCGTCGACGTAACTCCAAGCAGCACCATTACAAATCCGGCATGTTTGGAAGAGTTTAGGAAATATAGAGATGTAGAAAGAGAGTCGCCTATGCGAACAAGCAAGCTATGACTGTATATAAATATTGCTGCGCAGGCGAGGAAATCATGGATACTATTCATTGAATTCATGGTTGGTTGTATCGATTTAGGCAGCCAGAGTATGCAAAATGAAGACTTGAGAGCCCGAGTTTAAGCTTAGAAGGCTTGTTTTGTGACGCCTGAACCTGTGGACCTGCCCCTGAAAACGCTCCAACTTCTTCTCTCTTCGTCGCGCAATCTTTTCATCGTGAGTATCCCTGGATCACGACAGGCAATCTACTTCAGTCTCGCTTTAACAACTCGCACTCTTGATAAGACTATACGATGGCCAAATTTTGTGACTATCTCCTTCAGCTGCTTGCAAAAGAAAGGTCGCCATCATGCAGATTACACCCTGTATTGGAGTAACCCGAATGCTCGGCTTTCTGTCCACCAGAGTCCAGTAGCCGATTTTTGCCATTCTTGGACGTCCTCTCTGATACTATGTTCAAGTACAAACTACAGCACTATCCCCACGAAAATTCGAAAGGAAGTGCTGTGTTTTCCATATATGGTTCCTAGATATTGCCAAAATTGTGTCGCCCAGCATAAAGAAATAGTCAGATTATATCAGAGCTGGACAGCGACCACCTGAACCGCGACTGCAAGACTGCTAGACCCATTCAATTGCAAGAGAAAACACCTTAGCTACACCAAAAAGAATTGTGCCAAGTTCTGCAACGATGGCGTCTCAACCACCGGCTGTGCTAATGGTTGGCACCGGCGAATATACGACAGGATATGTTGCCAGTACCGGTGCAGCAAGCACTTCTGACAAGAAGATTGGCGTGGTCGGCCTCACCATGTTTGACCTGCGCCGTCGAGGTAAGGTTGGCGATTTGAGCATGGTCGGTGTAAGCGGCAAGAAATATCCTGCTATTCGCGAGCACTTGCAAAAGAACATTCAAAATGTCTACAACAATCTTGACGTAACATTCTCGTCCTTCCCTTCAGACGACAAGACCGATCCAGACGCATACAAGGCTGCCATAGAAGTTCTACCGAAAGGTAGCTGTGTGACAATATTCACACCTGATCCAACTCATTATCCAATCGCGCTATTCGCAATACAGCGAGGACACCATGTGCTAATCACAAAGCCAGCAACAAAACTGCTCAAGGAACATTTACATTTACTCGAAGAAGCGGAGAAACACAATGTGCTTCTTTACGTTGAACACCACAAGCGATATGATCCAGCATACACAGACGCAAAGTTCAGGTCGAAGCATCTGGGCGACTTCAATTACTGGTACAGCTATATGTCACAACCAAAATCTCAACTAAAGACATTCGCTTCTTGGGCTGGAAAGGAGTCTGATATCTCATACTACCTCAATTCTCACCACATAGACATCTGCGAATGGATGGTACGTGAGCATGGATGGGTACCGAGGCTGGTACGAGCAAGTGGCAGTACTGGCATATCGGAGTCGCTCGGTTGCCAGGCCGGTACTGAAGATACCATTACTTTAATGGTAGATTGGGAGAACGAAAAACCAGAGCACAAAGGCAAGCGTGCAACTGGCGTCTATACTGCTTCATGGACAGCCCCACAGAACGCGGGCGTGCACTCACAGCAGCACTTCCACTACATCGCTTCAAATGGTGAAATCAGCGTCAATCAGGCTAAGCGCGGTTACGATGTGGTCGCCGATAACTATCCCGAAGAGACTGCAGAGGCAAACACAGGCGTAAAATGGTACAACCCATTCTACATGAGATACGCACCAGACGAAGAAGGCAATTTCGCTGGTCAGGCAGGATACGGCTATATCAGCTTTGAAAAGTTCGTGGACTATGCCAAGAAAATCAATGATGGTTCCATAACATTGGAAGAGATCGACAGGCGAGGTTTACCGACTGGCAGGAATACTGTGCTCACGACTGCAATCCTAGAAGCTGGTAGGAAGAGTCTAGACGAAGGTGGAAGAAGCATTGAGATTGTTGTGAAGGGAGATACTGTTGAGCTGAAGTGATGAACGACATCCCTCCTGAGCACCCCTCCCCAACGTTCTAAAGGATGCCTGTGAAATGAAATATAGGGAGTCCCAAATGTGACAATGAGCCGAGCATATCTGAGCCAGAGAATCTGACCGGCAAACAAATTGTCCACATCCTACCATAACCCGTCCCTGTTAGCAGAACCACGCAGCTCTGACCCAGCAGAATTCAAGCTCATTATCTTCAATAGCGAGACAAGGAGGAACGAAAGAGGCGCGAGCCACGACAGGCTGGTCAAAGCTGTTGAACGTGAGCCAGGCATTCAGGCAACTACTGTTCGTGTCACTTACTAGTGTGTTTCAGCTTGTTTTAGCGTATTCAGAAAGCTACAAAAGCTTCTCTCTATTTCACAATCGTTAATAGACAATCAACTATTATTTGCTTTCTTCCACTTCTTCAAAAGCATGGAGTTGGTGCTTACGTAGTCCAACGATGAAACCGGCAGTATTGCATGCAAAGTGAGCGTACTCAATAGATCGGATCCACGTCCTGCAAGAAATCATCCAACTCAAGGCTCCTGGTCTTTGAAGCCTGCTGAGTCCTCAAATCCGCTACCATTTGTGTTGCTCTTCGACCCTAGGCTTCGCGGCTGGCACGTGGGAAAAATGGCTATTCAGCGTCTCATCAAATCACACACAATTCTTCCGCCAGACGAACAAGGCACGGTCACAAACATTGCACGATCTCACAGAGGAAACGAAGATTAAAGCCCATGATGTTGTCTTCGTTAGCTCCTATCTGATATACGTAGCAATAACAATAATATGGTGTAGAAAATTCTCCGTCCCAGAAAAGTTCCAATCAAGCGAATTCCCCTGAACACCTTCGCTGAGAAAAAGTCAGATCCAGCCATCCTCTGTTGTAGAAAGGTCCTTGTTGTGTTGTCGATAGGTAGGTATGAGTGCAGACGTACCCGTCATAAGTCTAGCTGCTGCTCGCATGCCGTATGATGAAGATATTGTCGAGAGCTTGTTGACGATACCAAACAGAAGTCTCAAGAGGTTTTGGCAATCCAGGGCTCCCATTCCCAGCGCTCTTCGCCTCGTGGAAGTGCTTGCTCTCCAGTCTTCTCAACATTTTGCACCTCATATTTACCACCACTCATGTACGCTCCATTGGCTTTCCAGATCGTATGTAACTCCTTTTGAAACTTCTTACAGTTCTTCAGAAGCTGTGCGTTGCCTGGCTCTTTTTCACAGGGTTTACAGGATTTACCAGGTCCGGAGGAGTGCAGGCAGAATGGACATTGACGTTCTCTCTCGACGGGAGTTTCGATGTCGCCTCTTAGCGTGTTGTGTGGGTTTGGACACGGCTTTGTGTAATCGGGCTCCGTACAGACTCTCGCCTGCATGACGATGTATTGTTGGCACATGTAGCACGATACCGTCCAGAATTTATTGTAACACATGGTGAGGAGTGAAGGGTGTGAACTTCAAGTGATTCCTGGTCGTCGAATATGTACTCGATAATGTATGATGGCCTTGTATGGGTATGATGTAGGCGTGTAGTCTATTCCTTTAGGTAGGCGGTCTATTGTTCGTGTTCGGGACTTCTTTGGTATGCTACTCCTCCTCCCAGGGAGGGCAGCAGCATTATATACCTCGAGACCTGCTCGTCTGTTCACCGTTACTCACCGACACGAGAGTCAACTCGTTGTTAGTCGCTGTGACCATTAAAGTTGCGACGAGCTCCTTGTCCAAAACATGAGTCAAGTCAAGTCAATTCTGCCACGCTCGGCCTCAAGCACTCAAAGCAAAGAGCAGCTCGTTTGAGTTTGAAACCATGACTTGAGAAACGGCAACGAGCTTTTGAAGGGATTAACGATTCAGAGGTAAACCTCGAGAAGATTTAGTCAGAAAGAAGAAGCGACATTGATGAGTAGAATGCTTCTGTTTGTATACAGGCCTGTCTCATCGTCAACTCGGAACCGAAATTACACGTACATACATTTAGTAATCCAACAACATATTCCATACAAATCACACGCTGAGCCATCATGCAAGTCATTGCAACATGTTAATCTAGTCATAACTTCATCCAACGACACATAATTTCGGTGCAACGAATAGCTCTCGCTGCTAAGCTTCTTGGCCTTCCTAGAAGCTCATAAACTTGTTCGTCTTTGAGTGTTGGTATAGTTCGTGATGTTGTGGTGATGCGATATCGGTACCTGATATTGATGCGAGACTCGATAACTCAATACGTGGCATTCATATTGGATACAACTCCATCTGACCAGTACCAGGATGGTAAACTGAACGCCACTATCCGTTCGTCGCCATCCCGGCACTTCGCTGGCTGGAAAAGCTGCTAATTGGGGCAAACCCTCTAGCCAAATCGATACCGCCATCGTCGTCATCATCTTCTTCGACTTTGTGGCTGTTTCTCTGTAGAGTAGGTGCGGAAAAAGCGGGTATTGTTCTGTTACCATTACTTTCCGAAAGACCCAGCCCGTTGACTCTAGCTGGATCTTGTCCAGTGGGCATTGTTTGGTCTTCATCTTCCTTGCTAGACGATTGACCGAATGTGCCACTTCGACCTCTGCCAGCCTTTGAAGGACTATTTCCACCAAGGACGTCCATGGGTGGTGGACTTGAGCTCATTATTTCCCTGTCCTCAATTCCATTTCTACGTAACGTACCCTTGACAGGGCTCATGTCAGGTGGAAGCGCGGAGCCAGGTGGACCTGGAGTAGCACCACCGAGAAAGCCTTTCCAGAAAAGACCGGGCCCTGCCGGAGACGATTCTGGCATGAACTTGCTAGGTGCGACCAGTGTCGAAGGAGGTGCTAGGCGAGGATTTTGTCGTAGTGGTGCTGGAGTGAGCATAGCGTGCTGTGGCTGAAACGGAGTGTCTAGGTAAGAGGAGGAAAGTGTAGGATTGCCAGGTGAGTGGTGTGGCAGATTTGACGATGTTGGGAGAGTATAGAAGGGTCCATTCTGTCGAGCACTCGGGTGACGCAGGAGGGGTGATTCCTCGAGCCCGTTTTCTGGTAAGGCGTTAGATGTGTTGGCACGACTTCTCACAGGTGTTGAGGTCTGTAGCGGAGGTTGTGATGAGTGCGAGGGCATGCCGGCCATCTGTTGCGGTCCTCCAATAGGAGGAAATGGGGGAAAGGACATGTTAAGCTTTGGTGCTTCACCTCGCGCCGAGAACGAAGATACCATGGAGGTATCATATCCAAGGTTCTGTCCATTGGGACCTCTAAAATTTGGATTGACATCTTTTCCTGACACAGGTGATGACGGATTACTAGACGCGCCACCCTTTCGTTGCATCTTCTTCAGATACTCCTGTCGGTACTCTAATGCAATCTGCCATTTCATGCCTTTTCCAGGCTCGTCTGTTCTTCGCGGTACCTTCTGAAAGGCCTTGTTGAGGGACAGATTGTGCCTGATACTGTTTTGCCAACCACTATTGGAATGTCGGTAGAAGGCGTATCTGTCTGCAATATAGCTATAGATATTGGCCAAGGTCAATTTCTCCTCTTCGTTCGAGAAAATAGCCTGGGCTATCATATGAGCATAGCTGAAGGGAGGTTTGAGATCTTTAGCAGAGTCTCGGCTGTAATCAATTTCCTGGGTGCTCTCCATCATCATGCCTCTACCATAGATTGGAGACATGATAGACCGGCTATCGAAGACAGAGCGTTGATTGCGACCATCTGTGGGTGGAGGTGTAGCAGCACGTCTGAAGTCAGGAGGCGCAGGAGCCAATGAAGGGTACTCTGAGAGGTCAGTCGTGCTCGTCTCAATCTTAGGTCTCTCTGGTTCGGTGTCTCTATCAGACTCTGCAGGTATTTGTTCCCCCGTAGCAAGACTCTTGGCACGGTCGATGAAGTACTGATCGATCTGCACCCTTTCGTTGGGCATGACGAACATCATCTGGGTACTCGCAATTTCGAGAATTGCTCCAGAATGAAGCTGAGTTTTCAGTCCACGCTTTAACAGACGATTATCCACCCTGACGCCGTTTCGTCCGTTGACCCGTACAAACCAACCACCACCCTCAGAACTCTCGCCGTCATAGAATATCGAAGCGTGATGTCTTGATACGATCTTGCTAGGACCGAGGTCAATGTGTACAGGAAACTGCTCTTTCAAATCTTGTACAGGACTCGATATACCCAACTGAGGAGGAGGAATCTGCCGGTCGTCTGGTGGACGACCAATGTTAACAGTCTGTTCATGCACATAATATGTCCAATCTTTTCCTGCAATCTTTGCAAATGCTGAGATTTTCTCAGTCCCTGTCAGTTCGTTGTCGTGCTGCTTAGCCACTGCTACAGGGTCCTTTGAAACAGCCAAATAGGATATCACCGAATCGATGAGGTCGCTGGAGGATAATGTCTCGTCATCGTCAGACTCGTTGTCCGCTTCGTGCGCAGGCCTTTCGGAACTAGGCGAACGATCTTTTCGTGATTGTCGAGGCGTGTTGATTCTGCGTTTCTTGACTGATGGGCGAGTTGAAGGAGACGAGGTCAATAAGTCGGCATTGAAGGTGCCCTCGTTGGCTGCCTCAGCAGTTTTTCGACGTGTGGTCGTCTTGCGCTTGGAAGGTGCCATGCTCGAGCGCCTCAGGCAAGTGTGTGGAGCAAATTCGGTGTTTCGATCTTTTCCTCCACTGCTAGCTACGCGAATTTCTCACCTGTTCACGAGAAAACCATCGATATGCTAATTACTGTTTGTCGCGCCGTGCATATTGGGGCAAACACGACTATTACTTTCGGCGAACGACTCGGGTGCCTTCGTTGTTTGAGATTCGTGATCTACCCGGAGAGAGCGTTTCGCAACAGAGAAGATGCGACTGCGTTTGGAAATGAAGGTCCTGGTTAACAATGAAGAGATTGAAAATGTGCGAATAGAAAACGCAGATATGTCGAGGCAGACAACCGGATCCTCGAAATGCTCGCGTAATTAGTGCGAAACGCGCTTTTAGGTCTACGACTCACCCACCGAAGCTTATCTTCGATGCACTGTAGATTGTTCGGCGTGGCGCACAACTGAGCAAGATTCAATTACTGTAGATTACGAGGGCTCGAGTGTATTTCCTATCTATCATGAAGACTGCACATCGATCCATACAGAGAACGTTCATAGCATGAGGCTTCCTACTCTTGCCGTGTTACAAAGCCATTCCGGATGGCTGTTTACTTTGGCGATCGCACTTGCCGAGTTTGTAAACACTGACGTCGACTGCCTGGCGAGGATCGCGTTTGCTTTCTCCAACTCCGCTTGTGTGATCCACCAATAATTCTCCACAGCTCCTTCCTTTGAAAGACTCTTTGCGGCTGTCCAAACGGCGCGGCTCACGCCTCTTGGGAAATCCTCTTGCACGTGCTGTAGCCCTTACTGATTGTCTTGTTGCATGCCAGCACCTGCTTTCAAGTTCCACTGCGGTGAAGACGTTGTTGTGTTGGAATTCTGTTCGAGACATATTTCTCGATCTTGCAAGACCAGATTCGACGCATCATGTGCAGAGATACGACGTTCCTAGAGTCATCGTATTGACCCAAAACCCGTATTGCTATTTCCCAGCGACTCAAATATGATAGACGCGTAATGCGACTATATGGGAAGTAACGAAAGCTGTGGCTTTTCATGTTGTAATAAGGTCAACGACTCTGGCTTGCTCGCTGATGCACGTGAGGATGCAGCGAGACCGACCCGCCTCGAGGACAGACGAGCCTTGGTAGAGTTGAGAAATTGGCGAATTCGATAGCTTGCTCAGTCAGCCATGTCTTCGTCCTCATATGCCTCACGTCCATCTTCTGAATTGTCGTATACCTCATCGTCAAGCATGTCCTCAACCTCATCTGTGTCGAGACTCTCGTCATCTGATGCCTGAGCGCCCCCATTACCTGCAGTATTCGCTTTAGTTTGCTCCTTGGATTTCTTCTTTCGCTCGACATTCTCTTTCTGCTGCTGGCGCCTCTCTTCTCTCAGCTTGCGCTTCTCGTCCCACCTCTCATCAAGTTCTTGCGCTTCGGTCTTGGATTTGGTAACGAATTCATTCCACATGACCCGCCCATCACAAAGACCTTCTTCGACCTTAACAAGTCGTAGCTTCATCCTTGGTCCTATTTCGACCAGTTTGATAGCTCGTTTCTCAACGTTGGATTGGGATTTCGCGACTTGCTCCTTCTTGTCACCTGTCCGCAGCTTCTCCATCTCTTTCCTGCTCAGGACTTTACGAGTACTGGTCTGAACGACTTCAACCTCATTGTCCGTATCCAGTTCCGTCTCACTGGCAGATGTGTACCCTCCATCTTCCGGGTTGAGCATATAATCTGCAGCGTCTTCTAGCTGACCGAGGTTGGGTAGTGCACCACCCTTCTTCTCCCTTCGTCGCTGCTCCTGCGAGTCGAGTCTTTTTATCCTCTTCGTCGTTCCTGTCCTGCGCTGCGTAATGGCATAATGTCTCAAGTTAATCACAAAGGTTCCATCCTCTTGCTTCTCTCTTTTTAGCAGCAGTATCCTCTTGATCTTCTCGAGCTTTGTAGTACTGGGCGTGATCACGGGGAACATCGAGTTGAACATCGTCTGTGTGAGCGACTCGAGTTGTTTTTCTTTTGGTTTGCCAGCAAGTTGTTCCTCTGTGGATGCCATACCATGTTGAACTAGCAAAGGTGGAGTTGCGAAGGCTTCCACCCATCCTGCTCTTGATCGCTTTTGTACGTGCTGAATGTCTTTCGCCAGTACATAATCGTCGACTCTGAACTGCAACGTCGGTCCTCTGGGATGTAGTGCGAACCTGAGGTGAACGTTTCCATTCTGCGATCGTGAAAAGAGGAAGAAATGTGTAACGCCTAACGGTCCGGCCATAGCTGTGTAGTCTCTCAAACGGTTGGATTTGCGCTCTTTCAGTCTAGCAGCTGTATGTGGTTGGACCACTTCTCGAAAATCTGCTGCTAGCTGACTGACACTACTACCAATGTCGCCTGCGCCCATGCGGATAACCATGCTTTGCGGTATAGCCAATCGGTTCGAAGTTCCCGCCTTCCCAGGCACGACGCCGTCAGCCCCCTTTGGCTGCGATCTCTTCTTTTTACGTGCCTTCGCCATTGTCGAGACTAGTAAACATGAGTCAAGGTCGGCTTCACTCACGACGATATCTCAAGCCTGAACTTTTTTATTTCAGCGCTGCCGAAGTTCAAGCGATAGATTCTGATAAGATAAGATCGAGTAAGAATAGCTGATATCTCGACGCTTTTGACAACTTGTACCGGCAATATCAATCATACAGTGCGCTTCAGCTGGAATAAATGCTTCTTCCCTCAACTCTTGTCCTTTCCTCCATCGATCATGTTGAATGCTGCAACTGTTCGTGATACAACGACGTTCGACAGGAAACTCACGAGCAGAGTCCGAACCATCGACTCCCTCCTAGAGGACTACTTGCCCCGCTCAAATGGCCTTCTCATTCTGCAGCTCTACGTTGCTGGAAGTTCGAGGACCATGAGCCTCGGGTGATAGAATGCCTGAAGTTCAATCTACCGAAATTGTGGGGTTAGGAGTTTAACGACCTACACCGAGTATCTTAGTATCGGTTGTGCCTATACTAGGAAGCAAGTAAGTCAAAACCTTCTTTCTCTTCAGCGGACCGTGTCGTGTAAAGCACTTTGCAATACTCGTAGCCCTCGAAGCCCTTCTATCTGCGGGGACTTCTCACGAAGCAGTGATCCATCCCCCAATAGCAAACGTCCATATCTTGTCAGGATTGCAGCACTGCCGGCCTTCATTTCACCCTGAATACGAATCACTTTTCAACCATCATGTCGTTGACTACCTCAACTACTGAGTTGCTTGGCATTAAGCACCCTGTTATGCTTGCAGGCATGGGTAAGGTCGCCGGCGCCCCTTTGGCTGCGGCAGTATCGAATGCTGGTGGTCTTGGCGTCATAGGTGGAATTGGATACTCTGTCGACCAACTCAGGGAGATGCTCTCAGAGCTCAAATCACTTCTGCGAGATCCATCGCTACCATTTGGAGTTGACCTGCTCTTTCCACAAGTTGGTGGCTCGGCGCGAAAGACCAACTACGATTACACGAAAGGAGAAGCCGAGCAACTAATCGACGTAGTCATCGAGAGTGGGGCAAAGTTGTTCGTCTCAGCTGTAGGCATTCCACCTAAGCACATTGTGGACAAGCTCCACAAGCACGGCATACTATACATGAACATGATTGGACACCCGAAGCACGTCCACAAGGCGTGTCAGAATGGTGCAGATTTGATAGGTGCTCAAGGTGGTGAGGGAGGAGGTCACACTGGAGAGATACCCACCAGTATCTTGATTCCAGCATGTGCAGATGTTTGCAGGCAATACAAATCACCATTGACTGGAAGGCCAGTACAGCTGGTAGCTGCGGGTGGACTTGCGGATGGGCGTGGTCTGGCCGCCTCTCTCATGTTCGGCGCATCAGCAGTCTGGATTGGAACCAGGTTCGTAACCGCTAATGAGTCGGGAGCCTCCAAAGCCGCCAAAGAGGCTATAATCAAAGGTGGATTCGATGCGACCATCAAGTCAACAATTTGGACTGGAAGACCACTGCGTGCCATCAGAACACCCTACATCGAGAATTGGGAGAAGAACAGGCAGGAAGAGCTGCAAGCGCTTCAAGTAAAGGGTATCCTAGCGTACGAACATGAAATGGACAAGCTAGCAAAAGAGGGAAAAGTGACAGACGAGATTGAGGATCAATCAGCATGTCATCCAACTGGTATGGTAGCTGCGCTTATCAACAAGCCCAACCAGTCGGCTGAAGAGATTGTCAAAGAGATTGTTGCTGAGGCGTATCAATTGTTGAGCAATGCTCAGCAATTCGTGAAGCAGACAGCCAAGCTGTAAATACTTGTCGATTTTCTTGCAATATCACAGTTCGAGGCCAAGCTTTTTGCATCAATTCAAAGACTTAGGTCAGACATTGCGCATATAGCCTGTCCTTATTTGCGTTTCTGCAAGCAGTATAGAAAAGTAACCCGTACATATTACAGATATTGCCGCAGACCATAAGTTGTAGCAGAAGCACGAAGCTCACTGAACTTAGCTTTCGGGTGCTCCCGTAGCCTCGACCTCCGCGTTCTCTGAAACACCAGCTTCCCCTGGAGCTCTCGTCTTGCATCGTCCTTCCTATGCACCGACATCTGAGAGCTTGCAATCAGCTTGCATCAACTATTGTGTGCCCATCACAACACACCAGCAAAATAGACTGCACCGATTTTGTTTTGGTCAACCTTGATACCACTTCTTTCAAGATTGAGTCATGTTTGGGAGCAGGAAGATTGAGTCATGCAGCAAACAAGATGTACTGTGCAGATGATGTTATACAGCACTTGCATTAGATCTATCAGACGAGGCTGGACTTTCTTTGTTTGAATTTGCGCTTGTTGAAAGCTCGACAGCGTAATTAGCACTTTTGCCGTCTCTGTGTAACCACAACAGTGCCCACGTCGCAAGCTGATCCACGTTATCGTTACCGTCGCGGCTCTGAACTTCCGCCCCGCCTGATAATCTCGGCCGCAACTTTCTGCATACACGACACGAATCAACGCCGTTGGTATACTCTGCCCTTTTGTCATTACGCAAACGACTTGACTCTGGACAATCACAAGGTGGGTTGGGTTGTCCACAAAGTTGTGGAAGTCATGCTCAGCTTTACGGTGGTCTGTGCATTTCAAGCCGGAACAGGCTGGAGGCAGGCACGACCTCGACGCTCTAGCATTGTGAGCAAAATATGGCAAGGTGTTGATCTGTTCCTTTCCAGTCCTGAAACATCCTGCACTCTTCCTCACCGACACAGAGACTTTCTTTCACTCAGCAATTTGCCAGCTAACTTGCCCATCGCCACGATATTTACACGCTGATTCGTTACTACAAACGAAGTCTGCCTCCACAGGCTGTCGTGTCCATCGGTGTGTAGCTCATATGTGGATCCGACTCGCTGTCAAAGCAGAATGTCGTGCATGATCATACTGGGAACGCGAGATCTTGTATCTGTTGGTAGTGAGGAACAGACGTACGCCAGGACAAAAGGAAACGTGGTCCACGACAACCAAGTTCAAAGACGTCCAATGTCGAGCGTTGTTTGTTGACTGCGTCGATTGCTTGCTCACAACTTACAAAACCAACGAGCAGCTGCCCGACCTCTATTCCTCGTTCCTTCGTTCTCCATCGTCAGTATGGCCGATCTTAGACATCTGCTCAATCCAGTCTCCGAGAACAAGCACATCATTTCGATGCCTGCGACTCCAAACACAACCCCAACCATGACAGAGATGCCATCTCCTCGCAAGAGAACAAAGCTCACCAAGGACGCTCCTATCTTCACGGCTGGACCTATCCGAGGTCAATGTCGATTCCCACCTGACGAGTTTCAAGACGAGGAACTTGCGGCACATCATCAGCAGTTCGAAGTCACACCATTTGGTGAGATCGCAGATTTCCCTCGACACATACCTTACAACAGCGAAAAGAAGTCATTCTTGGAGAAGACTGGTCGTGAACATCTAGAAGGTCAGGCAACAGGCCATCTAGTATACGTGGCTGACAAATCTCAGTGTTTCAATATACCTTTAAGGTGCCGGGACATGACACTACCTATACCATGTTATGGGATTACAACATCGGTCTAGTCAGAACAACCCCCCTGTTCAAGTGTACTGGTCACATGAAGGTTTGTACTTTCACTGCCTTCTGAATTGGCTAACTCTTGGTAGACGGCTCCAGCAAAAATGCTCAATCGCAACCCGGGCTTACGGGACATCTGTCATAGTATCACTGGTGGCGCGCTTGTTGCTCAAGGTAAGTCTGTCGATGCGGAAAGAAATGTCGCTGACCATCACTAGGTTACTGGATTCCACATGCTGCCGCGAAAGCGATCGCTGCCACTTTCTGCTACAGCATACGCTATGCTCTCACGCCTGTCTTCGGCCATGACTTCCCAGATAGCTGCATCGGACCTGGTGCAAACGGGTTTGGTGACATGATCATTGACCCCTCGATTACACGACATTGCACGGAGCAGGCAAAGACCTTTCGCGAACAGGAGAAACACGCCATTTCGCAATGTTCAGATAAGGTGATACATCCACCAACACCCATCACGCCTACACCTCGTCGCGCCAGACACACACAGGCCAGGAAGAACAAAGAGGTGAAACTAGAATTCACAACTATCTACAACAGCCCTTACAATAGCCCATACAATTCAGATACTGGGTCAGACGATACCTACGCATCTGCAGCCTCCACCCCAGAACCTGGTTATCGCATCGCTTTCACCCCAGTCAATACTCCACGACAGCCGCCTCGGTCGGTACCACATCCCGAAAGACGACTCCCATCACCACGTGACATTCTATCTCAGTCTAACGCTCACCATTACGGCATGCATCAAGAGCCAATAACTCCAGCATCAACTCTGGCAAGGTATTCATCACCAGAAGTGTCACCAAAGACTATACCTCGCAAGTTACCTAATGAAGACATTACCGAAAGTCGTGGCCATTGGGAGCATACGAATGGAGTCCAAAGTGCTGCTTACGGCATGAATTGGCTTGATACCCATATACCTGAGGAACAACAGAGGGCAGCATACGCGTTATTGAGTTTGAAATTCGCTTCAAGTGGCAGCAGGATGGCTCAAGGGCTCGGTATTACCTTGCCGTGTCTCGAGGAAGGGCGTGCATGGTCAGCCTAATGTGAGACACAAGTGTCGGGCTGTAGGTAGGAACACATACGCGTATGCGACAATCAAAGTGAAGGTTTGTAGCTTTCGATATCATGATCAGCCTATTTGTGTGTCCCAGGAGCAATACTAACTCGCAACATCAAAACACAAAGTTGATGGGATAGCCACGGGGTGATACCTTCACCACATCTACCATGGTACGTCATCTCGAACTGCTCCTTTGCTTTCAGTAAGAAGAATCTCGTGCGGCAATGTTTCTGAAAATTTGACCTGGATGCGCCAGAGCACCTTCCTACATGTCTGGGTCACGTCAAGACGCGTGCCTTCCCATGATATCACGTTCAACTTTTCCATCCACTCTTACTGAATTGCTGATCACCGTTGCTTCCACATCTTACACTCTCTCTGTGAGCCATCATTTATCACACATCATATTAGTTGTGTTGGTGAAGTCGTTGTCGATATCAAATATAGCTCCATTTCGACTTACTCTCACATTTGTTGTTCTGGAAAATGCCTGCAGCACCATCCTCACTGTTGACTTGCAGGTACTGGGCTTTCGGTCCTAGATGTCCAAACATCGACCAATATGGCAACGATTACTGCAAATTCGCACATCGGGACGCAGGCAGTTTGGCTTCACCTATGGATCAGAGAGGCAAGCTTATTGTTCGTCGTCAGACGAGTAGGCTAATGCTGTGGAACAGGTACATGTGTGCCCTGGCTTCAAGGTCGATGCATGAAGGACCAGAGTTGCTACTTTGAGCATCGGAATACGGGTGTCGACGGAATGTACCAGGGTCGTATGTTGCAATTTTTTTGGCTGGGTGACTTTTACTGACGTTGACTTCAGAAATCAGTCTGACAGGCATGGAGCTAGAGATCGCAGATGCCGCAGCCACAGCTGGCTTTAATACTTGGCAACATATTGCATTGTACGATCTCATCTGGGCTGTCAAAAGAGTCGCCTTTCGGCACTGCCAGACAGATTCCAGACCACCAAAACCTAAAGACCCTCTTTACCCTGATCGATATCGTCCATCTGGGCTCGGCGACACTACAAGCAAGAAGAGGCTACGACCATTTCCTAATCGACTGTTCCCCACAACCATCAAGCTTGAGGATAGGATCGTTGTACCCAAAGTCCCCAAGAATAATCGCAGGAACAAGAAGTCCTTAAAAGATACTGTTGTCCCTCCTGTCCCTCTCACTGTCAAGAGAGGCTTCAGTGAGCACGGCACCAGGGATGATCCTATTGAGCTTGTGTCCAACGACGAGGAGGAGGAAGGTGCCACTTCAAAGAAGCGAAAGCTCAATACTGGTGGTGCAAAGAACAACGGGCATGAGGCAAACCAGTCACGCCTAAGGGCTACTGCTTCCACTTATCATCCACATGCCAGCGCCGGCACTGTCGCACATGAGAACCATCTCCACACTGCTGCCGACAATGCCCAAAGAAATGTGAGTGGAGGGGTCTTCACTCAGCAACACGACTTCGTCCCGCTGGACAACCTCGGGAAAGGCAATCAACCAGACGCTAGGGCATGCAATACAGGGCAGCCACAGGTAGTGAAACGACAGTATCCTGCGCGTCTCCCATCCAAAGGAAATAACGTACCTGTGCAGCTACATGTGGTACGCAACAAGCTCAACGTGGTTGAGCGAGATATTCAGACCTGTCGAAACATCATGAGAGATGCGTTCAATTTGTGCGCTGATAGGCTCAATCGGGATGAGACAATTGATGACATGGCCAGACTGAACGAGCAGTTCACGAAGGTCGAGGACGCTGTCGCCGATGGTGTCGATTGTATCGATCGAGTGAAGAACGTCTTGTCACAAATCTGAGGTTCATAAGCTGGATACAGGCTGAATGGTAAGTTGTGGCCGTTATTCTACTGACACATTGCAGCTATTGCCTATTGAAGTGGAGAAGAATTCGAAGGGCAGTGTCTTAAACGCTTGGGAAGTGTGGACAGTGTTCATGTATGGTTTAGGAGGCAAGCATTGTGGGTCAAGTTCACATGCTGGCGTGTGTATACACCATGATCGTGCAAGGAGAACGTGCTATCAATAGACATCAGAAGATAGCTGTTGATAAGGAGGTGTATGGTTGAAACGTTGTTGAGGTGCCGATTGCCTTTGTGGCCTGGGCCTCCTTTCAACGCCGTTTCTCAAACTTCATCTGTACTTTTACTTGTCTGCATGCTTGACCCTCATCGTCCTTGACCGCTGTTAATCCACCGTCATCTTCAGATCGACGCCTCCGATGTCTCTGTGCTCCTGACACACACGATCTAGCATCTCAGCTCCATAGCAGGCCACATTGCCGCAAACACAAGTAGATGACCAGCCTGCTCGTTCGATCCGCCATGCAATGTTCGAGGTAGGGCTGTGTCAAATAGCCCAGTAATACGTGAAGTGAAGGATTTGCCTCGGAGAAAGAAGCTGAAAAGGATATAGTCTGGAGATATCGACGCAGTCATCAGTGTCGGTCGACTCGTTCATGCTCAATCGTTTCTTCGAGCACTACGTGTTTCATGCATGAATCTACAGAATCAAGGGGGCAAGAAGAAGACCAATGTTCTCCCTTTTGTGGTGCGAAGACGTGGCAATATGTGAAGTGTGGATTTCGTGTTATTAGGACACGGGGAAGGGAAAAATCGAGTCGAGCGCGATTGGGCTTAAGCATCACATTCGTCCGAAGGGTGTTCTAGTGCTGCATCTTTCGACCTAAGATATACTCGAACATGTGGCAGTTGGATTTGAAGCTCGGTGTACTCTGATGGCATACTTCTTCATAATCTATGAAAACCCAACGTTCTTCTTCGATGTGTACAAGTCATCGATGGACTTTACTTCCTCCTCAGACAGTTTGAAGTGTATTGCTTCAATAGCTTCGTCGACACGTTTCTCGCTGCTCAGACCAACGATAGGAGAGTGTATGAATGGCTTGGCTAGGGTCCAGGCGATGGCTACAACTGCCATGGTTGTCCCTCGGTCCTTGGCAATCTCCTCGATTCTCTTATTGATCTTCTTGTCGCCTTCGGTCCATTCTTGGCCGAACATGCCTTTGTCGAGTCCTTCTCCTCTGGTGGTGTCTTTGAAGGCATCGACGGGACGGGTAAGAAAGCCCATTGCGACGGGCGACCAAGGTATACCCCCCACGGAGAACTTCTGGCAGGCAGGGTACATCTCTCGTTCTTCTTCACGGAAGACGCTGCACGATGGTTAGCTCGAGAGCTCCAGCTTCACGACGGAGAGGAGACATGACTTACGCATTGTAGAGGTTCTGCATGGAGATGAACTCTGTCCACCCATTCATTCGAGCAGTATATTGGTACTCGAGAAATTGGTGTGCAAACATTGATGAGGCGCCGATATACCGTACCTTTCCTGTCTGAACTATGTCGTGTAACGCCTTCATTGTCTCTTTGACTGGGGTCTTGTAGTCGAACCGATGAATCTGGAGCAGATCAACATAATCCAAATTCAACCTCTTGAGACTGGCATCAACGCTCTCAAAGATATGCTTGCGACTTAGACCGAACATGTTGCCATAGCCCTGATTTTCTCTTTCTTGCTCCGAAAGAGCCATGGCATCTTCGGCGCCTCGACCTACAGGAGCGTAGACCTTGGTTGCAATGACAACGTTTTCTCTGCGCCAGTTGTACTTCTTGATAGCCTTTCCCAGAATCTCCTCAGAGACACCGTTCGAGTAGACATTCGCTGTGTCGTAGAAGTTCAGGTTTTTCTCGTAGCAATAGTTCAGAAGTGGTAGGGCTTGATCTTCGGCTATGGTCCATTTCCAACGTCCTTCTTGAAAGCCATAGGACATACAGCCGACGCAAACACGAGAGACTCGCAGTCCACTTTCACCCAAGTTCGTGTATTGCATGAGTTTCGACATTTTGAAGTTGTTGCAACAACGTTCTAACCAGCTTAGCAGCAGCTCGATTTCACAGTACTTGTAGGTAGAAGCATGCTTGACTTGAACCTCGTCATAGTAACACTTGCGTCAAGTGTGGGGAGTGCCCGCATATCATTTCGATGAGCTCGGAGGTAGTCTCGTTATGTCCGCCATCGTTCCCAGATCGCTCTTCATAAGATGTAGACAAAGTCACTGCTAGCCACAATGAAGAAATTGGTAGCATGAATGAGAAGTCAAAGCGATAGATATCACACTGGCTTCAGAGTACTATAGGATGGACGAACCCCAGTTGAGGCCGAATCCGAACTTTGAGCTCTGTAACTCCGTTACACATGGAGTAATTTCAACGCAACATTATTGGCCAGCACTTGAACAGTAGCCGACGTGTGAGCTTCTGAAACTTCGTTCGAGCAGCTTTCCTGTGATATGTGGTCGACCTTATGTTACTCAGCTCAATACGAGTCCATAAGCTATACATATGCTTCACAGGACTTCCAGGTTCTCACCCACGATCAGATGGCATGACGCAAAGTCTTGATCCGTCGTCGGTCCTTGACGCGCTCGTTCAGAACATGATCCGTCCCGTGCAGCATCAAACAGGTACAACAAGATCTATCAGAAACGATATGTTTTAAAGTAACATTTCACAACTGGTAAGCTGGACTGATGTTGTTACAGCATTTCTTCGTTCGTAGTGGAGTTCGGTACTTTGTTTGTACCTCGAATCAGGTGAAAGATAGGTTGTTTGTATCGGAAGTCACGTCTTGGACTGGTCACGGAAGGTGCAATCGAGTGCACCCTCAAATCAATGATAGCCAGCCTCGATGTCGCATGTTCCCGTCCATCTTACGTCTTGCCACTCAGCGTCCCCCTCGTACAACCAAGACCAATACTCTTTCAATCTGTTTCATACTCCCGATTGCTTAAGGTACTGTTCTGGCACGAGTGACAGAGCAAGGAGAAGGATTGATACTGAAAAGGCTAGTGACGTGTTTGTTTGCTACTACAGAATTCTCTAGGGTACAAGGACTTCATCCTCAAGTACAAGTGGTTAGCCTCTTCCATTCCGTTGCCGAATAGAGCAACTACTGTTCCATAGTGTTAGCTAAGAGCAGAACACAGACAAGAATAAGAAGCAATGAGACAATCTAGCGTTGCCTCGTCCTCTACAGAACACAATGCAGACCTCGAAGCAAACATGGCAGTGGCCCAGAAGAAATCAGTGCCATGGGAGGACGATCTGATGAACCCATACAATTGGCCGAAACACAGGAAATATTGCAGCACTCTGCTACTATCTGCTATGACATTTAACACCCTCATGTCCTCGACTATCGTCGCACCAGCTCTACCACAAGTAAGGAAGGATCTGACCATCGAGTCCGATGCTCAAACACAGCTTGTCCTATCGATATATGTGCTAGCCTATGCCATTGGATATTTTATCTGGGCACCTATGAGTGAAGTCTACGGACGAACACGTGTCTTACAGATCGCGAACGTATGGTTTTGCACTTGGGCGCTTATATGTGGCTTTGCCCGCAACCAGTCTATGATCGTTGTGGGAAGGCTATTCTCTGGTGCGGGAGCAGCTGCAGCTCTCGCACTCGGTACCGGTGTCACAGCTGAAATCTGGCGTTCCGCTCAGCGAGGACAATCTCTTGCCATTTTGTCCACTATCACACTCCTCGGCCCCTCTATCGGACCTGTTCTGGGAGGAATAATTGCTGCACAGTCTCTCTCGTCGTGGCGGTGGGCTTTCTGGTCAACCACTATCTTCAATGCGATCTTGCAACTGCTTGCCTTGCGCTTCCTGCATGAGAGCCACGCACAAACTATTGTTGGTAGAAGATGCAGGAGAGCAGAGATTATGGAGTCAAAGAAGACGTCGCCACTCCTTCCAACATCGGCCACGAATTTCTTGCTGAACTCTCTGAAGCGACCATTCTATCTACTGATCAGCCAACCTGCTTCACAAGCTCTGATCTTGTACTCGGGACTATCCTTTGGTGTGCTCTATTTCATTCTTTCTGTGCTCACAGATCCTTTCACAAAGATATATGGTCAAAGCCTCATCATCGCCTCCCTCAACTACATCTCTTTTGGTATCGGCCCAACCATTGGAGCGCAGATATGCGGCCCGGTGATAGACACGATCTATAGGTACCAAACTAAGCGACACGACCATTCAAGATCAGCCAATGCTGCAGAAGACAAGGAACAAAGCGCGACCAGAAATGCAGTCAAGTTGCCTGCTGAATACCGACTCTATCCCTTGATGCCTACGCTGATTCTCATGACGAGCGGCCTCCTGATATTTGGATGGAGTTTACATTATCGATTACATTGGGCTGTTCCGAACATTGGCGTCATCATCTTTGGAGCTGGCAATCAAGCTGCTACTCAATGCACGAACGCCTACATGATGGATTCTTTCAGCGAGATCAACTCTACAGATGTGACTTCACCGCACGATGCCACGACCAGCAACGCTGCGAAGCTGAGTGCACCTAAAATGGCCATGAACTGGACAGCATCAGCCATGGCATCGATGTGGTCGGTCAAAGCTCTATGCGGTTTTGCATTTCCCCTTTTCGCTGTTGATACCATCAGCGCGCTAGGGTGGGGATGGAGCAGCACATTACTTGCCATGCTCAATCTTGTGGTCGGCACGTTAGTCACAATATTATTGTTGTTGTATGGTAGACGATTGAGAGAGCTTGGACGTGTAAAAATAGAGAGGAAGATCGCATTGAGCAGACTATGACTTAGTTGTATATAGACCAGAAGACCTGTATCAGTGTAGTTGATTTGACTTGCATATTTTCTGTGACAGGAGGCCATTGAAATTGATAGCGCGCTCTCCTTGCCTAGTGAGCTTCATATACCAATTAAGCGTCAGGATGAGTTTACTTCCTCAATAGGGGCTGTGAGGTGAAGAGTATCTGCCTCAACCTGTTACGTCTGAAACGACAAGTGATGATAGTCTCACGTGTTGGTCAGTACAAGCCGATACGAGGCACATATATTCGAGGACGCGACCATAGCATCTTGGCCTCCACGGAAAGTGGTTTGTCACAAGCTATGAAGCACCACTGAAGTTCCCAGAAAATGCAGAGATGGTGGGCAAGCTATCGTCAACCACAATATACCACGTTTGTTCTCTAATTTGAGGTCTTCCGTCTGCGATTTCGAGGAGAGAGAGTGACATGATCACAATGGCCACTCTTCAAGAAAGCGACACCTCAACTTGAGGTGCACCAGGAAGGAGATCAGTAGCAGCGCAAACGTTAGCATGACGAAGACCTCAGGACCTTCTCGCCGACGTAGGCTAACCGTGAAAAAACAACCTCGCTGTCGTAAACTCAGGAAACGCTGCAACCATTTCAATGATCCCTCAATTTTGGTAGAGAAATTGTGAAGCAGGAGGGAAGCCGAAATGCCCAGCAGATTGAATCATGACGTTTGGGCTTCAAGTTCGAAGCAGTAAGGCTTACCCCTGAACAGGTCGCTAACTCTAAGCTTGGTCGCTCCTTCGGAACACAGTCACCCTTTCCTGCCCTTTGAAGGAAGCCTCAAAAGAAGACTCCGTCTTGGCGGGGCCCTGCCTCCAACATTTCCTGAATGATGCTGGATTCGAAAAATGCTCCACAACGATCGCTCAGAGTTCCTCGACTCGAAGTTCAGCTCCAGTCTTCGCAATTCACCTCTTCCGTCACTTCTGGTTTGCGACTGCTGCTGGTGGTTGATGGGCTTGTTCCTGCCACAAGGAGCCTTGCCCTGCACGTTCTTTCCACTTCATACATAGCTCCTGCCTTGCCTTTGAACCGTTGCCCTTCCTTCCTTTACATTTTCTTCTTCCTTTTGCGCCCGTTACACTCATACTACGGTCATTCCTGCCAGAGTATCACGTATCGCTCTTGCCTTTTACTATTTGCTAGCAGCTTTATATTTATCCTTGCTTTGCGCCTACCTCATCCATGGCTCCACGCAGACGTAAACAGGAGGAAGACGATGATGAGGAAGAGGAGGAGCTTGTAGCTCTTCCTAGCGACGACGACGAAGAGGAAGAAGAGTGAGTCTTGTCTGCGTCAGTTCCTCGTACTAGCCTGTCTGCAACCCTTGTGCAAGAGGTCTCAAGACATTCAACCTCCTTGCTTGAATCTACGCGCTTGCGAAGATCGCTAGCAGCGCCTCACCAGCTTTCAAGTGTCGCAGCATTTGGACCACGACCCAGGGCTGCTATATCTTATGCCACAGGCAAACCTTGAACTTGAGACGTCCTTGAGCATCTACTGATCGTTACATCCAGATACGAGGACTCTGAGGGAGAAGGAGAAGACGACGACGGCCAAGAAGAGGAGGAAGAGGAAGAAGCTGAGGGTGAAGGCGAGGAAGGAGAAGACGAAGAAGAGGAAAAAGGTATGCTTGTCCAGTCGATCACTTTCCCCCTGCGTACTGACATCAACGCAGAAGCTCCTCCAAGCAAGAAACGCAAGCTCGAAGAAGGTGCCGCTTCTTCAGCTAAGAAGACAAAGACCGACGAGGATGATGAAGACGAAGAGAACGGAGACGTTGAAGACGACGCTGACGAGCAAGAACAAGAAGAAGACGAGCCGGCCGTAAAGACAAAGGTCATCAAGGGCTCTGAGACGAAGCAGGAAGCTGCTACTGCCAAAGACGAGGCTTATGAAGAGGAAGAGGCATAAGCACGAGGACTGCGGGATATTGAAGCAGGGAAAGCCTTTAGCTTATTAGCACAGCTTACGGCGGTGCTCAATGGAGACATTCATGGTTAATCTGGTCTAAAGTTCATGTGCCTTCGACGTTCTCAGGTAATGCTAATGAGACAGCTCCCTCATTCGGAATTGTCTCCAGGATCGACCTTGTGATTGCTCGCCTAGAAAACCCTTATCCCATTAATTCCACATTAACTCGCAGCGTCGGTCACTGCAAGCAGATCGTCTCTGGACGGGCACAAAGAAGACCGGGGCAAAGTCAAGAGCCAGACCAAAAGCAAGATAGCAGTCTCTGCAAATATTGTAATCTTCGTTTGGAGAAAAAGCACACATCCATTGTTTCCTTGAGCCACACGCATGTTATTGACACCAATATGTTCTACTTGACCAAGGAAATCATATCACTCTAATCCTTTATCATGAAACCACCAAAAAAGAGTTTGGTCAACCGACATCCAACGTTCTCCCTCAACTCCCAATGTTCTGTTCAGTGAGCCGTGCCCAGCGCGTCTTCTCGAGTCCTGCTCAGCCATCCAAATAGCAGGTCTTGTTCACGGTCCTCCATCCAGTCAATCGATTGGCGATGTCGCTGGCATAGCAATTCGTACTGCTGAAGCCATTATCTAAATTGGTAGTGTCCACGCTTCCGCTGTTGTAGAACCTTGCTGCTTGATAGTAGACCTGCGAGTTGCTCCCGTCCATACCAGTAGCACCAGCAGCCTGGGCTGCAGCCACGACGTCGTTCAAGCAGCCTGCCAAGCCAGCGCCTGCCTGTGTGCCTCCGACACCATCTTGTATCATGCCTTGAATTTGGTCGTAAGGACAAGGAAATGTCATGCTGCCTGATACACCTTTAGGGGCTGGATTGCAGGTATGAGCGCCTGCGTGACCTTGCATGAGACCTGGATTAGCGACTCCGTTGTTGGTGGTGTATACGCGAACGCAACCGAGGGACTCCTGCATTAGAATTGCCAGGACGAAGCGATGGTCGACGCCGGTTACAGCTGCGACTGATTGAATGGCTTGGTAAATGTGGGCGATCTCGTTGTCGGTAGTATCACTACCAGATGCCATACCGAGGTTGGTGCAGGCTGTTTTCATGGTATTTGCATTCGTGTCGAACCTGATCAACGGCTGTTAGCACTCAGGTTCTATGGATGTCTGTAGTGTAACGCTGATATGTTTTTCTTGACGCTGGTAGCAATAGGAATCCCTTATGTACTGGCAGGAACTGGCTACCTACATTTGCTGAAATGAAACCCATTGAGACATCTTTGGCCAACCAGCAGCTGACGAGCCGTCACCAGTATAGATATGATAAGCGTCTGCGCCGTATCCAATTCCATCGAATATGTTATTGGCGTCACCTTTGGAAGCAACGAAGATCTCGTTCGCAGCTCGAGGATTGAGGCTTACTGGAGCACCAGCAGTGAAGGCAACGAGAGTGGTCAGAATTGCAGTCTATTCTGACTCAGTTTCTTGCTCTGCGAAAGTGTTATAATGCTTACAGGTGTGTATTTCATGGTCGACAGCTCGTTCACACGTTGTGTATCAGGGACGTCCTGTTTCACTGTTCGGTTGGATCGAAGTAGATTCTCAGCAGGAATTGCTCGGCTCTGCTGTTGCTCTGAGCAAATGGAGGAAAGAGCTCCCTTGATGTTGTTCGTGCTGATTGTGTTCTTCGTGGACAAATCTCAAGGAAGCTGCCACTGTACTGGACACTTATACTTTCTGTACATTGCTTGACGACCTGAATCACACAAGGCAAGTACGGCCCTGCATTGCATTCATCATTGCACCGACTCGCAAACGCACCACCATCCTCTAGGAGGAGCGGTATGTTTAGCCAGAAGACTTCGACGTAGGAGTCACGTCTTTGCACCGGTACGTTTTGGAACTGTCATCATCGAATCGCTTATACCACTCTGCCCACGAACCTGTGGGGTTTGTGGTCGTGTTCGAAATTCAAGGGGTGAAAGCATTGCACCTTCAGGTTAGGTCACATACTTATGCCGTGTAGAGAGGTTGACAAGTCTGTCTGAGATGAGAGTACAACCATTGATACACCGACTCAGAGCACGGGTATGTGCAGCGGATCGGACCATTGTGTTCTCGGACCTATATTCCAGAATTTCAAGCGCTTGCCGATATCAAACGTTGCAAAGCCTTCGCGCACAGACTGTTGCAGATGTCCGTCTGTGTTTCAGCACTGTTGGGGTGAGGCATAGGTGACTCTGTCGGGTCCAGGTGCTGTGAATGTCACATACTGCTACCGTCGATCTCTACCCTCACCCAGTGAGCTGTGTATTAAAGTGCCATTGTCATTCGAGAGACTTCATGGTAGAGTTTCCAGGCTATGCTGTGCTGAGATTATGATTCGTGCTGTAAGCACTACACGTCGACGCTGTGTCAGCTGGACAATCTCACGAGCGTCTCTCGGTGGGCGACTGGTGTGGCATACATGTTTGACCGACATACCAACCATCAAGGGCGAACGCAACTCAAAATGAGAAGAGCTCAGAGTATACCATGCACAGAAATCAATACACTCCCTCTTCCGCAGTGCCGCAGAGGCAGGTTTGCCGACAATCCGATCTCACAGTCATCTTCGAATCGAGGTATTGTTGCCCTCCCTTCGCTACGCATATGTGTTGTAGGCTGAACGTTTCGTGAGCTCCTGAATACTAGAAAGGCGTGGTTGTGATTATATGACAGGCTTTATAGCCTCCAATAGCACAACACGTTCGCTGCTGAAGTCCTGCTTGGTTGAGCACAATCCAGGTTATGTCAGTGAGACTTTAGCAAACAGGAATCAGGCCCTCGACAAGAGTTAGCACAAGGACTGCAGAAGTCCTACGGTTGTTGTTCCTGATGTTAAGTTGCGATCAACTTAAACAGGCTGCCGCTCGGAGCGAAAAGATAAAGGCTGAGAGTGTCCCTTGTTGATATTCTTCTGTTGCAGCGGCAAAACCCAGCATATTTCGACTGGCTGCAACAGCATGGATTCTGTCAACATTGATAGATCTTGTCTATTCTGTGGTGTTCTGTTGCCTTAGATGTTTTTTTGGAGCAAAGTCGAGAATACCTCAACTTGAAGATCATCTTGTCGAGCTTTGCCAGATGCTCAAGGAAGCTACTCATATTGTTCATGTAATAATGGATGGGAACACAACGTAAGAGATACACATTGATTTGCAACCAGCCATTCAACTTCACGAGCAGCCGCGACAGCTTCTGGTTTCACAACTTTACTCCATAAATGTCTCGGTTCCTCGAGCGAAGATGTCCCTCCGAAAATTCCCATCTATCGTTTCTTGGAAATAGAGACATCTGCGAAGTCGTTAACATTTGTGCCAGTCACTCCGTTCAGTCTCCGAAGCTTTTCATTCTAGGGACTTTTGCTGACCGGAGTAAGATACGAGAGTGGAGTGGTCATCTTCCGATGTCCCACAAACCTTGAGCAGTGGCTATGCTCGCCGCCACTAGTAACCTCTTCAGGCTCTGCGAGCCTAAACTTTCACGCCAAGATTTCGAGTTGGCGGTCTCTAGGCTGGTCCATCTATTCAGCTAAGGCTGTATCCGGCTTATCAAATTCCATCTTCACCTGTCGCGTCTCGCTTCTTTTCGATTGTGGAGTCAAGACCTCCACGAAGATGGAAGATGGCCAGTCGCGACGAGGAGTTGACGACTTCTTCGACCATTGTCATCAACAATCTGTTTTGAGCGCACCGTAACTCTTTGCTGTTGATCGTTTCTAATTATCGACCTTGCCGCTCGTTCTTTCACATATTTTTTGCGCATAACTCGCGCCCCTGTGTTACGCATCGTTCTCATGCTGGAGAGCCACTACCACAGTCACTGATAGCGATCACTCACGTTCGACCCTGGTCAGCCTTACGAAAGTTTCGCGAACAGACTCTCTCGCACACGACATCTTCATGCTCGATATAGGCGACAAACTCTAACTTGGAAGTGTAACGTATTGAATGACCTCAGGCTTGCGACAATAGGGGTTGTGCAACATTGTTCCAAATAGTGAGCGCCTACATCACTGTCTCGGCAACAGAATCGCGAACTATACGCCATCTTTCGTCCTGGCAAAAATTGAGCGAGATGTTCATCTCTGCAAGAACGTCCATACTTATTTGTCTAGCACCAGGCTACTGATCAAGCATCGTAAGAATGGCTGCGAGCTCCAGTCACAGAGTGACTGGCTTTGAGCCTACATTCATGATGGATGGCACTCCAAATTCGTACGCGTTCTACAATGATCACGTTCATCGACGAAGCTCCGTACAAGATGACATGACGACCATTGACGAGGACAGAATCGAGGACAGAATCGAGGACAGAATCGAGGACAGAATCGAGGACAGAATCGAGGACTTTTCTGATCGTCATCCCTTTGGCAGAGATGGTGTTCTCGTTACTGAAGACCCTGTACCAAGTCCTGTACCTACCACTGCTCGCAATCCATCACTACTGCGCAGATTGTCGACGCGATTACGTACAGGTGGCTCAGTTTATCGTTCGCGTCCTAGTCAACGCAGGGAATATGCCAGTATTGGGGAGTCACACTCTGATGTTGTTCCAGTTGACCTTACTTCTTTAGGAGGTCTAGGGATCGAGCTGAGGGAGAGGTCGGCCATTCATGCTGTTCAGGGCAGATCGGAGGTTCACCATGATACCGCGTATCGGGGAGCGACCGATAGCACGAGTGCGCCAAGCTTCAACGAGTTCAGAAGGAGGACTTTGGGGTCTGGTATGATTATTGGAGCCGAATTGAGGCGTGACCTGTCCAGAGCCGACGAGGAAGCCTCAACAGGATCCGGTAGTGCGCGCGAAGATCAGATAAAACGCATGAGGACGGTTCGTCAGGTAGGTCGGAGTCTTGCTGAAGAACGGGGTCAGATCATTGCATACAACGAGGGCGTCGATCTAAGTCTGCTAGATGGTTCTGACATCAGACACACTTCAAGCGAGAGCGTCGACGAAATCAGTGACTTGAGTTTGTTAGAAGGGTCCCGTATCAGACACCAGCAAAGCACGACTTTTGAGGGAATGAACTTGAACAGGGCAAGCACAGTGCCAGACACACAGAGCTATTATTTCCCCAGTGATCCCGATGTTCCGAACTGGAAGCCCATCTTCATGCAACCGCCCTACATCATCTTCCTTGTGGTGATAGCTTTCGGGCTTGCTGGGTTTCAAGAGTTCATCTGTCAGAAGTCTTTGGAAGCGCAAAGAGAGACCCCAATGACAGCTCTACTCGCTTTCGATTCAGTGAATGAGGTCTCCGTATGGTGGTTCTTTGTTTGGAAATACCTGCCGACAGGCATCACCATTCTCTACGCCATGATGTTTTCACTAATGGACTTTGAGATTCGCAGGCTTGAACCTTACTACCAGTTATCCAAGCCTCACGGCGCTCGTGCATCGGCGAGCATAAATCTTGATCATTTGACAACGTTTCAGTATTTTGTGCCTTTCAATGCAGCTCGTCTTGGACAATGGGCCGTGCTTGCATCAACAGTCGCAAACATCATCGTGGCCACGATCGCGCCTGCTGTTCAGAACCCGTCAGTCGATTTTCAGCCCAATCCTGACTGTGCCAGTAAGGAAGGACCACAACTGTGTCCCGACGGGTTGGGCATGAAAAGGTTTTGGGTTCTTATTGACCCAAATTGGTCACGAGCACTTACTGCAGCTTATATCTTGGTGGGCTGCATACTAATCTTTCTTCTGATACAACTGCGCCGTAAATCGGGCTTGCTCAGCGACCCGAAAGGCATAGCCGGTATTGCTTCCATGGCAACCAAATCCCACATCCTACAAGACTTTCGAGGCCTCGATCTGGCAACTCGTGGCGATATCCATAAGAGACTCGCTCGCAGAACGTACGTCCTATACAAGCACTCGATATGGCAGGGCGAGTATGTCTCCGAGCATGATAGGGACGACTTCCAGGACAGCGAACGAAGACTGCATTCGCCACACCCTATTATGTTGAGATTGGAAGCCGGGGCATTTTTCATCATCTTCATGATATTCTGCCTAGGCGCAGTGCCTGCAATATGTGTAACAAAAGCCAGGTGGATACCAAACACACTGCCATGGTTGCCAATCTTGGTGGCGACAATACTGAAAATGATTTGGTCGACCTTCGAGGCAGACGTACGTCTCATTGAGCCATTCTATCAACTCTCAAAAGGGAATTGTACTCCGAAGAACTCACTTACTCTGGATTACCAGTCAAAAGTATATGGACTGATGCCTGTTGCCGCAGCACTCAACGGACACTTCCTGGTTGCCTTGGTTGGCATGAGTTCAGTGCTGTTGGATGTTCTCTCCGTTACCATAGGATCCTTCTCGGTCGATTCGAACGTATTTCTGCGAGGCAAGGACGCAGACTCAAAGACAGGAGAGCGTCCTGCCGACAGCGATGAGACGTATGTCTCGTTCTGGGTATCGTTTGGCTTGTCTATGGCCATTCTTGTGTTCGCTATAGGGGTAGCATGTCTGGTTTACGATCGTCGACGACACCCGTTTCTCCCCAGAAGTCCTAGCACTGTTGCGGCCGTGCTGTCGTTCATCTACAGCTCGAAGATGCTGACGGACTTTATTGATACAGAAAGGCTCGATAACAAAGGTATGGAGGCAAGACTGACGAATTTGAACAAGCGATACGCCCTCGGCTGGTTTCGAGGTCGTGACGGCAAGGTTCATTGTGCTATCGATGAGGAGCCGATATTGTCGAGGTATATACATGGTATGCCGTACAGCAACGCCATATCAGGTCCACTACAGGATCATGAGACATTCTATTATCCATGATATGTAAGCTCTACGAGCTGAGGTATTTGAGCGAAATTAGTGAGTATAGAAGTTGTGTAATATAGTTTTAACGTGTTCGTTGTTTGTACTGGTGACAGCGAAGTAAATCTGTTCTGTGGCTCGAGATACCGATGTTTCTTTCTCGTTCAGTGTGCAAATGCAGTGTGGGTTGTGTTCTGTTATCTATCGTTCCTGCTCTACTATCAGTGTCGCGACTACCAACCATAAACGGATTCTGGTGAACCTTCGTGATTGTCTTCACCTGTACGTTCTTTTCTAGCATACACAGGGCAAGCTTCTATGTCAAGTTCTTTTCCTGAAATGTCTAAGCACTCTTTGTTACGTATTAAGACGTGCACAAGCTCGCTTTGAACAAGTGGGGACGTGACTTGTCATATAAACACCATTTGAGTAAGTCTAGTCTGCACATTTTAATTGTCTTCGACACCGTCCTTCATCCATTACCCGGAAGCACAAAAGCGAAATTCAATCGTGGCATTTGTCTATCTGGAGGTTTTCCTTCTTCGCGACAGGGCACCTCTACCTCTGAGTATGCGGTAACCTTGTCCAAGCAATATCGAAGTTCAGAAGCAGCAGACAGTGCGCACGACGCTGCTATGCTGGCATATTGAGCCAACGTAGTGACATGTGCCACTTCGGGTTTCTTTCTGGAGACGTGCTTTGGGAGCAAACAGCTTGACGCGTCGCAGAGATCCACTGTACTCCGTACCCCTGCTAGGCAAGCCACATAAGGAAGAAACCAGGATTCAACTGGAACGAATCTCAACGGCCTCGTCTATCATTGCCGATCAAGTGTTTTCACAAGATCTGAGTCTGGCCCATGCACTGCGAATCGTGTTGATATGCATACGTCATCGTCGCAAATGTCCTTCTCTTTCTTGTTCTGCTCGAAACCATGGCACGGACCCAGCGCCTGCAGCGTGCCGCTGTTTGAATGAGAAACTGCGGGACACTAACTATGTTTAGATGCTGACCAGATTGCAGATTGCGCATGTCACTATTGAAGTTCTTTCTTTATCGACCCTCCACGGTTGTTGTCTCGTGAGCAGCGCTCCTGTTACTGAGCTTCTACAGAGGCCAACATGGGAGCTCCAGGCTACTACTTCCGAGATGGAGGTACAACACCAACAGACGAAATCAATCCCAATTCAGAGTTTCGAGCACGTCTTACCAGAGCGACGAGGCCCCCAACAGCAAGCAGTCGAGGTCCTCTTGGTCAGGAAACATCAACATCGCATATCTTAGCTACACAAGGCAATGTTAAAGGCGCTGTTCACGAGGCCGGTAAGGAAGATCATATCACCAACTTGGGATGGCAGAAGAATGCTAAAGGAGTAGATCAACTGGTCGCTGGACTAGACAATGACGATTTGTGGATGCTCATTAGGAGATTCAACAAGGTATTCTTGCAGTATATATGCCTCTTTCCCGATTGCAAGGCTAACAAACGAGCAGCAAACCTTTCACGTCAAAGCGATTCCTCAAGCACCACCAGGAGGTCTTGACCTCAATATTGCCGACGAGGATGAATTCTCCCCAATAAAGCTCCGAGCCAATATCGAAAGACTATATATGACTGTGATTGTTGGTTTGGTTGCTGCTTTCAAACACGTCGTTCGTCTGCGCTCATGGCGCGAGCCGAGGAGAACTGCCGGCTTCGCTGGTGTCTACGTTCTTGCGTGGGTACTCAATTTGGTCCTGCCTACCCTTCTCACCACCATCATCGTCCTTATCACAGTACCTGAGGCTCGAGATTTCCTGTTTCCACCTGCGCCTATCGCTCTGGTCAATAGCAAAACCGGTGGAGTACAAACGCCTAAAGCTGGAGTATTGGGCAGTCATGACAGTGTTACTGGTGCACCAGAAAAGTACAAAGGCGAAGCCGTCGAGCAAGAAGCCTCGAACCTCGTCTCTAGTGTCGCTACCGTTGCTATCTCTAGTGCTGCTGGTCGTCATGACCAAGGCGAACCTGACCATGAAAAGTCTGGAAGCAAGAAATTAGACAAGCATGCGCCAGATCCAACCTCAATGGCAACAAGTCTAGCAGATGCCTCATCTGCTGCTTCTGGTGGACAACCTGACGCGCATAACGACAAGACGAAACAGCCCATGGAGGATGCTGTTTGGGCCAAAATGAGGCCTGCGATGCACATCGTGGGAGATATTGCAGACGGCTGGGAACGTTTCGCCAATGCTCTTTCGCCTGTCCCGCCATTTGACGAGAATAAACGCCTGCAACTTGGCGCCATCTTTGCTCCCTTGCTGCTTCTTTCGTTGTTCCTCAAAGCTGCATGGGTTGTGAGAGGTGGCTGGTTTATTGGGGGTGCTATCTTCTTTACAGACCCTCTCCAGCAGCGTGGTATCGCCTTGTTGAACGAGAAGATTCCAGACTGGCCAAAATATCTCGAACTCCGCAATACTTTACTCAAAGGCGTACCTACGAATGCACAGCTTACAATCACTCTTCTACGTATTGGCGAAGCTAATCGTGCACCACTTATCCCTCCACCTAGCTCCGCAGAGCCTCCACCGGAACAGCCAGCCGAACTCGATAAACAGGCACTCACTGAAAATGGACTTGATGCATCTCATTCCGAGATTGAGGATGCCATTACAGTTGACCGACCATCTAGTGCAGAAGGTGGCTCGGCACACGCCAATGACGCGGGTGCTACCCCAAAAAAGAAGTCTGGTATTGGGGCGAAGATTGTGTCTGCATTCAAACACACTACTGGCGCAGGCATAGAAACAAAACTCACCGCAGACAATGCGCGTGCGGCTTTGGGGTCTACGCATGCTAAGCAGAAACTCGGCATCCTGCCTACTAAAGCTGAGATGCAACGCAAGCCGAAGGAAGGACCTGTCGAGTTCAAAGGTCGCCACAATGGTCGAAGAGGTGCAGTCTATGTCGACAGTTCTATTTCACCTGCCACTGCCGATGGTCATCCAGAATCGCCGTGCGTGTATTTTTCTACCGATCTAGATGGTGACGAGATTGTTGAATCTATTTCACCGAAGAATCTAAAGTGGGCTGTGCCTATCAAGGACATCAAAGAGATCAAGAAAATAGGTGGCTTAGGTTGGAAAGCGCGCATCATCGTTGGTTGGGCCACAGATAGAGAGATCAAAGACAGTATCGTTATTACTGACAAGTACGGGAAGGAGTACAAAGCCACGGCACTGGCTGAGCGAGACGAGCTGTTCAATCGGCTTCTGGCTATGGGCCAGCAAGTCTGGGAAGCATACTAAGTTTCTTACTCAGATGGCTAGCTGGCTAATGCCTTTTCAGGGCTTACTCGACGTGCAAGGGTGAATGCTGTTTTGACGGTGACGAGCATGTGTGGAGTTATTTCCTACCTACTGGAGAACACTGGTTCTCGAAGCCTTTGAAAGGTGTTTTGCCATGATGCGATGTGTTATGATGTTACAGATTCCAACCATTTTCTCTTCTAACAAGTATAAGCTCTACACTGTAACGATTCATGCAACGAACGAACTACTGCGCCTCGTCGGTTGCGCTCTCGAACTCCCTACGGTCCTTTGATCCCTCACAGTCAGAGGCGTCTCGGTCACCGCACGGGGGTGTACAGGGATTGTCAGAACCAGCGTAGTGTAGGTAAAGCTCACTGGATCACCCTCAGCGTCTGTCCCTTCTTCTTCACCTTCCTCTTGCCCTTCTTCTACTTCAGCCTCAACCTCCCATTCCTCCTCCACACCAAACTCGACCTGCTCGACTTCCTCCTCTGGCCTCTCTGGAGCAGGTCTCCCTGGAACAGGTTTTCCTTCCGGAAGAGGATGTTCCGGCATATCCCCCAAAACCGACACTATCGTAGGCTTTGGCTGAAAAGCAGGAGGATGCCCCGGGCCAAAAGGAGGTGGTGGTGGCGGTGCCGTCGTCGTCGGACTAAAGCACCCAAAATGTCAGTCCTCACATCCTCGTCGCCACAACCACGCCTTGAAGAATTCAAACTTACCCTTTACTCGACGCCGACATCGTGAAAATCTCCAAAGTAAAGACATTCGTCGACGGCACGGCGTACGACAATATGCTGTGTTGTACCACGACTGAATGCTGGTATACTGGGTCTAGTACTGAGAATACCGGCAGAAACTGGCGGGGCATGAGCGTTGGGGAGGCAGCGGCTGCTGCCGCTTGTGTTATCTGCGACCCAGGGATCGCGGCTACCTCAACGGATGGAGGCGGTGTGAGTTTTGAGGGGGGAGCTGGAATGGGGCGGGTGAAGCCTGGTGTGGCGGTGGTGCCGCTGGAGAGGAGGAGAGCGGTAACGGTGATTAAGATAAGAAGGAGGGATTGCATCTTGGTTGGTTGGATTGTTTATTGGTTGTTGTGTTTTGGTTATGGAAGTGAGAGTGGGATGAGTTGGAATGAAGAGTACAATGAGTTGGATCAAAGGCTTGGATGAGCTGTATCGAATGGCTGGCTGGGGTAAGTTGAAAATTGGACGGAAAAATCTCGAAACTGTGAGAGAAATGATCGAATACTTATACCTTTTCTCGACAGGCACCAGAGTCATATTCACTCACTTCCTCGTGCGTTACCAGAGTCTGAAGCTGTCCCAGTTCTAGTACCTGTTGAAAAATTGTGCGAACAGGTCCTCATGGTCCATTCACTTGTCTTATTCGAGTTTAGAGAACTCATTGAGCATATACTTCAGAGGTCTAGCTCGACATTGCCATAATGGCTCATTCGTACGGATTAGTCATGGTCAGATATTTCGAGTGGCTCTAATATCTGCTCAAGCTCGTGGTTTGGGGCTGCATCAAAAGAAACTGTGAGGTTTCAATCAAGTGAGCAGATATTGTGATCGTAGTAGGGCTACGGTTAACAACCGGCGTCAAAAGCGCAGTTTACAGGAGGTGTCAGTAAGCCAATTAACGAACAATGTTGCCGGCTTCGAGCCTCTAGATTTAGATTTTTCAGGTGTAAATAGGCCCCTGTGGTCGGCAGTTAAGGCATGCATCGTATGCTTTCGTTCCTTAATTGTGTCGATAATTAAGTGCATCGAGGCGGCAACGTTGCTTAAAGTGTTTAATTTCGAAACCGCATGCCTCAAGAGTCCATCGGTGTTTCTTCACCAACATGTCTGCTTGTCAAGAACTCAGAAGGACAACGACGTCGCCCGTGTCGCGGATCACGATTTCGGGGCGAGCACGCGGGACATCTTGGGACGCTTGAGAAAAGTCGAATGAGCCGAAACGGGTATACAAGAAGATAGCTTGGACTGTTCGCCACGACTTCCAGGGACATTTCTTGTCCACTCCAGTTTTCGCCAGCTCAATACACACTCGGCAACACACTTAGTCGTCCTCCATCAGTGATCATAGTCTCCCCATTTAAGTAAGCACCTGCTTGACTGGCAAGAAACAATATGACTCCTGCAAGATCCTGCTCACTACCCGTCCTCTCCGCAGGAGATTGATCAGGCGTCATTCTATGCGCACCTTCAAACGCTCCATTACCATCATCCTTTTGCTCCATGGGATTAAGATTCTTTATGTGTCCCTGGGTCATCTCACTTGGATACAAACCCGGCGCAATCAAATTAACACGAATGTGGAACCCATTCTGCGCAAATACTGTCGCGAGCATTTTCGTTAGATGGTTGACGGCTGCTTTTGAGGTGCTGTACGCGAAACTTGATGCTAGATACCTCGAGAAGCCGGCTACAGAAGACGTGACGATGACTTGACTGTCCTGGGCGAGGTTGCCCTTTTTATTTCCTGCGTCGAGGAGGTCAAGGAAGGCGATGGTGGTGTAATATACACCTGTGCAGTTTGTATGCAGTGCTTTTGTGTAATCTTCCATGTCCGGCTGCCACATCGCTTTCTGGAAATCCTGCACGCTGGGCTTATCGCCACTCATCGTTTCTGTCAAGGTACTGCGATCCTTCGGTCCGCCAACGCCAGCATTGTTGAATAGTAGATTTACATATCCCTGTTCCTGCCTGATTTGCTCGGCAACCTTAGCGAGAGAGTCCTTGTCTGAGACATCGCCAACGATGTACTTGACTGTGCCGTTGACAGCTGTCTTTGCGGCTTCCTGAAGAGTATTCTCACGTCGTCCAATGATGTAGACTGCTTTTGCACCATTGGCATCGAGTGCACGAGCAGCATAGAGGCCGAGTCCGGAGCCGCCGCCGGTGATGACGGCGACCATACCATTGACATTGAAGAGGTCTGCGGCTCTGTTTTTGACGGACATTTTCAAGTTGGCGAAATATACTTCGTTAGAGGTCTATTGCTCACGATGTCAAAAGTACCAACAGGAACTTTCTTTCATTGACGTTCAAGCTTTGAGGAGGCAGGGTATGACGTGGGCATCGTTGTTGATTCGATCGGAATTGGAGACAGGCATTGAAAGGAAGGACATTCGCTCATCGTAAATACAAATCTGGACGCAAGCCTGATTAATACGCTTTGCTAAACGACGACATACGATCTTGAGGAGTTCACCATCTAACGTAGGACCAAGCCAGCGTTCCACTGGATCAGCCGAGATCATCGATTGTGCGCCCCCACAAGTTTGATGTCCTGATCTTGCTCCATCAATTCAATAAGTTACACTATTTCTTCTTCTATTTCTCCTTCTTCTTCATCCTCCTCCTCCTCTTCTTCATCCACCCGCAAACGCCTCAGCATACTACATGGAACAGGGTAAGCCCGTTTCAATTCCTCGATAGCCTCGTAATTGCCTGTAGTTTCGAGAAAGTAAACATGCCAATCCAAACTATCTAGCGTGCCACCAGTCGTCTGACCGTTGCGCAACAAACTCCACAAGAAAGCTTCACGAGAGAAGTAGATAGCGCCATGGATATCACCCTGCCTTCTACATACACGCATCATATCCCAGGCCGGACACCAGTCAATTTCCTGTGCTAGCAACCCGGCTATATCGATCTTTCGATGTTCTTCAGTCCAAAGTGTCCAGAGCTTGGTGATTAATGAGTGGGCCTCCGTGAGACGATCCTGATCCAAAAGTACATGATCCACCAGTAGTTGCGCTGCCAGGCTACGATGGTGTGCTGCTCCAAATCGTTGTGCAGACCAAGCAACCAGGTCACGACACAAGGACTCTGCTTGGCTCAAGTTGCCTTTTTCCCCTATCAGGATGTTTACGAGGTTATGTTGAGCATCGAAAATCGTGGCCATATCCAGTTCAGAGTTCGTGTTGGAAGTGGTCAACTGCGTGTTATAGTATCTCATAAGCTCAACCAGAGGCACATCCGAGGCCCCATCACATACAAGGGCCACCTTCCCCTTTGTTGAACGACGTACATCCACAGCCTCCAAGAGAGTTTCGAGCAGAAGAGTCACAGGCCTGTCCTGACCAAACACCTGCTGTGAAGCATCAACGAAGAACTTGAGTGTCGCTGCAAAATATGTTCGATTCAGTGCCTCTGAACAATCATATATTGCTAGCAGCAAATCCTGCAATGTGGTGGCATTCAATTGTTCTAGAGAAGGCGAGACCTGTTTCGCTGCGCTGGAGAGGATTCTAGCTCTTTCTTTCTGCGAGCATAATCTGACTTGATGGTGCACGTTATAATAAACATCGCGGAGACGGACTTCCGACCCGCTATCAGCGGGACGTGGCCGTTCGTTACGGAGCCAAGTATAACAATCCTTCAGATGATGGAACATAGAATTACTCAGGCGCAAATGATCTGGTAGAGCAAGCGGAGGTGAAATGCTTGGAATAGTAACACAGCGAGTCATTGACAGCCAGTTGTTGAAGCTTGAAGTCGTATTGCCCATCTCCAGCCCATCATTCTTGTCTCTGAAGGCCGACACGCATTCGATGCTTCTGTAGCGAGCTTGAGGAAGAGGGCCAATGCTGCGCTGCCGTTCTGCTTCAATTCTGGAGGACATAAGCCGTGACCTGATCCTAGGAACAGCGTCTTTGCCTTCTTGACGACGAACACGATCCCAGGGTATCTGACGTCCAAGATCGTCGTATTCGGGAAGCTGTTGACCACATGCAATCAGACGCTTGGCCATTACTGCAAAGTTTTTCTTTTCCTGCTTCGTGAAATATTTGCCAATGCCCCAGGCTGTGATTTTCTTCTTGTATGCGTGCTCGCTACTTCATGTGAGCTTGAGTAACCAAGCCGAATCGATGGGCATCGGAGCTTACGGTGCATTGAAATTGTGGTCCCGCTCCATGATCATCATGACATCTTTGAGTTTCATGCCTTTGCCCTCGTAGAGCTGAATAAATGGCGCCTTGATGTAGTCCCACGAGGGCTGGTTGATGTGTGGAACAGGAGGGGCATAGGTGATCTCGGTGTCGTGAGGGTTGATATCGGCAGGTCCTTGTTCGACAGTGAAATGGGTGGCTTCTGAAGAGTATGGAGTGGACATGTTAGATGACGGCCAGATTGCCGGCATGCTTGGGTTGTCCATCATGTCGAGGTCACCTAGATCTGCCTCTATCGAGCCCAACGGAGATGGAAAAGACATGCTTGAGACCATTGCTAGGAGTGATACTCAATGTGCTCTCAGGAAGATTAGTGAAGTAGTGCTGTGAGGTTGAGAGGAAATTACGGCAGCTCGCGCCAGAAGGACTACAATTATATAGTTTTAGGACTTCATGCGACGACTACCAACGTCTTCCTGAGGCGTGACTTCCCCAAAGTTGGCGAAAGTTGACAAAAGTTCTGCTAGCAAGGATTACATTAGCTGCATATGCAAGCCTGCAGCTCAAATCAACGAATCAGCTCCCAGCATCACGTTTGATCAGCCTTGATCAAGTCTGCACCCTTCTCAGCAACAGCATACGTCGTGGCCTGCCGGAGTTAGCAAAGGTTCTCTTTCAAACGAATCACTCACCATGATGTTGCCCGAGACGTGCGTTGGGAAGATACTGGCATCCACAACCCGGATACCTTTTACTCCTTTCAGTCGTAGCGCATTATCCGTTGCCTCACCTAATGCACAAGTACCGGTGATGTGATACTGAGTGCTAATATGGTTCTTCACATACTCAATTCGTTCTTCTTCACTGTCTAGTGATGCATTCTCCGGCGGCAGTTCTCGGCGGGCCAATGATTTGGCCATTTCAGGATGTCTCGCAACCTGATCCATCCACTTCATGCCTGCTGCGAGTATCTTGGCATCTACTTCGTTGCGGAAATAGCCCGGGTCGATTTGTGGATGTGCTAGTGGGTCAGAAGAGGTGATGTGGACCGTTCCTCGAGATAATGGATGTTCTAGGCACATCAAGAGCGAGATTTGCTGGACGCCCTTGGGTGGTGCACTGAAGAACTGTGTCTGGTCGGATCCTTTCGCCACGTCAAGGCGGCAACCAATGCAGAAGGTCTGTAAGTTCGCAAAAGTTGGATCACGAAGCTGATCAACGATGACCTTCTCTTGCGCTTTTTCAAAAGGCGTCTTAGCCAGTGATGACTTCTGGATTTCTGCAAGGGTAGAGTCCAGCTCTTCTGGCGATACAATCGATGCGTATGAGACAAAACCCATCATCATACCTGGACTGCCATACGGACCTTTGCGAGTTTTCTCATAGACATCCTGCTGGGCTTTCATGTACTCCTCACCATGAAGGGCATCCAAAGAGTCAATCCCTGGCTTGAGGTCGAACAGCAAGCCACCAAGGACATGATCCTGAAAGTTTGCTCCTACTGCTTTGTTCTCAATCTTGCACTCTACTCCGGCGGCAGAGAGCACCTCGGGATCACCAATACCAGAAAGTTCGAGCAATTGTGGTGTTTGAATAACGCCTGCGCTAAGGACGACCTCTCGGCTGGCATTGACTGTATACTCTTGGCCTTCGTGGACGAACTTGACACCAGTGGCAGTGCCATCCTCAAGCACAATCTGCGTTGCTTGAGCGTTGACTAAAACCTTGAGGTTCTTTCTGCCGAGATTTGGTCGAATGTAGCCTGTCGCTGCATAGCTTCGGTTACCCTTGTCGTCAGTCCTATCGACTGCACCCAAGCTCGAATAGAATCCCATGTGATCTCCGGACCATGCGTCAGAAATTGTCTTCTTCGTACCAGTGACCGCATGACATGCCTCGACGAAGTCAACTTCAAAGGGAGAGTACCAGTCGTTGAAGCTGGTGTGAATAGGTCCATCGGTACCATGATACTCGTCTTTACTGGCCATTGGCATGAATTGAGGGTCCATATGATGTGGTTCGTTGGCGTCCAGTCTTTGATGCTTCCTGAAGTACGGTGCAATACCTTTCCAGCCCCAGCCTTCGTTTCCCATTGACTCCCACCCATCATAGTCGCCTCGTGAGCCCCTGACGTACATGAGGTAGTTGATGCCGCTGGAACCTCCCAAGAGCTTGCCACGAGGCATGGAATAGGACTTGTTACCTATATAGTGTGAGCTCGAGGACATCTAATATTGCATAAAACTTACCTGCATTAGGCTGTGGTATACTTGTCATACACCAGTCGTACTTGTCCCTTCCAATCTGTGCTAATCAGCCAGCCATTACACTTGGCAATATCGGAGCACTCACCAAGGTCGGATATAATGAAGGTGTCAGAACATTTACATCGTCCATCCGGTTGGCGCCAGCTTCAATGACACCAACAGTAATATTCGGGTCCTCTGTCAATCTCGCAGCCACAACACACCCGGCAGTACCACCTCCAACAACGATATAGTCATACTTTTGTGCTGTGAACTCATCCACGCTGCATAAAGCACTTCCTCCATGACCATTGGCACCGTTAGTATGTCCGTTGGCTCCGTTTGTGGCTGCCATGTTAGCAAATGTCCGGTTTTTGTCGATAACGAGCTTTGCTTGGAAAGCCCAGGTAGCTGTGGGATCACAAGAAACAATATTTATTCATTTAAGAACGTGCAACACATCCCCGCATACTCACATATATGAGATCCTTGCTATCAAGCATATCTCCAAGGGCATACTTGTGGTTATTTACCCCAGATTTCGGCAGAGTGAGGAGGTGACTCCACTTTCTTTCGCACAACCGGGGTCTTTCATTGTGTTGGTACTTGAGTATGGCTGTATGCCGTCGGCTATGAATGATGTGCTCGGGGGTAGGTGGACAGTACAGTATCCTTCGTAGATATCCAGTCCAGACAGTATATCAAGCATGCAGTCCTCGTTCGGCCTTGCTTTCTTTCCAGTTTTTAATCAAACTCAGCAATCTCCCACAGCTAACAAGATCTTGCAAAGTGTGGGGCTTCGACAGTTTTGTGAATCGTGCACCAGCTCACAAACACTGGCTGTTTTGCATAATCCTTCTCCTAAGACCAGATTGCACAGTGTTTCAGTGATTTTTCCCACGACTGCTGTCGCCATCACCTCGATGCATGCCCACACCGCTTGGATCCTGAGCTCTTTCAACGTTGGCAAGGAAGTCCACAGAGCTCTCCAGGGTACTTGGTGAACCACGATCGCGAAGACAATTCCAGCAAGGAGGGTCGAGGTTGTATAGACACAACGCATCCGTCGCTCCTGCTTCATTCGAGAGAGCCGAGCTGCTCTTCGATCCTGCCGTCTTGCCTAGTAGCATGGTTAGTCGCATGTCGATGATGTCTGTGCAATCAGACGAACGTGTTCTTTTAGCTCTCGTGTAGATCGTGCAATCGCTGAGGCAGGCGTCAATGCTAGACTTTTTCGCTCCATCGTGCTTGAGCTACAGGAACTTCCGTATTCGATTTGTCGTCTTAAGGATTGGAAACAGGTGTATGGAAGACATTGTTGTTGTGGTTGCCAAAGGAAATCGCCAGAAGCAAAATATCGCAGCAAACACTGATGTTGTCCCTGTACAATTTGCTAGTGTAAGATCTCTGAAGATAGTGCTAGAATGATGCATTCATATACTCGTCCCCTCGTCGGGTAACGATAGTGACCTGTGTCTTTCCAATTGTCTTTGACTCATATCAGCTCCGATGCTTTGGACAGAAACCAACCTTTTCCATTGTCAAAATCTATAGTTAGACAACCCGTTAGTTCTTCTTTCCGATCCTCTCGAGGGCGATTCATTATCAAGCATAGCATAATTCACGGCTCACGTTCACGCTGCCTCTTATAGACGCGTCGTCAGTAAGGAATCATATTGACCAGGAAGAAGATTATTCAATAAAGCAGAAACACGACACTGGGTCCTCTCAGACTGCTGAATATCCCTGATCACGTCGATTCGCAATGCCCAATATCGAGCGATCAGGTCGCGTCGATGGCAGAGGTCAAGAGCTGACAGGAAAGTGCTCTATGACAATCACGCGATGCGTTGCTGAGCTATTGCGGAGCTCTACACTCGGCACTCCACAGCTTGACTACTATATGATTACCACGCATAGTTCAAGGAGCAAGTTGATGATTGATAGTCCTTGTGGAGATACACATGCGGGCGTTACATACCATCTACTGTGCCTGGCTTCGCAACGTGAGAGGTTGCTCCCTTCACATCGACCGGAGAGTCTATTCTTTACACCTCCAGTACTCGATACAGATATGACCATATCCCTATATCTGCCAGTCATACAGGTTATTGCATTAGACTCCCTAAGCAGGCGCATTGGCTCTATTTGCCACACCTCCAATCTCACTACTCCTACCCTGACTCGTCCTCATCGCAGCCTCATTCTTAAACTGCAATGGGGTCTGATCGATCTTCTTCCCATCCTTCCTCCAGTCCTTGATGTGCTCTAGAATGATTCCAGCCGCACTTTCCGGTGTGTCCTGTCTACCTATACACTCGACAAAGTCTCCTTCAGGATCCATGACGTAGAAGTATATGCTGTGGTCGACCAAGTAATCCTCCTCTCCTGGCTTGAGATCTTGTGGTGTAGAGAAATACACGCGATATGCTTTGCATGTATCTTTGATTTGCTGCCATGTTCCTGTCAGGCCTTGGATCTGAGGGTGGAATTCGGCGAGGTAGGATTTGAGGACGGCGGGTGTGTCGCGGGCTGGATCAACGGACATGAAGATGGATCGGAATGTGTTTGCGCTCGACGGGTTGGCGTTGAGGATGTCGATTGCTGCGGATAGCTTGTCGAGTTCGTCAGGGCAGATGTCTGGACAGTGGGTGAAGCCGAAGTATATCTGAAGTGGCGCGTTAGCACGTACGACTTCGAAGCAGCTCTTTTGCACTCACAATACTGTATTTCCCTAACAAATCCTTCTCTGTAACTTCCTTCCCGTCCAGATCTTGCAATGTAAATGGTCCTCCAACCTTGGGCTTTCCATACCCTTTACTCATCTCGACCACCCTCTTCCTCTCCAACCGTGCCTTTTCATATTGAAAGTAACCCACTAATATAAGACCGGTACCGATAAATAGGGCCGCTGCGCGCAGTGAGAAGGGCTGAACAGCTGTAAGCATATCGTGAAGACGTACCACGAAGGAAAATACCTACGCCGCTGCGGGTTGGCCTGTTACCCTCGGTATCAAAGCGGGCTTGTGACGTCGCAAAAGCCCTGCGAGGCTGGAGACGTAGGCATTGTGATGAGAGTGATTGTGGCGGTCGTCTAGCAGATGATGAGTGTGAAGTAGTCGTGATGTTACGGGTGGATGTTCTGATTTGAGGTTGTGATTTGCGCAGCGCCGATGCAAGAGTCCTGCTCGCTCTACATGTTATCGAAGTCGCTGATGAGGCCATTGTTGTGAGTGACTTGGTCGAAGTTAGGTGGTCATGGATATTTCCCTGTCGACATCACTCCAAAAATGAGCATGACTACGGGATAACTTCGGTACAGGGTCGATGACAGCCTCAAATCACGTGCATGGAGCTCAACGATGGCGCGTCCCGGCGGCAATGCGCTAACGTGAGTAGCAGGTTGTATCGCTTTCCTCGATACTGCATCCAGACTGATGCCTACAAGCATGCATCAAGAGGAAGAGCAAAGGCCTGAAAGCATTGTGAGCGTCCAGCCACAGACGAAGGCTCATGCTGCCGTTCTGACACAGCGCCAGCATGTTCAGCAACACAATCGAGAAATGTCTGCGTTTGCACAGGGTCAACAGTAAGTGTACGAGCGGTCAAATACAGCAAGAAGTGAAGATCAGTATTTTACAACATCCCTAGCACGCTGTCGGCTTATGCCGTACCTCTTTTAGGTGCAAGTAATGTCACAGACGTGTTCACTAATCGTGGTCGATCTCGGTTTGTGCATCACTTGCTGTGTCAAGCGGCGCAGATGCTTTTAGTGCTTATGCAGGCTCGTTCGAGCGTTCAGCCTTCTCTCTCATTCTTTACAAATTGTACTCTCTCCTCTTCGTCTTGGACAAAGACCTTCTACGATCTGTTGCATTTGTACGAAAGTTTTGGACACGACTGTGAAAGAAGAAACCTCTGAGAGGACCTTTACCAGCCAAAATCATGGCACAACCCGGAATTTTACCTGATTCACGCACGAAGCGTAAGCGTAACGAAATCTCCGAATACAATCCTCAACAGCACGACAACCAAGCACGACCGACGGAGATCCTCAAGCTAGGAGAGTCGAGCGGACACACAAAGACCCCGATCACAAGCACATCTGCGATATACGTAGATACATCGATGCAGGACACAACAGCGGTTGGTCGATATGCACCTGTTAGTGCAGCCGTTCTTAAGCGCCTCACGAGTCTTCCAACCACTGTTCCCCTACATGCAATCATGTCGTACGAACAGGCTCAAAATATCGTCTTCCACAATTCTTCTCCGTTGAGTCATAGTCGACCCGTATGGAGCACATCCACTATGGCTGATCGCAAGCTTTTTCGGAAGCTTTGCGAAGAAGAGCTGGACATGAGGAATGACTCCGTGAGTACCTACGCTCAGCAAGCGCTAACCAGCAAGCTCCCCAGATGTTCGGTTGCGTTCAAACCTGTCAATCACGTTGTTAGTGGAGGTGCTCAATCACACGTCTGGTCCCCGAATCAGCTACCCTTGATGTCGAACGAATATGGCCATGAGTTCCTGGGGTTTGACGAGAGCTTGCTGAGCATTCGAATGTTTAAACGACAATAACGATTCAGCCGGGATGTGCCTGCCTTCATGATGTTCGTGCCGCGCTGTATGGAGAACCCTAGCAGAATGCAATACTAGACAGAAACTTTTGGAGATGAGATGTTCGTGAATGTGAGCGGATACTGATGATGGAAGAATAATTCATTAATTCGTGCAGGCTCTAAAAGCTCTGGTACATTTATACAAGGGTTAACACAAGATCAAGCGAATGATGGATACAACCGGGGTATCGTAAAGTAGCAATCCTTCCAACGCCTGTACGGTGAACAGAATAAGCTCATAGCTCAATCATCATCGACTGTTGCTCAGATGTTCTCAATCACACGCGCATTCATGGCTTGCTGGAAACCATCATCAGGTTCCATATCGAATGCCTGACCCCTTCTGCTCGAAGGACCTGCTGTATCTGCCTCAGCTAGTGTCTGAGCATTTACTGGAATGCTCTGGTTGTTAGCAGGCAGGAAAATGACCTTGCTGTTGGCAGTCTTAGCCATAGCCTGCATAGCTTCCAGGTATCTGATTTGCATGGCAGGTGCAGAGCTCAAAATATCAGCGGCCTGTCTCATCAATTTGGCAGATTCAACTTCGGCACGAGCAGCGATAACCTTGGATTCACCGATTCTCTTGGACTGTGCAGCCATGGAGAGCGAATCTTGTAGGTCGTTGCTGAAGATGATGTCCTTGATGAGCATGGACTCGACCTGAACACCCCATCCAGCTGCGACGTCCTCAATGATTTCTCCAATGGATTGTGCAATCTCTTCTCGCCTTTCAATGACATCTTGCAGCACACGAGCACCAACAACGTGTCGTAGAGTGGTTTGTGTTCGCTCAACGAGAGCCTGGCGAATGTTTGAGATTCCGAAAGCGGCCTTGTGAGGAGAGATAATGTGGTAGTAAATGACAGAGGTCAAGTTGAGTGTAACGTTGTCCTTGGTCATGCAGACTTGTCTCGGTACTTCGACGATCTGAATCTTGACATCGACCTGGATAAGTCGCTCGGAAAGAGGGTTGACGTAGACTAGACCTGGATCGACAGCTCGAGAGAAACGACCGAACTTGGTGACTAGACCGACGTTTCCTTGACTGACTGGCTTAAATGGGTTGGGGCAGACTATACAGCATGGGATTGCACCAAAGAAACCGATACACGAACCCAGGGTATTGACTGCGAGTTGTCAGCGCACTGTATGCAGCGATGTGAATTGTTCAACTTACTCATGCCACCGTACCAGCCATGGTTAGTTTCGTCGTCGCCTTGTAGTGTTTGAGCATACGACGGTTGGAGATCTTCTCTTCGTGGAGGTTGTACTTTGATCACACCACCATTAGTTGGTCGGAAACCGACACCACCGGGCGGCGATGAGCTGCCAGCCTTGGTCTGGTCATCCTGACTCTCAAAGCGACGTGGCGAATCCATTGTTGATGCCGATGTAGATGGCAGGAGTGAATGTATAGACGACAGTTTGGCGGGATGTAGTGATTATGTGACACGAAAGAAGAGGTAGTTCAGAGCAATGCGTGATACTTATGTATTAGTTTATCGGATAGCAGAGAGGCAATGCAAACTAGTACATAAAGAACGTTTGCGACTGGTGTGTGTCTGTAGTGAAAGATGTCATTAAGGTTGGCTGGCATGGTGCTGCGAAAAGTAGAGACGCTGATCGCACAGGTGACCACATGCCATTACTAGCTAATAGAAGTTTAGGCTGTGGCGTTGCCTATAATTGACATATTATAGGCATGGTGATTGGCTTACAAGATCCCATAGCATGGAATATTGAGTTTAGCTTTTACTGCCTTGAGTAAGCTAGGGTGTACATCCCTACTTCTTTTTCGATCAAGCTTCTTGGGTTCCACTCACGAGCAAGTGTGCAAGAGTACCATTGAAGGTCCTGTCAGCCTCGAACTTTGCCACGTTCTGGCATCTGGACAGTTATTGCCTTAGCACAAACTATCCCGTTCTACCAGTCGCAGTGCTTCTCCCAGATTCAGGCGGTCAGGTATGAGCGCGCAACCAGACGTCTACAGCTTTGGGTCTCAATGCCAGAAAGTACTTCTTTTTGGACGCGTAACACTTCATAGAGCGTGGTTCCGCCGAGAGCTTGGCCCGGCACGGTATTACCATCCCTCTTCTCGTGTCCTATGGAAGGATCTCACTCGATAGCAAGTACATCGATGGTACACGTGACTATGCCTCGCTGGCCTGAAAGGATCAGCAAGGTCAATCTGCGAAGAGTGACTGTGGAGAACAAGCGCCCAACCAGTGCACTGCCCGTACTTGTGCCTGCACCACGAGATACAGAGCTCTCACCTGATCAGCTTGCTCTCTGAACCTCAGATCACTTCCTTCGCACGTGAAATGAGATACTAAGTATAACAAACATCGTCCTTCCGATACAACCTTATTTCTTCCTTGAACTTAGCCAGTAAAATATGCCTCGTCAGGGGCGCGTCTCTAGCAACGGTGCGCAGTACTCCCTTGCTGCTCTACCACGAGCACAGAGTCGATCTGTAAAGTAAGCTCGCGCCGCGGGGGCAAAGCTCACGATCATGATCGACCTTTACGGCAAGAACGGCCCAGCTGTTGCTGATTAGTGGCTCGGAGAGCTTACTTCAACCCCACGTCTCCAGAAAGTCAGTGCTGATCTTCCCTTTTCTCGAAGCTTGCCTGAACAGGTATAGTGTCTTATAGCCTGGAGCCACACACGTTCGAAGCTGCAAATCTTATCGACGCCCAAAAATATCTCGCTCTGGGAGCGTATTCGTGTTTCCCTTTGCAATCTGATGATCCTATACGTGGTCATAACACCACTACGTAATGCAACGGCAAGACGGTTGGACGGCCATGTCGACCTTCGTCGTGAAGTCTGTTCACCCCTAGATTCTATTTTGGACGAACTTTGTGACAACTGGCACATTACTGTCGCTTGAAACGAGCTTGGTGACTATTGTTAGAACACCACGCAAGGAATCACGATCCGACAACCTAGTACTATTCTCATTCCTCAGGGTCACTTGTTCATCATCCACGACACGCGACGATGAATCTAGGCTTCACGAAATGAACGTCGTTCAAACTGTCAAACCTGCTCTCAACCAGACTTTTCTCACACTATCACCCCAGCCAGAGGCAAGAATAGGACAGTGTCGATACTTGCTACTCTGCTACTTGGATACTTTGGCCATACCCGTGTCGACATCAAGCTCTAGCTAATACTACAAGTGCCAGTACTAGCTGCATTCCACCCTTCTCTCCCCCAGAGGGTAGTCGCTTTCATGAACGATATCAGGAATAGAAACAACGCTGGATACGATGATAGAGTGCGTTGAAGCGGCCTCCTTGATCTGTTGATTACCGTATATGCTATTGATGATCGAAGTAATTGCTGGTATTTACGAGATCTGAACGCTGGATCGTTGTTTTGCGTAGGGAAATTGTCGAGGTTGATGACCTTCCGGAAGCATGGGACGCGACTTGGCAAAACTGTGAGTACTCCTTCGCAATGCCATTCCCCAACGCGTGGTCAGGCAAACTCAGCAGAAGGCACGTGAGGCTTCAATTGGATATAAGAAATTGGGAGCCTAGGACGTTGAGGTACTTGGTCTATTTTCAGTGTGTAATCAAGGTAGTATGCTCGACAGCTACTCTGCCACTAACTTTCGACTGATCTGCTATCACGACGCAGTGCAAGCTTCACAATTATCTCTACTGCTTTTAACTTCTATCACCTTCTACATCTTCACCTAAGTTGACCCAGACAGATTAAAATCTGTACTTCTCCCTACCACCACCATATCATGCTCCGTACATATCCTCCTTCTCACAACAGAGCAGCAAGTCCAACAAGACCAGCAGCACCAATAATACCCTGAGCGTTTGCTGTCATGGCCGGAGCTGGACCAGAAGCGCTAGCAGAACTCATAGCACTAGCAGCAGAGCTCGAAGCCTTGCTTGAAGCACTGGCGGCCTGACTGCTGGCTGCGCTGCTGGCACTGGAGGCAGCGCTTGAGATCGATGACAAGACTGAAGTGCTGCCGGCGCTGCTTGCTGACGAGGCCCGAGATGAGGCGGACGAGGCGATTGAGCTCAAAGTTGAGGCGAGAGAGCCCGAGATCGATGTTACGCTGCCGGAAAGGGCGGATGAGGCGGAGCTCACGGCTGAAGAGGCGCTGACGGGGTCGACTGAATATGTGTTTGTGGGAGATGGGAGGGCATTGTTGGTGGGTGATGACACAATTTGAGCGAGAGCTGGTGCGGCAGCTGTCACTAGGGCGACGATGAAGGTTTTTGTTTGCATGTTGTAGACTGGTTGAGTAGTGAAGATTTGGAAGTCAAGGACTTAAATTGTAATAGTAAATAGATCAATTGCGACAGAGTTTGAAGATAGTACAAATGACAGTAGCTGTCAAGGAAGCTCTTTTATGCTTATATCGGCATTGAGTCCTGATTGTTTGTGTTGACCACCCGATCGTTGCACAGCATCGTCACTGGCTTGAATGCCTTCATTGCGGTAAAATCAGTGCTCTCGAGACTGCAGCGTGCTTCGAATGTGCACGATCATTGGACAGCTCGAAGGTATAGATCGAAGTCAGAAATCGGAGGCTAGATTCCGAAGCAGTGTTCTGAGCCACGAATGGATGTCATGATCTCAGAAGGAGGCTGCTGTCGGACAGTTCAAGCTCAAGCGTCATTCTTGTTTTGTCATAGTGGAAAATAAGACTCGCCGTCCACGTCATACTCTACAGATTGAAATGAGCTTATCAAAGCTTAGGAGAGGTGCTTGTGAAGTCTTGTTCTGCGAAACGAGCTGTTGGGTGGTAGAGCTGTGCAAGACAATGAGAGTTTATGAGTACGCTGAAGCACAAACTGAATCATGTCAGCAGACAGCAACAGCTCTTTTTAGTCGACTATATCTGCATAAATAGATGAACAGTAATTGAGATACGAATATCACAACTTATTCGGAAACAGCGGAGCCTTCCGTCCACCTCTGAAGAGCTCAAGCTGCTCTTTTCCCATCCACGAGCTTCTTGTCTTTGCGATACCAGCCTCGAGATCGGCCGACCGACCAGCTTGTACAAGTAGACCTTTACCATTACCCTTCATTCCCTGGGAGAACAGCCACACGACGTTGGCAGCTATTTCGCTCGGATCGTTTATAGGTACCCCTGCTTTTCTCATCCTCTTGGCCCAGTCTGGCAGCGACTCACCTTCAGCGCGACCTGAAATGATCTCAGTGAGTGTAATGCCTGGTGCGACCACGCTGATCGCGATGTCGAGAGTTGCCGTGTCGTTCTTGAGAGCCCGCATGAGGCCAACAATACCTGTATCGAGTCAGTGTTTGGTGGCGCGGACTTGAAAAGAAGTTAAAGAGAGAGTGTTTGTACCATGCTTCGCAGCGCTATACAGGGGTGCCCCAGCTGAGGCAAGGTACCCTGCCAAACTCGCCGTCATGACAATACTACCACCCTTCTTCTTGTCCTTCCGATGCCTCATGTGATACAATGCAAGCTTGACCGTATCGTTGGCAGCATTCATATCAATTTCAATCACTCTTCTATCAGGCTCCGCAAGCTTTCCATCTTGATCTAGATCGTCCTTGAAGAACTGATCCTTGTACTCTGCTATGCCTGCATTAACAAAGACATTGTCGATACTTCCAAATTTTTGTACTGTCTTTTCAAACGCGTCGCGTTGTGCTCTCCAGGACGTGAGGTCGCATTGCAGGTAGAGGAAGCGGTCTGAGGAGGTGAGCTCCTTCGGAGCTGTTGATACAGGTGGATTGCGATCCAGTACAGCGATCTTGTTCTGCGGACATAGGTTGTGGAGTATAATGGCTGTTTGGAGCCCGATTCCAGAGCTGCCGCCTGTAATCAGTGTCACCGAGTTCTTGGGACCGGTAAGACTCTTCACGTCTACAGTAAAAGCTTCGTTGTTAGCCATCTCTTTTCACGCGATGTGCAACACATAGGTATCAAGCATCAGCCTCTCAGACATCAAAATCATAGAGTACTCGTTCATAAGCCGCGGTTGTGAATGTAGATACGAAGAGTCCGAGGTTTCGGTGGATGCGGGGACCAGCCGACGGGGTCCTTGCTCTTGTTGTCCTTGGCTCGGACTCAGCACTGTCGACATGGGCAGGATCGTCAAAGGTCAACAGGCAATCCACATGCCAGACTCGTACGTCTTTGAAATAATTAAATATTTGCCCATGACCAGCCCACGTGGCACAAGCGCAGTCTACCGTCGCAAATAGGCAGTATGATTTCGATCCTATGCAGAAACTGGCGGCATTGGGGATCTTATGGTTTAGACACGTATTTGAACCTCTCTTGTCTTTTTAAACTTCCAAATTCGAATATAAGACGAGCAAATTATTTATATAGCAAGTAGTCGATTGCATGTGAGCCACATCACCATCTTGCAAACTTCCCTGCACACGAGAGCCGACTTAGATCATATTCTTGCGCAGCTGAAGTAACCTCAAAATTAAATGAACGCCCAGTCGAGATTTGAAGATATCATCCAACCCTACCTGATCGCTATCGACAACATCCCTGTCGAATCTGCCGCCAAGGATATTCTGACTGTAGTATCGAATCAGCTGCATATTGACCCTGCCACTTCTGGGAATGTATTCCATATATTGTGGGGCGTCATCTTTGACTATGCACAGTCTGCATCGTGTGCGGATTATACAACTGGTGAGCCAAACGACGCAAACTTGAGCTATCTGGGCAGGCTGGCAGCCTTAGTTAACGACGTCCGCGCAGCTGTAAAGAGTGACGCATATTTGATAGGTAAACTTGCTGATGAATGGCTTGCTCAATTTGGATGGGAAGCTCGGAGCAGATTTAACTTCTCACCCTGTTCTGACAACCAGAGTGTCAGGAGCCAACACGAGCCTGTTCGCAGTTGGACGAATCTGAACAGCTTCTTAGCACTGGTATGGACCTTGAAGCCTGAGTCGTCACTGCCGCTTGCATTTGACTACTCCATCTATTCGATCTGGTCTATTCGTGAGACACTAGAAGAACCTCAACCACCACAAAACTTGTCCTCGCTTGTACCTGGTGCAGCAGCCTGGATTTGTATCCTCGCTAGTAGAGACAGGATTTATCGAAGCACCAGGCAGTGGGCGCATGGGCCTTCTGAGGGTAGTCCGGCAAGGCCTGGATTACTGTGGCAGGAGGCAGGTGTACCGGCTGATCGTGAGCATGGCTTTTCGAAAGAAAGGTGGCGTTTCTGGAAAGAGAGATTTGAAATAGCTAGTAAGCAGGAAGAGTTGGATGGAACAGCGCAGAGGACTGCTGCAGCAACCGCCAGGGTCATGGAAAGAATACAAAGCAAGCACGATTGACGATCGTAACCAACGCTCGCATCTTGTGTTCTGCTACTATCACTGCCAATATGTGGCCTCTTGTGGGATGTGCCATTACCATCCCCAGGTTCCAGGACCACCTTTCATTGGTCCTTCGAGTTCTGAGGTAACCCAGCCACCATAGAAATCACCTACAAAGAATCAAAAGTCAGCAAGTGGTTTCGTGGAGGGATCTAGTGGCTAGTAGCGCTAGACACCAGTCGCGCGGAATGCCGAAGTGGTCAGAAACTCACCTTCTTGTGGCTTCACCTTCTCACCATCAACATAACAGGTCCAAGGAACACCATTGGCATAGAAGCACAGATAGTCCTTGATCTCCTTGAAGCGAGGGGTCGGCGAGGCGTAAGACCATATTTTGCCTTTGACAGTTTCCGAGCCGGACGTCAAGCTTAAGTTGTGGTAAGTAGCCTGTCCCTTCCACTCACACATAGTCTTGTAGCCTGAAATTGTAGACAAAGTAACAGCAGATGTGTTGAGAGTGGTCTGTGGGAGATAGTAGGCTGTGTAACGATTTCGGTTAGTGTTATTCGAGAATAGTTCGCAGTATCACTGGTCGGATGGCCAAGGACACTACGAGCTGGACCAGCAGTAACATACTTGGTGGATGGGTTGTTTCCAGGACCCAATACGCCTCGCCTGGCTTTGTTTGAGCGACAATCTCGTCACCCCATTTGATCAAGAGTGCCCGATCGGTTCGCTCGCACAGGGGAGGTCTAGGAAAGCTGTGCACATTTAGCTTCGCTTTGGTCTTTGTGGTTGCGCTGCTTGAAGCGGGCTTAGTAGAGCTCATATTGCGTGTGTGTAAGCGAAGATGTTGCAAGCGTGAGAGTCTTTGCATTGACTGACAAACACCTATAACTCTTGCAGCACACCTGAGACAGTTCGATACGTAGGTTTGCGATGAATTATGCTACTCGAGGCACGAGGCGATGAGGTTGCTTTAAGTGTACTTGTAAAATAGAAGGGTTTGATATATAAAATCATGACGCTGACATGCAGGAATGAGACATCAACGCTGCAAGTACAAGTAGCACCAATCTTCTTGAACATTGGCAGTCCCGACCTCTTCGAACCAGCTGTTGCTGTTCGGGTACCTAAGACGAGGAGACAGAGGTTTGGTGAATGATCAGTATAGCACCAGCGACGCAGCATAGGATCAGTGGAAAAGATATGCGTGAGATGGCAGGTGGGTTCCACACATAGACATAGCGGTTGGCTTTCCTTTTTGAGTTCGGTGTACCAGTATTCAAGCCGCTCCGCTCCTGCCCTGATTTGGATGTCCGTGCTGCCATGCGATTTCAGTGGATTTGTTCCGTTCTGAAGAGCACTATACGCGCTCTAGTGGTATAGAACAACGCTGGTGCTCGCAATATGCTGTCGTGCATAGTCCTGATTTGGACGGGCGATCCGGGTTGACTGCCGAAGCTTTCGAAGCCATATCTGCGGCTTTACCAGCTGTCATTGCACTGTGATTCCTTTACCTGCCACTGCACTGGTACGAAGAGGTGATTCGGTCACCATGGGGGAAATGAGCCAAGATGAGGATGTTCACCTTCTCGCAGACACGAATTTGTCCGAAGGCTGGGCGTTTCGACAGACAGATCGAACAGAGGACGAATGGCTACCTGTGAAGAAGATACCCTCAACTGTGCATCAAGACCTGATCGATAACAAAAAGTAAGCCAAAAAATGACATTTTGACGTTCACTAAGTACTGTCCAGGCTCGACGACCCTTTCATCGGCTTTAACGAGATCAAGGCAGAATGGGTTGGCACCAAATCGTGGATATACAAGAAGACATTCAAGAGGCCCAACGTACCTGCAGGAGCTATCGCTGTGTTGGCTTTCGACGGACTCGACACATTTGCACATGTCAGGTTGAACGGCAAGACGATACTGGAAAGTGACAACATGTTCCTGCCCTACCGCGTTAATATCACTCATAGTTTGAGCTCAGACATTGAACAAGAGCTGGAGGTTGAGTTTGACTCAGCCTTGCTTAAAGCGCGCGAGATCAAAGCACAACATCCTGAACACAAATTCGTTGGGTTCAATGGTGACCCTGCAAGAATGGGAGTGAGAAAAGCTCAATATCATTGGGGTTGGGATTGGGGTCCTGTGTTGATGTGTGCGGGTATATGGCGTCCCGTCACGCTCGAGATCTATTCCACTAAGATTGCAGATGTACGAATAGAGCAGGATCTGTCAGCTGATTATAAACGTGCTTCAACTCAAGTTACAATGGAGCTTGAAGGTCATGTAAAAGAGGGGTACAGTGCTGAAGTCTCCCTATCTTTAAATGGCAAGCTCATCAAGAGATCTTCATCCGAGACGGTCCACGACAACACATTCGTCCTACCATTGGAAGTGGAAGATGTCCAGTTGTGGATGCCAAATGGTTATGGAAAACAAAATCTGTATGATGTACAGGCTCAAATCATATCGGAAAATGGCGATCAGATCCACACCGTTACCAAGCGTATTGGCTTTAGGCGGGTCGAGCTGATACAGAGGCCAGACAGACACGGGAAGAGTTTTTTCTTCCGCGTCAATGGAGTCGACATATTCTGTGGTGGCTCGTGCTGGATCCCATCCGACAGCTTTCTCACAAACGTCACACCTGAAAGGTTACGGTCCTGGATGCAGCTTATGGTCCCTGCTAATCAGAAAATGATTCGTGTTTGGGGCGGCGGCATTTTCGAGGAGGATGCCTTCTACGATGCATGCGACGAACTGGGTATTCTTGTTTGGCAAGACTTTCTCTTCGCCTGCGGAAATTATGGTTGCTGGCCAACGATGTTGCAATCGATCGAAGCTGAGGCAGTGGCAAACGTCCGACGTTTGCGACATCATCCTTGTTTGGCCATCTTTGCTGGCAATAACGAAGATTACCAGGTGCGAGAACAAAGTGGGTTGACTTATAACTATGGGGACAAGGATGAAAGCAACTGGCTCAAGACCGACTTTCCGGCGCGATACATATACGAAGCACTCCTGCCTCGCGTTATGGCGAAAGAGCTACCCTCAGTCCCTTATCATCCCGGAAGTCCTTGGGGTGATGGTAAAATATCATCCGACCCAACAATAGGCGATATGCATCAATGGAACGTTTGGCACGGTACACAGGAGAAGTACCAGATCTTCGACTCGCTCGGTGGTAGGTTTAATTCGGAGTTCGGCATGGAGGCTTTCCCACATATTGCAACCATTAAATCCTTCGTTGAAAAAGAGGAAGACCTCTATCCACAAAGTCATGTCATAGACTTCCACAACAAGGCCGACGGTGCGGAGAGACGCATTGCAACCTATCTTGTCGAGAACGTGCGGACAGCGACTAGTCTCGAAGCTTACATTCACCTCACACAACTCATACAATGTGAAGCACTGATGTTCGGCTACCGTGGTTGGCGAAAGCAGTGGGGTGACGACAGACTTTGTGGAGGTGCTCTGGTGTGGCAACTTAACGACTGCTGGCCGGTCACAAGTTGGTCAATCTGCGACTACTACCTCAGGCGGAAACCTGCTTACTACGCCATGGCTCGAGTTCTGGCTCCCCTTGCTATCGGCGTACGACGTCAACACGACGATTGGAGTGTAACGCATGCTAGGCAGCCCAAGACACAAGAGTGGGAGCTCTGGGCTGTAAGTTCAAAATTGGAGGACAAGATAGTTGATATCGAGCTCAGATTTGTTTCTGTCAGCACTGGTAAAGATATCAAGGATAAAATCTTGAAGACAGGAATTTCACTAACCGCCAACGGAACGACAAATATCCTGAAAGGATACATCGACAACTTTCAGGATGAACCGCATGTGCTTGCTGCACGAATGTGGGTGGATAGCAAGCTTGTAGCAAGAGATACTGATTGGCCACAACCCTTGAAGTACTTGCCGTTCTCTGAACGAGGAGTCAAGGTGAATGTCAAGGGGGATGATATGCATGTCAGTGTGCAGAGACCTGTAAAGTGTCTGGTGTTTGAGGAGCGTCAAGGCTGTCATCTTACTGATAGTGCCATCGACCTGGTGCCTGGTGACGATCAAATCATCACGGTCAAAGGACTTGACAAAGGAGACAAGTCGCTGGACTGGACATACCTAGGTGCTGGTGAGCAGTGATCCTGAAGCGATTCATTTATCGACAGCATCTTCGAGGCGTAGATAGAAGCGAACACCTCAGACTGCTTTCTCATTGGCCTGCAACAAGTGTTCTTTTCGGCATTTCGACTTAAATACTGACTCCGTGCCTTTGTTTGCGGTCAAAACACAACGAATACATGCAGCTTGTTGGAGGCAAACAGTACTGATTATCATGAGCCTGCATGGCTATGTGTTTCCGTGCGGGCGTGCTGCAGCGTTCGTAAGTAAATTGTCCTGTCTGGGTCTGCCTGGTGAGTTTACTTTCACTCTCAGCGACCGGCAACCAAGTCACGCCTGGCTGTGCAAAAGCTCAGCCACGGATCGCTGAATGTTGTTAATGGTAAAGCCATTAGCGACGATTTCTGACCTTCGCTCTCCTCAAGGCAGCCCTTGAATCGTATGTCTCTGTCACTGGAAGGCCGTCACCTGAACTAACACTTCGACCTTGTCACTTACTGGTGGGGTTGATTGGACCCTTCACGTTCTGATTTATTCCCTTGTTCGTCGCAGTCTTGACCATCTCCTTCTCATTCACCTACCTCTACTCCTTCGAACCATTCGACAGAAAACTAGCGCAGGTCTTTACTTGCGTCTTCACATTAGTTCTACCGTGCAAGTATCTTGCAACAGCCTATTGACGATGCTAGGCCTACCAGCAAAGCCGAATGGCCCTTTACCTAGCAATCGGGCTGCTGCGCAATACAACTTTAAAGCTCCTAAAGCAGGTCCAGTACCCGGTCAGACACTGGTCGGCCAAATGATCAGTGCTTCAGATTCGCCCTTTGGAAAGACTACACCACCGCCATGGAAAAAGCAGAAAACTTCAGCCACGCGACCTCAACCCGCCAAGAATGATTCTGCTCCTAAGAAGACCATTCATACTGAGGATACTACAGAAAACAGCACTACCAAGAAGTCGGCAGATTCTCCCAGGCAACCAGATGGTAGCGGAAAGAGAAAATTCGACCATGAAAAAGAGGTCACGGACATGCCCCCTAGCAAGCGGAACAAGACTACAAACGATCCGCCATGGAGGACCACACATGACGTTGTTTTTGCAAAACCTCAAGCAGAATCACCTTTGCCTTCCCGAGGAGGTGATGCGGTGAACCAGAACACCGGCTATGTTCCTTCGGCACCACCAGGCATTCACTTCGACCGTGCTACAATGTCCTTCATGCAAATTGATCTGTACGGCAACAAGACGCCTTTCGCGGTAGAAACTCCCACCAACCATCCTAGCATTGCTCAAGTTTCTCCTAGTGAGCTTCTCGAAGCAGAACCTGCTAAAGATCATTCACCTACAGAGCACGCACCTGTACCGGCCCAATCTGAGCGACTTGACAAAACCGCTAGCAAGTACAAATTCCGAGCATCCACGACTGATTACAACCGCAAGCGATCTCGTCCGCACTACGATCCGAATGCCAAGGAGGAGACCGGTGCTGACCAGCCAGCTACGAAGCGAGCTCGACTTGGCGTTAACAATAAGGTCGACACGGCTACAGCTACAGATACATTCACCAATACCACCGATGAGCCACCCAAGAGAGGGAAGAAGAAGCCCAAGCGCCGATCCGTCCCTCAAAAAAAGGCCACATCTCAGACAGCTCTGGAAATGCAGCTCCACGATCTGATACCTCACTACACACCAGACCTTTGCTGGGATGCCGAAGAAGAAGAGGACTTTCTCAGGAGAGAGCCAGTCACGTTCATGGATCTCCCGACAGAAATGCGAAGAAACATATGGGACAAAGTCTTTGAAGACGAGGCTTATAACTTCAAGGTTAAGAGATACTGCACCCGCGATCACCCTAAGTTCATGATTCCGACGAAACCAAAGTCCTTCGGTTGTCTTCTCATCAACAAGACCTGTGCTGAAGAAGTAGCTGATCAAATGTACAAATCTGCACGACTCGAACTCGACTTTGGTCGTCTAAAGCCACCAGCCATGAGAGAGTTCATTCAGAACATTACTGCTCACCGCATCGGCGAGCGCTCCGAGCGAATCTTCTTCCTTAAGAAATTCGGTCTCCAAAAGGTAGACCTCGGCGCTTTCAAGAACGCCAGGGAAATCGTCTCGCAACTCTGGACCGTCGAAGGTGACGACGACATGGAATTGGATGACTACAAGAAAAATCGCATCGATCCCACCCAGATCTTCAATCATCCCGAAAGCAAGCCAAATCTGAAAGGCCTAAAAGAGCGACGATTCTGGGCTGACCAAGAACTTGCAACTCAACGATATCAAAAGCACATCGCGGGTAGATGCCACCCTCTCTGGGAACCTCTCGACGTCGAAAACCGCATCGTGAAATACGACAATAATTGTCCGTTTAACGATCACTGCTTGAACCTCGAGAAGACAAAAATGGTCATTGTGCTCAAGTACAAATACAGCTGTCTCAATGGTCGACACTTTCGGCAGAAGGAAATCATTTATGACTTGTATCCGTTGCTGGGTGAGAGGTTGGCGCAGGTTGTGCCACCGAAGTCGAAGTTTCACAAGAGGTGTAATAAGAAGGCGTGTCAGGAGTTGAATGCTGCGGCACCAACTGTTCCTGCGACTGCTACTGCTCCACCTACTGCTGCTGCTGACGGAATCAAGTTCCTGTTGGGTTAGAAGGACAGGAGCGGGAAATGTGAGAAGTGTGTGAAGAGTAGACGATAGCTTCACGGTTAAGAACCGATTCGTTATGGCTGTGGCCTTGCTTCAAGATGGTGCGTATCACGTGCGGAGATATGGCCGATATTTCTCTCGAACTAAAGTGCTCAAAAGCAGGGCTATTTTTGATTTTTGGTTCTATTTGATGGATCTCATTACGAAGATGAAGCAGGCTAGGAGAGGGCGTCCTTTGAGAATGGAAGGTGATAGTATGTCTCTCTTTGACCTTGCTGATTGCCTGCGTGGTTAGATCGCAGGTTGAAGATGACGGCACATCATCGACCGGACTTGGGTTGTCGGAACACTGGCCTGCTGGTTCGAAAGAGGTTGTGGTATGGGTTGAGTGCGATCATGGTGTCTCTGCGATCGCAGGTAGAGACGCTGGCGTAGCGTCTCTGTGTATGACAGGATATAGGTATTTAGTTAATGAACATACATATGAAAAAGCTCAGCCTTTTCATCAATTGTGCAGAGAAGACTTGGTTTAGGAGGACTTTGAAAATTTGTCGCGGAAGATGAGCTTCGATTTACTCTGCGGTAAACAAGTCTCAATCTCAACTAGCAGTGTTCAAAGGCAAAAAGTCCAATCGTCTATTTAGTATATCTGAAGAAAGTAGCATAGTCGCCCTTTGTTCGCTCCAACGACTTTTCGTCTTCGGTGTAGGCCTCAGGCGCTTTGTGTTCCCTATCTCTCCTCGCGTTCTCTCGTCGATAATATACAGTCATGACGCCTGCCAAGATGGCTGCCATGACATTGAGACTGATCAGAATCGCTAAACCTTGAACGAACTGAGGGCTGTCTTTTGACAAGAAGACTAGAACGGAATTAGACTCTGTGGACTGTAGACTTCACATAGATACTTACCAAATGAAGAGAGCACACCACCAAGATTGCCGAAGCTGCCACAAGTTAGCTCGAATTAACAGTAGAGTGAAATAGTACTCACCCAACGTGCATGGCGAGTCCAACACCTCTCTTTAAGCTTCCTCCAACATTGTTGCCCTGCCAAGCTGCTCCCATCGGGACATTCGGGAAGAAGCCGCCAGCAGCGAAGAAGACCGCCGCATATTTGACGTTGTTGTTGTGAGACACGATCAGCATAATGAGTCCGATCAAGGAAAAACAACAGAACATGATCATCCAAACACCTCGCTGGCGCGTTCTGTCGCCAAGAATACCGCCGCCGATGCATGTTGCGCATGCGAAGATGTATGGTGGTACAGTCATCAGCTGTGCTGTATTGTTGCTGCATATCGTTAGCATCGATCGGGCCCAAGAACGACTCCTTTACCTATAGCCAAGAGTGCGGATAATCGTCGGTAAGAACAAGGCGACTGAGTAGTTTGAGGTGTATATGGCCAGAGTGATGAGCATGTGCACATATATCTTCCAATCCTTGACTGCATCCCAAAAGTATCTCATATCAAACTCATCTGCAAGTCCGTTGTGGTCGTACTTTAGTCTTCGCGTTACTTCTTGTCGTTCAGCTGGCGTAAGGAACTTTGCTGTAGATGGATAGTCGCTCATAACGAAATATGCAATAACAGCGATGATGGTTGTTAGTATGCCTTCTAGGATGAAAAGCCACTGCCAGCCACTGAGACCTCCAACGCCAGCCATTTCAATGATGCCACGAGCAAGGAGACCACCAAATGCGCCAGCAGCAGTTGCAGCAGAGTAAAAAAGAGCCATCCGGAAGCCGCACTCGTGCCTTCTATACCACCTGGACACCAGTCAGCTGCGAATTGGACGACAGCCAACACTACTCACATTGTAATGTAATAAGTTACTCCAGGAAATAGACCTCCCTCAGCAAGTCCAAGAGCTGGCTCGGTGTCAGCATTGATATCTTTACCAGCACGGACACGACCTGAAAGGTTTTGTGGCGATGCTGGACAAGGCATGCAAGTTCTTACCCATGCGAGCGGCAACAAGTCCACCAAAACTTTGAGATAAACCCATCAAGGTCGTCGTGATACCCCAAGCGACCATAATAGTGGGAATCCACATCGAAGGTCTCCAACGCTTCATCATCATGTTTGAAGGAACTTCTGCGAGGACATAAGTCGGGAAGAAGACTGCAAGGACGATCTGGAGAATATTAGAACTCCGTCTCGATCGGAGAGACCCGACAACTCACATTGTAATCCAAGCCCGTCATGCCGAGATCTGCCTTTTTGGATGTAAGCCAGGTGTTCAAGCCACTTTCATTCTCCGTGTGACATTGTATTACTTACTTCCAATCCACCAAGTCTCGCGTTGCCAATATTCGTGCGATCGAGGTAGCTCAAAAGGTATCTATACTGTCAGCGTCCACAGCCAGACCACACGCCTCTCTTGCAAAGAACAGGTAAAACTGTTGACTTGCGAAAGGCACTGAACGGAACTCACAGCAGGGCCAAGAACGGAACGAGGTATAGGTCGATTTTGCGAACCAGTTTCTTGGTCATCTTCTCATCGAAACCGACGGTTGAAGACGTTGACTCGACCATCATGACATCCTCGTCCTTGGACGACGAGACAGGGCTCTCGTCGCCTTTCTCTTTCCCCATTGACAACATATTGGTTGAGGAGCGGTAAAACAACAAAGAGGCGGAAAGAGAATGCTGTCTTTGAAGGAGGAAGGAGCGATCAAGTTGAAACTATTAATTTCATCATACGGATGTAGGCCTTGGTCCATCTTTCCTCCGTCTCTGCTCCGAGTAGAGTCGGCCAGGGACACCGTGCACATAGAGTCCAACCCGCACATGTTCTCCAGGTTCCAGGAAACCCACGTGCCAAGCCTAACCGCTAGGAATCACGACATGTAAGCGGTGTTGATGGTCCATCCAGTCACGGCAGTTCAAGGAACGCATGGGGAAGCAAAGTGGACTTGGCGGTACCAAGAATGCCTTACTATGGGGTATGGTGAGAGAGGAAGTTGCAGGGATGGAAAGGCACGCAGTCGACGAACCGAGGACGACTTGTGAAATACGCGACCTCGTGGAAAGCAGATTGATGTCATACTTCGTATTGGGAAGGCGATACCAAGACTCCCAGGGAGCATACGCTGCTTGACTTGGCTGCCAAGCCCTTATCCAGTTCCGTTGTACGCTTGCCCAGTAGGTCTTTCGTTGGGAATTATGCATGTTCCTTCGTTCCGGGTCTGTATTGTGGTAGAACTTCGACTTATGTTTAGTGTTCCTACAGCGACCTGCTGCGAGTAGAGCCAACCGAATTTGCTTTGGGCTTCGTCAAGCGCTCTGTTTGTGACTGGCGAGGTAATAGGTAGAAGGGATGGTAAGAGTACCATGGATATAGCATTGATGCCGGTTAGCGCCTTTGTAAACTGAATACTACCCTCAGATCTTTGGCGAAAATGAGATCATCCATAGTCACACCACCGGCACGAGAAAAGTGCTTGCACGATGCGTGGAGCTTTAACGCGTCATTTTCGTGTTCACAGAAACAGCAAACTCAAGAGCCTACGCGTGTATCGACATCTCCATCTTCTGACTACCAAGAGCCCTTCATCGTTGGCACTCATTGTACTCAGCGCGTCAGAGGCGCGAACGTGAGGAGTCTCCAACTTTGTTCACGATACGACAAAGAACATTGAGTCGTCTGCTGATGTCAGCACATTACGAGGTGGATCTCGTCCAGGATATTCAACGAGAGTGAAGATACTCATTGACTACGACCCCAAGATTCGATAGTCATACTGAGGGTGTCTAGCTATCCTCTTTGTTGTCCTCTTTCGTCAGCCAGTGACCAGGACACAACAGTTCTCGTTACAAGAACTTTACGTCGTGATGACGGCAAATTGGCCATGGACAATGGCTGAGGGTCAAATGTCGTGTCGGCTTTGTGTTGACCGTATCCTGTGACGACAGCGGGTTTTGCTGCTGAACAATGGCTCAAGGCATCGCTAATATGTATATAAATCCAACTAATCTGTCCATGGTAAGACGACGAGCAGGCTCAACTTCGCACACATAATCAATAACACAAATCTGTACACATCACTCGAAGACTGCACCAAAGCTCGAAACCATGAGCTCCGATAACAACGAGGACCTCGTCAATGTCTTTGGGGATCTGAACCTGGACATAGAGGCTCCCACCGAGCATTCGGATGCCGAACCGACTCCGGAAGCACAGGCTTTCCTCGGGCTACCACAACACGTCCGTCGTACGGCCTATAAAGAAGTCTTTTCGACGGTAACCCAGCTGGCTGTCGAACCGTGGCAGCTACATTCCAATCCTAGTGACTTGGCTCTCTTCAAGGCCTTTGTCAAAAAGGAGACCGAAGGCAAAGGAACGTCTTCCCTCCTCAGATCCGTATGCCGTCAGCATATTTCCCCTCTTGAGATCCTGAATGATCGGCAACTCTATCAGGAAGCAGCAGACGTTATTGCGACCGTCGATTGCACATTGTCCGTCCCGGCGGATATCGCAGTCGAATTCTTTATGAAAGTCCTGAAGGATCCTTCTCTTTCTAGGCTCATCACAAGCATTCGGTTCGCGAACATGTTGGAGGTCATGGAGTATGGCCATAACAAAAAATGGACCAAACAACAAAAAAAGGTCGTCCCTCGCCCCGGACTGCTGATTCTTAGCTTTCCAAACCTCAAGCAAGTTTCCGTGGAGACATGTGTTTCCGACATTGGCCAATATCTTGAGAAGTTGCCAGAAGCAGCTAAAGACGCTGGCAAGCAGGATAATCATATGCTAGCGTGGAGCATCGCCGAGCTCGCAGTCGCAAGCAAGCAGAAACTACTACAGGTGGCGGCCACTGGCGGGCGTATACCAGTTCACGACAGGACTCAGCATCTTTCGCAGGTCGTTAAGTTTGCCCGCGATTTTTATGGCAAACAAATTACGGAGGAACCTGCTCCGTTCGGTAGAGAACAGCCAAAAGTGGTCTTCGAACTCTACCTTGTCCAAGACCCAGCCAGGGGTCGACCATTTTGCGATGGTGTTCGAGCTTACGTTCGAATGGGACCAGACGACACCTTGAATCTCGTGAGTGCGGAGCCGTGTGTTTTGTACAAACATACGAAAGCACCGAGATATAGACCAATCCCTCGACACCTTGACACTCTGTGGCACGCCATGGACTATGGTCGAGTCAATCAAATCCCACGTACCTGGTCTGATGTCGATACTCCTTCTGTTGACCTGACTAGTCCGATAGACTGGAACCCGTTCAGACCTGCTCGTCAATATCCTTGGGTAAACTTGCCAGAGGAGTACAAGACCGGCTTTGGGAGCTGGGCTAAAGCGATTGATGAATTGGCAGGAAGACGTGTCGCGAGCAATCTGAATATCTGGGATGATGCTCAGCGAGTGGGTGGCGCGGATTATGGCAACATAGATGCTTAGGAATCTCCTACATGGTACGTGTCACCTCGGCAAGTTGATCAGAATTACTGTAGCCTTTTAATATGATGACATCCTTCTTCAATGTATGAAAGCTCTACTCGATCTCTACCCTAAATTCATATATTAGCTTCCCTCACGTAAAAGCTACACACCGCAGACATCGGTGAGTAATTCCTAGAGGAGACATGCAACCGCGTCCTGCGTGCACACGATTCTGACACTCCGGAGCTTCTCAACCAAATATCGCATACCTCTCTGCCGGACAGCGACGTCGTAGTATTCAAGCATACCAGTATATCGAGGTTGACCTCACATTTATGCACTTCTAAAATCTCCTCAACTGACTTTAGTGGTCTGTTCGTTGCTGGTAATGCAGAGAGCCAAGACTTTGCTGGAAGAATCAATCGAAGTAGAGTATAGCATCATTGCAAAGTAAAGTGACATAGAGAAGAAGAGACGAGGTCGTCGAACGTAACCATCTTTGTCTGCTTCGAGAATCTAGGATGCTTCTAGGGTATAGAATTGCAGGTAGACGTAATTACTTGCTCTGTGGCAGGCACGGCTCACTGAACATGTCTTCCGAAGTGAACGCTCCACAAAACTCCACGTCCTCACGCAGGACCAGCAAGTGCAATGCAGCTGCACTACACTCCAGTCTCAATCACCCTTTACCTCACAACTTGCAAAACGACGCGTTGTTCTTGTACGAGGAAAACTCTCAAACTTGGGTCAACGAGGCAGGATTATTCGTGCTCAAGGTTAGCTCATACTTAGCCAAATGCATCGTCTCTGCCAGCTATCCACCTCTGTGTTCTAAGTTCTCTTACATCGAAATCCTTCCGAACCGGCTTTCAAGGGCAAGCGAAAGGAGGGCAAATTTTTCATTACCTTTGTGCCGTGTCTGGAGAGCAGTAGTGATGGAGGAAGAGACTAGTTAGTCCACATAAGAATACAGAGAGAGTGTGAGATTTGAGTGGGTATGCACAATCGATCATTGAAGCGCAGATTTCGTCTTCTCGAGAGTCCACGGCCTGAAGAAGTGCCTTTCACGGTGACATGGAAAATACAATTGAATTGGCTTCCGCTGCTTGATTTGCGACCTGTATCGATGTGAAGTCCTGCATGAGCGATGCTCTTCAGCAAGGTTCCACACCGTGCTTCAGACTGTTTCACTAACAGATTGATTATCTTCACTTCGATTTGAAGGAACGTTACGTGACGCTATCATGTGATGTGTCCACCAGCTTGATAACGGTTCTCCATCTTCAAAGAAACGTTCACGATTGAGCAACACCACTCGAGAGAATCCTGCTCATTGTTCACAACAGTCATGACGACGCCTATTGAGTTCGTTTCTGGAGGCGACCTTGTCGTTGCCTTCGGTCAGGGCGACGCGGTGGTAAGTATCTTGTTTTCCTGCTTTTCCTCCGAGCAGAAGGTTGAAAGCAATCGCTTGTTGAGCTGACATGGCGTAGAAAATCGCCAAAGTTCACAAATCCTTCTTGCAAGCTGCATCTCCAGTCTTCGCAACACTTCTAGGCTCTCAGGTGAATTCAATTTTGGAATCTCATTACGGCTCTACTAACTCGCACAGTTCCAAGAAGGCCACAAGACCTATAGCGTAGCGAATCCACTCCCTTTTCCCGAAGACGACCCTACTGCTATGTTGAATCTGTGCCGTATCCTTCACTGGCAAAGCGGCACCGTGGATATCTCCACGGACGATTGGTTACAGCAGCTCGCCATTGTCTGCGATAAGTACCGCTGTGCTCAGGCATTAAAAGAGTTCTTTCAGGCCAGAATCGATACTGCTGATTTGTCTTATACTGACAGCTGTATTATTTCTCTTCTGGTTGGCGACCTAGAGGTATTCGAAGAGTGGTCGTCTTTCCTGATACGGAACACTAGAGTCACGGTGGAAGCTGAGTGTCACAAGGATCTTCTCCAATTATTGCCAAAAAATATCCTGGGTATGTTACAAGATCCTGTCTATTATATCTGACGACGGTTCACTAACCTCTGCCGCAAGGCGATCTTGCCGAATATCGCCGCTCAGCGCGCGCCGAATATGCACTCCTCGCTCAAGCTCCCATGCACAGCATGCGCAAGGTCGTTGGCGAAAGTCGTCTCTGCTGGGGCGTAGAAAAAAAGATAGTTACCTATTGGTATATTCTTGGGTCACACAAGGTCTTGTGCCCATGTAGGGAGATCGATGTCTATCTGCCAGATTTGCACCATGTCATGACACAAGTGATGCTCGAAAATAGCGCAAGCCCTACTCAAATGCGTGTCGCTGGCGACCTTGAGCAAGAGTGCAGGAAGAGTGGTTTCATTTCCTTTTGTGGGTGTAATAGCTGGAAGCTCGCTGAAGAGATCTTGTCAGCGGCCAACCAGATCACCAGCGGCAAAGCGGAAACGTGCAAACTGTGCTATCTCTGCTTTCAGTCTGGTAAGACCACTTTCATCGAATCCTGCAAGGTCCATTAGTGCGGGAGACCAGATACATCCAGCTGATGCTCGCTATGAGCCGATCCTCTTCTGTGTTGGGATGTCGAGAACGACACTACCTGGAAGAAACTTCTGCGGACTACATGGAATCCTTGAGTAAAAGCCTGCTACCACAAGTATTGCAACATTGAACCATCCTGAAGGGTGAAGATTGGTGCCGATCACCACCGAAAGGAAGCAGTATATGAATGATTTTGTGCTGACAGCTGTTCGAAGTGGGAAGAGCGAATAGGATTAGGTTAATGAGGCAGGGAAGAATACAAGGTCTACCAGAACCCTTCCTGAGCTCCCAATTGACCATGTGGGATACCTAATAATTCGTCACTTTTAGTATCAGTAAGACGTGTATACTCTAGCGACTTGTCCTTTTTTTTTTTTCTTTTTTCCAAGACAGTCAACTACACCACAAATTGTTGTCGCGGCTATCACACCCTATTTAGCCTTGCACTAATCGATCGGACTAGTTGTGTCAATGGTCAGCAGATCTGTAGACAAACATTTGGCCCGTGTCACCCGGGAGGAGAGGACAGTAGCTTGAAGAAAGTAAAAGGAAATGCTCATTCGAACGTAGCTAAGCAAGAAGCTGGCAAACGGCCCCAAGCAAAGATTGAAGTCGTACTCCTCAAAGCACGAAATTCATCACCTTCCTAACCAAGCAGAAGCAACTAGAAATTGACACCCATCCACCCATCCCTAGTTCCTCGCCAACATCCCCCTAACATGCTCTTCAACCACCTCAATTCCACCAATCCCCAACAATGTCTCACACCACGTCCCCCTAAACAAAAACACAATCGGACAATTCTGCGGCCCAAACTTGATCATCGGCGTCGTCGAAGCCATCATCTCCATCTCATAAAACTTGACATCCTTGAACTCCGGGTTTTGCGACAACTCTAGCATTTTGGGCGTGAAAGCACGGGATTTTGGTGTTGATGAGGAGACGTACATTACTATAGGGATGTTGGCGGTTTGGTTTTCGCGGGAGATTATTGAGTCGTGGGTTTCGCGGTCGGTGATTTGGGGGAGGCGGGTTGGTTTGTTGTCGCTGGCATCGCCCATGGCTTTTTGTTTGGATTCGAGAGAGAAGAGGCTAGTTCTGGTCTGATTTTGAGACGTCGGCTACGCTGAGTGCTCGGTAGCGTGCTTGGTCCTTGTCCTTGTCTTGGACTGGTGATTGAGGTGGTGTACTCTGTTGCACGGCGTGGCTGTATGGTAGTGATTGGTTGTAGTTGTGTGCTGGAGATTTGGTGGTGGGCTTGTCCTCGAGGATCCAGCCAAGGGAAGCGAGGTGGTGGATACGCGAGTTCTTTCGGTTGTGTGAGTACATGTTTGAGATATGTTGTGAGGATGGAAGTTGGTTACGTATGTTTGATGTGTCGGCCGAGGTGAAGGTTTCAAGTTGGTGGAGGTCTGGGCCCGGCTGAAAGGAAGATCTCACGAGGTGATTGATGACGAGTTGAGAACTAAAGTGAGGAACACTTTAATGAAGGGTTTGTGTTCTTTTATGTCTGTTGGGACAATTTATCGAAAGGAACACTGATCAAGACCTGTTGCGTTGAGTTGCCCGACTTTCAGACACGATCCGATAGAAAAGGGGACTTCGGCGAGAATGATTCGGAAACCCTGATCGGTCGTCGTCTTCCCGTTCACAGTTGCCTTGGCTGGTAGTAGAATTGGTACGGTGTTCAGAAGTTGTAGTTACTGTAGTAAGAGCACAAGCAAGATGATTCCTTTTACAGAACCCTCTCATGTTATATTAAGTCCTTTCGCGAAATAGCACACGACATCACACGACAAATATGGCATGATGACGGCTCGGATGTGAGGAGAAGTGGAGAAGGTTCAACGTCGGGTCTTCCCGGAATTTCTTGACATCAGGCAAGTATTTCCGCCTAGGTAAGCAGAATCACACAACACTGTGTCATGCGCTTTGTATGAGCAAAGACACGGCGTGTCTTGCTCACACATAATATTGTGGTCGATGGGATTTGATGTGCATGGTCTTGGAATCCTATTGATCTGATGATCTTATTTATCTGGTGGTGAATTAATATGTGGACCGATTCAAGTTCAATCTCTTCCATGTTCATTGTTCTTCATTCTAGAGTCTCGATAGCTAAGATATCTAGCAATCAACAGAACATTTAATAGCCACCTCGTTGTAGCGTAACCTTGGCGACTGACAGCAGCTGCGGCTGCCCGAATTAGAAGTGTGTGCTTTCTTGCATGAAACCGACTTCTAAGAACCGACTCTCCATTCTTCCATGTCATGACCACTCGCCCTGACGCGACCGAATTGTGTCCTCTGTCTCTGTATGCTTGCGTTCTTGAAGTCCGAATAATCGAAAGCTCAGACAGCGAGCGAAGGTCGAATGACACGAAGAATATATGGTTTCGAACTCTTGACCTGTCGTCACATTTCCATGCTCATACCTCTCGAAACATTCAAGATGGTGAGGTGTCCATACCTAGGTTACAAGGCCCCTCGAAGTCTCGAATGTTCAGCATGACCACACCCAGACTTGACATCCACCTCTCCACTCCGCAAGCAGGCCAGACATATGCTGTATTCGCTGAGTCGACGTGGCTGCCCGGGAGGAAAGTGGAAGAAGGCTGCGTGGGCGTCCACAATTACCTGGAACATATCGAGCTCGCAATCAGGACAATGTCGTGAGCATTTTCCGATCAGAGCTCGCAAGAAAGCTGGATCTTGAAGCACATCCACAAAGAACCAATCGAGTAAGTGTTGCAAACTGCCGTCAAGATTGTGCTCAGCGACCATGTTTTCAATCCATACTCTGTAATGCCGCATTCGAGCCTCTTGGATCTCGCAGCTGACTCTGTCCGCATTTCTGAACATGATTGGTGCAATTGTTGAATGGTGGAAAGATTGCTTCACATGAAGCTGAATGAATTTTTCGAGAGCGGCTGTTTTGGGGTCAATATTGTCCTGTGGAGATGGGTAATTTCTAGAGGTACTTACGAACGACGTCTTGTGTAATGTATTGATGCAAACAGGAGCTGGTGAGGGTGGCAAGCGTATTCGTTGTGGTCATTGACAACGCGTCTGATGTGGCTTGTCCGAAAGTACGGTCGTCGTTCACCATCTTGGCCAAGGCAATGATGTCCCCTGTCGAGATTCTGTATCTGTTAAGGAACTGTGTTCGTGACTTCAGATCTCCGATTGCGCTGTAGCAAGTCAGGTACTTGGTGATGAGAGCCTGACACGCCTGCAAGCAGCCGTGGTTCGTAGCGAGAATAGCAAAACGCGGAAGCCAAGTAAGATCCTCGCAAGCTTGTTCGATGAGATCAGCTCTTTGATGCAGTACTGCACAGAGAACGACGAATAGCTCGGGATCGTCTTGTGGTAGCTGAATGAAGTTACAGTGGCCTTGGCTGAGTTCGGCACGTAAGTGAATGCTGTTAGCGTTCATGATATTTCTTGATACATTGACGAGCAGGCGTGAAGATGTACCAGTTCCAAGGTGCAGAAGGAGATCTGGGACACCCCAGACGTCGATTGCTAAGTAGCACCCGTGGTGGATACAAGGTAGTTGAGAGAGCCAATTTGAACGTAGCATACTCATTGTGAGTCTGCACTTGAGACTTCTGTTTCTTAGAGTTAGAGCTGTACTTAACCACAAACCTTTGCTTACCACACCACTGTGGAAGATATACATCAGTAGTGGCGTACTGTTTGCGGTTAAAGCATGTCATCGTTTCCGGAAACATCTAACAACTTCCTAGGCTGGGGGAAGACAAGTCGGAGGACAGAAAGAAAGGAACAACACGGTTGGGACAAGTTGAATAGGCAGCTTTTGAGCGCTTTCGAGAAGTCGCTCACGCAATAGTGTAAGGACGTCAAACACAACCCTTCTAACGACGAAGGTTCCACCAGGTAGCCAAAAAGAGAGCAATGGTCGCTGTTGGACCGACAACTCTCACTGCCACTGGTTGTTGTAAGGTCATAACAAAGCATTGAGCCACAGTATGCCACCTGCTTGGTCTGCGACAACCGTAGGAGGCAGAGTAGGTCAGCAGTCAAGTGGCTTCTCGTTAAGCTATGCCGCTGAACTGTGGCGGAAGCTACCGTACAAGCATATACGGCTTTGACAGAGCAGGTCGTACATCGCAGTACGAGAATGATTGTCAACGACTTACTGTGCAAAAATTGACCGCTTAGCATGACTTACAATGGCCGCGCGCCAGACTGCAATCCCGAACCGGAGAGGAAGTTGACCAATTACCACATTGGGGAAGTCGACGCGCCGAAAGCAGTATCTCAATTTGACGTCTTTCAGGCCCAGCTGTCCTTGAAGGCAGAACGTTGTACAAGAGGCTGCGAGGGTCACCATCTTTGTCACGTCATGTCGTATGAGTCCCTTCTCATGAATGCCTGCCTGCTCATCCTCCAGAGTGTCGTTGTTCAAGATGAAGGTGCGCCGATTGTGGTTCTAGCTCTTTCATTTGCAAAACTCTTTCCTCTGCGAACGGATCATGTCAAGGTATACGAGCCTTTGAAGATCGTACGACCTTGATAGTCTAGGTGGAGATTGAGGAGTATTGGCTGTTTATGAGCTACTGCTCGACAACTGCTGGCGCGTTTTGCTTGTTGATTGTATCCAGTGGAATTGCACTCATATATTCAGCTCGAGGTTGTGTTCGCTCGATCGGATAGATCACCAACAGACACAGGCGAAATCATGTAGTGCGATGGGAAGATGTGTCGACACGATAGCACTCGTCTTGACGCGTTGAAGAGGAGGTTGTTCTTGAGTGACGATAGCCACAGAACTTTTGACTCCAATGCCTGGAGACACGAATCTTAGCGCGATATCTCGCGTTCCAGGTTCGGGCTCTGGGGCTCTTTCCACCTCGAACTGCGACTCTCAGAAGAGACACGAAATCTCCAGTGAATCGACAAGACGTTTATACATTTACATAGCTGGCAAGTGGCACTGTCTCGTTAGTAGTAGAAGACGTTGTCCGCTACCTTATCAATATTACCATGACAAATATGCTTGGACTCGACAACCCAAATGCGGTATGTCTGACTTCCCGAAAGGGTAATCAGACTGTAGTTCGTCCTCCAGATCAGGACTTTTAAAGGACTTTTTATCTCCTTCACGTACAGAATGTAAAACTTGGGGAATTGCAATTTTGATCAAAAACCCACAACATTTCCTGTGATGTTCGACTGAAACTAAGATTCTACTTCACACACCCTTGTCAAACGTTACGACGAGAGGTTTTGCAGCTGAAGTCGAGGCAGGCAGATACAGGTCAGACTATCAAAAACTTAGTCGAATACGGATTCATTGAGACACGAAGAGCAATGATGAAAAAGTTGGACTGCTGTGACACTTCTCTATTATGCAAATTGTTTTCCCATATGCTACACTACTACGGTAGTCATGATCTCTTGATCAGTCCCTGTTGTTCTATGTAGTCCCCCCACGCAATGCTATGCTGTGCAGTAAAAAAGCCGATTAACAATAAACATTTCCGTCAAAGGTGAATTGAACACCGTGCCTATTGTGAGAGGCAGAGACTCATATCGTAGACTTTGTATTGGACATTCCGGTTCAGACCCTAAAACTCCTCGTTTTGTGACCGCTACTTTATGCAAGGAATGCAACGACACCGAACAAGCCAGCTGCGATGGCATAGGCTGGCTTGTTTGCGGCACCAGTGAATGTACTGATGGGGCTGTTGCCAGTCTTGGTTGCTGGTACACCGCTTGAGGTGCTTGGCACGAAAGCGGTGGTGCTGGTCTGGGCTGCGATAGGTGTTGCGGCTGATGAGCTTGGTGAACTCCATGCACCCCAAGTGTCTGGAGCAGAGCTGCTAGCAGCCGGAGTGGTCACTGGCAAAGCTGGAACAAGACCGACACCTTGCGTTGATGTGGGCACAACATTAGATGTAGCACCGCCAGTCACAGGAGCTTGCTGTGTGATGGTGTTGAAGCTGACTTGTGGCACAGTCACTGTCTGTGTAATGATAGTGCTGGTCTCGGTACGGGTGAAGGTGATGACTGTGCTTGGGATCTCGGCAGGCTTTGTAGGCGCGGGTGGTGCACCTGAGCCGCCAGTGACTGGAACCGAAGTAGAAGGAGCCGGTGTTGGTCGTGGCACTAGAGTGATGCTCGATGGGATACCAGTGCAGATACCTGGATTCTTCGGGACAAAGTCTGCACAAATACCAGCAAGGTAAGAGAACGCAGCTTGGACGTTGGCATCAGAGCCACCCCAAGCTGAGACACAATCTTGGACAGACGAGATGAAATCGGGGGATGGGCAGAAGCACGAGATATCAGAGTTGGATGAGCAGGAGCCAGCTTTCTGCATCCAAGTGCTAAAGCATCGTGGTAGAACATCTGGGCATCCAGCTTCTGGAATTGGTGTCTCGTTAGACGACAATGCGGTGGTGGACGAGCTGGTAGCAAGAGTGGTGCTGCTTCGGGTTGTCAAGCCTCCAGTCGGCTTCTTCACACACTTCCCATCTTTGAACTCCTCGTCTCCTTGGCAAGTTACAGCTGAAGTTGTGGTCGTCGATGTGGTAGCGATTGGTGTGCTGCTACTCGATGTCACACCTCCAGTAGGTTTCTTGACACACTTGCTGTCCTTGAACTCCTCATCATCCTTGCAAGAAGGAGCCGAGGTGGATGAAGTGGTGGCTACTGGTGTGCTGCTCGGACTAGTGCTAGATGTGATACCACCAGTGGGCTTCTTGACGCACTTGCCGTCCTTTGTCTCCTCGTCGTCCTTGCAAACCACGGTTGAGGTAGTGGTTTGACCAGTCGTGGTTGTGCTGCTTAGAGGCAGTGATGTACCAGGAGTCGTGGCTGGGATCGTTGTTGTACTACCACCTGTAGGGGGAGCTACACATGATCCCTTGTCCATGGTTGATCCACTGGAGCAAGCAGTTGTGGCTAGTGGAGTTGATGTAGGCAACGTGGACCCACCAGTAGGTCCTTTTGGACCACACTTTCCATCCTTGACTTCTTCATCGTCCTTGCAGGATGGTGGAGTCACGACTGGAACACAGACACCGTTCGACTTGGCCGAAGAAGGACCGCAGGACGTAGTAGTCGAGCCAGCCGGAGTGGTGGTGGGTACACAAACGCCGCCAGAGAGGGTTTCTGTCGTGACACAAGCTGCAGTTGTGGTTGTTGTAATGCCTCCTGTAGGAGTTTTAGGGACGCAAACACTCTTGGTTGTATCCATGGTAGAACCTTCACCACAAGCTGTGGTCGTGGTTATTGTTGTAACGCCTCCAGTAGATGTCGTCGTAATGCCACCAGTGGGTGTTTTCGGAACGCAGACACTCTTTGTCGTGTCCATAGTCGAACCTTCAGCACAGGTAGTGGTGGTAGTGGAAGTGATGCCACCAGTAGGAGTTTTGGGAACACATACACTCTTGGTTGAGTCGATCGTTGATCCTTCGCCACAAGTCGAAGTCGTGGTAACACCGCCAGTGGGGACACATTTACCAGTTCCATCCTTCGATTCTGTTGCAGCGCAGGCTGTCGTAGTAGTAATAAAAGTGCGAGGGACACACACGCCCTTATCCATGGTGCTTCCTTCGGAACATGTGGATGTTGTCAAAGGTGTGGTCGTCTGAGGAGTCGTGGTGGCTGGCGTGGTAGTAGGCACGGTTGTGGTACTTGGTGGTGTAGGGACACAAACGCCTTTGTCGATGGTTGAGCCTGTAGAACAGACAAGACTTGTGGTAACTGGTGTAGTAGTGGTGGTAGCAACTGTGGTCGATGGCACACTTGTAGTCGTGGTTTGAGTGGTTGTGCTGGAGGAAGAGCTAGTACCTGGCTGGCAATCGAAGATGATAGAATGGAAACCAAATCCACAATCACCCTTGACCTTGACTTGTTTGGCACCACCACATTGGCTGTTCTTGACCACTGTTCCATCTGTTGAGCATCTCGTCTTTTGTTTGCACGTAGAGCCATCAGGCATGTCGTACTCGAAGGTAAGGTCGGCGTCCTTGTCAGTGGAGACGTGCATTTCTGTAATGGAGAAGTCCTTGTCTTGACCTGAGATCTTTGGGCAACTTGCATCATCCTTGGTGGCTTGTCCAACAATAGCTTTGCCATCGAATTGAGTCCGCTTCTTCATACCACGCCTTCCACTTCGCGCATTGAAACCATCTTGGCACGAGAAACCAGAAAATTGAAACCCGTCATAGCTGCCCACTTGACCAGTTGGTACCTTTCCGAAGTCCCAGCCGCCGGACTGGTCACCAACACATTTGTTGTTACTGTTATCAGGGTTTGAGAAAGATTGAGCATCGTTCCAGCCGTAAGTTGCCACAGCCTGCTGTGAATACAAAACGGAAGCCAAGAAACCAGCCACTGCTGCTGCCTTCATCTTGCTAACTTAACGATGGTCGTTGTTGGGTATCAATAGTAATAATTGCAAAGCGATTGACTTTCGTGATTCGTAGCGAACGTTGAAGCGATTGACAGGGGAAATGGTAAAGCAAAACAGAAAGAGACACTTAGCAGAAATACAACTTGGCCAGCAAACGATTGATGCTATAGAACAAAGAAGAGAGGAACCTACCGTGGGAGAGGAACAGCATTATGTAGCCTCGCCATCCAGTCTACTGATCTTTGTTTTCAAGGCAGTGTGTGGAGGGAGTACTCCAGCAGCTTGACTAGGATTCGCCTCTAGGAGAGAATCTGAAGCCAGACATCTCAGAAAAATATCCGAGGCGCGCGGTATAGGAGATCAATAGTAGGCTATGTGAAGATCGGGTGGAAGTGGTTGTGGTTTGCGAGCCAAAATTCTGTATTGTGGCTACTATCTTGAAACACAGACGGAGGTCACATGTTGACCAATGGTGTCCTGACATGAACACTTGGCATCGAGTGACAGTATGTGGCAAGGGTTTGTAGTTTCTGGATACAGTTGTTTCTCGATTCGGACATTTTCGAGAGGTTGTGGACGGAGCGAAGGTACAGAAGTGGCAAGCAAGCTCTCTCGTCGTGGCGCAGTGACCTGACTTCAGGTTCTGAGCCTGATGAATTGAGAATGAAGAATATCAGAACTAAGGGGAGGAAGCCACTCGTTTGAGAAAGAGTCAAAGGAGAAGAGATGTTTGGACCAGAACGCGTCTCGAAATGTATTGGTGCGTTATATGAAACGCACAACCAATCGTTGGGCCTTGGCTCGCGCGCTCTGTGGTGGAACTACAGACGCGCTTATAATCGAAATTGCTGTTCCACAAGAAACCACGAACAACGACAAAAACATCTCTCTGCTCTAGCATGCGTTGATCAATCAATCCGCGCGTCTACACTTCTAGTACTAGTAATTTGCGTATTACAGTCCATTCTAACTTTCAGTGTGCTAGAGTACTGGTCCAGACAGAATTCTAGTAGTGCATTTGAGGATCCACAATGGAGTTCTTGGCATGTGGTGACATGTTCAACACGAAACAGGAGTATCGACAGGAACATGTACAGCAGACTTACCACCCAAACTTCTCGACATGAACTTGCAGCTTCCAACCTTCTGCAACCAGGCGAGCGACGGTGTTCTGTACATCTCTGACTAGCCCATCTGGACCACTTACGACAACACATATGCTTTGCTTCTGGTCAATCTTTTGCTTCAGATCGCCTTTGATCCACGCTTCGAGCTCAGCTTGAATGTCCGGCCTTTGATGATCGCCAGTAGCGCTTCGAGTCTCAAAGCGATGGGTGATGAGATCGACAGCACGTCCAACATTGTGGCAATGCTCAGAAGCGTTGCTAGAGACGGCGTTAGTCATTGTATTCGGGAGCACAGTAATCCAACTCTCGTGGCGAGCATCTTGACGAATCCAAAAATGCGCCAGACGAGATTGGTCTGACGAACTGATGCGCTTGACCTCAGGTATACGTTTCTTGCCATCAACGTAAAGCTTCCTGTCATGGAGTATGTCAGATGCTGAATGTCTTGGAGCTTCACGTGCCCAGGCGAAAGGATAGGTCACAGCCACGCCGCTGCCACCAGCAATCAGACACACTCTATCGGCGCTTTTGACTGCTGCTAGTACCTCATTGCTGCTGTAGGGACCATCCATGGAGACTTTGGCGTGCTGGTGGAGCTTTGCATATTCCAGTAGATCACGAGAGAATCCATCTTGCGCCCGTATAGTCAGTTGTAGCGGCCAGGAGACTATAGTTCTATCAGAAGGAGGAGCAGGTGAGGCGATAGTGAATGGATGTGCCTGCCACCTGTGCATCGAACTCATGCCAGGAACCGTCAGAAATACGTGCTGGCCAGTGTGCCACCCACGGCCTATGCCGAAACTGCTTCGAAGAGGTATGGTACAGTACACAAGGACCGTCTCTTCATCCTTTGCAACTTCGAGTGTGGCAGTAAACGATCTTGTCTTGCACAAAATTCTTGACACACCCCTGTCAAGGGTCCAGATCGCAACAGCGGCTCCGACGTATGGTCGTGCATCACGGTGATGAAAAAATAGCATGGCCAAGGCGGCTACCTGTAGAAAAATATGCAGAACCAAGAACACCTCGTAGAACGCTTGCCGGAAGTACCCGATGCTCGTGACATAAATAGCAATGTAGAACACAAATCCAATAACACCAAAAATTATGATGTATCTTGTGAGGTACCAGCCAAGTGTATATCCAAATGGTGCAAGCAGCTGGTAGAATCCAATTACCATTCCTACAACGTGTATTGTAGCAGCAATGGTCATCCATTCTCCAAGTCGACGATGAAAGATGTTCAATCCCTCATAGGACCATCCTGTTATGTAGCCTAGCGGCTGGTTGTTTTTTGCAGCGAGCAGATAAAGCACAGGGAGATTGACAACGAAGAGCAAGCCTGCTCTGTCTGCGATCGTGAAAGCGTGCTGGGAGGAAAGAGGCATGCGGTAGAAAAGGTAGAAAAGGTTGAGGGCTAGGAAGGCAAGGATAGTAAGAGTCGTTTCATTTGCGGGTAGGGAGTTTTGGGGACTCGTCAGGGCGAAGATGGGTTTCGGTTGGCGCAGGAGAAACGACCTGGTGTTGTGCCATACCCGTACATGGACAGGCCTATGATTATACGATCGTAGCTGTGCTTCCGCAAGTAAAGGAGTAGTTTCTGCTGTGTCAGTGGCCTTCAAGGGTGGGCTTTCGGTGCCTTGCAATGTGCTGCTCGATGAGGATGAAATAGATGATGCAGGACATGTCTTTTCATTCAGGCTTTTTCTCTGCCGCCTTTCCGTCCATTCTCGAGCTCTTTTAATTATGCCCCATAATAGCACAGAGACTATTACCACAATGAGATAGGTAGGCAGGAAGCGACGTGAGAAGATAATGGCCTCGATGATGCCGCGAACAACAGGAGCTCGTCTTTTCTCTTCATTTAGAGCAGAGACAATGTTATCGTGCGATGTAAGAGTCAGCCTAAGTACGGCCCTGAGCTCGGAGGACAACACATCGTCCATCGCTAGTATCAAGATAGCAAACACAGTAGCGAGGAGAAGAGGGCAAAGTATACTCGTAATAGATGCAAAGATCTGATCAGATAAGATACGGCGGGGATCTAAGTCGACTAAGAGCTTGGCAATGACCCCATAACCTCTGGCCCACTTCATCCTTGAACCTCGATCTCCCTGCAAGAGACTCGGTCCTGGGACGAATAGTAGAGTGCACATGATATGTGATTGAAGCACTACTACCGCAGTATGAAAGGCTTTATGCGAGCTGCTTCGGTAACAAATATGTTGTCTGAATTGACAACCGCCTAGTCGTCCGGCCTTTTTGTAAAATTCCACGAATAAAAAGCACATGGCGTGTCGTCCGCAAAGAAGACAGACGCCTTCGGTACACGTCAGCTTTCTTTTACGTGTCAACATGGGTGTGAGGTGTCAGTGCAGTAATGTCAGAGGCAACAACAGATTCCAAGTCCAATCAAGCAGCGCTACATCACTCAGTACAACCAAATAGGCTTTGCCGCAATTGCAAAGAGTTCTGGCAATCTGCAGATTGTTTACGAAAGAGCTTCGTTGAGCTCATAGATTTGTACTCTCCCGCTATAGGCAGGGACAACCATGTATATCAGATTATACCACGCCGAGATCAGCCAGACTACTATGAGCTTCATCGATCAAGGCTCTATGCTAATGGTGGTCAAATAATTGCTGGCAAACACTCAGGTTGTCACAACTGCGCTCTCATATCTTTTTACTTCAATCGAGACTCAGGCTCAACCAATGCCAGTCGCAGGAGTCCGAGGTTGATTACAGCAGATCAATTGCCAGGTGCGATTGTCTTGTTGAGACGACACCGAAGTCTTAACATCGAATCATATGAGTTGCAGCTAGTCTGTTGCGAAGCTATCGTAGAGGAAGATGGACCGGATGAGGACTGGATCAGAATTAGTGGTTCAGATCTAACTCTTTGCAACACTTCCCAACCACAATCACCTCCTGTGCTTCAGAATCAACACTCTTGCTGGTCCAACTCGACTGATTCTCCTCGGTGTTGCGATCTGATAATCTCCTGGTTGAACTCATGTCGGAAGTCGTGCCCTAAAACATGCTCGGAAAATTGGTCAGCCACGTTGCTAGGGAGCCATCCATCTGGAGCAGGCAATGCCTCTTCAGCCACGCGGAAAGCGCTTCCTACACGACTTCTCGATCTCGCTGCCTTTCCAGATAACCAAAATGTTCGCTTGATCGAGACTGCAACGTTTGCAAAGACGGAGTACTTAACATTGAGCTATACATGGGGAGGGTACAAGCCGTTCATGCTCGAGAAAGATAATTATCAGAACTGCCTAAGATCGTTAGACGTGAAAATCCTTCCAAAGGTCTGCCAGCAGGCGATTACTATTACTCGTAAGCTTGGGTTCAGATATTTGTGGATAGACGCTGTCTGCATCATTCAGGATGACACAGATGACTGGCGTCAGGAGTCTGCGCGTATGGACAGTGTCTTTGCTGGATCTACTCTAACTCTAGCTGCGTCCAGCACCGTGAACTGTCATCAGAACCTCTATGCCATACGAGATCCTCTAGAGACATTTCAACTGTGTCTTCAAGGCCTTGCTCTTGCTTACCAACTCGTGCCTGGCATCTGCTCCGCTCTTGCGCATCCACCACCACCACTAGGGAAAGTTAGAGGGCGTGGACTGGATACTCGAGGATGGGTATACCAGGAGCGAGCTTTGTCACCACGAACTGTGCATTTTATGGGACCACGACTTCACTAGGAGTGTCGCTCTCGCTGGATCTGCGAAGGACGAGACGATCAGTGTAGACTGGTGGAAGATGGCAGCCCCAAGAATCTAGTGGAAAAGTTCACGCAGCGGACACGTTCATCACACCGTCAAAATCGCACCCTAACGTTCTCGCAAGAAGACAAAGTCCATGTACGAAAAGTATGGGCAACGATATGCAGCAAATATGGATCGACTGCTTTGACACATTGGACAGATCGCCAGCAGGCATTTGCGGGGCTTCTACGATTTTTGCAATCACAAATCGCATTAACGATATCGTATGGATTCTGCTTAGAGTTCGGCGTGCATGATTTGCTCTGGTATACTTTGTATCCTAGTCAATCAATGCGAATAGAGTCGATACCAACTTGGTCCTGGATGAGTCTGAAGCCTACACGGGACAGATGGTACAATCTTAATATGCGACATTTGCTCGTCGCCCGACACAACAGACCGGAAACCATGACCCCAGATGTACCGGATAATTTGACGGAAGTTGCGAAGCTTTCAGTCTCGCCATCGTCGACTGTTACATTAGAACTAGACATGCCAATGGTTGGAATCACAGAGCTGCTAAAGCATGCTACGAAGAATAGTGCCACTCAATGGACAGATCTAAAGTCCAGCGTAGAGCTGGCAATGAGCGCGCACTTCTTCGCAGAAGCAGGATTTGTAGTAACCGAGGACTTCTCCCAGCCCAGCATGGGCGAAACTGAAATCGGGGTCTTGTTCGAAGGAGTCAACGATCGTAAAAGCAAAGTATGGTACTGTTTGCTGGTCCGAAGATTACTGAGTAAGAATGGCATGTACACACGTGTGGGAGTTGTAGAGGTCGAATGGCGCTCGGGCGCACCTGATACCCCAGCTCGACGAATAATAGTACTGGTCTGAGAATCAATACCAGCGCACTTCAGAGATGGAAGATGCGAGTTGTCCAGTAGGTGCTTGAAGTGGCTTCAATCCCTCAATCGAGACTTCGATCCACGTTCACTTCTCACACTAACTCAAGACATCGGGCTTCCCTGACAGAATCACTGCGCGGCTTCCACTGTCTTCTGCTTTAGAGACGATCAGTTCTCTGACTGGATAAGAGGTCGCCACGCAAATATCATGTCAGGTTCAATATCCTGCTGTTGTTGGTCTGTAACTTATCAATGTCTCGAACTCACAATTTTGACTTAGTGTAAGTTAGCAGCATTGCAATAATTCTCAGCCTGTTCTCGACTTTCGACTAAGCGACCAGTCAACAAGTGAACCCCTTCCACTTGGCTATCGGAAGCAATGTAAGGTCTTGCAACACTCTGCACTAATGCATAGTGCCAAATGCGGCGAAGACAACCTCGAAGAGCTACGAGCAGCTGGAGAACGCCCAAGAACAAGCTACTGCAAAGCGATGGAAACCGCGGTACATGATCAGCCGTCCCTCGTTCGAATCTCTGTCGAGAACGTCGCCTTTCTCGATTTAGAACCCGTACAAGGATGCCGACTGTCCAGATACCTGCCAAGGCCATTAAGAACTGGTGGGCTGAGCCTACCGGTAATGTCAAGGTGTTAGCATTCGGTATTTCTTGCCTGTCCTGTATCATAGAAGATGCGTCCTCAGCCTTACCACGTTTTCCTTTTCAATTTTCACCAAAATCCGTGAGGAGGTACACTCACTACCAAACTTGCCTCAACACAATCTCAAACTGCACGCAGACGGTGCGTATGTCCTAAAATTTGAGGTTCTGAGTATCAGGCTGAACAAGATGAACGTTAACCTTGCCTTTTGGAGAAATGCCTGAACATCGCACTACTGCATGGCCGAAGGATCAGCTCCACAAACGAATTGTCCCAGTGGCTTCGTGCCAGCACGGCTCGGGCCCCACACCATCATGATCGCTTAGGTCTAGCTTTCTCGTGCCAATATGTACTGTGTTGGTACACCTACGTAGGTGTCTAGACAAGACCTTACGGCTGACACGCCATGTGAAGAGTAGCGTCGAAAGCGTGCTGTGCTTCGTTCGCAGAACGCTCATCAGTCGGATGTGCAAGTTGTCACGCCTGCCTATTTCCGGCGATGCAGTAGATACTCGCAGATATTCTACTGACGCTAGTGCTAGTAGGAGGCAGTACCCATCTCGAACGCCACGCTGGAAGCAAGTACCTTTCAAGACCATCAGATACGAGACATTTGTCGTCACGACTTTACATTCAAGCGGTCCACGCATTGAAACGATGTACCGGACAATCGAGGCATGGTCGGCAGGAATGAGCACAAACATACGTACAGAGAGACTTGTGAAGCCTGTTGTAAGGTATCTGAGATTGTGGTCCGAGATTGACGCAACGAGAGGAATATTTGGTAGACAAGGACGAAGGCTTGGCTCATTCGCAAGTGCTGTATAATTTGCAACTTCTCTGTAGCTTGCAATAATTCTTCGTAGCGAAACATAAGCAATGAAACAATACCTCCTCTGCGCAATACGTAGCTACCGTGAATATCGTCAAGTCGTGTACGAAAAGGAAAAGATCTCACACACATTGCTCATCAACGCCTGCCTGTGTCTTCCAGAACCTCCCGATAGACACTAACCCGTCCATTGTCCGTAAGTGACGTTCGCTCTGCTGATGCTCCCGGCAAATCTGGTAGCGCCTCGATCTGCCTTGATCGTCGGGCATCCTCTTTCGGTTCAGGTGAAGGTAGACCAGGTATATCGCTGCTAATGCTTGAAGGGTTGCGACGATGGCCAGGCCTAGGAGTCATTGAGGATGGGTCTGGAGACGAGATCCTGCGCTCACTGACAGGCTTGCGAGGAATAGCTGAGCCCGGTGCCATGCCTGTGGGAGTGACATGCATGTCCCGTCCTTGCTGAGAGAGGTCCAGATCAGCAGGCGGGGATGGTAGATTCTCATTGCTGCGATCGTGTCGCATCTCAGACACTGATGTATAGCCTGACGAAGACGCCAGCTCAGCAGGATGTGAAGAACCTTCACTCTGCACGTCTCTGATGTGCGCACCTGCGATGCTCCTTGGGTAGTATGGATGATCGCGAATAGACATATGGTCCCTACGCGAATTGTCCATCATCTCGTGCCGTCCATTCGACGAGATCGCAGTGACACTCGTAAGCCCAGGTGAAGTATGTCCATAACCCCAACCAGGTGAGGTGACATTGCTCGGAGCTTCGTAGATCTCATCGTGTGCGCCTTTGTAACCTGGTTGAGTGAAGTAGTCAGAACGACGCTCAACAGCTGTGTCTCCTGAACCATCTGACTTTTCTGTTTTGGGGTCGATGTGTGATGGTTTTCCGAGCCACGAAAATATGTTGCGGCGGTTTTGTTGTGTTCGTTCGACACCTTCCTTATTTCTGCGACGTCTGCGAACACAGCAGAGAGCAAGGGCGAAGATTAGGAGGACCGGAATTACAGAACACAATGTCGCAATGACTGGGATTTTCCACTTCTCCGAGTCTTTGTCTTCGCGGACTGTCGTGGTATTGTAAGGGTAGTATAGCGGCAGGACATTGACATAACGTGTTGAGAACAGGTCGTTGAGGCCGGAGCCATTGAGATTGTCCACAGGAACGTTGCCTGGCCCATCAGAGCTTGGCCATCGTAGTTGCTCGACGATCGTAGCAGGTGCCGTGAAACTGTCATTCGCTGAGGCATTATACTCGCCAGTCCAAACAAAGCTTGTCAAGTCCAGAACGTCGATGATGCTGTCCTCTAGAAGAGCACTTTTTTGATAAATAGAGCCGCCAACAGTGATCATTGTTGTCGGATTAGGTGAGAAACAGAGGCTGCCATAACGACCATGGGTCTCACCCCTACCGGTTGGTCTCATCAAAGTCCATTGAAAGGCTGGTACAGACAAAACCCACACGTCGTCACTAGTGCCCGTCTTACCGCTTGTGCCATCGTAGCCGCCATACACAAAAATCTCGTGAGATCTTCCGTCTTTGGTTGGCACGACTGCAGTGCAGAATTTGGCGAGCTGAGGTGGACCTGAACTGGCCTCCAGGGTGGACTGCTCGTACCAGGTGTCACGAGCTATATCGTAAATGAGCAATTGCGTCATGAAAGAGTTAGACAGTGGCATATTCGTCGGACTTCCTTCGTAGAGGTCTTTTGGCAGTTCCGCACCGCCTAGGCTGACGAGAACACCAGCCTCTCCATAAGGTAGCCAGACCAACCCACCCTGAGCGCGATTAGATTGTCCATCAGGCCATCTCATGTATTGAAAAGAGGCATGTTCAGGATCCGTCATATCAACACGAATGAAAGTTTTTGCTGGCTGAGTAGGAGGGTCACCGTAGAGTAGAAGTGAAGTGTTATCGGTTGAACCTACACCGCCCAGATACCAGCCATATGCTTGTGCACGATCGTTCGAAAGCGAGCTGGCGTATGAACCAGCCACGATGTACTCGGAAACAGGCCCTATAGGTCTGTGGTTGTTCTCTGGGCTCACACTTGGTGAAAAGATGGTTTGAGCGGGATTGGATGGAAACAGCATCCCTTGATTGACCGACACGCCAATAGGGTCCTTGTCCGCCTGGCCACTGGTATCATTAGCAATTTTTCAGTCCAAAATTGGCAGAAACATACCCGAATGTGTACCACTGATAATCATTATGAAACATGCCGCCACTGATATAGTTTGGTGCAGAAGGATCGCTGTTCTCCTGTTCCCCTCGAATCAGGATCTCATCTGCAGTCTGGTTGTGGATGTTGAATGAATTTGTGAGATTGATCTTCAGATAGAGCCCCTTATCAGCGTTTCGTATCTTAGTATCGGCCCAGTCGCCATTGCTGAAGATGCCATCTGTAAGTAATCCGCCTTCTAGAGCAATAATCTCTCTGATCTGTACACCTCTCAGGCCGTCCCAATTTGCGATACCTGCGAGAGTGACGGGGATTATGACCCAAATCACGGACAAGGCTGAAACCAGTCGCGTTAAGGTCAACGTTGAAGGCATACTTGCGGGGAAGAATTGTAGATGCGATGTTAGAAAATAAATTGCGTTGGTCTCGTCTCCTATATCAACTATCTTGGAGGGGTGAACCCCAGCTCTAGCAACCACTAGGCAGACCACACCCGCTTAATGTTGGTCGAGCTGTGTGGTTGGAAGACGAGCAGGACAAGGTCTCCATCCTCGGTCGTGCTCGAATTGGTTGCGATCGTCCAAGTCCAGAACAAATTCTGAAAGTCTTTGAAATACTGAGGAATACTGTAATGCTCCACCCATTCCTGCGAAGAAGCTGGAGCAGAGTTGACTTCCAATCACTGCCACAGCCAGGTCCGGTATATGCGGTGATTAGCTCGAAGCATCGGCGTGCCGAGACCTATAGTCCCGTACGCTCGTGGGGTCCATCGCCGAGTTGCAATTGATTCACCCATGATCGAGATGGCGTCCGTGGAAAATGCTCGATTAGCTACATAGACAAAGGAAGCAGCTCAAGGGAGGTCATCCACATGAGTCGATGTTCTGAGTCTAGTCAATACTAGCGAGTACATGGATCCCAATTCTGAAGACCATGTCACTAAGATGTGCGGTGCATGCATTAAGACTAGAGTGCTCGTCGCGTGAACTATAGGGTACTGGCTGCACATGAGCAGAGTTCCGTCCTTCACCTCGCTTTTGGTCGTGAGCCGCTAGTGTGCTCACCAAGAATAGGTAGAGCATGTAGCAGGGACTTTTACCTCGAGATGTCACCTCTTGAATATGGTTGCAAGCTGTGTTAGTAGAGCGTATGCACAAACAAGGCTGAAAAGATTGTCACCAGATCATGGCACGCCTCAAGAGTCTGGTAATCCACCAGCTTCTTGGCAGACTAGCCCCGATGAAGGCTAACCATGTATGCTACAGTAGTACCTGATACGTTCTGGATGCCATCGCCGGCCTTTCTCCTTCGGACTGCTTGTTCCTGTTCAAGCACCTGTTCTCGTCTTCGTCACAGAAAAGGTATGCATCAGCGTTGAAGCTTGCAGCCACTCGGCTCGACTACATATGAGCAGAGTCCTGAATATGCGCTAATGCAAGTTACGTATCTGCTCGCAACAACTGAAAAGCTCCGACAAACTTACCATTATGCGACAATGACCACCAAAGTTGCACCTCCAGGTGCTCGTGCGAGACACTGTGTTCTGTTGCCATGTAATAGCGAACACTTTTGGTCAACACCTTCTTGTCATGAGCAGCAAGCTGTTTGTCGCGGCAGCTGTGCCCCGCCAGTGGCTTGCGATCAACCCCCTGCTAGTACCTGCAGCATGGCTCTAGTTTTAACTCGCACCATCTGGCTCAGCTTGAGAACACAGCAGGACTTCCGCTTTGAGTTTGTTCCCAGCCTCTTGCAGAGCTACCTGCCTGGCATAACGCTGTAGAGCCAACGAATGGAGACTTGGATAGTTGACATGCTCCAGTCCATCAGCCTCTCACCTCATTGCCGCTTCTGCCTCGATAAGTGGAGAACTCTGTCTGAATCGAAATAGATCAACAAGCGCAGAGACTGTTGGCACTATAAGTATGCAACTTCTTGCATTCTATCTCGGGCAAGGTCAAGCTTTGTCGATCCTGTCTCTCGTTGCTGACTTTCATCATAAATATCCTTTCTGTACAAGAAAACATGGTGTCAAAATGGCTGCTCTTGCTTGCCATAACACTAAACGGTGTTGCAGCAGGAACCATTCCTAGCTCAGCACCTCCTGCAACCGAGTGGGTGGAGTGGTTGACGACGACTATCTATTCGACCATTCATGATACTGTTTATTCTACCATCTACAATACTGTCAACAATTACATCACGGTGACAGGACCGGTAGTCACTAAAGTCGATCTTAAGACAGTTGTCGAGACGGGGCCGACCACGACAGTTACCAGCTATTCTACTACCACGGCAATCACGTTGCAGACTGTTCCTCAGACAATTGTCGAGACCGTCTCCAGGGTCGTCCAAGAAACGTCTCCCACGACCATCGTGGTAACTGCTACAGTACAAAACACTGCAACCATCCGGCAAACAGACATGGTAGTCACGAATCAGTTGATCACTACTATCAGCAGGGTAACTCAGTTTGTTTCGGTATCAGCAACTTGTCCGACGACGAGTCTATCAGGCTTAGTAACATGTCCAACAAGGATCACAAACACGGCTTATACACCTCCTACTCCGCTCCCTTCAAACTACCTCTGGGGGTGCCCACCTGGGAAATTATGCCATCCTAAGAGGGAGGGTTGCAACTTCGAACAGAATCCGCCAGCAGATACATACATTTGTGCTCCGGAAGAGTGCTTGCCGGTAGCAGCGCTTCCTCCCTTTGATGCCTACCTCGCAGCCAACACGCCCTCTAATGATTCATGTGCCTGGCTGACACCTATTGACGACTACTTCAATCTTAATCCGCTCTTCTTCGGCCTCGACTTTGGGATTTTCAAGATCCATGGACAAGAGACCTGTACGAGCGCGTGTCCAGCTGCAAGCATCGTCACAACCCAGGCTCCTGGTAGCTGGGGAGCATGGTCAGGCCCAGCACCTACCTCGGCTTCCAACCACGGTAGCGTGGCGCCACCCCATGTCACAAAACGAGCCGATCTCAGCGAGAGAGGATTAGCTAAGAGAGTCGTTGCTGTCTCGGGCTGCTATCGGCATTGTGACTACGTCGAAATGGTCTGGGAAAGCATAGGCATGGAAGCACGTCTCTGCGATACGCTTAGACCGATTCTAAACTCTCTTTCGGCCTGTAACAGTCGATCCTCCGGTGTTGGCGTTGCATCTAGCGTTGCATCGGAGCTCAACGCACCCCTGGAGTTCTGCAACTTTCCCATATAGAGCTGTAGCTCAGATAATAATATATCATACATACTCTATGAAAACTTTTATGTGGCATCCCTATGGCGACTTCTACCTCACGCCTGCTAAAGCCAAAGCATTGTACTATTACACAGCGCGCGGTCCACCCAATCTGGTATGCGACTCTAAATCGCGTACTCAGCAGATACCACATTCCAATCACCATTCGTTGCCATGCCGATCATCACTGCACAGACAACAACTTCACTTCCAGGGTATAAGGCCAGAGCAAGGCTTCCTTCCGTCTCCGACGATGCATATCGTCCATCAGTCACTCGTTTAGCTGTTTGCCGCTCCCTTGCCCGACGTTCTTTCAAACAAGCTATATCAGATTATACGATCCACAAATCAAGATGCGAGCGACAACATTTTCCGTCCTTGCCACCCTGGGAGCCCTTGCGCTGGCGCAGGACTTGGCTGGACTTCCGACCTGTGCAGTGAGTGAAGGGTCATCGCACATGGTATAGAGACGATACTGACTTCTTCCAGCAAACTGCAGCATTGAATGGAGCGACAGGCTCGGGATGCAGCTTGACTGATGCTCAGTGTCTCTGCACCAATACCGGCTTCATCACATCCCTGCGAGGCGCAATCGCCAGCAGCTGCACTAGCGTTGCTGATCAACAAGGTAAGCTACAGTATCCATTGACCTGAACCACAACGCAAATACTGACGACTCAATCAGCCGCATGTGCCTGGGGTAACTCAGCCTGCTCCCAATACGGCGTCACTATCCCCTGCGGTACCACAGAAGCACTCCCTGCCAATGACGTTGCCGCCCCTCCAGCAGATACAGACGCTTCTACACCTGTCACAGTAGATGCTGGCGTCGCAACTCCAGTCACCACCACCCCTAGTATGGACGGTATTGCCGCCAGCACAACTCCAGTAACGAGCATCAGCATGCCGGCTGATGGCAGCATGGACACCATGACGAGTGGCAGCATGATGTCCTCTGTCTCCACGATCCCCGCCGCGAGCATGTCCTCGTTGATGAACAGCACGCACAGCATGATGGGAAACATGACACATTCTCCGACTAGCACACCACCGACGAGCACGACTGGAAGTGTGACGGCGAAGTATACTGGTGCTGGGAACTCTGCTACTAGACAATCGGGTATTGTTGGGGTGGTTGTTGGTGTTGCTTTGCTTTTTGCTTTCATCTAAATAGATTGGGCTTGGGAGTTTGAACAGGAAATAGTAATAGATGTGTGATTTGCTTTCTCGGTTATAGGACACATGATGGCGTTGATCGCTACGAAAGTTTTCTATCTCATGAGTTAGGAGAGTATATCATATGTGTCTTTGGCTATGTACCTGTCTCGCTAGCCTGTATCTGTGCAAGGTGTCAATATGGCTGTTTTGACAACTCCTTGGCCTCAACCTCCTTCTTCCTGAATTTCAGCTTCTCGTCAGTGGCGTCAGCACCGGCATCATTATCGTCAACGCCATCATCTATGTCTTTCTTATTTCTCTTCTTGGTCACCTCTGCCATCTCGAGTTCTTTCTCCTCGCACTTGTCATTGTTGTCAGGCTTGCTGTTCCGAGAAGTGTTAGCATATGTTAACTGATTGCATCTCCTTGTACTTACCCGTAAGCTGGATCATCTGGGTTCTCCCAGGGTCGTTCCTCGAAGTCGAATTCCTTAAAGGTATATGGCTTGCCGCTTCTGTATTCCTCACATGCAACTTTGATCTGCAGCCGACACTCCGGGAGGAGTTTCCACATTTCAGCATTAGTATGGACTTTCTTGACGTGGTTGAGCTGTCCCTTGGTAATTCTGGCTCCAACTCTCGTGCTGTTGATAACAAGTAGGCAGAGATAAGAAGGATCTTCCTTTGTCTTTAGTATGTCAAACAGTATTGTGAATATTCCATCGTTGAGTGCTGTGGCAGTACACTCGATGCTCAGAACGGCCGGAATATCAGGATCATCTTCAAAGGCGTCATTCATAGTCATATCGCCAGCATTAGGCAAGTCAAACCCAAGGTAGGTATTCAAGTCACTCGAATAATCCCAGAATTGATCCGAGTCAAAGAGTCCTGGACCAGCACGACCCATTGTATTGACTTTGGTGTTGACGCAGTGCAGGTCAATGTGCTTGACAGAAGGGATTGATTGCAGAAAGGAACTTTAGCAGGAAGCCAGTCGTGAAAGTGAAGGAGATGATCATCTTCCAAGGCGACCGTGTGCTCAAAATGAAGATCTTGGTTACTTTGCAAATTGGGAAGGGACGCATGACGCGTATCAGCGTTCCTGCCTTCCATATATCGCCATACGCGACTTTTTGTTCCAGTTACAAGTCAAGCTGCCTCTTACTAGCATTACCCTCAAGATGCTCAATTTCTTTCTTCAGCACATCTGCCCTGAATGACCTGAAAGCTTTCTCGATCCTCTGCCTCGTTTCGGGATCGTTGGTGATTGGCCTCTGGGCCAAGCTTGCCCCGATCAGCAATCCGGTCTCTCCACCTACAAATACACCGCCGGCCGCGAAAAGACTATACGCAGCAACATCTCCCAATGTACTTGGCTTCAACAACGGAGTAATGTCGGGTATAGCTTCCTCCCTCCCGCTTGCGAATCGTACGTGTGTAGGATGTTCTCTGGCCCGGAAGGCTTGGTACATCCTCGTCCGGTTTGACCTCACACGATAAGCAACAAAGATACCCAGTCCTAAGCCTGCCAAAGTTCCGATCGTGGTGGCCGTGGAGAGAGTTGAGGCAGCAGCCTTCAGCTTGTCGCGGTCGCCATCGGTCAAACTGACAAGCATCAGCGTGTCATACATCACGTACCAAGGTACTAACTCACTCATGCTTGAGATGCTGCTCTGCAAGCTCTGCTAGCTCTTGATTTCTCGACTTTCGTAGAACAGCCAAGGAATCAGCCGACATTTTGCAAATATTCTAGACGCAAATTGTAGAATAAGTAAATTAGGACTTTATCTCTTGACGTAGAGCAATTTAGTTGTGATCACGGCGACGTAGTGGCAGCGATACAGTCAGGAGGAGCTCAACAGGCCTCGTACCTGGAAATCTACAAACAATACGTCATGAGCTGGAGTCGCAGCCAGGAATAAAGTTCCGAACGACCAGGAACTTGTTTGGCCTGTATGCCTGATCTGTAGCCATATTTCGTGGTCGACGATCATTGTCGAATTGCTGTAACCACAAAACGCGTGTAAAGATGCTTGAACGTGAATTTCTGAATCGATCAGCGCGATCGTGAACATGGCTGACAGCTTGTATGGCAGCAAAAAGCCCGCCAAGCTGAAAGGCAAAGAAATCTCTTCCACCAATTCCCTTGCATTCTCGTCAAGTCTTTCGTCGCTGATATCTAGTTCTTCCGCGAAACCGGGTAATACTAAGCAGGTTAAATCCTCCAAAGGAAAGTCCGACATCTTTACCGCCCACAACAGAAACGTGAAGAAGCGAGCCGCCAGAGATCTTGAAGACGAAAATGGGCAGAGACATCAGACGAAAGACGACCTTGGTGCAGTATCAGCGGCTGATCTACACAGATCAAAGCGCAGAATGGAAGAGAAGGTGAGGATGTACAATGCGATGAAAAGAGGCGAGTTCGTCAAACGCGATGACGGCTTCGATGATAGAGGGCTTGTCGACTTTGATCGCAAATGGGCTCAAACGCAGTACAATCAAGACGACTCGGATTTGAGTGACCAGTCTGAAGATGATGATGCGCAAGACGCCAATGAGATAGTGGAATATACCGACGAGTTCGGCAGATTGAGGAAAGGCACAAAGAAAGAAGTCGAGAAGGAGGAGCGTCGCAGCAGAATTCAGGCCATCGCAAACGAAGATGCAGAGCAATTTGCTGCTCATCCTCAAATGCCTACCAACGTCATCTATGGTGACGCTGTACAACACCAGGCCTTCAACCCAGATAGGACGATTGCGGAACAGATGGCTGAGCTGGTCAAGAAGAGGGACAAATCAGCGACACCTCCCCCCGCAACTCATTTCGACGCTAATGCTGAGATACGAACCAAGGGCACGGCTTTCTATAACTTCAGCCACCATGCCACCGAACGCGAGCGAGAAATGGCCGAGCTCGAAAAGACTCGACTCGAGACAGAGAGAATACGCAAGGAGAAGACGGCGGAGTTGCAGAAACAAAATTCAACGCAACCTGTTTCGACGCCGGCAGCACCTCTCAATGAGGATGCGAAACGCTTTCTTGATGAGTTTGAGCTGCCTGAAAGGGAAGAATTGCGTCCTACGTAACTCCAATTGATTCGGAGAAAATCTATCAACCAGCCTGGCCCTATTTGTAACGATTTGTTGATGGTCTGAACTTCACAGCGACGCAACTTCAGGAGCATTGCGACCTCATGCCGAGACATTACTGGGTATTGAAGATTGCAAAGGGTTGTGTTCTTTACGCGTTGGCGGTCCATTCACTTAATCTGCTAAATCATTCGCTCTTTATGTTTCTACTCGAAGTCAATGGTGTGTAATTACAGCAAGCATGCAGATGGTGTAATTAAAGAACGATTATGGGCCACTGGAAGTTGCGGTGCAGACTGAGCCTCATTCCACAATACCACTAGCGTCAAACAGTGCAAACCTTAAGCCCTCCTCAGCACAACACTTCGTTCCACAAATATGACCTTGATGCACGAGACTGGTGCGCAGTTGTCGTTACTTGACCACGTAACTTGATACCATCGTTGACTGTGCGCAAAACTTTTGTGATTGTGTACGGCTCTGCTTTCATGAACGAAGAGTTGCTGTAGATAGTTGAAATTTAGTATGGCTTGAATGCCTCTGCATGTTGCATTCTCAAGTTCCGGAGCGCTGGTGAAGTCAATCGTGAAAGTCAGTGTATGTCTTAGTGTAGGAAAATCGAGCCACACGATGAACAGCGCTTATTCCTTGCTGAAGAACGATGTCGCCTAACACTCGTATTCGCTGCAGCCGACTGGGATAATATAAAAAAAGACGAGGAGTCAATCAGATAGACAATAGCACACTAGGTCATCGGACTGAGTAGTAAGAAGTGAGCGAATGGGATAAAAAAGTATATGTGCCGAAACCAAATCCACTAAACAAAAACACAAAAAGGTTTACCCGAAGGCTATGTTTTGAAGGTTCGCCAGAAGGCTACATCCTTTGTGGGTGAAGCCAGGTCACTCCGCTGGACATTGAATCCAGGCCCGGCTTTACACCTATGCCCGGTGCATACATGTAACCCACGCTACGCGCATTTCTCCATTGAGTGGTTTGCTAAACCTGTTGTTTGTTTGATGCGAATCACAGTTTGCAGAGTTGGTTAGGCGTCAGCGTCGAGGTTCATTAATAACCTGCTTGCACGGGGATTGAACCCGGGTGCAAACGAGGCTGGGGCTCGTGCTACTCTTATCATTCCGACCTAAGGACTCTCTGTGTGGTGTGATTGTTGACGAAAATTGTGGAGGACTGGACTGAATAGTATTGTGTTGGCTGCCAAGACGTAGAGTTGCCGATGTTGTTAGGAAGGACGTGACGTTGTGCCTGAGGGCGGCGGCACCATTTGTTGTGGCCCGCGCGCAGGAAGGATAGTCGCCGGCGAGATAGCCGGACTTTCGATCCGCTAATTCAATTGTTGCTATGTTGGATTCGTCTTGCGCATTTTCGTATCTCCTCTTCACCGCTGAGCTCGCCCAGTTCTGTCGACGTCGTTCGGAAATGAGAGGCCTCGCCAATTCATCGACCTGACCTTGGTCTTATCCAGATGTACCCGTACAGACTGTCCTTGAAGGTCACGACGCCTGAGAAAGGGATAAAAACAATCGCAATCAAGGGTAATGAAAGATCTTGCGTCGTGATTATCGCTCAGGACGAAGGCGACGATCGTCGGAGAAAATGAAGAAGCTGGATAAGTGGGAACCAGAAGTGCTTCACTGAAGTAACATCCATTTATCGCATTGATATACTGGCCCATCATGAAGGAATGCGTTTGTGGTCCATCGAGCTCATATTGGACCTGCGTTTGGCCTGGCGTTTGCTGGTATTCTGATCAGAACTTACATTGTATCGACACTTTGAGTCAAGTCTGCTTCAGAGTGAAGCGACTCGAAAACAATGTCACCACGATGTCATTTCGACGGGAAAACATGAAATTGTTTGGCTGCGTTGGTATTCTACAAGGACAAACCCAGAATTGACGTTAGAAAAAAGCACATGAGCAGTGGGGAAAACGAAGCCAAAAAGGATGCAAGCTCGATTCGGAAGAACGATCATCCAGGTGGCGCATTCCGCTGAAAGTTCACTTGGGCTCGAGAGAAGCCCAAGCCCACTAAGCTTGGGGCTAAACCTCTTATCCACCAACCACAAGCTTGTCGTGGTTAAGCATGCTTATGGTGCAAACCGACAAGTGCCTTGACTTCGATGCAACGTGCTGGCCACTGCGTGTGACCAGTACCGATCGTTCCTTCTGCATAGAGTTCAACAAGCGCTACGGCACTGGAGCACTCTGCTGCTGACAATGGTAGTAACTTCTCTTTCCTCGCATCCACGACTCCCTGCACCTTGGATTTGGAAGCGCAGCGCCATGAGGCCACGAATGCACGCGACAGTGCGAGAGCAGTCGAGACTGGCGTAGGTGGATCAGTCAAATAGCAGATTCACGTCCATTTGTTCTGTAGCGCTCCAAAGATGGTAAGAAGAATAGCAGTCGAATGGAAAAGAGAGGGAATGCTTTCCACGCTGTAAGTGTATGATGGTTGAAGACATTTGTCCCATAACGATCTATTCAGCCTGTTCACGGTTCTCCGTGTTTATGAAATTTTGGTGGGCATGGATCAAATGTGTTGGCCAGCCGACTCGACAGAGGCCTGCAGTCATCCGAACAACGTTATACCAATGGTCCTCTTGACCCTGCCCCGACGTTTCGTCCAGGCCTACTCCATTTCCGGCGTTATGACATTCGTGCGCAAGCCATCAATCAACACATCCCTCATGGTCTGTGCGCTCTTCACCCTAATATCCACAAAGCCTTCTGGACTGTAAAAAGCAGTATGACAGGTCAACACCATCCGCCCCTTCAGCCAATCTTCTTTCCGTCGGTATGCTTGTAATAGCGGATGCACATTATCTTCAGGTATTGGCTCCTCAGGCAGTACATCCAGACCGGCACCACTGATTATACCTTCCTTCAAACATCGCTCCACACCATCGAGGTCGACAATCTCACCTCGTCCAGTGTTCACAAAGACGGCGCCACGTGGTAAGAGGCTCAGCAGATCATAGCCTACCATATTTCTTGTCTCACGCGTGCACGGACAATGGATGCTGAGCGTTGTACTGCGCCTGAAAAGTTCTTTGATGTCGCGTGTGCGCTCGATGCCGATGGCTTTGTCGATACCCATCGGTTGATAAGGGTCATAGAAGAGGACATGCCAACCAAATGCTTTGGCTCGAAGAGCAGCCGCTGTACCAATACGCCCTAGTCCCAGGATACCGAATGTGTTGGTCTGAATGCGTTGGACCAAAGGTGTATCGATGTACATCCATGCAGCTGGTGGTGTTGCTCGTTGTGTTTCGTGGTGCAGGAGGATACCTCGACGAAGAGAAAGTGCTAAGGCTAATGCATGATCGGCTACTTCGCAAGTGCCGTAATCTGATAAGGTGAGTTTGCGAGCGAACGATGAGTTGTGGTCACGTACCTGGCACATTGCAAACTGTAACTCCTCGATTCGCCAAGGCCACACGATCTAATCGGTCATATCCTACTCCCATGCGCAGGATGCTGTGCCGCAGACAATCGTTATATATAGTCCTCGAGCAGGAGCGCGATCGTCGGATGTACTCACACTTTCAATTTAGGAAACATCTCAAGGTCGGCCTCTGTAAATGGCATCTTCAGCACCATTATTCCGTCTACCTGATCTCGGATGTTCTTGTCTAGTGCAGACCATGGCTGCGATGTGGGTGTCCCAGTTGGCCATAGATCACCTGAAATGTATTTTATGGTGTAGTCCTGCCCTTCGCTAGGTTTAAAGATATCTTGCTCGACAACATCATCCTGTCACGTGAATTTTAGTGAATGTCGAGTTCTGAGAATGGAGTCGTACTGGATATAGTCCGTCTGCTTGCAGAATTGTATATGTAGGTTTCGACATGTTGAAGACCTAGAACTGCGATAGAGATAAGCTTGGACGTTGTGAGTTATGGTCAGCGATACTCACGATTGAGGGAATGCTCCTCGTTTAGTTCATGCTCTTGAAAAAGGGTAACGTCGGCGCTCGGTCCGACAGGACTTCAATGTCTCCATCCCACGAAATCTGTCCTTGTGTTGAACCATCACACATGTCTACTCCTCGATTGAGTCGAATCTCTGGGGCATCCTCGCCGTCATCTCGAGAACCGTGAGAATAATGCTTACGAAATGGCAGGAATGAAGACAAACTGCCAGGCACGAAGGCACAGTTCCCGTCTTCGGCGCGAACTTCGGGAGTATCTGCTGAGCCCTTCGACTCAACTGCAAGGACATTGTTCAAACAGACAATTGCAGACAGACGAACGTCAGTGCTAACAAAGCCCGCACTATATGCGAAGAATAGTAAGTATGTCTGACCAGTGAATGCAAGGACTACCTTCCCAAAATTCACATATGGACGGTAGCAAGATTTCTGAGGCCAATGTGTCGCGCTTTTCGGCCGTGACTCCTGATTCACCGGCAACTATGTTGTCGCGGTCGAACGATCAAGAAGAATCAAGGACAAAGGACGCAAGGGCCAACGTTCCTATTAATGGATGCATAGCATTCACTTCTCAGTGGCTGTGGCCCTTTGTGCTCGTCAGTCTATCCATACAATACAGGATCTGGCCTTTTTCAAAAATGTAGATAACCAATCCCTTTCCACGCCGAAGCTCTCCTGATACACCAGCAACCCTTCTACACTTCATCAACCTCAGCCATGCAGCTCACGACTTACTTTCTATCAGCTCTTTTCGTCCTGTGCACCGTGGCAGATCCAATCTCTGTTAGAAGGGGTGCATGTCAGGTTAAGGATGGTAACTACCCACCTTGCAAAGATTCCAACGGTAACATCGTCGAGCCGAAAGTGTGCCCGCCTTTGATCAGCCTCAATCACTTCAACTGCTGCAAAGTTTGCAAGTAGCCAAGAGAGTAATTCAATACCATGACATTATTGTGTCAGCACAAAACTATCTCAACCCTACAATAATACCTCCCTGATCAACTTGATGGCTTGTTCCACCAGCTTGGGCTCGAAATCCGGGTTTGCCTGCTTAGCCTTCTTCAACAGACCTTCTACCTTCTCGATGTCCCAAGCTTTACCCGCTCCAACTTGATTCCGAGCGTAGATCTTGAAGCCATCGTGCCAATTTGAAGCCTCGAATACATGTTGTATCACCTCGCTGAAGACTGTCGAACCACCAGCTGCGCCAGCAATGAGCTCAGACCACATAGCTCGTTGCCTGGGACCCATGAGATCAAGTGCTTCTGCAAACTTTACAGTCTCGTATGCGGATATCAGGTTGATGAGGCAGTGGGCTTGTAGAACTATCTGTTCTGTGTCGGCGTCGGCGTCAGCAGTGTAACCTTCCTGTGCATGTTCGACCACAAGTTGTTGTTTCTGTTCGTTTTTCAAGGATGGATCCAGATAGTACTTGGTAATGAAAGCATCGTCCCAACCTGCGATCCCGCTGTCCATGCATATCTTCAATTGACTATGCGCTGCGTTGAGCAGTGGTAGTTCGGTCTTGAGTCGGGCTTCTTCATCGTAGATAATTCCCACGTCTTTGTTAATGATACTGATGGCCGATGCGATAGGTAGTGCCGGGTCGAGCATGCGTGGCGCACGATTTGTGAACATCCAAGTCCAGCCATATGGATGTCTCTCTTTACCTGTACTCGAGTCCATGACATCAGTCGCCACTGTTTGGCTAAATTGTGTGGTGTTGAGGCCTGCTAGCGCTGCGAGGACCATGATCTCAGACGCGCCAACAATGTGAATACCACACTGCACCTGATTTAGAGCCTTGGCCGAGGTGCCTGCTCCGAGACTGCCAGGTATTGGGTAGAGTGTGGCGCCGTTGTTACTAAGTGTCTTCAAGCACGTCGAGACGAGTGGATGCTGCATGTTCTCCGAATCGTTTGAAGACGCCATAATGGTCAAGGTGCCGTTTTGCGAACGAGCAACACCACCTGACACTGGCGCATCAATCAGCTTGATGTCTGGTCGTCCAAACTCCTCTGTCAACCTCTGCCTGACTTCCCCAGGATGTGTTGGAGGCACAGTCGCCATGATAATCACAGGTACGTCCTGGGGTAAGTCCCTGACAGCACCTGAGTCAAATAGCGCCGAATTGACATGGTGATGTGTCGCGACCATCAATATCACGATATTGGCTCCCGACTTGACTGCCTCTGAACCTGAAGTAGTGGTGGAAAACTTAGCTTTCGGGTTCTCAGATTGCTGTATCTTTGTACACTCCTGCTGCCATCTGTCGAGGGTTGGCTGGAAGATGTCGAAGCCAGTGACCTGTATGCCTGTTCGAACCAGGTGTGTAGACATTGCGAAGCCCATAGCTCCAAGCCCCAGGAAGGCCACATGGGGCGTGGAGCTGGAAAAGGCTGGTCCTATGCTGCCCATCGTGAATATCTCTGTGCTCTCGTGATTCTGTGGGATAGCTTCTCTTCTAGCTCAATTCTCAGGTAAAGACCAGCTGTAGGGTAGACAGAACGATCAGGATAGGACAAACAATTACTAATCATAGAGGCACTCTCGATATAAATACGGAATGTAGTGCTCTCTTACTTGCCTATATATCACGGCAATCACGTCGGCAGTACGACCGACATTGCGAAGAGTCGGCAGTTTTTACTCTAAATCGCTTGCCAAACATCTAGGCGGTATTTTTGCTTGATGAGCTTGGCCGGGCCCCCAGATGGAGAGATGATGGAGACGGGATGAAGTCGGATTTATCGGCTCAAAGCCGATGCACTGTAAAAAAAGATTTGTTCATGCGAACAGATGTTTCCGCACATGTCACATTGGCTCCATGCAGGTGCGAAGTGAACATCATGCCTCACTCTGGATTCTGCACATGCACTCCGGGTGAGAAGAGGTTCAATGGCAGGAAAACCGAGGAAGGAAGGAGCATGGTTCTTTCGTTTGAGCTAGGCCCTACATAGACTAGTCTTCCGATAAGCCTTATCAAAATATTAGAACACTTTTTTGCAGAGGGTGCGTTTGGTGTGCAATAGCAAGCATTGACAATATGGCAGTCGAAGTAAGGCCGCTCAACGAACTTCTCACTGTAATTACAGACGCCTTTGTAGCCGCTCAAAGCGTTTTGCCTGAAGATGCGCAAGTCTTCGAGCCTCCACAAGATGGTATTTCACTACTCGACGTGAAGAACGATCTTCTGCTCTCCTACCTCCAGCATCTGGTCTTCTTGATCATTTTTCGCCTGAAGAATAGCTCGAGTTCTGGCTCAGGTTCAGTGGGACATGACAAAGACATCATCAAAAAACTAGTCGAGCTCCGAGCATACTTCGATCGAGGCGTCCGACCGCTTGAAGGACGACTGCGCTATCAGATCGACAAGGTGCTCCGTGCAGCAGAGGACGCTGAAAGGAGTGAAGCGCAAAGGTCCCAAGCCAACGGAATCGGCGTAAAGAACAAGAGCAAGAAGTTAAGACAGGCTACAGATGCTGGCTCTGACGTGTCTGTATCTGGATTCGACTCTGGAGACGATTCTGGAATCGATGAATCAGATGGTCGGGACACCGAAGATGAAGAAGCCACAGCTGCTCCTAATCGGGCCCTCCTTGCGCAGTCCGCTCGACAACAAGCCGCTGCTACATCAGCCAAACAGAGACAAAATGGTGGTCGGAATGGAGTGTACAGACCACCACGTCTAAATCCTGTGGCTATGCCCGAAAACACATCACGAGCTCGAGCTGATGCAGAAGAGGGCAGGCTAGGCCGTCGAAGAAAGAATGCTTTGCTGGATGAATACATAAACGAGGAACACTCTTCTGCACCAACCGCACAACCTAGCATAGGTAGCAACAACACAATTCTGGCACGAGGTCGACACCACAGCGCACTAAACAATCGCGGTCGAGACCGAGAAAGAGAACGCACGGAATATGAGGAGCGCAATTTCACACGTCTAGCTGGAATGGGCAAAGCTGAGAAAAAGAAAGACAAGGCGCGACAGATGAGGGAAGGAAGAGATATGTTTGGTGGTGAGGACTGGACTGGTCTCGGCGGGCTAGGTGACAGAATTGGCAAGACCGTTGATGGGAAAGGTCGAGGAAGAGAAAGTGTGCTTGATCGGCGTGAGAAAAGGAAGAGAGATACTCAGGACCTCCCCAGAGGTGATGGTGTTGGTATTGGTGAGAGCTTCGAAAAGCGACGAAAGGTCTTACAAGGACGAACGGACAGGAAGAAGAGTAGGAGGTGAATTTCAGCATAAAAGCCCTCATTATAGCCAACAAGGCACTGTTCAGCCACCCAGGGCACAGGGCCAAAAGTTCCAGCTTCCCGCCTAAATATGCGGAGCACTGTGCCAATCACGAAAAGCAAGAAGCTCCACAATCACGAGGCGTGGGCGCTTACCTCAAGATGTCGTTCAGGTACAAAGGCTGTGAGCAACCAGAACGCTTGTGACTGAGTTACGGCCCAAACATGTCTACCGCGGATGGCACAAAGAATTCAGACAGATGTTCTGTCACTCACGAAAGTGAGACGCAGGTTTCTGGTCCTCAGGCTGACCCACATATTTCTAGAGGGATCTCAGCATCGCCCTCGAACCAGCCTTATCGATCATACTACGGAACCACTACCATCACAGAAAATGCTACGGCCGTTCTAGGCGACGTACACAACTCATACAACTACTATCTCTCAGCTGGAACGCCAAGACCGCTGCTCGTGGACAACAACAGCACTGCGGCCTTGGTCGCTCAACTCAAGGACCTCCTAAGCCAATACGAGCCTGAGGATCAGCAGAAGATCTCCGAAGCATTATCTGATAGAGTTGAGGTTTGGCTTTCAGATGCCGCCTCTCGCTATGAAGCATCCGAGTACGGCTCTGTCATGTCTCGAGCACCTCCCGGTCGCGTCATTCCCGAACGCATTGAAGAGCTCGAGAAACGTCGTGCTGTGCTTTTGCAACAAAGGCAGGACCTGGAGAAAGCGAGGGATATGGCGACCCGTCGCGAAGAACGTCCGGAAGAGGAGCAAAAGGAGTGGGTTTTGAGGGCTGAGTGGGTTCTGAAGGAACGGAATCAGCTTCGGTGGGAAGTACAGCAGCTGAAGATCGACGCGTGTGAGGAGAAAATCAGGGATCTTGATCGTCAGATGATGACTCCGATAGTGAGGGAGAGGCCGTACAATGAGCCTACCACACGCACCATACTGGGTCGACTTGTAGAAGCTAACTGGTACAAACGCAGGAGAGATGGCTATCGCGACTCCAGACATCTGACTAGCGATTGATATGGAGCATGCTGCTCTCCAACCAGTATACGTATTCATTGATGGTTTCGATGCGGTATAAAATTTGAGACGCAGATGTGAAATACCATGCCCGCTTAGCTTCCGCTTTTTTGTCTTACCCGTTCACTTGCCGACCTTAAAACCAAATTGCATTGCCACTTCTTCACATCCTTGGTACATGACAATGTAGATGGTGTCAGTTCAATGTCGTGAGCTAATCAAGCTCCTTCGAGCGAGACTGATGCTTCTCAAACCTCGTGCTGTCGGGAAACACTATATCTTTTATGCAGTCGATGTGATACTGTACAAGTTGATGATCAAGGCTGTTGCACCTCAGTACGTGAATTTGACGCCGGCACACAGTCCGCCGGACATTTGTTCGAGCATTCATTCAATCGTGCTATATGTTTCCGTCTGGACTTGGAGAGTGCTTTAACCACACTTTGCAGCACCAGCAACGCCATCGCTGACACGCAGGCCGAACTATTGTGGACAGCTTCCTGGTCCGTTGTGATATCTGCACCCTTGTCAATCGGCGTTTTCGCAATTGCTGGATGGTAATGTGCTCGAGCTGAGACATGGTTTGGCCACTTCTAGTGCCCATGTATGGGTTGTCAAAGGAGCGGATATTGCTGCTCGCTTGCCTGATAGATTGAAACCAGACGAAGCTTGACATCCTGTACATCTCACCGCGTCCACGGTGTGCGAGGTAGAAAAGGATACGATCGTGTGGGGATCTTGCATGATCGAATTTATATCACAACCTTACTGCCCAAATACCACAGCCCACCAAGCCCAGCAAGGAGAGCTACTCCGGTGATCTGTCTCACAGATAGATTCTCCTTCTTGAGCCTCATGGATCCAACAGCCTTCTGCTGGTTCTGTTGCTGAACTTGTAACTTCTGGACAATACCTCTTTGTGACATCGCGTCATGCATCATCGTCTTATTCTTCTCCTGCGCAGCTGCGAAGTCTTCGTAGTCCTTCACCAATCTCATCAGGCTCTCGAGGTCTTCTCTGAGGCTGTCCTTCGAGTTTTGATCTTGTACTTCCACCCCTTGTACATTACCGAAGAAGTCGACCACTCTCCTGTTCCTGCCAGCCTCTTCACCACCAGGGAACAGGTCCCATCTGACACCAGGCCGGCTATGGATCTTTTCCACATCGTAGCTGTCGAATAGATCGCCCAGTGTCTTCTCGCTCTGTAAACTTGTAACCTCGTTTTCCAAGAACTGTAGCACATAGTATGTCCATCGATCAATCACAGCAACTCCAACATCGTTGTCCGCATGATGGGAATAACTGCTCTCATCCTCTTCACTGCTTCCTGTTGCAATCATTCCGTCCGCATAGAACTGTCGATACAGCGTGTTTGCCTGGCACGTATCGATCATGAATAACATCTCATTGTACCGTTTCTTCTCTCGCATCTGCGAAAACGCGTCTGCGAGATCCCAGCTACTGATCTCCTCGCTATCTTGGAACTTGAGGAACTCGTTCCCACCGTGTCCAGTCATGTATATCAATATATTGCTTCCCTCGTCCGTCATCAGTCTCTTGCTACTTGGTACACCCTCTTCCCAGCGATCTGTCAATAGGCGGATAAAGTTCTCCACAGTCACCTCGTAGCCACGATAGTCGACTTCCACATTCTCGCCATAGAGGTCCATGTGTCTGTCTGCGTTACTGTAGACTGTGCCGGGGAAGGCGTTGCGTGGATTGCAGGCCATATCGTCTGGGAGAAGGAGAAGGATCTGAGAGTCTGGAATACCGAGTCGTTTCACAGTACGGTACAAGGAGAGGGTATTGCTTAGATGTCTGTAGTTGAACCAGAAGCGAGAAGTGCTGACGAGGACTGCCCAGTTGGATGTGTGTACGCATTGTATGGCTGGCAACAGGAGGGCAACAGCCCAAAATATTGCAGATTTGAGATGCATCGTCGCAGTGGTGGTAGCAATGTGGTTCGTCAGGGAGAGCGTGCTCTAGAGAGGAAAGAAACAAGCCAATATGTCCTTCCTGCTGAAGACGAGGTTAAAGGAACGATATGTCAGCGGTATGATCGTGTGGCCTGTCACGTCAATACTGCCGTGTTTCGGGGATTCACGTATAAGGGGCGTACTTTGCTGATATCGTGCAACAATGTTCTGCCATATTGAATGTACCCTAGCAGTAGAACATGTATTGTGTCCAGCCGTCAAGGGACAACGATGTCCATTCAAGTGACATTCTACAATTGTTAGCGAAATCGAGAAGACCACCGATATTCAAATGGCCGGTCTTTCGGCGGGTCGGGATTGGTTTAGAGGACATAGATGTAATGAACATCCCTACGATTGTGCTGCACCAAATAAAATAGGAGATATTGCTACAGGGTATGACCGACCAAGAGACCATGAAGGTTGGCTCGACAGAGCGATGACGGCACTTCTTCTGTTTCCTGAAAACAAGTAATTAAATATAAAGGTCTGTCTACATTGCCTGATATGAAGCAATCCTGTTCATAGTGAACCTGCCACACCCACTCTCTCGATCATTCTCCTAGGAAGCTATATTCTGCTTGCCCATTCGAGACGACCTTACGAGAGATGCTGGTTAAACCATGTGACACCCTGTTTCAGTGCATCATCCTGAGCCTTCTTGTCCTCGTCCGAGCTATAGTCGCCTCTCAAGGCGAAGCCGTGAATTTGATCCTTATACACGACAACCTCTGTTGGCACATTCGACTTCTTCTCGAGTATGTCCTTGATCTGATCCACGCTCTTCATGTCTAGTAAGCTGTCCTCAGTACCAACGGCCAAGCTCAATGGCTTTGTCACGTTGTCGAAATCTCCTGGAATACCAACCAGCGAAGGATGGCAGGCATATGCCGCATCTGCTTTGCCATGTGCCATCAAGATGGCATAGCGGCCACCGAAGCAGAAACCCACGACACCAATCCTCTTGACACCTTGTTGACCACGAACAGTGTCCATGTATTTCTCGATGATTGGGAGGGTAACGGCTTCGCGGTGCTTTGGTAGCCATGCGCCTAGTGTGGCGCCGACAAGGGCAGTGTTCTTCACAGTATCGATCAGGCCGGCTGTCTGCTTATCCTTGAGTTTGGGCTCGACGTTCTGCAGGAAGGATGGGTCGATAGGGTCACTGCTGAGAATGTCTGGGACCAGGACGTAAAAGCCTTGTTTGGCATAGAGATCAGCCAGCAAGCGGACGTTTCGAAATTCCCAGCCAAAGATGTCGGTCAGGAAGACAATGGTCTTGGTATGGTCCTTCGACTCGGGCTCAGCAACGTATGTGGGGAGGTCACCGATCGTGGTTGTCGTTCCAGTTGGTTCTGCATGAGAGTGAATTGTGCCACTCATGCAGCATGCTCCCATGCCGGTATTTGTAGACATGTTGGTTATTTAGTGTGTCGAAAATCTCGGGGAGTCACGAATCAAGTGAAGTGCGACACGACGAGACGAATATCGTGCTGAATGCAATATTTGGTCTCGAACAGGGAATACCGAGACAAACAACAGGAGAAACCAGCAGTCAAACTTATCTACGATTTACCGTTATTGGAGGGGCACACGCGTTCTGTTGATAACCAATTCCAAATCTCATGAAGCATGATCATGCGGGGCAGTAAAACAACTTCATATGGTGTGAGAGTGGTTGATTCTGTAGAAAGGTAAACATTGATGACGGCAAGACGGGATACTTGCTATAAGCTTTTGCTGGAGTGCTTCTCTTCTCCAAAAGAGGCAGAAAGCCATTTTCCGCTTCACAAAATTCCGCATTACACAAGAGCCAAGTTTGCATACCGAAGACTGTATGATTACTCAGAGAATTCGAAGGCCAGTAGCCAATGCTCATGGGAAGACTGTGGCTTCTTGGTCTCGAAATCCGTACCGAAATTCGTCGTCATAGTAAGTAGCCTCTCAAGGATCCTCAAACATTTTGAACCCCAACCGGTTGATCAAACCCGTTGTTTGAGTCTTGGCCAAAATTTTCCATCATATTCTACTCGCACCGCATTATGGTTGAAATAATGCACACACCTGGCCGGGTGGCGCAATGGTAGCGCGTTGCTTTCCGGTAAATGGAGGTTGGCAGAAGTTGCGGGTTCGTAAGTTGAATGAGGTTCGTTCTCCAGTATTTCAGACCTAATGAGCATGGTAGAAGTCCCGTCTCGGTCGTCTTTTTTTGTCTTTGCTGCGGAGCTGGTCGGGGCAGGCACAACGATGTCAAAGCAAATCAGTTGAAGAAGCAGGCCTAGGAAGTAACAGGTACTGTATTCAGTCAAGCTACTGTGACCACGAGTATACTATGCGGTCTCTGAGTAACATTCGATTGACCCCATCGTGAATATAGCAAGTAATGGCACATCAACTTCATGAATTTTGGGCAAAAATATTGTCCAAATCGAAATCGTTCTCATTAGGTTTTCCAAGATCTGGTTTACCTCCTGCCATATCCATTTTGTCCACCCTGATAGTACCCCTGATTTTGATGCTGGTATTGCCCATCCTGTCTGCCGTTTTGATGTCCACCTCCTCTAGCGTAGCCACCTTGTTGGCCTCTTGAACCGTATTGTCCTTGGGATGGAGGAGGATAATAGGGCTGTTGCTGCTGCTGTTGATAGCCACCAGCATATTGATCCTGCCGTCCATGCCCACCGTTGTTGTAAGACTGAGGTGGTGGCGGCGGACCTCTACCACCAGGCATACCTGGCGCGAATTTCGGATCAAGAAATGCTGCGAAAGGATTGCTCGGATCGAGTGTTCTCGGATCAGGTGGTGGAGGTAGGGGATAGCCACCATTTCTGTCGCCATTTTGTGGAAGCGGTGCTCGATCGGCAGCATAATTGACTCGTCGTTGTGGGAACTGGGCATCGGCCATCGGATCGCGTCTCGAATTGTCGTACAAAGGAGCACCACCAAAATCACGACCTGAATTTCGAGCTTTAGACTTGAGAATTGCTAGGTCTGATTTATCCAAAGCAGGAGGTGGCAGCACCACACCCGGGAAGAGCATCGACTTGTGAACATGAGTTTTGGGCGGTAGGTCATAGTGAACACTGAGAGTGCAATCATCGTCGATGACCGGATCTAGCGTGATGTCGTCTGTTGGTCCTCGCAGATCCATATGTGGTAGGAAATCTTCATTCTTAGTGGCTTGTCCGGCAAGACGAGCCTTTCTCATACTGAGCTTGGTTTCCCTGCTACCGCTATTCTTGGCCTTTTTCGAGTAGAACTCCATGACTAGGTCATCGTACAGTGGATGCTTGTCCGAAACAATCAGAGCATCCTTACCGAGATCGTTGCGCTGGTGTTCGTCTGCGGTAAGCTCCGGATATTTCGTGGCCATGGCACTAAGTAATCGTTTCTCGTCAATAAATGGCAACAGAACAACAGCCTTCCAGGCTTGCTTTTTCCCGTTGAGGTCCAGATCAAATTCCTCAGGATAGAAGTCAATGATATCTGAGTCGGTTTCTGTCATGAGTGGGTGGAAAGGCTTGGGGATAGCATGATTCGATGATGCTGGCAAGACACCCATAAGCTGTTCGTAAGGCTTGAAAGGTTTACCCTTATCGAACTTGATTTCCAGCTTGTCGATGTTCACGAAGTCAGCTGCAAAAGGTGCATAGTGGTAAGGATAATACCAGGTCCAGGATGGACAACCTTGGAAATAGTAAAGCAGGACCCATGCTAGACCTTCAACGTAAGCATTGGCAACTTTGTGTCGAAAGTCGATATCTGAAGCACTGACGTGAAACTTCTGCTCGTAATAGCGATCGGCATACCCTTCTTCCCACAACTTGATGGTGTCGGGTGGTGGATTATCTGGATCAAACTTCTTCTTTGGGGGCGCCTCAGTGACGGGTGTGCTTCTACCTGGCGTACCGATGTCAGACTCTGGATCCTCTTCCTCACCTATGAGTTCTGCCTTTCGTTTGCCTAAGGCCGACGGTGGCGTTTCAGTAGCACCGTCTATGACAGCGCCACCATTTACAGGCTCTTTAGTTGGTGTAGCATTCTGCTTAGCAAGCATCTTCTCCTTCAAGACGGCAGCAGCGCTTTTATTCGACTCAATAGCCTTCTCTGCTGCACCTCGATTTACAATCAGGTTGTAATTGAGTTCTGAGGTTCGTGCAAGACTAGTAATATCGATGGCACCAGCTGGAGAGGGCCCAGCTTTTGCACCTCTGGAATAATCAGGCGAGCTTCTACGTCTTTTCGAGTTGTTGCGATCTTCTCGTTCTTGGTCTTGTCTCTTCCTTCTTTCCTGGTTTCGCTCTCGTCGATCGTCGTTTTCCTTTCGCTTTCTGAAAATTGCGTCTTCCTGTTTAGCCAAACCTTGAAGAATGACTTGAGCACGAGCAAGATCAACCTCACCATCACAGGTCAGATATCCACCCATAATAGGTACGTTGTCTCTCCATATTGCGATGAGCTTGTCAATGCCATCTTCGTGAATATCGAGGGAAGGTAGATGTGGTAAGAAATCGTTGCCGACGAAGAAACACATGAAGACCCAATCATCAAGAGCACGCTCAAGATCAAAGCGAAAAGTTTGACCAGGAACATACATCTCAGCTCCAAGGTATTCACGCAGGATGGGAACATGAAGAAAGACGAAGGGCTTAAGTTCAGGAGTGGTGCCCTTTTCATCAAACTCTCCAGACTTTTGTTTTGCGGTACCACGACAATTATCTGCATAGTGCCCTGGTTGACCGCACAGTTTGCAGGTTTTGGCTTTGGCGTCTCTAATTTCGACATCTTCTCTGAGAACACGAAAATGAGGTTCATGGGTTGCAATACCCAACATGATCAAATCGGCGTCAAGGCCGTACATGACGTGTCTGGTATTTGGGTCATATTCGGAGTCTGATCGCTGAGAACGAATAAACTGCATAATTTTGTGCTCACCTTCACCAGGAACACTGGCATCAGAAATCACGACCTTTAGCTCAGCCCAAGCAGGGTCGGTATTGAGTTTCCATTGGCACCAGAATCGAATTGACTGAGCAAGAATGAACATGAAAGGAGTGCCTGGGGTGATGACATTGCTATCCCATGTTTTCTTGACGACCTGTTCTACATCTTCTGGTTCTCCTCTAGCAGCGCGTTGTCGTCGCAGGAGCACCTGCAATTCGGCCTTTTTCTCATCTGCTTCTTTAGCATCCATGGCAGATCGAAAACGACGGGCACGTTGTTGGTTCATTTTAGCTCGTGGAGCTACACCATCAATTGCAATGAATAGAAGTCTTCGAGGTCTGACCATGTTGACGACGCGTTCTGTGTATTTAAATATCTCCATCATCATCTCGCTTTCATCCGCTGGAGGAGGCTTGTTCTCGGGATGGGAGCAAGGATGGACGATACCATTGAAATCGAGGTATAGGTTGTGCATCTCTTCGCCATTTGGGTTGGGCTTAGTCGTATCGACTGGGTATTGGACTCCATCGATTTCAAATGGCGTTTCTTCGATCACGGGAGTGATGATCTAGACAAAAATTAGCCTGCGTACCATGCATAGCCAGGAAATATACATACCTTGGGGTACTTCTTGGTAAGCCATCGAAAGAGCGCTGGGACACCCATATTGGCGTCGTGTTATACCGAGATTGAGCTAAAAAGAAGAGTTAAGCGAATATTTGACGCAACTTAGTCTCATCAGAGCAAGCGCTGTGATAGAGGGAGAGCGCGTCCGTGTAAGGGTACTCTTGAACAGGCGAGTCGTGAAATGCCCAGCGCAATAGTGATATCGTCCTTTCTCAGGCAGATCAAGCTTCGAGAAGACCAGAGATGGGGTATTTTCAGGACACTACCTCACCCAGATCAAATTTCATTGAAGGCACAGGCACAAAGGAAGGAGCGATCGAGTCTTTCACCAACTTAATAGTACGTACCTTCCACGCCGTGCACGTGAAGGATAAACGCCGATAGCCGTGATACCTGAACCAGGCATTCAGTGCTTTTGAAAGTCCAAACAACAATGAAGTGTCCCTGGCGAACGAGGGTATTGCAAGAGTGACAGTTTCTTGCAGCTCTGCGCTGGAAGTCTCAGTCTTCCCGGACTTATAGCGTTCTCATAGCGGGATCTGAGCACACGATGAGAGGAAGATAGGACAAAATGCTCCTTCTCAAACACAGCACAGTTTCAACATGTTGCGTATTCTCGAGTCGCAAGCGCCGGCGAAGCAAACGGCCACAGACACTATCAACACCTTGAGCAGTCGTCTCTCCAGTGCGACACTGCTTGAGGATCGTAGAGCTGCTATATTGGGACTGCGAAGCTTTGCTAAGCTCTATCCCGCCTCAGTCGCTTCAGGAGCATTACGGGACCTCATCGCTGGTCTTAGGAGAGATGGGGAGGATCCAGACACGCTAAAGGCCGTCCTCGAGACCCTCCTGATGCTTTTCGACCCAGATGCAAAGAGCCCAGAAGCCTCCGAAGATATACCATTGTGGCTAGCCGATGAGTTTACACAGAGGCAGGACAACGTTACCGCCCTCCTCGACCTGCTTGATACTGGCGAGTTCTACCTTCGATTATATTCTCTCCAGATCCTCTCACAAATATGCGCCGCTCGGTCGCAAAGGACTCAAGAAGCTATATTCTCAGCACCATTGGGTGTGTCACGAATCACTTCGGTTCTAGACGACAGAAGAGAAGCTGTGCGAAATGAGGCATTGCTCTTGCTTGTGGCTCTGACTCCAACGTCCGCCGAATTGCAAAAGGTTGTTGCTTTTGAGAACGCTTTCGATCGAGTATTTGCTATGATAGATGCTGAGGCAGGGCTGACTCATGGGACAACCATTGTGCAGGATTGTCTTTCGCTGTTGGGAAACCTGCTGAAGCTCAACCCCTCGAATCAAGCATACTTCAGAGAGATTGGCTGCGTCGGTAAGGTCGCAAGACTACTGGCGCAGGTCATACAAGAAGAGGAGAGTCCTGATGGAGTTCCAGAATGGACACGGACACAACGCGATGTCAACCTCTGGGGACTACTTACTGTGCTGCAACTGTTTCTAGTTCGGGGTTCACAAAGCACAGGGCTGTCCCAGGATGCTTTCTGGAAGAGTGGTGTATTAAAACGTGTACTACAGATTGCTTTTCACGAGACTTTTGGCTCAAATGTTAGAGCACGAGCTCTGGACACTTGTGCAGGTATCATTCGCGGCAATTCTGATTTACAGGAGCAGTTTGGCGACCTGGCTGTGCCCGCCGTCCGACAAGTGCAGCAAACCACAAACGGTCGCGCAACACCGAAGGCAAATTCGGCCAAGTCAGGAGCGAGTACTCCTGCCAACGTCGAGATGTCCAATGTGATCGAGTCACTCCTGGAACTAACTCTAGAGTCAACAGCTACACCATTCTTCGACGTCCGACTGGCTGCGTGTAATTGTGTCAAAGCATTCTTCGAGGGCCACAATGGCATTCGTGGCCATGTTTTACGCAGGGCTATTGAAGGTCACAGAATGGGTGATGATGCTGTGCCGAATATACTCACAGTCCTGCTTGAACCGCCAAATACTCGAGCCAATCAAGACCCCTATCAGCAATGGATGGCTGCAGTACTTCTGATACACCTGCTGGTTGAGAACCCTGAGAACAAGAGTACAGCGCTCAAAGTCTCCGACCGTGAAGCTGAGGCAAGCAGCGAAGACGAATACGAGGCTGTTACTTTTGTGCAGAGTATAACAAGCAACGTCGTTGCTGGGGTTCAGCATCCTGAGGATGAGAGGGCACTCGTGGGCTACCTGATGCTACTCTCAACGTGGCTATTTGAAGATCCTAACGCAGTTAACGACCTCTTAGACGAGGGGAGCAATCTTCAAGGTTTGATATCAGCAGTCAAAGTGGCTTCGCCCACGATGCCGTTGGTAGCAGGCTTGTGCACTTTCCTACTTGGAATCATATACGAGTTTTCGACCAGAGACTCCCCCATCCCGCGTGCCACATTGCATAGCGTTCTGCAGAAGGGGTTGACACGCGAAGTCTATGTTGACCGACTCACTAGACTGCGTGAGTCTCCGTTCATTCGCGATTTCGAGGTCTTACCTGTCGTTTCCAACACTGGCCTACCAGAAGTGTACTTCGACCAAACATTTGTTGAATTTTTTAAAGACAATTTTAGTCGATTTTTACGATCCATAGATCGCGATCCGGGCTTCGAGGCCTCTGTAATCATGAATGGTGTACAAAAGGGCGTTTCACGAGAATTGGTTGATAGCCTACGAGCACAAATCGAGGAACAGAAAGCATTACTGGAGTCATCGGAAAATGAATTCGCGACTTTGCGCCAGCAGCTTGAGCAAGAGTCACTGGAACATCGCAGGACGAAGGAATCTACAGCTGCCGAGCTAAACAGAATCAAGCACATTAATCAGAGTCTGCAAAACAACCATGAGGAGGAGACTCAAGCTATGCAGCAGGAATTTGCACGGCAACAGAGTGTGTTAAGCAACATGCATGGCACAACTCTCACACAGATGAAGAAGGAACACTCAACCGCTCTCGAGGACCTACATCGGAAGCACAAAGCTGAAAAAGATTACCTCGAGCAGAGACGGACTGCCCTAGAACGAGAAGTGGCTAGGCAGAGGGAGGGTATTGTGAAGCAGCAAGCCGAGATCGAGAAGGCTGCGAGCCACGCGAGACATATACAGAACGAACAGCAAGCAGAAATCGAGTCCTTGCACAAGAACCTCAAAACTATTGAGGAGCAGTTAAGCAAAACACGGAAGGAGCACGACTCTGCATTGCGCTCTGCGAGGACCGAAGTTGGAGACCAACTGCGTGACGCCGAAGCAAGAGCTACAGAGGCTGAGAAGAAGCTCAACGACGCACAGAGTACACTTGAGAGCTCTCAAAACGAGATTAGAGAGTTGAAGAACCAACTAGCAGACGCTGAAACCCGCGCCAGTAGCATAGAGGCCACTTTAAAACCGTTGCAGGCCAACTTTGCAAAGACCAAATCCGAGAAGGACGAGTTGCATACTCGACTCCAGACCATGAACTCAGATGTCGAGAAATTGAAGGCCGAAAATACGAACCTCCAGTCACAGTTGTCAAGCACGACCCAAGAACTCGAAGCTGCTAAATCTGCAGCGAAGACGGCATCTAACCAAGCTACAGAGCCAGACATAGATCCCAGAGAGCTTGAAGAGTTGAGAGCTGCTGCAGCGAAGCAGAAAGACGTACAGACCGAGCTGGATGATTTACTTGTTGTGTTTGCGGACCTCGAAGCGAAACGGGCTGCCGACAAGAAGAGGCTCAAAGATCTTGGGGAAGAGGTTAGTGAAGATGAAGACGATGAAGCTGGAGATGTCGACGAGGATGGTGAAGAGGATGAAGAGAATACTGATTAATCGATTTAGCGTGTATGCAACGACTCTGCATTTCCCGTCAATTTTACTATCTTACTGGCCTTTGAGGGCTTTCAACTTTTCTTCCACTATCCTACTCACCATCTTTTCTAATATGGCAGGAGCACCAGATTGATTCTGCTCGAGATAGCCAACAACGCTCTTCTCGACATATTTCCCGACTTGATCAACCTCGACATTCACGTCTTCACCTTCCTTCTTTTGCGCCGTGACAACCTTCTCCTGAGTATAGGCGATAAGCATGATCTCAAACCAGCCCTCCGCATCATTGACGCTCGTCACTGTCAAACTCGCACCATCAAGCGTGACATAGCCTTTCTCGACGACGTATTTCAGTATGCTCTCGCTGCCCTCGTGCAATCGTGGCTTCAACCGGAACGTTTTCGCGTTTCCATCTGGCGTAAGCTTGACTATTTCGGCTATCGTGTCGACATGCCCTTGCACAAAATGACCTCCCATACGTGTGTCCGCGCTGACTGCTCGTTCTAGATTTACTTTCGAGCCCTGCTTCAGCGAACCCAGGTTCGTGCGACGTAAAGTCTCTGGCGCAGCACCGATCTTGAAGTACCATGTCGACTTGTCTCCCTGGTTGTTGAATTCCGTGATGGTCAGGCATGTGCCATTGACAGAGATGGAATCGCCGAGGTGTGCATCGCCGAGGATGTCGGCGCAGTTGGAAATGGTGAGAGAGGTTCCGCCGCCGCCCGAGGAGGTACTGTCGAGGGAGTTGAGTTCGGTAACAGCTGTTAGGAAGGAGTGGTCAGATAGTGCATCTTGTTGTAGATATTTCTTTCTGAATGGTAACGCTGAAACTCAAGGTGGAACATGGGCGAGGCAGGGTATGATTGACTCACTGCCGATCGTTTCGACAAGTCCGGTGAACATGGTAGTAATAGACCTGAGGACTGTGTTTGCAAAGAATTCGAGGCAGAGAAAAGGTATACTATGTCGTCGCTTACTGCAAGTAGGAAGGATGCTCCTGCCACCTGCAGCAAAATAATTACTTATTGCATCATGGAGGCTCGCTCAGTAACCTCCCGAAACCCGATCGAGAAGGTGCGCGCATGGCGCGTTCTGAACAATTTTGGGTCGTGCCTACCTGTCAGCCACGAGTTTAGTAGTGGAGGAGGACCACCACATCGAGGTGCATCATGGCATCTACGACAAGCAGCACTCTGATGCCATTTCTGTACCCTTGTCTTTTCGACGGGGTAGTAACATCAACAGTAAGCCGTCGAGTCTCACGTCAATTATCCACATGTTTAAAACGAAGGACATTCACATCTACCACTTGTCGTTCATCACCATCGTTGGCAGAGCAGAATGCACAGAGACGTTTCACTGCGTACGAGCCTGTAGCTCCCGAGGTTCCCAGAAGCGAAGCACGACAAAGAAGGCTAGATCCTACTCCTGACGACTACGCACGAAACATCTTCGTCGACAAGTGTTCCTTGTCAGTTCACGCTGGTAGTGGCGGCAATGGATGCGTGTCTTTCCACCGCGATGCCGTCATCTCAGACGGGCCACCAAATGGAGGTGACGGTGGTAGCGGAGGCAATGTCTGGATCCAGGCTGTTGCAGATCAGACGAGTCTACACAAGCTAGCAAGAAGAGGCATCATCAAAGCTGGTCGAGGAATCAGTGGACAGGGCAAGAGTCAGGGTGGTCGCAAAGGAGAAGATATCTGCATACAAGTACCAGTCGGCACGGTCATCCGCGAAGTAGGGAGAAGCGATCCTGTTGCGGACGAAGAGCGACGTCTGCAAGAGATACAGGCACTTGATCCTGCGGTGGCCGAAAAAGCTAAGATAAAGACGGGCCCGAGGAGCAATCCATGGATCTTGTATCCTGGCGCAATTGGCTATGAAGAGAAAGAACTCGTCAACAATCTACCTAAGCCTCCGAAGCCACGTCGTAGTCACCTTTCTGCCCTGCAGAAAGAAGGACCGATAGAGCTCGATCTCGACAAGCCTATGGAACAGCCAATACTACTTGCTGCAGGCGCTATGGGTGGCTTTGGTAATCCTCACTTTGCTACTAAGGAATTGCCAAAACCAAAGTATGCCACTAAAGGTGAACTCGGCATCCGGCTCAAATTCGAGCTTGAGCTGAAGCTGCTTGCTGATGTAGGTCTTGTTGGTCTGCCAAATGCTGGTAAGAGTACTCTGCTCAGAGCCGTCAGCAATAGTCGGACTAGGATTGGTGACTGGGCTTTCACTACCCTTGAACCAACTATTGGTACTGTTATCCTCGACAACAACCAAGGTAGACCACTTGTCAAATCTGGAATCGAAGGACAAGGTCCGAGAACGCACTTCACAGTTGCTGACATTCCTGGCTTGGTCGAGGATGCCCATCTCGATAAAGGTCTTGGTCTGGGCTTTTTGAGACACGTCGAGCGAGCACGAACTTTAGCATTTGTGGTAGACCTTTCAGAAGGTGACCCTGTGCAAACTCTGCAAAGTCTGTGGAGGGAAGTTGCTGAGTACGAGAACATGCGAAATCAAGAAATCAATGAGCAGTCACAATCAAAACTGGAGGGGTGGTCTACGTTCGGCTCATCTGAAACATCAGCAGATGAAGATCTAGCAGATGACGACGAACCACAGATACTGCTCTTTCCTGAACCTACAAAACACCTCGAGCCGATCAAGATTTCACCGATAAGTGCCAAGCCATGGTTCGTTGTGGCCACAAAAGCGGATAAAGAGAGCTCGCAGGATGCTTTTCAGAAACTACAGGCTTACGTCGCGGGTGTTGAGGCTGGCACAGTACCTCATCCTTCGGGTCAGCAGAATGCCTGGAAGGCGAGAATCGCTGCAATTCCTGTGAGCGCTATACATGGTCAAGGCACTGACAGAATCGCTTCTTGGACTGCTGGGTTGCTTGACAGCATGCAAGGAGCTGGTACCAGCCAAGCTGTTGCTGAGAGTGGTTATCGTGGCTCTCGGAGAGCGCTAGGGTGATGTCAATGCCCGCATTTCGATACAGGGATATCACATTGACAATATTCACCTTGGCATATACCGCCCGCAAAACAGAGATTAACACTGGGCCCAACGAAGCTGATCATAATCGTCAACGAAGCGCCTGTATGCTTGAGAAAATACCTGGAGAGGTTGTATGTTCCTCTGCGTGACAAACCGGCATGCCCCGAATGAACAGCTTAGCTGCCCGCTATTGTTGACTGTGTCGGGATAGCTTTCCGCAGAACAGCCTGCGCACGAGTCCCTCCGACTGGTCGTACCCTGGCGATCCTAAGTTTTCATTGGCTAGCAAAGACCGACTGTTTATAATACGCCGGCTTGCTTGACGTCGAGAAAACTATAGTATACCACGAGTGTACGGCCACAGCATGCTCAGAAGAAATCAGAATGCCTCAACATTGTCGACGACCTAGAACACATCTCAGCTCCATGAGATTGTGGGTCGGCTTAGGGTCTGAGAAAACACAACCATGTCGAAATTCAGCTGGACACCTGCCACAATGCCGCATACTGCAATTGCAGAATTCAATGCTCTGTGCTTGCACGCTATGACTCTTCACATCATCTAGCGACAAGCTCACACGAGTGCATTCAGAATGTGATCACAAAGCATTGAGGGGTGGTTGGCAGAGCTGATAGAATCAGCTCACGGCAGCTTCCTCATTCGCTGCTGGACTCGACTTTTGTACTGTCTTCAATTGCTCTTTTAAGAATTCTATCACTCTCGCCAAAGCTAAAGTCAGTCTCTTCTCCTTGGCTAGCTGCAGCTTCAGACTCTCAATTTCAGTCTCCTGATCCTTCATTATCTGTTCCTTGCGTTGTCGATATGCACGCTGAGCACGTCGATTCTGCGTCCTCCGGCGCTGCGGACAAGCTGGTCAGCAGCCATTGTTACTTTCACAATCGGCAGAAAACCCACAAAGTACAATGTGAAGGAGAGATTCAATTTTTCACATTTTAAATGACTCGCAGGTAGAGAGAAGCTAACTGACCTCTTTAGCGCTTTTCCGAGCATCATCTGTTAAGCTCCGACTTCTGACCAGTGGAACAAGGATGCTCGCACCTGGATGTCCACCGTCTAGTGAGCCATATCGTGTGTTTGGGCTCTTTGTTTCGTAGAAATCGTGCAGGCCGAGCATCGAATCTTGAAGTTCCATGCTGGGCATCGAAAATGCAATCGAAATTGCTGAATTCGTCGGACAGGAAGGACTAGCGTAGCTCGCATCTAGAGCCGTTCCTAAGGCACTGAGACCGGCTGCTAGGAAGCCATCTGCTGTCCATGTCGGTTGCAACGTCAAGTCGAACTGTTCTGATTCCATGTTCGCGATTTCAGATGGTAACAAAATTGGTACCAAAGGGAAGAGCTTGAGCAAGTCATGCCATACGACTGTTGTTTTAGTCTTGATGAAGTCAAAGTATGTCGTCGGAGATTTGTTTCGTACAGCTTGTCCAAGCAAATGTCAAGCCACTTTGGCAGCGGAAGGGTCAGCTAGTGTGCAGAATCCGTCTATACTTGTCAAACAGCATTCGACCAAATAGTCATGCTGCTGTTGGGACAGACCATGACTCACCCACTGACCCAACGGATATAAAGACCGAGTCAGATGCATAGACGTTCTCAGCATCTTCAGGCGTCATAGACCCTTGCTGAAACGCGTCTCGTTCATCGACTTTTCTAGCACGTACACACCCTGATTCGACACGGTTTAGTGTTCGCATCTCTTGATTGAACTATGCTCGCAAAATCGACCTTTCGTGTGATGCTGTATGAAGGCAGCGCCGATGTGAAGTCCGGGGAAAAAAGAGGCGTGCATCAAGATCGTGGGATGTACAAGGTTCTCTGCAAGCACCGGTGTCTTCCCCACCTGGTTGAAGCTCTCAGCAGGCCTGAGGACCGCAGCGTAGGAGCAACTAAGTCACATAATCAAGCTTACCTAGAGCTGCCAAACCCCGAAAAGCTTACCAAGCAACGTAGGGCTCTACTTCACAATACAAACGGATATCTGGTCCTGCCTAAATGGTTTTTAGTGTGCGAGTGGCTGTTCGCTACTAGTCTAGCTGATGGGGGGCCTTGCCGTGTGGATAAGATTAGCTTCCTCTGCGAGTGATGCAGATTGCCTCCAACTAATCAAAGAGTGAACGTCGGCAATCTCACGCTTACGCGTTGAGGTGCAAAAGCGGTCGACAAGACATATGCAAATCACATCGAAGTCACCGGGCGGCCTCGCCGAGGAGACGAAGCAGCATGGAGTGCGAAAGAAGTTTCTTGATCGCTGCAGTCAATGGCTCTCTAGTGTTTCCATGTGTTGGCATGATGTGTGAACAGATTCGAGCTTCTCGACCTGCGCCTGTCATTGCATGATGTTGCCATGCAGCTGAACTATCACATCGAAGTCCTGAATATCTCTGTCTAGGACGTACTCGAGCACGACTCTGGGACATGTAAAAGGACAATTTACTTCCACCCTTGCTATATCAACAATATTCTGATAGCATCTATTCTGCCGCCAAGTACAGCCACGACCCTCACTTGAGCCCACTGGCAGACCTGACTGAAAGACCTTCTGGAGTGTACATGGTGACGGAGCAGGCCACTGGTATGGGACAAAATCCTCCCCAGCGCAGGCGTCCGCCTGAACCACAAGTTGAAACACCTGCCAGAAAACTTAATACTCCAACGCTCGGATGTCCTTGCGAGACACAAGTCGCCAATGCACGCAATGATAGTGACCTTCAGATGCACCCGTCCGGTACCGAGTCGTTGTGAAGTATGCTCGAAACGAGCAGCATCTCGTTTTCGTTTAGTTGACCATGAGCAGGGGCCTCCCTAGCGCATGAATGGTTATACACAGTACATGTTCCCGGCTGAATCTGTCCCCTCAACAACGTTCTGGAAATATGCCGGCGGACGCCACATCTGCAGCTAACCTGAAGTCCTCGTGGCTGCTACACGCGACGTTGATTCATTCTTGTGAAATTTGGTTAGGGAGAGAAGTTGTCGTACTTCTGACGACTAGGGACGAGCAGGCTTGTCGACGAGATGCCAGCTCTTCATCGATGGCCAGGCTTAACTTCGAGGCTGCTGTCACACTTCTTTGTCGTTACGACGTTGTTTTTCCGAGGCTGCGACGAGCTCTTGATTTCTACTTGTCTTGTTGGCAGCAGGCTTGACCTCTGCCAGGCCATTCCAGGGAGCTGTGTTCGAGCCGACATGGTGGGACTTCTGGTTCTCAGTAGCGTGCTCCTTGGCGGATCGTGGAAAGGTTCTCAAAGGACGTCGAATTGAGAGCCAGTCGCTACTACTTGAGCGATTGTCTGACGATGTTGGCATTCGTGCGGACTTTAGGTCCAGTTCCATGGGAAGTTCATGCTTCGGAGAGACCAGATCGTTTATGAACGCACGACCAACGCCTGACAGCTCTGCCATTGTTGCTTATGTTGACATTTGAGGATACAGTAAGTAAGTGTGCTACTAGGTGGATGTCAGTGTGGCTGCTAACGATACCGGAGAGGACGAAATAATGATGAGAGAGATATTGTGATTAATATACCTAACAACAGTACATCCGTCTTCATCCCTCAGACTTGGGACAGAGACATAGCATTCACATTTCCTAATTGGAAAGAAACTCACAACATCTCGCCCTGTTTTTATTCCTACTCGAAACACTTCGTCCTGCATATTACTGCACGATCGCATCCTCCTCTATTCCCATTACCGTATTCAGCTAAATCCCTCAGCATGATACTGGAAGATGGAAGACTTTGGCTGGTTTATTCTCGCATTCCTCAGAACGGTAACGCGAATCTGGGACTGCAGGATCCTGCTCGTGCGGAAAGACGCTAATTGGTGGGGAGGGCTTGTACATTGCCTTTTTTGGATGAGCGGATGTTTGTGCCAAGATTCGTCGTATTTCGTATATTGGCGCGGAGAGGAGATGTCGTTGCGTCCCTGATACCGTACCTGTTTCTTTCATTGCTCTCTAGCAGTCGTCAATCGACTGTCTTGGATCAGAATAGAGTCTGATCATCATGTGGTTGATGAGCCTCGACGTGGACATAGCTGCTTGGTTCCTGTGCTGAGTCAGGATTAGTGGCAGCCGATTTCCTGCAATAGATTCTTGTAGTACTGAGCTCTTCTCAAACCATCCTGCTGTCGCACAATTCTTGGTTCCCGTATGAATTGCTAAGGATTTCAAAGGATCAGGTGGTATTATTGTTCTCGCTGTAATATAACCATGACACCCATAATACCCAGCATAGCAGTCTTCATCCACGGATGCTCGCTTAGCATGATAGTAACATAACCAACAGCCGGAATATACCCCCTCACACTCCCTATCAGATCCTCGTTCCTATCCAGATAGCTCTGACTTCGTGCGTAGAGTTCCGTGTCATCAGCCACGTTGTTGTCACCTTTCGTCAGAAGTTTAGGACTCGAAAGGGACATCGTTCCACTGCGACTCCATGTTAGCAAGCTACCCTGCCAGCAACAAGGCTTTGTAGTACACTTACTTCTCAGTAGCCTCAACCCCAGACACCGGCACAGTAACATGCTTCCTCACCACCCTATGCACAATCGGTATATCCTTGCCCTTGACGTTATACACCACTATCTCCCCAACTTCTGCGCCGACATCCCTGTTCCATAGAAAGAGTAAATCACCGCGTTGGAAGGCTGGTTCCATGGATCCGGACAGGACTACGACGATTGGTGAAGGGGAGTTGGAAATGACGCTTAGGGATTTCCATAGCATGAAGGCTGTGCTGAGGACGAGGGCGAAGTTGAGGACTTGTTGGAGGGATTGGCGGGGGTTTGAGAGGGCGGCTGTGATGTCGGAGAACATTATGGTGAATGGGTGGTTCTGAGAGGGAAGGGCTGAGGGATAGAGGGAATCGGAGGTTGAGTTGTTAAAATGTCGGCGCGTGAGGTGTCGCAGTGACTTGTCTTATGGAGCCGACGGGGTGAGTAACTGGGGAGAATGTCTGGTCATCTCGTTGTGACCGCGGTGCCTTTGCTGTTTTCACGTTCGCAATGTACTGAGGACAGGTTTGTGGTATTTATCACTACTAATTCGAGTACGGCAGGCTACTCAAATATTACGGTTGGTCACTGCTTTAGGCCTACCGTAGTTGATGGCTTGGCAACCTTCACCATCTTTTGAACTCTCGAATGTCTCTCAATGAGCTAGCACGGCTAGTTGCTCAATAGTCCAAATAACGTGATTGAATTTGAAGAGCATGGTTCAATGTTCCCCAAGCAGTAAGACTGAGCAGGAGATAGCAAACTACACGTTCTGCGACACGTGGTTTGTCCTACGCCTAGAAAGAAGGACTCCTGTCTCTCAAGATAGTTGCCCCCTTTTAGAAATCGTCCTTCTTCCAGTTCTTCGCAACAGTCCAGAAGCTGTCCATCCTCGCTCTCGAAAGTACGTCCCTTGCCTGCGCATCTGTCTCGCAAACCCTAGCTCCGAGCCACTTTCTGAATGCTCTCCTTTTCTCCTCACCACTAAAGATCAGATCACATCTATTCGCACTCAAATCCTTCAGCTCACCATTCTCGTCCTCCGCGTCAAGCCACTTAGCTTGCGCTTCCTTGTTGCCTTCTCGCACTGAAGAAGGAGCCTCCATCTCCTGCCACTTGACACGATTTTGCATGAGCTTGTCGTATGCACGAATAGAATGTTCACCTCCCTCAACGACAACGAGGTTGAAGCGCGGGTGCATAATACATACGCCTGTAAGTGCATGCTGCTCGGCATTTTTCTGAACCTGGAACCGGTGCTTGCCATTCGCCAAGCTGTCGATTTTGTACACACGGACGTGAATACCCTTCGCTGCATCTTCGGTCTGTTGTTTTTCGAGCTTCTCCACACGCTCCTCTTTGGTCAATTTTCGTTCTTCATTAGCTTCCTCGTGCGTCTCCTTGCGTTCTGCGATTTCGCGGTTCACGCGAGCCTCGACAGCTGTAGGATCCTGAATGGCCTGTTCACCCAGGACACGCATGAGGTTTGATTTCTTGACTTTTGGCGGTGGAGGTGGTTCAAGACCTAGTCTGATCTTTGCTTGCTTTTCTTTCAAATCGGCCATACGTCGCTGACGGCGGAGTTTCGCTTGTTCTTTAGCTGTGAGAAACATGGGTTTTGCGGCGGGGACAATCTTCTCTTGTGGTGGTTCAATAAGAACTGGGTGCTGAATGTATATTGTGATGATAGAGTCCGGAGTGTCAATCTTTAGGTTTCGAGGATTATCGATGACATCGTAAGACGAGCCGTCGACGAGGCCTTCATCCCACCATTCAATCTCGGGCGGCTTAGGAACCAAGAAGGCTTTCTCGGTGTCGAGGTCTTCGTCAATACCTGCTTGTCGTGCTCGCTCTGCAATGCGCTTTTTCATGTCCTCCAATTGGGCCTGTCGGCGCAGTGCTGCAGCCTGAGCGATGTACTTGCCCTGTTGGTTGAATACCAACTGCCGAGTAACCCGACCTTTTCCTGACGCATTCTTGACACTAATGGAGGTATCGAAGTATGGATTTGCTTTGAGCTCTTCTAACGACGGACCTGAGAGATCCAGCTGTGCTTTCTTCTGTTCCTCCTGCTTCTTCTTGAGCTGATCTTGCTTGCCCTTATTCAGGCGATCTGACTGGAAATTCTCCTGGAGCGCAGGGTGCAGACCAATGTCCAAGCCACCACGAGCTCTGCCGAAATCATCTTGATACACTGGTGGACTTGGGACTGCAGGTTTGGTCTGGGCTAGTTCTTTGGATCTAGATGTAGCTGCTGCGACTCGCGCTTTCAACTGAGCGATTCGATCACTAGCCGACACTGGGGCAGAACTTGATGTAGCAGGAGGTGCTGCCGTAGCAGGTTTCGCCAGTCTTTTCTTTATTTCTTCAGCTCTTGCCTTCGCAGCCGCAACTGCTGCGCTGATATCAGGCTTCCCTCCAGTCTGTTGAGAGGGAGTGGTGGGACGAGGAGAGCCATTGTTCGATCGCGATCTTTTGTTGGCTGCTTCGTCGTCTTCAGGGTAAGGCCTCTTCAGCAGATTTTCAGCCATTATGTAGAGGAACTCACCAGAAAGGGTTGGCGGTGGGCTTGATTAGACAGAAGAACCCTCAGAAAAGTCTGGCCTGTCTCTCCATCGACTGTTCGTGGATAACTGAATTCTAACAGTGTCACTTTAGTACACAAGTTCATATCACTGGACCGAAAGCCTCAATTTATTCGAATTAATCGGAAGCTGCTTCTTCAGTCTACTAAAACAGCACTATAGCCGGCCATTTTCATACAGCCGATGGTGTAATGCTCAACCAGTTGTAACACTGATCCAGCTCAACTTGAATGTAATAGTAAAGGTCGTAGTTGAGCTTTGTGTGTAGATTTATCCAACAGTACCACTGACACAATGTACACTGCTAGCCCAAAATGTCAAGCGTACAATCGATTTGTTGCATAATCAATGCAACGCCAACGGAATAGATAGATTCCGTAACGAGTAAACTATATATTGATCATTGTAACTTTGCTGGATATAACTAGCACGACTATATGTAATTCAAATGTCCTCCGGGTATCTCGTTCGTGTTCCCTTCATAAATCGTACCAATAAAAGTGATGCGACAAAATATTCCTGACATTGTCTCGTCCCAAATGGTAAAATAGAAATGCTGACAGAACATGACAGATAAGAGCACGCGATTCAAGGCTGAAACTTGCCCCAAACCATGCTCCGGCAGATGAACTGGATAACGGACCTGGCAGAGAGGCCATTTGGTTGGCGTCAATGCGAGCCTGCAGCCAAGGTTTGTTCGTGACAGATTGGCGCGGGCGAGGCGAAGAGCAGTTGCCACGCGGCTGGAGGTACTGCGAGGCAGATAGCAGATGAGCCACGACTTATCCTAGAGCAAGCTTTGCAGGCCTCCGAGCCGATAGTTACCACCCTTCACCATGGCTGTTCTCCTGTCTACAAGTTGCACACCAGCGTCAATATCCGTACCAACTGGAAGGTGGTGATGTGACCCTTCGTGAAATGAAGTCAAAGTTCGCAGACCCATCAGCCAGTGGAATAGACTCTGCTTGGTCTCCTGATACTGCTACTGCCGCTGTGACTTCGATGCCTCCTGCTTCCACCTCTCCGCTTCTCAACGATAACCGTCTCCTTGCGCGAGCGGTTCTCATTCAGGCTGTTGAATAGGTAAAGGATGAGTATCGTGCCGAAAAAGGTACCGACAATGGCGCCAGCGAGTGTTCCACCACTATACTGGTTGTTGGGACATGTGTTTTGAGTAGCGCCAATAGTTTGTACTGCCTGTCGGATTGCTAGAACTGGATCTGGACTGCGCTGAACGAGGGATGCTAGTGGTACTGGAAGTGAAGGAGCCTTCAAGCCGGATCATGTTAGTATGTATGCTTCATAATGCGGTGTTGCGACTTACCATGATGATCGTTGTCGTGAGCCAGAAAGTAGGCGATTGTACTGCTTCGGAGTGCGAGGTGGGGTTCAGCACGGACCTGACACTGCCGAGCGCAAGAAGAGGCAGAGACCAGAGTACGAGATATTGGATGTGAGGCAAAGGATAACGTGAGGGTCAATAGCAGGAGTTGGCGAAGGATTGATCTCTGTGTCAAAGCCAGCTCGAGTCGTGTTTATCGTCGCACTAAGGTCGCGCGTCGATTAGTAGAAGAACCATCTATGCTGTGGTCGCACAATTGGCCAAGCGAAACGTCTTATTGAGATTGACGTCACGGCGTGTATAGCGATGGATGGCTGGGGAAGAAGCAGGATGGCTGGACAACCGCGTAGTTGGGATTGGAGTGGTTGGAAGATAGTGGAGTCGAGGAAGCAGGCAATTCCGCAAGTTCGGATTTCGTCTCCGGCTCGAATATCTTTGACAATAATCGTTATAATGGCTCGATTTCATGGAAGTGAACGTAGATCTGACGAGACTTCCCTCTACGGTCTTTCGTCCGGAAACGCACCGGAAGTGATTATGCATAAAAGCAAAGACAAAGTCCTGATCTGTTGTATTGCATCTATCTCGTGACTCCAAGCTCTAAGGGTCGTCTTCATCACTTTCGATTTCGTGTGCAGGTCGATGGATCCCGCTGCACATCCATACCTCATGCACAAGTTTCTCTTTAACTGTGCCAGATCGTGTTCTGCTCGCTTCTGGGGGTACGTATCTGGGCATAACGCTCACTGCAACCTCATGATAGAGACTGCCGAACAGTATCAAAGCTTCGCCAGCTCTTAATTCGATCTCCTTAACACCTCTGCTCAAGTCAGGTTTCTGGTCGTCCCAGAGATGTGATCCCGGAATTGTCTTGATGGGAACAGATCCGGAAAGAGAGTTCAGCTCAGGTACCAGTATGCCGAGGTTGGTCTCGCGTCGCGACTGGTATTCGTATTTCGAAGTTGCGGCGTGGCGTGTATGATGCACGCTGTCTGCACGATGAAGAGAGGGTACATCGATGGGTGGGGAGTTGAGGTCTCTTGTGCATGAACTTGATACACGAGGTTTTGTGCTTTTCAGTGTAACGTTCTGATCCTTCCAGCTTATCGTTTCGAGGCCCAGAAAGTGTAATGTTAGAGTTTGAAAAAGCGAATCTGACAGTAACGACTCTCGAACCAACGAATTATCGTCCTGTCTTGTAATCTGTGCTTGACCCTCGTCCACTTGACGTTCGAGATTCGCTGCATCTGCATCGTGTACATATCGCGAAAGATGTGGACTGACGAAGTCCTGCACGACAACGCATCCATCACTCTCGAGTGCTTCAACGAAATGCTCAAAGGGCTGCGCTTTGTGGATATGCCTCACACGATTCGTCCTTCGTGGCGTAACGTGAGCAGGCTTGTGTGCCTTCTCGCGTGTTGCAGCTGGGCAGCTGCACTGCTCAGATATGCTGCTTGAATGTCGAATCAATCCCTGTCTGGAGGACGAGCTCGATGTTGAAATAGTGCTAGCGCTTTTCATGCTGCTGCTGTCATCGGCGTCTTCGGCTCTGCTACGGAATGCCAATCTTCTTGCTCGCAATCGAAACGACGACATATCTGCAATTCGGATTCTTCGGGTTTCAAACTGGAAGTGATTTTGTAAGTGGCAACAGACCTGTGCCGTTATACAAAATTATCTGTGTAAGCAATAAGTAGGACGTAAGCTTGGAACTGGGAGCGATGAATGTCTTGAGTTGTAGGAAACCCAGTGTCTATATAGACACGTAAACGATAATGTAAGCATTCAGCCATCTAGTCACATTGTGTTCGCTCAATTGAAACTTTGGGAAAAACCAAAAGGACTGGGGCTAGTGTAGCTTTCCATCATTGCTTGAGTAGTCTTGTGTGGTTGAAAACGGGTCGTTCAGACACTTGAGCAAAAGAGCTTGCGTAAGCTCATGAAGGTGACTTCAGGTTGAACCTCTTGCAAAAGGACGCGGCGCTGCAGGTGTTATGGAGAATAGGGTTGGCGCTTTGCCTGATTACAGCACAAATTAGCGAGATGACTTGGCTCTTTTGTGCGGTTCCATATTCACTTTTCTTTGTGTTATAGAGATCGTGGCTTTATCAGCCACCTGAGGTTATAGCTAGGCTTGCTGGTGACAAGTTTGCTGGCAAGTGTGAGTTGTGGCGGAAGCTCCCACAAACTGGAGAGCCCGTCATGGTCCAACTTGCTGTTGTTTAACCGGTGCTTACTGACCCCCACATAAAAGTGGATTCCTAATGCCTGGTCCTTAGAGATTCGTCATGCCTAGGACTGAGTTTGGTAAGAGTACAAACTGCTGTTCTATCTTGTAATGCTAGGACGCGTGGCAGTTACTCAGTCTAATCACAATAAAAATGTGCTGTGGGAGTCTCGGCTGATCGTTGGGTCATCGTTCTTCCAGCTTGCCGAGCTAAGATAAGATCTTCGATAGAACGCGTGATTTTCTTCCCAGGACTATTGAGCTAACGAGGATGACTTCCTGAAGCCCTTTCTCTCAGCGATCATGAGTCTCATCTCACGAAGAACTTCCTGCGAACGTGATGCGTGACATACGAGCAAGCGCAGAAGCAAATTACTCGTTCCAGACACGGAATCTGACCGTCAGTATGAGGCTTCTGACGTTAGGTTGCCTTTTGAAAAGTTGCTTTCACCAGGGACGGTCACAATCACAGATATCCGCAATCTTCGGACTTATGCAAGGACAGTGCAGCTGAACATCAGATTGCCGCCAAGGGCCTCTTCTCGCCGAACGAAAGCCAGAGGACCTCGAGCCAAAGCATCCTCGCTGAGAACGTCGGCATCTTCTGGTAAGAGACCTAGGTCTACAGGACCTTTCCTCCTACCTTCCAGTTCGTAGAGGTGACCGTCTGCACCTTTCACAAATGCTATGAATGCTTGAGGAGGACATTGACCTCGAGGGGGAGCCTCGGTATCACCTGTATGAGCAGCAACATCATGTGCAGCGTCAAGAACATCCGAATCGTGCAACAGTTGCGCTCGAGCTTCCGGCCTGAGTGTGATGGCTTGCTGGACAAGATTTTCGAGGTCGCTACCTGGCAGAATAGCGGAACGTGTCGAGTTTGTGATACAGTGTAGCAGGCCAATCAAGCCGCAGGCGTGTGTAATAGTCTGCCTATAGAATAGAACAGGCTCGCCTCCGGTCTCGTTATAATCAGGCTCTTGAGCATATTGTTGCTGGAAATACTTCTCTCCTTCAGGTGTTTCAGGATAAACAAACAACAGACCGTGGGCTGGTCTTGGCACAAAGGCGAGGAGTTCAGGTTCAGTCAAGCTGTAGATGTCATGAAATGCAAACTCAGTCGACAAACCAAGCTGGTGAGCGAGCTTCGTCATCACTACCGGATTGTTTTCGAGAGGCACAAAGACCTTTTGCGTAGAAGTCATTGTGACTGCCAGATAAATTGTTTTATCTGTTCTAGGAACTTGTTGGCGTTGGAGTGTGTAGTGAGCTTAAACATCTGTCTTGATGAGACAGTGATCGTGGACATTTTGACAATGGGTCAGGCACCGGCTGGGACGCGTACCTGGAGGGGTCGGATTGAAGAAAGCACGCGTCTGAATGGTAGAGGCAGGATCGCGGTTCACGCAGTCACGACCGTGGCTGGACCCTGCATTGAGTACTAGCCGCTCCGCTGCGATGTCGTTCCGCGCGCAACTCACCTGCTTCACATGCAGACTCGATAGACAAGGGAGTTTCAGCTTCATCTGCTTGGCTCTTCCATGCCGAAGATCCCGATGTCGCATATAAGAAGGGATCCTTGATTTGCCTGATGCGCAATATCCTCCCTGGCCGTCCCCAATCGAGCAGGCAAGCACTGTGCACAGTCAATTGGGACGGCCTCCGTCTAGTTGTGAGTGCTGTCCATTCGACCCAAAGGTTTCATCAGACTAACGAGGTGCAGGCCTATATCTCTGGCACCACTGTGATTGTATTCAACGGTCGTCGCGAAGTCCTTCAATCGATCCTGGTGGACGATGCAAACTCGCTGTTCTCCCTGTCGATAGATGAGCAGTCTGGAAATATTGCAGTTGCTGATAAGAGCTCCGTGTATATATACAGGCCGATCGGAAGAGACTATGGCGACCTGCGCTGGACGAGGACGCATGTCCTGCCGAAGGAGGTTGAACCCTCTGTAACGTACCTCTCTTGGGGGTCTTCTGATGAGCTTCTCGTGGCAGCTCAATCCTTGACTCTATGGAGTTTCTTGAACGAACACGAGCCGCAACCCATCTGGACCTCTCCCCTCAGCTCTCCGGTGCAAATCGCTGCGTTCTCTCCGGACGCAGGGCTGATTGCGTCTTGTGGCTACCACGACCGAATTGTGAAGGTATGGAGGAGATTGTCCTACGAGCAAGACAGCACTCGATTCGATGTCTCCTACCTCCCTCATCCATCCGCTATTACAGATCTCTCGTGGAGACATTTCTGGCACCAAGAACAGAACCTTGACAACCTTCTATACACCTTTTGCAATGACAAGCAGGTACGGGTATGGTGTCATTCCGACCCTCACACCTACTGCTCACTACAGCACATCATCACTATTGACACAGCAGCTTCAGTCCAGCCTCGGAGGTTAAGTGTTGGATCTGTAAGCAGAAGTCGCTTCTCGTTCATGATACAGAGTCAAGACCTTGCTCGAGCTGCGGAAAGGGCTCTGCAGATCCATCGCAACGGCACTAACCACGCACTCGAGCACTTGATAGAGGTTGCTAATCGCTCGCCAGAGATTTGTGTCATTCTAGATGGCTTAGGGCATATGTCTGCCTGGGGTATAGAAAATGCTGGTTTGAAGAGCAAGCTGGCAGCCGACAAGTTCAATGTGGCTCTCGTTGATGGAGTCAACGTTACTCTGCCCACGGAGAACGACCCAGACGGCTTTACTCAAATTCATGCTTTCGCGAACAACGACGCATCTGCTTCTCTCTGCGTCCTTGTCCACTCCTACTCTGGTCAAATCGACTGGTATCAAGGCTCATTTGTCGAGTTCTTTGACACTTCCGCTCGAGCTGAGCGTATCCGTCTCCAATCATGCTGGTCAGGACACGATTCTGTCGTTGATCGTATGGTCTCGAGTTCAGACTACCAAAGCTTTCTTTCTTTGACCGAGTCGGATCAAGTCATTTTGTGGTCCAAAGCATTAACTGGAGCACCCATTCGGAAGACCGAGGCTCAATCACACCTAGCCATCGTACACGCGACTCTGCTAGTCGATAGCAACTTTGCGGTACTCTTGCACGATGAAGCGTTGTCAGTATGGGATATGCGAGGTATTGAAGCAAGACGGGTCAGTTTGTGCCAGCTCAAGGCACATGGTGCCAAAGCTGTCCACGATCTTGGTCGAGACAAGACATCTCCAGGTAGATATGTAGGTGTCCTGTACGAGGACAACCTTGTTGAGTGCTACAAACTATATGTTCCGGAAGAAGCCGCCAGGCACGAATCGAATGGTTACCACGATTTTATCAGTCGGATTATGTCCACCAAAGTACCGGTCTCTAGCAGGACAGACACTGTCGGTTTCTGCACCACATCCCAAGCAATTTCTGATGATAAGTGCGTCTTCTCGTTGTCCCAAGATGGATCGCTGAGAACCTATACACTAAGTCACAACAACGACACTGCCAATCTCATCACGACGGTAACGTTAAGCACCAACATTCAGATCTCTGATGTTGTCTCTGTGCTTGATGGCAATGTTTGTGCTATTGTGCACGCAGACAACCACACGGTCTCTGTGTGGAACTCTAAGCAAGGACTGTATGAATTTACTCACACATTCGACGATTTTGATTGTATACACGAGCTGTCTTGGTATAGACGGAAGAATGGTGTACTTCTTCTAGCTGCGCAATCCACATATGCTGTTGCTATCTTAGCTCAACAAAGATATGGCATGGACACGGTGTGCAATGCCTGGAGCTTGCAGCGGATAATCTACACCAGAGCACACTCAAGCCACACAATCGGTAGTCTCTCATGGTTTGAGCCTTTTCAGGTAGCTGTTGGCCTTGGAAGCCAAATAATGACCTTCGATATCGAATCAGATGCCAGGCCTACTAACGATTCAGAGCTGAGCGGAAGGACAGTGCCCGCATATGATGTTGAAGCTCGGCATATGCTACGGCAAAGCAGCTTGCCTATGTTTGCACCGGAGATTGTGGCACGCCAACTTCAGGCGGGACAATACGATGCATTATTGGTGAACTTGCAAACTTTATGCGAGGAAACTAAGTTCCTTTCTCAGAACGAAGCCGTACATATCGATGTTGACGTTACCCTGGCTAAGGTATTGGCACGAAGATCAAGTGACGCATGTCGTGGCGGGCCAAACCCTGCCCTTCAGCCCACCAATGCGTCGGATTTTAGTCTCAGCGAAGTGAAGGAGCAGCTGAACGAGACTATCATGCGCATTGCTCCATATCAATTAACACGCACTCAGAAAACACAACTGCAAGGATTGATCCGAACAGCTCTGCGACTCTTTGAAACCAATCAGTCTTTGGATGCATTTTCACGGATCTACCTTTTCCATTTCCTTAGCGCTTTCGCTCACCACGATGCAGCGAACGGAGTTCTCCCTGCATTGCCCTACGTTGCAATTGTGTACGCATCTCAGTCTCAAACTCAGGAAGCTCTGCTACAATTCATACTCGCTCGCATTGAAGAGAAGAATATCAAATTGACATGGTCCACAGCACGTTCTCTTGGAATATTCTTGTTTATTTCAGATAAGGAAAGTCTGATGGTACAACTGGAGTCGGTCGCACGAAATGAGTACAACCGGAATACTGACGATCGAAATCCTGTCGACTGCAGTTTGTACTACCTAGCACTCGATAAGAAAGCTGTTTTGTTGTCGCTTTGGCGAAGGACAATCGGTGTGAAAGAAAAGGAATCAACGATAAAGCTTCTGTCTCGCGACTTCCAGGATCCAAAGTGGAAGTCAACAGCGCTTAAAAACGCTTATGCTCTGCTATCGAGACGACGTTTTGAGTATGCAGTTGCTTTCTTCCTACTCGGAGGAAGTTTGGCCGATGCCGTTAGTGTTTGTGTCAATCAACTCCACGATTTCCAATTAGCTGTTGCCATCACACGTGTCTGGACGGGCAATGTGACTGATCAGTCCAAAGCCATGTTGAACTTGACCAAGAAAGTAATTCCAGAATTGGCTGTTGACTCTAGTGAAGCGCGATGGATGCTCATCTGGTCGTGTGTCCAGAGCCAGGACTGGCCTCAAGCTGTTCGAATTATTGTCTATCAAGTGGACGATGTTCTGGCTGCTCAGCTTGAAGCTCGAAAAATAAAACTTGATCAGCAACAGCATGAAGCTGAGGTCAATATGCCTGTCCAGGCAATGAGCTACAAGTCGAACGAGCCAACATTGTTGATCAACTTCTATGAACATCTGAGGACCAAGTTGCTCGATCAAGGTCTATGGACGCGAGCAGTAATCACGCCCACTCAGGAATGGCAATTCGTCACAAGGAGCGCAAGTTGGTATGCAAGAGCTGGTCTTGATTGGCTAGCACTCGAACTTGTAGCAACCTGGCAGTTTGTGAAGTGGCAAGAACCAAAACATGTGACTTCGAAACCAAGCACGGCGGTGGCTGTTGACCCTGACTCCACCAAGCAGAAGAGTATGCTGGACGATTGGACCGAACCAGAGGTCGTCACTGGGTATACATCAGCAGATACCAAAAAGCAGCTGGAACTAACACAAGAAAAGGCCAGCTCAAAGCCCAAGCCTACGCAATTTGTCGAGCCTAGTGCAGACAGCTTGTTGGATAGCTTCGGATTTTAATTCAAGTCTCAGACAAAAGAGACGTGCTTCGTTTCCAGAGTTACTGAACGTAAGGAAGGATTCAAGTCGCGAGCCGTAATATCTTGATTAGAACATTGTGGAATGCTATAACTATTTCACTTCCTCAACTCATCCGCACGTTTCTTGATCTCATCTGCTGCCTTCTTCTCGTACTTAGCATCCCATCTACTTAGTGCACTTCGGCCCTGAACAACATCTCCAATAGCATACTCCATCCTAGCCATATCCAGTGCTTCGTCAACGTCGTTATCTGGACAAACAATGTAAAACTTGCCCTGTCCAATCTTCTTCTCAGCATATTCAGCGACCTGGGCCGGCAACCAGGCACCATCGTTCTTCTTCGCCAATTGCTCTTTGCTGGGTGTTGGACCGGAGTTACCACTTAATCCTGTGTAAGTCCAGCCTGGAATCAGCAAGTGCACGCTGATGCCTGGAGAATAGCTCGGAGATTTTTCTGTGCGTAGATCGTGGGCTAGGTGCTCTGCTAGCGTCTTGATCGCCGACTTTGACATGTTGTATGCTGGGTTTTGTGCTCCGGGTGGATTCGTGATGCCCTGTTTGGAGCCTGTTATGATTACACTGTGACTTCCTCTGTCCTTGGATGACTTGGCGGAGTCCTGTAGCATTGGGAGAAACGTGGCTAGGCCGTTGATCACGCCGTACATGTTTGTGTTTAGTGTTTTCTGAAAGTATTCCACGTCTTCGTAGGGTTGTTTTGTAGATGGGTTCACGGACGTTCCGGCATTGAGCATGAGGAGATCCAGGGATGGGAATGTGGATTGGACTTTTGGGAGAATGGCTTTCCAGGCTGAGAGATCTCCGACGTCGAGTTGGTAGGTTTCAGTTTTGAGATCTGAGGTGCCGCTGAGAGCTTTTTGTGCGGCTTGTAGGTTGGAGGTGTTGTAGTCGATGAGGGCGATGTGCATGCCGTGATTGCGGCAGAGCTGGGCCATGGCGAATCCGACGCCGGAAGCACCGCCAGAGATCAAGGCTGTTGCGCCGGAGCGGAAGAACGTCGTCATGTTGGCTGAAGTCAGAGGTTCTCGATGTATGAAAAGTTAGTCTATAGTCTAGAGAGTGAGTGAAGTAGAGCGTAGATATGTCAAGTCGTGCGATATACGGTCTCCAAAACTTTTTGGCAATCTTTTCACGGCAACATGGGACGATTAGTAGACATATAACAGAAGCAGAAGACGAAAGAAGAGTCGAACAACACCAACCTTTCTTCACTGTATCGCAGCACTTCCCAACTTCGTGTTTGGAGATGGATAGAGTTGGGAGATCTCTTTCCTCCGCATCTTACATGATGACGTCGTTGCAACGTACGTCGACGATAACATTATGACCGATGTATGGATCTGACGGCCGACTTTTGGCGACTTCGTGTAGACGGGTTTTGTATCTTGGTCGATTGTCAAGCATAGACGCACAACTGTGAAGGAACGAGACCAGTCTTCGGGCCAATGCTTCAGTGTACACTAGGCTCGAAACGGGAAGGAACGATCCCTGAGAAAGCTTAAGCGGTCTGCAATCTGAACATGCTTCTCAGCAACCTAATTCTTCCTGGAAGAGGGACAAGCAACCACTTCGATGTAGAGATATCTGACACGAGCGGAACAATCACTTCCATCAAGCCAACAACTACCACTTCGCAAGACTCGCCACCATGTCGTGTCTTACCAACTCTATGCCATCCACATATCCACCTGGATAAACCCTTCCTTCTGACAGCTCACAATGATGGGGAAGGCCTCCCGAACTACTCGGACCTAGCACTTGAGGAGGGTTCATTCGCTGAAGCATTATCGAAAACTAGTCAAGCCAAGCAGCGATACACTCATGAGGACCTAATTCACCGCGGCTCACAGTTGATAGCTGAGAGCATACAGGCTGGCGTGACATCGATGCGAGCGTTCGTGGAGGTTGATCACGTTACGCAATTTAAATGTGTAGAAGCAGGTATCGAGCTGAAGCGGAAATTCGCTGACAAGTGTCGTGTTCAACTTTGTGTTTTTGCGCAAGATCCAATAATGACAATTGAGAAACATGGTCCGGAAAATCGCAAAATGGTCGAGGAAGCTTTAGTTAAATTCAATAACGACATCGAAGTGCTAGGGTCGACTCCGTATGTGGAGGCGAATGATCAGAAGCAGGAACAGAATATCGATTGGGCCATTCAATTGGCGATGAAGTATAACTTGCATCTCGATTTCCATCTGGACTACAATCTGAATGAGGATGACCGACCTAAAATATGGCATGTTGTCAAGAGCTTGGACCAGGCACACTGGACTGACAAGATGAAGGGCAAAACTGTAGTTATTGGCCATTGTTCAAGGATAACACTCTTTGATAACGAAACGATGGAGCAACTAGCCAGGGAAATACACCAGGCACGTCTGCCTGTTTACTTCGTCGGTTTACCTACAAGCGACCTGTTCATGATGGGTAGACCAGATGCTGGGTGGGGAGGTAGCAGGCCACGAGGAACCACGCAAGTGTTAGAGCTGATCAGAACGTTTGATCTCAAGGGATGTATTGGCATCAATAATGTCGGAAATGCCTTCACGCCTTGGGGCAGCTGCGACCCACTAAGACTTGCGAGCTTGTGTGTTGGTGTCTACCAAGCTGGCACACCTAAAGACGCGGAGCTATTGTTTGAATGCATCGCTGCTTTAGCCCAAGAAGCAATTGGTCTGAAGGACGTGGTTGTAAGATCTTTGGAGGAGGGCCAAAAAGCTCTTTCCATGGTGGTTGAGAATGATGCTAAGATTCAGCTTGACCATATCAGCGTACCAGCAAGGAGGAGGCTTGGAGTCGCTGACATGGTCTGGGATCCACCTGAGCTGCATAAGCGACGAGTCGTTGGTCAGGTGTAGATAAAGACCAGCGTGACAAACTACAATGCACATACCAAGTCACGTCGACATCGAGCTACAGAACCAAGCCGAGAAACCAATTCAATTGGCGCAGGTAGCAGTGGCGTTCAGGTCGTGCCAGCTTTAGTCGACAAGGTGAAATTGATGGACCACTATGTACGCAGCAAAACCTGGGTCTCACCGCAGCTAGCGAGGATGTCTTGAAGCAGAACAGTACAGCAGGTTTGTCTAACTTCGACTACAAAGCTGAGCAGAAAGCTGCATGGAAGCAAGATCCAGCAGCTTGTCTGGGTTATCGGAAGTCGTTGGAGGCGTGACTCGAGGGCATGTACGAGGTGACAAAACTTGGACATCCACGTCACGAAAACGCCAGAGAGACCTACGAGACTAACATGAGAGACCGTCTAAAGATGAGGCCCGATCTCTTAGGCAAGTTACTGCCTGACGCACCTCCTTTTTGCAAGAAGCTCACTCCTGGCCCCGGCCATCTGGAAGCACTGATGGCTGAGCACGTTACCGTCATATCAAAACCGGTAGTGAAGATTGAAGGAACATCTGTCATTACAGCTGATGGGGTTTATTGGCCAGTAGATGTCATAATCTGTGCTAAGGATTTGAGACTGCTCCTGGCTTGAGGGCTCCCATCTATGGCGAGGATGGCATCAACTTGCGCACGACACAGGTTTATCCACCTGAGACATATCTAAGCCTATGCAAAGATAACTTACCAAATTTCTTCTAGTCGTTAGGCCCCAACGCCTTCCAAGGTTCCGGAAGCTTGCCTATCACAATAGAGCACTTCCACAAGTATATGGCAAAGATACTGCACAAGCTGGCATATGGGAACGTCAAGACAATGCAGCCGAAGCGGAAGCAGGTTGACAATTTCGCAAGGTACTGCGAACAATACTTCAAAAGTACTGTGTATTTTGCAAATTGCAAAAGCTTGTACACGAGTACAGAACCAGGCACAAGACCAGATGACAGGAATCATGAGAGGATCACTGCTGCGTGGCCTGGAAGGAGTTTCCATGCCCTAGAAGCTCAGAAAGATGTCAAGAGGGGGGACTTTGAGATGGAACTGATGGACGAGAACGAGTTTGCATGGTTCGGAAATGGTGGTACCGTTACAGACTTCGACAACAGTGCTAGTACGGATGCTTTGTCGTGGTATCTCAACGCTCCTCGGTTTGTACACGATCTTGTCTCCAACATACCAAACACTACTGCTATCGAGAAAGAAATGGTTCGCAACAAGTCTGCTGGAAAGGAATTTGAAATGCAACATAAGAAGACACGTATTGAGGCACAAGACAATGTCGTGGGTGAAGGGGCATTCTACATGGATGGACAGTCTGCCACTGACTCAACAAGTGAAGCAGCGACGACTTCTAGTCAAGCACCAGTTGTGGCCGTGATGTGCTGAGGAGTGAACGTGGATCACAGAGAGCTACCAACGAGTTCTATGCTTGGATATAACGAAGATAAAGCCATGAAGACAACAGGCGCAAAAAGGAACTGGCTGATACTGGGGATCTGCCACCGAAAGGTAATAACGAGCTTGTGCTAGCAGTGTCTGCTTCTCGACTCGACCATCTCGACTGCTTAATGGGCACAACAGATTCTTTCCCGTGTTTAGCTTTAGCAGCTGACTCTACCCGCTACTATTCTCCTAACGAGGCTCCCTGACCTCGAAAGTAGGTAGTGCGACGAAAGCAAGAAATGAACTTAAACAGTGGTAGAGAAGGACTTCAATTTCACAGACACAAAGCCAACCGGCATGTCGGCTTATAGTGACCAACGACCAATAAGACTCGAGCAACTTTTCTCATCTGCCAATACGTCGCTCACACCCTGCAGAACTAACAGAGTTCATCTCAACCTAGTGCATGGCATATCAGATAATAGTAACGTCTCGCGAATCAGATAGCCTGCCCTCAAACGTTCACCAAAGTCCGAAGTGCTCGAATTTGGGCATTTTTTTGTGGCGAGCCAGCTTTCTATGCGGTCGCTACTTCCTCGTTGTCAGCATCTTCGATCTTAGTTGCCTTGAGCTCTTCAGCCACATCGGCAGTGGCGTCTTTCTCGTCTTTGGCAACGGCGTCTGCGTCGACGTTGACTTCGCGGCCTGAATCGTCAACGCCAGCGTCTTTCATGTTGGCTTTCTTGCTACGGTCTTGTCGAGGGCCACGTTTTGCTGGAGGAGCAGTGGAGGCGGCGGACGATGCGGCTTCAGCTTCTTGCTCGAGTCTTTCGATTTCTTGCTTAGCTTTTTCGACGTTCTATATGCGTGTTAGTGAATATTTTGGCGTCATGAAGTATGTGTTCTTACCTTTTCCGTTTCCGTCTTCTGGTTCGCCTTCCAGTAGGCGACCTTTTCCTTGAGCTTTTCTACCGTAGCTGGAACTTCGCTCTGGTTGCTGGGCTGATCAACGCCGAGCTTGGAGAGACCTTGGATGATGTCGATGGACAAGTTGAACTTGTTTTCGTTGGCAGCTTTGTTACCCTTCTTGCCCTTCTTCTTACCACCAGCACCAGTGAAGAAGTCCTCCTCTTCCTTCTTCATGACGGACATGCCCTTGAACCCACTCTCATCGACAGCTCTTTGAGCAGAGGCCGCAAACTTGCTAGGACCCTTCTCGCTTTCGGTAGAGGTGTAGGAAGGATCGAAGTGACGAATGATACCCTCTGCGGTGAGAATCTCATCACTATAGGCGAGAGAGCTAGCTTCCTCAAGACGAGCTTCAGCAGCCCTCTTTCGGCGCTCCTTCTCGTACTGATCACGCTCCTGCCGTTGACGATCTCGTCGTTGTTGGTATTGCTTATCCTCGTACTCCTTGTACTCTTTGCGCTGGGCGTAGTACTTGTCCTTTAGGTCTTGGATAGCCCTCCAGGAAACGTTCTGCTTTTCGTAGAGAGCCTCTCGCTCAGCCTTCAGCTTGTCAAAATTCTTGTTGACGTCGTCTCGACCAGCTTTGATCTCATCCAATTCTTTCTGGTTGGCCTCGTACTTGTCGCTCAAGGCCTTTGTCTCAGCGTTGTCAAAGGTCTTCTTTAACTCAGCATTCTCGTTTTTCTTTGCGTCAATCTTAGTCTGGAGGTCGTCGAGGCCACCGAAACTCTTCATTTGTCGTCGCAAGTTGGAGACCTCGGTCAACGTCTTCTTCTCGTCGACAAGTTTCATCTGACCAGAGTCAACTTGCTTCATCAGAGAAGCAATCTTCTGTTCGATTTCCTGAGCGTTCTTGAAACCGACACGGGAGCGAGCATCCTTCTGCTGAGTGATGAGGTTTTTAATTTCCCGATCGTTGGCATCGTATTTGGTCTGCTGGGTTTGACGAGAAGATTTGTGTTCGCCCTGCTTGGAACGAATACCCTTTTGCTCATCGACAAGTTGCTGCCATCGATCGTTGGCAGAGCCACCTTTGCCAGGTCGGGCCTCGTTCAACTTGTTGCGAATGGCATTCTACAAATGGTTAGTAACCACTGCGCATTGTGTATACGGGTACATACAAATTCTTCCTGGTTCTTCTTGTGAACCTTCTCAGCCTGCTCAAGGTCTGACTTGAACTTTGCTTCATCGGGCTTTTCTGGTCTCTTGGAGCCAGAGTCAGCAGCAGGGGCAGTTGCGGTGTCGGCCATTATGAGTGTATAACCGGTGTGGACTTTGCGCAGATCGATGTGGGAAAACTTGACTATCAGCAGTGGAACATCTTGATTCTAATGTTGGGTATTTATAAATCCAGGACTGTGCAAGATCAACGATGCGAGAGGACCTGTCTCGAAGTGACACACCGCACTGTAAACAATGTCAGAATAGCGTCGACCAGCTCACTATACTATCGGCCTCGAGGTGGAGAAATAATTTGTGTAGCCAGTAACTCGAGGTGGGTACCAACATACTACACCAGGCATACACAACTTGAACGGAGGCAGGTGAGCCGACCACTGTGGAGGGTACGAAGGAGCGCGATGCAAGCAGTCACGATATTGACATATTGGGCAGGAGCAGTCTAGGTCAACTTTACTATTCGCTAGTCTGGCAGCCACTTTGATGCTGCTCGCTCTCGTAAAGAACTAATGGAGCACAACGAGTGAAGGTCATGGTGGATGATCCTCGAACCTGAAGTTCCACAATTCTCTCGCATTCGTGTCAAATCCGTATCCTTTCGAGCTTGTGGTACCGATGTGCTGAAAAAGTGCAGGCACAACGGCCCATCGATCCAACTGCTCTTTGTCCGCAATCTGCTCAATCATCATATCTACTAGCCAATCTGTTGTGAGATCCGACCTGGCAAGTATCAGTGGTATGACTGACCGAGGGAAGACTAAAGCCTGTGAGCAGCAGCCGTATTTGTTCATTTCTTGAACCCCTGCGGGAATGGGCCACATGGTCTGGCGTCCGGCCATGAAATGCAAGCCTATACTTAGAGGTATGAGTATTCCGGACACGAACGCAATGGCAGCATAGCTGATATTGTCAACGTGCCGCCAGAAATTCTTTTTAGCGTAGAGCATGCCGAACGACAATACAAACCAGACAACTAAAGACCAGAAAAGGTATTTTGGCCACTCCTCACTATTCCAGCCAAGCAAGTCTTCGACGTAGAACAATCTTAGATAGGCCCAGCGTGTTTGTGCACGAATTTGCATAGTCTTGGAAACTGTGTCTAGTGCTTGTAGAGCTTGTTTGTACCAACCTCGAGCAGCAATGGTATCATCCTCGATCATTGCAATGTACTCTGAGTTTGTGTTGTAGCAGTCCCTCAATAGGTAAGTGTAGTCGTATATCGTCTTGTTGCGATACCATCCTCCTTCTTCCCACGCCACGATCTGGTCATAGTCTGGACTGTCTGGATCGTAGTGCAGTACACGGTCAGGCAGAGTATTCATCCACTTGTCGTTGGCGCTGGGATGCTTAGCAGGGTCTGAATGAGCGACGAGAACATTCAAGAACATGCTCTGGCGTTCAGACTCGGTGAGACCCTCGAGCAAAGAGCCTATAGTCGTACTGACATATTGTTGATTACGACGCGCGACAGTCGCTACACCCACACAAATGCGCGGCGGCGCATCAGCGGCCTTGACGGCCGCTGCGCCCGCATTGATGCGAGTGACAAAGTTGTCTGCCTGCTCAATCCGCAACCTTGAATATTTCTGACTATAGGCCCGACTTTTGTCGAAAAAGTAGGAAGTCGGATCGCGTGCGCTCACATAGTGATAGTATGTGTATGCCAGGACATAGATCACAGACAGCACACCAGTAATAACCACTGTTGGTGAGATGATCGTAGTACGTCCGCGACCACGATAAGACGGCAGATCATAGCTGGAGGGCAAGACCTTGGCTGGAAGAGACAGACGCATTTGCGTTTTGTGGCGACAGCATCGTCCTTGGTCGTCTACATAATTGAGGGTGAAGAAACAGTGGGTAGATTAAAACGGAATTGTATCTCTGATGCACAACAGCATGGTCGCAGGAATCCATTTTTGACTTCAGGCGGCACGCTTCTGTCCGCGGTTATGAGACCAATTTTGTAGCGTCAATTTGAAATTAGCCCTTGGAGTCTCGGCAAAAGCGTCCAATGAAAACAGGGAGCAGCTACCTTGCACGGCCAGTGACTGCTTGCACGCATCTATCACCAAAACAATCTGCATCTCATTCAATTCCACGACACGCTACATTGAGCTCGAGCATATGATATCGGCGATTTACATGTAGGCTGTTGTCACTGCTCGCTCGACGTGATCTCATGACCTTTCAAGGCAGGGGACCTCGAGATGTTCACCCGCAAAAGGGTCTCGAAGATTTGAAGCCTCAAGCAGAAGGCAAGTATGCCTATCCAGAATCTCTGTGCTTTCTATAGGATGCGTGTCCCAACCACCCAGCTCTGACCTTGTCCAATCGCGTCCTTCCATTCGTGTTGCCTGCTGGACCATAATCCATGTAGTGCATGAGCTGGCTCTCCTCGTAAGCGCCGGGGTCGCGCTATTGAAGTGGACGACCGCTCAGCCATCTACGCTAATGCAGCACGATCAGATCTTTTGAAGATAGATATGAAACGGAGAAGATGCGAGAGGTCCTCGTAGTCCATGTGGCTCTCTTACGAGAGTACACTTTGGTGGATATATCCATCGAACCTGCTCAGGTCGAAATGACGACCTCACACATCGTTTGATGACTATCATAAGAACTGAGCCATCCCAAATCTGGTGGGATTCTATACTACAACTGAGTCATGCCAGTCTCGCATACGCCACCACTTATGGAATCATTGAACCGTTCTCTCGGAATCCAACGACCAGTACAGACACAAGTTCGTGGTCCTAAAGAGAGACCCAAAGTCGTTGTCTCCCAGTCCAGAAGAGACGTCTTCAGGAGATGTCTGGTTCATGTCCTCCCAATATCAACCACAGTTGTCATACTAGTCCTCAATTTCCGTGGTTTATACATCGGGCAAGATTTCCCAGGGCCAATCAAGTCTGAAACTACGAACCTGCTGTTTCTTCAAATACTGGCAAAAATTCACGAATTACTGATACACGCTAGTCTGTCGGTAATCGTCTTTCACGCTGTACGCTACGAGCTTCTCTTCGGCGACGGCTTGCCTCTGGGCCTCCTTGGCTCAGGCTTCTCTTTCACCACTATCGAGTATTTTTTCAACAAAAAGTTTCTAGCTGCAGCGCTAGGATGGTTCAATCGCAGACAAGCACAAAGGAAGATCTGCTTCTTAGCCCTCCTTGTCATATCGGGAACGATTGCCCCATTGGCTGGTCCGGCGAGCGCGACGTTGCTGGTTCCGAAATCCCAGTCGTGGCCCAGTGGCGGTACTGAATACTTTCTTGATGGCTCTACCAACGATTTCTGGCCTGTTGATATGTCTGGTGATATGGCGACGCTGCAGACGCTTTGCAATTCTAACAACTCCAATGCACTAAGCGTATGTCCAGCTGGCGGATTTTCATCTCTCCTAGAACACTGGAGCCGCACTAATTTCAAAGATTTCCAAAGAGCAGACGTCCAACCCTACGCTAAACAGCTTTCTGGTTCCAACTTCTACTGGCCGATCCATAGTCCGTCTTCGCATATCCCGCCCCGTTATGCCCTGGGCGAGGCAAGGCTTGACGATAAATCTAGGTCCAATACCTGGCTCGTGATACCACACGCAGCGCCTGTCGCGCTATCACAACAGGTCATGGTGGATTGGTGGGCAGCAGTAGCTCCCGATGATATTACCCAGCCGTCCAAGATCGATGATCGCCAAGCATCCACCACTCACCTCAACGCAATCACGAATGCACGGTGCTCACCACCGCAGGAACTTTCTGCCACGGATAGTGTTGTACTGTTCCCCTCGCTTCGAGGGAGGTTCGACTACGCAGAACCGCAGAAATTGAGCATTGGTGATCTAGCAACAGTGCCCACAGATCACTTGAGCTTTCGATGGATACATCTGCCAGATGAATTCGGTGCACTGAGCATTGGAGGTCTCTTTGAGAGTGCTTGGAATAACAATCACTCGAGAATCGTGATAGGTTGTTCGGCACAAGCCGGCTGGGTTCCAGCACAGGCGAAAACCGACGAGTATGCATTCTGGACAGGCTGGTATCCTTGGAATATCACATTTGGTGGCAGGGTGCCCTTTTTCAATGCTATTGCCCCAGGTGAGCCGCTTGGATTGACGAATGGAAGAGTAGCACTTGGCGATGCCTGGTTGGCACTGCTAACGCCACCAGCAAATACGAAAGTCCTCACGTCCCGAAATTCCAAGCCAAGTACCATAGAAGTTATACTCGAGGGTGCTGGACTGGACGATCGCCTCGATATTGTGGAAGGCCAGAATCTGACAGAAAAATGGTCAGCTCCTACCAGCAGCAACGGAACCAGGACTCGTCTGATAGAGGCTATCATCTGTAGCGTTGTTGCTGATGGCCTCAGCAGATACGGCAGCCACATGGTCTACAAGAATGCCACGAACCCTATGGACTTATCCCTTCGTAGCTACGAAAGACTTCCTGACTTTAAACACCGCATTGAGAAGGGAGCACGGGCATTGGATATACCAAACGCACCTGAAGGTCAAACAACAACACTTCGGGTAGATATGCAAATAACAGGATTCTCTATCCGCATCTCGCTCGCTGGCTATCTTGCTATGAGTGTGCTGATGGCACACATGCTTCTGGCTATAGGTCATGTGATATGGATGATATCGAAACGAGAAACGTTGGGGTGCTGGAGTCTTGTGACAGACATTATTACTCTGGCGTACAATTCCAGGACTGTTGCGCCGTGTCTCAAGAACACAGGAGCAGGTGTCGAACGTCATTCAACGGTTCGACAAGTTGCTAGGATATTGGCTAGACCTCACCCAGAGACTTGTGCCATGGATCGGGTTGAGCTTGTATTTACAGATTCAGCTGATATTGACGGCAAGCCGTGCCTTCTCGAGGCGGAAATGGGTGATGTTGCATATGATAGTCGAGAAAGCTCAGCATATGAAACAGAGCCAAGCGATTCATCTAGTGTCCTGGACGAACGTGTATACACTACAGCGAAAGACACACTGCTCGCCAAAGCCACTCTTGCCAAGCGGAAAGGGTTTGAGCAAGTTCAGGTTGGTCGCAAATATTGCTAATAGAGCAGTCGCACAAGAATTGTAGGAGAACATTGTAGATTAGGTAGGTACGTATTTATACAATCAGTCGGCAAGTGCTATCGCTTGTTGATGTTGATCTTGTTTGAGTTTGGTCCTTGATTTTTCAATAGCAAAGCTTGTGGTCTACCACACCTCTCACTATAAACGTTCCTGTCAATGAGAGAGTAATCCTGCCTTCCATGCTGCGTGCACTCAACCGTATATATCAATTTAATCTGTTCCAACTTCAGTGCGATGAAGAAGTGCCCGATGCAGAGCAGGGCTCGCCGACCTCTTTCAATGCCGCATACGCCTCGAGTGAAAATCATGCTCGGTCCTCGCTGGTGCGGTTGTTTAGGGGACCAGCCTGATCGCTGGGTGATGATCCACCAATACGGTACCTTCAACATGAGCGAACAATTCCCAGCAGGCTTGGCTCTCAGCTGCCTGCACAATAAATCTCTTGTGTTGTTGTTTTGTGGGCGGTCGACCTTGCCTCTCCTTCGAACATTGATCAAGTATCTTCATTTGTTATTCCTACCACGCCCACACTTATTTCCTTATTATTGCACACCTTGAATGATGGAGCAGACCAGCGGTTACAGGGTCAGGATTCCGGGCGTCCCTCTTGACTCGCCTAAAGAATACCTCGAAAGAACGAGAAAGGTAATTGCTAAGCTCTTGAAAGAGGCTGAAGTCTCGTATCTCGACTTCTTCATCTCGCCCGAAGTAAGAGGAGAGCATTAGCCAGAAGACAACGTTCTCTTGAAGTGAATTCCCATATCTACTGGGCGACGCGAACAGGCCTTCTGCTTGGCTCACAGACTCTTGAAATTGGCCTAGCCAAGGCCTGGTCCTGTAACCAAGGTATCTGCAAAACCCAAACAGGCCGGAATCAGACTGATAGGAGAAGTGGTATGAAGTGCGCAGGTGACTGACGAGGTAGCAGGACAGAAAAGCATAGCAGTATTGCCAAATTCGCCTTGTGTTTGCAACCAATATTCTATGACTACCTGAAGAGACGCCGATTTGGCGTGTCTTGAGTTTCGTGCAATCTGCTTGTTTGCAAACATGTGTTTTTGTGGCTTGCCTTTCATAGTACAAGGAGCAAGAGATTGAGCTACTTGCACCTCCTCTATATTCATTGTAAGAGAGTTGACTTCCCTCTTAGAGCCTTAGGGTGCACGTCCAAGCTGTCATATAGCTATAAATCAGCCAAAATTAGCCTGAAGCGAGGCAGTAGCCGTAGAGTGCCTATGAAGATGAGGTAACGAGAAGCCGAGTCGCGTGCCTTGAGATGAACTGTATTCAATCAGGTCATACGATGATAAGCAGCAACAAGGGTCTGTTCCGGTCTGTCTATGGTGTGGCAGTGTTCTCAGCTGACTTTCACCAGGTAAGGCTACACATCTTGTCGTGCTTCTCCTATGACGCGCTAAAGATTGGTGTTGTCCGACATGGTTATGCACAAAGGTTTCCTGCTTGCCTTCGATGTCGAACCGGACAGTGGCTTCAAACGTTTGATTCTCTTCAGCGACGACAGGTAGTGTAGCGACATGCTTAGGTAGTGGTGAATGAATCGACATGCCTCCGACCACAAACTATACAACAGAGCTGCATCCCGACCTTGGTGTTGAGCATAATTCCAAGTTAGTGGTGCAGCACGGCACTCCAGTTTCCAACGAGGACTTGGACTTCATACAGAGCTTCATCAACCAGCAACGACGTAGCCAGAAGATGAACGAAGAGATGGCGAAGTTTAGGGACACAATTGGAGATTGATTAACATCAACACAGAGAGTGACGGACAGCTACCTGACAGATCCCGCGATGCTTGAAGCAGTGACTTCTGAAATTGCGACATGGTTGCGATACGACAACAATACGAAAGAGGACGCCAGCAGTATCCATCGCTGGACCAAGCATCGACTAGTGTTTGATATCCTGTACTATCACACACTGGCTGTTCTGCTGCTCGAGGAAATAGACTGCTTCTTTAATGGAAAGAGCTTTGATATGGCTAACGTTGACCACTGCGAGCAGGAGGCTTGGATGCTGCTTGGATATGCCTGCGATTTATTGGAAAGCGAGTTCGAGCCAAAGTTTCCTGCTGTACAATTTGTCGAAATTCGAGGTGATGACGAGGCGAACGAGGCATTCTGGGAAGAGATCGAGGAGAACGCGACAGATGTCAAGGCCCGCGACAGCCTAGCGTGGTGCCTTGCTATGATGGACAAGACAGATGACGCACTACCGGTCATCAAGATCTTTCTGGACGACATGGTCCCTAAAGGCAGGAGGAAAGCAGACGTGCTCGATAACCAGGGGAGCAGATTTCGACCATTCGCTCACGAGTCACCAATACGCCTGCTTCAGATAGTGGCCTGGCTGCTCAACTTTGTGCAAAATTGCCGAGGACAGAATTTGGGAGCCTTCACCACAAGACAGTGCAGAAAGGCGGATTGTGGCATGCATGGACTACAGGCCAGATTTGACGTAGTCAACATGCAGATCGAGGAGTCAGTAGCCACCGCCCTTTTTGGAAAAGGTGATTTCATGTCAAAGAATCCAGTCAACGAGGCACTGACAGGATGAAAGAATCTGCTCAATGCCGCGAATGCTGACAATTCAGCGATGAGGGCCGTTGTGAAGTACTTGGAGGCAATAGCCGAAAGCTCGAGCAAGCATATTGTCGCATCGCCCCCGTCAAAGGACGAGCTCAAGCGATCAAGGAAGGTTCGAAAGGCAACCGAAGGGCGTACTCGATTGCCAGCATGTACTGAGCATTCGGTAGGTGAGAACAAGAATCCGCGCCATGAATGGACTTTTGGTTCCAAGAACAGCGTGCACTATTGCATCTGGAGAACGCTGTTTCCGGAACAGGGCTCTGGCTCGAGGCGTGTAAAGCTGAAAACCGAGGACTTCATAAGAACAATGTGTGCTTGGCCGTTTGAATTCCAAGTACGGCGTAAAAGCGTTGAGGTGACCTTCACGAGGACGAACAAGGGCGGACACAGAGAGAGTATTTTACTGCATCTGCCTCATGGCCCATATATCGAGTCAAACGTCCTTGTAAGGTATCAACGAGCGCTTCGGTGGAGATCCGGTTGGGAGTCGGAAGACTTTGTTCTGCGAGACACACGAGATGCGTTGGAATGACCATGTCGTGCCTAGGTCTCTGTGGATTAACATGTTCTTTCGGATCACGTCCTGGAAAAACTAAGTGCAATTTCCTTTGTATCGTGTCCCGAAGGACCATTGTCGGTTGTGCGCAATCGCCATCTCATGTCGACAAACATCAGATCTGAGTGATTGTTCAACTTCGAAGTCGTGGTTCTGGTATGCCACCGTGGGTCTTCCAGGTTGGCGGCATGCAGCCTTATTCGTATGACTTGAAATTATCATCCACGCTCTTTAGATGCATCGGACGTACCCATACCGATCGAGGACTGATCGAGGGTAGAACTCGAGGAAACGCGGACACGCGAACGCGTCGTGCGCGCAGCATTCCGGACACTGACACAGCCGTTTCGCTCTTGTAGCTGATCGCAAGGTCCGGTGGCAGTGGAGAGGATTATCTTTTGTCAGAAATGTGACGTTTAATACTTCAACCTGCTCTTTGTTGTGACGATGGACAATGGGTGGTGGACATGGCCACTGTGAAAAGCAGGAACGACTATGCATCCACGTAGCACCAATTCGGCTTTCGCCAGGAAACCGGATTAGCTTCTCCGATGCCCGGAACAGCTAATCTCGTCCTCGAGTTAGCCCACCTGCCCACTACAAAATTGCGACCATCGATCGTACCTTCCACGACACGAGACACACTCTGTTGTTCCAAGGGTCGAGGACGTGAGCGTCAGTAGACAGCATGGTATCGCCGATTAGTCACTGATGCAACTCTTTCACATCATGTCTATGCGAGGACCTTCTCTCATGATGTAGCAGTCTCTTAGTCCCAGCTCACTACTACTGGGATATTCTACACTTCACTGGATCCAGGGAACATGACAGATGAGTCAAACCGGGACTTCGAACGCCTGCTCGAATTCTGTTCCAAAAAGGCAATCGTTATACACCCTTCGATAAAGCCACGGAAGGTCTATGGCGCTGGTCTTGGAGTATATACAATCGATCGCGTCAGGGCTGGGGCTCACCTTGTCCAGGTGCCTACCAAACATGTATTTACACCTGACAGTATCCCTGAATCATTCATCCCAAACTCTTTGAGAAAAGACTTAGCCGTTCATGCTCAACTCGCTGCTTTCTTTGCCTTTGCCAGCAAGGACGATCTTGAACAATATCGACCTTGGTTGGACACGTGGCCAGCATTGCACGATTTTATTGATACCATGCCTATATTCTACGGGGAATGGGCTGAGTACATCTTACTGCAGCTAGGGAGAACGAAAGACGAAATTCATCCAAGACAGAACGCTAAGAAGAGGACATCGAAGCGAAGAAAGATTAGTACTGACTCAACTGATGCACATACAACAAGACCTGGAATCTCATCTTTTTCTTTATCTCCAGCTTTGTCTGGAACCTTCACGATACCGCCCGCACACCCCACTGGCTCCGGCTTGCTCGCCAAAATGACTGACAAACTGGTTCAGCACATAAAGAGCGTCAATAAGATAATGTCTCACCTCAATCTAATTCAAGACGACCTGAAACTCACAAACTTCCTTCACGCGTGGTGTCTGGTGAACACTCGCTGTTTCTACTACTTCTCACCTGCTACCTCTACACTTTCGAAGAAGAGCAAGCTCAAATCAAAACCACCGTCAGACCCGAATGAGGCAATGGCTCTATGCCCTTTCATGGATCTTTTCAATCATCGGGCTCCACCTCCCTCGATCGATGTATTTGGCTCTCACACAGAAACTAGTACGAGCCAGGCACTTCCTTGCAAGGTCAAATCAACAGCTGCGGGCTTCACAGTCACTACTACTTCCTCTACTCTCGCAGACACCGAAGTCCTTCTATCCTACGGTGCCCACACCAACGACACATTATGGTCCGAGTACGGCTTTCTCCTACCTAGTGCCACGAATACATCCGATTCAATCTGTCTGGACGAAATTGTTCTTGAAAGCATGACAAGCTTAGATAGGACAACGCTGGAAGAGCATGGCTACCTCAAGAACTACATCTTACATAACGACGGCTCTATCTGCTACAGAACCGAAATGGCGTCATGGCTACTGGTACTAGGCCGTCAGAAGTGGGCAAAAGTCGTGGCAGAAGGACTAGATCCGGAAGACAGCTGTACTACACCCAACGGTAAAGAGAGGCATGAAGAGTATCTGCACAAATGGTTGAATAAGGTGACTCATGCTGCGGAGCAGAACATCAAGGTGTTGAACCAGCTAGCTGAGGAGAAGTTGTTGCAGAGCTTCAAAACGATGAGCATCGTGGCAAGCTCGTATCCCGAATCAGACGAGGATAGCCTGAGACTAGCTAGGCAACGACGAGACATGTGTCTATTGAGATGGGAACAGATCAAATCCATGGCAAGTCGAGGTATCAATAAATTCAAGGAAGAGAACAATCAAATACGTATATAAGAACAAGAAAGCAATCAACAGTAAGCCTACCAGATTTTTTATCTATGGCGATGAAGAAACCTAACAAGCCGCAGAAGTGATAACATTTGAGTGTCAATACGCAATGATTAACAAAGTCACAACGCATACGATTCAGAACGTAAGAAACAAATAAAAGTGCTGAAAAATAAATTCCTCCAAGCAGCTTCCGACAATACAGCACGCGATTTCGTATAATGAAAGCGATAACTTGTAATATGCTTACAGTTCGTATATTGCATATTTGCTTGAACGCGCATGCCTAGCAGAACCTGAAGTCAAAGACGAACATTATCCATCGCTCAGCACTTCACTCAATATACTGAAAGACATGCCTTGACGATAAGGCGTCAACGGACCAGGAAATACCAGTACTCAATATTACACTACCTGGTGCCACGTGGCCACTAAGCAGCGACAAGGTCAACGTCAATGTCAAAGAAGTCAAATTTCACAGCTGCAGTACAACCACAACGGAAAAACAAGAACAGGGATGATTTTGACGAGGTGTGGTTACACGATGCTAAAGTAGTTTGTGCTGCCGGAGACATTATGCGGCATGAAGTAAAGAACGACAAACATATGTCACTTATCTTGTATGGTACAAAACATAATCAAACCAAATCCTAATCAAAAAAAAAACCCAGGTCTCGTTAATCGTCAACGTTGTCGTGATCGTCGTTAATCGTGTCTGCTGTACCGTGCAACCTCACTTCTTACTGAGCTGACGCTCACCCTCCTTGCGCAGATCACGACCGGAAGCGCGACGGATAATGTCGTGCTTCATGTCATGCATGAAGGTTTTGATACTCTTCGTCCTCTCTGATGTGTTGCTCGTGGTAGTGGTTGCCGATGTTCGGGTGGGCGGCAAATGGTCGTACTTTCTTGCCTCATTGGCGGGAAATGCTTCAAGTCCGTTAGTCTCGAGGTAGGGCGCGTGACGACTGTTGGGCCTGATAGAGCCTCCATCGGACGAATTATGCTGGAGGGTAGAGAGTTGTGCGATGGCATCGTAGGTTCGGTGAATTGAGGAGGGTTCATCACAGGAGTGGCGGACCTGATGAGCACAAGTCGTGCTTTGTTTAGGAATCGGAAAGGTAGTGGTGCGAGTTTGGATTGTTGGACGGTGTCGTGGTGGTGACATACAATCTGGATGTGGACGGAGGGTCGCTGGCGAAGTGATCATGTTGGAAGCTGGATAAAAGGTGTGCTGTTCGTGAGACTTCCTCGGGTTCCCTACACCTGGACAATTGGCGAGTGAAGCAGGTGGTTGAGCATCAAAAGTCGTCTTTAGAGGGAGCTGCGCTCGAGGAGCAGTTATTGTTGAAGATACCACGACCTTATTGGAGCTTGTTGGGTTTTCGGGCGTCGCATTGTCGTCCTTTATCAAATTGGGAGCGGGCTTGACGGACTTCTGTTGCCTTTTGTTGTTACCAAGTCTCAATGTTTTTTTCACTTTGTTCAAGGCTGAAATGTCGTTTCCAGTCTCACTATCCCAATCAAAGAAAGACAGTTCCCCGTCTCGGTCGGCTGGAGACAATCCACTAAAGCTAGCATCATCCGGTACCGGCTGTCTTCGAACGAACCCGTAAGCTGATGGTGGTGGTCCTCTCCTGTCATCATGTCGATTGGCACATCTCGGATCGTTGACACGATATTGGGCTCCACCCGAGCCTTGAGTACGTCGTGCATTTCCCTGTCCAAGTTTTGAGGACTGAGAAGTGGGCTCTTCAGACTTGTGCCGTTTGTGCTGCACAGCCTTCCGGCCAACAGGGAAAAGGGTAGGGATATGGCCGATCACAGCTCTGTTTGAGCTCTCAATTTGTTGCAAACCATGGTCCGTGCCGAATTTTGCGATATATCTTGGGGGAAAGGTGCTGTACTCAAGTCTCTCGCGATCCAGCGCAACGCGACTCCGCACGGGAGAGGACCCAACAGCCTTTGAACCAGTAGAACCTTGATACATGATGTCAAAAAAGCTCTATTGTGACTGCTAACGGACCCTTGGTACAGGAACTAGGAAGTTAAAAAAAAAAATCCAGGTGAACACTGTGTAGGAGACTGGTTAGAGAGTTTGCGTAGTGAAAACTCAAACAAGCCATGGTCACGAAATGATTAGTATATATCACAATATTAATCGCAGTACTTCTGAACCACATAAGCGCTATCTACCACTCACAGGCCAAGGTCTTGTCAGATGTGATTGTGGCCAAAACCGTTCATGTCAAGGACATAACAGGAAGGTCCTCGTCGGAAGGCAAAGTACAGTGTCCAATAAAGCAGGGAGTAGGGCGCGGGGATAGGTCCGGTATGTACCTCGACAACAAAGTTGCCTCGAGGCTTTCTTTACAGACGTCTGATGGACATTCGCACAAAAACAATAGACTTACCGTAGCCCATTGGTCGTATCGGATCGCAAGACATGCACCTCGACGAAAAAATCCGTTTCAGAGCAACGTTCCGAGTTGCGGGTTGGTCGTTAGGTCAACGTCAATGCACAACAGCATGCATGCGCCACATGCTGGCGTAACGAGGTTGCGCCATCCACATACTCGAAGCGTTGCCTGCAAAGACTCTTTGTAGTCACCACTTGTGATTGAGTGTTTGGAAGTGGAACGTTTGTAGGTGGTCACAAACAGCGTCACTTACACAGCGTACAGGATATTGAAGCGGACTAGATAGTGAGAGATACTCAGCTGTTGATATGCAGTGTCGTGTTTCGAGTCCTGGTTCGTGTAAGTCGCCTCGATGACAAGAGATGCATCTTGGCAGGCTTCACAAATAGGAATCGAAAGCGAAGCTGCTGGAAAGTCGATACACTAAACAACTCGGATCTCAACGACGCTTTAAAGCCGTAAATGGAATGTTCAGAACAGTCGATAGAGGTCTTGCAGGTAGAAACACATCGTACTGCTGGAGCTATTTGGTTCAAGATGCTGTGAGAACCGCGAAAGATGCAACTCAAATTGTGCCTAGAGCACTGCAGCCTCGGATCATTGCAGGTTGAGAACAGATAGTGATCGGCGGATCCGAAAAGCAGATGTAAGTGACTTGGGTGATTGTAAACGAATGTGCATCACAAGCGCGAATGCACAGCATATAGCCAGGAGGTGGATGTAATTTCAGAATGAAATCCTTTCTGATTCGTTGATCAGCGACGTTAGGTCCTGTTCGAAGACAGGAAAGCTCAACCGAGGACTGGCTTCCGAATTTCCGGCTGCAGCCAATAGAGAGCCTCAGAACCCTGCTTAAGTATTAAGAACATGAAAATCGGGATGTGGAATTGCAGCACACAAAAACAGAAGGCAGATGATCGGAGAAGTGTCCTTGGACGACTTCAGCACGTCTCTTCCGTGTCGAGTACATCCTAACCTTCCAGCAATTTTACATCTTGTTCTGAGCGAAGAGCATCATGGCGAACACATCAATCAGTCCTGGTCATGCAGGGATGACGTACAGGAGGCCGCCAGCAGGCTAGTACGTCCCCTGACGTGGACGAGAGTTGCCAGCTCATCGGGTCCCAGCCTCCTGGGAAGGTCGAGAATGTGCGCGAGTGATTTCCTGAGCGAAGTGAACTTTGAATGGTATCCAGGAGAAAACGTGTTCAGAACTGGGAACTCAGAACACTATGGCTTGATATTCTCCTTCAGATGTTGCAGAACACCATTGCCCGTGTTAAAGCTGTAACTTGCGAGAATTCAGTTTGAAGCTTCCCCTGCAAGACAGTGTGGCCTATGCCGTGACTTCTGTCCATCCACCAAGTTGGGCTTCAATTGTTCGAATGACGACAACAGCACTGCAATCTGTTTTCACGAAAAGAAAAGTGATTCTGGTTCCCATGGTGCTCAGCTGCGCATGAATATCTCCTCGCCCAGCTGTTTGCTTGGCGATCTTCTGAGTGCCTGTTCTCGACTGCGGCACCCAGATTCCAGCTTTTCCAGCTTGCGCAAGGTCTGTGATGCTGCGGGATCTAACAAACAACAGATTAAGACCGACCAGTGTTCAGGCGCAATACAACAGCTGACTCGAATATAGAGTTGAGGCACTGTGGCTTGTATCTTGTGGCTACTACGGAGAATTGACAATCCACGTGCTCGGCAGTCGGAGTTTTAGCCAGCCTCTTCCTTTCAAGTTCAAGTTCGCGACGCAATCCACGCGGATACCAACTACTTCAGCTTCACGCTTTTTGCACTCAATTCTGTACACTCACGTCGTGTGAGCCTTGCTTCCGAATATTCCATCCGCTTAGCGCGTAAATCTGGCAGCTTTCAGAACCAGGATTATAGCTTCACAGCTCAAACTAAAGCAAACTCGTGCGCAGTTGGCGCACAGCAGTCGCAGTGTCTGCACCCAGCAGTAGAATACTTTCACGACCTGGCAATATTGCCAGACCACCTCAGAACCAGACTGAGCACCTCGAAGTACACCAGGAACCACTAAACACCCGACCCTTACAACGCCAACAACAGAATCCTTCAGATCTTCCTCACCGCCCACCCTCTTCAGCTGCTACAAGCAGTGCAAAAACTTTGAGACGTACACCACGACTGCAAGACGGGCTGGTTGCTCCACACGACCTATCTGCTCAGATTGCAGCCGCTCCAGGTCAGATCGCGTTCACCCAATCCGGCTCAACTAGTCCACAGAGCTTTCAAAAACTGGTCGAGGACGACACCTTCTGGCCTCGTAGAACCACCCGTATCTCTCGTCGAACTCACGAAGCTATCCTCTTTGCCCTCGAGGCCGTTAGAAGTGGCCGTGGAGTCAATGCGATACAGTTGACCGTCGATCACGAGGAGGAGAACGCTCGAATGTCGGACCTGTACGCCATGAACCAGCCGGGTTCCAATTCTGCTCGATACCAAGATTCTAAAGCTCAGGCCGATGCTGCAGCTGCAGCTCAAGCAGGCATAACCACCCCACGACAGATCATGGCCGCTAGAAACGCCCGCAAGGCCCAGCAAGAGGCTAGTCTTCGCCAGACACAAGAGACGGACCCATCCCGAAGAAGACAACAGGAAGATGTTGTTGGCGTTGCACCAGATTCCCGGCGACAACAAACATCTAGAATCAACTATACCGATGCCGAGCCTACTGCTCGGCTACCCGCAGGTCAAAATGTCACTATTGGCGGCAGAGCTGATACAATACCGACCACTAACGGCATAGCCTCTAGGAGCGGCAACACTACTCTGAATCAGGGTCAGCTGCGATCAGGCGCAGCTCAGCAAACCTACAATCCCACACAATCTCAGCTGCCTTCCTCCTTGCAAGCTGGTCAGCCCCCAGCTGATGCATCGAGGATACAGAGGAACAGAACAGAAGCATACGAGAAGCTCGAAATGCCTGCTGTAGCTGATGCAAGAGCTTCGCAACAGCAGAGATCGAACCAACCTCAAACAAGCGGTCCTGCCCCTTCCGCACGTGCTGCCTTTCCCCATGCCTTCGAAAGGTGGGAGACCTTGTCCTCTCACTGGGAAGGTCTGACCTCATACTGGATTCACAGACTACAACAAAATACAGATGAGCTTGAATCCAAACCGATTGACAAGCAAATGGCTCGGCAGATCACTGACCTATCAGCTGCTGGAGCCAATCTATTTCACGCGGTCGTTGAGCTGCAAAGGTTGAGAGCCTCTTCAGAGCGAAAGTTCCAAAGATGGTTCTTCGAGACTCGGAATGAGCAAGAGGCAGCCGCCGAGAAGTATGCTGATCTTCAAAAACAGCTTCAAGCAGAGCGCCAGAACAGACCACAAATCAGCAACGCAACTATGGATTCTTTACGTGCTGAGAAGGTCAAGGCTGACGAACTTGTGCGGGAAATGCGACGTGAGTTGCAAATTAGCAAGGAAGAAGCACGACGAGCTTGGGAAGAGCTTGGTCGACGGGAGCAGGAAGAGCGAGAAAGAACAATCGCTCTACGAAGTGGCGAACCAACCCTAATCGGAGGTGTCCAGGTCTTACCTATGCAAGGCCTCACAAGTAGACATAACACATCCGCCTCACAACGACCAGTAACTCGCGATGGACCTTACCAAGGTGGTCCGAGTGCTACTTTGATGGGTGGTCAACAACCTCTCTCCCGAAGTCAGGAATCTTTGGACTCGCCGACTCAAGAGCAACACCAATTCCGCTACCAAGCTGATGCTACTTCACCAACAGACACCGATCCTTTCATCGAGACTGCACCTCGGTCCGTCCCTCCTCCATTACGCCATGAACCCGACACCCACTTTATGACAACAGGTAGTCCCCAAGGTCGACAAACCACCGCACAGGCCATGGCTGCTGCTAGAGCTGTCACCTCTCCAGCACAAAGTCAGCGTTCCACCCATAACAGGTCGGAAGGTCCTTCGTATATACCCAGCACCCGGTCAGGCGCAGGCAGCATACAGAGCGACGAGGAGTATCATATCGGTCCTGATGGACAATATCTTCGAGATCCACAAGGTCGACCTATTCCGTATCGTCAGCCTCTTGGTGGTTACGAAGAGGTGGCTTCCGATGATGAAGATCATGCTGCCGACGTAGAGCGAGAACAAATGCTAGCACAACAATACGCTCAGCGTCAACAGCAATCACGTTACACACCGCAAGGCCAACCCGCTCATACTCCCTCTCGCTCACCTCAACACTATCCACAAAGCGTCTATGCTCAAACAACCACAACTCCACTGATGCAAATACAACAAACTCCATTCCACAACGACTCCCCGGCTCAGAGCCGCCACACCACCTCATCAACACTGAGTCCAGCAACTCCACAACAACCTCCTCCAACAGCTCGTCTAGCCTCTCCCAGCCACAACAATCCAGCAGACTATGAAGGCGCCGCCTATGGCGACGACGATGAGGAAGAGGAGGGCATGTACCCTCCCCCCCCACCTGACCCCGTCGCTCAAACTAGCAGCACACAAGCACGTACCCACCACGTCCCAACCCGCCTCTCAGACATTCCCGAAGAACGGACTGACGCCTCCCGCTCTTCCCGCGCCTTCAGCGCCACACCAACAACAACTTCCGATACCCTCCAGGGCGGTATTCTAGGCACGAGACGGTAGAATCCTTTCGCGCTCAACTCACACACATCACGACAACAACGACTCAACGCATGGCTCGCCAACCAGCGAGCCCAACAACTAGCCATGAAAGCTGCTCAGAAGAATCCTCTAGCCATCGACATCCTGAAGATAGACCTGATCGGCGCACCTAATCAGTTTCCTTTCTCCTCCTCACCACCACCTAAAAGCACATTCGGCGGGTTTGGCTTCGATGCCGCCGCCACCACCACCACCACCACCTTGTCATCCTCCCATGAGACCCGCAAAAGTCTCGAAAAAGCCGTCACACGAGAACTCAGGGCGAATTTAAAGAAAGTGAAACAACAACATAAACAAGAGCAGAGGAATCCTCCGAAACTAGGAGGTAGGAAGTTCATGAAATGGCTTACATTGGCGAATTGTATGATTTGACGGTTTGGCGTACTCCCCAGGTATTTTCTGAAGCTTTGGTTATGTCGTGGTTCGGCTGCTGCTGCTTGTCTTGGGATTGAATTCCTGATGGCGGTGTGGAGACCACCTGAACAGAATTGTGACTTGGGGAGTACGCCCGATAGTTGAAGAAGAAGAAGATTTGATTGTTCTTTTTGGGAAGCATGAAAATAAAAAGGAAAGAAATGGACATAGAGACTTTGAGATGGGATGGGGATGTACATTCGTTTTGAAAATGCTTCTGTACCTATAGAGACGAAATCACGACAGCAAGGAGTTTTTGGACACGATCAGTGGACGCCTCAAACAGGCAAGCAAGAGAGCAAGTAATGTGTAAAGACGAGTGTGAAGAATTATTCTTCGTTGGTTATTCAATCTGTTTTTTCTTCTTCTTCTTTTCCGCTATGCAATGATGGTTGTACGCAAGATATTCTGACAAGAAGTTAACTAACTACACTGTCTGTAATCCAACACCGTAATCCCTTGTGTGCCATTCTGTCGTCCAGGCACAATTAATTGTCATCATGCAGCTCAATCTGTTCGTTATGTGAACCTTATTGTGCTTTCCTTTTATAGCAAGAGCCCCTATTGCTTTACTGTGTGGTGATCGATATAGTTATTTTGCTCAACCTGAATAGTCGACCTCGACATAGATAGGATCCCGACATCCGCAAGTCCTCGTGAATGGATTGTACATGGCAGGTTCGCCACCATTGTTGTTGCAGACCATGGCAGCACAAGCTTCAGTACTCATGGTTGCAGTATGCCAACCTGGCGGTGACACTTTCCTCTTTTCATTCTCGTTCACAAGCTCTGCGTGTTCCATAGCTCTTGCTGCAATACGTTGGCCTGCCATAGTGCAACCATCCATTGCTGCTTCTCGTCTTTGCGGAACAGTATGCTTGGCTCGGAGGACAAGAGCAGTGCTGGCTGTGGTATTCAGCTGGTTGATGTTTATCACTTTGTTACTTCCTGACACGGAGAAAATCGAGCCAGCTCTGTTCTGGACCCAGTACGTGATGACATTAGGATCGTACATGTTGACAGCAACAATAGAGCAGTCAGGAAGATATGGAGTGGCATTACTGTTGTCGACATGTTTTGGACGAAGCTCGAGGTTTGGTTGAACGTTAGAGTGGCCGATCCCATCGCAGGGCAGCTCTGTTGAAGCATTGAGCACGATAGTTGAGGCAACAAAGCCGTCCATCTGGCAGCCATAAGAGATGACGCCGTGCTGGAAATGAGGTAGCACAGAGCCTACCGTCGCCGTATCTTGTGGCTGGACAGCAAGAGACTGAGCAAGAAGCTCTGGTGTAATATCAGTTTTTGGCGGTGGCACGTAGGTGAGGTTGGTGTCTTTGATTGGGAGATCGGCGCCTTCAGCTCTTGTCTCCCTTCGAACAGCCTGGAGCTCAATACCATCCTCGTCTGTCCCCAACAAATCCATGCCAACCAGCAGGTTAGCCATGTCTTTGAGCGGTACGCAGGCGCAGGCGTTATGCTTTGGAACCAGTATCTTTGCCATAGCTTCTGTGCCGCATCGAAGTGTTTCGCAGGCTCTCTGTTTGCCGATCTTGGCCTTTTCCCGAAATTAGTATTGACAAGGGATTGAGCTTGGGCCTTGCTGTCTTACCTCTTCTTGTGTTTTCGATTGTAGACGTTCCAGAAAGTTCAAGGATTTTAGGTACTGTCTGCTCGCTTCAGTGGCCCACTCTGAGCGGAAGATTGTGCCCTCTAGCTGATAGATTCTATCATTGACCTGTGTGATAGCTTCGATGGCCGTGGGATGGCCTTGGTGGTAATAGGGTAAACAGTGAGCAATAGCAACCATATATAGGATGAGCAATACTCTCATGCTTGGGATTTTTCCGATAGCCATTCTGACCGATTGCTCTTGATTGACGATGATTGACTAGGAGAAGGAGGAAGTAATTGTGAGAAGTATGATATAGAGCTATAAGGACAACAGGTAGCGAGCGTTTGATCCAAAACAAGATCGATGGGTAGGAGGAAAGTTGTAGGATCTGATCTACTCACTTGATCAGTATAAATGAAGAACTGTGCCTGCCACCTGCCAAGCAGTGACGATCGACATGTTTGGAAGCCGCAAGAAGGTGTCAGTGAAGGACAAAGAGTCGCACTTGCAGAATAAGGACAGTGAAAGAAACACTGCCTGAATCCATGCCTGATATTCATTCGAATCCTTTCGTCGTGCTGTATTTCACAGTGACAGACGTGATTAATTGATTGGCAATCGGCTCCATTGTGATCGTCTTTCAGCTTATCCGTCCTTGCTCTTTCTTTGAAGTTTCTGGATGGCATAGCCCTAAGGTCTGCGAAGTTGGTGAAAGAGAAGCATTGGACATGCACAGAAACTGGTGGATGTGAGCGGGTTGAGTGAACACAATACAAGTTGAGAGCATGTAAGGCCATTATGAAGGAGTTCCCAGAGATGCTGACACTGCGCATCAAAGTTGTAAACAAAGTGAATGGCGCTCATATTGACAAGCAGACACAGTAAAGTATTGACCCATTGCATCGAAGCTATGCAAACGTCGATGTGATCATGACAACTCAGTGGTTCAGGGAGAAGAGAAGGGGCCGTGTCTCTGTTGAGCATCATGTTTCTCAACGACATCAGAAACTCGACAGCGGCGCTTTGGGAAACATCTGATTGTCCATGGCAAACACGTTCGAGGCCAAAACACATGAAATGCAATGAAAGAAGCATGGGTTGCACAACTTTTCAGGCAATTTTCCAGAAGCTTATTGAGGCCTAAAAGAAAACGCTCGGAGCTTGCCTGGTTCTTGGCGAGCTCTTCCGCACCAGCCAAGGATGTGCTCACTTGCATGCCTACCATTAATTGAAATTATGGTTGTTTGTGCTTGTCTGATGACTTGACTTGACTCACAGTCTACGTTGGCTTTCGCTGGCGTAGCACCGCGAAGACGATGATGTGGTCGTAATTAGTTCGTGACAGCGATGATTCTGGGTGGCTGGTGAAGACCGATGAGAGCTTACTCCCAACCACCACAGCACGATCCCAACCTCTCGAGCAGAATCTTGCTGTTCGACCTTTTCATGCTGACTGTTTGCCGTTTCTAACTCGCCACGATGCAGATCCTAGCTTTACGACTAACGCAGCATTCCATTGCACCTCTATTCTTACGAGCGTGATGAATCGTGAAGAAGTCTCCCAAATCCGATCAGTGAAGGTATGCCTGAGTGAAGGAAAGGCACATCGAGCCTTACTGACAGCCTCTACAGCAACATAATCCTCAGATTTACCACGCGAATCCACTACCATCGTCCTCCTCAGCAGGCTACTTATCCGATTATGGTTCTGACGCCTCAACTACACGTAGCTACGAGACACCTCCGTCCCGTATCTCAACGCCGGCGCGAGGCCGAGTGCAAGATTCGAACATGCCTTATCCGGCAAGACCACCACAGGTCGCACCTGCTTGGAATACCTCAGATCGCCCGAACCCACTTGGCCAGAATCGCCATGTGCCAGACTACGACGCACCTACACCAGGTGTCGATGATACACCATACATTCGTTTCGCCATTGAACAGCTGACTTTCGATGAAGACCTTACAGGAAGAGGCAGACATAGTTCAGCCGATATAGATCAACCTCTTACACTCCCACCGTGTCCACAATCACCACGGCGAAACATTCCTTCACCGACAAAGCGAAACCCGAAACAACCTCCTAACCCGCCATTTCAATTCCCACGACCAAGTTTTGAACAGCAACGAAGACCGCAAAAGGGCGAGGTCATGTTACTGCCGTCTGATCCTCCTCGAGACAGACACCAACTTGGTTATGTACCAACACCTCTTCGACCGATCTCACTCGGTTCTCTTGTATTGATATGTCTGCTCATGATTGTTGGCCTCATCTTCTCCAACGTATATGCGCTATCGAACCACGGAATTTACGACTACGACTCGAACTTTTCCCCAAGATACTTCGTCTTCGAATACCTACCTCCTCTTCTTGGGATGATCATAATACTCTGGCTGTTCGTGGTGCAGGCAGCCATCTACAGGACCGCGCCATACTTTGCCATGTCTAAGGGAGCGCCCAGTGGGAAAAGAGACAGAACACTCCAGTTCATGCCAATAGTTCCTGCCAACTTTGTGCTTCCAGACTGGGGATTCTTCAAGCTGGGTGAGCCGGCCATAGGTGCTGTTCTGATTGTTTTCTGGCTGATGAACTGGACCATCCCGCTCCTCAGCTGTTTGTATGGCACCCAGTGGTTCACCAACGTGGAGCCTGCACGCTTTCGCTGGACACCTGTCCAGGGTCTAGGATGGTTCGTCATGGTCATGTACCTCGTACTCATTCCAGCACTAGTCTACTGCATGATTCATTTCCGACGAAAGAACTCGGCGCTGATGTGGGACCCGAACAGTCTGGCTGATTTGATCATCCTGTTTCAGCGTTCGAACATCCTACCAGACTTTGTTCAGTCTGAGACAAAGGAAGATCTAGCTGGAGAGCTGGCACCACGGTACTGTCGACTTGGCTATTGGACAACTAACCGCAGTCTGGACTTCTTCTATGCTGTGGGCGAAGCAAATCAACCATACTCTGAGCTTGCAGCATCTCCAGCTCGGAGCGCGAATGAGAAGTTCGATAGTTCCAGGTTATCTGCTGACTCACAGGAAGGCTTCAGACACTCTCAAGCGAGCTCTTTCGCCAGAATGTTGCATTCGCCCTTCGTGAGACATCGATGGTGTCCTTGGTTCCTGAGAGATGGTGCCGTACTAGCCTGGGCAATCGCTGCAGTTCTTCTGCTCATTGCTTTCCTGGTCGTGAGCTTTGTCCATGAAGCTGTACGGGATGGGTTTGCAGGCCTCATACCTGCGATAACTCAACCCAACGGTTTCTCTCCTGCTAATTTCCTGTACAGTTTCTTGCCAGCCCTGCTTGGCATGTTCCTCTTCCTGGCCTGGCAGCCTATCGACGTGTACTTTCGGACTGTTCAGCCATACGTCAACCTGTCGGAGCAATATGGAACATCAGCGCATCGGTCAATACTGCTGTCTTACAATGCAGATCTGCCTGGGATTGTCACACTGCGTGCTCTCAGGAACCGAGACTGGAAAGTGGCCTACCTCTCCCTCATCTCACTTGTGGCATCTACCATCCCTGTATTGGCTGGTGGTGTCTTCACCGCTCTCTTGTTCGATAATGGCGATGTGAGAATGGTGGCCTCAATGCCAGGCTACATAGGATTGTGTATCCTGCTCGGCATCTACGCCCTGTCGTATCTAGTGATCTGGCCGACTCGCCACCGATACCTACCACATTCAGTCAACACTGTCGCTGGAAATCTGAGCTTCCTTTATGCCTCCAGGCTGCTCAAGGACTCTTCCATCCGCAACATCAGGACAAAGGCAGACTTCATTGCACGTCTGGACGCCAGTACAGGCACTGGCCTGACAGGAGACGGTAGAAAACGTCACAGAGAGACAAAAGATCTTGGTCAGGAGTCGAAGTTTGGGTTCGGCATCTACACCGGCGTCGACGGATCCCAACATCTCGGAATCGATCGCATGCAGCGACCAGGGAGTGGCGAAGTCCTGGTCGTCACAACACAACAGCGAGGGTTCTGAACATACCCTCTCCCCCACACACACCAAATGTGTATACCGCCAACACCCCACCACATATCGCATAGTTTGGATACACCCTCATTCCAATCCCGGAGTTTCAGGTTACGAGAGGATTTCTCTGGATTCACTTACGATTCAAAAAGCATGCTCTACGACTTACGAAAGGATGACTTTGGACATTCAATGATGTTTACAACAGACGTGGCAACACATGCACATACGACTTTCTGGCGCATGATGGACGAAACGATGCATATATGTCTTTTTATGATACCCCGTTTCGCTTTCTTGGGCTCTTCAGGTTGGAAATAGATACATATTTACATAGTAATCAATATTCTGACGTTGATCATATACAACCCCATTTTTTTTTTTTTTTTTTTTTTAACTCCGATATGGCGACCCGAAGTCGTGAAGTTAGGGCTCCTAACGCTTCAGTTTGCTTTCCAAAGGCACGAGGAAATCGAGAAAAGCACGGATAGCAGTAAAATTGTATTTATCGTTTCCTATAGATCATCTGTCAGAACTTGAGCACCTCATCTAGCGCTTGGGCTCAGCAGTATCAGTCTGAGTTTCATCATCTGCTCCAATTTGTCTTCCTCCCAGATCCTCCAGCACAACAGTCTCACCGTCCTCTGTTGTGGCTTGTTCGCTGATATCTTTCGGTATAGGTCCTAATCCAGTTTGGAACAGATACTCCGACTTGCCTTTGACCAATTGCATAACCATGTAGTTTAACACGCACTTGATGCCCAACTCTTCGCCACGCTTGACGATGTAGCCGTTGATATAGTCGATCTCGGTGTATTTCGCATGACGTAGATCCTCCCGCATACTGCTGGAGTTCTTGGCAGTCTTCCGGCAGATTGCCTTGTAGAAATTCTCGAGGCGGTTTGGAGAGAAACGTAATTGTGCGTTGGGTATTCCCTCAAGCTCTGGGAGGCTGCGAATGACGATAGATATCTCGGCGAGCAGAAGCCGGCGAACTCGTCTTAGAGCGGGGTTGTTAAGCATGGCGCCGTTCTCGACATCTAGCAAAGCTGTCAGAGGATTGAGTATGCTATTGGCTACTAGCTTTTCGAGCTGAAGCTGGAAGAGATCAAGGTAAGGGTAGGCGGCGCAAGCCAAAACAGGTGATCGTGTTAGCGTTCTCAGAAGATAACGCGAGGATAGATTCGAGTAGAGATCAGCGTCGGTTGGATACAATGCTTTGCGATCGGCTTCAGGGAGATCGGCAATAGGTCGCTGGTCGTCTTTAGGAGGCAGTGGGTACTTGTCAGTGTCTCGATATATCCCAAGAGCAACCGATCCGAAGCCTGCATGAATAACAGCAAAAGGGCCCTGCATATAGCATCCATGAGAGATGATGCCTAGCATATATGTTGGTCTCGTCTGAGGGTCAGTGAAGACCTTTGCGTTCAGGTCGTCTATCTGACCCATACCGTTCTGCATGAGCAGTATAGTGGTTCTTGAGTCAACTCGGTGTTTGATAGCATCGAGGGCGGTGACAGTGGCAGGCCCTTTCACGGTGACGATGAGAGTGTAGATAAAGACCTCACCGGTTTCCATCTTTTCTGCTTTGACTGGAGGATGAACTGGACTAAGAGGATTCTTAGCGCTGGGCGGATGATCTGGGTCTTCCTTCATTGTATCCGAGATGTGACGCCAGAAATGACCCTGCTCTGCTGGTTCGCACACATCGACGTCAAACCCGGTTTGCTCATCGTTGACCTCGGTGTTTTTGTTTACTAGCCGCACGATACGCTTGCCAGTCTTGAAGTCTTCGTAGAGCTCCGAGCGATGGAGAAGCAAAGTGATTGGAGGAGGATTGGGTAGGATGGCCAAAGAATGAGCAACAAGAGTGCCAATGCTTCCAGTACCAAGGATGTGTACTCTTCTCGTCAAAAGCTCTTCTGTAGCTGGGTCAGGTACGCTCTCGACATTCAGCTTTTCGAATTCAAGGTTTGGTGTCGAGCCGTCGGCGGGTGGAGGGGTTGGAGGTGGTTCCCACCATGCCTGCGACGCTGCCATTGTACTGAAGTCGTGTTTGCTGTATCCGAGGGATCTTGGCCGCTGTTGAGAAGGTACTACTGAGGGCAGGGCCAAGTCAAGCTTTCGTCCCGACGATCTGTTTGAGCATAACAAGCTGCTCGTGCGGAGATGACATTGTCCAGAGACGAGCCGCCATCGCTGCGACGAGATCCTACTCTGGATCTGTCGAAGAGACCTCATGCGCAGCCAAGCTAGGTCGAGTATGCTGTTCCTCCATCAAAGCCCAACCTGAGCAAGTCAGAAAATGAGGCTGATGTGCTACCAAACACAGGCGCATCGTGACTGCCCCAGCTTCTGCTTGTACGCCCGGAGTTTCACCGGGAAACACGCCCCAATCGGCAGCTTGGACCTGCGGAGCCTCCAATCAGGCTTGCACTTTCCTCGTGGCTGCGAACGGCTTCAAAAAGTTTGTCGATGATCTGATCTTTTTGTCAAACTACTATTGTTCTGCTTCGAATCTACAGTCTCGACATTCACACCTTTGCGCAACTTCTCATTCTTTACCATGGATAGTGTCACCCTACTTGAATCATTAGATAACGTCGACGCCGACCTCGAAAGCCTGGAAGCAGTACTCAAGCCCATATTAGACGATTCCTTACATAGCGCAACCCGAAAACTTCCCATTCTTGATAGAGCAAAGCTGAACGTCACAGTGGTATACGCCATTGAGTCTCTTCTTTTCTGTAAGGTATTGTGACAAGTACACTATCCGCCACTAACCAATATAGCCTATCTCAAGATCAATGGAGTCGATCCGAAGGATCATCCAGTATGGAAAGAACTTGCAAGAGTAAAGCAGTACTTTAGCAAAGTCAAAGAAGCTGAGGAGAAACACACAAAGCCAGCAATGACGCTCAATAAGCAGGCGGCTGCGAGAATGATACAACACTCCTTGGTATGGTCAAGAGGTGGAGGTGAAGTTCGATCTGACAGTTTGCAGGCTGGCAACGGAAACGCCGACATGGCGAAACGCGCGGAAGAACTGAAGAAACTCATCATTGCGAAAAAGCTTCGGAAGGTCTCTACTGCGAGTCCTGTCTCAGCTAGTATCGACGCAAGCCCTTCCACGCCTGCGCTACCAGTCACTCCCCTCGAAGCTGCACAGACGGCCGAACTGCTTGCTTCAGTTGCCAAGGAAATCGAAATGCAAGATCAGGAAGGCTCGGAAGAAGGAGAAATTGATGAAACTCCTAAGATGCAGCACCCTTTGCCATCAAGACCCTCCCTTGACCTAACGCAGGATCAGGCCTCACTCAAGAAACGAAAGCACCCCGATTTCCAGACAAACGGATCGACCAGTCTGTCTAAATCAGAGAAGAAGGCTCGCAAGAAGGCCAAGAAAGATGCCAGAAACACTGGCTGAGCCACATCTACTAACTAACATTGGAAAAACATTACTGCCGGTGCTAAGCTGCTGTCCAATCCTAACAGTACAGAAAGAATGCTAATGTACAGGTAACCTCTATATGTATTAGCGAGAGTGAGTAGCAAATCTCCCAGCCTCCTCCCCACACTGCCGTTACACGTTCCGTGCCCAATCTGCACGAGGTGCTATTGTGTATCGTTTGGTATAGCCTGTTGCCGCCAGAAGTTGAAGAGGCTAGCTAAATCGGAGTACGTTGCTGCAGCTTGCTGAGACTCTGTTCCTGCCTGCATTACGTCGCCCCAGCACTTAGATGCAGGGTGTCCACGAGACAAAAATTCAAGATCTTGAAGCCTTTGAGCTTTATTTCCTACCATAACGGCTCCTTCTGGCTCGTGCTTGTGCTTGTGGCTGCATTCTTTCTTCAATACCATGCCACATATCGGCCATTACTGGCATGTGTATACATACCCCCATCCGCCTTGAGGTCACTGCTTATCTCCTGCCGGAACGAAAGAGCGATCACCTCAGTGATGCGCCAGAGACCATACTTCTGACTGGAGATCTGAGCGACGCGATACACTAGTGTTCGTACACAAACCTGACTACTGGGACAAACACGTAGATGATACTAGCTAGTACTGATCGTGGTATTAATGATTAGGATGCAATTGGTCGCCTAATCAGGCATACTGCTGCAGTAAGGCAACTCGAGATTTGGAGCAGCAGAACCTGGTTAACTCGTGCATAAGCACCAGCATTGGACATCCTGCATCTCTGATAGATCAGTGTTTTTCTCCGACTCTATCTCACTGCCATGTCGACGTCCAGTACGAGTAGACGTTTGTTAGTCGAAGAACAAACTTTATTCGCATCACGAAATGAGGACTCCACATTGCGTGCTCGTTGGGCCAAAGGTGGTGGTGGCGACCATGTCCACTTTATGCTATCGATAGTCACGATTTGACACTGTCAATAATTTACAGTAGATACGTGTTTACAAGCCGTATCGGGTCGATCTAGTTAGTAGTCACTAAGCGATGGTTCTGACACACGTGTGACAGGCTAAACGACAATTCTCGAGCGACTAGCGACTACGATGTTATAAGGCGACTATTCGGGAAGACTTCGATAACATTATCAAGCATTCTACAAGGCAAACTTGACACTCTACTGCATTTGTGTCAGGACACAACTCATGGTCAAGGAGCATCTTTCCAACTGTACCTCACCTTCAGTCGAACCAGGCACGTTCCACCTTTCACCGCAACGATGGCGACAGCATCGTCCCTATTTCCACCCTTCCTCACCGGCTCACTCTTCGGTGCCGCCCTCCTACTCGCCACCGTCCACACACCCACCATAATCCTCTCCCAACTACGTCTGCAATCAACCCACATGCTCAAAGCCTTCCTCACCGCATCCTCCTGCAGCGCAATCATCATCTACATCTCTCACCGTCTAGGATTCGCCAAACTACCATGTCGAACGAACACGAGCTACGGCTGGTTCGGAAGCTACGACGCCAACCTTGTGGGTGGGCTGTTACAGGGGTTGGGAATGGCGCTTACGGGGGCGTGTCCAGGGACGGTGCTGGTGCAGTTGGCGCTGGGAATAGAGAGCGCGAAATGGGTGGCGTTGGGAGGTGTGCTTGGTGGTATGGCGTTTGTGTTTGTGGGAGACACATTGAGGCGCAAAGTGCCAAGGACTGAGGTGCGGGAGCACACCGTCATGCAGCGATTGAAGGTGTCCGAGGAGGGTGCGGTGCTGGGATACGAAGTGATGCTGATTTCTGCTATTGCTTTCGTCGATCGCTTGGGACTATCGAAGAGTCGCGAGAATGTCTGGGTTGATCCTGTGAGAGGTGGTTTACTGATCGGGCTTGCGCAGGTTGCTTCGGTATTATTGTGCAAGAAAACATTAGGTGTCAGCTCAGCCTACTCTGATATCGGGAAACAGCTGCAATCGGTCCTGAAAGGCAAGAAGCTTAGCGGCGAACTAGGCAACATCTGTTTTGCCTTGGGAGTCATGGCTAGCGCGAAGTTGATAAGCCTGCAGGTTCCTGTTGTTGCTGACAGTGGTGCTCATGCCGTCAGTCTTCTTCAGGCACTACTCGGAGGGTTTGTGGGCATCTTTGGAGCAAGAATGGCAGGAGGGTGTACCTCCGGGCATGGAATCAGTGGTATGAGCACACTCAGTATCTCGAGTTTTGTGACAGTTGCAGGAATGTTTGGTGGTGGAATTCTGTTCAGGCTGCTATTAGATACATTGCATTACTAGAGCATGCAAGCAATGAGCGACACGCAACGCGTTTGATGAGCGCCGCGTCTTAGCCTCCGACAGAATTGTTTATGAACGCGCTGAGTGGCGAGAAGAGGTTGTATACTATCTAATGCTCGTGAGCTGTTTGTTACTCCTCGTTCGAGCAGCGTCGCACAGACCCCAGTGAGACCTGCTACTGTAAGGACATCGTGCTCTTGATGGATATCTGCAGTAGAATGATCTGCCGAGCAGAGCTGACAGGTGAAGTGAACTGATGGAAGGACTTTACATCGCCTCCATTAGGAAGGTATAGGCTCTGAAATCCGCGATCCGTGCGGATGGCCTCTGATCAGTCAAGACTTCAACGGCACACCATCAGTCGTGTGATGTGTACATGTGGTCATGAGTGAGTGAGTGAGTGATGAAGTCAGTTCAAGCGGAAAGATTGATGCGCAGCAAGGAATCCCCTGGCACTACATTCATCGCTTAGCGGGAGAACGGACACTTATGCCGGAAACCATGTCAGACGGTTGAAACAGAGCTGCAGGACTTTGTCGAGCCTACACAAGATGGAAGTTGCCTGAAGCACCGGTATGAGACACTTTGAGGCGGATCCTGGAGGTCTCGTGGCAATGTGCCACCCAACACGTTCAGGGATCAGGTTCCGGAGCGGACAGGCAAGTTCCCTGATTTCTTCAACTGTCTCCGCTGTTGATTACAGTAGCAGTCCATTTGCCACACAAATCCGGCTCGTTCACACAGAGATTCTTGAACAACTGGGGTTTTGTGTCCTCTGTCTCAGGTACAGGAACGAGCTGAGTCAATCGAAACCAAGCTTGTCTTAGTCCTTGATTCAGACGGAGGCGGTGAAGAGGATCAAACACGATCGACCAACGATAAGCAAAGTATCTAGACGTTCCGGCTCGAGTCACACTTTGAGCCAGTCCTTCGACTTTCTTGCCGGTTCTGAATCGTGACGAAATTGGCGTTGAATGTCCGCGTTCCCCCTTTTTGCTGGTCCCGTTCGTGTTCAATAGTGCCGGGAAGAAGGTGATGGAAGCTTAGCGCCGTTAGAGTAAGGAGCTTATGTTGTGATGGTATCGACAGTCACGCATGAGAGCACACTCACATGACCGAGCCATTGCTCGGTTGGATATATGAACTGTGAAGAATTTATCCTTGTCAGGAATCGTTGAGGTTGTGGCGGGGTGAGCCTTCCTGGGGCCGGAGTTTGCCACATCTGACAGTGTACAAGAGATACGATATAGGATACTCTGCTCGTGGTAAGGGAAAACTACGACACTCGGTCACGAATTGATAGAACGATGCCCTGGAGCTTGGTATGGACCAGTGAAGAGCAGTGATAGGAATATCATGACAAACTGTGAGGTCTGTAAAGAAGACGGTACTGCGGCTCATTCTTTCCGAGCACTGACAGAGAGTGCTATCAGCGTATTCTTGAAGACCACAAAGACCACAATGAGTTACAGGAGCACTGCATAGAAAGAAGGTGTTCTCACGTAGCTAGGAGGTATTACTCGTACTCGTATCGTGGTATAACTTCCTCTTTTGCAACGTGCTGTCAATGATCAACACAAGCATTACATCCGAGATGCAGGTGAGTCACATTCGCTTGTTGACATGCGGCAGCGGAAGCTCCGGAAGATTGCAGTCGACCACGTACGATTTTCTTGTGCAAGACATTGAAGGAAATCAACACATTCAAAAAGCGGTGAAATATGGACCTGACCGAATGCTGAAAAGTAAGAGAATGCGTTTAAGTCTGGATACCCTCGGAGTGCATGCCGCAAGACGCTATTTACTACATTGTCGTATGTGTGACCAGTCGTGTAGGAAGGAGATGAAGTCTGGAATGGCGGTATGTGGTCGAGATGGACAAGTGAGATTGGGCTTCTGACGGGTCAAAGCATGCATCCAGGAGCTTGCCTTGAGCCAACACGCACGATACCAGGATGTGACAAGAACAAGAATTGAGTTCGAGAGAAGGCTGGACGGTGACGGACGTCTGGCTGGGAGTAACACCACCATGCGAAATGTAAGTGTGTAGATGTCAATGTGCATGCATCCAAGGTGTTTTGAGGCAAGAAGAGCTGCAACCACTTGGCAAGGTAGCGATGTGGTTCATGGGACGAGGTGCAGCTTCCTGCACGATGAGGTAGTTTCCGATGTTGAGGATAGCTCAGCAAGCAGACCATAAGGCAACGCTCAAGCAGGAAGCGCAAACGTGAGCTTGGGATTCGTTCACTGACAATACCTGGAGGCCCAACTTAGCGACAACAGACAGTTTGCATACATTGGACTCGTAATTTACTCAGCGAGGCGAGAGCAAACAATTGGACTGCGTTGCTGCAGATTCACTACGTATGCATACAGTAGTCAGTCTGAGGCATGAGCGCTTATCGTCGGCCGTATTTACCTTTCTGGAGAACTCCTAATGCGTGAGCAGTCATCAAAGCGTCCAGGTTGCACAGCATACTTTAGTCCGGTGTCGTGGCAGTCGTTCTATCGTGCACAATCTCGACCAAAGCAAAGACTGGCCTGTACAACAAGATACCACAACAAGTCGTGTCTCCGGAAGAGACTGCTAAGGTCTTCGCGTACTACGGTGTACGAGCGCAATGCATGGGTTGACATCTCGTGGTGGCAGGAATACGAGAAAGGTCTTTGTCAGACTTGTGGAGAGAACCAGAGAACGAAATTTCCGAAAATGGTCTTTGAGAGTGGTGTGCCTCAGGCTCCGGTAAGCAACACCATCACGTATTCACATCGCACCGATGCAACTCATCGGCGGATTGACGGGCCATACGTGTTCGCTCAAGGCAATAACGGTACGAGTATCTTGTACATACGTACCCAGAAAAAAGCACAATTGGAACGCGTTATGGTTGGTGGCAAATCCATCAAGTCTGGTAATGGGGGCCACTTTCCTCAAGCCCCGAGAACGACTTCTGACAAACCTGAGCATCGTGAGATCATGGGCCGCAGCACCGGGACTGGCTGAAACGAAAACCAGCACCGTTCAGGAAAAGCTGAGCTACTAAGCACCTCCGCGAGACGCCACGACTCACATAAGGTTCTGTTCCTGGCAGTGAATCAAAAACCTTCCCTTGTTCTTGGAGTTGGTCTAGAAAGCTGATCGGAGGAGAGCCTCCCAGCGAATCCTTTTTCAGCTTGTGTCATGCAGTGCCTTCCAAGCGCATTCTGCTAGCTTTTCTTTTTCGACCTTCCACGCAGTCGGAATCGAGAAAAGGTTCTGCTAATGAATCCACAAGCCGAGATCCAATGGCGCTCTCCGTGCATGCATGCATCACTTTGTATCACAATCTGGCATCTGCAGCAACTAAACGGAGCGCGTGATACCACTCAAGCATCTGGAGCATCACTACCACATATTCAGTACCGGACGCACCAGTATCATGCATACAATCGGCCCGGCACACGACATGGCCATGTTGATGCCTAACAACAGTCATGAAAGGTGCTGTGCTTTATCCCTTTTCGAAACTGAAAGCAACTAATGCCCAAATTCGACGAGCCACCAACGGTCGAATCCCACGTTTTGTAATTAGCAAATCATGAAAGTGGCACAGATGTGCTACCCCTTCTTTTGCCTTTTCTTAGCTTCTCGGCTTTGCATGATAAACACTTTTTCTTGCCGATTGCCGCGCTCGCAGGTCTTCCTAGACTCCCTTCCACCCGCCGTTGGCGTGAACGTTGTCCTCCGAATTCCACTTCTCGTTCGCCTGTTGTGGATTTCTTCACTTTACCGGTTTTACTGCCCTGGCACATCCCTGCGGGTTTTAGTTCTGCTAGTCTGAGTCCCATCCGTAGACTTGTGCTTTCACTCCAGCAATCGTCATCAATGCCCAGCGGCTCATTCTTCTTCCAGAATGAGCAAGGCCACACCGTGCATTGGTCAAACTGCTGTGCCACATCCGAGTCTAGTTTTCATGCCCCTTGTGCATGGTTTGCCTTTTGGCATTCATCCGCCCTACAAATCTGCTTCATCTTGATTGTTGATGCCCACCCCCGAAATCTGCCTGCGATGGATCCACCATGGCTCAGACTCAGTGCCGCTGGGCCCTTCTTGGTCTGCTTCTTTTCCTTCGAAACACGAAACAAGGTTTGACTCTACGCGGCTCTCTAGCTGACCTGCGCTGTGTCTGCTGATCTTGCTCTTCGTTACTGTCACCGTTACCATGTATCCGCACTCGGACCCACCTGCCTACGCTGCAATGTGTCGGTGAAAGAGTTGCGTTTGCAACTACCATACACCATGCATCAGACTGAGCGCGGAAGGACTAACCCGTGCTGCCGTTAATGTTCTACCCATATTTTCCGGCTCTCCTTGTTTCGCTGGAAGAACATAGATAGCTATATGATGTGCCAATGCCACTTGCTTCCTCTTGCCTGATGTTCTCCTCGAATCTGACTCATAAATTTTCCGTGGCCTTCACCCTTTCCTACCATCGTGGTCAATATGTCACCACGCTGGCAGCGTTACTGCAGGCGTTATCTACAACCTTCAGAAGATGACGATTCTTTTCCCACGAGACAACTGTTTGTGCTCGGTATGTCATCTATCTTGCACAGCAGCACATGGGTTGTACACCATGTTGCATGCTGCCGATGCCCTTGCAGCAAAACCCACGCTAACATTACGGTGTAGCATTGTGCCGAATATGCGAGCCGATCGCCTTTATGAGTGTGTTTCCTTATTCCTACAAGATGATCGAGTGGTTCGGCATAACACAAAATGTGTCCACATACGCTGGCATGCTCATCACAGCCTTCGCCTTTGCCGAGTTCTCAACAGGAATGTTATGGGGTCGAGTTAGCGACAGGTTTGGGCGCAAACCAGTCCTCATCATGGGCCTGGTTGGTACTGCCTTGAGCATGATCTGCTTTGGTTTCTCCAAGAACCTTTGGTCAGCAATAATTGCAAGAGCCTTGGGCGGACTGCTCAACGGGAATGTCGGAGTCTTACAAACAACAGTGGCTGAGCTGGTAAAGAAGAAGGAACATCAACCTCGAGCTTATTCGATTATGCCGTTTGTATGGTGCTTGGGCTCGATTATCGGCCCAGCCATGGCAGGCGCACTGGCAATGCCGTGTCAATCATACCCAACTCTATTCCCACCAGGGGGACTTTTCGAGGAATATCCCTTCCTTCTGCCTAACCTGGTGTGTGTGGTTGTACTTGTGTTCGGCATACTCAATGGTATCTTGTTCATCGAGGAAACACATCCAGAACGGAAGCATGAACGCGACAGAGGCCGAGAAATTGGGGAGTTTCTCTTGACGAAACTGTGCGGTGAGGCGTGCGGAACATCAGATTATCCAGAAAAGGTTCAACATGTCTCAGGCAGCATTAACAAGCTGGATCACCAAGACCCTCCTCCTGGATACCGAAGCACAGAGAGCTCACCGCTCTTGTGCTCTAGCCCAGCCCCACAGCTAGTTGAGGACACTGAATCTGGCCAGTCAAGAGAGAACCGTTCTTTCGATGTGACCTTTTCTCGACAAGTGATCCTGGTGATCTTGGGTTATGGTATTCTTGCCTTCCACTCCGTCTCATTCGACTCGTTAATGCCAGTCATGTTGAGCGAGCCATCCTCTTCACAGAGACCCATCCTGCCATTCAAGTTCACGGGTGGATTTGGAATGACCCCGAAGACTATTGGGTTCATGATGGCGTTCCAAGGTGTCTACTCGATGATCGCACAATTATGGTTCTTCCCTGCTATTGTCAAGAAGGTTGGGACTCTTGGTGCCTTCCGATCCGTCATGATAATATGGCCTGTGCTCTATTTCCTGGTGCCATATCTGGTACTTCTGCCCACCAATCTCCAGACAATCGGTATTTATGCAGCATTACTGACCAAGATCACCTTTCATGTGATTGCGTTTCCTTCCAATGCTATTCTGCTAGCCAACGCGGCACCTTCCAAATCGGTTCTGGGAACGATAAATGGAGCGGCTGCTTCAACAGCTTGCCTTTGCCGAGCATTCGGTCCAACCATCTCAGGTTCCATTCATTCAGCGGGCCTGCATGCAGGTTACAATGGCTTTGCATGGTGGTTGGGAGGTATTATCTGTGCAATCGGAGCCGTGGAAGCTTATTGCATCCAGGACACTGATGGCTGTAAGGAGAACATAAACGACAAAGTTGAGGACCAAACAGTTTGTGAACCACTCATGGTTTCAAGTGTCGACGAGCCCAACACAAAGATACCCTCTAACACGATTATCGACGACCTCGATCTTAATGTCGACGTTAAGCTCGAACAGCATTAATTCAACCTAAATGGATCAATACGTACGCCTTTTACGACTTTTGAAGAATTTTTCCAGCAAGGAGCGTTGATTGTTCATCGCTGGTGCGAACCGGCAGTGCTACCTGAGAGAGGCAACAAAGAGCAACTCGGCGAGGGTGGTACATGATTTTCTGTCATTTGCAAAGTTTTGTTTACTTGGGAGGCTAATTTGTGAGATACCTGCGGGCTTAGTCCCGGTTTTTTGCTGTATGCCCTGGATTTCAGGAGGCAATCTGTAACAATATGAAGGAATAGAAAGAGTCAAGAGACATTAGACAATGACTTGGTCGAATAGCGAGACCTCTGAGACAGAACAGGTGTCCTTCGGCCAGTTTTGGTGAAGCAATATCACAAGCATAATATTTAATGTTCCGATTCATCTCTGTATGTCATGCCTGTAGGCTGCATAGACTTTCAACTACTGCAATGCTCGTCAGCCTGCAACGCGGAAGAATGTGGCGTCAGGGTCTGCTTCCCAGAGTACTGGTACGTACCTATGCTTGACCATCGCTTCTGAGTCAGGTTGTTACTCAAAGAGGCTTTTGCGTTGCTAATATCGTCAAAGCTGACTCGCTGAACCTCGGCATGTGAATATCTGAGCTCCACCATGATCTGAACAGTCATCTGCGCACAATGCTACCCATTCAAAAGTCTTTTCATTGGGTTCAGTGCGGCAATATGAGGACATGTTACCAAGCTCTCTACTTTGTAGGTCGGCGTTCTGTTTGATACGCCGAGACTGACTTTGTTCAACCATGAGCCAAGTCTAGCTTTCCTTTTTGCTGAATGACTATTTACACTGCAGATATCTGCAAGTCACACTAACGTGCTTACAAGCTTGATCCAGAATCAGAAGCATGGCACCATCAAGAGCTTCAGCAGGAAGGTTCCTCCACAAAGCCTCCAAGCAAGCACATATCGATCCATTCTGTAGGACTCGCGTGCAACGACGATGGCTCAATGCTGCAGCTGATGCAAGCCTCCCACCACGGAAAACAGACACAGAACGGAAGGGACCATTGAGCGGAATCAGAGTGTTGGATATGACCAGGGTATTGGCTGGTGTGAGTCAAGCTTAACGGAGACGACTGCTGAGACGTAGACTGATCTTCATCTCAGCCATATAGCACGCAGATATTAGGTGACCTAGGGTGAGTAAGTAGCCCTGTTCCACTATTCGCCCTGGCTGTTCAGCATTGTATTTTGAAGCTCTTGCTACCGAATTCCGAGACTAACGCATTCTTGTAGAGCAGAAATTATCAAGATTGAACACCCAACTCGAGGGGATGATACACGAGCATGGGGTCCTCCCTACGCAGAGTATACCACTGAAAGTGACAAGAAAGGTCCTGGAGAGAGTGCATATTTTCTAGCTGTACGTCCTTGCTATCCGCTTCAAGCCAAACACTGAGCTCTCAATCACTAACTTGATCCACGACAGGTAAACCGCAACAAACACTCTCTAGGCCTCTCATTCCAACACCCACAAGGTCAAGAGATTCTACACAAACTAGCAGCGACCTCCGACGTCCTCGTAGAAAACTACATCCCAGGCGCCCTCCGCAAATATCAACTCGACTACGAAACCCTCTCCCGCATCAACCCATCCCTCATCTACGCCTCCATAACAGGCTACGGCCAAACCGGCCCCTTCAGCAAACGCGCCGGCTACGACGTAATGGTCGAAGCCGAATTCGGCTTGATGCACATCACCGGTGAGAGGGACGGCCAACCCGTCAAGGTAGGCGTGGCCGTAACCGACCTGACCACAGGTCTCTACACCGCAAATTCAGTCATGGCTGCTCTGATTCAGCGAGCAAACGACCCCGACCGCAAAGGACAATGGCTCGACGTGGCGCTAAGCGACTGCCAGACCGCAACGCTAGCAAACATCGCAAGCAGCGTGCTAATCAGTGGCAAACGCGACGGCGGGAGATGGGGAACTGCTCACCCCAGCATCGTTCCCTACAAAGGCTTCGAAACCAAAGACGGCGACGTAATGCTCGGAGGCGGGAACGACCGGCTCTTCGGCGTGCTCTGTCAACGACTAGGCAAGCCGGAATGGGCATCGGACCCGAAATACAAAACTAACGGCGACCGAGTCAAGCATCGAGACGAGTTGGAAGACATGATCACCGCGATCACAAAAACGAAGACGACGAAACAGTGGCTGGAGGTTCTCGAGGGAAGTGGTATGCCTTATGCGGCGGTGAATGATGTTAAGGATACGCTTGACCATGAGCACACACAGGCCCGCAAGATGGTGACCGAGGTTCAGCATAGTAGTTGTGGGCCGATCAAGGTCGTGAGTCCTCCGGTCAAGTACAGTGGGAGTAGTGTGGGTGTACGCAGTGCGCCTCCGACACTGGGCATGCATACGGACTATGTTCTTCGTGATGTTCTTGGATTCAGTGAGCAAAAGGTTGGCGACCTGAAATCTGAGGGTGTTGTTGCTTGAAGTCTGTATCAGGTAGGTATGTAGATGTATAGATATAAGTTCACTATCGAGCATGGATTATTCAAATTCCAAGCTGGGGACCAACCGGGTCACATATGCTAGGATTACAAGCACCAAGTATGCCTGGCGATATCAACCTATATGGCACGCTCGCATGGCTATATCTTCCTCGCACGCAGTTGCAGTCCGTCAGGGCTCAAACACCTCATATTGTCAGGCTTAAATCATGCTAGAAGTGTAGCCAACGTCCAACATACTATACAGCACTCAGTCCGCTTTGCGCTAAGAAAATATTGAAAAGGAGTTCTCGACCCTGGTCTTTAGATCAGCGAAGCGATTCGTCGACAAGCTTCCCACAGCCCTACCACAGCTCCTTCGATGACTTCGTCCGAAGGGCTGCTGCTGCCCGACCCTTGAATACTGCTCCGTCCCCTGATACGTCTTACTTTGACGCTTCTCTGCTTCATGCTGCTCGCGGGTGACGTTGGGAGCGCCACCAGATCCTTGACTAGCTTGCGGCCCATGGTCTGCACACTCTTGTGCGCTGAGCGTGCATGCTCTTCTACAGGATTCTCAGTTACCCTGTTCCTCGTGTTGACGCTGGTGAATGGACGTGCTTTGCAACCCGCAGGATCAGTCCGGATGCCCAGAACTGACATGGCTTTGCTAGGTACACGTGCCGCATGAGGTGGACTCGACATCCCATATTCGGGATACGAGAATGGTGGTGTCATTGTTGCTCGTGGCTCCGAGCGCTGCGACTGCGAGTCACGCATTGACCAACTTGGACTCGTGGTAGGTTCGATATCGAGGTCGAAATAGCCTCTGTTTTCCACATATTTTGTTTCTTTGAGCATGGACGATTCGAGCAGCTGGGTGAAATGCCGATCAATAAGAAGCCATGCAGCAAGTGTGGACAACAAGGACAGTGCAGCCCCCGGAAATATGATGCGAAGGTTGTGCAGTATAGCATCGTCACTATTGTTTTGTGAGGTCGTTCCGCGAAACGGTGACAACTCGACAGATTCGAGATAGAGTCCTCCAGCCACCATCACATCGAATGCTTTACTCGTCGACGAAATAGCGGTTATCAATCTCGCATTATACGGATTTTGTACTTGAACACCATGAGGAATTGATCTCTCAGAACTGTATCTTCCATCTCTTGTGGAAAGTCGGTCGAACTGAGGTAACCTTTCCGGCACCAGCGAGGAGGCACTGGAGTATAAGCTAGATGTCCGTGTCAGAAGACTGCCAAATGGATCGGCAAGCTGTCTCTCCGACCGTCGACCTGTGCTATGCTGAACGTTGTTTGCGAGTGGTTGCTCTGAAGATGGCGTGGAAAAGTGTTGGTGAAGCATCGCCATGTTTGTATTGATGCTCAGTCTTGGTTGGATCTTCGGAGTCGGAGTAGCTTCGCTCGCGGTTCGAGAGAGATCACTGAAAGGCGTGCCATAATTAGGCGTATCATATGGACTGAAGGTGGAGACCTCGGGTCGACTGCTGGTGGGTGTACTTGGTCGTGGTGCTTGCATGTTTGGTATACTTCGTGGATGATAATTTGACAGCTGGGGTCGGTGGATCTGAATAAGTCTAGGCTTGCCTGGCACCGTAAGCACAGTTGCTTGCATCTATACACATATTAGCCGTATTCTATCGTTGGATGAGTGGATGTATACTTACAGGTATGATTTCGCCATCTTCTTGGTTCTGTAGATACTGCTTCTCCTGTCGATATTCAATTACATGCACTGATCTTTCACTTGTATGATGCGGTTTGTTGTGCTTCGGCCTTTGACCCGCCAGACTACTTTTGAATACCATCTCCTGGTCGATAGGTGTTCTCGGCATAGGCGAGGACTCTTGACTACTACCACTCTCGGAACAGCTTGTCGAGGCTCCATTTTCCAGTTCAAATTCAGTAGACCTTGACGAGTTTCTTGAGCTCGTACTTTTGACAGAGGCATTATCTTGGTACATGCTGAGAATATGTACGTCCTGATAAGACTTGTAGTGCATTTTCCGTCTCAGCTTTTTCTCATCATGCATATGTGTATTCGATGGATTCAGGGTTGCATGACGATAGTGCTGGGGTTTGGTGGCCAGATGTGTTTCTGAATGCGGAACAACATGCTGCACAACATCAGGGACATTTTGAGGGCTTCGCAGACTGCTGACGCTAGGTGCGTGCCTGAGTAAACGCTTCCTTGGATGCTCCATCGAAGCCTTTGAGCCAGCTTGCAGATCAGCAATTGATATTGATCGAGGCAATGATGTCAAGTGTTGGTGCTGTTCTGCTTCTGGGTACACTAGACGTGGCGCGATACCGAGATGCCCTGCGCCCGTTGACATGTTCTTGAACTTATCAGGATCTAAGAAGTTGGTTTTGACTAACATCGAGGATATTGAGCAGGTAGGTTTGTTGGTCGATTGAGCTAGCAGTGTGTCGCCTGAAGTCGTTGGAAGCATATTTTGCAAACACAATGAGGAAACGGGCAGTGACAAATCTTGAAGAGCCGATAGAGATGCTTGACGAGATGGTTGCACAGATTCAGGGAGAAGTGAAGTAGATACCCCCGCTGTCAGTATTGCTGTCCCACATGCAAATGCCATATCTGATTCAAAAAAGCTATGCGTGGCGATTAAGACTCTTGGGTGAAAATAGCAAGAATGAAACATCGGGTCTCGAGGTTGTCACATCTGCATTCGCTCGTGCAAATCGTCTCACAAGGCAGGAGGGTGGAAGGAATTGCGATCCCGACTGAACTTACCATGTCACTCTTTCCTAGCCACAGCCTCCGAGGTAGTACAATTCAACCCTTGCTGCAACACAATGTAGATTGGCCATAGCTGATCCAGGTGGATATTGAGGCTCCCACTGAAGATCTTGTCACTTGTACGCATGCCAGACTGAGTCCAAGCAGCCACCAGAAAGTGCCCCTTGCTTCAGGTTGGTACGATAAGCTCAAAATATGTGCTGTGATCAACAGCCTCATTCATTGCGATGAATACAATCACCCGTCTGCTTATTATGACAAAGAAGAGTGTTCAAGAAGAGACTATTGGAAGTGCTACGACGAGATATCTCTTCGATGTGGTAGGATGAGTATATCAACAAGGAACTATCATTTGCGATAGACTCAAAAAGTGGCAGGTCTTGGCGTCTCATTTGGCACAATAGTAAAGTGGCAGGTGCTGAGCTGGAAAATACCTGTTGGGAGGGAACCTTTACACTATGTGGGTCCACGTCAATGACTGCGATAGACCTGCGATAGACCCGGGTTTCAGATCTCCAAACAGAACGCGGTCATGCTTTGCTAGTCAAATAGAACTGTGACCAATCTGTTTGAAGAATATGTGAATATCAGCTGTATGAGTAGCTTAAGGTAAAGAATTACTTCAATGTCGACCAAGCTCTCCTTCAGGTATCTCAGGTAACAAGCCGCTCGAGCTCAGATCTGGTTGGTCCCTGCGCTTCGGGATCAGAGCTTTGATGGGAGGCCGCACGAGATCGTTGAAGGTGAAAGTGCCATACACAAGCAATGCAAAGCCAGCGACTTGTAGCCACTTGAAAGATTCCCAACCAAGACCAAGGGACACAATCCAGATGAAGAGAGTTCGACAAGTATCAATGATTGATCGCGAGGTTGCTGATATGCTTCTCGTGACACTCAGACCAAAGAAGTTGAATCCACCAATTGAAATCATGATCAAAAGACTGGTTGTTGCGATAACCTTGTTGTTGAAGACCTCTTTGTAGCCTTCCTTGGCATCGAAGTAGCCGTACTGGCCAGCTCTCGTGTTTCCGACAGCAAAATGTAGAATCACTTGAAGGATTAGTGTAACGAGTAAACCAAAGGTGCCTTCCCACGCCACGACCTTTAGTGGCTGCAGAGCATACTTCTCGAGGATAAATTCTTCAAGAACGAACTGCGTCGCTGTGAATATTTGTGCAGCTGCGATGACACAGACACCAATGATCGTGCGTAGAACAGCTTCGTCAGCAGCCCGCGTAGCGAGCTCCCTAGCCATGAGCAGTACCGTGCTTGTGGCATTCGAGTCTTTCCTTCCATCATCGTGAGGAGAACTGCTCTTGGAGCTAATTGCGCCAGCTAGACCAACCAGCGCCACGCCTGTTACCACTACCAGTAGAGAGAGCCAATGGTATAGATATAACTTTCTCTTCAAGAAAAGGACGCTAAAAGCTCCAACAAACAGTACAAGCGCTCCTCTTGTCATCTGGTAGATACTGGCGGCCACGAACAGGAGGCCAACGTTCATCAATGTCGTGCCTGTGATGTCGCAACAAGCTGGTAATCCTAACAGGATCACTCTCCAACCTTCTAATGGCGCTCGATCGTCGGCATTCGGGAGCATAGATTTCATCGCAGGATTGACGTTTTCCTGCGAGACACGATGTATACTGTCGTCGTCTTCATCTTCCTGTTGTACCGGCTGATAAAGCACAGGTGCTTCGGAGAAACGAGATCGAATAAGATTGGTGACATAGAAGCCAAAGACGACGAGCCAGCAGCCCATCTCGCCAATGAACATCTGCACACTTATACATGTCAGTCATCAACCCTTCTGTCTACAAGGCGACTTACGTCTGTATAACAGGCTGTTCGAAGTTCGCTCGCTTTCCAGGGCCATCGCAGTTGCGAACGCACTGCATATCTTGGTATTTGGTCAACAACGTATTGCAGCATCCTGTCAACAGCATCGCTCCCACCAGGAACGGGATGATTGCCTTGACTGCCATGACGGCACAATAGAGATCGTAGCTGAGTTAATGAAGGTTGTATCGATAGCTCAACGTATCACTTATCGACGCCTATACCGTTGTACACGCATGTCAAGAGTCCATCGTTGGTGACGCGTGTAGACCTCGTGCTCGATAGTAGCTCTTGTGACTCTTCGGGACACTGAGGTAACCACGACCAGACCGATAGACGTATCGAAACTAGCTCCCGGAGTCCTGTACCGAAGTACTACCGCTGCCTCTATAGCTTCACATCGTTGTTTTCAACTCATCGCGCACGTGTCCGTTCCCTATATCTTCATGTCCAGCTCAGTAACCTTGGATCGCAGTCTGGAGCTCTCTCGGTGCTTTAGACCTTTCGGTCTTGGTTCTCACATCCTGTCTGAAATTCGGAGCTCAGTATCATGAGTGCGAGACTTCGCCGAGCTCAGGAACGAGACTAGTACCTGCAAAGTTACCATTTCTACTAGCCTACTGTACCAGCAGATTGCTACAGTACACGCACTTTCGTATCTGTCTGGGGTGCAGCTCGAGAAACGTGCAAATCTTGTTGCGAGACGAGATCTATACCAATCCCGAAGCGTCTATACTTCGTACTTCTGTGGAGATTTGCGCCAATCACAGATTTGTCTGGAGCTCTCGGTCGTTGTTCTTGCTCTTCTCATTGCTTCTAGTGTCATATACTCAAGACCGCCGAGACGACGGCGAGGGTCGACCCTCATTTTGGATCTCACGATGTCCCAATTCGTGACGAAAACCGCTGGGTCCCCTGCATTAGGCTCCACTCCAAGCTCTTCCGCGCTGCTAGCCACAAATCGTCTGCTCGTGCATGCCCAATCCACCGCCAGGCTCATCGCGTCCTAACGTTTACTCAAAAAAACAACAACCTTGGAGAGCTGCAGCACAGTACTCATGGCTCCTTCTTATGCCATGGCGGTCCGTGACAGACTAATCCTCAATCAAGACACTAGTAAACACCTGGATCAGGATCTTCCCTGCCTTTCCTGCGGTGCAACCTCGACTTCATGAGAGTATCCTGCTGGCGGAATGCTTTGTCGAAAACCAATGGACAATTCCGGTTCAGGCTAAAGACCTACCCTCGTGCAATTGGCGGAAACATGACTTCCCTCTTGCATCTTTAGCAGGTACGTGATCACATCCAGTCGCGTACATGGTAAGGTCGGTTTCCTCTCGGCATATTAAGATCTACTCTATGCGCCACTAATATGTAGTACTCAGTATTCGACCAAAACGGCTCCGCGTCTGTCGACATTTTGAACAGTCTTTGCCGATCCTGACATTGTTTGGCATACGATTCTCGTCTTCTTTGCAGGGCCATGCAGGCCTCTTCGCTACTGCAGACTCCGACTTTCTTAGTCAACAGCATACTTATACGGCACAGTGACAATGGGTGCTGCACCTTCAGTCTCGCTATCTGAGACACTGGATCCTCTTCCGCCAGTACTACATCGTGGTCTGACAGTGGTAGCTTTCTTTGGACTCCTATCACTCGCAAGCACTACTTGTCTGTTTCTCCTTCTCAGCTATCGACTGTTTATCTGGTGGCGTCATTGTCAACTCAGGAATGGCGCGAATCAGTTCTTCATCCTCATTTACAATCTCGTCATCGCGGACATACAGCAAGCCATGGCCTTTGCGCTGACTGCATTTTATCTTGCTGAAGACAAGATCGAGGTTGGCACAACTACATGTTTTGCGAATGGCTGGTTCGTAAGCACCGGTGACCTCGCATCTGGAGTATTCATTCTCAATATAGGGCTTCACACCTTCTTGACCATCGTCAAAGGTCAAACGATCAGCGATATGTCATTCTACCTTTGGCTTGCTGGCTCTTGGGCTTTTGTCTACTTCATGGCTATACTGACAGTGGCAATGCACAAGAACGTCTATGTTCGAGCAGGCGCATGGTGTTGGATCGACAAGCGCTATGACAAGGAGCGTCTGTGGCTCCACTACATCTGGATATTCATTGCCATGTTCGGTGTTGTCGTCATCTACGCCATGATCTATTTCTTCATCAAGGCTCGACTTACTGGCAAGACCAGAACAAATATCAACACTACCAGCGACAATCGAGCTGAACTCGCCAACGCCAGACGCGCCGCCAAATACATGATTATCTACCCCGTCGTCTACGTGGTCTGCACCTTACCTCTAGCTGGAGGTCGTATGGCCGCGATGTCTGGTGTTTTAGTACCTCCGTATTGGTGGTACTGTTTTGCTGGTGCAGCCATCACATCCTGTGGTTGGCTTGATGTAGTTCTCTACGCCATCACTCGGCATGTTCTCGTCTTTCCACGATCGGCTCCACCAAAGACTAACCTAGGTCTCAACACCTTCGGCTGGCATCCAACTCCACCTTTCTACGGTGTCACCACGACTGTAGAGGCGCCATTGAGTCGTGCTGCGAGGCGACACGAAAGCAAAACCAGCATCTTGAGTCCGGTGTGGCGTCCTCTAAGACGCAGACAAAGCGACGAGGATTATTTTGCAAACGTGCCGGAGGGGGTCATCATGACAAAGACCACGATTGAAGTTACCTCGATCCCTGCTCCTCATCACAGTCTGACCAATGATGCATATGCGCGAAGTGAGACCAGTGTGTTGGAAATAGACGACAAGGCTGCTATTGTGACTCCAAGCGGGAGTGTGTCCAGATGAGATCATGAAGAAAAGGTCCGCTTCCTGGATGGTAGGATGCGTAATGTGCATCTTCAAGAGCCAAGATAGATGTAAATAATGCAATTATTGTACCATCACGCACTCCCCGGGTGAAGGAAGTCACTTTTTATTTGTGATCAACCGTACTACTCTGTCTCTTCGCAACAACAAGCGTAGTGATTGATCACTCTACCACTCTCCATCTTGAACTTCATATTCACATTTCAGAAAACAAGCCCATATTTAATGGTTTTCGAACCAGCGACTATTTTCCTGCTTGTGATAGCGATCAGGCCGCTAGTGACCTGCTATTGCGCAAACCAGTTCCAGAAAGGCAAAAAGAAGAGTGACTCATTGCTGAGTCGGGTATTCAAAGCCTTTAAATTTATATTGTAGCTACTCTTCTGAACCACATTTCGCAAACTATGACATATACATGTTTCAGCACCTGTAGGGCAACGTAAACGAACGCATTGAGCAATGACTCGTACAGAAAATGAGTTTCTAGGTTCATCAAATTAGAACTACAGATATCAGAAGCTGCTGATCACATATCTCTCGTACTGACTTGAAAGTCGGTCATCTACAATACATTTTGAGTGGTCGCTTCTACAAATGTCTCTTTTCGTAATCGTCGTCGGAGCTCTTCCCGCTTGATTCCGCCACCTGACTTTCGCTCAATTTGCCTGCAGTCGTGGTATGCTCGGTGCCGTCCATGGTTCGTCCAACTGTGTAGTCCTCCTCATCTCCATATGGCTTCCAGAAATCCTTCTTTCCCTTGAGAAGTCTGGTAACCCATGGTGGCAGGAGACCGCCTTCAAGCTTGTAGGTCCACGGCTCTTTCAAATCATAATCTTTAGGCCTGATGCGGCCACCAGATGCTTTCAGTAATATCCATGCGATGGTATTGATGATGATGTAGCTGACGATGCCAGCAATCAGACCATATGCGATAGAATATGTGAATGGCATAATGGCAATGGTAAGGAAGGCTGGTATCGCATCTCCAACATAACTCCAGTTGATGTCCTTTGCTGCTTTGGCCATAAGACTGCCAACAATGATAAGCGTGGCGCCGGTAGCCCAAGGAGGGATAGATGCGAAGATCGGTGCGAAAAATATCGAGACGAAGAAGCAGAGACCTGTGACGATAGCTGTGAGACCAGTCGCGCCACCTTCGGATATACCAGCGCCGGATTCAATGTAGGCGGTTACTGGTGGTACACCCAAAACTGAACCGATCGAGATACCGAAGGCATCCACGAGGTAGGCCACTGCGGAGCCTTCAAAGTCTTGAGTTCGCTCATCGATTGCACCACAGAATCTGGCCATAGAATACAGAGTACCTGTGCAGTCAAGGATGTCGACATAGAGGAATGTGATGAAGGCCAATCCGAATTGACCGCCATATTCAGAGACGTTCCATTCCTGAACTGCGAGGATACGCTGGATAGGGTGGAACGCAACCACTTGTTTGAAAAAGTCGAATGAGGCATCTCCGAGATCAGTATAGGGAAAGAAGGTGACCTCCGTGCCTCGAGGCCAAGAGATTATCGACACCAGAAGGATGCCTGCGATGATAGCTCCCTTGACGCGATACAACATAAGAAGTACGGTCAATATACCACCGCAGAAGATGCCGATCCACATGGCTGGGTTCCGCATCTTGTACGATGGAGGACAAACTCCTGTATCGGGGTCGAGGTATTGTTGTGCACATCCTGCAAGTTCGAGAGGCGTGGAATGGGCTCCGGTAATAGCGCCAATACCAGCGCTGTAGGTCAAACCGATGATCGTAAGGTAGAGACCAATACCCACACCAGTAGCAAGCTTGATCGAGGCTGGAATGGCTCTGGCTAACCATTGTCGGAGTCCGAGAATTGTAAGACCAACGAAAACGAAGCCTTCCACGAAGACTGCAGTGACCGCAACCTGGTACGGAACAAGGCCAGATCCGTGATAGCCCACGACGGTGTAAGCAAAGTAGGCGTTCAGACCCATGCCTGGAGCGAGCGCAATTGGCATGTTGGCGCTGGGAACTGTTAGCAGAGGCGCGGGTGTGTCCTAGCACAGGGGACTTACAAAAGACCCATACAAAACGTTGTCAGTGCGGCAATAGCTGCAGTCGCTGTGACAAGGTCCCGGTTGACCTCTTGCACACACAGCATATAGGCGGGATCGCTATCGCAGAGATCTGGAGAATCAGGCGGACAAACACAAGTACCACCAGATTGTGAGACGATAGTAGCATTGACACTGATGATATAGGCCATCGCGAAAAAGGTCGCCAGACCAGCTCGGATTTCGGTGAAGAAGTATGAACCTTTGCGCTCTTTCCTGTGCTGTATAGACGGTCAGTAACTGTTCATTTGGCGTCAACAGTATATGCCTTACACCAGAGCCTTCTAGGCGAAAGTATTTCCCAACGGCGCTGCGCGCAACGGCGGCATTGGTATTGTGAATCCAACCCATGGCGTCAAGATTTCACAGCGATGTGTGCGTCCTCTTTGAATGAGGCACTCAAGTTTCGAACAATTGACAACAAAACGTTTGCTATTGAGTCTGTGGGCGATCTTTTGTATTTGAAGCTATGCTATTGTTCTGGCGAACATCCGGCCTTCAATATCTGAGATTTTGCACACATGCCTGTCAGCTGTAACGATCAGCGGTCGTCTCATTGGCTGGAGATAAGTTGGGACCCTTTTTCTAGATTGAACTGGTGCGTCTTAGGCTCTATTAGCTTTGACTTGGCAGTTGTGGCATCCTTGATAAGGTCAGTAAAGCACGATGAAACTGATTGCGATTGCTTTTTCTGTCGTCTGACTCGCGATTGCACCTGGCGGATGGCGCCGATCTGAACTTGACAACGGGCACAGCAACGTATCAGAGGTGTTTTACGTAGATCAACGTCGCTGAACAGTTCATCTTCGGCATGTAGGGCTTCGACTTTCTGTATCGATCGTGATCATGGCCAGATTGTGCGGGGGAGCTTGACGAACAGCAAGCTCAGCTCATCGAATTGAGTTGCTGCTTGTGGACGGAGTAGGCCGAAAAAGTGCCTGATTCGCAAACGTTGGCCTTGTGTCAGCTGCGATCAAAGGTGGCATGCTCCTATCGCATCTTATTTCTCCCATACGTATCGTTGTACGAGGTGTCTGAATGTTCCGAAGCAGTTGTATTTTGTATCGATCGTGCTCGCTGCAGGGTAGCGATAGCGAAAGATGAGCCTCAAGACGACGAGGTGGGACTGCTCGCGTGGCACAAGTTGTACTGTATCAGAGAAGCAGCATTGCCGAAAGTTAAGCTTGCGCTAATTTCAAGCTAGATCTGGTTGAGACAAAGGGCTGGCCCACATTCGAGGTGCTGGATTTGGGTCGACGTTTATCTCTTAGTTCTCAACTTCATAACGTCGATTGCTTTCAATCACTCTGCGCTCGAGTAACACGAGTTTTGGCCCGTAAATGGCCATGCGACTCTTACCTAGCATGAAAGTATCTCGCTTGGTGTAGGCCACGAACAATGATGCTGCTCTCCCCAAGAGCCACGACTTTGCTGGAAGGATTTGAAACTGTGACCCTTCATGGAGAACGCAGGTGGTTCTCTCACACGAGTGTCAGCTCGACGTGATTTGAACGACAACCATTGAGGTTGCAATGGAAGTTCTACCAGTCTTTGATATACTGTGCTAATTCTGTGCTCGAAAATTGACATTGACCCACCATCGAGTTGTGTATATTCGAGCATAAGACACACAACTTGAAAGCTACTGATCATGTTTGCTGCCGGTTGAGATTGGGCCCACGACACATCAATGACGAGAAGGGACGAATTTTGGCATTGCGCAGAAACGGGGTTATTGAGTGTGGAATTAGGGTGCCTTCCACTTTTGCACAACCTTCACAGCGAAGTGTTTCTACCTTCATCCCATTAGCGTCTTTTCCTTTCTTCCCGCTTCCGTACCGGCAGCCTGCATCTGATCAAGTGTCGGTCACCTTCAACTCCTGCAGGCAATCTCTACACGATCTGCTTAGACATCGCACCTGGCCTCATAAGGTTTCCCTTTTCTGAATCTGATTGTCACACTACACAACAGACGCCACGATGGCTGATGATTGGGCCGCAGATGCGACTGAGGACACCGCAGCTACAGATTTGGATGCTGTTGCCAACGGTGGTAGTCACGATCCTCAACCTCTTCGAGAGAACAAGATCAATAAGAAGAGACTGGAGGGGCAAGTTCAGCAAGCCGTGTTGTTTTTGAGGTAAATACTAATATCTGCACAGATTAGAACCGAACGCGAAAATGTTGTCAATCATTGTGCGCACTGCAAAAAGCGGGTTGGTCTTGTGCGAATCGATCAAAAATGTTCCGCAGGATGTAGCGACTATTTGCTCCGACTTCCTCTTCCAGAAGCTGCAGAGAAATCCCAAATATTTACTCACCATTGAGGAGGATGAGCTCGAAGGATTCGAATATGTCTTCAACTGGATCAAGCAATGTGGTGAGCAGAAGACCGTTGTCAATATCGAAAACGTAAGTTACGTTGACACTTACCATAATATCAGGCTAACCTGGTCGTGTAGGTCAATGATCTCATCACCGAAGAGAAGGGTTTCCAGCCGCTCATCCAAGCCATGACTGCTGCGCACAAGCTCAAGATTCCAGAGGCGTCCTTCGCGAAATTCATCCTCAAGCAAGCGAAGAACGCCGCAAAGCACTGTCTTGTCGACCTCGAGCTAGTCAAACAGGCTTACGACCCGATTGACCCATCTGGTTTTGACGCGTTAGGACTTCGAGAGGTGTTTGTGCAAAGCATTTTCAACTGCTGGTACAACTACAAGCTCGACGGGGAAGAGTTTGACGAATACATGGCGGAGTTGACTGATCTACGACACAACATCCCTGATCTTGACGAAGATCTCCATAGCGCTGTGCACGAGAGGGACAAGTTTCTCAAAGCCATGAGAGAAAGAAAGAAGGCTACACTCGCCGAGGCTGAGAACGGGGTTATCGAGGGAGCCGATGATCTCGGTGGTGGCAGAGATGAATGGGCAGGACAAGATGCCAGTGCAGGTGACGGTGCTGAATGGGACAACGGAGGTGGCAATGCTGACAACTTCGGTACTGGTGCTAGTAACGAGTGGGCCGACGAGGTGAACAAGGACTTGGTTCCAGCGCCATCTGTCGCTGCTGCTATTTGGTAAGGTAACAAGAGGACCTCCAAGTCAACAACTCTACGAGAACTGCTTGTGACTCCAAAGACTAGGATGCTGAGAGCGCATGCAGCGGGTGTATCGTGGCAGCCATTTCTGTCGATTAGTCTGCGGCACTACTAGTGAGTAGTAAAATCCTATATCCTGAAGCTGTTGTAGCTCTGAACGGGGATGAAAAATGTACAAATTATACTTGAGCTCGATATGAGGATCCGAAGCTCCTATTCAGCTGAACACAGTACTGCTAACACGGTATAGTGACAGATGCTAAACGACAAGTCTCTATACATATATACTACATCCATGCGTAAAAATACATTTCCCCTTATGCGTCGTTGTTACTGACACGTTCTTAACAGCTGCAACCTCGACAAACAGCTTAGCCAAGGAGGCCCTTCACTGTAGCTAACACATTGCCGAGGACGCCCTTGATCTCGGTAACAGTGTCGCCAACCACACCGCCATCGGTGAGCTCGCCAACCAAGACGAGAAGGTCGTTCACCTCGATAGAGAGCGTCTCGAGTGTTGGGTTGAGTGTCGATAGGTCCAACGTGACGCCCGCAGTAGCAGCAATGCTTTGGACCTGGGCAAGGAGATCGTTGACTGCCGTTTCTACTTCGGCTAGTGCAGCAGCGACATCGAGGTTCTCGACGTCAGCAACGATGGCTGTGAGTCTGGCTTCGAGGCTGTTGACTTCTGCCAGGACGCCATCTAGAAGGCCGGTAACAGTGCCTAGGAGGCCATCGAGACCAAGAAGACGCTTGACGGGAAGGCTGAGTGACTCGGTGATGGCTTCGAGGTCTACTTCCTTGGTGAGATCGTCTGTTGAAAGACCGAGCAGACGCTTGACTGGAAGGTTCAAGCCTTCTGTGACGGCTTCGAGATCCAGCGTGTTTGTGAGATCTTCAGTCGGAATAGGGAGGCTAATGCTTCGGACTGGAAGCTCGATTGGAAGAGTGTTTACAATGTTGAGCTCCTGCTCGACCGACTCAAGGTCGAGTGTGCTGGTAACACCCTCAAGGAGGGGAGCTGCATATCGAGTCAGTCTTTTGCAAGCCACAAAATGTCGACAGCCTTACCTGCAATGGCGACAGTTGCGAGGATCGCACCAAGGCAGATTGTGACACGCATCTTGAAGATATGAGAAACTGTAACGAGTTGGATTAAGTGATCTGGTTGTGTGAAAAGAGTGGACGTTTGTGAGACTTGATTAAGGAAAGACTGTGGATGAGGGAGTTACTGGTAAGATGCTGAAGGAGAAGAGAAGACGTGTACTACCACGTCGTAAGCAGCGTGTTTATATACATCGTCCTACCGTCTTCTTGTCCCATACCAGCGAGGAGTGGTCTAGCGGGACGAGCCATGGCCATGGCCGCAAGTCGCATCAATGTGTCGCCTAAGAGACGCCGTTCACGATATAATCTCGCGTGTAGCACTGCAATAGCAGCATGGATGTCGATCTTCGGCCGTTTAGACACGACAAACGTGGTACATTTCCGACACAAAGCCATGGGAGCATGAGTCTCATCTCAACTGACTGAGTGGTGCAGAAGTCGACTCGAGGGCGGAAACTCGGTGTTTAATCAAATTGCCCATGATACTCTCTCTGCGCTGGAAAGACAGGCCAATGATCAGAATTTTATGCTCCGAAACAATCGACAACTAACGGCTTGGTGGATCTGTGGGCAAACATATTCTGTCGATCTCCCCTGCCGATCTTGACGCCTGACAGTTTGAGCTTGTAAAGTTTTTGACTCAATAAACCTTTTCCTACTCATCATGTTGACCGTACTCAAAGGAGGCAATCTCCTGGTAAGCTCAAGGTACAGGCAACATGGAACATGAATGCTCGGGCCTTGAGGAAACGCCAGGTCCTGGGCCTGTCGTTCGAGTTGTCGACCCGCTTGAATGCTTCCACCAGCGGCATGATGAAGAGCTAGAGTTTGGGGCGCTATCAAGTGACTAACACCTGTCATCCTTTATGCTTTCGCCTGATATGGCACGAGCACTCTTGGAAATTGGAAAACAAGCTGGTCGGACTTTTCAAGGTGCAATTGTAGAATTTCAGGGACGCAAAGATGCATGTTTCAAGCCGTGGGTCTTGTGTATTACTTCCTCCTCAATCTGCTTTCCTCTTTTTGTCGCATTCGAAATCACTGTCGGAAGTCGCCATCAGTATCTATGCAAGTGATGCTTCAGCACACGGATTTGAATGGGGTTGCAAAGATAGTCTCGAGTGAAGTGTTGCTCCGCTGAGTCGGAAGAACAGAGTGAGTACGTACTGACAGACAATAGAACGCTGTTCATGCACGAAATCAGAGACGTGGTCCCTCAATTGACATATGAACAACCACGTTCTTCAGACATTCGAGTTTTTGGTCGACATTGACGAGTGGTCGTGGTGGGCTCGGGTGTTGTGTAGAAGGCCGACAAGTCAAGAGCAATTGAACGCTCCTTCCTTTCGATCTCAGAAGACCAATTTGCACAATGAGCGTACCTGCCTGAGCTTCAAGTTGCTCTATCCTTTTCTTCCTTAGAAGGTGAGCTTTCTTCTTCTTTCTCAACTTGTCCGATCGACCACTTCCTCCTCGCACGATTCGACTCCAGCGCCTTCGCATTTCGAGAAGCTGCCACAATTTACCTACTCTTTGTAATCATGAATCGACGATTCTTTGCTGCCTTGCTGAACGTATTGCTACTGAGCATGGCTAGTGCTCTCGAGCCGAGACAGGCCTGCTCATCGGACTTCAGAGTCTGTGCTCCTCCAGGTTTGACTACCAACACTCTTGGTCCTATCAGCTCCCAATGGGGTCAGCTGTACAGCGATATCATCAGCACTGTGAATGGGTACTCTATTGAAGACGGTGATGGTCCAACAACAACTCTTGTCGATCCTGATGGTCCGGCTCGTCGTGAGATGGCATTCTGCTGTAAGTGATGATATCAGCTAACCTACACATGTTAACAACAGCAGGTTCCAATATCGCCGATTGCCTGATTGTGAAGAATTATGGCATCCAGATGTGTTGGGTGAGCCCACTCCTCTGTGCCATCTCCCACAACGACTGACTCTTACGCTCCTGCAGGATCGTTATACAACCAACGTCTTCTTTCCTGACGGCACCTATGGCTCGGTTGTTTCCGCAGACTTCAACACAAGCACTGGTGACAGCGTCAACCTAGTATATGGGGAATATACCTTGGGGGATGGACAAAAAGGCAATATTTACCAAGGCGAAGCTGCCACTTCGATGAAGCCAGACACCGCCACTATGACCAGACCAAGATCCTGGACCAGCAGTGGTGAAGGAAGTGCTATTCCTGCCACAGAACTTGGCACCTCGGGCGAAATGTCCACAATGACCACGGTGATTGCTGCAACCACAGAAGCTGCAAGCACCGGCGACTCGATCACACTCATTGCAACGATGACAGACTGCCAAAACTGTCCTGCCTACAATACAACTATCGCTGGTCTGACTGATCCCGGCACTACACGCCAAGCCAGTACAGCTGTGATCACCACAGCCGTGCTCAACACCACAGGAATCATTACTCCAACTATTACCGGCACCAGTAAAGCCTCGAGACTCTCTATTGAGCTAACCGTGGTCCTCGGTGCCGCTCTACTCGGCATGAATGCAATCTGCTTCTGATGGAAGTCTACATCTGCTTCTGTTTCATATCGACGAGAAAGTTATCCTAACTTTGAGATTTTGGTGAACGATATCAGCCTGAGATGCATTGCCAGATCGTGCGTCAAGTATTTGTCGGTACACTTAGAGTATAGCAAACGATGAAAAGTCAGATGGTGAAATTGAGGAAGAAACATGTCGGACGCAGAAAATGCATTGTTGATAGTCAGTATTCACAGACATGAATGTAGTGACACGCTCATCAGATATCTTGCTCAATATGATGTAAATCCAAATCGTTCACCCTTCAAGACCAGTCTGGCTCGGATCAAAGGTCGTCGTCGAGCAGGAAAGCACTGTTCAGCAGGCGTGGCTTTTGTTTTAAGAGTATCATCTGTGCTTTGTGCTAAAGTCCTTCGGCGCACGAGGAGTATCCGGAGATAAGCTCATTTCTGCTCCAGTACACCACCGAAGAGCCGAGCGGATCCTGTTCGCCGCTGACTTCATTGGTTCGTTGCAGTATGCTACACCAACACCTTTCTCTTCATGTGGAGGAAATTCCTATTCTGACTTAGGCGAACTTGCTCCATTCAAAGCGAAGTACTTACTCAGCAACTTGAAGAGCGCAGGTGCATAGGCACCGTCCTCCAGGCCGGGGACTACGTTGACTCAGATGCTGAGCAATAATTGAACCACTGATCAGCATTATTCATCAACCCATTTGCACGCCAGCAGACCTTAGGCTGTCCTTCCGTTAATCGACATATCTTAAGAATGTCAACCTGAACAGCACACGGCTTACCCATACGATATGAAGGGTGTTCGCAGACTATCTTCTTGATGGACGAAGCCATCCTGGGAGCGGATCTCCCGCTTCCTCCAACTCGCTTGTTTCAGCGGCTGTCGCAGATAAAGCGCTACACCTGGGATCAGTCCATCACGCCCTTCCACTCGACCTACGATCATTGGCATATCTTTGGCATATTGCATAATCCTAGTGACCTCGAGACGCCCCAGACAAACACGTCCTCCTCCTTCTCCGCTGCTCTTGCCTCATCCTCTGATCGAAGCTCTCCTCGTTTAGGCTCCCGTCCTGGCTTTCGAACGCATTGGAGTAGTATCAGCGGAGCTTCAACCGATAGTGAACTTGGCGCGTCGCGAACGGCCGAACCAGAGCAAATATGGACGCCTATCGTAGCTCGCATCAGTACTCATGTGGTCAGACTGGAAAGAGAGTACAAGTCCATGCTCGCAATCGCCAAAGACTGTGATCCCACCCACGAACATATCCTCCATCCAATCGACCTGTTCAAGCTACCTGCTACGGCCGACGACCCTTTCCCTTTGCTAGTCTGTGTCTACGAGCAGCCTGGCCCGAACTATCTAAGAGATGTGCTAAATTTTGGGCCGAATTTCTATAGCATGAACAACCGCAATACGAATGTCACTACAAACAGTGGTGGCCTTTTGCCACTACAGTCATTTCTCGACTTTGCCATTGGGGCCTGTTCGTGCCTGGAGCTTCTTCACCATGGGGTTTCCCGCATTCATGGTGAGATCCGTCAAGATTCGTTTCACTGGAACAAAGATTTGGGTGTGGTTAGGCTACAAAATATTGGTAACGGCCCAAGAGCATTCGAGAATTTGCTGTCTAGCTCTGCTTGGGCTGCGATGAGTAGGGAACGCGGCGCCGTCAACAAGCTGGCCTATATCGCTCCCGAGCAGACAGGTAGACTGGCCTTCGAGCCGGACTCTCGCACAGATATTTATAGCCTAGGCATCCTTTTCTGGAGTCTTCTCACAGGGAGGCCCTGCTTCAATGCTGATACGCCAATTGACATGATTCAGAACGTTCTCAACCAGCGGCTAACTCAAATCTCGATTATTCGGATGGATGTTCCTGACGTGATCTGCAATCTTATCGGAAAGATGGTACAAAAGCAGATGGACGAGCGCTACAGTTCTATCAACGGCCTTAAATATGACTTGATAGAAATCCAGAAGTTGCTTGCTGAAGGTGCGAAAGAAAAGCTTCTCGAATATCAGATTGGCCAGAGGGACGTTTCTTCGTTCTTCATCTTACCGTCGAGGACTGTCGGTCACCATGCCGAGCAAGAGAAAATAGTCCAAATTCTTGAGAAGCTACGCAGGCGACAAGTGAACAATTCACGTAAAGCTGCACACCCTAATACTCTCTATAGTACAACTTCAAATTCCTCTGTATCCGAGAGTCGTCTAGATGGCCCAGATATGCCTGATGGGTCTGATACCTCAAGTTCGATCGGTATGGGTGGCAGAGTGTCGCGCAGTAACTCAACAACTATTGGTATGGATGCCGCTCAATCCCTACACAGCCGTCCGAGCGTTGTCGTCAGGCCTCGCGGGATCGCTGAGGCCTTGATCACCCCTCTTGATGAATCTGACAAAGACAGCCAATTTTCTGGTCCATTTGCTTATCCTGGAGCTGATTCATTGGCCCCAATCGGACGAATGACTCGACGTAGTGGCTACAAGCCAAGACGCAAGAGCAAAACTGAAGTTGTGCTACTGACAGGAGCTCAAGGAGCGGGGAAATCGACCATACTGAAGAACGTGCAGCCTTATGCTAGGAGGGTGGGATATTTTGCTTCTGCAAGATTCGATAGAGCCAGACCTACGCCATTCGAGCCGATGCTTTTCTGCTTGGCAAGTCTATTCAGACAGCTCTTTTCTGAGTCAGATGTCTCAACTGGCTATCATGAGATGGTACGGTCACATGTTCGGCCGATCTGGCATGCTTTCCATTCTCTTCTCGACCTGCCAGTGTCTTTGATAGATTCTGCTTTGCCTTCCGAGAAACCCATTCTTGGCAATGAAAGTTCGCTGATGCGGTCTGATGTGTCTAGCATCGAGTCGAAGACCTTGCGTAATGGCCCTGCCACCAACATACGCGATGCTAATGACTTCTTGCGTGGAGCCGCCAGCTCTAAATCCATCCGACTCATCAACACCTATATTGACGTTCTGCGCCTCTTGTCCTCGACCAAAGTCGTCTGTTTGTGTCTAGACGATGTACACGCCGCGGACGAAGAGTCTATCGACCTTATCGGAAACATCATCCGTGCGCGGTTACCTGTGGCTATTTTGCTGTCTGGTCGAGCTGACAATATTGCTGAGTCGGCTGCCTTGCAAGCTATTTTCAATAACGACTCTATCACCAACATTGAATTGGAAGCTCTAAAAGAGAAGCATGTTTTCGAATATGTTGCTTCGACCGTCAGCCGCGATATTGAAGATGTAATTCCTCTTGCAGCCGTCGTACATCAGAAATCGGCAGGAAACCCTTTCATCATGAAGGAACTGTTGCAGACTCTATACGAGAAGAATTGCTTGTGGTATGACTGGCGCATGACTGGCTGGGAGTTCGATCTGGATAAGATTTTCACAGAGCTTACCATGGATGGACCCGAAGGAAACGATTTCATCGTACACAAATTTCGAGAGTTTCCACTTCCAGCGCAATGTCTTCTGGCGTGGGCTTCACTCATCGGAAATACTTTCTCGTTCAAGCTGATACAAAAACTACTCAGCGGCAAATTCTTATTAGATCATAAAGTGATGATAGCACGGGAGGGCGGTAATCTATCTTGCACTGATGTTACTTGCAAGGAGAAGGGCAAATTTACTGAGGATCAAATGCTGGATGCGCTCAATTTCTTGCTCCAGTCCGCCATCATTATCAGTGGTGGTGATGATGACGAATATTCCTTCGGCCACACACGTTACCTCAACGCTGCACAAGAGATCGCGGAAGCAAGTGGCAGAGTTCAAGAGATGCATTTTGTGCTAGCCCAGGCTATGTTATCATATCTTTCGAGCTGCAAGTACAGTCTTTATCCACTTGCACGGCACATCTGCTTGTGCTCAGATTTGATCAAGAGACGATTGGGACAGCGCGCCACACACCGGGACATACTATGGCAGGCGGCCATCAACGCGCGCGAATCGGGTGCGAAGGCGACGGCGATGTGGTATTTCAAGACCTGTGTGAGTCTGTTGCAGGAAGATCCCTGGACATCATCACCAGATAGTTCCTACAACGAGACGTTACAGCTGTATGTCAGTCTTGCAGAACTCCTCTATGAGCACGATGATTTGAAAGATGCATCAGCACTCTTAAATGACACTTTCAAGCATGCTCGGTGCTCCGCCGACAGGATTCGATCTTACCTGCTCAAGGCAAAGATGTTGAACAAGAAGGCACTTTTCCAAGAAGCTCTAGACACACTCACAGAATGCATGGCAGATCTTGGTGCGCCACCATTAGAAAGATCGTGGAATCAGCTAGATGCGGAGTTCGGGAGGATCGAGATAAGGTTGCGCGCTCTGGACTCTAATGAGCTTCTGTCACGCCCTTTGAGCGAGGATAGAAACGTGACTGCACTCGGCACTGTGCTTAGCGAAGCAGCAGTCGTGACCTATTGGTACGATGCACAAAAATGGCTCTCTGCCGTTCTTGCGCTGGTCACAATGATCCTTGATGGTGGCATCTGCGTTCAGGCAGGAATTGCATTCAATATGCTCGGTACTGCAGCTATTGGCCGTTACAAGAATGTCGAGCTGGGGCTTGCTTACGGCGATATTGCTACTAGCTTCTTTTCAAGACTCGATGATCCATTCACCCAGGGACGTGGTTGGACTCTATACACAATGTTTATAGCTCACCTACGAACACCAATGCGGAACATCTTGCCTGTACTCGATAACGCACTGGACTTCTCATTAGCATCTGGTGATAGGAGTGTTGCACTCTTGACCTTGGGATGTATGGCACTCTCCCGGTTCTGGACTGGCCAAGATCTTTCGGAAATCGAAGCATTCTGCCTTTATGCTCCCGAGGAATTCGGTCATTGGGAAGACAACCTTAGAGGTGGTGCAGTTTTAGTAGGCGTACGACAACTCACACGCGCCCTTCAAGGTAAAACATACATTGATGATGTGGACACTTTGCTTGACGACGAGTTTGTTAGCAAAAAAGAGTGGTACACGAAATGCGAGCGAAACAAATTGAATTCAACCAGAGCAACCGACATGTTTAAAGCAATCACTATCCCTGCATATTACGTCTACGGCCACTACGAAAGGATAATACAAGAGGGACGGAAAATGGTGGCTACCTCTCTGGACGAGCTTTGGAGCCACAGAGCTGCGGCTCAATTACGGTTCTACCTTGCCTTATCCCTCTTGGCGGTGGCTAAGACGAAGCCTGTTGAGGAGCAGAACGGCCTGCTTGAAGAAGTCACTTTGCTCAAGCAGAGTATCGAGTCCTGGACAACAGTGAATGATGTCAATTACCATGCGTGGCTCAGAATTATTGATGCAGAGTACGCAGACGTGACGAAGAAGTATGGTCATGTTATCAGCAACATCGAAGCGGCAATTGATCACTGTCAACTCCATGGATTCGCTTTTGAGGAGGCCCTTGCAATTGAGATTGGTGCAGAATTCTTGCTCGCGCAAGGAGCTCGCCGGCCAGCAAAGATCCTTATCCAAGAAGCTATTTCTGCGTGGAACAGTATCAATGCAACTGCAAAAGCGGCACGTCTGGCAACCAAACACGAGTGGCTAATCAAAACTACAGGCTTTTCCAGAATGCATGATGCAACTACTCAGACTGACACGATGGTTGCACTCGTTGGTAACGACGATCCTGGTTTACACGTTCAACGCGATTACACCAGCCAATGGGTTGAACCGAAGAATGGCCCGCCTGTCTCGAAAGTGGTGACACAAGATGTGCCAGGCATGGGGCTAGACGTTCTTGACCTTACAGCGATCCTTGAGTTCTCAAAGGTCATCAGCTCTGAGCTACATATCAACAGCCTCCTGGAAAAGATGATAGGAGTGATACTTGAGTCAGTCGGTGGCCAAGCAGAATTCGCTGCCATCGTCATCGATAGCGAAGACTCTGGATGGGTTGTGGCAGCTAGTGGGGACCACGAAAATGGTGCCAAAACATATCCTGACGGTATTCCCTTTTCAGAAATCGACGATATGGCTGCACAACAAATCACAAACTATATCATCAGAACCAAAGAAATCGTCTTTGTATACAACATTCTGGACGATGAACGCTTTGGAAATGTCTCTGACGCTTACCTGAAGCGTAATCCCAACGGTAGATCAATTATCTGCCTGCCAGTCATTCAACTTGATCGATTGATTGCGGTTATTCATTTGGAAGGACGTCCAAATTCTTTCACAGAACGCAATATGGTAGTTCTGAACCTGCTCACCAATCAGGTTGCCATTTCATTGGGCAATGCTCTCCTGTACAGGAAGGTTAGGAAGGTCAGTGCAGCAAACGCTGCTATGGTTGACTCTCAGAAGCGAGCCCTTGCAGCTGCTCGTGAAGCCGAAGCGAAAGCGAAGGAAGCCGAAGCCGAAGCCATGCGTAATGTGAAATTGCAACAAGAAGCTCAAAGAGCCAAGTCGATCTTCCTTGCAAACGTCAGTCATGAGCTTCGTACTCCTTTGAATGGTGTTATAGGCATGTCAGAACTACTAAAGGGTACCGAGCTTACTGAAGATCAAGAGGGCTATGCTGACAGCATTCGTGTCTGCGCTGATACGCTATTGACGGTCATCAATGACATCTTGGATTTCTCGAAACTGGAAGCTGGAAAAATGCTCATGCATACAGTGCCCCTGAATCTGCAGGAGACAATCAAGGAGGTCGTGCGTGCGCTTGCATACACTAACAAGGAGCACGGCCTGGAGACCATCGAAAACTTTGAGCTTGACGATCGGTTGGTGCTAGGCGATCCCGTCCGATTACATCAGATATTCATGAACCTTATGAGCAATGCCTACAAATTTACGCCAAAGGGCTCGATCACAATCACTGCTAGGAAGACAGGGGAGACCAAGGAGAAGATCAAGTTTTTGTGTTCTGTCGCGGACACTGGCATAGGCATTACTAAGGAACAACTAAGTCGATTGTTTCAACCCTTCTCGCAGGCTGACTCATCGACGGCTAGGTCCTACGGTGGCAGTGGTCTCGGCCTAAGCATTTGCAAGGCCATGATCGAGAATGTGCTTGGCGGAAAGATATGGATAGAGTCCGAACCTGGCGTTGGTACCACGGTTTTCTTCCAACTGACGTTTCAAATAGCCCCTAAAGACAGCAGTGCTCCAGCACATATGAACATCTCGACAAAGGATCCGGATCCGATGGCTAATTGGAGTCGATCTTCTGCGCCTGGCGGGGAGATCAGGGCGAGTTTCTGTGACCTCAGCAAGATTCCGAGAGGAGAGCTCAAAATCTGTATCGCCGAGGATAATCCAATTAACAGGACGATTGGTAAGTACTTGTTATCTGCTTCTGTGGTGGTAATTGCTAACATGTCACAGCAATATCTTTTGTACAGAAACTCGGCCTCAAATGTGATGCGTACGAGGATGGCAAGCTAGCGTATGAAGCCTTGCAGCGAGCAAGCAAAGCAGGTCAGCCATACCATATAGTTCTTATGGATGTGCAAATGCCTGTGTTAGATGGGTATAACGCTACACGAGCTATACGAAAAGACGAGGATCGAATTGTTCGAGAAGTCCTTGTCATCGCGATGACAGCGTCAGCTATTCGTGGAGATCGGGAGAAATGTCTTGAAGCAGGCATGAACGACTACCTTGCGAAGCCTGTACGGCAGGTAGCCCTAAAGGCAATGCTTGACGAATATCTAGGTAATACACGAACAGTTCAGCAAGTGGGATCCGAAACTCCTGGTGACAGAGTCAACATGCAAACAGCGAAAGCGCCAGTCAAGGCGACAACCCCGGTACTAGAGAAGCCCGCAGAGGAAGCTGGACTTGGATTGCAAATCGAGAAAGGCGAAAAGAGCATGGTAGATGGCGACAGAGACGCGGCGTCGAGACCCGCACTCCCTTTGAACCGAGAGTCGACTAACAGCACAGAACAGGCTCAACCAGCAAAACCTAAGAAAAAGAGAATACCACTCAAGGGAAGTGCTAGGAACAAGTCTTCAGAAGAGCAGAAGACTGACGGCACACAACCGGCGGCCTCCTCGAAGCCTGGCCAAGTTCGAGGTACAAGTCCGCCTAGTGGTGTGAAAGAGCAGGAGATTCTAGGAAAAACAAGCACAGACATATTGTCACCACCTGCAAATGGACCGAGCAGGGAAGAGATTGAGAACAAGCTTGCTGAGACAAAGTCAGAACGTATTCGAAATGAGTCTGTAGCTAGGAAGGAGCAGGCCATTCCGAAGATTGCAGTTACGCAGGCAGGTAAAGGAGATGGGAGCTAGGAGGTCCTTGACCTCGATGAGCAGGCATAGTGATTTCAAACGTTTTATCTGATACGCCATATTTACGCCACTTCGACGACTGAATTATCACATCGATATTAATGGAACCGCATCGTTGCAAGAGCATGGAGTTTTGGCGCATGAACGACACGACGTTTTCAACCAGTAAGGGAACCTTCCAGCTACGTAACGAGCGTTTGTAAATTGAGATATCTGTGACAGTCCTTATAGAATGCTATAGCATTAAGTCAATCATTATAATCAAGAACACTGCAGATGAATGAGGTAACACACATGAAGGATGTTTGTGAGCAAATAACACGTGGAGGAAGCTTTTGTAGCACTCGAGTTTGTAAGTGGTTGACACCGCGTGAATTGCCTTGTCTTGGGCAGGCACGTCAATGGTTGGTCGCGACCAGAATGATAACTCCGCACAAAAAGAAGTCTTCGCCTCATGACTTGTTCAGCGCGCGTGAAAACACTTCCTCGTCGCCTAGTCTCACTCTACATCGGCTTGCCTTTTCATCACTACCAATACCAAATCTGGTCGTCTTTGCTCGGAGCCATCTTGAGAAGCTCCAAACTGGGCGGGCTTAACCTCCGAAAGACCTGGTTATCTCTTCCCTGCGAGCTCTGGTCCGAGCCTTTGGCCAGCGATCACGATGGCTGCACCAAGTGAACCGGTATCTGCTACAAGATTGTACCTTGGCAATCTCCCCAAAAGTTTGTGACTTCCACCTTCTCCTGACCTCTTGGACTTTGGGACAGTTTCAGCATCCACGGAGGCCTCAGCGCATCGATATTTGTCTATTCTTCTAGTCTTGGATTCAATCTGGTTTACGGAAGGCTAACTTGACTCTTTTCTCCGCGGTTCAGACATCACCAAGCAAGAGATCGAAGAACACTTTGCCAGCCATGGCACTGGACAAATCAAGGAAGTCAAGTTGATGAACGGCTTTGGATTCCTTGAGTATGCAGACCATCTTGATGCACGCGATGTGGTTCCTGGTAAGTCATTTCTCAAGGCGCAACTTAAGACCCAAAGCTAATCGCTTCAACAGCTTTCCGTATGTTCCCCAACATCCCACCCACGCTTGAATGCCTCCTTACAGTTTTGTGTAGATGGATCCGAACTCAAGGGAGAACGACTGACTGTCCAATTCGCTCGAGGACCAAGAAAGAGAGACGATTATGGACCCCAGGAACGTCAAGCCCCTCGTCCTAGGAGAACAATTTACCGCATGCAGATTACTGGTCTAGCACCTGATACTAGCTGGCAGGTATGGTTGTAGAATACGTGGATCAAGATCAAATGCTAAATCAAGACAGGATCTCAAGGACTTTGCCAGGAGCACTGGTCAGTTGGATGTCGTCTACTCAGAGACAGGGCGAAATGACTCGAAGGGGTAGGTTTGACTAGAAGATACCCAGGTACTGTAACTGACATTTATAGATTTGTCGAGTTCGAGACTGGTGCCGATCTGAAAACTGCTGTCGAGAAGCTCGATGGCCGCGAATTCAAGGGTTCTGTGGTACAATGCACAGCCGATGTAGGTACATGCCACGCGTCATGCGGCACCATGCTAATCAATGGCCAGATTCAAGACGAACGAGACCTGCGCAACTATCGCCAGCGATCCCCACTCGGCAGAGGTCGATTCGGCCCACCAGCAGACGACTATTACGATAGACGTGGTGCACCACCTCCTCGTGGTTACACTCCTCCACGATATCGTGAGCGATCTCCTGGCCGACGACCACCGTATGATGATTACTATGACCGAGGCTATGCAAGAAGGACTCCCCCAAGAGATTATGCTCCTCCCCCACCGAGAAGATATGAAGAGCCATATGACAGTAGGGCTGCTCCACCGCCTGCTCGTGGTTATGACCCTTACGCTCGTGGAGATCCCTATGCCAGACCAAGAAGCCCTCCACCGCCACGTGGCTATGGCAGTTATGGTGGAGGTGCCGCACCTGCTGGTGGCTATCGTGCTTATGATGACAGACCATATTAGGTGAAGGATAGCTACGCCAGATGTCTGGCCATCGCTGACGAACGCTCAGGAAAATGGCCAACGTCATTTCAATAAAACCCGGTACAAGACTGAAGAGGACGAGAATGTGCATACGCAGACTCATAACTACGAAAGTATGGTTTGACCTCCTCGAGATTAACCAGTCAGCTGGTAGGAAGGCATCTCTGAAGCGGAATGATGCTTCAGGGAGCACAGCCTGGTCAAAAATTTGTGTTATACCTATGCTATTTCGAGCTAAAATAGGTTGGCTTCTTCGTTGTTTTCGATAAGCAGGGCGACCATCCAGTGGGAGTATTTTTTTTACCAGCTGGGAACGCTCTTGCGGGTGTTGTGTATACAATAATGAATGTCTAGAAAAGTTGACCAAGTTCCATAGTCAATGGTTTGCACGCTTATAGGTACGGAGTTGATTTTCAGGCATCAAGGCTGCGCCTGCAGCCGCGGAAGTGAGCCTTAATTGTGCTTCAAGTGTATACATACAGTTCTCTGTCCGAATGTCTCTGTCCTTCGCCTCGTCGCATCGCCATTGCTGAAACTTCGTTCATCGTCTTTCCATCCATTCTTTCCTGGGTTGTGTTCCAAGCACACAGCACGTCGTCAAGGGCCGCAACGAGACACTGCTTGTTATATACCACTTGAACAACCTATACTGCTGAGCTCGCATTGCATGAGTGAGCTAAACAGCCGTGGTTGCCCGAGTGTGCGGGAGAGATTGAGATTAAGATAGCCAGGAGCACTTCAGCATACTCTTTTGATTGTACAATATCGGTACTGAGATACCAGTTCTTTCTGTACATTATTTTTTCTACGCTGGCTTCCCAGTGTTGCTACCTTCTACGAACATGTATGTATCACTCTGACTCGAAGCTGAGATGGAAAGCAAAGCGTACGAGCCATTGCTGTTGTACAATGGTTTCCCACATCATGTACTCGAGGCTGATTGAAGACGTTCAGATTCAGGTTCACATCCATCCTTTGTACTACCATTCCCAGGAAAACTCTGTGCATAGACATCACAACTTCTGAACAAACAATCGATAGCAGTTTGCGATTTCCAGGAACCACTTGATCTTAATCTCTGAGAAAGCAGTACCGTCTGACTCGAACAGCATACCTCTACCACTTTGAACCTACCATAACATGGCCGACGACGATAACTTCGATATCGATATCTACGGCGATGGCGAGGGTATGGACGAAGACAGCAAAGCATACATAAAAGTAGAGCATAGCAGGCAGGCAAAAGAGGAGCACGATCAAGACGATCAGATCAAGACCGAACCATCTTCGAGCCTCGAAGTAAAGCCGTCTATCAAGCAAGAATCTGAGGCACCTTCGACGCCGGCTACAGTGACAACCACATCGATAAAACAAGAAGACCTCAAACGAGAACCCGGCGAAGACACAAAGCCTGCGGCGACGAAATCTCCAGCCACAACCTCCAACCAACCACAGCAAGGCACAAAGCGTCGCATCGAGTCTGACGAGAGACGTATAGATGCCGGCGCCACAAATGCACTCATGATATCTGATTTGCACTGGTGGACCACCGAGGACGACATTCGATCATGGGCCAACGACGCTGGAGTCGAGGATGAAATGAAAGATATAACGTTCAGCGAGCATAAAGTGAACGGTAAGAGCAAGGGTCAGGCGTACGTCGAGTTCTCGAGTCCACAAGCGAGCACGGCGCTCAAGCATCGCATAGAAAGCGGTCTGGTAGGTGGACAGATTTCAGCCGCGGCCAACAATCAAAGGAGATTCAACGTAATATTCACGAGCGCGTCAAACAATCCCTTCAAAACTCTGCCAAAAGATGCGCCAGCACGAGCCAAGGAGGACCGCAATCAGAGAGCAGGCTCTACTCCATACTCTGCACCGCCTAGCCACCAAAACGACAACTATAGGGGAAATAGTGGCTACCGTGGACGCGGCGGTTTTGGCGGAAGAGGTGGGCATCAAAACAATAATAACAATAATTACAACAACAACCGCAACTTCTCAGGTCCAAGCATGAACGGCAGCCCTGGTGGCTTCAACAACCAGCAGTTCCAGCAGAACGGCGGCATGGGCATGATGAGTAATTTTGGTGGTGGCGGCGCAAACTTCAATCCCCGTGGCGGAGGATTCAGCGGTGGCAGAGGCGGTATGGGAGGCAACATGCGAGGAGGGCGAGGAGGTGGACAAATGAACGCGAATCCCATGGCTATACCTATGGGCATGAACATGGGAATGGGTATGATGGGAATGAATCCCATGATGGCTGGAATGGGCGGTCCAGCATTTGGAAATGCACAGTTCAATCCTGCTATGTTTGGAGGGAATCAGGGCATGAATATGAATATGAACATGAATATGAACGGTGGTGTTGGGGATTGGGGCCATGGTCCGAAAAGGCAGCGGCAGGATTGAGGTAGAGGTAGGAGGGGAAGCTCGATATTTCTTTGATTTTGGGAGGTGTGTATGAGTTGTATACTACTTGGTGGTTATACGTGGCTGTTTGCTGGGACCTTTGATATGGCAGTCGTCACAAGTGCAACCACATATGCACAAAGGGACAGGACTGGCGTTATTGGCACATAGGAGCTCGTGTGGCTGTCCCTCGAGATTACTACTATTAATCAGAATTACTTCTCTCCCGATCGTCTGCATATGTGTGCTCATTTCTCAGACATTGAGCAATTGCAACCTCATTTCTACGTTTTTATTCCGCGCAAATTGAGCAGGCGCTATCGGGTCTCCTCTTCTATCCGCAACTCACCCGTGATAGGAGTTCAACACCGGCCAGTTACCGGTGATCAACTTACCCAGTTTCGAATTTCAGGCGTCCAGCAGATAAGCGAGGCAGAACGGTTATGGCGCAATCTTTCTCCCGTTCCTCCTGCGTACCATGATGATGGTCTGCATCTTTGACCTTTCCTAAAGTCGTTTGTCCTAGTGGTTATCGTATCGTATGCAGTGCACTCCTTGGCATTTCCCCGATCACCACGCGGCATCAAACACCGAAATACCTGCTGCGGTCGCTGCTGCAAAAGAGACCCGCCGCATCAAGCAATGGGCGCCAAAGACACGGACTGGCTGCTTAACCTGTCGAGGTCGTCGCATCAAATGTGACGAGGGCCGGCCGTGTCGAAAATGTCTGAATTCTCGGAGGGTCTGTCGTTATGATAATTCGACAGATAAACAGGCATTGGGTACGGGTGAGAGCGTCTGGTCGTTGAGACCGAGGTATGGTGATTCGGAATCACTGTATTATCTTGAAGTTTATACGTCGTTGTCGATGCCGCTGCTGAGCACGTACTCCGAGGATGGGCTGTTTAATGGTGTTTTACCACGGTCGAGCTGGCATCATCCGGCGTTGCGACATGCGCTGGTAGCGGTTGGCATGGCGTCGGAGCAGTACTATGCTAAGAGTTCGCTGTTACGAGCTCATCGACGCGGATGGCATTATAACGAGGCGCTAAGGCTGCTGTACTCTGACAAATATGTTGACAATGAGCTTGTTCTGGCTGCTTGCATTCTGTTCTGGATCCACGACAATATCATGGGTGATGCGAGAGCTGCTTTGGTACACCTAAGAGGTCTGTTGCAAATGGTGGGTGAGAGCAAAGCGAGGAAAATGGCCAAGGGACAACGTGCACCATATCTTGAAATCGCAATCGTGCATGGGCTGTCGTACTGGGGACACTCTGTCGACAAAGCATTGGTGGACAAGCCAGACCCAGAGGTGATTGCCAAGATTCGCGACCGACTCCAGGATCCAGATTACAGTGCAAAGCTCTACAGCTTCAGAACTGTCAGAGATGAGATAAGCCTATTCAGTACCGCGACACAATGGACTTGCTCAGATTCAGGTCACGAATCTTGCGCATCGCATGAACATTCAGTCACTCTCGAGGAGCTCGAAGCCTTTGTGCATAAATGGTATAGCTGCGTACTGCGTGGCGAATGTCTACTAACCAACGACGATCGAATATCAGTCGAATGTCACTACAAAACCACACTCTTCATCATCAAAAGTCAACGCAAAATATCCGCTGGCACGACTCGTGCTCGTTTGACCGAGCCTGAAGACAGGGCCTTGTTCGAAGATATCCTGCAAAAAATCGAAAGCATAAGCACAAACAGTTTGTCCCAAACTCCTGCAGGTAGGGATCTGGTAATGCCACTGTGTCCGATTGTCGCTGAGATCGGCAGATATGCTTCAGATGACGAATTGATGAGCAGGAGTTTAGCTGCGATGAGAAATATGAAAAGATTGGAAGGCTTCTGGAATACTGCTGTAGTAGCTGCGTTACTGGAGATTCTGTGGCAGCAGGAGCGATTTAGTGAAGAAAGGTTGACTGCTGAGAAAGTGACGTTTGCTGTTGATGTGTTGAAAGAGACTCAGTCTTGAGCTTACAGGATACGGAAACAAAGTGAAGGTTGGAAAGTGAAGGTTCTTGGTCACATACTAACACTAACATTGGCATCGAGAATCCCTCACTAAATCTTCACAAAATTCAGTATGTCACGCAATAGCTCCATACTTTGTTTGATGAGCATTTTATGCAGGCAGGAGCCTGCCATGAGGTCGTGGCTTCCATAAATTCCTCGAGAACGTTCAATTCCTTTATTATGTCCTCGGAAATTCAAGTTTCTCTGCTTCAAGTCATCTAGGTTCACTCCAAGGTATAAACAGGACTGTGGATACGTTGAGGTCTTCTACTGACAGTAATAGAAAATCCACAATCTTATGACAGCCTTTATCTTCAGATACAAGCATGGCGACCCTCGAATCGTTACCAAACGAGATGCTCGAAATTGTCTGCAACCATCTATCCTCGGAAGTTTCACAAGACTCAAGAGCATGCAAAGCTCTTTACAGTCTATCTCTGACATCCAAACGGCTGCATAGCACAGCACAACCACACTTGTACAACCACATCGATACTGGAACATGTAACTTGGTGTCATTGGTTCAGACTCTCTGTCTGAGACCAGATCTGGCTGCTTTGATCAAGATCGTTCATCTTAGAAGTACCAGAGGCTATATTGTGACAGAGGAGTTGGTAGAATTCTTGCGCTTACACGTCAAACATGCATTCACGGAAGACTATTGCGCTGAACTAAAGAAAATATTGACTTATCCTCCACGTCTACGGATGGAGAAGGAACGCTTTCATTCGATACTCCTGCTGTATCTACCAAAAGTTGAAGAAATAATCTTCTACACGAACGAGAACCAGTTTGCAGATTGGTATGCACGTCCCCACCTTTACGGACAATGGCCATACGGTGCCACTGTGATGCCGTGTCTCAAAAATTTGCACGAAGTCGTCGCCAGACGAGCTAGTATTGTGAAATCTGGACGACTTCAAGCTATCATCGAAGCTTCAGCAGTTGAGAGCTATACCACCAGCTCTCCGGGAGCGTTTCGCACCTTTTGTCCGCGCTTCGAACTTCCGCTGAAGCATCTTGATATCACCTGTGGCCATCTCGATTTCGAAGGAACGAAACCGGTGTTCCTGCTCAACTGCGGGAAGCTCGAACGGCTTTCCATCACATGCACGTATTTCTGTCCTCTGTGGTTCCGTACTCGCCAAATGCAAAGACTTGTTGATGCTATATGTGAGACAAATTCTGTGAAAAAGTTGCAGTACCTGCACCTCAACATGAGAGACGATGGCCGCGAGAGCCAAACCGACTTACGTCACAAGGTCAATGTCGATTTTCGACCCGAACGGTTTCTCAGTTTAAAGAGCATGGGTGTCAATATGTGGCTGATCGAAGAGAGGAGATCTTATCTAACCAAGCTACCACAAACCATTGAAGATCTCAATGTTTATGGATCGTCAGCAAAGACAAGTGTATACAAGGAAAAGTACATCGACCAGATGTTCCAGGACGCTGAGTCAATTGCTCTGCAGTATCCGAACTTGCAAACGATACAGTATTGGGATGACACAATCAAAGGCAACAGATTGATGCGGCAGATGGACCTGAAGTGAGAGATCAAGATTGCGGCTGTATGCCATCAATGCTTTCGAATACTCCTGCCTGCAAGCTGTATCAGCGCCTGTCTTTGAACCGCATAGAAAAGTATAGGATCAACTTCAAGGTTCTTCATCATGGCTAATGAGAATGCAAAGTACTTTTGATACCCAAACTCTTCAATTCTTCGTTCTTCCCATCGCGCCTGCTTCCCGCTATGCTAGATGTAAAATCGTTTCTTCATCAAATCTGGAGTACAAGGTCAAGGTCAAGGTCAAAAAGCCCCTACTTTCACGTACCCACCACCACTTCAACCAATTACGATTGACCACGAGGATCTGGAGCAGCACCATACTTCTTCACCACATCCGCAACATGCTTAGCGAGCGCCTCAGCCTCATGTTTCGAGTACGCCTCCGCATAAACTCTAACCGCATCCTCCGTCCCCGAAGCCCGAGCAAACGATCTTCCTTTAGTATAGTTCGACACGAGTCTATTAATCTCTTCCTGAGCACCCTTCGGTGAAACCAATTTCCTTTCCGCATCTTCCGTCTTGAATAGGCCTCGATCGTGAACTTCGACACGAACGAGGCGGTTAGGAAGGTCGATGTAGGTGTTCAGCCAGTTCTCGGGTGTCCAGCCTTTGTGTGCGAGGACGACTTCGGCGAAGAGGATGTCTGAGATGGCATCGCCGACGGTCTGGTTGATGAGGTCGATTGAGGCGCTGAGGGAGTCGAGAGCGTGTTTTTGGCCGGGGTTTTTGGGTTGTGTTTCGCGGATGATCTTGGTGGCGTTGACTGAGAAGAGGATGGTGCCGTGGCCGTTGGCTTCGAAGTAGACGCCGATGTCGAATCGGGCTGCGGCGTGGTGGAGATGCTTGACTCCGGTGGGAGTGACGACGACGGGGAGTTTCAGTACTTTTTCTACGTATTCTGTGGATGCGCCGTTGGCGTAAGCAGTTTGAACAAGACCGATCTTTAGCTTGTCGCTTAAACCGGCCTTTTCTGCCATTTCGGCCAAGAAGACTGCTCCGAGTGTTGCTATGCGATCGCCATCTAGAAGATGGAAGACACCGTTGGAGTCTGTGAAATAGTATACGACTCGGTCCGCATCCCCGTCAAGAGAGCAGCACCGCTCGTTAGGAGTGGCTTTCGAGCCAGGAGGAGCCTTCTGTCTGGTCTTCACGAAGTCGGCACCACACTGTAGAGGTTAGCAGGTAGCTTCAGAAAGCTCGCAAAACTTACGTCGAGATTAAGGACTTCGGGTCTCAAGACGTCGTCGTTCAGCACCTTAATGTCAATACCGCCCTCTTTAGAGGTTGGCAAATATTTGAGCAGCTCTTGCAGTTTGGGACCACCAACTCCATTCGCGCAGTCAATTACTACATGACCCTTGATCGATCTTCCATGCATGATTGTCTTGAAAGCAGTAGCCATCTTCTTGTAGTACCCTTCCTCGGTAGCTTCTCCAAAGGCATATGGCGTATTCTGGGTATTGATGCAGCGCACCATGTAGTGTAGTTGAGGTGTGGTAAGGTAGCCATAGTCAGTGTACTTAGCACCGACAGCGTCCAACGCGGCTTTGAGCGCCTTGACAAGAGTTGGACCAGAAGCACGAGTATCTCGCCCAATGACAATGTTTGCTGGTCGATCCTGAAGCTGACGGATCTCGTCAACTAGTGTCTCATTCACTAGAGTCTCGTAGGCCTTGCCCATATCTTCGTTCGCAGTATTCGCCAGAACGGTTGCATAACCTTCCCAAGACTGCTCAAGCATATCACCCTGAGACGAGGTCAGCCTGCGATGTCAGCTCTTAGGTGCTCCTTAAGCGTACCATAGGGTCAACCAGCTTCACTCCATTGTCTTCAGCCGGATTGTGACTCGCTGTGATCATGATACCAATCGTGGCGTTCCTCTTCTTTGACCGGATCGCGGCCAACAAACCAACAGTATAAACCACATGATCCAATCCTAGATTGCTTTATCGTCCCCTCATCAGCATCTGCTCGTAGGATAAAGGACAACGTCTCGTGCTTACGCTTTCATGCGAAACTATCGTTAATGTCAGTGATCCGGCCTTTGTTAGTGAGACTCTGTTTGCTTACCCCTGCAGTACCATAACCATATACACGACCACTAGGTATTGGGTAGGGCCGAATACCTGAGTTGATTGCCTCAAGTAGTGTCGGATCCAGCGACACCACTGGCTTGGGCTGGTTAAAGACAGAAGTTGCGGCACTCATTGTTGCTGCTAGTTCGATCGAACGAAAGCTTGGTGGTGAAGAAAGACGAAGACAAGATATGGAGAGAGATTAAGGCCTTTGTGTCAGAAGCAACGTCAAGTGTGACGCTGCTGATCCCTCAGGAACAGGCCGCTTGACAGGCCAATCGGAGCATTGTTTGTTGGTATAGGTTTGTGCAATATTGCGCGATGGAGGTCCGTGTCGAACACAAGTTTGCAGGACCTGAATGCAGGCTGATCCAGTAACTGGATGAGAGCTGCAACTTTAGTGGCCACTGCCATTGAAATGTGGGGTGTCGAGCGCAGGCTCCACTTTTATGCCTGAAAAACGCTTGTGACGTCCCAGGCATGGGTGTCACAAAGCAGGGCTCGGCATCAGATCGTTTGAGGTAATGTAACCATACTATTCTCAAGCTTTCAATCGCTGTGATGAGACATCTTCTTGTGCGTCCTTTACCAGGAAGCTAGCGGTTGTTAGAAGTATTCAGATATTCATCTAACAACTTACCTGTACCACCAAATCGTGGGTCCGACGGTTCCCAGGTGCCATAAACTATGCGCATCGACCATTCTTCCCCAGGGCGAGAAATCAAAAAGTTCGAGACTCATAGCAAGGACAATCCAGGCTACGATAAGACCAGGCCAGGCTGCCCATGTTTCTTGCAACTTTCTATATCTTTGCACGCTGAACCAACTCCATAGCAAGTTTTGAACAATACCAGCTGCTACGTTTGCTGCCATGTTGTAGGTGTAGTCCCAGGACCATGCTGTGAGGTACGTGACGTGGCAAACATATAGAGTTATGCATACGCACGTCCAGATGCGTAGTATACTCTGTTTGTTCGGTGTCTTCTGATCGAGCCGGAATACCCGGATAGGAGTGTAGTACAATCCATACATCACACTAGCACCAGCAGCGAAATAGTCGAGTTTCTCAGTGATGTTGAAGTCCCGAGTGTGGAATATCATGCTGAAGATCCAACTAGCAAGACCGAAATATCCGAAGCCGAGATAGTACGGTCTCAGAGAGTATCTGGATGGGACTTCTGTGCGAAGTCTTTCCATTCCCCATCTGTGAGCCAGGAAATTGAACAACGAGAACAGTACAGAGAAGGGTTCCTGCATGCCCATGAAGCGCCAGAAAGGCCACTTCCCATGGAATTGAACAACCGGTTCCATCATTGGCGGGTCGAGAGCTTCCCTTCGATCCGTGATAATATGTTGACAGGTATAATCACACTCCTGAGGGCACGTCCAGAAGAGCAACCGTCGGCCCAGAGCTTGCAAGAATTAGGACGGGATGACCGTACAGCGAGACAGAGATACTCACGTATGTGACCTTTCCCTGGGCCGCAGCTTTCTCCTTTGCATATCTGTACCTGTCAGCTTCCGATTCTCGTCGCTTTTAGCCTACTTGCCTCGACACATTCTTGAAATTCTGGTAATCGGTCGCCCAAGGACGCATGAGCAAAGTGGACGACACAACATAGCACTAACAGTGTTGCAAAAACGCGCCATAACAGTGTCGTGGACATCTTTCCCACAACCTGACAAGCCGCCGATAATAACAATGCACGACATGTAACATCGTGGTTCGGAGTCTTGGGCATTTCAGATTCGGTGGAGCAAGTAATTCTTGGCGCGTTGGACGCGCTCCCCGATAGAGGACGCGTCTGGCTCGAATGAGTACTATTTATGCGATTACTTTACGATTTGCCCACAGAACATGCCAGTCCAAAAGGCAATGCCTCTCTAAACGCAAAGCCAGGAAGCGTGATTGGTGCCACGGTATGATTTCGGTGAGGATGGCAAAAACGAAGCACACAGAATGGGAGAATGACTGTACCTGTGGGAAGGCACGATTTTAAGCTGACAACGATCAGTGTGGATCGACTTGGGAGACATGTTGCGTTTATCGATAATGGTCACGTTCATCCGTTGTAGTATTTACAGCTTGCTCTTGCCAACTGGAGGACTACATTTCATCAGTGCCCGCCCGTTGCTTAGGCACACCTTTCCACCTTCAACCCGACTGATGAAGCGGATTTCTTCCCAACCATCCTTGTCCTTGTCTCCTGTTCGCCAGATTTCGGTCACCAGCTTATCAGCAGGCTTGACGGGACTTGCGAAACGAGCCTGGAACTCTTTAATGTTTGCAGGATCTGAGCCACCAAGCTCTTTCAATAGCGCATGCGCTGCGTTGTTCCACGAGAAGAGCCCGTGCATGATAGCACCACCGAAGCCCATCTTCTGACCTGGCTCCGGTGTCGCATGGAGAGGGTTGTAATCGCCGTTCAGTCTGGTTCAATACATTAGCTACGCAGTCTTTGTCATTGGAGTGAGGTTCGCTTACCTGTACAGCAGAGCACTTTCGTCGTTCAGTTGATTGACGTGAACCACATCAGGACTCTGTTCTCTGCCCTTGGGTGGATTGAAAGAAGCTGTAGCTGGACCCTTTGGTCCGCCCCATCCTCCTTGTCCGACGAAAAAGCCTGAACCAACTGCTCGGGTATATACCTCGTCCGTGCTCTTGTCTACAATAGTCTGCTCCGTCTCGACGACTGTTCCTGACTTGCCTTTGTCATAGACACCAAGGACTTTGCTACGGAGCTCGAACGTCTTGCCCTCCGAGGTTGGTGGTAATGGTTTCAGGAACTCGATCTTCCGCTGTCCGTCCAGGACTCTTCGAGAGTCGAGCTTTGGAACGCCTGGAATAGGATTTGATTCCTGTGCTTTGTAGAAGTCTATGACTTCTTGTGATGTCCTTTTGAATGCTGCCCACACAGTCAGCCTCTTGTACGTCGAATCCGCTTTATCCTGCACAACTGTTTCCGCTGAATCCCTATGTGGGACAAGATCTACTCACGAAGAATGATGGAATATGTTGGGAATACCGCGAATTGTGGATGCAACTCCTGTCAGAAGAACATCAGCATAGCACAAACAAAAGCTAGTCTGCTCGTACGTATAAGAAATGTAGCTCGTCCGCCGTGCAACCAATGCTTGCCGCGAACAGCAAGACATCTCTCTTTAACCACGAGACTTCAGCTCGAGGATACTCGAAGCCTACTCCTGGATCTGGCATTGTGGTAATCTTGATGTGGGAATCTGGACAGCAGGAAAGTGAAAAGTAGAGGTATCTCTTGGGTATGTAGCAGCTTGTACGATGTATAACAGTGGAGGAACGATTGTGTTAATAAGCTGCGCTGGAGAACATGGTTCGGGAAAGTCGTAAGCTTGAACTTTAGCAGCCGAGGCAACTCAAAATCCGGGGTTGAAGCGGCAGTAGATCTCAGCGTATTGCACAAGACACGCTTCTCAAGTGTTGTATAGCTAAATTTGAGGAGTTGTGCCTGATCTGTCAGACCGGATGAGCAAAGATGAAGCCTGTGTGTAGGTGGTATGGTCATCACAGTTGCGAGCCAGAGCAGCCCGAAATAGGATCTCAAAACCCAATGTCAAAATACTCATCGGAATAAGCAATCAAACGTAAGAGGTATCCCAAGGAGCAGATATTCCTGTGCAAATATTCTCATTCATCATGATCATTAATCGTTAAACATATCAGCGTCAACTCGATCGGGGTATCTTTAGTCATAAAATCGAGGCGCATGAAGTGCTTTGCTTTTCACATTATTCAACCAATTTTTGTTCGTCGTCGTCGATGCCTTTCATAAAGAGCCACCACCAGCACTATAACACCTTCCCACCTCTTTCATATGCTGAGAAGAGAGAAACGCCGAGGAAATGCGTACGTGCACTTAGCACATTCTGTACTCGCAGGAGCCAGCGGCTTTGCGAGTGGAATCGAAGGTATCCAGCTCGTAATCGATTTTGATATCCAAGTCGCGCTTGTTCTTTGCATTGGGTTTGTTGGACAGGAAGCCTTGTAGTGACTCGCCTTCCTCGACCGTGATGACCTCGCGTACATAGAAGACAGTCTGCTTCCAATGAGTGTATTTTGCGTGTGGTCCGGTAGAGAAGCGGATGGGTTTGTGGCATGCGCCAAAGTCAATGTCGAACCATGCGATCAGAGCATGGATGAAGTCGTTGCGGTTGCACCTTAGGGTAAAAGGCTCGGAGAAGGCTAGGTCGGATGAGTTGACTGTGTTGAGGTCGATGGTGAATACAGGGCAGGGATCTGTGACTAGAGCCTTTAGCTCTACGGTGTCGACAAGTGGTTCGGTGAGTGCGACTTCCTTCATGGGAGAGTAGTCGAAGCCATAGACGTTGTCCCAGACTGTAACACATTAGCTTGGCTCGTGAATTGCGCGGGCGACACTCACATCCGATCTTGTCCTCTTTGAATTCACCATCTTCAATACCAGCCATGTAGATTGTTGCTTTGTCGGGGAAAATTCTGCCATCCTTGCGCAAGTATTTGTCTCGTGCATATAACACAGTGTCCAGCATGCTCTCGTATAGCAGAAAGTAGCCCATCCACTCGGAAATAATGATATCGACCTTTCCATCGGGCATCACCTCTTTTGGCATCTCAACTTCTTCCATCTTGCCTTGCAGCAGAGTTATACGGCTGGTCAAGCCGTTCCGTTCCACAATCTGCTTGGCTTTCTGTATTATGCTGGACATATCAACGCCGATAACATGTTTTGCACCGGCTCTTGCTGCGAACATGGACAGAATACCTGTTCCACAACCGACATCTAACACGACCTTGTCCTTGAAAATATGTTTGTTCTGGTATATCGCGTCGCGGTAGGATCTGGTTCGTACTTCGTCCTTCAACATTTCCTCGTGGATGCCATGATGATCGTAGCTAGTAGAATTAGCCACTATCTCCCTCACGACCGGTTTCGTCCTCATACCTGGTAAAATAGCGAACCTCTGAGTGTTCCAGACCAGACATACGTTCCTCTGTGGTCATGGCCGCCAGCTCAGCGACTGATGGATTTACTCCGTTCGTCGCCATATTGAGATGCCTTACTTTTTCTGTCAAACGAAGTTGTTGGATACTCGACAACTACTAAAAAGTACAAACAACCTGAAACAGTGTTCGTACCTTTGACCGGACTTTTGGTAAATTTTGGTGCCGCCGATCAATAACGCGTGCTTGGATTTCCGGAGGAAAAATCAGATACTTGCCGATGCCCAACGGATAATTGATGCGCCAATCTGCCGCAGACAGACTCGATTCCGCGTGAACACGAGAAGCCTGCGAACCACTAATCGTGTCTGTAAGCAAAAAGAAATTGCAACCGATGGAGCAACAGCGAGTCGAACACTGGACTTTTTCGAGCTTTTGATGCAAACGAAACACTCTACCACTGAGTTACAGCCCCCGGAGATTGGCTACTAGCAAGATTTCAACCAGAAAGTTGTAATTATAGTATATATTACTCTATAAGATTGCCATATTGGAAATGAAGCCCAGCCATGAAAGCAGTACTTCAGCATACTAGTACCTAGGTATGTAAGTGATGGAGCCGTCATCGATAATTCGTAGCAATCACACTTGTTGTAGTTATGAAGAAGCAACGATCAACTTGTCTAAGAACTCTCAGCAATATACATGACTTCTGAAACGCGACATCGAGGTGATCGAATTTTGAAGTATGGATTACTCGCAGACCTAATGTCTACCATTAAGAAGATGATGTGCTAGCAACTGTCACATCTGCAATCTAAGTCTATGTATAACGCCCGCTCGAAGAGATGTTCCCACCCGTCTATAGAAATCTACTACTATACAACAACTTTCGGGTACACCATGTCCTCGTGGCCCTTCTCGAGATCCACAGGTGCTTTGGTTGGCAGGAATTCCTGCCCGGACTTCTCCTGGTCGGTGGGTGCCTTGATAGGCTGGAACTCCTGCTCGACAGGTTGGGGTGCTGTTGTGTGCTTTCCAGCCTGAGCTTGACTTATCACAGCTCCCTCGCTGTAGCTGTTGCCCTTTTCCAGATCAGACGCATCAGCATCTGGGCCGGATTTTGAGGTGGTTGGCTGCGTAGTCTGCTTCTCCTCCTTGTCCTTCTTGCCTTTGGGCATGCGAACAAGCCAGTATAGTGCGAGAGCAGCAAAGATATTGAAGATAATGAAAGCCCACATGATACCAAAATCGCGCCAAGCGTTATTGGGATTGATGTTGACGGACTGGAGGAAGGTGTTTGTAGAGCTGAGTTGACAGAACGAGCAATTGGTTGTGGACTGCTCAGTGCCTGGTTGAAGATAACCTCCTGCTTGGGTGATGTAGGGGTCAAGGTAAGACTGGCAAGTTTGGTCGGCTGGTGGAGGGAATCGCAGAAAGTCGATGTCAAGACAAGTAGCTGCGGCATCCTTGACAGCTGTCGCCAACATACCTTCGACAAGATAGGTGAATGGAGAAACTCTGTACATGAAGATCCAGAACCCAGGAAACTGACTTGGTCCTGCGAGAACACCGCAGAAAATCAAACATAAGGAGAATGCGAGGTTAGCAATATTGCCACCAGACTCAGCTGTGTCAATCGCCGCAATGACCATGTGGGCAAATGTCGAGGCGAAGAACAGGAATGCCAAGATGAAGAGCCACATTAGAGCACCTCGCTCAGTCACTGCATCTCCGGCGTTGTTGTAGAGACCAATTGGATAATACCAGCAAAAGAAGAGGAGCGTTGCTGCAATAGCATTGTAGGGCAATTCAGCCACAATGTTCGACAACATGAATGCCTTCCACGAGTAGGTCTTCGAAGGTCGCTCTCTCACTTCGTAGAGAGCTCTTTGAGTAACAAAGAGAGGCATAATCTGCTGGACCAATTGACCAAAGATCGTGAATAACAGGAAAAGTCCGAATAGCTGATTCTGAAGACCTTGTCGAGTATTTGCAGCTTGGAAGAAGGAGAAGCCGATGAACAAACCGCTTAGTGTGCAAAGTGCCCATTTTGCGTAGATGTAAGATGGTGTACGCCAGTATTGCTCGAAAACACGTCGCTGAACACAAATATATTGTTGCCAGAAAGGAGCAGCAAATTCGCGATAACTTGCTTTGTCCTTCGATCGTGTCTGCACACGACTGAGTCCGGGACGCTCGTGCTTCAGAGTATCAAGTTCTTCTTGCACTTTTCGGTATTCAGGTGAATTTCGCCAAGTATCAAACCAGTCGATATCGGTGCTGGAACCTGGAGCCGCGCCAATGACTTCGAGCATCCATTCACTTGGGTTCTGGTTCTCCTCACAAGGATGTGCACCGTTGCGTTCGAAATAACTTGTTAAAGTCTTTGCGCCCTCTCCAACATCCCCGAAATAGACGGTCTTTCCGCCCTTGGCAAGGAAGAGCAGACGATCGAAACGCTGGAAGAGCATAGCCGACGGTTGATGGATGGTGCAAAGGATAGCCTGTCCGTTTTTCGTGAGCTTTTCGAGTAAATTCAAGATCGACCACGATGTCTGAGAGTCAAGGCCAGAAGTAGGTTCGTCCAAGAAAAGCAGTAGTTCAGGTTTCGCAGCTAGCTCCACGCCTATAGTCAGACGCTTTCTCTGTTCAACGTTGAGGCCTTCTCCAAGGATACCCACGACAGCATCGGCATATTGTTCCATTTCAAGCAGTTTGATGACTTCCTCGACGTATTGAAGCTTTTCGGCTCTTGGTATGGCAGCAGGTTGTCTGAGTAAAGCACTGAAAGCCAAAGCTTCTCGGACAGTCGAGGTCGACAAATGAAGGTCTTGTTGTTGAGCATAACCGGTCTTGCGCTGGAAGGATTCATCTCGAGGTCGACCATCGACAAGCATTTCGCCAGATATAACTCCCATCGTCACACGAGTAGCCAGAACATCCAGGAGTGTGGTCTTGCCTGCTCCACTGACACCCATTAGAGCCGTAAGAGTACCAGGCTTTACCCAACCATCCACATGATCGAGGATACGACGAGTTTCGCTTTTGATCTTAATGTCGTAGCACACGTCACGCCACTGGAAGATTGCTTCTTGGCGCTGGATAATGTTCGCAGCGTCCTCCTGAGCCTGCTCACGGTCCATGGGTGTCTTTTCAGCCAAACCAGCGGCTTCAGCATCGTCCGGAGTGCTCTTTGTAAGTTGCTCAGGGATGTGGCCTCGGCGGAAGACGAGAATCTCACCTTTCGATTTCTTAGCAGAGACTTTTTCAGCAGCAATGAGGTAGATGACGGCGAGACCGATCATGAAGACCCACAGGATACCGAAATTCCTCCATTTGTTACTGTTGTAGTATCTGTAGGAGATGCCGACAAAGTCATCGCCTAGAACGGTCTCCTGGCCTGCAACTGCTCCTTGAACTGCGCATATGTTGTTCGCCAAATCGCCGTAACCTGGTGCAAATTGATCGCATTGGAATAGTCGATTATGAAACTCGTTGACCACAAGAGCCTCGAAGGCATAGGCAACTGGATCGAGGTAGTTGATCCATCGGGACCATCCGAGCATATATGGTGTGGGAATAGCGAAACCAGTATAGATGACAATAGCCAAGATCAGGATAGCTGCTGGTGTGAGTGCTTGCTGCAGGGTGCGACTGACAGAGGCGATCGTGCGAAACATCATACTCATGGTTAGTGTAAGCATGAAAGAGATGAGCAGGAAGAAGAAAAATCTGCCGGCCTCTCGTCTCAAATTTGTCATGAAGTAAAGTGCCACGTTGAAAGTGATAGCGTTGCCAATTTTGTACGGCAAATCTGTCAACATCGAGGCATAAGCTTCGGCCGATGGATGATAGAGAGCATAACGTTCGTGCTTCTCAATGATTGGTCGCTGTGCATACAGGGTCAAAATCTCCAGCGCCGAGCCAAAGGCACTCATGAGGATGGCGAAGAAGAGCAAGGCACCTCGGGAGAAAAAAGACGAGGTGACATCTTGCAAGTTATAGAAGACCGAACCGATGACCAGAGCCATGATGAAGTTACCGAAGAGCTGAACAAAAGTGAGACTTGGGTCTGCCTGCAGGCGCTTGAGACCTCTCCACAAGCACAGCTGGATCTGTTGACCGTAAGACAGTGTGAAGGGTGATTTCAAACGTTGACGCTTGGCTTGTTGGCCTTTTCGAGACTCTTTGAAGCGTGCAGCGTCTTCACCACCAACCGGATGCTCTTTGTTGTAGGCGTCGATCTCAGCGATAAGAGTCTTATATTCGGCACTACCTTTCCAAGCAGCAGCGAATTCATCAGGGGTTCGTGGTACCTTGTTCTCGTATCCCTTCCTGACGACTCGTTCGACAGGGCTTGTCATCGATGTCAAGAAATCAGCATCAGTTTGTCGTGGAGGGCAGTCGAAGCCTAGCTTTTCGAAATATCGCTTTGCTTGTTGAGCGCCACCGAAGAATATTTGACGACCCTCGTACAGGACGATGGCCTTGTCGAAGATCTCGTAAGCTGCCTGAGGAGCCTGATAGATAGCTACCATGGCTGCTACATTTGACACCTCACACTCGACGCGCAGAGTTTTGCAAAACTCAATGGCATTGGCGCTGTCAAGACCTCTGGTTGAGTTGTCCCATGCTTGTAGAGGAGCACCAGAAAGGCAGGCTTCAGCAATAGTGACACGTTTGCGCTCACCACCTGACACACCCCGGACGAATTCGTTTCCAACTTTCGTGTTGATTGTATGCCTGATACCAAAGGTTGCCATAATCACATCTCGCAAGTGCTCGGCATACTGCTTTTTACCAACGTTGCCAGGGAGATTGCGCGGCGCACGAGCTCTGGCGGCGAAGTAGAGAGTGTCGCCCACCAGCATCGCAGGGAAATGAATGTCTTGCTCGGCGGTGTATATGGCTTCGCCACGGAAGTACTTGTGCATCTCGTCGTAGCTGATACCTGTGTAGTTGATTTCGGATTCCTGACCCACGTTGAAACCATTGGTTTCGCCTGTGAGTGTTTTCAAGAAGGTAGAGCATCCTGAACCCGGAGGGCCGAGGACGACCAGCAGCTCACCTGGCTTGACAAGACCATCCAGACCCTGCAAGATATCGATCTTGCGCTTCTTTCTGCGAGCAAGAAGATCTCGAGCTGTGCCTGCCACCTGAAGCCAGACGTTACCAACACTGGACTGGTAGTCGGCCTCGCTAGCTTGACCCCAGGCGCTCATGTTTTTGAAAGAGACACCAGCTGTCCGCTCGACAAAGCCTTCGCTTTTTTGGCGCATGTTCAACATTGCCTTTGTCCATTTCCTTGGTTTGAAATTGTCAGAGTTTGGGTCGAGCTCGCTATCAGGTTCGGCGTGGAATACATCCGTGTCGGCGCTCTGGCTTGCTATCGACTGGCGGGTATATTGGCGTGCAAGCTCTCTCACGTGGGCGTTACCTTCCTCATCAGAAGAGCTTCGATCGTCGAGCTTCTCGGCAAGCGGTCGCTCACCCGATGCAGCTCTGCTCATGTCAGGAGTAGGCACAGCGGTTGAGTCTCCACCATCTCCAATTGGTTTTGATGTAGACCGTGTACGTTGTCGAGTAGCAGGAAATGGTTCTGGAATCTGTCTCTCCTCATTGTGGAAGAAAGAGTGGCGACGGACCCTTGTGGGCGAGGGAGCGCCTGCCATTTCCGCTGAGCGATCATAGTTGTTGAGGAGACCTAAGCTTCCCACGACACTCATGTTTGCCGATGAAGCGTAAAGGGCGGGATTATACCCGTTTCTGCAAGCTTTTGCACACACTGATTACAGGATGTCTGTTTTCTTGTAACTAGAACAGCGACAGGAGGCAGCGAAATAGAGTACCTTTAAGTGAGTGTAGACGAAGATGCAAAATGACGAAAGCGAAAGAGGCCCCAAAGTTTCAAAGTAATCTAAGTTTTCGGATCGTTCACAAAAACACGAAAAATACGAAAGAGTTATGTGACCACGTTTTCCCGCATCTCCTGCACTACTGTATGGCGAGTCATACTATCTTATGCCATGACAACCTTATCGAATCCGGACGCACGAATCCCGGACGAAAACACTGGACGGTCGACCATGCCTGGCATTGTCTGAATTTGTGCTGGAAGAGGACACATTTTCTGCAGAGGAGACCGCGCGGCTACAACCTAATTTTTTGTGTTTGTAGGGACGATGGAAAATCAAAGAGCTAAAAAATTGCACCCGGGCATGCATAACTCGTATTATGGAGGTACATAAGCGATGGGGCAGGAAGTTCCGTGTTCCGATGAGTTATGCTCAACCAGCTATGCTTCGGCACAGCGTAATGCCAAGGTTTTGCCAAGCATACGTTCTGTGTCGTCTTGCTCGTCGCCGGATGAAGCTGGAAAGTTTAGTCTTATCAGAATGGGGCCACCATGAAGCCTTCTGGAGGGAGTCGAGATACTCCGTATACTGCTGTCCTGCGCGCAACCTATTGAACACGATTACTTGCAGATGGGTGCCAGCTAACCTTCGACTCCGCTACCAAACTATAGTCCGAGATATGCGAGCTACATACACCCGTTTATGCTTCAGGCATAGAGCATGTGAATCGTGCACATCTCATTGGACCAGACCTGGAGATAATAGAAGAGTGTGTCCTTCTCGAATTTTACGGAAGGTAAATTTGATTACTGATTACCATGGCTGTTCCGATTACACGCACGATCAGACGTCCGATGAGTTCAGGTTGACAATGAAAAACAAAAAGAACATCCTAGTGTGAACTTGAGTAAGAGATGCATTGCCGATCACCGTTATGTGTTTCGAGATGCGTTGGACAATATTACAGCAAAGATGTCAGGACTTGATACACTTTCTGGAGGGGAGGACCAAATCTAAGCACAGTGCCTTGGTGTAATATGTTATCGAGACGCTCAGCATTCCGTCGCTGCTAATGGACGGCAACCACAGACAGTACCTTCTTGTGGGCGCCCTGTAAGCGTGAGGCTGTGAACTTTTGATCATGGTATGCACAATGCTAACGACTGATCAATTCATTGAGCTCACTACTTCTACAAAACTGAGAAGTAGGGAATGATCACGTTGTGGAATTCAATTTAGCTCACTGCAGTCAAGCAAGATCCCCCCAAAGTTACAGACTCATTACGAGTTGCCGCTGAGTGGCCCAGCCTAAGCGTAATGTACGGTAGGAATTATCGATATACCAATGAGATGCCGATTCGTTGTCGTGACAACAGCGAACGTTACCGTTTTGAGGCAGCGATGCAGTTACCCTCAGTTCGCCAGCTGCAGTTCTACAACGCTGCAGCCGTTCGAAGACCACCACCACGATACTTTCTAGTTACTACTCTGCTTTGGGGGTTACCAACAATATGGATTCCTCAACTTCGAAGCTGGCTCCCCAAACATCGTTATTTCAAGTGTTTTTGAGATTGCGCCCACCAATGCAACAGAATGCAACAAAACAGCACAACGAGCAGCAGCCGTGGTTGTTAGTCGAGAAGCCAATACCGCAGTCACAAGACTCCGAGAACGAATCCCAAAAATCACACCCAACACATATCACATTGCAACCGCCCAACGATTCAAGGAAGCGGGCTATAGAGAGGTTTGGCTTCACGAAAGTCTTCCACGAGGAAGCAAGTCAGCTAGACGTCTTCGAAGAGATTGGAGCAGTCGAGAACATACAGAATGTCTTGAGAAACGGACGGGATGGTCTGCTTGCGACCCTGGGTGTCACGGGAAGCGGCAAGGTAAGTAGAAAGTACAGAAGCTTAGGAGCTGAACGTTAATAAAGAGGGCAGAGCCACACCATCCTCGGCACGCGTACACAACGCGGACTTACCCAAATGTCCCTTGATGTACTTTACAAATCAATCGGACTGAACATTCGTCGCCCTTGCCACCCAGAACTGCCCACCGATATACAACTCATACAGAGCCTTCAAGCTGGTGATCCCTCTGAAGCACATATCATTCCAGCGACAACTTTCCTGGAAAGCATCTATTCCGACGGCGAACGAGCCCGTTTTTCAAGAGCGCAGACGCCCATGGCTGGTATTGGATCCCGAGCACAAACTCCGTTAATGGTAGGCCCAACTCTTTCTCATATCCCAGGCTCTTTCCCAAGTTCCCCTGCCTCAATTAAACCCGTTCGCACTAATGGCCCGGTCATTCCACGAAACTCTCATATGTCGAGAGCCTCCACAGTTTCTCAGGACCACATTCCTCCCACACTGCTCGCCAGACGACGCCGAGTCCCTGAACAAGGCATGAGCATATTGCCTGATATCGAAGATAACCTCCACCACACACCGTCTCCTTCTCGGACTGTTTGGGAACGATTGAACCCTAAGAGAACTCATGCTAAAACGAGTGTGATACAGGAATCCATGCCCATGCATCATGCACGAAGACCACCGATGCCGCGCCCGAGCACTTTTGCCCACGAACCAGACATGGCTTCCTATGCCACATCGATCGATCCTCATTGTGACTACGTCGTCCTCGTTTCCATGTACGAAGTGTACAACGACCGCATCTTTGATTTGTTATCAGGTACAGCTTCTAATGGTCCCGCCATCTCAACACGACAAGGTGCAGCTCTCCAAAAGAGTTTGTTACGAAGACCGCTGCTATTCAAAAACACCGAGATGTCGCCCGACCGCAAAGTCGTCGCTGGTCTGAAGAAGATTGTATGCAGCAGCTATGACGAGGCCATAATGGTCCTTGAGACAGGCTTGACTGAGCGACGTGTTGCTGGAACGGGTAGCAATAGTGTCAGCTCTCGAAGTCATGGCTTCTTCTGCATCGAAGTTAAGAAGAAGACCCGCGGCAACGACTATGCTGGCCATCACCTCAACCAGTGGTCAGGTGGCACTTTATCAATTGTGGATCTAGCTGGTTCCGAAAGAGCAAGGAATGCAAAAACGACCGGCTCGACATTGGCCGAAGCTGGAAAGATCAATGAAAGTCTTATGTACCTCGGGCAGTGCTTGCAGGTGCAGAGTGATTGTCAACAGGATGGCACGAAACCGATCGTCCCTTTCCGACAATGCAAACTCACCGAATTGCTCTTTTCAAACTCCTTCCCATCAGCCAACAATTCGTCACAATGTCGACCGCCTCAGAAGGCTGTCATGATTGTCACTGCCGATGCTCAAGGTGATTTCAATGCCACGAGTCAGATCCTTCGCTATTCAGCTTTGGCACGAGAGGTTACTGTTCCTCGCATTCCAAGCATCACCAACGCAATAGGTGTACTGAAGGCGAATGGTCCCAGTGGTCGCAACACACCGTCGGAAATGCCGCAAAGTTACTTTCCGACACAGGAACTGGAACAAGCGCAGCAGGAAATTAGTCGACTAACTGATGAATGCCACGCACTTGTAGTGCGGCTAACAGAAGAAGAGATCAAGCGTACTGAAGTTGAGCTCAAATTCCAGGCTGCTGCAGAGAGAACTTTGCTGCTCGAGCAGGAAGTCCGAGAAGAGTGCTGGCAGGAAATGGAAGCCATGCTTGAGGAAGAGAAGGAACGATGGCGTAGAGCTCGTGACGACGAGCGTATCAACAGTCAAGAGTACATGGACGAGAAGCTCGAAATTCTCGAGAAAAATGTCAGCTTCAAAATCCACGAAGACGCTGGTACAAGCAGCCGTGTTCAAGAGCTTGAGCATGAGAACGAAGTCCTGCATGCGAGGTTAGCGGCTATAGAACAAGAACTGCAAACAAGAAGTCCAACAAAGAAGAAAACAAGCGCAAAAACACCAGGCAAGAAGGTTCCAAAACCAGTGCTGGCGGATTGTACGAGCATCAATACAGCACCTAATCCGTTCCTAGCCAGTCTGATGGAGAAGGAGAAAGAGACCATCGTCCTGAAGCCGTCCTTGCTTCCTGCTGAAGATTCTGAGATCTTTGATATCAGTCCCAGGAAACTGACACTCCGGAATTCGGCTAACCGAGGTTCCGCAATGACTGATGCAACAGTGGAAGATCCTCTGCAACCACAGACACCGGCGACGACGAAGAAGAAGACTAGAAAATTGACTACGAGGAAGTGGGAGATTGAGGACGATATCTTCTAGACATTATGCAATTATTCTCGAGCCAAGCGTAGGCGTATAGCGTATAGCATCGTCTTGTTAGATTTTGTGTCTGATGTTGGCAAGACGAACTATTGTACTTCTCACGAATTCTTATGCCTACACGTGACACCTTCGTCATCTATCTGTATTAACAACCTCCAAGCTTTTCTTGACATAATATCCAAGCCACTTGGCCAGGTAGAAGTTGACCTTGGCATAGTTGCAAGCTTTCTTGGCTATATGTATAATCAGTCTATTTGTGCTGACCAGTGTTTGACACAGCGCGAAGGAACGCTGGAACTCAATAATCGTGGTGGAAGACAGCGTTGCGAAAACCAGTGGTCTTCCAGTGGAAAACGTCTACCACAGTACGAGATCTGCAAACTCCTATTGTGGTAGGACTGGAACTTACCAGGTTTCTCTATATTGTTCTTGATACACTACCCATAAAGTCTGAAAATCACAACGTGGTGTTGCAGCCTCATTTGCCGGGCGACTGAAAGACACTCCACTTTTGGGGCGATGGAACCTTCCGCACGGCTGGTCATTTTGTTTGTTTGATGCTCGTCACTTTCCATGAGGCTCAATTTCGTTTTTCCGACTAGGATAATCACTGCGTTTTGTCATATCGCCTGTTATCTTGTCATCCTCGTAAATCCTTGTTTATCTGTTTATCAAACGACAAGGAGGTTTTGATCTCATTTCTTGAATACCTGCCAACCAACATCCAGTACCACAAACAGGAAGCGAGCTCCAAAATCGCGAGACCTTACAACTACTATCCACTACTCTCCGGATCTAGTGCAAAGACTCGACCTGATCGAATAAGCAAAGTTTCTTAACACACCCATCTAGATTATGTGTAAGTGTCTCCTACAGTGTGATGGTTGCGATTGACTGTTGCATAGACAAGGTTCGAGCATGGGCTCATGACACTGCACACAAACACAACTTCAATCCATGGAGTGCAGATACGACAGAATCCAGTCCGGATCCGACCTCCTCTCTCCCAAACGAACCCCAAGATGGCGAGCCCGAGAAGAACACCACCAAAAAACCTATTGCACGACAATTATTCGACTGCCTCAAAATCATCCTGTTGCGATCATGGTTGAATGTCCTTCTCGTCTTTGTACCAGCTGGAATAGTTGTTCGCGCTGCTGGAGTTGATCCCAACGTGGTATTTGCGCTCAATGCTGTTGCTGTCGTACCATTAGCAGGTCTCCTCACGTTCGCTACAGAATGTCTCGCCAGTCGCTTCAGTCCTACCGTCGCGGCCCTACTAAATGTCAGTTTTGGAAATTCTGTCGAACTGATAATCTTCATCATTGCTCTTGTGCAGAACCAGATTCGAATTGTGCAGGCCTCCTTGATCGGGTCGATCCTGGCCAATTTGTTGCTAATCCTTGGTATGAGTATGACACTCGGCGGCTTGAAATTCCAGGAGCAAATCTACGATAGTGTGGTAACTCAGATGTCTTCTTCGCTATTGGCACTCTCTTCGTTGAGTCTACTCATACCAGTATGTCCAATTGGTGTCTGAGCATGAGCAAGAACTAACAGTGTTAGACTGCATTTCATGCCTCTTTCAACGACCAGGCACGAGCAGATTATGCTGTCATCCAGATGTCGAGAGGTACTTCTGTGGTGAGTATCCTGGCCCCAACGGAAAGGACTAGACTAACGATACAGATCTTACTCTTGGTCTACGTGTTGTATCTGCTCTTTCAGTTGAGGTCACACGCATATCTCTACGCAGGAACGCCGCAGTATTTAATCGATGAACAAACCCAGCCCGGTATTTTGCAAAGAATGAATTCTACCAGTTCCGAGAGCAGTCTCAGTGCTCCTACCACAAGAAGCACCTCAGTGTCTACAGTATCAACAGGGGGAGGCTCGATAAAAAAGCGACGAAGAGTAAGAAGGAAGATTCAAGCTAAGCTCGGTCGAAAGCGAGTTTCGAAGACTGAAGAAGACATCATTCAAGAAGAGCAGGAAATACCTCCTGAGGACCCTGTGCTACCACCATCAAGTCCGGAACCATCAGCTATCGAGAGAGCTCAGCTCACAGCAATCGACACGTCAGGTGCAATGGCAGATCTAGCAGCTAACGTTGCCCTCAACACGGCGACAGCTACAGCACCAACAGCAAGGCGACCTTTCCCCACCAGAGGCATCTCTATTCGTGCACCGCCCGTATTCCGAGCTGATAGCAGTGTGCTTCAGACCATCAACAGACATTACACTCCTCCCAGACAGCTGAATCGCTTCCACTCAGCACCTAATCCACCCACCAGAGATTCTCCAGCCCGTGCAGATACCGAACCACCTGAGGAAGCGAAGTCCATGACCTCCTCGAAACCGAAGAAAGACGATCCACCACTCGGCATCTGGGCTGCCATCTTCCTCCTCCTAGGTTCCACAGCCCTTGTCGCCATCTGCGCCGAGTTCCTCGTCGGCTCAATCGAACATCTCGTCGAAAACTCGCCCCTTTCCGAAGCCTTCGTCGGCCTCATCATCCTTCCCATTGTCGGCAATGCAGCAGAACACGTCACAGCTGTTGTCGTCGCTTCCAAGAACAAGTTGGATTTGGCTCTCGGTATATCGCTCGGCTCGTCAATTCAGATCGCACTGTTTGTTACGCCGTTGGTGGTGATTATTGGTTGGGGTCTCGACAGTGAGATGTCGCTTTATTTCACACTTTTCGAGACGGTGTGTTTGTTTGTGAGTGTATTCGTGGTTTGCTTCTTGTGTCTGGATGGCAAGAGTAATTATCTTGAGGGGGCACTGCTGTGTGCGGCGTACATTATTATCGCTGTTGGGGCGTATTTCTTTCCGGATAGTGAGGGTCAGAATGCGCTGACTGGTGGTACGAGCGGTAGTAGCTGACACGAGTCGGGAGTGTGAAGAAAAGTGTATGATATGCAAACGATAGAAGGCTTTTGTGCGAGATTGATCACGTAGGTCAATTCATAACTTCTCCGAGCTGTCTCGTCCGTGCTGGTCGTCACATCGAAAGATGAGTATTCAAGTTGGTAAAAACAATGAACATTAAGGTATCAAAGATGTTGCAGCCATTCAGCTAGCAATTGGTCGGTCGAGTCCTTCATCCTTCTGCGGTAGTACATCCGGCTCGACAGTCTCCGGCTGTTCTTTCTCGATCTTCTCTTCTTCCTCTTGTTCTTTTTTGACCTTTTCCTCATTCTTTTCTTCCTCGCTCGTCTTCTCACTACCCGGCTGTGCATCTGCCCTCAATCGAGCACTGATCATCCTCCCTCGGGCCAAAAACTCATCCATACCGATATATCCTCCACAGATTCTCCTTTGACCATCGAAGGCTGTGCGTCCATGTGCGATGCGCCAATTGTCGAAAATTATTGGCGTGCCAGGCTGAAGCTGTGCTTGCCATTGAAACTCTTTACTCGCCAGAAGTTCCTGCCACACCTTGGCTGCACGATACCAGACGATCATGCGTTCATGACTAGGCCATTGTGTGCTTGAGTGGCGGTCATCGTTGTTCCAGCGGACGTGTGTCAGGTTCTTTGGATGTGGTCTGATATGCGGTACTGAATGGGTGAAGACTGGGAAGCCACCGGCATGCGAGGCATTGTTCATGAAAGATCCAAAGGTAGAGCTGCTGCCAGATGCATGAGAGGCAATACGAACCGAGGACAGGATGTTGTAGTAGTCGGGGTTGATCTTGTATAGCTGTGCTGCTGCTGCGAAAGTATCGGAAAAGGTGGATTGACCGCCTCCTTCTGTGGCTACTTGCAGGCAGTGGAATAGCTGTAGGCCAGCTGGATCGTTGAAATACGTTGTATCTGTATGGAGAGGTAGTTCCAGATTGGTATAAGCGGTGTCGACGGGTTTGACTTCTGATGTGAAGTCCCAGAACGCGCCGTACTGAGTTGGTCTGATAAAGGCAATGCGCTGTAGTAACTTCTCCGTAGCTTCTGGTGTGGCAGGCGTGTTGGGCACAAAGCTGAACCCAGTTGTCCGAATTTGCTCAAGGAAGACTCCAAGGCCTGCATCACTGTTCATGACGGTGTCGTAGTCTGTCTGCACATTCTGCGCCGAAGCTGGCTTGACATGGTACCAATCCTGCCGTGGATGCTTTGCTGTTGGAGCTGCATTGAACGGAATGTGTTTAGAAAGCCACTCCCAAGGATACAGGCTTTGATGTTGGCCTTGTGACCAGATGATCCTAAGTCCTTCTGCTGTAGAGTTGACATCAGTCGCCTGAATGTCGGGGTCGAGTTCGAACGTGTTTACTTGTCGTTGTCCAGTGTGTGTATGAAGACAGTTCGAACACCTGCAATGGTCGCGCAACCAGAAAGAAGGATAGCGAACTGTGTGATTGTCGTTGAAGTTGACTAGGATTTCTTGGTGCCGAAGGTCATTGACCATGACCGAGGGCGTTACATTGCTGACAGATGCATAGCCACGCGCGGCCAATCCAAAACGCAGCCTGGTCTTCGAGGGCATTCGGCTTCCTGGAAGTCCATAAACTCTGCATACAGCGTGGCCACGTGCGGTGCAACTGTAATGTCGAGCTCCCAACGAGGCAGGTTGCTGCCAGGACTGAGGCTGAGTTCGTGCGGCCAGGCGTCGATAAATTTGCTTCGCCATTATATCACTTCCGATGAACACACAAATCTGTTCAAATAGGAAATGGCTCTGAATCCCTTGCTATGTCTATGAACGTAAGTGCAAGCAAATAAGGAGTATATTCTGTCCTGACGTATTGTTTCGTGCCTCAGGCATTCGAATTGGCTGGGATCTTGGCTGCCTTGCCAAAGCTACAGTAGTAGGTTGAGCTGGACGATGGACGAGATTATGTTCGAAATCCCGACTGTATGCACACACATGATAACTTCATTATTGCACGAACAGCCGCTACAAGACATACTGTTACGGTCAGGTAGCAACCCCAGATCTTGGTACGCCGATACTTGGAGTCGGCGAAGATGTAGGAGAATAAACTAGGAGTTGAACATCGAAATTCCAGACAGAGCGCTGCATGCAGAAGATGAACAGAGCTACGATCGCTCCAGTAGAGATGCTGTGTTGTTACAATTGCTAGCTGCTTCATAAAAGAAGCTAAATCCGCCCAGAAGAATTGACAACTGTCCTTGTCATAAAAGTATCCTAGTAACAACAACTTGTGAATTGAGCCATCAAGTGTGGTCGTCATCTTGGTGCCTCATGGCATCCAGTCGATCTTCAAATCGGCTTGATACTCGCCGTCTTCGCCAATGCTGCCCAGAACGCTATCCTCAGGATTGTAGATCGTTATGCTTGTTCTCTTTGAGTAAACGCTTGCATTGTCTCTCATACTGTTCGTGCTCCTAACAAGCTCCTTATGAGCTGCATTGTGTTCCTTCCACCATTGAGTGCAGTCGTCTACAACCCTCTGCTCCCAGGTATTGACTGGTCCAACAACTTCCACCTTGCGCTGGCCAGCTTCGAAAATTATGCGACATGGCAAGCTCATAGTCATGTTTTCGGGATTGTTTGCTCCTGTCAGCTCTTTCAGCCTGGCTTCAGACGCAACATAGAGGACCCTTCCAATTTGTGCCCAATAGATTGTGCCAGCACACATCGCACAGGGTTCCCAAGTCGAGAGCAACGTACACTTTTCCAAATAGTTAGCCCCATATTGTGCGGCTGCAAGACGTGCTAATTCCGACTCAGCATGTTGGTAATGCGATAGAGAATTATGCGTGGCCAGGACAGTGACATTGTCAGGCGCTAAAAGGATAGCAGCAAAGGGTCTCTTATTGTGTTCCGTCACTGCCTCGGTCTGAAGTCGCAGACAGGTTTGTATCGCACCATCTATTTCTTGACCACTTAACGGCTTTAGTAGAGAAGCACTTGAGCTCTGAGGTAGTGAGGAGGTCGCACTCGTCCCAACGGAAGACGAGTAGTTCGGCTGCGTGAAGTTGTGGTTCGATACGGGTATCGGTGGGGTTATGCTTGGAGAGAGTGGTGCTTGGGAAGGAAAGGATTGCAGCGGAGCTGGATGTGCATAGTTCTGCACATTGTTCACCGAAGAGCTTGAATGATGAATCTGGTTCGGAAGAGGAGAAACACTTCGAAAGGAGGACGGGTAGTTCGCTGGTTTCCTGTGAACCGAAGACTGAGGCGAAGGAGTTAAGTTGTTGACGGGCATGGATACTGCACGATTATAAGTCTGTTGATAGGACATAACTCGACCTCTCTCTGCGTTTCTCTGACTAGGGACTGATTGTCCTTTCTCCTCAAAAGTTCTAGTCAGAGAACGTACAGAGATAGGCGGAATACCTCGATTTGGTTGAGACAGTTTGATCACAAGAAAAAATTTATCCGACAAGAAAAGCTTTAAATGGTTCCAGTTGTCTTACCTGACGATCAGTTACATTGAACTCTGCTATACTGTACTCCCAGTATCGGTGCGTGGACGCGGGCAAGTACGAAGGAGACGGCTTGACCTGCAAGTGCTCCTGATCGGTTCTTTTTTGAGGCTTAATGGGAGCCCAGCACGTTAGCTAAAGGAAAGGTGAAACAGGCAAGTCTCCATTCTCCGCCCATGTGGCCAATGAGAAGTGCTCTTTGTCGGTGTATTGTCTAGGCCCACATAGCTTTTAGCAAGCACATCCCAGACATACTGCAATCGTATACAAGTCGGATTGCTGATTGGCCATTACTGGATCTGTGCCTCGCCGTACTCTCATTACTTCACAGTCGAGCGTCATGTATCTTGAATGGATAGCTGGTTGGTGCAGAGACTCAAGTTTCCATTCCTGTCGACCCATTAAAATATGCTGGTGATGTGGCGGAGGTCATTGTACGAGAAATGAGTGTTGAACAAATTTCAACGGTCATTTCCAAAGATGAATGTGCCGGGTATGTGTCGAGGTTGTGCTCAAGTTACAGGTTTAAAAGACGAGTAACTCAGTATCGCCTGAGAAAAGTCGCAACTTGAGCAATTCCAGATTAAGCAAAGACAATAGCTGGGAAAATGCAACACGATCTTCGAAGATCGTGTTCTTCTTCTCATCCGTATACGAGGCGTCGACAACGACTCTCCTGAGCTTGTCAATCTTCAGGACATCCCGCGCAATCAGATCCTCTATACGTTTTCCTGTCCCAGCACCAATACCAAACTGAGTTTTCTGGACGTAATCGACCATTTCGTTGAGCTTGTTCTTTGCAAACAGCTTGGCGATCTTGTTATCTTCGCTACCATAACCACGAACAGCTCTAACGAGGTCGGTCGTACGAATGGCGGAAAGAGTTACAAGCAACGTGTGTGGGCTAGCCTTCTCTTGACATGTTTTAAGCTCGTCAGCGCCGCCTGCTGTATTCTGTTCGAGAAACTGCGCCAGATTCTGCACGACTCTTGGTTCAGCAAAGGCCGTCGTGTTTCGGAATGCTTTCGCAGGCACGGACTGGTCTTCTAGCTCTATGGTGCTGAGGTCACCTTTATGCTTCTGAATTGCTTTGGTGAAGCGGGCAGCCAGATCTTCTGGATTCAGAGTAGCTACCGACCGCTCGAATTCTGTCTGTTCAGGTCGGTTAGAGATCTGTCTGTCAAGAGATTGTTTGGGTGTAGATTTTTGCCGTTTGTGACGATCGGTGCCTGTAAAGCCTCCTCTTCGCTTGGTGCGACTCATCACTGCACATTCGTGGACCTGAATCATATAAAAGGATGCGTACAGACACGACGGATCGGTGTGACTGAAAAACAATGCATTCTAGTAGTGGCTTATCGATAACGGTTTGTTAGCGACGGCTTCTGTCGAGAAGCTCACGAACTCGTCTCGCGTCGTGCAAAAATACTAGTCGACTTGTTACATCGAGTCACACATGAAGCACACCAAACGTCATGTCACGGAAGTTCGAGGAATACTTGAATTCTCAACAACTCGTCTCTTCAAGCTATATCAGAGTCGCACTATCCAGGAATAACGACCAGGATACTGGACATTTGGTAAGCTAAATCTAGCGTGTATTGTGAAACATTAGCGCGTCCTCTCGAGCCGGCTGTTCTCTTCTCGACGTTTCGTGCAATGTCAAAACAAAGATGGAATCTACAAGCACTGCTTTGCAGTGAGGCAGTCGACTGACCGATGCCGTCCACAAATCTAGAAGGGCGTATCAGTCATGCACTCTGAATGCATCGGCTCTAGAGAACTGTTGTTTAGCTTACACTCATCGAGGACTTGTGCAATTGATTGGCTGAGAAGCACTGCCAAGTCTGCTACTCGAACTTCTGTCCTCCGCAAGTGCAAAACACTTGTCGTTCCAATTGAGCTATTCGGTAGAATCGTCAACTGGCCTGCATGAAGTACGTCCCCGTCTCGTTTGAGATATCAGACCCGCTTTGACTGGATAACATGTTGCCTCGCGTGCTGCGTCCTGCCGCATCTGGAACTATGTAAACCATACCACGAACCAACGAGCAATCAATATGACAGGATTGACTGATGTCGAGGCAAGACGCGTTGAAAGACGTGAACAAGCACAAAATACTGCTGACCCGCTGGTTGAAGTCAATTATCCTGCTTACGGCTTGAACAGTTTCTTGTGCCCATCATACCATTTTCGAGTTGAGCTCTTAATACTAAGTTGTGGAAGATTTAGATCCTGACAGTATGGATTCACCAAACGGACGGAGAAGTACTCGCGTCAGCATATCTAACAGAGTATCGCGTCTCTTTTCAAGGAGGACACCAGATAGTCCTAGATTCGAAGAATCGCAGAGGAGTTCAGCAGCTTGCACAGTACCAATTTTCATGACATCGTCTTCAGATAGGATGGTGCATGAAGCGTATGATACAGACCAATACGTCGAACCATCAGCTGAACACACATTGGACGAACGCCACAGACCGACCACGATCCAAGGTTCATCTGTCTATAGCGCAACACCAGAGCAGCAGTACCCTGACCACTCGTCGGAGGACGCCATGGACGACTCTCCTCGTTCTCAAGCCTCAGTTCATGACCTCGAGCAAGGCGCGTCGAGTATCTCTTATGCGACCTCGGAAACCCCAATTGTACGAGACAAGCGTCGTCGAAGACGTCGAATATCAGAGTCGACTCGCCAGAAAATTGCCTCGAAAAAACGTCTTGGTATGGCCTTCGGAGTAACTACATTAGCAACTGTTATTACCTGTAAGCAATTGTATCGCACTCACACAAGGAGCTCAGTACTAAGGCGAAACAGATGTTGCTTTAGCTGTTTCTCGCACAGCAAGCGGTCTTGTCTTTCATATCCTTTCTCTGCTCTTCATACTCACCCTAGCTGGTGTCTTCCTTCACAGCTCGATACGAATGGTCATGCTGCAGAAACGTCGCAGGGCCAGACTCGCTCGACACCCAGAATGGCACAGCTCCCAGAGTAGGTCGACAAGTTCGGCTTCGTCACACAGTCGTTCTACAGAGTCGGTCAACCCGTTTGCAGATCCCGTCGTTGAGAAGCCTTTTCCAATTGCTATGGGTGCCGAAGAAGTGGTCACGACTACACCTCGAGGAAAGAACAAAAACGTTGTAACACAGCCGCCTCCCGTATATGGAAATTTCAGAGGTAGCAAGGTCAGTTCATCAACGCTAGCATTTCAGCCAGCAGCTCACACAATGCAGAGATTAAATCCTGAGATGGTATTCTGGCATAAACAAAACCCCTCACCTACGACACCCACATATGAACAAGCGTTGAAGGATGTTCAGACCGCTGTTGGCTATCAGCCACCAGAATACGTGTCACCAAAACGCGAAAGGCAGCAGCAAGCAGGCGTACGAGTGAGCAATATTCATCCACTGGAGAGGGATCGCCTGTTTGGGCTTATGGGCAATACAATGTCCTCCCACCGTGTATAGACGTCGCGGTGCCATACTCTTTCTATAGGACTTCTAATATGGTAGCAATTTTGGACTCTGTTTTCTGTCTTCGATGGTTGCTGGATCCTCACTTGCTTATTGGCTGATACAGCAGTACTATCAGTCACAATTGTGATCGTCGCGTAGTAGTTCTTGAAGCAAAAAGGCCACAATCGTCTCCTAGACTTGTTCCACTACATCGCGATGCGACCCTGTTGTTGCCTCCATTCTCTCACTCCAATTCTCGCTCGCTCTTCCTCGTTCCGAAAGGCCTCGGCCTGGACTCCAAGTTGAGTTTACTACCCCTCGTTGCTGGTTCATGTACAACGACGTCATAGCGTCTGTGCTCTTTGTCGACCGTGCGGGATACTTCCATCGACGTCATTCTTTTCGGTCTCGACAAGCTGGCCTTCGAACTCACGAAACTCAAACAAAGACACATGTGATAATCCAGCGGTCGCTTTGCCCCTCGTGGCTCTGCAACCAATGCCTAGTGATCGATGAAGCCACTTGTCATCTCGATCTCGTGGATCAAGCGTTGCTCTAGCTTCTGTTTGTGGCGGTGCCCAGCTGACCATGTGCCAAACAATCTTTTGTTTGCTGGCGAGGACATTACGTAGCCCGTGGATGATGTGACGTGCGCTAGGCCCGATGCGGTTGCGAAATCTGTCAGGTACGAGGCTAAGGGAGGGGCAGAGAGCAACGCAGGCATGTACTTATAAGTTCAACGACAGGAACGACTTTCGTAATTTTCTTTCTCTTCAAAGCAAATCCTCAAGTCAATTCAAACCTACTACCAAGAACACTTCACATAAGTCGTTAAGACAAACCAATACACATTCACAATGGAGACCATCAAGTAAGATCATCTTCTTTCTTCTATGCGCAACACGCATCCTAACAACCACCCAGGAACGCCGCCAACTACGTCTCTGAGTCCATCCAGGGTGCCGGTGCCACCGCATCCAAGGAGGGCAACAAGAACGTCGCTAAGGACAGCAACGCTTCCCTCAGCACCCGAGCCCAAGCCGCCGGTGATGCCGTCTCAGACAAGTTCGACGAGCAGGCTCACAACCGAAAGGCCGATGTTCACAACGAGGCCGCTAAGCACTAAGCGACCTGCCAATCTCAACTACACAGACGTCTCCAGCGAGACATGAACAACGATACCAACATGAGTTGTAATGGAAGATATTAGTGAATAGAGACAGTTTCTTAGCTAGGCAATACATCAATCTTCACTACTGTGAATCAACCTCTGCAAGTGACTACTGTCTAAGCATCCTGCCTTTATTGATGCCATTCTTGTCTCCCTTTGCTCTGGATAAGCTTCAAAAAACATGCTCCTATCGTAGTGTCTGTTTGCGAACGCGACTATATCGAGCTAAGCAATTGTGCTTTCTAAATTGTAAAATTGTACGAAAGCACTGCGCTGGGCAGACTCTATGAGAAGCAAGTAACTGACCGCGTGTTTAGAAAGACGTTTTCGATAGATGTCGACGTGATTTACTAGAAGCATTGAGATCGAAGTAGAGTTGCAGCCTCGCACCCTTCAAGTCTGTTCATGAAGGATCATTTGTAAGAAGACATGTAGAATGCTGATAATTGCTCTGTGTGGAGGACATATTTTCGACATGCTATTTCCCCTGCGCTCTGCAGCTGATATGTGAAAACGTTTGGCGGAACTGCTTGACCTACAATGCAATGTGTGTACCTTGGGAGCTGAACCTCAAGAAGGCTCTTTACTAACTTGATGATCGTTTTCCGAGCCCTTCATCTTTGCTAGTATGGTCGACACTTTAGCAATGCCTATCTCCAGATACTTGCCGGTCGTGGTATCCTGGCGATCATGGTCGTGACTCTCGTGCACGATAGTCTCACTCGATTGCCCATGCTCTTCAGTAACGTCGGATTTCACACCATAGTCGTTGTCCGGGTCGGATTGTTGCGAGGTTGGTCCTTGTCCGTGCAAATGTCGAGATTCGTTTCCTTGCTCTATTACACTGGACGCACGGCTGACATTTGCACTTGCGACATCCGACTCTCTCAAGCCCAAGTCCTTACCTGTGAGCTTGTTGACCGCTTCACTAGTCATTTGACCCAGTGTAAGTGCCGCACCACCAGCACGTCCACTGTTGACACCTCCAGCATCTTTATTCTCTATATCGTTCTCAGGATCTCCGTTGCCGCGCCAGTTCGCTGGCTTGCCCTCCTTAATGGGCTCACCAATCTCTGGCTCATCGATAGACTGGCTACGTCCTGCATCCGAGTATTTCCATACTACCTTGAGCTTGTCGAGGCATTTGATACCTTTACGAGCACTTCCCTTGATGCCATCCATGGCTTCCCAGTCGATCTCAAATACTCCTGACTCATTACCACTAGCACCTCCTTCAAAGTGGACATTGAACCAGACATGGGCTATCGCTGTTACCATGGCGAATCCAGTATAAGTTGATTTATTGCGTCGCTCGAAATCGATATTGATGTCACTGGTTTCCAAGCGTAGAGGCTTCGAAGGTCTTAAGATGACGTTTTGGGAAGCTTCCTTGGCTGGTGTGGACAGGTCATTCTTGGACGAGCTCGGTGTGCTTCCAGTAGGTGACACGAGTGTTTCTGTATGTTTCTTGGCGGGAGGCTCATCGACATGTAGTATACTAGACCCGTCGTCCACTGGGATCTTCTCCTCACGAACAAAAGTGTGGAAGTTCTTGATACGTCTTCCTTCGTCGATAAAGCCCTCGACACAGACTTTGACTCCGCTACGAAGGCCCCAAACGTGAACCTCCACAACTTCGACCGGACGCTCGATGTACTTCTTCTGTAGTTGATTTGTCCATGTGTTGACATACCGAACCCATCTGAGCTGACTAGGAATGCTGACACCTTCGCCAAAACCAGCTCTCATTCGTCGGACAGTGAATCGCTTGAGCGCATCTTCCAAACGCCAACCCTCTTGACTGATCAGGTAGGAGCATGCGACGGTCCCACTACGTCCCTTACCTGCCTTGCAGTGGACCACAGCGACTCGTTGTCTGCCCTTCTCTTTCGGCTCTCCTTGTAACCAATTCCTCATAGCGGCCATCAGGTTGGGGATTATCGCAAAAGGTGGTGGGTGATGGTCCGGCCAAGGGAAGTGGTGTATTCTTCCATACACCTCATCATCTGGATAACCTGTTCCTTCAGCTCTGAACTCGAATATCGCCCATTCTTCGCCATGTTCCTGATCTAGAAATTTCACCAGGTGGTCAACAGGATTACGATATGCTTTCTTCGGCCATACTGAGCTCGGTCCAGATGTTACCAGAATGTTTTCTGTGCAGTAACAAAGATCCAGGCCTGCAGTGGGATGTCTCGCTCCTTAACCTGTTAGTTGATGCTTCAATCTCATCTTTTGTTTCCTACTAGGTCCTGCCACTATCTGGCGCAGAATCGAAGCCTAGTTGGATTAGCGTATGCTCCCAACCACTTCCGCTGCATATTGAGAGCATAGCACGTACCATACAAAAATTTCGAGGAAAGTTACTATCACGTTCGGCAGGCTTTCGGAAAACAGTAATGGTTGCCAAGCTCACTCAAGCATCGCGCACCTTCCCTCCGGATAAGGTGATGGTAAGTCCATACCATCGCATTTACCTCAAGTTCAAACTCTGGCATGTGATTCTACTGCGCTGCATTGTATGTGTCCTGCTCGGGCAGGCGCATACGGGAATAACTGTATGACATCATTTAGTGTTGTATGGATGATCTGCTTTTCAAGGTCGACCTGGTGCTAATCCTGGACAGCTCCATAGCAGAATTGCAGCCTTGTCAGGCATTGCATGCCTGGCTAGTATCTACATAATGTGCCTGAAATTATGTTGTCAAAGATGCTGCAATCGCGTTGAGTCAGAGTAATCGAATCTCTGAACAAGATTGACAACAGAACCACAATGTCGTAACGCGAACCTAGACGATCATGCTAGCACTCCCACTCGTAAACTCGGATTGTGCTCGTCAGTATTTCGGGGGACTCCCAAACACGTGAGGTCAGGCCAGTATTCCCGGGGCTCTTATCGCACCTCGATTTCGGCACTGACGAATGAGCATTTCGTATCCACGATTGACAAACGCTTTCGACATTTTTCGAGCAAATCTTACGAGATAAATTGCCCTGCCGCGACGCTATGCTTTTGTTATTCCACTGCATGTCCTGCCTTCGTGCATCTGCCTAGTGTTTCGAGAGATTTATCTTCCTTCTCTCTGACCTCCCATAAACCTTAACCACTCTTTCCGAACGTGCGACATATGCCTTGTAGACCCGAGTCATGAGCAGCCGATACGTTGAGTTCCGGGGTTTTCTTTTTTGGCTATCTTCTACTAACTTCACTTTGAACTGTTCGACCATAGCCCGACTGGCGCTTGTCATCGTCATCTTGCTCTATTATCCTTTCCCGCGCACTCGTCCTTATCAGAACGAAAGCACCACGGTCATTAGGCATTCGTTGTACACTTTGTGTATTACTGAGAATGTGGACAAAAGCTTGTCCTTATCTCTTATCTATTGCTTAACCTGATTGCCCCGAATCGAGAACAAACCACATCTTGCATGAAGGCAGCGAATCATGCCGGTGACAATGCAAAGACCCCTGCAGCAGATACTCGCCAGAAGTCCCGTCTCACACGGAATGACCATTCAGACAGACGCTGTTGACGGCATGATACAGCAGTCGACCAGCCAATCCGATGTGAAGCCTCCTCGGCCTTGCGATGCATGTAGACGACGCAAATCTCGCTGTGTAATACCTAGCCCTGGAGCCCCGTCTTGTGTACTATGCACTCACCACAAGCAACCCTGCACCTTTCTTGAAGATCCTGTGCCCAGAAAAAAGAAGCCACCGCCCGTCACAATGCAGGCAACGCCCACCAGCACCCGCCCGTGAGTATCCATCGTCACTTCTGCAGCCATTCTGGAAGCTCTATCCAGGTTCCACTAATCTGATACTGCTATCCAGATCCCCCGAGAGGCCCACGATCATGAATGATCGGCCCCCTGCAACATTGGCATCAGTACCAGTATCAGCGGAGCCGCTTCGAGATAATAACGCTCGCGTGCCTGAATCGTTATTGAAGAATACTCTTGGGTAGGACTGCCTCTCTCCGGTTTCTCACATGCTCGTACTGACTATGACGACTAGTTTGCAGACTCACCAATTCGCAAAATATATTGGTGCAACGGATGAGCACGACGTCTCACTCCTCAATCTCAGGTTATACGATGATGATCTGAGTGAAACTACAGCAGAGAATGTGGCTTTCCGCAAAGTAGGGTACTACGAATTTTTTCGACAATATGCCGACAGTGAATCGCCGAGCCATGCTCACGAGATTGAAGATCTGGATACCATCCAGGCCATCGTGCATCCGCACGGGGATGCATTAGTGAAACTGTATTTCCGGGTTGTTCATCCTGCTTTTCCAATTCTGCATAAACGAGTCTTCTTGGAAAAGTATGCCAGGAGTTATCGCGAATTCTCTCCCCCTCTGCTGAGCGCTATATATCTCTTGGCGCTCAATTGGTGGAACTTTGAGCCGTCGCTTGCAAAGTTACCTCGACCTAATAGTGATAGACTGCAATCACTGGCGTACCGTTCACTTCAGGAAGTCGCGAGTCGAGCAAAGCTCTCTACTGTGCAAGCAGGAATCCTCCTCTTACAACGATCGACGCCAGATTCTACATGGCAACTGACATCTCAACTAGTAGCTATAGGACAAGACCTAGGCTTGCACCTGGATTGTACACATTGGCGCATACCGACATGGGAACGTGCTCTACGAAAGCGCCTTGCTTGGGCACTCTTCATGCAGGATACCTGGTCCGCCCTCATCTATGGCCGACCTCCTCACATAACGCCGCACAATTGGGCAGTGCAACCCATTGTACCAGAAGACTACCCCGAAACCCCTGAGGATGAGGCTGAGGATGACGAAGGTGGCGAGGTTGAGAAAGGACGAATGACTTACACTTCTATGATCACGCTTACCAAGTTATTGTCTGAAGTGCTAGATTCACTGTATAGTCAAAAAGCAGAACTTGAGATCCGACAGTCATACGATAGCACTAAAGCAGTTCTAGAACGGGCGAAGCCGATTCAGCTGAAGTTGAGAGCGTTCTTCGCTGATATGCCTGACAATCTGCGAATGGATTCATGCCAGCCCGGAAAGGTGACAGCAGTTGGATACTTACACCTGGCATACTTTGCGACCGAGATTACTCTTCACCGACGTGTCATACGCTCCTTGTCGAAACAAACAGATCCGTATCTGATCTCTATCTGCCGCTCTGCAGCAAAAGCCAGACTGATATCAGCCCTAGAATACTTCAATCGCTTAAAACCAGAGCACCTACAATCGTTCTGGTACTTCGCTTCCAAGTTCAACTTTGCGCTCATTGGCACATTCGCTGGTCTCTGCTTCGTCAGCTCTGCCAGTCCCGAGGAAGCACAATTTTACCAATTAAGATTACAGGAATACAGATGGGTTTTGCGTATATCAAGGAAGAGCTCAGAATTCTTGGAACTCGCTAGCGGCATTCTTGAAAGTGCGGTTGGTGTGCTCCTCAGGAATGCTGATAGCTTAGACAGCACAAAGCTCGCCTTTCCAATGTTGCAGCAAAGTGTGGATGATTCACCTCAAGGACCGATGGAAGAAGATGAACCAAGCCCTCAAAGATTCGCTGCAGGGACTGGCACCGACGATGCGTACTACGATGACGTACGTATGGAAACATGAGTTGGGATTGAGACAGAGAGTGTTTCTTGCATTAAATCTGATGAATTTTGTAGACAGCCTGGCGCTAAGGAATGAGAAATGTCTAGGCTGAGATGTTTACCAGCCGTCTTCCAGGAAGATACTCTCCACCATTTGTGTTGGAGCGATGGCGCTCAAGTCGTGTTTGATCCGCGGGAGAGGATCATAGATCGAAATTGGATAATCTTCTAGTGGTAAACCTACTCTACCTTCCTGATCTCTCTTTGGAACAATGAATAATTCAGGGCGAGGTTGCATCTTCCACTCCACTGCCTCTCACGTTATTGTCAGGGACGCTAGATCGTTCAAGCCTCGAAATGCGAGTTCCTCGTTCGAGTGTTTGACCGGCGGACCTTCCTTACACAGCTGTCATGCATAAAGCACTATTGAGTATTTCTTATGGTCCTCCCCGTGCTCTCGTACATGATACCACAGGATGGGGTTGGACGAAGCTATCGGTCTTGTTCGCTTATGTCGATAGTGTCTTTCCGCCTGTCTGCAGATTCCGGTTGGCGTACAGAGTCAGACTTTTGATCGCTAAGCCTCTCAGTTAGAGGCTGAGCTGCACGATTATGGATCGGTGAATAAAGCACTTATGTTCCGATTCCACTGTGCTTCACATGAGTCGTTGCTACCGTTGATTGCAATGGTAGGCACCACTGATTGCATATCTACAAAGGCAGCACCAAAGATCGACCTGTACTTGGAAGCAGAGAATGCGCTTGATCGATGCCGATGCCTTAGCTAAGAGAGGAGACGTCAAATTTGAAGTCTGGCCAGAATATGCAATTCCTAAATATGCGATTCTGTCGCATCGCTGGGGTGACCATGAAGTTACATTGCAAGAGCTAACCTCCAAGGATCCCCATGAGTACTGGTTTGCGACTCAGAAGGCCGGGTATCACAAGATCTACAGGGCTGCAGTAACTGCTGTCGACTACAAGTTCAAGTGGCTTTGGTGCGATACGTGCTGTATTGACAAGACTAGTAGCGCAGAGCTGTCGGAGGCCATTAACTCGATGTACCGCTGGTACAGGGGCTCGGATCTGTGTCTCGCGCAACTGTCTGACTTCCCCTCTTTTGCCGTACCCAATTTCACACAAAGTGTATGGTTTACACGTGCTTGGACCCTACAGGAGCTTATTGCGCCACCGAAACTCATCTTCTTCGATAACACTTGGAAGTCAATAGGCACAAAGCACCAGTTGGTGGATGCAATTGCTCAAAGGACCCGTATCGATAGGGATGTCCTCAACGGCGACAAACGGCTTGAGAAGATCACAGTGGCACAGAGAATGTCTTGGGCAGCAGATAGGGTGGCTGGCAGGACTGAGGACATTGCGTACAGTCTGCTTGGCATATTCGACGTGAACATGCCAATGTTGTATGGAGAGGGCAAAAAGGCTTTCTTGCGTTTACAAGAAGAGATTATGCAACGCAGTGCAGACCAATCAATCTTTGTGTGGTTCCCAGCAGGTGATTCTTCCACGATTGGATTGAGACAAACAGGGCACTTGTTTGCCACATCCCCGGCGGATTTTGCGCAATGCCACCGACTGCAGCAGCAGAATCAGAAAAAGAAGGCCTTTACGATCAACAACCTTGGTCTCGACATCGAGTTAACCCTACAACCCACAGGCCTCGATACCTATCTAGCATATCTCGCAGTGGAAAGTGGTGGACCCAACTATCTGGCGAGCTTGGCTTTTGAGGTCGACCCAGAAACTGGCTTGCTTTGCAGAACCGGCAGCTCGCTCGAAAGGGTCCACAAAAGAGCAGGACCTCAGATGCAGCAGACGAGGAGAGTGACTGTCTTACGTTCGGCTTCGACAAGACATCAGCATAGCACAGCGGCACTATTTGGATTCCACTTAGCCACTAAACCAAGTACCTTGCGACTGGTCAACAATTGGGATCCAATGAGCGAGTGGGATCTCGGCGAGTGGCAACCAGGGAACTCACCTAGTCATTTCAGATTTTTTATTCCTCCAGGTGTTACCGCAAGCATCGCAATGCTGACATTATCCTTGAGCCAACGGGTCACGCTCCTGATACAGCTCGGCTACGATTTCGACTTCAACCCCTGCTGCCACATCAGCAAAATGACATTAGACTTCCAGGAACGCTTCGGTCGTCGAAGCAAGCTGGACGCAGGAGAGGACGACTCAAGATTCGCCTGGCTCAACAGCATACCCTCTACACAATGGGTCGCTGGCATGCGGCATCAATACACAGAGGTCGTCGATCCCCTCACAACCCAGCGCTACTGGATCTGCAAATCAGTTGACCGCCAGGAATTCACAGCGACCATACCGACACACCTCACGAAACCACACACCAACCTGGCGATCAAGTTCTCCATTCTCACACACTCGAACAGGGAGTGGCAATTCGAAATCGACACAAGCTCGATGCCTGATTTTTTGCATCAGAGTGGAAACATCTCGATCATAGATGTGAAGGCTGATGCTGAGCAGGAAGTGCTTAAGAGGCGGACGCCGGATCCAGATGATCCAGCTGAGTATTTACGACATGCGAATTATAAAGACCACAAGATGGGGATGAAGATGAAAGGCCCTCTTGGTCCTGGGATGAATGCGAGAATGGATACGAGTCCAATATAGTGTTTTGGACTTGATTCGTCATGGCTCGAGCAAGGGTTAGGAGAGGTGTGGTTTTCTCATTATCTAATAAACATCAGATTTCTACATTTAGTCTGAGATGAAAATTATGTCCTTCTGACTCAGCTGTTGTTTCAAGCTGACAAGTTTCTACATTCAGGCGTGATTACATCCTTTCATACTATGAGGCCATGCTGTGCCCGGCCATAGGTTCCTGAGACATCGCCGTATCGTTCAAAGCTTGCAATTCCTGCTCTAGAATCTCACTCAGTGACTCGATAGTCTTTCGCAGCATCACCACAGCACCCACACTCAATGGGCTGAGAAACACTGTTGTGTCGTCGTCGCTCTTTCCATCTCCACTCAGGAGCTGATCGTTGTGGTCGTCGTCTTCGCCCCCTAGCTGTTTACTCGGACCTCTCAACTCTTCGGAACGCCGTATCAGAGCTTGACTTCGAGAAATGACTTGACTTAGCACGCATTGTCGGCGATCAGCCGTTCTATGTGAATAGCTTTCATTGCTACGTCGAGGTAGATATATCCATGCTAGAACGTCTTCCATACCAGGAATCGGACAGCTAATGGCATGCTTCACAAAGTTCCGGCTCATGATATATGCTTTCTCGCTGTACTGGAGGCTTTCGACTTTGTACTCCTGCGTCTCTGCATATCCTTCATAGCCGGCTTCGTTGTAGAAAGGAGCTTTTACGAAAACAAGTCCTTGCAGGCTCACCAACAGCTGAAGAAGTGTGGCTTTCTCGGTCCAACCTTCGTCTTCGCTTTTACCTGGCCAGGTTCCGAGCAGTGACAGACAGATCTTGCCTTCCTCATATAGGTTCGGGTTGATCCTTCCCATGCCAGAGGTCCAGCTGTGGAATCGTGCAGTTGGTGGTTCTCGAGGGAACCCAGAGCCAAGGTGTAAGTCGATCAGGAATGGTGCATGTTCGTACGGTGTGTCAAGAGGCCCAATGATAAGACACCGTAAAAGATCAAGGCGAGACTCGAATGTACGCACGTAGATCTCGTGCTTGGGCAAGCTACTAGTGAGTATGCGGTGCTCCTTTGCAATGCGCTTCAAAAAGGCTGTTGACCTTGACGGTGGTTCGGAAGCTCGAAACTGGTCTGCTGGTGGTTCTTGATCGAGACACAGAAACGCAGCAGGCTCTTCTGGTGGTAGGTGTGCTGTAAGGGGGCGCTTATGCGGTCTTGTAGCTGCGTCGGTTGCGATTGTGGAAGGAATCATTTTCGTAGACTGGTCGAGTTGTCGAGCACGCTGAAGAGTCCCTCTGGTCTCCGCTTCGCTCGGAAGATTACTCTCTAATTGCATCGTTGTGATACTGTCCGTTTCTTCTTCACTTTCCCAGTTGTCGTCCCCAGGATCGTCGTCTAAGCGTTGTCCACCTTCATATTCAACGAGCTCTGCGAGCACCTCCAGTGAATCATCGGTCGTTTCTGAAGCATATGAATCATCATCATCCTCTACATCCATAGGATCGTCATTGTAATCAAATCCCAGCCCCTGTATATCCACGAAGGCAAGAATTTGATCATGCTCGATCAGAACGTCTCTGGCCTCATTGGCAGTATTGACTCTCACAACGACTAAGCCATCTGTGCGTAATTCGCAGATCTCACCAACCCAGTCTAGCGACCGGTGCGACTTGTAATGTTCTGTCTCCGTTATTGCCGTTATTTCAGCATCGAGAATGTTGAGATGAGCGTTGTGCTGCATGAACTCCAACAACGCAGATGGTGACGTGTCAGGTATTTGTGATAGGGTTGTGATAGAGGCTCCAACATCCCTAACATACTCTTGTGCGATGGTGTTGATTAACACAAGAGCTTTTCTTACAGGCATGCAGGGAGGAAGAGCAACAATATCGCGAAGCTTGCGGAAAAGCCCACCAAAGGACATGATTTCATAGAGGGAAACATCTTCAGTGACGTGCCCGACTGGACCGAACCTTGAATCAGCGCCGAGACCATTGCCAGACTGTGTGAGTCGTACTGCTGGATGTGCAAACCATCGAATGGAAGCCACTCTTTCACGAGGATTGACTGACTGGACAATTCCTACTCTGGAAGGGAGCAGATCATGCTGCTGTGTGAACACTGTCATTTCGTTAAAATCAAGAAGTGGATGTTCAGAGCCATTCGAATGTTGTCTTTGTTTCATGCCTTCTCGAGCCACGACGATATCAGCGGGCATGTAATCAGACTCGAAGAGAGCAACCTTGAGCAAGGCAGTACTTGAATGCTGTGTGACAGTGCCGTCTTGCCATCTGACAGTAGCTAATTGTCGCGAATGCACTACATCGAACTCGTTGACGTCGTAACCAAGCGTCGCCTTGTGGTCGATTCGTTCGAACATTCCGTGTACCACAGAGCCAATCTCTTGACCTGCATACTTGACGGCAGCACCTGCAGGATCACGAAATCTAACTCTTTGTCCCACATTGAAGTTCGAGCTCAGACTCACGGACTTGTGGCTGGCCGTAGAACGACTGTGGTCGGCAGACTTGGACACTGCTCTGGTTCTGTCTTCCAAATAAGCTGGGTGCTTGCTAGGATCGTACAACGCAACTCGTTTATCTCTACGAATCTCTTGCGGTGTAAGGAAAATGTCCAAGTTCTCATATGGCACGCAATTGCCAGGCTTCGATATATGATTGATATCCTCTGGTGTGAATGCATTACACATCAACCACTCCACCGTGAGGCGACGACTCTTCACCATGAGGATATGACCCTGTGGTTTGACCTTAGTGTCATAAGAACCACGAAGCCAACGCCCTCGCTTGATGTTCTTGGGATCAGTGACCACGAATTGCCCACTTTGAAGTTCCTCCGCAGGTATCATATTTCCCCAACCTTGAGCTGCAATAACCAGATCAGGTCGCATTATGCCATCATATTCGGGTAATGAAACAAGCGGTTTGCTGTAGTCTGGTATCGGAATATATAGATCTTCTGGCTGCGCGACAACAACGACCGAACCATCTTCCAGGCGAAGCACGACCAGGATCTCGGCTTCGTCGACAATGCCCAGCCAATCCTGTTCAATCACATAATCCTCTTCCACAAAGTCCTGTGCTCTTTTCAACTCCTCGAACGGCACATCGTGAATTAGTCTATGAGGCGAAGGGTGCGAAAGTCGTACATCGAGCTTATTGCAAAGGGTATCGCATACGTGGCGGCGGGAACTGATCTGGTTAGCAGGTCTTGCAGCGAAATCATTGCCTGTCAGCTTTGGCAGCCATATTGGATCCAAAACGTAGGAACTCTCAACATTGACGACGGTGCCTGTGAGTTGAGACGTGGACAGCTTGACGACGTCTCCCAGATCGAGGATACGATCGATCAAAATCAGATCACTTTCGGCCACAAGAGAGCTTCCCTTCTCCTGTGAGGCGAATCGCACGAACACATAACCCTGAGGAGGAGAGCCTGTTGACACGAAAGTATGGATCACGCTGCTAGGGACTTTAGTATGTGCAATGATGAGGCACTCGTCAAGAGGCCCTGGGTCGAATTGACTGGTCTTCTCGACTGAGCCGACAAAGGATGTCTGGTCAATGAGTACGACCGTGTCGTGCACCTGGAAGTTTGGCATCGATACAGCATGGTAATGTTGAATTGTCACACAATGCCTGCTTGCTTAGTCGGAAAATGAGCGTCACTGTTCTCGCGTGATCGCGTTGGTAGGTGCGATCAACCACATCCACTCCCATTAAGATCAGATTGTGTATAGAAACATAAGTGTCTGATGTTATGCTACGACATGTCGCCATAGCGGCAATTTGCGGTGCGTAATGGCACGTCGGCCTCCTTCAGGTATATGCGGGTTTTCTTGAAACCTTGACAAAACCCACGCGCAGGCAGGTGTATTGGGCTTGCTCGGGTATGTTCAGGTTTATGTGTCAACCGGAGAATACGTATCTCTAGCTTCAGGCCAAATACATACAATCACGCGGAGGCGGTGGGACTACAGGACTGCTGGGATGGACAAGTTAGGCCACGGAGAGTGTCAATTCGTAAGCCTGATCTCAAGAAGACAAGGCGTTTTACTGCAATACACAATATTCCACAACCGCCTTCTGACCACGTCTGCTGTTTAAACTCTAGTAACCTCACTCACATACGACGATCGTTACTTGGATTATGAATTAGCTATACTGCCTTTATGAGACACGAGTGTCCTAAGAATAGGAGATACTGCCAGTAGACACAGGTGGTTCGTGGCATATAGCCGTATAAAATTGCTAACTTTACCGCGTTCTTCAACAATGATTAGTCGCCAGAACCTCCACAAAACGAAGAACGACGCAGACTGAAGTGGATGATCGCTGACGTCGAACCTCTGTTGTAACAAGTTGCGATTGATATCGTAATTCATTAAGGAAAAGAAGATACTCGAACCACGTCACTTTACCAATAAACGTGAGCTGCTTGAAATGGCCAAGCTCGCGCATCAAAGTGACGGTGAGACAAGAACCAAAAGGCCGCGTTGTGCAGTGAACCTGTTTATGAAGTGGTCTGCTTTATTAGCGAGCATGTAGTGCAGCCCACCTTCTTGACCGCCATGGATATCTGAGTATAGTTTAGTGTCGTTTGAGAAACATTCCGAACCATGATGGTGATCAATCAATTAGATGAAACACTCTAGGACCATTGACGGACTTATATGCTACATATCTGCAGACGCAATGAGATCTGCTATAGGTGTTTGAATGTGTTGCTTGTATCCATTACCAGTACTCGTAGTAGAGCAGCTACAGCAGGCATCGGCATTGGTTTGGCAAACATCTAATCTCGCTATACCACTTGAAGCAGTCCCTGTTGTGCTCGTGTTTCGAAACTCCGGCAAATCGGGATCGTGTCGGCTACTGCAGTTGCAATCAGGTGAGGTGCTGTGGCGATTCCATCACAGGTAGAGCATGGTTCTGGACATGGGTCGACTCCGATTTTGATCGTCGTAAACGGGAAAGGACCAATGCTCGATATGAGGTTGTACCGGAAGTCCTGATTAGAGAGTAGAAGAATAATAGATCAAATTACGAGGTCTTTGCTCATCAACTCAGACAACACCCTTCACCTGAGCGATGGATTACTGTAAGACAACCATAGAATGACGTTGGCCACAAAACTTGTCATCAATCGCGTGGGTGCTGGGATCAAGTGCAAATCACCCGGAAAACGTGTCAGTGGGTGCTCGCGTGGCAATGAGGTCAATCGCGAAGATCTTCATTAATCCACTGCACATCGTTGCCGTTTCAGAAAGGCACAATGACCGTATCGGTAACTTGGTACGTAGTGAGTCAAGCAGGATGCAGGATTGAGTCGCTCGAACGAGGTGTGTTGCAGCTTATGACGTTTACGACGGCCATCTGGACAAATCCGGTATATGTGGCACCAGAAACCTGCAAAGACAGGTACTGTGGTAACAGCGTACCATGTTTACAGCACGTGTATTTTTTGTGTAATGGCAACAACATACCTCTATGTATTTAAACTGTCTCAAAGAGTTTCGAGTAGTGACATGGACCTTGATGGGAGGCCAAAAGCTCTTACTCAATGCAGAAGGAACAAGCGCTCGTGGAACAGCAAGTAAACTCAAATATCGAACCTGGAGTCTTTGACCGATATCACTATCGACGCGGCATGTTGGAACTGCTTCTCTAGCAAGAGTGCTTGCTGTCCCTTTTCTGAGTGCTGACACAAGACTATTCTATTAGTCCAGGCGCTTAGAATCGACTCGTGCGAACTTATCATGAACTTACCATTTGGTCTGTCTCCCTCTCTGCCATGCCGATTCCTATCAGTAACAGCGAACCATCTTTCAGTCAGATCTTTGAATGGTTGGTTCATGTGCATGGCTTGTGCTTCTCTGTATATCGATGTCCCTCAACGCAGGTCTATACTCGTAAAATGTAACGATTGACTCGTCAAATTCACCCCGATCGAGCCAGTCATGCAGAATTGATGATTCCCAGGTGGGAAATGCAGGCCAGAAGCGTTCGAGCGGCGTGCAGACGAAAAGACACTACCAGGCCTATGCGCATTTGTCCCTTTGTTATAGGATAAAGGGTCGGAACACGGAGTCCTTGGCTTCAATGGCTCTTTAGTCTGTTCAATTGGCTCTCGGGAAACTCAAATCATCATTTTGGTGGGAAGGTCACACGGTCACCGAATGTCCGTTCTTGCGTGCAATATGCATAAGGACTAAGCAAGGCAATAGTGTAAAGACTTGAAGCACGAGGCGGAATTAGGTCTGAGTATTCTGATTGTGTCGATGAGCAAGTCGTAATATTAGGAGGAGCTTCAACAGGAATCAAGCATAGTGATCTACTCGGCCAATGATATTCTGCCACTAGCCTACAAATTTCAATATAGCTTTGAGATTTTGGCAGGCAGAGGTGCGGCAAAGAGAGAGTTGTGCCTTCAGCATTCACAAACCATACACATAATTTCATATCACGGCAACATGAGAATGCCACCACGACAGCTCCTCCAGTTCATCGGCTTCCTTAGACTTACTTGCTCGTTGTGCTGGACAAACGGTCGTACATTGAATGGAACACGGTGTTTACGACCAGATTGTCAGGCATACTGTGACATCTATCACGGTCTGAAGCGCATGTGGTTCACGTCTTGTAGAGAGAAATATCGTGACCACAGGGAGTCATCCGACAATTGACTGCGCCATCGAAACATGAACCGAATCGACTCCATATCCGACACGCTGTAACTACACATAGAGTTGAGATGTAATGACAGAAGTTCTGGCGATCCTATCGTCACGGCTTGCCAACTCCATCGACGCCACGATGGAGGATCGTCCGGCTATCCCTGCAAGCACGCGAATAATGTTGCCATGTGCTTGCACAAGGATTTTTGTATGTCCAACGGCACCGGATAAGCCGCTGGGCAGGACTCAACTTGTTCTCGTTTGGTACAACAGAATCTCTGAATCAGCTGGGCTGCTTCTGCAAACTGGTAACACAAGTGCGCTCAAGTACAGCTGATGTGTGTGAGACGGCTCGACGAAGAGCTGATTAGTGTGGCTTCGTTGGCGCAAAGGTCGCTGTAACAGCGCTCGGATCAGAAGCTGGGCTCTCGCCAAATTGAGCATTCTGGGAGCGCTTTAATTGGAGAGGCCTCAACGCTACACCTCTTCCAGTCTTGACCACTTTGCGTCTAGGATATGGGCGTCGTTCCCCTTCGAACCATCAGATCGGTCGTCCGCGCTGCTGTAGCCCACTTGGTCCACTCCTTCGTGTTCTTCTGCAACCATTCGTGATCGACAAGTCAAAGTCGACCTTCAGCATTTAGCTAGCCTCGATTGCACAGACGCGCTATGCAATCATAACTGCTTGAATGACCATAGTGGCTGAGCGTGCAGTTTCCTGTTGCCCTGCTTCTCATTCCCAGTTAGAGAGTGACACCGCCATACATGGCTCGCTGTCACTGCTTCGTCCTCTGAATTGTTCTCTCCCGTCCTTGGTAGGCACAACCCTGCATGTCTGGTCTAGTCATATTTCCGATTAAGACTTCCCTTCCTTGCTCTATTCCTCTTTGGACACGACCATACAATATCTCGCACCCTCAGTGCCGAGACCCAGATTATTCTACGGCCTTTCTCCATCGGGTAGCTACCTCCTCTATCGTACTTTATGAAGAAGGCATCGTCCACGTTTTCCTCCTGCTGGCAGACCTACTCTACCGACCCAGGATTCCCTGCTTAAACAGAGACTGTCTACCAACCTACTCTTTCTTTCTGAAAGTTTGTCGACATAATAGACAGCACTTAACTTCGTTACTAGGTTAGGTCTTTGAGATCTCACAAGCAGGATATCTTTCTCGCAAAGTTCCCAACATACGACAAGCATAACTGTCCACGAATTCAGCAGTGATACAGAGCCTTCGTCGGCAGTGCTTGTAGCAGAACTTGATCGAGTCGCGGCAGTGGCAGCATTGTTTCACCAAGCTAATCCCCTCTTGGCTCTGCCTGAACATCGCGCCAGCCAAAGTGGGTTCTTGAGCTCGACATCCGATGGTAACAGCTAACCCTGGTCTCATCACGTTCTGGGACAAAACACTAAAGGTCGCTCATCGTCCTACGTGCCTCAGATCTGCAGCAGTTGAATTGGTGTGAACTCTGTTGAATCCCCACCAAGTACACATTCTAGCGGAGATCATTCCACAATCACGAATCCAAGCTCGGATTCTCAAACTCTTCGACTTGATGAGCAGCTGAGCACTCACGTCCACGACACATTGTTATAGCATCAATGTTATTGACGTTGCACCCAATGCAGAACGACATTAAGCCACCGCCCGACTATTCGTCCTACAAGTTCAATCACAGTAGATATTCACCACCAGAATCACCCCGCCACCTTCCATCGTTCTTCAATGGTATAGAGAACAGCATGAATAATTCGCATCGAGGTTTGCCTGCGCCGCCGGGCATGAATCTTGGGTCATCGGATCGTGGACAAGCAAAAACCTCATCTTTAGGTAATTTACCAGCGCCGCCATCACAGTGGGCAGGTCACGATGACTCCATGCGCAATTGGCTTCAGGCAAAGGCTGAAGAAGACAAACGGAAGCAAGAAGAAGAGCGCACCAAGCAAGAGACTCTTCGACTCGATCAGCGAAAGATTGAGCAGACTATGTTGAGAGATTCTTTGCATGGAGGCATCCCACCACCGATGGTACCACTTATTTTTGCGGGCATGGGCGGAGGAAACTTGTCAAACCATACGCTAGAATGGGCCCAGCAGTATTTGGCACAATTGAGCCTTCAAAATCAGCAGCAGCAACAACAACTCCAAGTGCAACAGCAGCAAATACAACAGCAACAAGGCCCACCATCTCCAGAGGTACACAGAGAGAGCCATAGCCGTATGATACCGGCGAACCCATATGCCGCGCAGCACCAACCTCAGCCAGTCGCTACACAGCCTCCACCCCAGAACAGGACGCTTACCCATGCCTCGTCTAATTCTTCGTTGTCGAGGCTGAACACAGCCGAACTACAACCACAGCCAGTACCTAATGCAACGGCTTCGTCACGGCAACCAATACATCCCTTACAACAAAGCCAGACAACTCAATCAGAGCCCAGTTCTGGTCCCAGCCTCTTTTTCCACCATTGGACGCCGCCGAACAATACCGGTGGACCGCCACCCACTCCCTCAGGAAAGAGCCAACATGGATCACCCTTCTCACAGCACGCGCCTTCACATCTGCGGTCTGAGTACCAGAATTCGCCAAAGAAAAGGAAGTTAGGGGGCGCGCAGTCAGGAAATTCTGCCGGTACACAACAATCAGCTGAGCCCTCACCACCAACTTCAAGTCATCGGGAGAATTCGCCTAGAAGATCCCCAGGCCATTCTCGACAAGACAGTGACGCATCTTCAAGGGAAATGGATTCGCGGCCTGTTGTTCGGCCGAGCAGCCGACAGCAACGTCAAGACGAAATGAGCGGTATGCATCACTTGTGTCGCGGACCTGGTGATTAAACGAAAGTGACGCCCTCGACGTCGCTCCTTGCAGCATTTCACTGAAGCTGCACTACCAGCAGTGGACACCCTAACGAGACAAGGAACCCTACTTAGAGCCAGAAGGCTTATTGATTAGACAGTTTGTGTCTACAAGGCACTAGGAGTTCAAGTTTGATTTACGACTTACGTCATCGAGGCATTTCAGCGGACTATGGTTAGGCTTTCACTTCTTGTGCATATGCTGCACACATTTTGGATACTGCTTACTTCCAGGTAGGAAGGTATTAGCATTTTGTTGAGAATAAGGTATTCTACTGAATCAAATTTTTGATTGATGTCGATCTGAAGACTCCAGCGGCAACAGCTTTCGTCCGCCTCACGCCTGCTAATTCCAATGAACGAATTCTATCACACTGCCGGTTCAGGCGGAATTCGTGAAGCTCAAGCGTTTTCGTGCCTCCACAGAACTAACCTTTGAAACAGACCATGTCAGCGCCTCTTCGACATGAGGTGATAAGCTAGGGTTAGACACACACGAGACTGGTCGTGCCTCAAGCTGCGTTTGTGGTTTTGCAAGGATGGTTATGTGGTCTCACGGCACTACTAGTCATCAGAGACGATCTTTTCACAGATCAGGTTAGCCACGAGCCGGAAATGGTCACGTCCGAGTTTGGCTATACGTGATGACGCAGCAGCACTCGTATCATGTGCGCTTCGGCAACGTCGCCATAGCCTAAGGAGTATAGACGATAGTGCAGGACGCAACCACCCTTGTCTACCGAAATTCAGTAATCTTGAAAGACATGTGTGTCCGCAAGAAATGCCTCTTGCTTGTCCCGTGCCATTAGAACCTGCTCAAGTCTATCCCAGTCAATCTGGATTAGCTTTCGTGACTGTTTTGAGCCATCGCGAAATGCCTAGATGGGATACGACGTGCGAAAGGGCAAAGACAAGTGGATTTTTTTGGCGAGAGCTTGCAAAAAGGTGAAACGAAACTAAAATTGCTGGTTCGAGTGAGGCTTGACAAGGCTTTGTTTTTCAGCCACTGAAGGGCTAGGCCGTTCAAAGAATTTCAAAATTCCGGGTGATGGCTGGCTAAGCTCTTGGCTCTATTACGTGGGGAAAAGTCGGTTGCGAAAATCTACGATTCGTCAGACTTTCATTTTTCCGATGTTCGAGCTCACGAATGATATTGCAAGAATGGCTTCATCTCTTCAGTTCGATCCGAAGGCTGACTGTGTGTCATCGTGCTCTCCGGGACATGGAGATGTCGTCTTTTCAGGTACGTCAACCCGAAGCAGCCTTGATCTTGACTCCGTTCTTGCTAAAAACACCACTAGCCCTTTGTCCAGCAACAAATCGGACTGCTGGGATCATTCCTCACAATTTAGTCCTCTCAGACAAGAAGACAACTTGCTCTTCTCCTCAGCATTCTTCGAGCATCGGTGTGGTAAAAGCTGGCTGTGAAACCTTGACCGTCCTAGGCACTACCCGTACCTGCACAAGTCTCCTCAGTCGTGCATTGTCAGCTCCAATAGCGCTTCGTGCCCTCGATCGAATTTCAGACCAGCGAGTTCGAACCGCTTTCGAGATCCTTGGCGGGTCAAGAGATGTTATGGTTTACCATCGAACACGAGCCACGCAAGAGATCAATATTGGTTGGCGGTGACGTGCTGTGGTCCAATCATAAAGGTAAGCCGGATTTATGAATCCCGAGCTAGCAGCACAGAGGAGGTGAACGCCTGGAGTCCTTCAATCCTGGTCTTTGCAAAAGCGATACGCGAACATATGTGGCTAGCTGCTTGATCTCCTTCCACACAGACCAACGTCCAGGATAAGCCACATTGAGACCAAGTCGGATTCCGGCGGTGCTGAACTCCCAGGACCATGCTGCCATTGGATGAGCGGGTGGAATTATCATCCTGCTGGACAAGTGCTCGCGATGCCACCACGATGGAGACTGCCGCACATACATGTCATCGTGTGCAATTGCCCGTCGTTTGGAAACATGTCTTTTCATGACGAAGCTCACGCCGTCATGACCGTATTGACAACAACGTGGCTATTACAGGTACAGATACCATACTGGTTGTTGAGGCTCGAGCGTGAATTATACTGTGAGCTCGGAACAGTGAAGACAAAGTCTAGTGCCAAGCATTAGCATCCGTGCCTCTTCCTTCGACCAGCCTGAGGTCCTTCATTAAGTGATACCGAACTTCCTCCCAAGTCTTGCGGACAGTCTGCCAACTCATTTCGGATTGCCATAAAGAGAGGACTTGTCGTCACTGCGCGGATCCTCGTCAGTACCTTTGATAATGCTCGGCACAAACGGAGCAGACAATACTCCTCGTTCATCGATGACTTACTCATACGGACGAGCTCAAGACGAGCTCCTGCCTATTTTTTATCCAACGACATCATCCCTGCCTCGCTACTGCGAGGTCTATTGACTCTACTGCTTGCTGGTCGCGCTCGCACTCCAGAAGGCCTCATATCAACCGTCCACTGACACGTTTGCTTCTCTTCGTCTTGTTCCTTGGACCGAGCCCACCGGAATGATCCTTCTTCCCAATGAGTTATCGACCTTCCATTTGAAAGGTCCAGCTAATGGCACAGAGCCGCCGGGTAGGGCGCGATCAAGCACCTCTTGTGTTCCTGCATCAGGGCGTGGCAGCATGCCGTGCGTGAAATCAAATGTGCCGCCGAATTGTTTGGGTATGTTCTCGGCATCAATGTGACTCGACAACGCTTTCAGGATGTCTGAGCTATCCATGATCTCAATCTTGGCAGCTGTTGCAGGATCAATCCAGCCTTTGACGATTTTCCAAATTTGATTGAAATAACGCGGAGCCCCGATGACCTAGACGTGCTGTCAGATCAAGCTACCTCTCAAGCCAAGAATGCTCACCAGCACTTTCTCGATCATCTCAGGATAATCGTTGGCCAGCAACTTACTGATATCCTGCGCATAGCTTCTGACATTCCATGCTTGTCTAATACTGAATGTACTGATATCAACCAGGTAGATGCACGAGGTTACTGCTGCCCCGTGACTAGCTGCTGCAGTGCATAGAGGCAGCACAAATCTTATCAGAGAGTCATGAAATGCAAGCGACCTTAGCAACGCAGCAGACGGCTCAGAAGTAGCTGATGTACGTGCTATCGTATACTCGTTAAGCACGCCAGAGTCAAGCTTCGAAATATCGAATAAACAAATAGGGTTACCTCTTTTATCTCTTCGGCCCGACCAATGCGGGTACTGTTCATTAGTGGTTCATGCTTGTTTCCACTGGGAAGAACTCACTAAAACTCGAGCTTTCTCAAAGTCATCAACGTCGATCTCCTCGTACACCTTCAACAAATTCGTCTTGGCACGAGTTGCACATGTCTCCTGGTACCTCGAGAAGGCCTTCAATGCATCGAATTTGTCGGCTCGGAGGAAGCGCCTAAGTTCAAGTCAGGCGCACAACTGCAAACACAATTGCTCTTCACTTGCCACAAAGTGGTCTCGTCATTTAAGCCATCGAGCGCATCGTCTTCATGCAGAGCAGCAGGTCTTTGAAGAAGCCCTGCTTCCTGACATCTGCTGCGAAAGTCCTGAAAAGCACTCTGCTCCAATTCCATGATGGAGACGATGGTGCCAGGGTTCGGAAAGCCTAAATCGAAGTCGTATCACAAGCTACATCTGAATTTCACGAAGCGTTCGTTCTGCTATAAGCACAGGAGTGCTGCATGAAAGCGGGCAGAGCAAAATAATCGTCACCAGCGCCTGTCTGTGCGCGACCGTCATATCATCTCATAAGTCAAAACGCATGACATGGGTCTCAACATATTCCGTGTTGAGCCTGCTTGCAGTCGATAGCAACTGGCCAACGACAGTCGCTTTTACGTGAAAGAGTGGCTCGTTGCGCATACGATGCCCCACATCTATGTCACGGAAGCCACGCATTTGCAGCCGTGAGAATAGCCGACTAATAAACATCTGTCCTGATTCATATTCTTACGGATCTTCTTCGATCATCGCCTATCTCGCGCTCTGTTTGATTCCGACGGTATGCTTGTGCGCTGGCATAAGGCCCACACACTATGCATGTTCGGCTTCGTAGTCGAAGCACAATCATCACTTCTTGAGCAGTGACAACGGAATTCTGGAAAAGCCCAGCGATGATGTAGTTGCTCAAGGCCGTGCGCAATGCGAGACGATGCTGGCAATCGGAGAGGGGTAGCTATTTCAGAGATGCGATTCGCATGTCTCCTATCGGTCATGGAGTTTACTGTCGTTCCAGCGAGGATAGCATAACATGAACCCGAAGCCAACGTCCTCGACCATGCATACCTCCTCTTATGCGGTCGACATTCAGTACCATGATACTGAAGGTCTCGCACACGGCTTTCAACTAAGGAGGCACAATAATGAATCGGAAGCAGATGAAGGTTCACGAGAAGCTCGTACTGATTGGGTTGGCAACGTTGGCCCAATAGACGTAGCAGGTTGTTGCAATCCATATTCAGGTCACTTCGCTGCCTTGACGCTGCCTACATGCTTGCCAGAACGCTTACGGATCATATCATACATCTTTGAGTATGCCTTCCTGCACGATGGTGTCATGGAATCAGCGACCAAGGCTATCGAGCAGCAACAACAACAGCAAGCGACCGACAACGATTTCGCCACGAGATCTTTCGACCCTGCGACAAAAGCAAAAGCAGGCTCGAAGAAAATGCAAGCGAAAATGGTTCAAGGACTAACAGCAATCGACCCCGCTTGTGCTCAAGTGTGTATCGAAGCCTGGAAGGAAATGGTCAATACAACCTCAAGACGTGACAAAGATAAACCCTTTACCAGCATGGACGAGTACCTAGAATATCGAATCATCGATACCGGCGCTCCGTTCGTTGACAAGCACATGTGTTTCGGCATGGGCATCATACTAGATGACAACGAACTCGAGCAAGTCAGAGAAATCGCTCACGCCGCCTACGCAGCTCTAGGTCTCTGCAACGACTACTTCAGTTTCGACGTTGAATACAACGACTTCAAGCGAAGCAACAAGAAAGCCATGACGAACATAGTATGGTTATTCATGCACTGGCACGGCGTAGACATTACGGAGGCCAAACGTCTAGCCCGCACAGAGACAAGACTGTACGAGCTGAAATTCTTACGCCTGCAACAAGAAGCCGACCACATACTCTCACTGAAACTTCGACACTATGTGCAAGGGCTGGCATATCAAATCGCCGGCAACGCGGCCTGGAGCACAGATAATCCGCGCTATCATCTCGATAGAGATATTTACCAGGACGACATGACGGATTTTGATCGCTCACTCGCTTGCTATCATTGTAGCAGCAAACCAGCACAATCGGAATCTGGACACAAGAAGCAGTTCTCGACTGATGATACTACTGCTGCATCGAGCGTCTATACCAGGTCTAGTGGGACTAGTCCGAGTCGACATAGTAGTCGGTCTTCTGTCTCTGATGATCAGGATTTTCAAGAAGTGCAAGTGCAGAAGGAGGAAGACTGACCGAGGGATAGTGTATTGCACTTGATGATAGAACCATATAGATTTTCAACCATTACTTCAGGAGCTGCACGACACAGGCTGTTCGTAAGAAAACATAAACGGAAGGATGGCAACTCACGTAGATCGTGTAGATTGATTAACATCAACCACGTCGCTGAGGTGAAGCACGATACTTTTGTTCGCCATGTATGTTCGGTGATATACATCAACGTAGTCACACGGCACAATGCCTTTACATGCTTACTATACCGCCTCATGCGACGCTATTCCAAAATATACCAGTCCAACGCACAGACATATTATGCCAGCTAATTGCAACACTCTCTCGTTCTTGACGTTCGCTACGGCTATCGCCAAGTAGCAAGTAGGCATAGCATTGCTCGTGCTGTGTGTCACCACCTCAAAATGCTGCACCAACCATAGCTGAATCCTCCTCGCCCAACGTCCGCAACGATTCCTCCGCAAGCTCACTCTTTAACGCCGCGATCTCACTTTCCTTCTCTCGAACCTCCCAATCTCGCAGCACTTCACGCTTGCTTTTCTGCTTGTCAAAGATCTCCGTCCTTATTCGCTCGGCATCATCTTCGAGAATCTTCAGCTTGCGCTCCTGATCGGCGCTGAGCCCCGTGGATGACTGTGCGGAACCAGGAATGTGTTTGCCACCCGGTACGATGCGTTCTAGAGTGCTGAGCTGTGATTTGACGAAACTCGCTGGTGCGGCTGGGGTGGCTGGTGTAGCTGGAGAGGAAGTTGCGTGGTTGAAGGTGGTACTTACACTACTCGGACCAGTTGGAGGGCCACTGGGTCTGGCTGTATCAAAGCGTTGGGAACGAGGATAGGTTGATGAACTGCTATTATTGTTTGGTCGAAAGGGGAATTCTTGGTTTGGCGTGGTAGGTGAAGGACGAGATATGCCGTTGGAGTGGCTACCTCTGCTAGAGGAGGTAAAGTCGCCCCGAGAAGAATACGATGCTGCTCTCGGACCAGAGGGTGGTGGCGCTAAAGGTGCCTCGAAACTCGCTGTTTGATTAGGAAGTGGTGGACGGTAGCCAGGGGCTCTGTAAGTTAGTGACGTACGTCCTCGTAAAGCTGCAGGTGGTGAGACAAAGTCACGATTAGGAGCACCGCGGGGGCCTGAAGGCGGAGCAAATGTCGTGGAGCGACTCGATGCGCCTGAAGCAGTGGGTGGAGGAGATGTAGCCTGAGCAGCATGACTCCTGGCTGGACCAGTGGGTGGTGGTCGACCATATCCGGCGCCTCTAGGGCCGGTAGGAGGTGCAGGTGTGGCATATTCGTCATGAGGTCTTGCAGGGTCTTCCCGACTTCGATTTCTTCCTTGGTCTAAATAATCATCTCTCAGTGGTGGCGGAGAACGTGGTCGGCTACCGTAGCCATCATCTCTTCTGTCTCTATCATCATAGCGTGGACGATCTCGCGCGGGAGAGTGTGTCCGTGAGCCAGTCAGGCTTGCTCGATCAGGGTGAAAGGGTGGAGATGATCTTCGGGAAGTGGTACCAGAGCCACGAGGAGATGGTGACCTCCTGCGCCAGCGCTCGTCTGCATACGAGGGTCTTACATCATCTCGTCGGGGTGGTGTACGAGATCGAGGACGATAAGTGTTTCTGCCGGGAGACACGGGTCGCCGTGGAGGTGAACGCGGTCCATCATCGTACCTATTTCTCGGAGGACTTTCTCGTCTAAGGGATCTCCTGCCATCAGGAGAATAGTCTCGAACTCTTCTGTTATCAGGACTTCTGGCGCGTGCTCCAAATGGTGATCTAGACCGGCGACGAGGAGGCGTACGAGCCCTGTCGCGAGGAGGAGATTGCCGTCTAGATGGTGATCGTGCTGCCCGATCAGGAAAGAGCTCTGTACGACCTCGAGTAGAAGGAGGAGTTCTTGAACGGCGGCGGTATGGAGGAGGCGACCGACTCTTATTTGCTTGTTGTCTGGCTCGAATACTAGTGGGAGGGATATAGCTGTCTATGTCGTGATCTCTTCTTCGTTCCTCTCGAGGAGGTGGAGGCGGAGGAGGATTCCAGCGATCGTTTTCTCGTTCTCGAGGCGGCCTGTATGGTCCATCACCTGACTGTCCACCAGGCCTATAGCTCTCTCCAGCTCCATAATATTCGACGTTTGGGTGATCATCTCGATCTCGGTCTCGATCTCGGTCTCGATTTGGAGGTGCTCTGCCTGGTGGCCCTCGTCGAGGACTGTACTCTTGTAAGTAAGATTATGTATGAATGTCAGTTTGGACCGACCTTCGACCTGAATATCTGTCTCCCATTGCAATAATGACCTATTCAAACTGCAAATTGGTAGTGTTGTTGCAAGATGATATAGCAGATGGTGATACACTTTTTTGTCGATCTCGGCCTGCGCTGCACGAGGCTAGTCGAGGTCGCGTTTCGGTCACGTGCGGCTTTGACACCTAGCCAACGGTCCCTAAACTATAAGGCTGTTAGGCGCATGTTCGGGTTGCCTGCAAGCGTTGTAGAGGCAATGAACAGGATCACCATTATGACTTCGAGCATGGGCTGGGTACCGATTCGGTCTACTTCGAGCTTCGATTATCGTTTATGCCGCCGCTCTTCATCGCGCTTTTGTCTCTTTCTTGATTCTGTAGCAATCATATCCGACAAATCCTCCTGGAACTCTCGCCCGAATGGCTGCTCGGTCTTCCGCTGCTCATCATATGCTCGGCGCACATCTTCTTTATCAAGTCCGTCTCTTGCTGCTAAATCATCTGGGTTCATTGATACCTCAACGTCGCCTGGCTTCTTTCTCTTTCTCGACTCTTCTTGACCCAGCACAGGTATGTTGCCTTGCTGTGCCGCCTTCAAATCATATGCCCTGTCACCACCAAAGAATCCCTCCACTCGTGTTTGTCGTTCCGGCACAACTGTATATGCAGACCGTGGCTGTGAAGATTCCTCGGTTTCTGTGCCTCTCCTCTTTCTCAGGTCAAACTCTGACACCGTCTCGGTACCACCAATATCAGTCGGTACTGAAGATTGCAAGCCTGCTGCTGTCTGGGTACCAGACGGTGTCTGTAAGCCCGCTCCGCCCTCCTCTTCATCCTCATCCTCAGCTTCCTCTTCGTCTTCTTCCTCTTCTTCAGATTCTTCTGCCGCCTGTAGTTCTCCCCACAGATCCTTCTCTACTGGTTCGCCTTGTTGCGTTTGTTGTTGCTGTTGCAAGACTCCAAAGATATCGCCCCCGTAGAGTGGTCTGTTCGTGGCCTCATCGACTGGCGGTTTACCATAACCTCCAGGATGAAAGCCCCAAGAAGCACCTGGTGGAGGTGGTGCGTTGAGTCCAGGAATTTTGAGAGCAGGATAAGATGGTGGCGGGCCATATCTTTGCTGGTTGATTAGCCATGGTGGAGGAGCACCAGGTGGCATGTTTAGTGCTTCTTTCAGCTCGTCGGAGAGTTCACCTGGTCGCAGATGTCTCAGATTGGTTTCGTACTCTTTCCCTTCATAGTAGACCTCGCCATATCGAGTAAGTTCCGGTTTCGTCTGAAATTTGAAAAAGGCCTCGTAAAGCTTTTGGTAATCAATATCGAGCTTGCCCATCTTAGGTTGAACTCGTGCTCGCTGTTGCTGCTTGAGAGACGCTTCGTTCTGCTTCTCTAATACTGCGTCTCTCATCTCCGCGATACCAGTTTCTTGGATGAATTTTGGCAGAGAAAATGCAGCTTTCTCAATACCACGTTTCGATGATAGATATTCTCTCTTTAAGGACCAATGCGTTGGCACTGGCACCACGTTGCGATACGACTTCAGATGTACCAACATCTTAGGATCCTGAGCGGAAGTGTCTGTCCATTCTACCACATCAGGCTTTCGTACCAATGCTTTCAGCTCGGCCACGGACAACTTGGACTGCTCTTTCCGTTTCTTTTTAGAGATCTTTTGCATGCCAGCCTCTTCCTCTTCCTCGTCGTATACGTTGTCGTTCTCGTCATCGAAGTAGACTTCAGGCTTATCTGCCTCTTTCAAAACAGGGTCTTGCTTTTCCTCATCCTCAAATTTTCCCATCACATCTTTATACATGTCGAAGAGCGGATTGCTGTCGTCAACGACCAGCGGCTCTGCAACCCTCTTGCCATTCTGAGCTGGTAACTCAGGTGTCGAGGGTTCATCCTTAGGCTCTGGCGAAGGTTCCTGCTTGAGACGATCCGAATTTCGCGTATCTGTGGATTGTGCTTGCTTTTCTGCTTTCTTTTTCTGTCTGCGCAATTGGTTCTTAGACAGCTTCTGACTAGGCGCAGCCATTTTCAATTACCTTAAGAGCCCCAGATAGCCCAACGACTGGTCGCGACTGACGTAATGAGAGTACTCGCAGAGGTGTGACCAAACAGATCGCGAAAGCGTGGTACAAAGTCCTTGAGTCGAAGTGCTACGGTAGCTCTAGGAGCGCACCACGCTGATAGAAACTCATCTCAATGGTCTGCCGTACTCGGTATCTCCAGCTCTCCAATCCATCGCTTTATCACTCTGCTACGATCACGAATCTATCAGTGTCCGCTCCTGCTCGTTGCTTCGACTCGTTTCCTGTTGTATTCTTACAACCTGAATATCACTCTTGTTCCCCTGCTGAATGTCAATCATGTTGTTCTTTCCGCCTCGCTGTTTCAAGCTGGTCTAGTTGGCGGCATGGAAGACACCTCTTCAACGACGAGTGACCAGTGCTGCTGGTCACACAAACTCATCATGCGCTGACACTGTAAGTAGCCCATCGTTCTCTTTCACTACCTCACGGAAAATATTCTATCGTGTCCTAAATTTATTTACACATTTCGTTCCTTCCGTTACAGCTGATCTACGTCTCCTGCGTGATGTGATCATGCGTTTCTTGCTGCAAACATTGTGACAGCCAATGAATACCTGAAGATCTATCGACCAAACCCTCCATCAACCTATTCCATCAGATCCTCGCCGTAATTCTCGGGTCCAACTCCATCGGCTATCACCTCATGCGTTGGAGAGCCGCCTCTAGGCGGCATACCGCCATGTTCTTCCGACCTGAGACTTGGGGTTGTATAATAGTATCGCTGTTTTGTGGAGTCTCCATACTCGTAAGTTCTGCATATGGTAATGACGCCGCTATTTCTTGGAAAATGTGGACAGTATATCACCTTTACCTTCGCTCGTTGTCGCTGGTCTGGCAAGTGAAAAGTGCTCATAGATCTTGGGTGGCGCCTTCTGCACGTTTGTTACTCTCGTTTTGGAAAGAACCATTGACTCAAAGTCATTCTGCCTGAAGTTTGCACAGGTCCTCAACTCCACCATTGTCTACAGATCCTCAGCATTCGCCTACTTATATCACCCTACATCGTCTACTAATCCTGTATTCTTAGACCGTCATACACGAGTACCTTGAAGGACACACATTACTACCACTACCACCCTACAACATGGCTTCCTCCTCAGTCTTCAAGTCGACCTCCTCCCATCCTCACATCAAGCGATCTTGGTGGAAAGAATCCACAGTCTACCAGATCTACCCTGCCTCGTTCAAAGACAGCAATGGCGATGGCTGGGGCGATATACCTGGCATCATTTCCAAGCTTGACTACATCAAGTCACTTGGTGTCGATATAGTCTGGCTTTCACCTATCCTAAAGTCACCCCAACAAGACATGGGCTATGACATAAGCAACTACGAAGATGTTGATCCACTGTACGGAAACATGGCGGACCACGATGCATTGATCAAGGGTCTGCATGACAGAGGCATGAAGTATGTCCTTGATCTCGTCGTCAACCATTCCAGTGACCAACATCCCTGGTTCAAGCAGAGTCGGTCAAGCAAGGACAATCCATTCCGCGACTGGTATATTTGGCGACCGGCTAAGTATGACGAAGATGGTAATCGAGTACCTCCAAACAACTGGGAATCTGCCTTCTCTGGTTCAGTCTGGGAGTGGGACGAACATACACAAGAGTACTACATGCACATCTTCGCCACAGGCCAACCTGATCTCAATTGGGAGAATCCGAAAGTTGTAGACGCCGTCCACAAGATAATAAGATTTTGGCTGGATCGTGGCGTCGACGGGTTCCGCATGGATGTGATAAACTTCATCTCGAAGGAGCCTGGTCTGCCAGACGGCAAAATCACAAAACCTGGTTTCCTTCAAAGTGGTGTCGAGCATTTCGCATGCGGCCCACGACTCCACGAGTTCCTCCAAGGGATTGGCAAAATTCTACGGGAGTATGATGCTTTCTCTGTTGGCGAAATGCCTGGTGTTCATGATACACGCGAAATATTGAAGGGCGTGGGCCAGGACCGAGGCGAGCTAGCAATGGCTTTCAACTTCGACATCGTCGATATCGACCATGCACCAGGAAGCAAGTGGCTCCCGCGAGAATTCACACTGCCTAAGCTTAAGACTATTGTTCACAAGTGGCAGACTTTCATGCTTGAGAACGGAGGCTGGAATGCTATTTACATGGAAAACCACGATCAAAGCCGAACTATCTCCCGCTACTGCTCAGATGATCCTAAATACCGAACAAAGTGCGCTAAACTGCTCGCTTCCCATCTTGCCCTTCAGTCAGGCACACTTTTCGTTTACCAAGGCCAAGAATGGGCTCAAAAGAATATGCCAAAGGATTGGGATCTGTCACACTACCGTGATATCGAGGTGATAAATCATTGGAAGACTATACTACGTGACCATCCCGATGACAAGGCTCTCCAACAACAAGCAAAAGACCAATACTGGCTGATCGGCAGAGACAATGCGCGCACACCTATCCAGTGGAACGATAGCGATCGATATGCAGGTTGGACTACCAAAGATCCAGCAAGGCCACCATGGATGGACATTCATCCAGACTACGCAACTTGGAATGCCGAAGCTGCAGTCAAAGACCCCAATTCTGCTTTCCACTACTGGCGAAAGCTGCTCGCCCTTCGAAAATCCGAGAAGGACACACTCGTCTATGGCCGTTTCGAAATGCTAGACATTGAGCACGACGACGTTTGTGCTTATGTTCGAAACTCAGATGACGGCCGAAGGGCATTGGTGATTGGTAATTGGAAAGAGAAGGAGGTCTCTTGGGCGGTTCCCAAGGCATATGCCGATATGCTCAAGAGAGAGCACATTCTACCAGATTTCAAGAACTATAGCGAAGAGACACAAATCAGCACAGATGGTGGCAAGACGACTATCACGTTGAAACCTTTTGAGACGATCGTTGCCATTGGTTGATATGGCTGCCATCGAATGCATTGTTGGCGTTGTCTGTTAAAGCTAGAACTGGTCGTTCTTGTGTACAGGAATATAGGATTGTTGAAACCTGACTTGGGGTAATGTCTAGAAGTCATTGGATCTCTACTATCATCAGGCACTTGGTCATGAATTACAATACAATCATGTTAGTATTACAGCACTATTGTCTCCTTCCTGTACTGCTTTCACCCGCTTTTCTGGCATACTATCTTCCTATCACAACCGAAACGTATAGTCTACATCCTTTCGTCCAAACCCAACTACGTAGCAGTCTTTCACAACACCTTCACTTTCCTCTTCCCTCCTTCATTCCCACCCGCAAACACCATCTCGTCCCTTTCCCACACAAAACTCAATCCCGCACCCATGAAGCCTAGCCCCAAAGGACGTACAACAACATCCATCAACGATCCGCCATAACCCCGACTCTCCTTCCCAGCATACCTCAATGCCAACCCCCAAATTAAATAGGCTATACTCGTCGTCCAGCAATCGAATTGAACGAACCAGAACGCTCCTTGTGGAATACCGCTGATCTTACTGCTTCGGAATGGATTTGGTGGGATGAAAAGGTTGCGTGGATGGAGTTGCTGCGCGGTTATGGGCGTGAAAAGGCCTGGGAAGAGGAGAGCGGAGAATGAGAGGGTTAGTGTTGCGATTTGCACTGTTGAGGCGATCGAGAGAGCGAAGATGTAGCAGTGGCGAAGGAGGCGGAGTTGCTGGGCGTGTTGGTTCTTGGTTGATGTGGTATTGGATTTGCCAGGGAAGACGGTATTCTGCAAAAGTATTTGGAAGAGCTGTACCCAGAGTGGGAAGGCTTGCCAGATACATATTGCGTAGATCCTGTTTTGCTGAGAGATGAGGCCAGGAGTGGGCAAGCTCATTGCGATCGAGGGAGCAATGAAGCCGAGGGTGATGCTGTATGGTAGGGCACGCAGAGATGATTCAGGTACACTTAGCGTGTCGATACTTGGTCTGGAAACTGTAGGGGTTGCGAACAAATGCAACGCTGTCCACGCTGGTGTCATGAGCGCAGCGCCCGTCGTCTGGACGAGAAGCCCATAAATAGTGGTGAACGAGGCCAACCGCCATGTCTTGCCTGTTCTCAAGCCCTCGATGATTGTCACCGTCCATGCGGCGACGAATTGGCCTGCAAAAAGAAAGCAGGCAAGGGAGAGGCCAGGATTGTTTCCATCCACGACGGGCCAGAAAAAGGTCAGCAAGGTCGACAGTGTGCCATCAAGTGCTACGATGCCGGTAAAGGTATTGGTGTAAGGTGTGCCGTCGTGGACGATTCTCTGTTCCGTGAGCCTAGTGACAGCATCGTAAAATCCATTCCGGGAGGAAAAGCCGTGGATCAAATATCCTCCTAGGAAGGTCAGAGTGATGAGGAAGCAGCGGACTGTTGTGATGATCATCTTTTCGGAGAAACGCTGTTAGTACGACACGGAAGAGAGACGACGAAAGTATAGATCAAAGTAATGAGTGCTCAATGGGAGGAAGAATTGTGAAGATGCAACGAGTAAGGCGTGCCAATGCCTGTTGAGCTTGGTATTGAGGCCTCCATGGCAAGCTCGCCTAAGTTCGTCAACTTGGAGGACACGCTCCGATGATCAAGCAAGAAGTGATGGCAGACATGTTTGCTTTGTCGACGATATACAATGGTGTTGATGCAGGTCGTCGGCCGAGTTATCATGAAGTCAAATCTCGGCGCATGACCACAGCAGGAAGAACCACGAACCTGAATTCATGCTGGGTTTCGGATAACATTCCCGAATAAGTAGCTTGTATTGCGAGTTGCGGCGTGGCCCGGGCTGCGAGACGTGAGATGAGGTTTGGTATTTTCTGTTCATTTAATCTAGCTATCAGTGTTGGATACTTTCCTAACGTCCATTCCTATTCTGTACGAGCAGTCATGGCGATCGCGAGGTCAGAAGCGTCGCTAGATTCCCATCACCATCGCCGAACCCGTTTCATTTGGTAGTCCTTGCAATACCAACAAGGAGCTATTTCATACGCGCGTGAAAGAGTCAGGGCATTGGTTCAAGAATGGCTTGAAGTGCACAGCCACATGATTCCGGAAGCTGTGTGTGACAGGAGTTGTCGTCAACATGAAGTCGAATACAGTAGTCTCTTTGCTACAGATTTGACCTCTCAACGAAAGCACGAGTGCCATACCGACCTACCGATCTTGCAAAATACTTTGGACCATACGAAGAGGAGCTTCCAAGACTCGCTGTCGATACGTGAGAGGTTTCTATACGAATTGTTCGTTTGAAAAGAGATGCAGAAATTGGAGAGGACTGCTGAAGATTCACCTTCCTACAGTATAGTCTCTGCCAAGCCTGGATCCTGAACTACCATACAATGCAGGCAAGCCTATCACGCTCTGTTGGAGACTTGAGAGGCTGGAATCGGCCATTGCCCCAGCTCACGAACACAACGAAATGCTGTGTATCTGGTTGTGTAATCTTCGTACGCATCGAGGTACCGTCTACATTGCCGATTGATGATCTTTTCTGCCCTGGTTTGAAATCCATGACACCCTACCTCGGGGCGAAACGGGGAATCTTTGATGCACCAATGGATACCCTTTCTTGCACAAGGTGCACGTGCATAGATCGATTCGTAACGCTGACCTGTACAGAACACGAACCACGTCTATGAAGGATCCAATGAGCTCTTGATGGTTACAAGCAGAACATTTAACGACTTTGGCCAAGAAGTGGGCGATGGACAGACCCTGGCGAGGATTGAACACTCTACATGCATAGATAAGAGCTGGTTCTCAAACACGATTATCCACTGAAACCTCCTGCCATGTGGAGGGCTACGGTGTCGAGACGAGCATGAAGCCGTTAAACGACGTTGCAACTTGGCCACGATGTCGTATATCTGGGAACGAAGCGGGCTTTCTCGTCCATCATGCTGCAAGTACTAGTCTGGTGTCTGATCTCCGAGCTGTCTTCGCGGAGATAGGCCCTTGCATTAGATGAAACAAACGCTTGGTGGCTTCCAAGACAAGAAATGCTGAGGTGGCACATCAACACCTGCATACGGGAAGGAGACAACGTCCAGCTTTCGGCAGGAGCCTGTGTGGGGTGGGTGTGTGGTTTCTGATCCAAAAGAGCCGTCTACTGCAAGAGAATATTATTCGAGAACATTGAGTATCCTTGCGACTGACTCTGATTGGCGCAGCATCTCTGTGTCCTGCTAGAGGCTGTCCACTATCACAGACGAGTCAGTCTGTGAAGCCCGCCAGTTTACCGTCAGGCACTTCCTGCTATTTCCCTTATTCTCTTCGTAGCTTCCAGCAAACCCAGCTTTGAAGAAAGGACTTGTTTGATATCGTTGTAAGTTGCCCCCGAAGGACAGGAAGGAGGTCACAATACCCTCAAATGAGATACAGATGGTCCAATCATATTTTAGGGGCCAGAAGTAGAGAGCGACATGTACAGCATGTGAAGATCTCAGGCCCTGAAGTTCGTGCCTTTGCATCACAGTAGAAACAAGCATTATACAGCCACTTCCGCAAGCTTAAGCGACTTATGTACCAAAAATAAGCGACAGCGGAACGCCGAGCGCGCCCCTTCTCGTAGGGGTCGTCGCCGCCGCACTATCCCCGAGCCGTTTCGAACAACTTGCAACGCTCCGATGCATGACTTCGTGTAGGGTAGCAGAAGCAGCTGCATGACTCGATGTACATCAGTGGATCGTACTTCGCCTGATCAACATCTACCTAGATTCCTCTCATCTCATTACGCATCCTGCTTTGCCAGCATTGCGCGTTCATCGTACGTGTTACACTCTGTTTCAAAGTTGCTCTTGGCCAGCCCCTCCCACAATGGACCAAGCAGAATGCACAAGAAGAGATGGAACGACGAAAATGAAACGGAAAGATGACCAGCTGAACCATGTCAATTTACACTCACGAATGCAAGAAAAAACAAGAGTTGGCTCAATAACAAGGCAGGATGGCCAAGCACGTTGGCAAACGCAAATCTGAAGAGATGCGTGTTATGCTGGTGGTCGACAACATGGTGCCCGAACCCGTGCCATCCCTTCTGCATCCACTTCCTATATCCCATCTCTATCTTTCTCAGCGATATCCAGTTTACGAGAACGATCAGTGGTGGTGGATAGCAGAGCCCCTTGCATCTTCTGCTCCCTACCAAGGTCCGGAAGCCCAATTTATCAATCCAAGAGCTTTCATCCGACCCGTACTGTCTATGTGATTGTGTAATGCTCAAACGATGAACGAGCACACCGCCAAGCTCTTGGCAACGATTGCAGAACTGATCTGCAAGTAGCGGTCGATCAAGAAATTGGCCGGGAAGAAGGGACCGTGGATTATGCGAGCACGGGCGGGTCTACCCAGATGCAACAGCCACTCCAATACGTTGAAGCCAGCGTGTACAGCCTCGACATGTCACCTGCCGTGTCAACATCGGTGAGACGGATAAAATATTGCAAGTAAGAAAGGTCGGAGATGAAGCAAACTCTGATTGTAGTGACACTGCCTAGCTCAGCAACAAAACTTTGTAGGCAACTTAGACACTCTCAACGATTATTTGCACACAAAATTGTTATTTTCCGGAAACCGTTTACTAGTAGGCCGGAATCAATTTCACTTCTAGATTTCGCCGAAATACGTCAAGATTGCACGATAGGCTCAACGTCTCAACCATGCAATGTTGTGCTGCTGGCAATTGCCAAAGTAGATAGTAGTGTACAGAGGTAGCACCATGGAATCGATACTATGCCTCAAACAATCGCAGACTGCTAATCATCCATAGAAGTTGTGCTGTAAGATCATGTTCTTCGTCAAAGGTCGTAAAGGTCATCAAACGTTAGGTTAAGGGCTGTGACAGCTCATCGCCACAAGTGGCAGAACAAAGGTTGAAGCTAGCAAAGCCATTACTTTTCCTCTGTGGTCTGTTTCTGCTTTGGCCATAGGATGAAGGCAAAGGATATTCCGCCTTTCAGAGCTGCAGCTAGCCAAAGTCCACCTGCCATACCAATCTTTGCTTTGTACATCTCACCTCCAATAAAGGCGCCCAGGAACAATGATATGATTGAAGCAAGCCTCTTGTTTTGTCGTCTGCCAGTTTTGAAGATGAATTCCTTCAGCCCAGAGCTTTGTCTCCACAAGTTTCTTGTGCAGAGTAGGTCTGCTGTCCAATCGTGATAGAGGGTGCTGAGCACAATCGTGGGCAGTTCAATCACACTAAGATTTCTGCTCAAGCATACTTGTCCAGCAGCCTCAAAGGCAAGCAGCACAATCGGTATTGTGTCACGCCAATTCGCATAATCGGGATTGAGCTCTTGATAAGGGGTCGTATGTGAACCTGAAGAGAATTGTCCCAAGACGAATGGCCTGTTCGATACGACGCCTGATGTGACGAGTGCAGCTGATATGACGATAAAAAGTGACTGAATGAGAAAGGAGAAGACGAAGATAATCCGTCGACGCGAGGTTGGCTGGTTATGAAATCCAGTCGGTGATCGATGGAGAATGTTGAAGAAGATTGTTCCTATGCAAAATGCACCGATTGCAATGAACGACTTGATGTATTGCTTGCCGTGAGCGTTGTATGGCAATCCGCCTATTCCGAGAGCACCGAAGACAGTATTGCCTGAACACGATTAGCGGTGTACAATATCCTGGTGTACTGTAGCACATACCTGTTTGCATGCCAACAAAGCAATTCCCTGCTCGATGGTTAGAAAATGACAGAAGGGGAGGTAGAGTAACAAACAGCTATTGAAGGCGACCGCATCAGTAAGACCGCTGCAGAAGAAACACATTATAAGTATGGAGTTCATGTAGGAGATGTCCAGTTCATTGTTGCTGTACTTCGAGACTCCTTGGGAACGCAAGCCAATATCCATGTCCTCAATGTGTCCCTGAGTTGGTGCTGGTGTCGGAGTTCTTGATAATTTTCTTCGTGGGTTCGGACTTGGACTTCGGGAGATATCTGGAGTATTGTTGAGTGTGGGTGCGGCAGAGTTGAATTTTTGAAGGTCAATAATCGAGGCCGTTCTTTCCTGTTGTGCCTTGTCGGCTCCAACAAATTTGACAGCCATATCGGCAGGTGCAGATGGTGTAGACATTGCGGGAAGGTGTGACCCAGTACAGAAGTAGGGACTTCGTGACGGCTGGGTACGATTGTGTGACAGTTGAAAGGTTGACAATTGCTTTCAAACAAAGCAGAGAAATTGTGCACAGATCAATAGAATGATATACTGGAGCACGAGCCTTTCACGGTGACCCGCTTGAAATTCGATACACGGGGAAAATGGGTATAAAGAAGACGCCGGTTCTATAAGTTAACTCGGGAAGGAGGAAAGGCTCCGCTCAACATGAATCTCAATATATGCTCCGAGTGGAAACGCCATATCTTGTTGGAGGGGCAGTGTCAATGTCGTCGTCCACAAGTGCCAAGCCTCAGATCATGAGGAACGGTTCCACAACGTTTTGATCAAGGCATGCTCATACGCTTCATTGGTAGGGAGAACTCACAACAATGCATTGTGGCCTCGATTCGATATAGCAAGACGGATCTCGACATGAAACGGCATCACGACCAGGCACCTTGCGCGCTTCGGAACATACAACCAAGACGGCATGCATTGTTGCCATGTGAAAATGTTCTTAACCATACGTCAACTGTCGTAGCGGACATACGTACACAATATCCTTCTAACCTTTATGCTAACAGCAAAGGGGACAACGTTAGATTGCATAGGAGCAATAGTACGTACCACGGGCCTTTTCGAGGTCGACGTTCAAGCTCTTCAGAGCCTGACGTGGCTTAACACAAGCTTATTTGGGAATGTAGAGCAAGAAATGTCCACCTAGATAAGGCTCGAACTGGCAAATGAAAGCGTTGGGAATGAGCAGCAGGGTGTACAAATGCGGACGGAGAAGATGGAATAACTCTGGGCGCCGAGGAGCCAAGGACCTCTTGGCTGAGATATGAAAATGATCTACGACAGGGTCATGACGCTTCGGATTCCGCTGTCTGGCGTTTGGTGCGGCTGAGGCTGTGTTACAAGTCCCACAAGCAACGTCAGGCCCTGATAATCACGCACAAATTCTCGTTCTCTTATCAACCCTTGTCTGGTACCTGCAGAAGTGAAACTCAAAATTTGCCGATGACATCTTGCAGATCAAGTAACAAGAATAACACAGATTTGAGGTTGAAGAAACCTGCTAGTCGTTCGCAAGACGTCGGGGACACGCCGGACAAGGAAATTACGGGAAGCGGCATGCTGCTGTAACATACCAGAATTCCTCCCGTCGGAAAATGCTTGTCTCTCCTGCATCGCACACCATTGCAGCCACCTCGCACGAGCCACTGGGATGAGTTCAGGCAGGAGACGCCACTTTCAGGCATTTGTAAAAGGCGTTTTCATTTCGCTTCCTGACCAAATTCATGGGATCAGTCTCTTGGCCGAAACTAAAGGGTGTGCTTTCACCTTGCAGCGCCAGTCCTCTGGTCCGAAGAATCTGAACTTCGCAAACCAAGACATAACTCTCTGCTGGTCAATGTCGCAAAACAGCTCGAACGATGTCAACATGCATGATCGTTATCTCAGGACTGCCACAGATCGCCGCTAACGTTGCGCTTGCCAGAATCAATACTGGCCAGCAGAATGGGAACCCATCTTGAGTTACCTCTTCCAAATATTGTCAGACGCTAAGTTCTCGATCTGATAGTTATGTTTTGTTATCTGTACCAGATGGGCCACAATAGATCGTTATCAGCGCGTACTGGAACAAAACAACTTGGTCGATCCACATGAGACCTGCTACTTTCCTCGGTACCAGTCAAATTGACCACCAAACGCCAACTACGTCTTTAGTTCGTATACCGATCGAATCTAGACTCCCATCTCAGAGCAACGTTCAAGATCGTCAACAATGGTACTTCGGACGGCAACAACTATGCCTGAAAGATCACGTCCTTGTTCTTGAAGCGACACTTTTCCTCAGGCTAAACAGGATAGAGTCGGTCTAGCTATCAGCAGGAACACTGGCTAGCGAGGAACATTGGAACCTTCTTCGCTACATCTCGATTCATGATGGTGCCCGGGAACAGTCTCGGTCCGGATAGGCAAATCGATCTGCTCACTCCGACATTGAGCAGTAACCCCTCGTGCTTGTCTACCTTGAGAGGCCCTGCAACGACCGAGTCTATTGATGTTTTAGATCAATGGACAGTTGTTCAACCAGATACAAGCTCACGTATGCGAAAGTCGAAAAGCAATATCGCAGGTGTGCCACCTCGCGAGCCAGAGGTCAGCATGCAATTGATCCCTGCATCTTCTACTACCACACGATGGGTTTTCATGATTCGACTGGTTTGATCTCGGAGATGGCTACACTCCACTTGGTGCCTTTTTGCCTTAGCCAGTCAGAGCCTTATCGTGAGCACGGTGCTTGCACAAGCTCGGTATCTGCGATCCCTCTATGTCATTAGCAAAGGATTGACCGTGCACGTCATTCTGAGGTCGTGGGTAGTGTCTGCAGGTAAGTCTGAGCTTCACTCGATATACCTCCGAATCTGCCTATTTTGTGCAGGTAACCCAGAACTATCACGGAGCGTCACATTTCGTGCTGAGCTTCCGTCAAAGGTCGTCACTCAAGGTATTATCTAGCGTTGTTCCGAGTCTCCTTCAGTATGTTCAACAACCCAGCCATGTACTCGATATTTGATATCACGCGATTCAAGCCGCGCAACTTTTACAGAGGCGTCACAATCAGTCAGGACGTATTTGACCCTGTTCTCTCTGCTCTTTTGTATTCAGTCTTCTCACTTCCAAGTTGCAACCATCATAATTGTCCACGATGATCACTCTTGCTCCTACGAACTCCTTACTGTGACAAACTTTCCCAAAAGTTCGAACCACGTTCCAAGGCAGAGGCTCGAAGCCAAGACCTCCCGCCATCGACCAACCGGAATGAAGTTTGGAAAAGCTTGTTTCATCGCCTCGTCCCATGGCCACACCAGACGTGACAGCAGCACCTAGCAAGACTGTATCGGAAGTCATTCCGGAGTTTTGCGCACAGGTGGGCCTCACCGTGCTATCGACGACGACATCGGGTCATGTCTTAACATCCAAATCGAACCCATGTATGCCTGCAGCGTGAATTCTCGACGCTGACATACATCGTCTGGATGCCACACTCCCTACCACCCGTTATCAAAGTCTTTGGGGAGTTGCGATAGTCACTTCGTGTCCTGACAGACCTCAGTCGAGAAGACCCTGGCTGACCGAGATAGCACCATATATGATACGACCGAAACGACTCAAATATTGGGCACGAACCAGTGCTTGGCAACTCAGAAAGTCTGCTTCCGCTCACTCGCCTCATCTCACCCAGCGAGTGTTGTGTATCAAGATAAGGAATTTATACTCATTTACCACAAACGCTACTCGAGCACAATTGTAATTATAATGGAGGAAGACGGGTCGTGAGTTCGTAGCAGGAAGCGCAGAGTCCTTGAATTATCAACTAAGACTTGTTGCGCGGTGGAGATTACATCAAGCATGCCTGCAATGGGCATGCCAGTAGATGAACTTGTGGTGAATCTCATCTGGCAGTCGTTCCCCCTCCTGATCTATCAAACAGAATATTCTTAGAAGCTAGCCAGGGGCACGCCATGATGATGGACAAGGTCAAGCACAGCCTTTGTGGACTCCTTCCCAGGCATCTTCCGTCACGAAAACAGCGCTCCAAACTATTCGAACCATTTCTGGTCTTGTGCCTGATCACATAAGTAGGCGGGATCATAGTATGCATCGCTCACAAGATTCAGCACTGACACGGCTGCACAAGGATCGCTCTGACCACCGTCCTAACACGGTTGTTTCAACACGTAACATCGCCGCTAACCTCAAAAACACGCCAACGCTTAATCGCTCAAGTCTTAACAGTCGGCTCAGTGGTGCCGATGAACTTCTGAAGCTTCAATAGATCGAAGGCAACAGACAGTGGCTCCTTGAGGTAATCCTGAGCGTCCATGCCTAGCTTGCTCTTGTCCTCCTCCAGTTTCTCAACATAAAGTCGAACTGTTGCTCCACTACTGCCGGTACCAGACAGACGGACGACGATTCGCGAAGTGTCGTCGAAGGTGAAGAAGATGCCTTGGTTCTTGCTGACAGAGCCGTCCAGATCAGTGTAGGAGAAGTCGTCGGCTTCGACGATCTTTCGGCCCTTGATGGAAGAGCCAATAGTCTCGTCCTTCTTAGTGGTGATTAGTTCTTTCAGGTACTTGACCATATCATTGGCTCCATCGCTGCTGACATCCTCGTAGTCGTAGCGAGTGAAGTAGACACGGCCATAGGTGTTCCAGAAGTCCTTCTGGATTTCGGCGACAGAAGGTAGTTTACCTGTGTCTTTTCCAACACCTGCGATAATGTTGAGCCAGGCAACAACCGCCCAAAGACCATCCTTCTCTCTGATGTGATTAGAGCCAGTACCGAAGGACTCTTCTCCACAGATCGACATCTTCTTGTTGTCCATGAGGGCACAGAAGAACTTCCAACCTGTTGGTACCTCATACACATTGAGACCCTGCTTCTTTGCGACCAGGTCGAGAGCCTTTGACGTTGGCATAGATCTGGCTAGACCGTAGACTCCCTGCTGCTTGAAGTATGGGATATATTTCTCTGCAAAGTGAGAAATGATAGCCAGAGAATCACCTGGTGAAACGAAGGCGTTGTGACCATAAATCATATTTCGGTCGCCATCGCCATCGGAAGCAGCACCAAAGTGAATGCTTTCCTTGTCGACTCTTTCCACGAGAGAATGAGCATACGTAAGGTTGGGATCTGGGTGACCCCCATTGAAATCTGGACTTGGGATACAATTTTGAGTGCTAGACTCAGGCAGACCGAGCTCTTTCTGGAATATGGCAATGCCATAGGGACCAGTGACACCGGAGAGGGCATCGAATAGGACTTTGAAGTCTGAGTGGGATTTGAAAAAAGATCTGATGAGATCGAAATCAAAGATATCTTTCAGCATCTCGACATAATCTGCTGTCGAATCTATGACTTCGACTTCGAGATCGCCATATGTGTTGCTACCGATGTTGTTGAGGTCAACGTCTGGAATATCGGAGATCTTGTAAGATGTCAAGCCCTTCGATTTCTCAAAGATCTTGTTGGTCACTGACTCTGGAGCCGGAGCACCGTTTGAGAGATTGTACTTCATGCCAAAGTCGGCCTTTGGACCACCTGGATTGTGGCTGGCTGTGAGCAGAATGCCACCGGTGTAGCCTCTCTTTCTGATTACGTGACTGGCGGCTGGCGTGCTGAGGATGCCGTTTTGTCCGATGATCAGATTCTTGACTCCATATGCGGCTGATATCTTCGCGATCTTCTGTACGACTTCAGGATTGTAATATCTTCCATCACCACCAATGACGAGCTTGGAGCCCTCCACGCCTTCTGGAATAGAGAGGAGAATCGAGGTTATAAAGGATTCCGAGTAATGCTCCTGTTGAAAGACAGTGACCTTTTTCCTCAGACCAGACGTCCCGGGTCTAGAATATCAGTTAGAATAGCTGCCACATAAACTGACCAAGGTTCACATACTTTTGATCCCCGAAGGATTTAAATTGAACCTCTTGAACGCCCATTTTTCCTCTTTAGTGTGTCTGTGTTTTCAGGTAATGCAAAAGACCTTCAACAAAGAACCAGATCAGTAGGTCAGTATAGCTACTGAAATAGAACAGGCTGGAATTGTCAGAGTAGTCGAGATCTGTTTGATAAGTCCTCTTGAGATTTCTTTTCTGTCTACAGCCCCGCAGTCAACAAAAATCCAAGTGTAGGAACGAAATGACGTCGCCAATCAGGGTCCTGCCTGTCCATTTGCGGGTTTACTTTTTTCCTTGGCCTAACCCCAACGTTGAGCTTCGTATGTGGTTCGAGAAAATCGGGAACATCTCAAATGAGGCTGGGCATCTACATTGACGAGCTCCTCGATTTTGCTTGGTACGTGTAGATACAGTTGTTGCGACCAACTCGATATCCTCGCTGAGCTAGGCACGTCTCAAGCGCTATTACTGAAAACGTTCTTTGATGCGCCTCCGTCCAGCAGTTCTCTCGTGCTGAGAACCTCAGAATCATCCATTGCTATACATTCCGCCAGTGAGTTATTGTACCAAGTCAGGTATCAGCAAGTCCAAGATGCTCTGCCCGTCGCATGTGTCCCTCTTGAGTATCTTACTCCCGAAGCTTTGAGTGTGAACACAGGATCCGAAGCGTCTAAGAATTAGCTATGAGGACCGATAACAGCGGAGCTCTTGCTTTGGGGGGCCGACAGGCTGGCCCTCTGGTGGGATCTTTACTGGCGTTACAATCGTCGACGCGTGACTAAGCAGTACAGAGTCATAACACGATGGCTATCTCCTTGATGATTATCGATATAGCGTGTTCAAATATTGCAGAGGAGGAGGACTTGGTCTGCTCATAGCAGACAGTATTGAGGTAGATAAGTTGCTTTGCTGCGAGTACCACACGGTGTCCGGGAGCCAATCGAAGAAAGACCTGTGGAATAAAAGTGATGCTTACAAGCTGCCAGTTCATATTAGAGCTCATACATGTGCAAAGATGCCGCCACGTCTGACAATCCGCAATGTGTCTGGGGCCAAATTCCATTGAACCAGATAAAAGTGGTCTGGTCGAAACGACAGTACGGCTAATCGCGGCGATCGTGCAAAATGTCATCGGTTTCTGTGTCAGAGAGCCTCTTACGGTCCGGTTTACTTCAAGGTGGTTTGAGGGTCTTCTTTCGAATGCTACGTTGGCATGACAACCCAGTGACGAGATTAGTGTAGCGTTCAACCACTTGCAGAGTACTCACTACAAGGCCGTATTCTGACCTTAACGATGCATATTGCTGCTCGTCGGCTACATGTCTATAGTTCTTATCAATCAACTTCTGCTAACGGATGCTGGTGGTGCCAGAAGACGCGAGAAGTTGACCTACGCTTGTGTATAATACATGCTCCTGCTCACACTGTGCTGACAGACTTAGTGCCACGAGCTGCTTAACTTGCAACAACACGAAGCTGCTAGTAGTCAATAGCCAGCACTGTGAACCTGGTGGGCTTCCAATCCTTGGGGCATCGAGAAGCGGCAGGTATAAGCTGTTCCCAAGGCAACAACTTACCAGGTCAATTCATACGACTACCCGGCGAAGGTGGCACGGGCCCATCTTTGAACACGACCAGCAGTTCCTGGCTGGGCGATTTTCTTTGCAGTCTTTTTGATCGGAACGGAAGTAAGGAATCGCTGGTCAAACTTGACAATCGTGAATTTTCCCGGGCTCACTCAAGACGACAGAGTCTGGGTATCCAGTAGCAGAATCCAAGCAGATCCAGAATGCCAAAGCAGAACAGAAAGCACAGTACGAGTAGTACAGTGGAGCTGTTCACCACCAAATCGTATCCTGCCGTTGAAAGATAACGTGGTCCTCACTACGTACTTCAAGAGTTTTCAGTTGTGAGAATTGCTCTCGATCTGCCAGCACCAGGCTTGAGATTCAGCCAATAACCCTGCATCTTGTCTATGGAGTGCTCCATTCGAAGGTCAAGGTTCTGGGCAGCAATTTTGGACGTGTTGAGGCTAGCACTGTGAGTGTTGCAACTAGCCACTCAACCAGGAACTTTGTGGTGAGAATTCACCACTGGTAATTAGGGGCGCCCTGTTCGTTCGAGCACTACTTGAAGACATCCCGGTACTATCGGGGCACTAACAGAGAACCACACCCTCTCCACATAAAGTACGAGGGACATCTCATTTCCGCTCTTCCAGCACAGAGACTGAGCACCTGCTTCAACCTCAAACACGAGGAAAACCTCTTTACCTGTTTGATCCTTTCAGAATTCTGTTCGGCTACGTAGGCAGTATGGCAAACCAAGAATCGAGGCGAGGAAAATAAGCTGCGGACAGATCACGCAGTCAAAACCTACCCGCTATCTGTCATGTCATTCATCATCTTCATCGGCAAGAGTTCAGCTTTAAGCCGCAATATTTGAAGGCAGAAGCAAACCGGATGACATTGTACAGTACTTGTACTGACATGCAAAAATGCAGTTCTCATGCCTTGTCTTGGCGTAAACAAGGGAGGCGCTCTGAGTTTGTGCGACAAGGGCATTGCTAGCCATACAGAAAAACAACGTTGGGGGAAAGTGTCATTCTTTGTTAAACTGCCTTGAACGCACTGAGTCACTCATACTCGTACTGGGGACAGTTGTGCCACTCTATGCTTCATGCGACATCAACATATCCAGCGAGACACTTGCTGGACACAAGTGGAGCCATGCCACGAATCATGCACAATAAAAGTTGTGTAAAGGAAAGAACTGGGAGCCTGCATCCTGATGTGCAGCAGAACTGACGCTTCAGAGTCGAGACTGAAAGTTAGAAGATGCAGATCGGCCAATCAACGCACAAGCCTCGGTTGGCAGGAATGCAGCGGTAACAACGAGCGCCTACTCGAGTAGGGAGGCAAGACCCACAAAATAACAATTGCGCCGATATCACGGCTGTAGGCACGATTGATTGGGCACCACTCATCCTGCTGTCAGGGCTGCAAGCCTATTCACTGGGAAGCAGAACGGCTTCCATGGCTGCTGGTTTCCCAAATTACGTTTTGCACCGTGCAACAAGTGCAGTTTTAGACGATACTGTCGTAGATTGCGCAACTCTCAGAACGAGCTGCTCCTTCAATCCTTGCCTGCACGTTTGTGTCTCGCCAATTCCTTTCAGCCTCCTTCACAAACTCTCACGCCTTTTCATTTCATCAACTAAGCTTACTTTTAGCGACTTGACTCAATATAGATTGGCTCAGAAATAAATGCCCCAAAGTCATGGTCAATTCCCAATCAACACGATTGAAGTGGAGTCTATTGTCGTGTCTTCAATCTGCTTGCAGTTTGTCGGAAGGCTAATCCCAGACCTAGTGCGCTGGCGTAGCTCGACCCAATAGCGCTGCAGGCTTACAACAGTACCTGGGAATAGAGTGGTGGCCAGTCCTTGCACCCAAGGACTCTGCCTACCTGGTGACTCAGTCTATGTTTTTTTATCAGACCTCGTGATAGGTCGAATCTACACCATACCGGAAGGTGGTTGCTTACGGCTCGAAATTGAACACAAATGAGTTGGTCAATTCAATAGGCAACCTAGAGCCTATGGGACGATCACCAGGACCTCTGTCTGCTGTAGAGTTGTGACATTGTTCCACAAACTAATACATTTACACATTATCTTTAATCGTAAAGGATTGTACAATAGTCTCTGGGCCATGGACGATCCCGTGAAGGTTCGTACGGAGTATCCAGTGGCAGTAACACAGAGCAGGGGATTTTGGGCACGGCCTCATGCTTCGAGGAAGCGGATCGGAGCAACATGGATGATCTGAGAAGTGTGCTGAGAAATGCGCCCAGCCACAGAGCGATCCTTCCTTCGTTCGCCTGGTCTTCATGTCAGACCGTATCCACTCATCGAAGGGGCTTCGACTGGCTCTAGCGTCGAGTTTCGCAAGTCTTTTAGCTCCATCAGCACATGGCCGACTCATCAGTGAGACTCCGAGCGCCGACCAGGGTGATGTGTCCGTCTGCTTGTTTTGGACTGTGTGGATGCAACCCATCATGCGCTTAGCTATTCGTTGATTGTCTCTGAAGGCTAAAGTTGACCCACCACATGGATATTGATGGCTCGTGTGGGTTCCTGTGCATCGTCAAGCTCATCGTCATATCGGTTCGCCTTGAGCAGAATATAGACATACACTTGCCACATCACTTGACTACAAACCAAACCACCCCTCAACCATCTTGGACTTTGGATCTCATATACTCCTTGGATATTCAGCGTCGACACACATTCCTTCACTAAGCCCTTGGATCTGGTTACTATATCTCACCACTGTCGCCGCTACTGTATCATTCAATTAATCCGAGGATCAAAAGCACTTATTCAAACCATCATTACTACCGTTTTTCGGAGGACCTATACATAGTCGACGAGCGAACATCGCGGCTGGACCCATGTTATAATCCGTTGTTTCTCTCTGGCCGTCCGTCAGTCCTCCCTTCATCTCCATAAGTACACAGCTACTTTTGGGCTCTCCCAATAATGCTTCTTACCCCTCCGCCATCACCACATCTACGATCAATATGTCTTTCTCCGGAAGATAGGCTTGGATGTGTTCTGGCGAACCGACTTGAATTGGTCTCGGTCCTAGGCGTCGGAGCTTATGGCGTAGTCTATCAAGCAGTCGATATCTACACGAACGAACTATACGCGGTAAAGGCTCTCCCCAAACATGGATTGGATGCTCGGCAGCGACGTTTCCAGCAGGCAGAAATCGCTCTGCATTACCAGGCCAGTCAGCATCCCAATGTCGTTTCCCTGATGCGGGTCATGGATAGTCCTGATTGCACGTATGTCGTGCTCGAGTATTGCCCAGAAGGCGACTTGTTCTCGAACATTACCGAGCGGGGATGTTTTGTGAACGATGATCGCCTGGCCAAACACGTTTTCCTTCAGCTTCTGGACGCTGTACAATTCTGTCACTCCGTTGGGATTTACCACCGAGATCTCAAACCTGAGAACGTCCTGGTCACCGACAACGGTCATACTGTCAAGCTCGCTGACTTTGGCTTGGCAACTCGTGAGAAGATCACTACAGACTTTGGGTGTGGCTCAACATTTTACATGTCGCCAGGTAAGCAAATCCTTATTTCAGCCACTTGTACCTACAGCATTGCTAACAAGCATAGAATGCCAACGCCCATCTACTCGATCTCACGCCTACTATGCATCCGCGCCTAACGACGTCTGGAGTCTTGGCGTCATGCTGGTAAATTTGACTTGTGGTCGTAACCCTTGGAAAAAGGCCTCTCCCGAGGACTCTACCTTCAGAGCCTATTTGAAGGATCCCAACTTTCTGACCTCAATACTACCCGTGGCTCCTGAACTGAACTTGATTCTCCGTCGTATCTTTGAATGCGACCCTCAGCAGCGAATATCTCTGGCTGAGTTGCGGGAAGTTATTTTGGCATGTCCCAGGTTTACTGTGAGCTCGTACCACGAGTTGCCACCTTCGCCTGGACAAGATTACGAATACGTTGACACCATGGACTGCGAGAACATGGCGCTCCCACCATCACCACCAACTTCACCACTGTCGTTAGCCTTCCCTATCGAAGTCTCCGAATGGTCTCTTTTCAAACCAGGTTCGAAACAAACATCCGAAACTTCTACTTCCTCCTCTTCTTCATTTGACTCTGGCTATGAGTCCGAACCAAGTCCTGGTGATCTTTCTCATGCACAAGCTTTTAATGTTTACGGCAACGTCCTACCTTTCAATGATTACGATAAACCGAGTTACCAAGTTCGATTTGTTCCTCCTTCTATTGCCGTTTACTGAGCCCAACATTCTGGACGCTTGAATACTGCGGCGAAGGTATTTTTCTCTTGGTCATATATTCTAGGGATTAACACAATTGTAACACCACGGTGCAAATATCCTAGACTACTGGGTGGACGATGTGGACAGACGATGTCGGTGTTTTGTTTTTGGTGGATTATATCTGGGTGGTCTGAGTCGCATCATACAAGCAAGCGAGTTCAAGAATTTTGCATCTCATGGGAAAGGAAGCGAGGTATAGGAGTTAACAAAATCAGTAAGTCACTGCCCAGTCCAAGTGCTGGCACGGGTATACTGCTGGAGTGGAGGTATTGTTGAGTCTTTTCTTTGCAACAAAGTATAGACGTTATATCGATTTAACAACGTCCCTCGCATCACGACAGGTTGTCTTGGAGATAGAAGTTTGTCCTCTTTGAATGGTACATACAATTCTGCTCGAAATTGCCTTTGCTTGTCCGAGACTCTTTACTTTGGCGCCTCTGCACAACCGTATATTCGTTTCCACGAGTGCTATCATATCCCAACGATGTGGCTTTCCTACTATCTTCTTGGACATTTCTGGTTCCTTCTTAACTTTGCCAAGGCTAGCATCACTGATCGGCACTGGTATCCACGTCTGACTAGCACAATACGCTGATTGGCACTTTACGCGAAACGCTGCATGATCCTGAGGTGTACTAATGCACATCTTCCATGCACACGATCGAGAGATGGGGCACAAGTCGCGGGTGACCTCCCACTAGTGGCAGGAATGGCTGCCTCATCACCATGATGGTGCATATCGACCATGCAGCTTATCGCTCTCGTCCCTCACCAGACCTATTTCAGTGATGTCAAGGTTGCATGCAGGATGAAGCACGATTAGTGCCGGACCGTAGTAGTGCTGCGGTCCTGAGACAACGCCTTTTCACTCAACGAAGATTTGTGCACACACAAATTCTTGAGGTTAGAGCTATCCTGATTCAAGTGGTATGCATCAGTCTGGTGAGGCGCCTCGCAAATCAGGCATGAGTGTCGAATATCCATAATGTGACACTTTGTCCTTCTCAGGCTTCCCTTGCTTATCCTTCTCGTGGGGCAGACTCAATTTTGAGGTTGGACCACGAAATACGCTTGCCACACCTACCCGCAAGTTGCCGCCACCCCAATTCTCGCCACCTGCAACCAATTCGCATACTCTCACCTGATGGTGTTCAAGCGGGTTCACTGCTGCCCCTGCCACCAATCTACACTCTGTTCAGTGGGCTACTTCATCCGTCGTCTCAGTAGCGTTTCGAATTCAACTAGTTGCTTCCTGTCTGCGTCGTGCATCTTCGGGGGCTTTTCAGCTCGCTGCCTGCCAAAGTAATCGCCGATTCGTGTTCCATTCTACGTTCCATGGTATTTCTGTCTATATTTCACTCGTATCCGATGGTTTATGGTGCTACATCGCCGGATTCCGTATCGCATATCCGAGCCATGCCCCAGTGTGGTTGGTGTTGTTCGCGTTGCCGTGCACGAGTGCTTACACATTTCACGGTAGGTACAGTATTGAAGGTGAGTGATACTCTTGGCATAAGCGAAATCGTTTCGAAGTTATGTCATGCGATAGCGACGAGGTCCTCACAGAATTGTTGCCCGTTCTGGCTCGACCCTCTATCGTGCAAGACTCAAGTCACATTGCGACTCATTCATGGTACTTGGCACAGTCTACCTCAACTGTCCGCTCTATACAGAGATGGGAAACAGCACGGTTTGGCGACGGTACGTGGTACTTTCCCGCTGAGGTACACGCATTTTTCATCCTGACACCGTCGATATGGTTTGGCTCTCTGCACACTAGCCCTACACAACTGAATGCAGCGCTCAGCATAAAACCCTCCCAAAATGGGTTTTAGAGTTCATCACCGCGCTTTCCGTGGCACTGCCCGCGAAATCATTGTCCCGATTGAATGGTTCGCATATCTGGCTGAGATCGTGCGGCACATCTATTGACAGAAACTCAGCTTGCGGCACACCTCAGCGCTTTTTTTAAGGTTCATACGCGCGACACTATTGCTCTCATCGCGCTCTTTGTTGACGCCCGAGCTACTGCGGTATTTGCAAAGCAGGATGGCTTTGACAACAGTCAACGCGTCACGCTTGCTGTGCTGCTCTCCTTTGCAGAATCGCTATGATTGTGCATAATTTTCCATATACACAAAAATTCGCAAGTGGTGTACTTGAGTAAGTGGCCATGGGTGACCGGTTTCACTACGACAGATTCTGTGAACTCTCTCCAGCCACAGACTACGATCCGGAGGACTTTGCGAAATATAGGCGGGTACGGTATCAAGGGCAGAATATAGTGTATGAGGTAGTAACCTTTCTTAGCATAATTAATTTGTGTTCCAGAAGCATCATGCAACTGCAAACTCACACCACACATGGCTGTGGATGCACAAGACAAACGCCGATGAGGTACGAAGTATGCATGTTTTCGTATGCACTGGCTCTTCTTCTCATCGTTGTTGTGCAACACATGGAATGGTCGCACTATTTCCGTCCTTGGCTTTCACGAGCTTTGGCTTATCTGTGATCTCGGCTCATCTTACAACGCCACAAACGCAGCCACGTTCTCATCTGCTGTCAGTCTAGGCCTTGACGTGCACCACATTTGCTCATCTCATAACCAAATTCACGCAGGTGGTGAGGACCATGCACTGGCGTGGTACATACCTAGCGTGCTGTTGACAGAAGTTGAGGTCCGAGCTCGTGCTACGATTAGTGCTGTCGTGCCATGTCAGCAAACACGAGCAGAAGTAACTGTCGTCAATTCTTTCCAAGCTCTACACTTGACAACCTCGCCATGTCTTGCCATCGCTTGCATATGCCGCAAACACCATAGTGAGATTCGTACGCACGAAGACAGGCACGCTCGGTGGCCGTGTTGTTCCTGCTGATTGTGCTCAGTTGGCTTTACAATGGCTCTTCTCCTTTAGCATTCCGCCATTCACGAAACAGGCACTTTGTCATGGAAAACACTGACAGCCAGCCACGCACCTAAAACGCACGATGGACCGCTTGTGGTTGTAGTCCTCAATAGGGGTGGTGAGTGTGCAACATGGGTACGAGGGGCTGAAGTTCAGTCCATCTGCCAGAGGCATAAGCTTTTTGTAAAATTGGGTGGGCACCTCTTACTGCCTCAGGCACGTACACTCTGCAGCTTAATTGCCTGGTCATCAGTCTCCTGAGCTCACTGGATTATTCGTGCCTCAGGCAAATGTCATGGCATTTCCAGCCTTGTCACACTTGCTTTGCTTTCCTCCTGTTCTAACACGCTTCAACATAGTGATACTTCGAATCTGTCTTGGAGTAGGGTTCGCTCCCAGCCTTTATGCTTCACCGCAAACGCACTCCAATCATTGGTCTGCCTCAATAGATTGTTCTTCACATATTTTTCAAGCACGGGACACTCTTTACTGGCTTTGATGAGCACCTCTTTCGTTATGTCTTTCCACTCCACGGTGTTCGTTGATGGTACCGATTCAGCATCTCTGCAGAAGTCACTTATACGATGTTTAGACATCTGATCCTGATGCAGGCTTGGGTGCTCCGCCTCGTGAGCTTTCCTGGTAACAATGTCGAATTCGTGACCCGCCCAGGACTCCTGGAACATTTTGTGTCCATCGGTATGTATATATCGTCCATTAATCTTACTCCAGCGAGTCTGCATCACTAGGACGTCGTCAAGAAGAAGTCGTGGTCCTTCTGCAAATGGATCAGTGAAGCCTGTATAAGAAACATGAGCTCTTTCCGGTCCGTCACAGTTGCAAACACAAATCAGTTGACGAGTTGTCAAGTTCCGAAGATAGTATTCGGTCGTACCGCATACATCGCTCCTGGTGTTGCACAGAGCAGCCTTTATCAGTCCACCACGAGAATCCAGGACAGAGCTGACTTCAGCCAAAGCGGTCAACCACGCTGACAGAAGATTCTCGCTGAAATTCTTGTACCTGGAAGATGTGGCCCAGTAATATCGTCTCGCTGGAAAGGACTGCCACCTCCTCGGAGTAAACGACTTACCATTGTCAAGGTCCACATCAATCAGATCATGCATCCGGACAGAGCTGTATGCTAGTCTATTCTCAAAGAACGATGTAGGTAGTGACTCAAGATAGTTGCCCACGACAGCTATGGGCACGCCTGCCCAGGGCGCAGAAGTGTTCAGAATATCACGTTCGATCGCGACCAGTACTATCCTCAGAAGGCAGCGACAAGTAAGACCAAGGCAGACAACTTCGCGCTTATCAGTAAATTCCAGGACAAGATCAAGAAGCTCGGCAGGCAACCGGGCGAGGTGAGACTTATATTGGGATGCCTCAACATTTTGTGCACCATTTCCTAGCTGTTTCCGCGCCTGACAAATCGGAGACTGTATAGGATCATAACGAGCCAATCGATCCCAGAAATTGACGGCTTGTATGCCACCGACACTGGGCAGATTGAAAAGCGACGAGAGAGAACGTCCACTTTCAGTCAGTACTTCTTGTCTCTCTTGCACCGTCGGCACTAAGACCTGCCACTGTTGTGCACCTCAATGGGCGTTAGTAGAGATTCGAATAGCGGTTTGCCTGGGTTGTCTTGAGCAGGTGAGGATATCACTCACTTCGTCCTGTCTGATCTACTCCAATTGGACACATATTTGCAACTTCTTACAACTTCCCGCAATTAACAAGAGGCGATCCGTCAATAGCAGAGGTAGACCGAAGAAGATGTCACCTAGCAAGAAGATAGGACCGGAAGAACAGGGGGTTCTTCAAGCAAAAACTAACCACTCGTTCTTGGCACATCTGCCTAATTCTCTATTTTGCCAGATTTGGTTAGTTACAACAGGCACACTATCGAAAAGAGAGCAATTTGACATTGCATAAGATATGGAGAAGCCATAGAGGTCTTTGGCCCTGCTCCAGCATCCGAAAGAAACCACACAATAGTATACACAAATAGCGGCGCTTAGACATTTGAGCCCAATCATTTCAGCCGCTGCTATACCAGCCTGAGCAACAAGAAAGTAACGGAGAAACAAGGAGCAGCGATGCCAACATCTCAAAGCCTGCTTTTATTACTATCGAAGTCAGTCAGTCTAAGGCCTACACGAACACGCGAATACCTACGATGACGCCGAATTACTGTAGCCCTTTCTATCAGGTCCACAGCAACCCTCCGCGGGTCCACCCTTGCCAAACATCGTTCTCAAGTCCTGAACAATGTCTTCTGGCTTTTCGTTTGCAGCAAAATGTCCGCCACTCTCGTGTAAGTTCCAGAACACTACTGGTCCCATCGTTTCGTGGTGCAGTCTTGGCAGCAACGTAAGTTCTTTTGGGTACCTTGACACACCTAGCGGGACAGGGCTGTAGTTCTGGAAAGTACCCGAGGCTGGATCGTGAGTACTTTCGTAATATATGTGCTGTGTTGCATTCGGGCCAGGCACGCTGAAGTAGTATATGCAGACCCATTGCAGAATTTCCTCTTCAGTCCAGGGATAGTCATCAGTCCAGTCGTGGAGCTTCTCATATATCCATGCCAGAAGACCAACGGGACTATCAGCCATACTGTAGCCAATGGTTTGTGGTTTGGTCTCTTGTACTCTGTAGTATCCCATCCCTTCCGTCTGCACCTGCTTCGAGCGTTCTAGACCTTTCTTCTCTTCGTCCGTCAACGGCGTACTTTGCACTTTCTCCCACAGTTCAGGATCTCGGTCCTTCGTGGGAGCACGAGGAATGCAAAGATTAAGCAAATGACCTCCAATAGCTGGCTGATAATGCTGAACCATGGTCCGCGCAACGAAAGAGCCCAGATCGCCTCCTTGAATGACATACTTCTCATAACCGAGCTTCTGCATCAACTTGTGGCAACTCTCCGCATGCTGACGAAGACTGAAGCCAGGCTTGGTCACTCTATCCGAAAAGCCAAAGTTAATCAGGCTAGGCGACACGACATGAAAAGCAGGTGTATCTACACCATCACCCGACACCAACAACGGAAGAATCTTCTCGACTTCGGTGAAATTTCCTGGCCAGCCGTGAATGAAGAGCAGTGGTATGGCGTTGTTCGCTTTACTCTGCTGATGTACAGAGTGCATGTTCAGACTGCCGAAGCCATCGACTTGGATATTTGTTGTGAATTGTGGGAGGTCATTGTTGAGCTTTGCTTCTGTCTTGCGCCAGTCGTACTTGGCCGTCCAGTACTTAAGGACGCGCTTTAGGTCGGTGAGAGGGACGCCTCTTGCCCATGGTTCAATGCCTTCGATCTCTGGTGGAAGATCGACGAGGGCAAGCTTTTGGGTTAGGCGGTCGAGCTTGGCTTGTGGGATGTTTATCTTGAAGGGGTGAATGTCAGTCATGGTTCTAGGCGGAGGTACTTGTTGTTTTGTCTGTCAAGCGCGTGACGAAGCCGTGTCAATGCTTGTTGGTTTAGTGACTCGACTAAGAGCTGTTAGCTATTCAGAGTAGAATCAAGTACTTATATTGTTAGTGCTCTCAGGCCACATTGATTTCCTTAGTAATTCTGATGACGAACACTCTCTTTTGCAACTGGTGACACAACAGGGACTAACGCTACATGAGCGAGTACTGCCTGAGTAGCATGTATTGCAAGTTCTACTCGTAAACCACGACGTGAGAGATCGACTCCGATTTGCCAGACAACGTCCGCAGGTCGGGATCTTTGGTGGTGGCTTGGCGCCGGAAGGCTGGAGATGACCAACCGAGGCGGTATTTACTGGGTATTTTTCAAAACCCAGGCAAGTCTGTGCGGGCAATATATTCTGTATTGTATCGCTTTTTCGGTCTTAGTTTACAGTAACAGATCACGGCCAGAGCTCTCGAGCAGCATCACGAGAAGGGAAGCCGTGAACGTTTGCTGCACGCCTGAGATCTGACCTTGACCTTATTCGGTGGGCACGAGTGGCCTGAAGTGCAAGTGCTTGATGCAAAGCGACTGATTCTTGATGACTTGCTGCCAGGGAGAATAACAGCGAACAATCTGGTACCCATCTGTGGACGACAAGACTTCCATCGAAAGTTTTTCGGCTCCCCTTGCGGTAGTATTGGCTCTGACCGATGTGGTATGATCTGTATAAGTTGAGTCGTCCAACAATCGACGGCAGCTCGAAGGTATGGCGATGGAGGCTTGTATGGTGATTAGCACACAAGCTCCCAGGAGAAGGGTTGACAATGCTCGAAGCACTTGGTTGATAGGAAAGTCAGATTCCGAGAAGATGCTGTAGATGAAATGAACCGTGTGCTTGACGTATCAGCGCACGTCTTGTAGATCACTAGGTCAATTCCAAATCTGTAGGTCGGTGTATATTGCTTTAACCTCCTTCAGCGCTCTTCATATCATCTCGTGCGTCTTGGCCACCCCGTCCTTGAGCGTTGTTGAATCCACGAAACAATCCCATGTAGTACCTCGCCTCTTCAATGCTCTCCCTTATGTCCTCGTCAGCACTATGTGTCAATTTCTTCATAGGTACGCCGGTCAATACATCATCGTTGCACCACCGCCTGGTCGCTTCTTTAATAGCACTGACGTCTAGAATCCTATAGTGCAAGTGCTTCAGCACCGGAGCCCAAGGTTGTTGCATCAAGAACATCTTGTCGGCATGTACGCTGTTTCCAGCTAGTAACGCAAGTCTAGGCTCCGGCACATGCTGTTGAACATACGCCAATAGCTGAGTGGAAGCTAGTTCCGCAGATATAGCAGAGGAGGAAAGACAAGCTTCAACGAGGCCATTAGCAGTGTGAGTACGTTGACACCACTCGCCCATCGCATCGAGCACAGATTTAGGCGTCGAGACAATGGTGTGGTAGCCCTTTTTGTCGATGAGGTTGAGCTCGTGATCTGTGATGTAGCACGAGATACTGAGGATCCTGTCAGTGTTTGGATCCAAGCCTGTCATCTCACAGTCGATCCAGACGAGGGGATTCGTGCTGGGTGTGAGGGCCATCTCTGCGTATCGGCGGACTGGATTCCTTGGGAGTACTTTCGCTTCCAGGTGATTGCCCTTTGCGACTCTCGGATGTAACGAATAAGAGAATGATGAACGTTTGAAGTCAACTCCTGCCTTTAGGCTTCGTGGATTATTGGACTATGATGTTGAGAGACATGACACTTGAGGAAGAGTTTTCTGTAGCAAAGTAAGCGGTCTTGCAGCGGGCATAAGCACTCAAGAGATCCTGGTCCACGTTGAGGCCAGAGAGAAGGCTCTGATCAAGTAGCGTAAGAGCTATAAGAGTTGTTCGCACTTTATGCAGGTCAATCCCGGAATGAGGTGGGCCGGTCACAATAACGGCGTACTTCTAAAGACTAGATAGAGAACTGAGCTGTCACAAACTTTGAGTAGCGCAGAAGTAACCTTGTAGATATCGCAAAGACGGTTGAAGAGTTTATTCCGCCCATGCTTGAGGAGGACTCGGGATTGGCCCATGGGTGATAAAATACGTTGCGTTATCAATGCTTAAGGTACATACTTCTGCTAATTACTTCTTCTATAACTATCACTCCTTTCCTCTTCTGCTACTTGACCTCCTTGCCAGTCCTGAACTTGCAGCTGCGGTGTTCTCACTCTCCATACTCGTGCCTAAGCCGGAGTCGTGCTGTTGCATCTCCAGCTGCCTCTGTCTTGCATCTTGCTCCATCTTCCTTCTCAGTCTCTGCAGCTGCTCGAACTCATCTTCACTTTCCTCCTCGTCCTCGTCATCAGCTTGTTCCTCAGGTGCACCACCCGCATCTTCGACTGTCGCACTTCTGTCTTGAGATGTGGCAGATGCAGGCTCGGAAGTCTGTGGCGTGAACTCAGCCCCTTGAGCCAGGCCGGATGATGCATTATACACTTCCATTGGCTCGTTCTCCGACCTATCTGTGCCTTCCAATCGAAGAGTCTTATCAGATTTGTAGTCTGTTGTGGTCCGTGGAGGATCAGAAGTATCAATTCCAGGCTCTTGCTTGATTTTTTGCTCCTGCTCTATCTTAATCAAGGCGGTCTTGTCCTTACTCCTGAGCACCGTTGCTACGACTGCCCAGACTAGGGCAAGCGTAGATATGGAAACTGTATAGAACAATGTGCTAAAGACGGCGAAGGCGAGAAGGCGGTAGTTGTAAATGAGGTATCTGAGACCGTGGAAACGAACTTGGAAAACGAGCTTCGCATTATAAATATGCAGTTGCGGCTGTCCACAATTGTCCTCCTTCAGACTGCTCAATGGTCTCTGAGTTTGTATCTCCAGCACAGCAGTTTTAGGTATATTGTCCGCGCCTCTTGCAAATTCCACCTCTTCAAACATTGGGACTGTGAGCTCGACAGAATCTGAATCGTGCCATGACAGGAGATGGAGAGGTAATCGAACGAGTTTCGATACGAGGTCTGTAGTGGGTGAAGCGTATGGCATTAAGGCTGATCTTCTTGCACGATGTAGTACCGAGCTGGGCACGTTCTCTTGCATATTTAATGTCTCCAGCACAGAGGCTGTCAAGCCATCCACACTGCCATGCAGTGTTAGATCAAGCATGAAGTTGCCAGCTGCAAGATTGACCGGATCTCGTGGCATGTGTAAGACGATCGATACGTCGTACGGCTGCTGCGAAATAAAGACACTGGTATCGAGAGCAACCTCAGCTGATGGATATCTGTCTGCGCCATATTGAAGATAAATCGGCTGCTCAAAATCGGTCTGAGGAATAAAGTTGTAATAGAAGAGGCCAAATGCACTTGTCGATATGCTGAGGAGGATGAAGGAGGTGGAAAGGAAGAGGAAGACAGTTAGGTACGTCTTGATTGCAGTGGGAGAGATCGCTAATTGGAATGGGTATATTGCTGCTTCCTGTGACGGTCAATATTTTCTGTTCGTGCTTGAGTGAGTTCCTTACCCATGCCCGGTGCAGGATATCGTCCTCATCGTCGCTCTTGTTCCAGCCAACTAGTCCTGCAACGCCACTCTGCTCAAGGGCTTCTCGAAGCATGTTGACCGTGGCCTGGCATCGTATCAATCACACGTCGGCTTGAAACTAGATCACAAAGTAAAACGCACATGTTGCTTCTACCTCCCGTGACGTAGCCTCGGCGTGTAGTTCCTGTATAGAGAATTGTGCAGGCATACATATTGCCACAAATTTGTGATTATAGCAACAGGCAGGCCTTCAAGCTTAGCATCTTCGGCAATTACAGTGGACGTTTTCATTAATCACTGTACAGGTCTATGCTCATGTTAGCGAGCTTATCACGTTTCCTGCTCGGTAGAATCGCCACTGCTAGTAGTGCTGCGTTCTGCGTAGCTGTTCTACCTCTGGATACATGTGCAAGTCATTCTGTCATTCCCTTACTTCTTCGCCATACACCCATACAAGATGAGCAGGATGATGAAAAAGAGCTTTGCTGCAGAAGGCGGTAGTGTAAGGCCAACGCAACAGTGGCTCGTTCCATGTGCAAGCACAGAGGGAACTTGCCGACTTGCAAAAATAAGTATAATCAAATAGATTCGTTCCGTAGAACGATCCCAGAGATTAAACTGAGAAGAACAGATACTACACTTGATCTAAGCCAAAAGGCTTTGATTTGTTAGTGATTCATTTCGATAAATGATGGGGGTGGTTGCGACGTACCAAAGAGAGCTAAAAGAAAAGAGAAGAAAGCGAAGACGAAAGGCAGTGAGAAGAATATGTACCTTCTGCTGGAGTCAATGACTGCCAAGCAAGTGGAGAGATCCAGTCTCGTGATAGAAAATTTGACAGGGCTGAACACTGTGGTAAGTGTGTGGCTGGGAAGTGACAAGGCTGGTGGGAAGCTGAGCCTGCCTTTACCACGACGTCAATGTGAGCAACAGATAAAGCCGAACTTGAAACGTGTTGATATGATTCTGAACACGGCGACGAAAGCCTTCGAATTGGACAGTGCTATTTCGAATGTATAGAGACCAGAATATGAAGCCGACCTGGATGTCCTACCGAGACTTTGATCCTGTGTTCCATCACTACTCTTGTCGTTGCTATTGCCTATGATGTCGTTCAGAAGGTATTCTGATCATCAGCTCTGAGCTTAACTGCAGCTGCTAAGCCTTCTTGAGGATCACTTCGTTGTCCATCTCGGTCGCAATGATGGACACAATCTCGCTGTACAAGTCGAGATCCGCCTCATAACAATCATCGGAAAGTGATGGATGTATGACTTTGGTCTGTCCTCTGCTAGGAACTTACAAAGCTGGATAGTGAGACCTCCAGTGAGCACAAGGGCCTCATGTGGCTGAAACATGTCTCCATCGAACTCAATGTCGCGTTCGATAACCTTCTATTCGCTTGCATCGATGAGAACACCCTTCCTGCTGTCAGTAAACACTCCAAGCAGCGTCGAGGAACTTACATAGCCCGTTGTAAGTCGACATGAAGCACTGAAAGCAACGTATACTCCTGACGACAACATACACACGACCGGAGGTAGATAGTTGATCAGAACCTGGTAGGGAAGGTTACGTATTGTTGAGATCCAGCTATCCCACTCGCCATCATTGCAACCAGGGCGCTATAGTTTTCTTTCGATATAACGGCGTGCCCAGCCGAGGAAAGTGTTGTCCTTCCCACCCTCAATGATAAGCAACAATACGTCGATATCATTTGCATAGAGGCATGCGCCATCACCATCAACACCATTCACAAGGTATTCGACCCGTTCAAACCGTGGAAAGCTGTGATGCAACTTGGTGAGACCCAATGCTCCAGAATCGACAGAAAGAACCTTTGTGTTCTGACAGACTGCAGGGAACTTTATCTCGTATGTGCTGAACATGCGAAGTGTGAGGTGGTCTCCAAAGATCGATAAAGCCTCAAGTCGCAGTTGTTTGTTCGTACTGAGTATGCCACACCTAGCTCTGTAATCGTCGTTGGAATCTAAACCGCGGCGCGGTCCCTCTTGGTAGACCGCCTCGAGGAACAGGTTATGATATATGATACATCGTATCTCTACAGGCAAGCTGAGGAGAGTTCGGCGAGACGTCGTCAAGGACTGTGTTTGCTGGTCTGATTTGAGTGTGAATGTGGTCAAGATAGACAACGGAAGAGGTAGGATAAAGTAGGCAACCAGAGTGAAGGTCCAAGCAGCAAACAACTAAAAGACAGTATGCACGACGAAACAGAGAAGAAAAGTCGAGTTTGAGGAGAATGACGTGTCGGAAGAAGGAAAGCACAGGCAGGCACGATCTGGCATTCGCTGAACAATAATCATCTTCATCGTCAACACATTATCATTAGTCATTATGAGACCAGCAACATGATCACATCTCTAGTCTAACATATTTAGTTACGCGTACACCTGCCTTGTCCATCTTCGACCATCTCTCTATCCCTCTAGATATAGATAATCTATTCCTTCTATCCATACCACAATCAGCTATCAAAGATGGGTGCAAAGGGAGGGATTCCTCTTGCTTCCAACCCGAACACCACCTCAGCCGTGACTTTCGCGTTACTGATTACGAAAACTGCCTCGACATCGCCCTCTTCTTCGTAAAGTCTCATGGCCTGCGCGATCAGATCTGGTCGGCCCTCATGTTTAGTATCCCGAATGACAGCCTTCGGATCGGCCTTGACAACCCGTCTGATGATGTTAACACCAAACGTCTGTTCTGGGCTAGGTGTCGACCACAAGATTCTGAATTGAAGTCCGGGTATCACGAGTAAGCCTAGGATAGGCGCAATACCCGAGCCAGTACCGACACACAAAATCTTGCGGAACATCTTTGCCATGTACAGCACGCCGCAGGCTGGTGAACCTCGAGTCCAAAGCGTGGTGGGTGGATTATCGATAATCTTGCCCGTCCAATCGCCGGCTCGGGAGATGATGATCGAGTAGCCTTGCGAAAGAGTGCCACTCGGTCAAAGGGCTCGTTGAGAAGCGTGGTGTCCTACAGGGGCCAACGGTTGTGTAGGTGAAGTGCATACGCACGGCATGGGAAGACAAACGCTCGGTTCGTGGCCGGACCTTGCGCAAAGACAGCCATGGCAGGACGATGGAGACAGTGGTAATAGTGAGCAGCCAGAACGTCGGGTCGAGACAGAACAAGCTGACCAAAGAGGTGTCCATATCCTGAGCCTCGAACATGTTATACATTATCAGGAATCCCCAGAACACCATTAAGAGCATCCAGCCTGAGAACCGATGTGTCATTTCCCAGACATTGTGGAATTTTGATCTGCAACTTGGGATGGACAGAATCAGTATCTGTAGGAGCAGTATATCCATGAGAAAGCAGAGTGTGATTATAGCAGCAACCTTGCCAGTTATGCCCGTATGAGGTTGTGTTCGGATTGAAGCGACGTTGAAGAAGACCAGCCACATGCCCGAAGCGACACCTGCACCACTATGTATTCCTCCCAGATGGTAGAGCTTGGCTGCATGCTTACGCAACCACAAGGGTGTCCAGTGAGGAATGAGGCCGAACACTGTAAAGAGCATATTAATGACGTGATCTTGTCGTATGAGCACTGCTGCAGCTACATTTGCAGCTACAGCTTGTATGCAAGTTGCTGGTTGGTTGAATAGCGTTCCTTGTAAGAGCTGATAGATAATGATCTCAGCATTGGGCAAGATAACGAGTAGTGAGAGTCGATGGTAAACCGTAAATTGTAGGGCAAACTTCTTCCCATTGTCGTGGTAGATTTTCTGTGTGACAGAATGCCTGTATCTGCTCTTGTCTTTTTCTGTGCTGCTTAAATCTAGAGACGACATTGTTACGGCAGATAGCCTATCTTTATAATTAATAATAATATCGTTAAGGATAGAATTATACTTATATTTTAGATAAATAATATTAACTTTCTAACCTATAATCTAAGCGATAAGCTAAAAGAAAGTAATAATAAAGAATCTAAACCTAACTTATATTTTAATAAAGTAATAGCTATAGATAATTAAGCTTATACAAAATAAGTAAACGTTAACTTTTTATACTTATATTGATAATATAGTTATATCTAAACATTAAGATATTATTAATATCTTATATATTATAACTTTAAAGATATGACTAAATCTTTTAAATCTAAGAATCTAGAAGATCGATAAAAGGAATATTATTATATAAGTTCTTAGACCTAGGGTAAGTAGGTCTAATTATAGATAGTAGAGTAGTATATTAGCTAGTTAGTAATAAGAAGTATAAATATAATAAAAAGGTACTTAGAAGGTACTAGTAGAATTAGTAAAAAAGATTAATTATAAAGAATCTATTTAAATAACTAAAGAGTATACTAGAATCTATATATTTATAAGTTATAATAATTTAATTAGTATTACTTATCTAAATTAGTATACTTAGTACTAAGTACTACTAATTAGGCTAATTGTACTAAGTATAGTAATCTTTATAGTTTAGTCTCGCTAAACCTTCCTTTATATAGAGTTAGTTTTAGACTAGTCCTGTTCTAATTCAGTCCCTAGCTGATTCTGGTTTAGGCTACCTGTAACGTGGGCCTAGTCGTATCCTGGTGTGTGTCTAGGCGTGCGCCTAGCCGTAGACCTGGTCGCATAATAAGTCGTGACACTTGTCGTGTTTATACTTCTTGTTACTAACCAGCTAACATACCACCCTACTGCCTGTGATCAGACCTACTTACTCTAGGCCTAGGAACTTGTGTAATACTATGCCTAGCCGTATAACAGGTCGTAATAGTACTAGTCTAGACCTATTAGTAGTATTATTAACGATATTACAATCTCTATATAATAAATAGGCTACTTACGATGTCGTTAGCGATATCACTAGCGATATCATTTATATATAACAGGCCCTAGTACTGCATGATAGTAGTACAGCACTAAGTGCTAGCTTAGACGACTTTATCCTACAAGTAACGCACTTCATTGTCGCTGCTTAATCTCTTTGTACGTCTGGTCGTAGCACATCTTTATCGATCTTTGGACGACGTCTTAGCCTCTGCAGCGGACACTGATCTCTTGCATCTTTAGTCGTTGTGGCTTTCAGACGTCTTGGTGTCCGTCTTCTCGTGAGCTTGTGCCCATCAATGACGGATCGTGACTGCCACGTGATACTGAGCTAAATCCGAAGCCTCCAAAGGACCTCCGAATCAAAGGAATTCGAGCGCTATCTGGTCAATTCCATCGAGTCATTAGTCGACCTGCCTGTCAGCTCTTTCGATGCGAGTCTACGTGTACCTATCAACGTGGCAGCATGTTACCAGAACAGTCGCAGCGAGCCGTCAAGTTCAGACGCGTCACGCGAGCATGCGACTACTGCCATGGACGTGCTGTCCGATGTCGTCGAGAAGCGAATGCTCAGCAATGTCAAAATTGCGCGCAGTTCGATCAACCATGTACTTATCTGCGAAAAGCCAAGAAAAGAGGCTCACAGCGGAGGTCGATCGGGGAATCTTACATGGGTCATTCTCCTATCTTGACACAGTCCCCCAACATGAACGTTTCAGTACCGCAACAACAATGGAGGGCTCCTCAGATTGCCTGTCAAGCTGTCGTAATGAGCTTGACGGAAGTATACTTTGAACTAGTCTACCCTGTGTTCCCTCTGTTCCATCAACCGACGTATCTTCGCAAGATCGCGCGTGGTGAGCATTTGACAGAGCGCCATTTGTTCTCTGCGACCATGGCTCTTTGTGCGTTGGTGTCTGCTCGCATCCAAGACCAAGCTCTTTTCAATCCTTCACACAACATGAGCGAGCTCACCGAGGTGCCTTCAGAGACGTTTTACGAAGCTGCCATACAAGCTAGCACTGATATAGTTCTCAGGACCCAACAGAACTTCGACTCGATGAGGACTTGCGCGTTGCTAGCCCTTACAGCTGTACAATACGGAAAAATTCGTGAAATGCAAGCTTTTCTGGGCAGGTATCATACATTTGTTGCAATCGAGGGCTTGCAAGATGAAGCAAATTGGCCTGCGAACACGGGAATCGTTGAAACAGAAGAAAGGAGGCGACTGGTGAGTCTTCTCTTGTCTTTCCTGTCATTGCAGCTACTGATGGAGCGAAAGTTCTGGTCCATGTATACCTTTGAAGTTTATGTATCTATTGTTTGGAATGGCATGCTGCGAGTCCGTGAACAACAGATCAACGTCAGTTATCCCACAGAGCTCGACGATGACTTGTTTAGTGATCGAGGCTACGGTCGACAAGTCCAATCGCCGGCCTATGCACGATTCAGTCCTGGAAATCGAGAAGGCGAAGTGAGTGCCAATAGCTGGTTGTGCGGGTGGAACTTTACTACTGACTTGTACCGTTTGCTGGAACATATCATCACCAATTTCCGTGATCGCCAAAAGCACCAGGGAACATTCCCTACCAATCTGTTCATCGATGGTTGTGTCACTACTATACCCACCGTGCGCGACGCTGTTATGCAATTATACTTCAACCTGCCACAGTGCTTCAAGGACGTACCAGAGGTCACATGCGAACCAAAAAGGTCAGCTCTTCAAAATTTGCCACGTGTCCTTGCGCTGACAGATCATCTAGTGATCGATTTGGATTTCAAGCAGCCAACATTACAGCTACTGTGCAACTGGTACGTATGATGCTCTTCGCTTCTGGTGGCGGAAGTATCGAAGATCGTTGCAAGATTGCAAGTGAAGTCATCGAGGCGTTCTCAAGAATTCCCGTCACCTATCTTCGTGCTATTAGTTCTCCTCTGCTTCACCATCTCGCAGGTATTGGTTCCCTTCTCGGCAGCGTCTTCGGAGAATCCATGAGCGAGATGGCTTACGAACAAGTCAGAGTTGTCTTGCTTGCTCTTGCGCAATTACTGGAGAATCTGGAGCATGGTATTCACTCTACAATAAGCGCACAGCGTCTGCGCGATTTGGTCGCGCGAATTGACGAGTATATGAACAATCTGAGAGATTCTCCGAGGGATCTACCGGCACAGCTGACAAACGACATCTTTGCAGACTGGCCTTGGAGTCTAGATTACACATAGTGCAATACGCAATTGGGTGAACGGCCTGAGTCTTCGAAAGGTCCGCAATCTCCTCCACATGTCATTGTGTACAGGGTCCAGGCCAAGAGTCGAAGCGAATCCCAGGATCAGTTGCGTTGTTCGTACCGAGGAAGCACTGCGCTGGGGACTTGTCAAAACCTTAGCAAGGATCATCATCGGCTCCATGATTCATGCGCCCGGAGGCCCGTTTAACCGTTCTTCAGACTGTTGGCCGATTGGCTGGCTCGTGTTCGTGTTTCAAGCTGACACAACAAAAGGGCTGCTATCGGTACAGTACGGACTTAAGGGACAAGAACGAAGCTTTTGCGACCAGATCAGCAGTATGTCGTTCACGCATGTCATCGTTGGCGCTGGGTCAGCAGGATGCATCGTCGCGGCTCGAGTTGCAGAAAATCAGAACTTCAATGTTCTCTTGCTAGAAGCTGGACCCGATTGTCAAGAACCAGAGACACGGGTCCCTTTTGGTGTCATCAGTGCGAGACGAGTACCAATGAAGGGACAATCCGAGACGTTCGATTCGAATATAGACTGGACGGTCAAGGTATCGCTACCAGACGGAAAATCGACACACGTACCTCAGGCAAGACTGGTAGGGGGTGGCAGCAGTATTAACGGAGGAACTGCCTTGCGCAACACCGTGGCTGACTCGCAGGAATGGGTTGCTTTGGGAAACAATGCATGGGACTTTCAGAGCGTGTGTCAGACATATGAGAAGCTGGAGAATGATGAGCTGCGCAACACATATGGCGCACATCCGATTGCTCGCGCGAATATATCTGAGGCTGGCAAAATACAACGAGCTTTCGCACAGGGAGCTGCTTCGATTGGCTTTAGTGCTGTGGAAGATCTGAATGCCACAGGTGCAGAAGGAGTTGGCCCTTCCCCAGTATGCAGGACAGGCGACCGGCGTATCAGCGCCGCTGATACGTTTATCGGTCCGATCCGCAACGCTCCCAACTTCACAATCATGCCAAATTCTCATGTGGACAAGATACTTATCTCGAATGGACAAGCTTGTGCGGCCGTTCTTGTAAGCGGTGACCAGATCGAAGCATCGCAAGAGATTCTCGTCTGTGCTGGTGCAATCTTTTCCCCGGCTATCCTGCAACGCTCTGGCGTCGGTCCAGCAAGCCTACTGCAGCAGCTTCAGATACCGTTGGTTCGTGATCTCCCTGCAGGTCGGAATCTGTCAGATCATCCATGCATACCTGTAGTTGCGAGACCGCGGGTAGGAGCATATCAAGATACAGATTATTCGCTGCAGTGGCAGGCTCGATGGTCGTCCTCTGAGCACCCCGGAGCTATTGATGCGCAAATGGTGTGCTTTAGCTATCTGTTCGTTGCCGCAAATTCGTCTAATGGAGAACAAGGTTTGGCGGGGACTGCGACTGGTCACGTCGCTGGTATAGGATGTAATGTCAATAAGCCGACTTCGCTCGGGACGGTCGCCATACGAACAAATGACGCCCACGATCAACCAGACGTCAGTCCGAACTATTTGCAGACTCTCGAGGATATGAGGGTGGCTCGAGAGGTTGTCAGACACGCGTATAGGGTCATCACAGGCTCTGCAATGGGGAGAGTCGTGGAAGACCCGTTGACACTGACCAATGCAATCGTGTCAGACGACGAATCCTTGGACCAGTGGATCAAGTCACAATACTCATCAACGTACCACTTTACCGGAACGTGCAGAATGGCTCTCCCTGAGAATGATGGTGTAGTCGACCAAAGTGGCAGGGTTTATGGAGTACACGGTCTCAGAGTCGCTGATGCGAGCGTCATCCCGACAGTGCCTGCCAGCAATACAATGTGGTCTACGATGATGTTCGCTGAACGAATAGGGTGCAGTGTGAGAGACACGACGGATGTGAAGCCTGTCGTGATTTTGAGTCGTCTATGAAATGGAAAATGACGATCAATCAATCTGTATGCAACTGGATCAAATTGTGGTAGCAAGTAGGTTGACAATCTGAAAAGTATGCCAGTGTGTACTATCCGAGTACTCTTCTCGCTTGTGACAATACCAGTCTAGAATCGAATTCGGATACGCGATTTTCTTCTAACGGAACGCATGGGTGAATTCATGGTCTTCGGATAGAAGACTAGACCTCTTTCATTTCATCTAGCTTTGTACCATATTTGATGCCAGCCATTTGCCTTGCATTGTCCATCCACTCTAAAATTCTCAAGCTCTCGGAGAGCCCGATGGTATCGACCCGCTTCTCAAAAACTGCCTTTGCAATGACATCAGCCTGGTACCAGATCCCCCAACCTTCCGCTGGTTTCTTGATGATCTCATCCTTTTCTGTACCATCTTCGTTCAAAAGCTTGTCTCCATACCATTGAACATGCAGCTCTTCTGGTCGAATGCACGGAAATGGAATTGCGACAGACGCCTCAGTAGCCTCGATTCTCACTGCAGGTGCAGCCTTCTTCGCACCGAGACGCACATAGAATGCTGGTTTGCTTGAACCTGGAAGTGTCATGCTTGTCGAGACGATCGCAGTCGCAGCAGTAGTCGCAAGCACGATCGTGTTGATGTCGTCGACCTCGCTAGGTCTTCCAGGAACGCTTTGTGAGTTCGCATGCACGACCTTAGTGTCTGATGTGCCATTTAGTGCAATATCAACCCACGTCAAAGCATAGACACCTTGATCGAGCAAAGACCCAGCTCCAGCAGCTTTGTCCAGAAACCTTGAATCATTCGGAAGATCTGGGCTGACGATAGGAAACGAGAAATCCGAGAACACACGTCTGACCGTCCCAATACGAGGCAGCAAGTGGTCCTTCAGGTATTGCGTTGCTGGAAGATAGCGAGTCCACATCGCTTCCATCAGGACGACCTGATTTTCTGCTGCCAGTTTTGAGCAGTGCCGGAATTGTGCGGCGTTCATGGTTGCTGGTTTCTCAACGAGGACATTTCGCTTGCACGAAACAGCCTTGATGATCTCTTCGTAGTGTAACGGATGTGGCGTCGATATGTAGACGATGTCGAAGTCGCCTTGTTCGAGCATTGTCTCCCACGAGTTGTAAATTGCCACATTTTCGCTGTTCGGAATCTTGTTCTCGGCGAACCAGTTCTGTGCTCGTTCTTTGGTGCCCCTGGTGCTGATTGCGACCAACTGATGATCAAACTGAGAGCTTTGACGACCAAGCAGGTCCTGGAAGAATGTTGAGGCAATGGTCGACAACGATAATGCTGCCCATCGGCAGATTCGCTTTTCGGTCATCTTGACAAAGGTTTAGCAAGTGTATTGAAGTATGTTGATATGCACGTTTTGTGGTCCGGCCAAGCTGTTGTCGCCTTTTCCAGTACGAAGCTGTTGTGAGGGAATGCTCAGTATGATTCACAGATCATGATCTTAATGTACGACAACTGAAGTCACCACGCAGGGTCACCGTAGCAGAAAGCATACCCTACCGGTCCATCGAGACAAGGTGGTGTCAGAGACATCGCTTTCTCGAACTGTACATTTCAGAAGCACCTAAGACCGCACTTTGATAGGACTCAACTCTGAGACCTACGGTCCACAATAAATCTTATTCGGGAGATTTTATTGATTGAATATGCTGTAAGGGTGTGCGTGGGCTTTCTGTCTCTTTGTATGTCTCCTTATTCAGTATATGAGTGGCACCCTTGTGGCCGTAATTGTACTAAAGTGGGACCTACCTCGAAATAACTCCGCGTGACGTCAAAAACATCAGTCACTAAAAAAATCACTTTTTTCTGCGCCAGCTTTTTTTTGTTATTCTTGTCGTATTCAATAACACTACGTAATATAGGTAAAGTAAATAAGTAGATATTGACTACTACTATTATAGTATATAATAAAGGTATATATAAATTAATTTAAGCGATAGCGATTATATTTAGCGTCTATTATAGTATACTAGGTAGTAGAATTAAAGGCTATATAATAATTATAAAGTCGCGATAGTTATAGCGAAAACTTATTAATATATAAAAGGAATAGCTTACCTAGATAGTACTTAATATTAAAGTAATAAACTAAGCTATTAGCTACTAGTGTTTATAAGAAACTATGTCTCTTATTTTAACTCTTAATAGACGTAATAGCTATATTAGAAAGAGATAGATATAATAATATATTATATAGATACTAGTTATTAAAACTAAGCCTAGTAAATCTATTAATTATTATAAAATATAGTATATTATAAAAGAGAGTATATAATAGTAGTTTAAGAAGCTATTTATTATATACTAAAGTAAGAATATCTAGTAATTATATATTTAGAATATAGATAAAGTTAGTACCGCTTTAAATAGGTATAGTAATTATAATATAGTTAGTTAATCCGATATTAATATATTTATTATTAAACGTCTTTATAAATACGAATAAGTAATATCTATTAAGTATATATATATATATATATATAAGTAATTACTTAATCTAACTATTATTAATCTTTAAGAGTAAGTATATATAATAGTAGTAGTTTATTATAAAAGAGATATTTAACTAGTACTATATTTTTACTATTTATACCTTTACGACGAATAAGGTAACACTTTAATAACTAAAGCGTATATTTATCTCTTAAATAGCTATTAACCTCTTTAATAATTAATAGCGATTACTTATCTATAATAGTTATAAATTATATATAATAAATAACTTAATATAATATACGATTATTAATTATATATATATCGTCTATTTTATTACCTATATAAGCTATTTTATATAGCCTCTTAATATAATTATATTCTCGTCGCTTAAGCGTAAGTTTTATATATTAGTTACGGCTAAGATAGTATAGAATAATTATATATCTTATATAAAGGCTATATTTATATAACGCTTTATATAGGTATAAAAGGAAGCTATTACGTCGTCTAATATTAAATTAAGTTTTAGGTTAATAGAGCTATAGCTATATAAATCGTCTAAAGTAGTTAATACTTACTAGATATTATTATAACTAATATAACGACCTTCTATACCTAAACTACTAGTTATTAACTCGTTATTTAAGTAGAATATATAACTTATATTATATAACTATATCTAAGCTGTTTAAACGTTATTAACTATTACTATAACGATAACTATCCCTCGCGCTGTATATACTATAGTTAATAAAATAGGTAAGAGATTAGAATATATTGTATTTAAGCTAGCGGTTACGGAATAATAGAGAGAGGGATTAGCTAATAAGCTAGCTAAGGCTACTAGTAAAAATACTTATCGATAAGTAGTTAATATTAATAAGCGATTTATTGACCTTGTTGATATTTAGCTAGGGTTATATAGTCCTTTAGTGCCCGTATATGATAACAGTAGCGACGATAACGACGACGACGAGGTAGAAGAGGAAGAGGAAGAAGTATATGTTTCAGATCCCTATATAAATATAGCTATTATCTAGCTATATAGCAATATATAACAACACTAAGTAATGGCCAATATTGACGAATATTGATGTTTTTGGTGACCGATGCTTTTAACGTTCCGCGGAGTTACGGACAATGGTTCGCTGCGGTCACGAAGACGCAGCGACAAAATCTTTGGCGCGGTCGGCACGGCAAAACGGTCCAGAGTACTGTGCAGTTCAGCCGATCTCCATTCGAACCTTAAGCATCGAACGGCTCATCCATGCCATTGGTCGCGCAAGAGCTGGGGCATTGTTTACAACATCGAGTGAGCGGCAGTACACATGGCGGATAGCGGAACCTCTCCTCAAGATATATCCACGAGATCGGGGCAGCAACATGGAGACGACGGCGGACGAAATTCGCCTTGATGATTACGCCTGTGAGACGATAGCGGATGATGTTTGTATCAAGCGGCAGGCGAGTCAGCAGAACAATCGAGCGTGAAGTCCTGCTTGAACCGAATAGCTTTCAAAGCTGCGACGCATTCAGACAGTATATCCAAAGGCTCTTCTTTTAACATGGACATGGTACGAAAGTCACTAAGCGACTGGTGCAGGACTAACATAAGTACAGTATGATCTGACAGGGAGAGTAGCAGTCGTTACTGGGGCCGCCCGTGGACTGGGTCTTGCTTTCGCTGAAATTCTAGCGAGAGCGGGATGCCACATCGCTGGTCTAGACATCCAGTCAGAAGCCTCGAAATCATTGTACGACTTGCAGAAGAGTCACAAAACCGTTGTGAAGTACTATCAGGTTGATGTGACTTCTGAAGAGAACGTGAAAACGACAGTTGCCAAAGTTGTACAAGAGCTCGGCAGGATCGACATCAACATCAATGCCGCCGGAATCGTCTCTGATGAGCCATTCCTCACGACCTCAATGAAGAACATTGAGAAGACCTTTGCAGTCAACGTTACCGGCTCATTCCTCGTTGCTCAGGCTTGTGCGAATGTGATGGTCGATCGCTATAAGAAGCAGCATGGTGACTCGCCTGCGACCAATGCGACGACAGGAACCATCGTTTTCATCGCCAGCATTGCCACACATATGGCTAGTTCGGCTCAGCAGATCTCGTGCTACACAGCATCTAAAGCAGCAATCAGAGGATTGGTTAAGCCTGTTGCGATGGAATTGAGCAAATATGGTATCCGGGTGAACAGCTTGAGTCCGGGTTACACTATGACGGATATGATACGTGGTCTGCAGTCGGAGCAACCTGATTTAGTGAAGCAGTTCGAGAAAGAGACGCTATTTGGGCGAATAGGAGCGCCTCAAGAACTTCAGGGAGCGATCTTATGGCTATGCGCTGATCGCGCGAGTGGTTGGTACACGGGTCAAGACCTGCTAATAGATGGAGGCGCAACATCGTGGAAGCATCCAGCTATCTTGACATAATATTTGAGTACCTACCTACGCAAAAGATTGTAGGTTGGGCCTTCATGTTTTGCGTCGTCGGCAAGCACTGGGGAACAATGGAGGTAATGAATCGCGCCTGCAAGGCTTTCTCCGTTTTGCTAACACTAAACCTGTTTCTGGTCCTACGCGAGCGTTGTTGAAGAGTGTCAACAGCGGCAGCAGTCCAGGCCGTAGATTTAGCGATAGTGTGGTTCAAATAGGATGTGAGCATCGCCGTCGGAGGCAGTAATTTTGGCACCCAAATGTGAGTCAAAGCTTGTGTCCTAAGCTCCCTAAGGCCTAAACGATGCTCAAGATTTAGGCCAGCTATGCCTATCCAGCACCATCTTACGTACTACTGTAGTCTTGAAGAGTTCCTCTGAATTCATCATGCACGTATGTCTGCACGACTTGATGGAAAGAACCTAAGAGTCACCGCGACACTGAGTGCCATGTTTCGCCGTAGCTGCTCGTCAGTACCTTCCTACTGTAATCAAGGCTTATGGAGATCGGAGTTGAATCGTAGCCTTCGAAGACTCACTCTCTCCTCCTTCTGCGAAGAGATTAGGCTTCTAGATCCCTGCCTCAAATCTGTCAAAATGAACAATCAACCAACTCGCTTGATCAGAATTGGCCTTCCCAACCGCTGCTAGTTCGGTAGTCTTCTGGTATGATGGTATATCAACACCTTCGTTGATACATTACCTTCTCGAGTCAGGCTCATCACGGATGAGAGAATGGAAGTAACGATTCTTGGCTCAAAGTGATCAATATTATTGCATTTAACCTTATATACGACTGCACTGCTGATATCCGGTCGTATGCAACATTTCCTTTCATCTACAACGAGTCAGCCTTCTCTTTCTCCAGCTCTACGTGATTTGTGTCCGGTCCTATCTTGTTCAGACCAGTCTCATGGTCGACCGAGACTCTTCGCGGATCAAGATGAGTCTCACCGTTGACCTCATCGAGCAACTTCCGAGCAGCGACAGCAACGTTTCCACCGGCGGCAGCAACTCGACGATCGTGCTCTAGCACATTGTCCTTCACCAGAAGACTGTCGCTAGCGAAGAGAAGATCGACCTCTTCAAGGCCGACGCGAGCTGTTTCAACAAAGAAGAAGTGGATGATCGGCATTACAACAAAGTTCATGCAACCAAAGAAGATGAACGACCACCAACCAATGTTTGCAAGCATGATTGGAATGACGAAAGTTGTCGTACCGCAGCCGATAGCCCAACCCAGAATGGTGTAGGAATATCCTTTGGCTCGAACTTCTTGAGGCCAGATCTCGGTCCCGTAAATCCAGCAAGGGACGATATTGAACATACAGAAGAAGAAGACAAAGGTAAAGGTGAACGCTGAGGCCGCTGTTCCGAGTGTTTGCGATTGACCTGGATTTGTGAAGACTCGATCTTGAGAAGTCTTGATGAGAGCTGCAACCAGGAACAACGAGATACCTTGGATGGCGAATGAGACTTGAAGCGAGTTTCGTCGTCCAATTCTATCAATGACAAGTGCTGCAGCAGCAGTGCCAATCACACCAAAGGTATTCAGAAGTCCAGACAACCAAGATGCCTTGTATGTGCTGAAACCTGCAAGCTCAAAGACTTTAGCAGCCCAGGAAACCATGACCAAGATACCAGTCCACTGCTGAATTTGCTGCAGTGCCAGACCTAGGACTGCACGTCGTCCAAGGTGAAGCTTGCCGGAGTATCGGCCACCAAGAGTGATGTTGACATAGTTGTTTCGCTTGTGATGCGATGCTTCAACGATAGCTTGGAGTAATTCCAATTCTTCATGAATGGCAGGATCGCTTGGGTGCTTGTCACCTCTGATCTTGCACAAAATATCAACGGCACCTTCTCTTCTATGATTAGCCATGAGCCATCGAGGAGACTCGGGAACAAAAAAGATCGCAAAGGCGACCATAAGCATTGGAATACACATGAAGCCGAGGGGGAATCGCCATCTGAACTCGATGCCTGCGTTTCGAATGCCAAAGTTGATCCAGTTAGCGAGGAAAATTCCCAGAAAATTGGCAACAAAAACAAGGGAGAACGTCGAGCCTCGATCATGTGCTTCTGACAGCTCCGAAACCCATGACGGAATCAAGACGTTGATGAAGCCGATGCCGAGACCAGAAATGATTCTTGCGACGATGAACATATCGGCATTGACGGACCCACACTGCATGGCAGACCCGATCAACGACAGGACAGATCCGACAAATGTTCCCTTCTTTCGACCATACTTGTCACCAAACCAGCCGCCAATAAAGCCACCGAAGATAGCTCCCAGATAGTAGACTGCAGCAAGACCTCCTTGTTTTGTCGATTTGGTAACTGTAGTGCCCTCGCCGATCTGAGACATGGCGATGAATCCAGGAGTGCCGGAGACGGCGCCGTAGACAGCTTGATTGTAACCTTCATAGACCAGGGCGATTGCGCTGAAGATGTTGAGAAGCAACAGAACGCCTTTGCCAGGTAAAGCACGCCATGGTTGGAATGCCATTGCTGCGCGGCAGTGTAAGTGTTGTCAAGGAGAGACTGTTGATTTGTGTCCGGAGCTGAGTGCAATGAACTCTTGAGTAGATCAGTGATGCATCGTAATTGTTGGCGGCGACCGTTCAGGTTTATACTGATTGACAAGGACCTCCCCTACACTTGGCTTGAACCGTTTTGTCATCCTGACTTGCCCCAGATACAATCTCGACCCCATGGCCCCAGGTGTGTGGAGTGCTGCATAGCTACCGGATGGATGTGCCGAGTATTGTTGATGAGCTAATATGAAGGAGGAGAAATCTTCACACATGATATGATTGGTCTTAATCGAAATAAGCTTCGGTTAAACGGTGTCTGCAAAACGGTACGAGGCTCAGCGGCATTCTTGAAGCAATTCAAGACTAGCGATTACAATTCCTAGAGCTCGAAGACCGCGAATCCTACCGCGTGGCATTCTCCCCCGACACGTGACTATCGATCAGATGTCATGCGAAGATTTCTACTCTGCAACATGATGGTTCAAGGTCGAGACTTCTATCGAAGTTGTCGAACTCGGCGGATCGTATATCATTGAGATTGCCTGCTTTCGACCCATTTCCCAAAGCCATACGAGGTCTCTTCACAAATACTTGATACACAACTGCTCAAAATGATACACGCACAAAGCGACGGCATTGTCAACGGAGGCACAGATGGTCACCATTACGATGGGTTGGATCTCACAGTCCTCGGAATGAACTCAGGGACATCCATGGACGGCATCGATTGCGCCTTATGTCGCTTTCGTCAAGAAACCCCATCGTCGCCAATGTCTTTCGAGCTTCTGAGATACGATGAGATCCCATTGGAACCAAATATCAAGAAACGAGTCATGAATATGATCTTGCACAATAGTACCACGCCGGAAGAACTTTCGGAAGTAAATGTTCTCCTTGGCGAAGCATTTGCGGCAGCCGTTGAGGAATTCACACAGAAGAACAATATCTCGAAACAGAAGATCGACGCAATAGGTTCTCACGGTCAGACAATATGGCTGCTGAGTATGCCCGAGGCTGGTCAGGTCAAGTCCGCGTTGACTATGGCTGAAGGCGCTATACTTGCCTCCAGGACTGGCATCACATCTGTGACAGATTTCAGAATCTCGGACCAAGCTGCAGGAAGACAGGGCGCGCCTCTCATTGCGTTCTTTGATTCGCTGGTCCTTCATCATCCGACCAAACTGAGAGCTTGCCAAAATATTGGTGGAATTGCGAATGTCTGCTTTATACCTCCTAACAGAAACGGCAAGCTGAACGCAGAGTTCTTCGATTTTGACACAGGCCCTGGCAATGTTTTCATAGATGCCGCGATACGATATTTCACGAACGGTGAGCGAGAATACGACAGAGATGGAGAGATGGGTGCCGCCGGAACTGTCGATCAACAAATGGTGGACGAGTTCCTCACGACACACCCATACTTCAGAAAAGATCCTCCCAAAACCACTGGCCGTGAAGTGTTCAGGGACACGATAGCTCATGACTTGATCAAAGCAGGTGAAGCAAGGGGTCTGTCACCGAATGACATTGTTGCAACCATCACTCGCATCACTGCTCAAGCCATTGTTGAGCACTATCGCCGATACATGCCGACACATTATGGACCACTAGAAGAGATCTTCATGTGTGGAGGCGGCGCCAAGAATCCCAACATCACCAAGTACATGCAGTCAGCCTTTCCAGACACCAGAATTGTTATGCTTGATGAGGCCGGTATTCCTGCTGATGCGAAAGAGGCGATCACATTTGCTTGGCAAGGTATGGAGGCAGTCACTGGCAGAAGTATACCAGTACCCAGTATGGTAGAGACAGATAGACAATTCGTGCTAGGCAAGGTCAGTCCGGGTGCGAATTATCGCAAGGTGTTGAGGCACGGGATGGCATTTGGAGACGGTCAAGATCATCTGCAGCCTGTGACGGAGTTAGTCAACTACGTCTCTGGTAAAGTCTTCAACAACAAGTGGTAGGTATGTGTATACGAGAATCGGACATGACGTTCAAGTATGTTCGCGGGAATGGGGCGTGAGCATCAATTGTAAGGTGTGCATATCTGCAGCTACGGATTGATGAATACTCACTCTCAACAGCCTCTCAAGTGTACATGTTTTCGAGATGAGCCACTGTGCTCAGCTCAAAACTCACTCCAAGACTTGGACAACTAACGACAGGACTGCGAACTCACAATTGCGGCAGAGAGCCAGATTGCTGTGAAAGAATTTCGGCCGATGGGCCGCCTTTTCAATGTCATGATTCGAGCGATATTTGTTGCTCCTGCTCGTGAGCATCTTGTAGATGACGCAGGCCCAAGCTTTAGCACATTCCTTGCAAGCTCGATGCTCACGTTGGAGCTCGGCAGCTTCCTTGTGAGCAGTGACAACATGCTGCCAGTCCTCTGATATGTCCATATTCAAAGATGATGAATGGAAAGGCTTCGAGAAGACTGGGTGAATTGACACAATTAGAAATAGAGTGACTCCTTAAGACGAGCCAGCCAACATCTATGACGATGACGATACTGTCCGATCCATTCTCAGCGAACTTCGAATGAGACTGCCCCACAGATCAGGCCAGCAACGTGCTGGAACATCGCTATCTAGTAGTGGTGGTAGTAGTGGTGGTAGAAGATTTTGTTGTGGTGCTTAGAGTCCTAGACAGAGTAGTAGTAGAAGACGTAGTAGTAGATTTAGTGGTAAATTTAGTGGTAGAGGGAGTCACATTGGGTACTATAGATGTTGTAGTGGTGGTTGTACTAGGTGTTGTAGAAGGTGTCGTTGTCTTACTAGTGACCAAAGTCGTAGTAGTCTTAGTAGTGATGGTGGTTGATCTTGTAGTCGTGGCGGTGGTGATGGATTTTGTGGTAGTAGTGGAGGTTGTAGTAGGCTTAGTAGTAGTGATGGTCGAGGTAGCCGTAATTATGCATATACCAGCCTTATAGGACGCGATGATGCTTGTTGGTGCATCAGCGCACTGTCGCGGGGATATTTGCTGTACTGAGTAGAAGAAGCAGATACCAGTCGCAAGCTTGCCATCGGCTGCCTTGTTGATGGTACCCACGAACGACTGACATTGAGAGCTCGAGCTACAAACGGCCTGACATTTGGCCTGTAACTGAGTCTCGAACGCTCCATTAAAATACGAGAATTGGCCTTGATCCTGAGCAGAATAGCAGTTGGTCGGGTAGCAAACACCAGTATTGGGAAAACATGGCTCTGGTTGATAGGCACCCTGCGATCCGACCGCACAAGTCGAGGTAGGAGTAGAACATGAATCAGCTAGAGCTATACCAGTCAAGAAAGAGACGAGCAGAGTGCTCTGAAGTAGGAACCGCATTTTGAAACCAGACAGTAGTATTTTTCGGCCTCAAAAGCGAATGCCGCCTGTTTAGATAGCATACAGTCTCGTCCACTCCCGTGCATTGGCCTCGTATCGTTGCCGGTCAGTTTTATAGACGTGAGCTATCTCGGGTACTAGAGGTTCATCAGGATTCGGATCATCTAACAGCGAAGAGATGGATAACAAAACTACTCGCGAGGCTATCTTAATAAGGTAGAAGGATCGTGTATAGGAAATGGTTCAACGTACCTTTCCCGATTGTCATATGTGGGGCCCATTGGGCTCCAAGAATATCGAGAGAAATGCTGCCGTTGTGGCCTATGTTGGGATGGTAGACTCGAGTCGTAAGACATACGTGAGGCGGGTTGAACGGGTAACCTCCTGGAAACCGGATACTTAAGAAGACTATATCTCCTTGGTACAGAGTCTGAATCTCATCTGAATTCAGTGGTAGCCATCAGCAATAAAATTTGCACTTACTGGACCTAAAATTGTGGCTTGCCAGTGAAACTGAAAGCATGTCAGTGGTATACACATATACGAAATGAAGCTGCGTACCATATCATCCCCCATGGGGCCTGCAGAGCATGAGGGAACTGGATTTCGTTGGAAATGCGTAAGTTCTATGTGTATGCGTTTGTTGTATGAGACTCGCGGAGCATAGACAGATATGATGTCGACACCGTATTCAAGCGGCCAGGCTGGGTCTTTGTGACACTGATATATTTGATCATTAGGACTACTGGACGTAGACTTTGTGGCTGAGTCAACTCGAGACGCCAATCGTTTCTGTAGTAATTTTGATGACTACGGAGATGCAAGACGGCTGAATCCGAGGGCCCCTCCCATGCGGTGTTTCATAAAGCGCCAGAAGTGCGCTGCGACCGTACCTGGGCCACGACCGATTGCCAAAAACTGGGTTACTACGCAGAGAAAGGCCGACAAGCATAAGGGTGATCAATACTTCCTGCGCGATCGATTTTGCGTGGTATTGAACTACATGTAACCTCGACCAGCTCGGTCACTGTGTAGCCATCATGCCAGTCTCGACCCATCTTCTGGCCCCTTTTCTGCTCATCTTAAAAACTTCGGTATCCTCGGCAGGAGAAGCCCTGCTACCATTCGATATCCGAAATCAGTCATCCTTGCCATGTCGCCAGGAGTCCATGACGGGAAACATGCAGATATGGGTTCAGGTCGTGCATCCTCCAGCACTGTTGTTAACACAAAATCGTCGAGGGTAAGTGAGGCCGCAACAAGCCGCACAGCGACGATTGGATGCGTGCATGCAAGAATCGCGGCGGCTATTCTTAGAACACGAAGACGTCGACCGGGAGCCGACCTCGTCGCTGGACCAACTCATCGATGCCGAGAGTCGGGGCCATGAGACGGTGAACGGCCACTCGCCACAACGCTGAAACCACGAAGCGGAGCAGCATGAGTTTGTGAAGAGTCTGCTTCGTTCCCCACAGATTTCCTACCTTTCTGGTCGGACGGAGGAACACGTGCCGATCTGGATACACTGCATTCTGAAGACAGGCTTGCGCTGACCTTCGCCAGAGTAGCTGCGGGTTCTGGTGGTGGCGGTAATACTGAGAGCCATACTCCGTCCACTGTGTCGTGGTGTGTTACGTCCCGACCTGGCTGCTCCCTCTGTCAATGGAGGTCAGTATGGCCGCTGTTGAGCCCTCGAAATCTCCACACGTGTTGCACAACCGTGGAGAGGGTCGACAGGGAGGAAACAGATATCCTGTTTTGGCACTCACGATGTTGAGGGCATCTGAAATTCGCGAGAGATATCCTTTGGTCATCACTCTTTCACTACACACCGTCCATCTGAAAAGTAGCAACGATTGAGGAAGGTGTGCTTGGTGCCCTGCGGCACTTCTTTCTGGAAGGGGGCATACGGCATCAGTCATTTGTGGGAGGAGGAAGCATTAGTCTACCGGCGATAACAGGGGTTCGGTTCTTCATTGTTCCATGGAAAGCTGCCCTCGCGCTCGCAGCATGAGCCTCGCCTCAGAGAGCATCCTTCCTCACTGTTGTAAGGCTGCTGAGACAAGAACCCGTCGACAAGGAACATATATACATCCCCCAAGCCTCCTCTGATCATCGTAGAGGCTTCTCACTCGTATTCGACTCGTTTCTTCGAGATGAATAACAGCTCTTTCCGCTACCACATCAGGTGTGGTGTACAGTCCGATCCACTTAGCGCTCGGGCGAGGGCTTAGCTTTGCTGTAGTTTCGCTAGGGCTAAAGCTAATCGGCGAGTCGTCGGTGGAATGTGACCTTTGACCATTCTTAACTATTTTTAAGGCTGTGATATTAACTATTTCGTCTATTCTAGGTGTAATAATATAACAAGCAGTATTTATACTGATAATAGACGATATTGCTATATGCGTTAAGGCTATCGCCTTATTACTGGCCTAGTATATTTCCGTTTATTATAATAAGACTGAGATTAAGAATACCCGTCGTTATAGAATATTAATAATAGAAGATATATTAGAAGACGATCGTATATTATAGAATATTACTAGGTTACGTCGTTATATATTTAAGGCGTTAATTAACTAGATTCGTAATAATTATAGATTATGTAATAATCGTTATATTATATTAGCTAAAAGAGTTATTATATTACTACACCTTTATCGTACTAGTGTGTCAGAATCAAGCCTAGTATCCACCTAAAAAGGTCGCCCAAAATATCACCAATGTTGGTGATAGTTTGGAAGGCTTGGCATATAAGGCTGTTACACCGCTAGGCGCAGGCTCTG